TGGACCAAAAGTTCAGAAGCAAAACAATATTACATTTGTTCTTTTTCATAGTCCAACCCTTGATGATACTGCGACAAAAATTATTTTGCCTTAAAAACAGACTACTTTAACTCGTAACGCTTCAAAGGATCCATCTAAAATAACATAAATTTGGTGCCCTTTTGTTTATTTTTCAAAATTTGTGCACTCTTTTCAGACGGTGAAGAGTCTAGGCCAATCGAATTATGGCCAAATTTACCGTCTGGCCTTAATTTCCCCGATCTGGCTCTATTTTTTATATTATACTTGATATTTTGTTTTGCAAATAAAATTAAAATGAGCCTTTAGGCTATTTTTCTTTGCAAAAAAGTGGAATGTAACTGGCTATTTGCCCAAATTTCCATAAAAGGCCACATTATTCTTGCAGCGACACATCCATAAAAAGTGTTTCTTTCCCGGAAATCCCTGTTTCCAAATGTCATGAGATCCTAAATGATCTCCGTAAATGTCTGTTTTTGGATTCCAACGTTCTTTTGACTCATCGAAACATCAATTTATGATGATTTTGAACTGTTTTTGGTGATTTAGCGATGTTCTGAAGATGGTTTTATTTCAAATTGTAATTAAATTTGGATAGTAATCATCTCAACAAGTCATTCAAATCTCTAAATAAGATTTTTTGTATTTTCTGATATGAATTTTATGGAATGGGCGAGGTTTTGACCAAATTTGATAGGAATCAAGGAAAATTCCGGGGAAACATCCGGTTTCACGGTCATAAGGACTCGTTATCGATGTTTGGAGGGCTCTAAATATGATCGGCGGAACGATCAAATCTTATAGGCTTAGAAGAACTTTTTAGCCTTGATTCCTGGGTAGTATAATTTTGGAGTCACTGTTCGGCCTACTTTTATTTTACTCTCGTCTATCCTTTTCCTTGAATATGACAGAGAAACAAAACACTGCTTTGTGATGACTTTTGAGTTCTAAAAATCGTTTTGCGACACGACTTTTCAGCTGTAAAATCATCAAAAAATCTCTAATTTTTAGCAAGAAATTAAAAAATTTCGGTGCGTTCTGCAAGACAATGGCTAAAATTTTCAGAAATGTTTTTTGAAACAGTCGAGGGCCAATTCTCATCAAAATCCTTCAGTAATTCAAATATTAATACATTTTTTTCAAAATGCTCAATGTTTTGATTCAGATGAACAACTTTACTGAGAGTTCTTTGACTTGTTTTCCCTTTTACTCTACTTTTTATTTAACTTTATATGTCTAAGGTACCAAACAGAGCGGTAAACTAATAAATTGTGGCAATAATTGCTCCGGAATGGGTTCGTATCCATCAGAGATCACTTAGATTTGATTGGCATCAATGATTTATGGGATCAATTGATTTGTTTGTGCTCATTGCCTCAGGGAATTCGTCTCTGGATTTCGCGAAAAGTGTCGAAAACAAAGGAAAAAGGATTTTTGAGGAGGAGGGAGTGAGTAATTGGGCTGAAAGGTCGAGAATTGAATTCGAAATGGATAGCGGAAATGGGAAATCACAAGAATTACAAGGTATTTCCGACGCAGAGTAATTGTGGGACGTTTGTTTTGGCGTCAATAGAATTTTTTGGGGAAAAAACTTTGTACTTTTTGAATGAGATTTTTTGATTTGTAATTTTTAAATTTTCTGGGGGATTTATTCATTTTTGACAATTTGTAAATAAAAGTTCAAGCTTTTAAAAATTTTATTTTTTTATTTAATTTTTTGAACATTTTTTGGAATCAGTGAGCACTACAACATTTCCAAGCCCTTTTATTTCCTGCAGAACCTTCTCCAAAATTCTTTTTTAATCCATGATGTGTTTACAATGTAAAAACTTATTGAATATTTATTTGTTTAGCACTTTTACCCACCAAATATTAACTTTTGTTGTCCACTATTCATCTGTTTTCGACTTGTTTTGTTAGAGATTTTGGAAATCAGCTGGTATAGTTTTTTTTCGATTTGTAAAAAAATTTGTTTGACAATCCAAATAAGAGGACTTTTTTGTTGCTTTTTTAATACAAAAATAAAATTAAATTGTTGTTATAAGTTCCTCGAAAAAAACACGTATTTTACAATCAGAAATGTCTTCAAAATCGAGAAAACATATTTTCTGAAGAGAAGAGGAGGTTTGCAGGGTTAGTATTGCCTAAATAATTTACTATTCTTTTCGGTTATAGCTCAGTAAAAGGGTATTTCCGGTCAAGTCTTTGTGGACTTTTGGACTTTTCTTTGTCTGCTTTTATTTTCTTTTCAAAACTTTTTCTACAAAAATATGCACTTACAATCAGAAGATTCTCCTGTTAAAAATTTTTGCTCAAAGATCTTGATTTTCTCCTTTTCTCTATTTTTTATTCAAAATTGATAGGAAAGTTGCAAAGTTTAAACAAGTCTCGGTCTATAAATCCTTTAGTAAATTTTCTTGGCGCACACAGTTTACCAGCATGTCCAATTTTCATTTTCCTGAGGCTTAAACGCCGCTTTCACTCGGGATCTCATGAGTTTAGAGGCGAAAGCATGAAACGCAACTGGTCGATTTGCACTTTCATATCACTGGCAAAGTCATCTGATAAAATCTTGACTTTTTTTTAGAACTGATAGCAAATCAGATGGAACGAATTATAGATTCCTCATTTTTCACATTTTTCAACTGCAAATTTTGTCACTTTTTTATATAATCTATGCCTAATGACATGTAAAAATTTTTACTTGCGATCTCCCAGAATTTGGGACGTCATCGCGCCTGATACGAGAAACTAGAACAGGGTCATAACTAGTAATTTAGCGGAGAATACGGCTTATTTAGAAATAGGGTACTCAGTAAATGCATTAAGAAGTGCAATCGTAAAGGGCAGCCGCACTTTCCAAAGAACGGAATTGTTTTCTCAGAAGTGGATTATATATAATACTACATATTAAAGAAATTAGAATATTCGCCCGGAGGGCACGTTTTTTGTTTTAATTTTAATTTTTTTCAAGTGTTAGGGACGACGGTCTGAACAGTACCAGCATTAATGAGTGCAGTTTTTTAGGCCCTGGGAATGAGATTTTAATTCGAGAATCAGCAAGACTTATGAAACAATGTAATACGTATATGTATAATATAATATTTACAAGGTTTTGCAAAGAATTGCAAATATTTTTTGCAAATAATTGTAACAAACATTTCTGCTTCCAAAAATACCTTCCATATTTATTTACTTTCTACAAAAAATTTCGTCCCTCCATTGTCCATTACCTTCATTTCCATCCCTTTCCTTTTCCCTAAAATAATGTAAATATTACTTCGAAATCACCGGTTTCAGTCTGTTTTTGGTAGTCAGATGTTTGGCATACTGATAAGGCCGCATAGTAAACCACAAAGTCTTGTTGATTATATCCCCATTTCAAAATACATAATTTACAGTCAAATAGCGATCAGCTGAACTGATAAGGATGTTTATTTAGGCTTATCAAGGGCAATATTCCTGCAGAAAACGGAGGGAGGGGAGGGTTTCGGTTAGAGATCTCAGCTTCGAAATGGTACGGTGTGGTTTTACAAGGAAAGTACTTTTATGGGGGCTCCTACTTTTTGACGGGACATATCTCAAAAAATCAGAAAAAATGTGCTGATCAAGGATATATAAATCTTAGCTGCCCATTTTAGGTTTTTAGGGGTGAAAACTCAATCGGAAGTTGACTTAAAGTCCTATATCAACCCCTTTTCGCTTAATTTTTCACAGGTTTACAATTTTTATTTTGGCTTAAAGTGGTGTTTATTGGGTTTCTAAGACGTAATAAGTCAGCCTTGGCCCAAAAATTTATTTTTCCGACCTTCAACCTCAAAAAAAGTTGATTCAGCCCAAAAGGGAAATCGAACCCGTGCGGCTTGCTCCCTCTTGATTCCCAGACTACGGCACTAACCACTCGGCCACACCGCTCTCTTCCGAAGGAAGAGACCGACTGCGCTTTTTATCGTTTCGAATGCCTGCGCCTTTTGTAGGGAAATTGAGCCAGTCTTTGGGCATTTTCACCCCTAAAAGCCCAAAATGGGCAGCTAAGATTTATATATCCTTGATCAGCACATTTTTTCTGATTTTTTGAGGTATGTCCCGTCAAAAAGTAGGAGCCCCCATAAAAGTACTTTCCTTGTTAGCAGAGAGAAAGGCAAAAGAAGGGGGTGTTTTTTTTTCATAGGTACAATATGTACAGAATGGAAAAATCTTATGTGTTTGAGCTTGCAGATGAAAATGAAATCTCTTTAAAAACACGCATAAACTTTTAATATACCATTAGCTCAAAAAATTCTTCTTTTTGGGGGTTTTTGAAAATTCAAATTTCAAATTTCCCGCCTTTAGTGACATTGTGTTCTCTCTAATGCTATGGCTGTGAATAGCTAAAAAAAAGTACGCCCCATAAAATACTATTCCCAGTGCAAAACAAACGACATGTGCATCGAAAATGTGTGTTTGACACATCCGATTATATTATTTTATCCATTCAGTTTCTTTGCTATTTTCCATTTTAAGATACAGAAACCTTGCATAAAACAGTACAATTAAACATCCGTCAACTTAAAACATTTTCCAGTTTACTTCACCTGTCATTTTTTTATTTTTCCACCTGAATTCTTTGCGAATTTACCAAAGATTACATTTTAAAACGACCAACTTTACTTTTCCACTTGATGGATTCCTCATCGAATCGATCATTCCTGTACATACATGATAAGATCTCCAATTCCGTGATAAATCATCTTTACTTTTATCGAGAAGGAAAATTGATTTTGCATTCAAGTTGGGAAGTGGGCGGAGCTAGACGGTTTTACAAAAATAAAACATTTCGAGAATATTGGAGCAGTATTTCAAAGGGATTATAAATTGAGCAGTTAGGAATTATTTTGACCGATTTCGTTCTTTATTATCCGCGAATTTTGCTGTTACAATTTTATGATCACTTATTAGTAATCACTTTTTTTCAGAAATTTGAAAAGGAACTGTTTGTAAAAATGTCATTCTTCTTTCCAAAAGCTCCCACTGAAATCGTGGATCCAAAAGAGGCCGCTAACACGGATCGGGTAAGGAGCTACAGTTAGTTTAGTACATTGTACTTGATATCTCGACAAAAAAATATTGGTTTTGACTCGAAAATCTTCGCCAGAGATAAATTATGATGGCCTAACATACAATTAAAATCTCAAATTGAATATATTTTTTTTCCCAAATGTTTGTCATCTTTTTGCCTACTTCAATACATAAATCTTTCAATTTCAGCGTGAAGTCTTCTTGGCCTGCATTTTTTTCTCCTGCACCCTATTTATGGCGTTTGTATCGGTGATGATGATCGATGGATTCAACCCCGTTCTGACCGGCTTCACTTTATTCCCAGCCATTTTATTTGCCTCAGCTGCTATTGGAAATAAAATACGAAATTCAACGCTTTATATCCCTGCCCTGCTGATGAGTGTAAGTAGACTTTTTTGGAAATTGTCTCGTATTTTGCCTGAACCCAAGTTTTCCTTTCTTGCACTCCTATTAATTCCCTTTTTAGCTCTTTTTCTTCTCCATTGGCTACTTCTTGATCATCGCTCTAATTGTTGGCGAGATTTGCATCTTATTCCAACCGAAAGAGAAGAGACAATACGAATTCCTTCAGCACGCCGACACGCCCATGTTGGTGGCATTTATGGTGTTGTTGGACATGTCGGTCATCGTTACAGTACACCTGTTTTTGTGGGTATTCAGAGTAATGAAACGGGATTATCATCGAGTTCTGGAGTCGGAATCATTGAAGGAGGAGATCAATTCGGTCGAGAAACAATCTCAGCAAGTCTAGGGCAGTCTTACCATCATTAAGATCATATTACATTGACCAAGGGTTACTGTAACATACGTGTATGTACAACTTTACTACTTTTTGCTGAATTTACTGTGTAAATAATGCCTGTACTCCAACTTGTATTCTAAACTATTTATAATGTTTTCTCCGCCCCCATTTTTTAAGATATTCATCCCAATCACCGTATATTACACTTGATATTAACGTTCCCCTTTAGGTTTATATTTCCAAATCCTTACTCCTGACCTCACACAATTACATTTTACTTGTCTTTATTGTACATACGATATAATAAACCTACTGAGAATTTGACTTTTATACAAACATTGGCACAAGCTGTGTTTGGGAAATCTTATAATTCAGAGAACGCATACTAGTCACGCTTAGTAAGATACTATTACCATCTAAAACTGAAACCTTATAGTCTTAATTTAGGCCAAACTAAACACGAACGAAAAGGTACGCGTTCTGTGAGCTTTCTAAACATATTCCCATCAACTGAGGTCTAATGCAAGATAATTTGAAGATTACTATTCCATCTCTGGTTATACTTCCTGTTCCTTCAAACATTTGGGCTCGGTATGACACCAGACCTTGCCCCGATTGCACTCACACTCGGTGCAGACATCAGGACGCCATCTGGAGCCGTGTTTCTTCCGACTTCCATCAAATTCACATTCAGCTCCGGATTGATCGTCAGAGCCGTATAGATGCCTCGAGCGACGTTTGCGCGACTTCTTCATGGACTCGGTTAACGGGTCTTCTCGGGCTTGGCAAGCTTCATCACAGCAGGACATCCACATTTTGAGTTCAACATCTGGAAGATCTTCACATTTTCCGTAAAATTTGGGGTCCATTCCCATATATTTGAAGACATCTTTCTGAAAGTATTCGTAAATTAGGTAATTTACTTGACAGTAGACAATGGTGACTCTAAAGTTTATAAATATTCCGAAAAAATAAAAATTTTTCTCACCTGAACATGTGTAATATTATCGCCATTATTGCACAACGCCTTGGCCAAAGTGGTTTTTTTGAGTTGCTGAAGCTGCAGTGGTGTGAATATTCCGGGATTTTCGTACCTAAACATCAAAGTCATCATTAAATTGGCCTCTCTTACCAGAATCTGTCTCCATCTCTGATCGCCTTAAAGGTTTCACCGATGATGCAGGCAAAAGTTGGGCCGATTAATGCCCCAGGCACCACCTTCTCGATGATTCCACCAACCCAGAGATCAATATTGCCAGGATGGCCATAGAGTTCTTTGAGTTTCTGAAGGACCATTTCGTCTTTTACATCCACCATCAGGTCTTCCCAGGTCTTGGGGACGGTCAGATTACAGAATTCACGGTATTCCAAGTATCTAGAATTAAAAGAAATTAAGATTGGAGAGTATTTCATTTTTTTTTTTTGAAAATAACAAAATATAAAAAATTGCTTATTTTTGGGGCAAAAAATAAAGAATCAAGTGTAATACAATCCTTAAAACTTTGGGCCAAAAATCCCGTCAAAATAAATCGTAGACCTACCCTCTAAGGCCGTGATCTCTTCCTCTTTGAATGTTAATGGCAGCGAGATCCATGGACACATTCTCCGATCGATAAAACAGTCTTTCCGTCAAGGCATCCGTCAACAATTTTGATGGATTTGGTTGTTTCATTGGGCGGGCGAACAATCCCCGAAGCAAGGGATCAATGCCTCCTTGGGAGATGAGACGTTCTGGGGCAAAGAAGGCGTCAGGCAACTTCAGATCACCTTCTTTTATTGTCTTGAATTCAGAGTCTAGCCTAAAATAATATAAAAATCAACAAAAAATAGTGAAATTACCTTGCAAAAGTTGGGTTAATCAGCGTATGGCCAAATCTGAAGGCGGCAGTCGCGAATTCATTGGTGACCTGGGGGTCCACGGTGGGATCATAGCCCATATACGGCCCGATATAACGCTTGAAACCGTCCTAACGCAAAAAATTAAAGTAAATCTGATTCGTATTTTACAATCAAATTCACCAATGAACTCACCTCTCCCAGCACTTTTGGCAACCAATCATTGTAAGTGATATGCTGAAACATGGCCCCGATAATCTTCCTGGCCTCATGGTAGATCCGCTCTCCATTCCAATCCGGATTCATTTCGAGTAATTCCCCGGCAATTCGATTGTGCTCTCGGAACCAGATCGTGTGCATACTTGTCAGAGCGATCTGAAAAATTATAGTAAAATTTGCCATGAATAATAAATTTTTTCCATGAAGAGTCGGTATATCCATAAATTAATAGCCAAAGAAAGTGTTGAAATACCGTATTTGTCATTTTGAGGTTATTTCGGAGCAAAAATTGGCTTATAACAGAATGCCAAAAATGGCGGGAATCCCGATTTTCAAATGCTAAATGTCCAAAAGCCCCTCTGAAGAGAGTTAGAAAACTATTTCAAGCCTAGAAATATGATTTGCGGTCATTTTCTTTTGAAAATCCACAAAATCTGAACTGTTATGTAATCCATGCCCACCTGCTCATTCGCTCTTCCATCGCCGGCCAAGAAGCATCTGATTGGATTATCCCGTGAGACGTTTCGCCGGCATTCCATTGCAGAGTCCTTCTCAAACGGCATGTATGGCTTCTGGCTTGTGGAAACAATATCAAATCGCAGTAATCCGTGGTCTCCGAACAGATCGCGGAGATCCAAAGCATCCACTTCGGTACTGCCATAAATTCCCGAGGCATCAATGAAACTTGTGATCTAAAGAGAGAATAATTTGATGGAGAGTATTGCTTACAATATTGGTTTGTTCTCTGAAGGTGACTTGTCTGAAGATTGGGGAGGTCTCACCGGATCCACAAATGGCCGCGGATCGCTCAACTTCGATGCAGGGGAACTTTTCCTTTCTGAAAAATACAAATTAGACACTATCCTATTTGAGTTCAACAATAAATATTTAAAATTGTCTAAAAAAAATGATTCAGACAAAAAGAGATGATTTTTAGGAAATTTGGAAGTTTACTCCGCGTTGCGCAAAAAAATCGATAAAAAATTCGTGAAGGTGAAAATTTAGACTATTCCAAACAAGTTATTTAGAATTTGAAGCAAATCCGACTGTCCCGACCGATTTTACCGACCAAAATATATATTGTACTTACTGCCTCCTTGGGTCATCTTCGGGAAGGGGAATATTGAAGCATGGGTCGATATTCTCACAAGTCCGATTGCAAATCGCACCTCCCGAATAAGTCTGTCGAGCTAGCGCCGGCGCTTTGAAGGTGATATCGTGATCTAAAAAGACGTTACATCACTTCATATTATTCATAATGGAGCTTGATGAAAAGTTACAAAAAAATTCCTTATATCCTAATTACTGTCCAAAAAAAAGTCCCCTTACCCAAGAATTGCCCCCATTGCATCAACATTCCAGTGTATAAAGCATGCCGATCCACACTTTCAGCGCGAATGAGATGCTTCGAGACACTTCTCGCGTTCGGTTTTTTGTATCCAAAATACAATTTATTGGGATTCCATCCAATTGGAGTGTTGAATCCGTTCTCATACATTGGCGGCAACAACCTTCGGAAGGGCATTTGACTCACTCCCCAAGTGGGGTGCTCAAAATTATTGCATTGTCCAGTATAAGATCGGTACTTTGAATGGAAACACATGTCATCGCAAGCATCCTTAAACTGCCCATTCATACATCCGGAGAGCTCCATCAAGGTCTGGATGTGAGTTACACTCAGGACCGATTCATACGACACATTTGTGGGGATATCCGTCGGCTTGAAAGCCAGACCTTGCTCCACGTGCTTCTCGATCAGCCTCAACGATTGCTCGTAAATCTCACGCGCTCTCGTCAACTCGACCGGTCGTTTGATGGCGAATGTGAAATGCCGCATCAACTGTTTCGGGTCGTTGATATTCGAACGCAAATCGCTTCGAGTCTTTTGTTCGGCTCTAAAGTTACAAAATTTATATGAAATCTCTGTTTTTAGATCATTTTTGATCGAATAGACAAACACTTACTCTTCAATATTGCTCTTGGCCTCTGAAACAATTGTTTCGAGCAATGCGCGATCAATGTTTTTGTCCACATAATCCAACTGAGACCATTCGATGGTTAATTTGGCAGATGCTGTCATCGATCCCACAGCATTCCCGGCCATACAAGTGTAGGTGCCATGGTCAGCTCGACCAACAGCCGTGATCTTGAGCTCCGATCCATCTGGATTGGTCTGGAAAAGGGAAATTAGGAATGTATCAAGTGTTTCCCTCCAAACTAATATGTAAAGTCTCCCCCGCTTTAAAGTCATCATGTAAATTTGCAAAACAAGTAAGAAACTGCTCTTACATGGCAAGCAATGCATGTAGCTAAAAAAATCATATGCTTGCTTCTCTTTGGAACAACTTTTCTCTTATGAGTCAACTCTTCCCCTCCTTACTTCGTAATGCCCCTTGAACAGTGGAATTTCGCTGCCCTCGAAGGACCAAGTAATAAACGGTTTTGGGTTGCCAGTAGCCTCACAAGTGAACCTCACGGTCTGTCCTGGTCTTGCTTTTTGATTCATGGGACCAGTGTGGATAACAGGGGGACTGGAACTGATGATTCCCACTCTTCCGCGATGACTGACTGAGCCATATTGATTGTAGGCCGTGCATTCATACCTAAAATTATAAGCTTATAGTTTTTGACCCTTAAAAGTAAAATTATGACATAAAATTTATATTATCCTTACTCTCCCACGTCATGTTCCAAAAATGGATAAACGTCGAGAGATTGGCCATTGTTTGTGATCTGATGCTTCCTCGAGGGACTCAATCTCTTCCCATTAAAGGTCCAGAAGACGTTCGCCGGGGTTTCAGGACTCACTTCGCATGACAGTGAGGCCGTGGATCCTTCGCGGAAGCTCCTTTTTTGGAAGGATTGATAAGTAAATCGAGGCTTTCCATATTTACTCCGATTATGATCAGAAAGATGACGGGCTTGTCGAGACACTCCAATCACATAATCCACGGCACATTCGAGTCTATGAAAGTGGAAATCGGGCTGATAAATGGCCAAGGATCCATTTTCAAGGAGTTCAAAGGCTCCGACAGTCGTTATGTCGAGATGATGGCCGCTGAAATGAGGTGAAAATTACAGGAAGTCTCAAAAAAATAGATTACTATTCCAGCAAAATTCATTGTAAGATTATTAAAATTTTGGCATAAAATCATCATGGAAAAAATGTAGATTAGATTAAGGTTCCTCTATACTTACTTGTACAAATAATGCGTTTTAATGGCCTTTTCATTCACATCGCAGTCCACAATAAACCCATTTCCCACCTTTGTCGCCTCCACATCAAAACATTTGAGTTGTTCCTCGTCCAATAACCTCAAAGTCCCGCCTCTTTTATGCGCGGGATTATAACATTTGGCCGGGGAATCTCCCTCAATGTCCTCCTTTTGATGTTTTAGGAATCTGGCGTTGGTCCTGGCACGACAATCACAATTCCACGGATTCTGTGACAAGTGGAGGATCTTTAGGTTCTCACAGTCTCTGAAGATCCTCTCAAAGTCCGCGTATTGGATATAATTATGTCCAATGTGGCACCTCTCGAGTCCAATCAATCCCCGGAACGCGTCTTTGTTTATATGATGGAGTTTATTTCCATGCACATCGATCACTAAAAGGGCTCCGAATTGGTGAGAAGTGAGACGAGGAAGGTTGCGGAGTTGATTGCGGCCAAGGTAGAGACGTTGGAGAGACGGGAGATAGTCGAGAATGTCCTCATCCAGATGGGAAATCTGGTTATTACCCAGTAGTAAAGTCTCGAGTTGATTTAAACCTCGAAGATCCGACCGGCTGAGGCGACGGATCGAGTTGTAACGGAGATCAAGGATCTTTACGTCTCGAGGAAGGCCTGAAACACAAAATAAATAAACTTAAACGCTGCAAGAGGACCTTTTCAATATTATACTTCATACCAGGTGCCCAGATTTTTCAGTTTTCAAATGCGCCTAAAAATTAGTGGAAGCAGGCCCTTTCGGGGTGGGCCCTTTCGGGGTGGGCTTTTCGGGGTCGCCCTTCCGGGGTGAGCCCTTTCGGGGTGGGGCCTTCCGGGGTGGGCCCTTTCGGGGTCAAGGCAAATACTGGGGTTTCCGGGTCCCGGAGCATAAATAATTTTATTTTTTTGAAACTACTGATTAATTTTATGACGTAATCTTGTAAAATTTTTGAAAAAAAATGATAAAACAAACACCGAGATTGAAAATGTTAAAAATGACATTTGATAAAAGTTTCCTTGTATGCATGTTAAAAAGTTAAATTCTTTGAACGCCAGATTCGGCGCAATGCAATCAAGAATTTCTGCAATAAAAATATTGTATCTTTAATTTTGAAAAAATCTCAAAAAATGAATGTGATTTTCGAATTCAGCGCCGTTGACACACCCCACGAGTCGGTTGTTTCCAACTTTTATCAAATGTCATTTTTAACATTTTCAATCTCGGTGTTTGTTTTATCATTTTTTTTTCAAAAATTTTACAAGATTACGTCATAAAATTAATCAGTAGTTTAAAAAAATATAATTATTTCTGCTCCGGGACCCGGGAACCCCAGTATTTGCCTTGACCCCGAAAGGGCCCACCCCGGAAGGCCCCACCCCGAAAGGGCTCACCCCGGAAGGGCGACCCCGAAAAGCCCACCCCGAAAGGGCCCACCCCGAAAGGGCAGTAACCCAAAATTAGTATCTCAAGTCTTAACACAGTCGAATTTTAGATCCAAGACTTCACTTACCACTGGGGAAATAGCCGAGTCCCCTTCGCTGACAGTCCACCTTCTTCAACTCATTGTCACATTCACAATTCTTCGGACAATCAAAAACTCCATGCAGATTGTGGGACAATATGGAGCTTGTCACAGTCACGATTAACGCGGTTATCAGGAGAAATAACCGCAAATTCATCGCTGAAAAAAGAAAGTCATCGAAGAAGGGATCGACGCCGATTAAAAGGTCAAAAATCTCATTTCGGGAACGATTTTAATTGGGGATATCGATGTTTCATTGATGGAAGACATCGATGAGAAAAAACGGGGTAAAATGTAGTGTTAAAATTGAAGGATAGAGAATTTGTGGGATAAAATTATATTACACTAGGAAAAAATGACAAAATTGGAAGAAACTTTGATTTTTATAACTTCAAAAAGCCACAAAATTTAGATATACAATTTTTAGAAGATGCTTACTATATATACTGCATAATAATGAAGCTCCGCCCCAGAAATCTACAGTAATCACCATCGAATTTCCCTCAAATCTCTGCCTTATCCATTTATTTGATGAATTCTTCCAAAAAAACTGTCGCTCAAACTATTTATTTAAGACAAGGCTATTCAACAGCCTGAACGACGGGCCAAGAGTATTAAAACGAAATTATAATTGACACCCCCCGTCAATTACAAAGGGATAACTGAAATCCGATTGTCACTCATAAACTGAATGACGGCAAAAGGGCGAGAATAAGTGTAAGATCTGGAGCGGCGATCAATCTCTGACCTCAACTGACCTTTTCGGACGTCGCTGCTACTTTTTTACTTTTGTTTCCTTTTCACGTAAATTGACCTTTGCGACGTGAAAGTGTCTGGAACTGATGGAAAGAGAAGGTCGTGGGGAGAATAGCGAGGTCAAAGTATGCAATTTATTAGCAAAAAGTCTGTAAAAACATTCTTGATAATCATAAAATCATTGATGAGAAATAAATTTTGACAAAGCAAACAGAGCAGACACAAAGATATTGTTATTTATCGCGGAAGTTAGGTCCCTTTTATAACTCTTTTGAAGGCCGAAAGGCCCTTCCATCTGGCAGTTTCCAAACCCAGAGTAATATCGCGCAACTCAATCTGAGACGAGAGATGGGCCTGGCTGATAAATCGCTTTAATTTTCGGTTTGAAGCAAATTTTGTTTGAAAAAAGTTGATTAAACCAAGATTTTTAAAAATGATTACAATGACTGTCTGAGTACAGTAATCATCACAAAATTAATTTAAACTAAGAATCTAATCTCTCCACTTCATACAAAGACCAAGTGCATTACCATGCTCATTTTCTTCGGCCCTTCCCAGCCCGTTCTTTTTGCCATATTTTACTGAAAAATATTGGAAAAGAAATGTCAAGAAGAACATCATGTTCACAACAGCGTCTATAAAAAACGGTTTTATAGATATCGTAGTGAAAAACAAAGGGACGAACAAGATGGTTGAAGGGTCTTGACCCTCAGGGCATTCGCAAAAGGAGTTGAGTCATTTTCGGGGGAAAATATACGAGAAACGGCTGGTTTTTACGGCGATTTGAAGAAATGATGACCAGAGAAATGAGGCTGAGTTGGGAAATTAAGCATACGATATGAGGAATTTGAGGAAAATCTAAAATACGACGCGTAAATGTTTCAAAAATGAATTTTTTGAAAAAATTTTTATTTTACTCGAACTCTATTAGCCCTCATGGTCAAAAATCCTCAGTTTTACCGCCCAGTCATCTCCGGAAACCCCCAAAAACGCGAAATCTGCCAGTAACAGCCATCAATTTGCACGACCTGCTCAAAAAAAGTGGGTTTCTCACTAAACTTTTGTAGGTTTTAATGTCAGAAACGCCTTCCTGCTTCCAACTCCACCATCGAGAACGTCGGAATGATGGAACGCCGAAAAAGAAAAGGCTAGAGGTGAAGGGAAAAGTGCGAAATAAGGGATACGACGATAATAAGGGAGAAAAAGCGACAAGTAAATAGATCGACGCTGATCCGCGCTGCTAGGAAAAGCATGGCTAAGAATGATCTTTGGTCACATTTAGTGGGATGGTCAGTAAAAATAAGGGGATGGATGTTGATTTAGAGATCAAAAATTGTTTTTGAGAGGGGTGTTGTGGCCAAAACATCTGGCCAAACATATGCATCATTATGTGATGTTACGTTAAGGGAGGTAAAATGGACAAAACGGAGGGATGGACGTTTGTTTTGAGGTCTAAAAATTAATATTTTCCTTTCAACCAAAAAATTTTGTTGGAAGAATTCATAAGCACTGCCAAAAATTCCAAAAAAATTTTCGAAAGCAAAAACTACGTTTCAGAATACAAATTTTTCATTGATCATTGCAAAAAGCCATACGGAAACAGCTGATATAAAAATGCTTTCTCAGGAATTTAGGTGATAAATACAGTAAGCCTGTTGTTTGGGAAACGTTTCATAATCAGTAAAAACTGCAGAGTCAGCAGTAATGTGGCTCGTAAACAGAAGAGTCTGCCAAAAAAGATCAAACAAGAAATTCTGAAAAGTCTGGAACAAACAACCGGCTTCATTTCGCACAATTTTTTGGCGATGACTCAAGAGGGAAGCCGCTTTTCTACCCGCCCTCTCACGCGGCCATAAATTGTAAAACTTTAAAGGGGAAACCGCCCAAATTGGCCATTAATTAATGACTTTCCGAGAAATCGAAAAAAGAAATTAATTAATCGACGATTGGTTTGCAAAGTGGAGAATAAACAATCACAAAAATAGATCTTACTCTTGCTGACTCTTGTTGCGAAAAATAAATTTATATTGCCCTGAGTTTTTGTAAATACGATGTGGAGTTTTGGATTTTGTAAAAGTAAAAAAAAATTTGATGAGATAAAATAAACTCAGCGGACTACTGTTTATTACAAAGACTGTCCAATCAGAAATATTATTTCCTCTCTCCCTCCTCGTCGATCTTCTTGAATGTCCTGGCATATCTCTTTTTTAGGCCATGGATCAAATTGCAGCGTTGTTTTTTGGGCGCCTGAAAATTCAAATATCAAAAAAAATTTTCTTATTGTTAGAGATCTTAGAGACCAGAAAAAAAGTCGCAAATTAAAATTTTTTTTGCACTCTCCCAAAAAATAACGCCCTAAATTACGTGTAATATGAAGCCCCTTACCGTCTCCGGTTTTCTCCGTATGCTTTTCCTCATACTGTTCTGCCTCTCTTTCTTGTTTTTCTTCTTTAATTTCTTGGCTTTCCGGTTATCTTTATGGTTAATTTCCTCTTCCGAGACCTCTGAATATTGGCTGTAAACACTTCGTTTCTGGGGTACTGGTGGTGCCACATCCACAGGTCTCTCTTCATCCTTTTTATCGTCCTTTTGCGGCTGTTCAGAGCTCTTCTGAATTTCATTTTTTACCGTGATTTGGGGTTCAATTGGCTCTTCAATTTTTGGTATTCCCGGTTCCATTTTTTGATTTTCCATGCCGTCAGGGGTTACAGAGTACGCGACTTCAAATTCGTTTTCGTTTTCTTCGGGTGTTACTGTAAGATGACTTCCTTTTTCGGCCTCTTCCGCTCTTTTTCTATCAATTATCTTCCATATTTTAGCCTTAGGGCCCTCATCTTCTTTGCCTCCGGGCATTTTCACAATGATCTCGTCCTCCCCATCAATTGAATTCTGCCTTTTACTCGATCCTTGCAATTCAGATATTCCATAGACATCTCTCAGCTCCAAAACCACCGAATTCTTGTGCGTAATGGGTGTTACAGTAACCGGGTCGATTACTGTAATGTCATTGGGGTCTATTCGACTCGGCCGTGGCTGATCCGAGTCCCGGGATCGGTTGAAACTGGGCTGAAGAGAAATGTGCCGTAAAACTCGCTGGGATTACTGTAGATTACTGTAACGCTTACCTCGCGCGCGATGAAGTCCTCCTTTTGTCGTTTTAGAGCCTTTTGACGGAGATAAACACAGATGGACAAGGTTAGGCTGAAAGAAAATTTAGTTAACATAAGGTTTTTGTAAATTACATTACTAAGAACTCGAATTTTAATTTTGAAATTTTTTGATGACTAAAATAAATAAAGTAACATAACTTACACCAGCAATATCAAGATGAGTGTCAGCAACAGCCTGAAGAAGTGATCCGCCAAGAAGTCGAAGAAAGTGTAAACCAAAGAAATTTTTTTGTCCTAAAACAACAAAACAAATCAATTTGAATAAAATTAATGTAGATTATAATCAATAAGATCTTACAAAAACAAGCTTCAAGTTGCATTTGGAGCTCTTGAACTCGACTTTGACCGTAATCTTCTGATCCTTGGGCTTTTTCCCGGCCAAACAAGACAAAGAAAAGAATCTTTCATCAAATTTGAGTTTAGATCCATCAAAAGAGATGTGAATCTGCGATAGTTTTGGGAGTCTGAATCTGAATATGTCTGGAAAATAAGAGTTTAGTCGTCCGTATGAGATCTTATTTTACCTTCATCATCCATAATTTCGGTTACATTTTCCTGCCCAATATGCAATTTTGCATGATATATCTGACAACCATCATAGATCATTTTAACTCTGAAGAAAACGAAAACGGCGTATAAAAATTGAAACAATTGATAAAGCAGTCTTGTAATTACATACTCGGGAACATTACTTGAATCACAAACCGATCCATTTTCTATGTTTTGAATAAATTTTACGTCATCAAGCTTTGTGGCTGACAATTTTAGGTCAACGGACGGGCAATCACGACTAGTGACGATTCTAAACATATTTTTATTAATCACAAATGGCTCTGTAAGGTAAATTATTTTGGTTCAGAGACTTTTTGGATTTACAGTGTGTCTTTCAATAATTTTTTGACGAAAAAATTGCCAAAAACTGGTCATTCGACGCCTCATGAAGGATAAACGATGGAAAAGCCGTGTTTTACAACTAAAAATTCCACTGAAGTCAAAAAAAAACATTAATTTTTACTATCGTGTCGTTTACTTTTTAAATTCCAAAAGATTGCGACATACTTTGTAAGAATTGCGAAATTCAGACGTGCGTATTTTACATCACTGAACCGAAAAGCCTAATCCAAAGTTTCAGCGAAATTGATTTGACTTTGACAGAACTGCCAGTCCAAACAAGAAGGCAGCTTCTAGCCCATCGTATATTTAAAATAATTGAATTTCTTATCGGTTATCAGCCATTTAGCGATGCAAAATTATGTTGTTTTACTAACTTTTTCGTTGTAAAATACGGTTTTTATTCAGGGTTTTTTATTATGTCAGCAATAAATTACATATTTTTTGTCACTAAAGTAGCTCTGTAATCATATGTGTACCCAAAAACAACCTTTTTTCAATCGATATTCCCCAACTTACAGTGGACTCTCGCTAAAAATACACTTCTCCGCCAGCGATATTCGAATAAATAACAATCCGAGCAAAACTCGCAAAAACATCGGGAAAGGTGTAGAAACGCCAGTGGAATGTAAATGAAAACCCCTGCGGTCTTATCGCGATCCCTGTCCGTAAAACATAAAGACCCAATTTGGAATAAATTATCTTGGCCAGGACATTTTATGGGCCCCGATCGAGTCCTCCTTTTTTTATTTAACGGTTTTGAGAATGGAAACAGAACACACGCCCATCAAAGCACTGTGGGGGTGTAATGAGGTATAATCAATGTAATTTTGCGTTCGGAATCGACGAAAGGAATTATCAGATCAACATGTGACGTGAGTAAAAAGAAGTGTAATTCTATGAATATTTTGGAATACTCTGCAGAAAAACGAATTTGCACATCTCTGGCAGAGCTTTGGAAGTCATCGCGACTGTGAACGTCCCGTCTCCCGACTGGATCAGGATCAGGGAAAATCTCAGCGAACACTTGGCCCAAAAGGGAACAGTTGACTCATCTTGTCAAGTTTTCATCAAAATTCTGGAAGGTTGTAGCTCTTTGTTGCATCGAAGTAGTCGTTGTGCAGTGTTCTGCGTATAACTTTATTCCCATCTAATCCACCTAGTGTCTTCATCTTTATACTCACCATGGGAACTCGAGGATCCATGTTTAGCGCTTCAATGGTAAAATCTTGCGTAGTTTTGATGCAAGAAAGTGTAATCAAGTGTCTTATTCAATTCTGCCTTCTTTATTTTATACTTTCTCTTGTTTCAGCCGACCCGCTCTTCTCTGAAGGTCACCAACACCCTTCAAGAAAGGGTTCGTCGATGCACAACCATTGATGGAATCCTCAACGTGCTCAACGTTCGCCACCAAGGTGGTGAAGAGTCGACGGAGGCCTTGAAGATGCTTACACCCAGGGAATTCTTCCACTTGACCGTGATGGATCTCCGAGAGCTCGAGTTTTCAGATCAGGACATCGACAAGATTATGAAGGCAACTACGGATACCTCACAGAAGGTAAGATTTTATATGTTGTGTTATGATTGTTAGGTCTCTATTGAGATTAAAATTTTTTTTTCTCTGTTCGGCTGAAATTGGGCATTTGATATCAGGTGCAATATAATTATGTTTTGTCCAGAAATTGCGATGTTTTGATTGGAAGGTTTATGCAACAGAGACGTTGAATACTACGTATCATTTTGTAATTCCTAACGTCTGCTTTGTTTTTCACAACGTGGCACTTCTACCTAAAACAATATAAAAACTGAAGTTGCTCTCGTTTTCTGTTAATATGGTTGTTGCCTACATGATTGTGTTTCAGCCGAAGCTGGCTGTTTATCCTCAACGACGTCTCAGTTTCGCGGATTCGCTGACCGTACATCAGATCTCTCCCAATGCCTCTTCCAATTCCTTTTCCTCCTCCAGTTTCAGCAACAGTACCGCTAGCTTTGAGAGTAGCCGGCCCAGTATGATGGCTGGAACTCCGATTAGAAGGAATTCAAAGGAGGACAAGTTGGTGAGTCTTCTTTTTTGATTTTTGTGATATTCAATATCATGAAAACAATTATTTTTGCATTTTTAGCCCGAAAATTCGACTCCAAAGGCCACAATCCAGAATCTTATCAAATTTTTCAACAATCCGGACTCCAAGCCCTGCTATCCAACGAATCCGCCAATCAAAGCGCGTCCCAAATTCCGTTCCGAGTCCTTTTCTCACACTCATTATGGTGGCGCTGGCTGGAAAGATGATGACGATTCTTCTTGATCCAATTTACATTCCATATCATTTCATAGCTTCGTATTTAGACTATTTCGTAACCTCATTTGTCTGTGTCATAAATGTATAAGATTTTTTATCAGTTTATATTACGCTTCACATCGAACGCGAAAACATTTATTCGACAACAAGGAGGTTAAAAGCGACAAAATAATAAGTTAATTTACAGTTAAAATAACAGACCGGCGGTTAGTTTGTGGAAGAGAAATGTAAGGCAACATTAACATTGGCGATAAAAAAAGACCCGCAAAATACAGTAACCCATACATGAGTGACCAGAATGAAACCAAAATGTCATTGATATTTACAATAGACTACAGTAATTAATGCTAATTAAGTATAGATTGGTTACCATGAAAAAGATATGAGACGAATACCCTCGGAAGCGCAGGTTATGCTTTTTCGTAGGCTTTATCATTATTATTATCAGTTTTTACAGTTCCATTTGAGTTTGTGACCGGTGGGAGGGGAGCTGTTTCTTCACAATTGGATTTGGGCTCGCGGAAGGCCTTCTGGAACATGGATAAAATAAAAAATATGATGAAAAGTTGCACTGTGCAAGTAAAGTTTCGTTTCGCACAGTGCGTCGCCAAAAATTCAACCTACCAAATCCGCATCGCATGGAACTCTCGACAAAAAGTCCAGGAGTTCATTGTTTTCCACATAATGAGGTTTCCGAAGTCTCTTCGTGAACTTGTTCAAGCCTAAAGCAATATTTCTTCCCGTTAAAATTACTCACCCCAAATCATAACAAGCCATCGCAACGGGATAAAATACAGTAATACAGTTGCTACTGACAGCACAAATATGGCGAGATATGAGAGATATGGGACTGTGAAGTTGAACGTGCTAAAATTGTAATTTAATCAGTTACAGTAATCCCACTTACTTTCTGATTCTTTCCAGTAGCGACGCGACAAAATCCATGGAATTCTGGACAACCGCCAGGGTATCTGTGATCTGGTTGATTCGACCTCTCAGTGTTTGACTTTTTTCACCCTAAAAATTACAAACTTTTTATTACTCTTGAGCTATGCACAGCATTCCGAATTATTTTTGCCGCCGACCGGAGTCCGAAAAAATGAAAAAATGAGATTTGCCTCTTACATTTTTGCCAATATCTCGCTAGCCTCGAAGTGTAACGCGAATCTGAAAATTGCGTTAACAAGCTGACACATTTGCCCTTCAGAATATATTAATTTTGTAATGATACTTATTATGTACGACAAGGAAACCATTGCTGAAAAATGGCAAATTTCAACATTCAATGCCAGAAAAATGTACTTTCTAAGTGCCAGATCACAAAGTTATGGGCTTCATTGTATACAGCATCTTGAACACTATAAGATATAACAATTTCAGGCATTTTCTGGCCCGATTCGCAGAGTTATAGCCGAAAAACTGCAATTTTGGCCTTCTTATTGAGCTATCTGCACTTTAAAAGTACATGCAAAAAAACATTTCTATGATTTTTGTTGCCCAGCTTGTGATGGACCACTGTGCAAAATCTTAGCTTTCCAGGACTCCTCCGAAGAAAGTTATAACGGTTACAATATGTGACCCTTGTATGCCCAATATTTTGTAAAATACGGTAAACTACGGTGCAAGATGGCTTTGTATGATGGAATTCCTATTTTTGCCGCTGCGTTGGTCGGAGTTTAAAAATTTTACCGTAAATACACGCTCAACCACATTAAAAAATTTCCCAGCTATGCCCCAACTTTTCACTCTTTTCGCTTTAGTATAGCGAAAACTTGAAATCGTGTCTCTTGTGCGGAAAACTCTGTGAGGCAGTGTTTAGGTTTCGAGTAAGTTTACATAGGTCATATAGAGCTATTTTTTACCATGGTTTGCTGTAATTTACAGAATATTGGGCATACAAGGGTCACATATTGTAACCGTTATAACTTTTTTCGGAGGAGTCCTGGAAAGCTGAGATTTTGCACAGTAGTCCATCACAACCTAGGCAACAAAAATCATAGAAATGTTTTTTTTGTATCTACTTTTAAAGTGCAGATAGCTCAATAAGAAGGCCAAAATTGCAGTTTTTCGGTTATAACTCTGCGAATCGGGCCAGAAAATGCTTGAAATTGTTTTATCTTATAGTATTCAAGATGCTGTATACAATGAAGCCCATAACTTTGTGATCTGGCACTTAGAAAGTACATTTTTCTGGCATTGAATGTTGAAATTTGCCATTTTTCAGCAATGGTTTCCTTGTCGTACATAATAAGTATCATTACAAAATTAATATATTCTGAAGGGCAAATGTGTCAGCTTGTAAACGCAATTTTCAGATTCGCGTTACACTTCGAGGCTAGCGAGATATTGGCAAAAATGTAAGAGGCAAATCTCATTTTTTCATTTTTTCGGACGCCGGTCGGCGGCAAAAATAATTCGGAATGCTGTGCTATGGAAAATCGACTTAAAAATTAGGTTACAAACATGCAACTTCACGTCAAAAAAAAGCCAAAACAAACTAAAATACAAAGTAGCCCACCTGTTCTTTCGGTTTGTCCTTGTCTCTCGAGTTGGATCGCTAAAATCACATCACAAAACAATAAAAATACCAAGGGGTCACAAAATATATAAAACAATATAAAAAAATAATAATTTCAATCTCCACACTAATAAAAACACTTTAGAAGACCTCGTATTTTAAAATACCAATCTCACTACCACATCAAATCACACTAAGGTATCAAAAATCTTACCGAAGGGCCATCCAAATTGTCATCCGACTCCTCGTCAACATTATCCGCCAAATTGGCAGCGCTGATCTCTGTGTCCGTGGATCGTTGACGAAAGAATCGGTTTTCAAAGGACCCGCCGACCTTCTTATACAGATGGCATCGAGCAAAGATTCCAAGAAGCAGGAGAGGGATATGATAGATTTCGACGAAATAGACAAACAGCATGAAAATCTAAAAAAAAACAAATATCGTTTAAAATAAATTAAACTTTGTCCAAAAATACCCTCAGCTATTAGAAGGAGCTTTTTCACACTCATAAAAACCCATAAGGCGCAATAAATAGACCAAAAAAAATCAATCATAATCTATTTGTGTCCACTACAATATAAAAATCTCCAAACTCTGAACTCACCGTCATGGCAGTTAAACTTCTCTGCGTGCTCTCCCAATCCAAACAACTCTGCATATACGCACGGTATTCCCCGACAGTCCTCCAGAATTCCCTGAGCCTATTTACATTCTGCACTAGTGTCGCCCTTTTGAATTTGGGCTCCTGAGCGATGAATTTCCTCTCTCTTGGGTTGAAAGTTCTTATCGCGGCTTTCACAGGGTTCCAAATTACGTCCATCTCCAGTAGAATTCTCCCTTTCACTTGAGTTTGAAGCTTTCGATCTTTCAGGCAATACCATCTCCGCTCACAATTTCGGATCTTCAGCAAAGGAATTGCAACTTTTCCAAGGAATTCCACTTTGTTATTAGGGTCTTCGTCATAGACAGTCACTTCCAGGACTTCATGGATGTCCTTGACCGAACTGAAAAGTAAAAATTATATTATCCATGTCATCAGTCATATTATATTTGATAACCCCTTACAATGTGAACAACTTCTGCCAATTGGGGTGCAACGTTTTGTACTCCGTATGGGTTTGAAGCCGGGCATTGACCAGTTCGAGGACACAAAAGGGATCCGACTTTCCACCGAGATCAGCACTTGCCAAACCTTCGGCTTTATACACTAAAGCAATATCCTTAATCGCGCTTTCACCATTCAACTTACCTTTGACGACAAGATGGCCAATATCGACCACATCTTTGAAAGAATTCGAGATGGACTAAAACAAAAAATTAAACCTTGTTCTGATCACCAATGTATAAAAGTATTTCTTTTCCATTATCAGATTACAAAAACCGCCTACATATTTACTGAGGATGTTATTCCGCTCGATGGCCATGCTCTCTCTCATAGTTTCGGCCTGATAACAGGAGTTTTTTGATATTGTAATCACCAATAATATCTCGCCAGCTCCGTTTTCCAAGTCGAACCATCGTTCGGTCGAGAGGTTCTGGGGATAACTCTTGAGGTCAACGGAAAGTCTAAACAGTAATTTTTAAAAATCCGGTTTCTTTTTCACAAACTAGCAACAAAACGCAAAAAACGACAAAATTTTAATTTGATAATCAAAAAACCCTAAAAAAGAGCTAAAAAATACAAACCCGACGCTTACTTTCCAACAGTCTTGTTATTATCCCTCAGCATGATGTCCAGAACCTGATTGTTGGCGTCAAAAACATGGAGATCAAAGGATTCCATCCATTTTGGTTCAAAAGTTTTGGTGGCCACTTTGCTTTTCACCTTCTCTGAGCCCAATTTTATTTTGGCTTGGACATCCGGAGGCGTGATAGGACATATCTTGAGTGGTTTCTCATCATCCTTCGCCTGGCCATTTACTTGAGAGGCCGAGATCTTGGCCTTGTCCAATCTGGCCTCAATTAAGATTAAATTGACGGCGGAAATCCACATCGACGCTGTTTTTGTATTTCTTTTTACATTTTCATTGATAACACCACGAGTTGCTCTTTGGAGAAACTAAAAAACAAAATTTTATGTCCACTTTTATATTACACTAGACCCCCTATCCAAAATCTCAAATTTCTTACAACTTCTCGTTGTTTTTGTGTCAATGGCGTCAAATTCACAGAGACGTTGATGAATCCCAAATAATCGTCGCTGTTATCCCTTGGTTCAAGGATTAATTTGTGTTCAGAATCTCTAAATCCCAAAAATCTCATAGATAATACGAAAAACTCACTGAAATAGTTTCAACAATGCCAATTCAACCTTTGCCCCTCCCATGAAATCATCGGACATAAACCGGTCGTAATCATAAACTTCAAATTCGACTGGTCGAGTGGGATCATCAATGAGGAAAGCGAATTCCTCGTCCCATTGGGGGTTTAGATTTTTATAGATCGTATTGGTCTTGTAAATGTTCCTTCCATTGTATTTTACTCTCACATAAGGGTCAGAGGAGCCTGAGGCGTCACGAATGACAAGCCCATGACCTTCTCGGATCCGGATTTTGAGGCGAAATGTGACAAAATCTCCTTCGGCGTCCTCTTCCTGAAAGGATAATATAAATAAAAAAAATCAAACAAACACATTGATTTTCTAGACACTACATGTAATTCAAACCACATTTTGAGTATTTCAGAGACCATTTCACTTTACCTCCTCTTCAACTTTATGCTTTTCCGTGAAGATGACGTCACCCTCAGCAGTCAGCAAAGGCGGCTGATCTCCGGGATGGCGGCGGAGACGACGGAGCATTAATCAACCAATCAAACACTCAGCAACACAAACCGAGCTCTATCATCCCTAGACTACTTTCCGAGTCAAAAGTATTTCCATCTAGTGGACTGTCAGCTCAAATCTCACCGTTACAGTACTCTCTTAACAGTAAAAAACGAATAGTAAAAGGGAAAAACAGTTGAAATTACTATGGACTCGGCTCGAATATGATTATTTCCAGGAGCAAAACAAATAAGAATATTTGCATTTGATCATGCGGAAAGCGGGGCAATCGTTTTAGAGGGGATTTGGGGTGTTTTTTCAATTCAAATATATAATACTAGGCAAGCAGAAAGACCAATATTTTCGATTACATACAAAACACCCAATCTGTACTGTAATTTTTTGAGAATTTTTTGACTTATTACCTATGACCTAGTACAACAAAAGTACGTCAGAGATAACAAAAGCATATTTTTTAGTTAAAACCCCGTTTTTTTCAAAAATCTACAATATTTCGGTCCTTTTGTGAAGACCGTTGAATATTTCTATCGAGGAGTCTGCAAATACCCAAAAAATGAAGAATGCCCTTCTATTGTTCCACCAAAAAACGTAAAACCCAATTTTAATTTCAAATTTCAGACTGCCAACACATTATAATGAGTAAACAAGTCAGCTAGAAACGGAACTACCCCAGGGGCATTTATAGCCTCTTGACTGTCAGAAAAACGACCAAAAAAGCGGAGAAGAATAATAAAAACAGCTGAAACCCCAAAACTTCTACAGCAAAATTAACACATTCCAAACACATATACACTTAACTAAAAACAAAACTAAAAAATTAACCCAAACATTACTTCTGCAGTTTCCAGGTGAATTTTGCTGACAGTTAATAAAACATTTTCATGATTAACGTGCTACTTTTATGCTTACTTCTAAATTATATACAAAATTCTACATTGTGTATCCCTGCGCCCATCACACTTGCATCTTCTACTCACACCTCCAATACCTAATAATCCAGTGTTCCAATTTTATTATTTCTGGTCCAAAACAATATCTCCCTTACCATAGTGTGGATGGCGTTCTTAATACAACTCAGAGCACTTGATTTTGTCGCTGTAACCGACATCAAATTATTCTCGTCTTCGTTGAGACTTTTCTGAAAATATTTGGATATAAAACTGTCTAAATAAACTCGAATTACTTACCGTTTTTGAAAACAATTTCCTTTTACTTTGGACATTACTTGGCTTCGGAGGTAACTGGAGACTTTTCTTTCGTCGTTCGCGTATCTGTTTCAGAGGGTCTCGACTCCTACAAAAGAAACTTTTTTTTGTTAAAAACGCCCCAAAGAGCAGTCCAAACTCCATGAGAGCCTCAATACATACTAGTCCCGATCTTCCCCATCATCTTTAGGAACCCTATCTATTAAAATTCCATCCAGATCCACCTCTCATACCTGCTTCTTCTCCTTCTGGTGCAACAACTAAACATAACATAAAAGACTGTCCGAATAGAAATACAATCTTTCCTCTCTCGGTCATATAGAATCCCTTCGAGGCCCGTATTATTATAATCGAGAAGCCCTGAGGTTTTTTTGAGGCCATAAAGATTCGATTTATTGAAAATAAAATACTTTTATGCTAATTATCTCTTATTCACCCCCTCATTATTCCATCGCGTTTCATTTTGACTCTTGGACATGACTCAAGCCAGTTATTTTTGGACACAAAACGATCTTTTAACATATTTTATATTATCCATGGGGATGAAGTAGGAAAAATCGGAAATAATTTCAATGTTTGAAGATCAACAGACTCAAAAACTCTCCAAAATAACAAACCTGATATTGTTGGCCAGATTGGTGAAGAATCCGACCTTCGGCTTCGACCCTTTCCTCTTGGAATCCTTTTCAATTTCTGCGAAACACATCTCATCCACGGATTCCGCGGCTTTGATTCGGAGCTTTCTTTTGTTTTTCTTGTAACTTCTCGATCTCTTTGATCGTCTGACAAACTGTTTCCTCACACTCGGGGTTTTAAACCTGAAATTATGCCATCTTTTATATTACACTAGGCAAATCCTCCATTGGTTTAAGAAAAGGTTCTCTTACTCTGATAATCTCTCCGAATCCACTGAATAATATTGATTTGGAGGTGGGGACCATTCTTCTTCGGCGGAATATTCGGATTCAAACGAGGCCGAACGGTCGGCCGACGCGGAATAACGATTTCTTGGGCTCTCTTGTGTCTGATCGACGGCCAGAGAATTATTTCGACTTGATTGGGTGCGGTCCAATGATAAGAAGGACCGATGAGGGCTTAGTCTTGATCTGCTCGACTCATTCTGCTCATCTAGCCATAAAATCGCGGTATCTACACTAGATTGTGTCCGGTCTAGAGCTGTTTTTGCGGAGGATTGGGTCGAGTTTAGAGACGGATATGTGATGTCGGATGGCTGAGTAGAGCTGAGACTGAGGTCGTGAACTAAAGTACAAGATTATTTTAGAATAGAAAAAAAGAACTTCGCCGAAAATTATAACTTTAAAATTATATTATTCATGTCTTCATAGCTACCAAAACAGTTTTTTGCAAACACTTTAAAGCCCTCTTCAAATTCTCGTAATACAAAGGTAAGAGAACCAAGATACAAAATCCATTTTAGATAACAAAATCCTTAAGAACATCCAAAAATAAATTCAAATTTCGTTAAAAATCTCAAAAATCCCCTCCAAATTTGTTACAAATCCCCTAAAGCAGTTCCCCGACCTTTCCTGACGTTTAAAAAATATTTTCACAGCAAATTCAGCAGTCTTCTCTCCATTTCTGCATCATTCTTGACTCACAAGCCCTCAGGGCAAACAAAAATTGCTGTTCGGGAGGACTCCAATTTGAGAATTAGATCGGGTAAGGCCAGATTTTATGGGTTTGAGGCATATGAAAAGCATTAATATCTGAATTAGCAGATGAAACCGATGAATTTCATGGGTGGGTTGTGTACTATAACAAAACAAAAAGAGAGTAATTAACATGGTTGAAGAAGAAACCTTTATGGGTAAAATACGGCACTAAAAAAGACTCTATTATACTTCTGCGGGGCTAGGTTCGGATTACAAGTTCCTATTCACAAATATTTGTTTATTACGTCACATTTTTTGAGCTAAACCTTACGGAAGACCTACCATAATATAAATTTGACGCATCAAAACAAAACAAATTACGTCTCAGTTATACCAATTATGCTCTCACACCTCCTATAATGGTCTATGGTATACTTCCACCATTACACATACATTTTCATCAAAGTATATTACAGTATATTACCCACCTTCTTTCGGCGCACTTTTACACCTCGACCGGTCGATCACATTGCTCATTTCGTTGGTCATAACAGGCATACTCCCTCTAGACAATGGATGATAAGTACCGGAACGTCTGTCGAACACAGACTGGGCACCGAAAGGGATTTCATCCTCGAAGTAGACCGAATCCTCCACAAATTGGTCGGAGTCACTCGAGTTGTGCGAGATCAAACTTTTGTTTTGCAATTTGTGACGTTTAACGGATCCACTGAAACGGAAAATATTACAATTTTTTCAAGAAAAAGAGCTCAAGTTGGAGAAAAAGTCAATTTACATAACACATATAACAAGGAAAGTACTTTTATGGGGGCTCCTACTTTTTGACGGGACATATCTCAAAAAATCAGAAAAAATGCGCTGATCAAGGATATATAAATCTTAGCTGCCCATTTTAGGTTTTTAAGGGTGAAAATGCCCAAAAACTGGTTTAATTTCCCTACAAAAGGCAGACATTCGAAACGATAAAAAGAGCACTCGATCTCTTCCTTCGGAAGAGAGCGGTGTGGCCGAGTGGTTAGTGCCGTAGTCTGGGAATCAAGAGGGGGGACGCCGCACAGGTTCGATTTCCCTTTTGGGCTGAATCAACTTTTTTGAAGTTGAAGGTCGGAAAAATAAATTTTTGGGCCAAGACTGTCTTATTACGTCTTAGAAACTCAATAAACACCATTTTAAGCCAAAATAAAAATTGTAAACCTTTGAAAAAATTAAGCGAAAAGGGGTTCATATAGGACTTTAAGTCAACTTCCGACTCAGTTTTCACCCCTAAAAACCTAAAATGGGCAGCTAAGATCTATATATTCTTGATCAGCACATTTTTTCTGATTTTTTGAGATATGTCCCGTCAAAAAGTAGGAGCCCCCATAAAAGTACTTTCCTTGTAAAAAGAATTTCCCGAACACCCACTGTGGCCCCAATTATCTTCGAATTGAAATATAAAAGCAAAATCCGGGCATGTTCTTTCACGGTTTTGCAGATTCACACCAATCCAGACAAATTTTACTTTACGTTTACCTAAAACAATAAAAAAAAGTTAGAATTACCTCTTCTCTTCAAAAATACTGCTGTCGTTGTCATCGAACTGGACGGAATGGAGTGTAGGAAGTACGGAATGACATCTGAACACCTCTGAAATGATTTCCGTCTCTCTTTGATTCAAATCAACCGGCTCCTTTTCCTTTTCTCTGGCCCTTTTGATCAGATTGAACAGCACTGAGATTTTAGATCGTTTTTGGTGCGGTTTATAGGTCATACTGACATCAGAAGGCATCTCTGACTCAAAAAGGAATTGATATGAGTCGACATGGGAACCATCTTCCAAATGAGACAGTTTCGGCCATCGCTGCATCTCTTTATCTTACACTTGATGGATAGGAAAAAAGGGACTGGAAATGTAGTCAACAGAAGACAAAGACTTCCTCAAGATGAGTTAGATTGCAGGTCAGGACATTCTGAAGGCGTTGGTGGTAAGAACTTTAGGCAATAATTTGAGTTTCGCGAGATTTAAAAAAAAAAGAAGTTATCATATACAATATGACAAGCTAAATTTTATGGCTCGGCAACAAGCATCATGAAAAAACAATCCAACTACCAGCGTTAGTCCGTATTTCATGTGAATTCACACCTTTTCCAAGTGTAGCGTCGCAAATTTTAGAAAATGTTGCTTCAGACAGAATGCCAAAAATTGCCAAAATCTCGGAAATTCCTGACTTTGAATTTGGTTTTAGCCGGTATCACCAAAATAAGCCAAAAATTAACAAACAGGACTTTTAACGGCATAGTAAGAATTTTTTGACATAATATTGCGCTTTCATTCCCAAAAAGAAAGGTTACGTAAGACATAACATGTACTATTAGATTCCGGCTTCCTTTATATTACTATATAAAGTGCCCGTAGCATTGCGGAACGGATATTTTGTTATTCTAAACGAATAAAACGCCCTTTTTATATTACTTTATCCTTACTCTTTTTTTGCGAAGAAAATAAAAATAAAAGTTGCGTAAAATTTCAAATTCCGTCTAAAAATTACATAAGACTTTGCAAAATGCGTAGACCCGAAAGTGCAGCGTCAATCTAAACTGAATTTTTCATTTCGAACCTCCATCGGCTTGTCGCGCGGCAGTCAAAAGGTAAAGTCGATCACACAGAAAATCATGGACATGGTGAGTGGAGGGTTACTGTAGGTTTTCATAATTGTGGTGATAGTAAGACGATGGTATTCAGAGTATCTGGGAACATGAGGGAAACTTTTTATTTTTGGTTTCTGGCAGATAGTATAATTACTAAGATGATTTAGGGATTTTTAAGCTATAAGTAAATTAAAATTGCTGTCTAAATGCCTTGAATTGAAACTTTCAGCCCCGCCGTGTTCCTCTTTCCGACGTGAAGCCTAAAAAGAATCGGTTATCCTCCACTTTGAATGGTCGGATCACCAAAGATAAGCACAAGAAAAAGAAGGAAGAGCTTCAGCTAGCTCAGTAAGTTTTCACAGTATTTCTTGTAAACTCAGGATGTCCTAAAATACGAGTTGTTATGAAAAAGATTTGGTTTTACGAACAATATAATTTTTGTCCAAAAAATGCCAAAACTGATATAAAATGAATTATAAAGTGTCATTAATTAGAATTATTGACTTCAGAAGTATCATGGCTTCCGCTCAGATCGAGCCCGCCCACTCCACCGTCTCTTGTCACAACGCCAGCCACGTCTCCGGCCGATTGGTTCGTTGCGAGACTTGTAATGCCTGGTATCGGGGATAACCAGTCCCCTCGAAATAAACTACTAATTACTCTCGTTCGATTTTTGATGACATTATTTTTTCTGTTCAATCTGATATCAAATGTGATATAATTGATGTAAATTTTGATGCTCCTACCTCCAAAATGGCTGATTTTCCGTCGAATCAGTCCTGGTGTAGATCTTGTGCTGACATTGGCCGACCCAGAAATGGATGCTGAGGACTTTATGGAGTCCTCTCTCTCGTCGTCACTCTCCTCTCCCGAAAATCTCATCTTTTTGCCTCTATTCATCTGAGGCATCGAGGATTTCCGTCGACGGAACTGTTGGAAGATCCGTTTTCGAAGAGGGGTCGATCTGGGGGCACTAAGGGAGCTCGACCGACCAATCGAGTCCGTCTCCATCTAAAACGAGGCAAAATTTGATGATTTTAGTCAAGTATAACATTAAATTTGTTGCAAGAATCGCATAAAAAACGAGAAAACCAATCCTGAAGCAGAGTAGGACTTTAAATATTGATCTTGAACATTTTTCAGTAAAAAATTATTAATGGCCGGAGGGTAAATAATTCATAAGAGATCTGTTAGAGTATTAACCGGGACAAAGCCATGCCATTATTATGCTGTTATTCTTTTGAGGAATGGGGTTTGGTGCCGGGAAGGCCATTTTCTTGCAAAATGAAGCTGCACTCGACATCAACAACGGCTTCATTTTTCTATGGGTAACATCAGATATAAAGGATAATATAAAAAATAAAAAAAAAAACAAAAAAATGTTACAAAAAAAACTAGTCATACTGCCTCAGACTTTGCAATTTAGAGTAACAGAAAAATTTAAAAAAATGGTAATAATAGTAATAACAAGTTGGAAAAAGTATACATCGTACGACCTGTCGGTTGTTCTCATGTAAGATGTAGACACGTTCCCTGTCGATTTTGCATTCTCCACAAGTTCTTTTGTTTCCCTCTTTTTTCACGGTTATGACTTCGAAAAGGCGAGGTTTGGCCCCTGGAAGACATCCCAAAAGTCCCATTTTTCTTCTCTAAACTCATCTAGACGATGCGGAACGACGAACATCTTCTTTTATTAGTCGCGCCATGAAGTATCGACACATTTGTCGCGGATGTCGCACGTGAAAATTGGAGAGAGATCGGGCGAAAGTGTATGTCGCTAATGCAAAGATGGGGAGTCGCAAAAAGAACGCACTGTGAAAAAGTGTCGGGACTTTATTTATGCGACTAGTACTACTTATATTCGTAACAAATAATGTCGTATAATTGCCGAAATTACATGAAATTTTAGGTTTTTGTCATTCCAAGAATCATCATTTTTGAAACTTACCCCGATAAAATTTTTTAATTGATAATAACGGTAATTAGAATGTCAAAAAGAAAGCTAAAAAAACCTCCTCAACGTGCAAAGAACGCAAAAACAAAGAAAAGTTTGTTTTTTTGTGATAATATTTGCTCAAGGAAAACGGGGGGCGCCTTGTTCGCGGCCTTGTTTTAGCCTCAAAATAATAACATTTATTCTTTGGTCGTAATGAAATCCCGGAAGAGATATGAATATCAGAGCTCTATAAACTTTTTTTCGGTAAAATACGCCTTCAGAAATCTTCAAAATTAAAATAAAACATTTTTCAAAATTTTAAAAAATGCGTTTTATTTACACTGTTTTAAGCTTGCTTACATTAGAACGTTCACGACAAAACACAAGGCCAAAAATGGCGGGAATTTTAAATTTCAAATTATCCCCAGGGCAATTGGCCAGACTTTCCAGACAAAAAAGGCCATCCATCTCAGATCTTTGTATATAAACCCCATTTGACATCAAAAAACCCCTCGAATTCCATCTTTTTTCCATCTTATTTTCCCTCAGGCTAATCCACTTTTAAATGTAACATGTTGTTGATGTAGTGGCCCCTTACATATTGGACCTGACAGAATGATAAGTGTGGAGCAAAATATGGGAAGAAAGAAAGGAGAGGCATGACAGAATTGACTTCATATAACACAATATAAAAATGGGATTTTATGACTTCAGATGGCATCATAAGGCCATAAATAACATTTTCACCACAGATTGAGACAAATTAATCGGACCCGGGTCAATGTTGAAACCAAAACTGGTCTGTTCTCCCTTAAACAATATCCGAAACGGAACCGCTCAAATTACCGCCAAAAGGCGACAAACGTTTTTTGGAATTTAAATGCTCTGAGGGCAGAACGGCCAAGCCCTTTCTTGCCTATTTTCGCCTTTCAATTTTTTGCCTTCTTTTTTAAGTAATGGATATCCAAAAAGGCGCTCTAATTATCTAATTATCTCTGGAACTGCCTTAGGCAAGTTACTATGGACGTTAAGCGTTCCAAGAATACTAAAGGAGCTTATTGGGAAGGGCGAAAATGGTTTTGAGAATTGTCATGGACATGGTTAGGGGAAGGGAGAAATTTTTTTGAAAGGGAGTAAAAATGGTCTTCCTCTGAAATTGCAAATCATAAAAAAATACATAAAGAAATTGCCGATGGAAACATTGCACACCTTTTGAAATTCCTGCAAATTCCTAAACTTCACAGAGCACTCCCTTTTTTTCTTACGAGCCCCTTAGGGCAACGAGAACGTTGGAAGTTTGGCGACAGCAAAGAGTTTACTGTTATCGCAAATATGGGTGCAGTAGATAAATTTATTTTAAAGATAATGTTCCTGAATTGCATCCTTGTTAAAACGGGAAAGGAAAAAACTAAAATATCGTATTTCATGATTCAAATAAGACATCAGTCTGTCAGAAAAATAATGAGCACCGCATCCAAAATTCTACAGCCGCAAAGAAAATGGATAAAACCGCCTAAAGCCATAATTTGCCCTTAGGGGAAAATGGCCAACATGGGGCAAATAATATATTTTTTATGAAGAACCGAAAATTTAATTAGCAAGCAGGTTAAATATGACAAAGAATATATTCTATATGTTTTAAAATTTGGTATTTTACCCAAAAATACGGCATTTTTGTTTAAAATTTCAAAAAATCCCAAAACTTTCCCTAAAACAATATTATGGTTGAATTAAAGTCTAAAGGCATGAAACACCCAAGACAGCTGCCCTCAGGGGTTTTTCTTTTGAGGAAAAATTAAAACGCTTGTTAAACGCCTCAGGGCACCGAGGAGAGGCCGAAGAATGGAATAATAAGAAACAAAATATTCGATTTCACGTAAACAACACATGCCAGAGAGACTAATAATGTTGCCAAGGGAATTGACAACAATGTCACAGATCTTGAATAGTCTGATGACTTTTAACTTCAAAAAATAACGTCAAAACAAGTTTTTTTTGACTCAAAAAGTCGAAAAATGGAACGGATTGGGAATCATCAGGCGTGAGTCCACTTAATTTCTCTAAATTCTTATCAAAATAGATTTGTGCCCTCGGGATACGTCAAGGAAGGCCCATTCCTCCCACTCACACCCTCTGAACTTGCAGCTGATATCAAAAAAAGTATAAAATTAAGTGAAAAACATACGGGAACACTCTTTCTTCCCACTTCTCAGGCTTTATAATCTCTATTCAGCCTCAATTTTACGGATCCCTCCGGGATTAATGGGTCTAAAAAGTTTCTGTCCAGAAAGTTCAATGTAACTACTTTTTGTGCATTTTTTGGCGAAAAAGGACGTGAAAATCAAAATTAATTAATTTTAAAAACTTTCAGTTACTTTTTAAAGGCAAAACGGAATTTTACAATAGCACAATGCGCTGTATTTTTTGGTTTAGAGATCTAAAAACGTTTCTTCCCATGCCGGGAATCGAACCCGGGCCGCGTGGGTGAAAGCCACGAATCCTAACCACTAGACCACATGGGAGACGTTAACCGTGCCCCCTTATTGCCTTTTCTCCCTTCCCCTTTTGAAAAGTAACCATTATTTGTATAAAACAATGCAATACTGGCTTGTAAAATGTTTTTTTATTAAGGAAACCAACATGCATGTATATGAATAATATCCGTTTTTTAAGACTTAAAGCACTCAGCGCTTAGGCTGTGAAAAACGATCCAAATGAAAACAACAATATATATGACATGATCCGATCTTGGTTAAACTGGGAAGAAAGATAGATGGCAAAAGAAGAGGGAGATGGCCTAGTTCTTTAACCGGCCCGAGATCTTTTCAATGAGACTGAAAATGGCCGGCAACATGACCAGGGAGTGGACGATGGTCAGCACGATGCACAGGAACATGATCTTCACGAAAACCTGCAAAAAGTTGAATCTGATTTTGAAACATAAGACTAATACAATATGAGGAGAAAGATTGTTACCTGAGCCATGTATAGAGGTACGAAAAGAAGGGAGAGCACCACCAAATTCGTGGAGAAACTGGCTTGGATTGCGGGGAATCCCACTGATGACAAGGTTAATATAAGACGCTCTTTCACCGACAAGTTGGGGTCTTCAAATCCTGAAATATTTGTTTATAAGTTTTCTAAATCTTCAAGATTCATCAAGATCATTAGTTTGTCCAAAAAATAACGTCATCATGACAGATTATCAGGCATTAGAAAAATATCTACACGAAAAGTACCCGTTGGGTCATCAAATTTTTGCAAAATTTTGTCGAGACAATAAATTTTGTGTATGCGGAAATTTAATCCATCCTTTACCTGCACTATGATAATGATACGAAACATGAGCCGGGATATCGACACTGAACCCAATCGAGATGACCATCGCAGCCATCATAATCGGATCCATGGTTACTCCCTCCCAGCACAATGTGCCCAACATTCCAGTCATGATGGAGGCAATCACTCCACTGGCCACCAACACCGAGTACGTATCGTACATGAAGACGAAACAAACAAAAGCCATACAACAGAGAGTGGCCAAGGCGGATTGCCAAGCGTCGGTAGGCATGTTGTCGATGAGGTCCAGGAAGATACCTTCATCTTGGTAAGAAGTGGCGTTGAATTGAGGGTACCTGTCGGTGACCGCTCGCCAACGACCGAGAAGACGAGAGCGCTCACTCCACGACTTGAGATGATCTCCTTGATAGGCGGTAGTGAAGAAGAAGCTTTCAAGGATCGTGTGATTACTGAAAAAATAATTTAGAAACCCCATTTTTTGCAACAATTTGCGCTTACTTTTCCTCCCTCAACTTCAAAAATCCCTTCCACCAATCGTATTCCGGCCATTCCAAGAAGGTCTTGAAGTCATCCGCATTGAATTTGGTTCTGTTTCCACTGAACACCATCTGCTCTCCTTCCCCTTCCTCCTCTTGATCCGATTGCTCCTCGAAAGCCAGGAAATCGGGTAAGAAAAGACTGGTTGATTCTGGGCCCCAACTCTCCGGGAATGATTCCAATTCATGGACCAGATGATAGAGTTGTTTCACTCGCTCGGGATCTCCCAAATCTCCAGGATGATTGATAAAAACAGTGATTACTGTGTAATAGGGAACGATCTGCTCTTCTCTGCGATGATCGATCGCCAGAAGAGGGGAATCCGAGGCGAACATCTTCTTCGTTGTCAGGTTTACTTCGAATTGGGTCAGCCACTGAAAACTTGGCCGTAAAGACGAGGAGAGTTACGAACTTTGGTCGTTTGATTTTGAATTTCATGAGGATAAAATGATTTTTTATGTAAGTATTGCACTCCACACCAGAGCTTTTGCCTACACTTTCATTTTGAAAATCTTATTTTTTTATTTTTAAAAATAATATAATTTTTAAATCTTTCGATGTTTTATAAAAATTTCGAACTAAAAATCCCGATATTTTTTTGAAATTTCAATCCGTTATAGATAATATCCAATTTCCATTCGATTCCAAGAACCGTATTTAAATATTTTGCCTTCAGATCACAACTTACATAAACCGAATGGATCAAAAATAAAGTCCAGAAAATGCAAACGATGACAGCGACAATTGTATTCGTGATAACATCCACGTAAGTAATCACAAACTTGTTGAAATTCTTCTTCACTTTCTGATGGAACTTTCCACTTGGCTGAAATTTGAATATTTTTATATTATCCATGACATTTTTAATGTTTCCTTCAAAATTTGTATTCTGTCTTTCCCAATTACACCCTCGCTCTCGACTTTCTCGACGTTTCTCAAAAGTTTTGTTGTTTTCAATCACTGGTTACAACGTGATCTGACGTCAGCAAACTTGTCGAATTCGTTATTTATTCTTACGGGTCTCGAGTTGATCTTTCTTTTTCAGTTTTCCGGTGTCGGAGTTTGAGACCCTGTCTTCATAACTGTACCGTGATAATAGTCTTGCAGTCATTATACTCTCAAATTTTTAAAAAATACCAAAAAAAAATATTTGAAATTTTTGCAAAAAAATCCAAAAAAAATCTATGAAAGCCATTAAAAAGTAGTGCAATTACAATTTCAGACATTACCAAGTAGCATACCTGCTTCGACTTAGTCGAGGGTACCATTTGCATCGGGTTTTTGACAGATTCCGCAGCTCCGATCGGGATGGATAACTTAAATCTCATCCTCTGCTCACTCCTCATTTCAAAGTTCCCAACAATCGCCATTACACTTGTATAGAATGTAATCTGATACAAGAAGTCCACAAAGATTGATGCCATATTCCCCGCACACAGCAACGTGACCTCGGGCGACCCAGTGAAAGATCCGACGGCATCAGCGAGGATGTTGGTCAACGCCGAAATCAAGATCGCTGGGCCCGTATCGATCAAAACTAGGGACAATCGATGAGCCACACTGTCTTCTGGAGTCGGGTTCTCTCGCATTTGCTTGGATACACGTTGCCAGGCATGGATCATAAGATAGGCGTCATCCACTCCAATGGCCAGCACCAAGAAAGGGGTCACCAAAAGAATTGATCCGTATCGAATACCCGCAAAGAACATGAGGCCAAGGGCTGTGCCACTGGCCATAAAAGGGCATACACAAGCCATTATGGCCAAAGCTATCTGAAGACACAAGCCGCGTAACAATTTATAACATCTTTCTATATTATCCATGAGGTCAGATGTCGGGCGTCAATAAAAGTTTGAAAAATTAATGTTACCTTGTAAATGCTGACTTGTTGAAAGTAGACAGCCGATAGTAATACTGTCGTTGAAGATACGATGCACATAATTGTAAACCCAATGAGTAAAAATGGCAACATTGTCAACCCAGCTCGCACAATCTCGGCTTCAACGTAGGTTGTACTGATGGTCATCACATGCAAATTTTTGCTCTTATAGACCCTAAATGACAAATAGAATCGCCAGTAAGTAGTCTTACATCTCAAAGTAGTCAGAAACAGCAGTTTCGTACTCCTTTAATTCATCGTCCGTCCATCCCCCTTCCCGCTCCGATTTATAAATCAAAGCAGCCATTTCTGCGTACTCAAGGTTCGTAAAATCATTGGGAGAAGTCTCGTTCTTGAAGTGAACACCGTAAATGCTCTGCTGGATATTGATTTTCTGTCCGTAGACATCTATCTTTGGGTAATTTAAACGAATTCGGTCATTCAGGGGCTCTTTTCTCGCAATGGCTGAGGTTTGGAGCTTTAGGCCATTCTAAAAAAGGAAACCAGTTGTAAAATACAATCACCAAGTCTTCTTATAATAAGTTAATAAGACCACAACTCACATAAAAATTGCGGAGCGGTTCGTTTAATTTGCAGAAATTACTGCAAAATTCATCAAAATTCTCGGTTTTGTTGGTAAAATGATTGAGAATTGTAAAGTTTGTCCTCACAAAGTCATCAATCTAAAAATAAACAATCCACTGAGCACTGCTCACCTCCACCAGCTCTTTTAAGTACTCTGGTTTGAGAATATTATCGCCTTTTTTGGGTTCTGCCAGTACCATTATGGCCACTCCAATTCCATTTTGATCGAAAAATTCATTTCGGATATCCCGTTCGATCAGCGATCTGGCCCCATACGGAGTGTATCCAGTAATGTCATTCCGCTGCCTGCAAAAGGACCAATTTAAAACTTCAACTTTTTGAATAAAAATTTTCCCGCCAAATTTTGGCATTCTGCAACAATCCTTCAAAATGGCCTAAAAATCCGAATCTTGTAGTTCTAGAGTAATTTAAATGGCCCAGCACTCACTTTGACAGTAAAATTTTGACTGTGCAGATCAGCGTGATCAACGTGCAGACAGTAATAACCTTGTAAGTGTTGTTAACAATGAAGAAGGCCCATCGTTTGTACACTGAATGTACCGCTTTGATAAGTCGAGTCTCGCTTCCAGCTGATGAGGCGCCCACGGAGGCGTCTTCTGATGCCGTATCGACCGGTTTCTCGACCGAAAGTCGACTGGCCATGACCCAATTGAGATCTTACTCTCTGCCGCTAAAAATCAGTTGCAATAATTTTTAACTATTAATTGTACAAATTTTCGCGTAAGATAACGTCCAGCCAAGTTTACAGCAATTTTACCGTCAAAAATGTCTAAAATACGGCGTTTTCCCGCATTTTGTAAAACTTTTGACACCGTCCCATCGTTTTGCCCTAAACCCGCAAAAAGTCGATAAGAACGCGCAAAACGGTTTTCTTATCACTTCGGAACCCCATCACGTTTAATGTTACACCTCCAGCGGCGAGAGTAGAGGTATACATCAAGGTTATTACGTCAATGAAATGGAAATATTCCATCGACGAACACAAGTCAGAGAGGGTGAGAAATGGGGGTGGAGGGCTTGCAAACGATTACCGAAAGTATTAATTTGGAGTTTTCGGAAAAAAATTAAATAAATGCTGGATGTCATAGTAGTATCTATGAAGAAATAGGGCCAATATCACAAAATTTTATCATGGATAATATAATTTGATGTCAAAAATTTGACCGAAACCGTGAATTGAATAACTTAAAAGCAATGGTAAGAAAGCCGAATCAACAAAGAAGGTATTTTTTGTACTTTGTACCTACATAACACCAGGAATTTCTTCAGTTTACCTTCTTGAACCCTTTCGTTCAAAGATCAGGCCTCTCCTCAAATAAAATCTCATCAATTTCCGGTTGACCCGCAATTTTCGTAACCCCCAGACACTACTCATTACTCGTAACCCCGCAAAGTAATAAATATTTTACAGCACACAGTAAAAGCTTTCGTTTTCCCGAACCCTCACTTAAAACAATATAAGAACTTATAACAATATAAACATGGAAAACGAAAGGAAGATTTAACGCCTAAGGGCAAGAAAATCGCGGCTGAGGTTGGAGGGAGGGTCGCGTTAACCGGTAGTCGTGACATTAAACGTAGACAGTTTTTCGTCACTTAAAGCCTGGGGCAATTCTTTTTTTTCGAAGGGGGAGTGACTCCTTGATTTCGCTGGATGTAATTAGAGTTGTAAGGAGAGGAAAAAGAACGGATTAAAAATTTAATTGGGAATAAGGCTAAAATACGTCGATTGTTGGCGTTTTCTATTTGGATAACAGAAGGAAGGATACGATATTAATCATCATATTTTAGAGGGGAAAATAAGTTAGAATGGCTGTGAAGTGCGAGAAACTCTCCATAAACACTGATAAATAAAGTCATCATGAACTCTTATTATAAGTAGGCGTGGCCAAGAAATGCTTTGCCAAAAGTCAGCAAAATCTTTCGTAAAAATCTTAAAACTATAATGGCTAACATCAAAAAATTGATTTCTCAAGACTGCTCAGATAAAAAACAGACCGCAAGCAGTAAATACAAATTACTAAATTTAGGATTGTCAGTTTTCGCAGGGTCCAATTTCCTATTCGAATTCTGAATCGAATAATTCGACCGAAAGTGCAAAATTCCAATTTTTGGGAAAATCGTCATTTGGGAGCAATTTTTGGCCCGGGGTTCGGTTGCTTGATTGCTTTCCGGAATCTCTGGAAATTTGAAATTTCCATGTTTTTTCAATTGCAAACATTTTGAAAAAATGGGAAAAATGTGCCATGAATGGCGTATAACTGCGATAAGTCCCTAAAATACCAGGAGAGGGGTATTCTATCCTTAAAACTTGCTACTAAGCCGTTTCAAGCATGGACTTTTTTTGCGGCTCACAGTGCATTCTTCCACTTTTTTCACTGTGAAATGCTTGTCACGCTCGCAAAATTCGTGGCGACGAAGTTGAAGAACCTTGCACCGCGGCGATTTTTGAATTTCACAGTGCAAAAGATCAAAAACTGCACAGTGCGGAAAGCTTGCGACAAAAAGTCAACGCACTTTTGAAACGGCGTAGTACTATATAGTATTTCCGCAAAAGTTAAAAAAGTATAGAACTAACAAAAGAATTGCTATTTGGACTATGGACGTGTGAAGAATTTAACAGAGTTTTGCAACTTGAAGGATTGCCCGGAGATTTCCGAAAAACAACCATCTCAGAATCTTTTGATACTTTTTATATCTGTTGTACTAGGATAGCTGAACATCAGCACAAATTTTTCGTTATGAGAAGCTTCAATCTGTAAAAAACTTTTTAAAAGTTACTGAGCGTCGCACTTGGAACCGAAAAAATCCTCCTTTTCGGCAAATATCGTTATTGAAAATGTCAGAAAACCTCCAGGAGATAACGTTCGTAGCCTCAGGTGTATTTAATTTCATGTATTTTGACTTGTATTTAGAATTTTTTCTCAACCGCGATAATCGCCCGACCGACCTCCTTCCAAAATATTTTTTGTCGACAATGACGATTTTCCCAAAAATTGGAATTTTGCACTTTCGGTCGAATTATTCGATTCAGAATTCGAATAGGAAATTGGACCCAGGTCTAAAAATAAGCTCACCTAAAAGCATGCGTAAGAGAAAGGGTAACCCTAAGGAAACAGGCCCTTGCTTGTTGATTTAACTTACCCAGATTCCCCAACGCCGCCAAAAAAAAGTTTGTTCCTTCAAAAAGTCACCGGCTAGACTAGCCGTTCCCTTGTTTTACCACCTTCTTCGTCTACTTGTTGCAAAAAACAAAACAAACTTATTTCAGCGATCATAAGGTCCGAATTACAATGAGAAACAAAAGCAGGGATGGAAGAACGGATTCAGAAGGCTGCATTAATTCTAATTCGACTCCGGAGATCCGAACAGGTCAGTTTTAATTTGAAAAACGCGACCATCCGCGACCCACAACTGAAAAAAAGTGAAAACGGCTCGAGAAAGGAGAAGAAATGATATAAAAATGTGTAATTGAAGGCAGGAACCCATATTCTGATAGCTTTCAACCAGTTTACTACTTCCCTTTTCGAGATCGATGGTTTTTGAATGGGCGGAAGGGCGCGAACTGCCGGAAAATCAAAGTTCAAAGCTTGGGGACCAGATGGGTCATGGATCATATAAAATTTTACGCCTGCTGCTTACGATAATCCACGCTTTAATATCTTATATGATTTGTGGGGTCAACTTTCCAATTATGACATTCTTTATTGCCAAAAATCATCTTATAACGGAAATGCCAAAAATGGCGGGAAATTCTAAAATTTGGACTATTAGTCTCTCCAATGGCATAAAACAAAGTATAGGCACAATTAAACAATAATAGATTTATTTTATTGCATTTAAAATCACCTAAAATTACTTTTTATGCCCTTAAAATCATAGATGACATTAACTTTGACCCCAAATAAAACTCGAACGACTGCTTCCAAAATATGTTTTGATAGTCAATAAACATACCACTGTAAATTTCCCGTTCACATTTGCCACCTCTATTTTAAACTTTTCCCTTTGGTGCTCTCTTGATTTCCTTTTTTTTCTCTAAAGATCTCTCTTTTCCTGCGCTCCCTCGGCGAAAAATGAAAAGTTTTGTCTGGAAAAATGTGTGAAACTACCAACGTGATCTGAGTGACGGAGTCAATTAATCGCCGCGAGGGATTTGATTTATTGCATAGTTGCGCAATCCAAAGGAATTTGAAAAAAAAACTGCTGAAGATTACAACGAAAGTAAAAGTGCGAAAAAAGTGACGTCATCAGAATCCTGAAGAAGATTGGAGCTGGACATTGAAGGATCGGGCCTGAACTTTCTTTCCTGACATTCCTTTTCACTCAATTTCTTACTTTTAAGAGGGCAAAAGAGAAACAAACTCCGAAAGTTGTCTGAAACCAGAAGGTGGACGAATTTGGGGATTCCTATGTTTTGTGTTTTGTAACAACAGCTGATCGTTGTTAGTAACGCTGTTTACAATATTGGAAACAGTTATTATTGGGGATTTGATTGATTAATGGTGAAGGCAAGGAAAAGGAGCCGGAAAACGAAAAAAAAACAAGCACAGAGAAGGTAAAGTAATTACAGTCACGTCCAAAAGAAGTGGTAGTTAGCGAGTTTGAAGACCGTTTAAATTTAAATTTTCCATTTTCTGCGGAACCCTGAAAATTACTGTATGCATTTTTTATCACTTTTTTCGAAGGAAAGTTATATTATCCATGACGAATTTTACACTTTTTTCCAAATTGGCTCAATTCTGATCAAAACAGACCATAGAACTTTTACAATTCCAGCAAAGAACACAAACAGACCAAGAAGTTTCCAATCTGACCCACAAAACTCAAGTTGAACACCGATTTGCTCCAAAATTGCCTCCTCCACTTGATGTTTATGTTTTGAGAAGACCCTTCACTCAAATATAAGTAATCGTTATGAGTTTTGCTCTGTAAATTCCTTAAAAGTAAACTGTTTACAGCAGCGATTTCCGGACTTTTTTTTTGATGGGTTTCGTAGGCTAAAATAATGTGAAAAAAGAAAAAATTCGAATAACATAAGAAAGTGATGGCTGGTAGAAGCCTTAAATGGAATTTTAACTCACAAAGTTTTTGTTTGAATCAAAGTCGTATCGAGTTTTGACAAGAATTTTCCAAAATTACATAACTTGAGTCCAAAATTCCAAATTCTTCGTTGGAAACGTCAGTTCATCAATGTTTCCATCGATGCAACATCCGTCAACTCAATTCCCTCACCTTTTACTTTCCGATTCATCAACTTTCCTCCCCAAAACTAACGAATTTAAAGTTTTATCCATCAATTTCAAGTCTTTAATAACGAAAACCCTAGAATCACGCGATGAAACTTGTAGCCAGCCTTTAAGTCCACCCTCGAAAAGTGACGTCACCGTTTCCCAAATACTTTAATTGTTGTGACTACTGCACAAAGACATGCTTCAATGACCAGAACGGGTCTAAGGTCGTTGTCTTTGGTCGATTTGATATCCGATTTGATGAATATTGGGGTCAAATTACAATTAATTCGGATCAAATTGTAACCAGTAATTTGGTTAGTAAGCAATTGTAAATTTGGAAGTAGTTACCAAGTAAGGGCAAAGGTAGGATGGTCTTAAAACGTTACGAATTGCTTGTGAACCCCCAATTTACATGATTCAGCGAGCTGAGAAAAGGGTCTGCTCTGTGTTGTCGCTGTAAAAAGTCGGCGGAAAAATATTAGGGGAAGGTAAAGTAAACTACAAGTATTCGACCGAGGGTAATAAAATTTACTGAGAAGTAGCGTCAATGGTAGATCACAGACAAAAATGATGTTTGACATCAGCAAAAAGTAGATTGTTTGAAACCGCGGCAAACTATTTACAGCTGCTGGTCTGATCTTTCTCAAATTTTGCACGTATGATCTATCTTGGCTACAAATCAGTTTCTACAAGTCTTAGCTCGTACTTTGCAGGGAGATTGTGATATTCAGGGATCTGCAAGCGGGACTACCCTTTGGGTCTGAAAACCTTTGTGGTCTTGGCAAAAAGCAAGAAAAAAATCTTGCAACATTGTGTATATAATATTGCACCCTTACTATACATCAAATCTCATCAAAATATGTGCGTCTCACAGCGAGCACATCCCCGTCAAATTTGGAATCAAAAAAATAATAATCAAGTCCGAAAATTCACGCCAGAAAATAGTAATCTTATTACTCATCAGGTCTGAATTCAAAAAAATTTAATTTGGAAAAAAACGAAACCCGTTTAAGAACTTTTTTTACAATAAATAGACTAAAAAGTAGCGAGAATCAAAAACGGCGACCGGAAAACGCTTCTCGAGGGTTTCGAACGCCTCAGGGCAAATATTCCAAGCAGCACTTGACATACCACAACTCCTTAATTTTTGAAGTAAAAAATTTTTTTTGATCCGATGAAAGTGAAAAAGGAGGGAAAGCGTCGATTACGCAACGCGATCGTCGCGGATGGAGTCAAACCTTGTTAAAATAATGATCATTTGGTCAACAAAAGAGGGTAGCTGGAGTAGTTGTTACCGGAGAACACGAAGGAAGGTCACTTTTCATCGCTGGAGTTGCAAAATGAAAAAAAAGAGCTTTGCAAAAGAAGTCTTAAACAAAAATGGGCACAATTCAAAGGACCTTGAAGATGGATCGCTTCGAAAAAGAGACCGGATGTGGGAATTGAGAAGAGAAGGGTGTTAATAAGTACGGAGAACATGCAAGAAGCAGTGAACGAGGAAGTCCGTTTTGAAGGTAATCATGGTCTAAGGAACTTGAACGTCTCCGGAAACGACAAATGCTAAACCTTTTGATGAGATGTGATGTCATCAAATTGTAAAAATTCGGCAAATCGCATTCCTCTGTAAAGTTTATTATTATAATTCACAAATAGAACTGATTATGAAGCCAAATTTATCATATTTAATACAGCATCCAACACTACGCGTATTCTGGGAGTATTAATAACTTTTAATAAAAGGAATGCCATCAGATGAATTCCCCTTCATCTTAACCTCGTCTGAAGCCTCGAATCGCTGAAACTCGGGTCTGGCAGAGTGATTGTGTACTGATTGATTTCGTATTTCCCCACAACATAGACCTCGATCGTATCATCGTTACAATCCAAAACCAGCTGTTCGTACGCACTTTCGAGCACTTCTTGAGTTCCATAGACATCTTTGTTGTTGTCAAAATTAAGACGCAATCGCCAAGTCAGATCTCTCTCTTCTCCCATATGGCCATATTGGACAACAGCTGTGTAGATGGGATTCGAGCAGAACTTCACTTTACGGAGGTCAAAGTCGACTGTGAATCTACAAAGATATTACAGGGTGTACCAAATTCGTGGCCCGATTTGAATTGGCTATAACTTCTTTAATTTTGGGCCAAATTTTAAAATTCTTTTTTTCCCTGAATCCTCAGACAACCCCATTTTGTCTGATACCAAATATGTTATACATAGGTAAGTGTCATCTACAGTTATTGCATTTATTCTTGAAATTCATTTTTTTGGTCGTTTTTCGGTTGTTTTTTCGGCCTTTCCCGGTGTGTCCGAAAATGGAGTACGGTGTGGAAGAAAAAGCTTGGTCTGTGGTTTGGTATGGCAAGTACGGTTCGCCGATAAATGTTCAAAGGGAATACAGGATGAAATACGGACGTAAGGCCCAACCCAGATCGCAAGACATTTCGGCGTTGGTGGAATAAGTTCCTTGAGACTGGCAGTGTTAGCAGGAAACAAAAAAAGCAGGAAAGATGGGTACGAACGTAGCTGAAAATGGAAGAAGTTTTGTCAAAATTCCGAGAAAATCCGCATATGAGTACACGAAGTTTGGCCAGAACCGAGGGAATGCCTTCACCAAGGACCATTCGACGAACTCTGGGGGTTGATATTCACTTTTTGTGCTTATTCTCATCGTCGATTTTCAGGAGGGGAAATTCCACCGTATTTTTCTTCCGCACCGTACTCCATTTTCGGACACACCGGGAAAGGCCGAAAAAACAACCGAAAAACGACCAAAAAAATGAATTTCAAGAATAAATGCAATAACTGTAGATGACACTTACCTATGTATAACATATTTGGTATCAGACAAAATGGGGTTGTCTGAGGATTCAGGGAAAAAAAGAATTTTAAAATTTGGCCCAAAATTAAAGAAGTTATAGCCAATTCAAATCGGGCACCGAATTTGGTACACCCTGTATATTGAGCTTGATGATGAGTTATGGGATAAGTATTGCATAATAGATTAAAACTTACCTGGTCTTTTTGCAATCTGTGGATCTCAATGAGTAATCTCCAGTGGGCGATCGGAGATATTCACACATCCGGAACTCTTGGCCACTTCGAACTGAAACAGCATAGAATAGAGTCAACGTGCTTTGAAGACGCTTTCTAGTAGAACCTAATTTTCAAACAAACTTTTAGCTTGCAGAATTATCAAAAAATTAAGTCAGCAAAACTGACTTTAGTATTTTTGGATAAAAAAGAGCACAGAAAAGTGCCAACACCGAAGTCATTTTTCAGAGCATCTTCTTTGAAAACTTCCGTGGGTATTTTGGCAAGTCCTGCACAGCACCAAAAAATTTTTTGAAAATTGATATGTGGCTTGCAAAAAAATTCAAAGCAAAACTACCCAATCCCAGCATGACTCCTTCCTGTTTACCTACCCAATTCATTCATTTCCTGGACATTATCCATGGGGAAAAAGAAGCCGGCCGACGCGAAATCTCTTGGCAATCGATTTTCCTCGATCTTGTAGATTCTGAAAAATTATCGACGCTGTTACTCTTCAACTCGTTCTCCTCACCGTCCATCATTCAAATCGAGCCAAGCATGTCTTTGATTTATAAAGATTAGCACCAATTTATGGTCGTCATAAAGGCTCTGCCAGTTGGAACTAAAGTCATAATGAGATGCGGAAGTGTGAATTGTCCTTTCTGGAAGGGGTTTATTGTAAAATACGTGTAACAAAAGGTAGGTTTTTGCAGCACTTCTTACCTCTCTCCCCATTCCAACAATCAGTCCGATGGACATGACCATGTTTGGAGGTGGAGCAACAGAAAACATCTGGAGTAAACCGCTGACAATCTTGGTAGACATCCGTAATATTACTGCTGAGGTATCTAAAGACTAACACAGTGAGAAAGAAAGTGGGCAGCTCACGTATAGCCATCCATGTAATTCTGAATGCTCAGGGTTTCCGAGGAAAGTTCATGGTCTTGAGGATGGTACATGGACAAGATCAAAGAGTCCGTATTTTCGTCAAAGGAGAGTTTCTGCCTGAAAGCGACGCATATTACTTTCTAAAGACAAGTTTAGGTAATATTATTATTTTTTGGAAAGAGGCTATTGAAAAGATGATAACATGGCTGCACAATCATGTAAAGCAACGGGAGACGTATTTTACAACGCAAAATGCACTGCTTTCTTAAAGCCCATATTCTTTGGCCATCAAAGTTAATTAATTACTGCATTATTGGACTAAGAAAATTTATTCGGCCTTATGAATAGCCAACGAGGCTTAGAAGACGTATTTTAAGATTTGAAAGAAAGAAAATTTATATTACTTTAGACATCAAAGTCATCATTAATGTCAAGTGTAATATAATTGTTTGACCCAAATGCTCTCTAAACTTACCCATGTTCTTTAAACTCCCCGAGTAATTTCCATTTCACAGTTAACGGCAGAGCTCCTTCAATGGACTCGGTCTCATGCTCATAGCCTTCAGCAGATTCACTCATTATGAACAGCACAAGACCAGCGATTAATACGATGGCAAGAGCGATCAAAGTGATGATCAGATTTCTTTTATTCAAATACTGTGTGAATCTATGGATACCTAAGCAGAAAATTTAAAAAATTTTGCGCTTAATTTTACCTGGAGGGCGAATTCGATTATTTGAGCGCCGATCTGGCTGTGGCTGATTTGGGGCGTCATTAAGGAGGGCTGAGGTCTGGATGTGATGGGATCTAAAGTCAGTTAGCGTATTTTATTTTTTGGAGCAACGGTCAGAACTTGTAATGCCATAGAATTGCAAAATTTTGACTTTTTTTGGACAAAAATGTGATGAGATCCAAAAAAAATTTTTCTAATATGGGATCATGTTATTATATAAGATGCAAGGAATAGAGTTTTAAACCGTTTTGCACTTCGTAGAAAAGTGTCTATTTTCGACATTAAGAAAGTAATTTTTATATTATCCATGACTAAAGCTTATGCAAAAATCTACATTTGAAAAAAAAACTAAACTTACGTGTATGGCGGTGGATCCTCGCTGGGTGGAGGTGGGATCTTAGGAGGATCTCTTGGCCTGGGAGGGGGCGACTGGACCTCGGAAACTCCAGCTTCCTCCTCAGAAGTCGTTGACATCCCTAAACTTGGAGTCTGATATGATTAAAATTCGTAAAGAAATCAAGTTAATCGATCAAAAAGTAATTCCATTTTCAGCCTTGGGCTTTTTTTGAAATGCCCGTTAGAAAAACAAAACTTAGAGAACTTGCGATACTTTCTGATACTATAGACACCCATTTTACTAAAGATGCAACTTGTTACAATACGATTTAATAAAATTAATTAAGACCCCATTAAGTCGTTTTTAACAGCTTCTTAATCGTTTTGCAACGCTAGATTCGAAACTTAGTAATAGTTTCTTGTAACGTTGTAAACTTTTCGCCTTTTTTCTTTCTCAAGTTTACAAAATTTATTAAAATATTTCGCAATTCTCGTAACCCCCAACAAAATGTTTGAAAAACGGAAAATTAACGAAATTTTGTGCGGTTTTTAGTTTTATTCGAGAGCTCTCTCTCCAACTTGCTCGAGGTCGAACGGTCTTACAAAAAAAAGAATCGCCAAATCCAAGGTTAATGGTGATATAAAAAGATGGATAATAAAATAATTACGGGGCAATTTTAAATGTAAATATTAAACTAGGCTACAAGTAATGCAGAAGCGTCAAAAATGCCTGAGGCATTATCTATTTCGGAGTGGAAAAAGAGAATAAAAGGTGCGCCGAGGGATGAGTCATCCAAGGTATTTATTTACATAAGGGAAGGTTTTCCATGGACAAGCTGACCATTATACGCAAACAAAAAGAACCGATAAGCCGCAATAATTGCTACTGGATAAAGGACAAAGCTGTAGAAAGAATTTGAGTAAAGTTGAAGCACGTTCAAAATCTAAAGTTCTGAATTTTGGAGATTGAAAAACTGGAATTATGGATTGAAAAAGCTTTTAGGCATTTCTCTTGTCGCTGAAATTGGAAGAACAGACGATTGACAGCCCCAGAAGTCGGCCTCATTTGTTTTACACCACATCTTCAAGCCCTCATGTCACTAAAATTGTGTTGTACATTCATGTATAACTCATGATAACGGTGGTTACGACATGACTCTGCAAACAGGACACCGAATGACACTACTGCGATTACATTTTGATTACTTCATAAATCATCAGTAGCGGGATAACCGTGTCGAAAAGGTCATACGGGACCATGAAATTACATATAATTTAATGGAAGCCAAGTTGGGAAGACGTTTTAACTATCAAATCTTGGAAGAGGATTACTATTCATTTATTTAGTGTTATTTTGTAGCTTTTAAAATGCACCAGTAAATGTTTTATAGATCGAATTAAAAAAATGTTTTGTTTTGAGACTCTACTGAAGCTCCAGTCGGCCTCACTTACAACACTTCTCCCCCAATTTCTCCCTCAACTTTTTCGTTCCTTCGAATTAACCGCCATTTACTGTTGATTGCCCGCATCTTCGGCATGCCATCTTCTGTCGGTTTGATCGCCGAACGTCGCTTACTCGGCTTCTCTTCCCCTTCTTTCATCCCAAGTTTGGATGCGAAGGGAATCTGAAGATCCCGGATTTCCCTTTCATGCCGTCGCTGATCCCTCTCCATCCCCGATTCGGGTCAGTTTTATTAAATTTTTCTTTACTTTTCCCTTTCGTTCGCGAGATTTAATTTCTAAGGTTGTTTTTGTAATTGAAACCTCGGGGATTTATAGTGTTTTAGATGGGTCAGAAGAGTAAACATGGATTGGTTTTAAACTTAGGTTTCATTTTAAAAAAATTTATCGTCAAACTGTGAATCTGAATTGTCAGCATTTCCAAGATTTTTTCTCCCAAATATTCTAAGCTCCGTCTTTTTTCTATACTACTTACAGCTTATGAAATTATTAGATAAACTCCTTTTTTTGTCCCATTTTAGTGTCAAATATTTTTATTTTATGTAAACGTGATATTTCTTGTCAAAAAAACATCACATAATTAATTATATTTTTGAGTTTCACCGAGCTTCATCAAAATATGCATATTCTGCAACCCTTGCCAATGAGTTGTCATCATTTGTTGAGATGACCACAATATCATAATTTTAGCTTTTTAATGCAGCTTTTTGCTTGCTCTGTAAAATACGGAGTTCGATTTTTCGGTTTCTGTCAAAGATACCTTTTCAAAATAATTTTCGGTTATTTATTTCACTTAAATCCTCCCTCCTACTTTCAGCTATGACAGAAAAGTACAAATTTGACAAGAATGATCCCTTCTATTTGTGTGCCCCAATGTGTGGCCTCATTCATTATCGGCATGCCGCGATCATCGCGGGTCTTGGAGAAATCGGAACTTTGGGGCTGGCAGTTGCTTCATTCTACAGTAAGTTTCAAATTGCAAATAGTTTACACCTATAAAGAAACCGTAATATCTTAAATTTGCAGATCTTCACTTGACCAAAGAGCTGACGGATTTGTGGACATTACTCGCCGCGATTGGACTGCTTGTTATTGCTTTTGTCACCACTAGTTTTATGGTGAGTAAAGTTTGTTGGATAGAAGTGGAATCTAGACAAAATAATGTGTCCACTTTTCAGTTCTACGGACTGAAAGCTGAGAAGCCAAACTATCTTCGTCCTCAACTCTACTTTTTGTCATTCGAGATCGCTCTGATGATAGCCATGTCTGTACTTTCCATTGCCAGTATGTCCTTAGGCATTGAGATGACTAGTCGGATATTCTCGCCATTTGTGAGGTGAGTCGTTTGTTTTTATGACAATAAAAAAACCCGTATTTTATCCTTTTATGTCATCATGACGGACTTCATTAAATTTCGAAAAATTCTGCGAATTGAAAGGTCCGTTTTCAAAGTAACCTTCAAATTTTTAGTGTAAAAGATATGGAGTTCCATTTCGGGCCCATCTGGCCCTTCTGCATCGCCATTGTGGCCTTCACTTGTGCCGCTTTGGGGATCTGGTTCCATTTAACGGTGGATGGGGCCAGGGAATTCTTATTGGACAAAAAATATTTTGATCACCAATCCAACGACAATGTCCCTCTCGAATCGAAGGAAAAGATTGAAGAAGAAGCTCAACGATCCTCGAGCAGAGCTTGAGCATTTTTTATATTTTACATGGTATTCATAGTAATTCATATCACATTTAGTCTATTCCTCTGGTGCAAATGCAAATTACAGTTGTTTGAGACCAAATCCTACCTAACTTCATCCGATAATCGATATATTTAGCGACTATGTTGCAGTTTCTTATTTGCTCAAGTATATAGATGATCTTGTCGTATATAACCACCCAAATTGTATAAAAACCAGTAGCTAAATTGACCCTTTGTTAATTTAATTTTATTGTCAACAAACCAAGAAGACTTCGAATGCGAGGACCGGGCCAAAAATCTTTGAACCGGCCATCTAAAACAATATAAATTTAGGTCCTGAATATACAAATAGGCACCGGACGGCACTCGTATCTGTTTGTACTTAAAAAGTAACGTATATACAATCATCTAGAGGTCGGGGATCAGACCGAGAGTTCTTCTTCCACCGCTTTTTGAGGCGTTAATTTCGAGGGTTTCCTGTTTTCCCCTCTGTCGACCGAGTTCTGCGGGGAAACGACCGGTTTCTGCTCGTCCTCCGTCGAATCCTGGATCTCGATGGTGGTCGGGCGGGTCAGGTTCACACTCTCGAAGCTGTCCTTTGTCGATTTCTCGGCCTCTCCCACGTTTCCGGGGCCATTTGCCTCCGGCAATTTCTCCGATTTTCCAGTGGAGGGTTTTGGCGAGGGTAAAGGACTGGGATCAGGGGAAAGCTGAGGCCGATCCGGAGACATGTGATCCAAATGGTCCTTCTTTCTGTCTTCCTGAGGCTGGATTCTCCTCCGATTTGGGTTCGCCGTTCCATTCTCAACATTCTTGTTCTTGTTTTTGGCCTTCTTCACCTTCTTCACAGTGTTCTTGGCATGCGTAAAACAAGAATCGAAGATGATCAGGAAGGCGGGCAAGAAGATGAGACCGTGGATGTTACACAACACCACACAAACAACCATCGTTTTCACGAACACCTAAACATATCGTATCATGGCGGGCGTTATGGAACATTTTTTGATCATGTAAATTAACAATGGAATGAAAAATTTTGGTCTAGAAATCTAACAGATTTTTGTCAAATTTTGTCAATCTCTGAGCAGTATACTATCAGAACTTCTAAATTTAAAACTCTAAGTTAATATAACTCACCATGGACATGTAGAGTTTCACAAAAAGAAGGGAGCAGACACAGAGAATGGTCGAGACTCCCGCCTGGACTGCTGGGAAGGCCACGGATGACAAACAATTAACCAGCTTAGCCTCGGGGGTATCATCAACATCTGGGGTACTTCTCTTGGCTATATTACAATTTGAGATTACATTTTAAGAACTTACAAGCTTGATAGTAATGGTAAGAGACGTGAGCAGGGATGTCAACACTGCAACCGATGGAGATGATCATGGCAGCCATCGTGATCGGGTCCAAATCCACTCCCCACCAACTCAAAATCCCCAGAATTCCAGCACAAATCGAGAGAACGGACGTTGAGGCCATAACGACGGTAAAGAATGAGTTCAAAAAGAGGAAACAGACGGCTCCCATGCAAATCAAAGTACCCAGGACTGACTGCCAAGTATCGGTGGGCATATTCTCGATCAGATCGAGGAAAACGGCGTCTTCATGGAAGACGGAGGCTTTGAAATCGTCCCTGAAAATAAAATTTATATTATCCATGATGACAAAGGTTAAAAATTTGATTTAAAGCAAACATCAAAGACCATTAAAGGTGAAAAGAAGTGCAAGGAACTTTCTCGGCAAGGAGTCTTCACAATTTAACTTTTTTCTATCAAAACTTACTTGTACTTGTCAACCGTTGCCCTCCAGGTATTCAAAAGTTCTCCCCGTTTGGTCCATATCGAAATTTCTTTTCCATGATAGCCAGTGGTAAAGAAGAACCTCTCCAGATCATGCCTGAAAAATGGAAATTATAATTGATACAACAATTACATCACCAAATTGCAATATCTTACGTTTTATTATCCAATTGCAAGAATCCACTCCAGAAACTGTACTCAGGCCATTTGACAAAGTGATCCAGATCATCCCCGTCGAAAGGCAGTGGCTTCTTCGCGGTCAGAGCGGCCGAAACTCCGTTGTCTTCGGCCTCTTCTTCGGCTTCGAGCGCGTCTACATCAAAGTCTGGAATAGGCCAAGTATGCTACAAAAAATGTCCTCCGTGTTAAATAAATTTTGCATCAGATAATCAGCAATTGTGCGCGGATAATATTAGACCAGCGTTGGCTGTAATCCTCGGTTTTCAAACGCTTTTCTGGATGAAATATAATGTTTGGCATTCTGTTTCAAGAACATAAAATTGTCGGAAAGTTGTCGTAAAATAAGGATTTGGATGTAAAATACGGTTTGCTTTTCCCATTATCTGTTTCGCAATCCAGGGGAAATAAACTATTTCAACGAGTTTATTTCCGGTTTTTTCAGGTTTCAGTTATGGAGACCAATGATTCTGAGAATTCGAATGCAACCGGAAGTCCATGGAGGGTAAAAAAGAAAGAAAAGAAACAAAGATTGATCGAGAAACTTGCCAAGTGCAGGTTGGGTCAACAGAGAAAGAGGGAACAGATGAAACAATCAATGCAAGAAGCTGCTCTCAGGGATATTACAGATCAAGGTGTAAGTTCGAGTTTATGGAAGTTACTTTTCCTGATTTTTAGGTTGTTTCAGACGTTTGGAGGGCCTAGACTTTCTATACATTGTCTTAGACTTTTTTGGTGAAATGATTACATTGTATTAGACGGGTTGATCAATACATTTTGTATTTTTCTTGTATTTGAAAACGTTTCAGCAGCCCAAGGCCTCCACCCCTCAAAAAAGCCCAGAAGTGTCTCTCAGGAAGGTCAACGATTCTGTAGATGCCGATCCAAACCGCAAGGTTCAAGAGCTAAAGGAGGCCCTCACCGAATGTCAAGCTGAAATCTCAAAAATGCGAGCCAAAAACGAGGAGATGACGGAAGAAGTTGAAAGATTGAAGAAGGCTTTGATAGATAAACAAGAGAGGGTCAGACAATTGCGAGATGTTATGGCGCGCCTCAGATTTGGTCAGATCTCTACTGCTGCTGGATAAGGGTAATACATATTATGCACATAAAACTATAACTATTCTATGTATTTTGCTAACTGCCTTTTCTGTTTGGGAGTAATAATAAATTTTTATTTTGGTAAATGGATACGATGTTTGATCAAATTGGATTTGCTGTCTATATTACTTTAGATCTTAATTTAGATAACGTTTTAGTAATGTACGTAGAACTGTTCAAACGTACTGTTTGCGAGGTAAAATACGATAACCCATAACTGTTTTTTTACTTTTTGCGATTAAAATTATATTATCCATGGTTAAAATTTGATAATTTTGGTTCAAATTTCTTGCTTTAGAAATTTCTCAAAATAAAAGTGACTTCTGACGTAAGATGACACCATGATCTCCCCTTGCTCTTAATAAAATAGCCCCCAATACCCTCTGTGATATCGATACTTACCATCGAAAGTTCCTTGGAAGGTCTCATAATCTCTAACGAAATATTGGGTTCCAATCTTTCCCCAACTTCCCCGGATCTTCTCCATGTCCTCCACAAATTCGTTGAGTCTCTCCAATCGTTTGGGGTCACTCAGATTTCCGGGTTGGTTCACAAAAACGGTGGCCATTGTAAAGTGGGGTACCTGGTATTCGACTCTCAATTTGTCCAACTCCAATAGTGGAGAGTCGGCCGCAAACAGTTTCTGGGTTGTCAGGTTGATATTCATTTGGGTGATACCCTTTAAAACTATTTCTAATTTCAGATTTTCCTTACATAAATGGAGAAAGCCAGGTACATAAAGTAAACCAAGATTGTTAAGCTGGCCACGAATTTGTTGGCGACGATGCTGACGTACACTTCCATGGTGTGACTGATCGCTTCTTTAGTGTTGTCGTGGAATTTGGAGGGCTGGCGCTGAAGTATGTTGGATTAGAGGGGCTAAATTATATTACACCTACCTGCAGATGCTGCTTGCGATCAAATTTGGCGGTACGAAGACTGGCCTCGAAGATGGACCGCTCTTTTCGTTCTTGTGCGATCTCATATCGTCCAACCAATGAGAAGAGACCAGCGTAGAAGGTCATCTACAATGACTTTGATTATTTTATTCATGATAATCTAAAGCCATCGAATTGCTTATAACCTTTCCAAATGATGTCATAGAGGACAAGACCATGACCTGACAACTCACCTGGTAAATATAGGCGACAATCATGGATGTCAAGTTACCCACGCAGAGCAAAGTAATCTCGGGCGAGGACGTGAAAGATCCGACTCCATCTGCGAAAACGTTGGTCAAGACGGAGATCAAGATGGCCGGCCCGACCTCACTCAGCACCTCAGCAACTCGGTACCCAACTTGCATCGATTTGCGACTGGGATGGTCGCGGGAATGCTTACAGACTCGTTGCCATTCGTGGATCATCAGATAAGAGGAGTCCACTCCAATGGCCAAAACCAGGAAGGGGATGACACACAAGATGGACGAGAACCTCATTCCACAGAAGAACAAGAGCCCTAAGGCAGTGGCACAACTCATGAAAGGGAGGACACAGGCAGTGATCGCGAGGAGAATCTGGAATTTGAAATTTGGGGGTTTCCGGCATCATTTTTTTAACGAAAATAATCAAAAACAGCTACACATCTTAAGGATTTGGTGGTTACAAAGCACAACGCAAAGGTTAAGGGCTTTCTCGAGATTCCTTACCTTTGGGAGACTGTGTTGTTGCATGTAAACAGCTCTGATTGTAACGGAGATGACCGAACAAGCACACATGATGAAGAATCCGACCGTCAGATAAGGCAACAAACTAATTCCAGCTCTGATCATCTCGTTCTCGACGTAAGTTTGTGATAGAACATACAGTTGCAAATGTTTCGGAGAAAATTTCCTAAAATTTACATTATTTTAGTCTTCAAAATACAAAAATTAATTAAATTGTCAAATGCACACAGCAAGAATTACCGTTCGAAAGCCTCGACCATGTCCATTTCGTACTGCTTGACCTGAGCATTCGTCCAAGTGGGGTCATGTTCAGCCCGCAATTGCATCACGACCATCTTCACACTCTTCATGTTGGAGACGTGACTTTGGATTTGTTCTGTGGTCACGTCAGTCCCATTCCCGTCCTCAGCTTGTTCCAGAATATCCAGGGTGTCCCGGGCTTCGCGATCATCCCAAAATTCCATTCCATAAAAATTTTGCTGCAGGGTAAATGATTGGCCAAAGATCGTGCTTTGGGGGTAATTCAGGACCAATCGGCCATTCAGCTTCTGTTTTTTGGCCGCCAATTCACTTTGAATCTTGAATCCATTCTGAAAAGGGCTAATTTACTGGAGTAATATCGATTTTATATCGCAAAAGCGGGTTGAATTGAAGTTTGTGGTCACTGTCATGGGTAATATAAAAATTATCCAAATATAAATTTAAAATGTTTCAAGTCTAAAACAAAATACGAATTTCTGGTATTCAATTATGACGTCATTAAGCATCATAGAAACCCAGAAAACAGAATGCCAAAAATTGCGGGAATTTAAATTTTTTCCCCCAGACTATCCAAAGGCTCCTGTGGTGCCTTCGAATAGCTTTTGAACACGAAATTCAACATAAAATTACTGTACAAGCAACAAATTGTATTATATTACTTACATAAAACTGTCGAACCGGCTCGTTTACTCGACAAAAACTTTTGCAGAATTTGGAAAAAGGCTTGGATTCCCCTTTCGAATTGGTTAAATTCACCGTATCCATTGCTCGATCCAGCACCTAAAATACGAATAAAATCGCATCAATGGAGCCTACCGCAATCGTTTCTTTTAGATGGGAATCCCTTAGCATTGTGCCTCCATCCTTGGCCAAGGCAAAAAGATAAACGGTCACGCCGAGGCCATTCTCTGAGAAGAAATCCTGATAGACCGAGTACTCATCGATGGCGCGGGCTCCGTAGGGGGTGTATCCGGTAATGTCGTTTTGTTGGCTGAAAGATTTGTGATATCGGATACAACTTCTAAATTTACCTCAAAGTGGGATGCAAATGTTTTAATGGAACTTTAAATTACGACCTCTTACACTTATTACGAGATTTTCGCCTTGCGTTTTGCAGAAACTATCAAGAAATTGAGGGATTTTATGGGTTTGGATTGAGAATTGAGTGTTTGTTGGAGTCCTTCAAAAAAGATTTTTTTTTCCGACCAACAGATACAAAGAAAACACCCTCCTTTGCATAGCCTCTCGTCTGCAAACATCGACGAATCTCTCGGCGGAACCTACAAAGTCCGGGCTACAACTTTCAGAGTAGCATTGGCCTGTGTAGACCGTAGATGCAAAATTTGAAGAAAACCTGATGATACTACACTTTACACAAAATTTGTCATTGTTTTTTGTAAAGTCATCAAAATAAAAAATAAATGAAAATTATTCAAATTCCCTCTAGGATAAAAAAAAACCCTTCCTTACGGTGTGAAGACCACATTGGCCAATCCGAGCAAACTGAAGGCCGTACAAATCAGCATCGCCTTCCAGTCATGGTCGCAAATGAAGTAGCCCCATCGCTTGTACTGGCGGATGATGAACTTGACGAACCTCGGCCCTCCATCCTCTCCGTTCTGGTTCATATTCATGATGTCGATGGAGCGTTGGCCCACCAACACCGAGCCCCTGCGACGCTCGGCGAATGGCCGTTGACTGACGCGCCTTCGGTCAGCCATGTCACCTGCGAAGAGAAGGCAGTTAGGTAGGTCTCTGGGCTAATTCTAACACGATTTGTCGCGCCACTCTCTCCCTTCTCCGTGCTCTCTCACCCAAATTTGAACCAATTTCGAAAACGCCGACTTTTGTTGTCAAAAGGTCGAATGATGTTTAATAAAATCATTTGTCGACTGGGGCCTTTCTTGATTGCCCTCCAGCAAAATTCGCAAACGAGGAAAGTTTGGAGGGGTTAAACAGTACAAGTTGAGATACAATTAAAAAGGAGGGGGTTTGGCGAGGGAAATGAGGGCAGACGAAATTGGGGGGTACCTGCTTCATAAGGAGATCTTTGGTGTTAAGTTTTGGTAAACTTTTTCAGTAGAAATGCTGCTTGTTTTGAAAGGGACTCGATTTCAATATAACCAATTGAAATGCAAGTGTAAAGAAGGGAAAAATCGGGAAAATTTTGGGAAATTTTTTAAAAAACGGCGATAATCGTATTATCCAAAGATAACGACATATAAATTATGTTTAGGATAGTACAAAAGATTCTCCAAAAAAAAATTTTTTAATTGTCATCAAAAATTTTTGTCATCTTCCCATAAAATGATGATGTTGTAAATATAATCACTTTATGATCCGCGATTTTCGAAAAGCAACAGTTTCCAGAAAGACTGTAAAATTGCGGCAATACCATTAAACGTATTCTCTCTCACATTCCATCGCCGTTCAGCCAATCGAACGGACGTCAGCAAGAAAACAATATTATTTTGGACATCAGACCATCTCGATCGCACTTATTTTTTAAAATTCTTTACAATCAAGGTCATTAACGAGTATTTTGGTTATTTTCGGAAAATCAACTTCGATTTGAAATTCGTTTTTCAAAGTTCAAATCAAAACTTATTTAATTTCATTTCAAATTTTGATTTTAAATCAAAGAAAATTTCAAATTAGTTCCAAAATATAATATTATAGCTGTAACTTCCTTATGTTTGTGAATAACAAATCTAAATTAAAAAAAAGTCTTACATTTTGTACCAAAATTATACAACTTCCGATGTAAAAGTTGATTTCCGCCCCTGTAATCATTATGAACCCAAAAAAGGCAATTAATTTTTACAATGAACCTATTAAATTTACCGAAAATAAGCGTTCAGCCAGTAATCAGTCTCCAAGAGCGGGGGATTGGGCAAGGAAAGACAATTACAGCCTCTCCTCCACAAATATTTTCGATACTAACAACAAAAACAACCCATCCTGAGGAGCGAAATCACATAACTGTCTGACAGGTTACCCTAAACCTTTTTTCGGAAAGCTATCGACTTATTTTACCTTATTTTAGGAGGATCTTTGCAAATCTAACAAAAAATTTCGGATAATTTTGAAAATTAGCCAAATTTTATTGTCAATATAGAGCCAAATCAAGCCTCTCACATCACTCTTTACGACGCTGCAGCTTATTTTACCGTGTTTTATTATTATTTTAGGATGGCTTCTGAAATTTTGCTTAATATTTTGGGCAAAAATTGCAAAATAGAGCAAATTTGGAAACACTTATTAGAATAAGTAGCGAAAGTAACCTTTACAATTTCCCTTGCCCCTCTAAACCCCTCTAAACTCGTTTTTGGGGGTTCAATTAAACTCCAACGTTGAAGGCCACTTGCCAAAGAATCAGATGTCAATCTGATCGGCAAAACAATAAAAACTACCAAACCCACAGTAACTATTACTTCCCGGAGACTCTGGAAGTGGGGGTGGAGTAACACGAGTTCGGCCAGTTGCGATGACGGAAATGGGTTAAAGTCTTGGGCTGAAAATAAGTGTATTTCGTTAAACTTTGGGAGAATCTCAAAGAATACGGACGGAAATCTTTGAAGGTCGATTGTTTAGGGAATAAGACGGACCTGGAGACGTGTTTTTGAAAGGTATGGAGACTGGACATTTCAAAACTCATCACTTTTATTCATGTCATCGTGTATAATAAAAACAGAGGCTTACCCCGCTAAGAGTTAAATTTAGAATCTACTCACAGTCAGCTCAATAAGTTATTGTTGGGCTGTTGAGATAATAGAATCTTAAAGCCAAACATTTACCCTTCGATTTTACATAAATTTCAAGTTTACCCCACCGTAGGTCTTATGGATAATTTGGCCTCCCGCTCTTTAAAAATCGTCCTAACAGTAATTCCAATACGAATTTTCAACGTCATTAACTTACGCGAGATATTAAACTCAGATATTTACATCACAATTCTCACAAAAAAATATATTATTCATGACATCATCAGCCTTACCCAACAAACACTTTGCTTCATCGAATGTAACAAAATTTTGGTCGATTAAAAGGGCTGCAAATACTCTAAAAAGCTGACCATCTTGTTCAACGAACGCGTCGTTACCACTCCGTTACAATTCCATTTATTTTTCCGGATTCAACTGCATAAAGGGTACTCTTATTTTGATTATAAAATAAACAGTTTTGAAGTTAGAGTTGCAATACCAAAACTACCGCAAGATTACGTCGTATAGTATTTATTTGCTTGAGGTAGATGTCATGCAATATGCGGGATATTAAGAATAAGAATATAAATAACCTTTTTTTAGACATTAGCATAGAGCTCAGAAAATAAGACAAGATTGACGTCTGATTGTAAAATAAAAAAATAGAACCCCAAATCAATATCTCAACTCAAATATCTACGTCACTGTGCTCTCGAAGATTATTCCTTAAGGAAATGGAAAGTGTAAGAAGCAGGGGAAAAGAGACGCCATTGACCGTGAACGAGTGTTTTTCGGACAGTGATCAGTTTAAGGAAGGTTTACAAAGCGTTAAAGCAATGGGTAAAGTCCGAGTAATAACCAATGTCTCTTTCCAAACATCTCGTGAAGCAAGAAGAAAGTCAAGTAAGAGGCAATTAGACATAAAATACGAATTACAAAGGGAGGGATTGAGAAATGCCCGAGGAAAAGTGGATCAAGAAGAAGAGCAAAAGAGAAATTTATCAAATACGATACCATTTAGGGAACACACATAGTTGACGAATAAAAATGGGGGTGTAAGGTGAGGAAACTACCTTGAAAATGGATCTTTGAAAACAATTTTGATCACTCACCAAGTATAATATAAACAAAGAAATTGTTATAAATTTCATTCGGTAAAATTCAAGTTTTAGTGTTTTCAGATGTATATTTGAGACGATCCTTCAATTTGCGATGGATTCAATGACTCCAAAAGTTTGCAAATCAATTTCCCCTCAATTTTTGGCATTCTGTTCTAAAGGCATATGTCATCAAAAAAAGTATTGTTTCTGTTTGGCTAAGGGCTCTAAATTTCATTCTGAAGCCATATACTGGCGTAATATACAGGGTAGAACTGATATGCCCAGATTTAAATCTTATACATGTTAACCTTGATCACCATGGCCAGTCCTTATAAAAAAATTTCTCAAATTTCTGTCAATCACTACCGTTTTATATTTTTTAACCATTTATGTTTACTTAGCCTCAGTTCTATTACCATTAATCTCTCCCATTTACTTATTACCCACCATTTTATCCAATTTTTATACTAATAAGGCCCAAAATTTATGATACTTTCATCGGTCAGAAATTAAATTTCAAAAAAGTTTTTAAGTTTGTGAAATCAAGAGTCTCGAGTAACTTCTTTTGTCCGCAATTACCTCCCCCTCGCGCTACCTCCAAAACCGACTCCTTAACTCCGAAACTGGTTCAAGCAATCAAAAATATTGAGGTAGGTATAATTTATTGAGGCCCTAAATGATGCGAGTTGTAACGTTCCTTTTGCCTGTGTTAACTTTACAATGGACGTTGGGGTAGTCTAGAGGCATTGAGAGCAGCGTTGAAGAGTGCTAGGTGGGTTGCGGAGGGTTCAAAGTTGATTCGGAGATTAATTCCAAGTATAATTTTTGTATCATAATCAATGTTTTTTATTATCACAGCAACTAATATATGTGTTTTGGAGTGTAAATAGGCATAAACTTTCTCTCCGGACAAGAAAGGAGCAGTATTTCAGGCGAAAACACAAAAAATCAGCAATCTTTCTGATTTGTATCTAATACAACAAAAGTTTTGTCGCAAATGGACACAAAACTGATAAAGCCGCTGATCACGAAATAAAATAAAATTTAAAAAAAAATGTTTTAGAGCCAAACCTATCAAATGCCTCTAGCACTTTGAAAAATTGCTGTAAATTAACATCAAAACAAACAAAAGTGCAATAAAAGTGGAGCAATTTAAGACCAAGTACAATGTAATATTAATTTGACAAGTCCATCTCTATAATTTTTGTTTTGTGACATTAAAATTGGCTCATTCAGGGATTACACAAAGACAGGACAACTGCACAAACATGAAAAATAATATAAAATATAAAAAAATAATAATACAAAAATGGATGTTTCGGATAAAAGAACAAGTCCCATTGTTACCCACACTACCGGTTACGGATATTTTTGCTAGAGAATTTGCATAGAAGAGACGAGGGAATTTGTAATGAGCCAACAAAAGTGTGGTCATCCGTTGTAGATCAGAGGAAAACGGCTACTATGGAGATAGTTTGTGTGTTGTGGAGTCTCAAGACCACAACAATAGGACTTGGAAGGTCTTGAGAACTTTCGAGGGTTCAAACGTAGATCAAAAAGGGGTTTGGCCACATTGTTTTAGACAAAGATGACTAAATTAATGTAAATTGATGCCCCCATCCACAATAGCCAATCTTCTATCCCTTAAAATGCCTGTCTGATCCCTTGCCTCCCCTAGATTCAATCGATTCAAGCCCAATAAACCCCTAATCGAGAAGGGAACGCAAAGAAAAAACAAAGTTTTCTCAACGTTTTAACCGTTATCCACCTCAAAAAGAGGGATTCCAGCGATCCCTCAAAGGCGAGGGAAAGCAGCCAGGATGCGCTCGGAATCTATTTTTTTGAGCGCAAAGGCCCGGAGGGCATGTCTTTGGGTGTTATTTATCCCCAACAGAAGGTTAAGGAAAAGGTAATTGGGATGGAAATGAGCGGATCAAAATACGAAAAAAGGAAGATAAAAATGCAATCAGCGGATGGGAAGGGCGACTGGATTTGAATAAGAAATGGGTTTGAAAAGGTTTTGCGACAGTTAATCCAAAAAAATGCGAAGTCATCATTCTTGGCTTCAAGTTTGAAAAAATTTACATTGCACTGGACAAAAGAGCCCAAAACTAAGATTTTCGGCCAAATTGTTATAAACGATAGATTTAAAATACCAAATCAAATCCTAAATTCCCTATGGTATCATCGGAAAATGCATAATATGACACAATTTACCCAAAAATAACACAAAACCAAGAATTAACACATTACGTCACCCGAAAATAAGACTCGCAAAGAAAAAGTAGCTGACCATTTGGGTGAATCTGGCTTCCAGAAGTTCCCCCTCGCTTCTTGAGGTATCCCTTCCCCCCATTCACTCCCTGTTCCCCCTCGCTTTTCACTCTCAAAAAACTCGCTAAAAACCGGTCAAAATTCTTATTTTTTCTCAATTTATTGCTGTAATACGAGGGAAAGCCGTACAATTTAAACGTGTTTGGTGTCAACTTTCAAAGGCGACAGTCGTTTCTTAATTTTAATTCTACTTTTCGAGGCTCCACGTTACATTAGACTATTTTTATGAGTAAATTTACATTACACTTGATATCAGTGATAAAAAGATAAGTGTAAAAATTTTATTACGTGCCTAAAATGTAAAGTTATCACTCCTCCTTCGATCCCTGGGCCCAATCAGGCCAATAATGGAGCCTGATTCTCTCCAGAAGACCTCGAACTCGAGGGAATTCATCATTTAAGATATCTTGGACTGGCTGACGGAAAGGAAGGAAGTAGCCGACTCCGAGGTGGCCAAATACTGTGAAATCAGCCTGGAAATACAAAACATCAATTACAGTTCACCACTAAATAAAGAAAGGACATAAAGCACAACAAAATTTTTGATTTTTTTGTCAAGGATACTCTAAATATAGTCTCAAACCAATCCGAATGTTTCTAAAATCACTTACAACTGTAGGTTTGGCTCCAATAATAAACTTCTTGTCTCCGAGGAGTCCATCAACGGCTTCAATATCCTTCCTGAGGATCTCAATGATCACATCTCGTGGCATTTTACCGATTCCTTCGGAATTCAGACGAGCTGTGGCCTAAAATCCAGTAAATATGCCATTAAGAGGCTCTTACATTACTAGAAATCTTATTGGCAAAATATCCGATAAGGAACGATGGGATCGGGGCCCCGCTGACATTAGGATTAGCAGAATTTCTAGCGCCTTCGATTGATCGGAAATAGGTAATCGGACTAAAAATATGATCAATACCCTAGCTTCACTTACTAGTAGATACTGCCCTCAGCCAACCGTTCCACAGCTCTTGACAGAGCTTTTTGTTCCTTGGACAGCCCTTCCTAAACATGGATAATATTAAAGTAAATAAAACTCACATCAATGTTGAAATGTTTGATCAAATGCCAAATGATGATCTGCGAATCAGCAATCTGTTCTCCATTCAGCTCAATGAAGGGGACTCGACCTTGTTTTGAGCGGGTAGTCCAACTTCCAATCGGCTCATATGGAATATCATGCGCCCGGAGGAAGGTCTCGATTTTAATACAAAACGGAGAAAGATTGGGAATCACTGGGGACCGCTTGAATTGGAACAGGTAGACCACATCCTTCTTCCAATTCGACTTCTGAAGATCGGGATGTCCACCGAGGGTGAGACTTCGGAAAGGTTTAAGAAGTGGAGAAAAGAATCTGCTCAACATGTCTAAAATCATTTTGAAATAACAATTTGAACGGAGAAAACACGATAAAGAGAAGAATAATAACTTCTTTCAAAACCTGACACAACAAGAACCCGATAAAATTTCTTTTTATTCCGCCTAATTACTCCTCAAGAAGACCCCGCTGTTTCTGAGTTTCATATTTGGCCATATTCTCCTTTTGATTGATCTGATTTAGCCGATAAACAACGTTTACTTGCCTTCGTTGTCGTTGGAGGTGCTCATCGTACAACACGGCCACTAAACAACAACACTTCAGTTAGATTGAATATTTTTTTACCTCCAAAAACGAGACAAAATCAATATATAAACCTTACGAATCGTCACTGTGGAGAAAATGCAGCACCCAATGAAGGTCCGCCTCCCATAAGTCCTCCCCATTTGATAACTAGAAGGTACGAAACAACAAACTTTGTGCAATTTCACAAAAAAATATGGAAACATTTTTTATTTTTCGCTTGCAACAGAATGCCAACATCCAATTATTCGGGCGGGGAGCCAAAGGCTGGAGTTGAGCTCTCAATCTTTCGCGCCTTGGAGGTGGTCAGCGAGGTCATTAGCGTTCGCCATTTGGTCGGGCGCCATTCTGTTTCTGTATCCATTCCGTTTTTGTATCTTAAATTGGCCGGGGTCATGGTTAATATGAGCGACCAAATTTTTATCTTTGAAACCGTGTTTCTTCTTGTTCTTGCGAAAACAACTGAAAGAGTTGTCAAATGGTTGAGTAAGCGTTTTGAAGAGAGCTGATTAGCACCACCTTCGATGATTCGAATCTTTTTCCCATGATGGAGAATATAAATTTGGTTGTTATGAGGATTGAGGGAGTGAAACGGAAGTGGATTCGCAGCTCATACGGAAGCCGTTCTGAATCCTTTCTTCGTTTCCGACTGTATTGGAGATCAATTCAAGCGAAAAGGGACCGTTTTTTAAGATTTATATAGCTGTGAGCGAGGTGTTTCGCCGTTTCCTGACCTCTCTCTTCTCGAGTTGTGATGTCACAGCTCTCGCGGTTGAGACGTTCGTGTTTTTTACGACCAAGTAGATGACTCGTTCCATCGCGATAGCCGTCTTGGTAGGGTTTCGAAAGGAATTTAGCCCTGAGGGTCTAGTATAATATAAGGTTGTAAAAAAATAATGTTTTAGCTGGAGGAGAAGGATTAGAAAGGTCTCGCGAGGCTCGACTTATCTCTTTCTTGTTTTCTGAGAGTCTAATTAGGTCAATTTCGTCTTTTGAGTAAATTTCCTCCTTTTAATACCTGAGAATCCGATTTGCGGGTCGAAAATCTTGATTTAGACCTCGTTTTTTGTTCCGACTTTTCCGTGCAAGTGTTGGTCGACCATTTCGAGTATTAATTTTGGCCTAACACCCTTTTTCATACTAATTTTTACATTATTTTAGGTCCAGCCATGTCGTTGAAGGACAAATATCAAGTGACGAATGTTTTCATCTCGGCCGTAACCCCCGACAACATTTCCCGGATGAGCCTGCTTTCTTGGGTCAATGATTGCCTCCAGTCCCAGCTAAATAAGATCGAGGAAATGTCCACTGGGGCGGCTTACTGTCAGCTGACGGATCGCCTATTCCCTGGTTCTGTTCCTCTAAAAAAGGTGAAATGGAACAGTCGGAACGACACTGACTGGGTTAACAACTGGAGAGTCCTCCAGAAGGCTTGGGGAGATTTGGGAATTGATAAGGTGAGGATTTTATTATGTATCTACAAGTTTGCCTAGTACAATATAATTTTGTTCTGAATTTTTAGCCAATTAACGTACTGACTTTGATGAGGGCTAAATTCCAAGACAATTTTGAGTTCCTTCAGTGGTTTAAGAAGTTCTATGATGCTAACGACGCTGGCTATGAATACGACGCACTAGCTGCGCGAGGTGGGGAAGTAAGTTTCTTTGATTATTTTGATTCGTTTAGTGAAGAATGGATGGAATTGGCTTTTAAATTGCGTAATCCACTTCTTTTCAGCAATTCCCAGTATCGGCCGGGCGTCCAGGAGCCAGAGCGCCTCCAGCTCGAACAGTAGCCCCACCGACAAGAAGGTCTCCGGCTGTCGCTGCAACTACCCGTCCTGTTTCAAAAGCAACTCCACCAGCTGCTGCGCGACGTAGGGTTTTACTTTTTTCTTTGAAGCTTAGGATTTAGGGGGTCATTTTTTCCTCATGTGTTCTATGATCGAAGATGTCTAAAATAATGCATTTCAGCGGCTACCACCTCTGCCCGACCAGTAAGAAGTGCTGCAAATGGTGTCGATGCCAAGGCCGAGGCTGCTTACAAAGAGGAGATCACTCAACTCAAAGATCAGGTTAGTTTTTTTAGATATTTTTGTATTATAGTAGATGAAATTTTTATTTTTTTGAATTTGGTTGTTGATAATATTGTTCCAGCTTCAAACCTACGAGAAGGAAGTGACCAGTCTTTCGGATGAGCGTGATTTCTACTACAATCGTCTGCGATTGGTCGAGGAGCTGTGTCAGCAAATCGGGGAAGAGAACTCGGTGCCCGTGGGAAAGGTGCTGGCCATCCTCTACAAGAAGGTAAGCCCCGGATGTGTGTTTCTTGAATATCGTGCATCCCTGGAGCTCAGTGTAGGGTTTCTTTTGATTTCCCTGCAGTCTATATCACACTCACGATCCTTTTATTTTCATTTTATTTCTTTTTGTTCTCGATGTAAAGTGATCGTATCTTGTGTGTATAGACTGTAGTTTATACGAATATTGAGTCCTGATTGGAATGGCCTCTCTTCAGGACGACGAGTTGAGTACCGACGACTTTGAACAAGTTGAGCACGAAGTTGTCGATCACTGCGATCAATCCAATGCCACGGAGACGCTGGACCGATCGGAGAGTGCGGCAGCCTTGGACAGTCATCAGGAAGTCAACGGAAACGACGCCAATGGAACTCATGTAAGCAAAAAATTTGGTTTTTTGACAAGATTTACCGGTCAGGTGTCCAGTGATATAAATTTTATTCAGTTTTGCACCATTTTTGATGTTACTTTACTCTTTTCCGACTCTTGTTGTGGATTGAGATAACTTTGATGAATTTTAGGACATTGTCGAGCCAGCCAACGAGACTGTCGGCGAATTTGAGAGTGCCGTTGGTGTGGAAGGCCTCAAGCTTGAAGAGACTCCCGAAAAACCAAAGGAACCCGAAGCCGCACAGCCCGAGCCAGCCCCAATCAAGGCCAATGGAGATGTCCACGGGCCCGAAGAGTTCTAAGAACGGTTATTATCATCAATTACTTATATCTCCCTTCCTTGTAAAATCTAAATCCTATTTCGAGTATTGGCTTATGCATTTTCGGATCACTTAAACTCCTAAATTATTCTGTACGGTATTTTAAAGGCAGGTCAGCAATCATTGTAGACATTTATTTAATTATATATTACGCCCATTTTCTCTAGCACCTAATTATCATTTGATACGCTCAAATAAATTAAAGCTGCGAGTTATCGGACGGTTGGATCATTTATACTTTAGATAGTCATTGGAGTCGTCTAAAGCTTTTTTTATTGCACCATTGATATCAAGTATAATATAATTTATTTTTACCCGTATTTTATATAGAAAAGTCACGGTTCAAATTAAAGTATCTGATCCCACCGGGGAGCAATACTACACATAGAACTCTCGACTCGTCTTTTTGTTCCCATTTCTCTGCCGATTTGGATCCAACACATAACTGTGCCCTTCATGGCGACATCTCCATGTGCAATACCAGGTTAAGATACAGCTCAGAACAAACATTGAGAGGATCACAATGGCCCAGGTCAGCTGAGTGGCCTCTTGGAGGGATTGAAAGAGGGCAGCGAACATCTGTAAAAATGGTAGAAATGTAATATTACACAAAGTAGGAGAAGGTGATAAATGTTGAAAATTGTGACAAAAAATGCGGGAAATGATTGGTGATTGCGAATGCAAGTGTAATAATATTATTAATATTGCAGTTTAACTCAAGTTTTTTTTTAAAAAGGGGTTTACAAGAACATTTCATCAATTTACACTTGTCTCTTCCCTCCTTTTCTTTTGACTCTCCAATGTCTCGGATTGAAAGCAAAAGTCGAGGAAATTAAACTTGGGAAGAGACAAGAGTAGGAGAGCCGCCATCAGACATCTGGAACGGCTATCGCTGTGATAATTGCCCACCTAAAAACCCCTAAAAACGCGTCAAAGGCTAATTTCAAAGGTGTTGAAAGCTCCTTAAGGATGGCCAGAGCTTGAAAAGCTCTTGAAAACAAAGGAATTAGGGCTGTGGGCGTTTAATGAAGCCATTTTATTAAAGTTCTATAGGTAAAAACGCCAGATTTTGGCTTATTATACCTATTAGATGGTCCAGATTCATTTAATTCTTATTTAATTCGCTGATATTAACAGTCTTGCATTTTAAACTCGTAAAATAATGTTTAAGACCACTTAATTACTTCCTAAGTAACCCACTTGAAAGACCACCACCCCAACGATCAGAGGGTTCGACAATTCTTGGATGACTTTGTCCCCTTTTCAACTTTTCGAATTTAAATACCCCGAGGCCAAAAACAAAGGAAAAAGTGTGTTTTCGGTGATGCGTGAGACCCTTGGGGAAGATGTTCGTCAAGAAGACATAAACCCCAACGCATCCCTTGAGGCGAAATGGGCCCGCAAGTTGCGGCCACAAAAGTTTTTTGGCTTATTATTATGCGAAGTCATCAATCGCTCGAATTAATGGCTTCGGGGCTTGACAGGGAGAAATGTCAAAGCGGAATTAGATCTCAGGGTATCTGTGAAGTATCAGAGAACTATTCACGGAATTTATCTTGCGTACGGCATATAAGCGGTCAATTTCTGTAAGGCCGCATAGAAATAAACCAAATGTAAAATAAACACCATTTCTACAAAAACTCCTGTTCATTAGACTCATCAACTCCCCTTGTCCGATGTTCTAAGATGTAACCACCAAACAGGGCCACATTTTACACTCTTTGCCGTTTGTGCTGGGTGTTACATCAAAATTTGTCACGACCATGAGTAAGGAGAAGATGATGATAAATGATGCCACAAAAATAGATAAATAATGGCGTTATGTGTGGCAACGTGGCTACGCTAAACCGAAGATCGTTTTTTCTACCCATCAACTCGTCCAAATTGCGTGCCATTTTTACTTGCAGAGCTCGCTTCCAAAATTAGTAAGCTCAGGGAGATGTTTCACGTACAAAAAAGGCACTAACTCGAGTTAGCGGCATCACAGAAAAAGCGGAGAGAGCAGAGAAAAAGGGAAGCAGGCCCTTTCGGGGTGGGCCCTTTCGGGGTGGGCTTTTCGGGGTCGCCCTTCCGGGGTGAGCCCTTTCGGGGTGGGGCTTTCCGGGGTGGGCCCTTTCGGGGTCAAGGCATATACTGGGGTTTTCGGGTCCCGGAGCATAAATAATTTTATTTTTTTGAAACAACTGATTAATTTTATGACGTAATCTTGTAAAATTTTTGAAAAAAATAGAGATGGTTAAAAAATGTCGATTCTGAGGTGGTTCGGCACACTGAATCCGAAAACGTGCGTGGCAGAAGAGGTAGTTGGAACATCTGGACCGGGGCCAAGGGCACTTCTTCTTCGGAATCCGACCCTATGACTGGAGATAGGCTAAGACATTCGCTGACTCATCTCGCAGTTGGACGTTTTCGGACCCGGAAACCCCAGTATATGCTTGTTGGACGCTCCGGGACCCGGAAACCCCAGTATATGCCTTGACCCCGAAAGGGCCCACCCCGGAAAGCCCCACCCCGAAAGGGCTCACCCCGGAAGGGCGACCCCGAAAAGCCCACCCCGAAAGGGCCCACCCCGAAAGGGCAGTAATCCGAGAAAAAGAGGGGTGGTAACTCGAGTGACCTGACTTTTTATCGACTTTGGCCGCACAATTTTGGCCATAACTTTTGATACAGTGGACCAATTTGCGCCCTTCCAAAAAAATATTAATGCTGGTGGTACACAGAATTGATGGATATAAATTTGTAAATTTTTCTTCTAAATTATGCAAATTATACGCAAATTTTTTTCTTGGTATCTTAAAGCTCGTCTTTTATTAAAATCTTTATATGGACATGTTTGTTACGCTCTCAGCATCAAAGGGTTTTTTGAAGGGTGTAAATTGATATACTGTATCAGGAGTATTTTTTGGCCCGCGCAACAGTGGACGAGAATCTTTTGGTCATAACTTTTGTCGCAGTAAACCAATTTGCAAATTTTTAAGAAAGTTTTAAAGCTGGGACCACGCTGCATATGACGGTATCAACATTTTTTCCGTATCTTGCATCTTAAATACCAAGAGAAAAATTTGCATATGATTTGCATAATTTAGAAGGAAAATTTACAAATTTGTATGTGTATATTTTGTGTACCGCCAGCATTAATATTTTTTTGGAAGGGCGTAAATTGGTCCACTGTATCAAAAGTTATGGCCTAAAATGTCCGGACAAGTCCATAAAAAGTCGCCCGATTCGCCAATCAAAAAGAAGAGGGATCACTCAAGTTACCACTCCTCTTTTTCTCTGCTCTCTCCTCTTTTTGCGTGATGCCGCTAACTCAAGTTAGTGCCCTTTTGTACGTGAAACATCCCCCAGAGATTAAAAGCTTGAGGAAAACAAAAATCACTGTATGTAAGATAATTCCGCTCGACCACTCCTTTGAAAAAAAATGTTTAAAATTTACCAGGACTATCTTACAAGCAATAACTACTATTTTGGTATTAAAAATCATTAAAAATCCTTTAAAATTGAAACTTTATCCAAAAAATGTAACACAAACCACCATTTTGGCTTTGGGAATTCAATTATATTATGTCAAAAAGATGCTCTTGTCATAAAAAATCAAAGAAGTCTCAGATCCGCACAAAAAGCAGCACTCCCCCTCTTCTACAATATAAATTTGATATGGAACATGACAAATTCCACATTCCCGAGTCTGCGATGACCCCGGAAATTGGCCAAAAAAGATTGTCAAAAGCTTTGAGGAAATAATTTTTGGCAGTTTTCTTTGAGGATGAAGTGGCTGTAAGGGCATCCCTAATGAGGCGGCCGAGCGGCCCAAAACTATTCCCTCGGCCTTTGTGGGGAAACAAAACAAATTACGAAGTCCCGGAATTAGAAGGGCCGTTCCTTTGGAGCCGTGAATTCCTTTAATATTAACGAGAATTATTACGGGAGATATTTCAAATTTGAATTATTTCGATTATTCATCGTCTTTTGATGGTCTTGGCTTTCTTTTTATGGAGTTTTTTGGAGGATAAAACTGGTTGACGTCAAAAAATTATCGAAGTTTTCTAAAGCTGAAAAGTTGCTTATCAAGAGACATTTCAAAGTCATAAATTTTTTTTTGCATAAAATATCCCCTTTGGCACATTTAAACGATCAAATACTGTAAAACATAGTGCTTTATAAAGTGTATTCTCCTGATAAATCCCATCGCAAATTCCTCGAACCGGATTTGATGAATCAGCCGTGTGGTCCAAAAAAAAAGAACGGATTGTGTGATCGAATGGACTTTGTAATAGAAATGACAAGAAAACACACAAACAGACAATATCAGAAGACAGATTAAAGCCCATCCGAGCAGATGATTTGGATGTTTATGGCCTTGCGCAATCTATTTTTGCAATTGTAAACTTGTCTCGCGGTAATTTCCGTAAGCCAAAAGACCTCCTTTTTTGGCACCGCCGAATTTTACAGCTCTTTTCGGCGGCGACAAAAGTTGTTTCGGGTCGTAAACCGGAACTCTGGCCCTTTATTTTTATTTTTTTCTTTGATTGCGCCACTCGAGGCCAGATTTTTTTCTTTATTGGAGCGACAGTTATCTGGGAATGGGTTCAGTCCGGTTAATCGGTGCTTCTTCTCATTTCTCTTCCTTTTTATCCGGGTGCACTGTGCAATTAACTTTTATTTCTGCACCGTGCAATGGAATGTTTAAATTGCTCTGTGCGTTGTTATATTCTTTAAAGAATTTGGATAATTCACTGTATACAGAACGCATGTTTTTTTCGAAAGCTGTGCAAAATCCCATTAGGTTTTCTCAGTGCAAAATTATATATTTTTGAATTTTCATTTTCCGCAATATTTATTTTGCAGTCTGCAAAGCCTAGGGCGCGACTGGGCAAAAATTACTGTTTGTTCGTGATTTTGTCGTGAATTCTTGATTATCCTGCAGCTCTAGGCTTCTTCAAAGATTCTTGTTCTTTACATTCTCCTTTGACCGCCTTTAATCCGCAATTTTAAGGTCCACATATCAGAATATGTCAAGGGTAATATTTGGTGCAATATTTATGGTGGTTCTTTCCCAAAGTGCAGTTGTTCCTCAGTCATCTCAGTCCAAATTCTTCGGGTGTCTTGCTCAATGTGGTATCGAGGTAAGGGTTTTGCGAGCTTTCTTCATTTTTATATTGCTTTAGTTCGGACATGAAAAGACTGAAACCTTGGTGTCTGGAGTGAATTCGACGAGCCTTGTGGTAGAAGAAGCTGATTTAGAAAAGGTAGGAGGTTTAAGACATGAGAATTCTGGCTTTTATTTTTTTTATTAACGTTCTTTTGTCTTTTTCTGTCTAATTGTCCAGTATAATATAAATTTTTATTTTTTAGTGCATGAAAATCTGTCGGACAGCTGGAGAATCGCCGAAGAACGAATCCGGATTTGCTTATGATTCTCGAGACGGCTTCGATGATATTGAATTGACCTGTGTCAACAAATTAACTCTATTTCCGCCAAGAGTTCAGGCCAAGTTTGATTTGCAAAGCCATGAATCAAGCCTTCTCCGTGTGATTGAGGTGTGGAGGACATTTGCTTTCAAAGACGGTCACCTCAACAATAGTCTGGTCTCTCGGAAATACGTAAGATTTTTTATATTATACTTGACATTTTTTGGTCGATTAAAAATGTTCCGAAAATTATTTTCAGACCTTTTCTTCGCGATTTGAAGTCGATTACGAGTACAGTAATGTCCAGGAAAAGGAGTTTTTGACCGTCAGAGCCTTCTCTTTTGATCAAAATGGGTTGGCCCGGAGACCTCAATGTTCTGGGGAAATAACCCCCGAAAGTCTGTTCAATAGTCGAAGAGATGTCCTCCAATTGAAACTGGTCGATTTTTCGGCCAACAAGAGTGTTGCCTTGATTGAATGGAATGGATATGACAGCAGATATCCAGCAGAATGCGAGCATTTTGTCAGCTGGAGCAGTGGGAGCGAATCGATGATAGAAATGATTGAATTTGTAAGGTTCTTTCTGCTTTTCATGCCTAATATAGGGTTCAATGGAAGATAAAATACGTCTAGGCTTCGTTGAATGCTGTGTTTGATCAGTTTTGATCTTATTTTAGCTTAAACGGACCTTGTTTCAGGATTCCTCTCATCGATTCGCAGTCCCTCTACGGTCTGATCCCAAGACTCGCACTCATGTCATAACGGTATATTCCAAGTCCGAATCTGCATTCTCCGACCGTCGTCAGTCCGTTTTGAATATTGATTTGGACAACAATCATCTGGTGAAGGCGGCTTCTTCTAGACGAGGAGTACCTTTCAATTGGGAGATTCTGATCGTAATTGGGGTAGCGATTGTGATCAGCATCATCTTTCTTTGTGTTTTGTCAAAGATGAGGGAAGAGCAAAGAATTCAGAGGGAGAAAATGGAAAAAAGAAAAATCCCGCCGATCCATAATGTTTATGAGAAGGATTCTGATGTAATCGCGGAGATGTTGACGCCCATTCGGCATAAGGATGTAAGTTCGAGGCGGTTTGTGAGATTTGATGAGATGAGTATTGAGAATTTTTTTATTTTTGCCCATGTCTTCATGAATAATATAAAAATTTTAAATGTAATGGCCGAAATGTTTAACCAATAATTTCTTTAACGTTGTTTATAACGTTCAGTTGTTTTTTGCCATTTGAGATACTCTTAATATTATTTATGGTCTTCCACATGGATAATATAAAATTTCTCCCAAATTTTTGTATTCACTCCAAATTCCTTCCTGATCACTTTTATTGATAGGTGGTATCATATTTCATAAATTACATTCATATTTACTTTTTCAGCGGCTCAATTATCACTACGATAACACCGTGGATTCCCCCATCCTGCCCGATTTCTCCGAGGCCTCCTCCCCTTCGCTCCCTTTCCAAACCAGAATCCTCCCATTCCAAATGGATGCCACCAATCTGACCTGGACCAAGTCCGCGCCCTGCCAATTCCAAGTCTGATATCGGATTTTCTTAACCCTGATCTCTCCTTTTATATTCTAATCGTTTGTTTATTTTGTTGCCCGATGAAGCGGGCTTCTATTTTTATATTCTCTTAATTATTGTTGTTGTTTGTACAGTTTCTATGATTAGTTTTACTTATTAATGAACATGCCGGTAATATTAATTTTGAATTTTAATTTGGGTAATTTCTAAAGCTAAAGCCAACGAAATCGTTGCGCAATCCGCCTTAGGCTTGCTCGTATGAATGATCATATCTTTCTGTACTTTTTATATCTTCATTCAACTCATTTCAAACTTTATTCACTTTATTAGACAAAAAACAACTCAATAAATGATTACCTTAGCATTATCAAAAAGAAAAACAACAAAAGACCAAAATAAAACTCGTTTTATCCAGATTAAAGACAACATCTAAAATAATAAAACTCCAAATGCTCAGATGGGATCATAAGCTTGAAGAAGTTTCTGGGACACTTGTTGGAGGGTTCTCTTGTCCGTCAATTTGATTCCCTTTCCTGAGGAATTTCCGATTCCAAGGAATCCTTTCTTCGCATTCTTTAATTCCAACTTTATTCCATCGTCCGAAACCTGCGGTCGTTTAATTTCTTCAAACGTGAAGGTCCATCCCGTGGTCCAAGCCCCTCCAAGGCTTTGATGAACTGCCATGAAGACCCGTCTAGAACAAAGAAAACATTACTCTTGAACAAGAATATTATTCTGGATCAAACGATGATATTATACTAGACTCTGAGCACAAAAAATCAATCTTATACCAAGTCCAAACCTAATAATAAAATCCTTAGCCCTCCGCGTGACTTCAACTTACTTATCCGTCACAATAAAGACGCTTCTTTCGTTGATAAAGGCGTGAGCCACAAAATTGTCCGTGTCCGCATACTTTCCTCGATCTGTAGCGCCGAAAATCTTCGCTCCGAATGCATCACTGTAATTGTAGGGGCGGACGATCAGATCTGACTGGACTACTCTGGCAGGACGGACGTGCTGAGCATCCTCAGCATTGGAGGCGACTCTGAAATCATGATTAATATCAGTAGAGGGACCGGAGATGTACTCTTTTTCCAGATCGCGTAATCTAATGTTCGTTTCGAGGGAGGGGAAGATCAGATCTCTCAGACAAAACAGGATATACAGACAGTAGAGACGGAAACGGAACCGACTTCTGCAATTAGAGACAGGGTCCAGTCCAATACAAAAACGTCTCAATACTCAAAATAAAAGACACTCAATGACCAAAGCAGTTCCTATTTAGCTCACACCCCAAGGCAAAATCCACAAAAAACTCAAAAAACCGATTTCTTACGTTTTGACCGCATTCAGAGATCCACTGGCGAAGTCGACCAATCCACTGGCCGGTCTGGTCACAGCCCCGATCAGTCCCTTCCCAATGCCCTTCGTGAAACCCACCACTCCACCTTGTCGGGCTCCCTCAATGGGTTTTGTGAAGACTCCAGTGATTCCATCCACAACTCCTTGGGTCAGGTTCTCCCCGGCTCTCGTAATTCCTTCTCCAAAGTTCTGAGGCTGTCGATTTAATGCTTCCTGTCGTTTTCGTTGATAATCTGCGTCCAAAGTGAGGGCGGCGACTCCCTTTCCAAGGGTACCCGTGATTCTTGACACTGCTCCGGCTGCTCCGCCGACTGCGTGGCCGAAAAGGGATGAAACCCCGAGGGCAAGGCCCTCCGCGAACTCTTCTGGACCTTGGATGGCCCCCTACAATCATATATTCATTAGCCATAACATTAAATAAAACTGCATTTCAACCAAAATTATCAAATTTATATTAGCCTTCACGTCTAATATAATCGGTATCACCTACCTGGAATGGCTGATAGAACAGATCCTCCACGCCTGATGACAAGTCTCTGACGAGTCCAAAGGGATTTCCAATAATGTCTAGACCCAGTACAAGCACGTACAATTGTTTTATGAACTGTTTTGTGTAATGACTCTGGACTTCGGCTTGAAGTTGCGGAGAGCTGTAGAAGGTGTAGCGACGATCGAAGTAGGCCAATCTAAACACAAAACTCATCACCAAGATTCTTCCATCTCCAAATTAAACTTTTATTTCCACTTACCTGAAGACAACATCCTGTAATTCGGTCAGCGTTACTCCCACCGATTTCAGCAGCAATTCGAAGAACTCAAAGGTGACTCCACTCATCACAGGGGTATCGTCCACCTTCTTTCCGTCCTTATTTATTCTCTTAATGTGTCCACTAGCACCTCCTTGTGAGAAACTGAGGTGAATCTGCAAAAAGTTTAAATAATTTATATTCTCCATCAAGTCTAATATAAAAAGGGCCTCTAAAATGAAAACAAACCACTCACCATCAGTGGGGAGATATGCAGATCATCGTAATAGGCCTTCTGAGTTGAGGCAGCAGTCGTGGCGACCTTTTCTTGAAGTTTTGGCTTGGCCAATTCCAGATCTTTCGCAAAGATTTCGGGGGTATAAGTGGCCTTATTCACTTCATTACTGCTCAGCTCCATCAATGCGAACAACAGTCCTTTATCCACTCTGACAGCGAATTCCTGTACCAACACATGGAGATACTTGATCTGGGTGACCTTCGAATGTTCCGATTGGGACATAATGAACGAGACTTCGGTGAAGGGTTTCGGCTCTAAACAAACCATAAAAAAATAAACTAAAACCCACCATTATCAGCGACAATCGACCTTGGCGGTGGTACTACGGCCAAGACAACGGGGAAAACGCATGAAGGGATCTAAAGTTACATTATAACCAAACTTTCTTTCAAATTTCACCAATTTTTGTGTAAAATGATATCGAAAACCTACCAAATTGTCAATTTGAAGATGATTAATCTTGAGATGCATCTGTGTCTGATGCAAGGACTGTCTGTACTGTAGCCAGAAACCAGTCTGGAAGGATCTTCTCACCGAGACTTCAGATTTCCCCTTCCTTTTCATTATCATATGAGCAAAATCAATGTCCGTTCCATCGCAATTGCATTTCTCATCCGGCTTTCCCTTCGAAAGCCATTCCTGATACTTTGCCTCGATATCATTCATCAATTTGACAGTCAAAGGCTTGAATCTGTTCCTCGGTTTGTGTTCCCAGATCAGTCCACTGGAGGACATGGACAAGTACAGGATTTCGATGCCGTGGAGGTTATTCACGAGGGAAATTCCCAGTCCATGGAGGCTGAAAATAAATATCACATCATATTCCGAGGTTCCAGTACAAACACTTTCCCAAATCATCAGCAATTTCATATTATCTTACCTAAAGTCCACTTGCATATTGATTCTCTCCACCTCGTAGGCTTCTTTGGCGGTTGTGGCAACACTCAAATCCTGCGTAAAGAGGACGGTCCTCTGTCTTCCATTGAGGAAACATGCCCAATAATAGAAGATCCTCCTCGATTTGTCCGGTTCATAAGATGCGAGATCAGTGCGGACAAGTGAAAGATCGGACGAGAAGTCCCCGGAACTCCATTCGATCTTCTTCTCGCTGACACAGAGGTCCGAATAGGTGAATATCCTTTGCTCCTGAGGCTTCAATTCGAATGCTTTATCCTTCTCCACTCCCTTTTGACAGATTTTGATGGGTTTGTCAGTGTCATTGATAAGTAAAGCTGAGGCCATTCCGGGCTGGAAAGACTCCACCGAGACGACCGAAGAGCTCTCGCCCACCGAACAGGTCACATAGAATCCAACATGCTACAACAACAACAGATAAACCATCAAATTATATTACACTAGACCACTTAATCTCCATGGCACTTACACATCCATTGGTAGGGCAGAATTCTTCAAACTGCTCGGTGAACGGAAAGACGGCAGTCTCTTCTTGATCTCCTTTGTATCGGAGGGACATCAACTTCTTGGGAGTGTTCTGGGTGGGCCACAAACAAACACAAGTGTTCGGCTCCACTTCCAGCCATCGATCCGAGTTCTGTTCTCTCAATTCGATGGGGAATTTGGTGTTGTTATAGAGCAAGTAGAAAGCAGTAAACGTGACAATCTTCGTCAGACCAGAATAAGTAACATTCACTTCCACAGTCACCTAAAATTAAAAAAATTCTCATTTTTTCCTCAAAAAAGACTAGTTTGTAGCCAAGTTTCCTCTAAAAAGTATACCAATGTCTCCCTTACCTCATATTCTCTTCCATCGCTCGATTTGCACTTGACTCTTCCAGCATGACCAGCAATATCCAACGGAAATTCATCGCTCAAGGCGCTGTTCTCCACCCTCAGGCGGCACTTCTTTTTAGGTCTGAATTTCTCTTCCGCGAATGGTAAGAGAACCGGATTCTTGTGTGGCTCGTGAATCAGCTCAATATCGGCCTAAAATACGAATTATTAAACCAAAATCTAAATTCACAATCCTGCATTTCCCTCAGAAAAAAGCAAAAAAACGGGAAAAGGCAAGCCAAAAATGAGAAAAAATGGAAAAGGGACAGAAAAAAAACAGGCCAAAAATACAGTAACCCGGGATTAGTAAATTAGGATTGGAAAAGAAGGAAAAATGGAACTGGCATAAGATTAACTGAGGAATCAAGCCCTGGGGCTAAAACGAACTAAAATACGATAAAAATAATAAACCAATTTCTCCTTCAAAACTATCAAAACAAAATAAAATACGATTTCAAATATTTAAAAATTCAAAAAAGTGACAAATCCGTCCGCAACCTAACCTGAGAGAGTCGGCGATTTTCAGGAGTTGATCGGCCGCTGATGCAACTATTGCAGCGACGCCCGCCGCTCAGACCGTAACGACGCGCCAACCACAGATCCTAAACAAAAATAGAATATTCGGGGCGAGAAAAGATGTTCAAGATGAAACACAACAATTCATTCTCGACATACAAGGGGCGGCAATTTTTTAGCCGAATTTGAACTCGACCGTTCCTGAGAAACAAGCGTGGATTCGTATAACACATTCGATATAAACAAACGGAAGATTCTGAGGATTCAAAAAAATCTAAACATTTCGCCAAAAAAAAGAAGTTACAGCCAATTCAAAATTGGCTGAAAAATTGCCGCACCCTGTATATACATGATTACATTACACATGGCAAAAGTGAGGTTAAATCGGGTGAAAACGGTCAATAAATTAAATATTAAAGAAGGGCGGGGTGAGGTTATTAGTCATTTAATTTTGGATAAGACATCTAAAAAGCTACAATTCGTAATACGTGCATTAAAAATCACAATATTACCTATAATATCAAAATTTTTAATGAAAAATTCAATTTTCATTTTCAGCACTTTCTATTGCCCACAAATCACCAGTTTTTCATCTTCCGCAAACATTTTTTTCATTCTCCGCAAGTTACTGTATTCTACTCATACTTTCGAGTGAGTCTACACTCTGCATAGAAAACCTAATCATATTGTAAACGGTGTCGATGATTACTAAAGCAAAAAAATGCCAATTTTAATACATATGTTTTTCTTGTACACTAGAAGAGTTCTTGTTACTTTAGACACCAAATGGATGTCATCTTGAGGAAACTTTCTGCATTTTATTTCATTTGCGGGCAAGAAAAACCAGGATTTGCGGACAATGAAAATGGCGTCGTTTTCAAAAATATAGTGATAGCGGTGAGAAGCACTGATCAGAGATCGTAGCAGTAAACATAAAAAACGAATCACAAAATGCAAACTGTTCTCTACTTTCTCTAATCTACCGTCTCAAGTCTAAAATAATATCGCCCTGAACCCACCAGATAGGCCAACGTCTTCCCAGTGCTGTTCACAATCCAATACGGAGAGTAAATCTCGCATTCCTTTCGCCTGTGTTGCGTTGTCCAATGGAGGCCGAGATTCTGGAAACATATTATCCATGGCATAAAAACCCACCAACTCGCTCTCTTCATCTCCTCGTTTCTTCAGTGAAACAACTTCCAATTCATCTTGATCTCTCTTCAAATGCATTGTGACTTCATATTCTCCATCATTGTCAATCTAAACAGCATATTATACATGAGAACAGATGTCAACTCTCAAGTGTAATATAATGATAACCCACCCAGAACGACAGTTCCTGTTCGGCTATTAGATTCAATGGGACATCTTCTCCGCCCTTGAGGGTCTTTTCCACCGGCGAGGTCAAATGCACTTCCATTGGAAGCAAGTTTCTGAAGAACAACGGGGGGTAGAGGTGGACGGTGAAGATCTTGTCGACAAATTCTTTTCCAGTTTCTCCGTGCACATCTTCTGCTTCCACAACAGCGTCAACAAAGAGGCCAGTCCTTGGATTGTCGCTCCGGTCGCATCTGACAATGAATCGTTGTGTCTGATCGAATTCATTCCAACTGATGCTCTCGGCCGATGTTTCATATAAATCATTGCCGGGACGGAAGAAGAATTGACCCGTGGCTGTGTACAATTGTTCCAGTGGGACATGAAGAGGGGTCTCCGAGTTGGGGTCAAGTGTTCCACAACTGTCAAGATTCGTATCATCTCTCATCGAGTAGATTTCAATGGGGACATCCATGTGATTCACAAACTAAAACAAGGTTAATTTTACCAGCATTCCCAAACCCCAACTCAAAAGCTGAACTTTCACCAACTTACATTGACCAGTGACTGCAATGTGACAACTTTTCGTCCACTTTCAATGTCCGTATCAACCACAAACGACCACTGTTTTCCAGAATCGGCATGTTTTGGCAGCCTGATACATCTTTTGATGGCCCTGTGGACGTCCACTCTTCTGTGAGTATCCAATAACTTCAGTAATAGGTCCGTTCTTCGTCTGTCTTCTTCCGGTTGAAGGCCCACTTTCTGTTCCCATCCAATTGGGTTCAATTCGACATAATCTCCATGAGTTGCATCAATGGCTTCGCCGGTGTCATTCACCTTCATAGTATCCGAATTCAGGACTTGGACATGGATTCCGGTCTCATTCTTGATCAGATAAGGGCTTGTCCCTGAAAATGGGCCATCAAAACCAAGATTACATAACAAAATCTTGCAAAATCATCTTATCCTTACCAGGCAGGTCCTTTCTTTTCGGTGGAGCAATCTGTTTGGCCGCCTTTTCGAATACTTCTCCAAGATGAGTTGTCAATTGGATAAAGCTCTTCGTGACGGTCATATTCATGAGTTCCGAGGCCGAGACGTCGACGGTCATCTTGGGTGGGGGCATTTTTCCCTCGCCCGCCTCTTCTTCGGAATGAGTTCGGACTTGGGCCTTCAACTGCCAGGGTTCCCATTCTCCATTCTCTCTTTGGATCGGCTCAATCACAGGCTCCCAGACCGAGAAAGTTTCATTGAAGTAGCTCATTTGTAGTTTCAGGACACTGTCCACTTGCATTCGCCCCGACCAATCGGAGATCGAGCCCTCGAAGCCGGATTCGATCAGGATCATAGGGATCGTGCCATCGTCGACGTCGGCTTCCACGGTGATAATGAACTTCTCAATTACAAAGCTCGCCTAAAACAGCAAAATTATTCGTCTTCCCAAAAAATTTTTTTTTGTACATTAAGCAAATCTCACCGTTTCCAAGAAAGGACAGGCTTCCACAATATCCAATTCAGGTTTAAAGTCATCTGCGGCGTCTGTCGCGACCTCGGTGAACCACCAATACTCTCCATGTTCCAATTTCTTGGGCTCCCAATAATTCGGATGTTGTTTCAGGACGGCTTTCGTCGACGATTGTTGATCAATCACTTGTTTGTTGGCTGAGAACGATGATGCAACTGCGCTGAGAAGTAAGATGACAGCTGGTGAGACCTTCAGATGGATAGTGTCAATGCAGATTGCAAAGTCTTGGGCTTTGGTCACATTATTGATGGATCCGCTTAGAACAACATCAAGTTTTCTGAGGACATAACGATGGGCCAGGTGACGTTTGTTTTCGGCAAAGTAAGTCGAGACGATCTGGAGGTTCTGGATGCGAGCATCGACTTGTTGGACATTATCTTGCTGTAAAATCGGTCAAATTATATCGCAAATACCCTCTCATTGCCCTAACAAGGGCTCGGCAAAACCTCGTCCCCTGGTTTTATCTTGAAACATACACCATTCGAAAGAGCGTAAAAAACTGGTCTAGGATCACCTTGAATTAGCTGCTATTATCCACTTACGGGCTGGCTAGCGGGCATTTTCTAAAATTTCCAATTTGGATTTCGGAACTCTTTGCTTCTGAGACGTGAACGAGATCGAATAATCACTTTTCATATAAATATTAGTCATTTATGAGGTTGAAGCTTCAACCTATGTCAAAAAATACAAAAGGTTTTCTGAGTTTGAGACATTCAGGTTGATGTACTCAATGAGTGATTGCGCGATGTTTTAGGTCCTGTAACTCAAGACAAACGAAGATGTTCCAAACATATAAGATGTTTTCAGACTCAATTTTTACGTACTTTCCGTTAGCGGGCATTCCTAGTAAAAATATGAAAGCCTTCGAAAGTTTCGACCACCCAGGATGTCCCACTACAAGGTCAAAGAGGCCAAAATAAAAAAAAAGAAAAAGTTGTAGTTTTTTCTATTAAAATGGACCTGAGTATACACAAAGGTGTATTCAAAAATTAAACATAACTTTCTGACTCTATTTGTTCCATACTAGCCAGAAAAATTAAAAAATTCAAAAGAGGATTCGAACCCGCTTCGCAGGTCCTTGAGCAGCGCCTTTCCCCACTAGGCCACCGAAGCACTGCTTCGGTTTGCTTTTGAAATCGATCGCGTTTGTTTTCTCAAAATAAGGGTGAGACTAGCCTAGAACTAAAAAATTCTCGCTAGCCAGCGCGTAAGTGGATAATAGCAGCTAATAAAAGTCGCTTCTAGACCAGTTTTTTACGCTCTTTCAAATGGTATATGTTTCAAGAAAAAACCAGGGGACGAGGTTTTGCCGAACCCTTGTAAGACTTTAAAATTCTTGCAAAACTTACATTGGTGACATCCGATTTGCACGAGAATGACAAGATCAGTGCCTGAGAGTTGTCTGGATCAGTTGAATTCTCGATCAAAATCACTTCAATGTCCTGAATTCGGGCCTTCAAAGTGATGGCCGGGGATGGTTTCCCCGGACACGTCTCGGTTGTCGCCGCCGGTTTATTGGTTGTTCCACTCGGAGTTGCACTCAACGCCGGTCTCTTGATCAACATCGGGTCCGTATCATCTTCTTCCGGAGGTTTTGGGACCACAAAGAAGTTCGAAAGAGCCCCCAAGAACTCGGGGCACAAGTACAGGAAGAAGGAAGATGAGGTCAAATCAATTTGCTTGTCGCCCTTCGCATTCTGCTCAAACTTCATGGAAACAAACAGGGAATTGGGCGTGCCCGAGTGTTTTTTGTCCATCAAGCGACTAATTTTGGTTTGATCCGACGGTCTGCGATCGTCCATTGTGAAACTGCGCAGGGATAAACTCATATCAATGGCGCCTTGTTCTGTCATCCAACCCGACACCTTCAGCTGGGCAATGTTCATTTGACCGAACTTGTGGTTGTCTGGACGGCTCACAGTGCCTTCTGAGTTCTGAAACAAAGGTTTTTAGTCTCCTTATTCACAACAACACATCTATGATAATGTAAATCAAACTAAAAAAAGTTCGCATCCTTACCTCCAACCCAGATCCTCCAGTATACAATCTCGCGTCGATTTCATCCATTTGAAACTGGAAGACGATCCTCTTGTGATCTGTAGCATCCTTCTTTTTCTCATCTTTTTTCTCTTCGGCCTTCTTTGCTGGAGTTCCTGGCTCCACATCCACCTCAGCCCCAATATCCTGCCTCTCTTCTTCTGGCCCCATTTCTTCCACTTGTCCAACGGCCACGAATCTCTTGGGCGGAGGGGGAGTTCCTTCTCCAAGATTTCCAGCCAAAGTGTGCATCACCAAAGTATAGTCCTGCTGGGCCATGGAGACATCAATTAATGGGAGATGAGCGTCGACAGCAATCTCTGGGAGGTCCTTGTGTGTCGCAAATGACAGGTTTCGATGGATTGTGAGGGTAAAAGTCAGCGGTTTCAGCATGTTACACTTGGCGGCGACGTCCAAATTATCCTTGGCAATCCGAGCAGCAGCAACGTGGACATCCTACAATTAAAATGCATAGAGATCACCAAGAACAGCCTATAATCCCCCAACTTCACTCCACTTGCCTTGATTTGGATGACCATACTATCCACTACAGCCCCGTGTTGAACACTGAATCCATTTTTAACCACCAATTTACCCAGATCCAGCCAAAGGGCCTGATCGGAGGTGGATAAACGAGGGATGACAATGGCCGGGGCGTTCAATTCCACGTCCAATCTGATTCTCTGAGGGTTGTTTTCCAGCATTTCCCGGACATTCATCGCGGCTTCCGATGCCTTGGCCTGGGCGGCTTGTTGGGCTGTAGCCGCAGCAGCGGCGGCTTCTTCTTGGAATGGGGAGATCCAATTCTAAAACAAAATACATCATCAACGTGAATACGAAACTCACCAGCATTCTATTCAGCCACAAATTGAGGAAAACAAATCTCATTTGGGCGAATCTCATTCTGACGGTCATGTCATGCTCGTTGGTCGACATATTCTTCCTCTCATTGTCGGTTCTGATCAACTGAACAAAGTCCAAAATGAACATATCCACTTGATTCTCATGCTTGGGTAGCTGAACGATCATCAAATGTTTGTGAGTTGCATTGGGGGTCTCATCGATCATCTTGATGTCCCTCAGCGATGCCTTCACGGCCGTTTCCTTCGGCTTCATGAGGACGGCGGCCTTTGCCCCGGAGATGTCCAACGAAGTGTCGGGGCCTTTGCTCGAGCCAATCAGGAGTCGCAGAGAGATTATATTCGCATTCAACTCCATTTTGGTGAGATTTTCATCCACCGATTCCTGTTTTTGGACAACTTTCTTCTTCTTTTTGGCGGCCGCGGCCTTCTTCTTGTTGGGGTCGTTGGTGTTATAGGACGATGCAAAACTCAAAAGACTAAACGAGAAAAATTCATTTCAAACTATAAATTTTCACATTCTCACCTGACTTTGCCCATGCTGACTTTTCTGCTGAGTTTTCTCCCATTCGGATCCCTCGATTCATCCAGTTTCTCATACTTTTTCTGAACCTCCGCCAGTTCTTTTTGCAACTTCTCTCCATAACTTTTCAATTCGATCAGTGCCTCCTGATGTAGAGTTACATTTAAAGTTTCGAAATTGAAATTAATGAACTGTTCCGTTGATTTGTACTCCGTCTTGAAGAAGGGAGACTCCTTGTTGGCCTGGATGAAAGTCATCCGCATTAAATGATCTCCTTCGGCATGGAAATTGTCAATCAAATAGAGGGTCTGTCTGTTGGGGAGGAGGGATTGGAAGGTGGGCATCTCCACAGTAAGACTACCGAGATGGGTTTGGACCTTCATGTCGTTGGTTCTCATCTGGAACCCAAACCCGAGTTGTCGGATATTGGCGGACAATAAGACTGACAGTCCCCGGCAAACCTCTACTCCAATTTGGTTCAACTTTAAGTTGACGTCGATCTAAAAACAGCAAATATAGACCATAAATCGCTATAAACACATGCATTGTCCCTAAAAACTGACCTGAACCATTTGTTCTCTCTGAATGCTCGATTCTTTCTGGGTGTTATCCACATATTCCCTGGAGCTGAGCAAAGCTTCCTCTCTATCAGCTCTTCTCACCGCATCCTCATCAAGTTCATTGACTTCCATAATCGCTCTCATCTTGGCTCGATCTCTCAGATTTCCAGCATGAACCGGCTCCACCTTCGCGGCCAGATCAACTTCAGGTTCGGCTTCGCCCTGCGGCACTGGAATGGAAAGGCCAAGCCGGGCCAATTCAATCAATCGTTCGTCCGAGATTTTGACGACCACATCGGGAAGGGTTCCATACAAACGGAGTCTAAAAAAATTATATTATCCTTGTAATAATAAACTTACTTTGGGATGTTCAAATCATCGATTGAGCTCTTATGGAGATCCAATTCCAATCCAGTAGGTTTCAGGATGTGGCAGGGAGAAGAGGGATCAACTCTGGCATTCATACACTCATCAAAGGAATGACCGAACAACAGCTGCATATTAGACAACTTGATATCGAATTTATCATAAGCCTTGATCATCAATTCCCTCAGGCGCTCATCCCTGACGTCTTGATACGAATCCGCGGAGACGTCATCGGTCGTTTGGATGGTGAGGACTCCAAGTTCAGTGACCAAATTTGATTTCTGTGCATCGAAAACCCCACCTTCACTGACCACAATCGTCGCCGGATCGATTCGAATGTCCAACTTGAGCTTGGACTTCTGGTCGACCGCGTGTTGAAGGCCAGACACTGACCGGGCTTTGACATCCTCGTATCGGGCGAGGGCAGCGGCTGTAAGCCTAAAAACCGTAACGTCAAATTTTGATCAAAAAAAAATATTAAAAATCTCAACGCATTTGAGCTCAACGAAATACTTACTGATTGAGTCTGACCGATTCTGGAGGCTTGAAAACTTCTGCAGCGGCGTTAATGGCCGGTGCGTGATATCTGAGGATAGTCGGGCTAATAAACAATCCCACAAATTGATCGTATTCTCCATTCAGAGGATTTGTAATGACATCCAGCTTCAACCAGTCCGTTTTCTCGTCCAATAAAGATAACATCGGGGTGCCGCAGCCACTCATCGACAGGGACTTGACCGATGATTTGAGGCTAAAACCAGAAATCATCACATTGCGCCATAAAGAAATAAAAACCAAAAAAACTTAACATCATGTTATACTTGCCTGATAGCCCTGGCCGAGGGTCTTTGTTCGAACCGTGCTCCAATATCGCTCAACTTCAGCTCCAGAGCATCTTCAACAATAATCGCGACAGTCTTCAGTGATGCTTTCACTCGGTTCTCCACAAATTCCTTTGGATAATCCGTTGGAGGGGTGTTCTCCTAAAACAATGTAAAAAATCTTCCGTATCTCCTTACCTGATAATCGATGGCCTCAAAGAGTTTGGCCTTCTCTTCTGGAGTCATTGCTTGCTGGAATTTCTCGGCAATCTCATTGGCGTCGGCATTCTTGCTCGGTGGGGCAGCCGAATTTCCCCCTCCCCACCAGCTCTTGGCCCAGCCAGTCCAACCCTGCGGCTGATCTTCCAGGCGGGTTAATCCCTTCCGATCAATCTCCATTTCGGCTTGTTGGCGGGCAATGTTCAGATTGAACACGTCCAATTTCTTTTCCGCATTCTAAAACACAAAACTTTGTATTCTCCTTCCCGGCAGATGTCAAAAAAGAAACGAAATCCTCTTACCTCAATGATGTTCGAGATCTCGGTGGACAAAGTCTTCTCCGTTTGCTTCATGACCCATGCTTTCTTGTATTCCCTGACCAGATTTCGATGTTTTTTCATTCGATGCCAAGACCAATTGTTTTTCTTTCGTCTGATATTCTCTTCCAAAATGCAAGTATACGCAAATCTCCACCTAAAACCATCACTAATTTCTTCTTTAAACTCTCAACTCACCATTCCTTGTAATGTCCTTTGTATTCATTCAGATGCGGGCGATATTTCAAGTACCTGGCAGCCAGATTGAACCTCTCCTGCGCTTCCAAAAACAGCAGTATATCTTGGTACTGGAATCTCCCAATACAAAGGGCCAACCGCTCCAATTCCACGCCCAAATCCACCTTAGGAGTCTGCCAATTAGTGCCGTCGCTCTCTGGTTTCTGATTCAACTTTAGTTTGGCGTCCATCCGAATCGGTTCCAAGATGTATTTGTAATCTTTAGGCCGCTTGTCGGCCGAACTGATCGTCTCCAAAAGGGCCGTTCTGATCGCTTTTCTGTCATTCAGATCGGAGATAAGTTGGGTTCGAGAGTTCCAATAGATGGCGAGATCTTGAAGGTTGACTAATTTGTAGAAGATTTGGAGGGTCTCCTTGTGAATAGTCGCTTTGAAATCCTTGTCCGTCGTCCAAAATAATATAATTTTATTATCTGTAAAATAATTATATTTACCTGAAAATCGAGGGATCCCAGACTGATACCAGCAGCAAATGGTCGTCTCCTGTCCGTGTATTTATCTTCATATCGAACATGAATATTCTTGATATGAACTTGAAGGTTCTTGATGACCTGAGCGACCAATTTTTCGGTGAAAGTGTCGGCTTGAGGGTCTTTTGGCTCTAAAAAGACACATAAAGCATTAAAATGGCAGTTTTATAAATTACTGAACAAAAATTTACAGTGCACATGACAAATTTTACATTATCCTGGACTTACTCCTCCTATTCTTCCTGTTCTCCTCCAACCTCGCCAACTCCTTCTGTTTGGTCTCATTATCGTTCTTTTTGGCCTTGGCCTCGTCATAGACAACTCCTTTATTTGGCACAACAACCAGGTAGAGACCTTCAATATTGGCGATCACCGGCTCCGTATACAAATTCTTCCATGGAATTTTGAGGACCAAATTGTCCAAACACCCAAACTTGAGCTTCACCGGGAGATCCAGCTGATCCATGGCCGTCTCTTTGACATCCAAATTTGTGAGTTTGACATCGCCTAAAGCAAAATAAAATTTGTTTTAAAAAATAATTAAAATGTCAAGCACAATAGAAAGAGTCCCCTACCTCCCCAAATCCCGATATTCAACTGTGATGCGTCGAGATTGTCGACGAAATCGCCGAGAAATCGATTTAATAAATCGGCGACTACACTTTCGAATACCATTTCTGAAAAAAGCCCAAATTAGAGGACCGAAAAGGTTTGCACAGAAGTAAAACCACGTTCAAATGAAAACAACGGATTTTAATATTCAGTGGCTCCACGAGCTGAATCATCCAATTTTAGAAACAAATCTTACACTTTCGAAAGGAAAAAAGTTTGGGAAAAAACAAGATAAACAGTAAAATAAATATTGGGAGAAGTAATTACCTTTACTCAATTTACAATCACATCCACCGCTCGGCGAGAGATTGATAAAAACGAGTGGAAAATTGGAAAAACAATCAAAAAAACGTAAATGTTAGGTAAAATTAAATTTTTTCATGAATAAACAAATAAGAAACCGTCTTCTTACGAAAACGTATGTCTAAAGCCAAAAAAATCCGACGAAAACAACTCGAAAACAACTCATTTCCCTCTCCTTCCCCTATCATAATATTCAGACACAAATAAACACCTAAGGGCCTGTTTTCCGCCCCGATTTGATAAAAGCGGGCTTTCAAAATACCAAAAAGTGTCCAAACGACAATAAAAAAATGGATTGCTAAGAAAGAATACAAATTTTTTGATCTGAATCATCCAAATTTACATTGTTTTAGGTAAAAACCAAAACATTTTTTATATTCCAAGTCTTCTCGTGCCCATAAAAAGACCGGGCGCGCCCTAGAAAACAACAAAAAACAAAACAAACATCCGAATTGAATTTCGCAAGCTGAAACACCAAAAGCTACCTAAATTCTTTATTTTTAATCCAATTTTCGGCTGAAAACGTATGGAAATTCAGAAACGGACAAACAGAGAGCAAAACAGGCATCACGAAGTCTCTCTTCATCTTCATTACATTTCTCTTCTGACTCATTTAACTCGGTTTTAGACCTCTTTTTGCATTTGTTTACCCCAAGAAAGCGAAAAAATTTGAAATTCATGGAGAAAATAAAATAAATCAATTGCAACGCCCTTGAAAGAATAGTCTGATGCACCTTATCCCTCCAACATTCCCAACGTCTGTTGTGAACGAGCTTTGGAACGTTGGAACGGCGAGAAAAAACAAGAGAAAATTATTTTCGTAAACAAGAAAAGACTTGACCCATAACGGGGAACACTTGACACAAAAGGGATTTTGTTGCGTAAATGCGTGCAATGGCATGAATGTAAAGTATGATGACTCATAACGAGAAATTGTTTTTATATAGGTATTTTTAGCAAGGTTTTCACAAAAGGCAACATCATTCCTGATGTTATTCATTAATTTTTAGATATTTTTTGGCTAATTTTTGATGAATAGAGAACACAGCCGACATCCAGACCCAAAAGAGATCTCCATGGATCACTTCTACCCCCAACTTTTTGAACGTTTGCCTCCAATTCCCCTTTGAAATTGTTTTAAATGGCGTTCCAAACAGAAATCTTCGAACCCATTTGAATGGAGAGAGTCCAGACCGAAAGAAGCCGCGGTGCAGCGGTCTTTTTGTTTTGATCTCCCTGGTTCAACAGAAAAGCATAGGATGCTCAGATAAACATATTTTGCAGTAATAGCACTACTTTTTATTATACTAACTGTTCTATGTTATACTGCACATACTGTTATACTGTATGTAAAAGTCAATAGTCCAATATTTTGCTATAATATAAATGCATCGTGGAGAGTGTTTCTTTCTGTTTATGGTCGCTCGTAAAATTCAAATCGTGCCCCGATCCCTGCGCTTCGGCGGGGTTTAATGAGAAAAGGCAATCTAAATTTGAAAACAAGTGGGGATGAGTAATACGTTTATTGTACTTTTAAGCTTTGTGATATGGAGCTGGCCCTCCACGAGGGGGACAAGGGCAGTAGGCAGCGTCATTTCCGGGGACTCCCATGGCCCCAGGCTGAAACAAATTAGATGTTTTTCTATATTACATACACATGATGATATCGGAAGAAACTTGATTTCCTTACCAATCCGGGTGCTCCCGGGTTTCCTGGCTGTCCGGGAGTTCCTGGAGGTCCCATGGGTCCAGGCGATCCCATACTTCCCATCCCTCCGGGCATTCCAGGCGAGCCGGGAGGTCCCATTGATCCCATTGAGCCAGGGGGTCCAGGTGGGCCAGGCATAGAGCGGATTCTACTTCCACTTTGACCTGGAGCGCCTGGTCTTCCGTCGCTTCCCGGGTTTCCTGGAGCTCCCATATCTCCGGGAGGTCCCATCAGGCCAGGCGCGCCTTGTTGACCGGGGCTTCCGGGTGCTCCAGGCATTCCAGGAGGACCAGGCTGGCCGACCCCGCCCATTTGGCCCGGACTCCCTGGAGGTCCCATTGGGCATTTTATACAACCATTGTAGCCATTGTTGGTGGTCAGGGAAACTCCTGGCGCTCCAGGACGACCGTCCATTCCTCTAGGGCCATCATCTACATTTCAGATGTCATTAATAATATAATTTGTATTTTGATACGTAAAAGTATTTAGCTTACCTCCAGGCAATCCCGGGGTTCCTGGCGGGCCAGGCGGGCCGGAGGGGCAATTTTGCGCTCTTCTTCCACAGTCTAAAAATCAAAATTTAATGGTTAACATAATATGTCATCATAAAAAATTTAGATTACTGTTATTTTGACTGTTACTTACTGCATTGAGGCGCGGCTGGTGCGGGATTGTAAGAGGGCTGAGGCATTGGTTGTGGCATGGGTTGGGGACCGGGATTATAGCGAGGCTGGGCATAATGACCGCCTCTTTTCTCCCTGAACAAGGATTCGAAAGGATTTGGGGTAAACTGATGCCTGGAGGCAAACTGACTGGGAACTTGGCCTTGGAGAAAAATCATCTCATTCCAGGCGTCATTTGCAATATTCTGAATCTCATTTTTATATTCTAGTGTGAGTAAAGCAAAACGAAATACCTGAAATTCCTTCATTTCACCCATGATTTCCGTTTGTAAATTGTAAATGTCTTGGAAAAGCACTCCAATTGTAAGCAATGAGCAGACAATCACGGCGCCAGAGCCAAGAGTAGCCACCCAGATAGCTACTCCACTCTTGGTTAGAGTATTATGATTATCTGTGACCTGTGATGAGGTCATCTAAAAAGTAAAAACAGTAACGGAAGCTAAAAAATTCTCGTAAGCTCAAGTAAACGATGACAATTAAATACCAGGCAACAAGTTAAAAGTGTTTGCTATTTATAAGTCAAAACTTCTCTAAAAATTGTCGATTAGCCAGGTTATGAAGTTGCGTAACCGGAAACCACACAATGACCAGACATATTACTTCATATTGTAGTTCTCTCCTCCCTAATTATCCACTTGGCGTCGTTTCCGCATAAACCGACTAGAAACTTTTGTAACTTTGTTGCGCAACTCATTATTTCCGGTTTATTGGGTTCAGGGAACAAATTATTCAACATTTTTGTCCGGATATTGAGATAGGGCTTGTAGATGACTTCAATTTTCGCAGACTTTGACCAAATTTGTGAAAACGATCTACCCGCCATAGTTTCCAATCGTCACTCAACAATTCTCTTTTCATGATATAAAGGCTTAAATATCCTCACATTGGTCGCTGCGATGCCTGGAATCGAGTACAAGAAGTATTGTAAAAGTCGTCATCGTCAATCAGAGGTATGGCGGCATCGGACGCGCGTATGGCCAGTGAATTTCTCGTGTCTCTTGTTTACTAGGTTTACAGCGCAAAAAATGTCGACATTGAATTTTAAAATTCATTGCCAAAACAGCTCGAAAATCTCGGAAAACCAGTACGGACCTTGAAAAATTGCTGCAGTACGAAGATTAGGTGTTGTGCACTGATTTTGAACTTCTGTGACGTTTTTTTACAACGGTTTTTATCGCTTTCAAAAAGTTCCAATATAAGATCCAAGCTTTTTACGTATTATGATTCATTAGCGAACATAAAACAATAACTTTAAATAACCCAGAATAGCAGGAAACATACTAATAGATATGAAAAGATAATAATTAAGAGTAACTGTATTATAAAACAACACATAAAGGTCACAAAGCAAATTGAAGCATCTTGATAGGTGATTTCGATAGGAAGACATGTAAGATATTGTCTACTCATTTTCCGGATCAATCTCTAGAAAAAATTAAGTTATTGTAGAAGGGATTATAAAAAAATATTATATATAAAAGAAAGGTTAGGATATAAATAGGTACAACGAAGTACAAAGACACAGTGCACAGAATCTAGGGGTCAAAAGCGGTTCAGATTGCATCCACCAGGAACATCCAAATACCGCCAAATACCTCCCTCTCTGACCAAAAATAACGCTTTCGGTCAGAGGGAGGTATTTGGCGGTATTTGGAATGCTTCCTGGATGAAATCGGAAGCGCTTTTGACCACTGGAGCCAGTCCCGCTCTGTATTAATGGGGTAAAAAATAGCGTTATGTGAAAAAAATTAGACATCCGGCGAGCCTAATATGCCCAGCCGGGATACCTATGCTCATTGTAATAATAATTCTCGGGTAATTTCAAATTTCGAGCATAAATCTCAGGATATTCTTTAATTTCTTGTTGTCCCAAGTAAGCGTCTTCATTACCTCTTGGCACGCCCCACGCAACATGAGGATACATTCCCCGCTGGCATGATTTCACTCGAATAATCGTCCCAAAGAAGGTTTGTCCTCGCCTCGAGTTGTCAATGTCTCTTGCAATGGCCCGCGGAACAAACGACGTTTCGACCAGGCAATTCGTCTTCTGATCAAAGTTCATTGGGACATAGAGCTGGACTACGACCTAAAAATAGGACAAAGTTTAGAAAATGTTGTACAATTACTTATAAGGGAAATGTTCGAAGTGCGGCGCTCATCCGTTTGCACTCTTGTTATTGTGCGTGAAGTACGTGAAGTGCGGAAAGCGGCCAGAGTTAAATTCCTAAAAATTTTCTCTCGCGGTTTGCAGGGACAGCCGAGATATTCGACAATAGAAAACAGGATTTTTTCTGTTCTTCGCACTTCACGCACTCTGTTGGAGGCAAATATTGTTGAATATTGACTGTCCCTGCAAACCGCGAGCTAAAATTTTCAGCAATTTAACTCTGACCGCTCTCCTCACTTCACGTTCTCTCTTACCAACAAAATCGTTGAAATCTTTCGACTTTCCCTTTTGCAAAAAAAAATTCCTTAACAAATTGGGAAATTTTTTACTAAACCTGAGCGCATACTTCGAACATTTCTTATGTCAAACGCGCCCAAGTCTTCTCCTCCACTTACTGCGCATTGTTTATGAAAATTCACGGGTGTTGCAAGGAATGGCACTTGGGTCTGATCCACTCGCGCAACGAACTTGGCTCTCAACGCCGCGCCACTAAAAATAACGCCCATTATTAGAAGTAAATTTCAAAAAAAAAAAAAAAAAAAAATTTCCTAACTTACTGCAATGGGACTAAGCATTTGACCCATATCGCCAGTTCTATGGGCACATGTACGTCGACCAGGTATACTTCGTGGAGTAGTTCCGGGTTGTAAACTTTCGCTTCTTGCGTGTCCTCCTTATAACAAACGACAAGTGCAATGATCTCTTTGGTTTGGGCGAAGCCGTTGCAAAATAAGGCGCGCTGTTCAGGTTTGGCCAACAGGGGCTCTCGCAATTCGTTGTAATAGGCTTAAATTAGACAACTCAAGAGTTAGAACCAAAAACTTGGGAAAAAGTTCAACTTCGAAAATTTTTCGTACAAAAAATCTCTATGATTTCTTCAAAACGCGAACCGAAAGGTCTAAAATGTGTCTTACAAATCTCCACTGCATTTTTGGCTTCATGGAAACTCGACGGAGTGAAATAGGACAGAGTGAAACTCGACAGAAGGAAATTCGACAGAGTATGGAAATTGGACAGGGGGAAACTCGACAGAGGGAAGCTCGAGAGATAGTTTCACTGCAAAAAATAATTCTTTGATAATAAAAAGATTCAATAGTGACAGTTCTTATCATTGCAGTGAAAAAAATCTGTCGAGTTTCCCTCTGTCGCGTTCCCCGCTGTTCAAGTTCCATACTCCGTCAAATTTCCTTCGGCCGATTTTCACGCTGTCCAATTTCACTCTGTAGAGTTTCCATGAAGCCAAAAATGCATAATGGAGATTTGGAAGACATATTTTAGATTCTTTGGTTCGTGTTTGCAGAAATTATCGAGATTTTTTGTACGAAAAATTGTCGAAGTTGAACCTTTTCCCCAAGTTTTTGGTTCTGACTCTTGACTTATTTCCATGCATTTTTCACAATTTTTTTTATTTTTTTCAAACCCCCTACCCAACATCCGCGTTCTGAGTCCTATGTCACCCGACTCGGTTGGCTTATTATAGGTGAATCGATCCTTTTTATACCATGGCTTCGGTTTTTCGGCTGGAGGTTTCAATGTGGGTCCATTCAGGACTTTGATGATTCCCGTTCCATTCAGTGGCTCGTGGCGTTCCCTCTTCAATCTGCGATCCTGTTTTCCGTACAACAAGACCTTGCCTGGTTGGACTTTTAGTGGTCTGAAATTTTTTGCGCCCGGTTTCGATTTCTACATACAGTAAATTCACATGGACAACATCGCCGATTCCTTTTATTTCATCTTCCAAATCCACAACAATTGGATCTTCAACAACTCCAGCGTGCCCCCTGATAGTCGTTTCATAAATTTCCGTGGCCATGACTCCTTCGTAATGCAAGTTTTGGAGGAAGTAATGATCATTCGGGTTCTAAACGTAAAAAAATCATGGATAATGTACAGGGTGGGGCATCTTTGTGGCCCGATTTGAATTGATTATAACTTCTTTAGTTTTTGGCCAAATTTTAAAATTCTTTTTTTCCCTGAATCGTCAGCCAACCCCATTTTGTTTGATACCAAATATGTTATACATAGTAAGTGTATATCTACAGTTATTGGATTTATTCTTAGAGTTCATTTTTTCGGTCGTTTTTCGGTTGTTTTTTCGGTCTTTCCCGGTGTGTCCGAAAATGGAGTCCGGTGCGGAAGAAAAAGCTTGGTCTGTGGTTTGGTATAGCAAGTACGGTTCGGCGATAAATTTTCAAACGGGGATACCGCATAAAATACGGACGTAATGCCTAACCTCCAGATCGCAAGACAATTCGACGTTCGTGGAATAAGTTCCTTGAGACTGACAGCGTTAACAGTAAACAAAAAAAGCAGGAAAGATGAGTACGAACGGAGCTGAAAATTTAAGAAGTTTTGTCAAAATTCCGAGAAAATCCGCATATGAGTACACGAAGTTTGGCCAGAACCGAGGGAATGCCTTCAGCAAGGACCATTCGACGAACTCCGGAGGTTGATCTTCACTTTTTGTTCTTATTCTCATCGTCGATTTTCGGGAGGGTAAATTCCGCCGTATTTTTCTTCCACACCGTACTCCATTTTCGGCCACACCGGGAAAGACCGAAAAAACAACCGAAAAACGACCGAAAAAATGAACTCCAAGAATAAATCCAATAACTGTAGATATACACTTACTATGTATAGCATATTTGGTATCAAACAAAATGGGGTTGGCTGACGATTCAGGGAAAAAAAGAATTTTAAAATTTGGCCAAAAACTAAAGAAGTTATAGCCAATTCAAATCGGGCCACAAAGATGCCCCACCCTGTAAAAAAAAATCTACCAATATTTTTCGAATCCCTCCAGATGGAACGACGAAATGGCACAACTCGACTGTTCGAAGCCAACGGAATAAGGCTGTGTTAGGTGGAATCCTAAAAAGTAAAAAAAAAAATATATTATCCACGGCAAAAAAATTCAAGGAGTCTCCAAAAACGGATAAAATCTTCAAACATACCTATAAGGCAAAATAAAACTCACCAGACCGCCTTGATGTCATACAACGTTCCTGGTTCAAGCTTTCCACACCCACATCCAATTGCGATTTTTCCGATCAAAGGTGAATAAAGATAGTTTTGACACTCTTCTTTCAGCAATCCACTATACAAGGAAAAACGTATATACGCAGCGGTCGTGACCAACTGAAAACACCCGGAATTCAATTGAAGTTTTTGACATTACACTTGCCTCGTCTAAAATTCAAAAAAAAAATGAAAACCCCCACCTCCAACCGTTGATCGCCATTCGGCATCGTCCGGACCGAATGTCTGCAGGCTACTTCGCAATCATAGCCCTTACCGAGTTCGAAAACTTTCCATTGCCCAACTTCGACACCCTCGGCTCTCATGTTTTTTTCGCGCGCTGTGTTACATCTGTACAATGTAAGTTCACCATTAGGTGTCTTGTTGACGTATACGCCCAGATCCATCTTACCTAAAGATCAAAGAATTAAAACATTTTTCACAATACCCAATGAAAAGAAATTTTCAGAAAACCTTCAACGGTTTTGAAGTAAAAACTGCATGGACAACACCTGATATCAAGTACAATATCCGAAACGTGAAGAAAAAGTCTAAACACCAATGAAATAATTGCAAAAAACTCACTCCACTGTGAGTGAGACCGACCAAACCGACTTCCAATTCAATCCTCAAGAAACCAGCAGTCGGAGTTGTCCGCGCAATCGAATGCAACGATCGAAGAAAATACCTGAAAAGAGAAATTTTACTGCACCAAGAGGCCTCGAATTACCTCGAGAACCTATTGCCCCGTGTTTTAACCAAGTAACCCAGGGCATTTCCTTTCAAAACGAGGATCAACTAAATTCTCGGGATTAGAATATAAATTTGCGAACAAGCAGTTAAAAAATCGAAGAAAGGAGGGGAAAGGATAATAAAAGGAATAATGAACGCCTCGAACACGTTTCTAACTGAAAATAATAGTAGAAACAATAAGGAATCATTCGAATTTTTGACTTCTCCTGGAGGTCCAGTACAATAATGAAAAGGAGGTGAACAAATAAAGAAAAATGTAAAAATATCTTATATTTCTGCTCAGAAATTGTTGATTTAACTCTAAAACTTTACAGCTATTCAGTTTACACCCATTTGAAACATCATTTTACCTCAAAAAACCTTCCTTTACATTTTCCAATAAATTTTGTGACACTTCGCCAAAACCTTGAACGAAGTGTCACAGAAACGGAAAACTCCGCGCAAATTGCTGATAATTGCCATTCCGAACAAATACAAGGCCTTATAAGTAGATAAAAGTTTTTATAAGTAAATCCGAATCCCCTGTGTAAAAACTTTTATTTACTTATAGGTCCCAAAAATTCACTTATAAGTAAAAAAAGGCGGAGCCTATTTTGCTTTACTTATAAGAAAACCTTATTTACTTATAAGAACTTTTATTTGCTTATAAGAACTTTTAGTTACTTATAATTACCAATAAGGACTCCGAAAAGAAAACAGTTGAGCGCCAAAGACGCTTTTGGCTTTTTGAACGCATGGGCGAGACTTAGAAATTCTAAGTTTTTCGGAGCAGTGCTGGTCAAAGAAGGTGCATAAGGGTATTTATACTTTGGATGGAACAAGGTAAGGTACTTTTAGTGAGTTTTTTCTTCCAGAACTGTAAAAAGTGGATAGATGAAAAATCGGAACCTTCCCGAATAGAAAGCATGTCAACATGGAAGATCTAGGAACAAGAATGATAACCAAGAATTCAGATGAAGAACCCTTTCATCAATTTTGGTAGGTTTTTTAAACTGCTTCCACATTTCAGAAGGCCAGAAACTTTGTAAGACAAAATTTTGTTATATTATACTAGGTTCAGGTGATTCGGTCCGAACGGTGCACCTGACGAATTGTGCACCTGGCTGAACGGGGCACCTGGCTGAATTGTGCACCTGGCTGAACGGTGCACCTGACATTTTCTTGTTTGAACAGTGCACCTAGGCGAATAGTGCACCTTGAAAAAAAGTTTTTTGTGCATTATTGAAGAAAATTTGAAAGGTTTTCGTTTCGGGACAAGGAGAAACGATTTTTTTGGAAAATTTTTAAAAAATTTGAAAGGTTTTCGCTTCGGGACAGAGAAAAAAGATTTTTTTTTGGAATTTTTTTAAAAAATTTGAAAGGTTTTCGCTTCGGGACAGGGAAAAAGGATTTTTTTTGGAAAATTTTAATAAAATTTGAAAGGTTTTCGCTTCGGGACAGGGAAAAAGGAATTTTTTTGGAAAATTTTAATAAAATTTGAAAGGTTTTCGCTTCGGGACAGGGAAAAAGGATTTTTTTGGAAAATTTTAATAATATTGGAAAGGTTTTCGCTTCGGGACAGGGAAAAAGGATTTTTTTTGGAAAATTTTAATAAAATTTGAAAGGTTTTCGCTTCGGGACAGGGAAAAAGGATTTTTTTGGAAAATTTTCGAAAACCTTTCAAATTTTAAAAAAAAAATCCAAAAAAATCCCTTTTCTCTGTCCCAAAGCGAAAACCCTTCAAATTTTTTAAAAATTTCCCAAAAAATTCCTTTTTCTCTGTCCCGAAGCGAAAACCTTTCAAATTTTATTAAAATTTTCCAAAAAAAATCCTTTTTCCCTGTCCCGAAGCGAAAACCTTTCAAATTTTATTAAAATTTTCCAAAAAAATCCTTTTTCCCTGTCTCGAAGCGAAAACATTTCAATTTGTTCAATTGTTCATGAAAAATCTCTTTTTCAAGGTGCACTGTCGCCCAGGTGCACTGTTCGCCCAGGTGCAACGTTCGCCCAGGTTAGACTTGGCTCTCGGGCCGGCCCGGGCCGAAAATCACGGCCCGGCCCGCGGGCCGGAAGAGGTCGGCCCGGCCCGTTTCAATTTTTCTTCGGCCCGGCCCGGCCCAGCCCGCGGCCCGGCCCGGGCCGGCCCGAAAATTGAGAAGAAGTAAAAAAACCTTAATTCGCTATTAGATGTGGCATATTTTTCTTTACTATAACAACTAACAGTACATTTTTGAAGCAAAAAATTACTTGCCAACGCATTGCCTTTTTAAAATTAATCAAAAAATTCCCGAGATCCGTTTTCAGACTGTTAAAAATTGCCCCAAGATCAATTTTACAGATTCAGCAAAGGTGGAACCACGTTTAACAAGGTTTTCAACTTCAATATGATAGCGTTGCTTCACACAACTTCTTAATTGTGTTTTTAAGGATGTCGGTTACGTTTATTTTGAGTTTTTGTTCAAAAAATTACTGCAAACACTAATCTACATTAGTACTTAATAGATTTTACTAGTAAAATTACTTATTATTAGCCATTTTTGAGTACTTCCGTGCTTTATTTTTATAAAATTATACTTACTGTATGAAAAATATAGACCCCATTCTTGGCTTTGCGTTTTAATTTTATTGGCGACCCAACTTTTCGCTTTAAAATTCAGAATTTTAATTTTGCCGGGCCGGCCCGGGCCGAAAGTTGCGGCCCGGCCCGCGGGCCGGAACAGGTCGGCCCGGCCCGGCCCGTTTCAATTTTGCTTTGGCCCGGCCCGGCCCGAACACCGGCCCGGGCCGGGCCGGCCCAGCCCGGCAGCCAAGTCTAGCCCAGGTGCACAGTTCAAAACGTGTCAGGTGCACCGTTCGCTCAGGTGCCCCGTTCAGCCAGGTGCACTGTTTGTTTCAGGTGCACTGTTCGGACACAACCGGTTCAGGTGACCGATATTTTTCAGACAATCAAAAAATTGGCCGTGGAAGAAGTAAATGGACAATGTGAACAAGATGCCTTGGAGATGACTTCAATTTTCGTTTTACGAACATGGTAGAGCGCAGATTTTGACCAAATTTTGTGAAAACGGTCTACCCGCCATAGTTTCAAATCGTCACTCAACAATTCTCTTTTCATCTGTTGCTTCAAAATTAAATCCAGGGCAACACAATCACACATCGTTTCTAAATTCCAAATCAGTATGTTTATTCCACTCCCAACAAGTTTCTTTCTTCAGACGTTCTTAGAATCCTTTCCATCAGTCGAAGAAGAAGGGATTCCACTGTCCTTGGCAGTCTCCTTCTGGCTTCCCGCTCTCTTGCTGCTCTCCTTGCCACTCTTCTTGCTCTTCTTACTCTTTCCTTTCTTACTTTTCCTACTCTTAGCGTCGCCCTTTCTCTTGAAACTCTTGTCCACCCAATCACGGCCTTGGAGATCTTTCTAAAAGTGTAAAGACTTACTGTTAGGAAATCATCGTAAATAAAAAAAACCCCAATTTTTGACAAACCTTCAACTTGCAGACAAGACAGGAGCTGCAGACACAAAGGGCCAGGAAGATGCACCTAAAATAAAAAAATTAAAAACAAAGCTCAAAAACTTTACTTGGTCTAACTAGGGAAGTGTACAAACGAACCCTCACCAAATGGCCTCACCAAAGTGATATACACCATTTGAAAGCCCTTGAAAAATGGTGCAAGATACCATTTTCACTTTTTGCAGAATGCTTTTCCGAGACGACACACTGTAAATTATATTATTTTTAGGTCATTTCGCAACAAAAATCTTTCTTTCTCTTGAGCTGATAAAAATCCTCGGAGAGGGCTGCTTCAATAGTGTAGTGCTTGCTGAGCAGGCTGATAAGCCAAACAAAGCTAGGTTCGATTCCCAGCTTGGGCAAAAAAGTTTTGCGTTTTTACAGTTAGGAAAATATTTGAGTAAAACTTTTACAAACGCTTTAATTTTTCTAGAAAACGGTAGATTACGGTTATAATCATCAAACTTACATGTTTTTCAAGATTAAAAAAGTGAAAAGTGTTTTTTCACGTTATGGGTATCTAAAACCAGTAAATATCATATGTACAGGGTGACCCAAAATAACGGAGACAAAAGATTTCCCGTTTTTTCTGCCACTTATTAAGATTCATGAGTGACTCCTTATTTATATTACAGTACCACGTTAGGGTAGTTTTATTTACCGATAGTTTTGTTGTACGACGCTCTTCTGTCTTGAACGACATGAATATATCCGGTTGACTCGGACCCTTCTGCCCGTGGGGTCTTTTTACAAGAAAGCTGCCTTCCTCAAAAAAGAAAACTCGGAATAGTTTGAGATGTGCATTGATTAATTATCGTAATAAGACCTTTAAAATGAGCTATCATACTAAGCTTAACTAGCGATGGTTCAAAAGTTACAGCCGAGTATTTTCAGGCGGTTGAAGTGCAAAAATCGGCCTTTTTTGAAAATGTAAGCGTAAGATGGAGTTTAAATGTTAGATAAGGCAAAATGTAGTACGAGTTACTAGAACATGATTAAAGGAACACCATAAAAGCAAAAGAGAAACATCTTGTTACTGCTACGGAGTGCTATTTTGTAATCACTAGAATTCTGCCTTATTTTTGCCTTAGGCGGCGTACCGGTGGAGCCGGTGACACATAAAGGCCGAAAATGCCCTAGGCTGATTCTTAAGATTCGTATTCATAAGTGTACAGGAGCATAATGCGCCGTTTTGATCCATCTTGTCATTCTGTTATCGATAACCCATCTTTCTCAAAGCCGCGTGCCATGGGGAAGTTCTAGGCGAGAAACTTGTTAAAGAAAAGCTGTTGCAACCAGCAAGCAATCACAGATTTTTTCAGAATCATTGTATTTATGAATAAAACACGTACTAGTGGTTTTAGCTTTATTCGAAAAAAACTGAATTTTTTATGGAAAAATTTTGGAAAAAATGGCGATCTTCAATGTTGAGATCGGTACCACCGTAAAAATAGAAACCGTAGCCCAAAAACCTAGGCAACCGCTTTCCTAGGGACACAGTAGTCTAACAAAACAAATGAACTTGCCATTTCTGCAGCTGTAGTACAGCCAGGCTCTACGCAACACACGGGAACCAAACTTGAAGGCCAAAAAACGGCGCAAGGCATCTTTGTTAAGCTGTAACTTTTTACTGCGTCATGATGATTCCACCAAATTTTTGTGGATTATAGAGGAGGTGCTATAGAATATTACCCGTTGTCGCTTATGTTTCTCTAACCCCGGTTTTCGCGGTGGGACCCTTCAAAAATTTGTCTCCGTTATTTTGGGTCACCCTGTAAAATGGTTTTACTGGCAAGCGCCAAACTTCATAATAATTCTTAGGCCAACCTAGTAGCAATACGTATCATTTAACGTTTTGAAATAAGATTTATTTTGCCCTACAGCAGATATTGTAACTACTTAAGGGACAAATCAGCCGTTTATAATTTTTTGCCCTAAGGCATTCTGCAAAAAGTGAAAATGGTACCTTTCACCATTTTTCAAGGGCTTTCCAATGGTGTATAACACTTGCCATTTGGTGAGGGTTCGTTTGTACACTTCCCTAGTAAGATAGTTTTTAGTTCTCTAGGGACAACCTGCAAAATTGTTGTAAGTCTCCCCACTTACAACAAAACAGCCAAGGCAATGGTGATGACAAAACAATGCGTGCAGCGGAAGTTCCGGGTAAAATCTTTGAATTCCTCGTAATCCTTGACGTCCTTCTCTTGGACTGCACGATCCTCCTCGGCCATGGGATCATCATAGAAGGAATCATTCACGGATCTCTTCAACACAACAATGCCATCCTGGAATTGAAAGGTTTAAAAATTTTATGGAAAGCAAATCGAGGTAACTGTAAAAAAATCAAAAGCCCATATTTTTTGTCAACTTTGAACTATAATACTTATGTTCAAATTGTTGTCTACTGTGGATGAACCGAGGTTTTAAAATATTTTTGGGTTTCGGACATACTTATAAATATTTTTGAAGACTAAAATCGCAAAGCTCTAAACTTGTCGTAAGCGTCACTCGAATTAGTTTATCACCTTTTCCCAGTAACAATACCTACCCATTCAAATCGACACCCATGGTTATCAGGAAGAGGCACACTTTCAAGCGTGATATTGAGCTGGTTGTCACCGACCACGGATCCGTTACAGGTTGTGGAAACTCTCACGTCATCGTCTTCAAGCAACATCACTTTCCCGTCCTTTTGTTTTATTTCAAATTTCAATCTATTTTGGACAGATTCATCGTTTTGATATTCCAATTTACATTCAGGGCCCAGGTGGAGGATGAAGCTAAAAATGTGCCTCATGTCAGAAAGCCCAGAGCAATCAATACCTACGCTCTGTAACAATGCGTATTGTTCGATGACAAGGAAGAAATATAAAATTTGAAGTCGACTTCGTCCGTGGAATAAAACGGGGGCAAAACAACGCCATAGTCTGACATTGACGGGCAGGTCTTGTTGTCGGTGACACTTAAAATTAAGCAAAAATCACATATCGTTCCCATAAAAATTAGGGAAAACTATTTTTTTCTGAAAATAATTTTCTTTTCACTGTTAAAATTTCCACAATCACACCTATACTCACATGGGATGACTGGACAAAAGGAACTTTCCGCATTTACTGCTGATCTCATCATTCACCGGGGTTATGGGCGGGGTAACGCCCACGGCAACGCCCAAGAACAACAGCCAGGGGAGGAAAAACATCGCTTCAATCGACCGCTTCATCCACTTGATCGGCCAAAGAATGAAGGCGATACGGTATGGGGAGGTAGTTGTGGGGAAAAATTGAGGTAAATTTTGCATAATTACGAAATAAATTTTTATTTTATGTTGGGGGATAAAATAACCTTGAGTTCTTTTTTGGGTACCAGAATTTTTACAATTCTGGAAATTTAAGAGTAATTTCTTAAGCCAAGAGTCAAAATTTATTGCCAATCCTTATAAGAGACATCCTTGACGCTTCCATCTTTCTCCTTTTCCTTCTTCTTTTTCTGATCCTTCTTGTCCTTGCTCTTTTTACTCTTCTTGCTGCCCTCATTCCTCTTCTTTTTGCTCTTTTCGCTTCGGTCTTTCTTCTTCTTACTCTTCATACTTTTCTCTTTTTTCTTCTTTTCTTTCTTGCTTTTCTTACTTTCCTTTGATCTTTTTTTGCTCGAAAATCCCTTCTCACTTTCCGTATCCATTTCCAAACTCTCCTTCTGACTAATAGTGCCTTCGCTTAGTTCTGGCGTCATCTGTTGGGGATCCATTACTTGAACCATCATTCCATTCTCACTGTCTACCTTCATCACTGCCGTTCTGACACTCGACAACGAGCCCATCATGCTAGGAGTTCGCAGTTCGGTGCACAAGGAGGCCAACTGATTGTTTTCGAGATCTCTCTAAAGGGTTTTTATGTTATCCATGAGAGGAGGTGCTCACCTTCAAATTATTGGTCAAAACGAAGAAAGTAATGCAGAGGGCGATACTCAGCATGCTGTAATTAAACTGTCAATCCCTAAACCAATAAAAAAATAATAAAAATTATCTGTACTTTATATTCAAAAATTCAAACCTAAGAATTTCCGCCAAAGTTTGGCATTCTTTTTCGATGCCAAAATAATCTTTTGTCAAAATTGGGATAATGGGTCATGTCAATAAGTGAGTAATTTTATATTGAACCACAATTTTCTCGGCCTTCTCAAGACACTAATTTATATTATCCATCGCAATTTTAGGACTTTTTTCTAAAACTTTGCCAGTTACAATGTAAAAACCTACAAAACAACAGCCAAAACGGCTGTAACGATTAAACAGTCTTCTTTGCACCATAAATGAGTGATTGCATACCAAATTTCCCTCGATTCTTCGTTAAAATCCTCTTCCAAAAGTTTATTTTCCGCCGCAAAATAGGGATCATCGTCCTCTTTTGTGTCGACAAATGGCTTCGGATTGTAGTATCCGACGCCGTTTCGGAACTAAAATATGTTATTTATTGAAGAGGACATACAAACTCGAACAGACAGTCGGAATCCTCTTCTTTGGCGAAACCGAGTAGTGTAATATTCGCAAAATATTTCCAGTCATAGGTCTGTCGACAAGAGTTGCTTATTGTTTGTGTGTTGTTAAACTCCAGCTTCAGTTGTTGGTGGAGATCGTCAATGTAGATACGGAAGGAGCGATCTTTTCCTTGCTCCACTTCATCCATCAGATCATACACAATTTCACAATCATCTACGAGGATTGTGAAGCTGGAAATGAAATCAAAATACGGTTTGGGGATTCAGCAAAACTTACTTCAGAACACAGTTTGTATTGTATGGCGGCGCTAATTTTTTGACAACAAACTCCTGATCAAATGGTGGGATGACATAAATTAATGGTAAATAAGCACCGTAGGAGTCGAGATCCGGGCAAGTCGCGCTATCAATGAAGCTGAAATTACAGTAAACACTATGTAATAAAAACAAAAGTCAAGAAAATTACAGTAATCTCACAAAAAATTTTAAAAAAAACAATTGATTATCTACACGGTATAAAGGCTTAAATGTTCTCACATTGGTCGCTGCGATGCCTGGAATCGAGTACAAGAAGTATTGTAAAAGTCGTCATCATCAATCAGAGGTACGGTAGTATTGTCTATTATCTCCGTTTGCGGCTCATTTGATGAATTTGATGAAACTGATAACATTAAACTTTCAATCCGGTATCCAAGGGAGATTATCAGGAGAAATCTGGTATCCCACATGGCGGGAACTCACGGAATCCGCCGCAAATTGAGCTGCCGTAACTTCAGAATGAAAGATATCATTGTATTTTGGCCAAATTTTAGAATTTACTGTTGTTGTTGTGGGACCAAAAATATGATTACTTATAAGGCGTGAGCAATGTGTATTTTAAAACTAATATTAGGAGGGCTTTCGATTTCAAAAAATCGTCTAAAAAGGCCAAAAAGTTACTCGCTCCCGGGTGGACTCGAACCACCAACCTTTCGGTTAACAGCCGAACGCGCTAACCGATTGCGCCACGGAAGCACGCTCAAGGCGCTCAGAAGAATGTGGGATGGCCGAAAAGGAAAGAGATCGGTTTGTTTCCAGGAAAATGTGCGAGAATTATCTGTGCCTTGGTCAATAGACATGGCTCTCGGGCCTGTCCGGTCAGATGGTAGTCAAGTCCGGCCCGGTTAGGCACGTTATGTGTTCTAATATAACAAAAATTGCAATTAGCTAGCTAAAAGCTTCAAAAAATAAAGAAACCCCACAAGAATTAAAGAAAATTTCACTTTTTTTTTTATTTGTGGAAGTGTTTGATGTTTCATTTCAATTTTTGTCTCACTCCTCGGCACGGTGCAAAAATGAGTGAAGTGCTGAAAATGAAATGCCGAATCTGCAATCGGGACTTTGTGGAGACGGAAATGGTGCAGATATGGCCTTGTCTGCATATGTTTTGCCCTAAGTGCATCGACATTCATCGACAATCTTCCAAGGCAAGATAAATAACAAAAAATTGTCCAATTTTTTTATTGAAGCGACGGCGTAAATAATAACTTCTCTCTGTAATTAGGAATCGGTTTGTTTTCAGCTCTGCCCAGCCCCGGATTGCTGTAGTCTGATCAAGATTTGCGATGATTTGAAGTGGAATATGTGCGAGAATTACCTCTGCCTCCGTCGTCTCTCTCCTCCCGTGGATCTGTACAAAATGAGTGGATGTGGACACGAGATTTGGTCGGTCTTTTATTCGGATGACGTTTCGAAACCAGACTCTTTGCAGTGTCCAATGTTTCACCGATGCCTCAAGAAGAGAGCCCCAGATCTGCCCGGTCCTCAAATGTGGAGGCCCGTTGGCCGAGGAAGATGACGGAGAATGTGACGGTCAATGTCACAAACAGCAAGAGCCGGACAAGTTGATCACCACTGTCTGCTGTCAGGCCAAGTATTGCCATCCGTGCTTCGCCAAGGTCCACGGTGTCCCGGATGTCAGCAAAATGGATTTGAGTAAGAAAATTTTTGTTGTAGTAGGCAAGATTGGTGTAATTTATGGCTGTAATAGAAATATAGTAAGATAGAACGTAAAAGTGAAATGATTTAGAAACCACCCGATGCCCCCAGGGAAAATGCGTGGACAAAGAGCAACGTCGGAGACACAGCCGGCACAGGGGAAATACCCCGGCAACTCTGTCCAAATGCATGGGCTATCCTGATTGCACGGGAGAGGCCCTCAGGAACTTCCCATCGGAACAAGAATGCGATCATGAGGTTTGCCTCAATTGTCTGGATCGAATCATCACCGAATGCACCAACAATGGTGAGCTTGATCAAGTGTAATATAAAAAGTATTGCAGATAATCTCCCATTGTGTCCCAACGATCAATGCCGTCTCCCCTATCGGTTTGAATCAGTGGCTGCGCTCAAAGCTCTTCTCCCACATCATGCCAAATACTTTGCGAACCTCGCCCTGGATGTCACCCATGGATACGAAGCGATCCGAGATGACACGGTTACTGTAAGTAATCTTTGTAAATAGATTTTACAATTTGTTTTTCCAGGCCATTGATGTCCACCCTTTCAAACCGAATGAAAAGCGATCGTTTGACATGAAATGCAGCGTTTCTGAAGAAGACGACCAAGGCCCGTGTTTGATCACGTTTTCAAAAGATGGAACCCTCGGAGAATTGTTAAGGGAAACGAGAAGAACTCTCAAGATATTACCCACGGACAAGGTCTACGGATATTTTGTGAGAAGGGAAGATGCGGAAGATGAGCAGTTGATTGTAAATCATCAGACCAGCAAGAAGCCGGTCACTGATTTTAATTTCGATCTGGACACTCATCTCATCATCGATGTCACTGGAATTGTGATGACGAAGAAACAGAAGGCTGATAGTGCCGTCAAGAGCCAAACCAAGAAGTCGAGGGGTTAGAATGGAAAATATTAGGGGTCAATTTTATAATATAGTAGATGAATATATTGTACTTGATTCACAGTGAGATTGTGAAGTGATATCAACACATTTTCTGAAAGATTATTGCTTCCATGATTCTATGCGGATTCCATTTCTTGAGTCATCATAGCGTACCTTTTGTCCTCTGCACATTCCGCTCAATAATTGCCGACCAGGCGAAATGATGATAATTCTTGACAAGAACTGTTTTCCCCGATCAAATGGAAGCCATTAGAGTTCCGACCACTGATAAGAGCCCTCAGAGGGACCCGTTTCATCATCTTCATAGATTTCCATGGTTTACGGTCAAATCGGGAAAGGCTCAGAACTCGGGATACGTGCTGTCAAGGAAATTGGGAAGATAAGACGTGCAGACCTCGAAGAAAGGACTACGTGTGTTTGAGGAAACGATGGAAAACAGGGAATCACTGATAGGAACCGACCCTCGAATATTGGAAAAGTCACGGGTCTCGAGAATAAGGCGCAAATAAATACATATTCGGATGTTGATCAGAATTAAGGAATTGAATGGAATCAGGTGATTGGGGATCAAAGATTAAGACTTGAACATAAAGATAAAACTCATTTATATGTCGTCTACCACGAGTGTCCGATCCATGAACCTCGAATATCCAGAAAACTCGAATACGGCACTAGAGATACCTAAACTAATATAATATTTTGTAGTAAATATGAGTTTTGACCTTCAAATAACCTATAAATATAGGGTATTGAATGGTAAACAGAATTTTGAATGGCCATGGCCATCTGTTACAGGAAGCCACATCCCCTTCGCTTTTTTTTCCCAAGATTTTTCGCGTTTTCGGGGTTTCTTTTTCGGCCATTTTTCGGCTCCGGACAAAAAGTTGTTTTGTTTATTTTCTTTCACCTTGTTTTCTGTCGAAATCTTCGTTTTAGCTTGTGAAATCTCCAAAAAATATATAAAAGAGACTAAAAATCTTCTGACTTTTGTTTTCCGGCCAAATCTTTGGTATTTCTAACCTAAATTTGAGGGTTTTCTTTAGATTTTCTTTGCATTTATCGTTTAATAAGGCATGTATAAGGTTAAACAATGTTTTTATGGTCCATTAAGCCAGAAATTAACGTTATTTACAACTAAAATTTCATTCGTTCGATCAAAAACTGCCTAATGGGAATGTTGAAATTCGTGTCAATTTTGATAGAAATCTGGTGGAAATTACACTGCACATGGTGTATATAAGAAGGACATCAGTTATTGACAAACGAGAAGGGCTTTTCTTTCAGGTTTTACGCGCTTGTTACACCATTTCTGGAGTCGCCGTCTTTTGATGTGAATGAGAAGGAAAAATGAGAATTGATGTCGATTGTAGGCATGATACGATCGTCCTTGTCTTTTTACTTTATTGTATTTTTACGCGTTCAGAATTATTTTCGAGGGATTGCGGGTTGAAACGAGAAGAAAATTATATTATAGTAGACGTCTGATGTAAGATGCATTTTTATTTGTTCTTTCGCTGCGAAAAGAAAAAGACTCCTCTCGAGGTGGTATTTTCTCCCTAATTTTGAGTAAAAGTTCTCGATTACAGGCTTCGTCCCTAAGATTTATCATAAAACCTCTTATCAAAGTAGAACTGATAAAATTTTGGGTATGGAAGTGTGCCTGCTTGATCGTTGCGGTGTATCTTGAAGGTGCCCGATCCTATTTCTTCAATTTGTCCAGTTGTTTTCCTAAAATATTTTTTCGGTCTTCACTATGCTCAAAATCTTTAAAAGAAGGTGGAGTTTCTTTATAAACGCGCTAATTTGGGCATATTTTTATCAGTTTGGGGCCGAGAAATAATTTCCTTACGTTTTATCAGCTAATTCGGCGTTCGGACATGATAAAAAAGGTCGAAACACCTCAATCTTCCTTAGTTTTACATTGAGGAAGCTCCAGAGAGGTTTGCACTTGTTGGATGGTCCTTTTGCTAAACGAAAGATTGTCTAATTGGTGTACGGTTGCCTATTTGTGGCGTTTGAAATGTCCCTTCCTTTTCTTTCGTGGAATTCATTGCGATTTTTTGTCTACAATATTAACTGTTGATGGGTAACATAATAATCTAATTTCTTTCAGTTTTTACGAGTAAATTCCAATCACAATCATGGCAAACGAATCTCAGATCCGTCAGAATTTCGCCAGCGACCTCGAAGCCGCGATTAACAAGCAGATTAACATTGAACTTTACGCTTCTTACGTCTATCTGAGCATGGTGAGTCTTTCTCTTCGTTTTTATTATTTTAGCTTCAGTGTAATGATATACAGGGCCCTAATTGTTCATTTTTAGTCCTTCTTCTTCGACAGAGATGACATTGCCCTCCCGAATATCGCCAAATGGTTGAAGAAGCAGTCAGATGAAGAAAGAGATCATGCCCAAGCCTTCATGAAGTACCAGAACACTCGTGGTGGACGAATTGTTCTCCAAAACATCCAGAAACCCGAGAAGGATGAGTGGGGATCGGCGTTGGAGGCCTTCCAAGCTGCTTTGGCTCTCGAGAAGTTCAATAATTCGTCGCTTTTGGAGCTCCACAAAGTTGCATCCGATGTCAATGATGTCTCGGTAGGTTGACAAAAAAGTAGTGGATATGAGATAAGGCTAGAGCGTAATAGGCTTTAATCAAATGATTATATTGCGCTTGATCTTATCTAATTAATATTAATGATTTAATAATTATATAATATTAGGCCTGCGACTACTTCGAGAACAAATTCCTCGCCGAGCAAGTGGAATCCATCGAGGAGATCGGCAAAATTGTAACGAATTTGAAACGAGTTGGAAAGGGACTTGGAGAATTCATGTTCGACAAGGAGTTAGAATAAGTCTATCTGTAAATACGTGCCATCATCTCCAATCTCCCAGCCTTCCTAATCTATCAGTATTTTGTTCTAAGAATAAATTAAAATTATCATTCGTGGTTTTGGACTTGGTTCTTGTCGGTGATGTCATGTGTAATATATGGAAGTTATATAAGGTTTGTGGACATACGATGTTAGCTACGGCCGCTTTACATATTTTTAAAATGTTTTCCGTCATGTGTAATATATAAAAGTGGGAAAACTTGGTTGATGGATCGAAAATTACTATTGACCTTCCGTAAAATAAATTGTAGGCCAATTCCTGTCTTCCATTATGTATCTTTTAGCCACGTTTGTTCCTCATGTCCACTCGATTACCCTGCTTTAGATGACTGAATGCAGACTCGGTCCGCCGAACCCTCGATTCGATTCCTCTCGCCGAATTAAAGGAATTAATTTGATACAAAAAATCCGTGTCAAATTCTCACTCCATTTTGCGCATCCTCGACGATTGACCGGAGGGCAAAAACGATTTCGCCGAGGGTTCAGAGGAAAAGAAATCTCTTTTGTCTTTTTTTATTGCGGTGAGAATTAACTTTTGTGTGAGGGATTTGTGAAAAGGAGGTTTGCAAATGTTTTTGTGAAAATGCTTTTACTTTCGACGACAGTAAAAGTACAGTAACCTGAAAATATTAATTCGGGTGATAACTTTTATTTTTCATGTTGCGAATGGCCTAATAATGCTCTAGAATGTTGGTTTATGTCATTATTAATATTCAAGGCTTCCAAAACTTTCTGATTTCACCTTTTTGTCATTGTCTGAAATGTTCAAAATTGCTGTCCTTCACTCATTTTCCTCTAAAATTTGAATAATTTGTTTTTTGTTTTCCCTGGGGCTGCTTAGCTTTATAATTATAAATCAAAGGCTCGCGGCACAGATCGATTACCCCTTTTTTGTTAAGCGGACTTATGCCGGCTTCTTCCTTTCCTTAAAACCACTCTCTGAACGGCTTCCTTGATGGCTCTTGATCTCCACTTATGAAGCCGATTCTTTCGACGATCCGGCTTCTCGAATCTCCTTTGACTCCTTGAGCTTGGATAGAAGTGCCGAGACTGTTTGCTATGAACACTGTAAAATTTAGAGGCTTATTTTGGGGGTTTTGAAGATTTTTGATGGCTTTTTAGGCTAGGATACGATTTTTTTATTTGAACGGTGGTATTTGTGCTTGTTACTGCCGGAAATATTTCCCATGCCTTAAGGCAAATGTGGAATAGAATTGCGAAATTTACATTTAAGTTTCTATGATCGAATTTGACTTGCCAATCCTTTATCATAATTATTTTTACAATATGTTTAATCTAGCCGAAAATTTTTTGCTCTGCTGAGATCCGTTTTTCGTACAGATCACCTCTACTGCCCTCCGGAATGTTTATTTTTACTTTATTTTATATTCCTTCCTTATTGCCACTTTATTACGCAAATGTAAACCCTTCATCCCTCGTCACCTTACCATCCCAATTATTCGAAACACAATATTGTGAGGGGTTTCATAACTAGTTCAACTTTCTTCTACTTTCACTGAACTTCCATCCCCGATGAATTTGTCGTTCCCCCTTTGAATATACGATGGAATTTGGAACACCGAAAGTGCAGGCATCAAGGCGATTCGGCGGCGGAAAGAGAATTAAAAACATTATTGCCTCAGGGGTTTAGGTGATTCCGAAATCGGCGGGGCTGACTCATTTATCCGGATACCGAAAAGGGACGCAATCCTGATAGGATTCGTGACGTTATCAGTGATATTGTAGTAGGGATGAATGGATGAAATGTTATTTTATTACCGTGTGTGGATGAAAAAAGTAAAGGTTGATATTAAACAAGATGTAATAGGGGCAAAGGCTAAGTTAGTCTCTCCGTTTTGTCATTTTGACCCCTTTGGCGACATTTTATACGATGAAAATATTTGATGACTAAAGCATGGTAAAGATAGTCTTTCCATAAATTTAAATTTCTGTTAGTGAATGCCCTCGAGCATCGAAATGTTTTATTTTTTACATTTAGTGAAATTTTTATTTTTTAAAATAATCAAAACATGTTTTCTCAAAATTACAAAAAATTCAAGTATCCTCTATCCTCTACAGCTGCAGCTATATTACATACTTTCGATGTTTTTTCTTTCTATGACAAGTAATTGTTTCTTTATATTTCCCTCCAAAATCGCAAAACTTGACTGTTGAGATCGCCGTTTGGGAGTTTTATATTGAATTTGAATAGCCTTGAAGGGAAATAAAGAGTAAAAGGGTCACTGAACCCGGTGGGTAATCGGATTCCATTCTGAGGATCGCTTTAGGAAAACGGCGGATTCGAATTAAACGGTCGAAATCCCAATCTTATTTTGGGTAATCAAAAATACGCTCTATTTGTGCGGATTTTACTTGATCTTTGCCCAATCTTTACTATATGTTTTGCTAAATCAATGCTTGCAATTGATGATATTGCATATCCAGCCAGATGAATCACTTTTCTGCTTGCCTTTCTCGGTGAAAAGTCTTGATAATCTTGATTTCGCTGACTTCTTATCGTAGGTCAGATCTCTGACCTCCAAAGCCGAACGCATCCCCTTCATATCTCTTCTTATTTGGGAGTTTATGGGTCTCAGGTGGGTGAGGTGTAAGCTGAGAACAGCTGTAAAGTTTCTTGAAAAAAGTGGAAAAGCATAGTAAGGTAAAATTCCGGAGGTTTAGTAGATTTGGGGGTGGTAGAAAGATGAATTTTTTATTGTAGATACTGTATATTGCAAAATTTCTATGAAACAATGTGGATGAGACGTCTTCGAGAGACTATAAAATTAATTCAGAATAATAATAATTCAGATTTACCTATAGAAAAACAGGTTATCACAACTTTTCGGGCGAAGACGTATATTATACTTGACCTCAGATTCATATTTTTCTCTCAACTCAAAAATTATCCTTCATTTAAAAAAATTTTGTTTCCAGAATGATTTACAAGCCTTTTATCCCCAAATTAACCAATAAATGGAACGTTGCGCAGGCGCAATCGTTCCCCTGATCCGCGTTTGATTGATCATGTTGGCCTACTTTAAAGTGACCGCAAATTCCTTTGCTGCTCTCCGTTCCAGGTCAGATTTATCTCGGCGATTCAACTGATAAAAGAGTTAAATAATCATCGGATACACTCTTTATTAGGCTCGATATCCATCTGTTTCATCAGTTTTTACTTTTGATGACTATTATGTCATGGATAATATAATTTAATGGCTGTTTTCGTAATTTATGTGTTTCGAAGCACATAAACTTTAAATGTAAGCCTATTAACAAGCGATTTGTGAATTTCTCGTCTGTTTATCTCATTCAGGAAGATCCATATTCCTCGGATATGGACTCTTTTTTATACTTTGTATGCCATTCCCAACTAATTAATATCTTTTCAATTAAATCGACGAACGGACGGGGTCCGGTCTTCGCAAACGAAGGGGGGAGGGTCACTCGTTCGAAGAAGCCGAGTCGGTTCGTATCTCCTAGCTTCATCAATGTTAGACGACCTGTTGACCCGGCGATCTCATTCTCCGCTGGGGCGCTAATTAATCCAGTGGCTGTTAAAAAGTAGCCGTTAATTACTTCACCACAGCCGACTAGTTGTTTGTATTGACAAATTAGTGTCCTAATGGTACCGTGATATTATTGTAGCCCTCGATTTGGGGCTACTGCAATATAAAATTCCTAAAAAGGCGTCCCTCCCTTTTCTTGTATGTATGACAATTCGGACTATGAATCTTTTCTCCACCTTCTTCCTTCCAAAAACTTATTATTGCCGTTCGCTCCATTACCTTGACTTGCCCTTGACTTTGGATAATATTTATTCAATTACCCCTCCATTATTTTTTACCATAATTTTTATATTACACTTGGCATTGGTTCGAGGATTCAAAGAATCATTTGATTACATTGTGACAGCCTCTAAATGCTGATGTTTCCAGGTTCATACAGCCCCAGCGACGCCCGTTATTGGAGTGGGTAAGCGGCGCTCCCTTCTTTTTCAAATGATTCGCGGCCAAAGGAGTTGGCTTCTGGCCGTTCTCGGCTTCAGCGTCGCTTTTGGCGTTGCGTCACAAGCTATCCGTAAGTTTGTTGCGAATTATTCGAATTGTGTTTTGCTCCAAAATGTGTTTTTCGACCATTTCCAATCACTATTTATATTATACTAGACAAAAATTATCAAAAAATCACGATTTCTTTCATCCCTTGTCCCTCACTGCCGTTCATAATATCAAAAAGGAGATCCCAATCTCCGAACTGATATCGGTATTTACACCGCGCTCGAAAATGTGACCTTCACCTACATTCAGAGCCCAAAAAAGAAGCCGTCCCTTCGAAAAGGGCGATCACTTTATGACACAATCAGAGTAAAGTAATCCGTTTTGAGGATTACGATGGCTTCGGTAAATGATAAAATAAAAAGGAAATCCGTTCGGAATCAGCGACTTAACCTACTGACCCAGAACGCCCGACGCCCCCTGAGGCGGTTTTTCGTAATCAGTCCGAAAAAGAACACCCGCTGCGAATTTGTGAAAAAAGTTTCAAAATAAAAGGGTGTCTGCAAATTGAGTTACTTACGTTAGAAAATAAAAAAAAAAATAAATAATTGGAATTAACAAGTAGAGCCGCCAAATTTCAGCGGTAATCTCAACATGCCCTGAGGGCAATTCGGCAGTCTTCCTTCTCCAGCACAACACGACACATGGAGTGGCTCTGAGAGAAGTCCCCACCAGCAGTTTCCTCGATTGCTCCGAGCTTTGTGCCGCCGGAAATGTAAGTAGAAATCTGAGAGATCAGAGTGAAAAATAACTCGAACTGCTTTTGCTTCTGCACGGAATAATATTATTTGACTAACACGACGTCTTGCTCGGAATTTTGTCTAATATTTTTTAAGTTAAAATTGATTTGTTTGTGATTAAAATTTGAGGCCTTGTTTCTAACCAGGTGTATAATGCCTCCACCAAAAATCAACTTGTAAATTGGAAAAGTTCTTGTCAAAAAATGTTTTGTCGTCTTTTTCCTTGGTCTCTTAAAAAAATATCGTTGATTGTCTGATGGAAAAGCAAAGCTACAATTTTCAGTGACCTTTATGTGATTGTCGCAGAAAAAGTATGCCAAATTTGAAGCCAATCGGAAACCGTTAGATAAAGATTTGTTTGACCTACGATTAGTTGTTTTTCCTATAGAATTTACAGTTTTTTGTTAAAAATTTCATCTTCTGTTCTCTGATTTTCCCTCCACAAATCTGATCTCTACAGTAACATGAGTTCACCTACCCTAACCGAGCCTTCCCGTAACCCCTCACCGTTCCCCTCTCTGTTTCCATTCTGAATCCATGGGGCTTTCTTTTAAAGCGCTGGGCTCGTGAAGGTGAAAAGTTCGATTCGCATTCGGCCGCCCTGCTCATGCGGGTGCTGGATCTGCCTTGGGAGTTGGCGGCGGACTGCGCCCTGCTCCGTCGTTTCAACCGCCGCTTAGCCGATGATTTACAGGATTGCGTGGGCGTCGAGTATCAAGCCGGGAAATGTCGTCTGATCGGTGCTCCCAAGGACAACGAGATCTACGAGACTGCCGCCGAGGGATCGTCGTTGGTCACCAAGACTTGTGTCAAGGTAAGAAAACAACTGAAGTTGATTTTGAGTATAAAAAGGCAAACATAAAGAAAAAATTTAATTTTGGCTCATGAGCAAAAAATCGCCAAAAGTGATCGTTGAATATCTCGACAGTCATTGCAAATTACTAGTTAAATTTTTTAGTAATTGTGTGGCCTGGTAGAAGCATGAGATCCAGATTTAAAGAAGATTTGGCAATGAGATTCTCATTCTAATTTTAAAAAATAATTTCAAAAATTGAATATTGAAAAATAATAATTTTCCAGAGCGACCGTGTCTGTCACTCCCCCTTCCAATTCGACGTCCAAGAGCAGAAGATCCTTGTTGGATTTGCCCGGGAAGTTGTCCCCGCCGACTCGATCCAAGTCTGTCTCTCGGCCTGTTTAAATGCCTTCGAAACTTTCGGCTTTGAGTGTGAATCGGTCATGTATTATCCGGTGGATGCCGAGTGTATCCTCAACACCGAGGATCGTCTTGATCGTCCCGATCTTTTCGTCGATGAACACGAAGATACCGTCATCTACTTGGACAATAATTGCGCCGGCTCCCAATGCTATGCCCCTTATGTGACGCAATATGTGGCTGTGGAGAACAGACAACTCGTTGAGGAGTTGGACCGCACTTTCCATGGACTCACTCTGGAGGAGTGCGAACAGATCTGCACAGAGAGGATTACTGTAGGAGCCAATGACTTCAATTGCAAATCGTTCATGTACAATGCCAAGAATAAGACTTGCATTGTGTCGGACGAGAGATCCAAGCCACTGGGAAGAGGGAATCTGACCGAAGCTGTGGGATTCAACTACTTCGAGAAGAAGTGCTTTGCTTGTAAGGTGGAAATTGAAAAAAAATCCATTTTTCGAACTTTATTTCTTGCAAATTTAGTATTTTTTCGAGATGATTTAGTCCGCTATGATTGTTGAATATCACAACACTAGTTGCAAACAGCGAGCTAAAATTTTTATGTATCAAAATATGGACTAGATAGAGCACTTATTCAAATTTTTATGGAAATCCGGTCTCCGAGCACCGAGAAATTCATTTCCCAAATTCAGTAGATTTTTGATGACATTTTAAACTAAAATTTGGTATTTCAGCTCCCCGAACCTGCCGTAACACTGCCTCGTTCACCCGAGTCCCCCAGATGCTTCTGGTCGGCTTCGCGGCCTTTGTGATGGAGAACGTTCCCTCCGTGACCATGTGTCTCGACCAGTGCACCAATCCCCCTCCAGAGACCGGCGACAACTTTGTGTGCAAGTCAGCCATGTATTACTACAACGAACAAGAGTGCATTCTGAACGCGGAATCCCGCGAAACCAAGCCCGAGTTGTTCATTCCGGAAGAAGACGACTTCCTGGTCGATTATTTCGACATCAACTGCCATCTCCAAGCCGAGAAATGCCCTCAAGGCAAGGAATCGTCGGTGGTCCGCTCGCTGAATGCCGCCTTGCCCGAGGGTGAAGGCCCCATGCATGTGATTGAGAGTTTCACGGGAGAAGTGCAGGAATGTGCCAAGAAATGCTTCGGCTTGGCCCCCGAAAAGTGCCGCTCCTTCAACTACGACAAGGACAGCAAGCTCTGCAACCTGCTTTATTTGGATGGAAAGACAACTTTGAGGCCTCAAGTGAAGAGTGGAGTCGATCTCTACGATCTTCATTGTCTCTCGCCGGCTCCAGCCTCGTGCCAAGCCAAGGATGGCGCTCAGTTCTCCAGGTATTTGTACACAAAACAACCGGGATTACCCTCGCAACAACTGGATATTGTCAGTTTGAGCACTTGTTTGGAGAGATGTGCCGAAAGCGAGCGATGTGAGGGAGTGAATTACAATAGAAGAAGTGGAAATTGCGCCCTGTTTGCGACCATTGAAAAGGAAGTTGGAGCTCCCAATGATCACATCGACTTTTACAAAAACCTCTGTCAAGTCAAAGAAGTGGATTCTGGCGTCTCTTCGGCTGCGAATGTCCCCAAAGAGGAAGTCAAGGAGCCTTCAGGACATGTCAGCAGCAAGGCCAACCGTCATCCCATCCTCGAGAGTAACCAGAAAAAGCCCAGCATCAAGGAGAAGGAAGAGTCCAGATTCGCTCCTCCCAAGACCTCGGAATCTGAATCCACCGGCGATCTTCCCTCTCTCCCAGACGCCAAGCTTGATGTTAAGGCCACTGGTCATATTGCCCCGACCGGCCCTCCAGTCTTGGTCGGCCCTGAGGCAGTCCACACCATCTGTAATTACGAGGGAATCAAGGTCCAGATCAAGAACGACAAACCCTTCAGCGGAGTTGTTTTCGTGAAGAACAAGTACGACACTTGCCGTGTGGAGATTGGAGAGTCTGATTCCGCGACTCTGGTCCTCGGTCTTCCCCACGATTTCGGCATGAAACCCATTCTTCTGAACGCTTTGGCCACCGATGAAGAGAAACAGGCCGAGCTGAAGCTGACCAAAGAGAAGCTGGCCGACAACGAACAACATCGGGAAGAGGGGCAGCTTGCGGGCAATGAAATCAGACGCAAACGACAGGCGACCAGAGATTGCGGCATCCAGGACATGAACAACGGCACCTACAGGACCACGGTCGTTGTGCAGACCAACAATCTGGGCATCCCGGGATTGGTCACCTCCATGGATCAGATCTACGAAATCAGCTGTGATTACAGTAGTATGTTGGGTGGGAAAGTGACCACCGCCGCCAACATGACCGTCCACGGCCCCACCCCATCGCTGATTCAGCCCAGAGGCAAGATCGAGCTGGGCAACCCGGTGATGATGCAGATGAGCATGGCCAACTCCTCGGAGACCAAGCCCGTCATCCACGCCAAGCTCGGCGACATCCTCGAATTGCACTGGGAGATCATGGCCATGGACGAGGAGCTGGATTTCTTTGTCCGCGATTGCTTCGCCGAAGCCGGAGGGAAGGAGAGAAGGGAGGACGAGAAGCTCCAACTCATCGAGGACGGATGCCCCACCCCCGCGGTGGCCCAGAAGTTGATGCCCGAGCCCATCAAGATGCAGGGCTCGGCCGTGAAGATCGCTCATCTGCAAGCATTCCGCTTCGACTCGTCGCCGACCGTCAGTGTGACCTGCAAGTTGGAGATCTGCAAGGGATTGTGCAAACCAACCCAATGCAATCTGTTGAAGGGCGTGCAGGAGAGTTGGGGAAGGAAGAAACGGTCCGTTCAGGAGATCGACAACTCCGTTACTGAGTGTAAGTTGGGCGATTTTTGAATGACGTGGAAGATTTTAAGCAATTTTATGGCAATATATTGCCAGACGTGCAATAATGATGACTAATTTTAAATTTTCGCCAAATTGAAGCGAATTTAACCGGTTTTAATCCCTCAGAAATTACAGTAGTCCATCTAATGCTTCTATTTCAGTCGAGACCAAGCGTTACAAGATCCCTCGCTTCGCGCAGGCGACCACTTCTTTGGTGATCATCGACCCCCTCCAACAGATCAACGACCCTCTTCCGCAGGTGTCGCTGAGCAAGAACTCGCCCGTCGAATTGGCCAACCAATCGCCGGAGATTATGCAGAGTTTGGCTGTGGCCCCTGAGGGTCAGATGTGCCTGAACAAGTACTTCTTGTTGGGCACCACGGGCATCCTTTTGTTGATCATCTTGGTGCAGGCTCTGGTGGTCGGAAAACACATCTTTGCGCGATTACACAACGACAACCCCAAAAAACAGTACTATTGAGGGCTTACTGTAACTTTATTCAACATTTTTTGATGCAGTAATCCAATTTAGCGACGACTTTTTTGTTACAGTAATCCCAATTTTTTTTTCAAAATTATTGTAACTTTGGGTCGCGTCGTTGAAAAGTATTGTTAATTCCCTCCTCTGGCCATCGACTTGTCATTTATTTGTTGTTTTATCTCAGTCCGATCGTTCTACCAGCAGTTTTGAACGTCTAATTAAGATCATCTTCTCTTCCAAGCATTCCTTTTCCCAATTCCAAAAGATTTTCAACTTTTTTTTGCTCAATTATCCCATTATTTCTACTGTAAGACTATTTATTTTTATTTATTTGACAATAAATTAATAAAATTTGATTCGAAATTACATTGTAGTAGGTAAGATAAGTGTCAAGAAAAGGGAATTCCCGTCGAGATTTATGATATCCCCCCGGATGATCGTTGTTTACGATCAGGCGGTGTCTTGAAAGTCTAGAGAAGCGGTTGCGCAATCAGCGATGCCCATAAACCGGCTTCGGAATGACCTTTTCGGATGTCGCGACCCTAATTCTTCAGTTAGTTTTTGGATTCCCTTATTATTGCATTCTACAGGCACCTACAAAGTCGATTAATCGCTCACTCATCCATTCTTACTGTATTTTTTATCATTTTTGCACTTTGTCCTTTTCATTGTGCGTAGCCCCTTCGTTTTGGTGCTGCACTGTGCAAGACTAACTTTTTTCAACTCCTTTTTGCACTGTGCGAAATCTCAATTCTTCCAACAAATTCTCTTCGCACGGTGCAAGAATTCTTCCAAAAAATCGCACTTCCTTTCGCACTGTGCAACCACCATCCATCCCATCGCTGAATCCCCGTCCATCGTTTTTTCCTGGAATCGCGGAAACGTCGAGTTCGGTTGTTTTGTCGCGCGTGCGACAAGCCCCTTTCTCTTCCCCCACTCCTTCACGCACCGCGCTGCTTTCTCTTCCTGGTCGCCTTTGATCCCAGGCATTTTTCGCGACAAAACAACGGAGAAAATGGGGGCGCGCGACAAATCCCATGAAGAGGTTGTCCAACCGCGATTCCATGACAAGATTCCTGCAGGTTCCTGTCGCTTCCACTTCACATCAACCCCGCTCTTCTCGCCGCCGTTTGTCGCGCCGATCCGACGGACTTTCTCTGATTGCACCGTGCGCGTTGCGTGTGGATCCGACCTCTTCCGGCGACGGGAACGCAACAAAAAACGGGCGAAACCGGGGATCAGAGGCGAGGAGAAGATGCGACGGCTCGAGTGCGCGCGCTTCTGTTTGTCGCGACGTCGTTTTGGGGTCGGAGCGGAAGACTGATGGACGTCGTTTGTCGCGATTGCACGGTGCGGAACAGAAAAAGGGAGCGTCGAGTGGGGGAAGAGTCGTCCGCGACTCCGTCGAGGATTCCCCGCGACATTTGCGTCAGAAAACGGGGATCTGGGGATTTGTCGCGCCTCTTTCAGCGACAGCTGGCAGAAAGAAATGCAGGGTGCAAGTCGTCGGTGGTTTGCACGGTGCTTGGGGGACAAGACTGCACAGTGCAGTGTTATTCATTCTGTGATGCACGGTGCACTCGCCGTGCACTGTGCGGATTTTGGTTGATTGCACTGTGCGCGTAAATTGTGCGATAAGTATCGGTCTGTCGGGAAAAAAACGGCGGATCGTCGCGCCTCGGAGTCGCTCATCATCGCTTTGCGACTGCAAGCCGCGGCTTGGGATTTGGTGCGCGACAGCGGCGAGGCGACCCATTTTGATGCGACGATCCGCCGTTATTTTTCCGACAGACTGATAGAAGTTTTTAACAATGAAATTTATAGATTTCACAATGACAACGCTACTCTCTACGGTAAAACACGAGGTATTACATGTCCCCCAGACCTCCGCTCCACAAAGAGCATTTACAGTGCCTAAGGCGAAGTCATTGGATGCGCGACAAAAAGGGCAACTGATTGACTTGGTAAGCCAAGGTTTAGAATGAACCATCTGAACAGTAACACTTTATTAACAATGGTATTTCCAGATCCATTATCATCAAGAATTGTGGAATTCTTCGAATCCCAACTTCCGAAACAAAGCCAAAATGGCCGAAGCCTGGACCCACATCGCCGCCGTTATGAACGACCCCAACCACGAATATACGATCGACTTTTTGAAGCAGGCCTACAAACATCTCCGCGACACCTTCCACAGATACTGCAGGCTGGAACAACAGGGATTACAGACGGAAATACGGGAGAAGTGGCCGTACAACGAAAAGTTTCGATTTCTGAGTGAGGAGGAGAAGAAAGTGGCCAGTCTGGGACATCAGAGGAGGCATACAGACGCCATACGGTAGGGATTACGGTAATTTGGGGAGATAATTTGTTTAATGTGATCAGGCATTTTACGGAATTTCTCGGAGGCCTGGGGCCCCAATTTCCTCAAATTTAGCACAATTCCTCTGCATGAGCCATACATATTTGAATAAATTTTTGCTCTCAGTTTGCAGACCAACCAATATTCACCAATTTTTGTGAGAGCCTATGGAAAAATGATGACAATTTCAGCCCGAAACTTCCGAAAGCTCGATCGCCAGCAATCCAAAGAAAATCCTCGAATCCCGAGATGTCCGCGGCCTCGGAATCCACTGCAGACCGTAAACGAAAGCTCTCGGATCCCCTGGAAATTGGGCAAAGGAAGAAACCGCAAGTGATCGTGTCGCCGAAGGTCCAGGAATCTGTCATCCAACCGAATCTTCCGTCGACTTCGAGTCCGGTTTCCGATAATTCGATGCATTTCTGTCCTCAAAACACTTTTGAGGATACCGGGTCCATTATGAAAACCCTTTATGACACTTTGGGTAAGTCTATTTGTCAATGCAAATGATTTTTGTCGCAAGGATTATACATTTTTGTATCGCAACTAACATCATGAACTCATTTTCTTCCAGGAAAAGCAGTCTCCCAGACCGGTGAAGCTCTCCATCGCCACGATTCCCTGCGATGGCAAAGTTTTTACATGGAAATCCAGTCGGTGATCGCCCGTTATATCAACATACCTCACTCTTCTCTACAACAAGTCTATCCGTCGTACATAACTGACCCCGGGATGTCGTTCAAAGTCATCAGAAATGATATTTGTATGCCCTATCCTATTGTTGATTACGTTGACGTCGAAAGTGTTGATGAAAAGTAAAATTATTGGCGAGAATTAAGAGCAGTTCGACCCAATAAATGGCCTCGATATCATTGAGGACAAGGGCGTGTTCAAGAAGTTAATCAAAGAAGCTAATGAACTTGTGGAAGAGCTAAACCCAATGTTGTTGCCCTACTGAAGGATAAGATCAGAAGTTTGCCAAAGGAAACTCAGAAGTTCTGCGGTTTGTACAGGGTGACCCAAAATAACGGAGACAAATTTTTAAAGGTCCCACCGCGAAAACCGGGGGTTAGCGAAACATAAGCGACAACGGGTAATATTCTGTAACACCTCCTCTATAATCCACGAAAATTTGGTGGAATCATCTTGACGCAGAAAAAAGTTACAGCTTAGCAAAGATGCCTTGCGCCGTTTTTTGGCCTTCAAGTTTGGTTCCCGTGTTTTGCGTAGAGCCTGGCTGTACTACAGTTGCAGAAATGGCAAGTTCATTTGTTTTGTTAGACTACTATGCCCCTAAGAAAGCAGTTGCGTAGGTTTTTGGGCTACGGTTTTTATTTCTACGGTGGTACCAATCTCAACATTCAAGATTGCCATTTTTTCCAAGTTTTTTCTATAAAAAATTCAGTTTTTTTCGAATAAAGCTAAAACCGCTAGTACGTGTTTTATTCATTAATACAATGATTCTGAAAAAAGCTGGTATTGCTTGCTGGTTGCAACAGCTTTTCCTTAACAAGTTTCTCGCCCAGAACCTCCCCACGGCACGCGGCTTTGAGAAAGATGGGTTATCGATAACAGAATGACATGATAGATAAAAATGGTGCATTATGCTCTTGCACACTTATGAATACGACTCTTGAGAATCAGCCTAGGGCACTTTCGGTCTTTATGTGTCACCGGCTTGACCGGTATTTCGCCTAAGGCAAGAATAAGGCAGAATTCTAGTGATTACCAAATGGAATTCCGTGGCAGTTACAAAATGTTTCTCTTTTGCTTTTATGGTGTTCCTTTAATCATGTTCTAGTAACTCATATTTCATTTTGCCTTATCTAACACTCAAACTCCTTCTACGCTTACATTTTCAAAAAAGGCCGATTTTTGCACTTCAACTGCCTGAAAATACTCGGCTGTAACTTTTGAACCATCGATAGTTAAGCTGAGTACGATAGCTCATTTTAAAGGCCTTATTATGGTAATTAATCACAGCAAATCTCAACCTCTTCCGAGTTTTCTTTTTTGAGTAAGGCAGCTTTATTGTAAAAAGACCCCACGGGCAGAAGGGTCCGAGTGAACCGGATATATCGATGTCGTTCAAGGCAGAAGAGCGTCGTACAAGAAAACTTCCGGTATATAAAACTACCCTAACGTGGTACTGTAGTATAAATAAGGAGTCACTCATGAATCTTAATAAGTCGCAGAAAAAACGAGAAATCTTTTGTCTCCGTTATTTTGGGTCACCCTGTATATTAGAGAACTCTCTACTTCCATGATAGCGGTATATCATAAAATTATGGCCTTATACGAAAACACCGCGACAAAATGTCAAATTGATTTTATTTTGATGATATTTTTATGTCATCGCCCTTGGCCACAAATTAAACTCTAAAATCAGTCAATAATTTATGTTGTTGAGTCATAATTAAAGCTCTTCAAGTGTAATCAAGACTTTATTCAATTCAATTTGTCGATGAGGAAAACTTGGAGGCACTTGTGGTGCTGGAAGTTTGGCCACTGGTGCTGGAGCCGACCTGGGAGTCACTTTTTTCGGAGCTAAGATCACATAAACAAGCCAGTTCCACCTACATTTTGGCTTTGTTCCTCCCGAAGAACCAGTATCTGGAGCCCTTTACTTTCCTCTGATTCACATTTTCTTCTCGGACTTCCACGGAAATGTCTCTTTTGTCCGAACTTTTTCTGGCCGTTTTCTTGAATGGTTTGCACTTTTTGAATTCAAGGGGGATCTCGCGTTGTGATCGCGGTTTTTCAGCCGAGGTTTGGCCAATAAATTCCTGAAATTGGATATCAAATATACCATCAGAATAAGTTTAAAATATTACCTTTGATGGCGTCTGGACTCGTCGTTCTCGCATCGATCCGATCTCATCACTGGCTATTCCAAGAGGCTTTTTCTGAACCAACAATCAATTCAAATAAGCAAGGACTCACTCTGTTCAAGTTGATTGTCTGCTTCCTCACCCAACGTTTGCTATCTTTGAAGACGAACGGGCGAATCTTTGCATCCACAATCTCGTACTCAGTCTAAAAATACCTTACGAGATAAGGCTATCAAAAAATTTTTCAAAATCAAAATCTATTATCCCTGCTTACAAATGCTTCCTCTGTGCTGATAAATGTTTTATCTTCGGCGAATGCGGTCCGGAACGTCCTTCTGATCTCCTTCGGCTTAATCGGTTCACGTGGCTTCTTCCTGGGCAGTTCGCTGGTCGCCTCCGTCTTCCTCCTCGTTCTGACTTTAGCCCGAGGCGCTTTTCTAGATATTGGAGATGGTGGATTCAAAGATTCACAGGTCTTCAATGTCCGATTAACTCCTTTCTTCCGCTTATTCGAACAATCGATTGGAGTCGGCGATTTGAAAATTAACTTCAAAATTTAAATTATATTATCCACGGACAAGATCATACCTGTTTCGCAGAATCCTTCTTGACCTTGCTCGGACTCTTCTGCCTCACAGATAAGGGGTTCGGAGACTTCGTGGCGGCCTTGGCTTCTTCTTCCGTGACGCTGACTTCTGTATGGAATACATTATCTTCAGTTCTGACCGTCTCCTAAAGTTGTATAAGTTCGGTCCTATTTTCTCTGATAGAACATGAATTATAAAACAAAAGTGTCTCCCAACCCACTTCATTAGTATTGGCGTGAGTTTTTGCCTTGGCCATCGGCGGCAACGTCGTTGGACTTGTCCCCGTTTCACTTCCAGAGATTCCTTTGCTTTCACCGGTCGAAGGTGTGGCAAGAAACATACGTAATTGGGCTGGCGTCATATCGGGCAACACGTCGAACGTTTCCTCATCCTCCTGAGTCGCCGAAACTTGTAATCTGCAATAAAAATTATGTTATACTAGGCCAAAATAAAAACTCAGTCTACAATATCTCAAAAGTAGACAAAACGGAAACCAAAACGTTTTCTGGAGTCCTGGAAGTATTTACGTATGGACTTACTCATCTTCGATCTCCTTTGAATTGTCCATCAGAATTCGCTTTCGATTCCGCAGAAATTGGCGTGCATAAGATTCAAAATACAATGGCGACTGCCACCGAAAAAAATTTTGAAATAAAAAATTACAATGTCAGCATCACTTGAATACATTTTTTATTATTATGTCATCTCATCCACCAATATTTTTTTGACACTTCGCCAAAAATCCGATGAATCCTGTGGCAACGAAAAAATAATATTTTTTAACAAAACTTTTTGTTCAAGATGAAGATCTCCAGTTTATCGAGGTATTCTACTGGAATTAGGAGTAAGAATAGGAAGATTCGAGACTATTTGGATCGCCAACTGAATGATGAATTTGCAAAGTTGGCCAGGGAACATTCATATCGGGCGAGAAGTGCCTTCAAGTTGTTAGAGATCCAAAACAGATGGAAAATATTCGAAAAGGGTAAGACTTTCTTGGTTTTTGTTCTTGTCTAGGTCATAAATTACATGATTAATTTTAGTATAATAATTATATTTTCCGTGCAGGAAATACTGTGCTGGATGTTGGTGCCGCTCCCGGATCATGGTCGCAAGTGGCCTACGATTGTGTTCAACCCACGGGTTATGTCCTCGGTGTGGATTTACAACCATTGAAACCGTTAGACGGCGTAGAATTTCTGTCCAAGGCCGATATTCAAAATCCGAGTGTTCAAAAAGCGATAATCAAGAGGCTAGGAGATCGGCCAGTCGATTGTTTGATCAGTGATATGGCTCCAAGTCCGACGGGTAGGAAATATTTAGTGTTTTTTTTTGAATTTAGGCTTCTCTGTTATCAAAAATTATATTACCTGTAGGACTAATGTCCAAATTTTATTATCCACGTCGTTTCAGGCAGTCGAACAGCAGATCACGAACGAATCATTGACTTATGTGAGACGGTGGTGGATTTGATAAGGCCAGAGAACGAGAGCAAACTCAAGATCTCGGATAAATTTGTTTTCCTGTGCAAAATCTGGGATGGTCATCGGAAAATTGAATTTACAAAAAAATTAGAGAAACTTTTTGATAATGTAAGGTGCATTAAGCCTGAGGCAAGTCGATCAGATAGTGCCGAAATATTTGTCTTAGCTAGGAGAAATAAATGAATGCAAACATTTGGAAATTGCTCTTCTTTTCGATCAAAATTTATATTATTCATGTCATTATCAACGGGTATATTGGTTTGATTTATTGGAGATTGTCGCCATCTCCGCTGACAAGCTCAACATGGAGGAATTCCTCAGGATGATACACTTTCTTGTACACGATACCCATCACTGTCGCGTTTTCCAGCTGATCTTTCTCGCAATTGTAGTCCTTCTCGCATGGGGCGACTACCAAATCAACGCGGTATTCGTTCTAAATTCTCGATTGTGAATAATAATTACTTGAATTTAGTATTTTTTCTTTGTATGGCAGTGATTATAGGATTTTATATTATCCCTTATCCCTCTTACCTGTCTTCCCTTGAGAGCGATCCCTCTCAACGGCGAAACCAGAGTGTGATAGTCCAAGCGACGATCGTTCAGCTCTTGCAAAGCGAGTTTGGAGATATGGGCCTGAAATTGAAGTTATGATGAAGTATTGCTATGCCAATATTACTAACATACCAGCTGTTTCTCATTCAAGTACTTGATTGGAATATCATCGATTGCGGCGAATACGGTGACAATCGATAGCACCACCAAAAAGAACAGACGGGACATCTTGATAGGAAGGCAATAAAGGGAAAAGAAGCGACCCACGGTGATAATCAGCACATTTATTCATTCAAATGTAATGGGGTCCACAGCTCTTATTATTTGCAATACTTTGGATATGAAATGCAAAAATATTTGCGAAACATGGAATGTGAAGATGCGGAGTAAAAACCACACAAATTCTGCATTGAGTCATTGTAAAACAAGAATTGTTTTAAGCTACTTTAGCAAACAGTATGCGTTGGTGAATTCACGTCGAAGTATCTCGCCCAACGCTTTATGACCTGAACGCGTGTCATCAATAATGGCCAACAACTCACTGCTACAGTAACGTTCGACGCGACTCATCATCCCGCTTGAAAAATCTTTGACATTTTGTTCAATGACAAAATGTCACAGAAAAAAATAATATTTTCTCTTATTTTTGCATGCAATGCATGCATTAGCTCCTTTCTGAATTTAAGCTTCTGATGGATGGAAGAGATCGTCTGTATTCGACTTTGTCTACTCAACTTGCCCTCAATCCGAATCGGGACCTCAAAAGGTTCGAAAATGATATTGCAGGTGTTGTAGATTCAGCTCTTAGTGAGCTACGGAACAGTCAAAAGTTCCGAGGCTTGATCAACAAATTGGTGGTGCAACAAAGTAAGTTCTTTGGTATTAAATTGTTATTTATTATTTTAGGAGTGGCTGCAGCAGAGGCTTTTCTTTCACAACAAGCTATCGACGATGCCCAAGCTGATCCATCACAAAATAATCACGAAACGGACGGGAACTTTGAGTTGCAAGCGAAGTCTGATAGTGAAATTGTCGAAAGGCATCAGGTCTTACCTTCATCTTCTTCTGAAGCCGACATCAATAAAAAATCCGTTCCTCGTAAACTGTCGAATGGATATAATGTCAAGTTCAAGTATCTAAGAGGTGATGTACAGCTCAAATCTTCTCAATTGAACAAGCATATCACAAAAGACTGGACTATGGTCGTTATTCTGCCCAATGTTGTTTTAGAGACCAATGAATTTGATATTGTTAAAGTGAGTTCATTTGAATTGATTGATTTGTGTTTAGATAACCACTGGAAGTTTTGATCAGATATTTACTATTCTTTCTCAAGCCAATTTACACAAGAAGACCAAGAATATTGTGCTTGCTTTGGCACCGAAATATTTCAAAAAGAGTTGCAAGGTCCGTGAGATATTGAGCCGAATTATTTCCTATGGTCAAGGATTTGAAGGCAAAGCTAAATTGTTTGTAACTGGATTCGCCAACAAAAATAGCAATGCGCAGCCGAAAGAATATTGTGAGAAACTCCGAAAGTTTAATGACACTGCGGAAGGAATGCTGGCAAAACATGATATCCAATTCTTGGACCTGAAAAAGTTTCTTCCCATAAAACTCAATGGAGTTGATTGGCACAAAGATCATCCTGAAAGTCCGGAGGTGTTCAACGACGACATCATGGCATGGGTTTTTAAGGAAGCAATGAGCTACGCGATGTTGAGTGCAAATGTAAGTCTTATTTTTATTTTATTTTTATTGTTTGAGGGGACTATGAAGAAGCTGAAGAGGGCATCACCACGGCCAGTTGAGGAGATGGAGTATGATGAAAAAGAAATCGTCCAGAAAGATGGTAAGATAGACGAAAGCTCATCTGCAGGTGATAATTTAGGGAAAAATACATTTGGTGACAAGAAATATTTTTGTTGGGGACCACTAAAACCGCCAATTATTTCCCACGAATTTGCATAGAATCAAAGGACAAAGTCTTCGTCAGATCAAATCATTCCCCTATTCTCAGAAGTCGGTCTCTCGCTCCTTAGCGTGCGGTTGTATTTTCATGTATTTCTCGTCTGGCCCAATAAACATATTCTCTAATTCTGTCTACTTTCGTTATAGGTGAGACTGAATCATCACTTCGTAAGCAGAACGGCGAAATGAAAGTTGAAATGAAACACGTCGTTGCCGAGGAAAAGACGTCTAGTAAAAATGATAAAAGTGAGGTTGTAACTCCCGATGAGAATGGTTATGGTCCTAAAATAAATGGAAAGAGATTTGATGTTGCTTATAAGACGCGACTGAAGAAGGACATTACGGAACGAGAGATTGTTGCCTTAGAATTGGAAAAGGCTCCAAGGTGGATTTTACTGGTACTGGAAGATACTTCAGTCCCGCTCAGCAAAGACCGTTTGTTCTCTGCGTTCACGGTAAGAATGCGACAATCTGGTAAATTGATGATTTTAGTTCAACTTTGGAAATGTAAGGGAAGCCAGCACTTTTGTAATACCACTCCTCCGACATCTGAAGTCACCCAAAAACATTGCGATATCATTGAATCCGGCCTGGTACTTTAGAATGCCGAATAAGACGGGGAAATCGATTGATATGCCGCTAGAGATGATGTCACTTTTGGAATTGGACATCATGGCGGGAAGGCCTTCCTTCTGTAATATACAGGGTGGTCCAGCTAAGTTCGCGGATGTAAAATGCTTATAACTTTTTATAGGATTGTTCAATTTTTATGAGCAATAGCTCATTTTATTCCTTAGTAGTTGCCATTTTGTTTAAAAAAGACCATTAAAAACGAGCAATCCTACGTCGAGTTATGACCCTTCAAAGTCAAACATGCTTTTTCACGTAAATTTTTAAAAAAATTTAATTTTCAAAAATTTTTGAATTGCGGTGTCACCGCTCGCTGTTACCGGGAAATGATGGTGAACAGAGCGATCCGAGCTATGCAAAATTGGCCCAATTTTGCCAGTCTTTGGTATTCTTCCATAATTTGGCGCCTCATTTGTTCATCCTGGCGAACTCATTCCACCTCTTCTTCGATTACGCGCTTCAATTCCACGTCTTTGGGCGCCAATCCCTGATGAAAATCCGCTGTTTTAAGAACCCCCAAATGGAGAAATCTAGCGAAGTTAGATCAGGTGAACGTGGGGACCCAGCAATAGGAGCTGGTTGCCGCGCAGATCCCCGGCCCATCCAACGACCTGGAAAAACCTGGTCAAGGAGTTGACGGACCGCTATAGCAAAATGAGGTGGCGCGCCGTCTTGTTGAAAAACAAGACTGGCAAAATTGGCTGGTATCGCTCTGTTCACCATCATTTCCCGGTACCAGCGAGCGGTGACACCGCAATTCAAAAATTTTTGAAAATAAAATTTTTTTTAAAATTTACGTGAAAAAGCATGTTTGACTTTGAAGGGTCATAACTCGACGTAGGATTGATCATTTTTAATGATCTTTTTTTTAAACAAAATGGCAACTACTAAGGAATAAAATGAGCTATTGCTCATAAAAATTGAACAATCCTATAAAAAGTTATAAGCATTTTACATCCGCGAACTTAGCTGGACCACCCTGTATATTTCATTGGATTTCCCACACAGCCGTCTGATGAAATGTTTAACGGACGATTGAAGAAGATCAATGATTTTATGGCTTCAAAATTTGGAGATCATTTCATAGACCCATGCAGATTTATGCCGCCAGGTCTGCCTAAAATCGATCTTACACGGCCAAATGACAATAAGCCAAAGTTATTGGACGATGAATTGAATTGTTTCTTATTGAAGGAAGCCATGAATTGGTTGATTAACAATTCCAAGGATGATGTCGTTGTGAGGGAAGACAGTTCCGAAGATGAAGTTGATGATTTTGTCGCATCTGCGAGCAAAGAGATCAATGAGGGAGCTAAAATACCTGACGAGAAGGCAGAGGAGATGGAAGAGCAAGTTGAAGTGGATGAAGCCAAAACGGCACTTGAGATTGGTTTGGAAAGAAAGGACAAAGATGATGGGATTGCTCATACAATCAATTTGAAGGACACGGATCATGTGGAAAAACTGGTTACAGTGGAAGAAAAAGAGTCAAAGAAGATTACTGCCTCTGCGACAGTTAACGTAGAAAGGAAGAACCAAGAAAGTGAGGGCGACAGAATTTCTGCAACCACCGAATCCAAGAAGATCCCAGAAGCCGGAGAAACATTGAACACGGAAGAGAGGGCATTGAGAAATATGTTATCGAAGACTCTTGTCAACGATTTGAAGTCAGAGATATTTTTGGAGCCCTCAGGAGACATGGGAAGAATCGGGTTGGAAGCTGTCTTTCTTCGCAACACTCTCGAGATGAAATGCGCGTTATGTCCAGAGCATATGCTTGCACAACAATTTAATTTGATGAAAAAAGTTTATCTTGGGCATCAGGTGGCAGCTTACATCTTTGGTCGCGTTAATGGATTCTTCAAGAAGAAAAGAAATTTCACAACTGATCCGATTGGACTTGGAGAAAAGATTAAGGCCGCTATATGCAGAATGATGACAGATTACACCCTACTTGAACTTGGCGAGTTACTGAGGCCAGCTGTGATTGCAACCTTAAAAGCTGATGAATTCGCACCTCTGAAGAGCGATGAGTATGTAATCTTGATGACTAATGGAAGCCTAGACCCATTGGCACATGGTGCGATCGTTCTTGGCCTTTTCTCGGCCCTCTTCCCTGATCCGGACGCTCCCGGAAGAAATATGGAGGAATTTTTCTTCCTTCTCGAACGATTGAAGAACAAGTTTGAGCATATCCACTTGATCGGTCGAGACGTCTTCAGAGCATCTCAGCCCTCTTCTGTCCCTGAAGTTGTCAATGAAACAGAAGCCAAACAATTGAAACAACGCATCGAAAGTGAAGCAAAAATCGTGCCGGATGCAGTAATTGGCGTCAGGCTGAAAGGAAAGTTGAAACTGGCTGAACACGGCACATTGCAAGCAACATTGAACGTCTTTGGTCGGTACGAACCTTTCTTCAAACAGGACATACGGAAGTTCGATGATCAGCTGGTCGGTATGATGGTAAAGGCAATTGCGATGAAGATGTGTAAATGTTTTGGTCCAAGAGCCATTGGAAATGTATTCAGACAGGAGATGGATCGTTTATTGACCATGGAAAAGTTCAAACCATCTACTCGAGAATTGACGACAGTCTTGGATAGAGAAGATCTGGATCTTGGTGTTTATGCACTCGTAGTTTGGGAAAAATTATTCATCGAAGACGAAGGTGTTCAAAAGGATATCCAGCTCAAAATGGATAAATCAACTGTGGCGCAGACAGAACCCAAAACGAAAAAGATGGAAGGTCAGCCGGTAAAAACGACCGAGAAAATCGATCGACCGACCACATCCAAGGAGACAAGAGGGGAGTCAGGGTACTGTAAATTGATGAGAGAAGTCCGATCAACAGTCGTGAGGCTCTCTCCAGCCGAAAGAAAAGACAAATCGACAGCGTTCATGTTCCAGATGATTGCCCGAAAAGTTGGATTTGCCGAGAATTACAAGAAAACGATTGCAGACACGTCCAACGAGAAGGACAAAGATTTCAGAAGGGTAAAAGATGCGATTCGTCGCTTGTTCGTCATCATCAGCAATAGTATTGCATCTCGCTTGTCATCGGCACCCGATCACGAGATTCCGGACTGTCTCCAAGTTGTCCTAAGTTATTGTGTGAATCAACTGCAAGCTGAGTTGACGGGACAGGATTTCAGAGAAGCTATTATCAAGTGTCAACCGACTGTAATCACAGACACCATTGTGAATGACTTATTGAAGATGAACGACAACTTTTTGGGAGGATTTTTCTTCGAACTTGTCAGCCGAATTTTGATGCCTGATCAGGGTGATCCAAATCAAAAGAAAGTACCTCTAAAGGGACCCCAAACTGTTTTCGAGGAGGTGATGCAAGTTTGTGGAGACATGGAGACCACTAATCTGATCGTCAAGAGAATTCAGGACTTTAAATTTACTACAGACCTCAGATCAAGCGTCCTTAGACAGCTCAGCCTGATGGATAATATAACATTGGCCAGGAAATTTAAAGCCCAATTCCAAAGGAAGGACACCATTTTCACAGACACTGATTACGATCTCCTCTATAGGATTATCCGACGGTTTCATCCATTTTTACGGGATAAAACGAAAGCGTTCAAAGAGGAATTCAAACTGGGATATGTTCTCAAAGAAATTATCCCAGGCATTCTGTGCCACCCTGGGGTTGTCTTCGAAATATTTGCAGATGAACATGATAACCTCCAATTTGAACACTCGACCGTCGTTTTGAATAGGACCGTCGGTTTAGTTGGTCGGGAAGGCATGGTCTCATATTGGAATATCTTCCTCTGCGCTTTGGTTGATGACGATGTCGAAAAACAATGTATAAAACCTGAGAAACCTACCTCTTCTGTACGTGCGAGTAATGTAAGTCGAGATGTCAAGGTAGTCTTATATTACACGTTTTTAAGAGCTCATCCAGCCCTCCACAGCCCTTCCTCCAAGGCGCTAAGATATCGGATAAAGCCAAAACGGACTGCAACTTGATGTAGAGCTTTTGTGAATTATGAATCACTTTACGAATACTGGTAACTCGTATGTTATTCTTTTTGAGTTGAAATATTAATAATATACAGGGTCTTTCAAGAAATGTGAAGGAAAGTAGGAGGCTATAACTTTCGGCGGAGGCGGCGCAGAGAGTTCGTTTTTGGAATATGTATTTTATAGCAACATTATTTTTTGCCTACGAAATAACAAGATTTTTAAGTGCAAACTGAGGTCGCTACAACCTTTTAAAAAAGGGCTCTTTTACCCCGAAAACCAGGGTTTTTCGGTTGAAAATGATCGAGAAATTTCAGAGTTTTTCGGTCGAAAATCACCGAGAAATGTCGGGTTTTTTGGGGGGTTTCGATAGAGCTGACGTTGAAAACAGGGAAGGAAATTGCCAACACGTTGAAAATTAAGCAAATATTCGGCTACTCTTCATTCTGACACTTTGGCTAGCCAACCAGTTTTCTCTAGCAGTTAAAAGTTTGGTTGTCATTCCTGCCCTTTGACGCCCATTACACCCCTTTGACTAGGTTTTTTAAGACTTCACAGACATTCTGGTGCCTTGTCTAGCCGATTCCAGGTCCCCAAATCCCCAAATGAAACACTGAAAATAAACTCGAAATCTGCCCCAAGTTGAGGCTAGCCGAATATTTGCTTACTTTTCAACGTGTTGGCAAGTTCCTTCCCTGTTTTCAACGTCAGCTCTATCGAAATCCCCCAAAAAACCCGACATTTCTCGGTGATTTTGGACCGAAAAACTCTGAAATTTCTCGATCATTTTCAACCGAAAAACCCTGGTTTTCGGGGTAGAGATGCCTTTACTTCAGAAGGTCGTAGCGACCTCAGTTTACACTCAAAAAGCTTGTTATTTCGTAGGCAAAAAATAATGTCACTGAAAAATACATATTCCAAAAACGAACTCTCTGCGCCGCCTCCGCCGAAAGTTATAGCCTCCTACTTTCCTTCACATTTCTTGAAAGACCCTGTAAGAGTGAAGACAGAAGATTTCGGAGGAAAATTTTGAAAATTTTTCGAATTCACTTTTTTTTGAAAAAGAGAGTAAAAATCGAGAAATTTTATGGGTCGGCGAGTAGGAATCGAAATAGCTTTCAAAATTTCCATTTTTGGAGTGAATTCCGAGTTTACTTTTTTTCGCCTTTTTTGGAGTAAACTCAGAATTTACTCGCCGAAGGTGCCGGCGAGTAAATCCAGAGTTTACTCCCGGGGAACAGTTGACCCCTGGGCGCAAAAAATTTTTTTATCTGCGTTAGTAATTCGCGCCAAACTTTCGAAAAATTTTGCCGAATCCTGACTGGGAGGCTCCAGTCAGGATTCGCGGGGTTCCTGACCCTTCGTACAGTCAAAACTTCCTGACTGTGGTCCATTCAGGAATCCCGCGATTCTTGACTGGGTGAGGGGTCAATAACTGTTGACTAGGACGAAGAAATAGGGAGAAAAAACGAAGAGAACGAGAGAAACGCGCGCTATTTCGTGCTTTCTCTGCCTCTCAGCGCCCTCTTTCCGTTTCGCGCTCTCTCTCTTTTTCGAAAGAAAGAGCGAGAGAGCGCAAAAAAGGAGAGAGAGAGCGAAAGAGCGGGAAACGAGGAGAGGGCGCAGAGAGGCAGAGAGAGCACGAAATAGCGCGCGTTTCTCTCGCTCTCTTCGTTTTTTCTCCCCGTTTCTTCGTCTCAGGTGACTGGGATGTCGATTTGGAGGCCGCCCAGTCAAAAACATTCCTGACTGCAGGAATCGCGGGATTCCTGACTGGGAGGCTCCCAGTCAGGATTCGGCATTGGAAGCGAGCAAAATCCAGATTTACTCGCCGCCATTCGATTTCTCGGCCCCGGCGAGTAAACTCCCAGTTTACTCCCGAAAATCAAAATTTTTTTCAAATTTTGGAGTAAACTTCGTGTTTACTTTTTTTTTGGCATTTTTGGGAGTAAAAAAAATTTTTACTCCAAAATCGAAAAAAAAAGTGAATTCGAAAAATTTTCAAAATTTTCCTCCGAAATCTTCTGTCTTCACTCTTATACCAGAAATTAGGGGGTCCCTTCGGGCCCCCCAATTTCTGGACTTCTACTTGTACTTTTAACTGATGATTTTGATTTTTTTAAAGTTTACCAAATGCTCGGGGGCCTGCGGCCCCCTCGCATGTGGAAAACTTCCAAAAATTTCCAGAAATTAGGAGGTCCCTTCGGGCCCCCCAATTTCTGGAACTTTTACTTGAACTTTTTACTCTTGCTTTTGAACTTTCTCTAAACCTTTTGATTTTTTTGAAAGTGTTCCAAAGGCTCGGGGCCTGCGGCCCCTCGCATGCGGTGCCATGTCTCATACTGAATGCTGTGAAGACTTTACTGGAAGGCTCGGGGGCCTGCGGCCCCCTCGCATGCGGAAAAGTTTCCAAGCTCCTAACTTCGTGTCAAATCCTATCCCAAATCCATCACTTTCCCCAAAAAACAAAATTCCAAAAATTCCTATCACAGTACTTTCCTATACAAAAGTACCACACTGTGCACCACTCAATTGCACTCGAAACAGACCGCACCCCGCACTTGCATTTTACCCTTCGGGCCCCCTTTTTCTGGAAATTTTACTTGATCTTTTAACTCTTGTTTTTTATTTTGTTTTGTAATTTTACAAAAGGCTCGGGGCCTGCGGCCCCTCGCATGCGGTGCCATGTCTCATATTGAATACTAAAAAAGAAATGAAAGAAGATTACCTATTACCTCAAAGGCTCGGGGGTCTGCGGCCCCCTCGCATGCGAAAAAGTTCCTAAAATTCCTGTTTTCATCAAAGCCCTAACCTAAAACCCCTCACTACCCCTAAAAAACAAATTTCCCACAATTTCTATCACAGCACCACGTACTCAACCCAAACTATGCAAAGGTACCACACTTTGCATCACTCACCTGCACTCGTACCCGACCGCACCCCGCAATCACACTTTTCTGACTGACTGCCAAACCGAGCAAAAATTTTGAAAATGATTTTTGAATTTTTCAAAAATTCCCATTTTCCCACGAAATCGACCGCGATTTTTCGACCAATCAGCGCACGAATAGATTGGCTTCATTCCGACCGGACAGACAGACAATGAGTCCATTCTTTTACTTTAAAGAAAGGGGACCAGAAATTAGGGGGTCCCTTCGGGCCCCCCAATTTCTGGTACTTTTACTTGTACTTTTAACTGTTGATTTTGATTTTTTAAAGTTTACAAAAGGCTCGGGGGCCTGCGGCCCCCTCGCATGTGGAAAACTTTCTAAAATTTAAATTTTATTTGAATTTTTACAACAGGCTCGGGGCCTACGGCCCCTCGCATGCGGTGCCATGTCTCATACTGAATAATAAAAAATAAATGAAAGAAGATTACCTATTATCTGAAAGGCTCGGGGGCCTGCGGCCCCCTCGCATGCGGAAAAGTTTCCAAACTCCTAACTTCGAAAAATCTTATCCCACTCCCCCAAATCCTATCCCACTTTCCCCAAAAAACAAAATTCCTAAAATTCCTATCACAGTACCATGTACTCAACCCAAAATATGCAAAAATTAAACCACTCACTTGCACTCCAAACCCGACCGCATTCCGCACTCACATTTTTGCGACTGACTGCTCCTCAAACCAAAACTTTCTCTCACTAAAATTTCAGTTTTCATCAAAACCCTAACCCAAATTCATCACTTTCCCTAAAAATCAAAATTCCAAAAAATCCTATCGCAGTACCACTTACCCAATCCAAAATATGCAAAGTTCCCCAACTCTGCACCACTCACTTGCACCCGAAACCCGACCGCACTCCGGATTCACATTTCTGCGACTGACTGCTCCGCAAACCAAAACTTTGAAAATGATTTTGAATTATTTCCAATTTCCCACGACCGAGACCGATTTTTTGCTTCGAATTTTTCAAAATGAGAATTGTTTGGCTTCACGGACAAAAAAACAGACAGAATAATTCTTTTGCTTTAATAATTCGTAACCAGAAATTAGGGGGTCCCTTCGGGCCCCCCAATTTCTGGAACTTTTACTTATTCTTTTACTCTTGCTTTTGAATTTTCTCTAAGCCTTATGATCCTTTTTGAATTTTTTCAAAAGGCTCGGGGCCTGCGGCCCCTCGCATCCGATGCCATGCTTAGTTCTAGTACTCATGCTCACAATGAATCCATAAAGTTTTATCTATTATAAAAGGCTCGGGAGCCTGCGGCCCCCTCGCATATGAAAAAGTTCCTAAAATTCCTAACTTTTCATCAATGCCCGTAACTCAGATTCATCACTTTCCCTAAAAAACAAAATTCCTAAAATTCCTATCACAGTACCACTTACCCAATCCAAAATATGCAAAGTTCCCCAACTCTGCACCACTCACTTGCACTCCAAACCCGATCGCACCCCGCACGTGCATTTTACTGACTGACTGCTTCGCAAATCAAAAGTTTGAAAATGATTTTGAATTTTTGAAAAAATTCCCACGATCGAGACCGATTTTTTGCCTCGAATTTTTGAAAATGAGAATTGTTTGGCTTCACGGACAAAAAAACAGACAGAATAATTCTTTTGCTTTCATAAAGGGGACCAGAATGTCGGGGGTCCCTGCGGGACCCCTCCATTCTGGCAGATTCAGCCAACCTTTATTCAGATTTTTTTTGAAAATTTTAGATGCAATTTGAGGGTCGGGCGCCTTCGGCACCCTCCCATGAGTACAAACTGTCGCTGATTTTACACTAAGACGCTCGGGGGCCCTACGGACCCCCTCGCTTATGGTTTGCTTCCAGTTCGCACAATCAGAGACAGAATTCGCAGAGATTACAAAAAAATGCACACTGCACATACAGAGAATTGCAATTTGAGGGTCGGGCGCCTTCGGCACCCTCCCATGAGTAGAAACTGTCACTGATTTTACCTTAAGACACTCGGGGGCCCTACGGACCCCTCGCTTATGGTTCACCTCCAGTTCGAACAGTCAGAGACAAAAATTGCAAAAAAAGTGCGTATTGCACATGCAGAGAAAGGAACTGAGCCGTACACCACACTCACTTTCTCACAGACCGATTTTTGATTCCGAAATTTAGCGTGTGCCATTCTCCAGTTCGCACAATCAGAGACAGAATTCCCAGAGATAACAAAAAATCGCACACTGCACATGCAGAGAATTTCAATTTGAGGAAAAACTGTCGTTGGTCTTACCTTGTGATGCTCGGGGACCCCGCGGGCCACCTCGTTTCTCGTTTGCCTTCACTTCGCACTATCAGAGCCAGATTTTGAAAAAATTTGCGCATTGCACATGCAGAGAAAAGAGCCGACCGCACACCACACTCATTTTCTCACAGACTGATTTTTGATTCCGAAATTGAGAAATGAGTTTGAATTTTCCCACGAATTTTCGAAATTGACCGATTTTTTGCTTCGAATTTTTCAAAATGATAATAGATTGGCTTCATTTTGAGCGGACAGACAGACAGATAATGTGACATTCCCTTCGGGCCCCCCTATTTCTGGAACTTTTACTTGTTCTTTTACTCTTGCTTTTGAATTTTCTCAAAAGCTTTTGATTTTTTTGAGATTTTACAAAAGGCTCGGGGCCTGCGGCCCCTCGCACGCGGTGCTATGCCTCATTCAGGTACCGAAGCTCACGATGAATGCTACAGTTTCAATTGAAAGGCTCGGGGGCCTGCGGCCCCCTCGCATGTGAAAAAGATCCTAAAATTTTTGAAATTTTGATCAAAACCCTAATCCAAATTCATCACTTTCCCCTAAAAAAACAAAATTCCAAAAAATCCTATCGCAGTACCACTTACCCAATCCAAAATATGCAAACTACCCCAGTCTGCAACCCTCACCTGCACTCGAACCCAACCGCATTCCGCACTCGCATTTTTGAGACTGACTGCTTCAATTGAAAGGCTCGGGGGCCTGCGGCCCCCTCGCATGCGGAAACATTTCCTAAAATTCCCAATTTTTCATGAAAACCCTAACCCAAATTCATCACTTTCTCCGAAAAACAAAATTCTAAAAATTTTTATCACAGTACCACGTACTCAACCAAAAATATATAAAGGCACCCAACTCTGCACCACTCACCTGCACTCGTACCCGACCGCACTCTGCATTCACATTTTTGCGACTGACTGCTCCGCACACCAAAACTTTGAAAATGATTTTCAAAAATTCCCATTTTCCCACAATCGAGACCGATTTTTTGCCTCGAATTTTTCAAAATGAGAATTGTTTGGCTTCGGAATGACAGACAGAAAAACGTTCTTTTGCATTAATAAAGGGGACCAGAAATTAGGGGGTCCCTTCGGGCCCCCCTAATTTCTGGTACTTTTGCTTGTTCTTTTACTCTTGCTTTTTAAAATTTTTAAAAAGCTAAAAGCAAAACTTTTGATTTTTTTTTTGAGATTTTACAAAAGGCTCGGGGCCTGCGGCCCCTCGCATGCAGTATCATGCTTAATTGTCTCAAGCTCTAAACTTATACCTAAAAGGCTCGGGGGCCTGCGGCCCCCTCGCATATGAAAAAGTTCCTAAAATTCTCAACTTCCCATCAAAACCCTAACCCAAATTCATCACTTTCCCCAAAAACCAAAATTCCTAAAATTTGTATCACAGAACCTTATACCAAGCCCAAAATATGCAAAGTTCCCCAACTCTGCACCACTAACCTGCACTCGTACCCGACCGCACCCCGCACTCACATTTTTGCGACTGACTGCTCCCTCGCATGCGAAAACCTTTCTAAAATTTCCGAGTTTTCATCAAAACCCTAACCCAAATTCATCACTTTCCTTAAAAACCAAAATTCCTAAAATTACTATCACAGTACCACGTACTCAACCAAAAATATATAAAGGCACCCAACTCTGCACCACTCATCTGCACTCGTGCCCGACCGCACCCCGCACTCACATTTTTGCGACTGACTGCTCCGCAAACCAAAACTTTGAAAATGACTTTGAATTTTTTCAAAAATTCCCACGACCGAGACCGATTTTTTGCCTCGAATTTTTCAAAATGAGAATAGATTGGCTTCGGAATGACAGACAGACAGAAAAAGATTCATTCTTTTACATTAATAAAGGGGACCAGAAATTAGGGGGTCCCTTCGGGACCCCCTATTTCTGGTACTTTTGCTTGTTCTTTTACTCTTGCTTTTTGAATTTTATCAAAAGCTTTTGATTTTTTTGAAATTTTTCGAAAGGCTCGGGGCCTGCGGCCCCTCGCACACGGTGCCACGTCTCATATTGAATGCTGTGAAGACTGACTGGAAGGCTCGGGGGCCTGCGGCCCCCTCGCATGCGGAAAAGTTTCCAAACTCCTAACTTCGTGTCAAATCCTATCCTAAATCCATCACTTTCCCCTAAAAACAAAGTTCCTATCACAGTACCACGTACTCAACCCAAAATATGCAATAATACCCCACTCTGCACCACTTACTTGCACTCCAAACCCGACCACATTCCGCACTCACATTTTTGCGACTGACGGCTCCTCAAACCAAAACTTTCTCTCACTAAAATTCCCGAGTTTTCATCAAAACCCTAACCCAAATCCTTCACTTTCCCTAAAAAACAAAATTCCAAAAAAATCCTATCGCAGTACCACTTACCCAATCCAAAATATGCAAAAGTTCCCCAACTCTGCACCACTCACTTGCACTCCAAACCCGACCGCACCGCGCACTCACATTTTTGCGACTGACTGCTCCGCAACCCAAAACTTTGAAAATGATTTTCAAAAATTCCCATTTTCCCACAATCGAGACCGATTTTTTGCCTCGAATTTTTCAAAATGAGAATTGTTTGGCTTCGGAATGACAGACAGACAGACAGACAGACAGACAGACAGACAGAAAAAGATTCATTCTTTTGCATTCAGAAAGGGGATTATGTTGTTGGTTTTACACGAAATAAACTCATGACAAGCTTTAGCAAATCTGAGTCTGTCATTGCTAAGTGACGACTCTCTGAAAATGTGTGCAGGGCTTGGTTGAAGTCAGGATCAGCTAACTCCTTGAAAAATTCCTCTACGTCTTCTTCGATTACTTATCGACCGAGCGCAGAGATCAATATAATTTGCGACGAAATGACACCATCGATTTAAAAAAATATTTATTTTGAAAATTTTATAAAATTTCTGGGAAAAATTATTGGATGGCCAGCCACTGCGATCTTTATAAGATAAAATCTAGTCGTCTTTTTATCGTCCCGAATTTTCCTTCATGTTATCTTATGGTTGACGATTTTTAATCGAATTATTGTTCTAGGCGAAACCCTCATGTCAGAATATCGACTAAAAACAATATTTAAAGCAAAATTAGAAGCAACTGGCGACCAAAGGCTTTTAGAATATCAAGATCACTTAGAGTCGTTGTTGACCCAGGTCTTATCTGAATTTCAACTTAATGCCGGACTTCGCCAAGAGCTAAATGAACTGGTGTTTGAAGAACGTATGTCCTTTTTGTTTATATCTATTTATTGTTTAGGTATTTCTGCTGCTCGAAGTTTTTTTGCTCAAACAGTGGCTTCGAGCGATGTTATTCCCAGGATTCAAACAGATCGACAGATGATAGAAGAGGTTGGACATCATGGAGAGGTTAACGTAACTCAGTTTGATGATCCTCCTCCGTCCACATCAATTCCGGTTGATCCTAGTGCATCTTCTTCATCAGATAATTGCGAAGAGCCCATTCAAAAAGACGACTTTTCTTTGGCCATTCAAAGTGTGAAGTATGGAATCAGTTTTAAGAAGTATTTGGGGACCAAAGAGCTTCCTAAATCTTCTAATTTCTGGAATGAATTGGAAGAAGGACCCGAGTGGATACTAATTACTTTTGGAGAACTGGCGGTTCCGATCTCTCAGAATGGCAAATTTAATGTTTACTCAGTAAGTTTTGCTGCCTAAAATAATTTTATTATCTGAGGTTTGACTAACTCTTTGAATTTTAGTTTAATTTTGGCAGTATCTCTCAAAGTGTTGGTTATTTGAGCACAATGCTAAAGAATGTTCGGAAGGTAAAGGACGTCGTGCTTTATCCAAGCGCTGAGTGGTTTTTCCAATGGGATTCCTCCAATCGATCCATGGGCTCGCTGGAAGAAGGGGTTATCTCTCTGATTTCCTTGTGCAATATCCTTGACAATTCTCCTTTTCGAACTCTTCATTGGCTTGGGTTTCCAGTCGATCCTAAGGATAATCACTTTAAAGGCCGGTTGGGGATCTGGAATCGGGTGATGGCAACCGTCTTCAAGGAGCATGGGAAGTTCGTCGACCTGCACATGTTTTGCCCTTTTGATCTGGAACAAATTGAGAGGCCAGATGAGGAGAAAGCGAGCTTATTGGACGATGAAACCAACGCTTTCTTGCTAATGGAGGCCATGAATTATTTGATGGATTCGGAATGCACCAATATTATTGGATTTACAAGTAGTGAGGACGAGGTCGATGTCGAAGAGAAGAAAATGTGTGTGTATAACAGATTTTATAACCCATCTTAATGTGTTTTGTGAAGTGAAGGTTTAACCGTGAAGATAAAATATTTATCTCTTTGATTACAGTGATCGGAGCTCGGAGAAGCAAGTACACGAATCATTGAAGTCACCAAAACAATCCGACACTTTCCCGGGCAAGGTCCTCACGATCAGTAGAACGGAAGATGAGCATTCTTTGAGCCAATACGAAGATGCCTTAAGCGACATTGCGGCTTTGGATATGAACAGTCCTAATGGAGAAGGTCAAATCCAGGAAGAAACAGTCGATCTGGATGAAACCCTGGTCCATCCAGAAGAAGACGTCTCAACAGAACACACAGTAATGCTGAAGACCAAGGTTGCGATGGAAGAAAGTTGTCATATTGTAATGACTGATTCGATTCCAAAGGAAAATGCGGAAGCAATTGCACTCTTACCCGAAGAACCGTTGTACGCACATCTCGAGTTATGTCTCTCAGCCGATGAACAAGCTCTTGCAAGAATGTTTAAACGAAGGATTAGGTTTGACGTGCAGAGAATGGATGTGAACATCATCTCCAAGCCCTACTACAATGTCGTCAGGAAATATGAACCATTCTTCGAGGATCCACAGGTCTTTCTCGGCGATGATCGGTTGTTTGGACGGGCTTTGAAAGCATTTATCAAAACGTTGATTACCAAGGTCCGACTTGAAGATCTGGGGAATATGTTCAAGGAGGATTTGAAGAAGATTGAATTCTTGGCCTTCAGATGTCAAGAATTGCTTAACCAACCTAATAAAGTTGTCGGAAAGTATTGTCTGGGCAATTTGAAGGACATTTTTTGCCGAGAAGTTGGGGCAGAAGAGGCCGTCAATACGGTAAGAGTGGTTTTATGAAATGTTTTATTCAAATAAATTTTAAACTAAACAATAATATACAAAATATTACCTAAAACAACGTAATACTAAAATCAATTGATATTTTAATGTGTAATTCTCTATCATTTCTAAATGTAGCTACAAGTTACTGCTATGAAGTTGAAACTTATAATAAAACAGGCAGTTTCGTCCCCTTCTCGACGTACTGACTGTTTATAAGCTATAAAGATAAGCTAAAGGTGCGGGGACTCGTCAGCGACGAACACCCTTAGCCACTTTACATTACTTCTCTACAAGTTTCTACTTCTCCTAAACATAGAAACAAAAATAAAAACTTCAACACTTACATTCATGTTTCCATTTGATTGTTTTCAGAATTGATGGTACTTCTGTGTCCTTCGTACTGCTCTTTTGTCCGGTCTTTATTCTGCAGAGTCCTGCGATGATATCGGTGTCTGGTTCTTCCTGTGTCTAGCTTGGTCAAATGTATATTCATGATGTTGCTTGATCATTTGAAACTTGTTGGATCTTTTGTGTCCTTCTAATCAGCAGAGGTCTTCCGTGTAGTATTTGGATGTCTTGGTCCTCATTATCCAGCGGTTGTTGGTTACTCGATCCTTCGTTCTTCTCACCCAAACTATAAATTCAAGAGCTATTATTTTATCACACATAATATACACGGTTTTCGAGATTTCACGCTCCAAAAATAAAATTCAAAGATCTCAAATACCCAATCAATCTTTCACATAGTCCTCTACATCTCGCCCGCTAATTTGTTTACTACATGAAAAATAGAGAAATTTTTTATCGAGAAATTTTTGATCGAGTCAAGTCTTTCCCAGTCCAATTTGGTCAAGTGTTTCTCTCTGCAGAAACACCGTAATAAATAGGCAGAAAATAACAGCATCAATGCAGAAATAGTCAAAATGGACAGAAATAAAACAGGATTGTTATAAATTGCATAAAAATGTAGACAGATAAATCTTTATGCCTAAAGTTCTGAATACTTATCTACTGTTGTGAACATAGAGCATTTTCATTACTTCATCGGCTATACTTTTATAGACATCTCCCTGTATCTTCGCCACTGCCTGTCCGATGTCGTGCTTGTTGTACCCGTTACTTATGCAGTTGTGCAGTAGCATTCTGTAGTTATTTTTGAGCGTTTCATAACTGCTATTGGTCTTGTTGAACCGTTTAATCTCGTTGATAATGGTGTTTGTCATAACTCTTTTGCTGATACACGAGTCGGCATGTATTCCTTTAATCACTTTAAAATTGTAACCCCTTGTCTTATCATATGTCTCCATGTTAAGTTTACCTCTTTCTATACTTAAAGAGAGATCAAGATATTCGGTCTTGCTTCCCTGACTGGTTTTTTCCAGGGTAAGTGATTCATGATAAATCTGGCTGATTCTAGCCTCAAATTCTTTGTCGTTTAATACCAGTATATCGTCAATATATCTACATACGACTGTGTCTTTTCCCATGAGATTTTGGTTCTTCTTCATATATTTATATTCCATGTTTATTAATGTAAGATCTGCAATTAGCGGGCTGGTGATTCCTCCCATTGGTACTCCTGTTATCTGCTTATATATATTTTCACCCACCGCTACGTAATTGTTATAAATTAGAGTTTTAACGATGTTAATAAGTTCAACACGGCTCATGGTTCTCATGCCGTCCGCAGGTCGAGTTGAGGCGTATTTGTTGTTATAGTATACGTACAGTCTATGTTTAAAGGTAATGTTGATTACATCATTAATACATTCCTCTATTATTTTTAATGGCAGATTAGTGTACAAACTACTGAAATCTCCCGAATATATGTATTTAATGTTATCTATAGTTCTGACTTTGTCAATGACCTCTTCAGTTGATTTAACGGTCCAATACCAATTATATCCTGTTCTTTCTTTAATCTTGTTACAGTGGAAGTATAACTGATCCTTGACCCATTTGAGCATAATGAGACCTATTTCTTGTATTCTGGTGTTATACACCTGTACTGCCGCTGTTATGAATCTGAATTTAATTGGGTTCTTGTGTAATTTTGGTATGCCATAAAAGTGAGGTAATTTTAAGTTTAGTTTCTCCTTGGCGCTTGTCTTATGATATTTGGCCAACTCATTAAGTCCCTCTGCAATTATAGATGCTTTACTTAGTCCTGTGATCTCATAGGTTTTGTTTGAGTTTGTGGTTTGCCTTAGTTCATTTCTTATTGTTTCTATATAATGTTGTTTACATATTACTACAAAGTTATTACTTGCTTTATCGACGTATGTAATAACCCATTTATTTTGCTCCGTTAAGATCTGTTGACGTATTTCCTCTGTGTTCTTCTGGTATCTAACCTTGGTTGTACCCAAGTCTTTTATAACCAATTTTCCTATTAAGGTTTCTAATTCCTTTACTTCCTGCTCTGTGTATACATTACCGTGTTTATTACCTATGCGTATGAGTGAATTCGTTACATCTGTAGCTATATTACTAATGCTATATTCTTCATTCAGTCTGAGTTTTGTGCCTTTTTGCATGAGACCTCGTAGTTTTTGATTACTAATAATGTCTAAGTCACCTGTTATCACATGGCCATGATTTTCGTCTACGTATTTGCGGTGTCTTTCTTCTTTACATAGGCATTTGTAGGTCTTGTGAATGTTTCTGATAGTAGCTTTATGGTTGAAGAGTTCCATTCCAATGGTTTTGTTGTAGGTATAGCTTTGTATTATCTTGTACTTTGAATAGTCAACTTTTATTATCCGTTTAACGTTTCTGTTGTTTATAATACGCGGGAAGTTGATTTGACCGACTATTGTATTCTTAAAAGGAATAACGGCGTATTGTTTAACTTTGTCAGACCTTAGCTTTTTTTGTCTAGGTTTGTTTCTCAACATCTTAACACATTCCCATATGTCAAGTATTCTGGGGTCAGTTACAGCGTTACTAACTCTCTTATTAACTTCTACAAACTCTGCGGCCTTTATATTTTTAAGAGCTATATTAAACGGTGTCACTGCGTCTTGTATCATTTTTATGTTACATATGTCCCTGTACAGTCTATTTATATGCCCTGTGTTGTGCTGACTCCTTTGATGGTTCCTAAGTCTCGTCCTCCTTTTAAGTGTCTTAACCTTATAATCGAAAAATTCTGTGTTACTCTTAATTTGATTCATATTCCATTCATGATTATATCCATTATTTAACAACCAATCATTAAGGCCCCACGGTTTAAATGTTCTCAACTGCTTAATCCAAAAGTCTTCGACTATTTCTCTTTCTTTTTCGTCGATATCTTTATCCAGTACGTGTAATACTTTGAATTTCATATCCTTTGTCGAGTGGTCTAACTTATTGAAGTGATTAACTAACTGGAGAGGTTAACGTAACTCAGTTTGATGATCCTCCTCCGTCCACATCAATTCCGGTTGATCCTAGTGCATCTTCTTCATCAGATAATTGCGAAGAGCCCATTCAAAAAGACGACTTTTCTTTGGCCATTCAAAGTGTGAAGTATGGAATCAGTTTTAAGAAGTATTTGGGGACCAAAGAGCTTCCTAAATCTTCTAATTTCTGGAATGAATTGGAAGAAGGACCCGAGTGGATACTAATTACTTTTGGAGAACTGGCGGTTCCGATCTCTCAGAATGGCAAATTTAATGTTTACTCAGTAAGTTTTGCTGCCTAAAATAATTTTATTATCTGAGGTTTGACTAACTCTTTGAATTTTAGTTTAATTTTGGCAGTATCTCTCAAAGTGTTGGTTATTTGAGCACAATGCTAAAGAATGTTCGGAAGGTAAAGGACGTCGTGCTTTATCCAAGCGCTGAGTGGTTTTTCCAATGGGATTCCTCCAATCGATCCATGGGCTCGCTGGAAGAAGGGGTTATCTCTCTGATTTCCTTGTGCAATATCCTTGACAATTCTCCTTTTCGAACTCTTCATTGGCTTGGGTTTCCAGTCGATCCTAAGGATAATCACTTTAAAGGCCGGTTGGGGATCTGGAATCGGGTGATGGCAACCGTCTTCAAGGAGCATGGGAAGTTCGTCGACCTGCACATGTTTTGCCCTTTTGATCTGGAACAAATTGAGAGGCCAGATGAGGAGAAAGCGAGCTTATTGGACGATGAAACCAACGCTTTCTTGCTAATGGAGGCCATGAATTATTTGATGGATTCGGAATGCACCAATATTATTGGATTTACAAGTAGTGAGGACGAGGTCGATGTCGAAGAGAAGAAAATGTGTGTGTATAACAGATTTTATAACCCATCTTAATGTGTTTTGTGAAGTGAAGGTTTAACCGTGAAGATAAAATATTTATCTCTTTGATTACAGTGATCGGAGCTCGGAGAAGCAAGTACACGAATCATTGAAGTCACCAAAACAATCCGACACTTTCCCGGGCAAGGTCCTCACGATCAGTAGAACGGAAGATGAGCATTCTTTGAGCCAATACGAAGATGCCTTAAGCGACATTGCGGCTTTGGATATGAACAGTCCTAATGGAGAAGGTCAAATCCAGGAAGAAACAGTCGATCTGGATGAAACCCTGGTCCATCCAGAAGAAGACGTCTCAACAGAACACACAGTAATGCTGAAGACCAAGGTTGCGATGGAAGAAAGTTGTCATATTGTAATGACTGATTCGATTCCAAAGGAAAATGCGGAAGCAATTGCACTCTTACCCGAAGAACCGTTGTACGCACATCTCGAGTTATGTCTCTCAGCCGATGAACAAGCTCTTGCAAGAATGTTTAAACGAAGGATTAGGTTTGACGTGCAGAGAATGGATGTGAACATCATCTCCAAGCCCTACTACAATGTCGTCAGGAAATATGAACCATTCTTCGAGGATCCACAGGTCTTTCTCGGCGATGATCGGTTGTTTGGACGGGCTTTGAAAGCATTTATCAAAACGTTGATTACCAAGGTCCGACTTGAAGATCTGGGGAATATGTTCAAGGAGGATTTGAAGAAGATTGAATTCTTGGCCTTCAGATGTCAAGAATTGCTTAACCAACCTAATAAAGTTGTCGGAAAGTATTGTCTGGGCAATTTGAAGGACATTTTTTGCCGAGAAGTTGGGGCAGAAGAGGCCGTCAATACGGTAAGAGTGGTTTTATGAAATGTTTTATGTCATGAATAATGGATGATAATGTGAATTTTTTAACAAGGAAAGTACTTCTATGGGGTGTGGAATTACCGGTCGAGATATATATCAAAAAATTCGCAAAAATTTTCTGATTCAGAATATATAAAAATTAGCTGCCTAATTTTGGTCTATCAGCGAGTTTTTTCAATAAATGTTTTTCTCGAGGAAACAAATCTGCGGCAACAAAAGCGCGCTCGGTCTCTTCCTTCGGAAGAGAGCGGTGTGGCCGAGTGGTTAGAGCGCTAGATTGGGAATCCGAGGGGAACGGGTTCGATTCCTTTTGCCACACTAGAACCCATTTTTTACATTGGAACTACTTTTAAGGTGTAGTTGTAATCCAATTTGATATTTTAAGGCTTGTCAAGGCCTCAGAATTTAGTTTAGCACAAAACAAAATTTTTTATTGGTAAAAACACGGTCAAAAAGACACTTGCATGGTGTCGCGAGAAAACTTCTGAGGACAAAAACATGTCATTAGACCAAAATTAGGCAGCTAATTTATATATATTCTGAATCAGAAAATTTTTGCGAATTTTTTGATATATATCCCGACCGGTAATTCCACACCCCATAGAAGTACTTTCCTTGTAAAATCATTTTAGGACTACATGAAAAAAGCCGGGAAGAGCGAGGTAAATGTTAAGCCAAGACCCGCTGATCCACTGCCAGTTTTTGAAAACAATTTTGTGGGAGGTGTCTTGAAGAAGGTGGTGGAAGAAGGGGGCATCGACAGTGTGATTGGCAATATTAGAACCGGTCTAATGCTCGTCGGCGATCAGGATCTGGGCATTCTCTTCACTGAAAACTTCATCAAGCCCACTTCTTGTGTTGGATGTAATATTACACCGTTAATTACGACGACAGCCTTATCTCGTATATTCATGAGAGTCTCTCCCTACTTTAAGAACGAGGAATTGGTCGCCGTCGATAAATTCTGTTGTATGGGATTCGAAGTGAACTCAGCATTGGCCAAAATGATCAAAGTGTTCAACCCAGAGATGATGGGAAAGATGTACCGACAAGAATTGGATGGTATCAACCCCAAGGGAAAGGAGATCAAAGGCCTATTGCAACATGATGATAATACGGTTGGAATGACGGCGTATCTACTCATTCAACAGACGTTATTTGATGACAAGAACAATAATTCCAAAAAGAAGACTTTGAAGAATGCGAAGAGAGTACCTTGCGAGCATAAAGGAGAATTGGATCCAGAAGCCACCAAGAGTTTCCCTCTTAATCAGAAGTTTGTGAATCTGGTCAGGACCCAGATGGAAGCTTCCAATGCTCCAGAAGTCGTCAATTTGACAAAGGAATTAATCCAGAAAGTAAAGGATAATGTCTTGGGAAGAAGATTCAGGACAAAGATAGTACAAGCACTTGGTCATAAAGGCGTGGAGGCTGGGATCTACGGAATAGTGGCCTCTCTGGAACGAGGGATTCAACAGGAAGCATTTTGGGCCAGTCAAGATTGTTGTATTGGGAAGAAGATCAGAGATACGATCACATTGCTGTTAAATTATCCTCTAGTGGAGCAAGGAGATGCCTTTAGAAGAGAACTTTTGCTCACTCGGCTTTATTTCGAAGAAAAGTTTCCCAATTTCGATCGACTTTTGGAAGAAGATCGCGAATTACTGGCTGCCATTATGAGTTGCGTAGTAAAGAAGCTGTTATGTGATGGGAACGACTCTTCAGATGGAATCAACTGCCTCCATCCTCATCCTGAATACATCGTGGACCCAGAACTTTTTGATAAAGTTCTCCAGACGATCAAGCAATGCGGTGATTACTCTAAATTGCTGCATAATCCTCTGAAGACAAGCAAACACATTAGGAAAATGATTGCCGAGCATAATGATTTTATGGAAAGAGGGCTAAAGTGCCAGATGGATAATGTCGGGAAGACATTCAACGAGTTCTGGGAGGCGTTGATCAGAGGAAACTTCGAAAAAATGGTCACCAATTTCAATCGAAATATCGTCCGATCTCCAACAGACGATTCTACTACAAGTCTACTGAGAAAAGCGGCTTATTTATTGGTGAAAGAGACTGAAGTTGGAGGATTCCAAAATTGGGACGAGCTTTTTTCAATTACTCAGCGATTCGACGCGTTATCTGTGACCGTTCCCATCGCAAAGATCTTATTAATCGACATTGAGACCCTTGGAACTATGTACAGGAAATGCCTGAGGGGATTGAACGTCAAAAATGAAGAGATCTGCGCCGTTTTGAAGTCACCGGATCATATTCTGGGCCGGTTTGCCGTTGTTACAATGTACTATCTACTGTTCCCAGAAGAAGCCAATAAGAGTAAAGCCGTGTTACCGAAGGTATCTGGAAAGATGCAACCATTGTCATTGGACAGAGAGTTCTACAATGAGGTCGAGAAGATGGTAGAGCAACAGCCAGAGCAGTACAAGGAATCTCTCCGGAAGAAGATGGAGTTGATCACGGATGAGACTCTTGGAAGGAGATTCAGAACTCATATTGCGGAGCTCGCAGCAGTAAAGAACAAGGCGGAGTATGTTATAATGAAATCGCTGGTGCTATTGGATCCCTTCTTCAAATCTCCAGAGGTTTGTTCCAAAAGAAGTCCATGTTGTTTTGGAAGAGCTCTCAGATCAATTTTGAAGATCGTATTGTCCTTAACATTCCTTGATGTTATGCTAAGTCTACGAAGAAATGGCGATCTCCACACATGTATATTTTCAACAGCGTCCCGTAGACATCTGAAAGGAGGCGACGATTCTTTGGAATTCAGTGGAATGGCCACCTTGTACATGCTGGATAAGATGCTCTTCAAATCGCCCATTCCAACCGACGGATCCACTTGTAGACATGAGATTGCTCCAGACGAAGAAAACGACATCTTCAAACAGGCTTTGATCACGATCGGGAAGGAAGAGAAATTAACTACCGTTCTCCATAATCCAAAGGAAAGCCAAAAACGACTGAAAGATATCATCAAAAGTGAAGTGGAAGAACGTTGGGGACCTGTTGATCTCAATTTGGATGAGGTTGAGATCAGATTCAGTGAGTTGGTGTTCAAATTGAGTAAGAGCGGGTTCCCCTTGGTAGCCACTTACTTCAAGCTTTCCCTCCTTAACATCGATGAATCTGTCAAATCAACCACCACCATATTGAAGAAAGCGATAGTTGATGTATTCTTTGAATCTGAAGACATGGACTTCCACATACCTTACACGAGAGAGGAATGTGCTGGGTTTGACGCGCACTTTTTTGGATATACTGTGGGAGATTCAATCTTCAAGATGATCCTCATGGAATGCGATGATGTCGGAGAATCATTCAGAAGATCGCTAAAGAAATTCGTTGGGAATGACCCGAGAATCGAGAGTCTACTCAAGAAATGTGATGATTATCTGGGGATCTTCTTCTTCGTCCTCATCGACATCCTTTTACTCTGTGATGTAGACGGGTCTGGGGAAGACGATTCGTTGATCCACAAGATATTGTCCCCCGAGGAATTGGCCTTCGGAAGTTTTGAGGAACTCGAAAGGAAAGTGGCCGCCTCTCCTCCAAGACTAATCGCTTCATCGATGAGAAAAGTCTTGGCTTTCAACCAGAAAGATCAATCGTTGATGGCCGAGAACTTTAAGGACATTATTTTTGGAACCATGAGACTGTTAACACCTCAATTGGAGGGTCTATCCGATGATGAGATCGCTCAGATCAAGGACAAAAAGCTGGCACAATATCTGAAGGATTTCATCAAAAAAGCTCTTTCTATGGACACAAATGTGGGAAGCGTGGTTAAATCAGCTACTTCCGCCATCAGAAATCTTCACCCAACCCTCAGACTTCAGATCCCGGCCCATAATGCTTACTGGACCACCGTTATTTTCCTATCCATCAAGAAACTGATCTCCGATCGGGATGTTGTAGACACTTTGTAAATGTAAGTATTTATCTTAGGAAAACGGTATTGTATTATATTATACAGATTTTCATAACGAGAATTCTTTCAGAAACCACAAGAATCAACAACTACGGGAACTTTCATTCTTTATTTATGCTGATCGGGTACTAGCTTTAACGGCATAATAATTGTTAAATTCTACCTCAAAGGTTTTGATCTAATAAACTTACTGTGCTGTAATGAGGGAAGAGTACTTAAGGTGAAAATGGTGCAGCTTTTGCAACTGTAATTTTACCGAAACGACAAATTCGCCACTTAAAAAGCTACAAACAGAAAACTTCCCTTGTACTAGTCGCGACATAAAGTCCGTAGAATTTTTCGCGGCCCCCAAATTCCGTCGCGCTCCGAAATGTTGATTTGTCGCTGCGAAAAACGGGAATCGCGCGCGACAATAAGGCAAAATCAACAAAATTGCACAGTGCAAAATGTGTTTTCGGGTGAATGCACAGTGGGGAGTCGCAGAAAATTTATACGGACTTTATGTCGCGACTAGTAGAATCATGAGTGAAGCCAGAAACTTGGGCCTTTACCTTGACTCCGAACTAACTTTTTTAAACCACCATGCAAAAACTAGTAGAAACTGCTCCAAAACCCTCTATGCGATCCGAAGAGCACGGGAACACCTTTCAGTAAAACACTGTACCTTTTTGGTCGAAAGTCTGCCTTTCTCTGTCGCCTCCTCCTTTTTTGTCAACTTTTAACTTTGGACTAAATTTGCAGGGTTCGGATGGATTCTTGCGGAGAGGTTTAGAAGTCCCGAGCCATATATCCCGCATCCGCACTTTCCTGCCACTAACTATGGTATCCGAAAACGTGCACCAAGAACATTACTCAAAAATCATGAGATTGTCACTCATAGTTATTTATTCCGAAAAGAAACATGCTGATGTATCTCATCTCGCAGTAAAACATCAATGGGGGTTACTCCCTGAGCTCGCCACCACAGAGTTTGCTCAACTTATAAACAAAGTCAGAAATCAACGAACAAGTGAGTACCTAAATGGTCAACTTGTATTAAAACAAGACCACTATCGCTAGAGGCGACAGAGGTTTGAAACACCTTTCTGTAAAACCGATATAGGACAAAAAACATTTAAATTTCGTGCCAGTACTGTGTCTAACCAATCCTGACCGATTCACCACCGAACCGGACGGTCATGGCGCGCAGGGAATTTGTCTAGCTAGCGCAATAAAGTTAAAAGTTGCGAAATTCTACCAATAAATCAGACAATTCATTGACATTCCGCTCTCGCAATTAATTTTTGGCCTGCGTAAAATCTTGACCAAAATCTTGGTTGCCAACGTTGTCGACGGATTTCGGCGATTCCCGCATGTGATCCGTTTCTTGTCTTGTGTTACATCACCGCTTATATAATTTTACGTTTTGTTTCTATTGTCTAAGTTTAGGAAAGCATTCTTGATAGGCTAAAAGCGATTCTTCTTCTTCTGAAGAATTGCTCGTACGCTGGTCGACATTTTACTTTGCATCTGCATTTCGGCTCTTTCTGTTTTTTTTTTTGTTGTTTTACCTACTATAATATAATTTTCAGCATTCAGCACTTTTCACCAAATTTGAAGGATGTTGACCGTCAAGAAGATGGATCAACTCTTCAGCAACGAGCTCAAGCTGTACGACAACCTTAAAGTGAGTGTTTAAACTTTTTGTTTTTTAGCTAGAGCTTGTCAATTTTAAATGTTATCCATGATGTTTCAGGAGAGACATGTCGCTTCTTTTGAGAAGTTGAAGGCAAATGGATTCCCCGTCATGATGGTACACAACTCTGGTCCCGAACAGGCTCAGATTGATAGTAAATTGGCAGACAAATTAATCGCCGACGACGTCCACAAGCTCCGTTGTTGCCGATGTGATGCTATTTTTGATGTGGATGAGTATGATCAGTCTGCAACAGAATACCGGTGCCGATATCATCCTGGGAAACGAGTTACAGGTAAGGAATTTCGTTTGGCTAGTATTTGAAGTGGGAATGTAGAATTGGGCGAAAGTAGGCTTCAATTTAGAGCATAATTTATAAGACATGCGGGACTCACACCAATTTGTTTTCTGAAGTCAAATTGAAATCTTTTCAAAATCTAAACATAAGATTTTTAAAATTTTGGCGGGTTACGAAAGCTCATGCTTCAAAGTATAAAGTGTCCCCAAAGATTATAAGGATCCAACGCAAAAAACGTAGGTTTTACGAAAAACCGAGTTTCACACTTTTTTCCCATTTTTTATGTGTATACAAAGTAGCGTGCGACTTCCTTTGAGTATCCGAAACATGATGTTAACGAAGGAGTGATTATTGTTTTACCCTTTGCAGGTGAATTGGAAGGCGGTGCTGCTGGGGAAAAGTGGAGATGTTGTGGTGGTCCCCGAGATTCTGATGGATGCACCACAAGTTTTTATCATGCCTATCTGCAAACCCGAAGAAGAGAATTGCTGAATTTTATCAGGACACCGAAGGAAGACTCCGAATACGATCCCCGCTCCAGAAAGGTGTACATTCTGGAGGCGGCATTTGTCTACACTACCGGTGGCCCCGAGATTGCAAGGCTGTTGGCTGTGTCATGGGACGGACAGCCGGTCCTGGACTTGCTTGTGGACGCCAATCGCGAATACGATATATTTGATTACGATTCTTTTAACAGTGGAATAACCTACGAAGATGTTAAGGATATAAAGGTGGACATGTATACGGTGAGCAGAAATGATTTGTATGATGTTCTAGTAGATTGATTGCAGACTGTTCTTAGGTAATACTTTCTTTGTTTGTTTCAGGCAAGAGACGTCTTATTTAAACTGATCAACCACAAAACAATCCTGGTCGGTCATTGCTTGGACATGATCATGCGGGCCATGAAGATGGTCCACCTGAACATTGTGGATACCAGTCTGATCTATCGCTCCACCAAATTAAATTGCAAATATTCTCTCCGATCCAGCACCGCCCATCATTTGAACTTCGCCATTCATGAGAAAGGCTACGATCTGGACGAGAATTGCCAAGCCATTCTTCAACTCCTCTGCCTGCGAGTCAAGGAAGAATTCAGACGCCGCCATGACAACACTTTCAGGTTCATCATCCGCAAGTAAACTTGTCCTCGGAAATTTGGTTGCTTTAATAAATAAATTTTTGTTTTTATCAACAGGTTTAACAGAAGAGAAAGGAATCCCTTATTATTGGGTGCTTATACCTATTTGCGTCAGATCGTTGTAACCTTTTGCCCGATCGGGCTTCCGGAAACTGAAAAACAGCGGCAAAAGGCCGCGCACGTCAAGAAAAAATAAAACAAAAGCGCTCAAGCAATGAAAAATTCTTGGCATTCTTTTTGATTACACATGGAAGATGGGGTAGAATGAGTTTATTGCATACCTAAATTTGAAGCTGGACTCGAAAAAATCAAATGAGCCAGTTTCGAGATAGGAAATCTCTTCATTTTACGCAATATTTCGCCTTTCGTCTGACCTCGTCCGAAAAACCGTCATTGAAACGGATTTTTTGGACACTTTCATATGCGGAGACTGAATGCCAACTTTCGTGTTGAAACATAACCCTTTGAGCGCAAAATCTTGACGTGCCGCGCTTTTTTGGGTTTCTTTGTCTGATTCTTTTGTTATTTCTTTCGGTATCAGGAGGACATCTTCTTTGCCCAGATGGTCTTCCCTGGAAAGATTTGATCGCGTGTTTTCGAAGGGAGACTGAATATGAACTGGGGTGCTGACTGAATATGAGACCGAATATGAACTGACTGAATATGAAAACCGGCCGGTTTTCATATTCCGGGTTTCTGTTACTGTTACTACCTAGGTTACGATTAAGGAGTCTGTTTGAAATTTTTTCGACTTATAACACCTTTAGACGTTAATGGTGTTGTTTTGGTGCCTAGTACTGCTTAAAAAAAACATTTTTAGCACTTGGTGCAAAATAATACTACCTGGTACTATTTAGTACGGGGAGAAAATTTGGCCGGTAATGGTGTTGGTTTGGTGCTTAGTACAGCCCAAAAACACATTTTTAACACTTGGTACTATATAGTCCTTGAAATAGACCAAACTTGCCAAATTTCATATTCAGTCAGCACCACAGGTCATATTCAGTCAGTTCATATTCGGTCAGTTTATATTCAGTCGTTTTCATCTTCAGTCAGTTCATATCAGTCTGTCGGGAAAATAACGGCGGATTATCGCAGCAAAATGTCTCGCCTCGCCGCTATCGCGCACCAAATCCCCAGCCGCGGCTTTCAGTCGCTGAGCGATGATGGGCGATTCCAAGGCGCGACGATCCGCCGTTATTTTCCCGACAGACTGATATTCAGTCAGGCACCCCGTGTTTTTCGGGGATCACTCGAATAATTTTTGTGATTTTTCTTTCAGAATCAAGCCCATTAAAGTAATTCAAAGAGCCTCTGCGATTGCAAAATTTTCGATAACTCTTGTGTAAGTATACCTTTTTTGCTTCAGCTTTTGGTTTTATTTCATGAAAAGTAATATTTTATTTTATCCATGACATTCCAGGGCAAAATGAAGAAAGTTGCGCAGAAAATGGCCACTCTTGATCTGAAAACAAAAGAAAGCAGCACATTTTTTGCCGAGAAAGTTGGGGAAGAAGAGGCCGTCAATACGGTAAGAGTGGTTTTATGAAATTTTTTATACCATGAGTAATGGTTGATCTGTGAATTTTTATTCTTATCATTTTAGGACTACATGAAAAAAGCCGGGAAGAGCGAGGTAAATGTTAAGCCAAGACCCGCTGATCCACTGCCAGTTTTTGAAAACAATTTTGTGGGAGGTGTCTTGAAGAAGGTGGCGGAAGAAGGGGGCATCGACAATGTGATTGGCAATATTAGAACCGGTCTAATGCTCGTCGGCGATCAGGATCTGGGCATTCTCTTCACTGAAAACTTCATCAAGCCCACTTCTTGTGTTGGATGTAATATTACACCGTTAATTACGACGACAGCCTTATATCGTATATTCATGAGAGTCTCTCCCTACTTTAAGAACGAGGAATTGGTCGCCGTCGATAAATTCTGTTGTATGGGATTCGAAGTGAACTCAGCATTGGCCAAGATGATCAAAGTGTTCAACCCAGAGATGATGGGAAAGATGTACCGACAAGAATTGGATGGTATCAACCCCAAGGGAAAGGAGATCAGAGGCCTATTGCAACATGATGATAATACGGTTGGAATGACGGCGTATCTACTCATTCAACAGACGTTATTTGATGACAAGAATAATAATTCCAAAAAGAAGACTTTGAAGAATGCAAAGAGAGTGCCTTGCGAGCATAAAGGAGAATTGGATCCAGAAGCCACCAAGAGTTTCCCTCTTAATCAGAAGTTTGTGAATCTGGTCAGGACCCAGATGGAGGCTTCCAATGCTCCAGAAGTCGTCAATTTGACAAAGAAATCAATCCAGAAAGTAAAGGATAATGTCTTGGGAAGAAGATTCAGGACAAAGATAGTACAAGCACTTGGTCATAAAGGCGTGGAGGCTGGGATCTACGGAATAGTGGCCTCTCTGGAACGAGGGATTCAACAGGAAACATTTTGGGCCAGTCAAGATTGTTGTATTGGGAAGAAGCTCGGAGATACGATCACATTGTTGTTAAATTATCCACTAGTGCAACAAGGAGATGCCTTTAGAAGAGAACTTTTGCTCACTCGGCTTTATTTCGAAGAAAAGTTTCCCAATTTCGATCGACTTTTGGAAGAAGATCGCGAATTACTGGCTGCCGTTATGAGTTGCGTAGTAAAGAAGCTGTTATGTGATGGGAACGACTCTTCAGATGGAATCAACTGCCTCCATCCTCATCCTGAATACATCGTGGACCCAGAACTTTTTGATAAAGTTCTCCAGACGATCAAGCAATGCGGTGGTTCCTCTAAATTGCTACATAATCCTCTGAAGACAAGCAAAAACATTAGGAAAATGATTGCCGAGCATAATGATGTTATGGAAAGAGGGCTAAAGTGCCAGATGGATAATGTCGGGAAGACATTCAACGAGTTTTGGGAGGCGTTGATCAGAGGAAACTTCGAAAAAATGGTCACCAATTTCAATCGAAATATCGTCCGATCTCCAACAGACGATTCTACTACAAGTCTTCTGAGAAAAGCGGCTTATTTATTGGTGAAAGAGACTGAAGTTGGAGGATTCCAAAATTGGGACGAGCTTTTTTCAATTACTCAGCGATTCGACGCGTTATCTGTGACCGTTCCCATCGCAAAGATCTTATTAATCGACATTGAGACCCTTGGAACTATGTACAGGAAATGCCTGAGGGGATTGAACGTCAAAAATGAAGAGATCTGCGGCGTTTTGAAAACACCGGATCATATTCTGGGCCGGTTTGCCGTTGTTGTAATGTACTATCTACTGTTCCCGGAAGAAGCCAATAAGAGCAAAGCCGTGTTACCGGAGGTATCTGGAAAGATACAACCATTGTCATTGGACAGAGAGTTCTATAATGAGGTCGAGAAGATGGTAGAGCAACAGCCAGAGCAGTACAAGGAATCCCTCCGGAAGAAGATGGAGTTGATCACGGATGAGACTCTTGGAAGGAGATTCAGAACGCATATTGCGGAGCTAGCAGCAAAGAACATGGCGGAGAATGTTATAATGAAATCGCTGGTGCTATTGGATCCCTTCTTCAAATTGCCAGAGGCTTATTCCAAAAGAGGTCCATGTTGTTTTGGAAGAGCTCTCAGATCAATTTTGAAGATCATGTTGTCTTTAAGATTCCGTGATGTTATGCTAAGTCTAAATAGAAATTACGATCTCCCCGGATGTATATGTTCAACAGTGCCTCATCGACATATGGAAGGAGCCGTCGACCATTATTCGGATTTCAGTGGAATGGCCACCGTGTACATGCTGGATAAGATGCTCTTCAAATCGCCCATTCCAACCGACGGATCCACTGGTAGACATGAGATTGCTCCAGACGAAGAAAACGACATCTTCAAACAGGCTTTGATCACGATCGGGAAGGAAGAGAAATTAACTACCGTTCTCCATAATCCAAAGGAAAGCCAAAAACGACTGAAAGATATCATCAAAAGTGAAGTGGAAGAACGTTGGGGACCTGTTGATCTCAATTTGGATGAGGTTGAGATCAGATTCAGTGAGTTGGTGTTCAAATTGAGTAAGAGCGAGTTCCGCGCGTTAGCCACTTACTTCAAGGTTTCCCTGCTTAACGTCAATGAATGTGTCAAATCAACCACCACCATATTGAAGAAAGCGATGTTGGATGTATTCTTTGAGTCTGAAGACATGGACTTCCACATACCTTACACGAGAGAGGAATGTGCTGGGTTTGACGCGCACTTTTTTGGATATACTGTGGGAGATTCAATCTTCAAGATGATTCTCATGGAATGCGATGATGTCGGAGAATCATTCAGAAGATCACTAAAGAAATTCGTTGGAAATGACCCGAGAATCGAGAGTCTACTCAAGAAATGTGGTGATTATCTGGGGATCTTCTTCTTCGTCCTCATCGACATGCTTATACTCTGTGATTTAGACGGCTCTGGGGAAGACGACTCGTTGATCAAGAAGATATTGTACCCCAAGGTCCCCGGAACTTTTGAGGAACTCGAAAGGAAAGCGGTCGCCTCTCCTCCAAGACTAATCGCTTCATCGATGAGAAAAGTCTTGGCTTTCAACCAGAAAGATCAATCGTTGGTAGCCGAGAACTTTAAGGACATTATTTTTGGAACCATGAGACTGTTAACACCTGAATTGGAGGGTCTATCCGATGATGAGATCGCTCAGATCAAGGACAAAAAGCTGGCACGATATCTGAAGGATTTCATCCAAACAATTCATTCTATGCACACAAATGGAACGGGAAGCGTGGTTAAATTAGCTATTTCTACCATCAGAAATCTTCACTTAACCCTCAGACTTCAGATCCCGGCCCTTAATGCCTACTGGACCACCGTTCTTTTCCTATCCATCAAGACACTGATCTTCGATCGGGATGTTGTAGACACTTTGTAGATGTAAGTATTTACTTATCGGAGTTGGACGAGTGGGGGAGAAGACGATTGGGGGAACCAAAAAGTATTATTTTTGTTCGATGCAAATGTCGAAATTGGGATAATCGAGGGTATACCTGCCCCTGACGGTTTTTTGGCCAATCTGGCTCGGATTTTGAATTAACCTGCCTCGATTTCATTCCATCGTGTACCCTATGGTGTTAGGAAGTGTATTACATTCATTTCAATTGTACCTTGCCCACGTAGTGCTTTTGCGAGCCGTCTATGACCTTGTACATGAGGTTAATCTTAATTTCAAAAAATTTCTTGACTAGGCTGCTTTCTTGGCTGAAAAACTACATTGCATGTTACAATTATGCACATATACCTCACTATAAGAAAATAAAACAGCTTACTCAAAGCTTTCAAGTATTTTCTCGTCATATCATCTACAACAAGCAGCTACCGTAACACTTTAGGCTCTAAAATACCAAGACGAATAGACGCGAATCATAAAATTTGATACGAAAATTCAGACTCAGCACGTCGAAGAACATATCTCTTTAATTCGCCGCCCTTGCAGAACAGGCCCCAGCCCTGTAGAGTTCAAAAACTTCCGAAAAACATGCAAAAATACACTAGGTTTTGCAAATGCATTTTTGAACCGAGTGTCTGCAACAGATATGACACTTCTGAAACTAGTGGAGTATAAATATAGGTTTACGGATATGCTGAGTTTGATTTTCCGGGCAAAATTTTGCAATCGATACTAATTTTTTGGGTTTCTAGAGCCTGTGAAGGTTACTGTAGAAAGTATACGGTAATCCATCTGTTACGTAGATGGCTGTACATGACATTGTATTGATTTGTTTTACGTATTACCTTCGATAAGAGTTATTTATAAATAACTCTTATCGAAGGTAAATTTAGGTCGTTTTTTTTAGCGAAACAAAGACATTCATGTAGGATTTTTCTGAAATTACGATTAACCTCATGTACAAGGTCAGAGATGGCTCGCAAAAGTACTACGTGAGTAAAGTGCAATTGAAATGAATGTAATACACTTCCAAATACCACAGGGTACACGATGGAATGAAATCGAGACAGGTTAATTCAAAATCCGAGCCAGATTGGCCAAAAAACCGTCAGGGGTAGGTATACTTTTGAAACGGCCAAAAATATTAAAAAAGTTGCCAAATAGTCCATGCGGTAGTAGGTTTTTGGACATGCTCTTTCGAATGGCATTAGCAGTTTTTTGATATCTCTTACCAATCCTTAGATACTGAAATTTTCCATGGGGTAGGTATACTTTCGTAACGGATTGTATTAAGTATTAGAGGAAAAGTTAACATGATTTTCGAAATCAGCACCCTCGAAACCCCCTAAATCGAGTATTTTTTTAAAATTCAAAAATTACTACTTTACTAACGAGGGAATGGTCTGAACTTCCCCCAGCGTTTGGGAAAATGACTAGTACAGGTGGATAGAGCAAGTCAACTTTGGTAAAAAGAGACATTTTCCAGCTGCGGAATAAGCCCGGCCGACGAGAAAAATCGACCGAAAGTTCCACAAAAATTTCCTCTTTCTCTTCCCTCGGAAAAGAAGAGCGGTGTCCAGTGGTTCGGTTAGCCGAGTGGATAGAGCATCCGCTCGATATTCTTTTGGGGGTGGGTTCGATTCCGGGGTCTCGCAAAGGGCCGTGATAAGGCTTTGATGATGAGCAAGACCAATCCCTAACAAACCAAAAAAAAATTTTTTTGCCTTTTTCAAAGTCAAGTCTATCACCAAACGAGTATAACTTCGATGGTTCATCGCTTTGAATGTTCGGAAGCACCCAAAAAATTCATTTGTTGACGATTATTTTTTGGTATAAAACGTATAAAAATGGCAAAATATTTTTTTTGGTTGTTAGAGCTTGATCTTGCTCATCAAAAGCCTTATCACGGCCCTTTGCGAGACCCCGGAATCGAACCCACCCCCAAAAGAATATCGAGCGGATGCTCTATCCACTCGGCTAACCGAACCACTGGACACCGCTCTTCTTTTCCGAGGGAAGAGAAAGAGGAAATTTTTGTGGAACTTTCGGTCGATTTTTCTCGTCGGCCGGGCTTATTCCGCAGCTGGAAAATGTCTCTTTTTACCAAAGTTGACTTGCTCTATCCACCTATACTAGTCATTTTCCCAAACGCTGGGGGAAGTTCAGACCATTCCCTCGCACAGCATTCCGAACTTTTTCCGCCGCCGATCGGTGTCCAAAAAAATGAAAAATTAAAAAGTGCACATTACATTTTCATGTGTGTAAGGGTAGCCAGAAGAGATACCGGCAAAAACAAAAACTCTATGTAGAGTAATCAATTTCCTTTCAGAGTATGTAAGTTTTGCCTTCAGGTTGTCCGCTACCTTTGAGAAAATCGTCACTAAAAAAATGGAAATTTCGATTTTGAATGCCAAAAAAATGTGCTTTCTTGGGGCCACCAAAAAAGATGTTGGAGTCTATCGTAAAGAGAATTTCAAGGGCTACAACATATTAAAGTTTCAAGATTTTTGTGGGGGTTTAAGCCAAGTTAGAGTGAAAAAACCCCTGATTTTGCACTTTTTCTCGATTTGTTTGCACTTTTAGTGCAAAAATAAAAAACCATCCGTGGGCGATGGAATCTGTGTGTCATGTCGGATATTCATGCCAAATTTGAAGCTTCGCCGACGCTCCGGAGTCGCTGAATATCCGTTTAAATACGAAACCTTAGAGTACTATTTCTATTGTTTGAAGTCGCTTTATATGCTCCAAGATACGTTTTGATCAAAAGTATATTGGCTATATACAGTGTATAACAACATCTTATCATTTACTCACGATATATTTTTTTCATTTCGAAAATTGAATTTGGCAGATAATCCTTCACAGAGCCAACTTTTCGTTGCAACAACCAATTAAATTAACCGCCAAGCTGAGTTAGACTTTTGCAATTAAGTCGTTATGCAGTTGTTATACACTGTATACAGGCAATATATTTTTGATCAAAAGGGATCTTGGAGCACATAAAGCGATTTCAAACGACAGAAATAGTACTCTAAGGTTTCGTATTTAAACGGATATTCAGCGACTCCGGAGCGTCGGCGAAGCTTCAAATTTGGCATGAATATCCGACATGACACACAGATTCCATCGCCCACGGATGGTTTTTTATTTTTGCCCTAAAAGTGCAAACAAATCGAGAAAAAGTGCAAAATCAGGGGTTTTTTCACTCTAACTTGGCTTAAACCCCCACAAAAATCTTGAAACTTTAATATGTTGTAGCCCTTGAAATTCTCTTTACGATAGACTCCAACATCTTTTTTGGTGGCCCCAAGAAAGTACATTTTTTTGGCATTCAAAATCGAAATTTCCATTTTTTTAGTGACGATTTTCTCAAAGGTAGCGGACAACCTGAAGGCAAAACTTACATACTCTGAAAGGAAATTGATTACTCTACATAAAGAGTTTTTGTTTTTGCCGGTATCTCTTCTGGCTACCCTTACACACATGAAAATGTAATGTGCACTTTTTAATTTTTCATTTTTTTGGACACCGATCGGCGGCGGAAAAAGTTCGGAATGCTGTGCCTCGTAAGGAAAACCTAAGAAAATACCTAACAAGGAAAAAAAAGAGTTGTAAGGAAAAAAGTAACAATCAAAAAAATGAATGTCATTTTCGAAATCAGTAAATTATCCTATTGGTTGATGAATAATTATCCGGCGGTTTTATTGGCGCGTTTTTTGTTAGTTAAAATTCGCGTTTTGTTAATTTTTTCCATAAAAATAGTCTTCTCTGTTTAGTTAATAAAATGCGTGTCGAAAACCATACTCGTATTCGCCATATTATGCTCTACCATTTCGAGAAAGGTTGGAAGTCAGCACTGTCATTTCGCGATCTCAACCAACTTTTCGGCGAAGGAACAAAAAAATCGCCACTGTAAGAACTACACTGCTGGACAAAATGATATGACCACCGCAATTTTGCGCTGGCGATTTGTCCATGGTAAATGAATTGCTTTAATATTTGGTGAAAGTGAGCATGGAGCAATTGAAATCCTTTGATACTTTTTGGGTACATGTTACATTGCTCCATACTCACTTTCACCAAATATTAAAGCAATTCATTTACCATGGACAAATTGCCAGCGCAAAATTGCGGTGGTCATATCATTTTGTCCAGCAGTGTATGTGGAATAACGAATTTTAACTAACTAGGGAAGTGTACAAACGAACCCTCGCCAAATGGCAAGTGTTATACACCATTGGAAAGCCCTTGAAAAATGGTGCAAGACACCATTTTCATTTTTTGCAGAATGCCTCACTAGGGAAGTGTACAAACGAACCCTCACCAAATGGCAAGTGATATACACCATTTGAAAGCCCTTGAAAAATGGTGCAAGATACCATTTTCATTTTTTGCAGAATGCCTTTCCGCGACGACACACTGTAAATTATATTATTGTTAGGTCATTTCGCAACAAAAATCTTTCTTTCTCTTGAGCGGATAAAAATCATCGGAGAGGGTTGCTTCAATAGTGCAGTGGTTAATGAGCAGGCTGATAAGCCAAACCAAGCTAGGTTCGATTCCCAGCTTGGGCAAAAACGTTTTGCGTTTTTACAGTTAGGAAAATATTTGACAAGGGAAGTCGTTCAGATCGCAAATGAACTATGACATGAGACCTGTGTGGTTTTATAGTCACATACTCTACTATATCGAATATAAAGGCATTTTTGCGTCTGGGCCCCCGCGGCCGAGAAAATCGACTATAAAGTTTCGCAAGAAGAGAGCGCCGAAAAAGTCCTCTCTCCGAAAGCAAACCCAAACAGCTGCCCAGTTGGCCGAGTGGAAAGAGCGCTCGTCTAACGAATCTTCTTTTGGGTCGGGGGGCTGGGTTCGATTCCTTTCACCTGCAATGTAAAGGGTAAGACTACTGTGTACACTACAGTATGCGTAAAAAAAATTTTTTTTGTGTTTTTCCAATTTTATGTAGATTTGTGCCTTTTCTTGAGACAAAAACAAACAAATTTAGTCGACTTTTCTCCAGACTGTTAAAAATGGCATGACTTGGAATGGTAATCGGAGAGCTTCCTGCGGCTACGCCGCAAGGCTATCGGAAAGTTGTCGAAAGGAAGTAAAGTGATTTTTTATCACTCTTTGATTTTGTTTGGACATGGGATTGGCGCCTAAAAATGTTGTGGCTCTCCTCTTGGCCGAGTTCGGAACCGGGAACTCCGAAGACGCGACTTACGAGGAGACTCGGATGGCAACCCGACTGAAGATTCTGCTGTCTCAAGCGGCGGAAGACGCGAATAATGAGGTTCAAACGGACGATGAGATTATGGACAACAATAGCAGTGGGGACGAGAATGACGATGACAGCGACTTCGAATTGGACGTTGAAGGCCATCAAGAACGTGATGAAAGAGGAACTGGAGAGATATGGATGGGACGAAAATTCGTGTCGCTAGATCAAATACGAGCAGTCAAACGATATTGGCTATTGTCGAATCGATCGGTTGGCGCTGTCAGGAAACGGTGCAGGTTCATTCGAAGCGACTACTACTGGAGAAAGATGACGGACCTGTGGAAGAAAGGTAAGGCTACAGTTTGTTGATGATTTTTTTGTAGATGAAGTTGTCGCAGATCGGCGTGTTCGCATAAAGAAGCTGGCTTCTGATCTTTTTGAGCGGGCGAAGGAGAGATTGTCGACTGGGACTTCCGATCCGATTACCATTCCAAGTCATGCCATTTTTAACAGTCTGGAGAAAAGTCGACTAAATTTGTTTGTTTTTGTCTCAAGAAAAGGCACAAATCTACATAAAATTGGAAAAACACAAAAAAAATTTTTTTACGCATACTGTAGTGTACACAGTAGTCTTACCCTTTACATTGCAGGTGAAAGGAATCGAACCCAGCCCCCCGACCCAAAAGAAGATTCGTTAGACGAGCGCTCTTTCCACTCGGCCAACTGGGCAGCTGTTTGGGTTTGCTTTCGGAGAGAGGACTTTTTCGGCGCTCTCTTCTTGCGAAACTTTATAGTCGATTTTCTCGGCCGCGGGGGCCCAGACGCAAAAATGCCTTTATATTTGATATAGTAGAGTATGTGACTATAAAACCACACAGGTCTCATGTCATAGTTCATTTGCGATCTGAACGACTTCCCTTGTGAGTTAAACTTTTACAAACGCTTTAATTTTTCTAGAAAACGGTAGATTACGGTTATAATCATCAAACTTACATGTTTTTCAAGATTAAAAAAAGTGAAAAGTGTTTTTTCACGTTATGGGTATCTAAAACCAGTAAATATCATATGTAAAATGGTTTTACTGGCAAGCGCCAAACTTCATAATAATTCTTAGGCCAACCTAGTAGCAATACGTATCATTTAACGTTTTGAAATAAGATTTATTTTGCCCTACAGCAGATATTGTAACTACTTAAGGGACAAATCAGCCGTTTATAATTTTTTGCCCTAGGGCATTCTGCAAAAAGTGAAAATGGTACCTTTCACCATTTTTCAAGGGCTTTCCAATGGTGTATAACACTTGCCATTTGGTGAGGGTTCGTTTGTACACTTCCCTAGTCAGGGCAAAAAATTATAAACGGTTGATTTGTGCTTTAAGTAGTTACAATATCTGCTGTGGGGCATAATAAATGTTATTTCAAAACGCTAAATAGTACGGAATGCTACTGGGTTGGCCTAAGGATCATTATGAAGTTTAGCGCTTGCCAGTAAGACCATTTTACATATGGTATTTACTGGTTTTAAATGCCTATAATGTGAAAAAACACTTTTCACTTTTTTTAATCTTGTAAAACATGTAAGTTCGATGGTTTTAACCGTAACCGACCGTCTTCCAGTAAAATTAAAGCGTTTGTAAAAGTTTAACGCAAATATTTTCCTAACTGTAAGAACGCAAAAATGATTTTGTCAAGCTGAGAACCGAACCTGCGGCGATTTTTTCCTGCTCAAGAGAAACAAAGATTTTTGTTGCAAATGGCCTAAAAATAATATAATTTACAGTATGTCGTCGCGGAAAGTCATTCTGCAAAAGATGAAAATGGTGTCTTCTACCATTTTTCAAGGGCTCTTCAATGACGTATGTCACTTAGCATTTGGTGAGGGTCCGTATGTACACTTCCCTAGTAACAAAAAACGCCCCAATAAAACCGCCGGATAATTATGCATTTAGATCAGCTACTTCCGCCATCAGAAATCTTCACCCAACCCTCAGACATCAGATCTCGGCCCATAATGCCTACTGGACCACCGTTATTTTCCTATCCATCAAGAAACTGATCTTCGATCGGGATGTTGTAGACACTTTGTAAATGTAAGTATTTACTTATCGTAGGAAATGGTATTTTATTATAAAGATTTTCATAATTCTTTCAGAAACCACAAGAATCACCAACTACGGGAACTTTCATTTTTTATTTATGCTAATCGGGTACTAGCTTTAATGGCATAATAATTGTTAAATTCTACCTCAAAGGTTTTGATCTAATAAACTTACTGTGCTGTAATGAGAGAAGAGTACTTAAGGTGAAAATGGTGCAACGTTTGCATCTGTAATTTTACCGAAACGTCAAAGAGAAAAATCTCGCCAAGAGATTAGAATTTTTCGCCCAAGGTTCAGAGAGCAGAGGAATTCTGAAGGTGATGTAATTGTATTGGGCAATGAACTCCACCGCGGTGCACCGTGCTAAATTCAGGGGTTCTTTTGCGAAGCATTACGTAGTAGCCATCGGGCGATCTAAATAGAAACGGATAAACTTTCGGCTAGTCTCCCCAACTATACTACTGTATAGCCAACTGAGTTTTTCCCATTTCGCGTATAGCAAGGAATTCAATGTCTTGCAACATGTCTTGATCAGGGGTGGCCACCGGCCCGGCGAAGCCCGGCCCGATCGGGCCTAAACGGGCCGGGCCTGGCAAATTTTGAAACGGGCCGGGCCGGGCCTGCTTTTTACCGGGCCGGGCCGCGGGCCTGAGCCATTTTCAGGCCCGGCCCGGTTTTGTCGAAATGCCAAGCGTTTGGCATTCAATGTTTTCGCGCCGGAAAAATTTTTGGATAGGTTTGTATTTTTAGTATATCAAGTTCTACAATAGTTTATTACTTTATAGTACTTTTTTGCATATATGTTATAATATAAGGTCCAAATTAGAACATATAATAGATATAGGATAGTTCTTAGCAGATTTTAGCACACTACAGAGGCGGTAAGATCAAAGGAAATTTTCCAGCTCGCGCCCTAACCGGGCTTTTACAGGGCCGGGCCGGGCCTGCAAAATTTTGAACCGGGCCGGGCCGGGCCTGGGATTTTGCCGGGCCCCGGGCCTGAAATTTGGAAAAAGAGGCCCGTTTGCCACCCCTGGTCTTGATTTAATAGCGAAATTCTACCAATAAATCAGACAATTCATTGACATTCCGCTTTCGCAATTAATTTTTGGCCTGCGTAAAATCTTGACCTAAATCTTGGTTGCCAACGTTGTCGACGGATTTCGGCGATTCCCGCATGTGATCCGTTTCTTGTCTTGTGTTACATCTCCGCTTATATAATTTTACGTTTTTGTTTCCATTGTCTAAGTTTAGGAATGCATTCTTGATAAGCTAAAAGCGATTCTTCTTTTTCTGAAGAATTGCTCGTAGTACACTTGTCGACATTTTACTTTGCATCTGCATTTCGGCTCTTTCTGTTTTTTTTTGTTGTTTTACCTACTATAATATAATTTTCAGCATTCAGCTCTTTTCACCAAATTTGAAGGATGTTGACCGTCAAGAAGATGGTTCAACTCTTCAGCAGCGAGCTCAAGCTGTACGACAACCTCAAAGTGAGTGTTTAAACTTAGCTTTTGTTTTTTAGCTAGAACTTGTCAATTTTAATTGTTATCCATGATGTTTCAGGAGAGACATGTCGCTTCTTTCATGAGAAAGGCTACGATCTGGACGAGAATTGCCAAGCCATTCTTCAACTCCTCTGCCTGCGAGTCAAGGAAGAATTCAGACGCCGCCATGACAACACTTTCAGGTTCATCATCCGCAAGTAAACTTGTCCTCGGAAATTTGGTTGCTTTATTAAATAAATTTTTGTTTTATCAACAGGTTTAACAGAAGAGAAAGGAATCCCTTATTATTGGGTCCTTATACCTATTTGTGTCGGATTGTTGTAACCTTTTGCCCGATCGGGCTTCCGGAAACTGCAAAACAGCGGCAAAAAGCCGCGCTTTCTTTGGCTTTCTTTGTCTGATTTTTTTGTTATTTCTTTCGGTATCAGGGGGACATCTTCTTTGCTCAGATGGTCTTCCCTTGAAAGATTTGATCGCGTGTTTTCAGGGATTACTCGAATAATTTTTGTGCTTTTACTTTCAGGATCAAGCTCATAAAGGTCCTAAGAGCCTCTGCGGTTGCAAAATTTTCGATAACTCTTATGTAAGTTTACCTTTTTTGCTTCGGCTTTTTGTTTCATTTCATGAAAAGTAATATTTTATTTTTTATCCATGACATTTCAGGGCAAAATGAAGAAAGTTTCGCAGAAAATGGCCACTCTTGATATGAAAACAAAAGAAAATACAAGACCGGAGGAAAAGCGAGCAAATGGAAGCCTTCAAAAGACCGAACAATCGGGTGCGATGGATGCAATCATGGAGAAGATCCGGAAAGGACTGGCGACCGCCAATGATCAGGATCTGGGCATTCTTTTCAACGAGACCTTTGCCAACACCGCGTCCTCCCTCGAACGGCACAATTCCTTGGCGTTGCAGATGAGAGCGTTGCATCAAGTCTTCATGAAAATGTCGAATTATTTCAAGGACGCAGATTTGGTCTCAAAAGATAAATTTTGCTGCGTGGGATTCGAACTGAACTCTGTGCTGACGAAGATGTGCAAGGATATGGATTCTGAAGCCATGGGAAAGATGTTCAGAATAGAATTGACTGGGATGAAGGGCAAGGGAAAAGAAATCAAGAATCTGCTGCAACTTGAAGACAATTCTCTTGGGAAAGCTGCAACCTCACTGATTCAGAAGACGTTTTTTGATGGAAATTGTAATAAGAAGAAGAAAAGGAAGAGGATACCCTGTGAACATAAGGGACAGACATGCCAAAAGCTGGCATTTCAAGTGGATGAACAGTTTATCGGTGATGTAAAACGTGAACTCAAGCTGGTCAACGAGCAGAAAATTGTCGATTTGACAAAGAAGGAGATTCAGAAGATCAAAGACGACGTTCTGGGTAGAAGATGCAGATCAGATATACTCCCAGTGACCGCTCAAAATGGAATCGAATCAATTCTATGGGCATTAATCTCATTATTGGATCGGAGATTGAAGAGAGAAGGTCTGAGTGATTGTTGTATGGGGATGATGGTTAAAAAATCAGTCAATTTGATGCTGAATTATTCGATTTACGAACAAGGAGAGGTCTTCAGAAGAGAGTTTCATCTTATCAATAAGGAAAACCTGGCCAAAGAAGATCCCCAATTCCTCTCTGCCCTTGTTTGCAGTGCCATGAAGAAGATAATTTGCGATGGAAAAGGCTCTTCAGAGGGAAGTAACTGCACTCATCCGGATCCTCCGCATATTGTAGACCCCAATCTCTTCGAAAATGCTTGCAGAACCGACAAGGAAGCTGACGAATACACCGAATTGCTCCATAACCCATTGAAACCAGACAAAATCATCAAGAAGATGGTCGTTGAGTATGATCCGAGCATTAGAAGTGTGTTGAAATCGAATTGGGAGAAGGTCGGAAAGACGTTTAACGAATTTTGGGATGCCATTTTCCGAAGACCGTTTGAAGATTTGGTCAGGAATTTTACTCTGAACATTGTACGATCTCCCACTAAAGATTCCACTACCAGTCAATTCAGAAGAGCGACATTTCAGCTGTTCAAAGAAGCGGATATCCAGGGATTTGAGGACTGGAATGAACTTTACAGCCTCACTCAGCGGTACGACGAGGATCGCAATACTTTAATCTTGCCGTTGTGCCAGTTACTGGTCTATGATCTCGATCAGCTTGGAACTATCTACCGAAAATGCCTGAGGGGGCTTGAAGTGAGGGATGATGACATCAATTACACTCTCAAACAAGCCGACACTTACCTTGGAAGGTTTTCCATTCTTGTAGTTTTCAATTTACTGTTCCCAGAAGATCCGAAAAAGCAGAAGATTGAAGCTCCCTTGGTGTTCGACAACAAGATACGACCGATGCGCTTGAATAAGGCGTTTTATGATGGGGCAGATAAAAAGCTGAAGACCCGGGAGAAATTCAGAGAGGAGCTGAAGAGGAAGGTGATGAAGATCAAGGACGAGACATTAGGAAGACGATGGAAATCACGTGTCTTGGACTTTGCGGAGAAGGGACACAGAATTGAAGAGGCGATCTTGGCCATGATGAATTTATTCAGTCCCTTCTTCCTGCATCCTGAGGATTATTCTCCCAGCAAATCCTGTTGTTTTGGACGTGAAATCAAACAAATAATGATGACGATACTCCCTCTTCCCTTTGACGAAGTTCTACTGACTCAGCAAAGAAATGGCGATATCCTCAACATACTTTACTTGACAGTTCCTTCCAGTCTGGTTATTGATGGAAAACCAGGAATTGCGATCTTTGGAGTCATTATATTGTATTTATTGGAGAACATTCTATTCCAAGAGCCATTCCCGGACGATGAGATTATGTGCAGACATGAAAGGGAGCCGTTTGAAACTGAAGATATCCTCAAAACGGCCATGGGGAAGATCGACAAAGAGAAAAACCCCATGGATGTACTCAATGTCCCCGTCAAAGATCCGAAGATGGCCAAGAAATGGATGGAAGAGTTTATTTTCGGAAGGTCCGGGACGTTTATTGATATGGATGACTTTGAACTCGAATTCAATCAGTTGGTATTCAAATTACATACCCCAGACTTTGCAGTCATCTCACTGGGGTTCAAGTTGCATTTGATTACGATGCCAGATTCCAAGATTCCATCTACAAATATGTTAAAGAAGGCCGTTCGTGATATCATTTACTCTGATGAATTTTCTTTCCCCATCCCCCAAAAGGAGTGTCTACTCTTTGATAAAGAAAGGCTTGGCCGAACGCTGGGTCATCTCATTTACCAGATGATGTTTGAAGGTCATAGACGAATGGGAGAATTTATGAGAGAATCGCTGGCGAGATGTGATGATTCCAGAATCAAGAACCTTCTGAAGAAACCGGACAGTTATCTCGGGATATTATTCTTTGTCCTGCTTGACATGTTTTTACTGACCGGACAAAACGGATCTGGAGAAGATGGCTCTCTCTATCATGACATCATGTTCCCGAATATGGATCGAAGCATTGATCATAATCAGCTCCGAGTGAATGCAGCCACGATGTCTCCACGACACATCGCCTCTTGCATGAGAAAGATGTTCTCCTTGAATCGACAAAATCATTCTTTGGTGGCCGAGAATATCAGGGATATTATGTATCAGACATTCAGATATGTATTGCCGGAGCTGCAGAAGTACTCGGAATCGGATCTGATCCACTTGGAGGACAAACAATTGGCCAAGATCCTCCAAAATTTTATCGACAAAGGTGTAGCCATGGGAGAGGATCTGGGAATTGTGGTCAGATCGATTTTGAAGAGTTCAGTTGATGTTCATCACGTGTTCAGTAACTCGATTCCATCGGTGGACACCTACTGGTCATCCTTCGTTTTTGTTGTTATCAAGAGACTCATTTTTGACAGGGATATCATGGTTAATCTATAAGGTCAGTTATCCAAAGTAATACAAGATAATTCTTTCTTTTTATGCGTTTGCTTAATAATTTTGCCCATTTCAGAAGCCCGACGTAAGAACTTGCTCCCCAGTGCCATTGCCAAGCAATAATCCGGTGAATTTAGTTTTATTATTTTGAACTACCTTACATTCCCTTAATTGTTGTTGATTTTACTGTTACTTCTCTTTTCTCTTACTCCAGCTTAATAAATTTAACTGGGCAGAAATGACATCACTTTGGGTAAAAGCGATTTGCATTCGATGGGTTTACTTTTATTATTCTAGTTGAAACAGTTTTTATAACAAGCATGTTATGGATAATATAACACAAGATAACCAATAAATTATTTTGGGAAAGACGGCGTGGGGCCGCGAAGAAGAGAGTCGGTTTGTTCGGGATTCGGAGAGTGTAATATAAATTAGTTTATATACAGAAATGGGTGAGGATATCAGAGATCTTCGGGTTTAGATGGGCACTTTCATGCAGCCAATCTTTTTCCGGGCGATCTTCAGATGGTACAGTCGGGCTTCCAACTCCGTACAGAAGGATACGTGTTTGTCGTGTTCTTCGAACTAAATTTGAATAGATTAGTTAGGAATTTGGATATTATTTATAACAGATCACCTTTTTGTTTATGTAAGGCAACTTACATTGTACATTTTGATACATAAACTCGCATATTCTCGGAGGTGAGGTACCGCGAAGCATATGGGAAGGCTCTCTGTCACTGAAATTGGCATTTAGTATATTGTAGTAGACATTAAAACTAAACTTTTATGTACGTTTTCGAACTTTTTTTTTATTGTGAGCAAGATTGGGAGGATGATGCCATTCCAAAGAACATTTTTTTTCGTTCTTTCAGTTGTGGATGGAATGTTGTTTGTTACAATTTGACTGTCCCTCTATCGAAAACATTCGATCCCACACAGGTCAAACTGTCGCTGGTTACGCAATAAAATTTGGGTAGTAATAAACAGGATTAAAGTCTCTTCAACGTATTCGAATTATTGGGCGAGCGGAGTTGTTTTGACCTTCCTTGTTTTCGTTTCCTGGTATGAGTAACCTGGTATAATATAATCACTCGGCTTTCGTCATTTTGGTCTACTGTAAACTACAATTACTCTTTTGATTGGCGCTGTCTTTCGATCACCCTAACTTTGCTCTTTCCGCTACTCGGTAGTTGTTTTCCCCTTACTCTACTGTATAAGGGAAAGTGTAAACACTGCGTTTCTTTCTTCATTTATTTATAAACCCCTGAAGGGGTTTTATTCAGCGACGCCGAAATAATCTAATCACGTGGGAATTTAGGTCAGGCGATTGGAATTAAAACTTGGTCTTCGCAAACGAAAACAAGTCTAATATAATGTCTAAAAAATGAGGAGGAAGTGCCCTGATCTGACTCATAATTCGGCCTTGTCCTTTCTCTGCAAACAAGGTCGTAAATCTGTTATTTCGACAGCATTCGGTACCAGTCTACCGTAATCCTGACGCAGGTGGTCGGAGAAATATTTTTGGTTAGTTTTTTTGGAATTCCCATTAGAAAATGGGGATTTTTTGAAAGTCGGGGTCAAGTACAAAGTTCAGAGATCAGGCTGATCACTTTTCACCCAGACCAATCTCTCTTTGATTGCCTTAATTTATCCAATTATCCCACGAAATCTTTAATCTCATACATAATATATATATATATGTATGTGTAATGTGGCATGTGTAATTTGGTTGTTTACCTCCTACACTTAATGTCTAATTCGGGGCAACCACGTAAATTTTTGTTTTTCCGTCGGAATTACGGGAATTTCAACGAAATGTTTCCACCTGGATGAGAGTATTTTTTTTTACTGTAAAGTGGCCGGATGGGTACTGTAGGCACTGTGCAGCGATAAACAAAGGAATTGCGACGCCTACGAGAGACACGAAATGTCCATTGACATTCGGGCCACTGCTTAAGGGCATGGGAAGGCGCGATATTTCCTCCAATTTCCGCTAATTGTAAAGTTTTGAAGGCTTTGCATTTTCGTTACAAAAATCGCAACAAATCCCTTGAACTCGACTCAATGACCCAGTTTTGTTTGTTGACCAACAAAAAGGACAAATTTTGTAAACGACGTCATCCTCCCGCGTAAACTGTTCGGAGATCATGTTTGTTTTGCTCTAGAACACAGCCCAGATCACTCACCCGAGATCTCCTTGTTGTAGTAGACCCGGCCGTCCACACTCATCGACACTCGAACCCCCAGATCTTGAGGAATGTAGGTCATGTTGAGGCAAACGTCATCGTCCAGATGGATCTTTCGGACCGTCAAATGACGACAACACCCACAATCTTTCCCCTCACAATGGCATCCTTCTTCGAGCAGTTTTTTCTGTTGTTTCTGGTCTGTGATCTCCCAGGGATTGTGGTTCTCGACTTCTATTCGGTCTTCGGAATCTGAAAAATTGGATTGGCTTTAGTTTTTTTCGGAGTTCGAAGTCGAGAAAAAGTCATTTTTCGAACTGTTTTAATGCGGGGTCTTGCTTCTTTCCAAAAAAAATAAATAAGAAGGGCTTTCTCAAAGATTATGCCTGTTAGACAGTCTTGATCTCTCTTGGATTGCCTCTAATCAAAATTATACTCAAAAATTGCTCTAAACTTACGGAATGAAACCTCTGATCTCTTGTAGATGACCAATGTAACTTTGGCTGTCTCTGTTGTGAACTCCATCCTAGATTTGCGCCCTTTCGAGATCACATCGCTGACATCAGCGACTATGTATTCTAAAAATATTTTTTACACTCTTGACCCTCATGTATTCCATATAAATCTTTTTTTCTCCTTACTTTGCATGTCCTCAGGCACATCCAAAAGTGATAATCCTAGATAAATTCTGTCGCTTTCGAGGACATCCGGCGATAGTCGTATGACCGTATTGTCTTGGAAGATGCGATCGTTTATCCTCATCATTGAACCCTCTTGTAACATTACACTCTGAAACATGAGGTTCAGATGTTGTTCTAGTACGACTGCTGCGTAGAGAGCATCTTTCAAGGGTTCAGTATTCTTACCTGTAGATCAAAATGGTTCTGTGATAATAGAACTGACATGGCGTAACTGATATTGCATTGCCTGGGGCCACAAAAGTCATCGGTTGGCTCTACTCGGAGATAAACGTCCAGGAAGGGAGACGCCTGAAACAATTTAAGAATTAGAATATATTTAAGATTTTGAGGATTGGTCACAAAAGATTTGTAGTTTCTTCAAAGAATGACATCACAATGGTATTATCCGAACGTCCCGAGAGTAATGTTTGGTTGGGGTTTCTTCTTTATAGCGTTAGAATCGTAGTAGCAAATGGTCAGTTGTACTCGTGCAGCTAATCCCCTTAATCTGCGGTCTATAATCCCATAGTACACTAGACCTGAATGTTACACTAGAAATGTCTGCAGCCTGCTATTTCTGCGTTCACAGTCTTTTTGGATAGTAAATGGCATAGAGGTAAAGATTAAGCCTTTCTAAGTTGGTATAACCTATTTTCGAGGCCTTGAATAATATTTACAAATTTGGAAATTACTGTATTCTAAGTTTACGTGTAGATTGATAGCTTTTTATTGTTTACAACCGCCTTTTTCTTGTGTGTACGGCTTTTACTCCGCTTTAAAGCTTGTTACATTTCCTGATTTATGGCTCAATTAATTGTAGACAAGCCCTAAGGGCTTGGAGATGGATGATGACCGGAAAGGTTGCTTTGCAACTCCCCTAGAATAACATCAAAACAAATTTTGAGATCAATTCTCTCCGAATATTTCCGGTTTAAAGAAATTGAATTGGTTCCAAAAGATATTTGCAAAAATAAAAGATGGGAAGGAATGAAAAAAGGCGTTAATGGACTGGATCATGTGGGATTTGAGAAGATCCGGGGATAAATTTAGATAAGAGCAAGGGCAGAGATCAAAAGTATGAGCGCCTGGTGTAAAAAAGTAGCGTGATTTTAGTGTAATTTATAAAAATTTGGAGCTGAGACTACCTATAGTAATACAATTTGAAAACTAATCGATTTATTTTTTTTATCAAAGATTTTTGTAATTTTCTGCCTCACCACGAATCCCTGAGAAGTTTGGACAAGCCTACGAGGTTCTGCTCACATTTCCGAATCTTACTTTTACTAAAATCACAAGATATTAACTTGAGATTTAAATTGTACCCTTAAATATGGGTAAAAAAATTGTAGTCAAATGATGTTAAAGTTACAACTAGATCAACAGTGTGAGTTGCACTGTTAGTTACCGCCTACATTTGGAAACCCATCAAGAGCACTTGAATTTATATTGTACCGGGCTCTCTTGACATTAGCTTAAGTATATTTGAATTCGAGTCCATCTTATGAGCGAAAAGGAAACCTATATTATGACCTTAGGTTAGAATGATCTCAAGTTAGCAAATTATACTCTCGGAGATAGTCAACTGCCGACCTTAAAGTATGATTATTACAACCCTTTGTAGAGAAAACGAAAAGTGTCGAGATCGGCGCGCTTGATCAAACATTCGTCGTGCGATGTTTGGTAATCGAATAATCAAGGTTCAAAACAACGTTTCGAATCAAATTCCCGATCATTTTACGAAAAGACGACCTTATTTTCCAACGTCATTCAATTCAGTTCACCTAGTGTAATATTGGAAAGTGAAAGTGGCAACTTCCAGGAGTTGGTCGGTTAAATTGGGAGTGCTTTGTTCACGACCTGTGTCTTTATGCTGTTTCGAGAGTGGGGACTCAAAAAATTAAAATTTTATAAACCAAATTAGAATATGCAAATACTATAGAGTAACAAATTAAATTAGACTATAAATCAGTAATATTAAAGCAGTAATATACTGCAGTAATTTGGTTTAGGACAGAGTCTACTCTCAGTTTTGCTCTTACTACACATGGATAAAAGATTTAGATATCCCTCGGGCTTACGTCGATCCCTACACTTTTCGAGTCATTCTAATGTCAAATACAATAGGTTAGTAACAATTGTTTCTCTAGTTTGCTAACTTTTTGCAACAAATTAATTCCAAATAAATTGGAACTACAAATTAGTAAACAAAAGCAAAAACGATGGTTGTAAAAAAACAAAACTCACATGAATCTGCGTAATCTGCATAAACAATAGCCAGAGGAGCGTCTCCCGAAGTGGCGACATCTTCTCCTTCAGCTGGGATCACCAAAAAAATCCTGGATTGGTGACTCGTTTGCACGCGATTACTTTTTATAATCAGTGTAAGAACTTGGGCGGGGCTTGGTTTTATTATTTTGTTTTCGAAACAACCGGAAGACGGGCGAATATCGATGGAGTTGGCCAAGTTTGGGGCTGAAAATCATATCGTTGGTATAAAATGTTGGGCGAACAGAAAGGGGATCGATCTTTAAGGGCGTATTTTAGGTTTATAAATAAGGTGAAAAATAAAGAAAAGATAAAAATTTACAAAAAATAGAGAACTTTAGCAAAATGAGCAAATTTTGATCGAAATGCCAGGGGAAATACGTATTAAATATTTAGCAAATACGCCGAAGAAACGGATCTTTCCGGGTGTAAAATACGATCTCATATCTTGGGACTTCATAATGTCCCTTGAAAGTCGTTTAAAAGCTAACTTTACTATCTTTTTTCCGTAGGCTTATATTATTTTAGCCTAAGATTAACCAATAAATTTAAATATTTGGCCTAAGTACTTCCAAAAGTCAATTCTACTCCAAGTTGTTGTAAATAAACAGTAGTAAAATTACAGAAGCGTTTATAATGGCAGGATTACAATTGTCAATTTTTAAGCAGTAATTGTTAAAGAATGACCCCGCCTTGCAGTTTGTAATCTTGGCCACAAACTTGATGACATTTTAGGACAGAATGGTAATTCCGAATGTTAAGGACCCGAGAACTTTAAGAAAATACGTGCTACCGTGTCCTTCAAGTAGCACTGTTAAAGTTGCAATTTGTAGAAAAAAATTGGGAAAATTAATCCGGACTTGGAATGTTATGATTGAAATACGATAATTGGCGGACTTTACTGCGTATTTAAATGGTAATCCTAATTGAAATTGCATTGTTTTAAAATCCGGGAGTAAAACAAATTTCAAGATAAAAGGTACTGTAAAAACAAAGGAAACTTTTACAAATCTTGGAACCCAATTGGAATAAGAGAATTACAACCTCTTATGCAATAGTTTCGAATACATTTTTGCTACAAAGAAACATAAACAAGAAGTTAATTAGTAGTCGAATTTAATTGTACAATCCTCCCCAACAGTTACAATAAAAAGGCCCTTAAATAGTAGCAACTTTGAGTCTTTACAACGACCCCACTTTCTACACCCACCAAAATATTATTCAAATCTTTTTTCAAATATTTCAAACCCCACAAAAGTGGGCGGAGCCAACGCAAAGCTGCAAAAAAGGGAGGGTTAAATATAAAATATAAAAACATAGTACTCTGCAGGGAGTGATTGGATTAGGAGCCAGTGGATTAAATAGTATAGTAAACCGAAAATAAATTGGCTTAATTAATTACACGTAATCTATCTCCGGCAATTAACCGGGAAGTGATAGTGTAATGAACAAGGTGGTTAAAGAGTAAAACAGAAGTCAGTAGAGAGAAAGCAGGACCATTTTTTATCAAAAAGCGCAAAGGTTAAGAGTTCGGATTCCATGGATAATAAAATATGATAAAAAAATTACAAAACTCATTCTGAATTTGTGGTTATAACTTGGAATGGGACTCTGACAGTAGTTATTATCTTCAGAGGCTCGAAATGCGGTTTGATCCCTAAGATGTTTGGACCGCGATTTGAAAAAGATCAATAAGTTTTGTTGATGAGAGACTATGGAAAACGAGGAGGGTCGTTAAAGAAAAATGGGGTGTGGCCAGATATTTCTGGATCTAGCGCCGAAAGATTTGCTTCGTTATACAAGTTTGTGCTTCTCCTCGTAAGCAGACTGTAAATTTTTTACATTGAAATTCCCAAAATATTAGGTTTTGGAAATCATTGGCCTAAAAACTGTAGTAGTCGCTGGATTATGCTAGTAAAAATCTCACTCATGTCTTAGAAACCGCTGATTTAGATCTTTGCCAAGTTGAATAAAGATTTTATAATTTTGATTCGGGTATTTCCTTATTCCCGTCTTTAAACCGTCAAAAAATAATCTTCATTGAAATTAAACACTTAATTCTCCACGAAATACATCTTCCAAAAAAAGGGCTACAAATCACCTATTTTCCTACGTGTACATTAACCTATGACGTAATCATGAAAGGTGCTTGCGTGTCCTTTGGCCAGATTCCCATTTCTGGGGCCAAGTCCAACCTCCAAAATGTTACAATTTAATCCGAAAACAAAGTGCCGATGACGACAAAATTGTAATCTACCCATTTGAAAGCACAGTAAATTACTTGTCGAAATATAATTGTAGCGCAAATATTTACATATAAAATGACATGTGTTTTGGATTACATTTACATCACCAAATATAATTTTCACATTTTTTTGGAATCTAAGCTGTAATTAGACAAGGAAAGGGTTAGGAAAAGTTACTGTTTAATGTTTTGAATTTATTTTTAATCTGAAAAAATTAAATTCCCCACATTTTAAAGACATTCCCAACCAGATTAGAGAGCTATTTGTTGCGTCAAGCTGATCATATTATCCATGGCCTTTAAATGGGATTACAATTTCGAGGAAATGACGATGAGAGGGGACGCAATGAGATCAGGCGTTGCAAAAAGAATGACGATTATTACAACTTTGAAAACTTGGAAGGCTTATAGGGGAGAAAGGAATTAAAATACGGTGGAAAAAGGTTGATGACGAGAAATCTTAAATTTATTTGGTCCTCTTATTAGTTACGTCATAGTGAGCAATTACAATTTTTTAAAAACATTTTATATTTTACTTTTTGACAAGGAAAGTACTTTTATGGGGGCTCCTACTTTTTGACGGGACATATCTCAAAAAATCAGAAAAAATGCGCTGATCAAGGATATATAAATCTTAGCTGCCCATTTTAGGTTTTTAAGGGTGAAAATGCCCAAAAACTGGTTTAATTTCCCTACAAAAGGCAGACATTCGAAACGATAAAAAGAGCACTCGATCTCTTCCTTCGGAAGAGAGCGGTGTGGCCGAGTGGTTAGTGCCGTAGTCTGGGAATCAAGAGGGGGGACGCCGCACAGGTTCGATTTCCCTTTTGGGCTGAATCAACTTTTTTGAAGTTGAAGGTCGGAAAAATAAATTTTTGGGCCAAGACTGTCTTATTACGTCTTAGAAACTCAATAAACACCATTTTAAGCCAAAATAAAAATTGTAAACCTTTGAAAAAATTAAGCGGAAAGGGGTTCATATAGGACTTTAAGTCAACTTCCGACTGAGTTTTCACCCCTAAAAACCTAAAATGGGCAGCTAAGATCTATATATTCTTGATCAGCACATTTTTTCTGATTTTTTGAGATATGTCCCGTCAAAAAGTAGGAGCCCCCATAAAAGTACCTTCCTTGTGAAATTTTGTCCACACTTTTATTCGCTTATTTTTTTGATGGAACAAAATTAACATAAGACTAAACAGTTATCACTTTTTACAGAATGACATCCCCGTCATTCACAACAACACAATGAAATTGCCAAAAATATTACGACTTGATTTGAGCTAATAATTTTTGCGGAACGGCGACCCCTGAGGAGATTCCCAAAGGACATTTTCAAACGACAGGCACCTCTTCTCTCATCCAAAAATATCATTTTGTTACAGTATCAGCAAAATGAAACACGTGGAATAAATTTGTAAATATTTCGGAAAATAAAAAGAAATAATACGTGATGCAACAGAATGACGATCGAAATGAGTCAAGGAATCCGAGGAATTCGGGCTGAATTTCATTTTAAAACATTCAGAAAATTTTGAAAATAAAAAAAAAATTTTTTGAATAAAAAATATTCGAAAAAACGAAAATAGTTTTTATCCCAAAAATTAGACAGTTTTATTACCGGAAATGCGTAAAAATTGAATCTGATTTGGAGTGGAGGATCATGTGTCATACAGGGAAGTGTTTACGAATCATCTTGGAAAGTGTTCTAGACACCAAAATACAAGGAATCAGAGGGTGAAAGGGGGTGGGAAACACGAAACACCACACACGAAAACCTCGTTGGACTGTTTATAGGTCAAAATTGAAATTTCTAAAAGACATTTGGAATTTTTGGATTGCGTTATGCAGAAATAACCGGAAATTTCGGGAAATTAAGCAATCTGGTTAAAAAAATTTTTTTGATTGCTTGGACTAAATTAAAACTTTAGTATTTCCAAACATTAATTACTGGCAGCAAAACGACCCACTTTCGTCCCCAAAAAAGGTCATAAAACACCTTTTCCCTCATAAAATTCTTTTGTTTTGACGTCACTAGTCGTAATCACTAACGATAATATCTTGAAAGAAGGCTTCTATTTCCAAGTTGCAATTCTGACAAGCCCCTGGGTGCAACCCCTTAGGCTATCTTTTTGAAAATTGCCCTTTTAAAATCCTTATCATAGACTACCCTTAAAGACAAAGCAAGAGCGCAAAAAAACACTCGGAATGGACACGGTGGAAGGCAACAAATGCAGCAAACTGATCGCTCTGACCTCCAGACATCACTCTCTGAGCAATTCTTTACTCGGTTCTCACTTTTTATGAATAGTTTTTGGCAAAACACCATTTCCCGCGCTTTTTGCAAAAAATGACCTTAAAAGTAACACTTGAATGAGTGAGTGCTTCAGATCTGCCGATAACACAATTCGCGTAAATAACAGCTACTAGGAACCATTTGATCAAAGGATTCTGCAAAACTTTGCACACGAAATTTGGAGGCGTCATGATCAACATAAAAGGTGTTCAAAGATGCTTGAATTTTGCGAGATGTGATGCAAAATGAGGAGATCGAGATTTTTTATTATTTTTGTAAAAATAAAAAAATTATTAAATAATACTTCTTAGCGTGCTATTGCATTCTTCAAGCTCTATATACGTCAGATTCTTCGCCTTTCTGTAAATTATCCCCATTTTTCCGCCACTAAACTACAGTAATCCGACTAAAAAGACCGGCGGGGCGTATTTTTACGACAAAACAATTTGATTAAAATTGCGGCTGACCTTAGCGATGCGATGTTTATGAATTCCTGTCTGAGATTCTGAATCCCCGCTGCGAATTTATGATCTCTAATGCTTATCATGAGCTGAATTATAATGTTATCCATTCGGAGAGGAAAGAGATGATTAAAAATCGAATAAAATGTTAGAATAAAATCCATGACCGAGAATATTATTCAGCAAAGAGCAGGAAATGTTGAAACATAGACAAAACAGGCGAAATTAAATATGTCATGACTCAGATTTTTTTGAATTTTTTTTTGTAAAATGCTGAATGTAGACTTTGGCTGATGTGGAAACACATTTTGATCTTTACTCGATCTTAATGTCCACATTACGCAACCTTTTCTCGACCCTTATCGCCATAAATTATATCATAGTAAGTCCCTTTGATCTCATTTTTAAAGATCGGCCTTGCTGATGCTAATCTTCATCTCGAGACGTTCATTATGCCTGATCAACTCATTCCATCGCTTGTTTATCGATCATGTTGCGTTTCCTCCTTCTTTTTTCCCTTTTTCATCCAATTTTTTCCTTTGAAAGTAGTGGCCATGAACCGGAAAAATCGACCAGTAATGCCTATTCCTTGTCATTCCAAGAAGATGCGGAGCCTGTGGAATATGTAAGAGGGCCTTTGAAGTGTAATACGTACCTTTAGACCAAACTTTGCAACCAACTTTATTACAAAATCTGCAATCAAAGGATCGGGAAAGAGGATCAGAAGTGCCGAGACGACTGCAAAGTGCATTTAAGTGGAATTGTAAAGGAAGAAAAGGCAATGCAATGCTTTGCTCCGATGGAGGAACTGAAGAAATGGGACAAATGTTTGGAGGACGGAGCTGATCTGTGGGTTTTTATATTATACTTGAGGTCTATGAAAATATATTATTTCTGAAAATCTGGTGCCGGAAATCAGCTAAAATTGATGAAAAAGGGATGGAAAACCCTCTAGTACCATTATTCATTTATTCATTTCCAGATTTGACTCCAGCAGCACCAGAATCCCCCAAAATGAAGTGAATCGCTTCAATTACTCCCTCGAAGACGATTACTCCAGATTCAGAAGCCAGAACGGCGCTGTGATCGTCAAAAAGGCTCGCAAATCGTTCGTTGCGTTCCGCAAATTCCAACACTGTTATATTCATTGCATGAAGAGGTACGAACAGATGTGTCATGGCCTCTTCAATTGCGCCATCTCCTACCCAGAGTCCGAGGACATGATTACGATTATGAAGGAGTGCCAAGGATTGGGAAAAATGGTTCTGGACAACACGAAAGACACTTGCAAGTGTCTGAGTGAAGGCCACGACGTCACAAAGTTGCTGGGGCAATGCTCTTTGATGGGAAGTCGAGTCTTCATGAGAAGGATCTAAGATAATATAAAGAAGCCGTCAATTTTGCTTCGTACTGACCTCATACTATTTTTCTGTTCGAATAAAGTCTCATTTCATTCTCAAAAAGTCCCAAAGTATGTTTTAAACTTTTAAATCTTCAGCTTTTCTCCAAAGTGGCAATATCTTGGCATTCCGTAGCAGCTCATTTCTGTTGACGAAATCGAGTTTTTCGAAGTTTTTTCGAAGAAATATTTTCTTCCGGTAACGTCACGGGCAGGTTGATGTAATTTTCGGTCTATTTTTATTAATTTTATGGTCAGCGAAAGGTTAGAGGTTAATTTATCCTTCGAAAATTGCAAAAGCTTTTGCAAAATGCTGTTTCATTGGATCTTTTCCAAAGGGAAAATGGGAGAAGAAAGAGGGTTATGGATGGATCCCATGTGGTCTAGTGGTTAGGATTCGTGGCTTTCACCCACGCGGCCCGGGTTCGATTCCCGGCATGGGAAGGAGACTTTTTGGATGGTTTAATGGATGAGTTTAGAAGTTTCCCATCATTAGGAGAGGTTTTTATTTTCTCAACTTATAATCCGGGATATTTTTTTGGCATTCATGATTGAAGCTTACAAGAGACATTTGTGGAAATCTATTTTTCTTTATGTTGAGTGTGACTAATCAGGCTGACTTGTCGATTAATACCTTGTCGTATGACTTTCATAATCTATTATCGGATTACTCATTTCTTGAGTGCCCAAGTACCCAAATGTAATATCTCCTCGCCAAATCCTCACGTGGCTAGCACAAGAGTCTCGTTCCGAATGTCTGTCGGTCCCCTCTTCCCACTGTCATAACACCCGATCCGTCCAGATCGATTAGAGATGTCACCCATTGGAGGGCCATCTTCTCCTTGCCGGCCTGTTTTTTTAACCTCTCTGAGTCATTTGAGAGCCATCTTCAGGCCGCTTCCTCATTTCTCGCGCCTGTTCGAAGACGAAGGTTCAGGAATTAGGTATTAAAGGCCACTTAAATTCATATAACGAACTGACTCATCGGGAAGTTCGCAAAATGGACTCGAAATAATTGAGTCATTTTGTGTTCTGCCGCCAACTTATGACCTCGCCGCCGTCGGGTTATTTAAACCCAAGTCGCACTCCTGTTTTTTGCAATGTTTACAAAACGTTTTCACGCCCCAGGTCGTTCTTTTCTCTCTTTCCCAACTTTGGATCCAAGTATAATATAAAATGTGGAAAAATTCATGTAGAATCAGAGATGGCCCTGATTCAGAATAATCTTCGGTTCATCGTGAGTCAAGTGACAATTCTGATGGTTCTGTGGATGAATAATCGGAGGCGTGCGATCAATTTTGCATTTTTGCTGTGATATATAAACGATTTTGAATGTTATGATACTATTATCGGCCTGTAAATTGGCCTATGATCCATAATTTTTCTCTCCGCGTCCCTAGAAACGAAAGGAAGATCAGTTTTGCGGTATTTTTATATTACACTTGGTACCTAAACTCTGTTGTAGTGGTGTTTAAAAAAGAGGTTACTTTACAAAATCCATTTTTCGCTCCTCCGTAATCAGTCATTTCGGATAAAACTTTTGACGAATTAGTTTAAAGCTGTGTCAATTTCCCCATTTCCCCAATTTCCGCTGATTCGAGCTGAAATAACCGTGTTTTTGGATTAATATTCACAGCTTCCGAATATATAATCTGTTTGCTTTTGTTCAGAGTCACATTAGCAATGAAGTTTATGATCGTTCTACTGTGCCTGCTGATCGGAGCTCAAGGTGAGAAACGTTTTATATTATCCATGACAAAAGGTGGAGTTTTATAAACATTTTAGTGTATTTGATGGGAAATTGATGCTCAGATTAATGTAGAAGTCTAATATGGTCGATTTTTAGCCGAATTGCACATCAGAGCCCGTCGCGATTGGTTTAGTGACATTAAAAACAGTGTTGCCGATGCCGGGAAAACGGTCTTCAATGGGGCCAAGGACGTCATCGAGAACCCAGGAGAGCATCTAGGTAGGCAGAGTGAAGTCTGGCCGTGAAGTGTTACACCATTCTGATAACAATTCTGGCACTTTAACAATTTTAGAAAAAGCCGGAACAGCAATCAAAGAAGGTGCTGAGAAGGTCGGAGAAGTGGCTGCAGGTGCTGGGGAGACCGTTTATAATGGAGCCAAGGATGTCGTCGAGCATCCACAGGAAAATCTCGGTAAATGAAGTGGATTTGCGAAGGTTTGGGGCCATTTTTTATATTACACTAGGATTTTTGGAGGAAAGATTGCACGAAGTTATGGATTTTGATGTGTATCACTATAATTCCATTATCTACTATGAGAAAACAGTTCTACATGTGTTTTTACCCACAATTCCGCCTTCAATTTTTTCTGATCACACCTAAATTAACATCGTTTTAGAAAAAGCCGGCGCCGCCATCAAAGAAGGAGCCTCGGATGTGGCTACAGGGATCAAGAACACTGCTGAGAAGGGATACGAAAGCGGGAAAGCGTTTATCAACAATGAGGGTGAGAATCTTTCTGTTCATTCTGATGCCTCGGGCATCAGATATGTCATGTTTAATGTCCTCATGATGATGGTTATGGGGTACATCATCTTATAGCTTCATGATTCATTGAGTCTTCAATGATTAGATTGTTATAATTTTTTTCATAACGCTAAATTTTTGGTCTAAAACAATGACGTCACTTTTTTATTTTAAAAGATTTGCATATTCAAATTACATCTCACGAGATTGCTCATAGTATCCCATCGAAATATATGTCATAACCCAGCCCTGTATCAAATTGCTAACAGATATCCTCACATTTTTGTATTACTTTACGTGTCCATTGTCAAATTGTCCGTCCATTTGTTAAAAATTTAGACTAAAAAACGAATAAATGTGAAAGCCGACGTCCTCTTACTATGCTTTACGTGTTTAGAGAACCAAGAGAAACTGTCCCAGGCCTTGGATGACACCTCAAATTTCTTCAAGGGGCTTTGGACTCAGATCAGTAAGTGGAATTTGGTTTAGATCGCTTTTTTGTTGCTTTAAGATCAATTTTAGTTAGCTTTATGACTGTTCAGAGTATTTTCAAAGGTCTAAGGCGTGATTATATTAATTTCTATGCTTTTTTTGAGATTTTAAACTCAAATTTTTATTTTTCCGCCAAACTTTACTCTTTTAATCCGGAAAAGGAAGATTTGATCATTGAGTTTGGTTATTAATGGCGTGGAAAGCCTTCAGATATATTTTGGTCCTTGTTGGGACATGTTTAAGTTTTGCTATATCATCTATGAGTATTTTCTCATTTTTCGTAGGAAAAAGGTTGCACCTTTAGGTTTAGCAATAGCTTACAATAGACTTCTTGCTTTGCTATACCTGTGTTTGCTTTTAGAATCCTCGGTTTCCGAAGCCTTATCCGGCCCCGGCGACCGCAAACTCGGGGCGACCCATGAAGGTACGGTCTACGAAATCCACTCCTAAGCCGCTTTCTTTCGTTTAGAAGTCAGCATTTTCACCCTCTGAACTCCTACTACTTTAAAATGTACAAAACTTTTATTTTCCTGGCTTTAATTGTAAGTTTTGGGCATTGGGATTACTAATATTTGATGGGCAAATTGTCGTTTTTTTACCTGGGAGTCTAACGTTGATCGAAATTACTCTTCATCTATTTACCGTGTCATATTTTTTCAGGTTCCCATTAATTCCCGACTCAACCAAAGTACAATGATCCGCCATTATTCACATTGCCATAACGATTACTATTTATACTTGTTACTCAGTAACTATTGAATAAAAATTTTATGGTATAACCCGGGTTGTGTTTCAGACAGTTTGCGTTCATTTTAAAATATTTTTGGATGTCCTAGCTTAATTAATTTTCAAATTTTTTGTTTCCCGCCATTTTTTGGCATTTCGTTGCAAGGCTTGAAATCGCTCGAAAAGTATGCAAATTTGTATAATGGTTAGAGAGACATGTGATCTTAGTCCTAGACGCCAAAATTGTATTATCCATGAGATCAGATAATATTTTTTTCCATGAAAATCGCTAAGAATAGCTGTTCAAACAATGTTTACAATAACAAAGTTGCATAACCGACCTATCAGACTTCAAACCGTGGTATAAAAACAAAACTGTACATAACAAACGTCATCCGAAAATCCCGCGATTTCATTGTTCAATTGGAACGGCATCCAGCTGAGATCCGGACGTTCCACGAATCTCCCGTTTGTGTTTTCACTTTCATCGCTGCGAACACTTACAAGCAAATTTCCGCTTTTGTGAGTCACGTTGAACACGTAATAATAATATTTTCCCTGTCAGAACTAATTGCGTTTGAAATTATTGGTATTACTGGGAGTTAATTAGAAGTTAGAAGGGTATAGACGCCGAGTTGCAGTTGTTGCTTGGTCATCTTTGTTGAGAAAATCGGTCTAGGGACAGATCTGATATTGTACATGGTTGATCAAGTATAATATAATATGTCTGAGATAATGTAGCTGACATCCTCTCGTTGTTGTTACCTCAAATATATCATCCCGAGACCACTTGTCATGAATTACGGAGCCTTTCTTCCTCTCCCGACTACATCTTTGTTATCTTTTCGCCTGATTTTTCCATCGATCATCCGAAAACATTACTCTTGACGTTTAATCGCGAGCGTGACTGCACTTATTATGTTCTTACTGACATAGAATCGACCGCCTTATCACTTTCGGTCTCGGTTTCAGTGTGAGCGAGTCGAGGGATTCATCGACGAACAGAATGTTTTTTTTTCCAAACTTGAGCTTGTTTTTTCTCCAATTTGAGAGCTGATTTTATTTTTCGTAGGTTCTGCACCTTTCCAACAGTGCAGTTGCACTTTAAAATAATTTAATTTTAGAGTAAATCTGACCCTTTCCCTGCCCTTGAACCCGCTCCATTCTCTTTGCTGATCTACTCCCGAAAGATTCCGCATTTTTTGCGAGTAATCAAAAGTGCCAGAAGCGACTTTTGTCGCGGCGTTTCACAGTCCAGTGCACTCAAACCGGTCTCCCCTTTCTTGACGTCCTTTTCCATGTTTTTGGCGGCTTTCTTTCGTCGTTTTTATCGATTTGTTCGAGCTAATTTTTGGAGGGATCGGCTCCCCGCTTGCTGCACTTTTGGAACTAATTTTTTCAGTATACTATCCACGTTTACGGCGTGGAAAGAAGAAGGGGGAAAGGAGAAGATGGAAGGGTTTGGGATACGGAAAAGATTACTTTTCTTTTTGCGGCTTACCTTGAAGTGGAATATAATTTGGATGTTATCCTGGACTAGATTAGACTGGAATGGGTTCAGAATTGGTCTGGAGCCAGGGTGGAGGTCAGTTTGAGCTCCAGCGGGAGGGTTATGTCAAGAGGAGACCTAGAAACTTTTTGAATAAATGTTTTCTACCAAGTCTTGGCATTCCGTGGCAAGGCGAATTTTGTCCATTTCTTCCTCTTTTGGTTGATTCAAGCAAATTTATTGAATTTCACAGGCATCACTTTAATTATCCACAATAATTTTAGCAATTTTTAAATCATGGTTTTGAGTAATTTAGCTTTCAAATTCTTCCAAACCCCACACCTCCACCACCCCCACTTGATGTCTACCCCAACTTCCCCTCCCAAACCCCCACAAAATTCAGTTTTTCGATCGAGAAATCGCTGTCGTTGACCTCTAAAGTTGTCGCTCTTTGTTTTTTCAGGGAAGCCAATTCTTTAATTGTTTTTTTAACGCTCTGAGTTAACGGCTGGGTTCGACGGGTACCTCCGTCTAGTTCTGCGAATGTTTGGCTAGCCAATGGGTGTTTTTATTGTGCTTTTAATCGGTTCCTGGTAAAAATTTTGTTGTAAAATGTTTGATGAGGGGGTAGAAAAGCCATTCTTAGGAATTTTAACCTCTAAATAGTGTTGAAATAACACTCTTGAATTTATTTTTACCTTATATTTTCTTTTACCGCATTTTTTGCCGGATTTTTTTTGTCATCTTTTTTGAATTTTCAACCAGTTTCGCTACTTTTTCCTATTTTTTGCTCAAAATTTATTGTCTATTACTAATATCAGTCCAAATTACGCCTTGTCTGATCATAACCCGGCTTTCTTCACTTTTATTTCCCTGTTTACACAACTTTCCAAGCCCTTATTACACCATTTCCCCCTGAATTCCGTCGTTTTTACCGGTTTTTATCGGTTTGTAAACTCTCTGATTTGAGGTTTTAAAATGCAAAAAATGTCGGTTTCGCAAATTGGGGTCATATTACGTAAGCGATGACCTTGCCCTTCATATATAATTCGGGAGAAACTCCACCGAGAATACAACAAAGTAGTAGTCGAAAGATTGTAATGGAAGTGGTCGTAAGGGGATTACAACCACTTCCAAGCGGGGGAGTTTCATGGAAATGAACCTTCCAGGAACTTGATTGTAATCCATAAAAAGCTGGCTACATAACTGTTTCCTTGGGAGTAGAAGTAATCGAAAAAAGTGCGGCAATTTTGTAGCCCAATTGAATGGCTGTAACTTTTTTATTTTTGTCCCAAATCTTAAGATTTGTTTTTTCCTGGATCCTCAAAATCTGCATTTTTGTTTGATACCAAATACGAGACATTGGTCTGAAGGGCTTTGGCCCTGTATATTTCAGTTTTTTGTAGTCAAAATTATGTGGATTTTCAAAATTTGTATACCCATGCCCTCCGGTGCACTTCTTGGGAGTGGAATGTGCTCTACCTTTTCTTGATTGCATTCCATCCCAAAATTTCAAGACTGAAAAAAACTCTGCGTTTGCCATATCTGTCGTTTTAAAACGCTTTCAGTTCAATTTGGGTTCAGAACAGAATATGGTAATCAAAACATTTTTTTTGGCCAAAAATATTGTTATTTCAGAGACGAAAAAAACACCAAAAGTTTCGAGAAATTAAAAAATAAATTTTTATTCCTTTCCGGTTTTCTTTGCAAACTTTAGGCCGCAATCTATGCTAGGAGCATGACCCAGACGTCTTCTAAAAAATTTTGAGTTCAGTTTTTACAATTTTTTTGAAAATAAAATCCATTAACCAATTAGTCTTTGGAATTCTGAATTGTGATTCCCCAAAAGACCTTACATTTGACTGGAATTCATTGGACTCTCTTCATTTTGTTTAAAACTTTTGCGTTTCTCCGTTGCGAACGCTTTAAACTTGATTCATAACTCCTTTCCGCTCTCTTAAGCGGTAGTTTATAATAATCGAATTAATTCCATTGTTTCCGATCGAGAGTTTACAATGCGCGCATGGAATTAGTAGTAACAGGGCTTGACTCTTTGCTCGCAACTTATACTGGTTATAATGCATTCTTGTCTGAAGTTATCTGCTCTACAAGTTTCAAGAAATTTTGAAAAAAGTTTTTGCGAATATCTTTGTGCGCTTTGCTGATATGCAAGATGTTTAAATTGGTTTTAAAATTCGAAGTCGTGCGTTCTTAGGTTATGCAAACGAAGATTTTCTCGCCTTGGCGGAGAGACCATTTTCGGCGGACACATTTGACGTTTTTTTTTTTGAAAATTCCACCTGGATACAAAGCCCCCTCTTTCAGTAGTCCTACTGTAACCTATAGCTTAATATTTTCCTCGACCATTTCCGGATATTGACCATTAGAAAATAATCGGCCTAAGGGTCGTATTTAGACCTGTCTGTCACCGCCAACAATGCAATAAAAACTCTTTACTCCGTCACAGTTTCGTATGTCCGGCATTCATTTCCTCTACGTAGTATATCTTTTGTTGAGTTCGACCCTATTTTAGGTGAGAGGAACACCTCAAAAAATGGGACGATTATGGACAAAGGGTACTATAAATAGGTGAGAGGGTGTGAAGAAACAGGAGATTAGGACTCTAGAAGGAAGTATTTGTCCCACGATATGGTAGTTTGGGTGGTCGGGACATATTTTCACCTGTCGCCAAAATACTAGACATCTGATGGCTAAAATGGTAAAAAAAAAATGTAAAATAAAAGGATGAAAATGATTTCAAAATACTAGATAGAGTTCACATAATTGAGATTTATGCATTTTACTCCTCAAATAGGATTTTTAAACTCCTTTTGTCTTTATTACAATTACTGATTACCCGATTTCCCTGCACATTTGACCCTCCAACTCATCATTTTTGCAGTCCGTTTGGGTGGGTCCAGGTATGGTCTGTCCCGTTACTACTTTTTTTGTCAATATTAACTCCTTACGCCCCCAAGGAATCAATTTCTCGCCGCGCGCTCATAACAATCACAAACAGAAACCTGAAATAAAAAAGTGGCGGGTTTAAAGAATTAATTTTTTTTTGTTAAAAAACGTATTTTCCTGTTTTTGACACCGAAATAATCCGTCGTTATGAGCGATGATCACCGCAATCATGAGCTGTCCTCTGTCTTCACACATTTCTTGGGGAAATTCTCCGAATTTTTCAAAAATCCGATTCCATTTATTTTTGAAAGCGCGTTGTTTTAAACTGTTTTAAGTTAAAAAAAGATCCTACCGAACGATTGTAGGGCTATGTTACCTCGACTGGTCACATTTTTTCTTGTGATATGGGGGACCCAAGCCGATGTAAAACAAGGTGTGTACAAGGTCTACAGATGTGTCCCACAAGACAAGGATCAGCTCATAGCCCTCACCGAGCTCTACAGGAAGTCCACGGAACTCGAGGTAAGCATGTTTATAAACATGAACACGCTGTAGTATAAACATTTTATACTACAGGGTGTTCATGAAAATTCCCTGCAAAGTTTTTGTCAATTTCTTCGCACTCTTTCAAGATGGCTAAAACAATTTTTTATAGGAAAGTCGATGGTAGGTGGCTTTATGATGAGTAAAAAAATTTTTTTGTATAAAATTGACACAAACTTTCCAAGGGATTTGTCTGAACACCGTTTTATTGTTTCCAGTAAAAAAGATGACATCATCATGAATAATATCCGAAATTTTAGCTGGATTTCTGGAAAGAGCCCCGAGATGTTGATGGATATGTGGACATTATGACTCCTCCAGCAGAACAAGAGATGCTGACCGAGTTCTTTCGTGAGCATGGTATCGATTATAAGATCACAATCGGGGATGTGGAGAAGTTAATCATCCAAAGAGAGAAGAGCGAGCTCAATCCCTGGTCCAAATTCAACTCCTCTGATCCCGTCTTGGCCTCGTTCTTCCGAAAACGGATGTCTGATGATTTTGTCACCTCGAACAAGGCCAAATATGGATTTGGTAAGCGAGAAGCGGCATGGTTAATATAAAATATAGGGGATTACCACTCATATGACACAATCACTGCATGGTTGGACGATATTCAGCGATTTTACCCATCGCTGGCTCAGACTTTTATCATTGGAACGACTTTTGAAGGGCGGCAAATCAAGGGGATCAAGGTAATGTGCTCACTCTTCCCAACTTTGCTTTCGAAAATTGAAAAAATTGGCTGGAACTGCAGACATTCATTTATAGAGCCTAAGGGCAAAATTTGAAGAAGGCCAGAGCCTCAAGCCTCATGATTTGTTATTGTATTAACCCACTTCAGATCGGAAGTCCAGTCCACGCCACCAACAAACGAATCATTTGGGTGGACGCCGGCATCCATGCCCGAGAATGGGCCTCTACTCACACGGCCCTATACTTTATCGAACAATTGATCACCAAGTATGGAATCGACCCCCAAATTACTGCTTACATGGATACCCTCAATTTTTACATATTGCCTCAGGCAAATCCGGATGGATATGAATACTCGAGGTCGGATGTGGGGCCACAGACGAGATTCTGGAGGAAAAATCGAGGAAAACAGGTGTGCAAGAAGGACCACTGGAGAAGGGAAAGGTGCTGCGGGGGTGTGGACCTCAACAGAAACTTCGATTTCCATTGGGGAGGTAAGAATTTGCATATGATTACACAAGAAGTAGTTTACACAGATCTGCGCGTAATTGTAAAGCTCTTGGATGCATAAAATTATGACTTGGGAGTAAAGATAATCAAAGTATAATATAGTCATCATACCGATATCTACAAGTCCAATATTTCAGAGAGTGGATCCAGTGACGATCTCTGTTCTGATATCTACCAGGGATCTAGTGCCTTCAGTGAGCCCGAAACTCGGGCCATTCGCGATAAAATAATGTCTCAAGAGATGTGGGGAAAGGTTGATGCCTTTATTACCCTTCACACCTACTCTCAAATGTGGATTCATCCATTCAATCATGAGCGAAAAAGCTTCCCAAATGATGTACAAGATCTGGTAAGGATACTAGACTAGCAATAAGGCCAATACAGTACAATTTTTATGTTATACTTGATTTCAGATCAACGTCGGACAAAAGGGAGTCGACGCGATTGAAAAGGTGTATGGAACCAAATATAGATTCGGAACGGGGGCAGATATTCTTTACCCATCAGCCGGAGGGTCCGATGATTGGGCCAAAGCCAAGGCCAACGTTAAATACGTGTTCTTGTTGGAGCTGAGACCAGGAGAAGAGGAGTGGGACGGATTCCTTCTGGACCGACGACAGCTCATCCCCACAGGTCGAGAGACTTGGGAAGGAGTTAAAACAGTAGTGGATGCAGTTATGGCCAAAGCCCGACCTAAATTTAGCCCTCAAATTCCAGAAATCCGACGACCACCACCTCCAGTAGAACCCCCAAGGTTTTTGACCGGCAGAATCGGTGGGTAACTTGGCTAATACCACTCTTAAACTTTGTTACTAGTCCTACTTATCTTTGTGCCATCATTTTTCGTAATCATATAAGTTATTGCGGGTCTAAATTATCTGTTCTGAATCTCATGTTGTCGGGCGATCAAGTATAATATAAATATATCTATTGCTATTGGACGGTTGTTTGCGACAGTAACACCGTAACAATACTACCAAATTAAGAGTCTAACCACATCATCTAAGTTGTTTTAACAGCATTCTTTGTAGTGATACTATCCATCTTACACTACTGTATGTAACAATCTGTAATCAATTTTGTTCTTAAACTATTATAGCTAAATTTTAGTAACTTGATCATTAATGCATCTAACGACTAACCTTTCAGTTGAAAACCCAACCACTGCCATGGCGACCACCCCAACTCCATTCGCGACAACGATTTCCCAGCTGGTCACGTTCCCAAGAAATGGTGACAGTATGCCAATAAACAGGAATACCGCCCCTGTGGGGCTAAACCAAGTGGTTCTGAACCAAGAGGAAGCAAGGAGACGGTTTGAGGAGAGACTGCGACAACAGCAACAAGTGCGGCAACAGATCATTCAGAATGCGCAGCAGTCCAGGCGAGGTAATATTTGATTTTTTTCAAAAGTATCACGTTTGACTTTAACGGCTAAAAAAGCTAATTAATGATTATTATTCTAAAACAAACACGAAACGTTGACTTTTACCTCAAATTATATTACACTTGATGTACTGGTCAAAAATCTTTCCTAAAATAATGTAATATCCCTAAATTTTAGTGAGCCAGTCGTCAGGAACAACTGGTCAATGTCTGGATCGTTCCAGATGGTGCGGTGTCTGGCTTCAACAGAACCCCGCCCTCTGCGAGCAGTCCACCATCTACATGAGCCATGACTGCGCCCGAACGTGCCGCTTCTGTCGCTAATAACCGGACTTCTATTACACATTCCAAAGATACTCATCTCTAGATTACATAACTACGGTGTCATTGTTGTTATTTATTGTATACTGAGTCGAAAAAGTCATTTTTGTTGTCAACTTAGAGCAAGTCCAATGTTCTAATAACATTTTTCGAGGTCTACTTCACTTCTAATTTGCCATAGTTTCCAGAGTTACCGCATGATGAACTGGTTCATGTGGACTCGTCATCCTTACATTTCTAGGATTGTTTGTTTTACTATAGTTTTGGACGTTAAAAATAAATTCTATTCATCTTTTATGTACATCGGATTACTGCGAAAAGGTAATAGAATCATGTCAGAGACCACAACTTAACAAACGCTCATCCAGGCAAGACTCTCAATCTGAAGTCTGCATTGGCCATAAGCAAAAATGTTTCCACTTCCGGACTGTTGGAGGAGCTCGTAGAATACATCGAAACTTTTGTAAAAAATGTCTGGTGCTCCACTCCTGAAAAAAGAAACAAAAAGAAAGCAAAACACAATGTTTGGGAGTTTCTTGTTTACTTTTTGTTCGTAACCTTGTGTCACGTCAATCCGGCGCATTTCCTGATCCGTTTAGACGTTTCGTCCACACATTATCGATTGACCAAAGATTTTAGGCGTAAAAATTATTTCTGACAAGGAAAGTACTTTTATGGGGGCTCCTACTTTTTGACGGGACATATCTCAAAAAATCAGAAAAAATGTGCTGATCAAGGATATATAAACCTTAGCTGCCCATTTTAGGTTTTTAGAAGTGAAAATGCCCAAAAACTGGCTTAATTTCCCTACAAAAGGCGCAGGCATTCGAAACGATAAAAAGCGCAGTCGGTCTCTTCCTTCGGAAGAGAGCGGTGTGGCCGAGTGGTTAGTGCCGTAGTCTGGGAATCAAGAGGGAGGACGCCGCACGGGTTCGATTTCCCTTTTGGGCTAAATCAACTTTTTTTGAAGTTGAAGTGCGGAAAAACAAATTTTTGTGCCAAGACTGATTTATTACGTCTTAGAAATCAATAAACATCATTTTAAGCCAAAATAATAATTGTAAACCCGTGAAAAATTGGGCGAAAAGGGGTTCATATAGGACTTTAAGTCAACTTCCGATTGAGTTTTCACCCCTAAAAACCTAAAATGGGCAGCTAAGATTTATATATCCTTGATCAGCACATTTTTTCTGATTTTTTGAGATACGTCCCGTCAAAAAGTAGGAGCCCCCATAAAAGTACTTTCCTTGTGAAAACATTTTGGAAGATAAAATTGGTTCTGAAGAGTCAAGAAAAGTTAGAAATTGGTCAGGAAACAGCTTCAACGACGCTGAATTAACGTGCATGTACGTTTTTTTATCCGATTTTAGTCTATTTCGACAAGTCGGAATAATTTCTTTTTTCCATTTGAAATAACAAGTAGCTTTCTTTCAATTTTCTGTGCCGAAATGTTTTTCTAAGTGAATCTTTCCGTTGATAAGGTGAGTTCCCTTTTCTTCTGATCATATCTGTAAGATTGCTTGCCCTTGACCTCTCCGAAAGGGTTCGTCTTGTCTTTCTCGGTCTCTTTACACGTAAAAACTTGGTATGATTTGCTTCCTTTTATGCCTATTCTTACCTGTCGTTCCGATTTATACCTAGTCTAAATTCCAGAAGGTTGCAACTCAGATTTTTGATCTTTGCGTTTGACTCTAATCTTGTTTTTTTGCAGGATGGTGAAGAACGTGCTTTTGGTTGGTGGGGCCAGTGAGTTCGGGCAAGTTTTGGCCAAGAAGTTGAGAGCAGTCGGAGCCAAGGTTTATATATTAGATACGGACGTGGTTGATACAGACGATGATCTGGAATTTATCCATGGAGAAAGCTGCAACACGGACTTGGTGCAAATGATCATCAAACGCTGTCATGTAATTTTCTTGTTCTGTATTTTAATGGATTTAGATTACAAGATTGTTTTTATTGCCTAAAATAAGCCATGATGAAGATGTGTCCACCCAAGGTCGTCGAATTCTGATGGGAACTGCCGCATTGATTGATGAGATCCGCAGACAAACAAGTGAATTGCCCCAGGTCATTCAAGTTGGCCAATTTCAAGAGGGATCCTTCCTGGTGCCCGAATACAGAGCTGCTGTTTTGAGCACCGAAGCATTCCTTCATTCTTATGCTGTCAGCTACAGAATGGATGTAAGGTTAATTAGAATTCCAACTTATACCGTGAGCAGTGCGTACGATCATTTGGCCAAAGAAATTCTCGAAATCTCGAGCGAGACGACCAATGAAAAGGCCAAGATTTACAATTTGGAGGCCGAGACTGCCGAAATTGTAAGCTCTTTTATACCCGACAAATTGCAGATTAAATATATAGCAGGTTTGAATTTGATTAACCTTGTCTGAGAATTTTTTATATTGTACTTGCTCATTTCAGCCATCCGTTTCCGAGTCAACCCCAGATGTCAGAATCCTTGTTTTCGGAGCCAATGGCTGGATTGGAAAACAATTCACGGATTGTCTCAATAAACATGGGCTACAGTACGTGATTGCAAAGACCAGACCAGGGGATTCATCGGATTATGAGATTAGGAGGGAAATTGCGGAGATTGCACCGTCTCATATTGTGTCATTGATTGGGAGAACGCATGGAAAAGGTAATGGCTTGATTTGACCTTTCTCTGTTTATTCAATCTTATATAACAGTTTAATCTAGACTGTGGAAACATCGATTATCTGGAGGGAGGCCCGGATAAGTTGAAGGAGAATGTCCGGGACAACCTTTATGGACCATTCATGTTGGCCAATATTGCTGAGAGATTCGGGATCCACTTCACTTACATTGGCACTGGGTGTCTTTTTGCTCATGCCAAGAATTCTCCTTATTACAGGGTCAGTGATTGTAATATTAGGGTGTCCCATAAGTCTTGTGTATTTTGGGGTCGTTGACTTGTGCGAATTCCTGTGAGCTTTGTAACGCATTACGAGATATGTTAGACATACGGTTTTGAAGATCAGGAATTGCGCTTTTAAACCGTATGTAGCAAGGCTGCAAAAAATCCACCTGCTACCCGCACTACCCCAATATTGTACTAGACATCAAAAAAAATTTTGCTTGCTGATGTTAAAATGGGTATATACTTTGGAAAATCAGATGTGTACGCCTATTAAACATGAAAATAGGACGCACAAGAGCCTAGATGTTATTTTAATTCGCGCTGCAGCACGGGCGGGGGTACCTTGGTGGTGGTGTAAATAACATGAGAACTGCTGCACTCATGCTTTTCAGACTCAATTTTCCAATAGTAGAAAGTGTTGGCTATAGCTGCGTATGGTAGCTAATCTACTGTTGTTTGTGAACACAACGACATAATAATCACCGCCTGTGTCACTTTTGTTTCTTGAAATAAGCTGAATTTAAAAATTTCCTAATTATTTTAAAAATTTACAGAAAATTTTTTAAATTGCGTGATTTTTCAGCCCTCAGCACCTCTATTCCAAAATCCTCTTGCTAAAATAAAACACATATGACACTGTTTAGAACACACTACACTACAATGTTATTTGTATCCATACCGACTTTTTTGGTGTTGAGTAAATGCATCACATTTTTTCAAATTTTTTTGGGTTAGTGGTAATTCAGAACAAGGCAGCCAGCGGATTCATAGTTAAGACGCATGAACGTTATGTTTTTTTCACTCTGGTATCGGCGCGACCTGAGCAACCACCCTCAAAAAATGCTACACGCAAAATTATGTACATCACAATATTCACCATGGTGCCTAATACAAGAAACCTGTAGGACAACGTTATAAGAACAAATTCAGAGGGGAAAACGGTTTATTTAGAAACAGGGTACTTAGTAGATGTGTTAAAAAATGCAATTGCAAAGGTGCAGCCCCATTTATCAAAAAAACGGAATGGTTTTCCCAGCCCTTCCCAGAAGTTAATAATATTAAAGAATTTCAAGTATTTTCCCGGAGGGCATGTTATTAGTTAAAATTTTTATGCTGCTTATAAGTGTAAGAGATGGCGGTTTCAACAATGCCAAACATTAAGGGATGCTTTCATTTAGGCCTGCGAAACGAGCCTTTAATTCTCAAACCCAAAAATACACAAGACTTATGGGACACCCTAATATTTTAGATTAAATTATATATATTCTTTAATTTATGTTTTGTACTTTTTAGGAAGAAGACCTCCCCAACTTCAGAGGGAACAAGTATGGAGTGGTCAAGGGCTTTACTGATCGTCTTATTGGCAGCTTTTCTCATTCGTTGAACGTCAGAATCAGACTGCCATTCAATGATGAGGATTCGCCCAGAAACTTGGTCAAAAAGGCGAGTAAAGTGGCTCTTATGGGTAATAGATTTGCTTTAGATCACCTCTTTCAACAACCTGATTGACGTTCCAAACTCCATCACCTATCTTCCGGACCTTTTGCCAGCCCTGATCAACATAATTATCAACAAAACTACCGGGACCATTAATCTTACAAGCCCGGGGGTCATATCTTTTGTCGAAATGGCCGAGATCTTCTCTGAGGTCACCGGCCAAAAGTTGGAATACGAATCTGTTCAAATTGAGGTGAGGAAAAGATAAAATTATATTATACAAGGTATATTATATGGATGATATCTTTAGTATTAGACAGATGGTGAATCGTTTTCTTTCAGGACGATGTTGATGGCACAGCCAAGCGATCTCATTGTAAATTATCGACCGATCGCCTTCAAACATTGCAACCTCAGGTCTTGAATGTGAAAGATGCGGTCCGAAAAGCGGCCAAAGCCCTTGCTCAAGTGGGATAAATGTTTATATTGTTACTGTAGAAAGGTGGTGGGTGCTTTTGTGTAAATTTCTATGAGATTGGTTAACTTTTTTATGTAAATTTTTAAATATTGAATAAATATGTCTCAATCACTAGCACATGATTAATCCCACCACTTCTCGCCGATTAAATTCCAATTAACTGTCTTGTCCCTGCTGCTTTGGAGAACAAAAACAATTCCCTCTCTCCACTTTCAACTTGATCGAGGTTTCAAAGTCTCATAAAAGGTTGAAAAAGATGCGCGAAACCCTGAGGGACCTCAAAAAAACACTGGCGCTCGCTTTTTTCGCACCCAGGTAACACATCGCCCGAGGGCAATCCGACGACTTTTACTTTTTTTAATATTAATTTTCATTTTCACTCGCATGAAAATGTGAGGAGAAAAGAATGAAAGTTGAGGAAGTCTTGGTCAGAAAAAGTAAGACAAGAGCGGGTTACACACCAAAGTTATCGGTAATACAATAAGATTCAAGACAAGGCCTTAGATCAATGAGGGTTATATAATAAATAATTGACGTGCCGGGCTCTCCAATTGGGCCAGATTATCCTGGAATACCGGGGAGTTCTTGTACAGTTCCTGGGGCTCCACGTTCTCACGCGGCTCCTGGAAGTCCTGCGGGTCCAATTGGGCCAGGTTTTCCGGCTGAAAATGCGGGCACTGGTTGACAAAAGGCCATACTCTAAACCTCTTCAGAATGTCACGACACACTCCGGCTCCTTGCGATATAATTTTTTTGCGGGGGATGAGTTTGCTGAGTAGTTAGAATCAGAGATCAACATCTAACATCGCTATCTCAGTTCTTTCCAGATTTTTGATCTAAAACTAACAAATTCCGAACAAGACTTCGATTTGAATACTAAGATTATGCCGTTTCCAAATTCTTTAACTGCTCTTGACATTCAAACTCGTGAAATTTCATTATTTCCTTTTTTGGGAGTTCAAAATGACAATAAAGCGCTGTTAGACAAAGCCTGCGCGCAAAGCCCGGGGGGCGGATGAGAAAGCGTTTTCGTAACTCTCCCTCTCACTGGAACACCTTAGTGAGGTTGGAGGTATTTAAAGCCCCGAGGGCCTCCATTATCAGCATCGGTTTTCGTCGTTTCGACGTCAGCTAACTGAGGTAAGATTTGTATTTTTTGCACACTTTTTCGATTCATTTCTTCAAGTGTTTTGCACTTGATTTTATTTAACTTTTATTGCCTTTCAACTTAAAAGATTAATTTCGTATTTTAGCCGAACCAAAGATGGATCAGAAATCACATGAGAAGGAGCAGCTGAGGGAGGCCGAGTCCTTCAAAAGACTCACTTTCTTCGCCATCGCCATCTCCACAGTGGCCACTCTGACCGCCATAATTATTGTCCCCACATTGTACAACTACATGCAACATGTGCAATCTCAGTTGGACGAGGAATTAGAGTTCTGCGTTCACAGATCCAACGGTCTTTGGGACCAATATTCCCATGTTGTTGGGATCGGCGCTGTCAGAGAGAAGCGTAACGCTCTCCGCCGCACTTCCGGACATAGACGTGGTGCCCAGGCACGTGCTGCCAGCACTTACGGAGATGACGCCGCCACTGGAGGATACGGAGGAGCTGCTCCAAGCAGCGCTGGCCCAGCCGTCAACGCAGGATATGGCGCCGGAAACGCCGGACCCGCCGTCAACTCTGCCCCCAGCGCCGTCAGCGCCCCAAGCAGCAACCAAGGAGGATGCTCTTGCGGAGTTGGACCAGCTGGACCACCTGGAGCCCCAGGAGAAGACGGTCTTCCAGGAAAGGACGGAGTTCCCGGCAAGGACGGAGAACACGGCCCAGACGCCCCGCCAGAGGCCAAGCCCACCGCCGACGACTTCTGCTTCGATTGCCCAGCCGGACCAGCCGGCCCACCAGGCGCCCCAGGACCAAAGGGACCCAGCGGACAACCCGGTGCTCCAGGAGAAGATGGACAGCCAGGAAACCCAGCCCAACGCGGAACCCCCGGCCCAATTGGACCCCCAGGACTTCCAGGAGCCGCTGGAGAACGTGGAGCCCCCGGAGAGCCAGGAACTCTGCAGGAAGTCCCCGGCATTCCAGGCCCACCAGGACCGTCTGGCCCCATTGGAGAGCCCGGTCCACCCGGAGAGGCCGGACAACCAGGAACCTCATCGCCCGGCCCTCAAGGACCTCCCGGCGACCAGGGACCACCCGGAGAACCTGGACAGGACGGCAAACCAGGAGAGGCCGGTCCCGACGGAGAACAAGGCCAGAACGGCGGCTGCGAACACTGTCCTCCTCCCCGAACTGCCCCAGGATATTAAACTCGGTGAATTCCACCCGTTGTTCGGCCCTGTACCTATTTGTATTCTACGGCTATTTATCCAGGAACACATTGATTCTCACATGTTCATGCAATAAACACGCATCTTTTCCTCTTTCATTCAAGATTTTACTTTCATTGGGGGTTCGCGTCAGTCAATTTTTTATTTGAATTTCGTCGATTCACACTGAAAACACGTCCGGTCCAAATAGAAGAAAAGCCACGGTTGAGATGGTCTCACGAGCTGCGCCCGCGATTTTGAATTCGCCGGCGACATGTTATACGAAAGAATATCAAATTTCGTAATAATTGCCTCAGGGCTCTAATATTGTAGGCACAAAATATTATTTTCACGTAGACCTGATATACCAAGCACCAAGTTTCTATCGTTGTCGATCTTCGAGTTTTGCTAAATATAAGGTTTTGCCTTGTTTTGAGCCTGTTTTTGTACCCATTTTTGGACCCCTTTTTGGCATGTAGTGGTAAAAGTAAGACAGTTGCTCCAAATATCGTTCTCTGTAATTCAAGATACATGTGTTGTTGAACGTTTTTAGGTCTAGTTAGACCTCAATGATATGCCTCCTTTGAGAAACGTTGGCGACAATGACGTCAATTTTGGGCTAAATTTTGATGATTTTTGCGTATATCTGCCTTTATCTTTTTTCAAACGCCTTTTATCGACAAAATCGTCCTCTGTAATTGTAGACAGGAGGCTTGTCAATGTGTAGGAACTTGTCTTATAATTCAGAGACCAACAGTTTTTTCGAAACGTTGGCGACAATGACGTCTACTTTTGGCTAAATTTTGATGATTTTTGCATATTTCTGCCACCCACTTTTTCAAACATGTTCGAAACAAATTGTTTTTGGATATTACGAAAATTAGAATGGAAAAATATAATTTCTGAAAGGATTTCGAAATGGATTTGGCATTCAAAGAGTCATTCCGTGTCATCTTCTCCATCAATGTCTTCATCAATTTGGCTTGTGTCAAGCCCAAATTCGTCGTACAGCACCGTCTTTGCGAATTTCCAGGTTCATTGGATGACGCTGAAGACGAAGAATAGACATTATGAACACAAATCTCACCTCCATCGTCTTCTGTCGTTGGAAAACTTCTAGAAGACGAGGGTCGATCCATAAAAAATTGACGCTCAGATTTTGATGAAACTTCGTTAAGTTAGAAAATTAACTGAAATGGAAAGCAAATCATTGAAACAAGATGGGTACCACAATCTTCACAATTAGGATACTCGCACTAAAAATATTTTCGTTTAATCGGATAGAATTCCATTTTTTGCAGGTATATCAAACTGACGTTCATTTTTCAAAACCTTTACCCAGTCTTGTCTTATAAGGAAAAATTACAAACGGTGAGAGGGCCTTTTTCTACAATTACAGATAATAATTTAATGGATCAAGCATTTTTGAAAAAGAGGGAGGCAGAAATATGCAAAAAATCAATAAAATTAAGCCCAAAAGTTGAAGTCATTCACACCAACGTTTCGAAAAAACTATTGGTCCCTGAATTATAAGAGAAGTTTCTACACATTGACAAGAGTCTTGTCTACAATTGCAGAAGACGATTTCGTCGGTACAAGGCGTTTAAAAAAAGGTCTAGGGAGAAATACGTAAAAATCATCAAAATTTAGCCAAAAGTAGACGTCATTGTCGCCAACGTTTCGAAAAAACTATTGGTCCCTGAATTATAAGGCAAGTTCCTACACATTGACAAGCCTCTTGTCTACAATTACAGAGGACGATTTTGTCAATAAAAAACGTTTGAAAAAAGATATAGGCAGATATATGCAAAAATCATCAAAATTTAGCCCAAAATTGACGTCATTGTCGCCAACGTTTCTCAAAGGAGGCATATCATTGAGGTCTAACTAGACCTAAAAACGTTCAACAACACATGTATCTTGAATTACAGAGAACGATATTTGGAGCAACTGTCTTACTTTTACCACTACATGCCAAAAAGGGGTCCAAAAATGGGTACAAAAACAGGCTCAAAACAAGGCAAAACCTTATATTTAGCAAAACTCGAAGATCGACAACGATAGAAACTTGGTGCTTGGTATATCAGGTCTACGTGAAAATAATATTTTGTGCCTACAATATTAGAGCCCTGAGGCTATTATTACGAAATTTGATATTCTTTCGTATAACATGTCGCCGGCGAATTCAAAATCGCGGGCGCAGCTCGTGAGACCATCTCAACCGTGGCTTGGACCGAACGTGAAAACTGGATTCAGCGAGCAAAAAGTGAAAATAAAGGTGACTAAAGAAATGTTTCACTTCATCCTACGAGTCCAAACACGAAGACGTCCGACCCGTCGATTTCCATGAATTCTCTTTCACCAGCTTTCAAGGAGTATTGATCATTGACGACTTCAATACATTCTGCGACTGGTAGGACTCGAACCCGACTATGTTTGAGCGACAAACAAAAGGGTTATCCATTAGACTAAATGAACGTGAGCTTTTTTTCTTTATTCTCTCAACAATCAGGCCGCTCCTTTTTGTGTCAGGTGTTGCACTCAAGAGACAAGTGTTCCAATTTTATTTATTTTCTTCAAAATTTTTTTTCTTCAACAATGTCGAAAAAGAAGCCAATCTTCAGCAAATGTGAACGATGTGGCACATTCTTCTTGTCTACTCACTTCCAAAAACATCCTGAAAGTTGTGAGATTGTGGATGGTCTCCAAAGTATCGTCCCGAAGAAGGTTTTGACCGGAGTTTCTCATAAATTGGAGAAAGGAAAGGAAGCTCTACCTAATTCTGCACTCGGATGGCATCGACAACATACTGTATTGGTTAATCCACACGCTCTGGATGTCTTGGAAATATTACCGAGAAGTCCATTGATTTTGACGGAGAGTGGTAAAGAAGATAAGATTTTAGTGGTGCCCTGGCCTTGTGCAGATGTAAGTTTATATTTGAGATGTTCTTTATTCTCCGTTTAGGTTTCACGATGCTTTTCGGGTGATTACATTAATTTATTGGCTGTTTTTAGCTTCAACCTCTCCGTCTTAACACCGACAACTTCCCTGCTGAACGATTGTTGCAGTTAGAAGTTGTGGACAAGGTGGAAACTTTAAAATCACTCACACTGGAACCTCTTGATGATATCTCTTCAGCTTTATTGAAAGCTCCGCACTTTGCGTCATTCATTCAGCTCTATTTAAATGGTGCTTACATCAGCCCTTCAATTCCAATTGTTATCAATTATTTGGCCAAAAGTTATCGCTTTGAAATGTTGGAGGACATCTCCAAGGTTTTTGATGCTGTTGGTTTTGATGAGGAGAGCAAGATCCGAGTGTATCAAGTGGATTCTAATGTCACTATCAGATTTACATCTAAAACTCCCGAAACAAATATTGAATTGGCATTGTCAGATCCATTCGATAAGATTGGAGGAGCCGATTTGGTCAAGAAGACGTTGAACGAATATCTGTTTGTGCCATTGGAAAGGTAGTAGAGCTTTTATTTGATTTTTTTTTGTTTTTGTTGCACATGTAATGTAATCGTGTTGATTTTAGAAATCTGCGGCCTTTGTCGTCGATCCTCTGGGGCTTCACTGGCTGCGGAAAGAGCTTGTTTATGTCGTGTATACAAGAGAAGCTTCCAGGACAAGCCGTTTTGGTCACATCGATGAAAGATTTCACGGACAAGAGAGCCCAAATTAAGTCAGATTCCATTCTTCTCATCGATTTCCAACCTTCATCTTCCGACGCCAACAACTTTGCCGATTTAATTTGTGATTTCGTTGATTCGAAACTTTGCCTGTCCATTGTTTTGACTACCAGGTCCATTGATTCTCTTGATTTGAGGGTTCGAAGGCGATTTGAAGCCGAAGTTGAGTTAATGGTGCCGTCCAATGTGGAGAGGAGACTAATTTTCGACCAGTTATTGCCAGAGGAATTCAAGGACAGGGCGGCTGAATTGGCGAGGTGAGCTCTTTCGTATTTTAAATCATTTTCCTGAATTATTTTTATATTACAGTAATTAAAATAAAAAATTATGTTTGCAGAGATACTCATGGTTTCACTGGTGCCGATATTGATGTATTATGCCGAAAGGCGGTGCTGTTGAAGAGTAATGGCCATCCAAATCCACTGGAGACAGCCCGGAAACAGACGAATGCAACTGGAATAAAACAATTCATCTTGGAAGTTCCGAATGTTTCCTGGGAAGACATTGGAGGAAATCTAGAACTCAAGGAGGAGATTCAACAGGTAGGAATCTTATTTGGTTATTTATGCTTGATTTTTGATGTATAAATAAATGTTTTAGGCTGTCGTTTGGCCTTATCAGCATCCGGAAGCCTTTGAAAGACTGGGTGTTCAACCTCCGAATGGAATCTTACTCTACGGACCCCCTGGCTGTTCCAAAACCTTGATTGCGAGAGCCTTGGCCAGCCAGTCGAAGCTCAATTTCTTGTCCGTCAAAGGCCCAGAACTGTTCAGTAAATGGGTTGGGGAGTCGGAGAGAGCAGTCCGGGATCTCTTTCACCGAGCTCGTCAGGTCAGTCCCGCCATTTTATTCTTCGATGAGATTGATGCGATTGCCACGAAACGAGGCCAAGACAAATCGAACGCCGTCTCGGATCGGGTGTTGGCTCAGATGTTAACCGAATTGGATGGGCTAGAAAAAAGTGCAAGAATTTTTGTGGTAGCCGCAACAAATCGACCTGACACTTTGGACGGCGCTTTGTTGAGACCGGGCCGACTGGATCGAGCGATTTATGTGCCATTGCCGGATTATGGAACAAGGTGAATATAATGTGACTGGGAGATCATAGTTTTTTTAGGCAATCCATTATCAACATCCAATTCAAAAAAGTCCGAGTTTCTCCCCAAGTGGATGTGGATGAGATTTCCCAGAGATCCGAGGGTTATTCGGGAGCTGAATTGGTCGCACTGTGCAGAAACGCGGCGCTCTGTGCGATGAGGGCGAATATAAATGCGATTGAAGTGATGCCCGAGCATTTCGAAGACTCTTTCAAAATGGTTTTACCCCGAACGGAGCCCCAATTACTCAAATTGTACGAGAAATTCGCCCGGGGCGATCGTTGAAAACCATGTTGTTGTTATTGTTATTTGGTAACATTGTTGAGTATTAAAATATTAAAAAGTAATAGGAATGGAGTGTCATTAGGTGCTAAACAAACTGGGGAGCGCCTCCCCACTCGCCGCGATACCTGCGGCGCTTCGAAAGCGGGTCATCTCGCCAAGGTCATCTCCTTTAGAAGGATCAATCTTCTCCATTCCACACAACAAAGGATTTCCTTTATTCCCTCCGGCAAGTGCTCAGGATTTACATGAAACCTGATGGGAAATTGATTTACGTTTATTTGGTTGGGATTTGGAATGTAGTTCAAGGCAAGTTAGGTTTGTTTTATACCTGATATTCGGGGTATAGCATCATTTAAAACAAACATTTTTAGCTGTAAAATTCTATGGAGGAATTCCCGTCCCAGGCCGACGAGTTCCGGCCATCAGATTCCTCGAGTATTATCTGGATTCTTGCAGCAAACCCAAGGACAAAAACAGTGCCTTTGATGAGCTCAATATGGCAAGTATAAGGAACTATTTTTTGTTGTCCGCATTCAGTCTTTTCGCTGTCCGCAAATCGACTTCTCACTGTCCGCAATTGAGAATTTTTTTCTGTCCGCACTTCTACTGTCCGCAAATAAAATTTTTGATGTCCGCATTCAAAACAACTTGTTCTAGGCACCTGGCAAGGCCTTTTTTCGATACTTCTGACTGCCACATTACACTTGACATCAATATTATTCAAAATTCGAGGTGTGATGTTGCACTTGATACCAATAATATTCAAAGTTAGGGCTGTGATATTGCAGTGGTTACCAATATTATTTAAAATTAAGGTTGCCATATTGCACTTGATATCAATAATATTCAAAATTGGGGGTGTGATCTTGCATAGTACTGGAATGTGGTTTACAGGATTTTTAGAGCATGTCTGGTAATTTTTGGGGCCAGTGGTGCCCCTCTATTTTTTTTAACAAAATTTTTTTATTTGCGGACAGTGAGAATCTCCGTGACTTTTCACTGTCCGCAAATGAAATTCTTGGCCAAATGGCCATGTTTGGGGTGGGATTGGGCCAAGATGATTCTGAAATGTGATTTACATGATTTTTAGAGCATGTCTGGTAATTTTTGGGGCCAGTGGTGCCCCTCTATTTTTTTTAACAAAATTTTTTTATTTGCGGACAGTGAGAATCTCCGTGACTTTTCACTGTCCGCAAATGAAATTCTTGGCCAAATGGTCATGTTTGGGGTGGGACTGGGCTGAGATGATTCTGGAATGTGATTTACAGGATTTTTAGAGCATGTCTGGTAATTTTTGGGGCCAGTGGTGCCCCTCTATTTTTTTTTAACAAAATTTTTTTATTTGCGGACAGTGAGAATCTCCGTGACTTTTCACTGTCCGCAAATGAAATTCTTGGCCAAATGGTCATGTTTGGGGTGGGACTGGGCTGAGATGATTCTGGAATGTGATTTACAGGATTTTTAGAGCATGTCTGGTAATTTTTGGGGCCAATGGTGCCCCTCTATTTTTTTTTAACAAAATTTTTTTATTTGCGGACAGTGAAAAGTCACGGAGATTCTCACTGTCCGCAAATAAAAAAATTTTGTTAAAAAAAAATAGAGGGGCACCACTGGCCCCAAAAATTACCAGACATGCTCTAAAAATCCTGTAAACCACATTCCAGTACTATGCAAGATCACACCCCCAATTTTGAATATTATTGATATCAAGTGCAATATGGCAACCTTAATTTTAAATAATATTGGTAACCACTGCAATATCACAGCCCTAACTTTGAATATTATTGGTATCAAGTGCAACATCACACCTCGAATTTTGAATAATATTGATGTCAAGTGTAATGTGGCAGTCAGAAGTATCGAAAAAAGGCCTTGCCAGGTGCCTAGAACAAGTTGTTTTGAATGCGGACATCAAACATTTTATTTGCGGACAGTAGAAGTACGGACAGAAAAAAATTCTCAATTGCGGACAGTGAGAAGTCGATTTGCGGACAGCGAAAAGACTGAATGCGGACAGTGAAAAGCTCGTCCCAAGTATTAGGTTGATACAAAAGTTTTTACACATTTTTTTGAGACACTTCAAAATAAAATTCCTAGAGCCTGATTGAATGTACGTTAAAACTGAAAGCATAGATGTATGGGGCAGAACATTGCAAAATTTTTGATTCGTGGCATTTTATTTTCTACAAGCTTCCTTTCAGAATATTTCAAAAATACTAAAAATTTCTCCGTTTGTGTCATCGTGAATATCCTGGGCCCTAGCAATTTTCCAGCCCACTAAAAAGTCTCGGGTTTTGGGTTATTCGTACTGGGGATGGCTGTAGTTTCTTCTGAATTTATTGCTCTACTTATATCTACACTGACATTTTTTGTAGCATCCCATAAAGTTGGCCGGAGAGCCGAGCTACCGATCAAAAGCAGATTTTTAAAAATTTTTTGAAAGGAGTTAGATTTTTTTGACTCGGCTGCCATTCAGGTTGTACAAAGACAGTATGCTGATGATACATTCGAAAAGTCACCAACTGAAATTGCCTTATAAGGTAGAAAAGTAGCATAAACTGCATTTTTAGGTGAATTTTTGTAATTTTTTTACTGGTAGGGCAAGAGGACCTTCAGCTTAGCGCGTCTAGCAACTGATAGTGTATGTCAAGTAGGATCAATTATTTATTAAATAACTAGGATACCGGGCGAGAGTAATGAACAGAAAACGTTTTTGTAAAAATCCCCTAAATTTCGTAAAATATTGGTAGATTAAAAAGATTCGATTTTTCTGCCGCATAGCTAAAGCTAGCGCGAATGTTTAGCATTGGCGTTGTAGTGCTACTCATACACTACAATAACAGAAAGCGTTATCTCTTAGTGCTTCTAATAGCTGCGTCTACAGGGTCTACTTTTGCCAGACCCTAATTTTTGATTTTTCGCACTAAAAATTTTTCGACTAGCCCTATAGCAAATTGTCCTCGATGCCATAGAGATTACATACAGGCATACCATATTCTAGAATATTAAGAAGATACAGCCACTCTAGACGTAACGCCGGTGGTTTACTTTTTCTTCCTTCGAGTAGTTAAGGTTTAACACGGCGCTACTACTACAAATTGCTAAGTTGTAAAAAGTTATTAATCTACTATAATCTACAAACAGCCCTCTTTCTAACAAGATATATATCAGGCCCACTGGCCTTGGTCTAAATTTTTTAAAATTTTTTAAAGACATGTGTAAAAACTTTTGTATCAACCTAATATAATATAAAAATTCCTAATTTTTATATTCCCAAATTTTAGTTGCTCCGTCAGGTTGTGAACGAAGAGATTGCCGAGAAAACCGTGAACAATATGTACTTCGCAGTGGACGATGTGAACATTGATCATCTGATGGGGCGCTGGGTTACGGTAGTCGACTCCCCGTTCCTCCATCGGCAATATTGTGCGGTAAATTACTTCAGATTGAGTGAGAAGACCAAGTATACGGCTGATTTTGTGACTCATCAGACGTCGAGGAATTCGGAGGAAGTGGTCACTTACAATGGATTTGGCCAGAAAGTGGGGCCAGACCCGGGGTCCGTGTTTATTCACACCGGGAATCCGAGTGATCCATGTCCGTGTAAGTTGATTTGGAATGATTTCAAGTAGTCTAGACACAATTTCAAAAGATTTTCGAGAAATTTAAAAAAATTTTAATAATTAAAAAAAAATGAGAAAAAACTTTTTTAGTTATCCCCGTTAAAGTTGGCCCTTCTTCCAAGAAATCGGGCCAATTTGAGTATGTGATCCTGACGACCCCCCTGAAGACGCCCACCGTTGTCCTGGCCCGTGATGCGCGCCTTTTCCAGAAAGAGTATCGGGCCGAGGTGGAGGATTATCTCAAGAGATTCAATTACTTGAATCCGGTGACCGCCCTCAATCAGCCACTCCACTTTCTGAATGTCAGCAATTGTAACACCTATCAGCATTTTGATTACGATCTCGGGATGGATGACTGAGCCTTGCAGATAGTTGTCATAAATACATATGTAAAATCTTATGTTTGTTCATTTTCTGAGAGGCTTTTCTCATTTTTTGAAAAAAAATTTTACGCGATATTCTGGGGTTTTAAAAAATTGTTCGTAAAAATTTTGGCAAAAAAAATTTTTTTGGAAACAACTTATTTTAAACTGGTACAGAAGTACAGGGTGTCCAGAGAAATGTGCCGGAAAGTTTTTGTCGATTTCTTGGCGCTCAATAAAGATATCCGAAAAATTCTTTTTCCAGGATAAAGAAGAATTCGGGCGGTTTTTTGTCCGAAAGAATCATTTTTTCCGCCAGCGCGGAAAGTAGTGTATTCGGCGGAGACTTTTGATCGTTTTTTTGGCCATCACACCAATTTTAAACGCTTTATTATGATGCTGAAACTTCCGGAAAGTCTTCAAATTTTTGACGCAATAGATCACGCAGACAGCGACATCGCAATGGGATCCCATATAGCGACTGCACGGTGCAGCCTGTCGCTGCAACACCGATAAAGTCCGAGTGCACAGTGCGGAGGTTTGAAACAGCAAGGCAAAAGGAAATTTGAACAAAAAATATTTTGTTGTTTTCTGCTGCACCAAGTGGTTTTCTGATGGCTTAGCTTCTGCCAAAGCTTGGTGACAAAATTTTCGAAGGCATACGAAGCCAGCAGGGTGTTCTAGCCAGGCCATAAAAATTGTGTTGGACCATGTCTTGTCCGCAGCTGAGTCATGACCTCCGCCGATTCGGCGAGCGTCCGCCATGCCTTCGCCGAACACTTGGTAAACATGAAAATATGCAAATGTCTTTGTTTCAACCATCAAACTTCATAATAAAGCGTTTAAAGTTGGTGCGATGATCAAAAAAGCGATCAAAAGTCTCCGCCGAATACACTGCCTTCCGCGCTGGCGGAGAAAATGATTCTATTGCACAAAAAACCGCCCATACTCTTCTTTATCCTGCAAAAAGAATTTTTCGGATATCTTGATTGAGCGCCAAGAAATCGACAAAAACTTTCCGGCACATTTCTCTGGACACCCTGTACTACTATGACAGTGGAATTACAATAAAAGTAATAACCGCGTTGTAAAGGGCCCTTGACTCATCCCTTGAGGAGATTTGTGCCCAGAACAGGCACTTTCCGTTCGAATAAACATTCCCTTTTCTCGACGTTCTCCACCGTTCTCGGCGACTTTTCCGCTTTTCTTCGCTTGACTTTCGCCGTGTTCGGCCGCTCATGCCCTGAGGGTTTAAGTTTAAGGGAAAATCTCGCTCTTATGAAGGGAAATGCGATCCGATGCCTTTTTCGGCCACACACCGATATCCCCGCTGGCCGGGGGAATTGTGGTAAAACTTGGGAGTTTAGAGGGCTTTCCAAAAAAGGGAAATGTAAAGTAATATGCGTATTGAAGAGGAGCCGCAAGGGCTTTTCAAGACCGTTGTGGTTGTAGCGCGACTGTCAACAAGACGCTACAATTTTGATTAACACAAATGATGACTTTTTCGTTTTTTTTGATTTCGAGACGTTATTTTAGGCCAGTCTTCTATTTTTTTTTTCATTTTTAGGAACTGAATTTTTCTTTATTTTTGTTTTCATTTATTTAGGCTTTTCATTTTATGATCACAGTTTTTTACCTTACCTTAGTTTATGCTAGGTCTAATCAACATTGAAGCGCAGTAGGTCCCTTGAATATGGAAAGGTCATATTTTTACTTTTCGCTTATTTTTTTATTTCAAATCATTTTCAACAATAATTTTGGTAAAATACGGTATTTACAATAGGCCACCCAATCATGTTTTCTTTATTTTGTAATAAAGATTCTTTCAACGTTTTATAAAGTTTTATCCCTCGAAGACTCCTTTACTTTTAAGCCCTTCTTCGGAGCCCTAATTCTGCAAAAATACAAATCTCCCATTGTAATATGTCATCTTTATTTTGTACTCAGGTCTTGTGAGAGACCCTTTTCCTTCATTTCGCTTGTTAAGAAGATCATTTTTGTTATATTGGCCGGATGTTTCTTCGTTTCTGACAATTTAATTAATGATTATTTTTTCCTCAGCTTGTCTTGGCTATTTTTTGAAATCAAGTGGATATAATAAAATAAAATGGATTGCATGATATTTTTTTTTGAATTTGAAAAGTAATGGCTTCTTATCAGCTTGTTTTTTGCACTTTTATATCAATTTTTTATTTTCGAAATTTTGTGTTTTTGATGACATATATTTTAAACATAGTATATCAGTCTGTCGAGAAGGAAAATATATGGTTTGTTGCGGCAAAATGTCTGGCCTTATTGCGGTCGCACACGAAATCTCCAGCCGTGGCAAAGCGATGATGGCCGATTCCAAGGCGCGACGAATCCACATTATTTTCCCGACATACTGATATTTTGTTTTTTATGTTTAAATTGAGGTTTTATGCGATTTTCTTCAAATGTTATTTTTTACTTTGCCCGGGCCACAAAGTAATTTTAAGAAATTTTGGCTCCACTTTTCAAGTCAAGCTGAAATTTTCGAAAATTTTTCGGAGAATTAAAATCACACAAAAAACAGGATATTATTTTTTTCGATTTGTGGCTAGTTTCATGAAGATCAAAAATTTTTATTTTTTGCTTGCATAATTTTTGAATATCTAAATTAAAAAAAAATTTCGACTTTCGGGCATGATACTCCTAGTGCGACCCTCAGACTATGGTAAAACTTGACACAAATTTAGAATTTTTTAAAACATGACAGACTCCTAGCTCGCGCTTTGCAGAAACAACCGAGATTTTTAGATCGAAAGTTGGAAAAAAACTTTTTTTTTGCGAATTTAGCGTGAACATTTTTGTGCCTATTTTCTCCGTAGAGGGTAATATTTCTACAAAAAAAAAATAAATTTTTTCCGCACGAAACTGGGAAAGAAATAGCAAAAAACTGTTTTTTATCGGTGGCGCTCTCCGCGTTTCGCGTACTCTCTCGGCCGGAAAGGGTATTGAATATCTCGGCTGGCCCTGCAAAGCGCGATCTAAAATACATCGCACTTGGGGCGGCTGTAAGCAAAATTTGCAAATTAATTTGAAAATTTTTAAATTTCAGAATATTTGCACGCCCCTTTGGTTTATTTATTTGTCGCTTCTTTTGGCCCCATTTCCCTGTCCCGGGCCAAGAATTATAAGTCGTTTATTCGCGAGTTTTTTTACGAAAAATGCGCTTCAAAAAAGGCTTGGCCAAGAAAACTCACCGTAATCAAATCAAGCACACCCACACTGAGAAGAGGCGCCAAACCCCCTCAGGGCATTTAGCTGCAGAATGAGAATGACTTTTATATGGCCCAGAAACTTGGCCAAACATTCTGGATGTTACAAATATGTTTTGGCTGGACTCTGAACAGGCATTGGAGGGATTAATGGGAGCCAATTACAAACAGAGACAAAAAACATTACACTTGGGAAAAGCGAACATCTTACTGCAAAAAGAGTGTTCTAAAAATGGAAACTATTCAATATGGAGGAGATGCCGAGAATAAACACGGCCCATCTCCTTTGCAATATCATCTATGACGTCTGAAACAACTTTCCGTGCTTTCAGGGATAAGCAGGATGGAAGGAATAAGGTGTAATGTGATTAAACGATTTTTAGAAATTTTTTTCAGGTGAGCAAATGGGATGTTTTCTCTGGGGAAAATTCAAAATTTAACTAATTTTTGGCCAAAAAATTCTAGGTGATTTTGAAAAAACTTTGGAATGAAAAAAGTTTTTCATTAAAAAGTTGCATAATTCAAGAAAATAAACTTGAATCCAGTAATTAAACTTGTAGATTCTAAACTGATATTGTTTTCTCCTCACCTTCCCTTCCTCAGGCCCCCTAATCCCGACCTCAAATCTTTGTGTTTAGTTATGTGTTTGAAGGGGGAGATGAAGTTACGGGAGCAGGAAGTCAAGGAGCACATCGACAAGAACGCCGCTGAACGACTTCTTCTGAGGTTTAGCGCCTTTGAGAGGTCGCGGGGCCTTGTGAAACACAAAAAAATATTCCTCGGCCCATCTTTTTCGCGTCTTCTGAGGTCCGAATCCTCTTTTTATAAAGTCAATTTATGATTTTATAACCAAAATCCTTTGTCGCATCGGTTTGCAATGCCACATGTAGCTTTTTTCGTTACTCGAGGATCAGTTTAGTTACCAGAAGTTGCTTTAATCTCAGCTAATTTTATTTAAAAAATAATTTTGAGCCTTTCTTGAGATTTCAAATTTCGGATTGAAGTCATCGTGGATAATCAAATTCTGGGGATTTTGGAAATGCTGTTTGGAGTGGGGAAAAGATCCCCATTTGCTTAAAATCTGCTTGCATTTCGTTAGGGTACCCTAATCGAATTTTTTGGTATCTGCAAGGTATATACGCATTCCGACTTCATGAGTATTTTGGGTTGGCGAACGCTCGGCGGAGGGTCGGCGAAGTAGAGTTTAAATTTGATCACCAAATCTTTGCAAACCTCCACTGACCTTTCCGATCTCCTAAGCAAAAGTATCGTCAACTCGAACTGTCTCAGACCCGAATTGCAGTAGTTCCTTGAAAGAAAAATAATAGCAATCTTGTGTTTTTTGATGAAAAAAATTTCCACAGAAGGTCAAAATTTTTCTAACAAACTTTGCAAAGCAATTGCCGAAAATACTTTTTTTGGCTCTCTCTGGTCATGTCCTATAGTTTCTAAATTTCCGAAGGCGATTATAAGCGTCAAAAATTGGATTTTTTATTCCATTTTTACATTATCCCTCTATTGCCTCTCCAATCCGGCTAAGCCCCAAAAAGGGTTGATTCTTATCATCCGCCCAGACTCATCTCATATGGATCACATGATGATCCTTAATGTCACTTTAATGTCCTTCTTTTGTTTCCTCATCACATTTCTTTTGAACTTTGGATTCATTTGTCCCATTTATGGAGTCCCTCTTTTCTCTTGGCCAGCGTTTCTTGATGAAGGTAATTGACAGAGAAGGGGGCCCATGAAAAGGCGCGGGAAACGTTAGGAATTCTATTATCCAGATTGTAGCCGAGATTTTAATATTCCCGGATCATAGGGACCTTCGAGGGTCATGTTGCGTCTAATGGGATTGAGAGTATTATACTGGACTAGAATTATTATACAGTACTCAATTCAGCGCATTTCCTGAACCGTCTAGACGCTTCGTACACACACTACCGATTCACCAAGGGATTTCTGATATCAAAATTCTGTCTGAAGAATTTTTGGAGGACCATTTTTGACAAGAATCTAGGGAAATGGCGAGATATTCAGAGTAAAGACGTTTTTATTTGAAATTTTCGCTGAAAATCTTTGAATTTTCGATGAAAATTTAGACTGTTTGGTATAAAAATTTACCTTCACATTCAAAGAGACTACAAATTTTAAAAATATTTCAAAAATGTTAAAACTTTTGTCTTTATCTGTGTGCATTTTCAAGAAGAAAAGTCGACACTGCCCCTCCCAACGTTCCGCGCCAATTGTTTTATTTTATATACTCTACTTTCTTGAGTCAAGTTTCCCATGACTTTTTCCGATTAGCATACAATTTACGCAATGCGGAGTCCACGCCATATATCTGCTTCTTGTCGCGGAGTTTTGGGGAAGTCACAAGGAGACACGTATTTTAGAAGTCATGGGGTGTTGCCTTTACAGGTGAGGAGGTTGATGAGGACAACTATTCGAGAATATATTTTGGTACTTTCTGTGGCTGTTTCATGCAGAATAGTGTGAGTTCAGGATACTGTCAAATTTTAAATTTTCAAAAAAATCAGCGTTTTGAGATTTTCAAATTGAAAGTTTCACAGTTTATTCTGAATCTACAGTACAGTATTTCTGAATCGATTTTTACCGCTATGAATGGGAATACATGCAAAAAGTTTTTTTTCTATGACCGTCTCCCTCCTTTTCAGTACTGTCTCGTCCCAATAAAGGCTGAATATTTCGGCTTCGAATCCCAAGTGGAACCTAAAATTTTCAGGGATTAACATGTGGCCAAATTAAACGGTTTTTAAGTGATTTTCAAAAATTTGGAGTTTCCTCTTTTAAACAAATCGCTTTCAAAAAATTGCTGATTATTTTATTTTTCAAAGTCGCCGGTTTATTTATTTATTTATTTTTCCATCAATTCAATTTTTCCCTGTTGTTGTGACCTGTCTCAAATGTATTTTGAGCCGTTCCTTCGGCCGCTCGTAATACGGCCGAAAAACGTGTCTTTGCATAAAAGATTGAGGATTCGGCCGCTCCTCTCAATGCATTGTAAGGAAAGGCGTGGCGCCATTGGCCGAGATTTGGGCCAGTAATGTCATAACTTCCAAACAATTCTCTCATGCCCTTTTATAACGCAACCCACTTTTGTCCCCGATTCTGCAGACATTTTTTAGTTCATTCGTGGGAGATATTGGGTTATGGTATCTTCTTTTTTTTTATTTTTTGGCGTAGGCTGGAGATAATAAAGAAAAAAAAGTTTCCCATGGCACGTACGAGATTTTGAGATCGCGCTTTGCAGAAACAGTCAAAAAAATTTGTTCAAGAAATTTTTTTTTTTGGTTTGAAATCTTCGGTGCATAACTTGGACTCTAATTTTTTGGTTAATTTTGTTCCTGAAATTCACGAAGCACCAAAAACCATTTTTCCTCCGGCCGTCTCCTCGTATTCCATTGTCTCTCGTCGAATTTTTTTCGCGTATTTTTTTTAATTTTAATTCCGAATTATCTCCAAATATTTTACTTCAGTCCCCGCATTTTCTCCGTAGAGTAGCCCCCTCTTCTCGCCACATCTCCACCTTAATCATGCTCATTTTCTAACATCTCTGCTCCAATCCACACCCCATCTCCGACCATGTTATACAGCCATGTGACCCTGCTCATGTTGCGGGTTGTGGATGTTGTGGCCAAGACAACGGTGCAGCAATCGGCCAAGATGTTGGTCGGGGAAGTTCCCGGCGATATTCAGGTGGGAATCGCGGATTCTTTTTTGTTTTCGATATTAAAGTTATATTATACTAGACAAAGTTTGAACGTTGGACCTTGGTCGGGTTGCCGGGAGATGAGTGGACACACGTGTCCAGGAACTCATTTTTGACACCGTTCATATTATCCATTGCCTTCAGATCAACAAAGTTTAATAAAATATCATTTTCCATGACTTAATATCAATTATAATGTAGAATAAGTCCCCAGAAAGACCCTTGCCATGTTTTAATTGATCTCCGAACTCTTACGTTACCTCTCGATTACACTTCCTACAGCTGCGAATGTAGAAATCCCACGAGTTTTGTTTATTTAAATTAGGAACTTGTAGGCAGCCGGTTTCAATTTCAGATCCCTCTTCCCGTTTTTTGCAATTTTTGGTCCAAATCTTTTGGTTTATTTATTTTTGATTCATTCAGAAATGGAAGGACGAAAAAACAAGGACTAACAATAATCTCCAACAATTACTGGTCAAGAGCTCTTGATAGTTTAAAAAGCTGTGAGCAAGTTGTGCAGGAAAAATTAAAATTAGCGGATTTGGGAATGGTGGAGTTAGTAAAAATTAAAAATTTTAAATTTGCTATGGATAATATAAAAAATAAGCAATAGATGCTCGCGGAGGGAGTAATGGACATAATAAATGTTATTAACATTTCTACTTTACTTTTTGGTAATTAGTTCAAGGTCATTTTGAGTATTTGGAACGGAATGCCAAAAATGGCGGGAAAACAAAATTTTGAATTTTCTTACCAAAAAAGGTCTAAAATTGATTCAAACGAAGTCTTGAGAAGTAAATACGCAAGACGAAACAAAAGATAAAATTTAGGCAGCGGTCCATAATTACAGAATGGTCATAAAAAAGAATATCATTTGCATAATTGGCCTGTCTATCTATAATTTTTTCAATATAAAAAATTACATTTTTGCATTACTTTCTAAAAAAATTAATCATCACCATCGAAAACTCCTAAATCGAGTATTTGTGGAAAAATTCAAAAAATTAAATTTTGACAAAAATACACATTTTTTGCAAAGATATAAGGGTTTGACGACATTTGAAAAGATTTTTAAAATCCATTATGGCATCTGTTCATTGTAATTTCTGGCCATTAAGGACGGACACGAAAATTTAAATTTCAGTTTTAGATTAAACTCAAGGAAGCCTTTAATGACATTGCTTTAGATTGGTGCATTATTCCCAATGCATCGTCAGATCGCCGGAACCGAAGCTTGCGGAGCCATCTGGGAGCAGTACGGAATACAAAGAGCGGAGATCGCGGTGCTGACAGTCAAAGAGTTGAACAAGGTGCTTCCATTTCGATTGGGGATTACGATACGGGATTCCTGTTGGACGGAGAGGATAGCAATGGAACAGGTAGGAAAAGTCTTGACTCAGAGTGTTTTATTTTACTTTATTTGGGAGTTTATGACAATTGAGAGGGCGTTGTTTGAGTTTTGTGGCAATTTTTATATCAATTTATATTTTTTATATTCCACTACCTTTAGACCATCGGATTTCTTCGCGAAGGCGTCCAACAATGTTCTTGTTGTCAAACAGCGGGCTGTCAGAAAAAAGCGAACCCAGTAGTGGCCATCGTGGGTCCAGCCAAGTCCTCCACCACCATCGCCGTCCAGAATGTTCTCCAGGTTTTTCGGATCCCTCAAATCGGATATGGGGCCACAACCACGGATCTGACGGACAAAGAACAGTTCGGATATTTCCTTCGGACGGTCCCTTCCGACGCTTGGCAAGCCATGGCCATCATGGAGTTGCTCAAACATTACAATTGGACTTACATTGCAGTCGTTTATTCGGCCGGAAATTACGGAGAGAAGGGGTTTGAAGCCATGGAAAGGTTGAGCAGATCCGGGGTTTGTATTGCTCATACGGAGAAGGTGAAGAGTCTGGGAGAGATCAACGACTACATCCAAGTGCACAAGAAGCTTCTGAATCTGAAACCGCGTCCTCAAGTGGTCGTTTGTTTCTGCGAGGGGATGAGTATGACCAAGATCTTCAAGGCCCAGAAAGAGTTGAGGAAACGGACACCGGAATTACACACATTTCAGTGGATTGGGAGTGACAGTTGGGCTGATCGGTAAAATATTTTATATTATTCACGAAGAGGCAGTATGTCGCAATTCAAAATCGAAGTTTTTTTTTCCTTTTCGAATACTGTTGACCCTCCAAGCACCATTGTCACAAACTGAAAAAAGAATCTCTTTAGATTGGACGTTGTCGAGGGAGTTGAGAACGAAGCGGCCGGAAGCTTTTCCATCAGAATCCACTCTCCGAACGTCGAGTCCTTCAAGCCCTACTACTTCTCTCTGAATCCCATAAATCACACCTGGAATCCGTGGTTTCGAGAGTTTTGGCAACAGAAATTTAAATGTCAATTGATGGTCCCAAAGGACGATACGTTGACTCCAGTCTGTACTGGAAAGGAGAATCTGACCACCAATTACGAACAGGTAAGTGGAATCGACCAATGAGGAGGGTGTCGTACGGGAGACACGTTTCTCTCTGACCGTATCTTTTCAATTTCTTTGCAAAAATTTTTTACAATAATTATAATTTCTCGTCTCCTCTTGTCTAAAACGTTCAGGAATTTATTTGTGGACTGTTGGAAATATTAGTACCAGCTTTAAAAAAGAATTGCAGATTTCGTACTGATCTTTTGATATCCTTACAAATCTTTTATTTAGGATCCGAAACTGAGTCAAGTAATCAACTCGGTCCGAGTGGTCGGCCTTGCTCTGAAGGCTTTGCATCAAGATAAATGCAAGAGTTACAATACTACAGTATGCCCCGAGTTGGAGTCCATAAACGGGACCTTGCTCTTCCAGTACATGATGAATGTTTCGTTCACGGATGAGTTCGAACAGGACATTTCTTTCGATGAAAACGGCGATCCACCCGCTTGGTAGGTTGTTTGTCATATTTTGGATTCAACATTTAGGTATGATATCCTTAATTATGTCGGAAAAAAGGGATTTCGATTGGCCGGCCATTTCCGACAGAACAGAACCGGCGAACACTTCTTGGCCATGTCCAGAGAACCCATCATGTTCTATGATAAGACCTCCAAAATGCCCGAAAGTGTATGCAGCAAACCTTGTAGGGTTGGACAGAGGGTAAGGTTGTTGTGATTTGAGAATTTCTGCGTTTAGCAACGAAAAACAACTGCTTGTTGCTGGATTTGTGAGACTTGTTCTGAAAATCAGGTGGTGAACTATACTTCAAACTTGTGCGAGGACTGTCCACTGGGGTATTGGCCAAATGAAAAGAGAACAAGTAAGTTTTGTTTGAGTATGAAAGTAATTCCGGGGAAAAAATTAAGCTTTTAAAAAGTGATAGACTTTCTTTGCTATAGTATAAAAGTCTGTGACTTTGTTCAAAATTATTTTTCCTGAATTCCTAAAACTGTTCGAATTCCTTTGACTGATCGCTCAAGTTAGCGAGTAATCAGCAAGTTTGTGGAGATTCTTTTATTTCCCAGCCATTTGATTACCCAAGATCTCAACAAAACTCTTGATCTGGGCCAGTACAGCTGAGGGGACTCGAACCCGCGACTTTTCCCGCCAAAGAAAAAACTTTAACCTCTGAACTAAGCAAATGCACCCTCTTATTTGTTCCACAAGGGCAGAGTTTGAACGGAGAGACGAAAAATTGATGAAACTTGACTTGGAATGACAGCGGAATTGGCAGGTATCCATGGACAAATGACATGTGTAATATACCATTCGGAAAGCCTTAGAAAAGTTGTTTCATGAGCCGGTTTCAAAAATTGCTACCGGATTACAGGTTTGGAGGAATGGGCCGCTTTTCAAAGGCTTTCGGATGGTATATATTACAATTAATTTGGCCATGGGTAGTTTGAGAAGTTCCATTTTGAGATCAAAGTTTTCTAAAAAATAATTTTTTTAGCTCTCCTCACTTTTTATAGTCTCTCGTTTGATTTTTCTGAATAATTTTGCAGTTGTTCGAAAAATTTTATTGAATTTGTAGAGTGGACAAATAAATAATTTTCAGGCTGCTACGCCCTTCCCCACGAGCACTACGAGATCACGACCCTCTCCTCGATCGTTGCTCTCATCATCGCCACCATCGGCATCCTCCTGACCCTCCTCACGGTCGTCATTTTCGTCAATCATAATGCCACCCCAGTGGTGAAGTCGACGACAAGAGAGCTTTCTTATATAATTCTGGGAGGGATCATCGCTTGTTATGCGTCGACTTACTTCATTCTGGCCAGACCCAATCCCCTGTCGTGTTTTGTCGCCCGAACCTTGCCTCCCATCGGCTTTGCCGTCATTTATTCGGCGCTTTTGACCAAAACCAACAGAATTGCGAGGATTTTGGCCGGTTCGAAGAAGCGAATTCTCACCAAAAAGCCGAGATTTCTGTCAACTTTTAGTCAGGTTATCATCACATGGTGCTTAGTGTTCATTCAATGTGTCATTGTCGCTGTTTCTGCTATGCAGGTTAGCTTTTTTACATTTAATTTTTTTGGGCTAAAATACGGTAAGTTTCAAAAAAAAATATCTTTTTTCAGGAATTTCCTCATGCTGGGTTTGATCAGCACTTTATGCCGAAGAGGATGGTGCTGATCTGCTCCGCCTCCAATCTATGGGTCATTCTCCCCTTCATCTGGAACTTTGTTTTAATTCTTTTTTGCACTTTGTATGCGGTAAAAACAAGAAATCTGCCGGAAAACTTCAACGAAGCCAAATTCATAGGGTTTACAATGTAAGTCGTTGTTTTTACAACATTTTGAACTCAAACGTTACCATTAGACATATTGATTGAAGTTGTTTTGACCTTATTTTAGGTATTGCACAGTAGTTGTTTGGGTCGCGTTCGTAGTTCTGTATCTGGGCACCGTGAACAAGGCCCTGACCATGTGCTATACGTTCAGTATATCTGCCACAATTGCCTTGGTCTTACTCTTCTTTCCCAAAGTCTACATAATCATTTTTCATCCCGAAAGGAACGTCCGAGCATCTTACACAACCACCAAATTGATCAGATGCCATTTCGGGAACTCTCAGGGAACTCAGGATTCGAAACATGCTAGTGCCAAGACTCGCCAGTCATCGCAGAGCATGTCCATCAGGTCAGTTTTCTCTCATTTATCTGATAAAAACGCATTTTTTCCTTTCCCTTCGATCGCCCTTTAGATTGTTTGGAAAATAAAAAAGAAACGAAGGAAGGGAGGCATCGTTCCTCGGTAGTATAGTGGTAAGTATCCGCGCCTGTCACGTGCGAGACCCGGGTTCGATTCCCGGCCGGGGAGGAAAAACTTTTGTTGATGAAAACGACATTTTGGCCCACATTTTTATCGGTAATGGCAAAATGTTGCATGAAGCAATCAAATTTTACTGTTTTGTCCACAAATAACAATTTTTTCAGTTCATCTCGATATCCGACTCGAACCGCCTCTCTGCACATCATGAATCAGTCTCCATCGGGTTCAATGACCACTGCAATTCCTTCCTTGCCAACTCAACTTAAAGTTGTTGAATCCAGCACTCAAACCGAGGCCAATTCCGCTCGTTTTATGCGCACTTTCTCCGTGATGCAAGGGCACAAAAGGAGCAAGGCGTTGGATGAGGATGTCCTCAATCTGATTGACTCTTGCCGAAGATATCAGGTCAGTTCTGAGTTGTTTTTCTCACTGAGTTCAAAGGCAATTTGGAATGTTTTGAAAACAAGGGATAGATGTTATAGTGGGGAATTGATAAAACATTTGCAAAACACGCTGTTTCGACCGTTTTTGCACTTTTCTTGAGGGTTTATAAGTGCTCGAGATAAGTATTTCCATCTCAAAACAGGGTTTCCTTTGGTTATTGCACATTTTCTGTTCCTTTGGATTACGGTAGTTCCGAGAAATGCACCCAAAAAGTAGCCAATTAGTACTGTAATTTTGATGCAAAAGATTTATTAATTTTCCTAGAATTTTTTCTGGAATTTTGGATTCCTTTTGCATCAAAATTTGAATATTGTTAAGTAGTTGGTGGTTACAGTAATTGCGGACTAACTCCTACTCCTATTAGCCCTCTTCTTACCGTAGTTTTTCCTCCATTTTGTTGTGGATTTTAGCATCAGCGAGCGTCGGTTGTCGCCGCCTTGGCTCCCATAGAATTGGATCCCCTGGGGCATGAAGAAGATGACGTCATTCTTCCATCGACTTCTTCCCGATGGAGATCCCTGTCGCCGCACCCGAGAGGAGAGTAGGTATAGTGTTCTGAGTAGTGGAGACTGGTCGATATTGTCGCGAGTAGTGTGCTTTGTGATCGGATATTTTCGAAAGTATTGTGGAAGTAGTCGTTTATTCGTCTTTTCTTGGGTTTTCTTTTTAAAAAATACTTTTTTCTCTGGTTTTTCCTTGATTCTAATTTCGCATTTCCCGCTCCCCGATCTCCCTAATCCTTGAAGATGTTTGCAGGATGAACGGCTGAGCAATGCCAACATTCAGAACATGCTTTTGGAGGAGGAAGTGGAAGAAGAAGATGGAGACGTGGGCTCTCTGTTGGCCGGGACCATCGAAAAGGGGATGAGGACGGTTCTTCAGACCGTCTCGAGGCCCTCGTTGGATGCGAGAAGTGCGTCGATCGGGCAGAATCAACGGGATTCCCCCAAAATGTCGACCTTGAGACCTCAGAGTGCGGCTGCTGGAACCCTCAGGCATCGGCATTCGAACACACCCAAGCCAACCGAGGTCTTGCCGGAATGTTCCGAGGACAATACGGTATCCTCGGCACAGATTTTGTTTGGCGATGATCGATTTGAACAGGTGATTTTGTCAATTATTTATATTCATTATACCAGATATTCCAATACCATTTTTGTCCATAAAATTGAAGGGAAAGAAGGTTAATTAGCGTTCCTGAGGCTAAATTTAGAGCCGTCTTTTAATTCTCTTTGTACCAGGCACTACCAACTCATCGCCTCGGGCTCTTATCACTTTTCCTGCAAATTCGAAACAATTCTCATCAATGTTTTTTATAAACAGGCCCTCGGGGCGCAAAATGGTATGGTACAAAAACCGAACGGATTTTGCAATCATCCTGTATGCAACGAATTTCAGAAAGATGATCAATTTAATTTACGTATGATGAATTTACATGATTTCGAACTTTTTCATTACAGTAATCCAAAAATCTGCTAAAAGAAGCAGATTTTCGAAAAACACCAAGGATCCCTCAGACAACGTCTGCGCGTAATTTTATTTTTTCAAATTGAAATTTGCGGTAATTTCGAAGTTAGTTTACTTTTTTTTTAACACGTCGCTTATCAACTTCCCTTATCGAAATCATCTTCATTATTCTGTCATATTGGAGCCCCGTTCCTTATTCTTCTTGCCTGCGGGGCGGTCATTCGACGCGGCTTTATCAGCAAAATATAATAATGATTATCAATGGTCAGCCACAGTTTTGAACTGGGGCCTCCGCGGCTCTAAAATAATATAATTTTGATTGAAAATTTGACAATTTTTATCGAAAGTAGAGTTAATCGTTACTTATGGAGTGTAGTCGAGTAACGTGTACAGTGCTTTACCTGCTTCTAGCAACTTTTTTATTGTATTTTGGAATTGCAGCTCCTCCGAAGTCGCGGTGTCCAGCCAGTCCAATTTAGCAACGCCACGCAGCTCTGAGTGCCATATCCAGAATGTACCCCGACCTCCCTTCCTCCTTCACCCATCCTCCCTTCACCTCATACTGCTCCACTTACACCCCCAATGATCTCCAATCTTCGCCTTTGGAGGCTGTTCCCTCGCCCTCTTATAGTGTGTATTCCGCCACCAGTTCGAGCAGTTCCGAGAACCCCAAGATGGAAGACAAAGATGGCAAGATCCTGGGACTCACCGAGTCCGAATTGGCCAGGCTCTCCGTCAGACAACTGAATCAGAAATTGCAGGTGAGTTGATGTCATGGATAAGGTCGATTCGAATTTTTGATTCAGAGTTTTGAGGAAAACTAGCATGATTACACTTACAGATGACAAGAGGTTTAACTTGGCAGGAATTCTAGTTGCTTTGCGGTTTTTCTTAAATTTAAGACACGATTTTTTCAAAGTCATCAAAAATTTAGGCGGTTAGAGCCAAAAGATCTCGTTTTCTCCCGATGTCTTGGAAAGTAAATCCTATAGTTACTGTGATTAGAAGCATCAAGTAGTTTGATACACAATGGAGTCTCCTTTTCGCAACAAGCCAGAAAATTTGCATAAAATTCGTTGCGATTCGAGGATCTTCCGTAATTTTGCGGTATCTGTCGCAATTTTTTTGATATCTCCGCTTTGATTCAAAGTAATGACCTGAAGTTTTTAAGGGACAGTTTACAGTACATCTACATTCTAAGTTCCAAATTTCCAGTCGGTCTGACTATTCCACTTTGCAATATCGACCAATAATTATATTACTTTAGGGTCTGGACCGTGAGACGGTGTCGATGGTAAAACAGAAGCGCCGGACCCTGAAGAACCGCGGCTATGCCTTGAATTGCCGGGTCCGTCGGATCCGAAATCAGCTCCAGCTGGAGGCAGATAACGTGCTGCTGAGAGAGAAGTGTCGCCAGTTGGAATGGGCCGTTCAAGAGCTCCGCCAACGGCTTCAATTCTACGAAAATCGCGCCGATTTCGGCGAAAACAAACAGCAGTGGGCGATCAATCAGTAACTGTAAATTCAGCTGTGTATTTTATTCCTCGAGATTACCCCAACTTTTACAATAATTTCTAGTCTAAACTCATTCCATTCCTGCCACCGGTTACTCTCATCATCCTCATTGTGTATGTCGATGTTCGTATAAGTATAGATATATCTCAACAGATATCCAAATGTATTTACACTTGCATCTGAAGTCTTTTTCCCCCCAAGGATCAACGGGCATTCTTTTTTTATATAAAGTTGTGTTTGCAAAGCCAAAAAATGATTATAGTTAAGAGATTTGATATTATTTTTATGCTTGTAATAAAGAATATGTCACAATCTTGCGATAATATGACCCTAAGCAACTTGTTCTGGACAAAAATTACAAAAAATGAATTTCATTGCATTTGATGACCACGTGTAATGTAATTTCCACTCCAGTCTCATGGTTGATTTCGTGTCTCTTGTAGACCATCACTCAGAGTATAGCCTCGGATCGTTATCAGTTACCCATCCCTTTGACGTGTTCTCTTTTCTTCCAAAAATATTTGGGTTGGTACGAGCCGGCACCGAATTGTTCTCTTATCAGCCAAAACAAAAGAAGACAAAGGTCAGAAACATTCTTGTTTGGACGTCTTCAAAGCCTCTGAAGACCTAAAATGTCATATCTCAGACGGAATTTCTGATATTGAAACACCATGCCAAGCCTCGGCACATAGCCAAATTTTGGAATTCTGTTTTTTTTTTGGGTTCTAAAGTGCCAAAAAATCAAAATAAAAGCAATGTATGTTCTACGCAGCAAGAAATTTCTATAAAATCCATTATTTATGGTATCCAAAGTCCAAATAGACCATTTTTCAATTATATTTCTTCTCTGTGGTGACTTGAGGCGTTGTTTTGTCCGATGGATTGGCCGGGGCGACGTCTTTTTTCTTCTCAAAATCTTTTCTGACATTAATCATAATCTTGGGTGGAGATGGGGGCTAAAATAATATTGTTTGTGAGCCGATGAATCGCCCTCTCACCGCATCCTTTTCAAACTTGGGGAGATCCGAGATCCCTGCCTCCACGGCAGCACTCATTACAACCACATACAGATCATCCAATCTGATGCTTTTCCATCTTATTTTCAGTTTATGTTTCATCAAAAGACGGGTGAAGACGATCAAAACGACAAGGGCTATCAAGAAGAGGAGGTGGATCGCGGATCTGAAAGTAAATTACCTTTAATAGTGCAAACAAATGTCATGTTAAACCTCCGAATGTAAGATCATAAACAATCGTCTTTCGGAGTATCATTTTTACGCGTGCAACAGTAATCCAGCACACCGCCAACCCACAAAGTGAAAGACGAACCATCAAACGTCCTCTTTTTTGCTCGCCACTGTATCTAAGCCACTCATGACATTATAAAAACTTACAAAATAATGGCCAACGTAATGTTCCTTGACATCAATGCATCAATATCGCTTTCCAATTTCTTGTCCTTCTCTCGAATTCGAGCAATCAGCGAATCATTGGCCGAATAGTCCTGAAATTAGAGTATGATTTCTGGATCCGTGATTACCAAATCAATGAAAGCCTTCGGCACATTCAAAGCTGTAATACTGCCGTTTATGGACTTGACATCTTCCAGGACACAATGTCTAAAAAATAATTTATGAATAATGAACCTAATAATATAAAACTGCGACTTAGTAACTCTACTTCATAAGCCTGATTTGTGTTAATGGAAAGCTGAGGAATTGTAATCCCTCGCGATCCCAATGGAGATGGATGATATTGGTCTCTTGATTACCCCGTATTGACTGTCGGACGTCTTCTTTTAGGTCTGAAATCAAATCATTCACCTGCCCCTACTACAATATCAAAACTGCTCTCCAATTGACCTACCAGGGCTTCGGATAATCACAATAACTCCGTCGCTGTTCACATCCACTTGTATTCTGTCGATTTCGAATTTACACTTCATGTCCTGTACGAAATTACATTATTCAGGATATCAAATCAAAAAATACCAAGGAATCGAAGACAACGGAGTAGTTTCTGGTCTGTTCCACATAAATAAACAAGTCCAGACCAGTGATCGTATTCTCAGAAGTGAAATTGAAATCTAATCCCTCACTCAAATCAATCCATCTTATTACAGTACTATTAATCAGATCGCCGTTAGCCTCAAAACCTGGGAAGAATGGGATCAGAAAAAGAAGACACGACCGCATTTTGTAACAGGCAAGTGGAACAATAAAATAAATGAGAGGCGGAACGACCGAGCTTCGAGGATTTTCCCACGAGGAACGATCTGCATTTATTCAAATTTGATTGTACTTTCCTACGTGGGGATTCCCTATAAAAGGCCTCCTTTCCACTGAAGAAATCACTTGACTCTTGAGCTCTCGTCTTGTCTCGTTACTGGGTTGTCGGGCCTTTCGACAACTCATAAGTGGCGACCAGGCGACTCCGACTGCAGCGGCCGTCGACCTCCCAGCTGGTCGAACCCTCCCTGGTGGACAAAGTAAGTCTTGGTGGTAGTATAGTAGCCCCAAGCGAGCACTCGAGGGGGAAGACTATCCTTTTTCTGGCCCCGCGCTTGCGCCCCGGTTTCCCTGCAGACTGCAAATAAAAATAGGAAAGAGCCTAAGCCTGAGGCTAAGCCTAAGCTGCCTAAGGCTGAGGCTAAGCCTAACCTACCTAAGCCTGAGGCCAAGCCTGACCTGCCTAAGCCTGAGGCTAAGCCTAAGCTGCCTAAGGCTGAGGCTAAGCCTAACCTGCCTAAGCCTGAGGCTAAGCCTAAGCCTGAGGCTAAGCCTAACCTGCCTAAGGCTGACGTTAAGCCTAACCTACCTAAGCCTGAGGCCAAGCCTGACCTGCCTAAGCCTGAGGCTAAGCCTAAGCCCCTACAAAAAGGTGGTGATGAAACTCGGGAAGTCCATTGGATTACAGTTGTCACGGAAAGCATAGGTCAGATCCACGGTAATGTGGTCGGATTCAGAGAGTCTAGCAAGCTCTAAGGAGTCGCGGAGAAAACCTAAGGTCTGGATAGACAAGCTCTCGTCTCATTACTGGGTTGTCGGCCCTTTCGACAACAAAGAAAATAAATCAACGAAGGAAACACTCTTCCGGATGATGTCTTTATTTCAATTCTTATGTATTATCGGTGTCGTAACATAAATTGGAAGAATTTGGGGCTTTCATATGCCTTCGGGCGGTTTTCGATAAGACAGACCCGGCTGTGGCCTAAACGACGTAATTTGTGAATCTTTTCTGCGCAACTACCTGCTTGCGGCCACCAAGATTGGTTTCTGCGAGAAACTCTCGTGTGAGAGGCTTTGAGATCGGAAAAGTTTGGATCTGATCTTCCGATTACAACAGATCAAAACCCAGCCACAAATAAACGGGTCCAAGTCGTCGATAAAGGGGTAAATGGTGAAGGTCCACACTTCCAGGCTCTTGTTATTCATGGCGACGTATCCCATCACCTTCAAGCATACCAAATGTAATGTAAATCTTAGTATATATAACTACAAAGGTATGTCATAACGTCCTTACATCATACCCCGCCCAGAGAATGTGAGATACCATGTCAGCGACACATATAATCGTAAGCACTTTCCATTGTTTGTCTTTGGTCGCACTCTCCCATTTGGATCGCAAAACAATTACCGTACACCCGTTGAGAAGTAAGCAAACCACCAGAAATGTAAGATCGATGAAGGGAGTAATGATTCTAGGATGGATGAGGATACACGAGGCACATATAATCTCCATATCCTCGCTGTAAACAGTCACATAATCATTGCTTTCTAGAATATAAGAGGATCTGGTGAAGAGAAATCCGTAATGGGAACACAATGGGAGAGTGAGGCAGGTCAAGTAGATGCACTTGATGTTCTCGGTCCACCACTGAAACCTTGTTTATAATACGGCAACTATAGCATAATTTTCGGATTTTTCTGAAGATACATTCACTATAGATAACATGAAAGGGTTCCTACCAAAGAATGCCGAACACCTTTCGTAATCGAACTCCATCGATTTAGAGCCAGAAATGCCGTCCCGCACAGTGTGACCATGCCACAGTAATTAATTAAAAACTCGAGAAGAGAGAGACGCCACCAAAAGATGTACAAGTAATCATCCGGACTCAAGAACATCGATGCGTACTGAGGGAAATTGTAGGAAATATGCATGGTTAACCACAAGATACTATACTAAAACGGGGTGATGCCAACAATGACAAAATTAAGAAATAATGACGTCATGCAATTTCCCTTACAAATGTCATATTCATCCTCAAAATCCTGTAAAAAACCGAAGAGAAAGTCTTAGAGTTGCACCAGAGAATCGAGGTGACCCAGATCTGAACAATCCACAACGGAAATACATAAATGTAACGGAGCAAAGTCAACGAATTTGCAAGTCCAGACATTTCGCAATAGAATAAAGAGTGGGGCCATTTTCCCGTTTCTAACTAGATGTACGTCTGTAACACGTTTTTTCAAGGACTTAGGGCATAATTAATTAATTTGCAGCTGCTTCTTTGACCTTGCCCAAGGCTTGAAATTAAAATTTGAATTTGCAAAGAGAAAGGAACGAGTTTAGAGGTAATCATCACAAGTCATACAGCTTTCTGAGAAAACTGTCAAATCCCTTCGGCAAGCGATGATAGCCCTTGAATAAGCCAATTACTTCAAACAGTGGGTCATAAACGTCTTCATTCCCTTCGATTCCTCGCACTACGCTTTCTGCTTGGGGCGGGCCAAGAATTAAATTTATTAAAACCAGTGTTCAACAAGTATGGAGTGATAAATATAATACTTTAAGACGAGATCACATTGTAAAAACATCGATTTCATGAGGCGATTACATGAACCAGAGAAGTCCCCGTCACAGTAGGACGACTGTGGTTTGGAGACTCAAATGTGTAAAGTTGCATAGTTGTTTATAAATAAACCATTACGCATTGAGAAAAGGAGATTATTCTGCACTTGTGAGGACGGTGTAGCCATTGAACTCGATGTTATCTTGATCTGAAATTGATTTGACACCAATTCTAGTATAAATATGGATATATGTGCGGATTTCAGCGCTTAAATTTTTTTTGTGTATTACCTGAGGTATCGGGGACTGGTCGTAGAACAACCAATGATGACGTGTGTCCTTTGGAATAGCCATATTCCCGTTTGTCACTAAAAACATTAACGCTGGTGATTAGGGATCGAAATTGCATTCTCTGATGCCGATCGTACTCACCGATAATATCTCCAACAAGCGAAAACAATACTGATGAGCCATAGTTGAAGGCCGAGGACAGCCACACACGATCCGACCATTGTCCAGCCCATATAAACTAAATTATTATGTTATACATGGTCTGATCCCGGATATCCGGAACAAATGAATCTAAAGCTTACTGAGATAACTGTCGTTCTCGAGTTTGGGCCCGTGTGACTCGATAAACGTCTTGATTGTGTTCAGATCATTCGCTGCCGTTATGTAAATCAATGCGAAGAAGATTACAAATCCAGCGGCTAATCCAACAGTCTGCAAAAAATAAGGAATAAATTGCAAATTAATAGCTCATAAAACAAGATTTATGCAGTTTTTACATCCTATTCGAGCATAAATTACATCTTTTTATATTATTTTACATCAGATTAGATTAGACTAACCAAGTGTAATATAAGAAATGGTCAGAACTTACTTGTAAGAGAAGATAAGGCGATAAGAAGGCTGCGTTCTCACTTTTGAGTGCGTACAAGACTGATGCCGATATTGCAGCACCCACTAATATCTGAAATCCGGAGGAAATGATGACGTTACTATTCTTTTCATCGGTCGATCCCAAGTAGAAGATCAAACTCCACACCTCCAGAAGGACTGTCACGCACAATAATGCAGCGATTATTTTAACTCCCACCTGAAATTCATGAACATCTTTTTAATTCTTGAAATTTTTATATTATTCTTGATACCAATCAATATTTTTTAGGAAAAAGTTGTCGAACCTACAGTTGAATGGAACTGCTGACAACAACATCGATATCTCCGATCGTTTGGATCAAAGTAAATCGTATTTAATTCAACGTCGGTCAAGGAGGGGACCGAGGAAGACCTGATCGAGGAGGATTTTGGCATCTAAAGTAAGTTAAATTAATATAAGGAAGTAGGGAGAACGACTTTGCTGAAGGATTAGTCCATAAAAACGCTATCAGACAATTTGGATTCCTCGGATGGAAAAAACATTAATTTACAAGAATGCGATGACAAATATTTTGTGGAAAGTGTGGATTTAACGATAAAACAAGGCGGTTGAAATGATGTAAAATTGGAGAATTTGAAGAGGATTGGATACAAAAAATGAATAAAACAGTCTAACTTTTCAAAAGATTACATATTTATTGTACAAAAATTTCGTTTTCATTAAGTTTCGCGTGGTAAAAATGCATGTTTTGAAGTATACAAAATTTTTTTCAAAGTTCATCCCAGGCCAAACATGTTTAGACATTTTGAAAATTAAAAAAAAATTTTTGAAAATTATATTTAAAAAAATACTTCTCCAAACTTCATTTACTGATTTTTTCGACCGCCCGTTTGGTCGATCTCCCCCTCCCCACCTCACTGACCCTCCCTTTCCTCCGACTCCATCTCCCTCCCCTCTACGGCATTCCAAATGGGATCAAAGGAGACGAATGTAAGTTAAATTGGGATCCGAATCCAGGTCCCAGGGCCCCGAAAATCCTGAGGACTCTAAGAAACGCCGCTTACAGTCAGATCCGGTGAAGGAGCGGAGCCGGCAACAGAAGGATGAGCTGGAACAATGCTTCGACGAGAACAAGAGACAGTCCGAGAGCAATATTGCGGATGCAGAGAGGCTGGAGGAGCACACCAGGAGTGGTAAGTGAGCGTGAACTCTTGGAATACGACTGTTACAATCGTCTAGGCCATATTTTGAAATGTAAAGATTAAACCTCGGAAAGAAAAAGTTTTCCCACTCTAAAGTAATAAAAAGTGGAGATTCTTGTTAAAACCCATGGGCAATTCGAACATTTCCGAGCAATTTACAGTTAGAAAATTTCGAAAATGAATTGGAATTAAAAATGAATCAGTAAATGTTCCCTTTGCCTCAGGGCTAATACCCTTAAGGGCCGGATTACGCGGCTCTGAATGGAATAAAAACGGCGTCAAATGTTGGGAAAGATACATCTGAAGGGGTCTGGGAACGAACAAAGGGGTCAACCACCGCATATTCGAGAATTCAGTTGTATTACAGTCTTGTACAATATCAAAGAAAACAACAAATTTTCAAAAATTGGCTGGATAATTTGTAGTCAGGGTTTTTGTCAAATTCCGGGATAAAATAATTGGAATACAAGGAAATTGAGTCCAGTTTCATAAAAAATTAGGGCCAAAAGTCAAAGTCCGAGGAAATAATTTTCTGCTTTGCCGAAAAGTGGCCAAAACAAGCCTGAAAATTGGTGAAAACGGACCTCGCTGCGCCGAAAAGTGCACGGAATCTGCAATAGGGCCGTTTATTTATGGTAGAGGCTCCATTTCCATATTACTTTAGATATTTTATAAAATTTAAATAAAAAAGGAAAGGTCAACAATTGGGATACAAGTAGTCCCAAACAAAGCGATTACTCGAAGCCAGCATACGCAGAGAAAGTAATTTCGATAGCAATTCACTGGATGATCAGCTAATCTCTTCACAATTTGACTAGCAAAATTAATTAAAGTCTCTAAAATAAGGCCCCGAAATCTGGAGGATTAAGAGCTCGGATAACACAGCCTTATAATTGGAATGGTTGCACTGCAACCCGGGTGGAACATCCGGAAGAATAGTAGAGTTGGGGTAAACAAGGTTTTCGTGGCGGGACCGGACTTGTCTTTTGTCACAGCCACGATTGTCTGAACAGCAGCAAAAAGTACTTCAGACTGGACGTATAGTAATAAGAATGGGAATTAGCGACAGAATCCCGCGTTTGGAGTGTCAAAGATCGCCCTCGAGACCTTGATTCATCCAATTCTGGCTAGTGTAATATCCAGATATCGGAAATAAAAAGTCATGCTTTTGCCATGAAAGAGGGTCTTAGGTGAAGTGCACGTGATATTGAATAATACTCTGCCTCCTGATGCCAGAACGATGATTAAATTATAATAAAAAAAGCAAAGATAAACGGCTTTTCCTGGAGTCATAGCTAATAAAATGGGAGGGAAAGGAAGTCGGATTCGAGGAAATGGTGGATAAATTGGGCTTTTTACTCAAATACAAATATTGCGTCAACCAAATATTACGGAAAATCTGTCATCATGACATGTTTAAACGACTTATTCAAATATGTCATGATTACGGATTTTTTGGAATTTTAGAATCTATGAGGGTAATGACTTAATTTTCAGCCAAATTCGAGTCCAGATTCTCCAAGAAGCAGCGCTCGAATGAGGAATTGGAAAAGAAATCGACCAAGAAAATGCTGCTGAAGCCCCTGGTCTACGATTACAAAAAACACAACCCGGAGAAGGGCAAGAAGGTGGAAGAAGTGAAGGAGGAGGACTTGAATGGCATAGACAATCTCTCCATCAAAAGCCTGGCCGGATCTCCCACCGTCGTCATCTCTCCGATGTCCTCCAAAGGGGTAAGATGACCTAAAGTAATATTATAAATGAATATGAAAGTAATGTAAAAAAATTGAGAGAAAATTGGATGTAAGAAGTGAAGAGTAGGGTCGTTTCACAACATATATGCCTTTTTTGTAGAAGTGAAAGAAAGGGTTTATATCTTGTCATCTAAAAAATGTAATGTAAAATTATTACTGTAGAAGGAAGGGAAAGAGAGGATAAAGACGCGGGGCACGGGTGGAAAAAGGTCAGCCGGCCTAAGAATAATGTTTTTGAGGGATTTTGGAATGAAACTGTTCTAATCCCCTCAGGGCTTTCGTATTTATTTTCGGAGTTAACCTTAGATTTCGGAGAGAGTCACGGCACGTAATTGTAAGCTCGAAAAAGTAGTCGCCAGACAGCGATTCTGTCAACAATTAGGCCTCTTCTTGGTCTCCTATTTGAGCTGCCTTTAATTATATTAACCCTGAATAATATAAAGGACACTCTAATTTTAATTTTTTTTAGACTGGCCTTAAGACTTTCTCCAGTCCGGGCCTGGATCCGGTCCCGCTGAGCTCTTCGAAGAGACGGGTATCCAAGAAAAATGGGGCCAAGTGTAAGTGTCATGTGGAATGTAAAATAGGATAATAATAAGCTAATGTTGCTTTAGTGAGACCGAGATCTCTCCCACCGATCACTCAGATGACGATAAACATCGAGTCTGTGATGGCCGGAGCCAAGCCGATTTCTCTAAAGATAGCCAAAGATGGGACAGTTGGGACCTTGAAAAAGATGGTCAGGCAGAAAATGAAGGGCGTCAGGAAGTTCACCTTGTCTTTCCAGGGAAAGGAATTGGCGTAAGTGGACCTACCCGCTATCAGAACCTGCTACGTTTTCTCTGACAATCTCCTTGTTTTCCACGATCTCCCGTCATCAATGATACTATATTGAATGTCTCGGCAGAGATGGCCAAAGCATTGGCTAAAATTTCTAGGATTTAATGTGTCCTAGACGGAATTTGAGACCAAAACTTTTGGAAAATTGGCGATGACATGCGACGGATAAATTTTTAAAAATTCAAATTTGGGATTTTCTGATTTGATTTCAAGTAGCCATCGCAAAGAAACACTGCAGTAATATTCCTTCAATAATTATGATAATTTATTTACAGCCCCGAGGAGCGCAAACTCTCGGATTGTGGTTTAATTGATGGCTCCAGTGTCCAAATCTATGTCAGCTCGAAGACTGGGACCGTGGATCGAGAGGAGATCGCCAAATTGGTCAAATTGGGCCAAACCCTGTCCAATTTCAAGAGCATGGTCGACTCCATTCCCATTCCCGACGACATTGAACTAAAGCCCGGAGGGTAAATAATTTTATTTATATTTAATTTTTTGATTTTATGGTAAGATTTTATAGAGAGCTGCCTCCCGAAGTTCCCCCATCCAAATTGAGTCGAGAATTGGAGAATAAAAAGACCAAGGAAAAGATGGCCAAGTTGAAGGTGAGTTTGGTGTAAATTATGATATTTTAGAGGTAATGTCGTCTTGTAAATGTTGTTTTAGTCAAAACTCCGCGAACGGAGCCTCAAGAATTCCCCGGAACAGTCGCTGAAAAGGCCGATGAAAGTGTTTGGGCGACGCTCGGATTCTGACGGAGAGAGTTCTGCCGGGTAAGGTCAGGGCTTCACAGACACTATTGTTGTATATGTGTGTATAGGGAGGGCAAAACAAAAATTTATTAAGCATTTGTTCTGAACTAGTCAAATGCCGAAATTTCGTGACAGGGATGGGACATTTTTTCTAACGGCCAAACCGAAATCTTGAGAAATAGACATGTTATACGAAAGGTGGAGTGTTCTCAGATGAATGTAGTTTGATTTGAGTGTCTGATTAATATCTTAGAAGTGTCTGGAGTGACGTCCCCGAATCCCATTCCGAAATCTCGACCAATTCCTCGGATACTGTAACAAACAAGGAGATCCTACTGTATCACGATCCACCGGAATCCAGAAAGATTATGGAATTGAAGGAGAATATCCTGTTCGACCCTCCGGCAAGTCGTGAGGAACTGGCCAAGGTTAGCTACGTTAATATTTTGCTGTAAATTATTACTGTGACTTTAATAATTTTGAAACTACGACGTTGTTCTTGGCCGTTTTCCAGATCCGTGAAGGCTTTTCATTCTCGTGTTGCGCTCTTTGCTTCGCCAAATTGCCTCTGGCATTGCGTGAGATGAGATGTCGTTGCAAGAAAGTGTACTGCTCCGCTCATCGCCATCCCGAGGCCCACAAATGTGCTGTAGACTTGAAGGAAGTGGACCGTCAGAAATTGGATTTTATGAAAAAGAGCCCTCCGGCCAAGAAATAAACACATTCTGACTCAATTATCGCTAATTTTGTACGGAATTCATATTGATCTAGATGATTTGTGCTCATTTCTCAGGCGAACTTGTTGATTATCCAATATTGCACTGTACAAACAGCGGCGGTTCTAACGGCGACGGTCCAACCGGTTCGCTGTTTGCCATTCCCACCGTCATCGCTCGGTTTTTTGATGACATTGGCTCGTTTTGTCTTGGATTAATATTAATATCCATCGGCAAGAAGAAGACCGGTTTCGGTTGCCCCGAGGGCAGAAGCCGAAGGATTCTGTAAATATTCAGGTGATTTGTTGAAAGTGAGATGGAGGGCAAACAAGAGCCGGCTTTCTTCTCGCCCTCAGGGCGTTGATCCGATCACTTTTTGCCCGTTTCTTCTTTCCGAAACCCATAATTTGTGGGAAAAGGCGAAGGGGAAAAGCGAACGGACTCGCGCGAGGTACCTGCGCCCCGCCCCCCTCATAACACAGCCCGGTGGCAATGGCCCGTTAAGGCATTCGGATTTCGCTTTCTTCACTTAAACACATCCATCTGGCGTCCGTCTTAATCCGGAGGTCGGCGGCGATGAGATCCCTTGGCTTACTGTTTCTGGCCCTCATGGTCACAGGAACTGATCAGTGCTTCCCCTCAGGTAATCAGCACTTGCTTTGGGGTGTCTGGGTTACTGTAGTCTGATCTTGAAAACCAGTTTGGCAAATGTTCGCTGATGATTTTCTGTTTTATATTGTAGTAGGCATTTTTTCAAAGATGTTTTAAAATCTTTATTATTAATTTAGTCTCGCTTGGCCCAAAATTTTTTTTCAATCACTAATAAGGCAATATTTGCCAGTAGAAATAAAAACAAAATCAATTTTGCCTCAAAAACCCCAATTTTTTGCTATTTTAGGTGTTGGCTGTGGCTGTCCCACGTGTCCTCCCTGCCCTCCCCCTCCAGTCCAGTCCTCATGCCAATGCGGAGGCAGTGCCCCCAGCTGTAATCCCTGCTCTAGCTTCAGAAATGATGGTAATATCTTTCACCTATTTTATGTTATCCACCAAGCACAACATGAATCGTTTTCCTTCAGCTTATCAGCCATCTCCAGTGCTCCCTCAACCAGCGTATGTGCCTCCCCCGCCCTCAGTATACCAGAATCAGCCTCCGGCATCTCCTTTTAATTACCCAGCCCAGAATTCGTATCCATCCCCTCAGGCACAATATCAGTCGAGTGCGCAGATCCCGGAAAATCATCAGCCAATTGGATCAGCGTACGTTTCAGCGGTCGCCGAGAACACGCAGACCTATCCAACGGCCAACAACAATTATCCCCAGATCCCTCCATCACCGCAGATGTTTGGAAGCAGCGAATCTAGGTGAGAAATCATGGTCAATATAAAAATTTGCGGGGTTTCTTTTCAAATGGTTTCAATTATAATGAGGTTTTGGACAAGTATCGAATAGAATTTTCTAGGATGTTTGGGGAGAAACATGGATTGTTCAGCTCGTGTTTTGCAAAACTAGCGAGATTGGTCAGTCGAAAAAAATTTTTTTTTTGAAATTTAAAATTTAAGTTCTGCTTAAAATTACAGTGATCTATTCGCAGAAAAAAAATTCTGCCGACGAAAAACCACAAACAAAAAAAAATTTTTTTTTCTGATCGTCTCTTAATTTTTCGCACTCTTTCTTTGGAAAAAGCCATAGAACATTTCGAAGACCGCCAAGGCAAACTTGTTGAAATGGGCTAAATTTCGTAACCCCTTTAGCAGTTACCGTCAAGGATATAACGTAGTGACCAATCGGATTCAACACAACGGAGATACCGCCTTGGAACAGGCAGTCCAATATTACAACAAGGAGTCGAACGAGAACATCAAGTCCCCTCCAAAAGATCCATCAAGGAGTGATTTCAATGGTCTCCCATCCATTTATTACCAATCTTCTGGAGAGGCGGTTACAGCGTCCATTCAGACGACCAAAAACATGCAAATGGAGGTGACTGAGAAGAGCCAAGGGTACGATCAGGGAGTGGAAGGGAAGAAGGAGGTCGACAGCAAGGGACATGGTCGGTATTTTGGTTTGAATTTTGTTTTTGAGAAGAAAAAATATAAGGTTTGAATAGAGAATTAAGCATAATAAAAAGGGATCCTCTCGTCGACAGGAATGCTCTATAAGAAGTTTCTTTTAGTAAAGTCGAGGGCCCAGTTTTTAATTCCTGAAATTTTTATTTTTAGCCAGCGTCCTGGAATGGAATATCGGCTGAGCTACTTGGCACATTTTTGCAAAAATATGGTGTCATCCCCAAGTATAGCCTTAAGCAGTATGTTACTTTCAGAGCCGGCTGAAGCCTCAACTTTCTCCCCCGCCCCCACAGCCGTCCCCATCCCCAAAAATGACTCCAATTCATACGAATCTCCCCCATCTTCCTCCTCCTCATCTTCTTCCAAATCCTCTGATTCCAAAGCTTATGCCTCAGGCACTTTTGTGGCTGCCAAACCGCTCGATCCTCAGACCGAATATCACATGTACGAAGCTCAGGTTTGTGCTGGAGTAACCATGGGAAGATCGACGGAACCAAACGGGCGGGCCGCGGCCGAAAAGTGCGCTGCGATCAGTTGTGCGGCCGCCAATATGAGGCCACTTTTGCACGGCCAATACGAGGTCATCTACTTGAAGACGGTGGACCTGAGGAAGTTTTCGCGAAGTTACGACTGCATATCGAGTAAGTGTAATCAAAATGTTGCTATACATTTATTTTAGGCTATAATGTGACAATGTTTGGAGAGGAATCGAAAGGAAAAAGAGAGCTGGAAAAACAGGTAGGACATGAGATTTACATCTAGTTGGGGTGAAGAGTAAAAGGAAATCGAGAGACTTTTTTGTCATCATTTTGGATTACAATAGTCTTACAGTAACCGAAATGAGACCCAGGTCTTACAATAAGGCATCCTAGCTTCGACAAAAAAAACGTCGAGAAATTTTCGTCGAAATTTATTAATTTTTTTTATTTCCGCGACTTGAAAATTTTAAAATTCCGTTGCAAATACATATGCAAGAGCCTTAAAAATTCCAATTATTTTTTTGAGCCTCTCAACACGACTTCTTTCAGCTAGAACGTCGAGATCGTCTGAATCGGGTGAACGGAGCCCCCTCTCTTCGGATCCGCCCCACAACTGTCGAACCCAAAGGCCATTATTAACATGCTAACCCCCGCTAATTTATTTTTATTCGAGTAAACCAAGTATATTATTTATGGATTAATTACTTCGAGTATATTTTGTTAAACCTCACTTCCATTGCTGTCATCATCGTCCATCTCCGAGTTGGCTTCGCTGTAAATCTTTTGTCTCAGGCGTGCAAATGTGGCTCCATTGTCCTTCTTGCGGAACTGAGCATAGATCAGTGTGTCATACTGTAAGTAAGCATCAAAAAATTTTCATACTATTCATCCACGATGATTAACATTATATAATTTTGTTTATATCTCACCCCAACATGCATATATTGAAGGCTGATCCGTTCGTAGCCGGGGATCTCCTCTTGCCAGAGGCGATTCTGAACCAATTTCCCATGACGGCTCTCCTCATTGGAGAACAAAGTCAGCATGAAGGAATTGGGCCTGGAACAATATAATTTTCGTTTTCTCTCTTACTTGAACGTATCCAGAACTTTCAAAGTCTGTTTGTAAAGACACTGTCCCCTTTGGTTGGTCTCAAAACTAACGAAACAAAAGTCGGGTTCGGGAGTGACATGCACCGTGACGTATTGCTCCGTGTCCTTGACCAGTCCATTCATACTGTAACCGACCGGTTCGAAGAGCTCTTCATGGATCTCGGTGCCATAGGGAACGAGTTGAGCAATCCCCGACTTCTTTGTGCACTCTTTCCCATCCTTGCACACGATCTGACTGAAAGTTTTGAGGACTTCTTCGGGAATCTCAGTCATCAGCACTTCCAAAGTGTGATCAGCGTGACTGGGAGGGGATTGGCGACGAGACATGGTGAAAAGATACCAACGGTCGGTGTTCAGAGGACCCATACAATAGGCAGAACCCCCTGGAAGGCAATGAGTTTATGTTTTGATCGGATATTATAGTAGCATTTACCCAAACAAAAAATTTGAATATATGTATATCTGGATTACATTGACCAATTCTTACCCGGGAAGTAATGACTGAGAACGGCCACCTCTCTCTCGAAACTATGATGTGGTTCTGGCTGTAAATGGGGCCTCAGGAAGTTCTTTCTGGAGTAATAAACATCCTCCACAATTCTCATCCCCGCATACTTCTTGGCCAATTTTAGGATCACAGGAATGGCGGCAAGAAGTCGAGTGGCTCCACAAGTCTTCAGAATCAATCGGGTATCCGAAATGAACAGACTGCTCTCACTAAAAGATAAGTTATACTAACCACGATCAAATTCATGTGAAAATCAGCTGAAATTGATGTTAATAAATAATGTTATTGCTGATACCAGTAAGATCTTCGTACCTTAGAACATACGAGTCGAGATGATCATTGCTTTGGTGATGTAGAATATGGCACTGCGCGACCTCCAGCATTCGAACGATCTCCTCGCGTGGAATGTTTCTCAAAGACGTGGCCTCAGGCTCATCCTCCTTCCGGAACCACATCTCCAAAAGTTTCTCGGCTCCTTCGAAGAAGTAGTCGTTATTGGCATCCTGAATCTCCACCATCTTGACGTCCTTTTGGTTCATCTTCGGTTGATATCAACGAGGTTGGATGAGATCTTTGGGGAACGCTAAGGAGGTCGGCAGTAATGAACAAGAATCAGTGGCTCAAATCCCATACAAACTCTCTAAAATACATGACAATTAAAAGTCATCATTTCGAAGTTTCGCTCAATTTTCCTGAAATCTTTTTACCGAATGGCATCACAAAATTTTAATTTGGAGTCTTTCAAATCTACCTCCCTTAAACTAACATGCTTGCTCGTAAAAATAACTCCTTGTTTTTATCAATCTCAGCGACAAACATGGCTATTTCGAGAGAATCTTCGAGAAGAAATCAAAATATATTTGGTTGGTATCTTTGAAATACGATCCAAATTTAAACAAACTCTAATAGTATTCTTATTGATCGTGAAAATGATACGGTTAACCGTGTGTTCAAAAATTTATTTTTCATCACTTAGTCTTCTGGAATACAACTTACTCTAACTTTCCAAAACTTAAGGAGAACTTACTTTAGTCCGTGACTGATGGTCCTCTCGATCTCCGAGATGAACCAGAGCTCCGGACAAGGGCGGATGAATCAATGGACACGTCCAAATGGTTGATGAAAACGGGAACGAACTGAAAGAAGGGAGAATGTAGGACTTGATAAGACCAGTTCCAATGTCCATTCAACGACTGATAAGAGGTGCAGACATTCCCAAAACCAATTAAAATATGCTCAAATCACAATTTCCGAACGCTCAAACATCGGACTCCATGATGGAAAGGGTACTGTATGATGAGAAATTACATGAGAAAATGACCTGCGATAATGTCAACAATGGCTTTCTACAATTTTAATCAAACCAAGCGTTTGGCTGAAAGTGGTTACAATCCACTGTTTGCAATACTTTGAAGGGCTATAACCGCTAGTTAAGGGGCTTAATGGTCTTGAAGAGAGTTGTCTGAAAGTTTGTTTCATAGAAAAAAGATCCAAGTGGCTAGCCAGGGCGGTGGATTAGCATTTTCTTGCGCGATTTTGAGGATTGGGTCATTTTTTTACTAACCCAACAGGCAACGGAATTGTACTTGATATGGCAGTTAAATTTGTTGATTATCGATTATCAATCAAGGAAGCTGAGGTTGTTATTTCCGTTGATAAGAGTCTTTAAATTGAACTTCCAATTTACATTATCCATAAACATTGAAGCCCAACAAAGAAATTTGACTAGAGACAAACAAAGAACAAGCGTAAATAGCTAGATACAACCGGAAGAAAAATCTGGGGCCCGGATTTCGAACCCGAAGACCATTTTTTAATCATGGTTATAGTATGACCTAGTCTGGTTTTTTGCGTACCAAGGCAAATCAATATTTCAAATTAAGTCTTCTTTTACAGGAATGAAAACCGGTTCGGGATGTGGATTGCATCAGAAAACCTCATAATCAATCTGTTGCGTCTCATGCCCTGAGGTCACAGCCATCAAGAACACCTTTCAAGAACAGCTGTTCTTGTTGAAAAGGAAGGCGGACAGACGTAAATACACCCACAGGGTACTGTATAATGGTCTTATACAGAAAAAAAAAATAATAATGGAAACAAAAAGTCATTTTACAAAATAATCACCGGCTATAACCCAATTTTAGTCATTTTTGTAAATTTTCACCCCATTGATGAATAAAACAATCTAAATCCCGGCTCCCAGGACCCTTTGACTCGCTGCAAACTCTCATCCTTAACGTTAAATACATTCTCCAAAAGTTATTTGTCTCCAATCTTACTGTTGTTTGAAGAACGGCTTGAAAAAGAACGTCATGGATAACAAAGAACGGGGGGAAGGGAACATCCGTTCGCAAAGACCCTCAGGGCGAACGTCTGTTTGACAGCTTTTCGAATTTAAGTGAGCAAAAAAGATTCACAGAGTACGGACCTAATGCTTGCAGGAAGTGCGTGTTCAGACTGGTTATAGCCCAAAAAATATGGGAAATTTAGTGTAAATCTCATGTGTAATATAAAAAACATATTCCTTAGTCTGTGAATTATAAAATAACCAGGTCATTAGAAAACTAAAACCAGAAAAACTTTGCGAAAGCCAAAATAATTATGTTACAGGTTGCACTGGTTACTTTTCATTATGATCAACCTTGTCGGATTAGAGTAAATCCACGGAGATTAGAAAATACAAGTGTGCAAGAACGCTTAAATTCCTTCCAGATGCAAGAAAGGTGACACTTTACTCTCAATGATACCTTTTTCATAACTAAAAGTTCACGAGCTAACCAATCATAAACAGTTTTATATAACTCTAGACCAGCTTCCAGCTCGATTTTAAATATTTCGCCGTTCCTTGTCACCACATTCCCTAAGGCATTTGAAGGCACAATCTATGTAAAAAGAAAGTCAAACTGCTATACATCCTTGTTGTTTTTATATTCTTTTGGCCTTAGGGCACTAAAAGCTGTGAATGCGTTAAGCCATAAATTGTGGCCAAAGATGCAGTTTTTGAACCGTAAAGAATTAAGAATTTGAGAAACTAAGAATATCACATGCTCGCAGAATAATTTGCAACTATTCTGCAAGCATATTTGATTGTCAGTTTGATAAAAACCGTAAAATTTCCCCGGGTCCTTTATAATTTTTTGCAAAAACCCGATAAATTTGAGGTCCAAAGAACAACTACCTGGTCCCACTCCTTCCGAACGTCAGACGCAGGGTGTCATAGAGTTCCGGGCCTTCCGGACAGACAGATATCGGCATCTGAAGCGCTTCCCCGTCCCCTCTCAACCTTTTCGTTTTCTCACCCCGTCCCTTTGGAAGGCCCGAAGAAAGTTCCAGAGAAAGGACACAGGCAAATTATGCGAAAAGATCTTAATGTTTTGTATTTGCGGAGAAAACAAGCGAATAGCTGTAATGTTAAACAGATGGGAAACGTCAGAAGTCTCATTCTCAGAGATGACTCTTGGCAAAGCGCCGTAGAGAGCAACTACGAACAATTATTGCTAAATCGGGCCTTATCTACCTGAGTGATGACTCATTTTCTATCGTCAACATTAGCCATCAACAACGATATAAAATGTGAGGTTCTTAATTATCACAACGTATCTTGCTATTCTAAAAATATCAGTCTGTCGGGAAAATAACGGTGGATCGTCGCAGCAAAATGTCTCGCCTCGCCGCTATCGCGCACCAAATCCCAAGCCGCGGCTTGCAGTCGCACAGCGATGATGAGCGACTCCGAGGCGCGACGATCCGCCATTTTTTCCCCAACAGACCGATATGGATTACAATGTAAATCAAAAACATGATCTTGATTACCGTAACGCCCATCAAATCCATCAACATCAAATCGGCTGTAGGGAAGCTGGACGGATTTTTTAGTAACCTTTTCATTTCTCTGGTGGGTTCAGACCTGTGCGTCCTTTTATTCCATCCGCCATCTTCTAAAAAATCCGTCCAATTTCTCTCCGTCCATTCCTCCAAGCACAGCTATCAAATCCAATCACCTTATTCTAGAAAATGCGTCATTATGACCTGCTTTAAATGAGCTTAATGCATAAATCTATTCATAAATAGTAAAACCGCTTATTTAGGGATTGTCCATAAAAATCCTGCATCGATGAATCCAAGGAAACCCAATAATGTAACGTAACACTGACGCATTTTCTAGAGATTTCCTTCAAAACAAAAATAAAAATTGCAAAACATTTTTGTTTATCACGCGAGTTCACGCAAAAGCTCGTGAACAATATTAGAATGCGAATTAAACTCCTGAAAGCGTTAGGACTCTCTGCAGCGGCACTATCTACCTCGGCGTAGGTTTATTTTTCATATTCTGTAAGGTATTTAGGCCGCATCTTTCAAAAATCAATCGTTTAGAGCGATAGGATGGTATCAAAGAGGGGCATACTTGCCGGAATACGAGATTCTGGATCCAAAAGATGCCGTTTACAATATAAATCACAGTCTGAATCTTCAAAAATCAATCCGAGCCCTCGAAGCAATGGCTGATCTCAGCCCAAATACAGTCGAAGGATGTCTCGCGGGATTGGATCGCGTTGGATGGGCCGGATTGGCTTATCATAAGTCCCGTTTGTTCGACCATTACCACACAAACGTTGAGCATCCGGAGAAAGAAGAAGGTCAGACCTTTACTTCTCTTATGCAGAAGGTGATTACTCTGTAGCAATACTTATAATGGATGTATAGATTGAGTTGGACAAGAATTGGAGGAAAGCCTTGCGATGGTTCTTCTTGAATGTTTGTGCTGAAGACGATCTGATATGTCATGATAATCAGGAACCAGAAAGAACGGCGCGGAGTAAGAGGAAGAGGATTCACAGGGTTCTGCAGGTCCTGTTTTACCTAACTGAGGTAAATCAAATTCAGACTATATTGTTACCCAGCTAGGGTTCAAATTTATAATGTGTCTTTTTAGTTTGATGACTGCAAGCCGATGATCGACCAGAAGGTCCCTCAGATGTTACACATGCTATTTGAAGAATACCGGGAAGACGAACACGCTGAACTGGTAATCCTCATGCTCAAGATTCTCGCAAATATTGCTGGCTATAACAAGGAATGTGCCACTCATGTATTTGACTCAGGTATGTGTTTCTGTTTATATATTTATGTCTTTAGAATGGATGAAAACTTTGGGAGAGATGATCTTGAATCCCAAGATGAAAGTGGAACCTCTTCTGGCCAGAAAGGTTCTTAAAAATGGTTGCTATCAGTTGGGAGCCGCTCATTATAAACTGCCAACCGACATCTACGAATTTTATTGTTCGGACGAAGAGCCCAAAATGGACATTATATTTGTTCATGGCTTCAGAGGATCAGTCTTCAGAACATGGAGACAAAAGGACCTCAGTACAGAACGACCAACGCAGTTCTGGCCTATGGTAGACGCAAATCTTAGATTTTATTGTTTTAGGAATGAAAATTGCAGGAATCTCAACTAATTTTGTGTTTTAGGATTGGCTTCCCACAGACATCCAAACACCCGTCAGAATCTTGGCCATTGACTATGCTACCAAATTCCTAAGATTTGGAAAAGTTTATGATCGGATTCAAGACCGTTCCCATGCCTTCCAGAAGTCTCTTCAGAGCGTTGGAGTTGGAGATCGTCCCATTTTATTTATCTGTCACAGTATGGGAGGTCTTTTGGTCAAACAAATGCTTCTCGGTAAGCCAACCCGTCACATTTAACCCTATTTTTGTTGCAGATAACCCTCAACTCATGAAGAATACAGTAGGAATATTATTCATGGCCACTCCTCATCGTGGAAGTCCGGTTGTCGCTTATATTCATCATCTTCTTAGACCAACTGAAGACATTCGATTGCTCAGATTGGACAGCGAATACAACAGAGATCTCCATGAGAAGTTTGTAGAAAAATCGAAGGACATCCCGCTAATAACAACCATAATTGAGAACAAACTAACGCCAATCTTCGGTACCCATAAGGTCATTGTTCCCGCAAATAGTGCCTTCTTTGGACGGGGAGCGGTCTACCACGTTTCAGAACACCATCACAATGTCTGTAAACCTGCCAACAGAGAGTCCCTAACATATTGTGTCATAATGAATATGATCAAGGATGCTATCCAGAATTACACATGATGTTGTACATGATATTAGATTCGAACTAATCGCTTGTAAAGCAATATTATTTTGATGTGTTGTCCTATAAAAGAATCCGGTGCCATAAATATTTTTTTTGGAAAACGCTGGTATGATTGAAATCTGAATTATTCGACATAATATTTTTGCTCTTTTATGGTCAACAAAAAATAACAAGATAATAAAGCGTTAAAAAGTTCTAAACCTATCCTAATTTGTTGTTTCATCTTTCTTCTCTGGTTTCGTCTTGTTGGCGACTTCAAACAGTTCCGACAGACTTTCGTAAGACTCTCCAGAACCACTTCCAGCAATCCTAAATTTATCTCCAAAGGCGCCCCTCACTTTATGGCCGAATTGACGAGGTGTATTCACATCCAAGAGGGCTGAGATCCCAACAACAAACAACGAGAATCCGGAGACAGTCAAAAGGGTTGCAATCCCCAATGCCTTAGACGCGAAACCAACTCCACTCATCAATTTCATTTTGGTCAAATCTTGTGGATCCAAAGGTTTAGCCTGCTTATAAGCTGCTCGTAGTCCAAGCCCAAAGAATCCTGCCGTCGTTACAAAGCATGCTAAGCTTGGAATAAAGAAGCCTTTTGATCAACTTACCTGCTTTTATTCGGTTGGGCCAAGGAGATTTTGTTTTTTCCTCCGTGTGGGGCATGGTGTTTGGCACATCGCCCATATATAACCTAAAATAAGATAAATTTTATTTCAAGACAAACTCGTACGCCGAATAGAAGCGTGAAAATTGTAAACTATTCGAGGTTCCTAAAAAAATTGGGAGAACATTTATTTTTGCACTTTCCACCGTATAAATCGGTTCTGGCAGCTCGCGCCCGCACTTTTCAAATTCGCGGGCCTATTGTTTACAAGTTTTTTGTTGTGTGTCCTTGGAGAGTAGCCAGTTGAAAAAGAAATGAGAGGGAAGATGGTGTGCACTCGCAACTGTGCCTCATAAAACGTTCTCCCTACCTTGGGCATTAGTTATATCACCTTGGGGATTAGAATTACTCTTTTTTCGTGCAAATTAAGACATTTCGGCTAATTTGTTCGTCGGAATTCGGAATTACTGCGGATTTTTGGATGGAAACGTTTGTAATCCATCCGAACGTAGTCCGAGCAATCTCCTTTCCCCGAGTTAAGGGGTTTAATCTGTTTTTATTTTTGGAACTGTTATTTTCGAAAGTTGTTTACTATTAATGGGGCGTTCTCTATATAAATTGTATTGTCATGTTTTTCCAACTAGTTTACGCTCTTTTTCAATTACGTTTCTCTGAGTTTTTAGGATTAATTGTTGGCGTTGACCTTTGGTCGGCTTCGTGGATTTATTTTTCAGGTCCAATATAACGGGTTCATCTTTCCAGAATGCCCGTTGACATCGAAACCCTCCAGCCCGGCGATGGCAAGACCTTCCCCAGCAACGGCCAGACCGTGTCCTGTCATTACACCTTGACATTGGAGGGAGGAAAGAAGATCGATTCCAGCCGTGACCGAGGAAAGCCTCTTTCCTTCAAGATCGGGAAGGGAGAGGTGATCAAGGGATGGGATCAAGGAGTTGCCAAGGTGAGGTTGGCTTAACTCTGTTTTGGAAACTCTTCCTGACATAAGTACAACGTGAAAAATAAATCAAAAAAAATTGTATTTGCAGATGTCCCTCGGTCAACGAGCCAAGCTCACGATTAGTTCAGATCTCGGCTATGGCCCCAACGGGATCCCCGGCACCATTCCAGCCAACGCCACCTTGATCTTCGACGTCGAATTAGTGAAGATCCAATGAGCTACCTATCTCTACCTTTATTACCTACAAAAATTCCCATGTTGGAAATGATATCGATTGTTCTAAGTATAATTAAGTAAACGGCTTTTATTTCTTTAACCGGTTTTGTTTGAATTTAGACAATTTTTGGGGCTTCTGTTCTGAGGTCAAGTTCAATGTCTCCGATGCCCTGTTCAAGGTGAGAAGAGGGTCTTTCTCAACGATTGATCCTTTGAAAACATTCTTGGATTCTGGCTCGATCTTCTTCTCAAAGCGTTTATTCATCCATTCTGCATACTGTCGGTCTACCCGAGGTTTTTCGTCTCGATTTCTGAGGATTGATTTGACCTCTGGTTCAGGTTGTTGTCCTCCAGTGGGCCCAAGTTCCTCAGCATTGAATCGGACTCCTCTTTTAGTCTTGGGCTCGTCGTCTCTAGAGTGTTTCTGTGTGTCCTTGAGGTCGCTTTCGTCCACATTCTCCTTCTTATCATTGCCTTCATCTTCTCCTTCGTTTTCTTTCGTAATATTTTCTTCATCAATGATCTTCACGATCTCTGGCTGTTCTGAAGAATGAATTAGTACAAAAAGAAATCCCAACTCTCACCATCTTCCTCCACAATTCGCCCAATTTCTTCATCACTGTCTTCTTTTCCCTCATTAATGTCGCTCAGTTCATCCGAATCCGTCTCTTCTTCATCCTCCAAATCCATTTGATTCAAATACTTCAAGAGTTTGTCAAAGTCTTCTTTTGGGACTCCTTTTGGTGGCTCGAGAGCTCTCATTTCCTCTTCCGTATATTGCTCATGATCAAATTCTTCGTCGGGATAACCTGCATGTCCATTTTGTGAAGTTTCATCATCCTCATGTTCCTCATCACTGGATGATTCTGAATCTTGACCTTCTTTATGCTTGGAAGGGAAGGGTACAGGTTCAATTAAATCCTCTTCGAGCTCTTTTTTCTCTTCGACTTCTAGGTCATCCAAACGACTCATTATGTCCTAAAATATCTTTCATATACCCTAAAAATCAAACAAAAATACTAATCTAACCAAAAAAATACCTTGAAGTCCTGCTGGCTAACCTTCTGTTGTTGTTCCAACCGTTTTCTGGCGTCTAAAATTATGAGGTAATGTGAATAAGTGTACCAACTCACGTGACTTTGGCTGCTTTTCATCATACGGCTCGATGATTTCCACTTCATCGCCTCGCAACTGGAAATAAAGGTAATAAGCGATAACCGAATAAATTATTCATGAAGACGAGGCAACAATAAGGCGCAGGTAATATGAAAACATACTCCGGAGAAAAGTTCTGTAGTCATCTTGATCTTCCTTTCTGTCTCTTCTTTCTGTTGCTCCAACAACTTCACCTGCTGAGTGATTTGAGCTTTCCTTCGGTTAATATATTCGATAGTATCATGAGCACTCCTTTTAACAAGATGTCGATCGCCCAAAAAGACGGTATATTCATTCGTCCTGCTTAGAGAACAAGGAAGAAACGCCTTTTTGCCTAACGGAGCCTAAAAATAAAACTTACTCCACCTAACCAGAGGATGACATCTAAGACAATGTAAAACTCACATTGATCTTAACTTTCAGAGACTTTGAGTATTCAGATATTTTATTTGACAACTCATTGTATTCCTTTAGCACGTTTTCATAAGTTTCCTTCTGTTGATCGATAACTTTCAAAACCTAAACTTTAAAAGAATTATATAAAAGCAAATTACCTCATTCAAGTGATTCAGATGCCTCTCAACCTTTTCCTTCTCGTTCGTCAAAGTGACATTGGCCTTTACGGATTCCATCCAGGATAATAACAACAACAACAATCAAAAAAAAACAACAAACAACAAGCAGTTTCCTCAGAAATGCTCAAAAATTTGGAATTTTTTTGTGAAATATTTTTCGGGAGTCCAGAAAATACATCACGATGACAAGGCCAGAAAACTTTCAAATCGCTGCAGCTTTTCCGCGTGTGATTTGCGATGGCCACAAATCCTTGTAGAAAAATGGAAGGGCTTCAGGGTCAATCAAAACCCGGATTTTCGAAAACCGGATGACACATTTTCTGGAAGTTTCCGCTTGGCATTCCGTTTCTCGCGACAAAGGCAGAATTTGATTTCAAGTTTGAATAAAATCGAGAATGACAAAATAGAAGATAAAATGAATCGTAACTGCTCATTCCTCGGTCGAATCTTCGACGATGGCGGTCTTTCCGTTGTTCCGGCTCATCCAAATCTTCGTTCTACTAACACTCCTGTTCGCCGTTCTTTTCGTGGCCCCCATTTGCACTCCTTTGGTGCCTTTTGAGTCCTGCTCCAATACCACTAACACTTCGGTGGTGAAGCCGTTGGATGTTCTTCCGAAGACCGAGAATTCTTCTTCGGCCAGTCTTGAGGATGAGACCAAATTTGTGAAGCAACAGAGATCGTGTCTGCAGATCAGTCATTCCGACATCTTTGTGGTGCCCACCTTCCACAGTGAGAATCCCAAGGATACAGTCACACTCTTCTTCTTGTTGCTCTTCGTGGGGGTTCTTTGCATGTTTATCGCAACCATCTTGATGATGCAGATCGAGAAGAAGATCGACTACAAGGCGGAAGTAAGTGTCACCAAGGCAACTTGTACCCCTTTTAGTGCATGTTACGATTTATCCTGATCATCTTGAGTCTGGCAGACTTCTGCATGGTCTTCATCTGCAGTTATATGATCTACATTTGGCCCAATCTCTGGACTTCGCATTATTCTGCCGTCCCCCAGATCCCCATCAATTTCTACGTCATTCACGTGAGTCATCTGGCTACTCATAATTTTGTTCCGACTTTTAGATTCTTGTCCTTGCGAACTTTGTTCTGGGCTTTGTGAATTCTTTCGTCTACGGCCCAAGAGTGGAGCTGGTCAAGATGGAGAATTTTAAGGGAGGCAAGAAGAGTTATCAGGTCGCCAGAAGGTACGAGGCCCTCCAGAATTAGTCTTGTTACCTTGGGAGATTACTGGATAAACTTTCTGATCATTTCTTGATATTGTCCTTGACTTTTATACTATATGTGTGCATACGTAATGTAAAAGATCTTACGGGGATTTGGTTGGTGAACTAACCGTTTGTTATTCTTTTGTTGCCATTCGGTTTCCGAGAGTTCGCTAAACTAACCTCCTGCAGAAAGTGAAGGGTCATCCCGGTTATTATATATTAAGGCTGGCGCCCCCTTGTCTCAGGATTGCCATAGCGAAGTTTAAACGTTTCTTTATTTGGTAATTATTCATGTCTCGAAGACGGAGAATCCCGACCTTTCATTGGGATCTCACGGATGGGCTCAGGAGAGGAACAATAAACTGATTGTAAGTTCCGTAATCTACACGTTTTGTGGGCGTACTTGGGCTCAAAACTGGTCGTTGTCTGTCTGACAGGGCATGTTCTAGATTCTAAATTTAGTATAAAGTCTCTTTATGGAAATTTCTTGTCTTGTTCGTCTAATACGATGTGTTCTAAAGGCATTTTCTTATAGTTTCAATACTGTTCTTGGCATCTGATGTGAGGAAAAACTTGGTAAGAGGCTCATGGCGTGGGAAAATTGCATATACCTGTTACTTTTTTCATTTGCACACGGTTGAAAACTTAATTAACTAGGAATGGATGCTTTTCATGCAAATTAATCCATGTTTTTTGCATAATATTGCATTTATTTATATTTCATAGCTATGTTAGATGACGTTTCTGCCTATATGAACCCTTACTGACGTCGCTGCTCTCACCCTCACCTCTTTGTTACATAATCCATGACCATGACTCCATCCTCGAGTTCTCAAATTCAGCCTTCCCCCTTCGTATCAGCAGCTCAACACTTGTTTTACGCAAGTCGGCGCCGCCCGTTAGGGTTCTTCTTTAAGTGTACAACGATAGGGTTTCGCCCTGTATCCGGCTTTTCATCTTCTCCTTGGCCATTACCGTAGTCTCGGGCACTCTCCGCTTTCAACGCGTTCTCTCGCGCGGAGGGGAAACGTGCCATCGGAAATTTGGGTGATTTCCTGGACTTGTAAATGGGTAGACATTGGGTATTAGGCCAGAAGAAGCGTTGTTTGGCACCTAATATATATTCCTGAAATTCACCCTCACTTTTTTATTATCTCGGGCCGAGCTCGTATTTTTAGAGACTTTCTGCAACTCTGACTTCTCCAAGCAAGTCTTGAGGCCTTGCTCCATTGTTGGTAGATGTCCTAAGGTCGTGTTCTTTCACGCCTCGACTACTGCACTCGGTCTTTGCAGATAAGGCGTTCTTCTGTTTCAAGGGCATCTAAATTATTGAACAAGTGAAACCCGAGAATGGGATTGTGGATTTATGTCTATCAGGGTTTGTTTAATACTTCTTGACCCTGGCTTGTAGTTGTCGGTTTGTTGGGGGATTGGTAGGGGAATTGTCGCAGCCTTCAGATCTGAGGCTTTTGATGATTTAACCCTGACTTTTCCACAAAAAATATCTCAAATTTGTTTTGGAACTCCTTTTAGGATGCTTAACCCTTAATGATCTCAGAATTTTAAATTACGGTATCTAAGTTTAAGATTCGTCGATATTTTATCAGAAAATTTGTTTTTTTACTTTGCGGCGTAGCTAGAATATTTTGTTGGGAATTTTACTCAACTCTCCGCTTTTCCAAAAATTGTCGCCGTTCCGTTGTCACCGTGTCCGTTCGTACGTCCGACCAAGTTTTTGCAGAAGAATAGCGGCGTGGAGTACAAGAGTCAGGTCTCCGGCGACAAAAGCCCTTCGCTTATCCCCTCCTCCTCGAAAGGTGTGAGAAAGCCGTGGTCGTCGAGAGCGAGAAGGACGACGGAGAAGGAGAACGCGGCCGATGGCGTCGCGATTGGGGCTGAACGCCAGCACCAGCAAGGTGCCGCTCATCCAGCTGCCGGCTTCGAACTCGGCGCCGCTCACCGTCGGCGAAGGGCACCGTTTGCTGGACAACAACGGTGAGACTTTCCGCCCCATCTTGAGGCCGTCGAGAGTGGCCCGGGGAATGCGTTAAAGTCGTCTTGAGTGGATCCCCAACGTCTTGCCGGTTGTCTTGGGTCCGACTAATTGGGCTTGGAATCGACGCATCGATTAGCCCTAATTATTGATTACTGTAACGGGGGGAATCATCGTCTTGTTTGCGTCACAATTGAAGTAATGTTTGCAGGTCTACAACGGAAACGACAAGTTGTGGTGCGATCCTCGACCTTGGGCTCCGGTTTGGCCTCAGATTTGGCCATGGATTCAGAACCGACGGGATTCGAATTCAACAGTCACAACGATTGTAAGTTAAGTTTGCGTTAAAATTTTTGGCGTTTTGCGTAATAAATCATAATAAATTTGTGATGACATAATAGCGCAATGAATTATTTGCAGTAAAGCCAAAGCCCACGTCTCGACGGGCCTCATTTGCAGAAGGTGTTTTAAATGGAGATAGTCATCAGAATGGAGGGGCCATTCCGATGGCGTTAAGAAGACGACGGAGTAGTGTGGTCAGAGAGAAATGGTCATCCAAAATCGAATTCTTATTGGCTGTAGTTGGGTATGCGGTAGATCTGGGGAATATTTGGAGATTCCCCGCGGTCTGTTACAAACACGGCGGAGGTGAGATCGTCTCCTGACTTTGATAATATTATCCCTTTTTTGAGTTTCAATAATAGTGGATTCAATTGTTAATACAGTTGTAAAGAAGATCACTTCTTTTCAGGCGCCTTTTTAATACCATATTTGATCATGTTGTGCGTCGGCGGACTCCCGATGTTCTACATGGAGCTAGTTATGGGACAGTTTCACAAATCAGGGTGTTTGAGTATTTGGAAGAGGATATGCCCGATGTTCAAAGGTAGGGGCAGACCTTGGGAGTAATTCCACAGTTATCTTGCCCAATTTGACAATTTTTCTGACAAGTTTTGACTGGCGATAAAAATCAGTGGTTTCTGCATTCTGCGAGTTTATCCCTCAGAAAACGTTAAAGTTTATTTGTGCCAATTTTCCTCTAAATCTGACTCTCTGATCCCGAGCACTTGCTCTTTGAACCTACTACAACTTATGATGTAATCGTGACAAAAGGAAGCACGTTTTCGTCGGGAATAGAAAAGCGGAATGACGATAGTTGTGTTTGCAGGTATCGGCTATGGGATTTGCTTTGTTTGCACATTCATTGCCTGTTTTTACAATGCCATAATTGCTCATGCCTTGTACTTTTTGTTCCATTCCTTCGCCTGGGATGTGCCATGGAGAGGATGTGGGAATGATTGGAATACACCCAATTGTAGAGAGGATTTGAAAGCGGGGACAAACAGCTCCAAAGATGTCATATATACAACCCCTTCGCAGGAATATTATATGTAAGTAAAGACTGGGATGACGTCATGATTAATGTCTAAAGTAACCTATCGACATTTGGGTTGCAGAAGAAAAGTCCTGGAAGTCCACAAATCCCAGGGATTGGACGCCTTAGGCGGGATCAAGTGGGACATGGCGGCCTGTTTGTTCATCGTCTTCCTGTCCGTTTATTTTGCCCTTTGGAAGGGACCCAGATCGTCGGGCAAAGTTGTTTGGATTACTGCCACCGCCCCGTATGTTGTACTCACGATATTGCTGATCCAAGGACTCACATTGCCCGGCGCATCCAAAGGAATCACCTATTATTTGACGCCCAACTTCGAGAAGTTAAAAGAACCGGCAGTCTGGACCGCCGCCGCCACACAAATCTTCTTTTCATTGGGGCCTGGATTTGGGGTCTTGTTGGCATTGAGCAGTTACAACGAGTTCGACAACAACTGCTACAGGTGAGTACTCTAGAAAGCAATGGGAGAACAAAAAATTGCAAAACTGCAGTAAAGTCGTAGAAGACTTTCTCCTCGAAGGAACCGAAACGGGATTGTGTGGAAGGGATAATCTGGGTGTCTTGCTAGCAATCCAGGTCTTTGGCTAGCCATTTATGGGATTTGGCTGTCACTCCTACCCTTTGACACCCATTCCAACATTTTGGCTAGCTTTTTTTGAGACTGCACAGCCCTTCTGACACTGTGCATAGTCGATCCAGGTCTTTGGCTAGCCATTTTAAAATTTTGACTGTGATTTCAACTCGTGCTTTATACATATTGGTCCTTGCCCGATCTGCCCCAAATGAAAGGTTGCGGAATGAAAAGCTGCGAAAATTTACATAAGATTTGGCCCTTTTAGACCGAATAAACCAGTATAAAAAAGCCATAAATTGAAGAAGACACATCAAATTTCGCAGTAAAATGCAACAAACACACATGTCAGAAAATGTTTCATTAAAAATTCAAAACTCTACAGAGTAGAGAAGTCGCGAAAGACTTTTTCTTCGAAGCGATGCCGGGAAACATATCTTCCGGGTCCTGCTGCTCTCTTCCATTGAGAGTGAGACGTGCCACACTGATACCGTGGACTTTGAGGGGACACCACCTTCATTCCTTGGTGGGATTTCTTCCGGGAGTGAGATTCGAACTGCCGGGAATCGGGGGCTCAGCCCGTTTGCCAACCACTGCACCATGCAGGGGGCGGTCACCCAGCTTCACTTTCCGATTGAAACCCCTTTCCATCGGTTTTTTGTCATTTTAAAAAGCAGTCATCGTGACTAATTTTACAGAGACAAAAGATAGGCTCTTTGTTGCTGGATTTGTCGACAAATATTAGCAGAAAGTAGAAGTAAGTTCAAAAAATGTAAAACTCTACATAACGACCCGTCGCGACGAGTAAAGTAGAGAAGTCGCGGCAGACTTTTTATTCGAATCCACATTGTATCCGCAGATACGTCTACTCATTCCCTTAGGAATGGCATCGAACATCGGATTCCTTCACGTATCTCAATACCCCTGCACCACACAGGGGCAGAGACGGAGCGCAGAATTTTTCGTTCTGATTGAAGTTTCAAATTCTTGAAAATAAGTCATTTTGACAGTTTTAAGAAGGAGATAAATAAATGTTCTGCCATTTTTTGCGTAGAAGTTGCATGGTCTTACTTATGGTCCACCTACTCTTTCCAAGATCTCCTCAGGATTTACAGGCATGTCCAAAAAGCTCCTTCCCAACATTTGACCTCTTGATTACCTTACCATTCTTCTTTTCAGAGATGCCGTCGTGACCTCACTGATCAACTGTTTTACATCCTTTTTCTCCGGTTTCGTGATTTTCTCGACCCTCGGATATATGAGTGAACTCACGAATCGACCGGTCAGCGAAGTTGTTGGAGAATCCGAGTCCTCTCTGATCTTCGTCGTCTATCCTCAAGCAATATCAACCATGAGTTACAGCAGTGTTTGGTCGGTCATTTTCTTCCTGATGTTGATCACCTTAGGAATAGATAGTACAGTAAGTGTATTTGTTATTATTCATACTATTGAATCTAGTTTGCGGGAGTCGAGGCGTTGATTACTGGACTGATCGACGAATATCCAAGGTTGCTAGGGAGAAGAAGGGAGCTGTTTGTTGCCGTGGTCATCATTCTGTATTTCCTTGGCTCTTTGCCCACTGTGACTTACGTAAGTGTTTATAAAACTTTCACTGTTATATTACACATGACACGAATAACATAACTTTGATGATTTCAGGGTGGGACTTATGTTATTCCATTCCTTGATACATATGGAGTGTCCTTATCAGTCCTGTTCATAGTCATGTGTGAAATGATTGCTGTTTGTTGGTTCTATGGTATTCAACAGTTCAGTGAAGATATCAAACATATGTTAGGGTTCTACCCCGGCCTTTATTGGAGAGTCTGCTGGACTTGTGCCCCTTGTTTTATCGCCGTAAGTTCCCCCTTTTACCGGTTTGATAGAGCTTTTAGCTAATTTTTGCGCTGGCGTTGTACGACACGAGTTTTGCTCCCATCGAGATCCCCAATTATGTATATCCGATGTGGTCAGTTTACGTGGGATGGCTGCTCCGTCTACTCTCAGTTCTGTCCGTGCCTATCTTTATGCTCTACATGTTCTGTACAGCTAACGGATCTGTACTTCAGGTAGGTTAAAATATAGACTTTATGGTATTGTGGTAGGCGCTTGGATACGACTGTCTTTTCAGAGGCTCAGCTACATGATCACGCCGCAACGACGGGCACATCATGGGACTCCAGCTACAGCTGTGGTCGAGGACAAATCGAATAACAACTACATGATACAGGACTCGGATGTGACCCATCTCTGAAGGACTGGATTCGTATCCCGAAAGTCGTCTTTTGACAAAAGCCCGGTTCGATTCTTTTAGATCTCGTATGTATTTGATTACTACTTTGTTGCATGGTATCGCATAATGAATAATAAAATTAAAGTATGATTTTTTCTCTTGGTGTCGAAACTATGGTTAAAATATTTTTTGTTTTATGTAATATTGCGTGCAGCCTCATAACTACTGTACAAAAATTTGATTGAACAATCATTGCTGTATTTAAACGTTTGAGGAAAACATAATTTAAAACTTAGAATATTAAATACAGTACAGAATTTTCGTGAAAATTAGCTTAATCCAAGGCAACAGCAGTCAGTTTCTTGGCCAATTCCACGGCCTCATCCAACTTTTCAACCCGTTCACAGACTGCTTGTGCTTGAAGATCCTTTCCTCCACCTCTTCCTCCAGCAACTTCACAGATTTTGTTGACCCATTCGTTGGCCTTGATTCCCTTCTTATTCAGCTCTTTATCAACTCGTGCAATCACAGCCAACTTTCCAATATCATCTTGGACAGAGAAGGCGATGACTGCTTGATGGTTCTTCAGCTGTTTCAGGGCTCCATCCAAGGCCTGAATTTAAAAAAAAACATGATAAATTAATTCGGCAAATTAAACTTGTTTCAAAAAGAATTATCAAGCTTACTTTTCCATTTGCACCCTCTGTGAACACATGAACCAAGACCTTATCCTTGTTGTTCTCGTTGATATCCTTGGCTTCTTGGACGACTTTATCGGCGATGGCAGCCTTGGCTTTTCTGTCATAACTGTCCAACAACTTCTGAGTTTCCTTTGCCAAACTTCTGATCTTATCCTTTCTCCAGTAGGGCAACAACATTGGGTTTAGCTCTTCCACAAGTTCATTAGCTTCTTTGATTAACTTCTTGAACACGGCCTTGTCTTCGATGATCTTGGGGTCATTCTTCACCTTCTCATAGAGCTTTGTGACTCGATCCTCAGCTCTGTTGGCTCTTTGGATTGCGGAGACAGCAGCTGGCCCAGTCAAGGCAACGATTCTTCGGATTCCCTTTGCCACGGCTTCTTCACTACTGATAACCAAATTTCCAATGTGACCAACATTCTTCAGATGCGTTCCTCCACAAAATTCAACAGATGTTTCGTTGGCTTTACCCGATTTGGGGTTGGAGATGAGATCTTCCACTGGGATTCCAACTGAGACTACTCGGACCGGATCGGGGTAGGTCTAAAATACAAAACATAAACGTCTCCCAACACCGTATCCAAATCAAATGAACCTGAATAGTTTTACTCACCTCATCAAAAACGGCTCGCAATCCATCAATTTCTTTAGCTTGAGCCAAACTGCATTCTTTGGCGTATACCGTGTTGTGAGTATCGATAACGGTCTGAGCAACCTCCTCGACCTTCTTAACCTGCTCTACTTTGAGTCCTTGTTTCGCGGTGAAATCGAATCTCATACGATCTTCAGCAACCAGGGACCCCTTCTGATCAACATCAGGGAGTTCCTTCCTCAGGGCATAGTTGAGAACATGAGTTCCGGTGTGATTTTTCATAATCAACCATCTTCTTTCCTAAACCATAAATAAAACCGACTGGGACAAGATCTTACCTCATCAAATTCTTGATCAACAATATCTCCAACATTCAATTCTCCTTCCAAGGTTCCAATGAACAATAGATATCCACCACGAACCTGGACATTCTCCACTTTAAACGAGGTACTCTAAATCTAAGTCAGTATAACGCTTTGTGTCTCACCTTGTCATCTCCAAGGGTTAAATATCCCGTGTCGTAGATCTGTCCTCCCTGTTCGGCATAGAAGCAGGTCTTGTCCAGAATAACACCCCCATCTTCTCCATTCTCCAGAGTCTGAACAAATTCTCCATTTCTTCTCAGAGCGAGGACTTTCCCCTTGATTTTCTCAAAGATATACTTGGCTTCGAGCCCCTTCTTCCCGTCATCCCTGTACAAATACTTGAAAGAGTCATCAGTGGTGGGAACTCCCTTCTCTCGGAGTTCAGCGATGGCATGCACATTCAAATCGACAGTCTCTTGGAATCGTCCAACACCTCCAGCCGATCTCTCCAAAGCGATTTGTTTCTCTTTTTCATACTCTTCCAAGTCCACTTCAAGTCCCTTTTCTTCAGCCATCAACTGAGTAAGATCCACAGGGAATCCATACGTATCGTACAATCTCCAGGCAATCGATCCGGGGAATCTCTTTTCGCCCTGAGGCAATTCTTTTACTGCCTTCAAGAATAAAATCCGGCCTCTGTTCAGCGTCTTCAGGAATTGAGTTTCCTCGTCATTGATGATGTCAATGACAGTTTCTGGGTCTTTCTTCAATTCTGGGAAGACTTCACCCTAAACGTTAAATAATTTTTGAGTTAAAATACGGCTTACAAGTATGGAAACGACCACAGGAACCAAACTGGCAAGGAAACCGGGCTTGGCATTCAGCTTTTCGGTTGCGTAACGAACACCACGACGCAATATACGACGCAATACATATCTAAAATAAAATAAAAGGAAGTTAACTACATTATACATATTTTTTCCAAAGCTTAATTCAAACCCACCCTCTTCCAGTAGAATCTGGACGACCGCCATCGCTCAAGGCAATAGTCAAGGTCCTCACATGATCAGCCACAACTCGGTAGGCCATATCAACGCCATCCGCATCTTCGGCGCCAACTTTACCGGTATAAGCGCGCGTTCCAGTCTTCTAAAAATCAAAATTTCATACAAAATACGGACTTCCTTACCTGTGCAATAGCATCAAAGATTGGAGTAAACAAATCGGTATCATAATTGGACGTCTTTTGTTGCATCACAGCCACCAATCTTTCCAATCCGAGACCACAATCGATGTGTTTGTTTGGCAGAGTCTTCAAAGAGCCATCTTCTTCCCTGTTGAATTGAATGAACACCAAATTCCAGATCTCCACAACCATGGGATCGTCGGCATTAACCAGACTGGAGGCATCTCGACCTCCAATTCGGTCATAATGGATCTCTGAACAGGGACCACAAGGTCCAACGTTACCCATTTCCCAGAAATTATCCTTCATTGAGAAAGGGAGAATCCTATTCTCGGGAATACTAAAGACATAGATAGATTTGACAACTAGCTTACCCAATGTCCAGCCAGATCTGCTTACATTCGAGGTCGGGCTCAAGTCCAGAAGCTTCATCTCCACCGAAATAACTGACATAGAGACGGTCCCCGTCAATCTTCAGTTTTTTGGTGAGCAATTCCCATGCCCAGTTGCAAACCTCTTTCTAAACATTGAAAATAGTTTTAAAAAGCGGAACGTACCTTAAAATAATCTCCAAAAGACCAATTTCCCAACATCTCGAAAAAAGTGTGATGGTAAACATCTTTTCCTACATCATCCAAATCATTGTGCTTTCCACCAGCTCTAATACACTTCTGGGTGTTCACAGCTCGCTTCAATTTGGCCAAATCGCTCGAGGGATCAACAACTCCTTGGAAGATTGGTTTGTACTGAAGACAATAGCATAAAGGAGCCCCTTTAAAGGAGGCTTTACCTGGTTCATTCCAGCATTGGCAAAAAGCAAAGTTGGGTCGTCATGTGGAATAACACTGGAGGAATGATAGTAGACGTGGTCCTTCTCATTCTTGAAGAAATCAATAAACGTTCTACGGACTTCGGCACTATCCATGATCGTTTCCACTGGGTTTCAAGTCGAATGATGTAAGATTTTCTCCTTTTTAAATTTCCTACTCCAAACTGACCAGCAAAAAAGTTGACCCAATGTGTCAAGTGTTTCCTCATAATGGAAGACTTGACCTGATCGGAAATGTCTTTCACTCCCGCTGACTTTTAGTGATTACCGTAATAACGGCGGTAATCAAACAGTAAAAAAGCACCATTTCCAACAGAAAGGCAGTGTTGTTTATCAGTTCTTTTTTGATCATATGATCTAATTATAATATAATTACTGATAACTGAACAATCAAATGGCGGTTCATGTCACCGCCTGCTCCATTAGAGTTGATAACTGGCTGACAAATTCAATTAAAGATGCAAAATATGTGATACATCAGATAAAGAATGCGTTCGGAGCTCATGGCCATTATGTCCAAAAAGCGGAGTCGAAGAGAGCGCGGGCTTCCCCGGACTCCCGCACTCTTTTTTGCTCGGCGCTTTGGTCTCGAGAGTCGAGAAAGGGGGAGAATTTGATCTTGCGCGCCTCTTCCCCATTGTATCTGTTACTTGATGGTATCCGCTCAACCCGTTCCGATTGAATTTGTGGTTCAGGAAAGGGATGTTATCTTTTGTATTCTAGAATTCCTGGAAAACAGAAAACTCCATATTAGTCAAGTAAGTTCTCTTCGATTTACAGTGTCTTTGGCCTTTAGGAAATTAAAAGATATGTGTTTTAAACAACCGGAAGCATATTTTAGGTCTCTTTGGAACGAGAAACAGGTCTCATAAATGGAGATTTCTCCGAAGACGTCCTCTTCCTTCGACAGTTGATTATCGATGGCCAATGGGACAATGCTTTGGACTTTGTGGAGCCTCTGAAGGACTCTCCCAACTTCGATCAACGAGCTTTCACATACCTCATCATCAAGTATAAGTTCTTTGAGCTTCTTTGTATAAAACAGGAGCCCGGCCCAATGCAGGAAAACGATTTTGCAGTCGAAGTAAGCCATTAAAGAATTTTTAATTTACGTAATTATTACGTTTACAGGAACTAGTAGAATGTCTGAAACAACTAGAACACATATGTCCGACTCCAGAGGACTACCGTCATCTCTGTGCCTTACTCACATTGCCCAAGCTCTCGGACCATGCTGATTTTAAATCATGGAATCCGAGTGCCGCCCGAGTAGAATGTTTTCACAAAGTAAGTTACCACTATTTATAATTTGAAAGTATTTCTTGCTTTCTCGTGTATGTATGTACTCACTCAATATTTCCAGGTATATCCCATAATCGGCGATCTTTTAAATAAAATTTCTCTGAAGAAAGATCAACAACAGAAAGGGCATGCCATAAACGACCGATTGCTTCAACTCACATCGAAAGGGATCTTCTACGAAGCTTGCGTCGATTACTGCCAATCACAAGCCTTGGGCAACAAAAAGGCAATAGAAGCAGGCCCTCAGTTCCCGTCTATGTTGACCATCAAACCCAGGTTGGCATCCTCAGACCTGTCATTGGTATCGTGGCTGGAAGTGCTGGGAAACGAACAGTTTACGTTACCATTCCAACAAAGAGCTCTGGACTTCAAGTTTGACACCATGAAGTGAGAACATTGGTATAAAATTCGTTTATAATATTATTCTTCGTTTTGATGTCACGATCTTTAGAAAGCCCAAACTGGAAGCCCAATGGACTGAGCAAATCCTGGCCACTCCCATCAAGCCCGGAGGCCAATTTCCCCATTCTCTTGTCCCAAATAATCGCTTTAAATTCGCTGAGAAGATGTCCCAGTCAATGATTCTCCCGGCCATGTCAATGTCCTCCATTGTTGATCATAATCTCCCTGCCAATTCGATCAAGAAACGGTTAAATCCTATGAGCCAGAGTACGACTGCGGACATTGGATTCAGTATAAAAAGGGAGCCGGCGTCCGACAATCTAATGCAGCAAAGCCAGGTCATATCGAATATGATGGAGAATTCGGAGATGACCAAACAATCCAGGCCCACCAATCTCTTCAACACCTCAGTTACCGAGCACTTAACAGCGGAGTTGACCCAATCCAGAAGGGAGTTGGATGTTATTCAACGAAATCTCCAGATCTCTCAGAATCTTCCACCGCCACGAACAATGGCCCAATCGACATTACCTACAGTACCCGAGATGGCCACCCCTACTGGGGGAATCAGTCCGTCGAGTTCATTTGACAACAGGAACAGTGACATTATGAGTAGTTCGAGGCTGTTTCAAGAGTTCAGTTCGAGGAGACAGAGTGGGATTCCAGGTAAAAATTTGTAGAATAATATGGTTATGGAACTTATGTTCTTAGCTTGCGATAATTCATGTAACAAATTCCAGTATCCTCCCGCGCATCCTCCACTGGCATCCCTCCATCTGCTTCCATGCCCCCTTCGATGATCCCGCCCCCCATCCTTGACCATCCCCGGTCTCGGCCGCAGAGTCAAGTGTATCCCCCGTATTACGAGATGCCCACATATCCTCAAAGACCTCAGAATTTCATGCCTCCACAGAACTTCCAACCTCCGCCACCTCAGAATACATCGAGAAAACCGTCGGATATGGGGATGAGCATTCACTTTGTACCGGTCTGTAAATACGAAGACAGCCAGGCCATCAGAGCAGTGGCCTTTCATCCAAGTGGAAGGTTTTTTGTGGTCGGAACCAACTCCAAACAGATGCTAATTTGCAAATATCCAACGACTAAGAATTTGGAGTGAGTTGCTGACTTATGTGCCTGTTGTTATCTAATATTTTTTATTGTAATTTAAAGATTTATGTTTGATAGACATCAAAAATGATGACTATTGATTGCAAAATCTTTTTAGTTGGTCCAGAGTTCCATTTGCCCCTGAAATTGGACTTCAAAGGCCAAAACAACATAGAGGTAAGCAACTAAACTGGTTTTAAAAAAAGATTTGATGAGAATTAAAGATGGGTACCATAATGTATACAACAAACTTAAATAAAAAATATTTTGTTTGTAAATTATGAACCGCTTTTAGGCAGTGTTTATTGTTGTGGATTTAATGCCGCTGGTGATCTATTGGGAACAGGATCCAATGACAAAACCCTTAGATTAATGTCATTCAATGCCGACGAATGTAAAATCGGTGCAGAAATGGAGTTAAACATGCATGATGGGACTGTCAGGGATCTAATCTTCATGGATGAGGGCTCCAAAAGGATACTGGTATCTGGAGGAGCGGGCAATTGCAATATCTGTCTGACCGATTGCGAGACTGGAAGGACGTTCAAGAATCTGGGAGGACATACAGCGCCTATATTAGGATTGTATTCCTGGACAAATGGGACTTCTTTTACCAGTTGTTCGCAAGATAAAACCATCAGATTCTGGGATCTGAGGGCTTCTTCTGCCACAAATGTTATTCATCCGGGTCAAACTTTTTCCAGTAAGTACTACGGTAATATTACAGTATCCAATAAGATATCCCACTATCGAAAATGAATTTACCAGTATATAATGACTTGCAGACTCCCCCGTGACCAGTGTATGTGTAGATCCAAGTGGAAAACTTTTAGTTTCTGGTCACGAAGATGCTTCCATCATGCTATTCGACATCACAGGAGGTCGAGTAATCCAAACATTCAGACCTCATGGGGATGAAGTCAGAACAGTCAGATTCAGTAATGCCGCTTACTATCTACTCTCTGGATCCTACGACAAACGAGTGGTGATCACGGATATGAGAGGAGATCTGACCAGCCCTTTGACGTATCTTCCAGTGGCTGAACATAATGACAAAATTATTCAATGTAGATGGCATCCGCAAGAGTTCACCTTCCTCAGCACTAGTGCTGATCGCACTGTCGCATTGTGGACTCTTCCACAGCATTAATTGTACTTTTATTACACTTGAAACCTCAATTGTAATGTAATCATTATATTGCTGAGGTAGTTTTTTTTTATTTGCAGAGTCCTATTTTTGCTCAATTTCACCTCTCGTATCTAACTTTATATTATACATTGTCCGAAGATCTTTAAAGTCAGTGCTAGTCCACCTAAAAATTGCAGTTACAGCTTATACCTGCCTTGGCATTTCTGTTACCGGTGTTCATTTTTCCGTCCCCTGATCTCTCATATTATCCATGGCATTTCGCTTCCCAATGACAAATAAAGCGCTAAAAACATAATGTAAATAAACAAGAAGTTCATGAAATCACTTTAAAAAGTGCAAACAACATACCGTAAAGAGCAATACTGCTTGAAATCGAGTAAACTTGGTGATCTCTGATATTTCTGTGGCATTTCGTTTTCAAAATCGATAAAAATATTTATTTTTTTCTCGGAAACCCAGTTTTTGTAACAAATTCCCGTTGATTGCTTGTCGAAATGATAACATATCAGTTTCTCTGATTTATTACTTGTGAAGACGTCTTATCAGTGGGAAGTCATCAATTCCTGGAGACGTTTTCCTTCAATTTTCAATAATTTCGAATTACAATGGGGAAGGTGTTTGGGATCGCCGGATGTACGAATGCCGGGAAGACAACACTCTCCAAGAACCTCACGGATAAGGTTGGTGTGCTTTACCATATTGTTTTTACATCTAAAATGATGTCATTTCCAATTTTTTCCGCGTATTATTTTTATTGTTTGATACTTTTCATGTTTTAGATCGCGAATGTATACGGTTATGACGTCATCCACCTTCTCCAAGACGATTTCTTCCATGAGAAAGAAAAAGTCGCCCGAATTCCTCATTCAACTAACAAGGCCATCGTTTTTTACGATTATGACAGTTGTCAGGCTGTAAGTCATGTTGTCGCCGATGAAAATATTGCAGTTAGATATTAGTCGGATGAAGAATGCAGTAATTGAAGCCCGAGATCATCATGATTTAGTCATTCTTGAAGGGAATTTGCTCACTTTGATGCCGGAAATGATCGAAATCATTGATGAAATGGTATTTCTGAGTTTGGATAAGGCGACTTGTGAGGATCGAAGGGTACAGCGGACTGATTATGACCCACCAGATCTTCCTGGGTAATAAAATCATTAAAATATTACTGTAGATTTCTAGTTATTTCGAACAAGTTGTTTGGCCGGCATATGAAGATACCCTAAGGGCAGCACAGAGGATTGGAGGGAACGTGGAAATTGTAGAAGGAAATAGAGAGGATCTAATTAACTACGCCTTAATCAAGGTATTTCATCTTGATTTTCATTATTATATCATCCATTTCCAGGTCTTTGAATGTTTTAATAACTTTGTCAGGCTGACGCATGAGGAAATAAGTGTTGAGGAAGTGAGTAACATCATCTCTTCTGATCAAAGTGGAGGACAGAGTCTATTTATAGGCAAGTTGTTTCTTTTTACTCTAAAAAATGTAATTTTAGGTACCACAAGAAATAATTTTGAAGACAAAAAAGTTGTGAGTCTGTCTTACGAAGCCTACGAACCCATGGCCTACCAAGAATTGTGGTTGATCTGTAAGGAGACCCGAGCCAGATTTCCAGATCTCCATCGAATCTGCATTTATCATCTTCTTGGTGACTGTCCCGTAGGTAAGAAGTCGGTCGTCATTGGAACCAGTTCATCTCATCGAAAAGATGCAATCCATGCAACCGAATTTATCATTGACAATTTGAAAGCAAGGGTTCCTATTTGGAAAAAGGTATATTTTGACCTCGCGCGGCCCCGACTACAATATAATTTTCCAGGAAATCTATGATCAAGGCGAAAGTAAATGGAAAGAGAACCAGGAATCCCTAAACCATCTGTTTTGAGAAGCCACAACGAGTGTCACAAATTTCTCAACTTTAGTTATTTTGTATTAGACATTACACTAGTAATTCCAGTCACTTGTTCTGTCTTTCCAATATTATTTATTAAATATTAAAACAATAAAATTCTAACTTCTCTTCCTGACGCAATATCGATGTAGAGATATCCGTTTCAAGGTATTAATGACCACGTATCGGCTGAATATAAGGTAGAGATACCTGAACCAGACCAGCTGGGACTTGTGAGCTCTCATCCCGCGCCAAACCATCGAAGGGCGAGAGAGACAGAGGAAGGTGGAGGTGAAGTGGCTGGGCAAGAGGTCGAGGATGCTGATATATTTCCTGAGAAGACGAACGGACTCGAGAACAAACACCTGAGTGCCTGAGGGGATCCATCCATTTGTGTAGAGATATTGTAAAGCCATGAAGCAAGAGATATGGTTGGGATGTTGACTGACTCCATGCTCATCAAAGGTGATTACAACTTGGGCGTCCAGTCTCTCAATACATTGTAATACAATCCTCGCCAACTTCTCGGTCTCCCATTTGGTCTTCATCCCATCTTTCATATCCCCTATGTCCATTATCGTCACATCCGACGAGGATATTCCAAGACTCGAGCACGCTTCGAACATTTCCTGCTTCCTGACGTTGCCCTGGCCTGAAATAATGTATTGATAAATAGATAGCACCACGTTTTTGAGTGACGTCACGTCATCTAAATAGAAAATGTATTTACCGTAGAAATCCCCCGTAGAAACGCATAGTATGTACACTTTACACTTCTGTGCCAACAATGACAAGATGGTTGGCCCAAAGAACATGCATTCGTCATCAGGATGAGCCACCACAATAAGGCATCTGGCTTTGGAATCGATCAACAAACGCCGTTTGGCCACCAAAATCCCCAAATGGACGAGGACAACCAACAGAACAGCCAACAGGATACATATATCAAAGCTCATGGAACGTCCTGAATCGCAAAATGGAAGGAAACATGATAAACTTACTTTAACATTTCTCTATCTAAGGCGAAAGGAAAAAGTGCTCTCTGATGGTTACTTTTAAACCAAAACCATCGGAAAGCACGCGGAATGTTGAAGTAGCCCTTGTCTCGCCCTGACAGCTGATAGACAATCTTTGCTAATTTCCTCTCTTGCAGAGATAAAATGTTAGAAACGTTGAACAACTGATTGCTCTCTCTCCTGCCACGGTCCCACAATTCTTGGCATTATGTTGCAACTATCGCGGTAAATATTTTTCCATAATTTTTTTGGAAAGTTTTTCTGTAATATCTCGCTTTCTTTATAGGGTTATAAACGAGTGTTTCTCATATCAATTAGAATTTGTTTTGTGTATGGACGTTGTTAAAAGCATCTAAATCAATATTGTTATAGTTTCCATAATGGATGGAGGATATTACCGAGGTACAACGACGGATCAGGACATTCGATTCGTCGATAAAGAAAAGAAATTGATGAAGCAAATGAAGTTTGAAACATGGTTAGAACAAAAGGTAAGTTTATTGTGCGATTAAGTCTTTTCTAGTCTAGATTTTTACGGAGCCTTGGAACTTTTATCTTAATTGAGAATCTAAAATCATGAATAAATCTTTTATACATGATTTGTTCTCTTTCAGTCGTTTTCATTTGAACACTATAGGTGGACATGACGAAGGTCAACTTGGATGTGCTGAAGCCCTGGATCACAGCCAAGTTGAATCAGATGTTGGGAATGGAAGATGAGGTTTTGGTGAACATGGTTTTCTTCACATTGGAGGAGACCAAGAACCTGGATCCGAAGAAGTTGCAGATCAATTTGACAGGATTTCTGAATGCAAAAAGAGCTCGAGAATTCATGGGAGAATTGTGGCAGATGATCATCGAAGCTCAAAACAGTGAAGATGGGATCCCAAGCAGTCTCATTGAGAAGAAAATGGAAGAATTAAAGGCACAGGGAGTTCAATTGGACGAGGTTCCGATGGCCGAATGCACAGAGAATGATTGGAAACATCGATATAAGAGCTTAACTGGGGGAAGATACGGAAAGAACGAGCCAAATTATAAATCTGAACCCATGGATAGAAGCCCCGGAAGGAGAAGATCAAGAAGTCGATCACCAGATAATAGAAGGCGAGAATGGAGGGAAGATAAGAGGGATGAGAGACGACAGAGAGAAAGAGACAGTCTGGAAAGGAGAGTGGAAAGAAGAAGAGAAAGAAGTGCCGAAAGAGATAAACGACGAGAAAGAAGTAGAAGTCCCGAACGAAGAAAAAGGGACGATGACGGAGAAAGGAGAAGAAGAAGATCGAGAAGTAGATCCAAGGAAAGGAAATCAGAGTCGCCGGAAAGACGAGAAGTGAAGCCAAGGAAATTTACTGAGGAGAAGCTGGACAAAAAAGATGAGTTAGTTATTTTATTATTAGATTATGTTTTAGTTGAATGGATTAGTTCAGGGGATATCTTTTGAATTGTTTTATCTTATACTTTTCATTTCAGACCAGAAAAGGCCGATCCCAGTCCAGAACCCGAGCCAAAACGTCGCCGAAAAGAGAGCGGAGAAAAGAAATCAAAGAAGCACAAAAAGGAGAAGAAAAAGAAGCACAAGAGGGACAGACACAACTCGGACTCGGATTAGAGCCCATTGTTTATTTATCATTGTTTATCTCGCAGTTAATATTCCACGAATAAAATGGGAATCTCGTCCCTGAGCCATGTTCGAATTGTTATTCCATTCAATTCCAATTTTTTATATTATTTCCGCTCATAATTTTTTGGATTCCATTCTCGTCTTGTGTTTATTTAGAATTCTCATGTTCGAAACGAGATTTAATGATTTAATTTTTGTTAGATGCGGGGAAGGGCGTCGTTGCCCGGAGGCACTTGACATTAAAAAAGGGTCAGGAGTTCAGCGGATTTTATACATATTGTGGGTGAGTCCTATATTATCGTAGGGGTCGTTTGGGCCTTTCCCGAAATTACACGCAATGATTATGCCCCGAGGGATTGATTTGAAGACCTTTTGAATGTGTATATGGAAGTTGAACATGCCCTGAAGTCTAAATACGGGCTTTCGAAAGGAAGCGGATTCCCAGCCGCTAACGACTCTCCGGTTGACGGTCAGTCGCTATTGTCGGCACACAATAGACGGTAAAGGACCCGTTTCTTCGAGTGCAGTCAGGTGTGTGTTCCGAGCTCCCTCCTCGTCCCCTCCCGACCATGCTTCTTCAGCGGTTTGCGCGTTGCAGGTGTAAAAAAGAAAGAAAGAGCGGTCGGAACCAGGGCGCGGTGGAGGCTGCAGAACCCTTGTTTTGGGCGCGAGGCTGTTTTTTCTCCGTCGCCGTGATCTGCGGTTCCGATTCCGATGAATCGTGAGTTCTCTAACGGATCTCATCGACTTCTGGAGCCGGCGTTTCAGGAAGTTTTCGACTTCTCAACTTTTGTTTTGAATTTTTGAGGGCTCTTCAGAAAACAAATAGGCGTCTCTAAATTTAATTTTGAACAGCAATTTCGAGTTTATAATATGCCTATGGGAACATTATTTTTGGCTAATTATCACTTACTGTTTACTATATAATATCGCCTTTTACCTAGTATTACATCGCTGTGCAATGATTAAAGCTTCTTTACGACACCCAAAGCCGATGTTTGCGATGGCCAGTCCCGTGTAATCGCCTTCCCTGTCCACCCATCTGACGTCACGTTCAGCACCTTTTATGTCTTCTCCCCCTAGGGCGTCCGAACTGTCTCTTTGATACACTCCCGTGTTTTTATCAGTTCTTGGTTGGCTTTTCCGTTAGTCAGCCGACCAATTAGCCCGATTCTCGGCTCATTTACACCGATTTCAGACACTTTATTTCCCCTTATGGAATGGAGGATGGCCGGGTCAGTTTGGCCGAGATTTTCGAGGTCCGTGCGTCCGGTTTCAATTCGGCCGAACTTCTCGCAATTCTGAGTGGCGCGGCCGAAACTCTGATCGCCAAAAAGACCGGAATCAAAGGACTTTTCAGTCCGGAAACGCTGTTTGTTACAGAAGATGGACGAATCGAGGTAAATAAAGTTTTTTTTGATGGTTGCTCTTTAGATTGAAATCTGTGACACCATCAACCCTGACTTCATACCTCCAGAGACGCTCAAGCATCCCAAGGAACCTCTGTTTGATCATCATTTGGTATGGTGTTTGGGGAAAATTGCTCAGAGCATCAGTTTACCCACCTCCAATGATGCCGGACTCTTTTCGCTAATCAATTTGATGACTGTGGAGGATATTGGGACTAGGCCGAGTATGCAGAAACTGTCTCAGATGGTCAGAAACAAGCTTGCTAATCCGGACGCGGTCAAGAAAACATTGAGGTTGATGTTTGAAGAGGTTATGGGGAATATTGAGGAGTTGGTGAGTTAAATTAAATGTTTGTTTTTATATGTTTTAGGCCGACGAATCAGATGAGGAAGGTTTTATGAATCCTCCAGAAATAATTCCCATGAATTTCTCGAAGAAGGCACAATTAACCCAACAATCTTCTCCTTCTTCATCAATGGCGTCTGATTCCAGCAATGAACGAAGCCCCTCTCCTGTCGAACATTCCACCAGAGTCATTCCAGAGCCCAGAACTTCCCAACCTCAGCCTTCTGAACGTCATGTCACTTCGAATCATCAGAATAATCAAAATGAAGTCATTGAGTTAGAAAAGGAACCTGTGATATCAACTAGAGCGGTTGAAGAATCAGTGACGAATGTATTCAAATACGGTGGTAATGGATCCACAAATCCCTTTGATGAAGTCGATGATCATGCCTTCTCTTACGCTGATGATGATGAACAAGGTGATTGGGTCAAAGTGAGACAACCGGAGCTCGCGAGGTCACACCCTAATGAAACAACTGAGGTAAGATCTTTTTGTAATTTGATTATTTTGAATTTAGATCAAAAAGATTCCCGTCAACTCGAGAACCAGCGAAACTTTGAGCAGAATCAGCGAAGAATCTGCTGCCATCTCGATTAAAGATCGAAATTCTCTCGAGCAAAGAAGATCCCGGGAGATTTTGGATGTGGAAGTTGATAAGCCAGAGGTCGCAGTCCAGCCAGCCGTCCGGACTGAAAATACGGGACGATTTTTGAAGAAATCGGAGATTCAGAACAAATATATTCACCATAAACCCTCGGGATCGGTGGAAAGTAAGTGATTTATAAATAAATCTTATTCTAATTTTAGTTGTTGCAGCCGAGGTCCATAAAGATTACAGTAGAGATTCCTCGCCCTCAGGCTCTTTTGCATCGGAAGAATCGAGTGGGGAAAGATTTGAGCGACAAGATGTAAGTCATGAATACTTCTATTTGGACTTTTTTGAACGCTTAACTAAATTAATTTGTGTTTTAGGAGAACCGAACTCCTCCAACAGCCATTCCGAACAATGATTTGAATGATCGAACCTCGATAAGGCCCGAATCCCCTCAGGTTAATCAAAATTTGATCAGACATAACTCATTAAAACCCTCCAAAATCCATCGACAATCAACTAATCGGAAAGTTAAGGTAAGTGATTACGGTATTTGGACAACTCTTGGTTTTTTAATGCAATTTTAAGCACTTTTTTTGTCATGGGTAATATTAAAATTACATAATTTTCGTAATTTAGACCATCGCCGTTCCCGAATTCATGGAGAAAAAGCCATATCCGATAATCCGTTTGAGGGCGCAAAGTCAGAAACGTCGGAGAGTTGCCTTACATCGAGTTGAAGAGACGATTTTATTGGTCAAATTACTCACAGGACAGACGGTAGAACTGAACTGTAGAAGTGACGCACTGGTCGGGAATATATTTGATACAGTAGTCGCCCATTTGAATCTAAATGAGAGCAGTTTCTTTGGACTGGCCATTCTGGAGAGTAAGATTTGCTTGCTTTTTATGTTATTGTAGCTAGGCAAAATAAAATTTCTGATGATTTCAGATAATGAATACTTCTTCCTGGAAAATGAACAACGTCTTGAGAAGTTTGCCCCATCCGGTTGGAGATTGGCGTTGAAGAATGGAGCCAGGCAGAGCTTTATGTTGTTCTTGAGATTCAAATTTTACCCAAAAAGAATTGATTTCGTAAAGTAAGATTGAGATTTTAAGAATTTTTATTGTAATTTTTAGAACTCAGCAAGCCAGACATTCCTTGTACATTCAGTTGAGACAGAATATTTTGGACGGGGCTCTTCAGGTGACCAGAAATCAGCTGCTGGAGTCATCGGCACTCGCTTTGCAGGCTGAATTCGGCGATAAACATGAACATGTCAGCAATTACTTTGCGTTGGATGGATATGTCCCCAAGGTAAGTTGATTTCTGGAAGTTATTTATTTTTTGATGTTTTTTAATACGTATTTAAATTAATTTGATGTTATTGTAGAACATGTTGGTTCGATTAAAGTCCGAGGAGTCCCACAACCTCAAAGACGCCCTGATTCACATTCACGATTCCAAAAAAGGTCTGAAATCAATTGAAGCCGAAGCTGATTTCATCGAATTTTGCCAAACCCTCCCCACCTTTGGGGCCCATTTCTATTTGGTCCACAAGTTTAAACCGTCAAGCAAGAATCCGGTGGACGCCCGGTTCCGTGCCCATCAATGGGTCGTCATCATGCCTCAGGGCATCGGAATCGCGAAGGAAACGCAGATCGGAACAAAACAAATAAATTCGATCCATGAATGGCACATGATCAGGACGCTACAGTATGACGGGAAGAGGTTTCTGTTGGCGACGATGGAGAACAATATCGCCGTGGATCATGTCTTTTATCTGGAACATTTCACAAAGTAAGGAGCACTTCTTGGAACGAAAATAATTTTAAAAATTCAAAAATGTTTTTGATTCTTGTCTAGTGTGATATAAAAAAGAATTTTTATCTTTAGGTTTTGATCCGATTTAATATTCATATTTTTTCAGAAGCCGGTATCTTGTCAAGTTCGCCGCAGAACAGCACAAATTCATGTTGAGAATGCGCCAATGGCAATCAACTCTTCAAAGAAATAAATTGAATGCTGGAAAAGATGTGATTGTAGAGCGAGATGAGAGAGATCACAGCGTTCCGAGAGAGGTCAGAGAACATCCTAAAGAGGAGAGAAAGGAATGGAATGATCTGACAGTCTGGACGGACCAATTTATCCAAGAAACTTATGGATCTGATGCTCAAAAATTGGAAATCACTCTGGATAAAGACCCCAACAATGGATTAGGCTTGACTTTGGTCGATGGGAGCGTGAATGGAGTTAAAGGAGTCTATGTGAAATCGGTGGCCGAACATGGAGATGGCCGGAGAAAAGTGAGTTCAGATTTGATGGTATCTAAAATGAGGTGATTAATGGCTAAAAGTAAAGGATTTCTGTCGCTTAGTTGACTCCAAAGGGGACTGTAAGCCTCTCCGCTACGACAAGGCGGCCAGAAATGGAGGGGGTTTTTTTAAAACCAAACAAAAAAATAATGACAAATGCAACATAAAAAAACATAGGTTATTAATAATAGCGATGATGGAAAAGGACTGTTGGCCATCAAACGTTAGTAGAAATGAAGTGCAAAATTTTTTGATTTCATTGTGCAACTCTAATGCAATGTATTTAATTTTAGGGCTTGCATATGGGCGACTGTATCCTTAGTATAAATGGAGTCTCTCTGTGGAATCGAACTCGTCATGACGCTGTGACCCTTGTAAAACAATGTGAGAATTATGTCCGCATCGAATTCCTCCGTTTCCATTCAATTACGGCCGTTCTTTTGGCCGAGGGACCCGAGAAATTTAAAAGTCAAGAACACAAAACATCGAATGGCTCGGGTATTACGTTATCGCCGAAGAAAAGTACAGAAGAAAGGAGCGCGACGTTAGGGAGAATGACCAGAACACCACCGCCTGAGAGAAAGGAGACCAAAGTGAACAGAAGGCAGAGGGCAGTCTCCGATTTTGGAGCCATTTCGGATACTATGCCCACACTGAATTCGGAGGATCTTCTAAAAAGCATGGAACAACTTTCCAGGTAAAATGAAAAAATAAAAAGATGACTAAAATTATATTACTTTAGGTCAAAAAAACAAATCGAAGATTCGTCTGACTCAGACGAAGAGGAGACTTCATTCCTCAATAAAGGTGTCTACAACCCACCGGTCAGTGATATGTATGCCTTCCATCGAAATTCGGATGAAGAAGATAACGAAAAAATTACTCAGCCATCAACTTCGAAGAATAAAAATAATTTCAACGGATACGCCCAGCAGAGAAAACCCTTCCAAAGCGATATATACAAGAAGGATTCGACTAGCTCTTTACCGTAAGTTTGGGGATACTGTGGTCTTTAGTCTTTGTGTATATTTTTTGGAATAAATTGTATTGTCTTTGACTTCAGAAAACAAAAAACTTTGGATTGGACGAATGAGGTGCAAACTCACGAAGGCGATGAGAATTCGGATGATAATGATGGACAGATCATAACAGTTGAGTTGCGAAGAGCTCCCGCCAGATCTCTCGGATTCAGAATCGCCTCGGCCAACGGGATTGTCCGCATTAAACAGATCACTTCAGAACCCGCGACTTTGGCCGACCTCAGGGAAAATGATCGGTTGTTATCGATTAATGGCAAGGACTTGACGGGACTAGCACATCAGGATGTTGTGAATCTGCTGAGAAATGGAGGTACAGTCATCACTTTGAAGGTTGAAAGAACTGAAAATGAGGATGAAGGTGGCCAGAGTATCGCTGTTGTGTTTGAAAAAAGCCGCGGAGAAGATTTGGGTAAGCGCTGGAATTATTTTCAGGCATTTTATTATTTTTTGTTAAACAGTAATTTCATCGTAATTTTGGACTAAATTACAGACTATATTACACATCATCATCATGTACAATATAATTTTTAAGGTATTTCCCTGGCCAAGCGCAGCTCATCTGACGGAGTCTACATCCGCAGCCTCACTTTGGGCTCCATGGCCGAAGAAGAGGGATCTCTGAGGATCGGCGATACTATTTTAGCCATCAATGGTGTCCAAGTTTCCCAAAAATCCCCAAAAGAGATCATCGAATTGATCAGAGAAATTGATGGAAAAGTCAGAGTCACCGTGAAGAGGAGTTGAGTCAGTATATGGGAGTATACGTGCCAGCTAATGTATTGTATTCGCCTAATTATTGTAATCTAGATGTTATATCAGTATTCTTTTCTGTGATAATCATAGTCCCGGTAGAGTTCTATTATTGAGTATTTACCACCTTTCCCAACTTTGTGATAATAATTGTAAGGGTCTTCTCTTGTGCCTTGTTTTTTTAAATATAATTTTGTGTCTCCCCTTACCCTAGCCTCCTCTAAAATACCTGAAAAAGTCTTGATTCTTTCTCTTGAATGGACACATGACAATGGCCAATCACTGATAACGACGCATTAATTTATTTTTTTATCCAAATTGTTTGTTTTTCCGCCATTAAACAGCAATAAAGCCCTCAGGGCACGGGATATCAAAGTGAGGTCGTAAAAGTTGCTATCACTGATCCGCCTTCTCCAGCAGAGGGTCGATGGTGGGACGGTGCTTTTGATGGGCTCGTTGACGGCGGAGATCCGACTTTATCAGGGCTAGAATAAGGTCATTAAAACAATTGAAAACCAACGTGAAAAAGGGAGATTTATGGGCTGGCCGTGCTGATAATAATAGAGACATGTTGAAATTTTGGGATCTTGCACAAAATTGTTACATTTTTTGGTTGCTGTAACCTTTTGGAAGTGTGACAAATTTTGATGAAACTTGACCAAAACATTGAGAAAAGGATTGGTCTGACGAATTACAATTGAAGCCGATTTTTTTGGTTTATTTTTCGGCCTTTTAGGGCGTCTAATTTTGAGAAAAAAGTTGAAGTCACGCTTCGCAAATTTGCTATGGTAATCCTAATTTTTGAAAGACGGACTTGTTCAGAAACAGTATAAAAATAAGGCCAAGAGATCGATGAACCTGTAGTGATGAGTATAGTGCCCACTTACCGGTTAGAATGACTCCAACCAACAAGAACCCGCACATCAGAATATTGCACCACCAGATGGACATCGAATACATCACTTTCCCCATGCCGGTGGTCATCAAAACGCCGAAGACCTGGGCCGATCCATTCAAGAGACCCGAAGTTGTCCCCTCCGGGGTTGGGAACGTGAGTTCGGCCGCGAATTCGAAGCCAATCGGAAGATATCCGGTCATGAAAAATCCGAGGGCCGCAGCTACAACAAATGTAATCCACAGATCCAAGTGTAATGTGAAGGTGAAGAGGATCATCCCGGCGAAAGAGAGGATGTACACGGCCAGGGTGGTGCCTCTGAAAATATAAAATACGACGGTTTCTCTGGGACTCTCTTAGTTCAATTTACTGATAAATAAAGTCTACATTTATTTAAAAATGTAGCAAAAATGAATAAATAAAGAGTAAAATTTGATAATTCATCTCTATACTCACTTGAATCTATGGGTTGTATCCAAAATATATCCACAAACGACGGATCCGAACATCCCCGCGACAACAATGAGAAGACCGATGGTCCCTGTCTCTTCTTGAGCGCCCTCATGGTAGAATAAGACCATTTGGCTGAGAAGGGTGGACACTGCATAGAATACACCAACATTTATACCTGAAAAGGGTAGTCATAGACATTAATTATATTGTCCTTGACAAAAAATCAAAATTAATGTTTACCATAAGTGATGAGTAGTAGCATGTAGTTAACATTGCACAAGAGCTCCTTGATGGATGACCAAAAACTGTGCCCGACAGTTTCCTCGAGGGCTTGAGCTTGGGCCAAGCTCGGAGGGAGTTTTGGCTTCTCTTTGAAGACTAAATTAATACATAACTTGCGATCGGAAAAAGGAGTTCTTCAAACTGATGCTATAGGGAAAGGATCAGAAACCACTTACAGAGCACGACCAGCACAAAAACGAAGGTGTTGACGACGGCCGAGATCAGGAAAAGCACACTCAAATCATAGGCCACTTGTTCTTTGGTCCCCGTTTTCACGAGCCATGGGGGAATCAGGAATCCCAACGCAATCCCCAGCTGATTCCCGAAGACCCCGGCCGAACAAGCAGTACTAACCTGTTCGGGGCCGAACCAGGTAGCGGCTAGTTGAGGGGGGATTCCGAGGATAAAAACCTGCGAAGATCCGACGATCGTTTGGCCCACAAAAGTCAGCCAAAACTTGTCTGAAGATATAAAATGGGTTGAATTAGTAATTCAGAATTATTTTTTAAAGTGAGAGGGATACCTGGATGTGTGGAGAGGATTTTGAGCCAAGCCCCGAAGCAATTTCCAAAGGCCCCGATCAGGATCGACTTTCGGAGACCGAATTTGTCCAAAAACCAACTGAAAATAAAACTTTCGACGTTGCATTTACTACGGTAACTTTTCGGTAAGAGAAACACTGTTATAATATTACATAATATTATAATTGGGCCGATCTTCGATTAATTCCGATCTCAAAATTCGAATTTTTCTTTTTCACATTTTTTGGCATTCTGTCGCAAGATGACAAAAACTCGGATTGTTCGCAAAATTGAATAACACTTGCAAAAAAGACCTTGATCAAGGTCTTCCATGAAGTTATTAGTGGTACAATTAAAAAGATCTTCCTGGCACTGCGTTAATATAAATAGTTATTGAAATACGATATTGAATTTGAAAAAACAACCAAAAATATTCTGAAGACTGCGTTGCTTTGCTCTAAGAACGTTAAACTCCCTTTCCTAAGAGTGTTATTAGTACTTAATCGAGTTGAAAAGGTCAATGTCTATAAATTAATATTGTTCCAGTCTGCCCAATTGATTTGATCTCAGACTTTTTCTTTGTGTATTTTGTGCCTCTTTAATCCATCTATCAAATCCCGAGATCCCCCATGGGACCGTGTGCGCGAGATCGGTGCTCTTTTCTATTTACAAAAGCCCTTCAAACATTTACTTTTTATTCTTTTGACAAAGTGTGGCCATAATCCTTGAAGGATTACCTTTACAAAAAAGTGAGGAACCCTGCAGAAAGGCGGCTATTCAATTGCAAGGACAACGGTTTAATTCAACGTTGCAAATTCGAAGAAAGAGTGCGAAAAAAGGAGATGGGTCAGAGAAAAAAGAAAAAAAAATGTTTTCAGGGAATTTCAAGGAAAAAAAGAAAAGGTTTGAATGGAAGGGATTACTGGAACAACTACCCGGCTCCGTTAAAAACAAAAATTAACAGAACGTTGACTTTGCTAAAAAATTTAAAATTGACATAAAGGCCTTTTTGTCATCAATAAAGAAGTCTCAATCTATCCGCTAACTTTCAAGAAGGCCTATTACAGTTTTCAACCATCGACTTATTTTAAATTGTAATCAAACAAATAAATGATTAATACAATATTTTAGTAAGGTGATCTTATTTTCTTTTTTCCCTTATCCTGTATGCTAAACAACATAAAAAAGGTCACAAAAAGTGTTAAAAAAGTATTGGATGACGTTGTAATCGAGTGGAGGAATCTTTTTTTTGTGAAGAAGGAGAACATAAATCAGATGGAATTAGTTTCCCCCATTGCTTGGCCACTTCAATCTGCTTATAATTGGCCTCAGAATGGCTATCCAATTTGTTTGGTACTAGTTTCAAAATTACTGCTTAATTTTAAATTGTAAAAATAATTATTTTTTATAAAAAAAACAAGAAATAACCACGGTCGATAACATGAATCTGCAAAACAGAACTCCATGAATGATTAGCAATGTTTGTTTTTTGCATATTCAGATCTCTTCTCCAAGTTTCTTATCGTATTATATTACACTTGGTCTTTTCCACCCCCACAAAAAGTTAGTTTTTCGGTTAAACAATTCCACATGTTAACAATAACCAAAGGTTTACTTTTCACAACAATTAACAACAACTCTATGTACAATGAACTGAGTTCTTACCTTCCCGGGAACACCAACAACATGTACATTAACATATAAATCATGGAGGTCCAATTGATCGCGTCATAACTCACTCCATAGAAATCGGTGAAGATATGTGCAATGATTGCGTATTCGATCCATTGAAGGGCATTGGAGGCGGAGAGGAGGACGAACATGCCCAGCATCAGGTACCTCCTCTTGTAGAGCTTCGTCTCCTGCTCCGGAGAAGAGGCCACCTCGCCCGATTCAGCCGACATTTTGGAATTACAAGGCTCTGAAAAATGTACTAAAAGATAGCAGGCTCGGAACTTTTTTTACGTTTTTTGGGTTACTGTAACTGTGAAAGGTTCTGTGGAAAATCGGCAAAAATAAAAATTATGGTTTTCGAAGTCATTTCAAAAAGTTTTAACTTGTGTTCTGCGGAAACCGCAAAGATTTTTAAGTCGGGAGTCATTGTTTTTTGAAATTTTGTATTCGAAATTTAAGTCTTTTTGTGTAAGATCTAATATCTGTGGCAGAAAGTTTTTCCACCGAAATTTTGCCTCAATTTTGTTGAGATATAAGGGTTAAGAAGAGTTTCAAAACATAATATGTGACCCATGCAGAGTTTTTTTTTGCAAACTTTTAAGGGAATCTGTGCACCGTTCCTAGCATTTACCATCTAGATAAATGTCAAGATTACTGTAACCGCCCAAATCTCATATAAAATTCAGTGTAGATACGTACCTTTACAGTGTTCCGGGTGTCAGCAACAGTTGAACTGTCCGAGATTCGAGTCAAGTTTGAACTTGGCCCCGCTCATTTCCCGGTCCTCAAACAAAAAATTCAATTCTTGCCCTCAAACCCCGCCCCTTTCAGAGGGAAAAGAGCCCGGAGGATCCAGGAAAAGCGGACAAAAGCGATATCTGATATACAAAACCACAAGGATATCTGAAATCGAGGCGCTGGATCGGGTTTATTCCTTGATCAAATCTATTTTTTTTCCTCACTTTCGACATCTGTTCGGAAGTGTAAAATAAGGTGAAAACAATTATAAAAACTGGTCTTGATAACACATATGGAAGTAATTTGAGTGAGAATCAGACAAAAACATCGGAATGCCCTCAGGCATTAAAATTTTGGGAATTAAAAATTAAAATAATTTGATGACAAAAATTAAAAAATTTTGAAGAAGTTGCAGAAAGATGAAAAAAATATTTATATGACATGCCTATGGAAATGAAGAAAGACGTTGATCTCTTATTGTTAGACCCATTAGAAACCAGAACTCCCTGCCCATTATGACCAAACTTTTATTTGATCACCCCCTTTCAGATCAGATCCTTTTTATCCATGGTGACAAACCTCAGCAGACAACTTCAGTCAGATCAAGGGACTTTTCTGGGAATTCTGAATACCGGAATGCCCAGATCTACTCAACGAATTATATTTTCGAACGTAATGTTATGATCTGAATCTCCTCCTCAAACAAAATCAAGATAAATAAACAGAAAATAACGTAAATAGCGACAAACGTATATTGGATAGACAAAAAGTCATCGTGTGGGTCCGAGAATACAAAGAAAAGAACGGATTGGATCAAGAGTAATATCCGAAAACTAGTGTTGTATTGTATATGATAAGAGCAAATTTTTGTGGATAATGTAGTTGATATGCAAGAAAGTAGCGGCCCACACAGGAGGAACCTTCATAAATCATCAAAAAAATTTAATTTTTTGAATTTCGCGACATTTTTGGCATTGTGCCCAAGGTGCCGACGGCTGCGCAATATAGCAAAATCATACTAGAATTGTTAATATAACAACACATAGTAGCCCATGACGCTCAATCCGACTGCACTCCTCAACTCTTTCATTATATTATCCATTATGAAATCAAACTCCGAAACATAAATCCCGACACCTCTGCCGAAAAGCCTACAGTTAAAACATTAAAGATGACATATTGAGCCCAATCAGTCAGCTCTCTTCCCCTCAGCGCCACAATTTTGAAAACAATATCTTCCGGAGAGTGATAAGAGTTTTTATTTTTTTATTTTATCCATCCGGCCGTTATCAGAAAAACTCTCTCTCCGCCTGGGGCGCCGTCGCATTAATCACGCCGGCCCTCAGGTCAGAAAAGCCGGATTAATTTTTTGGGCGATAAAATTAACTGATAACCTCATTAGGCTGATAAATTGAGGTATCGCCTCAGGCAATCAAAGAGAACCGGTGGAGAAGCAACGAAGAGAGTGCGGGATTTATGACATCCAGAGCTAGACGTCGGAATAGACTTCTTGGAACTTTTGTTCAACGACTGAATGTGTCAAAATATTGCTTAAAATCACCATAGATAAAACATATTGTATAACCGACGTCTTCAAGATTCAATAAAATTTTACTTTCACAATAACCAATATATACAATTTCAATCCGATTTGTGGATTCTGATTCTTTCCAGTTTTTTGAATTCGATCAAATAATCCCTGAGGGCAAAATCGCTGAGATCTGGGAGTAGAAAATGTTCCAGATTCTTCTCGCTCAGGTCGATTCTTTCGCTCAGAAATTGCAATATCACAATACAAAAGTAACCCTGAAATGTGTTATATTATTTATTCTCATATTACTTCAACTTTTAAAATTCAAATTTAAATTTTCCCGCCAAAATTTAAAATTCTTGGCGTTCTGTAAGCCGGCAAAAATAATTTTTGCAGAATATAAAAAACGATATAAAAAAGTGACCTACCGTAAAATTTTGACCGAAAATGATCTGATACCCCATGAATTCTGCGAGCTGATCCATGGATAACATCCCCAGATAGCAGCGCTGGATCCAACTGCTGACCAGATGATAAAAAGGCACTTTTAAATCGTTGATGAGGTCGTTGACAACCCGGAAGCTGGGCTCGCTCAGCACTTTGTTCATAAATTGATACGTTTTCCTATGAAATTCTTCGTAAAACCCCGAATTGGACGCGAAACTTCTCGGCCAAAAAACCTGACCTTCCGGCACTCGAAGGAGGAATTCTGTGGCCAAATCGACATCGAAATCGGTTGTCAAAAGTAGCACAGATACAAAAAAATCCGGCTTTTCGGAGAGGAATTTGAAATTTTGAAGACGAGATAACAGACGCCGCCGGCTACGTTCCTTTCCCAGGCCAACTGCATAGTCCAGAAGTGGGTAAATCCAGTCGGGAATGGCAAGAGGCTGAAATAAAGAGGTTATATTGTGACTTGGAGGTTAAAACATGGACAACAAAAGGAGATATATTATTCCTTCGCTCTTATATGGGTATTATTCCACTAAATCATCATGGATATTACAATAAAACTCTTCCGATGCCCGAATTTTGTTTCCAATTTAGCCAAGACCCCGTGAAATCTCCTACTTCCGAATCCACGCTCCTCTTGACATCATGGTGCTTTACAAATCCGTCCAATAAATCCCTGAGACTCCACTCTTTTTCAGATTCTGAATCCAAAAACGTTTCCCACATCGGTTTCTGAAGCTCCGTAAAGTCGAATATCGGGAAAATAATGTTAATTCCCTCTTCCCGTGGTCGAAACAACTGTTGGATCGAGGGATTCTTGAAGTCATACAACTTTATTTCGTTGATTTCTGAAGGAGTTGCCATCAGAATCCGAAGGATCAAAAGTTTCATAAAGTCCGTGGATTCGTCCAATTTTATTCCATTTGAATGGGAGATTTGGGCGAACTGAAGATAAAATTAATTGTGCAGCTACTTGAAAGGCATTGTTACCTGTAAAAGCCTTGTCCAAATTGAGAATTGCCTACGAACTTCGATCAAGACTTCTGGATTGTACAACATCAAGGCCAAATTATATAAGAATCCGTAGTTCTTCTTCGCATATAGCTGTTTAAATCGCTCCTCCAATAAGAATCCAAAGTCCATAGATCGTAAAATCTCGGAAATGAAGTTAAAATCGAGTAGAATTATCTGAATTAAGGGGCCGTGGTCCCTCAAACTGGACGGAGCCGAGTCTTCTCGGCTTAGAAAATTTACAATCGACTTGGCCAGGAAACGCCGATCCTCAATCGAGTCTAAACCAAGAACTTGTTTCGGATGATTCGGAAAGTATTTGGCAACAAAAAAATGTTTCCCTTACTAATCTCAATTTGATGACTAACAAGATGCAGATTGCTAGAGACCAAAAATATATGGCTGTAATGTCTCCACATGATCTGACTGTGTTGTCCAATAAACAATATCCTCGAGTGCAAGATGTTTTTTGGATCAAGTCGATCGTCGAGGTTGTTCTCCATGATAAAGGATATCCCCAGATCTCGATTTTTTCGATAAATCAGCATGATCAGCTCCATGGATAAAGAAAAGATCGTATGTTGACGCCGATGAAGGCATCGTCGAACAAATTCTCTCAGCAAATCATTTTCTTCTCGATCCAATTCGGGGTTGAACTCGGATAATTTGAAAATGTTTATCAAGAATTGGACCGAAATATAAGTTCGGATGGACAAAATGGATGGGAACAGGTGAGTAAAGTAGAAATTGGCACCAGATTCCGACTAAACAAGGAATAAAGATCATTTGGAAAGAATTTCCTACCTGACTCGCTTGCAACAATGCTTTTCCAGCCATTTTTCTGATCTCTTTTCTCATCTTTTTGTCACAAAATAGGAAATTCAAAAGCGATCCAATGTGATCGATGATCACTTTCAAATCCATATGTCCAATAAGATCTTGATAACATAGAAAATGATTTAGCATGCAAAAAACAAAGCATTTCTGACATGAACTCAGATTATTGAGGTCATTTATATTAGACATGAGGTCTGGTATAATTTTGAGGAAAACTTGACGATCCGAAAAGTTGAACAGTCGCATCTTGATGAAATTAGCGTCTGGATCCATTTTACTGTAAATGGACAGGAGATCAGAGCCAGAGTTGTTTGCAGATGAAAGTAAAAAAAGATTTAAAATATTGGGCATCATCTTGGAACGGCTGGAGACCGAAAAGGACCGGTAGAAAGCGGAGGATCGGGAGAGAATCTGGTAACAAAAGTCCGAGAATTGATATCTTTCCACAGAATTCTTTTCAAAAGAAGTGTTGACAGTCGTAAACATCTCATTTATCTTATCCATGACTTCGGTCCAAGGTCGATAATCGTTTGAAGCCAGTAACTTGATCAGTAATTCCATTGATGGCTCGAATAATTGGCGATTTGGAATAATAGCGGTTAATGAATTTACTAGTCCCACTAGAGATCTGCATCTAATCATACCAAACACTGGCATCGACATTAAACTTTTGATGGCTGACTGTCTAAAATAAGGTAAAAATTGAAAGCTTGTGATGAATAGAAAGTGAGGATGGCTGTGAAAGCACTGACTTGGCCTTTGCATCCTCGTCACTGTTCAAGATTTTGATCAAGTACTCCAGTTCTTTCCCGTCGATGGATTTTATGGATTGACCGAATGACAAAACACTGGTCGCCAAGATTGTATCCGAAGATCCGGCTGACGAATAAGACGTTCTGGTCCCAGAAGAGGATCGCTGACTTTGCAATGAAATCTTATGACATATCCGGAGGATGCGGGATCTAAATTAATATATTAATTCTATCCCACATGACGAGAAAAGTAAAAGTTTTATGAATCTTCGACCAGATTTTCATAATGAAAAATGCCTCACAACTCACTTGATCCTCTTGAACTCCGGCTCCATGGCCGCAACATCACACACAGATTTGATTTTTCGTTGAATTAAAACAAAATCATCGCTGGAGTAGTGGTGGGAGGAAATATTTTGGATATTCCACGAAGAAACTCCCGACGTAGATATCGATTTCGATCTCAAACTCAGCCTAAAGCATTATTCTCAAGCAAAAGACAATTAAATCTACCTTTGAGTGAGTCCCTCTAACTCGTGTTGGCAGTTTTCCTTGACCAAATCCACCAAAGAATCGACCAAATCCTTTTTAACCCTCAATTCCCCATTGTGTCCCAGATTCTGACGGATCAACTTCTCCACTTTGGAGTCCATATTGATGTCAGAAGCTCCTTTATCCACATTCTTCTTCAGTTTCTATGGTGATTCGAGCGGAAAAACATTATTTTGGAAATATAAGGGGAAATGGGCGGAGTCAGTGCTATAAATTCAAGCAATTTTTGCAGAAATGTAACAAACTGCAAAACGGTAGTGACCTCATAAAGCCCCACTGCAAACGTAAATTTTTGACTTCAACGAACTGAAGATAATGGAATCGGAGAAGGTATATATTGCACTTGATATGATATAGAACCGGAACCTTGAATCATAATTTTACCAGCGACTGGAGGCCTTCGGCTGCGTCAAAATTCGCAAAATGGCCTAAGGTGTTCAGTACAACCATTTGAATATTTCACGCAATGTCAAAAATAAAAATCAATAAAAACTGCGACGAAGTGCCACAATTGACAATAAAAAAAATTTCGGCGCGAATTTTATCCAAGGTGTAACATAAGGTTTATATATGGCTACATCCGCTACATCCGCTGAAAATTATCTCAATCCGCCTCCAAATGTCGATCCTAATGTTACAGTTTACCACCTACTCCGGATGGCCGAAGATTTTCGAATTCGGAAGCCTCCCAAATACAAATTATGCCTCAAAAGCCTGATGGTATGTTTGATTAGATGTTCATTAGCGTGTTTTGTTCTTTTAGGCAGCCAAAAAGGTTCCATGTAACAGAGAATTAATGGGAAGAGTCGAATTTCAACTTGGGAAATGCCTCTGGTTTTACAGTAAAAACACCAAATTGGGTACCCATCATTTAGAAAACGCTGTAAGTTCCCAGTTTTTGTTTCCAACTTGTTCATTGTTTAGTATAATATCTTCAAAGAACTTGGTGATCGGTATGCATGTCTTCAAACAGTTGGTTTGCTTGGAGATATCTACCTAAATGATCAAGATTATCAAAAAGTTAAGAGTCTGTTGAAAGGAGAGATTGAGGTGTCAAAGCAATATCCATTCTACCATTCAAGGGTGCTTTTCTTGTTGGCTGATGCCTATTATCGTTCGAATGACATGGAGAGAGCATTAGAAGTTGTTAAGACTGGAGTTCATTACTTCACCGAGGTCCAGAACCCTGTAATTGTGTGTTATTTCTTGCTGGTAAAAAGTTTGGTAAGTTCAAGAGGTTTTTTTCTAAATATTTATATTGATTTAGATATATTCCACCCAATCTGGCAACTTCCAAACGCAACTGGGTGTGACAGTAGGGGAATTAGGAGAAATTCTGAATACATTGCCGGCTGATCTCCCTGAACTGGACGACATCCGAGCCTTTTGTTACACTATTCAACTCTCTTTTTTCTTGTCCGTCGGATTGGTAAGTTACTTTTTGGTTTAAAATTTTTATCATTTTAGTATAAAAACGGCCGAAGTTGTCTAGGCCATCTTCACAATGCAGTCCAATCGGCTTCGAAGAGAGAAATGAATCCAAAACCTCACTTTAGATGGCTGAATTCAGAAATGTTAACAGCTGTTGCTTATGTCTTTACAGTTCTGACGAATGTGCATTTGAATAACATGGACAGAGCTCAGCGTTACTATCAGACCTCGATCAAGCATTTTGAGACCCTTAAACATTGCTGGGGAAGATCTGTTTGGGCGATTATCGAGAGATCGCACGAATACTTGGCCAAGAACTTGGAAATTTTGGTGTATCAGGAGATTGCACCTACGTATTTGATCAAGGGAGACTCTGAGAATTGCCTGTTTTGTGTAAGTAGGAAATGTTTGTTTTTTGCTGTGAATGATTACATTATAACTGGATACATTTTTTTCATTTTATGCTTTAGGTATCAAGGTCGTTGGATTTAATGATGAAGGATCAAGTTTTGTTTAATAATTTCAATGCCCAGGTCCACTGTACATTAGGAATGGTCGCTTGTTTCCATCGGCGCTTCAAAGAAGCCGAGTCTCAATATACGATAGCTGCAACGGTATGTTATTTTTTATTCATTGGTTATAACAAGGAAGCATTTATCTTTCAGACGGCCAATGATCTCGATCTCAAGTTATTCAGCTATCTGAGTATGGGTCTTATCTTCCTTTACACGGGAGATTCGGTAAATTATTATGAAATGTGCGGGAAAATAACCAACTTCCAATCAAATTCGAAGAATCTAAAGGCGATATTGTGTTTAGTTAATGCATTTAACTCTTATATACATGGCAAAGTGGAGGATAGCAAGTAAGTTGACATTAATGTAACCTAAAGTAATAATGTAAACAGCAAAAAAATTGAAACATTTAATTTTACCATTACTGTTTTCAGAGGACACATAGCGCAGTGTCTAAACATCTCCCGAGACGAAGACATGGGTAGGATCCAATCCCTGGCCTCCCTTTTGTCATCTACTTTATTCAAGGCCCGAGATGTGGATGCTTTTTCCGCCGGCATTAGTTGGGCAGACAAGTTGTCTGATGGCTCTCTAAAGTTGTGGGGATACTCTCAGATGCTTGGTAAGTTATTCCTTGTAGTCTGACAGTACTATTTTTTATTTTTTTCAGAAAATGCCAAGGTTACCCAAAATGAAGAGAATTTTAATCAGGCAAACCAACAAATCGCTGTGTTAAAGGCATCTTTGGCGGAAGATCGAAGCAAAATCAAGTCAAACAAGGCTTTCTCTCTCATCACATGGATCTCAGATCAACTTCCCAACTAACCAGTCTACTTTTAAAAACTTTTTTACCTATTTAGCAGTACTGTAGATTCTTTTATTGTTTTGTGGTGTTCAATAAACCCAACCCTTTGTAATTCGCAATGCAATTTGGAGGTTGTTTTCCAATGCTTTACTACCTTAGAATCGTTGGAATTCGAATGCGTTGGACAACTTTTATTAACTTAATGTTATCCTTGATACTCTAGGCGGAGATGGGTGAAGTTTCCATCCAAGAAAAGGTGCTGCGGTAAGTGTGTAGTCCGTCCATGTTTGGAGAGAAATGGAGTATTTTCAGGAGTTCCATATGCCACACCAGTATCAGAGATCACTACGTTATCCTTGTCCCGGAAAGCGGGATTTTCATGGCCGGTCAGTTCAAATTCCAATGCTTATATGGGGATGTTGATGTGAGTGGATTCAAAGCCGAAGGCGCTACCTATGATCCGGAGGGATTTCATTATGTAGCCGTCCATAATATGGGGAATGTCCCTATTTTATTCAAACCATACAAAGCTGTCAAATTGAACATGGAATTGTTAAAAGAGAGATTAAAGGCTGTGATGGAGAGTGTCTCAGATGAAATTACCCAGAATATTACCTCATATGGAGGCAGTATCGCCGTTTTGTTGGTGAATGTGAAGATCGATTTCAGTGTTTCGTATCTTATGGATAGATTGGGTGATGTAAGTGATGAGTTAAGGTTCATATCTTGCGTAATTTAGATATTCCGACCGACAGACCGATACAAACGAGTGAGAATCGCGAGAGAAGCTTACATCGTCTACGAACATCTGAATAATATGAAGGTTTGGACATACCCTGAGGTCACAATCGATGAGAGTCAGCTAAGTGGAATAATAAATAAAGTGAAGCAGAACAGATGGAGAGAGACAATTGTACTAACAGGAGCGAAGGGAGTCGGAAAATCAACTATCGGCAGATTTTTACTCAACAAGTTTGTCAAATTGTAAGTACAGGGTGTTTCAAGAAATTCCCCGGAAAGTAATTGCCGATTTCTCGGCGCTCAGTCAAGTTATCCAAAAAATTTATTTTGCATGATAAAGAAGAATACGGGCGGTTTTTTGCCTGTGAAAATCATTTTCTCCGCCAACGCGGAAAGCAGGGTGTTCGGCGGAGACTTTTGGGCACTTTTTTGGTCATCACATCCATCTAAAAAGCTTATTTGTGGTTTCTGATGGTTGAAATGAGGATTTTTGCTAATTTTTGTGTTTATCAAGCGTTCGGCGAAGGTACGGAAGCTGCTCGCCGTCTTAACTCAGCTATGGACAAGAAATGGCCCAACACAATTCTTACGGTCTGGCAATCGTTCTCTGCAGGTGTCGTAAACCCTCAAATATTTTGTCGCCAAGCCTTGTTAGACGTTTAGCCATCGAGAAACGACTTGGTTCACTGGAAAACAACAAAATATTTATCGTTTAAATTTCTCTTTGCCATGCTGTTCCAAACATCCGCACGGTGCGCTCCAACTTTATCGACGTTGCAGCGACTGCATTGCACCGTGCAGTTGCTAAATCGGATCGCATAGCATTGTAGCCGGCCATCTATCCATCGTGCAAAAAATTTAAAGACTTTCTGGATGCTTCAGTGCCGCAATAAAGCATTAAAAATTCGTGTGATGACCAAAAAAGCGCCCAAAAGTCTCCGCCGAATACACTGCTTTCCGCGTTGGCGGAGAAAATGATTTTCATAGGCAAAAAACCGCCCGTATTCTTCTTTATCATGCAAAAGAAATTTTTTGGATAACTTGACTGAGCGCTAAGAAATCGACGATTACTTTCCGGGGAATTTCTTGAAACACCCTGTATATCTGAAAAATGCGAAAATTATTGCTGTAAATTCTTTACTATTTTGACTATTATAGAGGCAGACCCCTCTATTTATACGACGGGGATCTCGGACAAGCCGAATTAACTCCAATGGGATGCCTTTCGATCAACAGAATTACCAAACCTATCTTCAGTAGGCTTATTTTGTATATATTTGGCTGAACCAAGTATAATACTGGGCTATTTTGGATACTAAACTTGCAGGTCTTCCATTTCTCCATCAGCCAACGTATTTTGAAGACGAGTGTATTTTTATGGGATCGTTGTCACCAGGATCAGAGCCCCATGTCTATCGAAAGCTAACCCATTATCTTGTCCATCGATTGGAATCTCTGATCGAATCGGATGCTATTTTGATTGTAAATACAATGGGATGGATCGATGGTAAGTTTAACATGCAATAATATTTATTTAAACACGGTTTCAGGTTTGGGAAGAGATCTCAACTTGGAATTGATTGCGTCCGTCCGACCTACAGTAATCTTGAATTTCGACGGTCCCACTACTTTCAATGTAAACTTAATTTTCGTTTTAAAGTGTTAATTGTAGCTGAGAGATCCCCGAATTCCTGACAGCACTCATATTTACAAATATTGCCCGCCAAGTCGTCCAAAGTGAGAATTATTTCACATCTCTCATGGTGAATATAAATTTTAGTTTCAAATCAAGTCAAGACGTGACTGCACCGGCATGGAGAGATTATACAATGACTGGATACCTCGCGAATTGTCTCAATGATGAGAAATTGGGAAAACTGGAGATCAATCGGACCCTGGCCAACGTTATGGCCAGACAAGTCAGCTTCAATCGAGTGGGCATCTTTATTCATCCAGAACGAGGAAGAATCGCCGAGAGTATGATCCTAAATGCACTCAACTGCTCGGTAGTAGCGCTGTGTAAACTTGTTTATCAGCAAGAAGGAAATGTAAGACTATTTTTGCATGTGTAACACTTATAAATTAAAAGACGATTTCTGATTCGTCGAATCAGCACATTGTAAAAAAATGGTATCCTGATGAAGATTTTGGGAAAAATATTGTTCAATTTTGCTTACAATTAGGACTTTACAACAGCCATTTTGATACAAAAAAACTCAAAGTCGATTTTTTCGTATGTCTACGCCTAGCTGACAGATGCACTGACTCAGCGATCGTCTTTTAAGGTGATTACTAGTAATTAGTAATGAAATTGCAGAAGGTTAATACAGTCCGTGTCAACCAAGACCCCTCTCTGCCCCCAATCCTCTACCCAAACCCCTTGGACCCCCCAATGCTGAGATGTTTTGGCTTCGGATTAATTCGATCAATATCCCCAGAATTAAAGCGCTATTACGTAATCACCCCAGTCCCAGCCGAAGTCTGTAGTCAGGTGGAAGTCTTCGCTTTGGGAGACAGGATTAACACTCCGAAATATGTTTTCGATAAAGACGTAAGTGGGGTCAGAACTGGCGATAAGTCGTGATAGTGGTCTTGGATAAGATAAATTGGGTGTGACACAGATACTGGCTTATTTTTATGCATTGAAGGGACCATTGGCAGCTCCGCCACCCCGACCATCGAGCTCTAGATCTTCTAGTAACCTGTCTTCAGGACCCCGACGCTCCCTACCTCGTCCGCCCTCGTCCTGGTCATCAGGCCTCTAGAGAGCGCACAGAACTCATCCGAAAATTATACGATGGATTCAGTAACATCACTGCACTTAAGGCCTCCAACCGCAGTAGGAAACGTCAAGGATCGCCGGGTCCAAGCACTAAACGTTTCAAATAGTAGAATGTTGGAGTAGTAATTGTTAAAATAATTGTTGAGATTTGTTCGGGTCCCGTTGTTAACACTTACTATTTTCAATTCCGAGTGCCTTTCGTATTATTATTTGTCATATCAGTAAATTTTGATTCAATTTATTTGAAATCTCAAAGTTATCCACCTTTAAATCGTTCCTGCCACGAAAACTTTAGCGCCAAATTTTTTGTTCAAATCTTTTTCGGGATTATTTTATTTTTTTATTTCCAAAATGTCGAAATTATGGAGCGAATTTGAAATCAGCTTCCAGAAATGGCTGAGAGCGATGGCTTCGTTAGGTGGGAGTAAAAATTTTAGATGTTATATTGTTTTAGGGTCTCTATCACACATCATAAAATATCTTGGCCTAAATCATGTCAGTGTCACTGAAAATCCTCGACTTTTCCAATTGGTACCAAAGAAGTACGTTAGATTAATGTAGTTTAAGTAGTTTTTAGCAAAGTCATTGGCTTTGTTTGCGTCTCCAAGAACGAAATCGATCTCGGGAAAGGAAAGGTCGAATCTAATTGTTTTCTACCAGTTGTAAGTTTGGATACTCTTGTTTTATGTTTAGAATGTTGAGAATGCGGACTTGAGCATTGGATTGTTGAATATTCTGCTTGGATCGTTCGGGCGGTCTGGATTGGGACCAATTTTGGAAGAGTATTCAAGTGATTTTGATATCCACAGCTATGTTAATGTAAGTGAACTATTTCTTGATATTGATTATGGTTTTCAGTGCTTTCGTCCTCAGATTATAACTCCCGTTGCCTTTGCGCATAACTTCACAGCCCGGTGAGCCTTAGTTTTTTTTATGTTTACCTAGTTTTAGGCAATTCCCATTAGATGATGAAGAACAATATGTCAATTTTATACTGGCTAAGGGCGGGATAAATTTTCTGATAAATCGAGATGGATCGAAGACTGAGTTGAAGAAGATGGAACCTGAAAAAATGTTCTCATTTTTGAAGTCCAAGCATTCTGATGTTTATATTGTTTTTGAAGACGTTTTGAAAGAGAAATCTGATGCTCTGGAACTGGAAAAACAAGTCATTAGTGAATTGAGGGAAGCTCCAGCGAATCAGTCTCTCTATGATCCTGATATGACATTTGAGGACCTCAGTGACATGGAGAAATTGGCCAAAGAATTGGAAATGGCCGAACAATTCGAGCTCAGCTTCTCTGATGGGCAAAAGGTAAGGTACACTTATGTGTGTCTTGATTTTAGGAAAGTAAACGTCATGAGGAGTCAGAAAACGAGACGAAAATCAAGAAATGCGAAGAAAGGATCCTGGAATTACAGAAGGCAATAGCTGAGATCAAGATGATGTAGGTATCCAATATCAAGTGTAATTTTCTTTTCAGAGTTCCCATTACGTACTCTGAAGTATATGATACGAAGACTTTATACACTCACAAGGATTATCTCGAGTTTTTGCAGTTTTACAAGAGGACTGGGGTTATTGTACGGCGATTTTTATTATTTTTCGTCATGGTTTTTAGATTTATTTTGGATTTCTTTAGAAGACTCCTCAAATATTACGACACACAGGTGTTGGGAAGAGTCCTATGAGCATGATCAGGAAGAGAAAACGGCATGCATCAGGATCGTCGGTGTTCTCTGACTTGTCAAATGTGTCTGAATCTACTGTAAGGTCAAATAATACTTTAAATCAATCAGCTCGAATGTCATCATCGAGCACTCCCAAGTCACGTATTTCCGTTGGTGTGGTATCAAAGAAGATGAAGACGACAGAGACTCCAAAACGAACTGATAATCGAAGGAAATCAGGTCTCAGAGAGGATGCAAACACTACTTCGCAGTCTGTAAGGCGGTCCAAGAGAGGAATGAAGACCTGAATGGCCCGTTATAAATAATGTACATAATAAATATATTGTCCTCAAATTAGTCAGTAGAATCTCTGTTTTTTAGAGTTCCGTATTAGTATAATTCTTGTATCCCCCTTTTTCTATCACCTATTTTTTGATCCCGTGAAGAGTTTTTTGAATAAACAGGGATCGTTTTTTCACGTGGTTATTTGTTGTATTGAATGGTTCATCGCCAAACGGTATCTTTTTTGTCCCGTGTTTTCGAATGACGCATTTCCAATTTTTCACTGGAACAGCGAGTGCCCTTAGGGTTTGCGGAAGCAAAATTGAATAAGGGGTTTATATACGTGGAATTTTTAAATTTATGATTTTCCCAGAATAGCTGCGAATTTTATATCCGCTGTACCTAGTCTAACATAATTGTGCTTTTCGTACGCGTTTCTTTTATCCCACCTGAAATGTCTGGCTTGTATGAGCGAAAGCCCCTCCCCGCAGAGTTTCGAAAGGGTCTGGTGGTCGGGGAGTGAGTCCCTTCGCGTTTATTTCCCTTCTTTTTCCCTTCCCCCAGCCAGTCGGAGAAGAATATCGATCGTTTCGCCGCTCCTTCTGCGCCTTATAATCTTGTAATTTGTTATAATTTCTGTTGTAAAAATAAAGCGCTTTATCTGCCTTCCACATCGCTTGATTCGGGCTTGATTTGGACAGAGAATTTGCATAAAATTAATTCTTTATCGACGGAAAAATAAACTGATTTACTCTACGGATTTGACCGCGAACCGGTTGCTTCCTCGTCTCCAACGCCAACTCGAGCTGTTTTCAGGGAACATGACGACTGACGACAACGTCAAAGTCGAGGATTACAAGTAAGTTTAGTCCGTTTTGTTATTGGTATCTGATTTTAGGAACTCCCTCAAGGAATTGACCGGCAATCACAAGTTGAAGATCAATCTGCTCACCATCCTTGCCGATGATTACTCGGATTGTAGCCAACAAATCGTCGATTGTGTGATTGAATCGGCTTTTCAGGTGAGAATTGGGGTTTATTGATTTTTGAGGTTTTTTTATGAAATACGTGGCAATCTTGAATATATTTTATGTTTTGTTAGCGAGTATCGGGCGTATTAAGAATCAGGTTATTGTTTTATTGGGAAATAACAGAATTTAATACTTCTCTTATATATTGTACTTGATACCCAAAATCTGCAATGTTAATTTTTTCTGTTTCAGGCTCCTCCTCCCCTCAAATTGGTGCACCTGTATCTGATCGACTCAATTTCGAAGAATGTCGGCGCCAAAGGCGGTTATGCCATCAAGTTTTCGAACAAGATCGCCGATTTGTTCGTCCACGTCTTCCTTCAGGTGATTCTCTCTCCCAGATCTCTGTTTGTTATCCATTATTTTTTGAAAAGAGAAACTCCGGTGGTTTTTATTCATCCTGGTCGAGGGGTCCCTTGAAGGGTACCTTGACCGGGAATTTTGATCAGGGTTTAGGTATTTTTATGGACGAATTTGGATGGAACAAGATCAGAATGGGCATTAACAGAGCTTGGAAGACGTAAAAAAGAGAATATGAGAGATAAAAGAATTGAATATCGATTGGAACTCCCATTAAAAGAGTCTTTAAGACCAAAAAAAGATGGAGAATATAAAAAAATGAAGAGATGTGAATAATATCATGTGAAAAGAGATAAAAAGAAGTGAAAATATCGATTATAATGTTACCAACTCTGTCATCTGTCGCCCGATCAAATCCGAACCCGATCTGGATATTATCCATGACCAAACAAGGACGGAAGGACTCCAGATTACTTTGTTTTTCTCACGTTTCTGGGGAAATACTTTTGTTTTACATTAAACAGAGAGATACGATCCCGACTCGTCTCGAATTCCATTTCTTTACAGTAGTTTTGGTTTGAATTTCTTGGATTCTGAGGTTTTGGGAAAGGTGCACGGATTTCTGGCCTTTCTCAGGAAGAAAATTGACTGTGTGTGTATGATTGAGTTAATTTTGTGGGAAGTGGGAAGATAAACTTATTTGTGATGGGTGGAAGACATTGTTTTAGATAAAGTAGAGTTAAATTTATATGATTTTAACTTTTTTTATGTATTTGGTGAGATTATTAGATAAAAAACTTATTTTTCATTAGTATTTTGACTAATATCTTTTATGAATAGAAACTTCTTTTCTTTTTTGAGTGATTTGTTTACTGTGGAATCTACAGTAAAGCACCGGATCGAGCACAACATGGGCCCTTACTCTTACCCTCATCTTTCCCTGCTCCTATTCTTAGTCCCCAAGCCGATGGATGGAACCCCGATCTGCAATGGCCCATGTTTTGTGATCCTCGCTTCTATAAACACTGACTTTATTCTTGTTTTTTGATGAAGAGATGGTTGTTTTTCTAGGCAAATCTCGGCGTTGCCGTTTCAGAATTTATTTCCCGGTAGCAGTCTAAATTCTTCCTTGTTTGGACCCAAATTTTAGAGAAAATTCCCCGGAGTTCTCCTCAAATTTTAATGGATATTATAGCTTTCCACGCATGCTCAAATCTCTTCTTATCCTTATAATTCCAGGCCGATGACAAGACGCGGGGCGCGATGTACAAGCTGCGCAACACCTGGGTGAACGTCTACCCGCGGGGCAAACTCTACATGATCGACTTGAAGATCCACGAGCTGGACAACAACTGGCCCGTGCACTCGTTGTCCACTTCCGGGGCTCTTTCGACCACCGCTCCTCGTCCTCCCAACCCACGACCCCCGCAAACAGCTCAAACCACGATACATGTGAACCCAAGGTTCATCGAAAGAGCTCAGAATCCCCCACAGAAACTGGTGTCTCCGCCAAAAACTGATGTCCCGCAGACCAAGAATGAGGCCCCAAAAACAGTGCCCAACAATCGGTCCCATTTCACTGATTCTCAGTCGTCAATGGCATCAACCAGCTCGTCATCATCAACAAAGTCGGCCGATTCCCCGTTAAAGGCGCCCGTTACGATGGGCGCGGCATTAAAAACACTTGGAAAGGTGGGTTTGGGGGAAGATTTGGGTATTGTAAAAATAATTTTAATGTTTTTATGTAAAGTATATTGTTTCAGAAGAAAGAAGAGCCCCAAAAGATTGCCCCCAAAGTGGTTGAGAAGAAGGCTGTTGCGCCAAAAGTGAAGAAGATCTCAGATCTCGGGCCTATCCCCAGGAAAAAGGTGGAAATAAAGCAAGAAGTAAAGGAAGAAGTCGATAAGACGTAAGTTTTTTTTGTCAATTGTAAATCCTGCTTTAGGACGGAGAAAATCAGAAAAATCAAAAAGGAAATCACAAAACAGCGAAGGGAATCGCCGACGGGAGTCCCAGAGAAGAAGAAGAAACTCCCGCCCAAGGGGATCCCAGAAGTGAGGCAAGAGAGGGGAGAGTCGTGGAAGATCCCCCAAAACAGTAGATCCGAGCCGAGAAGACCCATTCAAAACAACCATATCAACCGCCCTCAAGCATCGGCCTCTCCTCCAATCTTGGTCCCAACCGCCGCTCCAGGGTCCCATGCTTTTAATTTGCCCCCTCAGCCGCCAATCTCCAGGGCCCCTCCGGCACATTTCCCCCCGAATCCGAACTATGGGCCAAGACCCCCATTCAATGGGACCCCTCCATTTGGAGCCCCTCAGTTCTCAGGCCCTCCTCCGCCCTTCTTCAACCCTCCAACTTCAGCCAATTCCACTCCCATCAGTGTTCAGTCACTACCTCCAAATCCAGGAAACCCTATGCCCGCACATATCAAGAATGAAACACCCAGACTCCCGAATGTCCCAGGAAACAACAGAATATTTGTGGATGGAAAGGCCTACGAAGTAAGTGGATTTATTAAAATTTGAGGAACTTTTTTGAACAATTATATATTGTTTTAGGTGATATATCTGGAAAACGAAGCCGTAATTGAGAGAAACGGGGTTCCCCATCGTATATCGTTTTGTGGCCCAGCCCGTGACGTCATAATTGATGGAGTCGCCCATCGAATGGCCTTTGGGGAGACGAAGGAAGTGAACATTGATGGTCACATTCATCGATTAAGATTCGGTGCCCCCTCCCGAGAACTGTACATGGGGGATTTCCCATTTAAAGGAGCCTTCGGAGGACCTCCAATCATGGCCACGATCAATGGGAAAAGGCATGAGATCAGATTGATGGGACCCCCACCCGAAGTTAAAATCGACCAGGACCCTTGTTACGAATTGATGAGACACATGCAAAATGCACGACAGAACGATGGGAAAAAGGAGGAGAAGAAGGATATGAGCATCACTGAACTCCTGTCCAAACTTCAGAAGTCGGGAGTTTTGAATCAGATCGGGGACAAGGCCAAGACTCCTCCTGCCAGCTCTCCCATCCCGGCCTCGAGAAAGAGCCCGTCGCCAGTCTCGGATGAACCCATTATTCCAAGCAAAATGAAGTTGGATAAATCCGTGGAATTAGATGCCCCAGCAGTGTCATTAGCTGAGTTTGGAATCGAGCAGCTTCAAATGTAAGTTTATTTTATATGATACATGATGATTAAAATTCTTTTGAGTTGCCGGAGATTGAATAATAATTGTACTTTAGGAGGTACAAGAGTGTCACAAGAGACCTTTCCGAAAAGAGATCGGCTTGTCCAGATTGTGGAATCGAAATCGAAAAAATGGATTCGCCCGAGTACAGAAGGCATTTGGATGGTCACCTCCAGTCCGAACTGAACGCCAAGCAAGAGAATGCGGCAAATGTGAGGACGCGACCGGCTTATCAGAGCGAAGAGGTAAGAATATTGAAATTTTAATCTACATAATACCTAAGAGATTATATTATTTTAGGTAAAAAACGGTAATTTTTTGAAGGATAATAATTGTGACTGTTTCAGGAGTTCATTGCCTACTCGGAGACGGAAGAAGTGAATCATCCCCAGATCTCACCTGAAGCCGAAGAGAAAATGGAGATTGGAGATGAAGAAGATCAGGGAAGGGATGTCCTATCTAATGAAACGGAACTCAGAGAATGCTCCGAATGTTGTGAACCCTTCGAGGAATACTTTGACCACGATTCGGATGAATGGCGACTACGGGATTGCATCATTGTGGGCGATAAGGTAAGATATTTATACTGTAGTCATACACTCGATGAACTAATTTTCGGCAAAAAATGAGTTGCATATACTAAACTTAATTTTGTTTCAGGCCTTCCATCGAGCATGTAAAATGGACGTACCCACCAGCACCGTGTAATCGACGATCTCATCTTTTCTTTCCATCGATGGATTCATCCATTTTTAGTCATTTTTCTTTCTTTTTTTTAAATGGTCAAGCTTTTATTGGTTGTGATTCCCACTCCTCTAGGTCTGTATAAATTGTGTTCGGGTTACTGCACTCACAGTTGGGTTACTGTAGTCAGGTCGGCATGGATAACAAACATATTTATTTGGTGATAGAAAACAGAAAACAAAAGAAACCGGTTGTCCCCTCTCCGTCTCTCTTCTCTCCCTGATGTCTCTCCTTGATTCGTCTCCCATTATCATTGGTTTTATCTGCTCCTTTCCACCTGAACATACGGCTATGTCAAGTTTTGTTTCGTATCTTAATAATATTAACATAGAAATATGAAAACATAATAAAATAACGACTTTCAAGCGTTTTGCCACAGATTTCAGCGAGCAGAGAGCCTCCCTCCGTTCCATCACCGAGCCCGTTCCCCAAAGACAGACCATTTTTCCTTTTCTTTTTGTTGTTTTTTTTAATAATCGTATTTTAATAAACAAAAAACATAAGCCGTTGGATTGGTATCTGAATTCAGAAGCGTCGCAGTCCACTTCTCCAATATTTTTTTTTCAAATACGTTGATTCGGGCTGTTTTTATATCCTTTTCCCCTCCAAAATGCGGATGGAGAGAATGGATATTACAACTCCATTTTGAAACCCAATTTGTCAATTACTGAGTTGGTCATCAAAATTACTCGTTTTAGAAACAACTTTCCTAAAGTAATATAATTGAAACAATATAATTTTTGATGTGGAATAAGCTGACCCAGTTGCTTTTCTGATCCCTATTTTTTCGGCCAAATAAACGGAAACGTGTCGCGAGATTCCAATTTTGGAGCATTTCCTCCGGGGAAAACACCAATTTTTTCCAGTGTTCGCTTTATTTTTCATAAATGACTCATTCAAACGAGAATTTGGTTGCTGTAAAACCCATCCGAGGAATTAAAAATGAACTTCCTGAGATGGGTAACATGTTTCTCAGCGTTTTGTATAAAGTAATTCAGCTGTTCAGATGTAAATAAAGATGGAAGTACCCCTTTTCCGGTGAACAAATCTCCCCCAACCCCTCTAAAACAACATTTCTGACGTTTTCCACGTTTCTTTTCGTTACGCGGCCGGAGCGTGGTTTCCTAGCAAAGTGTTCCCATTTCCGACCTCAAAAATAATAAAATCTCGAGCATAATATCGACGCCATTCCGCTGGAACTTGATCCCCCGACTTGATTTGCAGATATCTGATCCCGGGACCGGTTCATTCATCGATTGGCGCCAGTCCTGACTGAATGTCGGCATCCCCACCGACCTCAGAGCCCCCGACTTTGGTTGTTTCCTCTTCTGCCGGGACCACCGAGCCCACCGCAACTACAACTACTACGAATTCAGGGAATAAGACGAGTGCTACTGGACCAGCCGAACCTCCGCCACCATATCAGGGTGAGTTGAGAGTAATTTTTAATTTAATTTTTTTGTTTGACATCACTAAGGTAATATCGATCATGCATTTTTTTAATTGATGTTGGAGTAAAAAACTGTTAGTTGTGGAACAGTCTATAAGACTCCTAGATGAGATTTTAAAATTATTTTACAGTCTTAGCTATTCCCTGAAATATTGATATCTGTTTTGGGTTTAATACTCATCATGAAAAAAAAATCATTTTTTGTCTACTTTAATTAATTCAAAACTTACGTCATCATTTTTTCAGAGAAGATGACCTCCCCTCCATCCCAAGATCCCTCTTGGTTCTCCACTTTTACCGGTCAAGCAGCAGCTCCCCCTCCAGCCGGCTCTAATATTGATGGCCAAGCCCTTCCCAACGTTGGATTCTCGGCCCAATCGGCCCTTGGATGGGTGGGAGAACGCCGTTCCAACCTCCGAGGATGGGCTGAGTTCTTCAAGACCTCCAAATTCGGTCTTCCCGGCGGTCCTTCGGCTCTAGTCCCTCGCCTTCAATATAATCTCGGCTACTTCTTCAGCAATTATTTGTGCATCTTCATACTGCTGCTGGTCTATTGTATCTTGACTTCATTTGTGATGTTGTTGGCGTTGATTGCGTTGGGAGGATTGATCTACACGATTAGACAGAGGACTTTAAAGGGTCCGGTTGTGCTCGGAGGACATGAAGTAAGTTGAACATTACAGTAACCGGATTTTTTAATTTTGTGGGATTGTGGCCCACAAAATTAGTCGAAGGGTTTCACGAAATTTGACAGAAATTTCTGACAGATTATGACCTAATTTATATTGCACTCCCTTTAGATACCGCCAAGTCTCCTTTACACCCTGGCCATCATCGTTTGCATTCCCTTGTTCGCGATGGCCGATGTTGGGAACGTAATGTACTGGGTGGTGGGCTCCTCAATCTTCCTCATCTTCCTCCACGCAACTCTCTACGAGTCCGAAGAAGTGCCCGGATCCGAGTTTGAGGTGGTGACGGTGCAATAAAACGGGAAACTACCGTAATCCTCATGGTTTTCTATCGTAATCCTCCCCGGTTGTATCCCATTTCTGTCGATATTCTCCGCTCTTGTCAGTCCTAATTTATTCCCCAAACATAATCATTCGAATTAGAAGCCCGTTCGGAGGTCGGTCCGATCTCCGATCTTCTCCTTTCCCTAACTGATTACTGTAACATATTCACCATGTTGGCCAATAAACTCTGTCCTTTGAGACCTATTCGGCTTCTATCGACGAGTTGTGTGCTCAAGAGGAAGGCGGGACGAAAGTCGGGAGGAAGAAGACCCATCTCCGACTTTGGATTGGTAAGGATGCTGCAATGTTTGAGGGAAAACAGAGTCAGTGGGTTGGAATGAAGTTACTGTAGTCTCAAGGGCCTAACGGTCTATAAAACAATTTTTGAGAAGTCACTAGAAGCCTACGAAATTACTTTACTACATAATAAAAAGATTGGAATCAAACCCTTCATATGCACCGATTATACACAAAAATTACAGGCCGGTCTGACCAAGTTGACCATCCCCAAGCAGGACATTCATCATGCTCGTCCCATGGAGCCGATCAATTATGAGAAATATGAGAGAAAGGATGTCCCCTACCCCAAACAGATCACCGCCTATCTGGACAAACATGTCATTGGACAGGAAATGGCCAAGAAAACGCTGGCTGTGGGCATCTATCAACATTACAAGAGACTCGAGCACAATGATGAAATCAGATTGGAAAGAGAGGTATACGATAGTGTTACAGTAAACCTCCAAAAATTATAGTTGTCACAACTTGGCGGACTCAGCAAGAAGGGAATCATCATTGGAAGTAAGAACACATCCAAGGACGCGGACACTTTGAATGACATGCTGGATGAGTCGGTAATATTTGATTATATTGTACTTGATTAGCCAAAATTTTGTCCTTGCAGAAGAACCCTCAATTCCTCGACAAGTCCAACATTGTGCTTGTCGGTCCCTCTGGTGTTGGCAAAACCTATATTACCCAACGTTTGGCCGCCATCTTGGATGTCCCCTTCGCTTATTGTGATTGCACGGTGCTCACTCAGGCTGGATATGTGGGGGATGACGCTGACACGGTCATCCAGAAGCTACTTCAGAACGCGGATGGCGATGTGGAAAGGGCCATGGCAAGTTCCTTATATCCGATATCCTTATAGCGTTCGTTTTTTGTCATGGTTAATATAATTTTTTCCATCCTCCACCTTATTTGGGCTAATTCCAGCGGGGAATTGTATTTCTCGACGAGTTTGACAAGATTTCCTCATCGGTGGACCCAATCCATTCGGCCAATGGGTTCCGCGACGTCTCTGGAAGGGGAGTTCAGCAGGCCCTGTTGAAGATTGTGGAAGGATCCGTGGTCAGAGTCAAGAATCCGTACACTCAGGGGGCCAAGATCGAAATTGACACATCCGACATTTTGTTTGTGGCCTCAGGCGCCTTCAACCAGCTGGATCGGATGGTGGGAAAACGGATGAATAAAAGATCGGTGGGATTTGGAGCGGACGTCACAAATCATGATGAGGATCTGTTGGGGGATGATGAAGTGGCCGTGGCCAGGAAACGGGACGAACTCCTCATGAAGGTGGAGCCATCGGACCTTGTGACGTGAGAGAATTGAGTCGATTGTAAATCATATTGATTCAGATTCGGAATGATCCCCGAATTGGTCGGCCGTTTCCCAGTGGTGGTCCCCTTCCAAAGTCTGGACCAGCAGCAGTTGGTTCGTGTCCTCAAAGAACCCCCCAACTCTCTGATCAACCAGGTCACCCGTCAATTCCACATGGATAACATCAAGCTCAAATTTACGGACGGCGCTCTCTCAGCGATCGCTCAAGAGGCTGTTCAGCGGAAAACGGGCGCCCGTGCCCTCAGGGCAATTATCGAGCGAGTGTTGTTGGACGCGAAATACGAAGGACCGGGCTCGGAAGTCACCGAAGTTATCATCACAGAAGAGGGCATCAAGAACGGAGGTTTCTGTGGGGTCACCAAAAAAGCAGATAAGAACACTTGAGGCAGATAAACTTAAGACTGATTACTTTGGAGTGGAATTATTGTACAATGTAACCTAAAACGACAAGTCTTCATTTGCAGCAAACTTTATTCCAAAATGCAGAGTATATACAATTTTTACATGTCGTCCAGCTCTTTTACAGTTTCCTCCAGGATTTCCTTTACTCGGGACATCAGACCATCTTTAACCAGATCGATTCCCTCAGGCAATTCCATCCCCACCTTGAGTCGATTATAGGTTTGATGGATGACGTCGGCTTGCTAAAAACCAAAATGACAATTATCAAGGGGGACCTACCTCCAAAGTGCTATCGGTGAGAAGATTATGAAGAGCGGATAAAGGATCGCTCATTAAGGTATCCACTTGAGCTCCTTCGCCCAGAAGCTCTTCCAAATTGAAACGACGAGCCAATAGGGGATTAAACTATAAAGAAATTAGGTTACGCAGAGCCAACAGTCGGTATCTGTTATAACATACTTACATCTTGTTCAAAAGGTTTTATCATAAAGGCGTGATGATTGACCAGTCTGTGAACGCAGAACAACGCCTCCAGACATTCATTCCTCACCAGATCGCTTTGACAGAGCTCCTCCAACTCGGCCATCTGATTAACCGTCACTTTTATATTGGCAATATTATTCTGAGGCTGAGTGAAGAACAACGTATATGTTAAATAGATTCCAAACACTCGATCCTAAAGGAATAAGAAATAATGATAAGAGTTACCTTGAGAAGTCGTTGTTTCCGACATGGCTGAATCTTCGCAAGTTCGTTGGAGTTGGTGGTTTTGACATATTTGGGGACATTATTGTTTGAGATCAAAGTGAAAATGAAACTGGACGAATATAGGAGAAGGATCTCGGAGAACTAAAGGAAATAAAAAATTACCTTTTTACTTACTTCTATCAAATCCGCGGCATTCATTCGACCGAGAAATATTGTAGAGAACTCGCGATTGAGGAAACAACTCGAGAAATCGCGGTAACTCCAGGTCGGGGTCTTCAGAAAGTCCTCATGAAGAGTGTCCACATCAGCCACCAGTGCCGACAACACTCGTTGTTCATAGAACTTGACGTTTTCTGTCCTGCCATCAGTGGGCTTCCTTTTCCCTATACTTTCACTTCTTTTTCTCCTTTTTCGGAGCGATTTACTGGAAGATGGCTGTGGATAATCTGGATCTGACATTACAAAAAAGCAGGTGCTAGAAAACGTAGTACTCAAAAAAGAAGTTAGTATTCAACCAATAAATTCCTGAAAAAAAAAAATATATTTTTTATTATGTATTTCCGCAGCTTGCGCCCGACCTTTCAACAATGGCCGAGAAATATGATATGCTTGGAAAACGGGCAAAAAATTGGGAACAATAAGTCCTGAGAGAAAATACGATTAGATAAATGAATTTGGAGACTTGAGCTCTATTGTGAGCACAACTGGAGCGGTTGATTCAATTGTGAGAGTACCATCCACGACCTCATTACAAGAGCTGATAAGACCACCGTACTCAAACTTCTCATCGGTCACATTCCACCGGAATCCAGTAGTTGTGACTCGAGTTTCGGTTTGACAAATTGGGAGGATTCCACACTTTCCGGTGATCTTCTCTTTATCTGTGGAGATCCGAGATTTGGTCGAGATGATTAAAGTAAGGTTGGTGGAGTCTACTGAGTAAACTGAGGTAGAATTTTTGGTACTTCGTTGGAAACATATAATCGAATTGAGAGTGGACAATGTGTGATCGAAGCGGCCACTTTGCCCTCCAAGAATTAATACTGTTTTTATCTGAAGGTGGTATGTATTATATTATATAATATAAGTTAATGTTTAATGTATAGTACCTGATTTCTAGTATAGCTGGTTGTTTCCGTAATAACTGTCAAGGTTTTGCTGAGATCCGTAAAGTCCTGATCGGGTGTATGCTTGATTATACATTTTTCTGAAGATGACGTCATTTAAAAATGGGGAACCCGTATTTTACCGTTAAAATACTGCAAAGCTTCTTTCGTAATCGAATCAAAGTCTCCGGCAATTACCGTAGGATTAATAGCAACCCCTTTTATGGCCAATTTCATCACGGTATTGGCCGCCCCATCAGTGCAGAGCCTTTCTCTCGCCGAATTCCATACTTTCAGCCAGGAATTTGGCGCCTCTTTTATCGAATCTGAGTTTACCCACACAACGGCAAGGTTCTCTATACGAAAATAATATTAATTATCATTAAAAATATCATTTACCTCCTCTGGAAAATTCATCAAATGGCCTCAGCTCCATAAAAAATATAAAAAAAGTGCTCGGAATTCACGTAGAATGTAACAAAATAGATGTTATAAGCAAAATAAGGATAGGTTTCTGCAATTTTTATCGGCTAAGCTACGATTTGCAAGAAAAATGAGCGGCCTCTCATGAAAAAAAAACTGATAATCGAAAGGTTTTTGACGAGAAAAAGGTGTAAAATTTAACGTTTTTATCCTTTTCGGTGGCAACTCGTTTCAAAACTAAAAACAAGCAGAAAAAATAACAAAAACAGTCGAAAATCTATAAAGAAGTTACTTCAAAGTGTCACAATTTCAGTCTCGGCGAAAAAAGAGCCTTAGCCCGATGCGGGGCTCGAACCCGCGACAGCCAGATTAAGAGTCTGGTGCTCTACCGACTGAGCTAACCGGGCACGTCTCACTCACGCTTGGAACGTTTCAAAAAAGGGACATCTGCTCATAAGACAAGGGCCCCTCCATGTGATTTTCTGACGAATGTCAAGACTCGACATCAATGACCAGTAAACGTCAAGTACAACTTTTAAAACATAATCGGCAGTATAAACAATCGTCATCCGGACCCCCAATTACCTCGTGAAATAACTTCTTCCCAGGGCTTTGGGCCAATTACAAAAAGGGACCCGGAGATATTATTCATCCTCAAAAAAGCCCTCGAAGCACCTATTTGAAGGCATTGGCGAATCGAATGGACAAGGAAGAAGACTAGTTCAATTAAAGCTTTCGTCGTCACAAATTTGATTTGCCCTTGGTTAAATAGTTTAGAGGTCAAAGGAAACAAGTTTTAATTTAGAAACCATTCTTCAGTTTCGTTACAGTAACCCGTGAGCTCTTGAAATTCGACGTCTTTCGAAATCAAGCATTCATAGCCGGAGGGGATTTCGGTTTGAGTGGCATTTGATTCCGCCAAGGTTGGCATGATGTATGAGGTTTATATAAACGGGGCCTAATCTAGAGAAATACCCGACTACGCCCAATATTTTGGTTATTATCCCGGGTCCTTATGCCCTGAGGGTTGGCAGCCTCCATCTCCCCCTCTCTAACCTTGTTAGGCAATGTTAAATTGTATACTATCCATGATGATGGGTACTGTAACAATTGAATAGTGGGCGGAGTAACAACCCACTTCATATCCCTAAAGAGGGAGGGCGGATGTAGTTCTTCCGAGTCCAACTTCCGTCCAGAATCCCGATGACGTTGACCTTATTCGTTTCAGAAGTCCCACCCCTGACCCGCCATTCACCTCCGAATGCACTGCCTCATCTGGTGCACCCTTCTCGTGGTCCTCTGCTTGGGCCATGCTCTGGTTGATTTCCCCAAGTTCTACAGGTCAGTTCGGCATTTCTATGTATAATAAATAAATATATAATTGATCTGACATTTTTAGTGATCCAATGCAACTGATGATTGGACGTCCATCACGAGCCATTAACTACAGATCCGAGCGATTAAAAGGCTTTGGGTCAGAACAAGTAAGAGAATCTTCATCTTTATGAAGTCTAACATAAAACTGAACTCTTCTCCAAACTTTAGAAATGGAAACGACGCCGCGCAACTCCCATCCAGATCTCGCCCTTCTTCTACCTATCTAACCCCAATGAAGACAGCATGGTATATGTTCCACCCCAATCTTCATCAACCACAGAATAAATTAACCCTCAGTAATTACCAAAATTTGAAATCTTTTATCCAAATAAACCGCTTTTGTAGAGTATAGTCAGTAGAATAAATACATACAGAAACTAGAGGGTGAGTTCGTCTTCGGATAAGGTGTCACAGTTGAGGGTATCTTCCAGCTCTCCAATATATAAACCATGGTCCGCATCAAAGTGGAACTCGACTTCATCGTCCAGCAGATCTTTCCAATTAAATTTTGAAGATCCGAAAAGCTTTCGGATGTCATCCAGAGACATCAAAGGATCATCATCTTCAAATTCATCTTTGCTTGGGATGGGTAAGGTCTTCAGATATTCGACATCACTGTACATGTCCAAATCGTTATCATGATCATGAGTGCAAGAACAGTAATCAGCCTTCAGATTCGGATCATTCCAATCAATCTCAGGAAGCTGCAGTGTCATGATATTCTTATTGATCTGCTCAGTCATCTCATCTACGGTGTCCCTCGGCTTTCCATATCGAAGTTGTTGCTGCTTCTTGATCGGCTTCAAAGACTGTCCTGTCCCTTCATGGAATATATTTGCATTCGCATCTCCAAACTCGGTCTGCTTTGAACAGCGGTCACTCCCTTTGTTATCTTCATCAAAATTCAATCTCTGACCGAATCCAGCCTTTCCACCAAATTTTGGAGTTCCCAAATTATTCTTCACATCTCCGAGAGCCCTCCTTGGCGTCCCAAACAAATCAGATGAGGACTTGGATTTAAAATCTAAACAAATAACAAGGACAATGTAAAGAGCTCACCTTTATTCAGTCCATGAAGAGAATTGGCCCGACGTAGATTATGATCTACGTCCATCTCCACGTTTGATCAACTTTTCCTTCAATTTTGCCACACGGCTTGCCCAAATGTAGAAAAAAACGTCCATAGAAAAATTAGCGACATTTTATACGATGAAACGTTTCTAATCTTATTTTAATGTTAGAATGAAAGCAGAACTGTCGATATTGATAGGAATTGTCAGAAAACCCATTTTGCATCAACGCACACATATTATTAGCACAAAAATATTATTCTTGTACATTAAATTTAATGAATTTTGGTAAACATGGATAGTACATTGATGCTGCCATCAAAGGATGCTTCAGAATAGGCTTTGTTTGATAATAATAATGCACAAACTTTAATCGTCAATATCGGCCATTCTGACTTACATACGCGTGAATGCTATACTTGCCACGCACCTAGGGGTAAATGTTATGACTTCGCCTGTGAAATCTCACAAAATCTGTCAAAAAGCTTTAAAATTGCAACAAGTGTATGTATCGTTATTAGTACCTTGCGCAATCTTCTATAGTAATATTTCAAAGCAAACCGAGCCTTGTGTCCCCCATCAATTGTTTTCGGTATTGATGCATACGTCAACTGCAATCGAGGGTACCTCAATATTTTTGAATGATGCAATGCTGAATTTGTCTTCAATTGACAAGGCCAGTTAAAAAATGCTATGGACACCCAGCAATACCTTACACTAAAACCTATTTTAATGAAATTACGAGATTTGTAATTTCCAGATATTGAACTTGCCTAGTGGGAAACGTTGAACATGCTCAAAACCTAGGTTTAAAAGCCTATATTTGGATTATATGGGCTTTATACCCGTTCTGTGGAATTTTAGATAGGGTTTTCTAAATCCAGACATCTGAGTTTTTGTGGTAAGTCACATTACACCTGCATATAGTCATCAATATTCAATATTAACCATATTGTGTTAAAACGAACCCAATAAGCATCCGTGAGCATCCTTTGACGTTTTTAGAACTAGGAAATTGTTAACCGACCCTTTTCTTCACATGAAAGATTGTTAATCGATGGATTTCAAATATTCGAAATATTACCCTAAATCAATGGGAAACGTTGAAGTTTATCAAAAAATTGTCTCAAAATCGTCAAAATTTGCCTATATGCTCTTTGATAGGTTGGCTATGGACTTAGCAGAGAACATTTTGAAAATTGTAACATTTACGTATGTTGTGGCATATTGTACTTGGGGACTTGTTTGTCACCTTTTTACAAATTTTGACATAACTTTTTTTTCGTAATTTTTTAAGCTGTAAAAAGTACAGGACCTAATAGTAGAACATCAAGGGTGTCAATTAATACAAAGAAGCTGTGAAATCAATAATTTTTCACAGAACAATAGGACTTCAAAGGTAGGTACCTCCGCTATTTGCAGTGGGAAACGTTGAAGTGTATCAAAAAATGGCCCAATTAAGATGAAACTTTTTCTGGAGCATCGTCTGGGACGTCTACATGGACTTAGCAGAGAACATTTCGTTTATTGCATTTGTTTGATTTTATACATGTTGTACAAGATACATCAAAATTGCTGATATTGAGGGCCTCGTATCTCCCGATTCAGAAATGGTACCGATACAAGTAATAGCTTAAATAGACGACAGACATTCAAAGAAAATAATTATCAAGGTTGTTTTATGTGATAATAAGCGCTTTACACCTTTTGAGCATCAACTCTGAGGTCCACTTCTCGGGAATTTTTCAAGAGTCGGGCGCGACCTGCGAAGGGCGTGTACGTTTTTTTCTCCGATTTTGGTCAATGTGGGCAAGCCGTGGCCAAAAATTTTCATCCAAAATATTTTTGAACAAAAATTTTCCGGGAATGTTTTCGTGGTGGGACTGAATAATGAGAACGCATAGTGATTTTTGGATCGACCGATGTTTGTTTATACTGTATTGTTTATTCGAATATGACATAAAAGGGGTGATTCTGTCCAACGGCTACTCTATTTTCAGCGGTTTTAATGTTAATTCTGGACTTTTAATTCACTGAATTTTGATGACTAATGTTGATTCTCTTAGAAAAAGTAGCTGAAAAACATGCGATTTTTATTGAATAGTGCAGAATTGAATGTGTCATACAGTTTTTTCGGTTAGTCAGAGATTTCCAAATAATTTCCTAAACGAAAGGCTGTTCCTAAAAGATTTTTTCCGAACTTGGTAGGCTTATAGGTGGTAAAACTACATATATAAAGTTTAAACACTGATCTATCTTTCATGTTGTTGCTGCTTGATACGGTGAAAATGGTTTGACAACTATTTTTCAAAAATTTCTCCGCAATTTATATTATCCATCATAGAGCTCATACATATGGATAACCCTTTGCTTTCCTCCTTACTCTATGTCTTATTCTTTTCCAAAAAAAAATCGTATAGTCGAGATCTACTCCTCGACTTTTTTGGACGCCCATTCGATTCCAAGAACCTTTCTGAATCGTCGGAATTTATTAAAAAAGGCCTATGATCTATTTTATTTTTTCCTAGCGATCTTAGAACTGGAATACTATCTGTTTAATCAGCTTTCGAAAGTTTTTTTGACTCCCAAAAAATCTCTGGCCAATTTCCAATGTTTTCGGAGAAGTTGGATCTCTTTTGTACCGTATCCCCCAACTCGATGGGTGACTTTTCCTTTGTTTATTTGTTTTTCGTTCCTAATTCTTAAGGAGTAAATATCATAGGATGGGCCAGATTTGTCAGAGGAGTGGCCTTATTGGGTCTCTGGAGGTCAAAGATTCTCATCGCATGTGAATATACCCGTATTCTACATTACTTTTTCATAACAATTCCAAATCACCTATATGGCCCACTATCTTTCGCTGAAAATATTGGCTTGGACTTTTCAGAGGCACCCCAAATATTGAACATAAAAGATCCGATTAGATTCTGCACAGTGCAAAAGATTTCACATTGTTTAGAAATGCTATCTTAAGTTGCGCCAAGTTTCATCAAACTCTATGTTTCTTCCCTCTTGCATTTGCATTGATTTCCTATGTGAATTTCATGATCCTTTCGCATGGTTAAGGACCTTTTCTGCTCTTATCATCGCTACCATTATATGTCCATTTCTTATCATCGTTACCCTCCGAACCTCTTGATTTACGAGGAGCGATGCCTCGCAGTGCCTGTTTCCACCAGCTAATCCAATTTACAGCCGCATAAAGCCCGTGCGAGTGCAAAAACAGATATTTTGTGGGGTTGGGGCCGAATTGCGCGGTTTACGATGAGCCCCGGGGTAACGAAAGTCCTCTAAATGGATGAGTCAGCCATCAGTGCACAATGACTAAGGCCTTATAATTGGAATCAGATGCTTTTGGAGGGGTTTTGGGAACGGAAAGTAATTGGAAATTCCTCGGATTTAGGGGGTGATCCATGTGTCAAAGATGGCACAACTCTTGATCCTTAATCTGTCTGGCTTTTAGTTCATATTATTAGAAAGTGTCGTATTAGATCTTCTAAATATTCCCGTCCTACATGACTTTCCGCCATTTCCCCGATGCTCCTCTCCTTTACCCATCCCCTCCACCGTACCATGACGTGCTGATTTTTTTGCGCAATGTTTCTTGGGGGTTTTTTGGAGCCTCGAGAATTTAAAGCGATGGGTTTGGAAGGGCCGGAATTGGCTCCGCACTCGTTTCATTCATTTCCAAACCCGGCGCGGCCCAAAAAAAGAAACCAAGACCGGAATTAGGGTGCGTGTGCACTGTTTGGCCAAGAGATATGGGTTTCGGCCTTGAGCGGACTTGGCGAATGCAAAGAGTGCAATCGAGAGCCGGAGGGTCAAATAAAGCCGGGAGGGGCTTGGGGTGTGGTGGACGGTGGGGAATAGTTGTGGACGGTACGATGGGAAGATGACGTTAGGGTCTAATGACCATACGAAGAGGGAACATCACTAAAAATGGTGATATATTTGATGATCACAGGTCCATATAAATTTATCGACGGTCTTTTCAACTGTTCGAAGTGCTAATCTGACTCTTTTATAGTCGAGTCAAGAATTCCCTGCTCCCTTGAATTGTGTAATTTTTTTGAGCGATGCGAATGCATTGGATTCATCCCCGTTTTTAATTCATTGCTCGCTCTCATTTCGGAGGGGCGGAGGGGGGCGAGAGTTGATGAGTCCGAACCAAAAATGTGCGGGCAGCTGGCCAGATTCCAGTCCTTATCGATTCCACATCCGATTCGGTCTTCTGATTCCCCGATCTGCATTCAACTTCGCTCCGATACGATCCGTAATTTCTTTTGTATCTTGGCCGCCAACTTTGTCCTTTTCCTTTCTTTGTTTTCGAATCCGATGCCAATCTTTTGGCGACTGTTTCCGGCCGTCGGACCATCTCTTCTCAATTGTTCTTCTCGGATGTGTGAATGTTGAAAGGGACACCAGCGATGCTGCGGGCGATAAGGATTTGGAACGGGCGACTCTCTTTTCGTTCATTGGCGGCAAGGTCGCCACAGAGGATCAGGGGAAAGTTTTTGTGGTTGGGCGATGGGATTGGATGTCAAAGTCGTCATCTTGACGCTTATGTGTGTGGACAGATCGAATTCCGCGCATTCTCTTCGCCCGCACTTTCCGATTGATGGCAGATTCCGGGGATTTTTGTGGTTTTTTCGGATAAATGGACCACTGACTCATCCAACCAGGGTGGTAGTTTTTTATAACAAAAAAATACGCTTTCCAGATCAAATAAAAAGTTGCGAGGTGACAGATGAAGCCGAAAAGTGACTTCATTGATAGTGTATACTACACATGCTGATTGCATTTTGATTCTCCACTTTTGAAGGCCCAGTTAGTTTTTTTTACGAAGAAATAGTGCAAGTTTTTTGTTTATCGTGATGGTGGCTGAGTCATTGCATCGTGCATTCATCCCTCGCTCGTTTTGGGCAAGGTCAGCGACAGCCGAGTCTCGACGTTCCGCACTGTGCCGTCCATCCGCCTCTCGCTCCTTTCCTGGGTGGTCGTTGCTGTTCGCGATGAGGGCTGGGGGAGAATGGCCGGCTTTCGGGGGATCGGGGGAGTGACCCCTTGACCTCGGCGACCTCACTTTCGCTTTCTTTTTTCCACTGCATTCGCTTTTGTCGTCGACCTCATTCGGTCGGAGCGTTCGTCTATTCGGATCGAACGCAGTCGCATTTGTTTTTTTCCAGCCTTTCCCGGATTTGTCGCGGAGTCGTTAAAGCATCCGGAAATCGGCTTTTGTATGTCCAAACTTAACAATCGGCCAACTTTTGGGTCGCTGACTCAAAGGGCGGACCTTTGGTTTGATTGAACCGGATTCGGGCCATTTTTTGGGGATTCATCGTTTAGATCCTAGATTTCGAACAGAAAGAAACTTCCTCTTCGCCCGAAATCAGGGTTGAGAAAACGTTGTCCAAGATCTTCTCACGTCCACAAGTCCCATTACTAATCAAATCTTTGGTCCCACGGCTGTAACCCATTCTTTTCTAGCGCGTATTTCCCCCCAAACAATCTTTTCTGGCACATGCCCTGAAGCGGTGTACTCGGTTGCATCATCAATCAGCCCGCGCTCCCTGCTCTTTAACGCACTCAGAAATCGCGACTTTGCTCCTCCTTTGTGGTTTCGCCGCCTTATCGCGCTCTCCAAAGGAATTTGTTCTGAGGTCAAGAGGTTTTGATTGTGACATTGTCATCTGCCGGCTTATCAACTGCTGATAATGCATAGTTCAATTTAAATTTTTTTATTTACTGCTGATTTTTTGGCGATGTCACTTGACCTCATGACCTTTTACTTTGCAATGGCGAAGTCATGTTTTTGCACTTTCAAATGATTAACTTCTGATTTTTTTACCGTAATCGATTTCAAAATCTGTTGGTTTTTTTCGGATGCCCCCCTTCGACACCAAGTTCTGGCCCTGTGTTTTGGCCAAATTTGCTTCAGTACCCGATTTTTGGTTTCTCTTCTGAGTGCAATGACAATTTCTTTTTTCTTCGGATGCCCAAAAAACAGCGGCCCCAGTGTTTTTTGTCGCTGCGCACCCCATGTTTGGCCTTTTGTCTTTCCCAATTTCTGGCCGTTCGAACGTGGCAATCGCTGTCCCCTCATTTGTCACCCAAGCGACCCATGGCCAGCACTCTGCGGAGATGATTCAGGTCGTTTGGTGTTGCGATTTGTCGCCGCTTCCCTGCGCAATGTCGCTCATTCAAGCTTGGGGCAAAGACTTTTAGCGATGGAAGTTGCGAGCACTCGGGGGGTCGGGGAAGGCGGAGTCAAATGGCGCCCGTTCCGAAAAGACGCGACACAGCGACAGAAGCGAGGCCTGTGCAGGGAGGGGGCGAGTGCGTGCGGGTCGGTCTGTCTCCTCCCACTCGGGTCACTTTCTGCATTCGGTGTTTTTGAGTTGAGGGGGGTTGTGGTGTCGCCGAGCGCATTCGCCGTCGAGGTCAGTGCAGAACGCGCACAGTGCGGCAGTCCTCCCTCCTCTCTGCACTCGCATTGCACACCCTTCCATTCCCTCTTTCTCTGCGTTTACGATCTCTCGCGCACTCTCCGAAAATGCTGACGATGATATGTTTCGAAATCGCTCACACCCTTTGGTCATAAGCTCGAGTTGTCAGCCAGGGTGGAAGAGTGTGGCCGCAGGGCTCTATTTTGAAATCTCGGCATGGCTATTCAGGTGAAATGGACAAGGGAAAGGGGGCCGCCGACAGACGCACTGGCATTCGCGCGATCGTTTCTGCCTTCCCGAGCGCCCCTCCAATTCTGTCTGGGCATCGTTATACTTCTGTTTGACATTGCACTCGAGAAAATGCGAGCTCCCCAAAAGATTTTCGTTTTTTCGAGTTCGAAAGTCGCCATTCTGAACACTTCGCGATTATTTTCAAGTAGTGTGTTTAAGTAGCCATTTCATTAATCGGCGTTCAGTTTACAGAAACCGCTCCCATTACTCATCCGGAATCATGAGCGCCCAAGTTGAACAACCCGTCCAGCCCGCCGCTGCCCCAGAAGAACCCAAGGTTGAGAATGGAGCCAACGGCGAAGCCAATGGATCCAATGGTGAGGCAAAACCAGAGGAAAGCAAGGAATCCAAGAAGGAGAAGGAGGTGCCCGTCCCCATCGACCCCAAGGAGGACTTTGTTGGATGGGTCGGCCAGCAGATTCCCAACGCCATTCACAAGGTAGGCAGGGCGTTAACAACTCTCGTGATTTACGAGGCTGCACCTTATGAATAATGTTGTTTGTCTACATTATTTTACGGATGACACGGTCCTCTTTGTTTTATTGTCGCCACATTAGATATCATGTAAAGGAATTTCATATTATGAATAACGGGATGTTTTAATCATATCACCTGACTAATGCAATTTCCCAAGACGTCTTTGTTTTCGATTCAAGCATATTTTTTGGCTTCAAAAACATGTATCATTATCATATTTATAGTCATCATTATCAAGATTATTTTGGTTTCAGTTCAACTTCTACATTCTCCAATGGGCAATCAACTTGGCCTATGAAGACGAGACCAAAAGACCCAAGCTCCCACCAAATGAGGAAGTCACCAAGTCTCAGTTCCTGAACTACTTGAAGGACGGACAGATCCTCGCTCATTTGGCCAACAAACTCCACCCCAGCTCTGTCGAGAATGTGAAGGAAGGAGAAGAAGCCAAGACCAAGGAGGCCCAGAAGGAGAACATCGAAGGATTCATCAAGTTCGCCAAGGAAAAGGCCGAACTCAACGAGACCCAGGTCTTCTCCGCCGACGATCTGTTGGAGAAGGGCAAAGCCGGCTTCAGTCAAGTCCTCAACACTCTCTTCCAATTGGCTCATGTCGCCCAGACCAAATTCCAACAACAGGGAATCGATGTGGACACTGTGATCACCGAGATCGCCGGCATCGCCCCCAAGTCGATCATCGAGAAGATCCGGACCTTCGTCTTCAACAAGCTTCGCCGACAGTCGTCGACACAAGAGAAGGAGAAGGAAGAGGCCAAGGAAGAGGAGAAGAAGGAAGAACAGCCACAAGAAACCGCCGAACCAGCACCAGTCACCGAGGAAAAGAAGGAAGAGGTAAGACAATAGAGCCGGCAAATTGGTGTAGTAATTAGAAGGGAAGGGCATTGTTCGCGAGGTAATGAGGTTAGGCGGTGGGAAGGCGGATTAGAGGTTCGGGTTCAAATTATTTTGTAAGCATTAATAGACGTTGGCATTATGAAACTTGTGAGTGAGTAACTCTGAAAGAGATTTCGAAACACAAAGAGTATCTAAAAAAGTAGCGTTGAGTAAATAAAATAGGTCAGAACAGGGTTATTATGAATTATCGGGAACACAATGACTCACTTTTTTTGGAACAACAATCTATAATTACTGAGTAAAATTTCCATTAACGAGGCTAGCTAAAGTATTGATGACTAATAACATCCAAATTTCAGGCTCCAGCAGTGACGGCTCAATAAGCTCTGAGTGATTCTTTAATTATTTATGCATCTACCGTCCAAGAATTGTTTCCCCACCAGATAGTCCATAATCTACGTCTACTCTACATACATCTTCATCTTCTTCATGGTCATTTGATTATAAAACAATTTGTTGTTTTGTTTTGTCTTCTTTTATATAAAAGTTTTATACCAATCAGAAATGGGATTCCGGTTCAGTCCACTCCTTCTCAGCCCCTCTTCAATGTAAGTTTTCATTTTGATGGGGTTTTTTTGGTATTATAATAGAATAGCTGTTTTATTGGGTTGTTAGCTCTTTTTTTCTTCATTTTATTGTTACTCATTCTAGCCATTAATCAGGTATTCATCATGATATTGTTCGGCCTTCGAACGCTTTTCTTGTTTTCCGTTCGGCCAATAAGATTGGCCAAAAAACGGCCTGCGAGAGTTGGGAGAAGGGCTGAATGCATTTCCGATGTTCTTCGGAAGGGTCGTTAATGCACAGTGCAGCTCACAGTAGACTCGGCCCTCTTAACTCGAACCCTCAGGGGAAATTGGGAACGCGCATTACCTCTTAATTTGGAGCTGCGGCCGAAATTGTGGGCCGGGAAATGGGGGGAAAGCCGCACCAAAATAATAGGATACATTACCCTCCAAACACTTATGCACCAAGACAAATACCGACGTTAATTAGCATCAAAGAAGCCCGACCGGGCCGAACTTGATCAGTTTCTACTCATAAGTGGCCAAGTTAATTATAAATAGGGACTTTTAAGGAGCTGCAGATCAAAGAAATCCACTTGAATTCCCAGTTTTGGAATGTTTGCGCTCCTCTAGAGTGACTCCGCGGCAATCTAGATGCTAGGATTAGCAGATTTAGGCAAAAAATGGCCCCCGATAGCGATCTCCAATCGACTAATCGTCCATTTGGTCCCTAATTCAAGCGCTATTGTCATTCAATCGTATCGTATTACGCACGTTATATAAGTCGGAGTGTTTGCCCTGATTAAGTTCGAATGACTGCGATCTGAAGAGAGTGCAGGCATCCACTGCTCGATTTGTCCGCTCGGTAAACATTGGAGCGATAATTCTTGTCGCCAAAAGTGTCCCCAGATCTCCCCGACTCCTCCAATTGGGGCTTTATCTGCCCCATCTCTTTGTTTCCGCCGACCGGCCTGCCTGGCCGGTGTTTTGATTCGCCTTGCGCTGTAAACTGACCCTTGGCCCCCTCCCCGAGTCCTGCACTTCCTATTCATACAAGTCAGAATAAGCGTTGATGGAGTATGGGGCCGGAAAAGCGAGCGGCGGCAGGTATGGGGCATGTCAAAGTGGTCAGCAATTAATTTTCGGCTCTGTCATAGGTCCGGGGTGAGAAATGGGCAAAGGAAACGTCATTTGCAATACTTTTGAGACTGTAAAACATGCTGAACAATACGATTCTATTCTAGTCGGGGATTTTGTAGTGTTCATGATGGTTTGGCGACCAACCGGTACCATTCCGGATAATCCTCATCCCCGAACCCATAATTCTTAAACCTCGGTCAAACTTGTCCCGTTTAAACGCTCGCCGGAAACGTCCGTGTCTCATACTGTGGCCAGAAGTGCGGGGCATAAAAAGACATATGGCGAATAAAGGATTAAATGTCGCGCAATAAGATCGAACCCGGACAGACGGACATTATCCCATCATCTAATCGGGCGTCCGGATCTGCAAGGGATCTGTTTATGGACTGGGATTAGGCATTAAAACGGCCATTGAGTAACAATAAGATGACAGAGCTGACAACCAGTGGTTCCTGGCCGAAAAGACCAAGGAACCAGGTCATAGTCTAAAGTTGTAATCAGCAATCGGAAGCTGAGATAATCACTTCTTCACTGTAAAGCTATTTTGAGAATTTCATTGACAAAAAATTGGAAAAGAAATTAACAAGCAACTAATCTAAACCAATTTCAGACACGACAAAAAGACTCCGGGAGAGCAAAAACTCCTCCATCAACGATGTTCTTGCGGAGAATGTCCTATAATAACATCTCTTTCACTCGCTTAATCCAAAGCTTTTACTGCTTTTGTCATTCCTGAAATATTTTTGTGGCCCAGGTCACGGCATCGAATATTAGACACTGTGGTTATTACATGCCTTTCTTTTTTCGAATATTTTTTCGTATTTTTCTTTGAATAAACTTAAACAAAATTGTTAAACTCTAAGAATTATTGCCTAAATACGACTGTTTACTCTGTAAATAAAGAGCAGAGAGCAAGAAGCCCTGAGGGCATCTAAATCATTTTTTTGACCTTTGAACTTCCGCCGCCACTTCTTTTTTCAGCCGTTATTACTTTTTTTGTTTTTGCAGTGCATTACTCATAATTTTTCCGAATTCGACCGGAACCGAATCGCCCCAATTTACTGTTTCCATAACAACCTGCCTCCATCCAGCTTAATAATACCTTCCGTGGTTTTGGGATTACCATCCAGCAGAGCATACATATATTATTCAAAATCAGAAGGCGCATCAAGCACAAATTCGGTTGATATTGCTTATCAATCAAAGAAAAAACAATATTTACAACCTTCATAAAAAAATCTGGCGAACTTTCAATGTTTGGAATGAAGAACGTGAGTATCACAAAGCTTCTTTCTCATTGTCGATACAGCAGAAATAAAAGGAAATAGCTGATAGAAAATAAAACAAAAAAATCACGTAAAGGAAAATTGGAGAAATAAAACAACAATATATTTGACAACGAAATGATCCATCAATTCGTGCCACAACTATTCTACACCCCAAAACCACCAACTTTTTAAAAATTTTACAATTTTCGGCATTTGAATTCAAAAATATCGCGAGGAGGAAATACTTGTCCCAACACAGAGGAACACTTGACTAAACGAAATTAATTGCGCTGTAAACTCGGGAAATCCTCTTCGATGCTAATAAGCGGCCTTCCGAGGGGCCGGGAATGGACCTCGATCCAAGTACCAGCTTCGAATGCCCTGTAAATTACTATTTAAACGAACAAAGATGGTATTGGGGGTCTGTGGACAAGGAGGAACTCAACAAAGCTATGAGCGTAAGTGATTTTAGCTCAAAATTGGGTAGAAATTTCGGTAATGCAATGGAAATTTATTTCTTTTAGCATCATCCAACAGGAACCTTTGCTGTTCGCGATTCGTCGACTCCTGGGGAATATACTCTGACTGTCCGAGTTGATGGAACCAATCGACTGGTAAAAATTCTGATATACGACGATAGATGCGGATTTACTACCCAAAATCTGGATTTTACAAGTGTAGTTGAGCTCATTGAATACTATCGACATCGGAGTTTAGAAGATTATAATCCAACATTGAAGACATCCCTGAGATTTCCATTAGAGAAACCAGGTTCAGAGGATCAAGAAAAGGAAGAAAGTTTCGAAAAGGATGAAGAAGAAGACCCATTGGTACCTTACAGAGTCCTTCAGATGTTTGATAAGTACGATTCCGAGGTAAAGAGGTTTAATATAACGCTTACATCACTCGCTTTGATGTTAACTAAACATTAACTTTAGCATCAAACTCCAGACTATGAATTCTATTCTACTTCATTCGTATTGCAACATTTTATCGAGCAAATGGCTGCAGAAGTTGAGAGGTCTCGTCTTCGACTGATTACAATTCAGAATTTATTGGAACAAATCGAGGAGAGGTCCGAGAATTATAATAAAATGAAAAGAGGATTTGATATGGCCGAGAACTTCATCAAAACCGGCAAGGAGAAGTTCTCGGACTATCTGAGTACTCTGTCCGACAAGGAGAAGTTGAAATTGTTTGAGAAGATGGACACTTTGGAAGATCGGTAAGGTTTCTCTGGAATTTTGGTATCTTTTTTTTAGGTATGACGTTGTATGCACATTGAGGAACGATACTATGAGTGGCTTCGAGAAACTGAAAGCAATTAAAGAAGGCTTGAATCACGAAGACGAGATTGTTCAAAAGCATTTTGACATCTGGACGAGGTACTTATATTGTGATTGGCATGTATATGTAAATATAAATTGTTATTTTTAGACGGTTCGACCATTATGTTGCTCTCCTCGTGAATCATGGGTATGATATGAGTTTTGTTGATAGAACGACGGATTTTGTGAAGCAGGTTGTTAAAAGGGAGTCGGCAATTATCATTCAGAATCTCCTGAAGGTGGATATGGTCACAAGTCCGTTCGATTGGCTGACCCACAATAACTGTAAAGAATATGCTGCTGCCATAGTAAACCAATGTATAAAAGTACGTTCTTTTTCTCTTAATAGTATTTTTGAATGTAGGTTCTTAAGAAACGTGGGACCAAAAATATAAATGGGATCTTCTTAATCCGCCCCTCGGCTTCCAAACCGGGATGTTATGCGATGGCCATCAGTATGAACGAGAAAGTTTTGAACTGTCTGATCGATTATCGCCCGCCTTCTGAGACGGAACTGACTCCAGGCTACGGGTTTTTCAACACAAATCTCTTTTACAGCACTCTCACGGACTTCGTTAGATATTATTCTCAAGTAACATTGAAGGAACACAACCCTCACCTCGCAACTACTTTGAGGATTCCTGCATTGAGATTAGCGGAGCCAAAGAAGCACGGGGGTCATACTGAATTATTCGGAGAAATCGGGGTAAAATGGCCGATTGATATTGACTTAGCTGATTGTATGTCAGTTAGTGACGGGGAATAGCTTCCAATATTCTTTTCCATTTTATCTAAGTTTATCAGGTATCTGCTCACAATTTATATCATTCTTTTACGGCCACCCTACTGTAACATACCATATTTAATAACTTATATTTTTATTTTGTACCATGGTTGAGGTTGCAAATGGATAATTAAACAATTTAAATTGTATCAAAAATTGTGTCAACAATGAATAGAAATTAGCGTAATAATAACAACGGAAAGTGAAAAGGGTGGGAATATTAACAATAACAACTACTTTTCAATTACTCGTTTGAGGGGTCTTCGGATGAATCCGAGGATTCTGTTCGCGTGATAGAAGAGAGATGTTGCTGGAGACTGTCCTGATTGCATTCCACCACCATCGCCGTTGCCTGAGGCTCCTCTGTTGGGGCTTTGGCCGCTTTCCACGAGATCAATTGGTTTCCGATTTTCAATGCCTAAGGAGAAATTGATTGTTTTCGTCGTAACCTACCTGATTTGACTGTATTTTGTTATTATTTTCATTACTTTTGGTCAGGGGCGAGTTATCCGACTCCAATTCTGGAGTGGAGGTGTTCATATAAAACGACAGCAGCTCTTCCGTGGCCACCAATTTCTTCTTCAACAGGTGGATCTCGGTGTTTTTCTCAGTCAATTGGATCCTCAATTGTTTAATGAGTTCAGCATCCGATACATTGGATGTCGAGGGGATCTGGAAAGCAGAAGACGTCCGGGGAATCTTCTTTAATTGAGGTATATTATTAGTCATCGGCTGGGACCTCTTAGGCCTGAGGGCATAAGAAGATGTGTTGCTGTTGGCAGCGATCAGAGGAGGGGGTTCGTTGTCTCCACCATCCTCTTCATCGTCCATTCTTTCCAAAAGGGGCGGGGCTTCCGTCTTTTTCTTGGTGGCAGTTAAATTCATATTGGGCTTGGATTCTTCTGCCTGAAGACATAAGTTCATCAGTTACTACAAACTCTCAACGAATTTTAATTTTGAATATTCACCTTCACATTTTTCTGAATTTCACTCAAAAGTTTGGCAAGAACATTATCGTCTACCAACTCTTCCTTCTCCTGCTCGTTTTTAGGGACCGACCCATTCCGACCTGCCCTAGGGGGTCTACCCGCACCCTTAATTCTTTTCTGGTCGCCCGTGCATTTCTTAAGTTCCTTTTCTTTTAGCATCCAATCTCTGATACATTTCCGATCAACCCCGTATTTCTCTGCGGCCAAGAATGTAGTGTGGTCTTTCGCGTACTGAATGGCTTCTAATTTGGTGCTAATCGAGTAACATTTCCGCTTTTTGATCTGATTCTCCGTATCTGGACTGTGGCCGGATATGTTTAAGATATCGCTGAGATCGATGGAGGTGTTCCCGTCTTCAGTGGACTTAAACAGAGAGACCAAGGACAGAGGGTTGCTATCCTTCTCTTCCGATGAGACAGACATCCTACAGGTATCACCCTGAAGACGACACCGATAAGTACAGCATAAAACTTCGCGAAATGAGGCCCAATTTCCTATCAAAAACGGATTAAAGCACTCACAGTGAATAAGCTGTTAAGCCGCCAATTTTACGCGACGTTTGGGTTGGTCATTTTGATTGTTAAATTGAAAATTTTTGTCAAAACATCGTAAAAATTTAAAATTCTTGGGAACTAAATTAATAACTAACATTAGCTCTATTCATCACAGTGCATGTAAATTCGCTTTTGAAAGCGCGCATACCAGAATTTTCAGTTTGATCATAATTACGAAAATGAAGACATTTTGGCGTTCGATTGAAAAAATCTGTCAAGTTAACAACGTTGACAATTAGGGCCATATAACACAAGAAAATGCTAAAAAAATACATCTAACCAAAAAAATCTTTGTACCCGATCAAATAAAAAGAACAGCCCTAATTCAATATTAGAGCCCTAAAGTCTCAAACCTATCGGCCCCTCTAGAGCCACAATTCAGACTTTAATCCGCCCTAGATCCCGGTTATTACAAATACACCACCTAATAATCTGTGGAAAATATCCCCATCTCCCCGTAACATCGAAAATACAATTTTATAGTGAGAAATAGAAGCGCTCGGTCGCACCCCTGGGGCTAAAGGACGGCATGCTGCGCCCCACCCCCACGAAGCTACTATTACCCGGGGCTTAAAAAGCGGGGAGCCGTTGCTGAGAGGGGTGTATTTCGGAGAGGACTGAGTGCGTCCTGCCATCTCCTACTGCCCCTCCCACCTGCCCCCGGGTTACGGTACCTTTTAATTGAGCGAGAGAAGAGTCCGGCACTTTTTATATTCCATTTTGTACTCGAAATTCTCCATGCGAAGAATTCGTCGGTGTAAAATTACACCAATTTTACAGTTTGGAAGATTTAAATTCGGAATTCTCTTAGATGTAAATAAAACAAAACATGCCTCTTCGAATAACGATGCAAGTAAACTCTTTCCCTCGGACAGTTCCTCTGGTTGATAATTTTCTTCGGTAATTTCGACTGCTCGATCCAATGGTTGAACGTATTTGGTGTGCCGATCCAATCCTAATTTTTGTTTGACCAAGCTTACTGGATTGATCTCCGATTTACTCAGGAACTCGAGAGGATCGAGTTCTCGCAAGGCCGTCAGAAAAACTCCATCCATCTTCTGAAGCAAGGTCATTTCAATGATTTTCAAATAAAATATAAAAGAAATATGCTTTCTTGCCCACCTTGCACGGAACGGCATCAGGATTTATCTTAGCATGAGCATCTGATCTCACAGCAATTACATCTTCATCGTCGAAATGACGTATGCAAATGCAACAACTAGTGGGAAGAGCGTCGCTGATGTGTTTGGGGAGATTCAAAGCCTCGTCGAACTCCCTCCGTCTTGCCTTGGGGTATATCAGACATTGGCCGAGCGGTGTATAAGTGCCACAGATCATGCAAAGCCGTCTAAACCGATAATCACCTTAGTTAAAGCCACTTACGTCGTGTTCTCGTGGTTCTTTCGGCGCTCAAGCCGGCTCAACGATGGTTTCTCCATTCCTTGGCCTAAATTAACATCCACCGTATCCGAGGTGCTCCTCCGGCTGCTCTGCCAACTCCCGACTACCATAAATCCGTTGCAACAGTTTCCCCAACGAGAGATTGATGCAAAACTCCAGAAAACGAATTCGTTTCTTCGAAACGCTTGACTGCCTGAAGGGAAAAGTTGACACACCGTCAGACTCGACTCTTGGGTCGACTGTTTCATTGTGAAATTTCTTTGTTTTTTTTGGAGATTTCGAGATAGTTCATCGAGATACTACAATGGCTTCATCTGTGCAACCTGGTGAGCGCTTCCATATCTTGGCTCAACTCGAGCATCTTCAGTCCAAATACACGGGCACTGGACATTCTGATATCAATCGTTATGAATGGATAACAAACCAGCATAGAGACACTCTTGCTTCCATAATTGGTATGTCCCTTTTTTTTTGTGGATTTCTTCCCTTTTTAGGACATCCAGATCACCTTTCGTCTTATGCCGTTTGTGAGAATGTGACTCGAGGTCGTGCCAGACATGAACTTCTGAAGAGGATGATCCAACCTTGTGGTCCACCACCCAAAAAGTCAGCTCTTGATGATCTCTGAAGTGTGTAATATCAATAAATTAAATTCTGAAGTTTATTTCAACTTTTGTTTTTGTTAAGTTTTTATTCTACTTATATTATTCCTGACTTGCTTAGTCAGCTCCTTTTTAGATGGCTCGACACATTGTTTGTGAGACCAAGAAAGGTTACAGAAAGCTCGAAAGCTTTGAGCCTGTTGTATTTCCAATTGAAGCGTTTTTTATTGGTGGAGAAGTTGTTGTTAACCATGAACATTCGATTCTTCTTCATAATTTGGTAAACTAAATTTTTTATTAACTGTTATTTCTTTAGGGATATGGTAATTTACTTGGACAACGAATGAATTTTGTCAATGATCGTTGTTTTCCTACTCCCTCTATTGAATTTATTGACAATAATGAGCCATCAACTTCGTCTATCGCTGAATTTTCTGTCGTACCTCTAGAAGAAGAATTGAAAGTTGTTGGGCATGTGCGACTAGTTAATGTCCACGAAGGTGATTATTGGTTGGAGAGAGTCAACAACGGGAAGAAGTTGTATTTATCGCAAGAGGAGGCCATTTATTTGATAATGGATAAGAAAATTACTGTCAAAAAGAAGTCTTTGAAAGATCTTTGGGACAAATGGATGACTCCAGACTTCTTACGGAAGTATTTTGTTTACAAGTAAGTATTTTTTATTAATTAGTTTGCCATTATCGACCAACATTTCGTTATCTGTGGTATGAATAATGTGAACATGTCGTGGAGAATGTGAGGTCGGAGAAAACAGCCAAAATCTTCACTTAGTACCCTGTAAATGTTGAAGGGTGCTGAATTTGCAATTTGGGACATTTTTTCTTCCGGTATAGTGATTTTTTAATCCGATATCAGGTCTTATAATCATATTTCAGGCACTTCCGACTCCAAGGATGGACAGTAAAGGCCGGCTTGGTATTTGGCGGTGACTTTTCATTGTACAAACTCCATCCCGAGCACTGCCATTCATCAGCGATTGTAAGGATTAATATGAAACCTGAATGTCTGGAGATTACAAGTATGAAAAGAGAGCTCAAGAACGTCAAAAAGGTAACTAACTATTCAGTTTTGACTTACCTTCCAATCTTTAGGCTCTATTACTTGCAACAATAGAACTTCCTGATGATTTAACCGAACTATCTCCGTTTTCCGATCTGAGGGTTACTGTAACACAAGAGTCGAGTTGGCTACGGGGTTCTGAATTGATCAAGGAAATGCGGGGTAATAATGAATAATCTGTTTGTCAAACTTGCGAGTCATAAAAAAAGATTTATTTCACAGTCAATTTCTTTACAAGTGAGCAATTATAATTTCTTTATATAAGTAATAGCATTAATTATGACCTGTTTCGGGGAAGGTGATGGAGATCTACACATTCAAATCACGGACGTTCCGGGCGAATCTGATGAATTCTCGTCGGGCGGGAAGGGAAACGCAGGGGAGCATCCAGAGAGACCAATGGGAAGGGCCGCAGACATCTTGTAGTAGGTGCCATTTCCCTCTTCGGCGACGACGACGCCGGTTGAAGCCTCGTTGAAGGGCTTCGATCACGGTCTCGTCGTTGAAGATGGCTTGCATCTGAAACAACATTATACTTTCTGCCAAACAAAATATTTATAGTGCAACACTAGACCTAAACTTATATAAATGCACAGAATTTACCAACCTGATCACAAGAGACGGCCAGAACAAAAAGCCCGAAGAGAGCACTCTCAACGGACAACCCGATTGTGTGTATCCTACAACAACGCCCAATTATAATTTACTACTATAAATAATAGTTATAAAGTAATGGAAACGTATAGTTACTCACACTTTATAATGCTTAGCCATCTCTCCATTTGGCCCATACATTCCTGTCTCTCCTTTTTCATCGTGATATAACCACGACAAAGCGATGATACTAAAAAAAGAATTGAAAAAACAAACAAAACCTACAAAAAAGCATATCCCGCAAGGATTCCAACATAAAACACGAATTGCAAGAAGTATTTCTGATTCAGTTCTCCAACGCAATTATTAACCCAAGGGCCTGAAATATTGAAATCAATACCAACTTTTAATATCAAAAAGTGAAACAATTTTGCAATTACTCACAATGATGATCCATCTTCCTTACACATCGTTTACATATCCTACAATGATGGGCACGAGGTGGTCGATAGCTCTGACACCTCGTGCATATACTCCAATCTTCTCCCTGAAACGAATTTTATGATAATTACCAACTCCAAATATAAAAATTTTACATTAATTACTTAAAAAAACCTTGGTGTGAAAACGTATAGCTTACCACATAACTGTCTTTCTTGGCCGGATATAATTCTGTTTCCGAGTCTGAATAGTCGGAGTCATCATTATCTCTGGAGAAAGGCTTCGGTTTCTGAGAAATGGTTTGACTGCACAGCGGGACTATTCCCGGATCACTCAGCATGGTCCTCAGATGGGCGAGAACAGCCATACCCAGAAGGCCGTTGAATGCGCATATGTGAAAAAGACCCCAGAATCTAAAACAATATGAAATAATCACGAACAATAAAAATTCATAAATAAAAAAAAATCATAACATGACGAAAATGACTTTACACACAGTAAACAACTTACGTATTTACTAAAGTCGGATAAACTAGCCATCGTATAACAACATAATCAGCATAAAATATACAACCGTAGACGAGGAGGGCACAGAAAAGGCCGCAGAAATCGACACGCAACATTTCTATTTACCCATCCTCTAAAAATGGCCAATGAATACTAATTTACATAAATAGTTCCATCAAATTATTAGATTTTGATTTTTTTTAAAGTTAAAATTGCAATTGTATTAAGAGTATAAAAAGTCGGTCACATAATGACTTCAAGGCGGTTACCATAGTAAAAGTCAAGAAATAATTGCGAAACGAAACTTGGGATTAAGAATTATTCATCGTTATTCACTCCGAAAAAGGGCTTCCGTGCTTCGAAAACAAACCTGTTTTCGTCTTTACTACAACATAAAATACAAAATAAATAGGTAATTAACGGTAAATTAACCTTTTAAACAATAGTTCCACAGATTTAAACCGATTTAATATAATTTTAAAACTATCTACAATATAATTTCCTAGAACAAGGGTTCGGTCCGGGACTTGTCAACCATTAATTTTTGCGTCAAAATCTGAGTTTTGGCAAGTTCTGTCATCGAATGGAGAAGACTTTTCTCCGGACCTTGTGGTCGCAGGAGTTGGACATTTGTCTAAAAGTAAAAAAAAGTAAAGGTCAAGGACCAAACCAGCTCACCTTTCCTTGGACGATCGTCGGGATTATGGTTTGTGTGTCAAAATCCGGGAACAATGTGCCTAAGGGAACGATCAAAGGGTTCTTGTGACCAAACTTGTTCAGATCCTTGAGTTGAGAATTGATTGAAGAGAACGACCGGAAGGGATATATATAATCCCAGGACGGATAAAAAGCCACTCGGAATGGAAGAGCACGGGGATACTTCTCATATAAAGCATACGCTATCCGTTTACTTGTGGTGTGAACAAGTTTACTGTAGGGAAGGTAATGTAAAGGATGGGATAAAGGAGCTGCGAAGAGAATGGCATCAGAAGAATCAGCGGATAATGAGATCTTCTCGGCAAAATACTGAAAATTTAGTTATTATACCAAAAAAATGTCAAAAATCATCTTCAAATTACTTATAACAACCACAGATGGTATAACTCACTCTGACTAACGATTCGTGACCTCCAACGCTGGCTTCCTGAAAATCGAAAGAGATTGGTCTCTTCTTCCCCACAAAACTGATATTTCCAGTATTTATATCCCGAATCTCTCGATTTTCTTTACTAAGCAGTTTTAAAATTTTCTCTCTCCTCAGATTTATACGATCAGGGCTTTCAAACGGTGTTATCGAGGCCAATACAAGTCTCTCACATCCATTTCTAAACCAATAATAACAAATTAGGTAACAACTTACTCCAAAATCGACGAAACCGCATTTTCGGTTGAATTTGCGTCGTAGTAGTATGAGAAATAGATATTAAACGGTGCATATTCCGGTAAAACCGCATCCAACGTTCTTGCCAGTTCTTTTCCGAACCTCCTGTGAGCCTCGTCCAATGGGAGAAACGCTCCCGATTGCTCCAACGCGGATCTTATCCTTGCCGAGAATTTGTATCGATAATTCGCGAGGTTTCTGAATAAATTTCAAACCAAGTCTGCAAAAAAAGTTTGCCAGATCTTACGCGGAAATGGATGCGGGAACACCGGCCGCCTCGAGGGCTCCCTTCAGATATTTTTGGGTGTAAAATGGAGTCCGGGGAAGACCATTATGATGGAATAAAAGGGCCGTCCCGAGGAAGTCCGGCAATCCGGTAGATGCCCATCTGGCCGAAGTGGACGTCACTCTTCCATTCATCCGTCCATCAACAACAAACTTTTATTTTCTTTTGTGGTCCAGTTTCGTTGGCGAGCTGCGCCCGAGCCACGGATCGAGGTGCGTTTCGTGTTTGGCTTATTGGTTGCTAAAGGGGTCTGAATGGTGATCGGATCATTCTGCATACTTGTAAACAATCTTATCTAAATTTTCATCAATTTCCTCCTTCATCGATATTGCACAAACCGCAAGCCTTTCTTTTTACATAAAACGTAGATTGAATGACCTCAGGTTGAGATGTAGGGTTACATATGTGACGTATTATGATGACACCCTTTGTACAGTGCAATTTAGGCTCTGTTCAACAAGATAATTGCACTGTACAAACATCGGAGTCAGATGTTGCATTAGGTGAGTCAAGTCTTTTTTACAGACCTTTCCGATCAACATGTTGATAGAAGCAGATGTCTTCCGCTGAATAAAGTCTGTTTTTCCCCTTTTGGTTTTCCTTTTAGCGTAAACATCCGTGACCATGGTTCTATACAAAATCTCAATGTTTTTATCTGTTGAATTGACTTTACAATTCACTTGGAATTAGGTTGGTGAGAGGGAGCATGTCCAGTAAGTTCGTAATCCCATAGAAGCCCTGTCCATAAACTTGGCCAGCTGCATTTTTGGTTTCCTTTTTCCTCTCCTGGACACCCTTTGTCAACTAATTTACGCTCTCCGGTTCCTTTTCGGCCCTTGAATGGACAATGGGGCCTTGTTCGTTCTCTGGGATTAATCGGTTCCGCCATTTCTGGCCTCATATATACTCTATCTACAATTTTTTTTATGTTGAACTAGGTACTGATCTTAAAAAATCAGATCAAATCTACCTTAATTAAAGTCTAATATGCTTGGAGATGAAGGCTTGTCAAGTGGTGAGGCCGACTTTATGCATCAAGGCCTCTTGTTATTGCTCGCGCTTTTCGGAGGCGCGCAACGCCCTCTGGTCATTTCTTTTAAGCGAATTGGCCTAAGCAAAAACAAGGGGGAAGGAGAGGGGGAATGGAGAAGGACGTCCGAGTGGTAATTCCGCATAAACACGACGACGGTACTCTCTTATATTAGCCTTGTTTTCCAATATATTTGAATTCGTCTAATTGTTTACAGTACTTTTCTTTATAATTGATTGTTATTCTGAAATTAAATCTTCTCGATTAGTCGTTTATAAGGACGTTTTTCTAATCTGTTTTGCATTTCGAAGTTTTCAATCATCAAAAGAATAAGTAATTTTTGTATTTGTATTATCCATGGCACTTGAACTTATGTTCAAACAATTCATTATACCTTTCTTTCTTCAAATATCACGAATTCCATCTTATTCCGAGATCCGATGCCATGTCTCATATAATACCCAGGTCGAGGGTGCTTATGAATGCTTCGATCTCACGCTGCCCTTAATTCTCACCTGTTCGCCCTGTTTTCGCGTTCTGATCCCGCGCTCCCGACCTCCTATTACACTCGACCGCTGCACCTGACAATTATCTCTAATTGTTGTGTATTTAATGGGTAAAGCGTTTCCAGCAGATCGGTGTTTGACTTTTGCCCTGGAGGCTTTTTATGGGAGGGTGGGGGATTGGAAGGTTTCCATTCTTTTGCAAAAACTCGGGAATCAATGATTCATTCGGTATTTGAGTCTTAATAAAGGTTGGGCAAGGAGTGGAGCGGGGTAATTGTTGAATCAGAAATTGTTACCAATCTTTCTCCAATCGAACAGTGGCTTAGATTTGGATTTGATCTGTGTTTTTTCATTTTAGAAGTTTAATAAATTTCGAAACTTTATAGATAAGATAACTGATAAGTTTTATCTAGCGTAAGATCTGAATAATATCAGCAATTTATTGGCTAAATATCCTCCCATGTGGTTTTACTTGTATGTAATTCTCAAATATGCAAATGTGATCCATACTGCATCGGATGTATTTTTCAAATTTTTACTTCTTTTTGTAAAGATTCAGTTCTCAAGATACCCCCTTAATAGTTCCCTGTAGCTCTTAATATTCCTATGGCACGTCCCTTTCCCAGTTTTTATCAATCCTAAAGGAGCTTTCCCACTTTTTTATAGGTATCGGTCCCCTTTTCTCCATTTTTATGACTCAGCGATTCCCACTTCGAGTATTGTCGTTGGTTCGATCCGTCGCATCGATCCGTCTGCTTATGATCTCCCGTTAATTCGCTTTACAAACATTTCTGTTATAAGATACCACAGTAATTTCTGTAATAATCCCATTTCTCCAGCGTTTTTCTTTGCCAAGCGATGCCACCAGGTTAACATCGAGAAGAAACGGGTTTCCTTTCTGCAGAATGTCGTTATCCAGAGAAGCCATGAAGGAAGGCTGCGAATATCTGAAAGGTGAGACCATTTGTGACATTATTTGGCATTTAGATGACATATAAAATACAGTAATAGCATGCTGACAAGTGTAATTTAATAGTTTCAGATAACTCGGCTCAAATGTTCGGTCATAAGTTCTTCGATTGTCGGGTTGTCTCCGTTTGTCAGATCTGCCAGAAATCTGACAAATTCGAAACTCGATTTCTGGCCATTTGTAAATACAGGGTATTCATTGTCTACGGAAAGAATCCGGCCAATTTTAAGCTGGAAAGGAGTTTCAATCTTCTCACATTGAGACAGCTACTGGTTCAGAACAAAGAGGTTTGTGTATCTTCAATTTTGGAAAGATGTTTTAGACTACACACGGCATCAGACTACTTTTTTCACGAAAATTTTCTTACAGTATCCCTTTCAGCTTATAATCTCCTATGAAGACAAACCCAAATCCCAGCACAAGCTGATCTACCGTTCCGAGGACACGGAGCCGCTCCAGATGGCCAAGGAGATCCTGTCGGCCCTCAAACATTACTTGCCGGACATTGGTCCCTCTTTATCCAAATTCATCCAGATCCAGCCGGATTCTCTGCTCAATGAATTCCCATTGCTCCCATCCAGTCAGCCAAGTCTTCCTTGTCACAACTTTAGACGGACTTATGTCACGATTTGTGATCTTATTGATCAGCCTTACAATGAGGAGATTATCTGGGATGTGGATCGGATTTATTTCATAAACAAGATCAGAGATATCCGGTTAGAGGACTTTGGACATCTTAGTGTAAAGTAAGGTCTTTGTTAGCTTGCATTTTCACTATTTTTTATAGTATTGTTTTTGACGAACAATAATGATGACATAAAAAATTCTTCAGAGATCAAGTAGCAGTAATTGGAAGCGCTCAGTTCTCATCTTACTTCACTGGAATAACAGTTGAAGCTACCAGATTAGCCGCCGAACATGTTGAGATGATCCTAAATGTAGTCCGAAGATCCACAGCGCTGAAGTCTCTTCGCTTAACGAATTGTGGACTCCCTAAGGACTTCTGTTACCATCTAGGGAACGCTTTATCCGCCAATCCGGATATTCCTTTGAGTATTTTGGATCTGGGTGGAAACCAATTGGATGATAAGAAATGTAAGAACGCCTCTTTTTTTGCTATTTAATTTTTAGATATCTGTCATTTGTCTTCGGTACTTCCCTGTATTCGCACTTTGAAGTCGATATCCTTTGCGGATTGTGGTCTCTCGGATAAAAGTATCCATCATCTCGCCTCGGGGCTTACAACTGGATTAACAATCGACAAAAATGGCTCAGGAAATAAGTTCGAATTGAAGAGATTGATTCTTTCCCGGTGCTCGTCGAAGGATGATCCGACCGAGTTGATTAATTTCGTCTCAGTTTGTGGTTCCCTCAGAGCACTGGACTTAAGCGGAACTGGAGTTTTGGTCGATAAATTATGGTCGGCTTTGAAGTTGGGTGGATTGCAATTAGAACAGCTGAATTTGAGTGGATGTCAAACGTTGAAGAAGCACAAGGAAGGCGTTGGATCCGTCAAAGAGCTGTTTTCTTGCATGGTTAATCTGAAGGAGCTTAATCTATCCAATACTCCGTTGAGTGCTGATCTTCTTCAAGCCATTTTGCAAGGTCTTTCGGCCAACTCTCAGGTAAATTGGGGTTTTCTGTCACAGGCTATAGACTGAAACATTTTCTTAGGAAAATCATTATCTCTAAAGATATTTTAGTCATGATGGTTAATAAAAATTGTATTTTTTCAGCTGACTGATATTAAACTCAACCTTGATGGTGCTTGTGGAGACAAGGGATGTGGTTTGATCCTAGAGCAATATCTTCCCTTCTGTCCTGTCGCCTTTTTGTCCCTTCGTGACAATAATTTGGAACAAAATGCCCTCAAAATATTCGCGGCCCTCAGGACAATGACCTCATTGCAGAGTCTGGATGTTGGTGGAAATAATTTCATTGGTCTCAGAGTTAATAAGAAATACAATGGTGTTCTGAGTAAAGTGGTCAATGAGTTGACAAAATTGATCGCCAGTGAGGAAGTTGTAAGTTGACAGTTTAGGATTTTTTGAGTGAAGTACCCCAAGTATGACGCTCAGATTTTGCTGAAAGAAAAAAGTTTTTTGCGCGTTTCTTTCGGCAGTTGGGTTGAATTTTGCGTACTCTCTGGGTCGCAAAGATCGTTAAATATCTCGGCTGCAAAGTGCCAGCCAAAACTTTCACGAACTATAGCCCATTACCGCCGCGTGTGCAAAATTTAAAGAAAATATGAGCGTCGCACTTACTTCTCTTACAAATTTATTTCCAATTTAGGAACTAAAAGAGTTAATTCTGAGTGATGCCAAGCTCGGAAACTTCCTTACAATTCTCCTGAACGCATTGAGTGTTGCCAACATTGAGCAGTTGGATATTTGCAACAACGAAATTGGGAATTCCGGAGCCAGATTACTCTCAAAAGCACTTCAAATGAACACAAGTCTGAAAGTAATCGCATTCGATCGGAATCAGATCGGATTGGATGGATTCCAGGAGATTGCGTATGGCCTCAGACTCAACCATTCCGTCACATCCATCCCCTTCCCCTCCATTGACATCGCTGAAGCCTTGACTCGACCTGAAAGGGCTAAGGTTTTGAGTACTGTGGCGGAGATTGAGGTGGCGTTGGAGAGGAATCGAAAGTCCCCGAAATTATTCGAATTACATTCCCAGAAGATTCTAAATGACCTTAATAATGTGAGTCGGTTTACGGATACGGTAGTAGATACATATAAGGCGCCTGCGTTACTTTTTTCGGACCTCTTAACTTCCTGTCTGACCATACAAACTGACCTTCCCACGACCGGGCAGTATCAGTCTGTCGGGAAAATAGTGAGCACAATTTTTAAGACAGGGGTTTCTGCGACGAGGTCCGGAGGAAAGTTGAACGCACGCGCCTCATATAAAAAAATGATTCGGTCATAGGGTGCAGTAAGTAACTAATGAAATTTCATTTTCAGCACTGTGATAAATACGAAGTGAACAACAACACTCAGAAGAAGGTGGTTTTCCACACTCTGACCGAAGTCCTCAGCGAGCTAGAGCCATCTTCGACGTCAGCGCTCTCTCCTGACAATCTGATCCATCAACTTTCCTCAGATCTGTCGCAGTTGGCCAAAGAAAGCAGTAATAAGTTCTGTCAGCTGATTCAGAAGAGATTGGCCGAACAAAATGTGGACATTCTAGAGCCGGTGGGGAATTGTTATCCCGAAGATTTGGATGAATCGGTGAAAAAACAATTCGAGGATAAGATCAATGCGTTTGTCAGGTAAGATGAAGAGACTTTACAGTAGTTTGTGTACGAAAAGAAGACATTTCTTTGTCTTGATAGCAAGTGTAACCCCTTTTGCAGAGAGACATGTTTCCAAACCGCTTTCAATCAATTGGACAAGCTTTTAACACAGCCTGAGGCATTCAAATTGAGAGGATCCATCTCGAATCTGGGCATTGAGAACTCTGTACATATCAATCAATTCTCGGCCCGCACAATAACACCCATGGCACATCGTCCGAACTCGGCACTAATCTTGGAGGACAGTCCAAAAAAGAATGGAAATGATGGAAACAAGTCGTCCCCATCTTCCCCACTGATCCATTTAGTCAAGAACAGACCTCCACCTCCGAGGATCCTCAAGCATAAGGTCGGATATTACTTTTGTATTAGTTTATACCATCTTTGACAAGTGTAATATAAAAATTTTTTTGGCAGTTTTACCTTATACTAAAACCTTCTCATTTTTAGGTATTTGCCCGAAGTGTGACTCCAGTGGTAAACGGAGACAATAATTCGACGATGACATCATCAATTCACTCTTCAAATTCCTCAAATGTCTCGAGCACCGAGTCCAAAAATGTGTCAGAAGAAGCAGATCCCTCCTCAGAAGCCCCACCTCTGATCCCTCGAAGAACCCGGCTACCTCCCATGCCAAATCATCCCCCTCGTCTCCCACCGAAGCCTGGATCCGACTCTCCGTCAAGCACAAGGTCCCCCACAGATCTGAGAAATCATCGGACTCGAGTCCTACCGGCTCTGGACGAAGCCATGTTGGCCTTTAAAGATCCGGATGACTCTTCTTAACTTTATCAATGTGATCTTTAAGATCTAAAAGACATTTCTTTAACTCCTATTTTCGTAACTTTATATTTTTTTTACGTTATGCTTGACCTATTTGATCCATAACTTTAAATTTGCAAAGTCTATGTTATTTCCCTCTCTTCTAACTACCGGGTAGTTGGTCATGACCAATTATTATGTATATTTCCATCTTTTTACGCAATACTCTCTTTCTTTCGCCAAAATTATAATCCTACATATTTATCCTTATTTATCGTAAAAAACAACGGATCTATCAACTCAGGAAATAATAAACGCAGTGCCTGATTGACCCCATTTGGTTTTTGGTGTGTGTAAACTGGCTAGCCAGTGGTATAAAGTTCGAAAATTACTATCAGTTTTTATTGTTGAGTCCCAGCACGAAAACAAACACGCCTAAATCGAAATGCCAACGAAAAAATAAAATTTCGAAAAAATATCGCAGTTTTTCACAAGTTGTTGTAATTCCAGGCCAAGATGAGGTCACTGGCAGCGTTTTCGGGTAATGTGAGCCGGAGTAGACGACAGCAACTTCAATTCATTCATGCAGTTTCTCAAACGCATAGTGTGAGTTGATTTTCTTTCTTTATTCTTCTCTTTAGAGATTGGCGGCGCTCCAGACTATTCGAGATTACAGTCAACAGCAGCCTCAGAAGAGTGGAAACTTCTTCTCGAATCTGATTAATAATATTACCGAGGAATTGGAGAGAAACAAGGAACTTCAGGTATATCTTATATGCCATCATGAAACTGATCATTTAGAAAAATAAGCAAGAGTTAGAAGAACGATTGAAGAAAGTATCGAACACTGAAGCCATAAAAGAGGCCCGGAAGAAGTTTGTGAGTTCTAGTTTGTTCTTTGGTGTTGCCTATTTAGAGAAGAAGTTTGTGCATCATGTTGTTTTAGGAGAAAGTGACCGAAGAAAGTATGCAAAGCAATGCTATTGTAACTGTCAAGCTAAAAGAGTTCAAGGATCATGTTGATAAAATGGTAGCGGAGATAAAGAGTTCAGAAGCCGGGAAAGAAGCCATTAAACAGGCTAAAATTGCCGTTGAAAAACTAGAACAGGCTGCTCAAACCGTGGGGAATACACAGACATACAAACAAGTGGCATCTACAGCCAAGGTAGTAAGAGATGAATTGGATGGTTTGGCCGATGTTAGGATGTACTCTAGACCTGGTGAGCTTACTTTTCTATATTATATTCGATTTTAGAGCAACTCAAAATGAGAACTGATGCATTTAGCACAAGCGCGTTTTCCAATCGAACAGTCGAAGCTAATACGTATGTTTTGACATAGTTTATTAAGTGCGCCGTTAATTTATCATAAAAATTTTTATTGTTTTAGTGAGGCAACTGGTGTCGAGTTACATAAAGAGTCCAAGTGGTATGCAGGATGGAAGAATTTCTCCGATAACAACGCTTATTTTAATAGTAAGTGTACTAAGCGTCTATTTCAAAAAGTTCATTTCTTTTTCACCCGATTTTGCTTCAGAAGTCCTTGATTGGAAGACCAAGTACGACGAAAGTGAGAATCCCTTCGTCCGGATAGTCAGAGGGGTCACCGAACGAGTAGGCCATGTGTTCACCGCTCAAAGTGAAGTCTCTGAAGTCCTTACCGAGATCGCCAAGATCGATCCCAGCTTCGACAAACACGAATGGCTTCGGTTTTGTGAGAAAGAAGTGGTCCCCAATATTTTGGAAGCCTTCATTAGAGGAGATTTGAAGGTTCTGGAAGACTGGTGCCATGAAAGAGCCTTTAATATGATGGCTACAATGATCAAAGACATGAAGAAGGTCGGTTACACTACTGCTGACAGTAGAGTCATCGATATTAGCAAGATGGAGGTAAGCGGCATGAAGAATATGAAAAAGGATTGCAGATGGTATCCGGGAAGATGATGGATCAGGGGCCGGTATTGGTGATCACTTTCCAGGTCTTTATGATTCATGTCGTCAAAAATGCGGCTGGCAAAGTCATCGAAGGGGATCCGGTAAGTGTAATGTAAATGGGTCATGTCTAAAGTAATATTATTTTGAGTATTGATGACATTTTCTTGTAGAACACTCCCGTCCGAGTCCATCACGTATGGGTTATGTGCCGTGATATGCAGGAATACAATCCCGCCGTCGCCTGGAAACTCCTCGAATTGCATTACCAAGAAGGCGCGCTCTCTCTCTAGATTAGTCCAAAGTTGATTGTTATCCGTTATGTTAAGGCTAGGAATAAAAGATTTTTTTCTGGGGCCGCGATTCTTTTGGTCATCCAGCTTTATGATGTGATAATATAATCTCATACAACTAGATAACCAAAGAAAGCGAAGGTCCCTCCAGTAGAAGGGCTAAAGTAATATCAAAAGTTCTAGTAATTAGTCAGGGAATGTTTCGTAGATGAATGCCCCCTTTCGAAGAGACGTCTCTGTGGATGTAACCCTCTCGGATTACAAATCTTATCACTGAAGTCGAGACCTTCTACATCCCGAGCTGATAAGGTACCCTATTTGAAGGCGATTCAACTGTTTTTTGGATGGGGCGGGGAATAAGATCCAGGAAGATGGCAGTCGTCTGAAGTCCGTCGTCGAATCGAGGGCATCCGCTCTCCTGCTTCCCCCCAATCTCTCGCCTTTTTTTCATTTTTCGGCATTTCCGTTGATTTGAAACATTAACGGACTTTTATCAATCTCTTTTTTCCAGGGTTTCTCCGCTCGGACATCTCAAGAGCTTATAATTCTCTCAGTTTTTTGCTCGCCTTTTGTCGGTTCCCCGTTTCCGCTAATCCATCGGCGGATTTCGTCGATCCGTCGCTGACCCGTATTAATGCGAACTTTATCCATTTCGTCGCCATTTGTCACCAGAATTGCACTTGACAAAGGCTGTTAATTGACAAACGAACCTCTCAGTCGGAGCTTCTGCAGATCCGAGAAGGCTGACTGCAGTCAGGTCCATCCATCTCCTCCACATATGAGATTTGAGAAAAAAAACTTCTTTGAACTTGAGCCGGTTTTGGAACATTGCTAAAAACTATGATAAGATCTGCTGTAAGTGAGGAGTGAATACAAAGGCTTGCAAAGAAAGATGACAATTCATTCATCAAATTTCAAATACAAAACAGGATTCGGAGGATTCGAAGAGCGAATCATTCATTACAAAGCGGCTAAAATTGATAAATCCATCGGAAACTCATCTGTTGTCAATCACGTTACAATTTGCAATGTTATTAACACAGCACAAAGTAAAATACGCCCAGAATCCACATTCATTGCATCCCAAAACACGTCCCGCCACGAAAATATTTTGCGAAAAATCATTTATTTGAAATTCTTGTATTTTTCATCGTCAAAAAATTTCGATCGAGGGCAGGAATTGTCGTTTTGCTTGTTCTCATCTACTCGTCCCATTCATTTTTTGCTTGTTGTAGATGTCGGCCAGCTCAGATCCATTCAATTTTAAGATTCCAAAAAACATCGAATTCGGCGACGTTGGGGCCGACGATGATGTGTTCAACAGTAAGCCGAGTATTTGAGTCATTTACAAAGAGTTTAGAGACGAATGGATGGGGAAGCCCAGAATTTTATGCACAGAGAAAGGCGGCGGAAAGACAAAAGAAACTGGAAGCGATTGATGCCAAATTGAGACGGTTGTCCGCGTAAGTTTATATTAATTTTGTCTATTCTCATGTTTAGTCTCAAGGACTCCGAGAAGGAGAATCAGAGGTCTAAGAATGTAATTCCCGTTAAGCCTGTAAATAGTAACGAAGGGTAAGGCAAATCATTGCGAGGATATTCTTTTAGTCGGCCTGTACTTCAACCATCGACCGTCAGAACTCGAGCTTCTTCTCAGCCGCCTGTCCAACCAGTGGTTTCAGCCAAGCCCGTAGTTCAACCATTAATAAGGTAAGTTTTAGACAATTTATTTTGAACTTTTTAGTCGTCTTCGCTCAAACTCAATGGTTCGAACTCCAGCTGCTCCTCATGGCATGGAACTCAGAGGTCGTCCACAGGAGAGAAAGGTTCCGGCTTTTGTTAGGCAAGCCGTGAAAGCTACTCCGACCTTATCCAGGTCTTCTCCTTTGGTCAGAAGAGCTGCCGCCGTTACCTCTCGCCTTCGTAATTCATCTCAAGATCTCGTAAAACCTGCGGAATCTCCCGCCGTTCGCAGTGTTAGAGGTATTCCAGTGGTTGCTGCTTATCATCCGGGTAAAAAGGCCGCAGAAAAACCGAAGGAAGATTCCGAATCAAAGGAGAACCAGAAGCCAACGGTGCAAAAGTCATTGGTTCAGCCAGTCCCAAACCCGGTTGGACGAGTCCTCCGTTCCTTCAGCCAGCCTCGGCAGACTCCAACACCAGCGACTGTTCCAATTGAGAAGAAGCCAATGCAATCAACGCCTAAGGCACTTCCCATTCCAAGCAGATTACAAGCCAGACCTCCAGCGATGCCCAGGATTGTGAGACCCAAGAACAATCAAGAGAATGTCCCCAGTCGTGTTGATGCCTCAGGCGCTGATGTTTTGAATAAGAAGCCCGTTAATCGTAGATTCAGTTTCATGGCCCCCACCTTCGCGAGTCGTCGCAGATCAATGGCTGCCCCAGAGTAACATGTATAATATTTTTTTTATTTATTACCCGGAGAATATTTTTATGATATCCGTTTCAATGTCAGTAAATAGCATTAATCTGATTTACGTCTTCATTTTGTTGTAAAGGCTACTATTTTCTCTCTCGAACTTTGTTGTCCAAGTCTTGGAGAACCGCAAACAAAAGGTTTTTGTTGGTTGCAAAAAGTTCAGAGAGCAAAATTACTTTAAAGACTGGATTAGAAGTGTTTTGAATGGTCGAGGCTACGGTAAAGTTCGGTTTTCACATGTTTTGCCTGAGGTCATCTGACTGTGATCAAAGCGGAAATGTCAATCAACCATCAGTCTGGATGTTTACCAGGAAAACAGCAGAAGATTTTTATAAAAACATTTTTACTGTTAGGTCTGTGATTGGTTAGGATAATTTATATTTTTGGATGATTTCCCAAATTTTAATTGATCTAAAATAATTTCTGACCCAAATCCCTCATTTTTTGTGTGTTTCTCTAAACTTTTTGAGATGTTTTTGGCCGGGAAAAGGACCTGTCCATGCATCTGGACTGAAGACATTTCCTCCTAATGGCGTGGGCGAAATCAAGTGATTGGAACAGGGTCTGTGCCCTCAGGGAATGATCGGGAAAGGGCTGAAAAGTTCGATCCGAACCGAGACGACCTCATACTAAAGAGAAGAGGGGGGATTTAGGGAAACCTGGAGGTCCAGAGCCGGATCGGATGGGTAAGATCAGCTGTCCAGTGTAACATCGAAAGGAGAAGATCAGAGAGGCCTGAGGGAGTGAAGAGATTGTGAATGTTGAGGGCGAAAATCTGGCATCGAACAAAAGTGCCGGAGGCGTGGGAGAAGGGAACAGCCGTCGCCCCGCCAATCCCCCGCCCCTCGGACTGTCTGCCCCTCTCCGCGATCGCCCCGCTCCCTTCACACGGCCCCTTTTCCGATCGCCTAGGGCCTTTTTTTGCGATCTCCGGATCTCGGGCCTTTTTCTCGAATTGCCCAGCATTCAGCTCGAAAGTCGTTGACAATGGTAGGTTCTTTTCGCCCTGGCATTTTCAATATTATGTATAGAATTTAAACCGCAAATCCTTTTGTAGCGGCTTGTAAGAGTAGTGTTTGCTTGTTAGGGTTACGGTAAACAATTTTTTACAGTTTGAACGGTACTTTACTGTATACTTTTGGACTTTTTGAGATCAAGTTTTTTTTTAAATTATTTCTGATTAAAAAATATGACTAAAAGGATAATTTCAGGCCGAAGATATTGAAGAGATTCTTTCTGAGATCGATGGATCCCAAATGGAGGGTATGTATTTTAACTTCATTTTGATCCAAACATTTCAAAAAATTGAATATTTTTACCAAAGATATTATGTGCAATATAATTGATATCTTTGCAGAGTACCAACGCTTCTTCGACATGTTCGACCGCGGAAAACAAGGCTACATCATGGCCACGCAGATCGGCCAGATCATGCACGGCATGGAGCAGGACTTCGACGAGAAAACGCTCCGCAAACTGATCCGCAAATTCGACGCCGACGGCTCCGGAAAGCTGGAATTCGACGAGTTCTGCGCCCTCGTCTACACTGTCGCCAACACCGTGGACAAAGAGACTTTGGAGAAGGAGTTGCGAGAAGCCTTCAGGCTGTTCGACAAAGAAGGAAACGGCTACATTTCCCGACCCACCCTCAAGGCCCTGTTGAAAGAGATCGCCGATGATCTGACTGATGCTCAGCTCGAGAGTGCTGTCGATGAAATCGATGAGGATGGATCTGGAAAGATTGAATTCGAAGGTAATTTTTACTTCAATTATACTCCCCGTACAATGTTTTGACCCCCCTCGTAACTCGGTCCAAGGTGTACTAATTCGGACCAAATTTGGTATGTAGTATACTCACAGGCTAGTAACAAAAAATAACATAGCTAGACCTACCTTATAGTTGAATTTCAAAAGCTAGGGGCAATTTTCAAAAATCACCTTAAAAAATCGAGGAAAAAGTTTTGACCCCCCTTAAAAAAAAGTTAGATATCGCCAGCGGATGCCACGCAAACTTATTGTAATCGACGTCCCATACCTGAATACAGGTTAATATATGGTTTTCCGTTGAATTGTTCGTTGCATTTAAGGATTCAACGCGTTAAACCGTTTTTGATGTAGACCTGCCCAAAATTGTAAAAATCTTGCCCTAGCGCTTTTCTAGAGCTCTAAATTGGGTTTATATTATGTGCTTTAGACCTGTATTTACCTTCTCCTTTCAATAAAAGTGCATGGTGGCCTGGCGGTGTAGATTCGGCAGATACCCTCTGGTCATGCCCAGCCTTGGTGAGCCATTTGCTCTTTGACTCAAGGTCGAGATGCGGTCGTTAGGTCCTCAGTGTAATCCTGAGACCCCTATTTACTCTCAAGCAAAGAATAAACTCCCGCTGACACGGTCTCATATGGTTTGCAGGCACAACTTCGCCGATCTGCACCTTGACGAAAAACCCGCATTTTTCAAATGGATTTTTAGCCACCAAAGACGGCTTTCATTTGATGGACCAGGTAATTTAAGACGCTACAGCACCCACCATACTCATTTGAGACGTATGAAACGCCAAATGGGAGGTGGGGATGTAATAGTACTCGGGGTCATCTACAGTAACGGCAAACTTAAGATTAAGGTGAATGAAACCCATTGCAAAACGTGTCAAATCAAAACATTTTACATTGCTGAGAGTAGCTAGGAGTCTCAGGATTACATTGAGGACCTAACGACCACATCTCGACATTGAGTCAAAGAGCAAATGGCTCACCAAGGCTGGGCATGACAAGAGGGTATCTGCCGAATCTACACCGCCAGGCCACCATGCACTTTTATTGAAAGGAGAAGGGAAATACAGGTCTAAAGCACATAATATAAGCCCAATTTAGAGCTCTAGAAAAGCGCTAGGGCAAGATTTTTACAATTTTGGGCAGCTCTACATCAAAAACGGTTTAACGCGTTGAATCCTTAAATGCAACGAACAATTCAACGGAAAACCATATATTAACCTGTATTCAGGTATGGGACGTCGATTACAATAAGTTTGCGTGGCATCCGCTGGCGATATCTAACTTTTTTTTAAGGGGGGTCAAAACTTTTTCCTCGATTTTTTAAGGTGATTTTTGAAAATTGCCCCTAGCTTTTGAAATTCAACTATAAGGTAGGTCCAGCTCTGTTATTTTTTGTTACTAGCCTGTGAGTATACTACATACCAAATTTGGTCCGAATTAGTACACTTTGGACGGAGTTAGGAGGGGGGTCAAAACATTGTACGGGGAGTATATAAGTTTCCGTTTCTAAATACAGTAATCCAATTTTATGGCTTGAAATAATATTTTTTGGAAAAATTCTTTCGCTGTTTTTGGAAAAAATGACGTGTAATGTCCTGAGATACTGTAATATGCCCTTAGGAATTTTGAGTTTTGAATTTCACCTACAGAACTCCTCTCTTGTTTACTTATAATCTTATTTCCGAATTCTTTTTCTAAATCTTTCGTTACGTAATATACCTCAGTTTTTTTGACCTACTCTCCTTGATCCAGATCACTCAAATCTCTCTTAATTTCAGAATTCTGGGAGCTGATGGCTGGCGAGTCCGACTGAGCAAACAACTCAACCTTCTCCATTGTCTTTTTTCTTGTTTAATTCTGATTTCAATTATTGTAAACTGGCAAAAAAAGTAATTACAATACTTGTTCGGATCGTATTTGACTTGATGGACCCTTCAACTTTCGTCGAAGAAACAAACCTTTGTGCTCTTTTATTTCCAGGATTTTTGGGTACTCTCGAGATATGAGAGATCGGATTACCAAGGTGCTGGGAATAAAAGATAAGGCAAACAGAAAAGCGAACTTCCCGCTTTATTAATTATTACTCAAAAGAAATTGGATCCAACGGACGAGGTTGAGGAGCAACTACTCGACCTTGTTGTAATGACATTAGGTGCCGTGGGAGTGAGAGAAGTGGAGGGATTGCCGCCAATTTGGCCACTCAGCTCTTCCATTTGATCTAGATCCTCGGATAAGGAGACCGAATTCCGAGCTCTCATCAATTGCGCCGGAAGGGAAATATTTGGAGGATTTTGGAGACGTTCTCCTTGTACTTGGGCCAACGGTGGAATCTCGGCTTTGGGACGGCGTTTTTGCGATGTTCTCTCTGAAAAGTTCATCTCACATTATACAGGGTGTCCAGAGAAATTCCGCGGAAAGTGTTTGCCGATTTCTCGGCGCTTAGGCAAGATATCCAAAAAATTCTTTTTTCATTAGAAAGAAGACTATGGGCGGTTTTTTTTTCTAAAAAAGTTTTTTTGTCCGCCGACGCGGAACATACTGTATTCGGCGGAGACTTTTGGTAGCTTTTTTGGTCATCACACCAATCTTAAAAGCTTTACTATGATCCTGAAACTATCGGGAAGCCTTCAGTTTTTTTCCACAGAGGATCAGGGGACCGACGACAACGCTATGCAATTGCATTTAGCGACTGCACCGCATTGTGTAGTTGCGTCAACGGCGATAAAGTCCGACCGCATCGTGCGGAGGTTTGAAACAGTGGGGCAAAAAGAAGTTCAATCAAAAAATATTTTGTTGTTTTCTGGTACACCAAGTCGTTTACTGATGGCTAAGATGCTGCCACGGCTTGGCGACGAAATTTTGGAGAGCATATGGGATCAGCAAAGAATGCTAGCCACATAATGTTTGGGACATCTCCTATCCAAAGCTGAGTTGTGGCCTCCGCCAATACGGAAAGCTCGCCATTCCATTGCCGAACGTTTGGTAAACATAAAAATAAGATAACATTCTCTTTTTAACCCTCAGAAATCGTACTGAAGCTTTTAAGAGTGGTGTGATGACCAAAAAAGCTACCAAAAGTCTCCGCCGAATACAGTATGTTCCGCGTCGGCGGACAAAAAAACTTTTTTAGACAAAAAACCGCCCATAGTCTTCTTTCTAATGCAAAAAGAATTTTTTGGATGTCTTGCCTAAGCGCCGAGAAATCGGCAAACACTTTCCGCGGAATTTCTCTGGACACCCTGTACATGGGGCTTTCTGTTACCATGCAATAATACATTTAAATTAGGCTTCTTAAGTGGTCAACTAAATTCAGCCAAAATGACGTCAAATTTCAGTGACGACCGCAACTTGACGTAATTTAAAAAAAATCGAAAAAATTAAATTAAAAAAGTAAATTACTGACTGTAAAAATCATTGCAAGAAATACTTACCATGACGCACGATGATCCCTTTGTCTTCGGATTTATCCCCCTCGATCACCTTCAACAGTTTGTTTTGATAGTTGACAATATGCTCCAGATTCCTGCTGAGCTTCTCCATCTTTGTTTTGAGGACCACATTCTCTTCACTCAACTCGTTCAACTTGTTCGACAACTCCAGAGAACTTTGAAGATGCTTATGTGAGAGCAGTGCGCAATTGAATTTCCTTCTGGACAGATCGTCCAAACAGTCCTCCTCGAAGTCGTGGAGGTGTTTGAGGTCTGCCTCGTCGAAGTAAACTTCTGAAAACTACAATTCTTTATTTTTTCAAAATTTTTCGAATTAAAAACTTTTTTGTCAAAAATTTTGATGATTCAAATAACACAAAACACTTACTAATAGAGAACTCGGCGTTGTTATTATACGCTTGATAAGTAGCCTTTGTTCCGCAGATCTTCCTCTTTACATATTTACATAACAACCAGATATGTACAAATGGAGTGAATGGAGGCGGAATGATCGGGGTGCTCTCGTATTCCAGGACTTGTTGGTATCTCTGGAACATCCAAACCTGCTGAGACATGGCATTTGTCACATTGAAGATATTACTGTAACAAAAATTAATTTTAAAATATTTGAGATCAAGCGTAATTTAAAATTTTTCCTCACTTAAAGATAGCGATCAGCATATTGATAAGCAATATATTGGCGACAAGCAGAAAGATTGTCATCAAAACCGGGGGTATCCATCCTCCGGGGACACAGTTGGTCCCCTCATCTCCACAAGTGTCAATTTCCCCCGCATACACCTCTCCATAAAGCATAAAGTAGGGCTTGTAGAAGATGTTCCTCACCAAAATCCAGCCCCATTTCTCGTGAGGGAACGTGATGGACTGTCTGGCCACTCCGAAGGCCATCAAGGTCACCAGGAGCATGATGATTATATAACTCATGGCCAGAACCATCTTCCCCGCCATCGTAATGTAAGGGCCGAGACGGGGATGGACGCTCAGAAAGTCAAACAGTTTCATGTGCCAGATCACCGAATTCGAGGCCAAAATCACTCGGGATAAAGTGTGGATTCGATCGGCGTCGAATCGGAAATAGAAGCCGATCATGAAAGTGATGACTCCAATGGTGGTCAAGATGTTCCAATACCGAGTGTAGAACACCTTCACTTTCTCGATGAGGTTGGAAGATTCGAGGACCAACAGCTGGAATGGGCTGACTATATTAAAACATTACTTATAGCCATGTATTAAAATTATTTTCATCATGATGAATATAACTATATAAATTATAATGTCAATTACCTTGCGAAAGTGCTCCATGGTCAGCCCAACAACATAAGCAAAGAGTCCCCATTCCGTATAAGTCACCTTGGCGGCGAATTCAATCAACAAAACATAGCAGAAGGTGAGAAGGAAAAGGCAAAAAGACAAGGTCCATATCCAAAAGGAGGTGATCGGAGCACCATAAAACAACTCAAACTTTGACCAAGCCGAGGATAAGGTCCTTCGAAGACTCTGCAACTTATTTTTTGTACTAGAACAAGGATTGAAATCGTCTAATTTATTTCCTCCAACTGTTGTTAGTGTAACAGAAAACATGAAACGTATTCAACTTCTCATTTACAGCACTAACTTACTCTTTCCCTCCGTATAAAAACAGAGTCCTTTCTGTTCTCCTCGATTACCGTGAGCGCCCGTGTTTCCCGATTTGCCAAGAAATTTGTGTTTTCATTAAGGATGATGTCATTTGATCCCCGTTTACTCTGAGTCCGTCCATGTCCGTTCGAGGAGTTCTTTCGGAATTTGTTGTACCACTAAAGCATCCAATATCCACAATTTGACTCACCGATCCCTTATGCAGGTTATGTAACGAGGTCTTACTGTCATGTTTATAATCGTTCAATTCCTCTTCGGTTGTGATCAATGAGTTTTTCCTCTGATTTTTCTTTTGCTCCGGGGTTTTAAAATCGAGTAGTAAGATGGCTGGAGGGAAAACCACGGCCACTATGACCTTGATATTGGACTGACTGAAAATCTAAATATTTAAATCGCCTGGGGACATTTTTTATACCTTCGGAAACGAAGACCACCGTGCCAGAGGTCCGCAAGAAGGATTTGACAGCTAAAAAAGGTCAGAAATCTCAGAATTTGATCAAATCTCATTTTGAAATTAGGTCTACAGCAACTACAGATACCGTAAGCAATAAATTTTTATCTCACCATGGATGTGCCAAGAATCTCTTATTATTGGCCATCACGGCCAAAGACAAGCACGTATGATGTCCCCAAGAAGGCAATTCGGCCGTCAACAATCTCATTGTCTTCACATCATCCTGTTCATGACAATGGTTCAACAATTCCAATGAGCAGTCTTTGAAATCACTGTAATTGGCGACGTTTTGTACGATCAAAAGCATCCCGGATCCAAAAATCCCAAAACTCACTCTGCGAATTCTCTGAGTTGGTTGCTCGCTTCTACTTCTGTATAATCACAGGCGACTTCTCTACTCATTGTTTTGTAGAGTCGTATGGCCATCAGAGCCTTGGCCATCCCATGTTCTCCGTATAACCAGAGGCATCTGGCCATTTCATGTCTTCGGGTGAGGACGGCCCAGAGAAAAAGGTCGTTGAAGGGATGCTCGAAGTGATCCTCGGCCTCGGATTGCTGCTCGTCCTTGCGTTGAGGGGCCTAGATTAACATTAATTTATTTAAAATTTTTTTTTCAACCCTTCATGAGCAAAATTTTAACTTTTTATTAAGAGGTAGCGTTTTGCAGAAAGTTCAGTCTAAAATAATTTAAAAATTTGACTTTGTTTACGGTAAATTATGAGCAGATTTCTGAATCCTTGCAGTTATCCTCAACACCCCGTTACCTTTGTAAAAAGTGTGTATTTTATGTATTCTTTACTTTTTTTTTAAAGCAGTACTGTTAAAACGTAATTTTTGGAAGTTTTCGATGGCGCGGTTTCGAAAGTAAAATTTTCCGAACTTTACATTTTTGTGATACAAAGTAATTTTAAGATGTAATTAAGTAAAAAATAAAAAATTAGTGTTACTTTCGAAATCAGCACCATCGAAAACTGGTAAATCAAAAATTTTAAAAAAATTCCAATAATTACTTTTTAACAGTACTACTTAAAAAAAAAGTAAAGAATACATAAAATACACACTTCTCTAACTGAATGTAAACTTACCAAAAGACTGTCCATCGATTTGCTGGGCATTAATTTGAAGTGCAAACTCTCGATCTTGCTCATGTGTTTCCTCCCTCGGCATCGTTCGTAGAGTTGTTTAAAGGCCCGGGTACTGTAATGGCAACGAAAAGCGTTGCCCATCAACTTCTCGATGATATCCGCGATGTCAGGGATGGCTATTTTATCCGATCCAGAGGTCGAATTGTCGTCAATCAAATGGCTCAGAGTGTTCAGAGCTGTTGGGTCCTAAAGTTTGGTAAATTAATATAAGAAATGGGGTTATATCGCTTTTTAAATCACCTACCGAGTTATAAAGTTGCTCTAGCGTGTCAATGTTCAGAAATTTCTTGATCGAAACTCCCTTTTCCAAAAGTAATTTTACAAATTCGACCCGATTTAATATAAGAGCATCCATCAGGACGTTATGCAAATGTTTTATCTGCCAATCCTGATCTTCAGTGAAGACTTCTGAGCGAGCAATGTCTACACGATTCCATACCAGGGTCAAGGATAGCTAAAACAATATAAAAATGATGATTAAATTGATTAAAGTTATATTGCACTAGGTAAAAAGTACTTGTTCAGCTGGGCAGAGGTTTTGTCCTTTAAGGAGAGCTTTCAGGATTGTTTGGTCTGCATCCATGTGATCATTTTCGTTCATCCGAAAGACTGTGATCTATAAAAATAAAATTCAAATACGAGATTGTTATGTGTAATATACAAACATACCAGGCCTTTCAATCTCGCACAACTCAGAATCTTCTCCCTGACTTCCTCGACTATTTTGTTGTCATCTCCGATTAACTCTTTGACCCCTTCCAATAACTTTTCTTGACACTCTAAGGACAGATTACTATTAATATAACCAGTTTTTATGTTTTTACTTACCCATCATCCTTGATATTGCTATAAGTAAAGGCCAAGAGATTCGAGATTCTTCCACTTCCCTCACAAATAATCGTTGGGATCGGGGGATTACTGTAACTTTTTATCAGATTGTATAAGTATTACGGTAGACTTAACAAAAAAAATTAAAAATTCTAGGCGTTACCTTGTGAGATATTGATGGATACTGTTAAGGGTATTGATTCCCCCTTCCAATGCCACACAAAGAATGGGGATTTTCCTTGCTCTGATTGTCCCAAAAGTCCCATTTTTTGCCAAATATTCTTCCAGTCGTTTCCTCAAGAAGATGTCTGCCCCCGCTCGTCCCACAGTCCCATTATCAGCCAATAGGAAGTAAGTGTGCCTGTCGTTCAAGGCCGAGTACTTTCCCTTCGACTTGAATAAACATAATCGGTCATACTGTACATGAGCGTCTTTTCCCGTGAACATTTCCCGCTTCCGTAACACGCCCCAGGGCGCGATTCCAATGGTAACCAGGCGCGACCTCATTCTGGCAGAGATCCCGGCCTCGTCCAGGGCCTTGGCCACATGCCGGACCACTCCTCGATCCATGCCTGAGGTGATTATCCAAGCTCCCGTGGTCTCGGCCGCCTTCAGGAGACCTTCACGGAAGAGTTGGCCAAGTCTGTCCGGCATACTGTAATTTAAATGTGATGAAATGAGAAGCTTTCTCAGCGCGAATTACGGCCGTTGACTCACTCGAAATTGGCGGATCCCCCGTGAATTGTGATCACCAGCCTGGGTCGCTTGAGTTTCCAGACCTTTTCCATGAGATGGAACACGTCCGCCGGGTTGGAATCGAACGATAATCGAACATATTGGGCTTTATGGGGATGCATGCCCCCCTAATAAACAAAGATTAGAAGAGGCACCCTCCACATCGGTAATTTTACTATCAACTATCCAGTATTGCATAATCTTCGTTGGTTATGCACAACTCACCTGAAATTCGATGGTGCCGTAGGCATCCGTGGGCTGTGCAAGAGTGTGTTCCTTAATCTTCCACTTCTGTTTCCCTGGATGGACAGGTTTTACCATCGAAAGAGTGAATCTGCTCAAGGCCAGCTGAGTGTGATGGGAACTTAATCTCCCGCAGCCACATCTTTAATACCGCCTAAGACTCTTTATGGGTTGTCTTACCGGTCTGATAACGGGTCTGGAATGTACTTTATGCACTCGTATTTCTTGAATGTCTGTTCGATCCAACTCGAGGGCAACGGGGATCCCTAAAAGATTTTGTGGATGAGGAAAGATGACTAATAAGACAATCAAAAATAAAAAGTTTTGGCTTCGCAGTTCTGTAGATGTGTGTACCGTATGATTAATATTTTACAATTGATATTTGTGATGTTTGATGAAAAAGTTTTCAATAACACCTTTTTTTGTCACGTCCACTTGTATGAAACCCCTTCAAATCGAGACGTCATTGTGTCTATCATACTTCCAGAACCTCTTTTTTCACTCATAAGTCCACCTTCCCCTTCCACTGACCTCATTATTTCCGACCACCGGACTCTCCCGTCGTCGCCGCAGATGATTCTTCAATTGTAGCGAATGATAATTCTGATAATTATCGCACAAATACGAAATACTGTTGGACCGATGCAACGCCATAACTCAGAAAGGGAAGAGCGTCAACAAGCCGTCGTTGTGATTGCTCTTCTTCTCCATGTTATCAATCACCAAACTAATCGAAAGTAACACCAGACAGTGGAACAAAGAACTGCCTGACAACGTTGTTCTATCATTTCCTTCCAGTTGCTCACTCAGCGAAGGGGGAGAGTCTCTTTAAAGGTGTCTTCTTGGGTGCGAGTTAATCGCTTTCAGTTGATCATTTGACATAAACAATAAATAATAAGAGTGATAAAATGGGGGAAGAGGGAGAGGAAATGCGCTATATGACTGTTAGGCCCCTTTACAGTGTTCTACAGCAGCATCATGCTGAATTTCGATCCAAAATATTGTAATCGTGCCATTGATGGGCGGGTCCCACCACGAAGACTGGATTTTTGGCTTTGTTATGTAAAAAGTCGGAAGAATTATTCTTTTTTATGTTGATTGAGATCTGACCAAAAAACGAGTGTCTGCTGGCCAATATTTATCGCCATCTCGGGCCATAAACGCTCCAAAAATACGAGGAAGAGAGTGCGCGTCTCGAGGAGACGGCCGAGAAGTCCGGCCAGAGAGAGGCGATGCGCTTCAATGTGGAGCATAACAATGTTGCCGAGGACTTGCTGCTGCTGAACAGTCGGCCCGACTCCGACGAAGAGGGCGACGAATCTCTGGATGAGGCCTTCCTCGATCTCTGCTGTTGCGTTTCCTCCAAGTAATCGCCTTTTTCAAATTTTCTTTTGATTTATAGGGAAAGTGGACGGTGATGCGAAAGATAAGGCGAAACCAGTTCCGGGTTCGGCTTAAATCCTATCTGAAAGCCAATCATAATTTGAATTCCTCCCCGATGCCTAGAACAATGTTTAATTAAAGTAATTAGAGAGCGCTTGGCGAGTCAGATCTATGTGGAAGCGGCTTTTAGATTACAAGAGATCTTTATCAATGATTTTGCAGATTGATTTGGGCTTTTCTAGGGGAAGCTGAACTAGATGACATCAACGGTCATATCAAGTCTAATATTCTCTCAATTCCTGCTGTTCCCGCACTCACAGTTCTGTCAAAATGGGTTTCGGGAATCATGTTTTGATATCACTGAAAGGGAAATGCTGTTTGCCCTTTTAATTCGAATAATTCAAGCAGGAATTTGAGCTTTTGCGCCAAAAGCCATTAATTATTGGGCCTAATCAAAGAGAATCTTATTTCTCTTTTTTATTGGCTTTTCCCTAGAAACGTTGACCGTTTCCCCGGATTTAGTCATATTTCCTCCTTTCATGAGTCGGGTTTCCGCCTACAATGCGCATCGCTTCTTTGGAAATAGCCAGAATTAATAAAACTGTTGGATGAATAATATTCAGATACGTTTGCGCACGATTTTATTTCTGTTTTCAGAGATGACTCCTGTTGTAATGTGATTTTTTGCTCTCATCTGGGCCGGTTTTGTCTGATTATGGCGGCATTTCTCTTCGTTTGTCTCCTTGTTTTTGGTAAGTTACTATAAGTTTTTATCAGTTCTTTATCAGTGTTCCCAATCAATGGTCAGAAACAGTCGACAGACGTTGTTATTCCCAGAAACATACAGAATCGGTAAGAATATTTTATTTTGTCTTTATTTTTATGTTACACTTGATCAAAAATTTTTATTTCAGAGGCGAAAGGATAATCGCGTCGTTATGTCAAAACTATAAAAATAAAAAGTTGAGTGGGGATCTCTGTTCGACGATTTGCAATGCAAAAAATTGGACACTGACGGATTTTCAACAAGGGGCCAACAAAAGGGTGTTGAAATTGGCTGTAGGCTCACAGAATCTGGTATTAAAAGCGACAAAGGATTTCTTTGATGATTACACACTCCTCGATCCCGGAATTAATGAAGAAGATCTTGTTAAAACAGTAAGATTTTAAATATTCTTTTCTAATTTTAGGTATACAAAAATCGTATAATATATAATATTTATCTGTTACCGTATTCTTTGTGTTTTAGGTAGTAGAGCTTGTAAATGCGAGAATCGGATTCGAATGGCCATATAATTATCGAAACCATCTTATGAAACATCTTTGGTCGACTTATAATCAACGGAAAACTGAACCTCAACTTTCCGAAGCGGACAAAAATAGCCTGTGGGCACTGTTAGATCAAGATGAATTTATTACTTTCAAACTACTTCCATTGTCTCGAGTTACAACCAAAGTCCAAGGAAGTTGCGGTCATTTTTATTCGGTAGATTCTCTTTTGCCTTTCAAAATGAAAGGCTATTACATGGGACTGAAGGCCAAGATCTTAGTCCATTTGATGGGTACTCTCAAACTGTTCTACGAATTCCTCAACGAACCTCTGCAATGGTGCGATGTGAAGTTTGAGAATCTCGGTCTTTCCGCCAATTATCCAAAGAGGTTTGTCATTATATAGTTTTATTTTTATTGGTTCAGGTTTGTTGTTATGGACGCGGATATGTTATACACGGAATCTCGATTAAATCAGATATTGACCTCCAGAAAATGTGAGACGGACAAGGATTGCGAGTACTTTGATTGTCATGCCAGTTGCATTAATTCGACTGGAATGTGTTCGACCAGAGTCAATGACAATATTGATGTGAGTGAAGTGTCCATTAGAGATTAGATTAATGTTTTGCCATCTAAAATGCATGCCTTTCAGGTGTTTTGCGACAAATTGGTGGGTCGTTTGTTCGGCACCTACTGGTCCAAATCGAATCATTATCTGTCGGCCTGCCATGACAAATCTGGAAACCGAACGAAGAGATTGGACGACCTGAGATTGGTCTGGTCCTGGAGTTTATCTGACGTCTGAACTCAACAATGACTGGAATCTGAGTCTCATCGCCGTCATGATGACGTCGTTCTGAAGCCATTTACCCTCGGTGCTGTCTCTTTTGTAACATTTTTTCAACCCTCAGGTTTTTCACACTGACATTTATTTGCCTTATCCTCTGTATTTATGACATTTGGACGTATTTTTTGCAATACCCGGCCGTTTTCTGGTCGGGCCAATTTCCCCAAGCATATTCATCACATTTTTCAAAGAATCTTCACACTCATGGGTATCTTCATCATAGAATTTCGTATTTTCCCAGCCTCCTGATCTTCTCATCCGGTTTTTGTAACACGCACAATCAATTTCCTAAGAAAACCTGTACTTCTAAGAATAAAGTATAATACAATCTAATCATCAGCGCACAATCTTTTTATTAACAATTATCAATAAGAAATGAATATTAACAAGGAGATCGTCAATTTCTTCGAACAATATAAATACAGAAAATCAAGTTCAGATGGTGATGACAGGGTCGGTGGCCGGCATATTATAATCGGTGAGGAGGTAACGGAGCTTGCTCAGGTATTGGAAAGTGGTCTTCAGGCTGTCCAGATGAGCGTATTTCCGATGTAGATCCTTGAATTTGTTGCGACAATCCAACATGGTCAATTCGTAGGCATGGGAGGGAGGATGGCTCTAAAATAAAAATATAAGATCGGTAATAACAAAAAAAGAATTGTCTGATCCAGAGAATCAGAGAAAGGAAAGGAAGTGATTCTACTGCGATCCCGAAATAATTTACATTTTGTATTTATTTATTTATGAGTCTTACTTGTCCCAGTGACAAGTCTTCCCCTTTCTGGATTTCCCCGCCATTTCAAATCGTCCAGAATAAGGATGCCTAGAAAGGGGAATATTGTCATCATTATTATTCAGTTAGTTTTTTGTATCTTTTTGAAGTAAGGTCGTGTGAATTTGTTGTTGAAGATAAAGAAATTTGGTCTGTAAAACTTGGAGTACTCTCGTCAAAAGGTTGTAGCCATAAGGCTTCCTCATCACTTCGTGATTATCTGACAGTTTCGTTGTTAGACGTGGACCGGGATCTCTCAACCGGGTTACTACGTCATCCCCGACTATTCAGTCGGCCTCTGCATCAATCTCCCGGCCTAAGAGGATCATCATCACTCCGAGAACTACCTCGGCGACGCCGCAGTACACTCAAGGCAGTCGTCGGGGTAAGTATTTTGGAGTTTGTTTCCGTCCGCCTTTAGGTTATTCCGAGTCTGATCAGCTCGGCAGCTTGGAAGCGGACAAGAATGTTCAATAAATAATTCTTACCAAGAATTGACGGACAATGAATTCATCGGGATGGATCAGCTCTGGATGCTCTTGTCTAATGTTCTGCGGTCCTTTACCCATCAATTCCGAGAATCCCATTTGTAATATTTGAAGGGCCAAAGCATTATGATAATCACAGCCGTGGTCCAGCAGAGTCTTCCCAAGATTTGTTCTGATCGGATCCACCATTGGGTTAGAGCTGCTCGATTGATGACGGACAAATTGACCCATAGCTAAACAAAAATTTATATTATACTTGATACAAAAAACAAAAACATATTGTCAAAAAACCTACAAATCAGGAATTCTCTCTCGGACTGCTGCATGTTCAGAGATCCGATCTTGCTGATGAAGGTGGCGGCAGTTCTGTCCTTTTCGTAATCGTTCCAAGCCTCCCTTCGCTCCTATAAATATTATTAAAATCACAGGAAATGAAGTAAATAGCGAGTTCCAACCTTAACGTACCTTCTCAGTAAGAACTTCTTCCACCACATGCTTTAACAGTGTGTCTCTTTCCTCATAATTATAAATTGCTTCAGGTCTTTTGACCAGGATGTCTCCAAGAAGTCGATCCTTCGGTGGATTCAAAGTAACGGTCAGATCCGGGTTATAAGGATGGATGTCCAAACGATAGCATTCGGCCAAATCACTCCTGGTAAAGAATCGCTTGATCTGTTTTTCGTCGACAACTCTCAAGGAGGTGGACTCTTTGGTGACTTGTCTTTTGTAAATTACATCTTCCAGAGTTCCATCAGCAATCAGTCGATACACATAGACGGGCTTGGTTTGGCCATAGCGATATGCTCTGAACAAGGCTTGAGTATCATGCGATGGGTTCCAGCAGGCATCAAAGATGACTACTCGATTGGCGGCGACCATGTTTGTTCCCAAGGAACCAGCCTTGGTGGAGATCAAACAGACACGGGCCCGGGGTTTGGAGGAGTCGTTGAAACGTTTCTGGACTCTCTCTCGCTCTTCCGCATTCAGTTTTCCGGAAATTATCTAAAACTTTACAATGCAAAGAATCGAATAAAAAATTTTAAATGTGAAAATTCTCTATACTCACAAAGAAATCCTTTCCCAGATCCCATCCCCATTTCTCGTTATTCCTCTGCATCAAAGGTTGATGATCGCTGAACCAGGAATCGCTGAGATGTTCGAGCATGTGCTGGATCAAGGTCAAACTCTCCAAGGACTGACTGAAGATCAAAAGCTTGTCTCCGATTTGTTCACAAGTTCTGATAATATCCTGCAGAATCATCAACTTCTGACTCAATCCAAATTTAAATTCATCTTCGTCCGAGATCAGCCCCAAATCTTCATACCAAAAAAGGGGAATTCTGAATGGGGAATTGGCGTCTCTTTCCTCGGTGTTATCAACCTCATCATCAATGAAATTATTGCGTTGCTTTGGCTTCTTTCTAGTCTCCCCATCGCTGTCATCCTCAGTATCATCAATAAAGGAGTCCATATCAGATTCATCACGGGCCTTATTCCGAGCATTTACAACCAATTGGAAGGGATGAGTCCAGATCCTACTCAGCATATGGTAATCGGACAAGAGACGACGATGAAGTCCAGCTACATCTTTCATGGTCTCGGCCACATATCCCTGATACAAGGAGATTTGTTTCTCGGTCAACCGAACATGTATAATATATTCTTGCTTGGGAGGGATGAATTCAGTGAGAACCCGGTAATCTTGACGATCCACGACCTTCTTCAGCTTCTGAAAGAGGACGTGGCATCTTCTTTTCATGGCCACCACCTCCTCATACTCCGCATCTTTGGCTTGTCCGGCTTTGATTACATTCACAAATCTGTTCGTATATTCCTCTTTGGTTCCCAAAAGCCCAGGCTTGACAAAGTTGATCATGCAGTGATCTGAAACGACAACATTATAAACACATTTAAGTTCATGATCATGCCGTGCGTCAAAAGCATATTTCGGTCTCGGCGAAGTACCCACCCATTTATTCGAATTTTCGATTAATTTTACCCAGAAATCAAGATAAACGTCTTCAAGAATTATTGCGACCACTATGTAAAAAGTGTAAATGTCAAAGGTCACTATTAGGTTTAGAAGTATGACTTTGCCGTTTTTTTCTGCTGATTGTTTTGATGATAGCAAAAATTTTTTACACTAAACCTTATCCAATTTTATATTCTACCATTAATTACGAGGTGTTTCCGTAATTTGGTCAACTTTTCAATCCACCAAAGAAAAATTTTGGCTGTTTTGAAGCCGTCCAAATATCAATCCAATTTTTGGCATCATTGTGTCTAGCGAAGCGCTGCTGCCTCAGATCGTGAGCTATCGGTGGAAATAAGTGCTTATCTGAAAGTGCGTTGTCAGTAGAGTATAGCGGGCGGGGTAGGGCCTCCCACCCTAGCTGTTCTGGGGTGTCCTTGACCAGTTTTCCAACATGGGTTCTAGCGTGATCATGCAGCATAATAAAAATTGGTCATTCCGACCGCTTTAATCATAGCTCTCCGTTCAATTTCAACGACCACTGTTGTCAACGGAGGCCAGTAACCGTTTTACCGGGTTTTAAGAGCCTACAGTGAAGAACATCTTGTTTCTGTCATCATATACAGAGCAAAGCTTTCTTACCGGTAATGTTAGACTATGCGGTCGCTTGCACTTCGGGTTCTCAAAATCGCTCAGTTTCTTGCCTGTGGTCATAAAACGATGCAAAAATAGCTTCCTTTCTGTCTGTCTATCAAAATTTCGCAAGTTCTCCATATTGTTTTAGGTCGATCCATAAGACACCTATGTCCGTTCTCTCTGGATCTTTTCCATTCGTTGAAAACTGAGTGAAACCCCTTTCTGTGGCACTTTGAGCATCATGGCTAACTTTTTTTGTGTATCGGCATCGTTTTGTACCCAATAATCTTCTATTTCAATTTTTTTAGATGGGTTTGGAAATCACGGGGCTAGAACCGTTAAACACATTCCCCACGTATTTTTTCTCACTAAGCACAACTAGCGTAAGCTTCTCTAAGCATCCGATGCATTAACGACGTTTTCCCTCGCATTACACGTGCAGAGTAAAATTTCCCGCAAATGACGATTTTCCAGGTACGAAGTTGGTCATCTTTGAAGCTTCATAAAAACCGCTGTGTCAAGCCTTGTCACACAAAAAATATATCAGTAGATAGCGTTTTCAAAGTTCTTTCAGAAGATCTTAACAGAAATTTTAAAACCTTACGGCAACCTGTAAAAAAATGCAAAACAAGAAAACGGCGGAGTCATACTTCTAGACCTAATATAAACTATTGATACAAAAAATTACAATCAATAATATAAAAATCTAAACTTACATTCCAGCAAGTTGTTCTGCATGGGAGTACCCGTCAAACAGACTCTTCTCTTGGTCCTCAAAGAAGCCATGACCAAACTTTGTTTACTTTCATCGTTCTTCAACTTATGCCCTTCATCACAGATCACGATATCTGGTCCTGGATCTTGCAGATATTGCTGGAAACCGCTCAACAACTTCTTGTGGAGCCTTCTAGCAGGGGTTGGTTTTGGTTTGACTCCCTTTTTGTTTGGAGTGAATGGATCCGTCACTAAAATTCGATACATTTCGTAGCCAATGATCATAACAGCCGGATTTTTGGAATCCTTCCAATCTTTGAGGACCTGCAGACGACTGTGCATTTCATTGTTACCTTCGATGGAGACCACCTAAATCAAAATAGTCAAAAACAGCATAAAAAATAAATATTAAAGTGGTCTAGTATGACTTGAACTCACATCAATGCCCTTCAGATTGTTTTCAAATACCCATTTCTCAAATTCCTTCTCCCAATTGATCACAACATTCTTTGGTACTACCACCAACGCTTTTCTGATCACCTTATTGATCTTGGAATGACTCAAGATGGTGTATAAGAAAGCGATCACTTGAAGAGTCTTCCCCAGTCCCATACAATGAGCGAGGATTCCCCCACCTCCGGGGAGATCCAATCTCTTGAGATCTTCAATTGTGAGATCATAAAGGAACTTTATTCCATGAGCCTGATGCTTTTTGAGGACTCGGACCAATTCCGGAGGCACTTTCACGGGTTCGGGATTCTCGGAGGCCGTATCTTCATCCAGAACGACTTGAACCACAGGGCCAGCAATCGCTAAAAAACCTTATACTCTCTCCCTTCACTTACTTCCAGCTCCAGAAGCAGCTGCCGCATCGGCGGCTTCGTCAATCAGAATTCCGTTGAAATCCTTCTGTTTCTCCGCCAATCTCTTCACTCGCTCCCTCTCTTCCTTCTCAGCATCTCTCGTATCTTTGCACAATCTTCCTTTCTTTGCTTTCGTGGCCTTTTCCTTTTCACTTGTTTCGGGCTCGGCTTGTTCTTCTTCATCCTCTTCCATCAATTCATCATCAGTATCAACGATCTGCCGTCTTCTTCGCTTGCCTTTCTTTTTCTCCAAAGGATTCGTCTTTTGGGCCTAAAAATAACCGAGACAACGATTTGATTGCAAGTCAAACTTTTTGCTCTACTTACATTCGATTCCTGACTATCATTGATGAAATCCGGGCTACTGCTGGATCCTTGCCTATTGAAGACGTCATCGCTGTCGCTGCCCAGAGTCACCCGTTTTCTCTTGTTAACACTAAAATAAGGTTCAGCATTAAGTTATAATAAACGTACGCATCAGAGACAGCCTTGGACTTCTTCTCCTTTGAATCCTGCGTCTTCGCAAGTCTTCTTGATCTTCTGCATGGGCCTGGATTGGACTCCTCCTCATCTTCATCACTGCTGTTGTTGATGCGAGTTCGGAGAAGCTCCTCGAGTTCCTAAAAGAAATAAAAAAAAAACTTTGTAAGACTTACTTCATCCTCTTCAACAACACTGAGAGCACTCTCATCATCCTCCTCGGATTCCTCATCAGAATTTTCTTCTTCATCATCAGACAGGATAACATTAGTTCTGGACTTTTTACTTTTTTTTGGCACTTCGTCCTCATCTTCTTCTGAATCCTGATCTTCATCCTCATCCGAAGGTTCCTTCCTTCTTCTTCTTGGCGGCACGATCTCTTCATCAGAACTGAGAATAACTTCTTCGGGAACGTCCTCCTTCTTTTTTTTCTTCTTCTTTCTCACCAAATCCTCTGGATGATCCGACAAATCAGAAGCTCCCAATTCCTGATGCTCGTCCTCGACATCCTGGTCTTCCAGCGACACCGTCAAATCACCGATGTCATCATTGAGAAGCTGATCAAGTCCTCTTCTCCAGTCGGCGTCTGGCTCCTGAGAGAAAACATATTATTCTTGTCGTGAATAATACATTGGTGGGAACCGGCTTATTTTGTTATATACACTTCGGAGTTGATGGTGACTAAGACATTTTTAGACCTCTTCCTCTAACCCCCAGCTTATATAACAGAATAATCGGACAAATAACAAAGTTTATTAACAATTATCGGAGGTACGAGATCGAAAACGGGGATTGCGAGTGAAATCATCGTGATAATCATGAAGAATAACAAATGTTTTGGAAAACTCAGAATAGACCGAAGGAATACTCACTTTGCTCTTGCATGCCTCCATGTTAGGAACCGTCAACAACTTCTTCTCAACGCTCTTTTCAAGGCCAAGCTCGACAATTTGTTCTCTGACCGTCTTTGATGTGCCTCCATTTTCAGCATTTGCAGCAGCAGAACCATTACCATTTTCGGTCTGAATAGCCAGGTCTGTACGATTCTCTTTACCCGTCTGACTTTCGATATTCAAATTCCGGACAGCATCAACGCTAGAGTTGACGGCCGTCTGAGTGTTGTCCACCTCCATCTGTTCTTCTTGAGCGCCTCCATTTTCGGTCGGATTCTCATTGACTGGCTGAATGGATTCAGCGCGTCTTGAAGCACGGGTGAGTCTCTTAGCTGGTTTTGGTTGCATTGGAAGCTCGGCAGCCCGTTTCTGCGATCTCGTTACCCGTGGTGTAATCTAAACGCGGAATAGTACATTTAAAAAAAACCTACTTCTGTAATCGTCGAACCGTTCGGATTAGCAGTTCCATTCAGATTCGCAGTTTCATTCAGATTCTCGTTATTGGAGTCCTAAAATTTAAACGTTTTAGGGAAATTCCAATGCGTTCGACGGTACCAGTTTGTCCGGAAAGTCAATACAATGATTTCGGCAACATGCACTGTGAGAAAAAAACTTCACTTTGTACTGTGCCATTTCTTGCCTTTTGCACCATGCAATAAGTTTTTTCCGACTATCGCTCGCACCTTGCACGTAAACATAAAAAGCTTTCCATCGACTTTCCGGACGGACTAGTAATCTTAAAAACCCAATGCCGCAAAATGCCAAAAATAATACCAAACTAAGAAGGGCTTACCGTGGTGTCAACAGTTGTCTTGGTTCTGGACGTGTTGTTATTCGAAGCCTCCTGTAAAAAGGCATATATCCAAAAAATGGGACCTACCTCTCGACGGTTCTTATTCTCGCGGAATCTCTTCTTCGTATTCGCAAACAATCGATATACACTGGAATGGAGAACATCCAGACGGGTCAGGATCTCCATAGATTGCTGTGTGGTGCATTCCTCTGGTCTGAGATGCTGGAAGTCCTGAAAGAGGATCCGTTTTAGACAAACATACCAAGTAAACTATTGTAACAAGCAGCAACTTCTGATGTTGCATTCACTAAAAGAATGGACTTGCCTTCTTAGAATGCTCAAAAAGGTCGCATAATTTCTTAAGTCGAGAGTGAATACCTTCTGGCCCAAGGGAAAGATCATCGGGCTCGTTGGACGAGCTCATCGCTGAAATCAAACCACAAATTACTTGTACTAGACCTATCCGGAAGTAGTCATCTACTTCAAAATAATCGCAGGTTTGCCACGACTCGCGCGATTCCAATCAGAAATAAATTTCTGTCGCGGATTGAAAATGGGCGCGAAACAGAGGGAAACATCTAGAAAATCCGTCATGATGACACCTTTAATTTGAACGAGGAGAAGGTCGGGATACTGTAATTTGACAATATTTTGTTGTCAGACACAAGTACGCCATTTCGAATTTCCAGAAAATATGTCATCATGACGCCGATAGAGTACGAGAAAGGGGGAGACGGTCAGGGATGCAGAGGAGGGCAGAATGAAAATATTGATTTTTTTCGAATTTTTCAACGGATATATACTTTCGATTATCGTATATTTAATCTTACGGTAACTTTATATTATTATATAATTTTTTTCAACACCCCAGATTGATATTACAGATTTATTACACATATGAAATTATTGTAATAATTACGTGTTGATACGACGATGTGACTACAATTCATAAAGGTCATGAACGAAAAGTAGAAAGTGAGCAAATGGGGTTTGTTATATTAGACGTCTCGTCAAATCGGATATTCCCTATGCATTCGGCGGTAAGCTCAAGGAGGAGAGGAATGGGATCAGCATTTGGATTCTTTGCGCCATCTTCGGAAGCGTTCGATGAGGCCGCCCGGAGTCAGATTGGTGCATTTGGAGCCTTCCAGATCAACCATTGAGGTGGCGCCCATTTGTTTCTTTTTTCGTTGGGAGAAGCGACGAATCGCGGCTTTAAATTCGGGCTCATCAATGTGAACGGACTCTGACCGGACCTGAAAAAATCATCATAAAAAATCTCATTTTCTCTCGTTACAGCCTCCGAAAGCAATGTCAAAAGACGGAACATACCAAGATAGGCCTCTCATCTTCCTCCTTGTTCAATCGGCGGTCGGCTTCTTTGATTTCGGCCACAATTCCCACCAACAAATCATCCACATCATGGTTCAAGGCCACCGAGATCTCAAAGTTGGCTACGGAATACGTCATGGCGACGCCTCGGACTTCTGAAAAAGCCGTTATAATAAAATTTGGAGTGTAAAATATGGTCATGACGCAAGGCCATAAATCTTGGCCGGATAAGTAGTATTCCACGTCAAAATGGTTAGAAAAAGAACGCAGAATGAACTTTTAAAATTTACAGCTTTTAAAAGTTCAAATTTCGCAAATGAAATAAAGATTTACCCTGAGGCATAACCGTCCTCTTCCTCTCCAAATCAATTTTGTTTCCAGCCAAAATAATGGGGGTCTGACATCGGTGTTGTCTCAGTAATTCCAAAGTTTTCACAATTAATTTGAAGCTACTCTTCTTGTCGATACTGTATACCATCAGATATGCATCCACGGGCTCTTCTCGCCATTCATCGCCAATTGAGGGATCGGATTCGAAGAAAATCAGATCGCTCTCTTTGCCACCGATGCTGATGGATACTGTATTTTCATAGTCTTCTGAAATTAAAGAGATTAAATGCCAAAAATAAGAATATTTTCATCATTGACTGGCTTACCAATCTCATCGGCAAAGGCGTTTTTGTACTCAGAGGTGATGAATTGACTGATCAGCGAACTCTTTCCCGTTCCGGTTTGGCCAAGGACATAGATCTAAAAGTAAAATAATATGTTCGTTTGCTTAGGCAATCAAGACTCTCAAATTTGTTCAAAAACTTACTTTATGCATGGGATGTGAGGTTGTGGCCTCCTCATCTTGATCCGAGTTCGTCAACGGCTTCGTTGAAGAGTTATCCGAAGATCCGACTGACGCACTTCTCGACAGTTGTTGATCCTCAAACTGCGGGAATGGAGAGGGAGAATTGTCGTTCTTGAACTGGGAACTCCCTCGTTTCCTTCGGAACGAATCACCTCGAGATACAACAGCTCCTTTTGCATCAATATTGAATTGACGAACTCGAGTGTAATCATCCGAATCCGGCAGTTTGAGGAAACGCTCCTCGATCTCACTCATCTGCTTAGGCTCGGGCCAAACGTCGGTGCGAACAAGAGGCTCCAGTCGGGTCCTGGAAGAACAGATTAGACCATCTTATCTTATTATACATGACATGTTTTATTGGACATGACAAGTTGGGCATGTTCTGAGGAGAATTCGGAGGAACAACGCCACTTGGAGAGCAATTAAAAACTTTTTTTATTTTTTGTTTTTAAAAAGCAGTTCCGTCAAAAGATGTGCGAGCAAAAATATTCATATGGCCGTAGTTGTGCATTCCGTTCCCGCCGCAAGTAATAAAAGGCCTCAGGAGATGCGTTAAAAACGGCTTTAAATACCCGAAAAGGGAGCGGCCATTGTGCTGACGTGATATCAGAATTTGTTGAAGCTACTTGAATTGATCTTTCACCGACAAAAAAGTCATCCATTTATTGCAATTTGAAACAGAATACAGGCCCTACCTTTGCAAAGATCCTCTCCGACTGACTGTCGGTGTGGATCGACGTCGTTGCTGACATCCCAGATCCTCCAACGCATATCTTTTGAGGTCGAGTTGTGGCCTCGGGCGATGACGGAACGATTGCGAACGGAGCGGCTGCTTCATCGCTCTAAAACAAAAAAATTCCAAGGCCATATTCTCCATGAAGCCAAAGCCGGCTTCTGGTGACACGGATCCGAGCACTCGTCCCGTATAATTAAAAGCCACCATTTTTGACGGCATAAATAAGATTTGCGGGAGGAATAAACAAAGATAAAGGAAGCGCCTCAGGGCATAACGGCTTTCCCAGAGAGCGGCCCAAACAGATTATGGAGCCAGATTTTTGAAACATTAAGTTTTTTTTTCGATATGAATTTAGTGCAGCCGCAAGACTTTATAATACAATTCCAAGGTCCGATGAATAAGATCGGCAAACAAAAGCTGGAAGATAACCGAGTTATCGGCATGAAAAGAGGTTACAAAGACAGTTCAAAGTATGGCATAAAGAGGAGGAAGTTCCGGGAAATCCACTTTACCCGCCAAGAAAAGGTCCCAAGCTCTAAACACGTATAACTCTCTAAAGTTTAACCATCGAGAAATAAATAAATGCAAATTGGTATAACGCTAAATTGATATGACATTCGTCAACCGGCGCTAACACTGCAAAATTAATGCTTTCCTGGCGGACACGTTTATTTACGTGTTCGGCGGATCCCGTAAAATGGCGTCCCAATAACAGCCAGCCCTAACCAACCGTAAAGTGTGAAGAATTGCAAAGAATCCAATGAAATGATCTTTGGGCTGTAGAACACCCAAGAAGATGCAAATTATAGTACGGATTACCGTACTCTTTGTACATTAAAGAGGCTAATTAGATGGATGATCAAAGGTAATTGCCGAAGAAATCTTCTTTAATGGAGGGAGGACATAAGGGAAGATACGTGAGGAAGAAAGCCTGTAATGAGCCAATTTGATCCCCATCAATCAGAGAGCCGGATCTCCAAGCAAAAAAAAGATTTGTCCGGACGGCATGGGAGAATGTGAAAATACATTTAAGGGACTCAACAAAGGGGAAAATTAAATTATAAATACTGACACAACATAAAGATGTTCCAATATATTTTAGCAGACAACTAGAGAAGTACTTCGAGTGGACGGTGAGGTTTTGATAAAACTTGGCACATTTTTAGAGCGAAAGTTAGCACAAATGTGATGATTTTGTGCGAACTTTGGCATGCAAAGACCCATTTTTACTGAAGAGACTAATATTTTTACAAAAAAATCAATTTTTTTCATCTGGCAAAGAATGACGGCCAAAATCTATCTATGACCGCACTCCGCCCTTCGTGTACTCTCTCGCCCGCAAAAATAGTGGAATATATTAAATGCGCCTGCAAAGCGCAAGCTAAAAACGTTCAGCCCTATGTGATGTGTGGCCTCTTCCCAAAGTGCATGCCAGATTGAAAGAAAATCGAAACGTCCCACTCCAAGCACTTCCCTTGTAAATATAGGGATATTGTAAACGATAGGCTCTGATCAGGAAGTAGCCCTAATCTATAATCGACAGGAGGTGTCAACAGAAAGTACAGACTATCCGGTGATCACCCATCCCATCAATAGTAACGTCGGGACATCTTGGGGAACAAAGCCGGGGACAGGTGCTCCGTTCAGGTCATGACTCCTCACGTGGCCCCAAAAGACAAACTTGAACAATAAAAGTATCGAATATCCGAGAATATAAATATTCAGAACCCGCTCTCACGTCGTCCGGAAGCCAATTCTACTCTATCTGCCGCCATTTTAAGGCAATATTTTGAGATATTTTCGAATAACAATGTCACAGTATGAGTGGGAGGTGGCTGGGAGATCGATTTCGGCTAGAGTGGATATTTTTAGACACGCTTCAAACGACTTGAGTTCAAGTGAAAATAGTAATTTTAGTCCCATTAATACCGAAATTATGCAGATGGATAAGGAAACCGGGATTGAAAGAACGACTTTTGTCCTCAGGATAAGCTGAAAACTCCAACCTTACAAAGAAAACACTGCAGCCATTCATTTGGGCAGAGTCAATTCCTTTAGCTAGTATTAGACAGTTCCAAATTGATAGAAACTGGTTTAGCTCTCAATTATGCTGCTCATATCGACCACTGAAATTCGGTTGCCCCTAACGAAATCTACCCCAAAGAGGGGCAGCCTAAAACACTTGATGGAACACTTTATGTTTTGATTCAAAACCCCTTAAATCCTATGGCCAAATATTTCTCAACTCTGACCCCACCCTATTTACTCCCCACAAATTGTAATAGACTGACGAAGACGGATCGTATCCGGAGGGGAAGCTTTACGAAATGGTCAACTGATCCCGATCCCTGTCCACTCGCCTGAAATCGATCCCTGAGGCAATGGCCGGCGGGACTCCTTTCCCTCACCCGAACAGCCTGTTCATTCCTCATAAAATTTCGTGCAAAGATTCCCCAAAAACATTTCAAAACGAGGCCGAGATCAGAGCGGAGATGATGGGTGACATGCATGGAACGGAGACGACCTATTTCTGACTAATGGCCAAACCCCCTTCGGAAATGGTCATTTGCAGCCTCCTCGAACGTCATCGGAGTGATCTCAGCACCCCTAAGAGGCCTTCAACATTCCCATAAACGTTTGGCACTTCCCGAGAGCCAATGTTGATGCTATTACGCAACACCCATCAATTCAAACTACCATCAATTTAATTAGATCTGGAAGAACAACAAAATAACATTTACCCAACTCTCTAAATGTTTTGAAACTAAAGAAAACATTTAGAGAAAGTCCCGGAGCTAATGAAAAAAGCGGCCAAAGACGCGGCCTATAAGCGGAGGGAAGGGCGGATATGATTGGCATCCGGCCGGGATGAGATGGCCTTTCAGAAAATAATTTTATTCCACTTCCCGGCCAGGAATTAGCCCATATATTTGACTCCAAACATTCAAGTCTTTTACAGTGCGTATGAGGACAAGAAAGAGGAAGAAATAAATCATAAACTTCAGAGAAACAAGCCCTAGTAATGCGACCTCATCTTTTAATTAGCACCCCAAAAGTCCAAAGCAAATCCAATGCCAAGGGACAGAAATAAAAAAAGTAAAATGCAACTAAGAATTTTAAAAATGTTCGAATTGGAGACAACAGCTGACCAGCCAAGCAAAAGGGGGACCATCTGACTCCCACTTTATTAGACCCAAGAACAAGACATCCCGAGTCACCTGGGACCCCAAACCGCAATAAAAGTGTTCCGGAAAAAAAGATGATTAATTCTCTATTTTCGAGGGGCAGACAGTGAAGTCATATGTCGGTCATAACTTCAGGATGTTAAAAAAACGAAAAACTTTGCTGTAAACACAGTAATTCAGAATAAACGTTGTCTGAGACCCCTAAAGAGTTTTCTTTTTATATCGTCATGCTCCCGTCATAACCGAAACGGATCCAGACTCTGATAGGGTCCGATGAACATAAATAAAATTGTTTATGTTTCAGGCTGGCAAGCAGGAAGCAATAGTAAATAACTATTTACTTTTAATTCTGGAAGGAAGCTCATAAAAAATACCCTGAGGCGATTTGAAGTGACCGGATCGAAATTTGTTTACCCGCGGCCCTAAGGCCCTCTAATCGAGGGGGATTAAAAAACAAGTTTGGAAAGTCTTGCAACATTTGAGAAATATTAAAAAGATCGAAACTCTTACCCAAATTCGCACTCGGAATTCCTCAAATCGTAGATTTTACGGTTCAAAATGGCACTCTGACACTGGCCCAGCATTTGCATCCCATCCTTAAACAAACATGGTAAATAAATAAAAACAAATGGGTTGTTATGTAAATTCCTGGGCTAATGGTTTTCCAATACTCGACGATTAAAGCCCGCATCGAGAGCAGGAAGATATCCGTATGACCTGAACCTTAAACTGGATTGATTGCTGGTTCTATTTGTGCTTTATATGATGGATACTTACTACTGTAACCATACTATACCTACTAAACATCCTTTGAATTAAATTTCATAGGTAAACCAATGTTTGTATGGAAAGATGCAATTTAATATTTATTTGTTTTAGTTTGACTACAATGTCATAAACTACCGCAAATAATTTTAGAGAAAAAAATAAATTGCAGCTACAGCAATATCGGGAAAACGTGACACAACTCCAACTTTCGAATGCCTATTCCCAACGAAAATGGATCTTACAATCAAAAAAGAGAAGCCGGAACAGTCCCAAAAGATCCAGTCTCCCTCAGAACATTGTTTCCCACTTACCTTGGGCACTTCCGGGAGCACTCGACGCATGCCCACTGGCGAATACATGGAACTCTGAAAGAAAATGGATGAACTTTGGAGGAGCATTGTCTCAAGGTGCAAGTTCTCGGGGAAACTCCGTGAGAAAACATTGTCTTAGACATTTCGAAAGCGCGATTACAGGACTTTTGGAATAAGTTATTCATCTGGAAAAGTGGGAACACAAAACTACACGCGTCAAGTTTGAAAAAAAGAAACCTTTCGAGAGGTCTGAAGACCTGTTTATGAACAGTGAATCACAAATTACGACATTTAAGATACCTGCATATCACAAAGTCTACTATTGCGCAACTGTAAATTGGAAAAAAATACCCTCTCCAGCTTGTAACAAGCATTGTTGAATGGCAAGACGACAACTACAAGTTATTGGATTCAAGGCAAAAACAGCGCCGAAAGTGCACCCTAAAGCCCATTAATTAGCGGGTTAACGAAAAACGGAAAATATAAATCATGTTTTTGCATTCTCCTGTATGTCATTAATCCCGCTTCAATGGTAATCGAGCCAATTGAGTACTCGGGATGACTGTGCGAATAACCGAAAACGCAACAAGAGCTAGAGAGGCCAAAGATTCGCGCATGGGTTTCAAATTGGATCCGCCCAATTTGTCATCATGTCAGTCAGACAGAAATTAAACCGGCATCGCAATAAACTTGCAGTGGGCCAACAAAGCTAGCAATTAAAAATAAAAAGAACACTGCACACCGTTACAGTAACCCTGGTCGACTTTTAATGGGTCGGACGCACATGCTGGGGATCCCCTTCCGGCCCGGAAACCCAGTTCCTAATTCATGCCCTGAGGCGATAGCCTTGCGCTCTTGGCACGTCAAACTCGAGCTCTTTTTTATTGTGGCCAGAGGGCTTGTTTCGCGAATAAAAGGACTCGAATCGGCCGAAATGAAAAATTAATTGGATAAGGCGCAGCTCTAAAAAAGACGCGAGTAACTTGACACGTTACCGTGACCACCTCAAGATGTCATGTTGACCTGGGGATTGTGTTCACACAAACAAAACCTGCTCAGAGATCGGAATGACATCATGTTTACCCCTCAAATTAAAGCATGACATGCTTCCGGATTGAGAAGCCACTCTTTTTTAGAAACATGGGGTAAATTGAGAACATTTAGGAATACCAAATTGGGCTGGTTTCTGGGGAAAGAAACAGAAGCCTAGTAGTCCTGGGATTTGGTTTGGGTTACATAAACAATACGTAAATTCACACACTTCAAAAATTTTCGGAAACTGTGCGGAAAATGGGAATAAACACTAACAAAAATGTCAAGATATTACATTTCGCAGTTTAGCTAATAAGCTGGAAAATATAACTTCTGGAATTGAAAAGTCTGATTTATGGCAAAGGTCAGAACCATCAGCACTTTTTTTGAAAGTCCAGATTACTGACCCGAGTTCCCTGGAGCAGACTAATGGAAGGGCAACATCAAAGCTCTGGCATTGCTTTGAATTCCCATCCTTAAATTACATTAGTCACACCTCAGTGCCAAAAACCCAAGAATTTTCAATAATTTCTTTCCCATTTTCACGTCTTCCATGTCCTACCGAGGTATCAAAGATCGCGGCCTAACTTTGACATCCATGTTAGCTCTAATCGAATCCTCTTGGCTTTGCCATTTGTTTTGGTCAAGTAAGCAAATACATTACTAACAAAGAGTGCCTCAACGAGGCACGGTTAACAATCTTTCAATTCGCATAGATATTTGCGCGGTAAATCAATCTTTTAGCACGGCGACCCGTGACCCAGCTCCCTGCTTTGTTTGCCCAGCTTATTGAGATTTTCACCTTATTTTTTGACATTTATCCCGGGAATCTCGGAGGGCTTTCGACTCGAGTTCAAATAATAAAATCTTTTTTTATAAAACTTCAGACTTTATTTACATTCGAAATGATTCCAGATTCCAGTTATACGGTGGACAAGTTCTATGTCAAAAAAGCTAAGTTATTGTCGCTTCAAGAGACTCAGAATGAAAAAAATAACACTTGGTTATATTTGCAGGGAGGGAGTAACTGGTCAGTATAATGTAAGAAGTAAACAGCAACACACGTTCAATCCTATATTAAGTTAATCAGATATTCACAAAGCACATTTTCAGTCATCAATGTTCTAGTTTATCCTAACACACCTATCTCCTTTGTCCTTTGAAGATTACTACGTCTAGAGGTGTCATTCATAACATAAAATGAAAACAAATATTCTTGGCACAAATACTAGTCGCACCACAAAGTCCTTCCAATTTTGCTCTGTGCGGTTCTTTGCTTTCTTTTTTCGCACCGGCGACTCCACGTTTTTGCACTTGCGACATACACTTTCGCACGAGCACACCCAATTTTCACGCGCGACACACGAGCACATCCCATTTTCGCGTACGAAATATATTATTCGTAAGCGCAACCTTTCATTTGGGGCATATTGCGTAATGATCGAAGTTTCATAGCCAAAGTTGCAGAATTATTTGAGTAGCTTGCTACCGAGTTGGCACTAAGCATGGCTGCAAACCGGGCCAGCCCGGCCCTAAATCTCCAAGCCCGGCCCGGGCTTGGAAAATTTGGAAAGCCCGGCCCGGTTCGGCCCGGAAAATTTTTATAGCAGGTTGGAAAGAAAGAAAGCGAGAAATGAAAGGAAAATTATGGCAAATTTTCGCAAAATGTAAAGAAAACTTGGGGCTTTGGTAGTTCAGCCCCCCACGAAAGGTAGTTCAAACACCCCACCATTTTGTCCATTTCACAGCCCCCATAATTAAAAAATTAGAATAATACAAAAAATGCAAATTAGAGTAAAATGACCCCCGGCGTTTTACCTCATGGCTAGCCAAAGTGTTGCAAGAATGGCAGCCTCTTTGGATTTTACTTTTCGATTTCACTGGTCTGGACTTGTTGATGTGGAACAGAGCAGAAATTACTCATTTGTCTTCCATTCTTCGGTATTTTTTAACCTGACATCATGAATAATATAATTTCTTGCAGGATACGAAGTCCATGTATCCTTGGCCTCGAAGTGAACCCTAACTTTTCATTACAATAGTTATCTCTTTCAAATGCACAGCCTTTACTGTGCCATCAATATTATACCCATTTTTATGCTGTAAATTTTCAACTTTTTTCTTTTTATTTTTTCTACAACAGACAGAATGCCAAGTCGTTGTCTCGCAACGAAAATATGATTACGGTCAAACTCGTCTCCCTTTTTATTTTTCTAAAAGAATATTTTACTAAATTTTTTTACTTTTATACATCTTTTAGAAGTTTTTGCGTGAGTATAAGTGTAAATTTCCTTTCTGCTTTATTTTTCGATGTACATTCTCTTACTTTCTTTTTGTTTCAGGCCAATATGCCGATTTTCAACAAATACGTCGAACTTGGACGAGTTGTCTTCATCGCCAAGGGAAAGGATGAGGGAAAGCTTGCCGTGATCGTTGATGTTGTCGACGGAAACAAAGTATGTTATTTTGATTGGCGTTTTGATTTTTAGAATGTTGTTTGAGGGGTAATTCAACTAGTTATACGACCAGCTTTTTTAAATTTTAAACATACATGTTTTATTTTTAGGCACTTGTTGACGGTCCATCCTCCGGCGTCATCCGTGGAGTCAGAAACTTCAAGGATCTCCATCTCACGAAATTCCGTATTCCACTTCGCGTTGGACAACGAACAAAATTGGTCAAGAAAGCTTATGACGAAGCCAAGATCAATGAGAAATGGTCGGAGACCAACTGGGCCCAAAAACTCCAGAAGAGGCAGATTGTGAGTTTTTCTCTGCGTTACAATTTGGCCCTAATTTTTATTGTGTTTTTGAATCGAAATTTATTTTATGTTTTCTAGCGTGCTGGTTTGAACGACTTCGAACGCTTCAAGGTGTCTCGCGTAAAGCAGCTCAAGAACAGAGCCATCCGTCTCGAACTGGGAAAACTGAAGAAGGCCGCCGGAAAGAAGTAAACAGTAAATTTTTGTGGGTTTCATTGTTATGAATAAAGTTGTTATCTTAACTATCTTATTGTCTTTAGGATTTTTTTGGTTCGTGATGATAGGGCTAGTTCATGAGACTCATGTCGTAAAAATATTTATTTTTCATCTCGAAATACATTAATCTTGTCGCCCCGCTTTGTACAAGGCAGTGAGGCGATCTAATTGATACTGTTGATCTACTGAATGGAACACATACGGGGCGGAGAGGAGAATCCCGAGTGTTCCACCCAAAGTGACACCGAAGAAAACATAGAGTAGAAACCTGTCAATTACCATTGCTACATATTTCCAGTCATCTCGATGCTAGAATGGTTTAATATGTAGATTATGATTAGAAAAACGCTTACCATTTTGTATTCTTCATCTTTCTTGAGATGATCAGTGATGAATTCTACGGCGTCTATTGCTCGGATTGCATCTGGTGTGAGTGGATAGAAAGCTGCTGTGGTTGGATCTAGATTCTTTATTTGATCTTCATGTGAGACTTCGTATTTTGGCCGTTGACTAAATTATTCGCAAATTATAATTGTTCATGGAAATTTACCTCGGCATATCAGATGAAGGACAATGTGGGTGATGATGCGATGGACTGACAGCGAAGTCTCCTATTCCGGGAAGAGTCATAAGTCCATTTCGGATCTCTTTGTTGTTCATCATCTTTTGCATGGCGGGCTTTGGCCTCTTCATGCATAAGAATCGAGGCATTACCTGGCTTTGAATCATTTCCGACTAACTCCTACCTTTAAGAATACAACTTTAACCCATTTAGGCATGCGGTGGGTTGTGGGACCTCGGAAGTACACGTTGATAATGATAACAGTAACCAGAATAGTAATCACGTTGAGCACAAATGTTAGAAGCAAATATTTAGCCATCAATGGGATTGTGGATGAGGTAGGGGGCAAAATCTTGGATACCAGCAACAAGAACACAACAATAGAGAGCAATACGGAGATGGTGAGGGTCATCTTTTCTCCTGAATCCGTGGGCAAAAAGAAGACGGCCATGCTGAGGAACGCCATCAGAACTGTGGGAATGATAAGGACGACGGTGTAGAATAGAGTCTTCCTTCTAAATTTTATGAAGTAGATACTAAAAACCGTAACTTGCCTGATTTTCAATTGAAATTCAATTCGACTTCTGTGGGTGACTAGAGAAGCAGGGGCATCCATGACATCCCAGATGGAACTAGGGGCGTATTCGGAGAGATCAATCCATTCCGCTTGTTCAAATTCCAGTTTGATTTCATTCTCGTTGTACTAAACGCATTTAATTATCCTCAGAATGCCTTACAGTCCAAGAGCCGAAGATAAGATGACAAGTCTGCTCATCGAATGGAAAGTATTCAACATCTAAAAAATAGTTTAATCTATCGTTATGCATAACTTCTATCACCTACCAATGATACATGAACTTTTATAGATAGCTGGCGGTACCCACAACATATCACCATTGTTCTCAATAACAACATTGCACATGAAGGACACTTCGTAGTTTCCGTCAGCACTAAATTTAAGTCAAAAACATCAATTTGACTTACTTGTTGAAAAGTACAATATCGGGAAGCCAGACCTTGTCCGGATTCACTCGGATTTGTTTGATTCCACCATAATTTACAGGGTTCCATTTCATTTGAAAATCTTTCCATTTCTAAATTTTTTTGTTGAGAATGGCCAATAGTTTTGAAAAATTATCTTACCAATGTAAGCCAGACATTTGTATGCATGATCTGATCTTTCTCATCCTGAAAAAAAGTTAAACTTTTAGTTAAAAAAATGTAATCAAATTGTACATTTTACTAATCAAGGCATACCACATTAATCAGCAGCACTAGCTGTAGAGCTATCCTAACAATGATTGGAGTGTCATTTAGATTCTTGACTGGTTGGATCAAAGAGTTGTAGCCTCTGAAGATGTCAACCATCAACCTTTCTTCGTCATCAGAGCCCGCAATCATTCCTGAAACATCAGATTACATAACTGTGAATAAATACAACCCCCATTCAATGCATTCTGTCCACTCCAGACCCACCAACACTGATTAGCCATACGAACAATAGGAGTGCGAGTGTTTTGTGCATCTTGGCCCCATAAACTCCACCTCCGACGCCTTTTTGGAGAGTTTTCCAATTTAAAATCCTTCAAAACGAGCGGCCCACCAAATAATTTTCTTTTTATTTCCAGCGGATTTGCCCAAAATCCGTGCCGAGGGGAATGTGGATCAGAGGAGTTAAAGGCTTTGACCACTTGTTTCCTGCTCTCCCATCTTGACTCTCGTTTGAACCTTTTCGATTGCTTTTAGCAGTTTAAAGAGGGTTATGAAGAATGTCATAAAACCACAAATACGATGCTGGTTATTACCGCAATAAACCACGTAATTGTCAGTGGGAATCGAGTAATATTGCATCTCTGGGACACCTGTAAAAAGCCATTGAAATTAATGAAACAATAACGACAATACCGTTTACAACTAAAAAAGTAATCACGAACAATGATTTCGTTTTTCCTGTGGCAAAGATGAATGTGAGGCACATTATGTCTCGAAATGTATGAAGATTTTTTTTCTCTATCAAATACTTAAATTTCGTGAAGTCATATATGTACACTAATGACTGTGCTACGGACGAAAAACTTAGCTTCATTGTGTGTGTTTTTTGGAATATCTCTTCACTCACAATCAGGGCACAGATAAAATTAGTTCCGAATCACGATTGCTGCCCATGATGACATATATATGGCCTAGCAAAATTTCAATGTTCTATCTTCAAAATCAAGGGAGCTATTTGCTTTTTAATTTTTTATCAAAACATAAGCTTGAAGGCAGTCTTAGTCATCATTGCCAAGCTTATTTTTGATAAAAAAGTAAGAAGCGAATAGCTCCGTTGATTTTGAAGATAGAACATCAAAATTTTGCGACATATGTGAATTCCGCATTTTTTTGAGTGAAATTTTATGCTTACATTGGACAAAATCCGACTGGATTTAGTCCGAACGGATTAAATTTACCGCATTTTGGCTGGATTGAAAAACAAAATTTTAAAATCACGCATATATTCCACCGGAACGACCGAAAAAGAGGTATAAAAGGAATGGAAATCTGCCAATCAGTATTGCTATAATATTTTGGTCTACTGTCGTGTCGTGGCGTGGCCATCACTTTGTTTCCCGTTTTCGTCCACATTGTGAGTTTGACCCGTCATTTTGTTGCCGTCAGTGTTCATTCAACTCATAGTTATTGCAAGTATTATTTGTATTTGGGCTAGAACTGTAGGAAAATATCAACCAAGTTTGACTTCATCCGTTTTTGCGTCCCAACACGAAAGCATTGTAAGAAAAATGAGCAAGATTTTCCGCTAAATTCTTTGACAAAATGGCCGGCTGTGTGGGAAGTTGGACGGGCTTGTGCGTCGTTTTACTATATTTGACAAAAAAATCCGTCCAATTTCCCCATTGCCCGCAGATTTCTGCCGGATTCGATCACGAACCGGTCGGTCTTTTCGCTTTTTGCCGTGTTTCTTACGCGTTCGCTTGTTCAAACTTTAGGTAGATTCTAGAGTAACCAACTTTTATAAAAGTTCTGTTTAGGGATTGCAACTGGACCGGCCAGTCAGGCGGGTCAACTTTCGTTTGCAATCCCTAATTCATATTGTTTTCTACAGTTTTGTTTTTACACAGGGAACTCGAAAAGAGTCATGACAACGTTTATTGACCTATACTCACTTAATCTTTTTATAAGTCAATTGCAAATGACTTATATCGTGTTTTCAAGCACTTAACCATGATCGAGTTACTTTTTTTTTGATATTTTTACCCCGAAATTGACGTTCCCTATTTCATTATTTCAGATGAGTCGTATGAGCGAGACCGAACTCATTTATGCAATCCGGGGCCTTCATTTTATGTCCAGCCATCTGAAACGCCTGTTAATGGACAATGAACCGATTGAGCCGGAGGTTTTGGAGAAGATCAAGTCGAATGAGAAGATTGTCAGGGACCTTGAATTCAATCTGCCATTGTTCGCCTCATGGGGTCAACGGGCCAGGCAATGGAGAATCGACTTGTTCTGGTACAAAGAGAGGGTTGCAAAGGTCAACGAACTCCTGGAGGAAAAGAGGCTGCAGATCGCAGAAAGATATACGATGCCGATTCGAGATGGAATTAATCCCTCTGGTGATACTGACGACAGTGGTTTCCATACAAAGAACACGGAGGCTGAAGATGCTGAAGAGGACGAAATGGATGAGGCGATGCAATACATCAAAGATAACGGTGCGTACAGGATTGCTAAATGGAACAGATTAATTACGGCAGCGGAAAGGGCGAAAGAGATGAGCAACCAAACCCAGGAGAAGGAAGACACGGAACAATCGAAGGATTCCAGAGCTAATGGTGGGCCGTTAAGACCTTTCTAGCTTTTTTGTTGTAGTTTAGGGAATACGGTTCCATTCTTAATAAAAATTATACCGGTATAATCCTGAAACTTTCCGTTTTTAGACCGTATGGTTTTCGAATGTTTTTATTTTTCTTTGGAGGGCTTACGTTTTTTTATGGCGTTTTTAATTGATATTGATTAATAACTAACAAACTAACAGGGAAGGATTTCGAGTGCGACTCCCATATTTTCCTTAAATTTACACATTTCGGGCATAGACCACAACATATCAATATGAAAGTTTTAGCTTGCGCTGTTTGCAGGCACAGCCGAGAAATTAAAGTAATATAAAAAAGGCAAATTCTTAGCGTAAAGTAAAAGGTAAGGGGCATTAATGTAAAATTTTGGCGGAAAAATCTCAGTTACATATTCTTTATACCAGTGATTTTAGAGAAGACAAAGACTGTCCTGGAGCCAAAAAGTCAAATAATCAACATTACCAACAATGCTACGGAGGGAGCAGATATAAAGGAGAAGAAGAAGAAGGATCTTCTCCAAAAGCTTAATTTGTTCAAGGAACGGATGCCCAGTGGAGAAGCAGTTGGACATGTCGAAGAAGTCAAGGGGATGCTGCAAGGCTTGAAGGATGCCGGCATGGAGATGACGGATCCAGCGTTGCAAGCGAAGATCCGGCGGATTTTCACTGATCGCTTCTTGGCCGAAACACGCACGGAGCTAAACGCTGATGAGTATGTTGAGAATTATTATCAAAACCACAATAAGTCCTTTGAGGACATAAGAAACTACAACGTTACGTCAGTCTTGAAGAGAATCCAGAGTTACAAACCAGTGGCTGGCGGTAGTAGAAGCCGAAGTCCAGAGGTATGTGTATCTAGTTTTGTTATTTTGTTTGTGAATTGTCTTTAATATGATCTGTTTCAGCCATTCAACGGCCAAGTTAGCTTTATCTCTTCCAGTAGCCGCTTCCAGAGTAGTCGATTTGATGATTCAAATTATAGATGCTTCTACTGCGATGGCTCGCACAAAGCAGTTCACTGTACTACGTTTTTTAAACGTTCGGAGAGATTGACCAGAGTAAAAGAACTGGGATTATGCGAATTGTGTCTGCTCGCCAAATGCAATCCACGGTTCTGCCGAGCTCAAAATGACTGCTCTGTTTGTGGAGGACGTCACCATAGATCACTTTGTCCAGCTTGTGAGTAATTACTCGTTACCGTTTTCACTTATCAGTTTCATTTTAGATGTGCGACATTAAAGGATGAAAACAATGGCCAGAACCTTCACTTTTATTTTTTATAACCATTGAACATGTAAATAAACGCATTTTTTATCGGATGAAAAGTATAATTGACTCATCTCTTTCGCTTCCGAATATTTTGTGTGGGTATTCAAATATATTAGGTTGGACGGAAAGTTCGTACGATTTGCTACCCAACTTTAAAATTAATTTTTTTTACGCCGCGACCGACTGTCCACCGTAGATACCTAGTATATACAAGAGTACAGCGTGCAGATTTATGTGAAATGTGCCAGTCCTTAGCTCGACCAAAACGAACATAATTATAAGAGGTCCTCCGCTTTGGGGTAGTTTCGGGTGGGGTGCGGAATGCAAGCTCTAGTTTCCAAACCGTTTTTGCTGAAGCTCTGAAACTTTTTAGGCTATTTCTAGTGGTCTATCCGACTATGTTAACCACAGTTAAAACTCTTAAGAAAGTCTGTGGGATAAAATAATAGCTATTGTTTCAACCAAATCTTCAGAAAACGCCCCGCTTGAAAAAGTTTTTTTATTACTCCACGCATTGCTGATGGTCTGTCCGTATAACAGGGTTCAGTGAGGCACACGGGTAGCCCTTTACGTGCTACATGAATAACCCGGATCGTAGACGCTTCGGGTTAGGTGTAAAGAGGCAAAATTGCCACAAATATATAGCTCTAGAGAAATGCGTGTGATTTGCTGACAATTAACAATGGTTACCCATTGCTTTATAAAGTAGTAGAACGAGACAGAGGCTCCATTTTCCACCCTAGAAAAGGAGGATTAGAAAACTGCTTTGAGCTGTTTTTTGAATTTTACGAATTGCTCCGATAGTTCACAAGCGAGTTTTTGAAAAATAAATCATTGAGTTCTGTCATGTTACGCAGTAAAACAATTGGCTAAGGACGGGTAGCTAAGTGTAAGGGAGTGTCGTTAGTTTTGGCATATCATAGTTAAACCCATAGGAATACATCGGCAAGCGACTGTTGTAAATCATATTCAAACTTGGTGGGTCTTGCTAAAGTCAAGTTTTCTGGCTATGTTTTGATTTAATCCCCGACTACTTCACGCATATTAAGAGCATCAAAAGAAAGCTTTTTAGCAGTGCCAAAACAGTTTCTTATTATGTCTTATTAAACAAACCAGCTAAGGATCTCTACTTGTAGACCAAAGATGGGTAAATGTCTAAATTAAGTTCTCAGTTCGTACATGCTTAAGATGGCTGAGGGTTGTACTGCCAGATAGGGATGCCTGTCCCCTACCAATACCATATATTTGTGTTTGTCTTTTTCCATCAGCGCAAGAAAAAGTAGCAGCAGTAAAAAATCGTACGAACTTTCCGTCCAACCTAATATTTCTTATCATATATTAGGGAGTGACTATTACGTAGGTGCTTGTTTGACCCGCGTAATTTACGGTAAAGCTTTCATATTGAATATGCCCTTCCTTCTCCACCAGCAATTGTTACTTGTTCCCGATTAATCACAAGTGTGAATAGGGAAGATTGTTCTTGACCCCTTTCGATTTTTTTGAACCCCACCCAATTCGAAATCTATTTCTCAACTGTTTTTGCTCAGTTTCAATGGTTTAAAAACGCAGGTTTTACCTTCCGTCGACGGTCGGTGGAGCACACTTCCGACCGCCTTCAGTTTTCCGAAGATTCCCCGACTTTGGGGGGTTTTGTTCCCTTCTTTTCCCTAATTTCCATCGATTTCTGCACCCGCCCTCTAGCGTGTCGCGCCTTCAGAATCCCCTGATTCGAAATCCATTTGACCCCAGAATTTCGTTTGCATTCCCCTTGTCTTTCCCCAAATTAAGCGACTTGCCACGACTCTTCGGATTCCCGCTTTGACGGGGACTGCAGCAAAAAACTGTTTATCAGGGCGTGGTCGATAAGCTGGCCGTATGCCGATCTCCGTGAATGCTCTGCTGTCTCGTTCATCATTGATAATCACTGAGTGCCTCTTTTGTTTCCCCTATCTTTTTTTATGTTCCCATCGATTAACAAGGACTTACCTTTTTCTCTTAATTTCATCAATTTCCAGTTGATTGCGTAATATCTTTTGGGATTAGGTGTTAGTTTAGGGGTTCGAAAGGTTACAATGCCAACTCGGGAGGATGTAGATATTCCTGGATAAGCGCATTATTCTTCCATCAACCCCGATTTGCACCCGATTTGGGTGTGGTTCATGGTTTTTTCTCTTGCGATCAGCCCTTAGGGGAAGAAGACCCCCTTCTTCGTCAACAGAGAAAAAGAACCCCGCGCTCTCTTTCCATCGACTCTCGTCTGTCTTCTCCGTCGATTAATTGGCGTTGTTTTCAGGCGATGTTTGTGGCCGTTCTCCGCCTCAAACCCCTGGCATCTGACCTAAAGTGCTTCAGAGCGCCCGATCACTTCGAAGTGCTCATTCAGCGCGATTTCCTCGGCAATCATCTAGTGCCAATCCAACCGGGTGCCGATTATTCCTTGAAACTGGCCTTAAGATCTGTGGCTATGGTTGATAGGTGAGCCTGACGTCATCATGACGCTATTTAGTCATATATTCTTGTGTTTGCGGTTGTTGCTGTTATCAGAAAATTCTTTTGACCCGTTCTAGTTTGCCCTTATAATCGTGCCTTTTTATAGCACATTGGCCCAGAGGGCTGTCCCCGTTCCTATGTGTCTTCATGGGCCTAGTTCATCATCCTCAACTCCCTCTCACCTTGTTTGTGTCCCAGTTTTGGATGAGCTCCACAAATTCTTAGAGTCTGATAAGTTTAAATTCTACAACTTGGCCGAGCTTCTGAATCTCTCCATTAATGAGGACAAGTTTTTGGACCGACAGACCAGCTTCTTCATCACGCGGATCGGGGAGTAAGTGGTCGAATTTACAACCTTATAAACAATTCTTTTCTTTCGATTTTTTATCTGCTTTGTTACCGCTTATTTGACTTTCAGATGGCTAGAACAACAACAATGTTCGAATGTCAGTTTTCTGGCCGATTTATTCAGAAAAAGAGCGTCGAAAGAAAGGATACGATCCTGCGTTCATTCTCCCGCTTACTCTCAGAAATTCAGAACGTTATGCAAAAAGTAAGAGTTACAGTAATATTAATCGTTTTTTCTTCATCGAATTTTTCATGCCTTAAGGTTTCAGACAACTCCAAATTCGCCGGAAAGATGACTCAGAGTTGAGAAGATGCGAAGATCTGGAAGAAGATGTGGAAAAAGCCAATAATACTCGAGCTTTGATGATACTGAAAGAGAAATACGAGAAAGCAGTGTTTAATCCTGTATTCGGAGTGCTCAGCGAAACCATGAAACGGACGGTAAGACTTGTTTTATGACGTCATTTTCTTCTTTGTTGGGTCATTTGGGTGTGGTTATGACTTGAGAAGATAAGGTTGATTACCGTAACTCTTATCACCTGCTGTTTTTACAATGTTTGTGGGACCTTCGGTAGTTATCAAGTTCTTCCGGGATCACGCGGGATTACGGTAGAAATTATAAGTTGAAAAGATAATGTAGGTATAGTATCTGGTGACTGCAATATTAGGCATACAATATTGTTATCCAATTTGTCGCCCGATCCCTCATCTGAAGTGGATTTGCACTCAATCCGTCTTCCTTTGTCGCCCACTCCATCATCCTCTTTCAGGCCCCGGTCTACTTCGTCAAGGGCCGTTCGGACAAGGTCGAATCATGTCAAGATACGCAGATCTCTTCGTCCGATTCCTGGGAGCAGATGTTCCCATTGCATCGAGCCGCCTTCAGCGGGGACCATCTGCTAGTCAAGTAAGTGTGAAAACAGCATTACGATACACTTTTACAGACAGTTGTTGGATCAAGGATATGATCCGAATAAGGCGGATACTGATTCCTGGACTCCACTACATTACTCTACCTTTTACAATCAATTCAAAGCCTGCGAAGTGTTGATGTTACATCCAGAGACAGATGTAAATGCACGGAATAAGACAGGGGCCAGTCCATTACATTTTGCGGCTCTAAATGGACACGTTTACTTGGTGGAATTGATGATCAGCCACAGCAAATTGAATGCGGGAATCAGAGATCAGAATGGGAAAACGGCCTTAGACTTTTGTGAATCGGTCCCCAAATTGGAATGGCAGAATATCTCGGCGTTACTACGTAATCTGACGGTATTGCGACCGGAGAAGATTGAGATTAATCTGATTGGAAGGAACAGTCTGCAAATAAAATGCACCCCGGCTACTGTAACTGCTGGTCAATTGAGAGACAGTATCTTGAAGGTGGAAGGACTGAATGCCGTCATGTCCGACAAGGTGTTTGCTTTGTGGATCTGCTCGGAGCGTCTGAGTAAGTGGTTTTTGGACTTGATTATTACAGAAATTCTGCAAAATCTCCTTTATTCTTTTCCTTTATGGACTTTTCTCATTGTCTCATTGGCCATTTTACAGGCCTCCAACTTAAAGCCGAAATGAAAATCCGAACCCATCTGGAAAAGTGGTTGGAATACCTGTCCAAATGGGGCGATGTGCAAGATCGGGCCAATCCCAGCGAGAAGCCGCGCCTCTACTTCAAACGGGATGCCCGAACCCTTTTGGGCGACGAACGGGATGTGGTGAGTACAATGGCATTGTTAGAGATGTTCATCGTTTATTTTAAAATACTCTGGGAAAACTGTACAAAGGGGAAAGAAATCCGGGTGGGGGAACAGGTGGACGATAAGTCAAATAGAAATGGCCGAAAAGATGATAATAGACTAGGAAAGGAAGGAACAGAACCTGAGGAAGGGGAGCACTTTAGACAAAGATGCCAGTCATATTAGTCACTGACTCTTTTGGACGACGATTCAAAGAGCAAGCAGAAAAATCAAAGTACCCGTTAAGAGTAAGGAAAATGTCCAAGAGGAGGCTGAATTTAGACAACCATCCCCTTGACATCCCTCAGTACATACTTCAACAAATAAAGTGTCGGTATCTCGACGTTTCTGGCCAGATTTCTGGTTGGATTCGAGGAAATGTCGCTTCATTCTTTTGCGGGAGCTCTTGTAGAGGGTGCAGCCGAGAACGTCTGACTCAACTCCACATTTTCGTTCGGTTACTGTGATCTCTAAAATCAAAATTTTGATTTGGATGTCTGCTAATTCTGTTTATCAAAGAATTTTCTTTCCCGCATCCGGCTATCATTTTTAATCAAAATTTATTTTATTTTATGCAAAATAATTCCCAGCCAAGCTTCTATTGTCTTCCGACCCTGAGGCAATGTTAGTAATTATGCAACCATTCCCCTTGACAGATTAAAAACCCCGCCTGAAGCTTCAAGATTAATTCCGACGGCGTTTTAATTAAACCCCGATATCCCCGCAGGGCCGTAAAAACATACCGTTGGAGACGCCCTGCCGATAATAGCTGTAGATGCAATGCGTATGAGTGGAATTCTGGCATTCAGTGGGGGTGATCATCCCTTCCTGACATCGCTGAACGTGCTGCTCTGTCTCCTCGGGGGTATACCAGGATCCCCGACGGTCACATTGAATGCATTTCAACGAGGAGGCTAAAATAATACGAATTCACTGCGCTGACTTTGTTTATATTATGCATTTGTGGATAGTGTTTGGATAACGGAATGGCAGTTTCCGGTTCAATCACTCTGCCCAGGTATTCATGATGCAATATTATATGTCATCGTATCTTATGGATGCCAAAAATCTCGCGTTCTGTCCATCCCGAACGCCCTCAATCCCGTGGACAAACAAATCCACGGACTTTTGGGGGCAATGGACAGGATGTGGGACCCTGAACCGGAAGCAACTTTCTGTTTCCGAGCGAGTAGCTCTTACCCAAATGTAATGTAAATAGGGCCGACAGGCTCAGCAGATACTGGACCAAGTTTATCTCCATCTTCGAAACATGCCCTGCAATGGCGATTATTATGCCGGGAACATGGATAATATAATACTCGCGACAAGTCTCGTGAGGATTTGTGAGGGATACGCGGATAAGAATGGGGTTCCAAAACAATGCCATCATCGGCATTCCAAGGGGAAAGGAAGCCGAGGAAAACGGAAATAAAAAATACTCAAATTATACTGTACTACACTGTTCAATTCACAATATTTCAGGCATGCCGATCAGCAGAAGCCGTCAGATTATTGTACGGTGAAGCCGAAAGACAATTCTTGAATGGCTTATATCCCGCCAAAGAGAAGGACACGATCAAGATGGCTGCAATAATTCTGAGATTATTATTTGGCCAACAACTCGGAAACAATATGGAGTAAGTCCCTTTGAAGAGATTATTATTATAAATTAAAGTTCATCCTGTATACTAAACATAGTAGGTCCTTTCACTTCGCACCCTGAAAGACACATATTTCCGGGGAACAAATAAAATCGGGGCCAATTTTCATAAAGGAACAATGGGCGGGTCAGAGGGCAAAGGCGCGCGGCTCTGAATGGAACCGGCGGCTAATTAAGGGGACGCCGGCGGTCCTTATGAAGCGCGCCTCCAGAAAGTTTAGAGCGCGTGGGAATCCGAGCAATTAAGACCTCGGGGCTTCTAATCTTGGCCATCTGAGCCGATTGGCTTTGGTCATTTCGGAGGGAGTGAAAAAGAACATCTTCTGGTCCTTGAGAAGTATCCAAAGTAAGCACGTGCCTGATAGGATGGCCTGACGAACTGAGTCGACGAACTCCCTCAATAGCCGTGTCTGTAAGCACAATATGGCCACGGATACTTGTGATCAAGGTCAAGTACTCGGGGCCATATTGAAGCCCGCTTCTCTAATTAGAATCCCTCTAATTAGAGCGGACCGTATCGCGGATAATTACTCAGGTAAACAACGGATAAATTCTCATTAAAATGGAGGACAATTAGCCCGGGCGGAACGCGGTTTTGATCCCATAAAAGGGATAAATGGAAAGAGGGGATCCGGGCAGCCGGGACCGCGGAATGGAAATCGGTGGAAATTCGATTCCCCGCACCGTAAAAGGGAAGCGACCACAAACATTTCGAGTGGCAATGGAGTTGTTTTACACTACCCAATAAATTAAATAGCATCCTTTAATTCCGATACACCAAAAAACTAAATTACAGTACGGTATTTAGGACGTTACTCATGGTTAGTAAGGACCCAACATGCGGTTTGTTAAACCCGGAATTGCATCTAAAAAACTAAAGAGCCTTCCTTCAAACTAATGCCCAATACATGTGGCCATCGCTCAGTCAGTGTAAAAACCTAACCCCAAAAAATATTTGTCACACTGCGGGCGTGTCCGGAGGCATTTTTGCGACGACATAAGCCCGTATGCCTCATTTGTATTCCGGCACTAAAATTGACTCACAGACAGGAGCGGTGACCTCAGATCGAAAGCAAATAAATCATGGGAAGAACTCCCGATTGGGGAACATGGAACGGGATATTACACTAGGGGAAGAAGCGGTGATAATCGGGCAGATAAGGGATCTCGGCTTATGACAACGATTACACTGTAATCGGTTGTAAATTCGAGAGCGCTTTGCGGTAAATATAGGGTCAAAAGATGTTGGGGATTAACGAATAAAATTTAATATAAATAATTAACAGTCGTGTGTAATCAACTTTTGAAAAAGTATTCGAAATACAAAAAAGGACTGTATGAAAAAATAAGTGGTCTCAATGACCAACTAATTTTCATCGCCGCCCGCATCCCATCGAAGTCGCAGCCCCTCAAATCGGCACTCCTGAAATTCTTGAAAATGGGCGGAGCTTATTAGAGCCCTTGGCCGCCGGAAAGAATGGCCACAAGAAAGAATACGGGAATAAGTGGGGACCGTATGGAGGGTTTCTTTGGCTTCTAAGCACCTTCTGATGATCCCGGAATTGGAGTGGACACTCGCCGCATCCGCCCTCCCCCCTTTCCTGACCCCCAAAGTGGTTGGAAGGAATGCAATTTCCAACGGGAATGTTCCCCTCACCATAACACGCATTTTGGCGCCTCCAAAAAAAAGAGTTGGCCATCTTTTGGACTCCTCACTAAACGTCTAAAAAAGGTGCCAAACAGGCCGGAAATGGGTGAGCGCAGGGATTACAATGGACAATAGAGAGTAACATCAAAAGCCCGGAGGGAAAGTACGGGAACGGCACGGAACGCCGCTTTCAACACTTTTACATTACTTGAGACCCAGCGAAGAGAATGGCATAAACAATCCATCCTACCTTTTACAATATGTTATATTGGACATGGGCCGCAAAAGGAATTGATAAATGAATGGAAAAAGTGTTAAAATCTCGAATAAATGAGGGCCGGACATAAAAGAACAAGATGTTGGCAGATGTTTTTGATGTTCGTCCGGAATTAATCGGATAAAAGGAAAGCATTACACATTGTTAGAGGCAAAGAGGCTTTGTGGAGGGGATATTGCGGAAATTGGACGATAATGTCGTCAGTTAGGGCGGGAGATTAGAGAAAACAGAGACTAAGGAAGATGTAAGTAGAGACATTATAAAATTAAATATCAAAGACTGATCAGTTATTGTCTCGGATTACCGTAATCTTTCAGTTACTCCACACTGACAGCCTGTATGCCCAGACATCTGATCCCCGTGGAGAGTGACCGCTCCTTCTCCAAATTGGTATCCAAATTGAAGGAGGCCCATTCCCAGCTCACCCAGAAACCGACTACTGTCCATCAACTTCAATTCGACTTCCTTCAACTCTGCTGGAAATTAAATGTCTACGGTTGCACTTTCTTCAAGGCACACATGTATCGGAGTAAAGTGAGTTGAACTTTTTTGATTATGAATTGAATACGAACGAAAATTAAAGATTGCAAAAAAATTTTTAATTCATTAAAGTCGTAAAAATTCAAAAATCGAACAATTTTACTTTATAAAATAGTTTTGCAATTCATTAAACACGCAAGGGTTTATAAATCCGCCATTTATTACATCAAAATAGCCTTACGCCGACCTCAGCCAGTTAAAAAAAAACTGCATTACTAGCAGAGAATACGTTTTTAATGTCTGTAATACGATGTTCTCGCATAAATAATGAGAGTAATCAATGCAAGTAATATCCGACGCGGAATTGTAAATCATTCGGAGCCCCTTTTCCACTAATGAAAGATCAACAATCGAGGATATTATCCTTGATGAAGCCCTAGTCTGTAATTATTATTAAGGTCTCTTTGAGAGCGCAGAATTTATGGGTAACGGTGAGAAATGGAGGGGATTTTATACGGCGATACTGTGGGTTCTTAAGGGAAAATAGTAAACTAGTTTGGAGGAAATTTACATCGAAAATTCAAATAAAAAAATAATTTTTTTGAAATATCTGAATTTAATTTCAGCCACCCTTCGAGACCTCTCCTGTTTACCTCGGAGTGAATGATTGGGGAGTTTCGGTGATCGGGCAACAGACTCTCAAGCAATTGGAGGCCGTCGAACTCCATCAATGTGAACTGGTTCATGAGAATGGCCGCGATTACCTCGAACTCCACCGAAAGAAACACGAACCGTTAATGTTCTCGACTCCACAGGTGAGTATTATAATATACTTGGCAGGTGGATCTTTGCGTTTCTTTTGTCACCGATCCGAGCCCTCTAATCCCTTAATTCCAGGCTCTGCTCGTGGCTCAACTCTTCAAACAACTCCAAACCAAAGTTGCCAATGCTCGGACGAAGAAATGAGTGAGAGTAATCTGCGATTTGATTACAATAATCGCATCCCTCTTGTTGTAATGTAATGGAAATCCATTTATACCTTACATTGTAATTCTAGTCTCTTCTAGATTTTTAATCTTACATAATTTAATTGCAAACTTTGAACTGTTGACAACTTGTATTAATAGTAAAAATACATGCTTTGGATACCTCCACTTGTCGTATCTTGTAATATTCCATAACTTATGAAGCCATCGTGATCGAGTATAATATAGTGTACTGTACGCTGTCCAGAGATGTTGTATGTCCGTCTGCTTCCCAGACGGATTCCTTTTTTGTTGTTTCAGAGTACCTCCAAGTCTTGGCAATAATTGTTTTGATCCAACTTTGTGATATTTAGGTGTGTCTTCTTCTAATCATCATAATTCCTCTCTCTAATTACTCAAAACTTGTGACCTTTACCCTTTTATCGGCACCTTGCCAAGTTTGTTTTCGCTTCTCAAGCTTATCAGGTATTTTATCATCCAATTTTTATTGTTTTCCGTGCTTTGAATAAATTTGATATGACAAGATGGCTGTATTCCGCTTCAAATTTCATCCCGATTATTTCGTTTTTTGAATGTCAAGGAGCAGATATGCAAATTAAGGAGCGCGCAGCTGAGAAATTTGGAGTTTACGCAAAGAAATGTGTCATAAACTTCTCGTTTTACGAAGATACAGCCGAAATGACATTCGTATTGCATTTAAATAGCAAAAAATACTGTATATTACAGTAAATTACAAGTTTCGGATGCAAAAAACGAATTTGGAGAGAGAATAAAAGTGCGATAAAAATGGGGCACAAGTAAAAGCTAAAACTGTAACCCATTAACCACAAAACGCAGCATTTGTCGCTGGAAGTCGCTCGTCTTCTCGGGGAATGTAATGACCTTCGAGTTTAACACGAAATTCGGGAGAGTTTGCAACACCTTTGCAGGTTACTGGGTGTGATTGGTCTGCTGATCGAACAGGAAGTCGACTTGAACCGTTTCGTTGCGTAACCGAAGAACAATCGGACTTCTGGGCGACATAGACAATACAGGGTAGACACTACAAGAAAGAGGGAGGAAAAATCAAATGACAGTTAGAAATACGATCGCAAAATGACAGGGGAATTGCTCAAGAAAAAATTCTGACAATGAAATGTCTTTCTAGGATGGAAAACGCGTCAGAATTGTCGGTACTTTTGACTTCAAACATGACTCTGCAAAACACCAGGCAAATTGCAGATCAGTGAAGCCAAGGCCCCGCAACGACATCGAGGATTCTTTGATCTCTTCGAAAGTTAAAATTTTGTGGAATGACATTTGAAATTCAAATATTCTTGCCGACAAAACGTTTCAACAAATCCTTCAATTACAGTAACCCCACTTTCCAGTGCTCATTTTCCGTTTTCCAAACCAAGCGTCCATTTCCTTGTCATTCAACACTTGTGCCCAGAATTATATTCCCGAAGAATTGGCGGGCATTTTGTGCCACCATCACTCTCGAGATGAGCAGACGCGCAATCGCCGAGACTGAGGTCACCCTCCATTCCTTTGGTCCACCCCCAATTGCGTCCTCAGATTACGCAACGCCTGACCTCAACCACCAAAGATTCGGCTCTCGAGTCTCATTCAAGGGTATTTGCGTTCTCGGGGTGGCGTCGTTTCATTTTTGTATCACATTATGCAACTCCAGCTACTGTAATCTTAATTTCAGGCAGTTATCGCTGTTTCAAAGCCAAAACTCGCGCTTGTCTTCTTATTGGTGCAGTACCAACTACTTTAATCTTCTTTCGACGGAATCCAATCCTTGGTAAGTTGAACAATTGGGATTGGTTTGACAGTATTGGCAACGAAAGCAGTAATTTGGTCGTATTAGAATCCAGGGAAGTATGCATAGTTTATTTACAACCGCAGTACTTTTTCTTCAAATTTTGTAGGCATATTTGACTTGAGGCACGGATTAATGCCTGTAATTACAAGTCAGCTTTTTGAAAAGCATTTCCGAACACCACTAGTTTTTTGACAGGTCATTGAAAAGTGGAGACTGATCCGAGGAAATTTTTTTATCTTTGCAAAATTTTGTGGGGAAATGACTTGCTATAAGTAAGTTTCTCAAACCCGCCCTCAGTTACCATAATCAATGGATTGCTCAAGCCACTGCCTATGTCTCCATAAATCGATGTAATCTAAAAACATTCGCCGCTAATTTTTTCCACTTTCCCATCTGGCGGTGCATTGTTCAACGATTGTAAAGAACCCTTTTACAGCCTCATAAAATGGTGATCTCGAAGAAAGAATTCAGCCCAAAGGAGAAGGGGATCTGCCAGGTTTGTGGAGATCAGGCCACTGGGACTCATTACCAGGCCATAACTTGTGAGGGATGCAAAGGATTCTTCCGTCGGACCGAACAAAATCATCTGCAATATGTTTGTAAGAATGAGGAGAGATGTGTGATCACGAAAGAGACCAGGGTCAAGTGTCAACGGTGCCGGTACCTCAAGTGTTTGACGGTCATGAAGCCTGATTGTAAGTTTTCGATTAAAACTTTTTAATCTCCTCGAAACTTTGAGAAAAGAGAGTTTTCAAACCGCGTTTTGCAGAAAATTGAGAATTACGCAGGAAATCGATTTTAAAATTTGAAAAGTTTAGTTTATTAGTTGCCTGGAATATACACAATTTTGTCTCCTGTTTGAAGTAGTATCGCATAAAATTAGCATCATAACTTTCTCTTCAGTGGTGATGGAGCCCGAGGAGCGCATTGCCAAACAGCAGATGATCAAGAGAAACCGGCAACGTCGAATGGTCGAGGGTTTCCTCAGTAATCCGGAGGCTCTTGGAGTGTTCCCTATGACCGAAGAAATCTCCAGTCTGATCAACAAGTTGGCCAGACAATATGCGGAAAATATTGTGCCAACTGTGGATCTGGGAGAGGACTTCCAATATAAAGATTTGAGGGAACAAACCGAGGCTTTGCTCGTGAAATTGCACGAGAGATCTCTCAAGTTCAGTGAGGCCATCCAGAATGTCGGAGAGGCAAGGAAATCTTGTACCAATTTACTCTACGTCATCAATAATTTGTTTTAATAATGTTTTTTTAGGTTCGAATTAAACGTTGTTTCGCCCGAATCGACGTGGAACTCTTGGAAATTCTGGATCGAATTGATATCGAGGACAGATCGATTACAAAAAGGCCGACGAAATCGGCATCTGGCTTGGTCTACTCCACGGAGAAGGTCCTTTTGGACACCCTCGGATTCCCCGTTGGAGTGATCAACCAGCTTTTGTTCTTGGCCAAGGTTTTCCAGACTTTGAAAATGGACGATCAGCAATTGTCGCTGGTGTCAGCAATCATGCTGATGGAATCTGATTTCTCAACTCACATCTTGAAGGACCAGAAACCCAAAATGGCGGAGGTTTTCAGGTTTTGTGAGGCTCTTCTTGGCCAAGAAACCTCAGAAAAAGATGAGGATAGGGAGATTTATTATAAGGCGTTGATTAGTTATCTAGAGTACGAGAGCGACAGAAGGGCCGTTTATGCATTCCCTGCCATTATCTCGGCTGTGGAAGGGCTGAAAGAGTTTGTGAGAAATTACGGCGATGTGCTGGTCGCCTTTCCTTGCAGCTTGGCTAGATTGTTGTCATAGGGGGTTAGATGTCCGGGGAGAAAGGCGTGATCGTTTGAGTTCGACAATAGAGTGTGGAATCTAGGAAATGATGTCATAGGAAGGTCAGGGGCTATGATTGTGGAAGTGATTGGAAATTTGTGCTTCAGGCAAAATAGAAAACAATAGGAAATGCCTAAAAGCCCACTTTCAGATTTCGGGCAAAATAAACACATACGAAGGCTAGGATTTTTTGAGATATGCGCGATGATCTTATTTCTGGCTTTGCAGATTTCTACGTTAAAAAATGTTTAAAAAATTCAAAATTTTCCTTGAAATATTTAGGATTTTTGTGTCAAAAAATTGTCAAAAATTTTTGTATGTTCATTCGAAATTCCAGACTCAAGATTACGGTAAGATTGATAGAAAAATTAGTGCGATTGGTTGTAATGTTAACCTGCAATTAGCAACAGAACTTTGAGGAGAAAGTGGTGATCCAAAAAAATGAAATCCTTATGTGTGGTCGTAGGCACTTAATGCGGGAAATGAACCACAAAAGGATCAATTATGACTGAGAGTTAACCCAATTAGCTGTAATTTCACGACTCAAATGTGCTAAGCTGAAGTTTCATCATTAAATCACAATTTTCGAACAAAAGTTACACCCAAATTCACGTTGCCGATCAGTCAGGGGTTTTGTTTCAGACAGTGGACTTCGGAATGCGGAATATTTATAGAAGTATGATTTGTTTTTTACATTCCCAGATTCCCAGAGTTCAAAGTGTAATGTTGTAATCTTTTTTATTTTTTTAATCTTTTTTTATTTTCAGATGCTGTAATTTGAGGAAATTGGAACTCCACAGAAATGTGTTGGTCTTCAGCGAGGAGATCTCGTGCCAAATGGGAGGGGAATGGGTTGATTAGTTAAATTAATTTAGTAAAGGCATTATCTTAGAGGAATGTAGTCATTTCCGAAAATTATTTAGTGATTTAGGTTATTTTGATGACATTTTCTAACTTCAGATTATAGCTTATTTAATCTAAGATCATATTTTATAAAACTTAATGGGAGTTTATTTTAATTTTTAAAAGTTTTTGTGATTTTATTCCAATTTTTAGAATTTTTCGATGAAAACCGGTTTAGTTGAGGGCTCTGGGGCTACATTCTTATTTCCAGGTTCTTGCCAATCCAACCATGTCAATCCAAGCAGATTCCAAGAACATATTAAACACATAAAGTATTATAAAAAACGGAAATAAATTCTTTTTCTTCTCGATTTTGACTGATTTCTTTCGAAAAGAAAACGGTCGGCCCTTCGGGGTGTGCCCGGTTAGCTCAGTCGGTAGAGCACCAGACTCTTAATCTGGCTGTCGCGGGTTCGAGCCCCGCATCGGGCTAAGGCCACATTTTGTTGATTTTTGCTCTTTCCACTCGACCGACCAGAAATATAAATAATGAATTTACAGTTTGCGAACACTTCAAACGTTTTTTTGGAATGTCTAATCCCCGCCGGAATGTAACGGAAGGCGTGAAATAAAGGAGAATGGTGGATGTTGGACACTTATCCAGGTGTAATGAATAATAAATGAGCCTTGAGGGCATCGAAGGCAAATATTCGAATACGACGAGGGTCCGACCGGGTCCCCATGCTCCGCTGCACTAAGCGCACTCGTTCACTCGCCTCTATTTACCTTGATTTGCGGGTAAAATTCGATCCGTTTCTATGGATACCCGAAATGCAAATTTTAGGTCAAAAAGGGGGGGGGCCTTTTGTGCGGCGTTTATTATTATTAGTCCAACGGGGGTGTTTAGAAGTGAAACAGCTAGAAATGCACTTCCCGAGGAGGAACTCTTCAACCACCGGCAGACGCGTGAAGAGCTTCCCCTCAGGGCCCGGCCTTTTTTTTTGTTTCCAAATTAAACCAAAACTCTTCAGATGACAAAATAATATGGCCAAGGCCCTGGCCATCCTTCTACTGATCTTGGCTGGTGATCTGAGCGCTGGTTTGGTCGTTTTGAATGAGAATTCGGTCGATAAAAGTAGTGACGTCATTGATGGCACCAGTCATTCAGACGATGACATAAGATCACCATCGGCTGAAATGCCCTCCAACGAGATCTTAGCTGAAGAAATCAAGCCAACAACATCCTCCAGCCCTCTCTATCATCAACATAAATCCAGTTTTGCGGCCGAATCGAAGACTTTCTGGCTCTGCCAATCCGATGCTTCGTCAACAGAATGGACTGGGGCCGAGTTGAAGACTCCTCCACCGAGTCAGCAGCATGTGGCCATCTTATCAGAGCCCACAGAGGAGGCGGAGATCGACATTGGAGAGAATGGGACCATCCCTTTCCGGGCCCTCCAATCCATCGGATATCAGGCCGTCCAGTGTACCCTCAGGCTAGAGGCGTGTGCCGATTGTTTTGTGAGCATCGAGATGGACTCGGTTAGACCGTATTTCACTCAATTTCAAGTCGAAAGAGTAAGTTTTCCAAGCGGGATATTAATAATATTGATTTTGATGACTTAAAATATTTTTTAGATATCCAGATGTGATGACCCCACAGCGGCAATGTCTGATCCTTGCTTTGTGATGGATTTCATCGAGGAAAGGGCGGATATGTTTGGGACATCCGATCGGGCCCATTTCAAAAAGAGTTCCGTCTGGAATTGGCCTGAAAAACGGATTCACAACACTTCCAGTCATTCGGTGACCATTCATTTGGCCATGAGGAATGTGGAGTCCTCGAACCAGCTGTTCAACTATCTTCTGAGGATGTTTCCTATAAAAATTTCTGTCCACAGTAAGTTGATTTTGAGATTATCAACTATTTTCGTAATGAATAATGCAAAAATGTTTCAGAAAACACGGAATACAAGGACAACTTCAGCTTCGATCATTCCATTTCCTCTCCAAGGTACCCTGAAGCCTATCCTCGACATATGATCAAGAATTACACCATCGAAAACAAGAATGAATGGGGCAAAGTGAAGCTGATCTTTGATGATTTCCTCATCGACTTCCAATCCAGCCTCAGGATATTTGATTCCGATGAGACGGAGATCTTCAGCTCCCTTTCAACCCATCGACGGCCTCCGGCAATCTTGTCCAATGGCCCTAGATTGACGATTCTTTTCGTTTCCGGCAGCTTCACTCATGTCGTCGGATTCAGAGCCAGATTCGAATTCGTCAAGGAATTTGTGGACTGGAGGAAATTACCCAGCGAAAGTAGGGTTGTCAAAACCTATCCATCTCTTTCAGATTGTGATCAAATCCGAGAAAACTTTGGTGGTTATATTACAATTGAGAACAAATCCGATCTTGTTGGGAAATACATCGATTGTATATGGCTTGTTGGTCGTTTACCATCATTCGCTCAAGTATACGATCAAGTTTATGTCAAACTGGACAAGTTTGAGCCGAATGAAGCCAAGGATTTGAGGCTGGAGTTCAGAAAAGGGCTTCATTCCACGTCCCCTGTGGCATTTTCGGTGGATTCGACTACTCAGAGAACGAGATTCACACATAAATATCCAGTAATGCTGGTTAATGATCAGCACCCTCATCCCTCATTCTACGTTCGGCTCAGAGGGATGTTACACTCAACTTCTGGTGAGTTTTTAATCCGCAAGCTGCGCCCTGGGCTTCGCGAAATCTTAAAGTTTGAATTTACAAAACGTAAAATTGTTTTATTACAGAGATCCGGCTGACTTACACATTATTTTACCGCTGGGCGACCGCGTCTTGTCCGGGGAGATTCGAATTCCATTGTCAAAATTCCCGATGCATCAGCGAATCCCTCCGTTGTGATGGTGTAGATAACTGCGGGGATGGGAGCGACGAGGTCTGCGAGAACAACACGCTTATGAACCTGGAAAAGGACAACGACATCACCATGTTGTTGGCCATTGCCCTCAGTTTGGCCGGCATAATCCTCGCTCTTTCGGCCATGATTGCCTTGGTGGTGGGACTGCACAGACGGAAGTGGATGAATTGCCGGTCTCATAGGGCCGAGAACACGGCCGAAACCCCACCAACTAGCACCGAGAACAGCAATCCTTCGATACATACGGTCGGTGATCGTCGATTTTATTTATTGCCTGAGGCAAGAATCAACGTCATCGAAGCTCCGCCCACTTATGCGGATGCCCTGAAACAACGGATTGTGGGGGAACGAAGGGATTCCGTTTACGAGAACGGAGCCTTCCATTATCATCGAGAAGAGAGTGATAAAGAGGATGACGTCATGATGACCTCAGGGCATGCAACAAACAGAACCATCGAAGCGGGCGTAGAGAGATTTGTGGATGAAAGTTTGGAGGAAAACAATAAAGAAGACCAATCAGAGAGCGGAGCAGAGAAGGTGGAGAATGAGGAGACCAGACCAAGTTTAAACCCCGACATCACTTTACCTTCATCCAGCAAAAATGAGATTTACAGTACTCCGACAGCTGATGATAATGGAAATAATCATGAAACCAGTACAGACCATAGAGCTGGGAACAGTACTACTATTAAAAATAATCTCGAACAAGTCGATCTTGAACGGCCTTCAGAAGAATGGGTATAATTATATTTAAAATACAGAGAATATCTAGTATTATATCAGAAAACTGCAATAAATCGTACATTAACCGACTCTTTGTATTGAGAAATGCTTTAATCAGTAGGGAATTCAGTATGAACAGGAAGGACTGGGCTAAACCGCCGGAGCGGGTCCAGGAGCTGGCGCACCTGGAGCGCCAGCTGCAACTGGGCCGGAGCCGGACCCAACGTCTGGGGTGGGGTTGGTCTTCTTGTGCTTTCTTCTCTTGGAGCTGCCTGTAATTAGCAATTTCAAGATGAGTGTACGATGAGTAATATAATAATACAACCCATGTGTCATACTTTTCTTGTTCTTCTTGTGTTTGTGGTGTTTGTGGCGGTGCTTGTGCTTCTCCGCTCTAAAAATGGCATACGTCATCGAAGGTGACATCTTATACGATGAAAGTGTTTAATTTTGAGTTACTACTTCTACATTTCCAAAAACTGGGACGGTGCTCGTACTCGTGTAAAAACGTCCCAGCTTTGTTCAAGGCGTCCAATTTTAAAGTTAACAAATAATTTTATACATTACAGTATACTCCATCAATATTTCACTTACTCGGCGCTCCCGGCTGGAGCCGGCGTTTCTGGCTCGGTTGGCGTCTTCGGCACACCTGCTTCGGCGGCAAATCGATCCGTCACTACTTTGGCCGTATCCGCCTCATTCTAAAAATCTCTTTCATCTACTACAATATTATAATAGACAAAAGAGGCAAAAACACTCACCTGTTTCAATGAGTTCATCTCATAGCCGAGGGCGATCTGCTTGTCAGCCTGAGAATAAGCTTGTTCTGATGTTGTGAACGTACCTTGGTCATGAAATAGTAGACGATGATCCCCACCACGGCCGCGATGACCACATACTCCAACATGGTGCTCTTCCGACCGGATTCTAGCTGAACGCTTCCACTGAATGAAGTTCTCTCTTGCCTATGTTTCATTTCAATTTTAAATTTACATAATTTTACTTTTCAAATTCTGAAAATTGCGGGCAAGAAGTAGACTTGACCCGACAAAAAAATGTGTCATGTGTTCCTTTTGATGTTGGATCGCATAAAAATACACAAAAAAAGACGAATTGGTTACCATGCGAACTATCTTCCATCTCTAAATAACTTATTATTCATTGTTCATCATCATGTCCCGCCGATCTTCGAATTTGGCCCTTTTTACTGGCCAATTTGGCCTCAGCTTGATGCAGGTTTTGTTCATGTTCTACTATGTGAAGGTCTTTCTCAACGTCTTTCATGTCAACGAATATTGGTTCAACATTGCTCAGCTATTGTTCTTGATTTGGAATGCTATTAATGACCCTTTATTTGGATATATTCAAGACCTTTCCAAAGGATGGATGAATAACCGAGCAAAGATTTTTACTTATTTTGGTCCGTTGATGAGTTTATCCTTCTTAATTCTATGGTTTCCATGGAGGAAAACGAGCACCTCACCTCCGTACATTGAAGGAGTTCATCTTATTATTGCTCTTTTCTTGTATGATGCGTTCTACAGGTAATTTTTCAATATTGTGCTTGATTTATAGGTATAAGACGGAGAAATAATGCTTTGCTCTAAATTTTTCATGGTTATCAAACTGATATTGCCGTATTAATTGATTATACTTATTTGCAGTTGTGTTGGACTTGCCTGGGGTGCTTTATTCGCGGAATCCACGAGAGATCATCGACGGAGAGTTCAAGGTCTAAAATACTCACAATTGGCTATCTTATGCAGTGTAAATATTATTATGATCACGGAAAAGGCTTCTCACAGTATGGATGTAAGTTTTTCACAATTTTGGTTGAAGTTTAGGTCCAGTTATCAAATAATTGTCTACTACAATATAAAAAATGCCTCCAAATATGTTCTTTTTCAGAACTTTGCCGTTTTTCAAACAATCTGCGTGGTAGTTGCTGCTCTTACGATGTTGTGTTTTTTCCTTACCGGCCGGTTGAGCTCCTCAAATAAAACAAAAGATAGAGAAACACTACTGGAAGAAGATGAAGATAATGTGGTAATGGGCTGGAGACAAGTATTAAATCTAACTGGAGAGCTGCTGAAGGCCCGAGACTTTCAAAGAATTGTATTTACTAACTTTGTACATACCATCAGAAGTGTGGCTCATCTTAATTTTGCTTCGATTGCTACGGATCTCTTGATTCCGCAGAGAATTCTGACCAAGGGATCATGGCAGATTAGTATTTTCTTTGCTGTCTGCACATTAGTTCCTCAGGTGAGCACTATTTGTATCTTTCTTTGTCTTGTTCGAGTTTTTTTTTGTAATGGATAATATAATTATTTTCAGCTATTAGTCGTGTTGAATGAAACATTGATGGTTCGTCTTGGAGTCTATCGAATCATGATGTTATCCTTCATCTTTTCGATCCTCTCCTCCTTCATGTACACCATTTCTTGGAGCTCTTATGTGATCATGTTCTTCATGTTAATTGATAGTATTATGGTGCATTCCATCGCTCCGTTGTTTAATATACTCTTAGCAGAGTTTATTGAAGATGATACTGCTAGAAATGCGAGAAAGTAAGTTGATTATTGAATGGTTTTATTATCTTATCCATCCCATTTTCAGAAGTCGAATGTCCTCCTTGATATTTAGTCTGAATGCCTTTGTAATGAAGCCAGCTACTTCGATAGCGCCAGTTATAGTAGTCTACTTCCTAAACAGAAATGGATATGAGGTGAGGTGATTTTACTTTACATTATTCTTGCTTTAGTTATACCAAAAAGAGAAAATCCGAGGAGAAGAGCTGAGCCGGTGTATGCTAAGGATAATATTCTGTATCCCGGCAGTGTTGGCGTCCCTCCAATGCTTAATATTCAAGTCATACTCACTCAGAAACAAACATATGTTACCCGCTCTCCCAGTTTAATGCAACATTATCTTATTTTGTCCCAAAAAATAGGCAGAAAATACCGTATCCTATCCGCATTTTTTTACAAAAAATAATGTCTACATCTTTCTTTACGTTACTGATGTCTTAGACGGTCTGCTAAATCGATTTAAGTCCACATTTATTACATAATTTATATCGTCTTTAATTTCTTTTAATAACGGGTCTGTTTCCACGAAACTGATAAAATATGCCAATTATTTTATAATCAAATAAGAGTTTATTTAGTAGAGCTTTGATAAGTATGTTTTTGAAAAGTGGAGAGCATTTTAATGGGAGCTGGGTCCCGCCACGAAAATTTGAAAGGAACTTTTTTGATGATAGGAGCGAAAAAACGAGGCAGACAGGAGAGGAAGGAAACGACAGTCATCAATTACTCAGTTACAAATTGACAATCGGAACGAACAGGAAGTCCAGACGACATTACTTTAGATCTCATCAACAATAGTGATGAAAACGGGCGACAACGAAGACTAAAACTACTCGGAATGCAGGGAGTGCACTATAAGTCGACTACAAGGAGAGTTGAGGTCGTCTCCAGTCCCGGTCTCCGTGGGAGTTAGCAGTTGTTGCAGTAGTTCTGACCGATTCCCCCCTGGGTTCCCTCTTCCTCAACCTGAATCCGATTCCCGGAGCCCAGATACTCGGTGGGCAGATTATCTCCATCAACAGACATCTGGATCCTCTGCATGACCATGTCCAGCAGACAGTCGACCGCCTTCTCCACGTTCATTGAAGTGCAGGCCGAGGCTTCGAAGTAGGGAAGGCCCAGCTGATCGGCGAGCTGTTTGGCGCGAGCGGTCGAGACTTGGCGGCGATTCTCAAGATCCGCTTTATTCCCACAGAGGATTATGTCAGGGGTCTCGCAATAGGCATGGATCTGAACAATTTGTATTGTAGTAGGACAAAAAAATTGGTATTGAAGCTGTAAACAGGATATTTCCGGAAGTGCGAGGTGATAAAACTGCTCTCCGGGTTATATTCCCGCGGATTTATGGCCTAGTCTCTCTCTCTTCCCATGCATTCTTTTACCATCATAAATAATTCCATGCATAAAAAGTAATAATTCAGCCAAAAAAAGTAATGGTTTCGAGACCAAAATTCATAAAAAATGCAAGAATAGGGCGATAAAAGCCACCCGGCCCTCTGCGAACATCCTCCTCATGGTTATTGTCTCTTATATTATCCATCAGATTTATCAAAAAGATTAAGGATTTGAGGTCAAATCGATTACAAAATTGCCAAAATATTTTGCATAGTAGGTAATTTAATGGTAAATTACAGTGTTTTTGATCGTCCCTACTAGTAAAGTAAGTGGCTACTTACTTTTAGCTGAGAAAGCCAATCCCGGATATTCAAAAAGGATTGCTCATTGGTGATGTCGAATATCAAGATGAATCCCATGGCATCGCGGAAGAAGGCGGTGGTCAGGGAGCGGAATCTAAACCTCGAATCCCATCAAACGCCCTGCACTCACCGCTCCTGTCCGGCCGTATCCCATAATTGTAATAGCACCCTCTGTCCGCGGCCGCCGAAACCGCCTCGGGCACTTTTGTAAACAACCTTCTTCTCCTTGAAGTCAATCCCCACCGTCGATATGAACTGACCCGTAAAGGTGTTGTCGGTGTAACGATGCTGAAACGGACATTTTATACGATCAAAGATGTTCGGATTCATATTATCCATGAAATAGATGATATAAAGTAAAATTTCAAGGGAAGAAGATGGAGAACTGACCAGAAATGAGGTCTTCCCGACTCCCGAGTCGCCCAACGCGAGGAATTTGATCAAGTAGTCATAGTCGGCCATCTATCACGCATCACTCTGCAGTTTAACACCTAAAGTAATATAAAATTGTGGTAATCTTTGATGCATAACAGTCCAAACCGAAATTAAAAGTGAGCGGAAAGGGGATAAACAGTATTCTTACTTAAATTATTTTGAAAAAATATTTTGCCCCCGGGTCTGCAATTATCGGCTTTCGCCGTAAATGACATGAATAAGATAAAGAGAGAGCCCTCGGCCAGGGTCTCCGTTAATTTCCCGATATGGATGACGCCCTCCCCTCCTCTTTTACGTATCCCAAACCAGTCCACGTTTCCCAGTCCGAAAAAGAAATGGATTCGATTAGCCCGCGCCCCTTTCCCGCATGCCCTGAGGCCATAACCGGGAGGGCGCACCAGATAAAAGGCTCTTGCACCCCTCCCTTTCCCCCCACGGCATCCCAAATTGGCTCTCTTGCCTGAGGGCGTATCGATTGGGGCGGGTCCGAGGGGGAGAGAGCGGGCTTTGTTTCGAATTCCGATAAAATGATAATTGGAATAAGCAAAGGTCTGGAACCGAATAGATAACGAAGTCATCATGACACATTTTTTGGACATAAAATATTACTTTAATTTGGGCCCAAAAATGGTTGTTGGCCAAATGGTTCAAGGAAATTTTACTCCAAAAACAGCTTCAAAATTTTGTCATCACGACGCATTTTATGTCATTGGTATTCAAAATGCAAACAGGAATACCCAAATTTCTAAAATTGTCATCAAAAAATCGCACACCAAAGATGTCATGATGACAAATTTTCCGGAAATTACTTGTAATTGAGTCGAGGCACAGAAACCCAAAAAATAATTGTTTCCCGCGACTTGGAATATTATTTTAGAGCTCCGAAAAGAGACCGCGACCTCTCTTTTGCGATATCGATAAGAAAAATAGGGAAATGATTATGCAAATGACGTCATCCGAGGTATAAATTTATTTAATTTTTCTGAAGAAAGTAACAGTTTCACAATCCAAATATACACTGACAATGAGATCACAATTTTGAATAAAAAATATGGAAAATACCCGTGAAAAAAGTGAAAGGATACGGTAGAAGTTACAGTAATCGAAGGCTGAGGATGAAAATGACAAGGAGCTCCATAAATACGACCAACTTGACCGACGTTTGCCAACAAAATCACCAATTTTTACATCAGATGTCAAGTGTAACATCAAGTGTAACACCATCTGATAAACCTGATCCAATAGCCCTCAGGCCATTGTAGAGTGCATAACCGGCCCTTGATGTGTCTGTGGAGGGAAGGCATGGAGGGTGGAGGTCTTTATTGTGTTCACGGGAGGCCCTCTCGCCCGTCCATTCTTCCTCCGATAACACAACCACAGGGTGACTGCTGTGATATTCAGTCCCACACACACTACTAATAGGACCAATCCCAGTCCCACAGACCAGACGGGAGTCATCGCGGCCTTGTTCATGAATGCCTGGGTCAGTGATGTTGTTGTGGAGGAGGGGGTCGAAGAAGAGGCTGGGGAATCCGTGGGAGGGGCTGTAAGAGGGAGTAATGTGGTCGATTCGGTAGTTAAAGTCGTAGTTGTAGTAGTAGTTGTGGTTGTGAAGATCTCAGTGGTCTCTGTCATCGTTGTTTCCGGCGTCGAAATCTCAGAAGTCGATGTCTCTGGAGTCGTTGAAAGAACATTTGGCTCATCCTGAAAGTGGAAATAACTTTAACAACTCAGATCACACCTCATTACAAGCAATGTGTCATCAACATTCACCAATTACACTAGTTTTCTTCAAAAAATCTCAAGTAATAAAAATCGGAAAATGTTTTTGGTTCACCCTAATATAATAAAAAATTTAAAATCCAGATGAAGCTAATACGATCAAGGTCTCCAAATACTGATCGTACTCTACACTTTGATCAGCGAGGTATTATATAAAATGACTTATATATGTTGTGTTTTGAGGTCTTTTCTTTTGTTTTTCTGTTCCGTGTCATCCTTTTTTGTGTTGTGATCACCAAAAAAGCGCGTTCTTTCCCAAAAATTCAAGTCGAAAGAGCATTGCATTAAGATTTTTGGGTAGTAAATTGTAGAAAGAGACTGAGGGTTTGCTACATTAACTTTACTTTCGCTTCAAAATGTTACTCTTTACAGTGAAATTTTGTTAAAAAAGATTACCTTTTCAGATTAGGTTAATTTAAAATAAAGGAAAGGTGAAAATCTCCATGGAGACTTTTCTTGGGGCCAAAAAAGTTATTTTACTCTACAGGACTAGTTTAATTTTGATATTTTACGCTTACTTTTATCAAAATAAAGTCTAAGATCAAGTGTAACATAAATTTAAAAATCTTTGGATACAAAAAAGAGTGAACATGGAGAAATTACGTAATCTTATCGCTGATTTTTGCAGACTATCGCTTATTTTTTCTCTTACATTACCCTACATTTTTCTATTAACATTTCCTTTAACTAATCCAACTTTAGAAAATGTCCCAATTACTGTTACTCTACTCCTTGTCGGCTCTTCTGAATGCCGTCCAATTTGTGCAAATGTCCACATTTGGTTATGTCTGCAAAGATATTCACATATCAGATCTGCATCAGGGCTATGTGAAGACTTATTTCATTGGATTACAGTTGATTGGGACGCCCTTAATTGGAGTTCTGGTATCTAGATTGGGTCTCAAACTGGGGTTGATCATCGCCTTTCTCAGCACGGCCGCATCGTGCTTTTTCTTGGCCATTTCTCAGGTAAGAATGAGGCCAGACGACAATAAAATCATCCAGGTTGTATTAGTCATCTAGTACAATATGAAAATGTCATTATTTCAGGGTCTCTTCCTAATCGTGGTATCTCAATCTTTTGGCCTGTTAATGGTGGGGCACCAGGCCTTCCAAACAGCCATCGCCCACCTCACCAAGCCCGGGGCCGAGCGAACGTCGGCCTTCTCAAAATTGGGTCTTTCGTTTGGTAAGAAGCTACTTCGAGGTATCTTTTAACATGCTTCTAAATGGCGTGCTGTGTCTAATACTTTTCAAGCAGAATCTACAATCTTTCCTAGGTATTGGATTCGTTCTCACACCCATCATCACCAAGTTATCAACACTTTTCTTCGGTCAGACGGGTCCTTTGTTAGTGAGTGCTGGGATTTGTGTGCTTTCTCTGCCTCTACTGTTCATTGTGAAGGATGCTAAGGTAAGGGAACCATACAGTCTAACGAGATACGTCTTAGCAAGAGGACGACGATGCTGAGGGAAAAAATAAGAAGCTTAAGGGATCAGGAATCGAGATTATTATGAAGGATCCCACTCTCAGAAATCTATTTTTGACCAAACTATTGGTCACTTGTCCCGCTTACATCATCTTCGGAGTATTGCAAGTAAGTTCTAGCCTGTTTTACAACTAATTCGTTTGACTTCAGCTCCATATGATCAATAAATTTGCCTTGACGCAAACCCAAGACTCCTTGATGCAGTTGGAATTGGGTCTGAGTATAATGATAGCCAATTCTGTTGGCCAAATGTTTGCTTCCAGGATCTTCAAAGAGGCCCAACTTATCAGACAAAGTGCTATTGTCGCGGTAAGATGGATTCTTTCCACTTTTTTGCCCAGTGCAATGTTCTAGGTCTGGTGCCAAATAAAATAATCTTCGAAAATATGGCTAAATTGCTTTCAGGTTGGCTGCTATGTTGTGTTCGCTTATCTAGAGTACTTCTGGATCATCTGGCCACTCTTGTTCGTCTTAATTCAAGCCATGACTTTCGTAAATAACGCCTCGGATTCGATGATTACAACTCGAGTAAAGGCCGAACAACAGGTAATAAGGGTCTCAAAACCTATTCGAAATTATTTATAGGGTCTTATTCTGGGCCTAGCCAACTCGGCCATTGCCTTTGTTCGCGCGGCCAGTCCGACGTTGGCGGTCTTAATAATCGAGGAATTTGGATTTGGATATTTGGGATTAATCGGAGTAATTTGCTCCGCAATTGGAGTTGCTCTAAGCAGTGATGGATTCAGCGATTATCAGAAGATCGAATAAGCCCCGAGGCGCCCAAATTTACAGTAGTTTTCAGCCATTTGTACAGTTAATTCAATAAAAATAGAAATCATTTTGGATGAGAGTGCAGAGAAAAATATAAAATGACAACTGATGGATGGGGAAGGTAACGCAAATCTAATTCAAAACGAAAACACATTGAGGGAACTTTTTTGATGCAAATGTTAGTAGTTTACTATACCAGAACTAATCTTTATGTAATTTTTATCCATAAAATCACTCACTTTCTGACTGATCGCCTCTTCTTTTCTCTTGATCACGACACTGACCACTCCTTCTGCCGCTTCATGCTCATCCACGGCGATACAATCATCGGAACATTGGAACAGAACACAATTGGAGGAAGGGACCGACGACGAATTGCCCAAAAATCCCATAAAAGTGACGGCATTACAGACTGAAACCATTAAAATTAAACGATTCTCCAAAGGTCGAACTGTCTATTCATATTTTTTTCAAATCTTCGCTTTTGATGACATTTTATCTCCGGAGAGAAAGACGTGACCCAACATTGTAGGCCCGAGTCAAGTCTTCCTCTTCGGTGGAAAGTCATAAAATTCCGAAAAACGAATATCAGATTTCATTTTCTTGCCTCGGATAGGATTCCTAAACCGGTTTAAGACGCCCGAAGCGTTGTAAAAAAGTGTAATCTTACCTTGGATGGCACAACAAGCGTCGAGGCATGATTTTAAGTCGGGCGCTCTCTGTGCGGCCAAGGTTTGGGCCTCTTTGGAGAACCATTTCTGTTTGTAGATGGTTAGATTTCCACAAAAGACATCACTTGCGTCCACAAGCGCTACAAGAGCCAATGAAAGGAGCAGTCGGCAAAGAAGGCCATCCGGCCACATTTCGGCGTATAAAATGTCACCGGTATCTGAAATCGGAATATAGGTTATCTCACATTAATCTAGACCATTTAAAGGGCTCGCTAACACAATGGGGTCCATTAAAACCTCGATTACAGGCTTTCGCGTCGAGACCCAAAAAAACAACGAAAAGGAGGGAAAGTCGTTGGAATGAAAGTAATGGGCTGAAACTATTACTTTCATTGCGATTTCATACCCAAAAATGTGTCAAACGAGGTAATTACTCGCTTGGGCGGCGAGTTTCGAATACCTAAAGTTATGTAAAGTTTTATTCAAGGATCCTAATGTAAGATAAGCAAAAGAGACGCGTATCCGGTGGAAAAACACGATTAGAGAGTACTCAAATTCGAATACTCGCCTCCCTAAAGGCGCTAAAAGGATTTGAAATCAAGGGAAAAACGATTCTGGAGTTTAATTAGGTAAAAACAAAAGTTTTTACCCGAGACAGCGCAGCGGTTTTTGTGCGCGAACTCAATTTCGTAAATTCATTTTAATTAAATTGTATTTAAATAATAGGACAAAGGCCCTACGGGCATGAATCAATCGTGTTTTTTTGACAAAAACTGGAAAAATTAGGGAACATCGGAAGAAATTTGAATATTCCCTCACCCAACTGGTAAAATTAGCATAAATGTTTAATTGGGAATGGAGCCCTGTTCCGTCCGAATGTGCAAAAACAATGCCTGCAAAGAAGGCTTTTTACATTACGCAATGTGAAAGTCAAGGTGAGGCCATTGTCTTTTTCGGTGCAATGCACCGTGCCGAACAGCCTCCCCTTGGAAAAAGCGTTTCCGGCGAGAGAATGGACGGCGACGATGCCTGAGGGCGTCAAATCATTCGACTGTGAACATCTACATCTCCAATTATGCCTCCGGGAAAAAGAGCAAATTACCCAATACAAATTCGCCGAGAAAGGGGGGATTGCAGGGATTGGGGGCGGGTAAATGGACAATGGGGGACAGATTTCGGAAGAAGGTATGATGTTGGAAGAGAGGAGGACATAGTCAATAACATATGGCAAAAAGCATAGTAGATGTAAAAAGTGTAATTTTATATATATATTATAGTTGAGTTAACAGGTGATGGAAAAAGCAAGAAGGGAATTAAAAAAAAACGCCCTTTCAGGTCTTTCTAGATGCTCAGTGCCCCATTGGTCGTATTTTACAAACTTCGTCGGCCTTATTTTACCTGGGGCATTAGCCTTTTTAATCCCATAAATAACAAAAGGAATCGAAAGGGCGCTGAATATCGCTTCTAATAACCTGAGGCCAATTACCATACCCCTCTCATAACCACTCATCCATATCGGATCTCCAGAACCGATTGCCCTTCAAATCATCGCCTGAGGGGTTTCTTTTTCTCTTTATAAGCAAACGCCGGATATAATTAACTCCCCCAGAAAGATTGCGTAAGAGGATAATGGGACAATTAAACCATCAGTTACAGTCCGGGTTTAAAAAGAAAGAGTTTTGAGAGTCGAAAAGTGAAAAAATAAAAAGCGACCGGAAATCTCGAGGAATGGACGCGCGACAATTATTTGAATAAACAACAAGAAACAATGGGCAACGTTGACTACTGGTACTGCGCGACTTTGCAGGCAGTTAGTTGAGGTTCGAAAGTCATAAAGAGTTCACAAATATCCGCTCAAAATGATTTCATCCCAATTTTTGCATATTACTTTGGGTAAAAAAGATGATTCGGGGTTATTTCTCAATGGGAAAAAGAGTAGTCTATAATCTGATGATCGAATTGTGAAGGCTCTACCACGCTCTTTGATCCTCTATATATCCGATCTCCCGTTGCGAAACACAAACGCCGTAGTGACCTGTTAAAGGGGGGTCTCTTACCCAGCCTAATATAATATAAGCCCCGGGACTCATATTCAAATATTTGTGCCCGTACTCTCTGATCAAACACCCTCTCTCCCATAGCCGAACCTTAATCCCAGCACCTGTCAGAAAGGCCATAAAAGCCGCTTAATTCCCTGTTATTTTAGGGGTTATGGGGAAGGTAAAATTGGTGTGGATATGGCCGTTAAATGCTAATGTATATATAATCTTAGGTGTGGAATTACATGGAAATATCATAAATATAACATTCAAGCACATTGCATTCCAAAAAGGGTACAAAATCATCAAAATTTATATTATACAGGGTACAGCAACTGTGTAGCCCAATTTTAATTGGCTATAACTTGTTCAGTTTTCGTCCAAACGTTAAGATTCTTTTTTTCCCGGATTCCTATAGGCTGCAGTTTTGCTTGATACATGTTTAAAAACCCAGGCACTCCGTCATTTTTTCTGGAATATAAAAAGTCTCGAAAATCGGTTGTTCATCGGCAGATTCTGTCGATTCTGGGAAAAAATAATCTTAACATTTGGCCGAAAAGCGCAATAGTTATAGCCAATTCAATTGGGCTACAAGATTGCCGCACTCTGTACCGGGTATCAGGTGGGGAAAAAAAGATAAATAAGTCGCTAAGCCAACTTCCGAATCCGATAAGGGCCGTCGGAAGGGAGGGTGCTGAACGACTTTACAATCGAAGAAAGGGCGTCTTTTACAGTCCCTTTTACAGACCTCCAACAAAACGTTTCGAGGGAAACAAACGTGTTTTCCAGAATCCTGAACAAAAAATCAGAAGAAGCCTCGCAACTCAGCGGGTAATCCTCGAGGCAACTCTTGCCGGAGGGCATCGAATTAGGGAATCAGTCATTCGAATTATCTGAGCGCATCAGAATCCCCCAGAGTCGAGAGTTTCGAGAATCGCGAGTCCTTTCCCTGTCCTTTCCTTCTGCTTTCCGTGTTTACAGAAGCCCCGCGGGTTAATATTAAGAACGGTGCGGATTAAACGCAGCGCGCACTCTCAGGTCAAGGCGATCAGGATTTAAATAAACGGGCAAATATCTAAATTAATTGCTTGTTCCGACAGCCGGGTTTAAAACCGAAGGTCCATCAGTCTAAAACAATATAAAAAAGTTGGGAGAAAGGGGAAAGAAACTTGAGGTTGGGCTAAAAGGTGACGAATACCATATTATTCATCGTTTTTCTGGCATTCGACGGAGTTTATAGTACCTGAGACAAGAGAATTTACCTTGATTTACGCAGAAAGCGGCCTAAAATGATGACAAATTGGAACAATTTCCGGATCTGCCACCTTATATGGTCATAAAACGGGGTTTCCGCCCTGTCTGGCCATCTCCTCTCTCTGGCGGATCAACAAAAGAAAAGCCTCCTTCCTCCGGTCGTCATGGAGAATGTTTTTGTGGCCAATACGGCCAAAAAGAAAGCTGATTCCCAGCCTGAAAACAACCCGCAAATTACTGCGCAGTAAATCGGATGAAACCCTTTTCGGTGGTCGCAATATCCGATATGCGAAGAGGCAATTAGCATCGAAGGAGTTATAAAAATTGGGATCTCACTTTAGTCACGCCCAGAAAGGAGAAAAGTTTCAAAATTATAATTATAACTCGGATATCAGATACCCGCCAATTACAGGGCTCGACAAACCGCCCATTACGTCATTAAACGATCGGTAATGGGAGGGAGGGCGTGGGAAAATCACACAAAATAATATAAATTATACGAATATAAATAATAAAAACACGTGTTCGCCCTCTCGAAGATCCCGTCCAGATCACGTCGATCATTCCCTGAGGCGACTTTGTTAGGCCAGTCCACTCGAAACGATGCAGGAGTGCGCTTTAAACGAGAAAAAAGGTCCGGGCTTCAATTACAACATGAAAAAGATACCGGTGGGAAGACGGGAACAAGGTGCAAATAAATCCACATCCGTTTATTACGGACAAATATTAACATGGGCATAATGCATAGGCAAAGATTTGAATATTCAAATTTAATATTCGGTTATTATTCATGGTTTAAAAATTTTATTGCGGATTTTTGCTAAAAAAATTAAATTTAGAATAAAATTTAAATAAAAAAATTAAAAATTTCAATATTATTGTCAATTAATTCAAATATTTTAAAAAAAAATAATTATTGAAAGTTCAACTTTGAATATTAAAATCTATTTTTTAAATCGAGTACAAGTAGGAATTTTTGATGACTTTTCAGAACGAAAAAGTGGAATATTTAAATTTTTTAATTTGAAAATTGTAATGAATAAATAAAAATATTTTTAATATCGAGTCGAGGTCGTTTTGATGGAAACCCCCGAACTGAGACTGATCTTGGTCGAATTGGAGAGTCTTGAGCCAGTCCGTTGAGTCGATCTGAAATTATCTTTTGCCCACTGCAATATAATTTATTTACCTCGAGGCCATTCTGCTTCTTCGTTCGATGGCATTCTTCAACGGTGCCTCTTTAATCTTGGTATAAGCTGTTTTCAGACAATTATTGCACATAAATTCACTGCACCACATCAGAGAACCGATCGTAAACATGACCACTCCCAGACCGGCCAACGTAAGCCCTAAGGGCAAGAGTGTGGGCTCGGTCTCGACGAAGAAAACAAGGACACAAAGACCGCTGGTACTGAAGGTCATGCCGAAGATTATGGCCAGCAGTGCGATCACTGAGGTCGTGCAACGGCATTGGGGAGCGCCGAACATCCCGATCCTAGGATATTATTTTACTTTAGGGAGAAATTATGTCATCACAATTGATGAATTGAAGATTCTTTTACGAGAACACCAAAATTTTTGCAAGTTTTTTCAAGTTTTGGGTCGCGTAATGCGGAAATAAAATATTTTTGTGCGTTGTGTTGGTCCTAAAAAATAAATCTTCTGTTGGATTTGTTTGGATACAAAGATTATGGATTATGACATGGATACGAAAAATCTTTGCATCAAAGTCGATAGATCTCTATACTTGACATTCTGAACCTCCCAAAATTCAAACAGGAATAGTTTTTATACCAAACGATCAAACAGACAGTAACTTACTTGGGTGTGAACACGATGATCTCCTCGTCGTCCCCCAGCATCTCATAAACACTTGTTTTGTCGCTCTGATTATCCAAAGCGAATCGAATTTCTTGATCAATCGGTGATTTCCTCCTCGATCGACCGGTCGAATCGCCATCTTCGACCGTCAGAATTTGCTCTTTAGCAGCAGCGGCCTCCTGTTCATCCATTTCGGGAGTGGAAACGAATGGTCACTCCATAAAGAGAGCCAAAAAAAGGGGTTTCTATGGCAACGGCGACATCGGGAGTGACCGCAAGACCCGTGAAAGCACGGAAGCAACGAGTAGAGGGACTGCGGGGGTTTGATGTTCGGATTGTAGACGTAGCGTGCCCTATTTTGCTTTTATATCAAGCTCAATATACGTAATTAGTATACAAAACTTTGACATAGCGTGGTTTTGTTGACAAAGTTTGTCTGGACAAAATCAATAAATAATTCGTCGACCATCTTATAATACACAAATCCATCGAATAACTTTGGAAAAAGCATCAGAATTCCTTATTTTATCAGCTGTAATCTACAATTACGAAGTACGGAGCCAATGTAAAACATTTATTTTAGGATAAAAGTAAGTAACATTTTGTTTGTTTTATTATTCCTCGATGAAAATCCCGAATTATACAAAAAGAAAATAAAAAATAAAGATTATTACATCAGATCTCCGTTTTTCTTCTTCAGATCCCCCAGGACTTCTTCCGCGTTCACTCCCAGGGTCTCACCGGCATGTAGGATCTCCAGAAGTTGCTCTTCGATCGCCCGGATTACTGTAACATCAATTTTGAAAAGCTTTTTATGTTGTGCTAGATTTTAAAAGGACTCACATAAAAGGTCAAAAATACTTAATACAATGTAAAGTGAACCTTCAAATGACTACTCACCCTGATCTTTGTTGTATTCAGCAGCAATCGACCGTTTCATTGGCTGCCAAGCGACCATTCTCTTCATGGGTTGGAAGGCCAGGGCGCGAGTCGCCCTCGGATTCATGATCTGATTTCCCTCAATAAGAGACCCCTGAAGGGGCGATCGCCGTTGCAAGAGGGCCTTTTCCAGTAATTGGATATGCTTTTCCATTGCGTCAATCTTTTTCTGAAGATCTTCACCAGCTGGGGCGGCTGAAATTTTATTTTTTATTAATTATTTTATATACAGGGTGTTCCGAGAATTGTGGAAAAAACTATTCATTAATAACTTTGCGCTCGGTGGTCCAATCCGAAAATTTTTTTTTGCATTTTACAGAAAAGCCTTGGAGTTTTTCGAATCAAAAAAAATTTTTTCTTTTATCGGCGGAGACTTCCGTAATCCGCCTTGAATTCGGCGGAGTGTTTTTTTCCAAAAATGAAGCTGTAAATCGATGTATGTGGAAAGAAAATGAGCGGAAAAAGATCCATAGGATGCAATATGACATTTATTTCAAATTTTCGTGATTTGGCGGAGACATTTTTTAACCTCGGCGGACGATTTTTCTTCGACTTCGGAGAGTCAAAATTGGCTAAAACAAAAGCGTATGGTTTCCCTGGTGGCATGGCGCTTAAATAAGACTTATTACGTCCTCGGCTGACTGGCAGATGAAAAAACGGCAATTCGGCGGAGAAATCGGCGTAGAGAAAATGAACCTTATTAAGAAGTTATGATGAGAAAACTAAAATTCTAGGTCTTATACGGCCCTGATCAACCAAAAAATATGATTCTTCTTATCGACGAATGATCGGCGGATAATTTTCATAATTAAACAAATGGGTTAATTTTTTTCTCCGCCGATTTCTCCGCCAAATTGTCGTTTCTTCATCTGCCAGTCAGCCGAGGACGTAATAAGTCTTATTTAAGCGCCATGCCACCAGGGAAACCATACGCTTTTGTTTTAGCCAATTTTGACTCTCCGAAGTCGAAGAAAAATCGTCCGCCGAGGTTAAAAAATGTCTCCGCCAAATCACGAAATTTTGAAATAAATGTCATATTGCATCCACTGCATCTTTTTCCGCTCATTTTCTTTCCACATACATCGACTTACAGCCTCATTTTTGGAAAAAAACACTCCGCCGAATTCAAGGCGGATTACGGAAGTCTCCGCAGATAAAAAAAAAATTTTTTTTTGATTCGAAAAACTCCAAGGCTTCTCTGTAAAATGCAAAAAAAATTTTTCGGATTGGACCACCGAGCGCAAAGTTATTAATGAATAGTTTTTTCCACAATTCTCGGAACACCCTGTATTATCCATCAAAAAAGCTTTAATTAAAACTTGAGCCTGACCCAACCGTAGTCGACTATTTTCTTACGTACCTAAAACAACTCCGAGGACGACACCGAACACAAGAAGAACTGACTTCATCGTTCTCTCAGCTAAACCCACAATCTGAAGAGGATGACTAAAACAAGGTGAACTTAAGTCTACAACGCGCCAAATAGTATACGCCAAATTCTCGAAAATTCCTCTAAGAGCCTTGTGGTCATTCTCAATGTTATATAAAACGTTTCAACCGCGAATTATTTGCATATTACACTTGATCAGCCCTAGTGTAATATAAAAAAAAATTGCCATCGTGTGAAACTCGGTTAGAACCTCAGTGGGTTCTAATCGAGTTGATTCCGGTTTTATAAAAGAATACAATGGGCACAAAAAATCATTTCAAATGAGCCGGATGTGACCCTCAACCATGACTGGTCGATTGCGTAACAATTTTTAAATCAAATCGAATAATCGAAAGGGAGAAAGAAATTTTTATTTTTGAGACTATCAGCTCTTATCAGTCCCGATTACGCAACCACAATTACCCCAATTTAAAAATCGTATTTTAGGCGAATAATCGGCTTAAAATTTGCGGACGATTAAGGGATTACCCTGGAGAAAAAACGTCACTTTTACATCTAAATTTACAGCTTCCTTACTTGGAATTGGAGGTCGATCCTACTCCTACACTCGCAATGGAAGTAAATAAGGGTTATTTCCAGCTTAAAATCGTTGAGGTCACTTCAAACTACAGTATGCTCAGCGGTGAGACAAAGATTTTTAGAAAGCCCTGAAGGCATTTATATTGATGTTTTATTTTCCAGTAAAAATGTAAATGAATTTTGCAACGAAGATGTTCCCCGAAGTCATAGAGCATTAACCCCCTCAATTCGAAGATCTCGGAATTCGAATAAAAAGAACACCTACTTCAATATAAAATAAAAAAATGCAGAGATTCCCTGGGGCAAAGAAAGTCTTCAAGTAATAAACAGATAACTTCTCCGATAGTTGTGTAAATTACCGTGTAAATTTACATAAATTATTCATGAAGCAGAAAGATGGAGAGATATTATTCGTAAAACAGTGGCAAAAGAATAGAGAGGACGAGTGAAAAATTATGACTGGCCAGTTCAGTTTATGCTACGAAACGGTCACAGACTTCCCTTCTTTCGTAATACCAAAAACCCTTCTTTCGTAAATACCAAAAAAAATTTGGTCTTTATGATACCAAGCTTTACCATGAATAATACAAAAAATATTTAAATCTCTGAACTTAATTATGTCACTGTCTAGGAATTCCATCCTCAGCCCAAAATAGAGGTCAAAATGTGTTTGGAATCTCCGTAGTTACAAAAAGAACAATCCTAGACGCCTTTGGACCCAAGACAAAGCATTTGTTTAGAATTCAGGGAGCGTAAGTGAAAGATGGGTAAGATCCCAGCCTATAACTCAGCAGTTACTCGTTCTCTAAGGTCTGGAGTCTCATTTTGTGATCCTTGGTTTGTCACGTTGGTACAGCGATGACTTCAAAAATTCGAAAAATTTACGCCTTTGAAACAACTTTGGCATTGTGTTTCAATGGCTATTATCGAGGTCACAGTAATCTGAATGAAATAAACAATAATTAAAAGGGTCTTGGAATGTCTGACAGCTATCGTTTGGGTATAGTTTTTATATTACACATGACGATCTTTGGAGTCGAGACGAAAAATTTACGTATTTTGGCCGAAATTTTCCTAATAAATCGTGGGTAAAACACTTAGACTCCCTTTAAAACTACCCTATCTATCACATACACTACCCCCGCTCGAAAGTTCCGACAATTCCCGCACAGTGCAAAAGTTCGGGTTTTTGACATCACGCGCGCAAATTCGACTTTGTCGCGCGCAAAAGTGCACGTGGTTGCAAAAGTGGAAAATTGCGGCGGCAAACACGAACGACAGAGAAAGATGCACAGTGCAGATGAGAAATGAATGAAAAATGCACAGTGCCCGGAATTGTCCCAACTTTTGAGCGCGAGTAAGTACACGACGTCTCGTCTGCAAATGACATGGCGTTATTACGGATTTTTATGTATACAAAAAATGACATTACTTTTATACACAGTACAAAACATCCGAACAAATTTCGCACGCCAAAAGGTGTGTGTGCCGATAATCGACAAAAATATTTGCTCGGAAACGGTTTAAAATAATTGTAAACGTCTTGAAATAAAGTGTAAGAAACTGCTTAAACCAAAAATCTTTCCCCCGATGACAGCGCCGCCCTTAATACGATTATCTTGGAGAATAATCAGCCAAAAAGCGAGGATGGTATGCAAATGTAGATGTAAATTTTGGTCCAATCTTACACAACTTTTAGCAAATGTCAAGAAAAGAAGCCGCCGAGCTTTCCTGGGTGTAATCGAGGCCTAATTCTCCCTGAATGGGACCGCTTCTATGAGTAACGAGGGCATTGTAAATACTTCTTCCTGGAAACACTACTGTTACAATTTTAAGTAAAATAGGTTGATTACATCGCTTGCACGTAAATGCGGCCAAAATAAAATGAAACGGATCACAAAAATAAGCATGAAATTTTCGGAGAAATGGGTGTTTTCCAATTACACTATGCAGAAAATTACGATAGATTTTAACGGTAAGATTTTTTTGACTCAAAATTTTCATTTTTTACTCTGCGTATAGCTGACGGACACAAAGAAAAATGCTGCAGAAGGTGCCTACAAGGCTTGGCGGAGTTGTTGGAAGAACGCTCGGCGAAGGCTCGGCGGAGACTTGGCGGATCACAGATTAGTTTGGGACCTGATATCTCTGTTATTATCTGTTTTAATTAAACCTTTTCCTATCCTTCACCATGCATACATGGCGAATTGAGGCACCCCAAAGCATCATAGCTTACCCAGAGGCGGATTGAAATTTTTTGGTAAAAAATCAGACCTCCCCGTTGGATACGAACTGCCCTAACGCCCTCCAGATCTACAAAAATTTTTTGCGGATCTTTTCGGCACCTGCAAATGTTCCCTCATGGAATTGGAAGAGAAACGGCCAAAAAACTTTTTCCTCTGACCGTCTCTCTTCATTTTCCATGGTCTCTCTTCGGAAGCTGAATATCGCGGCCTCCTTTCGAAAAAAACCCGAAAACTTTTAGGTACTGATCTATGCCCAAGAATATCTTTCTCCACATTATTTTCCCTCCACTAGCCTCAACAAATACCGCCGTAAAAGTAGAACCAAGTGTTTCCAAACTGGACGATTATATCTCATCTTTTATCCCCCTTTCTCAAACAATGGTGTATATAATCCTTTAATACCGGTGTAACACTACTCGTTACCTACACCCCGATGTGATTCCATCATCTCTTTACTCTTCTTTTTGTTATCTCTGACGCAATTCCCGCAATCAGCGACATTGAGGTGAGGAATTTGTGACGCTCTTGGAAAGCAATAAAACCGAAAAGTACTGTAAACATTAAAAATAGGAACTCATTTAACGACTATTGTGATTACCCTTGCTGAAAGAGGCTGTAAACGAATCTAAATGGACGTCTGGATTCACATTTAGAGATCAGACTTGTGGACTTTTTGAATGATGATTGTATTTGTTTTCAAATTGCGTTAAGAAGGACAAAAGAAGAGCGAAACAAAGAGAAATAACACTGCCACTCATACTCACTTATTGGAATAGTAAAAGACGTGGGTGAGGTGATTAAACTAAGGGTAATCTCAGGATTACTGGACAAAGGAAATCAAATTAAGCCAACCGTCCAGAAACCACAAGAGGTGGATTCGGGGAACTCGTTCGGATGTCATTGATACCCTTCGTGAAAAAGTTTAAAACAGTATGAACTGGAAGCGTAGATTTTTTAAAGTTGTGATTTTGAAAAAAAGTGTAAATCCTGATGTAAGACTGTTAGAAAAACACCCTTTTAAACCATTTTCAGCATTACACTTTTAAAAAATCTACACTTATACATTTCCATTAAATTTGAAAATAATCAACGCTTCTTATTTCGCAAACCTTACCATTATGGAAACGGAAATTAGAGGTATTTTTGTTTAATTTCAAATTGACTTCTTTATTTAATCTCGATAAGAAATTAAATAATATAGTAGCCCTTCATAGCCCATCGTTTCATATCATTCAGACCATTTCCTTCGGACTGAACCCATTTTTTATCCGAGACTATCTATTATGGCGATACAAAAAAATATTAAAAATATCATCCAAGCGACCACAATAAATGATGGCAGCGGTCAACTAAGTCCCATAAAGTTGTATATGATGAGCATAAAGTATCATCGGCCTCATTAATTATAAGCGGAACTAAAGAGCGGGCGAGCCATTCATAATAAGGACTCCTATGTACACGCAAAGAGACACTCCCAAAACGATGATTAATACTCTGGAAAGGAGCTGCTTATCAGACAATGGCATGTCCACCATTTGCATTCCAAAAATTGTTGTTTTAGGGAGGTGAATCCGACGCCCCCGAGACAGTTTGCACAATAATATAACTAAATGACCTTTGCACTCAAATCAATCAACTCCTTGGCCATCGCAAAACACTTCGTGGCCTTTTTTTCAAAACAAAACCTTGAGATTAGTATTACAACTTTATTTTGATAGAATTTTAACGAATCTCCTAATCGCTCTATGATCATATAAACCATGGATGTAACAACGACACATAACTTAGAATACCTCGATTAAATTCACTGGGAAAGAAGAGTAACAGGGATATAAGGGCTCTTGTATTGTAAGAGTAGTTGTTAAATAGTATAGAAAGAAAGGTCTACAGTGAGATTTGAAAACAAATCAACGGGAAGTTCGGGGAAGGTGAGGAAAAGCGAAAATAAAGGCCTAACAAGACGAAAGGGGCTATATAAAGAGGACACTCGAGCAGAGAAAGGATACCAGGAATATGAATTGACTACTCCAATCAGCCATTTACAACTTCAAAACTCCATCGACCACATATTTTGTTGAATGGGCTCTCATTAAGGGTTATGGAGAAGGTCGGGGCAGTGTGAGGGATGGGGGACTGGCTTCTAGAATATCGGATATTAGCATTTTACACTTAAATGGGCCCGATTCTGTTCTTTATATTTTGTTTTAAGTTCTGCGAAAGGTAAAAGAAAGGGAAGTGTTCAAAGAAGAGATCGTCTCCACGTCATCCTAAACATCATCTTGAGGAAAAAACTACAACTTTGGAAGAACCGTACTGGCGTCCCTTTATTTTCAATTTTAACTCATTTCAACTCACCTTTACAAACGTTGATCTGGATGTCCTAATTCTGGGTCAACACTTCATTCTGACCGTAGATTCCTCTTCCTGGGGCCAACGGAGTGTTCGGACTGACCGAGACAAATCTCTGGACGGGTGAAAAGACGGGAGTTCGGTCGATGGAATGCTCTCTCGGCCCATTCAGAGTGTATCGGCCATCAAAGTTGGTGGGCCGGGGTCTCGAATTGATGGAGATGTCATTCATCCGATTTATCAGAACATTGTCCGTCTGATTACTGTAGTTGAACTTGGGATAGGGGTCATTCCTTGGAGTGTAATATATGGAGTCATCGTATTCTCTGGGCCTATGACGGACTACTGAGTGAGCAGACTGGGGAGTGTGATGACCGTAATCCGAGTTGTGAAAGCCTCTTCCATAATCTCCATACTCCTTTACAGTCACGTTCACCTTGAATGGTGCCTCTCCTCTGTGAATGGGACTTCTAGGACTTCGCGGTTGAACCATTGCCCGAGGGCTTCTGGGAGACATCTGGGCGGTCTGATAACTATCATCAAAGTCAAAGCGGTCTTTCATTTTAATGTTTAGTTCCTCCAGGTTATCCGAGAGTGCTGGCATCGTTGATGATTTGGAACAGTAGGCCGAATCGGAATGAGAGCATCTCTCAAACGAAGAATTACCGGTCGAAGACTGTGATTGGGGGGATGAGGACGATCCCAACGACGCCATCTCTCTCTTCTGATCCTCAAAACAATTGGAACAAAGGAAAGTCGTGGACAGGGAAGCAGTGTGCTGCAAAACAAAGCCATTTAAAAATTCAAAATACTCCCAGATTAGACAATAAAACAGGAAAATAAGTTATCAAAACACGCTTTCGAGACTTCTACGGTATAAAACTCATATTACACTTCCAATAAACTCACTCTTTTACAGTTGAGGCAGCTCAAATGGACGGAGGAAGATGAAAAAGACCTGCTGAGTCTGTTCTTGGGGATGGAAACACTCGAGGGCACCTTCTGATACCTCTCGTATCTCTCTCTAACACCCACCAAATAGTTCTCGAACATCTTTTCGATATATTGATGGGAGTAATTATGCAATAAAACAGCCAGCACACAATTGGATTGACGGAGTTCTGTAGCTGAGAATCTTGCCTTGGACGACTTCCTCTTCGATTTCCTTGTCAACCATCGGAAATGCTGTCTTAATTCGTTGAAGAAACGATGACGATGGCTGTCATTCTTGCCCGAGGCTATGGCCATTAATTTTAGAGGGACTGAAGGAGCAAATTCGGTTTCTCCAACGAAAGGAAGCGACTTCTTGATGCTTCCTCTTCTCAAATCCATCTTCACAATATCCATATAAGTACCCATCAGTTCCAACATACGATCGTCCGACTGTTCGGCCTCCAATTTCATGGCAATCTCCTGATCTTTCCCATCTCTCCACCTAAACCAACATAAAACATAAAAAAATATAATTACCAAGTAAATTCCGGGCCTGGATCAGCCGAGAAATGAACTGGCAGCAAATTCCGGAATCTATCGATGATGGGGACCGCTGAAAAAAATAAATTAAATTAACAAAAGAACATATAAAAAAATTAAGCGACCTAAGCAATCATTTACTTTGCAGGTAGTTTGAATTAGATTGTCGCATTGCCACCAGCGCCGAGAAATGGGAAGCATCATAACACAAAACCAGAGGCCCTCTGAAGATCACATGGATAAGGTCATCAAGTACAATATAAACACAAATAGAGCTGTTCTCACCTATGACATTGATCCGGGCTGAACTCTAAGGGCAAATAAACACCACCGAAAGGAATAGGAGCCAATTCTTCTCCATTCGCATTCCTCAAAACCGTGTCCGCAACCACAATAATTGGCCGCCTCAGGACTTGAGCCAAAGCGAAGACGTGGATCGCCTCCAAACTCTCATAAACTTGCTCATTGGAGTTATTGCCATCAACATCACTAAAACCAAATATTAAAACACCAATTTTAACTCCCGTTTGACCAATTTCATATCTTATACTACCTAAAGACGGAATAAAATAGTAAAATACTTACGTATTTGGCCGAGGAGTGGCTGAAGCAAGATCAATCACACTCTTCCACTCCTTCTCCCACTCATCTTCGTTGAGAACAAGTTCAGATTGAAGGTTCGTCTTGCTCTCATGCCATCTCCATCTTCGATAAAAAGAATTTCTTCGGTTATCTTGAGTGAGGACATCATATAAAGCCTGACGAAGATTCAGTTGACGGTCATGGATTCCCCAGATACCTATAATACAAAGTACATCATAAAACATCAAAATTTATATTAATTTTTGCATGTCCTTACCCAAGGAAGCTGCGTGTAAAAGACAGTTTCCATCTCCGGTAGTCACAAGAGGCCATAATCGTTGACTTGCATTCTGTAAACACCACCAGTTCAGATGTCCGGAGGCTTCTAATCTCTTCAGAGTATGGATCTCAATCATTTCTTTCTCCAAAAATCGACGGAAATCATCTGGAAACTGGTCGAAATTGGGGAGAATAAAGGCGTAGGCCGGGATTCTGAGGACTCGCCGATTCAATGTCGACGATGCCGAAGACGAATTGGGCTCCGAAGAATGGACTAAAAAGATTTTCTATCATTAAACAACCCATAGAAAGGAATAGGCCAATTTGTGAGCACCAGATCTCATAAATAATATAATTTTAGGTCGTTTTCGGATAAAACATAAACCCTTAAAAACAAAATGCAGACTAATAGCTAATTTAGAAGTGATTACCAGCTTCCCGGAGTTCTGAGTCATTTCTAATTGTGCTAAACCCAAGAAATAATGAAATAAAAGGACCTACCACAATTCTGATGGCCATTCCCAAGCGAAGTCGAAGCCATCGCCCGAAGATCTGAGTGGAATCTGAAAAATCACTTCACATCAGACATGAACGACTAATTTGCGTCGAAAATAAAACGAGGTTGTAGTCGTTTTTTCGGACAAAAAAAACGCGACAAAACAACAAAAAATATTCTCCTTCCCTTCGCTCTGAAAATATTTTTTATAAAACTCGGGGAAATGGGCCCACAAAAAATAAATGTTATATAAATATAGAACGAGCCTCGGGGAACACGACATAATTCGTTCCCGTTCCGCGAGGAATTTACGTTGAGGGATCAGATAGCCCGCGAGATAATCGATATCGCCCGAATTTACGTGGAATTTCACATCCCATGGAACGCTTGGAATGTTGGGCGAATAAAATTAGAAAATATAAAACTTCGTGTGAGAAATAAAGATTTCTTCGGCCTCGGCGTGACGTGATTCCCGTCAGCGTGACCGAATTTCTGGAATTTTGCAGTTCTGGTCCGGAAATTGATAAGCAAGTTCGAAAATGTGGAGTGAGTAAGCTATCGGGCAGGAATTTGATCAAAAAGCCCTCGTTATCTAATTTTATCAACCCTTTCTTTGATCTAGTACCTAAAACAATAAAATTATAGTGGAAATGGAGTGTAACCAGGTCCTCCCGAACTCCGAGTATAATACCTGATCTGAAAACCGATCCCAGCTCTTTTCCCACCAAATTCAAGGTCTCATTCAGTCCGCTTTCCCCATCAACTTCATTGCTTTACATTCGATGACTAAGAGCCTCGAGAGTAAGCCAAAAAACATATGGAAATGGGAGGCTGTTGACCATTTCTGGCTGCCCCAATCATTCACCCGTCAAATCCGCCCGTTTAGAGAGCTGGGGCGGCGATCGGGAGATTTATAAAACCAAAATATTTTCATGTTCTCCATCCAAATTGGAATATGTTTAAACTGGAATGCGCTTCGTTCGGATTCTGGAGAGAGGTGAATCATCGCCGCGACGTCTCTCTTCTCTCCTGCTCTAAACTTTCCGGTTGTGGCCAGTGGATCGGCCACAAAACAGCTTTCATTTTATTGTTTTAGGTCCAAAAGGATTTCAAAATTTAATTTGAATTATCGGAATGGACAAAAATCATAGAAAATAATCAAAATATTGCTCGTTTCGCAATACCATTCGTTCCGTAACGTAAGCTGACCCCTGAACTTTATTTCCTTTTTCGGTCATTACCTGGTATAATATAACAAAATATAAACCCTTTGTTATACCGATCTCCATTCGAAACGAACAGAAAGGGAAAGCAATTAGAGCGCTCCATAAATCAAAGACCATCTCGGAAATAAATTACAAGTAACTACAATATATTCCGTTACAATTTTGATTACTTTTACTCGAAACGGAGGATCCTTTCTTGATTTATGGATCTCTAATTACTTTTACCGCCTTACTGTTACTCTGAGATCGAAAAGAGCGACGATGACGTCAATCGGGTATTGAACGCTCATATAATATATTATGGTAGGAGTAGAAACTAAAAGTGATTTAAATGGTTTTCTTGAGCTATTTAACTAAAAATTTCCCTAACAATTTTATGACGAATTTTATTTCCACGCAACATCCCCCAAATAACAACAGAAAAAATCCGTTCCGACTCGATGTTACATATGAAAGGACCTGGACCTAAAGTTATATAAAAATAAGAAGAAAAGGAACAGTGGGAGATCGGGGAGAGAGGACAATGGACTCACCAAAGTATTCCTCTGATTCACACTCAAATTCGTTTTATTTTAGGAATATGACTAAGACATCTGATATTTATTGTACATATGTAATTAAGACCGTACTAGATGTACCTTGCAACCTTCTTTCCATGTCTCATCGGATTTCCATCTTGCTGCTCCTGAATATATTCTTCTTCTTCCTCCTTTGTCATATCTTGGGCCAATTTGCAAAACCGGATGCCATCATCGATACAAAACGACAAGAGCTCTCATGATGGAATGATGAACTGTTCATTGGACAAGCACCACTTGTTCTGAGGGATGTACCCCCAAGTTCTTCGCCAAGTTGAATTCATTCATACAATCATTCATACGAATTGATGCAAATTATTATATTTTAATACTTGGGACTTTCATAGATTGCATCAGAGTGAGATAGTTTCTCACAATTTTTTAATCTTTGATCACAAAGGTTACTGTAATTCCAAAGAAATCAGTTTTCAAGGTTTGAATTGCACGTTTATTTTATTTTTATCTCTCAAATCACCACAGGTCTACTTGAAGACCTCATAGATGGGTTCGTATGTGTAGTCATCATTTCTTCGGTTATTGTATCGGCTTCCCTTGTTATAGGATGGATAACGGTAGTTGTCGCGGCGATAAGGACGTTCGTAACTGCCCTCTTCGATCTCATAGATGGGCACTGTCTCATAACTGTCGCGTCTACGACGGTAAGAGAAAGCAATTCCGGCTAAAATTATAATGTTTACAAATTATATTGTACAAGACAAAAACGAGTTTAATATTAAGCAGATGACAACATTAACTACAATCTTGATCTTACCCAAGCAAAAAATGAGGAAGAGAGTCAAAAAGGACTTCATGTTGAACAATGACAAGAGAACTCGTCTTCAAACATGGACTATATAGCAGAATTTGTAATCAAATTATCGTATTTGGTAATTATTTTGATTTGTAATATAATAATTCTATTATAAACTTAAAGTATTAATGTTGGAAAATCAACAAATTAAATTTATTTCTTGTTGATATAAGGGTAGGAGATCAAGGAGTTTTTACTTTTATACCGTCAAAGATGACGTATACAAAGGTAATGGTACTTTTGGTGCTTGCCATGGGCATGATAAGTGGTAAGGTTCATAAAATACTCAGTAATTGGTGTTCTAAGATGAATGACTTTTGCTCCTTCAACTATTTGGAGTCCTTTTTTTACAACAATTTTTTGTCGTGGATTGCTAATCACCAGCATGATGACTAAAATTTCAGAGACAATGGCAGAAAAGAGAAGAGACGTATACGGCCATACAAAATGGGATCGCCGTTGGAATATAGCCGGAAGGATATTGCAGAACACCCTGCCCATTTGGCTGGCGAATAGATATCAACAACGAGGGTACCCTCCAATGAGTGGGTACCCCCAAGGAGGCATGGATCCTGGAATGGGAATGGGAATGCAAGGGGGAATGGGAATGAATGGAGGAATGGATCCGGGAATGGGGATGCAAGGCGGCATGGGCGGGGGAATGGGTATGGGCGGAGGAATGGGCATGGGCATGCCAATGAACGCAGGAATGGGAATGCAAGGGGGGATGATGGGAAGATGACTTCAAAAGTAATTGTACTATGCAAGAGCGTTTAATTAATAAAAAGAAAGTCTTAAACCTTGATTATGGAAAATGATACGTTGATCAACTAAAGTCTACATATTTTTATGCATCTAAATCCATAAAAATTACTGTAATTAATAAAATCCTTCATAATTGCTCAAATCGACACTTGTCGCTGACTGGAAGTGCTGGTGCGGCACATGCCACATGACTTTTGATTATTATTATAGATCAGCCTCATGGTCTTTCAATTTTAATTGTGATATTTTAATAATAACCCACTAGAATTGGAAAGGGCTTATTTTGTGAAAGCTTTCCATAAATCGTGAAGACCACGCGTTTATGGGCCAAACAGAGTAAATTGGTTTAATTGTGTCATTGTTTTTTAATGATTATGATTAATCGGATAATCCAATCATAAAACTGTTTATTTAAACGATGAATACGTCTTGCCATCCAAACCTCCCTCTAAAATGACGGCCAGCAAACTGTTGATTGCGTTGATGGTAGTATGTCTGATCGGCGGTAAGAAAGTGTTGTTAGTGTATAACGGTAATGATGGTTACTTTCAGATGCCCTATGCCAACAAAGAGACATGTATGGAAGAACAAGATTCCAGAGGGGCAAACGGATCCTTAAAGATATCATTCTAAACTCGATCCCAATCATTCTAAATGGGCCCCGACCTCCAACTGGATACTACCCTCAGGGCGGTTACGGTCAACCAATGATGAACCCAGGCATGGGGATGATGGATCCAGTGATGGGAATGGATCCGGGGATGGGGATGGGAATGAACGGAGGAATGGGAAATGGAATGGGCATGGGCATGCCGATGGGGTGAGGGGATGGACAACTCGATGTAACTCTTGACTGCTGATAAATAAACAAAACTTATTTGAATTACTTAGTTTTTATTCAAAAAGAAATAATCGTCTGTAATGATTCCTTCGTCAAAAGCAAGACAAACCCATTATGGTCAAATTTCACCGAACGGTCATATCAAAAATATGTACGGTACCAGATGGATTCATCTGCAGAATTGTCAAACACGACACAACAAATAATTTCTAGCAATAAAGCGTTCCAAAAGTTGGTTTTATAATCCAGACGAATCGACCACAGACTGTCAATTTTTGTCTTAATCGCAGCAAACAAATTCATTGATTTATGGATAAATCAATGGAGTAAATAATTAAATAAATCAATTACAATACGATTGACACAATAAATATATAGCAAGCAAACGATTAAGTCATCGTATTTTAGACATGAAGTTGTTCTTTCTGGTGGTTTTACTGTGCCTCGTACAAGGTAAATATTTGTGAGATGCACGTCGTTAATTTGAGCAATGTCTTACTTGGCTTTTAGGAAGCTTGGCTGGCACCAGAGGAAGAAGAAGAGTTGGAGTTAGAGTTGGAGGTGGGGGTGGAGGTAGAGGTGGAGGTGGAAGTCGTTGGCCGGAGATACTTATAGACGTACTTGGTCAAGTTCAGTTCAATCCAATGGCCATAGTCACCGGAGGTGCCCAACAAGTTCACCCCTCTCAATTGGGATACCCGATGGGTGTTCATCCGCAGAATATACAGCTAATGCAACAACAAGGCGGATATCCGATGAACCCACCCATGCAACCTGGATAAGGGGAAATCATAATTCAGCATCTATAAAGTAAAAAAAATACAAGCCAAGGTTAATTTAAATCATATAATTTATGAGGTAATGTCGTTTAGGCAAATAAGATAAGCAATTTCTAAACTGAGGTATTTAGTCCCTGAAGTGGAGGTGATTCCTTCTCGGGATTTGGGATGTAGCTTCTAAAATGGTACAAAATACAGTACAGCATTAGTCACCTACACTACGGGATATCTCTTGGCGATGAATTCTTTTTGTTTCTCTCTCCCTTTCATGATGTACGCAGTAAAAATAAAACTGATGGCCAACATTATGGCCACCGTACTCAGGATTCCACACATCCATTTTAGGGCATACTCTTCGGATCTGGCTGAAAATACAGTAAGCTTTAGTTGGTAACAGCAATCCGCAAAGCTTTTCCGGTTTGTAGGAAGTTACAGTAACCCAGACAGTTATCTGAAGACTTACATCGACACCAAACCCACCAACCGGGTGACCAGGATCCGTTTATACAAGTTCTCTGGGCATCTCCATGCAAAAAATACTCGGGCTTACATGCAAATGTTACAGTAACCCCATCCAAATAATTGTTTCCGGCCGGGAATTTGATTACTCCGGGATTCTTGACCAATGGACCGCAGCTGGCCCCTGTAAGTTTAAAATATATTACACTAGGCAAAAATTCAGAAAAAAGTATAGGGTTACAGTAAGACTCACGTCGATTCTCCCCTCTTTCCTTCAGTTTCTCAAATTTTCTCTCAAAATCTAGAGTATCCAACCCAAATTCTCTGCGTCCCAACATCAAATAATCCGACTCACAAGATGGCTGAGATTGACAATCCACCTTTAAAAGCAAAGTTAGTTTAATATAATCATTGATATAGAAGCATGAGTTAACTTACCTTGACTTCCTCCCGACTGAATACAAACTCCTCATAAGAATGGTTGTTATATCTCCAGGGATCGAAGATCGGTTCATAGATCTGATTGGCGAAGCTGAGTGGGTCGTAGATGGGGGAAATGTCACTCTGGAATAGCTTGTGGACATTCAGATTGCGGTCCAATCTCCCTAAAATAGCATTCAAAAAATTTATGTCATCATTTTTTTATTTACAATGTTAATTAAAGTCTAACAAGGAAAGTACTTTTATGGGGGCTCCTACTTTTTGACGCGACATATCTCAAAAAATCAGAAAAAATGTGCTGATCAAGGATATATAAATCTTAGCTGCCCATTTTAGGTTTTTAGGGGTGAAAACTTAATCGGAAGTTGACTTAAAGTCCTATATGAACCCCTTTTCGCTTAATTTTTCACAGGTTTACAATTTTTATTTTGCCTTAAAATTATGTTTAATGAGTTTCTAAGACGTAATAAATCAGTCTTGGCCCAAAAATTTATTTTTCCGACCTTCAACTTCAAAAAAAGTTGATTCAGCCCAAAAGGGAAATCGAACCCGTGCGGCGTTCCCCCTCATGATTCCCAGGCTACGGCACTAACCACTCGGCCAAACCGCTCTCTTCCGAAGGAAGAGACCGACTGCGCTTTTTATCGTTTCGAATGCCTGCGCCTTTTGTAGGGAAATTAAGCCAATTTTTGGGCATTTTCACCCCTAAAAACCCAAAATGGGCAGCTAAGATTTATATATCCTTGATCAGCACATTTTTTCTGATTTTTTGAGATATGTCCCGTCAAAAAGTGGGAGCCCCCATAAAAGTACTTTCCTTGTAAGATATGGTAAAAACGCTTACATCTCTCTCCAAACCGATAATAAATTTTTCTGGAGTCATCCTCCGTCTGGGGATATTGAGTCGGGATCACATCGCAATCAGGGGCCGTCAATTCATCCCTCGAATCTCCGTTATAAGTTCCCAATAATCCCAGAGTTCGATAATGGGTAGAGCATTTGTTAAAAGAATTGTAGAGGATTGGGACTGGAGTGGTCGTCCGAAGATTAAAGACCGAGGCAAACGACCACGAAGTCTCTTGTCTGAAGGGATCTTCGATAAAATCGTCGTGGTAAAAGAGATTTGTGCGGTAATAATCTCGATGGAAATGACGCTAAAACATGATTAAAAACCCATCAAGTTTAATCAAAGACTTACAGCGCTGATCTCCTTGTAATTTTCTGGCAGAGATATGAGCACATTCAAGATTCCGCGGCTTTCGATTACTCTAATCCCAACTCCAGTTGTAAACATTATATCGATCTCACTTTGATTCATATTCCTCGGTGGATTTCTTAATGTCACACCTAAAGAAGTCGAGAATAATCGTTTTATTTTTACCCTGGAAAGTCTGAATTTTCTTCCAAGGCATATCAAAATAGACTCGGTATCCATCCACATAAATATCCGTTTTATATCTCCATCTTCGGAAATCCTTGCGGGCATAGATTTGGACCACTGAACTTTGGTTATCTCGGGCAGCAAGACCCGTTAAAACGGTTGATCTGACCTCCGACTCCCCTAAAGCGATATTATTTTAGTTCGAGATAGTATAAGTAAAGTAGTTTTGTCTTGGCATCGTAAAATGAAAAAAGGCTTACATATAGTCTTTGGAGGCTGTTCCAGTCTTCCTTGAATCATCAGGTCATGTGCCGGGCTCTTCATCATACTCAAAATATAGTATCCTTTCCCATGGAATGTATATCTGGTCCCATCGTAAGTGCTGATATGATTTCCCCCATAAATCGATGCTACATTCGCATTACATACTTTCAGGTTTTCTTACCCAAAGTTGGAGCTTTATACATTTGACAAGTGGAAGTTTGCCTTCTCCAAAAATAGAATTCACAATGTCCCGCCCATTTACAACAATAATCATAAGGAAGAAGATCGTTGTATAAATTGGATAAAGTGGGAACATAAGGGGGTCTTTTGTAGGGGAAAGCGCCCCAAGGGTGAGCTCTGAACGACTTATATTACAATTTTTATATTAATTTACCTATACGGAACACCTGCAGAGTAAAAGCGAAGATACTGGTCGTTGTATTCAAAGTCATCCGAGAACATCAACCACCCATTGTAATCGTAACAGCACACTTGACCAGCTCCAGTCCAGCTAAAATTAGTTCAAATTTTAGATTATCAAAATAAAAGCTATAGGATGACCGTAATATGAAAAAATTACTGAAACTTACACGGAGAATGTGCTCAGAACGCAATGTTTGGCTCCTTGATGGTAGTAACAACGATGATCTCCTTCTTGATCGCACTCAGGCAATGCCGTGAATCTTCCAATGTCAGTTACAGCTTGATCCAAAGTGCAAGGACAGGGTACTGTAACATTACATTAAAAAAGCCATGTAATGTGCAAAATGATAAGATTAAATGCAAGGTGACTTAAAAAGCTGTTTTCTTACTCTTTGGTTCTAATTCCATGACAAAATTCTCCCTGCGGCCATCATAATCGTACCATTCCTGACACAAATGCATGGCCCAATCCATCCCATAATGATATTCCCATTGTTCTTTGAAGAACCAGCCAAAAGAGACGGGAGAAGACCAATATAATCCATCTCCTCGATCGTTCTGCCAACTTTCACTCACTCGGACTTGGATTAAGCCACCGTGATAAAATCTGAAGGCCTGGGGATCTCCTTCGAGGTCCTTTCTGGAACAAAATGCATTCATTTTGGATATTTAAAAGTCGATTTAAGTCTTACATTTATTAAAATTCACAGTTTGAACTAAAAAAGTTATGATACATTAAAAACGACTTTCATCAAAGAACTAATGTTATACTTGCTAACGCATTACAAAACTTTTTTTAAAGATCTTACTTTAGAGTTTGTGGGTCGAATGTAAGAGTCCCTAGATTAGCCGTCCTCCTCGCAATATACCCGACTTGTTTGAGGCTGTGACCTTCCACATCCTCCCAATATCCATATAAAACAACATCAATTTCGGCATTATAATTGGCCGTTATATTCTCATGTTCCCAGGTTAATGTCAGATTCCTAGCATCGAACGCATTCCAATTATTCCGGGGTTCTCTGGCATCGTTCACAAGGTTGACTCGACGTCGAGAAAGGCCTGGTTGTACTATAATATTTTTTGGGTTACTGTAGGAAAACATTTTTTGATTTCTTACAGACATAAAATTTGTTCCACCAAGGATAGTTCTTTCCTCCGTCGACGGACAGTCGGAGATCCACTAATCCCGTACGGAACACTTGATTTACCGGGATCACACATCTGGCGATAACCATGTCTATCTAAAACAATAAAGATAAATAACTGTCAAAATGACATAAAATTAATCACTTACCCGTTCACAATCTATCGTCAACTCATCGAATTGTAATTTAATTATATCTGTGGGTCGATAACAAGGTCCCGAGACATTCAAAGCAAACCCTCCCAGCATATTCCCATACTGTTGAGAGGTCTCCAAAGTGCCTCTACTTTCATTGCTGCATCCACCATATTGGATCTGCTCATCTACCCGAGCCACCCATCTTCCCGCAATCTGAGTTGATCCGTATTGAACTAGTTTATAAGAGTTTCCGTCAGCACTATAGGGCAGTTCAAAGTAGCCCGTTCCGTTTCCTCCATTGAACCCGACCAAAGCACTCTGTTTGCCTCCACGCCCACCGATCAGAGCACCGGCTTCGGCCGAAGAAGTCCAATTTATGTTGGCAAAGTTGAACATACAATAAGTCCGGATCTCGTCGGTCGCCACAACCATCTGGTACGTGTTTTGCTAAAATAATTACCAATCGAATACTCCATTCCGTAGAGTATTCTTTTGTAACATAAAGTTCTCCTACCCATCTCTTGGCCTGTTCGTACTGATCGATCTTAGTGATCCTTGGCGCTCCTCCATACGCCATCCTCTCCCATGTTACGATCAATGCGTAATCGGCTTTCCAACCTCTGGCACCTACCATTCCATGCCTTATATCGCTGAAGAAAACCAATGCATCAAAAATCAACTGTAATATTACGACACTTACTTTGTAATCAAATCTAAGAATTCTGGATCTTCCACTCTTCCTATCTCAGTCTTCAGCTGCCGTCCACGATAAGTACGGTAGTATCTAAAATCATCGAATTTGATATTATACTTGACAAAGGTATACTGTATCTCATTAATATACAACTCATAGTAATTCCAGTCATTACCGCGACCCTTGATAACTGTAAACGCCCAATGGCTGATTGTTTGGCTGGTTGTTGTGTTGCGGGAACCAATCGATATTCAAATTGTTGTATCCAATCAACGACGGAGGTCTGAAATATTCATTTTGATCTTCCACATGATGACAAACATAATGATATATATGGCAATCTACATACCTTTCTACAATCCTATACCAAACATTGCTGATTTTGGTGTCTCCCACATATTGTAAAACCTGATCAGCCATAAATGCAGCAATCAGAGAGGGATCTGGCTGATTCGGCCACTTGGGATTGGGAAAAGTGTATGGGGGCTGGATGAAGGAGGGATAAGAAAAGGCAACGAATCCCTCATGGAAGATCTGGAACATTTGTTTTGTGATTGTGATTTTGTTACCAGTAACTTACAAAAGTGTAATTAAATCGATGTCCATAATAGGGAAGGAAAAAGTCAAGATCAATTTGTTTATCCATTCCATGCCGGCTGTTCAAGGGATTATCGAAATACCTCTCACCAAAAGGATAAAGATGCCACCATCCTGAATGGGAGGTGTATTAAGTGTAATATGAACCAATTAAAACTACAAATTTTTTACCCTCTTCGCTCCGACGATCCACCTGAGTCCAGTCGATATTGCGAAGATGTTGGTAAGTGATTCTGGGTGATTGATTCATCATAAATCCCTGTTCGTTTCTGATTGTGGATATCCCCGGTTGTTGGGCATTCGTGGCTGTGTTCATAAACACCAAATTGGTGGGATTCAAAGGATTGGGAGATGATTGTAGACCAGCTCGGCCAACATCCAACTGGATTCCTCGTTGTCCATCTTCTTTCCGATTATAAATCTGATTTGTTTGGCCAATTGTTTGAGAATAAACATCGAGATGTAGAGAAAATAAGAGGAATAAAAGATCGATCATCATAACATGGTTAACAATGGAATGAAGGTCGAAAGACCGGCGGAATGACCATTATCTTCCACAAAGTTTCTATAGTAACGGTTACAATAGCGGGGTGTGAAAGGCTCTATATTATAGTAATCATCCCCGTCCAAGGTCACATCGAGTAAAACAAGCCAGTCATTTTAGTGCCGCTCTTCGATTTCCGGATACGACAATTTAATGCAACCCATGATATTTGAAGACAACAGCTTTGCAAAACCGTCATCGCCGTTATCTGATAACCATCATGATGGTGATCACCTTCATCAAGTGAACAAAACCCAAGACAAAAAAATCCTTGAATTATGTAATTTCCCATGGGCCATGACATGGAGTGTTGTGCATATTCCATTATTAAGATCTGCCCCGACCGACCGGTCGTTCCAAAAATCTCATTCCGCCGTGTATTGCCTCAGGTCCCGGGGCGAAAACATTTTCGGTCAAAGTCTGGATTTCCAAACGTTTGCGAACGAAATTTATGTAAGATTTTATCTTTACTGTGAAAAAGATTTGATAAGGACCATTTACAATCCTCTTGTTATGATAATCGGGTCGTCTTTATTCTTCATCTTGCAGGTTGATCCTTTTTTGGTTTTTATATCTGGTGTTGTATAAAGTTTTTCGGCGATTAAGATTGGCCGAATAGATGTCAGATGGGTGTAAAATAATGCTAATCGAAAACAAGGAGTGTTTGTCGTTCTTCTAATCAAAATTCAGGCATTTCCGACGTTCTTCACGTCGGAATGCGGCTTCTTAGGGAGGAAATGGGGGCATTCAAACACATAGAGAAGAAGAGACCGCCAGAGCTCCAATTCCATGTAATAATAGGCAGATGGGGGACAGAGAGCGAGAGCAGGGGAAACCCGCCACTTTCTGGCGGCGAGCAGTCTCCGCCATCCAAGAGAGCGCACCCAATGCGGAGAGACGGCGATGGGGCGAGAGAGTACGGCGAAATTGGAGAGCCGGGACGCTTTTTTCTTTGGTTCTTCTGCGTTTCGCCTGGATCCGTCGGCTTTTTCTCTCTCAGTTGATAGCAGGCCAACAATTATTAGATAGAGTTTCGTCCCTTTTGTAGCTGATCCAACCACTGATTCGAGTCGATATTATTCATGGCAAGGGTCCTTCGCATCGGGTCTCTAAGACGCTTCCAGACCCCCAAGGCAGTATAAACACCTCACAAACGGAGTCTTTGAGATCTCGCAGACATTTTATTTATTTGGTCTTGTTTTTTGAGTCGATGTAAAGTTAAGTTCAAGTCTACCTGCTCTCATCACGCGGTGAAGAGTAGAAGGCTAAGTAAGAGTTTGATCGCTTTGACGTTGGTAATTCGTCATAAGAACCTTTGAGGTGTTATCAAAGAAATACTTTAGATGGTAATTCACTGTGTTATACTTTCCCTTGAGTAGTGTCTAAAAAATATTGCAAAAAATCCCGCATACGTGGATCTTATAGTCTATCGATTTTTATGCATATTTTTTGAAATTCGCGCGGTTTGCTTTTTTTGCGTTTGTTTATTTCGCGCGTTCCCATATGTTATCCTTTACATTTTTAGTGTTTAGGGGAACCTCAAACTCATTAGAGGTGTTTCAGCTTGGGTCGCTGAGCAACGATGGCGGAATTCATCGTTGGAGTCAAGTACAAGCTGAAACGCAAGATTGGCAGCGGTTCCTTCGGTGATATTTATTTGGGAATCAATATCCAAAATGGCGAGGAAGTAGCTGTAAAATTGGAATCGGTGAAGGTAGGTGGTTTATTCTTGTTTCGGATTTAGGGCCACAATGATCAACCCGATATCCCTCTTTACAGGCCAGACATCCCCAACTTCTCTATGAATCTAAGGTTTACAAGATCTTATCTGGCGGAGTTGGTGTCCCTCACATCAGATTCTATGGTGTAGAACGGGATTACCACTGTCTAGTGATGGACCTTCTGGGCCCATCGCTGGAGGATCTGTTCAACTTCTGTTCACGCCGTTTCACCATGAAAACCGTCTTGATGTTGGCTGATCAGATGATCGGAAGAATCGAGTTCATGCATGTAAAGAACTTTATCCATCGAGACATCAAGCCCGACAACTTCTTGATGGGAATTGGAAGACATTGTAACAAGCTGTTCATTATCGATTTTGGGTTGGCCAAAAAATATCGGGATTCCCGCACTCGGTCTCATATCGCTTACAAAGACAACAAGAACCTGACTGGAACTGCAAGATATGCTTCCGTCAACGCACACATGGGTAAGTAATTTAATTTGGTTGGACCGCATCCGTGTCAGTTTTGAGTCATATGATGTACGATTTTAGGTATTGAACAGAGCCGAAGAGATGATATGGAATCGCTCGGGTATGTTCTGATGTACTTCAACAGAGGCAATTTGCCATGGCAAGGACTTAAAGCCGCTAACAAGAAACAGAAATACGAAAAGATCAGCGAAAAGGTGCGTCATAATGAGATTTTGAGTTTTGAAATGAATGGAGAACAAAGATAATTATGTAAAGTAATGTGTGTCCGGTTTCAGAAGATGACGACTCCGGTGGAGGTGCTGTGCAAGGGTTTCCCATCAGAATTCTCGATGTATTTGAATTATTGTCGTGGTCTCCGTTTCGATGAGTCTCCAGATTACATGTATTTGCGTCAGTTATTCCGAATTTTATTCCGCACTCTAAACCATCAGGTAAGGCTACTGATTATTTTTTTCTTATCGATTTTCACAGTTCAGACCTACTCTGTGATTATTACAACAAAATCAGTTTGTTTTTGTTCTCTTTTGAGATCAAAAATATGATTAAATTGTTTCGCATTATCTCTCGTTATGTGTAATATAATATTTCTTCCAGTATGATTACACTTTCGACTGGACCATGTTGAAACAGAAGGCGTCGTTGAACCAGGTCTCCAACCAGCCCGCCAACGGCCCCAACGCGACCACATCAGCCAACCCAGAGACTCCTCAGGCGTCGGGAAACTTCCAGCCAGCTATCTAATCCCATCCATCGTCTGATGTAAAAGTCGTGGTCACCCATTTCTTTTTTGGTTTTGTCTATTAAACAGAGGATGAAGAAAGTCTTGGCCTTTATATGTTCGTGTCTCTCATCACCAGAGGTCGGAAGCCCGCTTCAGTTCCACTGATTGATGTCTCGTATTAATGTTGTTCATCCACAACCTGTCAGTTCTTTCAACTCATTTATCCTTGTTTGGGACTTTAAAGAAGCCGACTTCCGACCTCTATTCTCTTATTGGCTTGACTAGACACTCCCTTTGTAACAGTATCATCCACATTCGTCTCAACATCGTTTAAACTATTCTTGGCTCTGAAAAGAAACAAGTTGTTTGGACTCAAATAAAAATTACAAAAACTGGAATCTTTGTGGTTGACATGACTAGAAGATAAACGGTCTTATGTTCATCACGCACAAGACTACTGTAGTTCTCAAAAGCCGATTTGGTGCAGAATGCCATAACTGAGTCCCGAGAAGAAAACGAGCGCGGGAAACATTATTTTAGAAAAAATGGCATTGAATTTTTTCGCGCGAAATTTTTGCAATTATGCAGATCTTTAATAGACTTTTACGTTTTCTTGGGTAAAAATTTGCATATTCTTTTAGAATGTCGATTCGGGTTACCCGCAGACTGACCTACAAAGTGGTGGAATCCTCAAAACAGACTGATGAATTGCAAAGAGAGGAAAATAAGACTTCCAAAGCGTCAAAGAAGGAGAAGAAACTCTCAAAACAAGGTAAAGATGCTTTGAAGAAGGACCAAGAAGCATTAAAAAGAGACCAGGAACTTCTGAGGTCTTTTGTTGCGCCTACTCGGCAAGATCCGGAGCCTTCAAAAGAGTTACCGGTCAGTCGAATTGATGGACTGGATAAAGAAGTGCTGAAAGTATTTGGTGTACAGTTACCAAGTCTGTTGTCGCATGTCTGTTATATGTTCAACGAAATGGAAAAGGTGAGCTTATGAATAGTTTTTATAATCTTTTATATTTAGGTAGTTATGATTTACTTCTCATTGGGAAAGCGGATAACTTTAGATCTGATAAAAAAGAATATTGCGAAGAACTGCCAGAAGTAAGTAATCACTCTTTTAGAAGATGCGTTTGTTTAGAGCATTTACTGATGCTGTTTTGGGGAAGATCTTGGCTATTTATCCAGAATCTTATCAAATTGAACTGGAGAAGAGTCGCTTCAACAAACCTGGACAACCCGTGAAGTACGAGACACTTCTGAAACCTAATATCAAGGACGGTATGTTTAGAGTACACTTCAATTATTTGTAATTTAGATCTTCATCCTTATTACCATGAAGAGTACGTTCCAAAGAGTCCGTCAAAGCAATTATACTCAACGCCGATCAAGTTAGTGTCGCCTAGAAAAAAGCCCCAGAATCTTGACTATATTCCGAGTCCTCCACGATCACCGAGAAAAGGACAAGCTGTTCCTTTGCCAAGGTGCGCCTTGAGTTGTATGGAGCACCAATATTAATAATTATAGACAAGCTAACACTGTTTATTTCAGAGAGATTGAACTCCACCTTGGCCCAAAATTTGAAGGATGGAGGAAGCATTGTCGATCCGCAATTATGAAGTATAAACTGCATCAATATCTATTGAAAGAACACGAGAAATTCCTCGAGTCTCATCCACTTGAAGGTCTAAAGGAAGGTGTTTTCCATCCAGACTTTGTCGTTAATCGAATCGACATTACCCCTATTGAACTTCCGAAGCCTAAGCAGCCAGCCAAACAGATGACTATGATGGATTACTTGAATAAAGTCCCGACAACCGGTATTCTGAAGAGTGTGGAGAAAGTAACCGAAGAGTTGAGATCTCCCGAGAAGAAGGTCAAGTTGGAGAAGAACGTTGATCCAGTCCCTAAGAGTGGCGCCAAAATGAGTCTGTTGGAGAGGGTATGTTTTAGGCGTATACCGTAATTTCAATTTAGATTCGACAAAAGGCTAAAGAAGCTGAGGAAAGGGAAAAGCGAAAAGATCCGGAGTTGATTGAGCGTGTCTCAGTATTGGAAACCCTACAAAAGACTGCTTTGGCTGTTATCTGCAGTGAATATAACAACAGGACATCAATGGATATCAATGAGCTCTACAAGAAACTCAACTTTTCTATACAAACTCGTAAAGGTAAGTCGTTTTAATTGATACTTCTGATCTATATAAAGTTTAGATGCGTTTGAACGAATGGTTGGTGTTCTTTCTGAAATCGCGTCTTCTCATATCGATGTAATCCATTTGAATCAAAAGAAGTTTGTGAAAATGGTAAACAATGACCGAGCGAAATTAACCGAAATCATCAATGAAGAGTTGGAACGATGCAAGAAGTTGATGAGATGATCTCTAAACACTAATCTCTAACCTCAATTTTTAACTCAATGTATATTGTAGCAGTCAACACTAGATTAACAATTGATTAAATTTATTTTCAACGATGAGAGAATAACAATAACAGACAACAGTGAACAGATTTAGAAAAAGTGTTGTTTGATTAAGAAAGCCCTCGCTTTACTCTTCATCCTGCTCTTCCTTCTTAACCTTTCGGGGATTCGTGGGAGTGTCTCCATCGCTTTGCCATTTTCTTTTCTTTGCGACATTCGAGTCGGCCCCGGCATCGTATGAACGGACATTACTCTTGAAGGCATATTTGTCCTTGTAACCGGCTCCACTGAAAGTGGCGTTCACCTTCTTGGTGGTCTGACGCTTTGATTCGGCATCCAATGCAGCCTCGAGGTAGGTCCTTGACTCGACTCCGACTTCATTTCCAACGGTGTCGTCACAAAGGGCGTCCACTCTGGTGGCCAGAGATACTTTCGCCGCCAATTTACGGGCGAACTAAAAATAAAACCGTTACAAATAATAAAGAACATACATACTACCAACAAACAATCCTTACCTTTCCTTTCAGTTCAGTCGGCGCTTGTCCAATCAACTGAGCATGATAGATAATACCATATTTGGGGGTCTTGGCCTTTGTTTTCAAAGCTCTGAACAAGGCTTTCTCTGCTCCGAGGATCTGGACAGTGGATGCTGGATATTTGGCCAAGTTCACCAAGGTTCCTAAACAAAACCGTTCATAAATGATCCACTTTGATTAATAAAATCCGCGTAAATTAATGACTTACCAGCTCTAGAGATTAATCTCGCGCCGATCAATTCTCCCAACAATACAGTAAGATTTGGAGCCAAAGCACCCATTCTGTTCTTAAGATAATCATGAAGCTGAGATCTGTATTCAGTGAGGTCGATGATCTGGTCACAAAGTTGTGAAATGTGGATCAAATCGATTTCAGAGATCTCAGTTCCCATACTGATCTCGGCTTCCTGTCTCAATTTTTCCGCCAATTCATCGGGTAGAATAGTTGAGAAGTCAGTATCGTTAGCATTCTGTTTCATACCCATAGCCTTAACAACTTTGGCAAATGCCAAATGATCCTGGACAAGTTTTCCCAACTCGGGGAAATGCCATCCATACCATTCTCGGCATCTCATGACATAGTTGTTCAACTCTTTATCCAGATCGTCTAAAAGAGAAACCGCCTGGACAATCATGGTATCGATCTTTTCGGGGTTGAACTTGACACGATAACGACCAAGAGAATGGGCGAGTGCAAGTCTCATGGCATCTACTTCGGTTTTGTGCTCGGCCAAAAGATGATCGATGTTGGCACGAATAGCTCTAAAGAGTTCGTCAGTGACTTTGTTGTGGACACAAGAAACCTCGAGGTTCTCCTAAAAATAATGAAATGAATAAGTAAAGAAAAAGCAAGAAAATGATCTAAATTGTAAAACTAACCTTCAACAGGGATCCAATCTTCGAATCTCCCACAGCCAATTCGTCTCCTTCAGCAACAGCCTTCTGAATCAGTTTCTTCAAAGTTTTTCCAATTTTGCTTTCATCCGCTACAGAAGTAGATGCCTTCAAGGCTTCATTCACATCTTTGAACTTCTTGAAGGAAACCAGTTGAAGTCTAAATTTCAACAATAACTAAATAAAAAGAAACCGTACTTTTCCAAGATGGAATCGGCATCGGCAAAGTAGTCAAATACTTTTTCCTCTTTCTTCAGCTTGGATTCGTCCAAAACCTTGAAGATAGCGTAACCAGCGGGGGTATCAAAGAGAACCAACATCTTTGGAGCTGCAAAAAAATATAATGATCGACGAAGAATATTATCTGCAATCAAATTCACATAAAATACACGGAAATAACGAGGTAAATGGCACAAAATGTGATAAAACAGGCTTGATCGCATCTTTTTCTGCTTTCGCACCCAAAAAACTTTCTCCCTTTTATTTTCCAGCCAATTGTTTTCGTGGTGGGACGCAGGGATTTGATGGTGTATATTTGATTCTTTCAGGAATTTGATACGCTTTCTTTTCCGATACTGCTGTTTAGCCACTTGAAAGGATCCGGTTTTATCTGTCTGTTTAATTCATTCCCGTCGCTTTTGCGGTCGAATTCTGCTCTCCATCTGGGTATTAATTACTCCTTTTCTAAAAAACTTCTCATCACAGATTTTAGGTAATTACTAATTTATATTCCGATGTCATTATGAGGTCGAACAGGAAGCTGTTCCCTTTTGTATTGGAATTGGAGCCCGGCTTCGAATAGACAATAACCTTTGTTTTGACCGACTGAATAGACCAGGAAAAAGAGCAGGGGCCCAACTCAAAAAAAAGAAGGAAAGGCGGCCAATTAAAACGAAAGGACCTTAGGTCTTCAAAACCCGTATTCCAAACGCTCCGAATTTATTTCTGAAAATCTCCGGGGCCTTATCCGTCAACCTTAATCAAGAAGACGTTGGGGACGCCGGAGCTGTGGACAACCCTAACTGAATGTCCCTTTTTGTTTATACCCTCCCCAAATATTTCTTTTCTTGGACGCGGCCGAAACGGGAACGGCCGCGTACACCTAAAACGGGGCGAGGGGTCTTCTGTCGAGTGATGGAACGAATAAATGAAGGAGAAGTTCCGAACTCTTTTCTTCAACAAATTGGCCGGAAAAACGGTTTTCGCAAGTCCAGGAGGAAGTCGTTTCCGGCTAAACTCGTTTGTTTGCAAGTCGATAATGGATTCCGCCCTCAGGGAAAGAATTATTTTTGTTGCGTTTTTCGAATATTTAACGCGGAAGGAAACGATGTTAGATATACTTGCGGGAATGTAATTTCATCCCCGTTCCGCATGCAATAATATACTTGAGACTATTAGTAATATTAAATCCGCCTTCAGATTCCTCCAACCATGTCGTGATGCTCTCCAAATCACAAGTGGTATATCCCCAAAGTAACGGGTCGCTGAATGCGGTCCCGAGTGCCTCGATGCCCTTCATCTCGAGCTCTCTGCCCATGTTTCCTGGTCCGGCCTCGCTTTCAGGCCATCCTATGGCATTCCAGTCTCCCATTTCTCCCCCACAGACCATGAGTTTTGATCCCCGTAATCTGGAGATCAAAACCAAATCCGTGGAACAGACACTACTGCCATTGGTTACACAAGTAAGCAAGGCTTTGTATTATTTATCTGTATTTAGATCTCAACTCTGGTTAATTTCAAAGAATCCATTATTACGGGGACCAAACCAAAAAGTGAACGAGCATTAAGGGCAGCTTTGAAGGTAAGGTAGTGCATATTACGTAAGCATCACATTCCTTCAGATCGGATCCGCAGTTGAATTAGCAGTCGAGAGATTTGTCGTGGTCGGGGAATCAATAGCCGATGAAAATCCGGATATCCAACCCGAGATGTATGATGCTTGCCATGAAGCTCGACAAGCTGGCGCTGCCATGGCCAATCTTCACTCTTCTTTATTGGATGAATCAGGGATCCCACAATTAGGAATCGACAAATCTCATCTTGTTCGAGCGGCCAGACAACTTCTTTCTTCGGTCACCCGAGTTCTCCTCTTGGCTGATCGTGTAATGGTCAGTCATATCCTTCGGGCAGAAGATAAGATTGTTTATTCTTTGACCAAATTGGAGAACACCATGAACTTCACGGAATTTGTCAGGATTTTCACTGATTTTGGAGGCGAAATGGTAGTATTGGCCCATAGGTCAGGCGATAGACAAGCCGATCTGAAGTCAGAGAAACGGAAAGCCCAGTTGCATGTGGCCAGAACATCCTTGGAGAGGATGACCATGTTGTTGTTGACGTCATCTAAGACCCTCCTCCGACATACCGACGATGACTCGGCCCGTCAGTGCAGGGATGGAGTCTTCCATCAGATTCGAACAGCTCTCCAACTGGTCGCCTTGTGCATTTGTGATGGGGTTCTCCCCCTCGATCCTCATCGTTATTGTCCCCCAACTTCTCCAGATGCAGGTCCGTTGGATATTGGGATTCAGTTAACGGCCATGGTTGCTATCAGGCAGTTAACAGAGATGTTGGAGATGGTTAGAATGACATCAATTGTTGGATCAGGAGTGAGAGATCGGCTCAATGGAGCCTTGGGAACTCTCTGTGAAATGACCCAAGACTTTACAGACTCCGCTTTTACTCCACATCATCAAAGGGAACAGATTCTTGACTTTCTGGAAGAATGCCGCTTTGAAATGGGTAATCTTGTGTCATCAGATGTAAGTCTAACATTAAGCTTTTATTTTTGATGTTTAGAACCAAGACCAATTCTCTCAAGAGAATATGGAAGTGACGGTAGAACGGCTTCATCGACGTCTCAAAGACCTCCAGAAGCAACTGCAAGTTGCTGCCATGGATCAGATCGGTGTTGTTTTCCGAACGAATGAAGATCACACAATCCTCAGCTCTCTGAAGACGTGCTCTGTCTCCGGGGATATTGATGGAGTAGAGAAATACTTGGAGAAGTTTAGAGAGCATTCAGTTCACATTCAAGAAGTTTGCCGGTTGCTGCATCACATATCATTTACCGACGCTTTACATGTCTATACTGGCCAAGCTGAGCGTACTTTTAGAGCGCTGGCACCATTGGTGGGTGATTGTTTAATTTTAGTTCTTTATATAACAAGGAAAGTACTTCTATGGGGTGTGGAGTTACAGGTCGAGATATATATCAAAAAATTCGCAAAAATTTTCTGATTCAGAATATATAAAAATTAGCTGCCTAATTTTGGTCTGATGACATGTTTTTGTCCTCAGAAGTTTTCTCGCGACACCATGCAAGTGTCTTTTTGGCCGCGTTTTTACCCATAAAAAATTTTTATTTTGTGCTAAAATAAATTCTGAGGCCTTGACAAGCCTTAAAATATCAAATTGGATTACAACTACACCTTAAAAGTAGTTTCAATGTAAAAAATGGGTTCTAGTGTGGCAAAAAGAATCGAACCCGTTCTCCTCGGATTCCCAATCTAGCGCTCTAACCACTCGGCCACACCGCTCTCTTCCGAAGGAAGAGACCGAGCGCGCTTTTGTTGCCGCAGATTTTTTTCCTCGAGAAATACATTTATTGATAAAACTCGTTGATAGACCAAAATTAGGCAGTTTTTTTATATATTCTGAATCAGAAAATTTCTGCGAATTTTTTGATATATATCTCGACCTGTAACTCCACACCCCATAGAAGTACTTTCCTTGTAAAACTTTTTATTGAAGTCTTACTTTAGACTCTCCTGGCCGGCAGAACTCTTTGCATTCATCCGTCCTCCAGAATCGCTCGCGAGAATCTGGAAGTGTTTTGTGATACGTGGGCCTCCCATATAAATGACCTAAGTCGTCTTTCTAAAGACCTCGATGCCGCTGCTTCAGGTCGTGTCGCGGCCGAACGACAGGCCTACATGTCTCTTCCAAGACCGGGCGTAAGTGGAGAACAAAGTCCGTTGTTGTCATCGTCCTTTTCTCGTATCCAAAGCCTTGAGTCTAATCCTGATAGTGGTTGTGATATGTTGAATTCTAAGCCTTCCACCTCGTCGTGTTCTTCAACTGAAGGTGGATGTTGTCATCATGGGGTTAAACCAAACTCTCCTCCATCTGCATTCACTCCGTACAAACGATCAAGCCCTGAGGATATGGAAGGGGCCAGAAATATTGTGCTTAATAAGGGTGTTGATTCGGATCCAATAGTCTTAAGACAAGTTATTGAGGAGCCGAGAAGGAAAAACTTTGAAAATAGAATCTCTCTGATTCTGGATTCGCTACACGAAGAGAGTCAGCGTCTCCAGAATCTGCATATTCACACAAAACGCTCAAAATAATTTGTTGTCAGCTCAAATTTTTACAGATCTTCACAAATTTTCTTTCTCTTACACTGGTGCTGTGATTCTAAGATACGCAAATTATGTATTTTGTTTGTAACTGTATTGTTAATGTGGATGTAAATGTTGTAAATAAATATAAATTATTATAAATGTTGTTTGGAGTTGTGAAAGGTGTATCCTAACTGCGTCTATGATTGTTATGCGTTACAGAAACATGGCACAACTCAGAAGCCAACGAAGCCATTGACTCTGGACGTCGAGGTAAGGATTAATGGAACTACAGTAAGCTCCCAAATTTAGGACCAGCAAAAGATTGCTAAAGTCGGCCTCGAAATGAAGTTGCTAACGGCTGAGGTAGAGGCCGAAGCTGAGAAATGGGACGAATATGCCGAGAATGACATTGTCAAACGGGCCAAGGCAATGTCATCCATGTCCTATAATATGTATCTCTTCACAAAGGGCGATGGGCCTCTGAAAACAACCCATGATCTGTTCACGCAAGCCGAATTCTTTGCTGAGCAAGCCAATAAGATGTACAGAACGGTCAGAGAGTTCGCGTTCGAGGTAGGTAGCAATGATTTACTCTAACCTAATCTTTGTAGACAGATAAAATTGAAATTCCACCTTATTGTAGGTACCTGGAAGTCAAGAAAAGAATGAACTAATGAGTGTTCTCGAGAGAATCCCTCAACATTATCAACAACTCCAAGTTCTCGTCAAATCTCCCACAGTTGGGAAATCGGCGACTTTCAGTAAAGTAGACCTAGTCATCTCGGGTACCAAAAGTTTGATGAATGAGATTGCAAAGTTGGTAACTGCCTGCTTTGTGTGTGCCACCAAATTTGAGATTGAATTCCGCGGGACCTCTACTTCGAGGGCCCTTTTGGATGGAGGTACTGCCGAGTATCCGCAACGCTCTTCCCGGGAATCAACCATGTGGAGGAGAACTCCGAGTGTCCGAAGAACCGTCCCTCCCCAAGTCCATCTGTCTTCGAATGATCTAGCATAACATTTGACTCAATGTAAAGGTTGTTATCATCATCGTCTGCATCATAGAATCCTCCGTTTCCTCCAAATTCCATCCCAAATCAAGTCCAACTGCCTTATTGTTCGTTAAATCAATCATACTTCTACATTCTTCTTTTTCTAAAGCATCTAACACACAATCGTATCTCTGGACGTTTCATGATTAAACGTGATAGAATAATTAGACATTTACTCACACAAGAATCATAATATACTAGACAAAAAAAGTTCATTTAGATCAAACTGATAGGGTTTGGGTCTCCTTGACGAGATCGGGAACATACCGCAGCTCGGGCCAACTGAGGTTATCAGCCTGCTTCAAGATAATCTCCACTTTCCTTTCAGCAATCAGAACCGAGGACTCTTCGGGGACCACCTTTCCGAACAAATCTAATTCCATCTCAGTCTGTTTTTCACCAAAAGCATGGGAGATAAAGCATTTCAGACGGTAGCCATCACATTCGAATTTACAATCTTCGGGAATGGAGCCGCGACAGTAAACATTGAAATGAACCTCTCCACTTCGACAGAACCAATCTTCTTTGATACGATCGACGCGTTCACTTGCCTGAAAAATAGAACAAATACGATGCGTATTATCCACTTTCATGAAGACACTTCAGAATACATCTGAATTAAAAGAGCCTGCCTATTCGAACAATTAGACCCTACCTTTGTAAAATTGTGTTTCCCTTTGGTACATCCCTTCTGTTCCAGGAATGCGGAGAAATTACTGGTCTTCCGGTTACAACAATCATAATATTTCATTCCTTCGTGGAAGACTGGCTGCCCAGGATGGTGTTGACAGTCCTCGGCTTTCAGAGATTCCGGGCCATTGTATGTCTGAATACAGAACAAATTATTCTCTTTCTTGTTACCTAAGCATAACAAAAAGTAAATAAAAAACTCACTGATTCGCATCCATTGTTGGCACATTTTGTACCGACCTTGAGTTCATCGGTCTCGGCATTCTGCACTTCCTGCTTGAACTTCTGAATGGCAGCTTTCAACCCTTCAGTCGATGTCTTAGGTAGTTCTACTACACTTCTTTGCTCTTCTCCCTTTTCTGATGGTCTTTCGGCTGGTTTATTCAATCCATTCCAGACAATAACTTCATCCTCTTTTTCTGGTCGTATTTCTTTCTGTGCGACTAATCGTACAATATCATCTGGCTTCTGGTTGCTATGTTTACCCGTTGTGCAGCCAGGAATACTCAGAAAAGTTCCAAAGTCTGTAGACTTCTTATCACAACATTGCCAGATCTTTTGGGCATCGTGGAAGTATGGAGCTTTCGGATGGAATCGGCAAGAACCTGAAAAAGAAGACGAATAAACCTATAAAAAGACATTTTTCAATCCCAAAACAAGTGCAAAATCCAATTAGACAATTTCTCCGTGAAAAAATATATGAAAGTACCTAAAACGTCTTGAAAATCGTATTGCACATTGAATTCACACCGAATTTGGCCAAATCGTCAAACAAAAGTACGCCTAAACAAAGATAAACCACAAGGGAAGTCCTTCCTACCTTCCTCATTATTGCCAGGGTCGAACTTTTGTCCACACCCTTTATTATAGCAGTGAACAAGGGTCATGTCGGCTCTTCGTTTCTAGTGGAAGCACAAAATGTCTCAACTCACTTCAAAAATTTATCTGCTAAATAAATTTTCTGTGCGAATTTCCAGAATATTCTCGTATTTTTCGGAAAATATTTGTAAAGTTGTTAATTTATATTCGAATTGTGCAAGTGAATGTTTATAATAAAATTTCGTATATGGCAACACATAACTCACAATATTACACATTTAGACATGTTGAAATGCACTTGTTTACAGCAATCTCTCTGTTTTTCATTTATTTTTGATGGGAAAGAGACGGGGTCGAAGACGTCCCCTGATCGTCCCCCACCCCCAAGTCTCGGACTGTTCCTTTTGAAAAGCTCCGGAGTGTCAGCTGGATGTTTTCAATCGCCATTCTGAATCGCCCTCTTCTATAGCCATACTCTAATATTGTTTTAGTGATGGAATACGCGGTGGATGGGCAGAATCCCTTCCCGGCGCAGGAGGCGGATTGCGCAAATGAAATCCCGATTGTGAAGTTGGCCATGACCCACGAATTATCTCCCGTGGCCGGTCACATGAGTGCCACATACAGAGGATCCCTTCTTGTCTGGGGCGGATACTATTACTCGTACAATACTATGGACTACAGGAAAGGATCTGATTTGTACATATACCCCTTCGGACTTGCAGGCGACTCCGGTGTCTGGTATGTCATGCTTCGCTTTATAGGACACACAGCGTTGCTACTGAAATTTAATAAAAATATTTTGAAGGTTGAAAGTGATGGGCACTGGAAATGAGCCCAAACCCAACAGTGGAGGTGCCGCATTGATCTGTGGCGATGACCTTTACATCTTTGGTGGAATTACTGTGTGTAAGTGCATCCATAAAATTTGCCATTGTTTAGTGGGCGACAGTACGGGAAGACGGAGGAATCCCCAGACAAGCATGTTGTGGAAGCTGAACATCCCTTCCGCTGTGTGGGAGATCGTGGATCCAGATCCCGATCTAAAGGTGCCCACTCCTCGGGACAAGACCGCGGCCTGGTCTATCGGCCGCAAGCTTTATTTCTTTGGGGGATTTGGTCCCACTTTCCAACTTCTGAGTCCCTCGGACGCCTATCTGGCCGGAGACAATGACTTTGTCTATGGAGGGCCAGGGAATTGCTGGAACAATCAATTACTCGAATTCGACGTCGACTCGAGGATTTGGAGATTGGTCCCCAAGAAAGGAACGGTTCCTTCTGCTCGCGCTGGTGCTGGATCACAATATGTTAAGGATTTGGGGGTGGTCTTTTTATTCGGGGGTCGAGGATCTACTACCAGATTGAATGACCTCTATATTCTTGACGTTCATTCGTTTGTTTGGACTGAAATGTAAGGAGGCTTGCATAATGTCATCACAATTACTTTCCGTTCTTCAATTAGCGTAATCGTTTATGTTTATAGCGACCTCTCTGTCCGCCCTCCCGGTCGTTCCTGGTGTGCCATGAGTTGGATCCCGGATCGAAAGCAGGTATTTATGAGTAGTGGATTTTCGGTTGAGGAGAAACCCTTGGACGATGTGTGGATATTGGACATCGCACAATGTTATGGAACCCCCATCAGACAGAACACCAGTGTCCAATGGAAGTGTGTTCGTCCAGCCACAAATCATGTGGATGACACTTCCCCTGAGAACATCAACCCTTCCAATGACACGACAGCGGCCCCATCATCTCCTTTCCAACGATTCTGGCATACAGCGAACATGATACAGTCGAGATCTCAGAGCCCTTTCACAGAGGCCGTATTACTCTATGGCGGTGGGTATCGGTGATCGTGACTTTCAATTTAACTCACCAAGTAAAGCATTCTGTTTTTTAGGCATGTTCCAACACCCTTGTTCCACTGCCCCTTGTCTGAATACCCTCCATGTCCAGACCATCGAACCCCCTTCTCTCTTTGTCACTGTCCTACGATGGTATGCCAAGACCCACACCAAATTGCCATCTCCCGTTTTTCCCACTTTATATCGCAAGTACTTTTTATTGGAAGATATAAATCGCTTCAAAAGGGACTTCCGCCAGTCCTATGGAGACTGTTCCCGGCTAGCCAGCTCTCTTCATGGCCTCACATTGAAAGAGATTTTCGATATCCTTGATATGAGAAACAGTATATAGAGTCATCATAATCCGGAATAGATCACGTGTAAATATTTGTTGATACTGTAAATAAATTGTTATATATTTTCAGTTCTATTATGTTTTAATGGGAAGATGAGTGAGGTAGATGATGTTATAATGGGATCTTGAACGAGGGACATGTATTTTTTGTTTTTGGGAATAGCCGATCCATCCGTTTATTAAAGGAGATCAGACTTTTCTTGGCCCTCGAGGCCATTTTGCCCCTCAGTTCGGCGATTCTCTTTTCGGATTTGGGGGATTTATAACCCAAATGGAACATAAAAACGTCGTGAACGATGCCGAAGACATAGCCGGCTCTGCACATTTCCCATCGCTATAAAATTCGACATGTTAAGGACTCGTAAAAACGGTTTGTTTTGATGGGAAGAGATGAACTCACCAGGACGGTGTTGTCCTTGATCGGATAGTAGAAACTCTCATCGTGGAAAGGAATGGACTTGGTGGAGACAAATTGCGGCTCCCAACGAGAGTCCAGGTAGCTAAAATCATATAAGAGTATCCAAAATTGTATTAAATAAACTGGATTATTCATCAATATTGAAGACATACGGTTGATACATCTGAATTGCAGTACTCCCATTAATTTCTGGCTGTAAGAACCAAGCCAATTGTCCAGGAATCTTATGATGATTAAAGAAATTCTTGTGGAATTCTCTGGCCGAGCCATTTTTATACAGTTCATATAAGTCTGCCTTTGTTTCGGGTCTGGAAAACTAATTATAGTCATTAAATTCTCACCGTTTTGCAGTCTTTTCAACTTCGAATATCCGATAAACCAACACAATTTTACTATTTTTTCTCAGGAGCCTCTTGGCAAGAGGCAATATCTTCTTTTCAAAATCTTTACTGAAGTAATGATCGCTGTCAGCCATCACAATAAACTTCGTTCTGGCAGTCTAAAAAGTAATTGAAATCTTTTCATTCACTTACTTTTCTGGCGGCATTTCTAACCGTATTAATTGGGTATTCAAATTCAACATTTTTAATTCCACATTCTGATACTCTAGTTGAATTTTCATAATTTCCAATTTTATTACAACTAACATTTGGTCCAAAGAATACAAAGTTTACCGAGAGAAATCGCCGAAGTGTTGGGAAAAGATTACGGTATTTTTGAATCTAAAAAATAAAGTAATCTAAAATAATAATCCTACCTTACTGTACAAACGAATGACGTCTGCAGATGTTGGACAATGCCCTGGAGCGAATGATATTGCGAGGGACACAGGCCCGCCCCAACTCAGGATCTAAAAACAATATTTTTTTGATTTTCTCTTACCTGGTCTACAGTATCCTCTCCAAACCTATCAAAAGAGGTATGCAAAACCAATGTAATCCTAATATAATCAGTGTCATTTGATTTAAAAACCTCTTCTGCCATGCAAAACTTTGAAGAAAAATCTGCAGTACACCCGGAAGAATCGTTCAGAGCATCTCTTCGACTTCGGGAAATGATCAAATCAAGGTGATCGTATTTAAAATAAATAAAGAGTTCGAAGAAAATAAATGTTAGAAAAAATGGAAGTACTTTTAGACCCGAGCAATCGGACATTTTTTCTTGAAAATCAGAGAAAATAAATTTAAAATCAGCCTTGAGGGGATTTACGTGAAATGATTACAATCTATGAGACGGTAAGATTGATGATTCTGTTGAAGATACTATCCGTAATCCAAGATTGCCAAACTAAGAGTTTATATTACGCAACATTATGCCCAAGTACATCTCTAATGGACATGGTCGCCCAATCCGCGGCCATATTGTTATTTTTATTTCTTCAAAATTCATTCCGAACCTGTTTGTGGTGGAGAATCCGGTGATGCTTGATAACTCTATAAATGAAGGCTCGGCCCTCTCCCCGATTATGTCCATACAGCTCACTGAAAACGACCTACAACGATGTTTGGCTGAGGTGACAATTCTTTTTTTGTTCAAGTATACACAAGTCGTTCCATAAAGTGCGTAGACTTTTTTCTCCGCACAGTGCATTTTTCTTTGTGCAATTGTTGCCGCGCGCTCAAAATAAGCGGCGACGTAGTTGAAAAAATCTTACGTCGCGACGATGTTTGAATTGCACAATGCAAAAATGAAATTCACAGTGCAAAAAGCTTTGCGACGAAAAGTCTACGCACTTTATGCAACGACCAGTGGGTGTATGACGCAGGTTTGAAAAATAAATTTTCTGAGGCAGTTGAGAGTTTTTTGTAGTAACAAACAGGACGTTTATGCAAAAAACTGTTGAAACTTGGCATTCTTTGTGATTTTGAATTTGAAAATTGATTCGTCAAAAAATGCTGACTGAAATTTTAATACCAAAGGCAACTAGTTTTTTCTATGTATCTGATCTTCTCTCACTAGTCAAAACAATTTGGTGACTAAGTTTTTCAAACCTGTTAAAGATTCGAATGCCTAATACGCCGTTTAGTTCCAGTGCCAGCTGAAAACTCGTTCGAAAAGGGTCAAGGACGTGGTTGTGGGTGGAAGGCTGTGCACGGCCAAGATCATCCAGATAGGAACTCTCGAATATCAGTTGAGAAAGACGGAAGGAAACACATTTACATTCAGTCGAATGCCTTTTTTGAGGCGAATTCAGGAGATCCAGCTAAATGTAAGTGGGTTTCCACATTGTACTTGACATCTACGTGTTCTATCTTTTAAACATTCCCAGGAGAATCTGGTGGTGGAAGTCATGGAAAAGGGAATTGGACTCCCAGAACTTTTCTCGGCGCTTCCTCGGCTCTTCCTGAGATTAGATTTTATCACAAGGTATGTCTTCAGTAATGTCATCATCACTTTTATTTCCAGTCTTCTTCTGGATCTCTGTAAAAGTGTTCGTTTTTTTCACATAAACGACCTCCACCACGACAAAATCCAACCAGATCATGTAGTTTTTGACCTAAATCTGCATGCAAATCTGGCTGGATTGGGAAATGTGAAGCCTCAGACCGTCAAAAAAGAGGTCAGAAGTGGAGATTTCTCCATCTACGACGCTCCAGAAGTCAGACAAGGCTTACCAAAGTGGGTTTCTTTAAATTTTTGCGAACTAATTTATTCTATGATGGAGTGTTTTTGCCAAAAACAGGGGCCTTATTTTAGTGTTGACGTGAAAGCGGCGGACATTTACAGTGTCGGAATCATTCTACTGGAGTACCTGTGTGGGAAGGCTGATCCGGCAATCTTGTCCATGCCCTCGCTGGGTCCCTTCGAGGCGATCAAGAAGGTCCTGTGCAGCATGGTTCATACAAATCCCCTAAAGCGTCCCACGGCATCCCAGATCATCTACAATCCGTCGATATATATGAGGGATCCACAATAAACTGACTCACTACTAGTTTGGAGAGTCCTTTATTTTAAACACAAAGTTACTTTAAAAAGATTTCCAGGTTCAAATTCGACTTACTTCAGCTTTATCTCATCTTCAAAAAAAACCCCTTGTTATGCTAGAGTTGTGTCGAAATTGGCCAAAATATAGCATGATTACTTCAGGACGGCTAACAATAAGATCTGGACTGATATCCCAACGTCTGATTAGTGTTTATAAAAGTTGGCCTCTTATTTATCTCTCAGCTTCTGGATCATTTTCCGGATCTGCACATTCTTTATCTATCAACGAAAAGGTTTGATTTTAATTTTTCAAAAATAGTATTTTATCGGCGACACACTATGGTTTAAAAATATGTTATGAGAGTTATTTCACACCAATACTTGTATTAGTCAACAAAACCCGAAAACGGCTTTTGAAACGCCGCAAAAACTGTCGCAGCCTGCAGGAGCGAGGGCGCAGTTCTAGCTTTGGGCGCTTCTTTCTTCGTAGAAAAAAATTTTGGGAGCAAGCCCAACCAGACGAATTGTGTCAGTGTAAGGATTTTCGAGGCTACTACACCGTCGTATTTGTATTTTACTGTCATTTTCTCCACTTGTTTGATTGTAAATTTATCAGATATTGGTGAAGCATATTTTTCTCGACTTTTTTCATTTTTTTCCCGAATATCCGCCGATTTTTTTTACGGATTTTGTACATCTTGGACATTTTATCGATTAGTTTTGGAGGGTTTTGTGCTGCGTATCCAGCCTATACTTCCATTTTTCTTAAGTTCCACGTCCTCTCGATTTCTGACAAATTTTTTCGGAAACTTCGATCTTTCATTTTAAGTTTTACGCGACAATACTGTTTTCTTAATAATTCTGTCACATCTGATTATAGATGTAAGTTTCTTCTGTAAATCGAGTAACTAGTGGTTTTTTTCTGTGAAATCGATTTATTCTGCTCTACAATCTATTTTTTGCAGTCTAAGGTCGTTTTTTTAACCTGAAATCTATTTATGCCTAATATTTTAGTTGAGCGTATTTTACATCAAAACTGTTTTAATAAGTTGTCTTACAATTTTTTACTACCGCTTTCTTCGTCCTAAGTGTAACATCGGAAGTACAATTATTGAGTCCCTCATTACGGGGAGTAGTGGAGGGGGTAAGAGGGGCTGGGTATAGGATGATTTTGGTGTTGTAGTAGTCGTATCGATTGGTTAGTTATACGTGCAGGGAAAGAATTGGGCGCGTCTGCGAATTGCGTCGAGATGACGGGGAAAGAGTGGGCTTTTTGCTGAGGGAGACAGACGGGCAGGACTGTATTTATAAAGTCCTCGGCAATCTTGTCAGTCAGGGCGGTTGTTGATGTTATAGGCGGTTGGGTCGTGGTTACCTCTTATTTCGACGTCTTACAAAATTTGTTTTAGAGAATATTACTTTCTTTTGCAATTTTTTAGTTTTCTCCAGATGCTCTTTATCATTTCGCTTATTATCTAAATTTTTGAACGTATTTTATATAATTTTCATTTAATTGGAGGAGTATATCGACAAGCGCGTTATTTTTTACAGCCAACGTTGTTCCAAAGTCGTCAGGGTTATTTTTGGATCCCGAGTGGGACGTTTCTCTCTCCCTCTCGCCGTCTCTCTCGGTCTTCGTATGTGGTCCGCGTCTCTTTTTCATGTGAGTTTAGCTCCACTCCGTGTTTTCTATAATCTTTCCCATGGTTTCCACTTGTTACTAGCGAACCATTGTCCTTTTGGTGCTTTCGGTCTTTACTGGTCGTCTTTTGCGCGCCAATTCGAATTTGAATTATTGATTTTCTTTGTTTTCGCGGCGGGAACCACAATTGACTGCGTCGTTTCTTGCAAAATAACGCGTTCTTTTACTTTTTTCGATTATTGTCGATTTTTTCAGAGTTGATCTTTCAATCTACAGTGAGCAATGGCTCGTACCAAGCAAACTGCCCGTAAATCAGCTGGAGGAAAAGCTCCCCGAAAACAATTGGCCACCAAGGCTGCTCGCAAATCTGCACCAGCTGCCGGAGGTGTCAAGAAACCCCACCGTTATCGTCCAGGTAAGTATTCCATTGTATTTGATAATTATGAGAATTGATTTTCATGAAAAGAGCTGTATATTGCACTGTATAAATCCTAATTTTGATATTTTAGGTACCGTCGCTCTTCGTGAGATTCGTCGTTACCAGAAGTCCACCGAGCTCCTCATCCGAAAGTTGCCTTTCCAACGTCTGGTTCGTGAGATTGCCCAGGATTTCAAGACTGATCTCCGTAAGTTCAAGCTGTGCAATATTGATTTTTATCTTGTTGTTTAGGTTTCCAGTCCGCTGCCATTGGAGCCCTTCAGGAGGCTTCTGAGGCCTACCTTGTCGGTCTGTTCGAAGACACCAACTTGTGTGCCATCCACGCAAAGAGAGTCACCATCATGCCCAAGGACATCCAGCTGGCCAGAAGAATCCGTGGAGAGCGCGCATAAGTCTGTAATTTTCATGTTCTTACTGATACTCGGATAATATTAATTCTCCTCTCTTTTTCTCTCATTAACGTCTCAGTAAATTAATTGTATTGATGAAAGCCACTGATGTTACCGTTTCTTTAATCGTTTTCGGATAAATAAATCTTTCAAGTTGTAACTGTAGGTCTTTTCGGGCACGAATCGGCGCCATGTGCCGGCTGGTTTGGTTGTATCTTATGATCTCAGGATATTTTTTATCGTAATGCAAAGAATTTGACGTCAAAGGAACCAAAATGGGGATTCTCATGTGATAAGGCCATCGATAAAAAACACGCTCTCGACCTCTTCTTGATAAGATTCTAGAGGGTGCTGACAGAGTATTTATTCAGCTCTGTAATCGAATACAAAAACCGCTGAGTCGGAGGAATAAGAGGTCGGAGGGGGAGAGTCACATGGGTCTGTATTCGAAAGAGAAACGGAGAATCACGTGTTTCAGAAGAGGGCGAAGAGAACAGAATGGATGGACCCCAGGGCGGGTGGTGGTTGTGGTCAGTCTGCATTTTGTAAGCGTTGAAATGTTTTTATGAAGGACAAAGACTGTTCAGCTGAGTGCAAAAGTCTCAGGGTGATGGGAAAGTATGGACTGATGGGATACTGTAGCCTTACATTCTTATTCTGAATTTTTGTTTCAAAAGTACTTCTATTGATTTCTAAGGAGTGTTTGTAGTGTGAACTCCTTTTGACATAACAATATGAATTCTGATTTGTTCAAACAGTCCGTCCCCAAATTTAATACTATTTATGGAGTGCTTTTTCGTCTTTCCAGAACTCTTCTCGGCTTACTGACATGTAATAAATTATGTAATCGATTCTTTCTACCATCCGGTACCTTGTGCCATCGCCTTTTAATATCTGATTTATCGTCTTTATACAATTGTAGCCCTGACCTGTTTCATCCTGGATTGGGGTGTCGTATTTACAGGTCACATGAGAGCGCGCAGATATAGACCATTGATTGCGAGGGGCGCATGACCCGCAACAAAGGAGACAGCGGCGCAGACAGCGCGAGGGACCGCGCGGTGATTTTCCCCAAATGTCGACGACAATTTTGAGAAAAATCGACGAAAAAATATGCACAGCGAGGGGGAGGGTGGGCTTTCGAGAGTGTCGAGAGTCCCTAAGCGAGGGGGAGGGGCGTTGTGTGGAGGGAAATTGTTTCTCTTCCACACTTGGCCAAGGTCTTGTTGTTTCGAGGCGTTTGTTTTGTCTGTCGGTTACATACGGGGGCCGAGAGCGTTGCATCGCCGCTTGGCCATGCTCCTCAAACCTTCTCCTACTCAATGAAACTTGAAATTTAAATAACTACAAAGCTGGGGTTCGTAACTTCTACTTTTTTTACAAATAAGAATCATCGTTTTTTGTTTTTTTTTTTGATGAGTATACGCGCAGCCTCAATTTCTTCATGATCATGTATATCCATAGTCTTATAAAATGATGACTTTAATTTTATTCATAACATCGCCTTATGTAATGCGACCAACTTTTAATTTTATTACTCCAATATTAATGAGAACGTAAACCGTTCTTTGACACGATTCCCTCGATAGATGCAGGATCGTATTTAAATTTCCATTGTTTTCGACTCAACTCGAGGGGAAAGAAACCCGTCGCCGGTTCCTTTTTTGTCATCAAAGCGATGTTCTTTGTCTCCGTCAGGTTTGAGAGGATGAAGAAGATCGCGGAAGGAGGCTGTGTCTGGATGCGATGTCATAATATTATCCACCATTAGTCATAAACATCCAGTGTTATATATTTTTTGTTACAGTTCCGTGTTTTTTATGTCTAGACGCCTACAGGATTGAAGGACAACCTTAACCCCCCTCTAAACCCCGTTATTATCTGTCTGACACTCTCTTCATAGCCCATTTTCTCTAAATCTATTTAAACATTTCACCTTTGGCCCAGCCGGTTAAAAAACGGCCAGCTGTTATATTTTACGCAAAAAAACAAACAAAAAGAACAACTCGGTCTGGATCAGGTAAATTCAAGAAAAATTGACAACGCCTGAGGGTCTGCGGGCTGTGAGAAATTGGGTTAAGGGTCGGAAAAGTGAGAAAACACCAGACAACGACTGGAAATACCGTCTTATTTCTTGTTGATCACAATTGTTATTGTCATTGGGGTATTTTGGGATGTTTGGTTCTTTGCCAAACACTCTTGTTTTCAATTTCGATACTCGCTGTTTGTGATTTCAAACTCCAAAAACCAATCAAAACCCTTTATTCGGCCACGTAAATGATTTCCGAGACAGAAATAAGTCTTTAGCCAAGTCGTGAGGTCCAAGAATATTGTATCACCAACTCCACGAGCAATTTACTTATTTTATATCAGAAAAGTCAACAAGTTTCTGGTCGCCCTCGCGAATCTCAAAACTTTTTCCGTTTCCCAATCTCTTTTTTGTTTACCGCACGTGATCGGTTTACAGTCATCGTGACGCAGTTTTTTCGAAAGCACACCGACATCACATGCATCTTCGCCTTCCTGTTCTCCTCGCCCAACGAACTTTGACTTTTGTTTTAAGGTGGTTTTCGTATATAAGACCCGGTTCCGACGCGTTAAAAGAACAAACAATCAGTTTAAAAAAGGAAACAGTATTTCTAGTGTGCATATTATTCTTGCTCAAGTCACTTTACCAATATGTTTGACGGCGTCTACTCCTATTTCTTCGGATCCGAGGAGAGCTCGGCCAATGTTGATGCGAATGGGGAGAGACAAGAGAAGGGCGAGGACTGGGTCATGGTCGATTGTAAGTTTTATTTTTACTTTCTATTGGGCTCTTCTAATAGAACCTCGGAGTAAAAGAGTTAATAATCATAACGCTTTAGCCAAATCTGGTCGATCTTCTCCGGTGCTGGTTGCCGAGCCACACATCGATGATTTGGATGACATGATCAGCGAGGTGTCAAGCCAAATGCCCAGTCAACAACTCCTTACTGCCACCGAGATCCGCCGTCGTGCCAAAGCAAAGGAACAAGCGAGGAAAGAGGAGCTGAAGAGGAAGGTGCGGGCCACCATCCAGCATCGGCAATGGCTCGAGGAGAAACTTTTCGAAGATCCTGACGCCTCTTCCAATGACAGTCCTCCTCCCTCCGCTCAGAACAGTCCTCCAGGCCCACAGAAACCTCTGGACAAATTGATTTTGGCCCAGCCAACTCGGAAACAGAAGAGGGCCAAGAAAACGGGTAAAAACGTGAGCGACAAGAAGTTGCAACAGCCTTGAGGCATGCACATATCTGTAAATAGCGCTGCTCTAGATGTAAATAGATTGTAAGCAATGGTCACTAGTAGACGAACAACTCTTCTTTCACTGCCCCACAAGAATTGTAAGCGCCTGGAGCGTTAACTAAAGTCTCGTCCATAAATAATTATTTCTGCCTTAATGTGATAAAAATATATTCAAGAAATGCAATAAAAACGAATAAAAGTATTATATAAGAGCGAAGGAATAAGAGCGAAAAAAATCTTCTGAAAAAAATGCTTCAGCCTCTTTCTTTTTTTGTCGAAAGAGTCTCGAGCAGATTCTCACCACTTGGGGACGCGTCTGCCGTCACACTCTTTCTTCTCTTCTGGAGGAAGCGTCTGCGAGCAGGCTCTTCCCGACGTTTATAAGCCCCGCCCCCTCGATTTTGAGCCAATCATCGCTGAGTTGGCGGTTTTCTTGCGGAAAACGGTTGTTTTGGGTGAAAATTTTTGCCTTTTCATTATTCCGGTGATTTGGGCATGTTTTTATTTGTTTTAGAACTGTGATACGCTTAGCCTTACTATGGCTGTCATTTGAAGATTCAATTGAAAATCAGATACATTCCTGGTTAACACAACGGTTAAGAAAATCAAGAAAAAACAAGTTTCATAGATTTATTTATGTGCACCACAAGTAACATCTTTACATTTAGATGTAGAGGGCCGTGTCGGATTCTGCCCATGGGCGTTCGTGTCCATGTTCACAGTCTCCCTTTCTTTCTCATTGTTACTGAGGTTGGCAGTTGCAATTTTAGGATATTGAGGCTGAATTTGGAAAAATTAGCGACTTTTCAACAATTTTATATCTAAAATAACATCAAACTCCTCAAAACAACTCTATCGGTCCTACTTATTATTGGCGCACATGCAAACCACGTGTCACTCACTAAACTGCACATTTCGCAACAAATTTACCTTATTTTAGACAAAGATACCTAAAAATTTCAAAAAATCTTGGTTGACGTAGGCCTGCAAAAAATTTCAATAATATCAACTAAATTACTATTTATACTTTCTTTCTCCGCCTCCTAAGCACTTCATCACTCACAAAAACAGCGCAAACTCAAAAAATAATATTACTTTAGCCCAATCCGCTGAAAACTCAAAAAAAACCTCAAAAATCCCAATCTTCTCCCTCAAAACTCTCTAAAACTGTTACTTACTTCCCATTCAACAAGTCGTGAATATCCCTGTCCTTGCTGGATCCAGCTTCATCAACTGCCACGGGGATCTTATCCGTGGAGACCAAATTCTATATTGTTTTATACCTAAAATGTTTAAAAAAAGTTCTAACTTACAAAGTCGTCCGAATTTATTGCTGTAGCGATCACATACTGTTGATGTCGAACATCAATTGGGCCTGAAAAGTTAAAACAAGTTCAGGTATGGTGTCCGCAGTTGGCCGGGTAGGAAAAATTAGACCTGAAATTACTCAAATATGCTAACAAAATAAGGCAACTTACATTTCGCCGCGTCGGTCCGCCCTTCTTCGTCAAAATTCCCTATCATTCATCGATGGGCTTCACCTCCATCTATTGTTGTCGGCCACTTTTGTTCGGTCAAAACGACTGAAAATTGTTCGGGCGCAAGCTGCGGAACCTTTTTTTTCGCTTTTGCCCAGGGGTGGCAAACGGGCCTCTTTTTCCAAATTTCAGGCCCGGGGCCCGGCCCGGCAAAATCCCAGGCCCGGCCCGGCCCGGTTCAAAATTTTGCAGGCCCGGCCCGGCCCGGCCCGGTAGAAATCAGGCCCGGCCCGGCCCGGCCCGGTAAAAGCCCGGTTAGGGCGCGAGCTGGAAATTTTCCTTTGATCTTACCGCCTCTGTAGTGTGCTAAAATCTGCTAAGAACTATCCTATATGTATTATATGTTCTAACTTGGACCTTATATTATAACATATATGCAAAAAAGTACTATAAAGTAATAAACTATTGTAGAACTTGATATACTAAAAATACAAACCTATCCAAAAATTTTTCCGGCGCGAAAACATTGAATGCCAAACGCTTGGCATTTCGACAAAACCGGGCCGGGCCGGGCCTGAAAATGGCTCAGGCCCGCGGCCCGGCCCGGTAAAAAGCAGGCCCGGCCCGGCCCGTTTCAAAATTTGTCAGGCCCGGCCCGTTTAGGCCCGATCGGGCCGGGCTTTACCGGGCCGGGCCGGCCCGGCCCGGTGGCCACCCCTGCTTTTGCCAGAAAAATGAAGTTTTACCAACAACTTTGACGCCAAAAAAGGACGACCAAGATTGATATGCGATTGATGAAGGCCTCCAAACACCGCCCATCAGATGTTGAACGGGATCTACTGCAAATCATGGACTTATATTCGGCCTCCAATGTCTGGACTCGGAAAAGGTACGTAGAATGTTAAATTGTTGATAGTATTGGCAAATTTTAGCCGAAATATCTCCGCGTCATGTGCAGCGAGATGTTTCAATAGTTCTGGAGGACAAGCATAATAATGATGCGGCTTATGAAGTAAATGAAGTCCCTCTTCGTCGGCTTGCAATATGGTAAGTTCTTTTCTTCTGTTTTGCGTTGTTGATTTAGGAAATATTCAACCACACACCGTCTTCATCAATCCGATTACAGATGTGGTCTACTAATGAGAAACACGTGATCTTCTGGACCTATGCGCAACTGTTTGCTCCCGGCGACTAAACCCAAATGTAAGGAGTACACCAAATTCTGGATAAGCTAGCTCCACCGAATGCATTCGCAGCCAGCCGTTCAACAATCCCATAGGTACGCGAAAAAGTGCACAATTTTCCGGCTATTGTTGCTATTACAATTCAGCCACCATGGTTTATTATCTCTGTTACCTGAATTAGATTTTTGTGACCTTCTTTACATCAGATTTATATATTATATTTGATTTCTCCGATATCTGTTTCTTAGACACCTTTATTTATTGTTATTAAAGATTAGTTATTAATTTATTTTATAGAAAATGAACGAAGAGTGTTAGATTATACTGTCCAAACTTTCTTCTCAGAGAAAAAATGTAAAAAACATTGCATACTTGAAAAGAACAGTGCTTTATTTACTAAATGGCAACATTTCAATTCGCCGTTTTTCCTCAAAATCCTGCAGAAGTGGGCGGAGCCAATAGGCGGAAAGAGTCTCGACCCACACTCTTCCCCCACCTTGATGGCGGGAGCGTCTGCTCGAGACTCTTTCCGCCTCTCAGATTCTTTCCCAAATGGGAAGAGTTCGTAAACACACTCTTCCGAACGAAAAGGAAAGAGGCTGAAGCATTTTTTTCAGAAGATTTTTTTCGCTCTTATTCCTTCGCTCTTATATTTTCAACGGCCTGCCTTTTTTGGAGTAATTTTTTATCTCACAAACAGAATTCAGCCGAATGTCATCAAGGAGACAAGCCCGATTAAATTTAAAAAAATCTGTATCGAATTCTCACAGTCAAGTTTAACAATTCATGTACTTTATTTAAAATTATAACATTATATTGTGGCTACAGTACCCCATCTTCTGCAATCTTCCTTCGTGGGCGTACTGTATTTTGCAAAACACTTATTTCTCTCTTTTGAGAGAAAAAGTCCTTTACAGTACATTTTGCTTCCATAGTGAAATAGTTGCTTTGGCTGTGAAGCCATCATAAGCCATTTCAACTCCCTTGGTCCAAAATGTTTTGTGTCTTGCATATGTGCGTTTTCTTCTGGAAGCATTCTTATTTTTTCAGAAACGGTCCATTAAATCTAAATCCTTTCAATTAACTCGTTTTTTTCGAATGAAAGCATGGAAGATTGTCTTTTCACTGCTTATATTTACATCTTCACCTTGTGACGTACCTGAGTCGGGGTTTCAAAGGTTTGCAAAAAAGTATATTATAATTTCTAACTTTGAACATAATTTTTGAGGGGAAATTATTGTTCGGTCCCGTGACGAAAACTACAAGACCTTTGGCATTACGTTTTGTCCCATGGCCAAGGAGGATTATATTATTCAGTGAATGTGTGTGTTACGCTATATATTGCTATTATTGTTTCTGTAATAAATCTATCTATATTTATTACTCTACATTCGGCTGACTACATACCTTCACAACTACACGTGAAGATACAACAACTGGCGCAGTCGACAGGATTCGAACCTGCTAAGACCTTACGTTCTAATCAAAGATTCCCTATCAGAAGTCAAAGGAATCCTACTCTACGATGACAGAGTGATGATCCCAAAAGCTTACAGGAAAAAGGTTATCGAAAAATTACACCAAGCCCACCCAGGAATTACACGAATGAAGAAATTGGCACGAAGCCATTTCTACTGGCCTCAAATGGGCAAGGATATCGAGATGGCGGTTAAAGGTTGTCAACATTGCATCGACACCGCCAATACACCCCGCAAAATCCCACTCCAACCTTGGCCAGAAACCCAAAAACCATGGTCTAGGATTCATCTCGATTTCGCCGAACCTAAGAAAGGTCATCAATTCCTTGTTGTCGTTGACAGTTATTCCAAACTCCTGGACGCGCACTGGATGAACCCTGCGGACTCCAAAAATTTGATCGCCTACTTACACATCCTGTTCCGACACTTTGGAGCCCCGGAAACTCTTGTCACAGATAACGGAGGACAGTTTATTTCCGAAGAGTTCGCCAAATTCTGTCAAGACCTCCAGATCGTCCACCTCAAAAGCGCACCCAGGATGCCTCAAAGCAATGGCCACGCTGAAAGATCAGTCCAGACACTGAAGAAATCGTTGGAAGCCAACAAATCTTCCCTCGATACAGCGGTACTTACGTACAATTACACCCCCAATGAAGCTCTTGATGGACGAACCCCCAACGAAGTCTTCTTTGGACGCCAACTCCGTACACCCTTTGATGTTTTCAAACCAAACTCACCTCACTTCCCAAATATGGACAAATCCGATGACATTACACAGCTAAATCGGTCCCAGAAGATCATGAAGAAGAAATTCGATAGCCACCATGGAGCCAGGCCTCGATTCTTTACAAAGGGAGAGATGGTGACGATACAACTCGTTACTGGTAAACGAGTCACTGGGAAACTCATTCAGTTCTTGGGGAAGACTATGGCAAAAGTTCAAGTGCAGGACCAAGTACACACTCGCCACTTCAACCAAATCTGGAAGCGGTTCCCTTACGAGTACGATACGATGGTGGAAGAAGAGAATAATACACCCCCGGCAAGTTATTCCTCTAATCTATCCCACTATTTTCTGGTTGTTCCGAACCGATCTAATGGACCTGACGCACCTCCTACCGTTGCCCGGCGAATACAGCCCAGCCGAAACGCCAAGAAGCCCTTGGACTATCAACAGCTCTCCGGCCGTCGTCAAAAAGCCAAGCAATGATCCTTTTCCACAAAGGGAGATGTTCGGTCCCGTGACGAAAACTACAAGACCTTTGGCATTACGTTTTGTCCCATGGCCAAGGAGGATTATATTATTCAGTGAATGTGTGTGTTACGCTATATATTGCTATTATTGTTTCTGTAATAAATCTATCTATATTTATTACTCTACATTCGGCTGACTACATACCTTCACAACTACACGTGAAGATACAACAACTGTGAATGTTTGGTGTTACGCTACGTTTTGTTATTATTATTCTGTAATAAACCTATCTATATTTGTTACCCTACATCTGGCTGACTACATACCTTCACAACTACACGTGAAGATACAACAATTATGATTATTACTTCCCTATATAAAAAGCGTCGCTACGACCTAACGAGTCTTGCCGGACCCGCTAGCCTACCTATCCTACCAAGCCTTATTCGTCTGCCTTAAGGGCACCACGAGAGCCATCTACAGCAAATATAAATCATAGCAATTTATTAACCTTCTACTAACGGGGCTATCCTAAGCAACGGCCTAGGAAACTTACCCTTGGCTCCAGCCTACCCCTCACACGGAGTGCGGTGACGTCGCTCCTTCCCGACTGACTGCGAAGTCGGAAGCCGACTCGAGTGACTCGGAATCGCGCTGCGCTTCCGTCGTTAGGCGCAGGTTGGCGCCTCGGGCGTTTTTAGATTCATATCAGTTTGATAGACGACAACCAAATAAATATTCTTTTAAATACAATTCCCATTATGTCCAACCATAACATCCACCCAAACCTTGTTTCTGAGCGCCCCCGCTCAGTCACTGTTAGTACAATGAAACTCTCGAATTGGAATTGGTTAGTGACATAAGAGCAAATATATGCTACAAGTAAAACGCTTTACTGTGTTTAGTCCAGAAATTAGTTCTTGGTGCTCTTGGGTAATCTTATATTCCGTTTATGGGATGACGATGTCGGTTGCCGTAGGACGTGATGTCTTCTTATGCCTGTTTGTGGCTTCTGATGCGAATGTATAGTTGCCAATCGTGTTTTGAAGTTGCATATTGCATTGTAAACTGGTTGTCTCGCTTCTTTTGAGCTGGAGCAGACGATGAATGTTGATTCAGATACCTTTGAGACCTCGAACTTTTTCCTTCCTTTACCCTAGTAAAGTTATTGTTACTTGAACAGACGGATTAGACACTACAGTTACAACTGATAATTAGATTACTCAATATTTTAAATAGAAATAGAACTGGATAACGTATCATAAATCGTTGACCGAAGACTTTGCTTGGGTTTCCATAGGGCTCCATTGGCTTGCTACTAGTAAACATTGAACTTTCCTGCGACGCGGCGGCTGGGAACTGTGATGCTTGCATAATCGGGGCTAGTAGTAGGCCCGATATTGGTTGAAAACTTGTATAACTGGCGTTGAAAACGGCAGAATTTGTATAGACGTTTGTCGACTGTCTAACCGCAGTTGCTGCGCATGTAAAGTGGAGCTGGTACTTGTCATCGTACTGTTCGCGCGCTCTGAACTTGCGAATTGGATGATCTTGACCGATTTGTCGAGTGTTGATCGTACGAGGCTGACTAAATGTCGCTCTAGCGCCTCCTTCCGATTTGACTGAAGTTCGGACCTCCGAACTTGGAGTTCTTCGTTACTTTCGTCGCCTGGGTAGACGTGTCGAAAGTTGGTACTCGATCTATAAACTTCTTATGGAAGTATCTGGCCTAAGGCACAGAGATTTTATCTAAAATTATATCGATTAATTGAATTAAGTGGCTTTTAATGTCCTGATTCCGTACTATTTTTCTCACTGCTTTCTTTAATTCACTCAACTGTTTTGATCTATACCCTTTCCGTTATCTTACATCTACTCACACACAATTTTTGCTTTCCGTTTTCTAGACCAGGTCGCACGCCAATGGCACTAATCAATAACCCAAAATATTTGATTTTTTATTTGTGGCGTTTTAGGGAAAGAGAATGGTTCGGCCCGATAAAGACTACCTTAGGATTGGCCAGAGGGAATTAAAGGGATTTTTTTCGGAGTCGGACCCTGTTATCACCCAAAATTGACATCCTTTTGAACTTGGAAAGTGGAACCGAATTCCTGATACGATCACGCGTACGGGGACGCGAAGTCGGCACTTCCTATATATGCTCGCTGTTGGAGTCTAGACGAGATTGCGCAACAAGATTAATTATTTTCGTCTCGATTTAAATGCCTGCCCCAAAATGTGGCGATGGTATCGCCGCGGAATTTTGAAACCGGAAAAATTCCAGCTGCGGGGCTTCCGCGCCCTTCAATGGTTGTCACCATAAATGATAAATTACAATAAAACTACTATAGGATTTCTAAAAGAATTCACACTTTACGGGCCCCACACACACTTAGTTTAATTATTAATTACACTCACACACACACGTTACGGTCATTACTGACTTATAGAGGTAGAAAATCCTATTTCAAAACAACTTAAATCTACATATAATATAATTTAAAACCTAGGTTGAGAAAGGGTCGGGATGTGTGGGTGAAATTTCACTCGTATTCCTAGCTATTGTTGTTGGAGGCCAGGTCAAAATAAAATAAATAATAATAAACTGGGAATTTCTAATATGGGAGTCTAAATCCCGCCTGGATCGGTACTGGGCTTTTAACTATATTTCGATTACCCTACTTCTGAAACGACTAAGCCTAAATATAATTGCCGGAACGATGGCGAGAGGCAAGCCAATAGGATAACGATAAAAGATAACGACCGCAGCCGGGGGCACCTTCGCGGAACTTTTATAAAGGATACCCCAATATGATTCATGTCCTCTCTGGGGACGTACCGTTTTTCTCAGGAGCTAGACTTGCCAGGTCTAACTTTGTATGTCAAGGCCCTTGAGTATTGTCACTTTTAGGTGCAACACTCTAAATAAAACTACTTAAAAAGATAAATACTCGAAACTGGATGGAAACTGACCTGAATAAATCTGCGCAGATATTGCAACTATAATATCTTCTGAAGCCCATCGTTCCTTGTTTCCATCTTGACTCCGTTCCACTTGGCCATTGACACTCGGGATACACCAACAACAAATGTCATTAGAAAATAATGAGGGAGAATACGCGGGTAGGCTGGATGGACCGGTAGTGCTTTTGTCGGCTCCATCTCGGTGGGACCTCCATTATTTTGAGGGGAAATTATGGTTATTAATTCCCTATATAAAAAGCGTCGCTACGACCTAACGAGTCTTGCCGGACCCGCTAGCCTACCTATCCTACCAAGCCTTATTCGTCTGCCTTAAGGGCACCACGAGAGCCATCTACAGCAAATATAAATCATAGCAATTTATTAACCTTCTACTAACGGGGCTATCCTAAGCAACGGCCTAGGAAACTTACCCTTGGCTCCAGCCTACCCCTCACACGGAGTGCGGTGACGTCGCTCCTTCCCGACTGACTGCGAAGTCGGAAGCCGACTCGAGTGACTCGGAATCGCGCTGCGCTTCCGTCGTTAGGCGCAGGTTGGCGCCTCGGGCGTTTTTAGATTCATATCAGTTTGATAGACGACAACCAAATAAATATTCTTTTAAATACAATTCCCATTATGTCCAACCATAACATAATGTAGTTCATACGTCATCATTCAGAAATTTCGATAAATATCCGGGAAAACGTCGAAATTAAACCAAAACGGTCGAGAAGCTTCATTTCTTTCTGTAACTTTACTCAAATTTTTTAATTCTCACAGCGACTGCGTTTTTGCTTTTTATTGTGCGATTTTACCGCCAGCGGCCGCCGTTCTGTCGCATAAGTTTCGCCTGATGCAGAAAGCCAAGACGCTTGACGCACAAAAATGAGTAAAGCAAGCTGGCGTGGTATGGGTCAAGTGTTCCCCCGACCGCGTTCTACCTTCCACAATTCTCTTGGCGATTGATTTTTGACTAAAATGGGGTGAGAACACGTTTGAACAAGGGATTAGAGGGATCCTGTTGTTTGGTCTGCAGAACGGTACGAGCACGGACGGCATAACAATTACGTGTGGCGTGTGAGGAGAGAGAATTCGGGAAGAGTAGAGGCGACAGACAGTGCTCGCCCAGAAAACGAGAGAAATGGACGGAAGAAGAGGGACCAGAGGCGGGAAACTTCGAGAAAGCCTCGAACGGATAGAATTTTGGAGTGGAGGAGAGCCGAAGCCAGAGCCATGCCGAGTAAGAGGAGTAAAAGGCCAGTTATTATCTGATTGTGGCCACAATTTCAGTAGACTCCTGCTCGGATGGACACTCTTGAGTGACCATTTTTTGGGTCTCACGGTGAACGCCGGGGTAAAAAACGAACTTTTCATGTGGTTTATGCTCTGGAAACCTTTTGTTACTTGCGAAGTTTCATGCTCAGTTTTGGCATTTTAGTGGTCTAATGTAATTTTACTTTACGGCGTTGTCTGGTAGGCTGACTGTTCGTGCCTAATTCGTGAGGAACTCGTGACTAGATTTTTGTTATCCTGAAAGGCGTTTGGCACTGTTACGCGATCGCTCTCAAAAGACTGTAATATCGAAGTAATTGACGCGCCAATTGAATGACAGATAAGACTTTATACGTTATTTCTGTTTGAGAAATTCCTCCCCAAATGAAATGAATCATCGCGGTTGAGAGAGTGGAATCGGGGAGGGTGAACTGATGTTTCACACGAGATCCTTGGGATTTTGTTTATTTTGAGTCCGTATAATTGATGGTCAAGTGTTTTCGAGCGTCATCCCGCCTGATAATCACCCCCTCGACTATCCGTTTCTATTTTGGGTTTTCTTTTGCCGTCTAGAAGATGTCTAAATAATATTTCATATTTTTTGCCATCTGTAATGTAATCTTAGGAAAAGAATTTCGTGGCGATAAGAAGGTTCAGACTTTATTGCTTTCTTTTGTTTACGACTTCCGATTCATGCCGACTGTTTCTTTTCTTTGTTTTCGTTCGATCGTTTTTCTCGATAATAAGAGCCAAGTCAACTATAAACATAAGCTAGTACTGATTTCAGGAGGCGGAATGAACCATCCTTTCCACACGAATTATAGCCTCCCTTCTTTGGAAGATCTGGACTGGAAGGGAGACAATTGGAAGGACCTTGGTCGTATTTCATTGGTCGTTTTCATTTCTTTCCTCTTCTTCTGGTTGTTACAGTACACTGTGCGATGGTATTTGTTTGGAAAGTGTACCTTCAGAACGTTCGATTACTTCAAGTTTGGAAGAAAACGACGAAGAAGACATGTTCCTCCATCCACGGAGCTTGAGGTATGTTGTTTTAGTGATTGAGATGATGTTTTTGTGCCGTTATGTTACTTATTGTATTCGTTTTAGGCAGTACCTCCCAACAAGAAGTGGAGAACCTCCAATGAAGCCGTCTCCTTGATCCATTCGGTTATTTCTGGCCTCTGGGCCTTGTACGCCGTGTTAACCTACCCCAATCTCCTCAGTGACATGATGTATTTCGAACATCCAGTGCCAAAGTTTTTGGTGAGTAGTGTCAGAATACGTTTAGAGATTGGTCGACTGGTTGCTTATCCTAAGCTTTACAGATATACGTGTCATTTGGCTATATTATCCATGATCTTCTTGACCTTCTGATCAACGAACGTTCCATTCGAATCCTGGAGCTTCTCTTCCATCATATTGTAGTAATCATCGCCTTCCTGACGACCATTATCCCATCGCTTTTTCTGGGTGTGGTTGTGCTGGGTCTTCTGATGGAAGTGAATTCGATTTTCCTCCACTCCCGATCTCTTCTGAATCTCTACAGAGTCTCCAAAGAATCAACTGCCTTCAAATTTGTGGCCCTTCTCAATGTTCTAACGTTCATGGCGTTCCGTATGGCCGTTTCCCTATACCTAGTCTACTGGCAGATCACGAATGGCTGGTCCTTGGAATGGTACTTCACTCTGCTTACTTTCGTGGTCATCTTCTCCTTGTTGACCACAAATACCGTTCTCTGTTATCGAGTTCTGGCCGCTGATGGCTTGCTTGGAGCACGCCGGGCCAGGCCTCCAAGTCAAAGAACTGAGACCAAATCAAGTGAAGAAGACGAGGAATTGGATGCTGATGATGAAGACGACGAAGAAGATGGGGAAACCGACACGGACGCAGCTCGCATCAAACGGCGGACTAGTCAATCAGCAGCCACCCAAACGAATGGTGCAGATGCCGGCCAGGCCGAGCCTGTAGTTGTTGTACACCAACCGTAAAAGTATTTAAATTTGCTATTTCGAACCAAAAAAACATTTCGGGTGATCTCCGATCTGGTTGTTGTGTTAATAATGGTACTTTACTTGACATGCTTCATCCTTATAATCGAATTTTTATTTCGTATACGAAGTCACACACTTCGGTGCAAATTTACAAATAAATGATGATAATATGGAGAATTGGCATTGTGTTTTGAAACATTCAAATTTGGTGTTTTCGTGCCGAGACTCAGGGATTACGGTAATGCAAAAGTCGGCGAAGTTGCCAACAACGGCAGAGCAAGGATTATTTCGTGAGGTGATTAGAGACGACGAGCAGCAAGGTTTTATGTATACTGACTAGTTTTTTCTGGAACTTTGAGTTATCGGGCCTAGGTATCATATCTTTTTTCGTCGTATCAGATTGGTCTTTACAGGTATAACGTGTATTTTTATTCACCGAAGTTGAAAACTCGGTTACTAACTCTGACAAGTCCATCCAAGGATGGATTCAACGGAACAAATCCAGAATATGCTGGTCAGCACAGTCGCTGCGAATGTTGATGGAATCATGCTGCATAAGCTCGAAAGTACATTCAAGTGGGTTGAGATAAAAAGTTAGGTCATTGCTTAGGTCTGATTGGGATCAGGATCTGAAGGACCACTTTGACAAGTTAGGTGTGTCCAATATCACGGAACTTGTCCTTTCCATGAAAAACAGACTCCAACTTCTTGGGAATATAATTTATCAAGTGAACGACGGAAATATTCAGGACGTGGTCGACCTCATCACCGAATCGAAGTAAGTTGTATCTCTTGATTTCAGCTACTATTTTAGAACAATCAATATCGAAGAGAAAAATCAGAAGAATGCGATGAAGGCTAGACAGCGCGAAAGAGAAAAAGGAAGGTCGACGTACAAAAATAGTACATCTGTAAACGTCAACCAAAGGGCAAAGTCCTTCTTCTCCTCCAGCAACGCTATTGTGAAGCCCATAAAGGCAAGCGGTTTTCACCTTTTTGGTCGTATGTTTGATTGCGTAACGGAACTTTGAATTTTCAGTCGGTGGGCAGGATCAACGGGAATGAGGTCCCGTTACCTCCAGGAAAGTTCTTTAACTCTACATATTCTCCAGCCCCAAAGTCATCTAATGTCTCGGTCCTTGACCTCTTCACAAGTGGTTTGAAAAAGTCTGACGCAGTCACGAACATCACTGGGCCGTCGATTGCAACTCCATATTTTTGCTCAACAGGTCCGTCTACTTCGAAGACTTATAATTATGGCAATCCGCACATTCCATTCTTCACCTCACTCACTCCCCCAAATCCATCGTCTGTACCGCGTGGATTTGGTGTTTCCAATACAGTCGAAGACGAGTTGGATGGAGCAGCTACACTACCGGAAAAACCGACTTTCGGGAACGCGCGATATAATAGCGACATGTTCTTTAAGCCGGGGCATAGGAATGAGCTCGAGGCAAAATTCGGGATCAGTTCGGATCAAGTGAGCTTCGCGAAGACGGATCCTCCGAAACAACAACGGGTACCGGAGGAGAATCCGTTTGGGAAGTATCCAGTGACACCATCAGATGCCGAATTCGGGGTTCCGCAGAGCCGAAAGCCTGTGAATGGAACCGGAAACTTCAAATTCATTCCAAAAAAAATTGCCGCAGGCGACAGTAATAGAAAAAAGAATGTTGCCTCTGTTCCAGATGGTTACAAGAAGAGTATCGCTGGGTTCATCCAGTCCAACGGCAGAAATATGCGCATGCCACCGGTTCCGCGTACGGTGTCCAGGGTTGCCCGATTTGCCGCCTCGATGAGCGCAACTGAACCTGCGAGAAAGGTATTGGATCCTGATTGGGTATGTTATAACTAAATGGAGGCCGGGAAAAATGCAGGGATTATTTATAGTTATATTTTATTTAGCAATCTAAATTTAGCAAAAGTAACGAACAATATCAGTAACTTTTATTTTTTGTATGTATTTAATCAGTTTCAAAATACCTTTTCTTTTGGCGGCGATACAGTGGTTCAAACGCTATCTGTTTAGCGTTGAACTCCTTGGCTATTCGGCACACTCATCTGTCGCTAATGTCACGGGCGATTTTTCTGGAAGATCGCATATTTTCCTGTTGATGATCTTCTATGCCGAGCACATTAACAATTCGAACAGTTCCAAAATCGAGTCACTTTGTTTGACATTCAAAAAACGTGTTACATAATCCATATGGACATGAAAAAGAAACCACTAGTACAGAAAAATACGGAGAATTTAATAGTCGGAGTATCGTTTGGCTACACTTAAAAGTTTTTGCATTATGACCCGTGAAAGAAACTCCTGCATTTTTTGCGACCACCCTGTATTGCGTCATTACGATGATTTTTAGTATAATGTCATGAAATGTGTGAACATTATCAAGGAACGAGGGAAGGTGAAGACCAAAACTCTGGAGAAACTGGTCGAGCAGGAATTTGGCTGTTCACTCGACAAGGCATTTGTAAGTTTAAGTTGTGCACCATAATACATTGTTGCAGATGAAAAAAGTCTTTGGGGTGGAAATTCCGTTTCTAACCAAAGCCTTGCTGATGATGAAGGACACTGTGTTTAGATACAACCCTCTGGCTGATTGTTTTGAACTCAAGTGTCCTTGTAGGTTCTAGATTGGATTGAACATCGTTTTAGATGAAGAGATTGTTGAGAAATTCGAAGCCATGAAGAAACCACAGGAATTGGAAGAAACTTCCAAGGGTGATGAAAAAGAAGAAACAACGGTTTCAGAAGCTTTGACTAATCATGATCAAGAAGCACTTCCCTCGAGTTTAGAGGAAGTCTCTGTTAAGGATGAGCCACTAATTTCAGAAGAGGATCTGTCCACTGCGACAGAAGGGGAAGCTGCTTCGTCCATTAAAGAGATGCCCGATGCCGGTGAGCCGTCTTCCACGAAGGTTTCGGAGATTTTGAACGATGGCTTTGACATAACCGAGAGGACGAATGAGACAATCTTCTCACATTCGGCGTTTGAACGGTACAGAAATTGTAATGTGGAGGCAGCGCCAAATTCGATGGGTAGTTATCGCCAAAAACAAGTTTCCGAGTCCGGGTCTGATCATAGTCAGAGTGCCTTGGACATCATCAATCAAATCGTTTTGCCGGATGAAGCCAAAGACTTTGACAGTATGACAAATACAATTACTGAAATCGATGGAACCGCGTTCTATGTTAATGTAGGTTTTATTGCGACTTTCACTATTAGTTTAGAAAACCATTCGTACTCTTCTGATGGTGGTCATGCAATTTGATGAAAACGAGAAGATTACAATCCCAAAGATCGCCGAGGCTCTCCTTTACGAATCTCGGGGTCAAATGGAATTAACTGTGGAATTGGTAGGCCATCATCTTGCGTTTCATACTCTTGACTTTAGATGAATGAGGCGTTCGGATTGAAGGTGTCGACTGTTGAAGAAGCCTTCAAAAGCCTTCCTCAATTCTTTTCCTACATCGATGGCGAGATTGCATTGGATTCTTTCCTGCCGTATTTCCTTGAGGAGGGGTATACTCTTGTCTTTGACAAGTATAACAGAATCCGTGATGGAGACCAGATGCTTAGGATTAGCCCTTCTTGTATCCAGAACGCCGCGACAGTGAAAGAATAACAACATCTAACTTCTCAAATTATTTTTTAATATTGTTGCTTTTTTATTTGTCTGATTCCCCCAGTTTTACATGTGCTTTATTCATCATATATTTACATAAGCTGATGGGGATAAGACGCAATTTTACTAAAATTAAATTTTTGTACTTACATCGGTTTGCCGCGGTAGTTTTGATACGCGTTTGTACGGTTTAATACATACCTTTTTCGATTTTCTTAAGTTGTGAATTTCAGATGACCGATTTCTTCCAAAGCAATGGTTTTTCCAAGTCTAGCGGCACCCGTGGTGGATTCAATTTGAGCGATGGTGAAGGTTCCGACAATGACAACGCCAAGTCCAGATTGGGACGTTCGATCGGGCCCGGATCATCTATGTTCTTCAGGCCCAGGAGTGGGTCAATGAGTTCGTCCAGAAGAGTTTGTCGAATGGAATCGTCTTTCAAAGACGAGGCCTATGGAGGAAAAGGAATGTGGGGAATTCAAGCAACTTGGGAAGGGAGCACCGAGAAGAGTCCAATGGAACTAGTCTACACTGAATGCCCTCTCAACCATCTCCATGAGTCGAACCATTATGATACTGAATGTAGGTTTGATTCCCTTGGAAAGAAAAATAGTACCCTTATTTTTCAGACCCATTAAACTCCGTCTTCGCTCCTTTCACCGATGGACTAAAGGAAGACGAGAAGGTCTTCCCGATGGCTCATCCGGCACACCCAGAGCAATACCACGACTTTTTAAGAGCTCGCGAGATCGTGATCAGCATCCTCAATAATGAACGATATCGGCTCGAAAGAGGACAGCGCAGACTCCGGAGACTCAGCCGTGGTACTGATATCGACTCGTCCTCTGAATACGACTTTTGAAAGAACAATATGATTGTTATTATTACGATTTACACTCACAGGTTGACACACTTTCTTTCATTATTCACCAATACTTGTAAAACATGATTTTGTAACCTTTACATTTTACATTACAATAGACAGATTAAATATAATTAATCGCCTTCTTCGTCCCCAAAAGATAACAAACGACTTTGTTGAATATGTTGCTGAGTTTCCTGTTTCTTTTTCTTTTCGTTGGATTTGTCTTCGGACTCCGGAGCTGTTCGTTTTACAGGCTTTTTGAATGTGATAAGGCCTTTCTCGATCTTTTCTTCTGTAAACCGAGGAGTAAGAAAATGTTTGACCACTTACTGTCTTCGGCTTCCCTTTTCTTCTTCACTTCCTCATCCAGTTCTCCTTCGGATACATCTTTTTCGGGATTCAGAACTACAATTTGAGGCCGGTCTTCTTTCTTCAGGTTCCTGATATCATCTGGATCTCCCGAGAACCCAGGACTCTCTTCTGCATCTTCGCCACCTTCATCAAAGAACTAAACAAAAATTTTCCGAAAGATGGATACTTACTTTATCCTCCAATTTGGTCTCCTGGTAGCCAAACTTTTCCTTTATCTTCCTCAAAAACGGCGGATCATTGTTCTGAACATAAGTTATGGAACTCTTCTCCTTGTAACTCAACTTCTTGCCGTCTCCACCACCACCTCTTCCCCGGTTGTTGCGACTCATCTTTACTAACAATTCTAATTACAATAGGCGCTAAAACATTTGCAGAATTTTTGGTTTGTAAAGGATTCGTCGTATAAGATGAAACTTTCAGGTCGCGCCCTATAAAACTTCGGCGGTAAAAAATGTTGAAACAGATCCTCCTTGTCGGAACGATAATTGCATGTAGGTGTACGTTTTTTGAATGCTGTGTGAACGCGATGACCTATCATTTACGAGATTGACACCTCGTTATCATTTGAAATCCGTTTTAATCCTCGTTTTTAGGAAAGAAATGTTTGGAACATCCGCAGCAAAGCCAGGGACGGTCGGATTGTTTGGAAATGCCTCCTCTACCTCCATTGTGACATCACAGCCATCTTCATTATTCGGGCAACCAACGGCAACCAAGCCAGCTGAGCCTACAAACACCTTAGGTATCGGAACCTCGAATCGAACCAAAACTAGCCCTCTAGATTCAGAAGTTCCACAACAATTAACGGCAGCTGTGGATCAAATAAAGTAATCTTTATTTTTAAATTTTTATGAAGTTTAGAAATGCAATCAAGGGAAATAACGACAAGATAAGTGAATTTAACGCGACTTTTGATCTCGAATACGATGCGAAAGTTGAGAATACCAAAAATCTCGTACATCAAGCTTCGAGAAGACTTCAAACAAACTCGAATGAAGTTGAAAGTAGGTTTCAAAAAGGATTAATGAATAATCTTTTTAGAATTACTGCGCAAATCTAATCAGATGTTGACACATATGAAAGTATTAAGTAGAATAAACGAAGAGAACCGGGTAAATCCAAGCTCCGGCTTCCAATCTTTGATGGATTTCATGGAACAAAGTGCGGAGAACCTGCGGGGCGAGATTGATGAAGAACGGGTCAGAATTGTAGGACTTGAAGCTCCGCTCAAGGAGTACATAAATGTAAAGGAGGGAGTGGCTGTAGCTGAAGGCATCTCGAAGAAGGACATGTTCGACCACATTCATCGTACAGTGGCTATTACAGATGACGTTCTTTTGCGATCTTCCAACATTCATGAACAAGTTGAGAGGATGAAGAAACAACATGTGGATACCCTCCGACGATTGCAAGGAAGATACGTACCTTCTCCATTCGCATCCGATGAATCAGAAGAAATTGATCAATTCGAATATGATCCTAAGAAGAGAATGAGAGGTTAGTTTTTGATAGGTAATATTGTCTTCTTTTAGGTCCGAACATCTTCCCGAGCGCTGTTACTCTGCTGTCTTTGGCCGAGGGACTTCCAAAGGCGGGTCTTCAGCCTCAAGCGACATCCACTCTGGGAGGTTTTAGCAGTACGACTGGAACCACTGGCAGCCTTTTTGGTCCTAAACCAGCTGGCCTTGGTACTTTTGGAACTAGCTCCACCCCCGGGACGACTTCTCTGTTTGGCCCCAAACCCGCTGGGACCACTCCATTTGGTACCACGGCTACTTCAACGTAAGTGCTTATGGAGTTATTTTTTGCATTACTTTAGTGCGACTTCATCTACCGGAGGTCTCTTTGGTTCGAAACCGTCCTTCTTATCAACTTCAACCGCCGGGACTACTGCGACGCCGTCTCTTACGACTGGAACTTCGGGAACTGGCACTTTGTTTGGATCTACTACTACTCCAGCTTCCACTGCCTCAGCAACCCCATCTTTGTTCGGATCTATTCTCAACACTTCTAGCTCGGGCACTTTATTTGGAGGGACTGCCAATAAACCAATGTTCGGAGATGCTCCTAGTGCAAAGAAATTTGCCTAAATTATATTTATGTCAAGTGTCCGATCTTTCACATAAAATTATTTCTCATATCACTTGTTGTTTTCATCTCTGTTTGAAAGTTATTCATGACAAATAAACGAATAAGGAAACGTTTCATGGTATAAAATGTCGCCAGAAAAGCTTGTTTTCTGACGAAAGAAAATTTGGAAATTGTAAAATGTAGATTTATCTTGATTTTCTACAGTGGGCATGGATGTCAAAAATTACAGGGAATAGTTCTATGACTAACAGGTTTTTTTTTGATATAAGAGGAAGCGGATAAAAGGTAACCCCTCAAACATTTTTGCCTTTGCTCTGATAACTATTATGTGAAGATCCCACCAACACGTTTTTGTTTAAGATCTCTTTATTGTAATCTGTTTGTGTTTGTAATCTGTAATATTGTTTTGTGGTCCGATTTGGGATCTCCAACAATGAGTCATGTGATCTTGTATTGTTTGGACTTAGATAAAGCTAATTTCGAACAAATCAATAAGAGAGTAATCCCCACTAGTTCCGAACGTAATTAAGATTCAGGAATTTTAACGGTTTTCTGTTTTTTTATCATTCAAATCGATTTTTTCCGATTATTTGTATTGAAAACGACGCGCAAATAACTCATTTGGAACAATGTATTCCGCTTCCAGGAAAACTAAACGCTAAATTTCAGCTTCTATGTCGGTTTCAAAATGAGTGTTCAAGAAAGACTCCAATGTTTGTAAGTTTATTTTATGAATAACACTTACGTTTTTAGGTCACAAAATGTCCGAGATCGAGTCCGGAATTTGTTTCGTCATGATGACGAAGGTATGAACGATCAACTAGTCGCTTCTACACATTCTGAAGCGGAACGGTCGAATCAAGGAGGAGGTTATACTGAACTTATGGGAGGATCTGTTCCTTGTCCAAGCTGTAATGGGTCGGGGATGATACCAAAGGGTAAGTAAAACGCTTCTCTAGCTAAATCTGTTCATTGTAGAACTCGAGGGTACATTGGTGGCACTAATTCCATTGACTGATGACCGTTTGAAACCAAAGAAAACCTTGAGAACAATAATAATCTGGATCACGGTCTTCCTTTTGCTTGGAAGTTCCACAATTTTTGTTTTGATGCCCCGAACGGTGACAATTTCGTCACTGCAGAAACCGATTTCCATTGTTCATGTAACAAAGACCGATCCTCAAGACCATCAACTAATGGAATTCGACTTCCTGGTAAGTGTAATATAAAAAATTACTCATTCTGCTATTATTTTCTCATAAATTAATTTCAGAACCGGATAAACGTGTCTTCAGGAAACTATCTCCCAGTCAGTATAGTGAATGTGAGTGCGACCGTCGTCTCGAAATTCCAGCCTTGGTCGGTGGATGTAATTGGGCATGGTTTCAACAACTCTATTTCCGACAACGAACAGCTCCGCATCTACGGGCGCAGCGCTCAGGAAGTCTTCTTCAATAATTCCGTCAGCTTGCAGGGATATGTCGCGTAAGTGCATTTCAAGGTTATCTCCCAACGAACGGGTGTTAGGTTAGCGACAAAAAATACTTGCGCTCAAAAAAAGTGCGAGTAAAAAACAGCTTTGTTTAATATATACAGACAACAACAAGATTGCATTGCGAGGGTTACCATTAAAAGTGAGCAAGAATGCACATAAGAACGGCCAGATGGTCTAGTATAATATAATTTAGGCCTGTTGGAAGGCGAAACAGGTGATGTCTTCCTTGGTGTACTCACAGTAAAAGTCGGTAGCAACTCTGTAGCTGATCAGAGCTGGGGCACAGATCACATCGATTCCCTTGTCACTGTTGGCATCGCTGAATTGTTGGTTGGCGACTTTGTAGACGTTCCTCTTGGACTCGTTGGCATCACCGGCGACGATCTCCTTCTCCAAGATCTTTCTCAACTCCTTGTTGGAGCACTTGCCTTCAGCGTTGAGGGTCTTGGAGGCATAGGCAGCAGCAGCGGCAGCAACTCCCTCACCGCCAGTAGCATAAGAAGCGACGGGAGCGGCGACTGGGGCGGGAGCGGCGTAAGTTGGACCGGCAACTGGAGCAGCATAGCCTTGAGCGATTTGAGGGGCGGCGTAGCTGGGAGCAGCCACAGGCTGGGCATAGCCACCGCCGACTGGGCCTGAGGCATAGCTGGGGCCAGACTCAACTGGACGGACGATTACGTAGCGGGGCTGGCAAGGGGCGGCTACTGGGGGCGCGGCGTAAGAAGCGCCATAAGAGGCACCACCACCACATCCACAAGGCTGCGGGGGTGGGCATGCTAGAAATCGCGAATCATTTATGGAGGGGGATAATCAGGAAGGATGAAAAGTAATGAGTTGTAAGTAACTTACGTGGTGGAGGAGGAGCGCATCCACAACCACCACCGCCGCCACCAAAGAAGATGGCCGAAACTGGGGCCAAAAGGGCCAGGCTCAAAAAGATCAGTCTCATCCTCTGCAAGCAAAACTATGATGCCTACTACAATATAATGAGAAGTGATAAAACCCGCGGTTAACACGATCCGAACCCCGATCCAATTAGAGTAGCCTGCTCTACGTAGTTAACGCGCTTTTGACTCGGAAATGGTCGCAGTCCCTCGCAGGTGGGGAGGTCGGCTTAAATCCTGCTAGCCGCGATTTAATTCGACTCCGCCTAATTCTGTGTTTCTTTTCTTATCGCTTCCCGTCGACAAATTTCATCAACGCAGCTGAGACCGACCGTGACTCTGAGTCCCACACATCCATCAACAAGTTCTCGAGGTCGATGAACTTACATCTGATGGTATTGTTCCAATAAGAAAGGAAAGGGTAACAATAAAACAAAACATTAAATTTGAAAGTTCGAGGAATCATGACATAAATAACGAATCTGTGAACGCTTTGTAAGGAGTTGTATTAGTTTGTCCAATAAATAATGTCCCTCTTCGAGAGGGGCAAAGTCTAAAATCTCTAAAAAAGGCAAGCGATGATGGAATTTCGAGATATTACATCATTTTATAGCTGAGGTCTCAGGCTTCTGTTTGATGTATTGTTTAGCATATTTGGACCAAATTACAGTAATTTAGCCCTAGTTCAAAATTGTAGAAAAAAGGTCGGTTCGCGCTTTCGCCTTGTGCGGGTAAAAACAGGATGCGAAAGTTTCAGAAGCTGCACAAAGTATCAACGCCCTGTTCGGCTAGTGTGTTCTCAGTCCGAATACGGGGAAATCATGGTTCAAAAATTTTCGATCTGACGGCGAGGGACCCAAAGATAAAAGTACGGCATTCAAAATTTATGAAAGCTGTTACTTATTACGGTAAATTTTGTCGCAGAAGTAAATTTTTCAAAGAGGGGGATTACTTATTGGACACCCTAATATAAATTTACTCAAGCATTCGTCTCTATTTGAATCAACTACATTTGTTTTCAAAAAGAAAGAATGGGCGCTTCGTCTACTAATAGCCGGCTACTCCTTCAGGATCTTACTAGTTTTTCAGGCGAAAATAAAAAAAAGAATGAGATTTCCATCATAATTATGAAAGAGACAACTACGTAGACTACTTTCAGAAAGTATTGTCAAGCCGAGTTCTCAAATTACACGGCGCTCTATGTGACCATGCAATTCGATGTCTCCATCACCTTACAATACTATTATGGACATCAGGAACAGGTTATTTCTTCGGTTCAACAAGCTGTTTGTTGCATTCCACGAGGCAATTGTAGTAGTGTGTAAGGGATTACGTTGTATGTACAGTGCCTGCAAGTGCCCTTATAATATATGTAATATTGTAACCAGCCTGCTTATACCATTCATACCGGTTGAGTTCGGAGATACTGTAACTTTTTTATCTCCGGATTATTTCACTAATGTTCGGTGCTTTTCGTAACTCTTGTCTTTTGGTTTTATCTCCTCTCATCTTTCTCATCACATGGATAAAAACATAGCAGTTTGTTCTAGCTATACATTGTCACATGATTTATATATTGGTTTAGTGATTTTTTATATGATTTCCTTAGATCTGTAAGTGATAACCATATTTCAATGTAAATAAACAAAGTGTTTTATGTGTTGGTCTTTCCACATGTTGAGGGCGTTATCAACAAAAAGACTGCCAGGCTAATATAAAAGGCGCTCTCAAAACCATCAAGTATAATATCGTCGCACAAAATGAGCGACAAAATTAGAATTCGATTTGGAAATGGGGAAGTAGAAGGCAAGAGGATCGAGGGGGAAGCAGCTGCCTTCTTGGGAATACCATACGCCCAGCCACCGGTGGGAGAATTACGGTTTCAGGTGGGTTAAAGCAATGTAATCAAATTATTTTTATTATTATGAGCTGTAGAAAAATTAGGACACACCTTAATCAAATTATGAAACTACTGCGATGTTTTTAGAAGCCCAAGCCTGTGAAAAACTGGGATGGAGTCAAAGATTGCACCGAATTTGGTGCTCATTGTCCTTATAAGGCCACCCATACCGACAGGATCACGGGATCCGATGAGGATTGTCTTTATCTCAATGTGTTCGCTCCAATCTCTAACAGTCAGGTAGATCGCTCTATAAGTAAGATTACAGTTATATTAGGTGAAGAAAAATCTACCAGTTTTCGTTTATATCCATGGTGGGGGCTTTGTAATGGACTGTTCGAACAAACTTGGGATCGAAAACATTGGAAGGTAAGAAAGAAATGATTCCAATATTATTTTAGACATCTATGCATCAAGGATATTATTGTGGTCACCCTGAATTATCGTCTTGGTTTGTTGGGATTCCTATGTTGGAATGACAAGATCAAAGGGAATTTTGGGCTCTATGACATGAAGATGGCGTTGGAATGGGTGGTTCGGAATATATCAGCCTTTGGCGGGGATCCCCACAACATTACGGTGGGCGGCCAATCAGCCGGCGCGGTGGCCGTAGATCTGCTCTCCCTCTCTCCACTGACTCGGGACCTCTTCCAGAATTGTATCAATTTTGCGGGAACCTCATTCTGTGTATTTGCAACTAAGGATCAATCAAAAATTAAAGAATTTGCCATTGATTTTGCGAAAAAACATCTGAGATATCAAGGAGATGGAGAAGATGACAAAGTGCTCGAGATTTTGAAAACCGCTGATTGCAGGGACTTGGCTATTGAAGGCTTGGCCAATCTTGGGCCAGTTCTTGATGGAGAGTTCTTCCCGAAAGATCTAGATGCCCTAAGGGAAGAAGCCCCGAGGAAAAATGTTTTAACTGGAGTCACAGAATACGAATGCCTCACTTTTGGCGAGTGCAGACATGAATGATAACAGCTCTTGTGCTTTTAGGAATTTTCTCACAACAATTCCCGACCCTAAAGGCATCAGTTCCATTTTTTGTGAGGCTAATCAACGAAACAATCGACGTGAAGCCTGCTGAAGACTTATATGACAAGTTTGTTGACGAAACTCTTGATGAAAAGGACCCAGAAAAGTATAAACAGTTCACAAATGTGGGTTTGAATGGATAAAAATAGATTTTTTTTGTTTGTCTCATGGAAAATATAATTTTAGTTTCTATCCGATCTCTATTTCAATTATGGGACATATAGGATGGTCAAGCATCGAGTGGAGCGTGGAGAGGATGTATATCAGTTCAGATTCACCTATTTTAAAGAGGGAACCAACGGTTCTTATGCCTCTTTGATCCCTTTCCAAGGCGCCTCTCATTGTCTCGAATTACCGTATCTCTTCGGGATCAGTTACATCGATGAGGGAGAGTTTGAACCTGACGAGAATGACAAAATCATGATCGACTATTTCAGTGGATATCTCATCAATTTCATCAAGAATGGGTAGGGTTACGGTAGTTTGGGGATACTGTAATTTTAGGAATCCAAATGATGAGAAATTAAATGGATGGGAGAAAGTGACCAAAGAGAACCTGGCGGGACATATGTGCTTTGATCTAGAACCAAAAATGCACAATGTTGGATTGTACAGTAGTCAATTACACGAGCTGGATGCCTTTTTCAAGCAATAGTTTAAATATTGGATTGGTAGATATAAAATAAAGTGATTTAATAAATATTCTTAAAAAATTTTCTTTCATACATAAGTTTTTTGTAAGTATTGTAAGTATCACTTTTATAGTAATACACATTTTATTTCATCGTATAAGCTGATCCGTTTCCAAACTGCGCCCTAAATTTGGTCAGAAAATTTATTTTTTTTATTTTCAAAACAAGTTTCATGTAAAAAGTGGTGAAAAATAGCAAACAATGGATGACGAATACCAAGAGCACGATGAAAGTTTTGCTGAGGACGCGACTTTGGCCGAAAGCGGCCGAAAATGCACAATATTTGTGGTTGATGTATCAGAAGCTATGTTGAAGAAGAGATCTGATGGAAAAACATACTTGAATGAAGCTTTCAGACGACTGGCATCTCACTTGAACTACTTGGCACTGAATTCTAGCCTTAGAGAGTTTGTGTCCGTCATCTTTCTCAATGCGGTCAGTTACATTATAATTCACAGTTTTATTTAGGTATAAAATAAGCAGTTATGTATCGTTCATTGTCTTTCATTAGTTTTGCCATATTTTATTGCTGAAATTGTTGTTTTTTGTTTTAGCCCCCGGACAACGCACAAAATGGGATTTATGTCATGTATAAGATGGATAATGTTACCGTCGAACTAAATGACACAATTTATCATCTCTCTATCGCTGGTGAGTGAATATTCTCTTATTTTACATATCTTAGATGACCTTGCGAAAGAGTTTTCCGATTTGTATGGCTCTGGGTCTTCCCAATCTGATATTTCTGAGCTTATTTTTAGCTGCCGACGTTGTTTCTCAGATATGTAAGTTGAAAAAACAGGATTGTAAATACTTTTTAGTGGAAATGTTGCCCAAAAGCGTGTAATCTTCTACTCATACAACTACGATCCGTATGATGATCCATTTACAAAGGCCAAACATCTGGTATGGCCTTCAAGGTTACTGTAACTTCCTTGTTTAGGAGTTGGTAGCCAAGAGAATGGCCAAAGTGGAGACGGACATTCATTTCGCCGCCAATTTAATCGACTTTCCTCTCGGCGAGAAGCCAGATGATTTTTGGGTATGTAAAGTTATATTTCTTTTATGTTTGTCTTGTTTAGGACACAATAGACCCGGGGTACAAGTACAGGAAGCATCCAATTGAGCCAACTACTGAGTTTATCGAAGCTTCTCTCAGATCCGCAGCGGTGGTTCCCTTCCAACTTGGGGGTTCGGTGGAGATGGCTGTGAGTTGCTATTACATTTGCCATGAACGACACAAACCGTCGTCCGCATGGTTGGATGCCGAGACCAATGAAGTTGTGGAGAGAAAGGGATTTCTGGCCGATGAAGGGCCTGCTGAAGATGAGGAATTCGTCTCGATTTCAGCGCAAATCTCTCAAAACCCGAGGCCGATTGAAGATGGAGAACAGCCAGAACTCTCGGAATTGGAATGGAAAACTGCAATTGGGACTACGGAGATATATCTAAACAGACAAGAACGGGATCTATTGGGGAGGATTGAGTCCCCGAACATACGATTACTCGGATTTAAACCGATTTCCGAGTTGAAGGATTCGTGGAGAATGGGGGAAAGTGTTTATTTATATCCTTTGGATAAGGTAGGTCCTCTGTGTGAGCAATATTTTTATGATTTTAGGTGGTAACTGGCTCCCAAAATCTCTACCGCTCATTATATGAAAGTTGTCTCAAAAAACAGGTTTTTGCTTTAGCTAGATGCACATTCAGAAGTAATACAACCGCAAAATTATATGCCTTATTGCCTCAGAAGGCTTCACCAAGGGAAGGAGAAGAGTTTGTGAGTCTTTGCCAAGAAATTTTATTTGATTTTAGTGGTCAAGCGTAATATAAATTTTTTATAGAAACCAGTAGATCTCCACAGATATGAAGGCTTCCACGCGGTTAAATTACCTCTAAAGCAAAATAAAAGAGATCTGAATTGCGAATTTGAGAAGGAAACCCGTCAATTAATAGATCCGATGACTAAACCATCAAGTGTAATATCATCGCTGGTCGATAACCTCACTGAAGATTACACTCCCGAACTGTTCTTTAACCCTCGTATGCTGTTTTGTTTGCTGTGAAGGTGTTTTTGTTTAGAAGTTCAGAGTTACAATCGACTGATCGAAAGCTTGGCCATGAAATATTCCTTCGATAAATGCCAAAAGTTGGCCAAAGAAGTGGATCAGCATAGTAAGTCGTGTCCAATTGGTCGTAGAACTTAATTTCAGAAGCCTGGTTTGACGTGAAAGATAAGGATTTCGTCGAAAAGGAGCTAGCTCGAATCTCCACGGTGTTGGCCAAGGATCCAGAAGACGAAAAGTTGGCCAGGAAACGGAAACAGGGGACGAAGTACGATGGAAGTAGTAAGAAAGCGAAAGAATAGTATATTTCACTCGTATTTTTAACATTTTGTTACATTTTTTACTTTGGATCATATTGTTGTTACTTTCTAACCATTAGCTGCAGCTGCAGTACAATAGCCTATAATAACATAAACCGAAATATTTATTTTATTTGGCACAGTAAAAATGTCCGAATTGAGCAAAGCTACAAGAATATGGCGGGGAAATTATAGAGAAAAGTAGAAAAAAGAGATCTAAGGCATCTTTTGGACATTCAGTGAAGTGTTCGGACAGCTGAGATTAAAGGAATACGGTAGTTACCGCCGCGGTAAGTCCGTCATTTGGCTGGATATCAATTCGAGGAAACCGGTAGAGGACGATTTGGCTGGGGAGAGATTCAATATTACACTTAATACGTCTCCTAAATGATTCGTTGTTAAAGGTTGACAAAAGAATCGGTGAGGACAAAGAAACACTGTGAGAAACAAAGAAGCATTAACAGTTTAGGGGATCGATATAATTAATAACAATTTACATGGGAGGAGCGTTAGGACAGAACAAAATATTTAATTAACAGGTCAAGCGTACGGTCCTAAAAGTCGTCGAGGAGGTTATGTTTTGTGTTCTCGAGGATGGGAAGATCGGATTGGAAGACGCCTTGTAATTGGGCTTCGATCAGACGTTTCTGAGCCTTTAGAAGTTCGGTCTGCGCCTTTTCCCGCTCGATCTGGCAGATCAAAAGTCTCTGTCGGAGTTCGACCTCATCCGGAAAAGCTTCGTTCCCTCGATTCTGCAAGGGACTGACCAAATCTCCATTCTCGTTGGAATTGATGGCGTCATAAACGGAAGAAGAAGCGTCGTCTTCTTCAATGTCTTCTTCTTGATGTTGATTTAACCCATTCATAATCAATTGGGTCAGATCCAGAGGTTCCTGTTTGATCACTTCACACCGAGAGCCTAAAACTAATCAATTACTGTGATATTAGCCTTGCCATTCGCTTGATTTCCGTTCAATGGATCTCTCATATCAAAAACTAAACCATTCTCGATTCCCAATTTGGCCTGTTCTTGGCTGAGGACCCTCATCAAGTAATATGCCTTGCGGGCTTGAAGGGATCGATCTCTGTCGCCTCTTTTCTCCTTGTTCTAAACATCAAATAGTGTAAAATAAGATGACACTTACATTATAATGCATTCTGATATTATACCAGGCTCGTTGGAAACTGAGGACAGAACGTCCGGTGCATTGGGAGTTGAATTGTAAAACCATGTGTACCTTGTCCCAAAACCGGCGGTACTCTTGCTAAAACGTAAAATAAATACCTACCAACCATAACTTTAAATCGCTGCTTAAACCTCCATACCTTTCCATTTACCGTGCTGGCTCTCTTCTTTGGCAAAGCCGCCCTTCCACCACAAATAATCATCGCATCCAACAAGGGATCGATATTCTTTGGCACTAAAAATTTAATTTAGACACTTTGTTAGACAAGGAGCCAATTAAAATAACTTACAAGTCACATCTCCAGACGGAATTGAGGCATAGTTGGCGGGCGCATTAGTCTCGTTGGCAGTGGCAGTCTCAATCTTCGCGATCCTTTCCAGATTTACAGTTGCATCTTCATCATAGGAATCACAGGCTTGAAGGAGATACAAAACCTTCCGATCCGATGGTAAAGTTTCTCTATTCGCAGTCTTGGCTCGTGCCAGAACTCTCTGCTTCAATGCACACCAAGTTCTTTTAACATGGTTCACCGTGCGGACTTCTGATTGGTTCTCCGGATATAAATCATTGAGACGACTGAGGACCTTCCGCCAAAATTGGTCCCTGATTTCCCACTTCTCGCTATTTAACTGATCCCGTCCATCCAATTCGATCATAACCTCCACTACGGCGAATTTTGGAAGTTGTAACACCCGTTGTTGCGCCATCTGAAACCTAACACCTTGATTATATTATATTAGAACATGGAGAATAAAAAGTCGAAGATCGGTCAGTGAGTACGACCGCTATCCATCCAACCAAATATACTAATGGTTACGCAACCAAAAACATATGGAAATTACATGAAACATGGAATTATCTTTTATTTGCACCGTCAACAATTTTGGGATCAACAGACAAGACAGAAGAAAAATAATAAGATTACCAACCGCAGCCATAATTTATCTTAAATTAGCAGAAACCCAGAAAGAAAATTCTGCACTCTTTCCATGGAGCCCTTGAGAAACAACCAAATTACACTGTGATAGCACCAGGATGACAAAACAATGTAATTGACAAAACAATGGAACAATGAGCAATACTTACAGGGGAAGTACTTCAAGTGTGACGCTTAGATTTTCTTTAAATTTTGCACACACATCGGGTATGGACTAAATATCAATTCCTGAAAGTTTTAGCTCGCGCTTTGCGGGCGCCGCCGAGATATTGAACGATTTTTGCCGCCGAGAGAGCACGCTAAACGCGGAGAGCGGTCAGAGAGAAAACCGCTTTTTGGCCATAACTTTGGCAGTTTCGTGCGGAAAAATTTGATTTTTTGTAGAAACATTATTCTTTACGGTTGAAATAGGCATGAAACTTTTCGTGCCGAAATTCGGCAAAAAGTCCCAAATTTTCGCCGACTTTCGATCTAAAAATCTCGGTTGTTTCTGCAAAGCGCGAGCTAGGATTCCCGCATATATCTTAGAAAAAATTATTCTAAATTTGTGCCAAGTTTCATCAAAGTCTGAGCGTCACACTTCAAGTACTTCCCTTGTTAGTAAGATCTTCCAAAGAGAGCGAAGAATTTTGCCTTTTCCTTGCATTCAGGGAAGATACACTTCTCGGGGAGAGGCTGGGAAGGTTGATCCAAGGGGATACACAAGGTCTTGGCCCCCATCGCGGACTGACCGACTTCGGCCGATTCTTCTCTGGCCGAGCCTTCCTTGATCCTTTCCTCACAATCAATGCCTCCACAGAATGGAGATAACAGGACAAACTTCTGGTCTAAAAGGTCAGCGAACTTGCTCCAATCAGTGCACACCGTTTTGTGCTCGTTTCTTTGTTTCTCGACCCTAAAATAAACAACTATTCCATTATAACAAATATTTGTAATATAAAAAGAAAAACAAACTCACTTCTCATACATCTTTTGATGGATTTCATCGAGGAGATTCTGGAAATTCTTCTCCAACCCTTGCAAAGACACTGGTCTCTTCTCACCATCATGTCTAATAACAGCCAAAACCTGATTCTTTTGCAGATCTTTAGGACCAACTTCCACTCTGACGGGGACTCCCTTCAATTCCCAGTGATTGAACTTCCATCCGGGGCTCACATTCTCTCTGGCATCCAATTCAGCACGTATTCCAGCATCAATCAGTTGATTCACAATCTGTTGCGTCCTCTCCAACAACGATTTCTTTTCTTCTTCCGTCGTTTTGGCGGTGATTCCAACTGGAACAACGATCGCTTGAATGGATGCGACTCTGGGAGGGAGGACCAGTCCATTATCGTCCGCATGGATCATGACCATGGCTCCGATTGTTCTGGTGGAGAGTCCCCACGAGTTTTGCCAGGCAAAGGCATGGCTGGAGGGATCGGCGGGATCTTGGAACTTAATCTCAAACATCTTGGAGAAGTTTTGCCCGAGATGGTGGGAGGTGGCACCCTAAACATGAAGGCATCAGATAAAAAAATTCCCATCAAACATCTGTAAAAAAATACCACCATTGAAATTCATGAACCAACCTGGATTCCTCGGCCATTGACAGGGACGTAGGCCTCCACAGTTGTCGTAAAATCAGCTCCGGCGAATTTTTCCTTTTCAGATTTCCTGCCCTTGACAACGGGAATGGCCAAGAGGTCGGTGTAGACCTTGGAGTAAAGGTCCAGAATATTATATACTTCTTGTTCGGCCTCTTCTCTACTCTCGAAAGCGGTGTGACCTTCCTGCCAGAGGAACTCCCGGGATCGGATAAATGGTGTCGGATGTTTGAATTCCCATCTCTGCAAGAAGATAGGCCATTAGAGACTTTATAATTATAAAAGTCGAAGTTAATAACGACATTCAAAGCAGTAACCACCCAGAAACTTACCACAACATTACACCACTGGTTGACTTTGATGGGCAGATCCCGATGAGACTGCGTCCATTTGGCGAAGAATGGGTAAATGACGGTCTCCGAGGTTGGGCGAATCGCGATATGTTCGGCCAACTCCGAGCTGCCGGCTCTGGTGACCCACGCGACCTCAGGGGCGAAGTCGGTAAGGTGAGTTTTCTCTTTCTCCAAGGCACTGGACGAGACGAAGATCGGGAAGTAACTGTTCTTGACTCCCAATTTCTTGATCTCCTTATCGAAGAATCCTTGGATAAACTCCCAAATGGAATAAGCCCATGGACGGAGGACGTAACATCCGGAAACATCGTGATACTCGATCAATTCGGCCTTGGTAACAACCTTAATAACAAAAATTATTCGAAGAATAATCAAGCGTTTACCTGAGAATACCATTCGGAGTAGTTATCAAACTTCTTGGTGTCTATTCCCAATTTGGTTTGCTTTTTTCCATCCACCGGTTGTTGCACTTGAGGTTTCTTCTCTTCTTTCTTGGCCTTCTGAGGACGTCGGCCAGCTCCCTCGTATTCCTTTCCGAATTTCTCTTTGTACTCCAATTTGAGGGCTTGAAGACCGTCCAGCGCGGCTTTCAGGGCCTCCTAAAATCAGTTTTCTTTTGTTTTTTCATTAATTTCCAAGTATTCCCTTTCAAATCGTTCATAGAGAAGGGAATTACACAGCATTCCACTGTGTTCCCGCATACGCAATGACTATAAAAGATGTAATTACCCTACCTGATCGGGTTGGGCGGCGCTCTTGAGCTCTCGGACCGCATTTCCTTGGGCTTGGATCTTCTCCTTGAAGGCGTCCTCGACTTCGGTCATTGCTTCACACCACCTCTGGAAACAGCGCTCGGATTTGACTAATCAGGCAGCGAATAGTAAATATAGTCCCAATTAAAGCGAAGAAAAGATCGATTTTATGTTAAACCAGATCGCAGATACCTTCCAGTCAGAAAGAAGAGCGAGAAAGCTGGGAAAGACTGCAGTCGTACGTTTATCGCTCCTCTTCGGCTGCACACAACCAGACGCCCCACTAATATATGTCTTTCTGTGCTTCTTTTACTACTTTTTCTTGTCTCTTTGGTTCTAATATCAATTAAACTCATTAAACGCATGTCGCATGAGGTCAATTAAGGGGAATTCCCACTAAAATACGCGGCGACACTAGCTTATTCAACGTCAAGGGTAGAAATAAAAAAAAATACAATCTAAAAATATTATATTCAGGCCTAAAAAGAACGCATTTTTTCTAAAATCCGACCATATATAAACTTATTCAACTCTCTGATACCCAAGAAAGCTGGCATACCCCCATTCATTCGATTACAGTGAGCAAGACGCGTAATATTGCACGAATCAAAGATATTCACCGTAATAAACGGACACAATGACAAAGAATAAACCGAAAGAAAGCGAGCTCTATCTGTTTAATACATCTATTCACAAATACAATACGTCGGCCTATTTCTTCTTCTTCTCAGGCTCTGGGGCTGAAACAAGAGTGATTAGGAAAGCTGACGTCATCAGGGATCAAGAACTTAGCTATCAAAATCTTACATTTTTGGAAATCTTCCCAAGTCCTGAGGGCATGCTGATATCCGATTTGAGAGATTTCGATGGCTTCATGGGGATAACAGAAGGCCGCCATTGTCAACAACCCAGCCGTGGCATATACAAACTTTCTGATACCATAACGACGAAGTCCGAGCACAAAGCCGGCCATTCCTCCGATTGTGATGGCCGCGGCCTTGGGGAGAACGGTCCATTCATTCCGAATGTACTCGTCGGTTTCTTTCACAAAATTCTTCGATTTTACCAAGGCCCTGTCAACGTTCTTGAATCGTTCCTGAAATCACTTTTGTAAAATCTTTTTTATTATTATCACTTTTGATTAGGTATAATATAATTAAATCATAAGAAGTCAGTAATTTTCAACTAACAGGGGAAGTACTCCAAGTGCGACGCTCAGATTTTCTTTAAATTTTTCACACACGTCGGGTATGGACTAAATATCAATTCCTGAAAGTTTTAGCTCGCGCTTTGCGCGCGCCGTCGAGATATCTAACGTTTTTGCCGCCGAGAGAGCACGCCAAACGTGGAGAGCGGTTAGAGAGAAAAGTGCTTTTTGGCCACAACTTTGGCAGTTTCGTGCGGAAAAATTTGATTTTTTGTAGAAACATTATCCTTTACGGTAGAAATAGGCATGAAACTTTTCGTGCCGAAATTCGGCAAAAAGTCCTAAATTTTGGCCGACTTTCGATCTAAAAATCCCGGTTGTTTCTGCAAAGCGCGTGCTAGGATTCTCGCATATATCTTATAAAAAATTATTCTAAATTTGTGCCAAGTTTCATCAAAATCTGACCGTCGCACTTGGAGTACTTCCCCTGTAAAAACAAAAAGAACACATGTCGTTTTATTCCAAAAAACATTGTGCAACAGTCACGCATGACGCAACATATACCAGCCTGCAGTCATTTCATTGAAATTTTATTTAAACTCTAAACTAACAAAAATCATACCCAAATTTTAACTCACGGAAAATGAAGCGTAACTGTCGCGAAAGGCATAACGAATTGAAGCAAACTCAGTTTGGAGAGGCAAAGGAGTTTCTTCCACAAACTTATAGGAGCTCAGTGGTTTCTTTTCGCCATAGATTGGTAGCTAAAATAATATAAATGAAAGAGAAAAAGCTGAGTACTCACGTCCTTGATAGCGATCTTGTCCGGCGATTTAGCCATCGTCGGAGAAAAGACTGATCACAAGAACATGTCAAATGTAGAACATTTTTCTAGGTGTTCAGATTTGAGTCCCATCACGAAAACAAAAGGATGGCATTCCGTTTCACGTAAAAATTCATCGGATATTCTTGTTTCGACCGAACATTCTCAAGATGTCTTCCATTTTGGCAAGAACTTGTAGGGTTTCCGCTGCTGGTCGATTGAATCTGGTCCGTTTGGCATCGACCAAACTTCCTGAACCAAAGGATATCACCAAAAAGAACGCCGTCTTCGATGATGTTGGACATACTGGTCAAGTAAGTTATTTGGAGATTTTAGCTATTGAGTTGAGTAGTAGTTTGCTTGTTTTACAAATTGAATGGTATTTATTTTTTAATCTATTTCATCTTCAGGCATGGGATCAGGCAGATTATCGATTGAGTCGCTTCGAGATCTCAAAGAAGCAGGTTAACCCGAACATCGCCATCAATCTCGTTGCTGAACAACCGCCCACTCCATCCGAGGAACACGTTGTTTCCTGCGATGGAGGTCATCCTGCGTTGGGACATCCAAAAGTTTATATTAATCTTGTAAGTGTAATACAACTTTGTTTTTACTTGTTTAGGACAAACCCGGAACCCATGCCTGTGGATATTGCGGACAGAGATTCTACAATACCCATGTGACCAAGGGAGATGATTTGAACAAGTCTCATATCCAGGTTTAGGAATGTATAATGTAAAAAGTAGAGATAAACTCGATGAATTGACGTCGTTTAATTTAAAGGTATTTACATTATTCAACGACTATCGAATACAATGGTCTAGTAAAATGAGATCATCTTGGATGGCTTTCCTGAGGTCTCGTTCCTTAATGGTAACTGTTTTTCTCGTACTCATCTCTTCTTGAATAGGTCCTAGAACTTTACAAGCTCTGACGTGGGTATCTCGGCCATTTTGATGGTTCTGTAAGATCTGAACTTGGACCACAAATGCTCTAACAAACTTTTGGTTGTCTCGGCGCAAATCAATCGCCTAAATCTGCTTATAAAAGACGTAATTTTTCTCCCACCTGCCATCCAATTGGGTCATTGAAGGTTACAATTTTTGGAGGGTCCTCGAGATCGAGAATGGAATGACCAGTATAAACTTGGATTCTACAAGAGTATTAACTTTGCCATGACAGTCTTACTTTTGAGGAGTGTAGGATTCATCTGATTTATAATCCAGATATAATAGTAAAAAGGAGATCTCTGTGTATTTCTGGAATTCAATGGTAATAGTGTGAGGTTGAGGTCCATCGCTTTGCCAGAACAACGTCGTCCGCTCGTCTAAGAGTTGATTTATTCCGAATCCCTCTAAATACGATAAGAAATGAAGTAGTAATACCCACCGACTTTACAAGAAGATAAAGACCATACAGCTTCTAAACTAATATCACGTTGAGGTCCACAACCCTGGGGTAGGCAAGCCGTAAAGTCATCCAAATTACAGTAGGAATCATTTGCATCCTCGGTGTCAGACATCTGAAACGAATTACAGTAAGATAAACTCCTCACAAATATTTAAACAAAACAAGCGCGTATTAAACTATATATGAGCGGAAAAAATGGCGGCAAGACAGCTTGTAAAGTGTAAGGATAATATTTCTCCACTTCCTGAATGAACCATCTCTTATCTATTCCAAGACGATACCCTTTCCATATTGCCTAGTTCTACAAGAGCGTTTTCACTTTCTAATTCGTATAAAAAATTTGCAAAGTTGCATCTTGGATCTCTTGACAGTTGCCAACGTTCGAAAAAATAAGTTGAGATCTTCACAAGGCTGCGCCCTAGGTTACGCCTCTTTGCTCAATGAGGGATTTCTCCAAGAATTTTTCTTGATTTCGAATATGTCCATTAACATTCGAAATTAAGCTCAGGTTGGCTGGAGTGAGGTACACACATACAAAAGTACCTTTGCATGACAAAACAGACTGTACGGTGTAGTAACCGTATCCTTCCGCATGAACGTTCACTGAGCAAAATTTTCCCAGTACGAAAACATTGAATGCTAAAATCCTTGGCATTCTGTGATATTTATCATTTCAGCCGTGCCGCGGCCTGGTCATTCTGATCTAAAGGAATTCTTCGTTTTTTTGCGTTGTTTCCAGTAAGCGTTCCACCTGCCGGCCAGAAGGGAGATCAAGCAAATTTCATGCTCTCTGGTATGGGCGGAGCTGATTCTTTTGATATACGAAATCGCTTTTGAATTCCGAATTTGGATACCCGCGATAAAATTTGCTTAATTCCCCAATTCGCTTTCCGTTTTGGTTTCATTACACAAGAAGATTTGAGTGCCGAAAGCCCTCTTATCCTTAATATAGCTTGTATAAAGTCTGATTTCTTGTCGGATATCAATCCAATTCTCCTTCTTGATCCGTAAAACTTATGGGGTGCCAAAACTTGGAGTAGACTTGACACATAGGAAGTTCTTTGAGTCAAGTGTTGTAAACGATTTCAGAACCTTTTCCAGGTCGTGATTACACCTTTTAGCATGGATTGCTGCGCTTGAATGTCGGAGTTTTGTTTGATTCGGTGATTAAAAGTAGTACTCTGTTTTTACTCGTGCGCTCAATGGTTTTATCTTATCATAGGTGCCTAATTATTTTTTCTTCAGCCTCAACCTCGGTTTCGGTTAGGCTCCATGGTCGACCGTAGCTTGGTATGTTACTCTCTTCTGTATATTTTATGGTCGTGTTTCGTAGTAATATGACTTTAATTTAGCTTCCACCTTCCTACGAAGAGGTCAGTGGGATCTGTAAAGAAGTTTTGGATGATGTGATCGGCCAGAAACCTTATCAACATACGGAAGTTGTAAAGTGGAATCAGACTGCGGTTGAGAGAATTACTGAGAAATTGGCTGGGCTAGGAAGACCTTATAAATATTGCTGCAAGTTATATTATTTTATTTTGTCATATGTTTAGGTAAGAAAGGATATTAAACTAATGTTGATTCTTCTAGTGTGCTGCGTTGTGATGCAAACGGGTTTAGGAGCCGGTCTTAATGTGTCGAGCACTTGCTATTGGGATAAGAACACCGATCACACCTTTGCTTATCGATGGGAGAGCAGAGCCGTCATTGCTGTTTGTAACGTCTACGCAATCTCAATGGGTGGAAAGTGATGTGTATTCTGGATACGCGGGCTGAAACAAGGTAACTTGCACTAATTTCCGGTCTCTCCGCCGGGTTCTCTGCCATTCTTTTCCGTTGTTGCTGTTTTTTTGTTGACCTTGTCACTTAAATTTTATTTTATAATAAATTTTTACACTGGAAAGACATAATTAGAGGTGTTTTGAGATGCTGTCAGCTAGATGGCCTATAAGGTTTCGGATTCCGTCCCTGAAACGATACTGTTTACTGTTTTATTATATGCGTGAATGGCAACGTTTCCCATTCACTCACTTTTTCTTCGGTTTCGGCGGTCGATTCGTCCCATAACCGCTGTCTGAATCACTCAAAGGTGGTTCGGATGATCGCTATAAATTTAGTTAACGCAACATTATCTGAGCTTACTCTCCATCCAATATCTCCCGGTTGAATGGGTAGATGAGGTGGAGGGTGATGGGTGAGAGGTTGTGGGGAGATCAGGGGATGATAATCAACAGCCTGACCGAAGTTGGTACTCGTTCTTTGAGGGGGATGAGGAGGTCGGCCATAAAGATTAAAGTCATGACTGGAGGTTCTTATATGGCCATTGATCCGAGGAGGAGGTGGGATGGGTGGAGGGACCGGTGATCGGTTATGGAGATGATAGTTGGAAGTCTAAATGGATGATTTAGTTTTTGGATTACCAACTTCGGACATTAATCTTACCCCTGGATAAGGAGGAGGGATACTGTAGTTTTGGGGGACGTTCGGGGGTCGAGCGAAAGCCTGACTTCCACTGGTCTTATCAATCAACGGCATGTATCTGTTCGGGTAGATGCCCGCACAGACAATATCAATCTCCTTCACGATTTCCTCCACATCCGGTCGCAGAAGAGGCTTGTCATTCCAACATCTCTCCATCAAGGTCATCAAATGAGGGGGACAATTCAATTTAGGGGGACGTTTTCCCTCAGAGACTTGCCACAGAATGGTATAAGCATTTGATTCCTCGTTGTCACTGAACGGTTGTCTAAAAGAGCAATGATTTTTGTTCGACTTTCATACCTCCTGGCTGTCATTTCCCAAAGGAAGATGCCGAAACTGAAGATATCACACTTCTGGTCGTATCTTTTTCCTCTGAAGACCTCAGGTGCCATCCATGCAGCGCTCCCTCGGTTGTTTGTCATACTTGTCCTCAGCTCTGTAGCCGTTCCAAAGTCACATAATTTAAGAGTGATAAAGTCATTGGTGAGAAGCATACTAAACTCAGATCAAAGCAGTAACCGATAATCTTACTTTGAAGGTTTCAAATCTCGATGAACATAGCCATGGGAATGAAGATAGGATAAAGCGGACAACACTTGTTGCGCCCAGCCAATCAGATGACAGGCAAAGTATTGTATATGTTTGTTTTGATGTAATACTGAAGCAACAGATACGACAGTTACAGTAACCTTACATTCATGAAGGGATCCGCCCTCCATTAGTTCTAATAGAAGACCACTTTGGAGACCATAGAAGGTGGCATAAAAGCGGATAATATTCTCATGTTTGAAGGAGTGGAGGACTTTTGCCTGTAAGAGATTGAAACTTATATTATCCACGAGTGTATTCAACTTAATTTATACAACTATTATGCAGAAAATCGATACTAAATTATCGGATGATTAGAGAACTGATAAGAGCATTACCTCGTTGTCTATATGTTCTCGATCGAGATCACTTTCGAGTAATTTAACAGCCACAGGCCTCCCTCTGAACAGACCTTGCACTACAGTCCCATAACTTCCCCTTCCCAAACGACGAACTGAGGAGAAATCTGGGAAATGCACTTCACTGTAATTTACTTGATCATACTTCACATCACTGGAAGGTAATGCAGACGATGTAGAGGGAGTCACATCCACGCTTAGAGGCTGCATACTCGAATAAATTATCTTAGAGGAAAATGAGTGATAAAAACCACTCAAGAATTTGTCATTTCCCAATCCAGAAGAAAAGGTATTGGTCTTTTTATAATTCACCCAAGGAAGCCGATCACTCCACGCCTTAAGTAACCCCACCTGCGCCCTGACTTCGCAGTCTGCATAATCTTTTCACCATGAAAAATATTAATAGATGTTTTTGATGTGGGTTCTACATATGTTTCCAATCGTTTCTGTGTAAAGTTGAATAGTCATCCACAAAATCGCATGAAGTTCAAATAAAGTAAAAATTTATTTGAATACGACTATAACTTACCAAAATTCCGAAACCAATCCTCCGACGCGGGCGCAAGCTGCGCGTAAAAATAAATTTGTGGTCAAGCCAACGGCTGGCAACTTGCGCCCGGTATTTCTAGAGAGCTCACAGAATTTTATTTTTGGAAAATTTGACGGATAAGAGTTCAAGAAGGTTTTGACAAATGTGTTCCCACAGAGTGCCTTAACAATCATAGTTACCATGAGCTTGGGAGTTCCAACAACGGCGGTATGTGTAATTTAAATGTATCATATTATCGGGAACGGCACATGACATGATATCGGATATTTCCAGATTGTCAGAAAGACCGAGAATGGTCGAAATAAGGTGGCTCTGGGTGCCAATAAAGGGCTCATGGAATGGATTCGAATCTCGGCCAATGGAAATATGGCCAGTCAGAAAATGATGGGTGTAGATCAGAATGAGTTGATGAAACACGATCGAGTCGAGGACTGTTGGATCATGTTATTTGGTATGGTGAGTTTGATTGCGTAGGCAGGAATGTATTACGCAAATTTTTGTTATGTTATACGTGACATATTCTTTTCACAAATTGAAAATCGAAAGCAAATGAGCTTTACGAATTTTAGGTATATGACATCACAAGATACCTCGAATTTCATCCGGGTGGTGTTGAGGAGTTGATGAGAGTGGCAGGAAGAGATGGAACACAGCTTTTCCAGGAATATCATGGATGGGTCAACTATCAGAACATGCTGAAGAGTTGTTTGGTGGGGCCATTTAGAGGTCCTACGAATAAATGTTAGTCTGGCATCGCCTTTTCCTATTCTATGTTTAGTAAAGTCCCCAGAAAAGCCTGTGCTTTCCGTCGAAATCTCCAATCATTCTCAGGTTACACTGAAAGAATTTGGATTGTCGTAAGTTTATATTCTTTTTTAGTTTGTTTTTTAGGATTGACGCTGACAAGAACAACATTACTATCAAACCGTTGAACGGACTGACATTGAAGTTTCTAATAGCTCAGGAAGACCCAAATGCTCTCCATATTACTCTGAGAGTGTCAGGGAATGTAATGACACTTAAATTTCCTGCGGGTATGTTAAGATTTTCTTGTTCAGTGTCTTCTTTAGTCAGAGATTACGCCTTGGAACGACGATATACGATAGTTAGTGGTGATTGTAAATGCGTAATCACGTCCGAAGACGAAATTCCATTCCAAATACAAGGCCTTTCTTTTATAAAAGAGATGAGTGAGTGTTTTTTTTGCAATATAGTTATATCTCTGCGTTTTAGTTGCTAAATTTGTCCCTTTCCCAGTAGAATCGACGAGAGAGCTTACAAAATCTCTGATTTTGTATACTGTAACAATCCCAAAGTTGACCAAAGTGAATATTCCCTTAGGGCATCATGTTTATATACGGGTCAAGAAAGGAAGTAAGTTTGTTTTCGTCGAATTTATCGTTGTAAATTTTTAGATAACCGGTTACATAAGCCGTTTACTCCATTTTGGATTAAGAGTGAGCCAGGATTCAAGGACAAGATACAATTTCTCATCCGAATATACCCAGATGGGATCATTTCTCCTGCATTTCGGGATCTAAAGACCGGTAACTTTATTATTTTTATTCGGTTTCCATTTTTTTCACATATTTTTATGTTACTTTAGGTGACACGATGGAGATATCAAATTCCATGGGTTTATTTGAAATGAACTGCTTTAAAAGTACAAATTTTGTTTATGTGGCTGGAGGAACTGGGATTACACCGATGCTTAATATAATTAAGACTCAATTGGATAGCGGGTGTGTATGAGAATGTGTAATATAAAGAAATAATTTACAGGAATAGAAACAACCATTTGTATTTCTTCAACCGATCGAGTGATGAGGTACCAGAGTTGGACTTCCTACCCTTCGAAGTCGATGATATTCACATGGAAATTATAACAAGCCAGCCGGAAGAAAATTGGAAAGGAAGAACCGGAAAGGTCAATCAGATTGTGGACTTTATGAGGGAGGATAAGGTCGGGGAGATGGAGGATTGTAACTTCTTGGTTTGTGGACCTATTGCATTCAATAGAAAGGCTGTAGAGTAAGTCATTTATATTGATTTAGATACGTTTTGTGCCCAGAATTATTTTTCGATAATTTTAGATCGCTGAAAACTGCCGGCATATCAGAAGAGAGTATTTTTGTATTTGAATAAACGAGTATGTCTATTCCCGAGAGTAATTTTATCGCGTTTCCGCCATGGTCAGATCCAGAATCTTACTTCTTTTTGTTGTTGTTCTTATGAGTTTTGTAAAATTTAGATAAATGTTGTCAATATGGGTCAGATCTTCAATATGTAAACCTAATATCAGAGAATTACGGAGTCTTCAGAGGTTATTCCGAAGTCAGAATGTTACAATTCATCGAGAGATTACTGTAACAAGAGTGATTCCACAGAAGAGATTCCCTGATTTTTCTCGCAGCAATAAAGCCGGCAATCGGGACACAATGTATTATGTTTTGAGTATTGGAGTCGTGGCCATAGGCCTGACCTTTGCCGCCATCCCATTATATCGGATGTTTTGTGAGGCAACTTCTTTTGGCGGGTTGACACAGGTAAGTTAGGATGGATAAGGTTAAACTATAGTTTAGGTGGCCAAAGATTTCGACAAAATTGAGAAGATGAATGAAGTGAAAGATCGGCTGATTAAGGTGCAATTTAATGCAGATGTCCCTTCTTCGATGCAATGGAACTTTAAACCGTTACAGAAAGAGATCTATGTACATCCGGGAGAGACGGCACTTGCTTTTTATTCAGGTAATTGAAAGTGACTTATTTTACGTAACGAAATGCAAATTAGAAGATTCTGTTTCCCGATTTGAGGCGAACTGCAGAATGATTGACGTAAAAAGAACTGAATCACTCGACTGAACTGATCTTGTTTTGTTTTTCACGGCCAGTTTAAACTCCAAAACTCTTAAATTTTTACTTTAAAAATTTCCGAAGATGGTGGGTGGAGGTTGTTTATAAACGTTCTGATGGTTTACAAAAGTCCTTGGGATTAAATCAATCCTGCAAAGATTGCTGTGATTGGCCAAAGTTCACCTTATTTTGCAGCCAAAAACCCGACGGATCGACCAATTGTGGGGATTTCGTCCTACAATTTGACGCCCTTCCAAGCCGCCTACTACTTTAACAAGATCCAATGTTTCTGTTTTGAGGAGCAGATCCTGAATCCGGGCGAGGAAGTGGAGTTGCCCGTCTTCTTTTACATCGACCCTGACTACGCAAATGACCCGAGCCTCGAACATTTGGATCAGATTCTGCTCAGTTACACCTTCCACGAAGCCAAATCTGGCCTCCAATTGCCTTCTCCATTCGATCCGAACAATCGACCGAGCATTTCGGTCGATTTCCAGAAGAAAAACGAGGTCCAACAGACCTCAAGCTGATTGATTTATTCTAATATCTAGGTTGTTTTGTTATCAGTTTTGTGTGTTTGATTTGTTGATAAAGTTGGAGGATAGAAGACGGTGGTGTTAGGTGTTCTTAAATGGTCTAAAACCCAAATTATTTCCACTTTTACGTTGTTGGTCCCCAATGATTGCTGTTACAATTGATTTCAAATGTTCCAGTGCCATGGAAGCGGATAAAAAAGATCCGCAATCGTCTCAAAAGGCTGATGAAAACCCCCAAGGACAAGGTGAGAAAGACGAAGCCGCGCCCAAGCCCCACAAGAAAGTACGGTAGTCTGATGAGTTTGAGAATTCAGATCAGAATTTGATTTGTTTTATTTCGTACTGTAAGATATTCGTTCTAGATAATCGTTGGAGTATGTGCAATGCAAAGAAAAGCCAATTCGAAGCCGATGCGTGCGATCATGAAGAAGATTGCGGAGTATTACAAGGAATGGCTTGAGATCTACGTGTTCCCAGAGGATGTTATTCTCAATGATCCTGTCGAGAATTGGCCTCTTTGTGATTGTTTGATCAGTTTTCATGCCACGGACTTTCCATTGAATAAGGCCATCGAGTATGAGAGATTGAGGAGACCGTATGTCATCAACGACCTTCATCGACAGTTCGATCTGGTAAGGATACTGTAGTTTAATTGATGTCTACTACAATTCGATTATTGTTATTATTTTTGCAGCTGGATCGAAGAAAAGTGTTCCGAACATTGGCCCGCGCCGGAATCGAGCATCCCAGGCATTGTGTTCTGGTCAGAAATGAGGAAGGAAAAGGTAAAATACCCGTATTTAATATCTGAAAAAGAGTTTCAGTTGTCGGCGGGGAACTGCGCGAGTTCAACGACCACATCGAGGTCAATGGAATGGTGTTCAACAAGCCCTTTGTGGAGAAACCGATCTCTGCCGAGGATCACAACGTCTACATCTATTTCCCCAGCTCTGTTGGTGGCGGCTCTCAACGATTATTCCGAAAGGTAGGTTAAGATGCAAGTTAATAATGTGGGGAAGAAATAACACGATAGGTTTGCTTCTCCCCTCGGTTAGAATTTCCCTTCCTATTGCTTTTCCCATACTAACACCCTTCAAAAAGGCCCTGGGGCACTTTCCCATCATGGCTATTAAAGCCAGTAGGCGATTCGGACATTGCTTTAAAGTCGGCTGCTCAGGTAAACGATCGGAGTTCCTGGTACTCCCCGGTGAGTACTGTGAGACGAGAAGGATCTTACATTTATGAGGAGTTCATACAAGCAGACGGAACTGATGTTAAAGTGTATGCAGTGGGACCTTATTATGCACATGCTGAAGCCAGAAAAGCGCCAGGATTGGATGGGAAAGTGGAAAGAGATCAGGATGGGAAGGAAGTCAGGTATCCAGTCATTCTGACGGCCAAGGAGAAAATGATCGCCAGAAGGGTTGTCATCGCGTTTGGAGTAAGTGGGGACTAATTGACAACTCTGTCTTAGCAAACCGTCTGTGGATTCGATCTTCTCCGAGCCAACGGAAAGTCCTACGTTTGTGATGTGAATGGATTTTCGTTTGTGAAAACATCCACTAAATATTATGAAGATACCGCGAGGATTCTGGGAAATACAATCCTTAGAAGATTGGCTTCTTCCCTGAGTATCCCTTGGCATATTCCATTTCAAGCTGGTAAGTGATACTCATAACCTCATGTGTATGCGATATATAGATGATCCACCTTTGGTTTCAACTCCCAGTGGTCGAATAATGGAACTCCGATGTGTGGTTTCGGTGATCAGACATGGGGACAGAACTCCCAAGCAGAAGATGAAAGTAGTCGTGAATGATGAGAGATTTCACAATCTCTTCAAAAAGTATGGAAAGGAAAAGAAAATGGAAATCAAAATGAAAAAACCGGCACAATTGATGGAAATGCTGGAATTGATCAGAGAAATACTCCATGAACAGCAAGACCTGAGGTCCAGTTCGTTGTCTAGAATGACCGAGCTCAGAGAAGATGAAGCCGAGTTCAAAGAAGTCGAAGCGGCCTTGGAGAAAGCTGAGGAAAATGTCAAAACTTGGGACCAGATGAGAACTGTTCTCGAAATGTAAGGGATACTCGCCACATAAACTCCCGACAATTTGCACAGTGTGGTTTTTCGCGTTCGTCATCGCGACTTCCGGTTTTTAAATAGCACGTGACATGCACTTTTTACAAAATTGTTGGGTCTTTAGCAAGTAGTATATTACGTAATACTTTAGGTATGGCCACTTCTCTGGGATCAATCGGAAGATCCAAATGAAATATGTAAACCCGAAAGATGTGAAAAACAGCTCCGAATCAGAAGAACCTCAGTCCCCGGACATACTTCTTATCGTTAAATGGGGTGGAGAACTGACAACAGCCGGAGTATTACAAGCTGAAGCGTTGGGGAAGTTATTCCGGACATTATATCCGGGAATCAGAAGAACGGACGGGAAGGATGGACCGGAAGACACTCAAGGACTAGGATTCCTCCGACTTCATTCAACCTATAGACATGATCTCAAGATATATGCATCGGATGAAGGAAGGGTTCAGATGACTGCTGCCGCTTTTACTAAGGTAATTTTGATGACTGACTGAGTATCCCCCTTTCGGGTTCCTGAAGGGGGGATACACAAAAATCCTGACTCTTTTGATACCACAACTAAAATTAATTTTTATATAAAATTTAATTTGGATTAGGGATTACTGGCGCTCGAAGGAGAATTGACCCCTATTTTGATGCAAATGGTCAAGTCAGCAAACACTGATGGTCTCCTCAATGATGATTACAATGCCAGGCAATTCCAGAACGACCTCAAAGGATATCTGCATTCAGTTCTTCAGGCTGACAGAGATTTTACACCAGAAGATTATCAAAGTCTGAATCCATCGGGCCTCAGGTCCATAAATAATGCCATGGAATTCATCAAAAACCCGAGAAAAATGTGCCATGAGATTGCCGGATATGTCCAGAAAATGTGTGAGATCATCCGATGGCACAAAATCAACAAACCCGGTTTGTTTTGAATCGTAATTTTTTAAAATTTTTGTACTTTTTTAGATAGATGCCTCTACCTCAACGAAAGCTGGGAGCTGGCCGAACGCCGTTGGTCGAAAGAACTCCGGGAATTCAGAAAGAATAATCGAAACGGAACAGATACCGACTTTGATATCTCGAAGATCCCGGATATCTATGACAACATAAAATACGACCTCGAACACAACCCCGACCTTTGCATTAACAGTGAAACCGAATTCGAGAGGTTCTACCTGTGTGTAAAGAACATGGCTGACATTGTCGTCCCGCAGGAATACGGGATCAGCACGGAAAGTAAGATCTGCGTCGCCCAGAGAGTCTGCACCCCCTTATTGGCAAAGATTAAGAACGACCTCCACCGTTGTGTCCAGAATCCGGAAGATGAAGCCGAAAGTCTAACTAGGTTGGATCCACGGGCTTCGGAAGGGATTGCAACTCCAATGAGACATGTCCGGACAAGACTCTACTTCACCTCGGAAAGCCACATCCACACTTTGATGAATCTGATTAGATACGGAGGACTCTGTCCAGTAAGTTTCTCAAGAATAAAAGTTACCTTTATCTTAGCCGGATGACAAGAAATGGCAGAGAGCGATGAACTTCCTCTCCGGAGTCACCGAATTCAATTACATGACGCAAGTCGTGTTAATGGTTTATGAAGACAGTAGAGCAGAAGAAGAAGGAAATCCAACTGACCGATTCCATGTGGAACTCCTCTTCTCTCCTGGACTTTATCCCTGCTTCCTAACGGAGAAGGAGAAGATCTATGAGACCAGATTCAACAATAAACAGAAGATCCCCCATTCATTGAACACCAAGAGCTCCAAGACCTATAAGAGTTATTCGAGTGACGCCTCTGATCGTGAAGGGAATGAGTCGGACTTTTCGAAGGAAGCTTCTGTTCCTACTCTCAACCCTGCCAAGGATTCTCAAAGAAGTTGTTCATTTGATGTCCCATCTAGATCGAACTCTTTGAAAACTCCGAGGACATCGCCAAGAAGAACATCGCCCTTGGAAAAAGATGCCGCGAAAGTCCCAGAAGATAAAAAAGGAAGTCCGGAAGGAAAAGAAGATGGTCATGAATCGGATGAGGAACTCACTGATAACGCCGTTAATCTGGTAGTGCTCGGAGAAGTCGCGGGTAAAGAGTTCAGTGAGATGGGGCAACCGGCTCCACAACTATCTAGGAAACGGCATACGACATCGGAAAGATATGATGTTCAGACCAAAACAGAAGAATTGGTGGAAGAAGCAACTCCAGAAAACTACATGAGTTTGATTTATAACAATGCTCAGAAATTAGAGGAGGTCGGAAAGAATAACGCCACGGGAGAAGCGGACATCCCAAAATTTGTGAGATTCAACACAAATCCCAATCAAATCATCAAATCGATGAGTGATGTGGCCTGTAATAGACGAAGACTTCTGTCCACCGACGATTCCCTAGATGAATCCAGATTAAAAGAAGCCGAAGCCAATGCCGAAGGACTGATTCTAGAAGCGAATCAAGCCACGGTGGGAAGTGGGCGAGGGAATTGGGCCAAAGATATTCTGGGGGCGAAAGACGACGAGACAGACAAAAACAATTCGAGCACTTCATCCACAAAGACCTCCAACACATCTCCCAATGAACCCGATCGACCTCCATTATCAGAAGTATTCAGCCGAAGAGATATTATAGTGATGAAGAGATCCGAATCCAAAGAACCCCTTGGAATTCAGAATGCAGAGAATCAAGAACTCAAAAGAGATGGAGAAGAAGAAGCCAAGCGCCATAGCTGTAAGTTAGTACCGCATTAAAACTGACCCTATATTTCCCATGAGTTTAATATCAAGGCATTCCTTTGTTGCTTCATAATGTCTTTGACGATTTCAGCGCGACGATCACGTTTCCCCTATCGTTTCAAGCATCATACAGTCAATTTGCTTACAGGTCCGTAGATATCTGTTTATACTTTTCAGGATATTGTACTAAACTTCATTTTTTAAACCCGAATCTATGCTTAATCTAATACCCAGACTTCAGGTGGAAGTAGTGTAGATAATCGACTTATCAGCACTGACGTCCTTATGGGGAAGTTTGCAGACACGAGCAGGAAACGTCATCTGAACAGTAAGTTAAGTTTTAATGGTAATTTTGTGTGAATTTAGACCCCGCGGTGCTCTCAACAGCTGTTATTGCCCGATCCTCGTCTGCCCCTAGACTTCAGACCTACAAGGATGGCGATGAGATCCCAGTAGCCGAGATTCGAAGATTCTGGCCACCCTTGCGATCACTGGAAACAATGCATGACAACATTCAATTCAAGCAATTCGATCAATTCTTGGAGAAAATGATCGTGAACAACACCCCACTACCCTCGCCTCCACGAACCCCGGTTTTTAAAGATGACACTCCCAATCAAGGTAGGATATAATGATGTTAATCTAACGTGTTATATTATTGTTTGTAATTAAATTATTTTAGCCGCCATAGACTCTAAACTAAAGGACACAATCCGTCGTCTCAACAAGATTCGACCAGACTCAGTTGACGCATAAAATACACTCGGTTTTACTTTTCCAAATATATTTATCGCTTGTACATATATTGTTTAGGAATGTTAGAAATAAATAATCTAGAAAGCATCAAAACGGATTCTTAAAGTTGGAGAAAGAAGGCAGATCGGGCAGTTTGAGATCTTTGATTTGTTGAGGAATATTTATATTCTTCATGGCAGAGACAGCTCGAGCAGGCGCCGCAGAAATACCAGCCTACAGCACCAACATTTAGATATTGCATTAATACATTTAGAATTAAAATATTGACTTACTTCTTGCTTTTCTAGCCTTTCTTGTTCCTGTATCCTCAGCAGAATCTCGCTCATATTAGTCTCCAACACCATTCCACCCATCACCAATTCATTCAAAATATGGTGAACCTTATCCACGTGAAAGATCAGATCAAGTTCACAAACATTCTCGAAACATCTGTCAAGAGTCTCCACAAAGACTTGGATGAGATCCAAGATACCCAATTCACTTTCCGAAGAGTCCACACAGAATACGAAGTAAAGCGTAGCATAATGTCGGTATATCAACTTGTAATCCGATCCCCCGATCAAAGAACCGCCTTCCAAGAAATTACACACATTATCATCACGTTTGGACACTAATTGGAACGTCTCCCGAACAATATGCTGCTGCTCTTCTTCGGTCTAAACACAAGAATGGGCAAAATAGATACAGACTTACATATCTTGTATAGAACTTGAGAAGTCGGGGTTTCCCGTGATTATTAAATACTAAGATGGCTTTTATCATTTTAGAAACATAACAATAACACCTCCGTATTCAGGTATCTAAAAATTATCCCATATGTATCTAAAATCTTATCAAAATTCCACTCGATAAGAAATTATTTCTTTTAGTCCTGAAGCGAAAATTGTAATGCCAAAAAGATTTGGCATTCTGTCATTACGGCTGAAAAAATAAACAAAAAATGTGAGATGGTCCAAATCATTCTAAATCAATGTAGTTATGAAGCCAGATGCCTTTGAGCAGATAATCAAGGCCAAACCGATTCAATTAACATGTAAGATCACTAATATATTGTACTTGATATCAAAATATAAACTTTTTTTTAGGGAAAGGAAATCGAAATTGCTTCGTGTTGCATGAAAAAAGTGTGTACAATGCACTGGGGAATGGAAGTGTTAGTTGGAAAAGGTTAGACGTTTGTTATTATTGCCAGTCTCTAAGATTAGCATTTTGCATGCGAATATTACAGGGATGACGAGAAGAAAGCGCCTTATCCCCTTCCAACCCGGTTCCAACTAATCTTCTTGCCGTTTGATCCTCATTTTGTCATCAGGGATGGCATAGTGGCCACAGTAGACCAAGTTGCTTTTATCCACTTCTATTTTCTACTTGCTTCGGTAAGCTTAGTGTCAAGTACAATATCGATAAATCAGACCGTCGAAGAGTATCGTCAAGTACTGCCAGAGTTTGCCGAATGGTTCAGTCAGGTCAGAGATAGTAATTTTATCATTGTTTTCGACTCTACGAAAGCGAAAGAGAACAAATCCCGAGGGCATATCATGGAGAAGTTGAAAAGTGATGTCCAAAACCATTCTAACAAGTAAGGTTACGATAAAAATACTTTTAAATTTTTTTGTTTTTAGAATTCTTGAGATTAATGTGAACAAGCCGGCTTTTTGTGGTGCAGTTCTATCCACCTTTACATCAGCTTTGGATAAGTATTCGAATAATTTAAGTGCCATCACTCTGACCAAAAGAGATGAACATGACGAGCCGGACTTTAGTGTAGTCAGTTTGATCAATTTGGAATTTAGTTATTGTACTTTTTATTGGAGTTTGGGTCTTTTGGAGAGTGCTTTGGAAGTGATGGAAGAGATGGTCAAGGTTTTGAACGCATTGTTGGATGAGAGTAAGTTGTTTCTTGTTGAATATTGGTTTTTAGGCTCTTCCAAAGTCTGGCTAAACAAGCTCAGGTCTCCCCTAAATGGATATAAATCCCTGATTCTGTCCGAATCTTTGAATCGGAGTAATCTAAATGAGTCGGATTCCCTGTTATCAATCAGATCTTTTCTTTTGTCTCATCAAATTTTTGCTTCGATTTATGTTTTTGAAGAGCGAAAACAAAAGAAATTGGGGGACGTGGCCACATTGGGCAATTTGAGGAATTATTTTATAACCCTATTAGCCAGATATGGATTGCAAATGGTCGAGAATGCCGGTAATGATTGGCATCGATTAAAAGTAAGCATAATATGATGAATCATTATATGTAATGCGTAACGTTGAAGCTAAGAGAGCATAGATTGCTTCAAGATTTCATCCAAATCTTCTGGTTGGAGGAGATCTTATCCTTTCTTGGATTCATCGGCGATTTCTTTGACTCGGAAAGTTCGGCCAGATTCGTTATCCAAATCCACCAAATTCTGATCGATGCAGTGAGTAAATCCATTTAGTCATTATGCATTTAGTGGGAGGACGTTTGTTCCAAGAAGTATTCCAACACTTACGTTGATTGGTTTGATTCCATCAACAAAGTTGATGACTCTTTGAGTCCATTAATTCACACTTTGAGGTTCTTGAGACCCGATGAGATGTATATTTGTTATAATGAGACCTTAAAACGGGGTCTGAATGTCATGGAAAGGCACAAATGGAACGTATATTACACGCAGAACAAATGGAAGAGAGTCAAGTTGTTATAGTAAGATTAGAATTAATTGTTTTATATTATTTTAGTGATCTGGGGAAGAAAGATTTGTTCAGAAGGGAAGTGATGGAATTTATTGAGAGTAACAGCAAAACTAAGATGCCTGTTCCATGGCTTCTCGAAGTATTCAAAACGTTGAATGGGACTTGTAAAGGAGAAATGGAAAAGGAAATAAAGGTGTAAGATGTAACTTTACTCATCATGGCTAATATATAATTTATGTTTTCCAGATTAAGATGGTTGGTGTTATCCCAGTTTATTTACAATCCCACAGAAGAGAATTTAAAGGCCCTGAGATCATTAAAACCAAACGAAATTAATTTATTGTAGGTTTAGGTATCAAGTATAATATGTTTTAGACGGAACTTTGAATGGAAGTACAACACTCAATTTCCTTTTAAAATAAAGCTGATTTCTCGAGATTTGATAACTTCAAAAGTGGGATCTGTATTTAATTTTACCATCAAAATATTGAGTCATCTTCCACTTGATGTGGGATGTGAATCTGAAGCCATTTTATGTTTTCTGGATGCAGATCGAACAATCTCAGCGAATCCATGTTTCAAATCAAGGCAGGAGGTAAGATTTTCTTAATATAAAATAGTCTTTTTTATTTATAATATTGTATTATTATAGGGGAGTGTCCTAAAAATAGCCAATGTCCAAAAAGCCCTGCCAAAGTCCAGATATCTTGAGTTATTTAGTAAAACGAGTAGCCAATTGGAGAGCAAAGTTACTGCCAGACTTTTGACCGATCCTGTCTTGAGACCGGGGATCAATGTTCTTCAATTCGAGGCTAAAGTAAGATGATTTTACAGGGTGCGTCAAAAAATATGAACAAAAATTTTAACTTGCCCTGCGGGCTGTAGGAATTAATTTTTGCCAAGGTTTTTTTGCGCACCCTTAAAATAATTTTAGTGCTCCACAGCTGGATTGTACTGTTTAAACGAAGTAAACATAATGGTTACTCCCCACGATGTCTTCTCCTTATCTTATCAGTACGAAGCGTCGTTGAATGACCAGCTGAAACCTCTGTTGTGTCATTGTAGTTTAGATCGACCGACTGTGAAGATTTGCAACGATGAAAGTAGGCGTCTTCGGACATTCCAAGGTTACTGTAATTTCTTTTTAGAAGTTTTGTTTGCTGGGATAGCTCAAAGACTGAAAATTTACGTCGAATTTGGCTCCAATGCCTCAGGGGATCTGAAAATAAGTTTGGCTGATGGAAAGAGTCAAGTTGAATTTTTGGTAAGATTACAGTTTGATCTTAATGTTCTTATTGTAGGATGAGGATGGCAAATGGACTAAAGATCTAGTCAAACGTATAGAGAATCGAGAGAAAGTGACCAGCAAGGTTACAGAAATTGGATTCTGCGCCAAAATAGACAGAATGAATTATTCGGCGGAAGGAAAGTGCAATATAATGCATAAGGTAAGGCAAAAAAATAAAATTAAGTGTTGGTTTAGATCAAAGTGGAATGGCTTGGAAACGTCTTCTTCTTCGATCTCAGTTTCAAGTCAATCTTATCCATCAAAACGATGACGTCAATTCTGGAAGATAGGTAGAGATTACGGTAAATGATGTGATTGTGTTGTAGGATTTTGTTCGAAATGGATGTGGAACGATGTGATTCCTTTGAGGAACTTCTTATTGTCCCTTTTGAAGCTAAAATCGAGCGAATGGATGTCAAAGAAATTGAGGAAACCCGTCCGAACCTCCTCAATCCGAGCTTGGACCCCATCCCTGCAAGTGCAACATACAGGTTGATCTGGCAACTGCCTCCAAACAGGGATGATCAACTGCATATGGACTATTCGATCTCCTTGGCTTACAAAATAATTTCCTCGGGGGATTTGATGGCAATAACGGAGGATATGGCGGAAATAATATCCTCACGAGATTACCTTTTCCAAGATACGATCGGATTTACTGCGCCTAATGTGGAGTTCGAAGTGTGCACAAGGATTCTGACAGAGAGACCGCAGACCGTGATTTGCCGTTCCGATCATCCCTGTGATCTGGCTGTCACCCTCAGGGCATTGTCCGATAATCCGCAGACTGTTATCATCTCCATTGAAGCCGATCCAAATCATTGGAGTTTGGTCGAGAAGTTTAAAGGTAGTGTTGTAATTTGTATCAAGATTTATCATTTAGTGGTTACAATGAAAGGTAATGGACTCGGCCAGTGTTCTTTCCAAATCATCCCCAAGGCCACGGGGTTCCTACCGTACCCCGCTGTTTTTGTTCATCGATGTAATGGCACTCAGAGTTTGATGGTAAGATTATTTGAAAAACATATGAGGCGGGTCGGCTCGTAGTTTGCTCGTATTTACAGGAGAAGGACCCAAGTACGGTGGACACCATCCTTTTTGGGGAAAGGGTGACCCATTTTAATAGAAGCGAGGCCAAACAGATCCATGTTTTGAATGGAATCACCTCCACAGATGACTCAAATTCTGCCAAATCAACATCAAGCACGGGAACCAAACGTTCTCTGAGGTCACAGGCCAAGGAAAGACTCAAAATGTTGTTTGAATGAGACCCTTTTTTCCATGGAGTTTACGCTTTTTCCACTGCAAACCTTGAGTGTCATATCTTTTGTTCATTTCGGAGTGCTTTGTTATTTCTATGGGGTCTTTTTTGCATATTTTTATTTTATTAACGGGTGAGAAGAAGAGATTGTGATAAGAGATTGCCAAGAATTCTAGATTTCTATGCCTTAGAATTTGCAATAAATGAAGCTAAAGTGTTATAGTATCAGAGAGGTATAAAGTTGGTTTGATCCTGTACTTGATGATGAGTAGTTGATGTTTTAAAATCGAATTCAGATCTTGGATGAAGCCAAGGCCTTCCGAGACCAAGACATTCACCGTTAATTCCAAATTACTTTGCACATTCCTGATCGGGGTCTTCTTGGTATCAGCGATTACTCTGACCTCGTTTATTAATGAACAGTCGTTGGCAATTCGAGGAAAAGGTGGCAGGATGAAGGTAAAAGCCGTCGATGTTTTATGGTTAGCTGTTTCCTTGTTAAAGATAGTACTTTGAGTAACGTTTTTTATTATTTTTATTATCCTAGACGATAGTCCATCTTGATCTGAAGGGAGCTCCTCCCAAATTGTCCTACCTTTCTCAATTCTTCAAACTTTTATCCAATCTGGAAGTAGATGGGGTCCTTGTCGAATACGAAGACATGTTTCCTTATTCTGGAGACCTGGCCGTAACATCCGCCCCCAATCATTATTCCGTTGATGATATTCATAAATTGAATTCTTTGGCTCAAGAGAACGGATTGGAAGTTATTCCGTTGGTCCAAACCTTTGGTCATTTGGAGTTTGTCCTCAAATTGGATCAGTTTAAATACCTACGGGAGAACCCCACGGCAAATAATACCATCTGCCCGAGTGAACCGAAGTCATTGGAATTAATCAATGATATGATCCGACAAGTAAGGATTACTGCGTTTTGTAAAGGTTAATTATATTGTTTTAGATCCGAGAACTCCATCCAAATTCGTCGACTATCCACTTGGGAGCAGATGAAGCCTATCATGTGGCGGAAGATCAACGGTGCAAAGAGGCGCTTCATCAACGATTCAACGAATCTGTCGACGAGCTTAAACTCAGTCATATTTCCAAGTAAGTTCTAAATTGGAAATAATCTTGACCTAAGGCTGCTTAGTACGACCGAATACTTACATTATAATTTTAGTGTCGCGAATCTAGGCAAAAAGAATGGATTCTCGCGTATCTTGGTATGGAATGATATGTTCGGCTCAGTCCCCGGAGATCTCTTGGCCAATTACAGTCTCGGAGAACTGGTAGAACCAGTGGTTTGGGGCTATGCCGTGGATGTGACGGTCCCCGGATACTTCCCCGAGCATATGCTCAGAGAATACTCGAAAGTTTTCTCTTCAATTATTTTCGGGAGCGCCTTTAAAGGAGCCAATGGAATCGACCAGACTTTCTCCGAGATCCAGAGGTATATGGCCAATCTGGGATCGTATCATCAATTACAACGACTGAATCCCAACGTAAGTCATCAGAACTGTCAGATGTATACGATATTACTGTAATATTGATATTACAGTACCTCGCCAACCGGGTAGATACAGTAATCCTGACGGGATGGCAAAGATTCTGGCATGGAAGTCCTTTGTGTGAATTACTCCCCGTCGGAATCCCCTCTCTGATCCATGAACTTGTCTATATCAAAGAGTGGGATGATGCCACACCAAGGATCGATCGAAAATTGATTAATGTAAGACGACCACGCTTATGCAACACAATTTTAGACTGTATTAAAATGCAAGAAAACCCCTCCCTCTGGTCCAGTCGAATACCACGGGAATATTTTTCATCCCCCAATCGAATGGAACTTTTTGGATTGTGATTTCCCCGGAATAAAGATCTACAAACTCGTGGAGAAACTGCGATTTGTCAGATGGAAGGCCGCTTTGTCAGCTCCTGGAGATGAGGATCTCAAACGGGAATTACTCGCTCTCAAAAACGAAGTTGGTTTATCAGAAACGATTAAAAATATTTATTTTAGTTCCAAGAATCCCTTTCCGAAGTTTTCTTTGATGACGCCGTCCAAGAATTCATCAATCAGAATCTCGAACCTCTTCTCAACCCTCCAACCCAGCCCCCTCTAGTTACCCAGTTATAATAACTACTGATCTATCCCCGTTGTAAATACGAGTTGCATATTAATTATCAACTTCTCAGTGCATTCCTACTTTTATCTTGCCACCGAGATTAAACGAATCGAAAGGAAATTTTATTGAATAACTCCCAAGAACACGTGAATAACTCTATTAGAAGGGGTATATGAGGAACATTGAGACCATGAAAGCTGAGTAAGAAAAGGATAACAAGTGAGAGACAGAACAATACTACTCAGCCCAGAGACCCGATCTTTGGGAACACATCAATTCATTACAAAACATTAAATTAATTCCACGGAATCTTAGTTTCCGCCGACCTGTTCCTGGTAGACTTCGATTACATCGTCATCCTCCATGCCAAGAGTCTTGGGGGTGTCTTCATCGTTGATTCGGCGGCCATCAAACAAGAAGCGGAGGGATCCAATCTGAACTCCTGTTCGCTCGGCGTAACTCTTCTTCAGCTTTCCCATGGAGGTTCCGAACTTTACACGGAAATGAACTTCATTGGCATCCTATAATGGGAAACATGTAAAAATATGTAGATAAAGAGAAAGAACATGCAGGAAACACACTCCAAAATCAAAAAAATTATGTCCCCGTCCATTCAAAGGTATTCCACAAGTTACGAATTTAGCAAATTATTCTCTTTTCGGCAGCTATTTACCCACAAAAATTAAAAATCTCGCTTCATTGGAAAAAACATACTACCTAAAATTTCGAAAACCAAAAAATACTTACTTGACCGACAACCTTCAACTTGATGTACTCGCCTTGTTGCTGGTCTCCTCCGCCAGTGGCGTTAGCAGAAGTGTTGTCCCCTCCGTTTTCAGACATGTCTAGTTAGGAAACAGGCTAAAACACAAAAAAGTTAACAAAGAAAAGAACGGGATACCAATGAAGGAATAGTCACGTGTACGTACAATTTCAAAATAACAACGGAATAAAGTTCGCGAAAAATCTATCAAAAAATATAATAACGACGGAATAAGAATAAAACGGGATATACCCAACAAAATAAAGGAGTAACTGCAAACGTTCAGCCTTCACTCATTGACAAGAACCTGGATTATGCAGAAATTCCGCGACATCGACGCTCAAAAACTCCTCCCACCTTTTTTCGGCGCCTTTCTTGTCCTCCTAAAATCAGAAAATCCGTGCGGGACGAGAGAAGAAAAAGAAGGGGAACACTTGACACATATGAGCCGGACGGACATCTCTCACGTTCAAATCGGAAAAAAGTTTTGAGAAACGTTATTCTGCACGTGGAATTCCGGAATGTGAGAAAAGGTGCCGTTGAGCATGGAACGCTTACAGAAGCTTTTGTGGAATTTCGTACCAAAAGGGCGGTCTCAAAGATACGACTTTTTCGCCCGGTCATCCATAATTGAGCGATTTGATGAACGGTGAATTAGAAAGAGTAGACGTTTATCCATGTGTTAGAGGCTCAAAAATTTGTCTGTTTTATTTGCGTAAAAACCGACAAACCGGATCCTACGAGACTTCCGTGAAAAAGATGTTGTGTTATGTAACATATACCTTTTCTGACAATCGATTTAGACCAAACACGGGATTTATCATTTTTTTTGACATTTCGCAACTAACTAAATATAAAGTTACTGTATTTATAAATTCTCCCTAGAATCGATAGGATTCTACTCTTAGTTCGTTTTTCAAGACAACAAAAAAATTACCATGGAAACGTCTGTTTAGCTATGATGATAATATAATGATATTATGCAAACCAGCGGTCGTTTTGGAATATATTTCTGTTAAGCAAAACGTATGATGAACACAAATTTGGAAAATTCACACCTGACATTGACGAAGATACTCTTGAGAATTTGTGCCATAGACAAATACGTTTTTTATAAAAAAATTAATTAAAAAAAACAAACAATAATAACATAAACCAGTGATATTCAACTATGGGAAGGTGTAAAACTCGTAAGATGTAGATTGCAAGACAAAGAATGTCCTCATTGTGTGTACTCATCAGCCCCAAGGACCATAGATAATATGGCCATGCGGACATAGACTCCATTAGTGGCTTGTCTGAAGTAGGCCGAGCGGTGGTCGGTGTCCAATTCTTTGCTGATCTCGTCGACTCTAGGTAGGGGATGCATCACAATTGGTCGTTGACGGTGCGACACTAAAATATTTGAAAATAAGTAGTGCAAATACGCTCTGTTTCAAAATAATAGAAAGCCCTATAAAATCTGTAACTACGGTGTCGGGGTTCACTTTTATAGGGGTTCCTATCATTTTGAAACAGAGTGTAAAATAATTGATAATATAAGTCATGATAAGACTACTTACATAAAGTAGATGCTTCCAGACTTGTGTCAGGTTTAGAAGCGGCATTGAGGACTTTAGGAGTGAGAATGAAGCTTCCCTTGACGCTGTTATACTCCTCGACAGATGAGAATCTCTCCTTCTGAATCCTGGTCATATAAATCAGGTCAACGCCATCGATTCCTCGTTGTAAATCTGTGAATTCTCGTTGAATGAAAGTGCTCCTCGATGCCACGAATTGTTTGATTTCTTCGGGCATTCCCAGATCTTTTGTTGGACTAACATAATGCAAAGTGATGTCCTTGTAGAGACAGAGCAATTTAGCCAAGGAATGGACAGTTCTTCCATTCTTGAGATCTCCCACCAAAGCGATGGTTAATCCGTTTACTGAAGAGAGTTCATCTCTGATGGTGAACACATCCAGAAGTGCTTGAGTCGGATGTTCTCCCGTTCCATCACCGGCATTGATGACTGGGATCTTCGAGGCAGCTGCAGCTCTCTTCACAGCGTCTTTTTCGGGATGTCTGATGACCAGGAGATCGTAATACGACGACATCATCTGCATTGTATCTTCCAGAGTCTCTCCTTTGGCTGTGGATGAACTGGCTTCATCAAAGAATTTTGAAGCGGCTCCAAGTCGTTGGGCAGCGGCGTCAAAGGAGTACTTGGTGCGGGTCGAGTTCTCGTAGAACATGTTCATCACTATGTGTTGTTTTAGTAACTGAAGTTATGTTATTAGTAATTGAATGAGTAAATAAGTGAAGATAAAACAACCACTCACACTTCTGACCCCTCTTCCTTCCGCCAATTCATCGCGGAATCGGGCAGCGACATCACAAATCTGGTTCACGGTCAATTTGTCCAGTTGTTCTACATTCAACAGCGATTTTCCAAACAGTTTATTGTCCTTCATGGCCAACCCTCGATGTGGAGAAAGGGATCTTGGAGTAGAATCAAGAGGCGACACATCTCGAGAATCTCTTCCCAACTGGACCACTTCCGTCTCACTGACCTCATTTGATGCTTGAGTTGGAATAGCCAATCTGATGTTTTGCCCGAATCCAGGTTTGACCACAAAGTTTCCATCAACAAAGACGGTCTCCCCGCGGATGACTACTGTCCTTACTCTGCCGATTACTTTCCTGCCAGCAAACGGAGTCCATTGGGCCTTGGATTCTCCTCCATTCTCAGGGATTACCCATCGATGCTCCAGGTCTACTTCAACATAAGTGTTTGGTTGTTCGGGGATATTGAAGATCTTGTGGGGATTGGTGTGGAGTCTAAGTATCAGGTCATCGATGGTCAGTTTTCCCTCATTGACAGCTGTTAACAGAAGAGGAAGCATGTATTCGATACCTGGGAAGCCGGGAGGGGCGTCTGGTCCTTTCGATTTCTCTTCGCGAGTATGGGGAGCATGGTCGGTGGCGAAGCAATCAATGTATTCCAGATTTTCCCAGAGGGCGTCAACATCCTTCTGTGACTGAGAAAGCCTCGGTCTGACCTCTTTCCAACCTTCTCCGAGATCAGATTGTGTGAGGAATAAATGATGGGGACAGACTTCGCAGGTCACTTCCCATCCTCTCTGCTTGGCGGCCTTGATGATACTCATCTCTTCGGCATTAGATACATGACATATGTGGACTGATCGTTGGGCCATCTGAGCAGCTGTGAGGACAGCAGCCAGTGTCTGTTTCTCGGCATGGCAAACAACGGGACGATCCCTGGGGAATGACTTCAGATGATCCACCCAATCCAGGAAGTTGGGCATCTTGAGAGTGGCAAAAGTTTCGTTGAGATACATCTTGAGACCGGCCGAGAGCTTGGCCACTTCGGGATCCCAATCCTTGTTTTCTGGGGTAGCCCCGAGATAAAGGCCGTAATCACAGAGCGCTGAGTTTGAGGCAATCAATTCCACCTAAAGCAAACGGTATTACAGCAATCCGACAAACAACTTACCTTATCAAAACTCTCCGCATCGACCAAAGGAGGTTGAATGTTGGGCATGGCCAAGATTGTGGTGATTCCTCCGGCCACCGCAGCTCTAGTACAGGTTTCCCAAGTTTCCTTATGAGTTTGTCCGGGATCTCTGACATGAACATGGACATCCACCAGACCTGGCAATCGTCGTATTACATCACTGGAGATGCAATCGACCACCGTATTCATCGCGGGCCTTGTTTTGTGCATTCTTCTGATCGCCTCAATGTAAAGCTTGGCGCACTTGATATCAGTAACAAGAGGGATTCCATTGTCGATGGCCATTCTCCTTGTCTTGTACCCATCCGTTCTGTAGGCCGAGATCCTGTAGGCCCCGCTTCCTCTGATGGGGAGATTGATCATCAAATCAAAGTCTTTGTTGGCCATAAAATCAGCAATATTCCTTTCCGCGCCTGATGACTTGTCTGTGTTCGTGGCCGCATTTCCGGCGCCCTCTTCGAATGGCCATTCGACCGCACTTATCTAAACCAATTCCCTTCAAACACTTCGAATTATTTTACCTTGATTCCATTGGATTCATAGAATTCAGCGGTTCCCTTCGAGGCATAGATCTCATATCCCATTTCATGCAGAAGTCGGACACTCGGCAGCATCTCTTGTTTGGCATAAACACCCCCAATGGACAAGAAGATGGTCTTCTGCGGGACCACGAATCCAGTGCTGAGAAGTCCCTTCAGATACGCCTCGTACCTATCCTTGCCGAAGCAAGCCACCTCTCCAGTCGATACCATCTCCACTCCCATTACAACATCAGCACCAGCCAGACGGGAGAATGAGAATTGGGGGACCTTCACCCCCACCTTCTTGGACGAGATCTTGGTGTTGGTGGTTTCTCGGAGTTGGATGCCCTTAGGAGTCCCATTGTACATCATGGCTCGAGTGGCGAGGCCAACAAAGTCAAAGTCGAGGGTTTTGGAGACAAATGGGAAGGATCGGGAGACTCGGAGATTACATTCAATCACAAAAAGTTCGTCATTCTGAAATAAAAACATTCTCATAAAGAATAGTGAACTAGCCTGCCCACTAAAAAGTAGTACTTGCCTTAGCGATTAACTGCATGTTGAAGGGTCCAGTTACTTTGAATCGTCTTCCAATCTGATAAACAATCTGCCGGATTCTTTTTTGAGTCTGATCATTTAGATCTTGAGGAGGGGTAACTAGTGTGGCGTCTCCAGAATGGATGCCGGCATTCTCTACGTGTTCGGAGATGGCCATTGCGATCACATATCCATCAATGGCCACTGCATCGACATCAATCTCCTTGGAATCCGAGATGAATTTAGAGACCACCACGGGATTATCTTTGGCCACGACAGTGGCCTGGTTCAAGAAATGGACGAGGTCGTTCTCATTGTGAGCGACATTCATTGCAGCCCCACTCAGAACATACGAAGGGCGGATCAGACATGGGTACCCAACTTCATTGCAGAACTTTTTGGCGGCATCAATAGTGGTCGCATTCTGCCATTGGGGTTGTTTGATATTGGTTTGTTCGAGAGCTCGGCTAAACTTAAAACGATCTTCGGCTTCATCGATGTGGATGGGATTGGTTCCAAAAACCGTGACCTTGACATTCAATTGGGCCGAGGTCAGAGTCTTGGCAATATTATTCCCAGCTTGGCCACCAAATGCGAGAATAATGCCTGAGGGTTGTTCGAATTCGTAGATATCGGAGACAGACTGAAACGACGTTAAATTCGTTTAGACTTATACTTACTTCCACCGAGAGTTCTTCAAAGTAAAGACGATCGCAGATATCATAATCAGTGGAGACAGTCTCGGGATTACAGTTCACCATGATGGTTTTGTGACCCATTCTCTTCAACTCGGACACACACCCAACACAACAAGCGTCGAATTCAACCGAAGATCCAATCCGATAGACTCCACTGCCAAGAACAAGAACATTCTTGACATCTGATGTCTAAAGTAATATAATTTTAGTGTCTCTTGATGAAAAAGACAAGTCAACCCTAGTTCTAAACGGCATTTGCTGCCTTTCTCACCTTATTCTGTACAAAGCCCACATCAGATTCGTTTCCATTGTAAGTCAAGTACAAGTAATTTGTAGCCGCCGGCCATTCCCCAGCTACCGTATCGATTTGTTTCACACATGGAAGGATGTTGTTTTCCTTTCGGAATTTGCGAACTCTTCCCTTGGCACATCCTTCGACCGCTTCTTCAATCTGAGCATCACTGAATCCACATTTCTTGGCTTCCCAGATCAGATCTACAGCATGGTTCTCTTCGAAAGAGCCGAGTTCCTTCAGTTGTTTGTAGATATCAATAATATGGTTCATCCGGTTCAAGAACCAAAGATCAATGTCAGTCAGCTGATGTAATCGATGTACAGTGTTCAGATCTCCCTCATAGTCCTCCATAATATCATCGGTGAACAGCGCCCGGGCCAAGGCCAACATTCTTTTGTCGGTGGGATTGGTGAAGTCGGATTCCGAAGTGTTCCCGGACTTCCAATAAAACGGGGAAAACCCAGAATAATTGTCATTCACCATCCTGAGGGCCTTTTGGAAGGCCTCTTCGAAGCTCCGACCAATTCCCATGACTTCACCAACTGATTTCATTGATGATCCGATGGTGGTGGAGACTCGGGCAAACTTGGAGAGATCCCATCTGGGAATTTTGACCACACAGTAATCAAGCGAGGGCTCGAAACAGGCGGTGGTATCTCCAGTTACACTGTTTCTGAGCTCGGGAAGAGATTTTCCCAAGGCAAGTTTGGCTGCAATGTAGGCCAAGGGGTAGCCAGTGGCTTTGGAAGCGAGTGCCGAGGATCTGGAGAGACGGGCATTCACTTCGATGATGTAATACTAAAAGAATACCGTTTCTTAAATATTTAAAAAAAAAGATACTGTACATAACTCTCAAAAATCTTACCTCAAGGCTTTTTGGGTTGAGGGCATACTGTATATTACATTCACCGATGATTCCAAAATGTCTGATCACCTTGATGGCCGTCTGTCGGAGTCGATTGTATTCCTCATCAGTCAGCGTTTGACTTGGAGCGACAACCACAGACTCACCAGTATGAATTCCGAGTGGATCCACGTTCTCCATATTACAGACAGTCACACAATTGTCGAAGGCATCTCGGACAACTTCGTATTCCACTTCCTTCCATCCTTTCAGGGATTTATCGACCAAAACTTGATTGGAATGGGCCAACGCCTGTTTGGTGATCTTGATCAACTCCTCCTTGTTGTTGGCAAAGCCCGAGCCAAGGCCACCGAGAGCAAAGGCAGCTCGTACAAGGACTGGATATCCAATCTAAAAACATTTTAGTTCTCGATAATTTTTTTTTAACTCTTGCCTCATCGGCCGCTTTGATCGCTCCCTCCACACTTGTAGCAGCTTGACTCGGCGCCACCTTCTCTCCGATGCTTTCCACATTCTGATTGAATATCTCCCGATCTTCAGTATCAATGATCGTCTGGATTCTTGTACCCAAAACTTTTACATTATACTTGTCCAGAATTCCTTCTCTGTAGAGATCTACGGCGCAATTCAACGCGGTCTGTCCACCGAAAGTGCAAAAGAGACCAGTTGGACGTTCTTTCTTGATGATATCAGTCACATATTCTTTATTGATGGGGTCAAAGTAAGTCCGGTCGGCGAATCCCTTCGAAGTTTGGACAGTAGCCACATTTGGGTTGACCAGGACAGTCCGAATCCCTTCTTCCTTCAATGCTTTAATTGCCTGGGCTCCAGAATAATCGAATTCACCAGCTTGGCCGATGGAAAGACCTCCAGATCCCAGGACCAAGATCTTTTGTTGACGGCCGGGATCGTAATTGGAGTCATACTGCAATTTCTCCTTGATTGCTTGACGGACATTGATCTTCTTTCCATCCTTGAAGGACTGGGCGGTCGATACGAAGACATCAAAGAGAATCTCCATGTCTGTGGGTCCGGCGGCATGCTCAGGATGGAATTGAACACTAAATTAAATAATATCACATTTTAGGTATAAGTTAATATTAAAGTTTAATAATAAAATACCTGAAAAACGGCTTGTCCAGATGAACTATTCCTTCGTTGGTTTTGTCATTGGCATTCGTAAACAGGGCCATCCATTCCTTCGGATCCAAACTCGTTTCATCGACGGCAAAGCCATGATTCTGCGATGTAATGTAACATCTGTTGGTGTCAGCGTGAACACAAGGCTGGTTATGTCCTCGGTTTCCGTAAACCAACTTATAAGTTTTGGCTCCAGCAGCCTTGGCCAACAATTGGTGACCCAAACAGATACCGAAGACTGGCTTCGGATTCGGGGTTTGGATAATTTTGGACAGATTCTGGATGACTTCTGAACACATTGATGGATCACCGGGACCATTGGACAAAAACAAAGCGTCAAAGTTATCTAAAATTATATTTCGTGACCGTGATTTTACTTTACAAAAACTACAATACAAGAAAAAGCATACCGATATTCTCATGGATAGGATAATTGTAAGGTACCACTTGAACAGTGCAATTCCGATTGGCCAGACATCTGATCTGGTTGTTCTTGAGGCCACAATCAACCGCCAAAACTTTCAAAGAGCCACTTCCGAATGTTTCAGGTACCTAAAACAACATTCTTGTACATTTTGAGTTCCAAATCACGTTAAATAAAAAGTTGCATACTTTTCGAGACACCTCGGCGACCAGATTGTCCTTGTTAATGTCAATAAATTGTAACTTGTGTTCATCATCGGTCTCAATAATCAATTTTGCCTTCATGGATCCCTTTTCGCGGACCTTTTTCGTCAATTCTCGGACATCAATTCCAGATAATCCGGGGACTCCATTCTCTCTCAGCCAGTCGCTCAGACTTCTGACAGCTTGATAATGAGAATGTTCGTTGTCCGGGCAGATCCTATCCACAATCAGAGCCGCTGGCCATATTTTACTGCTCTCAAATCCCTTGGGAAGTCCCAAAGAGTCCTTCAAAGTGATGTCAGGGACTCCATAATTACCAATCAAGGGATATGTCAGGGTCAGAAATTGTCTGGCATATGAGGGATCGGAGAGGGATTCGATATATCCGACCATTCCAGTCTGGAAAACCAGCTCCCCTCGGGCTGATTGGGTGGCTCCGAAAGAATGACCGGTGAAGATGGAGCCGTCCTCGAGGATCAGACGGGCATTCATCATGTCGAAGTCGGTATGCACCATCAAGAGATTTAGTTTCGTTAGACCCAGAAGTTCCTGGAAGAGATTGAGTTTATTCGATATTGTACTAGGCACAACAAGTTAATCACAAAAACAAATCAAGGTCTTTCTGATAATGTTAATGGCCTTTCATAGACAAAACGGAATGACCCCGGATCGGGGAACGCACTCGTTATCTTATCTACGTCCATAACCATGGGCGATTTTTTCTCAGAGTTCGTGATTACACAATAAATATGTAAACATCTAGGTGCGAGCGGTAAAATTATACCTTCTTTTATTTTTACAATGTTTCAAGCGTTCTGAAGATCCATAAGATTACTGGGATTAAAGCGGATTACGTAACTAATTAAATCCTCACGGTTAATACCTAAAATATCTAGAACTCTGAATGCAACCCCAAAAAAAGAACGTTCTGTGATAATAAGTAGCCAGACACGCATCTTTCTTTTTTTCTTATCATTAATTCCGTTTCGCGCTCGTTTCCAAAAAATCTCATCAATTTGGGGGCTCGCGGTAACGGACAATAAATATTTTGATTAAAATTATCGGTGAAATCACAACAAGGACGTCTGACGAACCCACAATATACTGCAAACAACTTGCTCCTTCCTTTACCCGTCTTTATATACTGTAATGAGAAAACTTTTTTGAAATCTTTTTGTCAACTCTAAAATCTCACGGATATAACCAAAAAATAAAGAGAGAGACCTAATGGCTTGCCAATTCACACAAAGGACACTGACATTAGGATCTTTGGACAGAGGATGCGCAAAAAATGATCTCTGATTTAAGAATTCTCAAAATGAAATGTCCCTAGAAAAAGATAACCTCGAACTGATCTCCAAACTGCAAAAATAACACTCGAATCACTGAAAGTAATAAACATTGACCTTGATATTCTCCCAGAGATAGGGCCAAGATTAATTCCCGCCCTTATCAGTCGGCTTTCGAAACTTTTATGATTTTAGGTATAAAGATTTCACGTGAACATTGGGAGGTGCCCTAAAAGGACACATCTGCTCTTTGAACGAAAGCATCTTCCTTCATACAAAAGGTTACTCCCTTAGAGGGGAAAGAGTAATGTCGGAAGAGGTCCCCTTCCTCTGACATTACCCTTTCTTCCGACAATGGAAAATCTGAGAGACTGTCCCCAAAATCAGACGTTTTAAAGGCCAAGAATGGATTCAGAGAACCAAAACAAATTCAGATTGCAGAGAAGATAGGCGAAAACACGTATGTGATAAGATTATTGACCACAGTATATATCTCACCTTGAATCCACTTCCTGGTCTGGTTGAACTCTGAGCTCGGAATTAGGTCCGATATGATTAAATGAAATGTTTTTGGTATAAATTAGTTGGAATAACAAGAAACAAGTAACAATTACAAACAAACCCAGTTTGGGGACATGAAAATGGCCAAATTATTTTTTCTTTTAGGATTTGGGCGCAGTCTGCCAACAAGAGATTTTGCAGTTAGATCTTTTTTTTTTACACGACAGATAATTTGCTAATTGAAAATTGGCAACATGTCAAGGAAATGGTTTAGATCACTTTTTATGGACTTTACAACGCCTTTAAAAGAATTTGCTTTTTGATTTATGAGTTGAGTTACAGGACTTCCACAAATTTTCGGTGAAATTTTTTTGAATTTGTAGAAAAACTGTAAAATAAGAGAACAAATGTTTCGATACTATTTACTAGGGTTGTCAACTTGACAGAATTTTTCAGGCTGACAATGTGAATTGAAAATTCTGATATTCGAAGCTTTCATACGCGACTTTAACATAGACTAAGATGGATACCGTTAATATTAATCGTAACTAGTTTTATACTGCTTGTTTCACTGGTCGTTTTGACAAGAAATAGCAATTTAACTTTTAGAAATTTTAAATTCATAAGATTTTTTAGCAAAAATCTGCGAAAATTCACCCAAAAAGTTCAATTTGACAATCAAAATGACAGAACAATTTGACATGACGAAAATGACGGCAAATTCGACAATTTGACTGAGGCGCCAAGTTGACGGCTTAACAACCCTACTAGTATTTACTAACCCATGGCATCGATTTCAAAAATCCAATCGATTAAAAAAAAGAAGTCACCTTTGATACAGTTTTTCATTGTCATGTACATCAGAATCCGAAAAAAATCAGGAGTATTTCAAAATATCCCCAAGTGCTACACTTTGGACCGAGTGAGAGGGGGTCAAAACTTTTTTGGCGAGATATAAAAAAAAGCAAATCCATAAAAAATATGTTTGAAGAAGAGCAAAATGTTCGTCGACAATAACAGATGCACTACTAGTAACTGTAGATGCACCTAATGCCTCTGCAGACATTATTTTTACATCCTTAGGTGGTCAAAGCGATATTGCAAACCAGCTTCAACTGTTTTAGAGATGTGAAGGATCGAACTCGCGAACTTTGGAATGAAAAGCGAACGCATAACCACTGAACTAAAACGACGCTTTAGTTCTCCCTTTCGTTTTGTCATTGGAGAGAACATTATAGGATTTTTAAAAATAAAACAAGTATTTTTAATTGTTTTTGTACTGAATTCTTATGTTTTTTAGGCAAATTCATATCATACTTCTAACATAGACCAATAGTTAGTTTATTATGTATTTCCGAACCCATTCTTCCTTCATTTCGCACTTTTCTCTCAATTTTAAAAGGTCGACACACTTCGAGGCAAATTGGAACCCTAAATAAATAATTTTCTTAACCTTTACCTGACCCAATTCCACTCTTGAAAGAGTTTACAAACCTTTTTCTTATAAATAATTACAGTTCCTTATATAATGGGAGGTATTTCGCCCCCTCTCTGACTAATATTTATCCATTGTCATCCCGGCTGAAGGTCAAATCCCAACAAAATATTATTCTGACAGCTTTTATGCGAACTTTTTAAGCACATTCTGCGGGGAAACGTTGACTTTTGCATTCCTTTTTGTGAATTCTGAGTCTGATTTTGATTACGGTAATCACAAAAATCAAGATTTTAATTTAAATATAGTCGAAGAAGACAATAAAAAGATTGTATACACAGTCTGAAGGCTCGATTTGAGCATCTCCAACCTCTGAAGCTGATTTTTCGGGCCCTCGATGCACCCATTCAGGTCTTTTCAGTCAAGTTATGGGTAATCGGATACCGCCCGATTGTTTTTTTTGTTCGAATCCAGGGATTTCGGCCCAAAATATCGTTCCCATTTATCCGTTATCTCTCCGCTCCTGGGAATCGGACTTTTGTAATCCATTTATTTGTTAAACGCGGGGAAATCGGATCGGGATTTGTTACAATTTCCGGCTTCTTTTTCTTTTGTTCCAACGTGGTTCAAGCCCGGAGGGTATCAGAAAATTAATCGGCTATAATTAGCCACGGAATGTCTCGGACCAAGCGACTTTATACATATTTTATATGAAGGATACGGTAGCTAAACTACAGTAGTCTTAAGAAACTACAGTAAGGTTTTCTTCCAAAGGATTTTTTTCTTTTTTCTTTTGATCTCAATCCACATTGACAGCACTGTAATGTCCAGCAGGGATCTCTTTGTAAGAGGATATCGATTAATCTCCCAAATATTATTCTTTCCAAAGTTATTTTTCTTACGCAGTAATTACTCACTTGTATGGTTCATCATGAAAAAACACTTCAAAGTAATTACTTTTTGAATTACAGTACTCTTTTCTCTAACTATTTTGTAATAACAATACCTTGGTTATTTTGTTACAGTAATCCTGCTGGTTTACTTCCTGGTTTTACAACATTGTAAACATGTAAAATCTTTTTTTTTTCTTTGTCTCTCGAAGCCCTTAGGGTCCGGAGATTGTAAAAATGTTCGCGATCTTGGTTTACGATTTATCTGGAAAGCCCATCTTCCCACCGTTTTGTTTAATAATCCGAGATTTGAAGTGATATCATTGGGAAAGGGGATCGCTTATTAAACAGTAATTGTAATGGTTTAATGGGATGTCTGGAAACAATCATATAAATTTCGAGATTTTGGGGTTTTAAGCGATTTTTTGTTGGATTCCATTTTACAAAGGTGTGCCCAAACCAAGGCCAAATTTTCTTCGCAGAGGCCTGGTTACATTTCAAATAACAGTGAAAATTTTCAAAGAATGTTTTTTCGGGGTAAAAAATATTTTGACCCCCTATTGCTGGCAATCTCTTGTTAAATTCATTTTTGAATTCCCTCTAATTGCCTTTGGAAAGAAACAATTAAAAATTAAAATAATAAAATTGTGGAAGGTTTTGAGTGAATCTTCGAAAGGTGCAAATTTAATGGGGATTGTTTTTTCCGTCAGATTTTGACACCCAAATCTATTCCCCAACCTCGATTCTGGCAGATAAAAGGGGGGGCTGCCGGAAAGGCCGATGCGCTACTCGATAAGAACTTTTATGTCTTCGCCGACCTCATGATTAGCCTCGAGAACTGGGTCGTCAAGCCTGTTAATGGGATTAAATCCTACTTCTCTCTGTTTTTACACTGCCGTTCCATCAACGCGAATTTGTGAATTCCTAATTGTAAGCCCCTTATTAGTAGTGTAAACTGTTTAATTGAACCTTTGTGAACTTTGACACGTCCAAGGGATTACTTTGATTCGTAAAATTTGTAATCAATTTGAAAGAATTGGCAAGCAATTTGAGACGCAATAATGGCGCTGATAATGCGATTCAGAGGCCAATTCGATGCCTTGAGAGATGATGCAGAAAGCCGAAGGGGAGTTACGCAACGGGTTTTGTAATAGCAGAGCAGATCCCCACAACAAGTTCTCTTAAGTAGTATTCTCTTCTTTTGTTGTCTTTACTGTTATATGACTTTTCTTTCGAGTGCCATTCAGTTGTCTTTTGCAGATCATTAAAGGGGTAATCGACTCCAGAGTAGTTTTTAGGAAGTAATTGTACTGCCTGAGACTACTTTTTTAATAATTATTACTCTTCACTTTCCTTTAAACTCGTAGTTCTTTAAGCCGGCTGTCACTAAGCTTCTTTGCAGCTTTGCCTTTGTCACAATATTATTGTATAGAAATCAAATCAACCATTCTTTCCTCTCTCCCCCCTCCACTTGTGATGTTGCGCAACTTTTTGTGTACATATTTGGGCGATCGGAAGTCGATCTACTTTCTCCTTTTCCAATTATTTTTATTCGGGTATTTCCACGTCAAGATTTATGGAATTTATGGGCCATGTTACAGTAATCCGGCGTCTTGAATATTTGTTTTGATTCATCATTTATGGTGCCCTAAGGGCTGTATGGCGTCGTTTTGTTTGTTATACAACACCTTTTTGTTCTCTTACTACCCATTTTTTATGATAATCGCTAACTTTTCCCATACAAATTGTATTACCATCGGCATTTCTGAGATTCCTCACATCAGATGTCAATGATAATATGAGAAGGCTGAAGAAACGTTTTGTCAAGCGGATTGATAGCTATTGCAACAAATGAGTGCCTTGATTTGTCTTTCTGATTAATTAAATTGGCTTGACTCATCCCGTTTTGTGTCAACGGTCCTTTATTTTTACCTGACATAAGCCCATTCGCAGGTAAAGGAACGACCTCTGGTGCCATATGCACCATTATAAGTCGACCTTCGGAGGCCCTCAGAGACTCGGAAAGTGCTGTAAGAGGAGCTCGAGTAAGAGATGTTTTTTGAATTTAGCGACCCGCAGCGAATGGCCTCAACGAATGCAAACAAGAGCCGCTGCAACGTTGACTCATCCCGTCTCGAGTCAAAGAGGGGATACAGGAAGGGATCTGGGGATTCTGAAGACGGGAATCTGACAGCGGCTTCTTGAATTGCTCGATTTGTCAAAAAAGATTTGCAACTTTTGTCGGATGTGGGGGATTACGCCGCAGGGAACGACCAGGGACGAGCGATGAATGGTTTCGGGTTGTATTCTTAGACGGGATTGCGTATGCAGTAGGCAATGATAGGAAGAATACTTTTTTTGATGTATGCAAAGTTTTAGGGAGACAAGGACATTGTAGTCTGAAGAGTAAAAAGTAGTCTGTTGAAAAGTAGCGGGTAGTTATCGTAGTCATAACATCGCTAAAACGGTTGCCATGTTTTTGTTGATGAACTCATCTTTTTGGCACCTCCAATGTCACCAGATGAGATTTAAATCATATCCTCTTCCGTTTATGTAGATTATAATCCTTGGGTAGAGTACGAGTAAAGCCAAAATTGGACATCGGTTTTCGAATTTCCCTTATTGCAGTATTACATCATTTGCATCAAAAAAAATTCTAAAAATTTTTTTTAACGTGCATGATATCCAATACTATTTAATGATACATTTCCTTGCCCCTTCCGCTTACGCAACTCTCAAATCCGAGCCGATTACTCATCTCAGCCTCCTTATGAAGTAATTAGAATGAGCGTCGAACAATAATATTGTAGTGGCTGGAGGTAACCGAATATAATTTGGTTGCTCTTTTGTCCGCCTCACATGATTTATCCGGACGAGAAGAAGAGGATTCAGCTCCTCATCCGCTCTGCCGTTATATTAAATCAGTTTCGGATCCATATGACGTCATTCATTCAAGAGTTATGTAATTACTAATTAGCCCTCTTTATTGCAAGTCTTTACAGTCTCCAGTTTATTGTTGGCTGCTTCTATTACTTTTCTCTCTTTTTTCCACCGATCAAAATTAGAATTTGGCTCTTTATACGAATACTTTATGTTGTAGTAGATACGAAAGTGTGATTTGCCGCGCAATCATGGTATTACTGCGGAGGTCGTGGTTTAATTTACAATCTCCCCCTTCTACTTTCGTTTTCCATTGTTATTTGGGAGAGTTAATGAGGCAGAAAGGCGGGAAATGTCATCAGCTCACGTTGATTTAGACATTAGTTTGGAGGAAAAAAGATACGTTCAGATCATTTTGATCCTCAAATTGTTGTAAGATTTATTGTTTTAAGGCGATTGCAACCTGGTTCTTCGGTATTTACTTGCCCACCCCTTCAACTGCAAGCTTTATTAGTAATAACTCCTAGTAACATGACCTCTGAAGTCTCCCAAACCGCTTGGCCCCTAATCAGATTATATTATACTCGGTGCTCCCATGATCTGGGACTTGTTTGCGCGATTTCCCCGAAATAATTCCTTTCCTTCTCTTCGGATCATTATTATTATGGGAGTGCGCGAAACTCCCGAGACTCTCGACCAAGCCAATTATTATAGCGTGCTTTTGCTATAACGTGCGAAACTTGTCGCCGTTTCCCTAAATTGGAATTCCAATTGGGAATTTAAAGAAGAAGGAGCAGCCCGAAGATAAGGACATTGTGCTCGGAGTAGTAAAAAGTAGTCCTGTCCTGACTACTTTTGCTGATTGTAATCAGTGTCAAAATACCTGTCAAACAACTTGTCGCAGCCCCGTTTGTTGTTGGATTTGTCTTCTTAACACCTTGAGTGTCCTCAGCCGACATAACAATCGTCTTCCTGTCGGTTCCATGCAGATTATGATCCATTGTTTGGGGCTTATCAGTCCCGAGATCGGCGTCTGAATCCCCGATTTCTGGATTCAAAACTCCGCCTTTTCGGCGCAAGGTAAGTGGAGGGAAGAGAGGGTTACCTCTTTTTTGGGAGTCCTTGTATTGGAGTTCTCGGCGTTGGGAAAAGAAACGGTCCCTCCTCGCCCCCCCCCCCCCCTTTAAACGCTTAATTTGCCTCATCAATCGGGCCCGTCAAGGTTACAAAAAGTGCCGGACACTCAGTTTTCCGCCTTTTCTGACGTTTTCACTTACTTACAACGTTTTTACTCACTCGCAACCCACTTGACGGTCATGTCCGGCATTGCCATCCCCACTGTATCCTGTGTTTCCTCTTAATTCCCTCCAATTTCCTTGATTACTATAACTTTTTCTTACATTTAACGAATGGAAATTTTGTTTTTTAAAAAGTTTCATTCCGCGGTCGGATTCAGAAGTCGGCTCCATCTCAGAATCCGACCGTTTTTCATCCGAATTTACTCGGAATTTTTAATTTTTTGCTCGTTTGTTTTAACGGCGCGCGCCCTGAAAGTATTGTATTGTAAAATTAATTTGTTTTTTTTTTAGATGAACGAGAAACCTGAAGAGCAATGAATCTAGCCGGCTACTGCCTTTTCTGTCTTCTGATTCCTTTTGTGACGGCCGATCCGCGGGCCTATGATCTCAGGATAAGAGGTGAGTAAAAAATTTATATTCTCCTTGTCATGGATAATATAAATTTTGTTTGGTTCTTTGTCATCATCACGCCTATTATTGTTTACTTGGCGAATGTCGACCTTTCGTCCATTTGCACCTTCCCTAAGCCGCCGATCTCAGCAGATCCGATCCTTATGATATTCGATAGGCCGCGGCGCTGCTGGATGTCTATTTCGGGAAGGTCATCCCAATAAATTAGAGCCCCTTTTCTCCTTCTCTTCCTCTTGATTAACCCGAAGCAAGGACAGGAAATCTCTCAAAGACTCCGCACACTTAATTTCGGGGGAATTTGAATAAAGGAAGGCATTGTTTTTGCATATCCCACACTTCCGAAGATTACGGTAGACAAAGTGGCACTTAACGTGCCGGAAAGGACGGTTGGTGATCAACTGTCGAGATCAGAGAATAGTCGAGAACTTGAACAACCAAAGCTGATAAGAACGGACCGCAGGGGACATGTCTTAATTTTTTTGTGATACTAGACAGAGTTACTTGGCAATGAAACTTCTCAGGGACCGACGATTTTCATTCAATTTTTGAGATACTGTCCATGCGATCTTCGTTTCCAAAAATTTTAGCTTGCGCTTTCCCGAGCCAGCCAAAATATCCATAAATCTTTTAAGAGTTTACGATAAATAAATTGTAAAAAAATTTTGAAACTGCCTCTGGAGACCTTCAATTAGTTTGTTATAGACAGTTTTCTTTGTAATAGTTTGCTGTATATAGGAGGGTTGAATAGGCGTTGTTTGTTTTCTATTTTTACATCTGATAGTAATCTTCAAGTACAACAAGAGCCAAATCATATTTCCTCGTTCAGCCTTCCCTCCAACTCAGCTTGAACCTCCCGTTTGTGTAGATTAGAGGGATTAGCGACGCCTCCGAGGGTCGGCTTTGTTCAGATCCAAACGGTCGATAAGAACCGGCTCATTATCTGCCCTGAGGGTCTTTCCGAAGAGAGCGTTCAAGTGTCGTTAAGGCAATGGCTACAATTAGTTTTGTAACTCCGACTTTCTGAGCAGGAACTGGGAAGTAGGGCGCAGTGAAAGTGGATCGTTTAACCTCAAATTACTCGAATTAAATCGGATTCGAATTCAATTATTATTCCAGCCGAAAGGGAAAGAACTCCGACAAAACAGCGCCTGAGGGCATTTGAGCAAAGTATTACACGTCAGAAGTGATGGAGTTCGAGGAATTAGAGATCATGGAACTTTTTGAAACATAATTTATAAATTTGAATATTCAAATTCAAAAATTAAAAAAACCAATTTTTCAGAAAATCAGCCCCTTGAATTTCGGAAGTATGGAAACCCAGAATCCATCGACTACTTCCGACTTCTGGAAATCGACGATTCACATCTCATAATAGGAGCAGCGTAAGATTTATTCATCTATGCAAATAACATACAATTACAGAGATAATGTGCACAATATTAGCATCGATCAGTTCGAAAAAATATCTCTGTACGAATGGCCCAGTGGTCAGAGTGAAATCAACGATTGCATCATGAAAATTGATGATCAAGTAGGTTATATTACATTGGATCATGATGAATTTATATTTTGTTTTACTTCTACTTTAATTTCAGACGGCTTGTCGAAATTATATTCGAGTTTTGTCGAGATCTGAAGACGATGGGACCTTGCTTATCTGCGGAACGAACGCTTTCCAACCATTGTGTCGACTGATCAACAGTAAGCACGAAAAGTTATTGGAATTTGTGGGAACGGGGATCTCTCCGCTGGATCCACGACATAACACGTCGTTCCTGAGAGACGGAGATCTTCTTTATTCTGCTACTGGTAAGTTTGTTTTATTTATTTTTTATATCCTTTGTCATATACAATAAAAGAATGTTTTTTAGTCGCTGATTTCTACGGAAATGATGCTCTGGTGTTCCGCCGCAACATCACAAAGCCCGAGGACCGTGGAATCCGAACACAACGCCAGAATATTATGTTGCTAAACAAGCCTCAGTTCGTTGGGACTCTTCAATCGGAAAAAGTAAGCAAAAAAGTGGAAAGGTAATGTAAAACAAGGCGGAGGAGCGGCGAAAAGGCCAAAGGACCTTGTCGCGGAGATAAGAATCATTCCGTCGACGGTTCCACTCATTCAAATTCGACCTTTACGGAGCCTCGAAATTAAATTAATCGCAAAAAATTTGGCGACAAATTAAAAGAGTTCCTTCGAGGGTCAACTGAGGTCGGGTAATTGAGAAACTACAAGCAGTAGAAGTGGAAATAAGCAAAATTTGAAATTAAAACTTGTCTTTCAGTACATTTACTTTTTCTTCCGCGAAGAAGCGACTGAATCTTCGGAAGCGACCATACACTCGAGGGTCGCCCGGGTTTGTAAAAACGACAGAGGAGGCCCTCAAGGACACGAAACGGAATGGACAACCTTTGCCAAGGCCAGATTGAACTGCTCAATATTGGAAAAGAACAAGCCTTTCTACTTTGATGAGGTCAGTTTGGGTCTCACCACGATTTCCCTGAAAAATCAGCCTGTCCCTAAAAGGAACAAAAACGACAGCAAATTACAAAAAAATATCCGAGATTACTGTATAAACCAATTTCAGATAATTTCGGTGTCCGGAATCACTCACAATTGGAATGGGAAGACCAAGAATCTCGTATATGCAACCTTTGTTTCCGAATTTAATTTCCTCAGGCATTCTGTTGTGTGTGCCTTCGGAATTGACGAGATCGACAAACTATTTGGATCCTCCGACATCTTGACAAGAGATTTGGAGACAGGAAAATGGATAAGGAAGTCACGGCAGAGCCATCAAGGGACCTCCAAATTGGGACAATGCAGCCCAAACTCGAGGGATCTGACGGAAGAAGAGGTGATTCAGATGAGAAAGACCCCTCTCCTCGCTGATTCTGTCCCCAATCTCTTCGGGAAAGCTGTGGGAATCCATCGTGGAAGTGATAATTACAATCAGATTGTAGTTCTCGAAGGAGTCCAGAGTTTTGATGGACCTGTGGATGTGTTATATGTGGGGACAGACCAAGGAAATGTTATCAAGATGATCAATCTGGGCGTCAGCGAGGCCACTGGGGAGATGGACCGAGATCCTGTTCATCAAGTCGCCGTGTTTAAGATCAGTGATGTAAGTATTTTAATTTTGTTTCATTACCTTTGGCAAGTACAATATAAAATCTTTCGATTTCAGCTCCCAATTCGTCGGTTGCTGATAACTCAAAGCAAATATCTGATAGTTGTGACGGACCCCGTCGTTTACCGTCTTCCTCTCCATCTCTGTTCGTCCTACGACTCTTGTGAAAGCTGTATTTCCTCAAGGGATCCGCATTGTTATTGGAAGCAAGGAAAATGCCGTTCGATCTCGGCAAGGTTTGTCTCACTCATTCGTAAACTCTACTGTTCTCCGATCTAATACAAAATTGGCTTATTTACAGCCCACGACCAACGTTATCCTATCAAGACATCTTATCCAAACAGCCAAATATTTGTGTGGAGGCCAAAAAACATGAGAAACCGAAGGTCACATCCACCACAACTGAAGTCCCGAAGACCGAGATTCCCAAGATTATCAAAGAAAAGTATAGAAACATTACTTTTGGGGCGTTGACAGTTGACGGGAACGAGGTTTGTAATTGCACTGCCATCAGATCCCATGCAGAACGAAGGAAGTGTCACTGTCCAAATCTCGAGGACTTGATTCAACCAGTGGTCTCGGAGGAATTATCAGGCAAGTCTCGCGGACCTTAAACCAACCGACCAATCTTCTAAATTATCTATCAATCCGCCTAATCTAAAGTAATATTTTTAGTGTCTCCCTGGTCCCGCATTCCTTGGTGGGTGTATCTGATCCTGATCTTGGCCCTTTTCCAAACCTTGGGGCTTATCATTCTGTGTGTAAGACTGCGGAAACGTCGGATGGCCAAGAAAAAAGGCCAAAGTAGCCAGAAACAGATGCTGTCGGTGATCAACGCCTACGCCCCGACCATCACTGATGCCATCCCATCCAAAATAGGACCAACTTATGCTACATACGACACCTTCCGACGTTAGTCCCGCCCACTTTCATAGGAGATCTAGACGGGTAACACTGGGAATGTCCAGAAAATAGGTCGTTATGAGAGATTTCCTTGCGATTGAATGACGAATTTTCTGTAGGGAATTACGTCATGATGACATAATTTTTTGAATTCTCTTTTGCTGATTTATTCTTCTGGCAGTTTCCGGTGATGGAGAGTAATGTCGGGACCCTCATATCATCGCATTCCAGTGCCATAACCAGACTTTTACGTATCATTTCTTCGACATTCTCTCGCCAAATTATTTAAATTAGCTGAAAACGGGTATCTAGTCGTGTAAATCAAAGTATTGTTATGTTATAGACGCTGTTGTATATAATAAAGAAGCATTTCTTACGGCTTTCGGATGAAATTAATTTTAAATTTCGCGGAGAACGACTCCTTTATATTATACATAAGAGAATGAAAAAAATAAAAACTCTGGAAAAGGCAGTAAAAGTAATGGATCTGTGACAAGTAGGAGTTACTAATACTCGATTACTAGTTCAAAAGAAGGGCCTTCCAATTGAGCCCTATCAACCATCGCTGAAACTTTCTCCAACTGCCCTCAGGGTCCTTGAAAGTGAGCAACTCCTTCCCATGGTCCTTATTCCTGATCAATCTGATGCCTGAGGGCGTGGATTCGGTCATCCGGAAGGTCAGATCTTTGAGTGCCATTACTGTCGACCGGGTGTTCCACATATCTTTGCGGACTTTAAGCCCTGTGGCATTCATGACCAGTTCGTAGACCTCTTCTTTATGAGGTGGGAACAGGTTCTCTTCGGTGAAAAAACGACCACCTAAACATTAAAATCAGGCCTGGAATAATATAAAAATTTAAAACCATCGATTTCCAGTGCAGGATCAGCACTTACGAATGGCTTTGATATGCATGGAGAAAACATCATCATTGTTTTTGTGCATAACGAGCACATTGTTGGTCTGAGCACGATGCAGAACTTGGATGAAGGGGAGACAATCCAGAAGACTCACTTGTTCCGATAAATGGAGGGCTTCGATACAAAAGTTAACCTAAAATTATAATTAATATCGCTCTTCTTAAAGACCGTTTTTTATGACATGAAGCAGGGCCCGGACATTTCCAAAAATCTACCATCTCAGAATTTTCTGAAATGTTGCATAATTTTTGTAATAGATTGCACAAAACTTGTATTCAAAATGAAAGCTTGGTTTTTTCAAGATAGTCTAAGACAACATTCTACAACAAAAGTGTCAATTACAAAAATCTTCCCCACGGTCAAAAAGTATACTGGCGACGTGTGCGATGGTATTTCTACACCGATTTTAGCGAAAATGAAATTTCGGTGTACGGTACGGGCAACATGAAAGATACCATAACTCCAGACCCCGTCGATTTTTGAAAATGTCCAGCCCTTGTTATGAGAAGCCTCAATTTATAAAAGACGCTCTTTTAAATATCTAAATCTGTATACTAAACAATTCTCACTTTGATTCTGAGCAAGTATTCCTCGGCCGAGGTTCTCAGTTCACTGACATCACCAACAGCCAACGAGATCTAAATTTTATATTTAATAAAGTCTTGTTATGACTTAATTTACCATCAGATTCATGAGCAAGATGACCGTTATCACTTCAAACGTAATCAGAAGAAGATTGGCGATCCAAGTCTTCCTCTCCAAGATGTCATTGGCCTCAACTTCTCCAATCATCATGGCCGAAGTTTTGGTAAAAGATTGGAACATGGCCATGAAAATATTAGAGTAGTTACCGTAAGATTTGTCATCCCATGGTTGGGTGCCACTATCTCTCATAATAAGTTGGAAACAGAAAGCGAAACAGAGGAGCGTTGGGATCCAGATGACCGTTGTCTTAAATAATATCAGAAAATATTGTCTTAAATCATCTAAAATCAGAAAATAATGTGAATTACTTACCCCAAGAAAACTCCTCAAGATTTTGCTCATCATCAGAATATAAGTGCCGCAGGGGCTTTTCCTCAGCACATACAAACAGTTGATCCACGAACTGAGAATAGCAAAGATAGGTAGGAACCAACTGACTGTCTGCTTGATCTCTTTGTTGTAATCATCAAAATTGAAGAGGTAGAATGACCAAATGTAAAATAATGTCAGAGCATATGTGAAGAAATTAAAAGTATATGAGATCTTGAACCAAAAAGAGACGGCACTCCATCCTTTCTGAAGTTTCAACGTCGCTTTGATCAGCATGAAGAAGACGAAGAAACCGATGATTGAAGTGACCACCAGATTCCTGGCCATTGATGGAGCTGAATGGACATACGAATACAGCAGGAACAGGAAGACGAAATAAACAATGATATGGAAAGTGTAGAACAGAGTGCACGATAAGATCCGCTCATTCACATAGTTCAGGACAAAAGGGTGCTTGATCACGGCCCAGTGATCATTATCCTTTAGCTTCTTCAGAACATGACGATTCAGAATCTCCGACTTCCCACTGCCTAAATGATTGTTGAAAGGACAATAAAATTAAACAATTTTCTGTTAGTGAGAGAAAGATTATGGGAAAGTGAGAGAAACAGACTTACCGGACTCACTTTTACAGTAATCGAAGAGATAAATAATCTTCTCTTCATTCTCGAAGACGAGTGTCCGATCATGATATTGGTCCAGTTTCTCCTGGATAATGGACTCTTCTTTCAAGGGTTCCTTTTGTTCCAGATCCAAACGTGCCTGAGGCATCATTTGAATGGACTTCTGAACCGGTCTGGCCACCCCGCCTTTGTTGGTGAGGCCCTTAAAAAGAATGATTACTTCTTTGCGAGGGGGAAAGTAGTTGAAGTAAAGGGCTTAATTGAGGAAAGCGTTTAGCTACAATTTACGGATAAATGTGGAAATGTAAGTGTTTCGGAGTAGGGACTATAAATACCTTGTGTAATATAATAATTCATGTGAAAAACAGATGACTATTAAAAAAAACTCTAAATGATGACCTTTTTTCAACCCCCAAACCTGGATCTATTTACATCCAAAGGTTGAGTCACGTTGTAAAAAAATAATGAAAAAGTAGAGGGGATAGAATAGATAACGAGCTCCGACAAGTGGCCGAAGATGGGCTCACCCAAAGAAAAATGTTTTCGGCCGAAATGGCGGCCGCAGATCTCCAAGGTGGCTAGAATTTCTCCCTCTTGAACCGCGGAAATTTCCCTAAACCCCTCAAAAAATAGTTGAAATATGCGGAATGAATTTGCCCCCGAAGGTCAGGACAGATGGGCCCTGAGGGAATAAAAAAACGGGCCGAAAAGTAGAGAAGAAACAATGCCAAGGAATCAATTTCCAAACATTTTAAGGCTTCTTTCCCTCCCTTCCGGGCCAATAATTTCGAGCCAAATAGATAAAATTGATTTATGGAGGTGCTGTCATGGCCAGAAATCGCCTCAGGGCTTGGCCGGACACGTGGATCTAGCTCTGCCACCAAAGTAAATAATTTGTAATCTACTCTAACTATTGCAATTACCTTCCAACCATAACCATTGTCCATGCCACTACTTTTTGCGGATGAGTAATACTCGCGAATCAAAAGCGAACTTATTCAAATAAACATGTCCTCCCCCATATATCCTTCGCTCTTTCCCCAAATGGCTGTACTCTCATGGTCAGGAAGGGGGATCAGAATAAAAAGTTTTTATTTTGTTTGTTTCCCTTTCCCCCTTTTATTTGATACTTTACTCTGTCAATCCTCACCCATTTACATTTCATTTTATTTGCGTTTCAGAAACGATGAGCAAGTGGGCATCCACAAATCAAACACCAAATTTGTCGTTGCAAAGACGTCGATTTACAGTTCAGAGGAATTTTTACAACTGTAAAAATTAGTCCCACATGGAAAACTTTTACCAGATTTTTTTGGCAAAAAATTTCTCCTTCTTTGCCTTCGATGCGCAAGCATTTGCTGTTATTTTTTGCCTATGCATCCGTGAACGATTGGATACACACTTATTTCCAAGGTCGGTTTCCCATGTAGGTCCTTTCCCTCAAATCCCTTCAAATCCGCGATAAAAATAAAAGAGTTGAGATCTTGGGCAATATTACGGAATAAAAAGACAGCTGATTGAGTAAGCCATCAAATTGAATAATATAAGAGTAATTGGACTTACTTTTATTATATTGCTCATTTCGAATCGAAATCCTCCAGATGTTTCGAGATCCCGAAAATCCCTTTCTTCACGAAAACCTGACTAAATTTCAAAACTTTCCCCTTTGTTCACTGTAATTGATACCTTTACTTTAAAGTTTTATTCGGAGAAAATAAATACTGACAAATATTAAGGACCCATATTGGAGGCGCTGAAAGAAATGCGAACTTCTTGTTGGTCTGGTTCATCTAGTGTCTGAAATTCTTTTTCCATGTCAAAGATCAGTTCATGGCACTGCAATCGACGAGAAAAAGTACTGTCTCGGACAGTACCAACAAATCCAAACAACAGATGTCACATTTGACATAAAAATGTTTGAAAATAATGAGCACAAGGACAAGTACAATGTCGAGAAGACATTGTGAGTAGAGAAAACAAAACAAGAATGTACATAAATACCCTACAGACAGACGAATGGCCAAGGATTACATTAACATTGAGACCAAAAGGAATACGAGGACCGAGGACGAAACCCAGAGAATCCCAGTACCGTTTGTACGGGAGGCAAAGCTCTGGCGATTCAGCGATTGAGAGCGCGAATCTTCTTCAGATGGCCAACAATCGGGACAAGAGTCCTGAAGAGAACGGCTTTGACGGACAGCATAAGTGGTCTTCATCTAGAGTGATATCAATCAGTTGCTTTTATGCGTATTACACTTACTTGAAGTTCGGGGTCATAGTAATCGAATAGCGAAATCTGAGCCGGTTTTTGATCAGCGATTTGATATACCATATCTGAGTACAGAGACAGGCACACAGGAACATCTCCAATAGGATTAAAGTAGATATTCATTCGGGTGTCATCCTTCTCCAGTTCGACTCTTTGAAGGTCCTTGATGGAGGTCAACTTGTTCATCTCCTCATTGTCGAACTTATATCCACTTAGGGCTTCAATCTCGGCTACAGCCATATTTGATCTGGAATTGGGACGGGTGTAGTTACAGCACAATTCCAATTGCATTCTATTTCCTCCTCTAACTTCTCTTAGATCTTTACTACAATAGAATGGAACGTCCTCCTTGAAGACTTGTCTGTGGTAGGAAAATTGAACTTGGATAAAAGCCATTCCATTTCCATTAGCTTCCAATTCAATCGGTTCATCGAAGTTGATCAGCTCGTACGATTGTAGAACCATTGAGTTATCTGATGAGATGGTGAAGTTCTGTAGATCAGGACCATTTGCCAGGGACAATTGCAAGGAAAAGTCGTTAGTGTAGGCCTTTTCAGCATACGATCCCATTGCCTGAAGAGCCATGACGGTGTCCTGAGTTGAGCTGAATCCTCCTTGACTGTTTCGTTGAGAAGTCAGCCATCTGACCAATGGCAGTGCCTTGTTCATCTCATTTCTCAACATATAAGTGAGAAGAGAATAAGCAGTCATCTCTACATCGACAGGGCGGGCTTGGTAGAAATATTTGGTGGTATCTCTGGCTTTTCGAGAACTCTGAGGGGCCAATGCCCAATGGGATGAACCGTCTGTAAATCAAGACTGTTATCTTGTTCAAAAATTAATATTTTCAAGATAGCTTAACCCACCGGACTCTTCGATTTTGAGACTTTCCATCATTTCAAACGCCTCGTCTTTCTTTGCGCTATCTGCCAAATGTAAGGCATAAGCAGCGACAGCCAGAGCATAGGGATCTTCTTTTACATCTTGTAAATGCTGTTCCAAATAAGTGATAGCCTTCTCGTTCTTGATATTGTTCTCTAATAGGGCTACTGTAACATAAGCAGTCAATGGATATCCTCCATCAGCAGCTCCTCCTTGCATATCTTTGTGATGGACTTCTCCTCTCTCTGCGAATGCTCCGTTTTCCTGATTTTGTTGAGAATTGAGGAAAGCAATCGCTTGTTGAAGGATTTCATTTTGAATGTAGACATAAGGCTGAGCTTGTTTGAAGGAGCGGACAACAAATGCTGTGAGCCAGGTGGATCCATGGTTGTCAGACTGGCCAAAAGCTGAGAATGAATTGTCATCCCTCCTGAAAATGACATTGTACACAAAAAGTATTGTCAGTCATAATGCAGCGAGTCTGATAAACTTACTTGTATGTCAACTCCCGTTGATATCCAGCTTCAATGAAACGAGCCAGCTTTGTTTCCATCGCTGGAGAATTCTTCTGAGTGGCTCTCAGATACCTGAGAACTACAATGTTGGGAACAAAGTTGAGCATGTTCTGTTCTCCACATCCGAACGGCATTCTAACCAGCTTGTCAAGATTACTAAGAACCGGTCCCATAATGTCACCGATGACATCAATTCTGGCTTTCTTTGATCCCTCAATGGCATCAGATGGGAAGTCCATTTTGATGGTCTTCTGAACAGTTCCATTTGCCGAGAGATCAATGGCCATGGGGACGTTCCTATCCACTCGATATCCCTCCGGTTCCACGGTTAAGAGTTCCTCAACCGCATCAGCGGCATGATCAGCTTGGGCGACCACATGGAGTTTGATTTGGCCGATCTCAGTGAGGACAATTGGGAAGTAAACGGCCTTGGAAATTCCTCCTCCGGGCACAGAGACATAGGCGACATTACTGGCTTTATCACTCTGATCCTTCTTCTCTAATCCTGAGCTATCTTTCTCCAAGAAATTGAAACCAGAAGCCGCATTTCGTTTCAGTGTGACCGCAACCTAAATTGATGATAATATCTTCATGTACAGGATGCGGCAAAAAATGGAAACTTTTTTCATGATCCTGACGTAAGAAGTTTTACGTACAGCCAAATGATTCTTGTACTATTTCTTGTAAATTCTCCGTGCGTTTCTGTCATAGGTCTTTCATTTTTTGTCCATATCGATTAATTAAAGCAAGTGAAAAATTTTTTACAGGTGCTACCTGTGGTTCAAAAAAAGATAGCTATAAACATGTTTGCATTTTTCCCGCACCCTGTATATGACTAATTATTATGAAGATTTTAGAATCTTACGTCCTGCTCGGATTCCAAATAATTGAATACTAGAACTTGGAGGGCGAATTTCTCTCCTCGTTTCACTGAGTACGGAAGATTCAGGCGAATGAAGAAGGGTCGGAATACCTTCAGCTAAAATTAAAACGCACTTCGCGAGTTGCTGAAGCAGGCTCAAATGGGGGTCTGCCCTAGAAATTGACCCCCACTTTTTTTTGTCTTAACTGATGACATATAGGATGGTAAAGAACTTGGTGAATTTTTTTCGAAAAATTCGTCATCATGACCGAGATATGACGTATTTATTGAATTTTGTTTAATGTGGTATATTGTACTGATTTATCGCCGAAACATCTCAGAGCTGTGTATATATACGTTATTGGCCATGCTGAACAACTTTGTAATTGACCCGAAGTTTGTCAGGTTACTGTAACATACCGTAACGCCCATGTTCAATCAAAAAATCTCGATTTTCTCGATTTTTTTCAATAATTTTCTCGGATTTTTTTTTCATTTTTGGAATCAGCATCAAATTCTGCATCGGATAGGCTATATCCGCATCTCCAGATAGGTGTACAAAAATGTCGTGGCGCAACCGGTAGTGGGTCGGACTACCATTCAAAAGGTCCCGGGTTCGAGTCCGGGTGGAAGCATAAATGCTCAAACGCGCTGGAAATTCTCCCAAAACAGTTGTAATGGATTGGAACTATGTTAAAAATAAATAATAATTAACGTTTTTCTATAAAAAGGCAAAATTTTGGATTTTACGAAATTTTTGGAAATCATGATTTTTGTGGGCCCAAATCTGCCGAAGAAATAAAAATTTTTTGTTAGCGATTTTTTTGTTTAGAAACAACACAGGGCATATATAAAGACTATTCCTCAGAGGATTTCGCTCAATTTTGCCCAAAACACCAAAAACTTGCACCTTTTCGTTTTAATCGGAGAGCCCCGTGAGAACCCAGTAAGCCGAAGTGACGTCATTCAAACGTGGATACACATGTTTTTCACTATGGGGAGTCGAATTTTTACCAAATTTTACAAGATTGAACACTGTAACATCATGAAATATGTGAATATCTACAAATTTTATAATGTAAAATTTTTTGTGGAAAATTTTCGCGGCTGTCAGAAAACTATTTAAAGGCAGCGCAAAAAACTGCTCTAGAAAAATTGGAAACGTTTCCGCGTAGGAACGTCTGAAAATCATAATTTCAATTTTTTGTCAAATGACAAAATACGAAAATTTTTTGGTGTCTTGGGCAAAATTGAACGAAATCCTCTGAGGAATAGTCTTTCTATATGACCTGTGTTGTTTCTAAACAAAAAAATCGCAAACAAAAAATTTTTATTCCTTCGGCAGATTTGGGCCCACAAAAATCATGATTTTCAAAAATTTCGTAAAATCCAAAATTTAGCCTTTTAAGGGAAAAACGTTAATTATTATTTATTTTTAACATAGTTCCAATCCATTACAACTGTTTTGGGAGAATTTCCAGCGCGTTTGAGCATTTATGCTTCCACCCGGACTCGAACCCGGGACCTTTTGAATGGTAGTCCGACCCACTACCGGTTGCGCCACGACATTTTTGTACACCTATCTGGAGATGCGGATATAGCCTATCCGATGCAGAATTTGATGCTGATTCCAAAAATGAAAAAAAATCCGAGAAAATTATTGAAAAAAATCGAGAAAATCGAGATTTTTTGATTTAGCATGGGCGTTACGGTATGTTACAGTAACCTGACAAACTTCGGGTCAATTACAAAGTTGTTCAGCATGGCCAATAACGTATATATACACAGCTCTGAGATGTTTCGGCGATAAATCAGTACAATATACCACATTAAACGAAATTCAATAAATACGTCATATCTCGGTCATGATGACGAATTTTTAGAAAAAAATTCACCGAGTTCTTTAGCATCCTATATGTCATCAGTTAAGACAAAAAAAAGTGGGGGTCAATTTCTAGGGCAGCCTTCCACAGCTCGCGAAGTGCGTTTTAACAGAACTTTGCTTTGGATCTATTTGTTTACCTTCGCAGTATTTGGTGAGACTCCGAGTCCACTTTGATCACTAATAGCAAAGGCAGAGGCCACCCAAGAAGTGATTGTATCAGGTACTGTAGCTTGATACACTGCCTCTCCCGTCTCGCTGAAACATATAAATTACAGCTCTGTTATTTGTAGGCTTTACATCCAGAATTTTTTCTTCTAGTGACGATAAATTATTTCAGATACAATCTAATTTCGATGACTAAAAAAATATACGAGGTCGCAACGGCTATATCAGACTCTCTCACGTTGTCAGAGATTGCCACAACCAGGTTTCGGGAAAGAGACGTCTCACTTGAGGCAAGACTTGTGGTTTTGGTGAAGGGCTACTGACTTCTGCTTCCGCAACAACTTTTTCTGCAAAATCTGATGACGTAATAGATGCCCGATCAACCATAAACTGTAATTCAGGCATTCGTGGTGAATACATCCCTAAAGAATGCTCTTAACTAGACACAATAATGTAATTTCTAAAGTTAGACTTCTCGCACACAACGGACCCTCAAAAAATACGCGTAAAATGGTAGAAAGCGAAATTTAACCTTGTGAGATTGGTCCAAATAAAGGTCTCCGGGAACTCTCTGCGGACTTTGATCATCGGATTCTCGAAGATCTTGGTGACGGCCAGATTCGCACTGGCTGCAGCTAAACCGATCTTTTTAAGATTACGGAATCTCTTGCCTAGAAAAGTGGGGGAATCAGAAAATGTTAGATCCTTGGACCTTCTGAATCTTGGTGGAATAAGACGTTACAAGGAAACGGGACTTGTTACATCATGATTGTTTAAGATTAGATATGGGGATGGGGAGTGAAAGCAATGATTTCCCGATGACTCCATTACAGATGGCTCAGATAATCTGCATCTTTTTCCATCGTTAACTTACTTTTGTCCCGTGGCCAAGGTTTCGGCCCAGATCCAGGTCTCGGGGAAGTCCTTCCTCACCTGGATCACATTATCTTGTGCTGAGCGTGCATCAAAGAAGACCGCCGCGTTGGGCGCTGCTTGAAGCGATTGCTCCAGAAGCCCTACAGTCTCGGTTATTACAATCTCGTCACGTATTAGTAGTTAGGAAGCAGTCAAATAAAAGCTGTGATTGGAGAGACTTTTGGATTACAATTGGGAATGTAAAATAACGGACGTTAGACAATTTAATCAACATAAATTTGTAACGAAAGTTCTCGCTAGCAGGTTTAGTGTCTGTTTTGTTATTTTAATACTGAAGTTATTTTGTTAAAAAAACTAGCCAAAGCCCTCCTACCTTGAAGTGAAGTTGGGATCGGTGAAGATGAATGTTTCCGGGAACTTCCGTCGAACCAAAACTCTCGCGCTCTTCTCCAACTCCAGAATCCGATTGACGAGGCCATTCGAATTCATGGTACGGTAGAGTCCTGAGGTTAGTAAGAGATTCGTTATTCAGACATCAAAAAGAAACCACCAGAATTCAGAAGACCAAAGTTAAAAAGCAAAAGCAACCAAATACGAAGAAAAGTGAATACTTACGGATGGGTTCGGGCTCATGGAAAAGGAAAGTGTCGGTTAATACAACCAATCCAGCATTCTAAACAATAAAATATTGTTCTATGTATGCCTACCTCAAAGATGGACTTGGAATCCTTGCCCCCAACTCCCCACCAAGGATACCAAACAGATCTCTTTTTTCTAGGGCCGAAGGCATCTGATTCCCAATATCTGTAACCACCGGCTCTGGTTGTGTCGTACTCTTGGATGTCTTGTTCAACCATATCTTTGGTGATATCATTACCAGATTTAAGAAGAAGAACGCTTTGATCCACGGCCAATAGACCGACATAGGAATCGGAATCCGCCTTTACAGTGAACTTAACACTCTCTCCTGGCTCGGCCAATTGTTTGTCAATGTTCAGGGTTACCTGTATGTTGTAATTATTAATGGATCTTACACTTACATCATTTCTGAAAAGACCTTCCACCTTGAAGTCCATAGCATCCACCAATACTTCTTTGTTATCAGGGCGGATGGCATAGACCACCAAACGAGCGCTGGGAGCCATCTGAGGAGTTGTGGTAAACGTTACAGTAACCAGATCCCCATTCATGGATTGCTCTTGGCTAAGGACAATACTGCCTCGGGCAATAACTTGATAAGAGATTGTTTGGAGAGTTTCTGTTGATTTGACTGAGAAAGAAAGGGTTTTGCCCGCTTCGACAGCTCCTTCATTATCAACCAGCAATTGGATAAATGAATTTGAAGGGGATTTAGCGGCATCCACATATAAAGAAGTGTAGATGAGAGCGTTTGTGAAGTTATCTTTCCCTTCTCGATCATAATGAGCTTCGATCCGGGCTGAGGTGCAATTAATTGGAGGTTGCAGAGTCAGCACATAGGTGCCGTGAGCGTCAAGATCAAGTACCTAAAAGAGATATCAGAACATGGAAGAGCGGACTTACTTTGACGTCCTTATCTTCATGTTGGTTCGAAGCACTTGGATCATAAGGATAATCATAGAAAGTGGTGACTTGCACTCGTCTGGGGACATTCGCCTTAACGGGAGTGCTATCCATCTGCTTCAAGGCCACGATGACGTTGTAGCTGAGGCCGGGTTTGAAGTTATCTCCTTGTTTCTCGACTTCCAATTGCACGTCATGACGATAGGCGACGATCTGAAAAAAAAATTATGGGTACTATGTAATATTTGACGCAATCTTAAACATCTGTAGGGTATTTCACCTGAGCAGTTCCATTTCGTTGAATATCAGTTAGATCTTCAGTTACAGTAGCCAGAATTCTGACAGTGCTTCCTCCGTAATCCATGACCAATTTATGTTTCCTCAATTCTTCATTGGTGAAGACTACAGTAGCCTCTCCCATGCTATTTAACTTGACCGTCCTCTCAATTGTACTCTCTTGTTGCGTTTCCACATTCTCTTTTACTTTCTCGTCATTAAGCAGTACTGGAAGAGTGTGGTGCCAACGATTGAAGGGCAACTCCAGAATCACCTTCGCTTTTCCGGAAACTCCTTTTCCATAAGTGTATCTAAAGAATAATGTAAATATTCTTATTACGTACTTGGCATCAATCAGAACCGACAAGTCGTCATTAACGGTGATGAAACTGGGAGTTCTGATATTCACCTCGAATTTGGGAAGGACGTATTTCTCGACCGTGAATCCTTTTTCAAATTTCATTCCGGATTCGGTTTCCACAATCATCATCCATTCTCCAAGAGGGGGATCGGAAGCAAGTTCAAGTTGATTGGAGAAGACTCCTTTGACCAGGACCTTGTCTTCCAATTGGTTGATCACATTTTGGGCCGGGTCTTGGATCTTCAAAGTGATCTTTCCCTTGTAAGGCTTTAGATCGGGGGTGACCACAACGACTCGGTAGAAGACTTAAAATTTTATATTAGAAATGCGACAAATTTCCCTGAAAAATTTGCGGCAATTTCTGCAAATCACAAATCGCACACTATGTTCATGGCACCACGACATTTCCGGAATGGCGAAATAGTGACACTTCCGGAATAGTGGAAAAGTGACAATTCCGGAACCGAGAAAAACTCAAAGATAAGGCTGAGGCCTATCATCTGAATAGATTGACCGTTATTAACTTCGGGTTTTTTCTGGTTGTTACTTTTTTCTTATGTAGTAATGTTAAAAAGTAACTTTTTGAAAATTTTCTAAAAATGCTGGATTTAGGGGTTTCCGAGGTTGCTTGTTTCGAAAATCAACTTCATTTTTTCTGATTGTTACTTTTTTCTTAAGTAGTAGTGTTAAAAAGTAATTTTTTGGAAAATTTTCAAAAAAATACTTTTTAACACTACTACATAAGAAAAAAGTAACAACCAGAAAAAAAACCCGAAATTAATAACGGTCAATCTATTCAGGTGATAGGTCTAAGCCTTATCTTTGATTTTTTCCCGGTTCCGGAAGTGTCATTTTTCCGCTATTCCGGAAGTGTCACTATTCCGCCATTCCGGAAGTGTCCAAATTCCGGGAATGTCCTATATGTTTTGATAAAAATTTTTAACGTATTTTATCGCTATCGTAGGTACAACAGTTAAAACCCCCAATGATAATTGAAGCGTTCTTACCAGTAGCTCCAGGCTTGTAGATAGCCTTATCGGTCTGAACGAATCCACTCAAGAATTTTCCGGAGAATTCGATGGGTTTCTCGTCTTCGAAGATGATTCTGGAAGCCAGATTCTCTGCCCTCACATACACTTTGTATTCTTCCCCTTCCAAGAGTCCGTCCTTACTCAAATTCTCGATGGAAACTGTCTGAGGGACCCCTGTCTTCACATTATTCACAACTCTAGCCCCAAACGTTTCATTCTTGGAGTTCCTGATCTCCACTCTCACAATATGATCCTCTTCTAGGGATTTGAGGATATTCACGGAGACGGAGTAGGGCAATCCAGGACGAGCAATCTTCGGGGCGATGATGATATAAGAACCAGCACTGCAATCACATTTCTTTGTCTACTGCAACATGACTACTTACTATGTTTTGGGGACTGCCGTAGTGGTTAATTCATCGAATTCGGTTACTTGGCCCACCAAATCGACCTCTGAATGACCGGAAGATCTGGAGGGAGATGGGATTGGGGTGGAATCAGGGTCTTGGACATCCAAATCTTGAGCCAGAGCACCTTGGACCACCAAAAATAATATGGCCCACGGGATTGGGCCGCCCTTCCTGAGCAGCATGATCTGAATATTCAAATTTAAGTCATCTTTTTAGAGTATAGGCAACGCGGAAAAAATATCCATGATTATTTAGCAATAAATCGTTAAAAATTATAAGGAAAGTTCTCCAAGTGCAACGCTCAGATTTTCTTTAAAATTTCCCACCATTCGGGCATAGGCCACATCAATTCCTGAAAATTTAGCTCGCGCTTTGCAAGGGCAGCTGCGATATTCAACGACCTTTGCGGCCAAGAGAGTACACAAAACGCGTAGAGCGGTAACAAAAAAAACATTTTTTTGCCCATACCAGTTTTGTAACGAAGAAATTGATTTTTTTTTGGAAACATTACCTTCTATGGTAAGATTAGGCATGAAACTTCTCATTACAGAATTCGTAAAAATGTGTGACATTTTTTCCAACTTTTGACCCAAAAAACTTGGTCGTTTCTGCAAGGCGCGAACTAGAAGTCGATTTGGCATTTGTCTTCGAAAAAATTATTCCAAATTTGTACGCAGTTTTATCAAAATCTGCGCGTCGCATTTGGAGTACTTCCCCTGTTAATTAAATGCAAATTATTCTCTGATTGATGACTCTAACAATAAAACAAAAAAAAACCAGAACTTTTCTCATTGTAAAAAACAAAAATGCATTGTAATGAAAAGAAAAAAGGAGAATGACCGGAGGTCATAACACACTTAAATTTAGATCAAAGGAAGAGAAACCGGGCGAGAGGCTGAAAGCAAGAGTCAATTACTTTCCCAGACTCCCAATTACTCCGGATTGGCGTGGTCTGGGAGACATAACGAGATTGGGCCTCTCTTCAAAGGCCTCACAAAGCATGGAGAACATGCTCCCAAGGCCAACGAAACTATTAAATCGACCGACAGACTCCTCGGAACAACGATTAACACGGATTTCTGGGGATTTCGGGCGAGAAAAAGTTTTTTGACCGAGATTCACTTCTTTTATTCGTTTTTTGTCGTAATAAAAGGTGTTAGAGAAGATATAAATCAACAAAGAGAGGCTACAGCGAGAGGACAGGACCTGTTGTAAAGAACACGCATTCCCAAGGATATGCGGACCTTGGAATGCCCTCAGGAAATGAATTCTCGAATGCTCTTCCTCCCGGAACTTATGACAAAACCAATCTCAATTTATCTCCCTTCCTCTTAAGTGCGATCATAAACGACAATTGAATGGAAATCGTGTATAAAAACACGACAAACAAGAGGATTGCGTTATATGGCCAATTAAAAGGCCAAGAAAAGATCAGAGACAGATCGGCAGGCGGAAATCAAGTGTTTCGCATTACTTTTTATCGGGATTCCATTACTTGACCGAAAAAAACGCGATTAATCTCTTTTTCTGAATGCATGAGTAATCATACTAAATCCATGGCCGATATCTTTGATCAATCAATCCTTAATGCAAACAGATGATATCTAAAAATAAGAGATCTATAAACATCCTGCCGTTCCGTGAGTCAGCCGAGATGACGGTCACACATCGACTCCTGGAGGTTGTCGCCTTCAATTTAATCGCGACTCATCGCTTCGAATCGCGCGCCATTTCTGTCCCGACCTTGAGGGCAGGCACCTCGGCTGTGGAGCGGGCGAGGGAACGGCCTCAACACAGATCGGTAATCCAATTCGGTTCATAAATATTTGCGAAAAGTGGCATTCAAGGAGAAGATGAGGCTTTGTCAAACTTTGAAGAGGAAAGCAGAGAGATCAGAATGACATTGAAGAAGAGAGAAACACCAAATAACATCTTTTATGATGATTTAAAAACAAATCGGGTTGAAAAAAGAAACTAATAGCTGTGATTGCGCAATCTCGAGTTGGGGAACAAAGTGATGCAAAAACGCTTAAAACAACTGAATCATCCCAAAATAGGTCGCCGAACAACCTCCAATTGAGCTGACAATCAGGTTAACCCTCGCCATGAGTAATATGACTTCTGTAACTTTGAAAGTGCAGAAGATGTTACCAGATGAATACAGAGATTGATGACTAAAACACAAAGAAACTTTGTACAATCCCCGAGGTTGGGGATTATCGGCTGACAGTAAGGGTAATTTGAGCAGTAAATAGCTCAGCTTTCACTCAAAGCGGATATTTTTGGTTGCATCGGCATTGAAAACCGTCTTCAGCATCTGAAGTCGTTATTTCCTCCGCCTCCCTGCCCTCTCATCCAATCCCAGCATCTCTCGCCTTTGAGAATTCTGTATCCCCGATGAAGAGAGCACCTTTTCTCCATGATATCTTCTCCTTTTCTGCCGATCGAAAAAAACGAATCGACTCGGAGATGGGCAATTATTCGCAGTCAAACGCGCCGTCCTCCAAAAAAAAGACTGACCACTGACAGCCGGATATCTTGACGGTGTTGTTCTTGTCTTTGTTTGAACACCTTTTTGATCCGGTATATTGCGCAAATCCCATCGCTTAAACGGCTTTTTATCCCATCGATGATCCCGTTGCGTCATCAAAGTCATCGCAATCCGAAAACAATAAGATGTGCATATTAGGATGACAATGAGAGCATAAGAACATAATTTCAGCGTTCACTTCCTGCTCGCCTCAATTGAAATCTCTTCTAAATCAAGAAAAATACAATAAAATGTAAAAAGAAGATGATGAAATTACCCAGAAATGTACAATACCACTCCCAAAACTGTTTATCTTGCCCGATTTGCAAAGTATTTGTTTCCCCTTTTGACCTTCAGAGAACGGCGAGAAAGGAAGAAATGAAGTGGGGATCGGGAAATGGTTCAAAATAAATGACTATGACTCAGTAATGAAGACAATCACTCCATCAACACATGCATTTGTAGCACAACAACTCCGCAGTTACAGTATCCCCCAAAAAGAACCCCTTCTCAGATGGTTCAGATGGCCAAATAAGGATGCAAAATGGCCAAGGAGATAATTAGGTGGATCAAGGGTCACCCTTCTCGCATTAAGGGCCTAACTGATCTTATACTTTAAACCTTTTCTCAGTCCTTTCGAGTGAACGGTCCTTTCCTTTGTTCTGGCCACATCTCTGGCCGCACTGAGAAAACGTGCGGGTATTTTCATCTGACCGACACGCGCTCTCAATTACTCCGATTTCTTGACCTCAGGGTCCCGAACTCCGCTCGGTTCTGCGATCTTTTAATTGGCCCTCAGGGCATTCATTAGTGTTCGGAATGGACATTAAGACGACATAATTGCCGTATTATGTTGTAAATTGTGGCTCAATCGGCGGCCAAAAGACCACTTAAGGCGAGAAAAATTATCGTAATCGGATTAGCAACACCCTCTATGATGTACACATAATACAATACAAGCCTTTTTATACCACATTAAGATACCTCATATTACACACCAAGTCTACATAACATTTATTATGACCTTGCAACAAAATACAATTCTAATAATGCCTGACTAGATAGAAACCAACCGTAAAATCGTTAGCTATACATTACACTGTGAAAGGAGACCCGTCTTCAGATTATGAGAGTGTAAACGCTATAGGAAAGGAAAGGAAGAAATGTTGGACAACGAGATGCATTTTCTACTCTGAGTAATACTAGGACACTCATAAGCTCTCATCTTGTTCCATGAGGCGTTCGTTTTCATCCGATTTTAGATTTCTAAATCTGATATCACCTCGTTTGGCTACGGGAAGGGGCGACTTGGATCGGCGGATCGTCTCAACTCTTTCATCGGCCGAATGTGAGATCAGAGAGGCTCCGATAAACGACTGGAATTAGAGTCTTAGAATGATTACAAAACCATTATCTAGTTCAAAAATTATGCCTTACCGCCATTATAGGTACCGCGGCCATTAACTGAGCAGCATCCGGGAACTGCAATCTAAACAAAGCATCGGCGAACAAACTCATAGGAATAGTTAAGGTCAGCGAGATGGAAGAGATGAGGGAATTGGTCAGTAAGGTCGCATACAGCCATAAATAATCAGATAAGACACTTCCGATGATCCCATTTAATAGAACCACAATGAATTCTTGCATATTCGGCAAGGGAAGTTGGGGTTCCAATCCAGTCAAGTGAACCACAAACATTAATGGGGTGCAGATCACCAGGGAAAAAACTCCTATCACCCCTAAACCATTGACATCAATTATTTATATTATCCTGGACTCACCGAAAAGAAGATTCATATCGATCTGCCCAGTGTTCTTACTCATCACTGTGAATACTGTTAGATAGATGGCGTAAGTAAAGGCCGAGGTTACTGCCAAAATAGTTCCCGTCCAAACACTCGAGAACTGGGAGACTATCGCCACTCCAGCCAGATTCAAAAGGACCAGACCAAATTTGAGAAAAGTAAATTTATCCTCGGCAAAAGGACTGAATAAAGCACCAAAAAGTAAAACAAAAAGGGAAGAGGAGGCTGAGATCATGTTGACAGAGGAGACCGACGAGAACAAAAGTGAAGCCTGATAAGTTACTGAGCTCAGGAACCACTGGAACGGCAATAATCATCAATCATAAAATAAGCGAAAATACCGCGACTCAGAAACCGCGTATTAAAATTAACAGGGGAAGTACCCCAAGTGCGACGCTCAGATTTTGATGAAACTAGGCACAAATTTAGAATATTTTTTTCTAAAATATATGCGACAATTCTAGCTCGCGCTTTACAAAAACAACCGGGATTTTTAGATCGAAAGTTGGCGAAACTTTGACACTTTTTGCCGAATGTCGGCACAAAAAGTTTCATGCCTATTTCTACCATAGAGGGTAATTTTTCCACAAAAAATCAATTTTTTCTGCACGAAACTAGCAAAGTTATGATCAAAAAAGTGTTTTTTCTCTGACTGCTCTCCGCGTTTAGCATACTCTCTCGGCGGCAAAGATCGTTCAATATCTCGGCAGCGCTGGCAAAGCGCGAGCTAAAACTTTCAGGAATTGATACTTGCTTCATGACCGACGTGTGTGCAAAATTTGAAGAAGATCTGAGCGTCGCACTTGGGGTACTTCCATTGTAAATTACTTACCAAAGGCGCAAAATAAAGCACGTATTTTACGGGAGCCGACATCCTACAGTTACACTCGATGGGAGGCGGTCTGTACGGTAGTCTGGCCAGTTTGGCCTCATAAGCGATCTTCTCCGGGAGACTTCTGACTTCTCGCCAGAGGCTAAACCTGACCTTTCGCTTCTTTTTCTCGGCCGGATTCTTGGACTGGTCTTCGGATTCATAATCTGATGGAACCGAGACCGGCTCAAATTCTGCCATAGACTAAAACAAATTACAGTAAATTCGAAACCACTTACCAGACTTTCCGCTTCAAATTCTGAATCCGTTTCATTTTCCGTGCTTAATAGAGAATAATCTTTCTGAAAAAAGCAACGTTTACAGTAATTTTGGGGAATGTCCCCGTCGCAGAATGCTCTTTGCAAAATCTTTTGCATATTCCAAAATTTTAGAATTTTAAAAACAATTTAAGCTGCAGATGCAAAGAGCAGAAAGATATTTGCAAATACTTCCTGAAACACCCTGTACTATTATCCTACCTCATCTGTATTCGAACTTTGAGGTCCGCATATTAGATATCGTAGTAAAAACATGGAGAAGAGGCAGCTTTTGATGTAAGTGGCAAAGAACGGTCGTCTAAATCTTAAATCCACGAACAAGTACTGAAACAATCGCATTGTTACATAACATTGCGTAATCTAAACATAGTTATATTACACTTGCCTTGGTGACTTCGGCAGAGATTACCCACACGGAGTTGACGATCATTAACAAAAAAACTCCGAACAATATCCGACTTCGATGAGAGTCGGCCATAAGGCCACCCCGCTGAAAACAAGATTATTATCGCCGATATTACACATGTCCACCCCGGATAATAAAATTTCCTCACAAGTAGATGTCGATAAAAACGACGTTCCCAGTGCAAAAGAGCACAATTGAACCTCATTTATTCAATAAGTTAGATTCGAATCAACTTGGATGACAACATCTACAATATAAATAATTAATCGGTTATTAAAAACGAACGGTTAAATCAACGTTGGGGCCCGTAATCAACTCCAAACACATCTGTTTCATTATTCGTGGCACTCGTTTCGTCAGGGAAAGTGAAATATTTAAGGATAAGAGAAATTGCACTTAAAGAACACGTATAAAACAAAAATAAACAACAACAAATCACCAGACTTGGGGGGATTACTGTAAGATGTACAGTAAAAGGACTAGAGAGTGATGGTATTCACAGAGTTTTGTTCAAAGAAAACGGTTTGGGTGGGCAATGGGATAGAGCTCGCTTCGGAGTCACCAAAGGGATCCTAAACGGCATTCTTTATATTATTATTGGCATCAACTTACTTCGTAACCAGGTATTTGCAGCCGCTTGACAAATCGTTGAATACTTCCGATCAGTTTCTTATTCAAATCAGCAATCCTTTCGCCCCTGAATATTAAAAAACTAATTGCCATTAGTCACTTCCTTACTTTTCGAATAAATCATTCTCGATCAGTCTCCTGTTGACTTCAGAATTCAATCGTTCGTCGAATAAGGGAACACCAAAAATACAATCAAACAACACATAGTCTTCAAACTTCTCGTTTTTCCCCAATCTCCTCTTTTTGGAGACCACTTTCTTCGGGTCTTTGGTTACTGTATTATTAAAAGAAGATCTCAGAGTCGCTGTGGGCGATGGCATTTCTGAATTATCATTTTCCTTTTCGTCCTCCGATTCTTCGGTGTCTGCATCCGATTCCTTTGTTCTGATAAACACCAGATATCCACTCCGAATATCCAATTCGACGTTATCCTTCAGCTTTGATATGATCGGATGATTACAAAGATTGTTTTCGTCTTCCATTTCCTCTTGAGTAAAAGGGAATGGAACATTCACAACTTCAGAGTCATCCACTTTATCGCTGTATGCCTAAAACAAGTTCCTAATTAAAGTCAAACCTTCCCACCTGAATAAAAACCGCCGAGTTCAATAACATATCATTCAAGATGGGGAGAACCGAATCAGTCAACACAATATTGGGCTCGTGGGTGTTCGCCGTCAGGATTACTCTCTTACTCTTCCAGAAAATCTCCGGTAACTGTTTAACCCTCACTCCCATTGGAATGAACAGAGAAGGGACACCTTCTTCCACAATTTCATACAGGAATAAACGGAACCAAGGAGAAGTTAATTCAACTATTGAGGTTCCAATTAAAGGGACCACGCTCTGTTTAAAGGCACATGCATCCGAACCAAGAGGGGCCATTGACACAATAAATCTAAAATTTAAAATTATCATCGTGAGAAGAGAAGATGATTAATATACATAATATAACTCACTTGTATGCCTTTTTTATCACTCTTTCCCTGGCATTTTCATCAAGACTGAACAAGCTTTCTCCTCGAATCAAATCCAATTCTCCTTTAGCTCTAAAGGCCTTTATTGTTTTGAGTAAAGTCCTCGCGTGTTCCGAATATCGCTGGGCTTCTCCTTCGGCAAAGAAATTTATATTGGATAATTCGTCGATAAAATTGTCAACAGTTTCATCGGACAACTTCCCCACTTCAAACAATGTAACTGCATGATTTTTTAACTTCTAAAATCATAACACAAGATGACCAGAAAAAATGCAACTTTTTTTCACGAGTACTGACTAGAGCTATAAATGAGCTGCATTTTTTCTACACAGCCTATGATAAAACTTACAGCTGAGAGATTTCCCATCATTAAAAATGCAGTTAATGAAGAATCAAAGAGAAAAGCAAGGCGTTTGGAGCCCGGGACACTCAATTCACTTAAAGGAACACTTTGAACGGAAGGTGATGGGGTCACGGAAGCGGCTGATAACTTTCGATTATCTTCTTCTGATATATCAAGATCATCTTCTTCATCAGCAAGAGTGGAATTAGTCAATTCCATCATACTCTTAGAGAAGACAACCGAAGTATCTTTAGAGTCATCCAGTCTCCAGGACGAGTGCAAAGTAGTCTGTTCTAGACCCGTTGTCCGTTTTTTGGCAAATCCGAGGCGTAAAAAAGCAGAAACAGCAGTTTTGACAAGATCGATATCGACTCGAATGATATCCGCCAACTAAATTTAAAAGATAAAAATAAAAAATAATAATATTACCTCTTTAACACTCATCTGGCCATCAATCGTAACAAAAACTTTGTAAAGAAGCTTCTCAAAGTAGTCGCCCTGCACTCGATTCATGACAAACCCATCCAGGGTGGGTACTGCAATAAAAAGTGGATAAGACTCCGCAAAAAATATGTCTAAACAAACATGTGACAAATAAACTAACCATAAACATAATCATCGTCATTCACCGGGACATCAAAGTAGACCAACCCTCGATTGAATAGGCTCAGAATTGATGTTTTATTCAAGAGACCTGCAATCAAAGGGAGACCATCCACCAATTTATCGATTATCTCCTTCTCATGAATATCCAGACTCTAAAACATTAATCGACATCAATCATCCTCACCTTTATATCACCTTCAAGCACGTAGCCCAGGCGAACCATCCAAAAAGCTTCAATTATAATATCGTTAGGCTTTTGGGGAAGCACTTCATTGACTCCTTTACCTCTCCTAAACAGCTTCTTGAAGGATCGGGTTTGATTCATCATATCAATATATTGATTTCTTCCTATCCCCAATAATCTGATCACGTCAGCAGCTGTGAAGTTTGGCAATGAGTCGTAACTTTTCTCGGCTTTCATGATATCCTAAAGAGAAATTATAAAAAAAGAAGAACTACATTACCTGGATCATCTCCAAATAATATTGAAATGGAGTAATTCGAAGACCAAACACAATATATTCGCTTAGATGATAAGGAAATAACATGAGCTTCTGCCGACTTTCCTTGAGAAGTAATTCATAATATTCCTCGGGATTTTTTTTCACAGTTCGCACTAAATTCCAAGGATAATATAATTAATAAAACAATAAAGCACAGCATACAAATTGCTATACTCGACTGTAAACTCACCAACATTTCCGTTATGCTTCAGTTGGTTCCTGATGGAATAATCAAGAATTCTCTTTTCATATTCCCTTTGAGAGTTACCCAAAATCAACTGGATTTCCTCGGGCAGATCCGACCATTGGCAATTCTTTCGTATCCATCTTTCTACATCTTCAGACGACATTACCCCCTACATCAAACAAATCCATAATCTTTTATTCCACATTTTCTATTTACACAACGCCAAGAACGGCATTGCACTTGTTTTCGTGGTGGGACTAAATTAAATTATCAGAATAGTTGATAAAAATGTAACTTTTTGATAAGATCTTGTTATCATGTTACATTTTTATCAACTATCAAGTTAGCACTTGTGTTCCAGTCCACGAGCTTTCAGTTTTTTGAGCTTAGGTCTATATCATAGCTCCAATTTTAGGCATTGTGAGTGCTCAATGGAACGATCGACTGATTGTGATCACAATTTGCGTTCTCTATTCTTTTATCAAACAATTCTTCTTGCAGGTCGATTTCTGGGTGTTAATTGAAACATGTTACTTAAAAATCTACCTGGAATTATTAGCCGACCTTTAAAGAGTAGTGCCAGAAGTAAGCGTTGTGTTGCAAGTGACAGTGAGCGTATTCTAAAAAGCTGTTGAAGTTATTGCAGATTTGTGTTTCAGATGCCTCAACATTCAGTTATTTGGATGCCTTTGATCTGAACAGTCAATTGACAGAAGAGGAAAGGTCTCTAAAGGATGAAGCCAGAGCTTACTGTCAAGGAAAATTACAGCCAAGAGTAACACAAGCCTTCAGAAATGAGACATTCGATCCTACATTGATCCCCGAAATGGGACAAATGGGTCTTCTTGGAGCTCCATATGAGGTAAATTCCGTATTTTTTTTCTAGATTTATTTTCAGGGATATGGATGCGCTGGAGTTTCCACTGTTGGATACGGTCTTTTGGCCAGAGAGGTGGAAAGAGTGGACAGTGGATACAGGTCTATCATGAGTGTCCAGACCAGTCTTGTAATTGGCCCTATTCATACTTACGGTATGCTTTTTTCCAACCTAAGATTATAAACCATTGCAGGAAGTGAAGAACAGAAGCAGAAATATCTCCCGGATCTGGCTTCTGGAAAGAAAATTGGTTGTTTTGGACTTACCGAGCCTGACCACGGCTCGAATCCAGCTGGAATGACGACCCGAGCTGATTGGGATCAGAATAAAAAGGTGTTCAAATTAAATGGAACAAAGACATGGATCAGCAATTCTCCCATTGCTGATGTCTTCATCGTGTGGGCGAGAAGTAAAAACCATGGAGGAAAGATCAGAGTAAGTCAGAAATGGATTGCCTGTGATATTGTTGTAGGGATTTATCCTTGAGAAGGGAATGAAAGGACTGAGCGCTCCAAAGATTGAAGGGAAGATTTCCCTCAGAGCTTCGATAACTGGCCAGATTGCCATGGATGACGTTGAAGTTCCTGAGGCCAATCTCTTGCCTAATGCCGAGGGAATCAATGGTCCTTTCGGATGTTTGAACAATGCCCGTTTGGGAATCGCCTGGGGCGCTTTGGGTGCTGCGGAGAGCTGCTTTCATGCCGCTAGAAATTACGCTCTTGAACGGTAAGTATAGATATCCGATATTATAATTGAGGGTTTATTAGAGGTTATTTAAATTAGGAATCGGTGATCGACCAAGCTACTTCTAACCAGATTGTTGGTAAAGAAGGTTTTAGCAATGGAGGTAATTGCCAGAGAGGTTACGTAAACTATTGTCGCACTGATAATGCGATTGAGCAAGAACATATCTAATACACAAAACAGCAAAAGCTCGAAAGAAAGATGGGACCATTCATTTCCATAGACAAAACAGGAACTGTAGCTCATCTCGGAGGGATCTCTGAAAGATAATTAGATGATAATGAGTGGTAAAATTTACCTGATGAGAGTTCCGACTTTGCTAGTGTCGTTCAATTCGATATCCAATATTTCTTCGATCAGTTTGGGATCGGTGACCACATAATCACAAGAAGGATCGGCATGATCGATGAAATCCTTTACAAATTGGTTGATCTCGGAATGAATCTTGGCAGTATTCTCGACCTTGGTAGTAGTTTTGTCACCTCCCACCATTCTGACTTGAGGTCCTTGAGTAGTTGTCTTTAAAGCTCCAGTTAATTCATCCAGTCTCTCTCGAAAGGCTCTTGGTAGACAAGCGATGAAGGTTTGCAGCTCGGAATTACTTTCTAGCCCACGAAGTCCACATAAGTTTTCCTAAAATTATAATATTAATATTATTATGTAGTAGTAGTAGTGGTTACCTTTTCTCGCTGTAAGAATGTGTTCATTTCCAACATATCTGTGTCAGCCAGACCATGGACTGAGCGCCCATGAATGTAGTAAGCCCTGAGGGGATGACTTAACGCCAGTACACTTATATTGGCAACTGAGCAGAGATCCATAAAGTTCCTAAAGGGATCTGTGATCTTCTCTATGATCAGCACATTGATTATCCACTGGCTCATACTGATCATCAGATAGGCAGTCAGGTTCACAGCAAGCCTGCTGATTCGACTTTCTGCATAAACTGGATCTCCTAAGATTGAAATTATTATTTTATTGTAGAGTTTATTATTACCTCGATGAAATCCGGGCTGGACAATCGCCCAGTCACCGAAACGGAACCATTCTAATATGAATAACAGAGCAATCATCTGCAGAGATATGCTTGTCTTCCGGTAGTACTGTAGTTCGTTCCATTCGTTGGCTATTAGATAAGTTCTCCTGGAAATTAAAGATTACTTTACATAATATTCCCTTACCAAATGACCACTGGTGGTGCTTTCTTAGTCTTTTGACCGAGCAGTTCATTTTGTGTCATTTCCATCATTGTGGTTTCTCTACTTCTGTCGAGAGAATGGCGTGGTCGTTCCCAATCGACAAAGAAGGTCTCCGTGAATATGAGTCTCATGTACGTGTGGACTAAAGCGATTGCTTTGAGACCACAAGCACAGCAGATGTAGATTACCAAAGACCATTCTTGATCATAAGTTAAGGTCACGTAAACCATCTCTTTTTGTAGTTTGTATGCAAACGTTAGCCATACAGCTGTGCATCCAGCAATCAATAGGAATATATTCCCAAGATTCTCCGCCACATATAACACGAATTTTATGATGGTCGAGGCATCTACGAGGAGCTTCCCTGCTCTTCGGCCCCAGCTGGAAAAGGTGACAAAGTGTTGCATAATCTACCTGTAAGCCCTGACAGCTCCCCATAAGACGCAAGTACAACTTAAAGTAGCCATGATGACTTCGATTGTTTTGTCGTGGACAAAACTGTCGATGACATAAACGGTTTGGAATAGGAAGTTGGCATGCTCATCGTGAGTGCGTTCGATAACTTCGTTATTCAAGGAACTCTTGTTGTCAATTGTCCAGTAATATTGGTTGTGTCGGATTCTCATATGAGGAGGAAATATTCTTCCATCTCGAGACAACTAAAGCCACAAATTATTAAACTTCTTCTTTGCTTACTTGTACATGTATATGCAGAGATATGTGGACGGGCACTCTGACTAGGACGTTAAACGAGTCGGGTTCTATTTGCTCATCCATGATGTAGAATCTTCGTGTCAGGATCCATCTGTTATCTTGTCTGGCGTCTCCTCGATTCACAAATCGCCCTCCAGAACGGATGTTTTCGTTAAGAATGGGGACGTTGTATATCTAGAGAGTATTATATAATAAAGCCGTCTTACCTTAACCACCCCATTTTTGTCGGTATATCGGAGATATAATTCGTGGAAAAGAAGATCTCGTATGTTAACATTGTATGTGACCTCAAATTTTTTGATGACTTCTTCAAGATTAATCCTGCATTCTTCTTTTTCCATTCTCCCGAACTTGAAGGCCCCCTCTTTTCTATCGGTATCAAATGGACAATATTGTAATAGCCCTTCTGCCACCGGTCTAAACCCAATAAAAGTCCCATTGAAAGTATAGGTAGCTAATTGGAAGTCCAGAAATGAATTTCTACCTCCAGAGACGAAGTTAAAATGTGCATCAATAGCAGATTCTCGGAACAATTCTATGCTGGCTTCACTGTTGAGATAGAATAGAGAGGGAATGTCGGTGCTGGAGGGATTTGTCCGGTAGATAGATTCGTATAAAGTGCAAGCAGTTGTCGTATCTCGGTTGTAGTTCTGCAAAACACAAAGATTGGCCAAGGTTTGACACGATTCTTGGTTCTTTGATTTACATCCAAGCTCTGCGGCATCGCTGAATCTTCGAACATGACCAGAATGGAATGTTTGCCCGGTCTCTACTTCAATTCCAGCATGAATTGGAGGTCTCGCGGTCTCGGAACATTTCGAATTCACCTGAATTTGCATTTATTTTGCAGTTGCTCTTACTTCGGGGCAATAGCATTCGAATCCTACGCATTTCTCGCATACTAGTTGATCTCTATCGGGCTTAGTGTTCAGTGGGCATCTAGAACATTCGATTCTTGTTTCCAATGTCAAATTATTCCCAACATATCTGATAGTTTTTATTGAATCTCTATCACAAGTGCATTTTCCATTCTCTGCTGCTTTTTGTCTTCCATTTCCATCGAAGCATTTGATGCAACTCTTTCCATCCTCACTTACTGCTTCCCCTAAACAAAAAGATCTGAAAATACTGAGACCGTTACCTTGGCCACACGGTCGGCATTGCTTTTCTGGCGTTGTAATATTTGTCACATCCTCATATTGCCCCAGTGGACATAAACATGTTGATTTGTCTGTATTGGGACGAAGATTTTCCGCGCATTGCTGACAACTTTGGATCACTGGGTTATAAAACTCGGAGGAGTTACAATTATCAGGCTCCTCCCAGATGAACTGATTGTATAAATATTGAGAATTACAAGTACTAAATAGAACAAATGGTAATAATATGAGCATTTTTGACAAGAGGCATCGAAATAGCCAACTGGGTGACCAGAAGAAATTGCTGACCAGGAGAGTATGGTTGTCATGGAAATGAACGAGACTTATTCGGGAATTGTTTTGAGGTTACGGTAGTTAAACCCCTTATAAATTGTCTTTACGTTTGGACGAAATAAACTGTCCATACTTATATAACCAAGGTGATTTATATCTGGCGGCAAGGTCGGTATGCCGATGAATTTTTACGCCTACTTAACAAAAATATTTTTTTCTGGAGCTGACATTCGCTATTTTCAACCGACCAAATTTCAAAAAAAATCTTGAATTGACCTTTCTATGCCTTCCCAGAGTCTTGAAGAATTATTTTCGGCCGAAACCGCTGAGATTTAGCAACTTTTTTTTGCCAAGTAGGCGTAAAAAATCATCGGCATACCGACCTTGCCGCCAGATATAAATCACCTTGGTTATATTAATTTTTTTTCAGAAATCAGTTTGATCGACCTTTGGCTTCTACTCAGCTTGTTCAATTAAAATTGGCTGACATGCTGACTGAAATTACAATTGGCCTCCAAGCATGCCTCAGGGTCTCCAGATTGAAGGATGAAGGAAGGTATGGTCTTATAATCTTGGCATAGTCTGAAATCAAAGTCACGTCATTACATATTTTTCAAAAGAGTTGTGTAATTCAATATTCAATCGATATGGACACAAAAATGACGAAGACATCAAAACACCGAGAATTTAATAGTACAAAAATATTATAATTTGGCTGCACGTGAACATTTTCGCGGATTTTTGTGTGTGTGTGTGTGATATCTTGTATTGCATAACTTTAATTTGTAGGGTTGCGTCAGAACAAATCTCGCTAATCAAGAGAAATTCTTGCGGAAAATCCCTGGAGATCGCCAGAAAAGCTCGTGATATTCTCGGAGGCAATGGAATAGTAGATGAATTTAACGTGATGAGACATCTGGTCAATCTGGAAACTGTGAACACATACGAGGGAACCCATGATATCCATGCCCTTGTCCTGGGACGCGCAATCACCGGATTACAAGCGTTTAAATAAACATGCTAGCATCTAACATCTGACTTATTTTGTTTGAGTAAATAGATTCTTTTTTTATGTTCTCATCATTCTCCCCTCTTTGATTGAAATTATCGGTGGAGGAATGGCTGGGGTTTATCATAGTTTGACCCAAGTTTTTGTCGATAACTTTCGTCAAATGGACAAAAAGATATTGGAATTGGATGATGGGGGGAAGATTACGCTCCACATGAACTTCCAGGAACACAAGGGACTCTTGGTTGTCGAGTATTGTGGGAATGTATCGTTCAAAAAATTCGAATGGACGTCGGAGCCTGTGCAGAAGTAATTTTTATATATTTTCTTCTTCTATGTTATAATACGTATATACTGTATTAATTTTCTTAGAAGTCAGCCCAAGCTGGGCTTCCTGTCGGACGAGAAGATTGGTCCATACTTTGATCCTTACAAATCTCCCAGTTCATCTTCCACAAAATCACCGGTCAAGCCCTCCAGAGGTCTTCAAACCAAGTCAAAAAAGAGCTCCTATCAATGTCTGGCGGACCTGGACGACGTCATTATCTTTCCGGTTGATGAACCGCGTGTTCCTCCAAGAACTCCAATCAAAAAACAGTCGACGAACAAGAAAGGAAAGAAGTCTAGGAAGGAATCCCAGTATCAGAATCTGAGAGAATTGGCCCAGAACAAGTGACCAGAAGTCAGAATACTGCTTAAAATACGTTCCGCAATAAACTGGCTTCGATTTGGCTGCCAGAACCGTTTCACTTCAGTTTTTGTAGTAATTCAGTCATCTGAACTTGAAGATATAAAAGGAATTGAAAGTATCCAGAAGTATTGTTTTTGCAGCTTTCACTCCGGATAGAGACGTCAGACGATCTATATTTCCAGTCTCTATTCCCGTACAATATGCTTGCAATTTGTTTGAATAAATGTTTAGTGTCAACATGAACAGAAATCTAAGGTATTTAAACTGCTGGATACGATGGATGTGATCTCTCCGGCATGCGGTTGTTTTGGTGGGGGCTCTTCTTCATCTTGGTCGTGGTATCTGATGCCATGACCAGTGATTTCCAGAGTGCCTGGTGTTGCGCGGACACCAATAATAAGTGCGGTGATCATGCCAAGGTTTGTGCTGTCTCGGTAAGTGCAATCTGATGTGAATTATTTTTTAATCATACTGTATTTTGTATTCGATTATATTACTGTAGAGCTATCGAACAATGGTTTCCGAGGAGTGCGCTTTAACATGTGGATTCTGTAGACCCTAAAGCCGCCAAACTTTCTGTAAATCTCTCCAAATAATAAAATAACTGAGTGGATTATGATAATAAAAATAAACAAGTCAACTTTTTGTCGCTGAGATGGATGAAAGTGAAAGGAATGATGGATCCTCTTCGTCGAGGATTCCCGTCAATGAATTACTCAAGCAATTCGTGGTTTCACTTATCTTTTTATTGTTTTAACTATTGATCCCCTCACTTCTGTTACGCAATCTGTGCAGGATTTGTAATCTTTTCTTGTAATGACCGTACTTTCGAGAACTATGGGTAAGGTTGAGAGTTAAGAGAATTGCCAGAGATCACTTAAGTTTTGTTTTTGATTATTCTCCTCACGTTTCCATTCAATGTGTGGCCAAAAATCGAGAAATGTTTGGATAAGGACATGAATTGTTACACTTGGGTGGCAGAAAGTCCGGAGAGATGTCAGATCGATGAATTGATCATGAAAGATTGCAAAAAGGCTTGTGGAAATTGTTCGGAGACGTATGAAGTGGAAGAGAGTACGTACAGTATTCCAAATTATACTAACCTTGCAGAATATGACATCAAAAATTTGGCCCCTTCCCTCCACAAAATCGCCTTTCTTGTGGGGATCTGGAGATCAGAGTTTGGTGGGAAGGCCGATTTCCCCACTATTCCCAGGTTCACTTATGGAGAACAACTCGATATTTCCATCGCTAAGTCAACAAGAACTCCTGTTCTCAATTATACGTATGTTTTGTGACAAATTTTGTTTTATTTAATGTTTTAAACAATTATTGAATTTTGTTTAGAGCCTTTGCGTGGGATAATGGAGATCTGACCGAGCTGCACAGTGAGAATGGATACATCACTGGGCATCCAAACAACTCTATCGTCGCCATGACCACCGTCATGAGCAATGGTAAGGTAAACACTCATCTACTTTTGTTTCACAGGATTTGCAACCGTTGAACAAGGAAATGAGACTGATCATTCCGTCAGATTCCGCCTTCGAAACATTGGAAGAATCAATTTCTCCAGGGATTTGCCAGTTCGAAGAGTAAGATACTTGAATTTATATATCATACAACTTATTGTAGATGGTAAGGGATTGGATCCTACTTAATGAGACACACATGGAAGCTCGACTTCTAATGGCTACCTCTACTCATCCCATGTTGTTGCATACACAAATCATCTACAAGAAATTATATCCATGAATCAGGTCTTGATGGGAATAATATAAAGCTTTAATAATTTGGGGGCAATTGTAGAGAACAAGTATGACCGGCAATAAACATTCATAGTAATCAGGCAGAACAAAGCACTGCCAGGGGTGAACAGTGGGCCGGCCCGGTCGAAATAAGGCAGGCCTGGGTCCCAGCCGGGGCGTTTTCAGGCCCGGCATCGTGAAATCCTGAGCCCAAGTAAAATTTTATTATTTTACAACACGGCTTTAGCGGAAGTGGCAGTCGTAACACCTCGAAATTGCGTAAACACTAGTTCGATATAGTTACGATAATATTAACGGTATTCATCGCAGTCTATGTTAAACTCGCGTTTGAAAGCTTCGTATATCAGATTTTCAATCTACGCCAATTCGACGTCAAGTTGACGCCAAGATTGGAAAAATCCATCAAATTAGCAGCAGTATGATAAACAAACTTCGTGGCTTTTCGTTTCTTCACTGAAGAATTCTGACGCGAAGCTAAAAGATCACTTTTAACTTACGGGGGAACAATGTGCCGGGCCTGTCCTTTGTAGAACTGGGCCGAAATCAGAAAAAGAACTTCGCTGACCACCCCTGGCAGTGCGAGGTTGTCAGCTTTACTGTAGCTTTCGCGCATTATTTTTTCGGGTCAAGTTTTCATTCGTGTCAACTCTTTTTCTCTTTCTCTCTTCGTATAAAATGGCTGAAACAAGGACTTTCGATTGTTCCTTTTATTTTTCCATAGATATTTTAAAGTTTAACCCACGCTTGAAGCCTGTTTCCAATGGTTCTGGACGAGGCTGCCGTATGCGACCGTTTCCAGAAAGTGAATTCGTCGACCGACTGTGTTCAGACGACTTCATCTTGGATTTTGAGTCACAAAGACGAGATCGACGTGATCACTCGTTCTTGGATGAAAGTATATCAAGGGGGTGAGTTTGATGTTTCCTTTATTACTCTTAAATTTAGGCTCCGAGTCTGTTCGTGTTGCCTTGGTGTACATTGTCAGTGACGTAGTACATAACGCAAAGAGGGAACGCGACAAGACTATTTCTGTCGCCTTTCATCCACATTTTGTTAATGCGATTGTTTTGGCTTCGGACACGGTGAAGAGACCCATTAAAAGATGTCTGGAGGTCTTCAGGGAGAGACATATTTACCCAAAACATATAATCGATGAGATGCAAAGTGCTTTAGGTAATTTTTCCAAACCAAAATATTGTCTTCTTTAGATGGGACTGCTGATGTAAGAGCACACGAAGACGACGATGGAGACTTTGAGGTTGAACCGTTCCTCAAGACATTGCAGAATTATGTGGAATCTAGCAATGCCATCGATAAGGCCAAGGTGATCCTGAACAACATTGACTTTGAGCTGGACGAGAACACCGTGGACATGTCTGGTAAATGCCGGCTATATATACCTGGTTTTTATTTCTCAAACGTCCATTTTTCCTGTAATTTTAGATTCCGATGCATTAAGTCAGATGGAACTTGAAGTGGATTTGATGATACAGAAATTACAGACATTTCTGCAACGAATTGAAGGGATAAGTATGAAAAGCGCCAAAGTTAGTCATACAATCATAAAATCGAAGGCATTCTTTCACACCCAATTGAAAGATGTTGCCATGGTACATGATGTAAGTAATTCAAAAATTAAATCATCGCGATTTAGGCTTATGATAGATATGCCAAGGGAATTTCTGAGCGGATTGACCAGTTGGAACCGATTATACGAAGCGGGGTGTTGCCTGGACAAACCCCACCTCGAGATGCACCATCTCCAATACCTGGAGAAGATCCGTTCAACGAAAATGGGTCTGATGATATGGAAATGGATGAAGAAGATATGCCTGGTAATTCATTTTGAAACTTTTTAATGACGGTTATGCCGGGACTTGTCTAGTGGGTTTTTGACCCGTTGATTTTAGGTAGATCGTCGTTAAATCCGCTGATTCCTCCTCAAAATTATGTCCCCGAAATTAATCCAACTGATGGAAGAATAAAGTTGACAACGCCTGTCCCCGGGAAGACTGCTGATCCGAGGCAAAGCAGATTCCAGCCTCCTCCGATCCCGCCGTACCCACCTGGATTCTCAGATTTGATGCCTAAATTTACTCCAAACATACCTCCGCCCATGATTTCGCCCATGTCATTCCCTCCACCACACTTTGATTCGCAGATTCCACCACCACCGGGTGTTGTTGTAAGTGAAGACTTCAATTGTTAATTTACCGTACTTTAAAGTCCTTAATCATTTTATTTCTTCCAGGACATTCCACCATCCACTTCTATTGGACCTCCTGGAGAAGACTTGGATCTCAGAAAAGAGGGAAATGGATACTCGAATGGAAATCAGAGCTTTACTTCATTCCCACCTCCATCAGGTTCGTTTGTACCAGCCCCCGAGCCGAACAATCGATTCAATAATAACTACTCCAACTACGAGAATAAACGAAGAAATGGAAATTATTATGACAGAAATGATTTTGGAGGGCCTCGCCGGAAGAATTTCAGAAGAGGGAGCTACCATAATGGTCATTAGTGGAATCTTTTGAATATGAAGACTCGATCTGGATGTGTTTTACATTTGTCAATGTTTTCTAACAGTCTTTAAATGATGTCTGTTCTCTCAGATATTCAGTGGAGTGATGTCCAGGTGTATCATCATCTCCCACAATTTATACCCTCATAACTTATTAGAGTTGTTTTTCTATCTTAATGATGTTGTAATAAGCATTTTAAACGCTTTACGGGTCGTTAATATTTTATTTGGATGAACTTTCATCGCCAATAACGTACGTGAGACAATCGTTAAGTCGATGGTTATCTGATTCTGCTATTGTTTGGATGTTCTTATGAGTTTATTATACTTTAGACAAGATGATGAGTTGGTTTGGAGGAAGTTCGGCATCGGGAGAGCCCGCGCCTCAGCATTCAGAAGAGCTCCATGATGGTCATGATCTCTCCAAGGAGTTGTACAACCAGCCAGTATTGGCTTTGGATAGGATCAAACATTCTGGAGTTCCTCTTAAGGCACAAATGACCCCTTATCTTCAAGTATGTTTATATTTTAACTGTAAGATTGTGATTTTTAAGATGGACCCCAGTATGTTCAAAGCCTCGCAACCAGAATATATCATGCCTGAGGGCAATGAAAATGGAAAAGGGAAGTTTGAATTTGCCCTCGGGCACATTGGATGGGCTGTCGCGGCTGGATTTGCAGCTGGTTCACTTCGTGGATTCGTTCCAGAACTTATGAATCCAGACACAAGGCAATTGGTAAGTTTAATTCTCATTTTATACTGCGCGTCAAAAGTTTGGAACAATCTAGATCTTCTTTGCGGCTTGAGATGGGAGTTTCATTTCTTTTCTATTAGAAGCTTCATGTATTGAGAACCTCAATGAATATATAGCCATCAACATCAGAAAGCTCGTTGGAGTTTAATAAAAAATTTTAAAAAATAAGTGCGTCAAAAGTTTGGAACAACCTTTGGAAGGTGATTGTAAACTTCGGGATGAGGCAGGATATCCACGAATTTAGTATTTTTGGATGATGCAAGGAATCAGAATGCCAGTGGCATACTGATTTTCAACGATAGACCCAAACTGAAAAAAATGCTTATTGAGCCAAAAATTACGGTCAAATTTGCGAAAAAAATAATTTTTTGGTTTCGGTTCTACATGTTATCGGTGTGTAAGCGTTCTAAAATATTTAATATGGTCGCATAATTGTAGAAGGGCACTCAGATCTTCGCATAGGGACCTTATCCGCACAGCATAATTTATGAAAATTTTGAGTTTTGCATTAAATCTTGATTTAATGTATTTTATATTTTTTATAGAGCGGCTTGGAGGCTAATTGGCTTTCTGACCGTCATCGTGGAATAAAAAGGTATATGCAAGAAGCAGAACATGGCCGCTATTTGCAACACAAAGGCCACAACTTTAAAAAAGGCGGGTATATGAAATGTTAATATTCCCGTATTTTTTATCTTCGATTTGAAGCCGCTGCATGGTGCAAAACTAAGTGCCTTTTTCGTTATCACGCTGATACAGTATTATAAACCATTTCTCCAATATATCACGCCACAAATCCGGGTGAGATATGAATAATGATTTTGGGACTAAAAAATTTTTAATGTCTGAAAGATGTGGCCTTGGATGTTGTAAATGGCGTGGATTTTTGTTGCTTGAAAATACCTTTTTATTCCACGATGACGGTCAGAAAGCCAATTAGCCTCCAAGCCGCTCTATAAAAAATATAAAATACATTAAATCAAGATTTAATGCAAAACTCAAAATTTTCATAAATTATGCTGTGCGGATAAGGTCCCTATGCGAAGATCTGAGTGCCCTTCTACAATTATGCGACCATATTAAATATTTTAGAACGCTTACACACCGATAACATGTAGAACCGAAACCAAAAAATTATTTTTTTCGCAAATTTGACCGTAATTTTTGGCTCAATAAGCATTTTTTTCAGTTTGGGTCTATCGTTGAAAATCAGTATGCCACTGGCATTCTGATTCCTTGCATCATCCAAAAATACTAAATTCGTGGATATCCTGCCTCATCCCGAAGTTTACAATCACCTTCCAAAGGTTGTTCCAAACTTTTGACGCACTTATTTTTTAAAATTTTTTATTAAACTCCAACGAGCTTTCTGATGTTGATGGCTATATATTCATTGAGGTTCTCAATACATGAAGCTTCTAATAGAAAAGAAATGAAACTCCCATCTCAAGCCGCAAAGAAGATCTAGATTGTTCCAAACTTTTGACGCGCAGTATACTATAGTTGATATTTCCTCCAGCGTGGCAAACCTTGGCTGACTCGTGTTGTGAATGCCACAGTGAAACATGGAAGTGGATATGCCCAGCCAGCTGGTGCAGCTGTTTTCATGTTCTCGGTACTGGAAATCGGTCTGAAGAGTGCCCGAGCCGACGATGATTTGAACACCTTAGGAGCCGGAGCCCTCGCCGGGGCCATCTACAGAAGTCCATATGGATCACGAGCGGCTGGAGTTGGCGCTGCAATGGGTCTTTTGTTAGCCACCACCTGGGTTCTGGTGAACCCGGATAGTCGCGGCAGAATTCGCGAGATGGTTAACTTCGCATAGAACTCACGACTGACTAGTTTTGTTAAGTTTTGAAATAAACCTTGGTTAGAAAGTAGTTATAATATTTATTTCGATTTTTTCCATGAACTTATTTTATTTACGCTTTTTTGTTTTCAAGAGAGGATATATAAGCAGGGAAGGAGCAAGCAGCTCACCTTTCTTCCGGGAATCTCGGTCTTTATTCAAGAGTCCTGTCGCACTCTCGCCACGAAAACATTCTTTAAATTGTGTGTGCGCTAACGTAGAAAACCAATTTTCTCCATGAAAGATATTTGCACGCCCTCTTGAATCAACTTGAGAAATTGTGAAAGTCGAGTATAATATTTTGGTTTATCGATATACCCGGGGATATAATTTATAAGGTCATTGACTTGCGTTTTTTTATTTGGAAGTTTATGTCTTTGGTATATGATTTGATTTTTTTAGCCTCCATCATGGCCAACGTGGTGGAAATGACAATCGAGAAGATCGATGAGGTCAAGTCCAGACTTGGAAGGTAAATTTTATTTGTTTTTTTTTTAGTCTTTAGATTTATACGGTCCATATTTGAGTACCTAAATAAACAAATTATTTAAGATCATTGGGTGCCTCAATGCGTTTGAGAGATCTCATACGTAAGGTAAGAGCAGCTAGGACTGCCGCAGAAGAGAGAGCCGTCGTGGAGAGGGAGAGTGCCAATATCAGAGATTCATTCAGAGACGAAGATAACAAATACAGATGCCGGGATATGGCAAAGCTTTTCTACATTCATATGCTCGGGTACCCTGCTCATTTTGGTCAAATGGAATGTATGAAACTAGTCGGCACTAAGGACAAAAGATTCACCGACATTCGAATTGGATATCTGGGGGCAATGTTATTACTGGATGAGAGGTCCGAGGTGCACCTATTGGTCACCAACTGTTTGAAAAGGTACGTTCGATTGTTTTTTTTTGACTCTGTCGCGTTTTTACACCGTAGGTAATTTTTATGTTTAGCCATCTAAATGAATCTGATCAATTTGTTACTGGTTTGGCCTTATGTACTTTGGGGTCAATTTGTTCAGTCGAAATGTGCAGAGATTTGTCGAATGAAGTTGAGAAGTTGTTAGTCAAGTCGTCCAATTCTTATATCAAGAAAAAGGTATGTTTCAGCCATGAATTGTATCTAAATTTAACATTTCAGGCCGCACTATGCGCTTTTCGCATTGTGAGAAAAGTACCTGAACTGATGAGTTGTTTTATGTCCGGGGCCAGACTCTTACTAAACGACAAACATCATGGTATTATAGAAAATTCGGTTTATTTATATTTTAGGTGTTCTTCTTGGTGGGCTCACGTTGGTCACTGAGATGTGTGAAAAAAGTGTTGATGTGAGGAATCATTTCCGATCGGTAGGTGATATCTTTGAACAAAACATTGTCTTGGTCAATTTTAGATGGTGCCAGTACTGGTCAAACGTTTCCGAGAATTGGTTTCTCCATTGGGAAGTTACTCGTCTACTGAACATGATGTGAACAATGTGATCGATCCCTTTTTGCAGGTGTGAGGCTTAATTTTATATAGTGTTTGAGTTTAGGTAAAAATTCTTCGTCTTCTACGAGTTTTGGGGAAGGATGATTCTCAATCCAGTGAGGCCATGAACGATCTTTTGACTATCATCACGACGAACACGGATCCAAACAAGAACGCTGGTAATGCTGTACTTTATGAAGCCGTCCTCACTATAATGGATATCAAGAGCGAGACCAGTCTTAAAATCCTCGCCATTAATCTGCTTGGAAGATATCTGGTTAATCCGGATAAGAACATTAGATATGTTGCATTGAACACACTGCTTAAGACTGCCACAGCGGACTTAAAAACTGTCCAAAAATACAAAGGGACTGTTTTGGAGAACTTGAAAGATCCAGACGTCTCGATAAGAAGAAGAGCCCTCGAATTATGTTTCGTTCTTATCGACAAGGAGAACATCGCGGCCATGACCAAAGAGATCCTCCTCTTTCTTGAGACAGCTGATCCCGAATTTAAATCCGAGTGTGCCTCCAAGATGTACGTGGCCACAGAAACTCACTCGCCAAATCCTGTTTGGCATCTGAATACTATGATATCTGTTCTGAAATTGGTAGGTTTCTTTTGACCTGTTTTATATCTTTTTAAGGCGGGTAACTATGTTCCGGAAGAAGTTGTGAGTGCGATGATTCAACTGATTTCTGCCCACTTCAATCTTCAAGCGTATGCCACTAAAAAGTTGTTCCGCGCTGCAGTCGAGGACGGTGGAGTAGCCCAACCTCTTCTTCAGATCGCCTTCTGGTGCATTGGAGAGTTTGGCGATCTACTCATTGCTCCTTCCGATGATGATCCAGAGCCGCCAACAGAGAGTGATGTCGTTGAGATGTTCGAACAGTTGTTCCCAGTGAGTATTATGAGCATTCAAACTCGGGAGTATGGGATTGTCGGATTGGCCAAGCTCTCAACCAGATTCACATCTCAAACTGAGAGAATCGGTGGTCTGATTCGTCGATTTGTAGCTCATATGAATCTGGAACTCCAACAAAGAGCCGTCGAATTTTCGAGCTTGATTCCAAAAGCCGAATTGAGGTGAGTTGTTGGATTTGTAACCATTTTTTGATTTTTAGGAATGGTCTGTTGGAAAGAATGCCAGTAATCAAACATAACACTTTGAATGCTGCGGCAGCACCCATCGAAGATGACGTGATAAAGTCAAATGAAGAGGACAACCTCCTGGATGTTGGTGGATCATCTGCGGCTCCCCAGAATACGGTATTCAATGAGCTTCTGGATTTGATGGGGAATGGAGATTCCGGTTCTACACCCGTCCCAGCAACTTCACAGAAAGCAGCCGGAGGGGGACTGGAAGAGCTCTTTGGCTTGGGAATAAATGGTAGGAGTTTTTTCTTCTTTTTATCATCATGATTATTTTCTCTACATTTATGTTTTTAGGATCTTCATCAACATCTCAAACCTCTGCTCCAGTGTCCCAAGCATCAATCCCTGGTGGAAATGATTTTGCGGATCTGTTTGGAGGCTCATCTACTACTCAACCCGCTGTGTAAGCACTTTTTATTCATTATGTTTTTTTGTTTTAGAGAACCTTCAAAGCCAGCTGAAATTGTGGTGAACAAAAGTGGATTCGAGGTGCAAATGGTGGTCGAAAACGGGTTTGCCTCCGGCCCTGCGGTCATCCGATTTGAAATTGTAAATAATAACCCCGTTCCAGTAGAAAATTTCAACCTACAAGCAGCTGTGACACGAGTAAGTTTGTTTACTTGCCTTTGTTAATTTTTTATATTTGTTTGATGGATGTTGTTATGTTTAAGCAATTCCAAATTGAGCTTCTTCCTTCGTCTGGCAGCCGTCTGGAGGCGGATGGAATGTCGACGACCACTCAGCTCGCCAAGATCACCAAATTGGCCGAGAATCGGGTCCCTAAACTTCGACTTAAATTAAATTATTCGCTAAACGGCTCAGCTCGAACTTTCCAGGAAGACATCACCGTCCAAAATCTATAGTATGTCTCTCTCCTTTGCTCTTTTTATCGGAATGTGATATTGAACATTATATCAGCACTTTGCAGTTTTTATCGATAATTTATTATTTTGTCTTTGGTCGATGAATTGTTTTAATCCATCGGCCTAATTAACCCTGGCTACACAATAGTTTCAGTTACTGTAGTTTTTTTCGTATCCGTTGTTTGTAATATTTTGTCCAAGTCACTTATTTCTAGCTAGATATTTGAATAAATATTTTATTTGCGAGAGATTCGGAATTCTAGATCCCGTTTAAAGTCGGACTGCGGCAAGAGTTTACTGATGGATTGCTGTAAAAAATGACATAATTTGGAAATACATATAAGAAGTTCCGAAAGAAAAGAAAATGTTTGAAGTGGTGACTAAGCGGGAAGAATAAACTAAACTTTTTTACAGCTGATGTGTGGGTAGAAACTAAAGGGATGTCAGAACAGGATGTGGAGACAGAATCCTTGCCTTCTTCACCGAGATCATGGACACCGACTGAAGAAGAATGTGTAAGATTGGGAGGAGAACATGGATGGTTTGCCAGAGGCGATAAAAGACCCACAGAGAAGAGATTACCCTTCAATCGACCTAAACTTATACAGGTATCTTTGTGCAATATCCGTTATTCTTTGTTTTTAGGTGTATCATGCTCTCCCTTTTGTCGCTCGGTATTCTCAATATTGGTTAAGAAACTACCATAGTAGAGATCGTTTGTTCATCAACACGTTTGAACCCCTGAGGCATAAATTTACTTATGGGGTGCCTTGTGGAGGAATTGGATGTGGAAGCATTGGAAGGGATTTCAGAGGTGGGTTCTGCAAATACGGACTCAAGCCTGGGTTAATTGAACATCATGTGCATGCTGTTAAGGTGAGTTAGTAAAATTTTTTTTTACTCTACTTGCTTAGGCCAACCAATTTATATTAACCCTCAGGAAAGGGAATGGTGAAACAAAACAAGTTGTGTTGGGGATAAATGAACAGCAAACAAGCAGACTCAGTAATTGGAAATTCGATATCCCTGAGGAAAATATTTATTACAGGTAGATTCTTTAATGATGTTATAAATATGAAAATTTAGAGGCTTATATCCTCGTTCATGGACCATGTATAAGATCCCGGAATATAATGTGACCGTTGTCATCAAGCAAACCTCCCCAATCATTCCGCATAATTACAAAGACTCATCTATGCCGGTTACCTTGTTCCAATTTGAATTGTTCAATGAAAGTGAAGAAGATCTCCAAGCAGCAATTACATTTACATTCAGAAATGGAACTGGATGCAAGAAAACGCAGGCAGAAGGGATATGCAAAAGTCTCTCCATTACATCTCCATCAGGTTAGCGCTTACTTTTTGTTTTATTCTTTAAGTTTAGGCAGAGGAATCTTGTTGGAGCATACCATAGACAAAATGGACACCACTTATTGTGTCATGTCGGCGGATATAGATTCAACTTCTGTCGCATCATTCGACCCGACAAGTTTAGATTGTCAAATGTGGAAATCTTTGGAAGAAAATCTAGACTTGAATAAACTCGATGCCGAGACCGAGTCCAATCAGTTGGCTGTTGCCTGCTCTACACTAAGGTCTTTGAAAGCCAAAGGGTCCTCTGGCATCGACTTTTCTTTGGTATGGCATATGCCGAAGGTCCATTTCACGTCAAGGAAACGGACTTATCGGAGATTTTATACAAATTATTTTGATGCCTCGAAGCCAGATGTTGCCTATGACATTGGATGTTATGCCTTGAGTAATAAAGAACGATGGCACAGGGAGATTGAGGAATGGCAGAGCAGTGTGTTGGACGAACAGCAAGTCTTTTATTTCATATTGTTACTGTTTTAGAAACATCCCGGCATGGTTTAAAAGCGCATTGTTTAATGAACTCTACTATTTGACTGATGGTGGGACTGTCTGGTTTGCCTTTGATGAGAGCTGGAAGGTCGATGAGCCCCATCTTAGTGAGTACACACTCAGGCATTTCAAGGATTACGGTAGATTTGCCTATCTAGAATGTAAGACTTTTGTTTTTATTTTTTGATCTCAGTTTAGCATGGGAATATCGTATGATGAACACCTACGATGTGCATTTCTACGCTTCTTTTGCATTGGCCGAACTCTTTCCATGGGTTGAGTGCACGATGCAAATGGAAATGAGTATGTTTACTATTAAAATATTGCTATGATTCTAGGAGATCAAATGGAATACAGTATCCCTAAACAAGTCAGATTCCACATGGAAGGGGACAGAGCCCCCTTGAAGACTCTGAAACGTGTCCCCCATGATCTCGGAAACCCGGCCGATGAACCCTTTCTCAGAGTGAATGCTTATATTATGCATGACACCGGAAAATGGAAGGATCTCAACCTCAAATTCGTTCTGACTTCTTATCGTGATTACTTGTTGCTGATGAAGAAAGACGCAGAATATCTCAGATTCATCTATCCGGCGGTTCAAGAGGTCATTGAGGAGGGTTTAACAAAGTGGGATCGGAATGGGGATTCGATGATTGAAAACTTTGGAGCTGCTGATCAAACATACGATGCTTGGAAGATGGTAGGCGTCAGTGCTTACTGTGGATCACTCTGGTTGGGATCTCTGGCCGTGGCATTGAAAATGGCAACCGATATTAGTGATGAATCGGGGATCAAAAGATACGAAGAAGCATTAACGTCTGCTAAGAGGGTATAATAATAAAATATGATGATAATTATTATTATTATGTTTTGTAGGTTTTTGAATCGTACTTGTGGAATGGAAGTTATTACAACTTTGACCAGGCTTCTAACAGTAATTCGACGATCATGGCCGATCAGCTATGTGGGTTTTGGTATCTGCAGTCAGTTGATCCGGAACTGGCGAAGGGGGTGTGTACTCTTATATTTTCCGAAATGTTTACAGTTGTTGCCTCAACCTCACGTCGACTCGGTTTTGGAAACAGTCTTCAATTACAATGTAGTAAAGTTTGCGGATTGTACCCTCGGGGCGGTAAATGGAATGCTTCCGACTGGTAAAATTGATAGAAGTTACATTCAAGCGGATGAGGTCTGGATTGGGATCACTTATTCTCTCGCTTCATTCTTTATCCAACAGGTAAGTGATGAGTTTTAGATTCAAGAATAATTTAAATTATGTTTAGAATCAACTCATGAAAGGATTTGAAACGGCTTCCGGCTGTTACGACGCTTGCTTTAACCGTTTTGGTCTCCAATATCAGACTCCAGAAGCCCTCTACAGAAAAAGGTTTTATCGGGCTATCGGTTACATGAGACCCTTGGCCATCTGGTCCATGTACACGGCATTGAAGAACCAGCAGTTCTTCCAAAACAATAATTAGGTCACAATAACCAGTAGATATTAAATCACTTTTACATTCCTCCACGCTCTCATAGACTAGTCCACTTTAGTTTTTGCTATCAAATTGGTGCTTACTTTTTTATTTACAACTGATGGATTATAAATACTATATCGTTAAATGTTCGACTGGCTTATTGACAACGTGTTTTTACGTATTATATTATGTTTGTGGTGCTTGTAAATGAAATTAGATAATGCTTTAGATGTTCTCTTTGACTTCTTGTAGACTGATTGGATCATCGGCCAAGTTGTTGGCTACAGAAGGAGAGATTCGGATCACAAATTTATTAGCAAACAAGTACCAGACGGCATCTAAAATTGAGGTTCATGATGTGTCAAGTAAGTCTGAATGATGACTATTTTATATTATTATAATTTACAAGGGAATGGTCTGAACTTCCCCCAGCGTTAAGGAAAATGGCTAGTACAGGTGGATAGAGCAGGTCGACTTTGGTAGAAAAAGGCAATTTCCAGCTGCAAAATAAGCACCGCCGACGAGAAAAATCGACCGAAATTTCCGAAAAAATTTCCTCTTTCTCTTCCCTCGGAAAAGAAGAGGAGCATCCAGTGGTTCGGTTGGTCGAGTGGATAGAGCGTCCGCTCGATATCCTTTTGGGGGTTGGTTCGATTCCGGGGCAGCGCGAGTGGCTATGATAAGGCTTCAGTGAACAAGATAAATTCTTGTGAACCAAAAAAAAAAATATTTTGCAATTTTTCGATTTTCTAGTGATCATAAAACACATAATAATAAAGGATTTCTATGTAAATTCCTCCATTTTTTCTGCAAGATTCCAGAACGGTTCCAGTCATATTCAATAATCTAGCCATGGACTGTCTGTTTTCCGAACACTAGTGGACGTTTGTCAAAAACCCCGATGTGATCAAGATGTGCTTCAGTTTGCTCCTTATTGGAGTATGATTGGGAACGTTCTGGAATCTTCTAGAAAAAAATTGGCGGAATTTACATGGAAATCCTTTTTTTATGTGTTTTATGATCTCTAGAAGATCGAAAAATTGCAAAATATTTTTTTCTTGGTTCACAAGAATTTATCTTGGTCACTGAAGCCTTATCATAGCCACTCGCGCTGCCCCGGAATCGAACCAACCCCCAAAAGGATATCGAGCGGACGCTCTATCCACTCGACCAACCGAACCACTGGATGCTCCTCTTCTTTTCCGAGGGAAGAGAAAGAGGAAATTTTTTCGGAAATTTCGGTCGATTTTTCTCGTCGGCAGTGCTTATTTTGCAGCTGGAAATTGCCTTTTTCCACCAAAGTCGACCTGCTCTATCCACCTGTACTAGCCATTTTCCTTAACGCTGGGGGAAGTTCAGACCATTCCCTTGTTAGATGGATGCGGATCGATGTATCAAATAATTGTTCATACTCCGCAATTCAAAGGTCGAATGAAATTGGATCAGCATAAGGAAATAACGAGTCTTCTGAAGGATGAGATCAAGTCAATGCACGGGCTCAACATTGAAACCAAAGCTCAATAAAATTATATACAATAGGCGGGAAATTCCTCGATTTTGTTTTTACTCTTTACCAAATAAAAGATTATCGACATGCCGTAATCAGTCGCTTTTGTACAGGCTGCGCCAATAAAATCTGGACAAAAATCAATTCCAGCATACGAAGGAATTCAAGGCACGGTCCTTCGAAACTTCAATTTTAGCAGGTTGCCACACAGTGGAAAGGACTTAAACGTCAAGATCAACACAGCATTGTATACTGGATGCGTGCTGATAAAGGCGAATAACTTTTAACAATCTCTAGTTCAAGCTCACTCAAAGAGCGACCATAGCGTAAATTGTGCCACTACACTCACTATTTGATCCAGCAGATAAAAAATACCTTTTCAAAGGCGACTAGTCAGACTACGGTTATCTTTATTACAGTAGTTTTGGAGCCTAATATTTGGAATCACACAATTTGGCGTCCGTGTTTCAGGGGCCTTAGCTGTGAGCACTTATAGTGGCAAAGAAAGTGTCGCAGACGATTACTTTGCCTGAAACTTTCAAAATAGAGTCTTGGACGTTTGCACAATCACCCAATTAGCTTTAGTACTGTGACAGCCGTAGGGCAAGTAAAAAAATTTGTCCAGATTTTATTGGCGCATCCTGTAAGTGTAAGCAGACTCACGGACGAATCATCGCGATTACGTAACAGTTCATTTTTGAAATTTTGCAGCGGATTGGCATTTGTGGCATTCCGCATCACTTGCGAAATTCACAAAAATCGCGGAAAAATTCTTGTTGTTTTTTGTGCTTGAAACGTTGTCAAGTGCAATGTCGATGCAAGCATACGAGCCCGGTTTCATTCAGAAGCCTCCAGATGAAGAATTTCAAGTAGAGGAAGAGGAAGGTAGGAATTTTAATTGATAATGTACCACATGATCAAACCGTCTCTCGAAAAGGGATAATTTGTTTGTCCAAGAGTTTTTATTTATAATGTAGCTTTTTCGTTTCAGATGAACCAGCGCAATCCAGTTCGACTACCGATGGTTTGTTTTTCTAACTATTATTTTCTTTATTTTTAGGTAACGTATACTTTTGTTTCTATTTTCAGATGGCTAATTAGTGTTTTTTAGAACCAGAACGGCGGCTTGTTGATGGCAAATGGCTCTGTGAATCACCTAAGGGATTCTTGGAATACGATGGAACTGCATGGAAACCAATCGAAAATGCGAATCTAGAGGAACTGAAACAAAAATGGGATCAAGCACAACCCATGAACCAGATACCTCAGCCAACTTGCGAAATAAATGGTGTCAGACACACATGGAACCCTGTAGCTAACTCTTGGATTCCCGATTCTCCCCCAGATGAGGACTTCTTGGCGCAATATTATCTTAGTTTCCCCGTCAACGAAGAAGTCGCGAAACAAGAGACACAGGAGGATAAGAAACCAGTTGATAAGAAATTAATTAAGGCCGAGAAATTAGCGAAGAAGCGGGAGCGTGCTGAGGAAGAGGCCAAGAAAGCGAAGGGCTGGGTGGATCAAGATGAGACCGAAAACACCAAAGTTTATGTCTCAAATCTGCCTACGGAGATCAGCGAGGAACAATTCATCGTAAGGAATTAATTTACGTTTTGTATTCTTTCAGAAATAATTGATATTTCCATTTTTTAGCAGAATCGAGAGGCCGATATTATGATATAATTCGTTTAATTTTAGGAATTCATGGGAAAGTGCGGTGTGATAATGCAGGATCCCCGGAATAAGAAGCCCAAAGTAAAATTGTATCGAGATGAGAAGGGGGAACTAAAAGGCGACGGCATTTGTTGTTACGTGAAAATTGAATCAGTTCAGATGGCTTTGAATATTCTGGATGGATGGAATTGGGATGGGAAGATTGTAAAGGTGGAGAGGGCCAAGTTCGAGATGAAGGGAGAATTTGATCCAACTAAGAAGAAGAAAAGGTTAACTGCAGAACAAAAGAAAAGATTCTTGGAAGGGCAGAAGAGGTAAGTATAAAGTGGAGTAATATATAGTTTCGTTGCAGATTGTTTGAATGGAAACCAGAAAAAGATCGTGCTTACAGACCGCCTTCTGATTGTACTGTGGTTCTCAAGAATATGTTTACTTTGGAAGAGATGGATGTAAGTTGATCTGGTCCTTCATGGTTCATATTTCTGTTTTCAGAATACCCCAGAATTAATGTTTGACCTGAAATCGGAGGTCAATGAGATGATGAGCAAGTTTGGAACAGTAAAACATCTTGTTCTTTACGATGTAAGTGTCCGTTTTATAATTTTTTTTATTTTCTTTTAGACCAACCCTGAGGGTGTAATTACGGTTTCCTTTGATAACGTCGAATCTGCTGATCTGGCTGTTAAATCTCTGAATCGAGTAATAAAAAGAGGCCGGAAACTATTTGTGGAGACTTGGGATGGCAAGACCAAATATCGACTTCAAGAGTCCGAAGAAGAAAAAGAAAGGCGCACCAAGGCATGGGAACGGTTTCTGGGAGAACAGGAACAGGATGAAGAGGAGTAATGAACTGCATTATATTTAAATTTACAATAAAGTATTTATGATTTTATGGTCTTTTAAACATTGTTTTAGTCAAAAAATACCGAAAAACTTTTGTCTCGTATATTTACAGTTTTGAGATAGGGTTTGACGCTTCATCGTGATGGCGTCGAATATGGAAGGTAAATGAGTTTCTTCTAAGCATTTACGAATCGTTTAGAACTGGTGCTGACCTTACTCGACAGTGTTTTGAAGACAACCAATGAGGAAACAAAGGAAGCTCTGGCCGAATCGTTATTCCAATTCGGTGTTAAGAGACCTGCTCTCTTTCTACAAGCCGCTCATGCTTATCTTGTGCAACATAACAAGGTGAGACCTTAATTTAGAGCTATTCTTGTTTTAGTTATCCGATAATCACAGAGAATTCGTCCTCAAAAGCATTTCCAAAGTAATCCAACGACGGGGTGCAGCAGAACAATTGGATCAACAGCAAGTATTGCTGGTCATAAATCTGGCCACACAAGAGATGACAATGGCCAAGGATACGGATGACGAATGGGCCAAGGCGGCCAGAGATGTGTTGGTTACTTTGGCCAAGCACGACAGGTTTGTGGGTCATGTTATGGACGCATTGTTGCTCAAATTCCCTCCTGGCTTGAGCGTTGCTCCCCATAAATACATTACGCTGACATTGGCGGCCGTTGCGCAACATAACCGTAAGTGTTTTAAAAATATTTACTATTATTTTTATGAAAAAATTTAAGTAAAACCTCAAAAAATATGTTTTAGCATTTGGATTCGTTCCTTTTTTAACCGATGTCCTCTCAAGAACAGTCCCTTTATTGTCCCATCTGAAACAAGATCCTTTGAAAAGTGCCTGGTCTAAGGCCCTGACTGCTTTCTGTGAATCCCTAATCGAATTTTCATCCTCGAATGAACCGGAGCTGGAGAATCCCCATGCTGTAATTGACAATGTTGAATATATTCCCCATCCCATTGTTACTCAAGACCTGCAGCAAAATTACTCCGATCAGTTGGAAGCAGCTTATGATGTAATAATCCATTGGGTCAGTAGCAAGGATCCTAAAGTAAGGTCAGATTCATTTGAAGACTTGTTTCTTTAGTGCCGGGCACACTCCGCGGAATGTGTCGGGATCCTATCATTGTTCGTCAGCCGAGAACGTCTCAGCAAGGATCTCAAGAAGATCATTACGTCATTCCTCAGCTTGTATAAGAAAGCACTGTCGCCAAATGAACAATACCACATAACAAAGGTAAGTTTTAATAGGTTTAATTTTTATTTTAGGGTATTGGATATTTCCTGGAGTCATGCTGCATGGACAATGTGGTCCCACTCGATTATTATCTCGATGATATCTTCAACAGTCTATTTCCGAATGTTTGCGTTGTCACTGAACAGTGTAAGTGATGAAGAGCCCAAATGTAAAGGTTCTTTTAGGCTTTTCTGCCGATGAAACACAAGACAAGGTCCTAAACTCGGCTGCGATCAAGGTCCGGAACGAAGCCTTCAGATGTTTCCATGTGGCCTCAAGCAGATTCGCAGATAAACAAGTCTATTACCTGATCCATAAGATCCAAAGTGAAAAGGATTCTGTAAAATTGGGCGCCACCAACTTTATGAGACATCTCCTGAACTCGGCTGGAAGTCAAATGGAGGATAAGAAGTCTTTGATTACCATGGGAATCAAGCCTTTATTAGTGGACACTCAGTTGGCGGTCATGGTGAAGATGGGAGTCTGCCAATTGTGTGTAGCTCTGGCTGATCATGGATACGTTGAACCGGACAATGGAGGGCTTCATGTTGTCCAATTCTTGGTCAGAAATCTAGTAATCAATGATGAAAATGGAGCCACGACAGCATCATCACAAAACATTAAAACGATGAGATTAAGCCCAGAGCAGAACGCCCTCTTACAGTTACAACAACAGTGCGCTCAGGCTCTACATACTATCGCCAAGACTTGTGATTCCTCTGAGTTGTTACTCTGGCCATATCTGTTTGAGTTTGTTTGCAATGAGACTTACAGTCCCGCCTTAGGGGATATTTTCAAATGTATCAGAATTCTGGTGGCTAAGAAGAAGGAAAAGGAACAGACTCTTGACTTTTCAAAGGACATCGAGGCTAATGGTTGGTTATCAGTTGAGATGATAATGTTGTTTAGCGAAATTAGCCGGGCCGGTCCAGACATTCGCTCGATTGATTGTCTGTTTGAACAAAGGATTTGTGAATGGCCAAATCCAGAAGAGATCTAAGGAAGCCCTGAGGCTATTAATAGATCTCTCCGAATGGTTTAATCCTCATCTGGCCAAGCAGTTACCAGAGAAAGCGGGCGAACTTTTGAAAGATCTTGAAAGTAAGCATTGATGCCGGCGCAATATTTATAATATTTAATTTTCAATTGTTTTATTGCGGTATTTTTAGGTTTATCGGGCTCATTTGACCTCTCTTCACCATCAAAGACGTTCATTCATAGTTTGGATATTCAATGTCTGAACAGTGGACAATCGAGACAAAAGAAATGGCAGCAATTGACTTTGAACATGCTTTCTTCTTGTATTCATTTGGTCTCGGATGGAGATTGGAGACAGCAGCTGGCTGCCGCCCTTGGACAACAACTCAGATTATACACCAATTATCCATCAGATAAGGGATTCGCCATGAAATTACTGGGATCCGCACTTTCTCGGGTAGCCAACACGGCCTTTGTCACAGAACATATTGGATTAATGTTCAGATCAGCCAACCTAGGGAATGCTATGGAACGAGAAGGCTGTGCTTTGTCCATGGGACTTTGCGCTCAAGTCCACACAGATCTGGTACTCACTGAGTTGGAAAACATTGCCAAATGGGAACATACTCGGAAAGGGGCGGGGTTGTTTTCGTTTTTAAAGGATGCCATGCCTTACGGAAAAGGAACTGATGCCGATATTGTACATCTGAGAGCAACTGTCATCTTGAGCTATGGATACGTGACCTTATACTGTCCTGATGATTTGTTGGTGCAAAGGTTGGAATCTACAACATTACCGTTTCTGAGACAGTATCTTGCGGGATTTAAGGTGAGAAAATTAAAACTGTTTGAAATTAATGTTAAGCCCGACACACCAATAAAAGAATCGCACCTCGAAGCAATCAATCTCATCGGGATGGCTGTCCATCCGTCCAATCTAAGCGCGGAATATCAATTTGACTCGAGATACGAGTGCTTTACATATATCAAGGCAAGAGATTGTCATCTTTTTTGTCATGAGTTATTTTTAGCAATACGTGAAGTCCGAGTCCAAGGAATCCCTTTCAAACAGTGTTCTCTTACACGCCGCAAAAGCGACAGCAACACTATGGTAAGTTCTGTTAATATTAGGATGATTTAATTGAATGTTTAGTGCATTGGAACCCCCAATAAGTGACAACGAACTCTGGGATCTTGGGAATATTTTGACGCAATGGATCTTCCCAATAAGTCGAGAGAAGAGCGGACTGAAGACGGTAAGTTGAGGAGACTCGGCTTATTTATTAAGGCCGACGACGAAGATACAGCCACGATGATGGACTCGACGGTGCAGCAATACCAGAGTGCCATCGGATGTATTGTTGCTAAGAAACCTGTTGTACATACAATCTCTCAACTTTTGAAAGTAGGTCAGGATTAACCTTTAGACCGCTTCTTGATTTAGATTTTCCAACCTTATTATTCCTCTCTGGCTGATCACGAACGTTCCCGATCAATAGAAACAACCGTTCTAATCCTCCAAGTCTACTCGAATGATCCGAGAGACTGCACTCTTGGCCATGCCAACAATTTTGGTCCTTTGTCCAGCATTCTTGGAAGACTGGCTCCTCGTCTCGCTGATTCCGTCGCTTCTGTTCGGCTGGCCTCAGTGAGGGTTGTCTATTTAGGATTCCGATTGTCTCTCCTCCATTCGGGACATTCTCCTTTGGAAACGGAAGTCCTTGATGACGCTCTCTTTGATTTGGATTATTTTATTGCCAATCATTTGAACAATGATGGAAAGCAGGATTCTGCCAAGATCAGAGAAGCCATTGCAGCTATTGGAGAAGAGATCGAAGCCAGACTACCTCAGAATCAGCTACAAACATACCTCTCAGTCCTCTTCAAAATGTTGTCTGATCGGCAAAGTAATGTCAGCACTTCGGCTGCTCAATTGCTTGGAATTATGGTTAATAACCGAGGCCATCTTCTAAATACCGAAGCCGAATTGTTACTCAAAACGATTACGGAGCAATTGGAGCTTGTTCAGTCATCAGTTCACACTTATGCCGATCTTTTGGAGGCTTTCAGAATATTCTCAAATCATCAACCGAACACTGCCGTTGAGGTTCTTCTAAGACAACCGCTACCGTATTCAACGTAAGTTTTCTGTAAGCTGTAATGTAATTAATATTTGCAGACCTTGTATAGACATGTGGAAGACATTGTGCCATGAACAAAGTCACCTGCTAGTCATCTTCGATTACATTTTGGAATTATCTGGATTTCCGTTTTCGGAGGATGAAATAGCCTCAGGCAATCCACCAGAGTTGTGCAGTAGTGTGGACACTGGTGCAGGCACCACCATTAAGGTTGTCACTGCTCGGTATTGCTCTTTGACTGCCGCTTTCAATGAATTGATTCAGGTAAAATTAAATAATTTTGTAATAATGTATTTGTAATAGCATGGTGAATTTGATGAACAATTGTTGAGCAGAATCCCGTTTTGCTTGGCCGTTCTGTTACATCATCTTACTGCGGTCATTGTTGACGTTGTTTATCCAGCTTCCTCGATGAAGGATCCCTCTCAGAAGCCGACTACCGTAATCACCCCGGAATTGAGAAGAGTTACAACCGTCCCTGCTAATATCGTAGTCCAAGCTTTGAAATCTCTGTTGATCAAACTGAATGCAATCAAATCCATGGACATTATGAATGCCGAGAGAGGATGGTCTAGCTTGGCCAATACTCTGCAGTATCCATCTGCTGTCGCTATTTTGTGCAGAGCCTTGGTTAATGAAAAGCCCGCCTTGATCTCGAAATTAATATCGATTATGACATCTAGAGTGGACAAGGAGAGACTTGAAAGCGAAAAAGAAGTTGCAGCACTTGTTTTAGGATCGTTGGTATCAAGGTAGGTTAAATTTATGTATCTCGTATTATACTTGTTTAGAAGCCCTGATGTCAACGGACAGTTTGATTTTGATGTACTCAGAGCGATGACGTCCGCCTTGGCCACGGCTTTCACGGATGTATCATTGCCTGTCCGAAGAGTGAGTTTTAAAAGTTGATATAAGAGTTTGATAGTTCTCGTTAAGAGGTTTTACTTATGTGGGGATCCTCCACGACATCTGTCAGAAATCGGCGGAATCTCAATGTCTCTTCAAATCCCTGGCCAAAGATGCCTTCGAGTTCGCTCAGATTGGATTGGATGCGACTGATGATCGGAATGATTTAATTGCTGCAGAAGCGATGAACACATTACTCTCTGTGTGCGATGTTGTAGACAAGGATCTCCTGGAGACAGCACTGTCATCATTACTCTTGAAGTTGAGACCTTGTTTTGATAAGGTAGGCATTCGATTTGTAAAGAAATATTTGTAGGAATCCGTCGATCTACGAGCCGTTTCCTTCAAATTATTCGCCAAGTTGGGTCAGCGACTGGGAAGGCTGGATCTGTTCAGAGAAAGTCTTCACTCTAATCTGGTCTCAATTATGTTACACTTGAACGATGACTCAAATATAGTCTCGGAGGTATGTACAATAAATTTTTTAATTTACTTTTAGGCCTGTGCATATACCCTAAACACATTGGCTGAGATATTTACATCTCCTCAGACGATCACGCTTATCCAGAACTCGATCAAGGACTCGGAACCCCCTAGAGATTACATATCGTTCCTACAGGATTTCAGCACAATCCTCGCTGTTTGTTTTCCCGATCGAGTCAACTATTATGCAATGTGTGGGACCAATTATTTCAAGAGTCATTTCCCGAAGATCCAATGCAATGCTGCCAGAATGGTGGGATTCCTTCTGAATGCCCTCTCGGAAGAGCTGAAGGAAACAATATCAAAAGATATCGTTTTTGGAGGTAAGCCATGTCGAATAAGAGTCTATCTCTACCACAAATTTTGTTTCTAGCATACGCCGAACTACTCAAAGATACAAACATGAAAGCCCGAGAATCGGCGGCCGAAGGAATCGTCTCCTTGACATCTTTTAATTAAAGATTGAGTTACCCTTCGCTCAACCCGTTACGTGAAATATTCTATTCGTGTCGGTCTATTACGTTCCATTTTTATTCTTGCTTTCGCTTATCCAACCTGTGATTCCTCATGGAAAACCTCTACGCGTTTTTATAGGGGTTTTAGAGTCAACTTTGAAGCCTGTTCGAATGACTTTATTATTATCCTTATATTTCGGGTTTTGTAATGTTTGTAACTATATATTTATTCTGAGATTTTTAACTTATTTGGGAAAATAAATTATATTGTTTCTAAATTTTGCGCTTTCTACAGCCAATAAAAAAATACGTAGTTATAAAAGACGGTGTGAGGCGGAACGACCGAGCTTCGAGGATTTCCCCACGAGGAATGATCTACATTTATTCAAATTTGATTGTACTTTCCCACGTGGGGCTTCCCTATAAAAGGCCTCCTTTCCACTGAATAAATCACTTGACTCTTGAGCTCTCGTCTTGTCTCGTTACTGGGTTGTCGGGCCTTTCGACAACTCATTAGTGGCGACCAGGCGACTCAACGTGGAACGACTCACCTGCTGCAGCGGCCGTCGACCTCCCAGCTGGTCGATCCTTCTCTGGTGTGGAAGGAATTCTTGGTGGTGGTATAGCCCCAAGGGAGTACTATAAGGTTCTCAAAAACCCGGGTACAGGGTATTTACATAGCACAACTGAGGCACAAGTCCCTAGAGGATAGTAAATCCTAGGAAGGGAAGCACGAGGACAGTACAGTAAGGTACAAAACTCGTGGACTGGCAAAAGTTTTCACATAGAAAACTTTCCAAGGTCAAGTCTGGTCAATAAAGGCCAGTTTTGAAAGTGCCATAACACTCGAGAGTTCGATTGTCCAAAGAGACAACGAAAACCTAGAAGAATTTCTAGGGGGACCCATCATGGACTTGATGCGGTTGACTCAGAATTGGCCTATGATTCTGAATATTCGTTCTAATGCGACGGGATGCACGCCAGTGTGAAAGCGGACGGGAAGAGATCCCTCCGGTTAAGCTATGTGTCAGGTTGAATGTCATGGAAATAGCTCTGGAGCTGGATACGGGAGCTGCCAGGACGGTAATACAAGAAAGGGTATGGGGACAGATTGGTTCGGAAATTACCAAGTATACCGGGATACTTCAGGAATAGGCCTTTCGACAGATGGACATCAAAAAATCCTAACAAAGGATTTTATTCGAATAACCCGAATATTCGGGTTAGAAATTTTCGAAAGTTGAAATTTTGGTAGACTAGAAGCTTTGCAACGAAAGATTGGAGTGCAAAAAAATCGTGGCTTCTCGCAACAAGTGTATTTTTATCGAGAAGTAAACCTGCAAATCAAAGTTTTTTATTAGTATATAGTTTTGTTAATAAACATGACGATAAAAAGGAAGCAATCCGAAATGCCAAAGGAAGAACACCATGATCCCGCCGTTTTTAAAGGTAAGTTCGGTAGTTTTGTTTCTGACTACGTAATAACATTCGTTTAGTTCTTCAATATAAGTTGTCTGGATCGGATGTGGAGAGGCAGATTTTTATTAAGAAGGATCCCAGTGACGCTAGCTCTCTTGTCCTGGGTTCTATCCCGTTCTTTTTGACAACAGTGAGTATTCAGACTTTCATTTCTAATATTTTAGGATAAAATACAAGAAATCTTCGAATCTCTGGGGAGCAAAAAGACTGTAAGCGATGTTTCCAAACGGGGTGATCATCCAGATCAGGTAATAATGGCTTCACAATAATAGCTGTTACCATTTTTAGGGGTATACTTCAGCAAAAGTAACTTTTCTCACCGAAAGAGCTGCCACCAGCGTCTATACTAAGGCCGAAGAAATAGAAACGGTCATTGTTTCTCAGCCAGAAGGGTTTGGAATGGCCAAGTTTGTGGAGGAGTATAACTCTGGCCGCACTGGGTTTGCGGATGATCTTCAGAGAGCACGGACAATCGCCCAAGCACATCAAGAACACTTGGTCACGGTATCTTGTTCTGGATGTCAATAATATTTAATATGATTTCAGAGGAAAGCTGAGGCCAAGAATAAGAAGAGCAAACCAGATGAAGAAGGATGGGTTACTGTCACAAGCAAAGGTGGGTTTCTGATTCGTGTATTAGAATAGTTTTAGATCGTCATGTCTTCAAATCTCCAAAACTTGCTGGTATCAAGAAGAAGAAAGGAAAGGGATCAAAGAGCGAACAAAACAAAAGCATTCAACTATTATAATCTTCACTGTTATCTCGTTGTTTTCGTTGTATTGTTGGTATAAATGACTTTTTCGAAGGTTTTGTGTTAGGTTCTGCGGATGACACCGTGTTTTTCATTTTATACGATGAATTCGTGGGCGCAGTGCGGAAAAGCGCCGACAAAATTTTTTCGCAAAGCGTTTCCTATTCCGAAAAGGAGGTCTTCGAAGATAATTTTTGAGTTCTTTGAATGGCTTGTATGATATCCATCGTCATAGTTTTTGAATAGGAAGGTGTTTAAGTACGCGTTTGGTTCTCACTGATTTTTTAAGCGTTATTAGCACTAAATTCTAACGTTTTCAGGTGTTCCACTTTCTCATTACTCTCAGAATGGGCAAAAAAAGCGTCAAAGCCGAAGCCGAGGACAGCATGGACACATCAACTGTGGCCACAACCACGATCGTGCCCGCCACCGACAAAGACGAATATAACGCTCTAACCGCTGTCTGCAATGAGATCTCCCAACCAATGGCCGGTCGAAAATTGGCAAAGAAAATCTACAAACTGTTGAAACACGTTGGCAAGGACAAGAACACCGTCTCCGTTGGGCTCGCCGCAGTTATGAAGTCTCTGAGAAAAGGAGAAGAAGGGGTTGTTATTTTAGCTGGTAAGAAAATCGTGTTTATTTTATTGCGTTTTAGGAAATGTATGGCCAATTGATATGTACTCTCATATTCCTGGTATTTGCGAAGAGAAGAACATCCCGTATGTCTATACCCCATCTCGCGAACATCTTGGATTGGCCCTGGGGTACAATCGTCCATGTATTGTCGTGTTGATCAAGAACACCAAATTCAGCTCCGAACAATTCGATGAACTCTCCGAGGCATGTAAGGAGCTCGATGCGCAGTTTTAAATTCTCTTGTTGATTTGGTTGTTTGTTGTTGTTGTTCGTGGTTATATCAACTTCCTTTTTTTTGACTCACGGTAAAAAGTATAAGACAGTTCGATTTTTTATTGGGCAATATACAGGCTGCGCCAAAAATATCACAAAACGAAAGAAAAATTGAAGAAAAAATGTCCATTTTTTGGCCCACCCTGTGAAATAACGTATCGGGTCGACGAAAGTTCGGGTCAATACAAAATCAATCGATACGAGGCGGAGACGCAGAAAAAGGTTATAGAAGGTGCCTACGAGGTCTGGCAAAGCCGTTGGATGCTAGGCTGATGCTCGGCGGAGACTTACAATAAGATAGCTAACCTTAGTTTTCTTGACCCGGAGTTATTGTAAAATAGAAAAGCTAAAACTTGCTCCAAAATCCGAAGCCTCGTATATGGATATAATGCTGTAATAGATGTTAAATATCTCAAAATAGGTGATAAACTATTGTAGGACGCGGTCAATCTTATTATTTCTATGAACTGAGCCTTCTCCTAGCCTCTTTCATGCATGAAGTGACGAATCGTTGACCCGAAAACCCGTAGCGCGTGAAATAATTGCTCTGCACAATTACAATGTTAGTCGCTCTTTCTAACAAATTTGGGAATCATTCCTTGTGCGACTTTGAACCCGTCGATCACTGGTTTAACGTTATCCATTGCCAGAAAACATCGTTGTCGTCGAACGAGATCTCCCCATCGATGCTCAGATTTGCATTGAATGCATTTCACTTTAAGAGGGAATAGAGTTATATTCAATTCATCTGCACTGAGTCCATGTTCCGCCAGACATCGAGTATGATACGAGGATCTACATGAATCTGTTAGACATTGGAGGAGATCAGAAATCTGAATTAAGAAATATTAAATTTAATACCGGAATGCTTACTTTATGTACAGTATGTTTGCATATTAAACAAGTGCCGGGCATCACGTACTCCTTGAGCTCTTGAGGTATTAATGAATGTGTTTTGGTGACTTTTCCATGCTCTACAGTCATATGAGGCGGAATTGGGATCGGGAATGGTCGTTTTTCTTCGTCGACAAGCCTTAAAATTAAATTAAAAGAAAACTTCACCTACCATCTGAAGGTAAGGCTCAATCTTTTCCAAGGATCCACATTCAACATATGACATACGATCCTAAGATGATATTCGAATGGGGACTCCTTCCGTCCGGCCTTTGTTATCAGAAGATCACGGATTCTCTTGGATTCTAAGGGATTCTGCCATGCCCATTCGAACCGTAATGCCGATACTGAGTTTGGAAATCCATGAACAATACAGACCATATCCCTGAAAGTCGTCAGTAACTTAGGCTACATAAAACTGCAATCAAATATTATTATCCACTCACCATGGGCCTCTGTTGTCCGTCTTCTTGGCCCCTCCAAAATCCTTACCGGCATTATGTTGCCTTTCTCTTCTATTCGGATCTACCGTATACCCAACATAGCATCTGTTCTAAAGAGAGGTAACTACTGAATTTCCAATTTACTTTATACGCTCTATTCATACTTCTACTGATCAAACAATACACTCCAAAGAATTCGTCGAGTATGCTTGGATCTTTCTTCCTCCGACTTTGAGTTGGTTCAACCAAGGGATCACAAAATTTGGCCACGTTCATTTATATAATGCAAGTCTTCTAAAAAAGGACCTAATGGACAACCTATCACAAAAATCATACTGTAACACAACAGACACCCGATACGTCGATAAAACAGCGATATGATTTACTTATATTAATCAGTGAGAAATAATTAAACAGATTGAATAAATTTAAAGGCCCGGGCTACCCTCCTCAGAGCATCTTGAGTTTTTTTCGATTCCTCAATGATCTTGGAAGTGTTTTGTTTGTCAGCAAAGATCAGTAGATTGTTGATGAGAACAAATGGAATGTTGTGGAGCTGCTCCAACTTGGGTCTCGCGGAAATTAAATTCTCGAGATAACTGGAGACCGTCATTAAGGCCAGAAGAATCTCATCAAATTCGATTAATTCGGCAAGGAAATCACGGACATTAACCTTCTGAAACAAAAATTAACTACTTTTTTATGTTGACTTACCAGATATCTTGTACTCAGCCATTCTGGAACCTCTAATCCCCTTTCCAAAAAGATCTGGAGGATATTTCGGAGGACAAAAGAATCATCCTGGGTTGATTGAAGGCTGGCCAGAGAGAGGTCAACATACGTAATCAGGACTCTCCAATGCTGAGGAAGTTTTGTTTGACATCTAAACATAAGATTAATAAAATTACATTTCTTTGACGTTAGGACGCGCTTTTTACCGTTCGCAAAGAAACAAGGCTTTTAAACGTTCAGGCTTTCTTTAAACTTTGTACACACATCAGGCATAGGCCACATATGAATTACTGAAAGTTTTAGCTCGCGCTTCACAGGCGCACCGGAGGTATAAAACCATCTTTGCTGCCGAGAGAGTACGGTAAACGCGGAGGCCGGCCAAACACAAAAATACTTTTTGCCGTATCTTTGCCAGCTTCGTACGGAAAAAAATGTTTTATTATCCTCTACGGTCTAGGCACGAACCTTCTTTGGCAAATTTCGGAAAAGTTTTTTTGCGAACAACAAAGAAGTTCCTCGACCTTACCTGAGGTTGTCCACGAATCTTCTGTTATGAACCACCCAAATGGGAGTTACTCTGGGTTCTTCAAATCCAAGCTGAAGACACTCCAAAGTCAAGGAACGTATCAGATCTGTCACCGGGAGTCCGAAAGTTCTAAATCTCCAGTATAATCCACCTTAATCTTCTTACCTGTGCAACACAAATGCGAGATCATAGTTTTTGTGAGTAATGACTCCATTGAAGACGTCAACCTTGTCCACTGGAGGACCTTGATCGTAAGCTTCGGTATCACAAAGAGCCAGTCTAGCCTCCAATAACATAAATTCCTCGAGGATATCTTGTTTGGTCATCTGGAATTTCTTTTTGGGCAGATTTTCCGGAATATCCTCTTCGATAGCGTCATGAGCAATTACTGTGGCCTAAAAGATAACATAAAAAACAATTCTCATATAACAACATTGTACAAGAAGTCCCTCTACTCACCACATCAATCTCCAAAGAGGCCTTGTCATCTCCCAACAACTCCATGGTTTGATTTACACATGCCAGAAGTCGGCATCTCTTTTCCAAAACATCCCGATTCTGAGACACAAACTTCAACTTCCAAACCAATGAGTACAGAATTTGTGCGGCTAAAAGAATAGATGTCATCAAAAATTAAAAATTCCCATAAAGTAATTTTACCTTTCTTGTACTCAAATCTTTTGATGTAAAACGCATAGACAGTATTGAACAGGCCATTTTCCGTCAAAGCATTCTGCACTTTACATCTGCTCTCCAACATTTCAGCCACCTTGTCACCTAAGGTAATATAAGGCAAGTTGATCAAAATTTTCATTTCGTTTAGATCCAAAAGGGTTCCAATTAGTGATCTCAGGCATGACAATTGCTGCGATGGAACTGGATTGTTGTGCAAGGTCTTCACAGCTTCGTTAAACTTCTTATCCGCGACATATTGGGAGAACATTTTGTTATAAATTAAACTCTAAAACATTGATATAAACATCGTAAAGATTTACCATGAGATCAGGATCCGGTTTGATGTTTCCAACCTTCTCAGCACTCTTAATGGCCAGCTGCCCACTTCTAACAACATATTCTCCATGGTTTGAAGTCTTGAAAATACTCATCGTCGCCGCATAAAAGTCGCAGAGATTGTGTTTGTAAGGGTATTTCTTTAGCGAGTAGTAACATAAAGCCCGATTAAGAGCTTCATCGCCCAAATCAATGCCCTGGAGAGCTTCCTGGAAAGCAAGATCTGCATCTTGAGGAAGACCGAGCCCTGAGAGAGCAATCCCTTTGTAAAAGTTGAAAGCATAGGTCAGATTGGAGAGGTAAGGCTCGTTCAATTCACAGTAATTCTGAAATCACGAAACGATGAATTCTTTGAAACTATTTCACTTACCCTCAGATGCTCGTAGAACATATTTCTGGCTAAAAATTTAGGAAAAGACATTGTAGTAGAGTTGGGCCATAAAGAAACGATTGTCAAGTGCACCGCGTTCATCGTGAACTCGAGGAACTGGGAAGTAACCGCCTTCGCAGATTGTTCTTGATTCCATAATTCGTCTTCTACATCAAAATCTTCATCAACTGGAGGAACATTCGGAAGCAAATGAGCTGACTTGTAGAAAGCCTCGGCCAGATTCAGTGAGACCGCTGACGTAGATGGATCGTAGGGACTAAAAGCAGCAATAAATAGCAAAAACAACAACTCCATTTACCTGAAGAACCTGGTGGACAATGACTGATAGAGATTGTAATAGAAATCCCTGATCTGGTTGATCGGTTTCCGTGAATTGGACACTTTCCATGCAATATCGGAAGATTTCCCCTACAAAAAAATTCATTTTGTAACCTTCCTTCAGGTATTTCTCCTCCAAAAATATACCAACTTCTATAAAATTTAATGACAATTCTATGTTCATATTCTTAAAGTTCAAGAATATTTTGAACTGTACCAAGTCGGACGAATGAGAGCAAAAGCTGTCTTATCGTGCAATCTAGGTCTAGAAACCCGTTATGCATCCTTGGGATGGGTCTTCATGCATGTAGAAAATCTCGCCATGCTCGCATTTTTAAAGATTTCGATTAATTAGGCGTGTTACAAAAAACGGAGCACCTTATCGTTAGCTTCCATTTTGAAATCAATTTTATAGGTGAATTATTGACGGAGAAATACCTAAAACAGGATGGATGATCCTAATCGTCCACCCTGCATACCATTTTTCTGTCATCATCTAATCAAATAAGTAAACTTACGGCCTTATCCAAATGAGATTCAGTCAGAGAAACGAGAGTGCAGATGCATTTGGCAAATAAAAGTCGATTCAGAATTCGATGCCTGAGGGCAGCAGACATAAACCCAATCGAGAACGACGAATTTATATATTCTGCTTTGATGGGTACCACTAAAACAATCATAAGTATTGAAATAAAAAGTCCTTACTTTCATCCGCATTTCCATCTGGGCACCTTTCAGTAAACCACTTGAGGACATTGAAGAGGACGTTCAGATGGGAGATCAAGAACTCCAAATCCGAGGCTAAAACTCCTCGGAAATCCTACAATAATACTGTTAGATTTCGTCAAGTGTAATGTAACATCTAATAAGCATATTTACTTACACAGCTCTCTTCCAAAAATCCTTCAGTGACCTTTAGGAGCTTCAGAAGAACCTGCTTATCATGTTGTACAAAACCTTTCATAGTATGATCCGGCTCCAAATAAACCGTGAATCTCGCCTAAATCGACAAACTATAACTTTAAATAAAAACAACTTACATGTTGGATGCATCCAACCAATCCCAATACCGGGCAATGCCACAGAACAATTGGGGAGATCAACTGTTCCTGGAATTGGCTACAGTACTTGTCCAGCGTGGTCCAGAACTTTTTCTTGGCGGCTTTAACTCCATCTTCATCTAGGTTATTGGTCGCCGAGAATGTGTGCTGATCTTCCTTGGAGAGATACAAGGTTTTGAACTAAAATTCGAATAATGACAGTATAAATGGGATTACCTGACCACTTCCTATGAACCCATCGACATAATTGGAGAGACTTGGCCAATCCATGTATTCGAATTTGACTCCGGGAGATTTACATAATGTCTGGATGGCCCTTTCTACCATCTCAAAAGAGTAGGTCTCTCCTCCGAGGACTCTCTTCTTGATGGCATCTATTTTGGAATGATTTATCATATCTATCTTCTTCGTATTGATGGCTGTTGTCTCGATCGAATCCCAAATACTCTCAAAATCGCCATTCCTAAATACGAACGACTATAAACTTTATCAGACCCTTACATTGACACAAAACATTTCCTCATCGAATATGGCTGGAACATTCCGCTTGGAGTCCCATCCTCAAAGGATTCTCGATTACAAACCCAGAGGGCGAACTCTTGTCTTCGAAGGGACGATTGGGTAACCAAAAAGTCGACCACGGATGTCTAAACAACAAAATAGTCGCAAAGAAATCAACTCACCGCTTCCAGATCTACTCTCCTCCTCAAAGACAGATCTCCCGCATTGAATTCAAAGAATAAAAACTTTGTTCTTCTAACCATTTGAACTTTCATCACCAAGAAATGTTTATCGAATGCTCTTGAAAATTTCATTTGCACACTCTCCACTTCAACTGTCGATTCTTGTTTCAGAAATGATGCCAGATTGTAAGAATTCTTAACGGAGTTTGAATTCACAGCCCAAATCTTAAGACGTCCATCTTCGTGAACACTTAAGACGTATAACTCATCTGCTGACATTATGGAAGTTGAACTGAGAATGGTGGATTCCTGTTCAGATGAGTTCCACAAGCGATTAATTACGTATCCTTCCTTCAGAATCGTCTCTTCAAATCCAGCTGAACTCAATGTAAAAACAAAACAAAAGAGAACTCACACTTTGAAGAAGGTTGAATCTTCATGTTTAACAGAATAAGTTGGTTCTTGTTGGCCACAATGGAACAATAAGTATTTCCAATCTTGTCCAATGTAACATGGACTGAACTGGCAATGACAGAATTGGAGAAATAATGACAGTCATGACAAGACTGGAGATGCTCTTGCTTGGGGAAGAAAGACAACACCGAACGGTTGGTAAAACTTTGGTCCACACTGTTCTTTCCAGTCAATCTTATCTTGAATCTGTGGATACATGACTGAGTAGGGACCACCAAAAGCAAGAGATCTCGACATAATAATAAAGAAGTGCCCTGAACAATGACAGACGGAGCAAAATCGATGTATAAGGACGAGTCTTGATACTGCCTGGTGGCATTCACTTCATTCAGATAAAGCCTCGAAGACTCTGTTCTCCTAAACAAAAATAATAAAACATTATACCCTTACCAAAAGATAATCCTGTTGTTGAAACCAATTGCATCCGGTGGAAAAGAGAAAGATCCTCCAGTTTCTGGGACTTCTGTCAAGGCCAACGTCCTCACAGTCGAGTCTAAACAAACGTATTTTGAACAAATTCGCTGAACTCACCGGTTTTGACCTCTAAAACCTTATTTGACTGTGATGGAAAATAAGTCTGGCTAAACACAAGCTCACTGCCATTAAAAATCCTCATCCTATGTGCAAGATATTCGAGATGAAGCCGATTTTTGTTTCAAAATTCAGAAAATAGCGGATATTTTACTTGACACGGAATGCCACAAAACCCTGATTTCCAATATTCAGAAAATACGTCAGTGCGATTGTTTTCTCGATTTATTTCACAAAAATATTTTTGGAAACTTGATTGTTCTTTGAGTATGAGACCCGAGCATTGGTATCATCTTATTTTTAAAATTAGTTTTCTTTGGAGGTAGTAATAAAAGTTGTGAGCCAAAAATTGTTTACAATCTTGATGGAATTGCAGTAGGTTTATCATTTTTTTGTTTATTTACTGTACGATTAACCCCTTAGGCGTGTCTGAGTCACGTTTTTTTACTTAATTTCTGATGGTTAATGTAATTATTTTTCCTTTCTTTGAACATCTGTTCTTTCAGCAGGATTTTAACTCGATTTGTTCGCCTCCAACCTTTCCTCAGTCAACATCGACGATTTCTCTGTCAGAAAATGAGTGACGAGGTCAAGAAGGCCCAGACCGCCGATCCCAATGTCCAGGACACCATCTTCGGGAAGATAATCAGAAAGGAAATCCCGGCCAAGATCATCTACGAAGATGAAAATGTGCTCGCATTCCATGATGTGTCCCCCCAAGCACCCGTTCACTTTCTGGTCATTCCGAAGAAGCCTATTACGATGATCGAGAAGGCCGGAAAGGAGGATGAGGCCCTTCTGGGCAAACTTTTCTTGGCCGCCAAAGATGTGGCCAAGACTGTTGGCCTGGAAAACGGATACAGAATTGTGGTGAACAACGGGAAGGAGGGATGTCAAAGTGTGTACCATCTCCATCTGCATGTCCTTGGCGGTCGTCAACTGAACTGGCCTCCAGGATAATTTTTTATTCATCATTATCTTCCCCTCGGTTTTTGATAAGGTGACGGAGAGTGTGTGTTATAATAAAACAGGTTCTTTGTAATGGTGAATCCACTGAATAATCGGTCATTCCATTGAGAAAATTATATTATGTTGAATTATATTAGCCCCGAGGGAGCCGAGTTGACCTTGAAGTAGTATCCCCGTACTTTTTTAAGTAATAAAATTTGAGTTCTGAGGGGAAAATGGCCAAGTGTTGGGAGTCCGCGGACTTTTCCCGACTCGATTGGCGATTCCCGAGGAGTCGGGTGCCAAAGAGCCGGTAACCGCATTCATTTCCCTTTTCCGATCTTCCCCTTCTCTTCGGCCTAAAAAGAGCAAAGCAAGGGGAGGGCTTCGCCGCTGCGCGTTTTCTGCTCCAATTCCCAGTGCCCTATGTCCACCCTCCGAAAATGAGCGTGCTCTATGCGGTTTGTGACTCATATAATAATATAATCTTGGGGTAATTGACCCGACTGTCCAATCTTCTTTTCTCTTTTAGATTATTAACAAACAAATGTTTTTCCAGTTTATTGTTCGCGGTTTAAACCCCAATATTGTAGCTTTATTGTTCTCTTTCAGGTCTATGAAGGATTTAAATGAGGTTGATCTGGCCAAATTACCATCATCGATACGGGCAAAGATTGTCCAATTGGATTTGGAGTTATCGGAGGGTAAGGTAATTGTCTTAGTATTACTTTAATTATTAGGTGATATAACCGAGAAAGGGTATTGGAAGAAGAGGAATGATCTGATCATTAAATACACAGATAATAAAAGTAATGGAAGAAGACGGCAAAAGAGGTTCACTAGGACTGAGAACAGATATCACTCAGGTAGATTCTTTTCCACGTCTTTGATTGTAACATTTTTTTGTCGATTAATTGATTGTGCATTATTAAACCTACTTTAGAAGTCCGTCAAGAAGCTGTTCAAAAGGCTCTGGCCGAATGGTCCAAGGAGCTGAAAGATCAGCCAATGCCAAAACCGATGAGAAGAAGATTTAGTGGAAAGAAAAACGTCGTCAAACCCAAAACCACCTCAGGTAACCTTCAATTTATATTACCCGTGACATTAGGGCGAAGTAAGTGGAGGAAATTGAGGTTTACAACGATTTCCCGAGATTTTAAATGGCTGAAAACGAGTTTCGGGGGTAATTTGAGAGTGTAGTTTGGATAGGAACGTCGAAAAACAATGGGAATGAATCATTCTCGATCGTTTGTTGATTCCGAAAGTTTAATCTCTGTCTGAAACTGTAATCAAAGTGTCAAAAGTATGATGACCACTCTGATTTGGATATAATTTATGTTCGAATGATACGATTTTGTTATTTTTTGAACCTTTTTTTTGTTTTGCTTTTATAGGCTTACTTTACTTTTTCGGGTATTATTTTATCCAAATCCCAACCTTCCGACCCAAAACCGAAAGGGAATTTCTGTGAATCACTCTCCAAAAGGTACTTTTTAGTTATTATTTCCTTCAAAAAGCCCGCCTTTACTCAAAAACAAGCCCAGGAACAAGGAACATGGGTAAAACGGGGACTGTTTGGACATGAATGTCATAATTGATCTGGTCACTTGTACTCGGATTCCAAAAACATTTGCTCTCAGAGATGGGATAAACGGGGCCGAGATTGATGGCCAAAAAATAGCGGCGGTCATTAATTTTAATCAGTCCGAAGAGTCCGGAGCGGCGCTTTGCTAACAATCGGCCAGAATTGCCCGTATTCACATAGGATTACGCAACGAATTCAAGGAGTTGACAGGTTTTGGACCTGCTTGTGATTCCACCTTACAATTTTTTTTTACAAATTTTTCGAATTTTTTAAGAATGATTTTTGGGAAAGCTGGGTTTTTTGTCGTCAAAATTTGCATTTTTTTGCCATAAAGCTGTCAAAACACGGAATCCCCGACCCAGGCACCTTACACATGTTCTGTGTTTGTCTCTTTAGTATATTCAAAAAGCGCTGAGGCAATGCGCGCTTTCTGATTTTCCCTTTTTGTGATTGAAATCCGAGAGTGAGAAAGGTCGAAGGAATGGATCAGATGGAGATGGACTGGCCTCCCTCTTTACTCAGACCGATTGGGTTTCGTTTTAACACGGGGGGAGGCGGGAGAGGAGCCGGCACTTTTAAAAGCCCTCCAGTCCAAGCCTTGACTGATTGAGGCTTTGGTAGAAACATAATTACAAACTGGTATGGCTTGTTTTAAATTAAGTGTATTTGTCATCATCCGACGAGTTCATATTGCATTTTCGAGAGTTTAATGACTGTCTGAGCCGTTTTCTTCAGATGTTTTTGAATGAGATCCAGACGAAACCCCTTTCCACCACTTATTTCTCCTACTGTAAGAAGTTCTCGATGATTATTCAGGCCCTCACCCTCATTTATATTCTCCGCTTTTGCAGATAGCAGTAGCTCCGACGACGACGACGATGACGATTCCACCACCATCGAGAGTTCCATGGACAGCAAGAAGGAAATGGGCATTCAAGTCAAGGATAATGACCTCAGGCCCGGGGACAAAACGACGGAAAATAAGCCGACCGAGGTCAGACAAGAGCCGGTAAGGGACCTTTTGGAGCTGGGTTTGGGTTGAGAAGGGAAGGGAGGTCAGATGGAGATCATCAAAGTAATGGGGATCGTTACTGGCCGTGCGATATCCGCTTTATTCTAACTGATAAGAACATGGGTTCAAACATTTATTGTTTAAATTTTTATTTTTTTTCTGAGATTTATACGTAAGAATTCAATATTTTCTCAGCGTATGATTGATTATAAAATCTGCCTGTAGATGCTGAAATGGCGCCGGAAATGCTTGCTTGACAAGTCGATCTCTGCGTGCCTCTTCCTGCTTTCCTTTTGGGTCTGTTTTTTATGTCGTATTTTAGCCGAGAAGTCCCTCCATCGAAGATCCAGAGCCCCTCATTCAGATCCCTTCACCCGAACCTCCCCCTCGCCAGGAATCAATCCAGAAAAGTGAAGCCGAGCAGAAGCCCGTTGCCCCTCCACGGTGTTCTTCTGTGCTGGTAGAAGAGGCCAGAAAAGAAAATAATTCCATCTACATCAACACTCTTCAACCCGGGAACGATCAGAAGAACGGACAAGAAGATTATGCGAATACGGTAATCCGTAAGTTTTTCTGCCGTAATTATTAAGTTTCGGGATCTCAAAACGGTTTTAAAGTGTCAATTTATGTCCCGAAACCTCATTAATGATATCAGCACGTCAGTTATGATTTCTTTTGCAGAGCCGAAGGCGATCAAAGTCTCGGAGAAGATCCAACAGCTGCTGCTTACACTTCAGGTCGGTGGTTGGGGGGAAGTGGAACGGTTTGTGAGGGACCTTAGGTGCTAATTATAAGCCCTTATTTTTTGAAAGAGTTATTAGTATTTGGTGGTGGACAGGCGGCGGGTTTTGCAGGTTTAGGGGTCCGGGACGACAAGCCGAGAAAAGAAAAGACACGTTTATGAGGGAAGAGGACAGATCCGTCCCGAACGTCGCTTTTCGGATGTTTGTTCGTAAAAATGCTGCCCTCCGACGACCCCTTCCGAGTGCATCGTCGACCGCGGATACGACATTCTGTCTGTGTGAGCCACCCTCTGAATGCCCTTCCCAATCTTCCGCCTTCGATTGGAGTCGCTTCCGCATTCCCGATGCTCGATCTGGCCGAACATTACCGAAATATTTACTCTCAACCTGTGATCCGGGTAGCCTCTTCCATGAGTCGGTCCTCTTCCATATTTGGGTCCAGTCATCACACTTCCACCAACAATATTTATCAACCTTCAACCTCTCGAATCCAAGATCGATCTCAAATTAAGCGATCCCCCGTTCCCGGAAGTGATCTCAGATCAAGAATGACGTCATCTGTCCCTCCCCGACCATTTCGTGAACTACCTCAGTCATCCCGATTACCCTCGGAACTTCCATTTCATCCTCAGTCGAAGATCTCAGTTCATTCCGCAGATGTTCCATCAACTTCTTCTCTTTATTCCTGTCTCAATACCCCTACCTCGTCCACCTCTCCGTTTAATGTGAATATGAGAAACCCCAAGTCTGAACGACATAAAAAGCGACATCTCCGGGCGTCTAAAGTAGAATCGAATGGGGAAGTTAATGGCCAGGGTCATTTGTCATCAACTCCGTCGGGGAATTCGACCAGTATAAAGGAAGATATATACGAAAGGATCTCGAGGAACAACCTAGAAAATGGTCAAGCTTTTGAGAGCATGATAGATCAACCTGAAACTACGGTGGATGCTCGAAAAGTTAACGGACATCCGTCTGTCAGAAAAGAAGGTAAAAGAAATCAAGAAGAACTTGGACAAGGACCGGCCGAGTATGGAAGAGTTTGTGATTATGTGGTCTCGACTTCTAATTACAACCAGGATTTGCTGGATCGAATCGATCCCTACAACTCTCTGGGTTATTCGGCCATTTCGCAAAAGACTTCAGCAACCAAAAAGAGAGTTCGGTTCAGAAATCGACCGGAGAAAACGACCGGTTCTTTTATTCTTGACGTTTATAACCCCGGAAAGGTCGACAGGCAGCGAGAAGAGGATTTGGATTCGTCGAGACGACTTCTGAATGACGTCGTTGGCTTGGAAGGTGTCCACGAAAGTCTGAGGACTTACCAGATGGTCGCAAACCTAAGAATAGGGCTCAAAAAGATAAAATTATCCAAATTGGAGGGCATAGCAGACATTCTGATCCGAAATAATCATAAACAACAGTCTTTATTACAGAGGCCACGCAAGAAACCGCTGCAGGAATATTACAACGACGACGACGCTGAGCTCGAAGGTAGGCCTCGGGATGGATAATCTTTTTCAGAATTTATTTTGGGAGTATGATTTTTAAAATGTTTTGAGTGTAATGTCCCGAAATTTGATATTTTTATTTTTTGATAGTTACTTTTTTAGCCATGGCCAAGATGGTGGACCCAAATGCTCCAAAACCCGAGGGCTCGATTGTTTTGCCAGTCAGAGGAGAATTTCCAAAGGAGTTCCAACAGAATGGGTCCACTCCCAGAAGCATCGACTCCGTTCTGCAGAAGCATTCCCAAACACAGCCCAAGGCAGTTGCCGCTGCAATACTCGACCAGAGCGGGAAAATGAACATGAACATAAATTACGGTAAGAATTATTTTTTATTAGGAACACTTTAGAATGAAAGTTCCTTTATGGGGGCTCCTACTTTTAGACGGGACATATCTCAAAAAATCCGAAAAATTGTGCTGATCAAGAATATATAAAAATTAGCTGCCCAGTTTTGGATGGTCGAAATGCCCAAAAACTGGCTAAACTTATCGGCAAAAGGCACAGGCGTTGCAAAAAATGCCAAACGATAAAAAGCGCGGTCGGTGTCTTCCTCCGGAAGGGAGCGGCGTGGCCGAGTGGCTAGTGCTGAGGTCTAGAAATCAAGGGGGTTCGATTTCTTGGCCCGAATCAACTTTTTTAAAGTTGAAGGTCTGACAAATTAATTTTTTTACCAAAACTTATTTATTGCGTCTTAGAGACTCAAGACACATAATTTTAGGCTAAAATAAAATTTGTAAACCTAGATTCAGTGGAAAGGGGTTATGTGGAGGCTAATTATGCGGCTAATTTTTACATATTCTGAATCAGCATGATTTTACGTATTTTTGAGATACGTCCCGTCTAAAAGTCGGAGCCCCATAGAAGTACATTCGTTAGATATTTTTATTATTTTGATTCAGAGCAGGTGAGATGGTTTCCATTCTAGGTAAATTATTCTCGCGTGCACAGAAAGTGGCGCACCTGTTGACCACCAAACAAATCAGCATGGCTAATGTGAATGGTCAGAAGGAGAAGGTCCCTTTGTGCAGAGTGGGGGATTGTGTAGGACTAGTCTATCCGAATACTGAACCGTTGGCCTTTCTCTGCGCCTTTTATGGATGCCTTCTGGCTGGAATGGTCCCCGTGCCAGTGGATGTTCCCACGAATAGAAGAGTAAGGCTTAAAAGTTCTGTATTTTTGATTGGTGACTAATTTAATGGCGAGTCATAAATTGTTTACTGTAGGATGCCGGAACTCAACAATTTGGATTTCTCCTTGGATCTTGTGGAGTCTCAGTAGTCCTGACTTCGGAGTCCTGCTACAAAACCCTTCCCCGAATGGGCTCTGCAGCGATGTCATCAGCAACGTCCGCTGCCTCTGCTGTTTCTTCAGGATATGCGACGAATACGACCTCTTCCGGCGGATCTAATGGCATCGTTTCACCCTCGGCGTCGATCTCAGGAATCGGAAATAACTCAAACAAAGACCCCAACGACATCTACGAGTTCAAAGGATGGCCGAAACTCCACTGGATCGTCACCGAACATCTACAGAAACCCGCTAAAGACTTTGCTTTACCCTCATTTAACAGCCCTGAAGACACGGCTTATGTGGAATACAGCACTGACAAGGAAGGAGGAGTCAAGGGAGTCTGTGTTTCCAGACAGAGTATGATTGCTCATTGTCGTGCGTTAACGGCTGTGATGGGATATACGGAAGGAGAAACCATGATCTCGTTACTCGATTTTAAGAAGGACGTCGGACTCTGGCATCTGATTACTGTAATTTTTTTGTTTTTGATTTTATTTTTTATTTTAGGCGATTTATTGCGGAATGAAGATTGTTTTTGTGCCCTACACTTTGATGAAGTCGAATCCCAGCCTTTGGTTGACTCAAGTTGCAAAGACTAAGGCCGCGGTGGTCCTTCTGAAATCGCGAGACCTACATTGGAGTCTAATGGCGGCCCAGAGAGAGACGAAAGAGATCAATCTCGAATCCGTTAGAGCCATTATTGTCTCTGATGGGTCCAATCCGTGGTCACTCTCATCGTGTGATCAATTCTCAACCGTCTTTGCTTCGAAAGGGCTTCAACCAAACACAATATGTCCTACTTCTGGTTCACCGGAAACTGGAACTGTATCCATCAGACGGCCTTCAATGGGAACGGGATCAAACTCGGGTCACGGTACCCTCTCTATGACGGCCCTCAGCCATTCTGTGGTTAGAGTTAACCCCCAAAACTCATTGAACTCACTAACTCTTCAAGTAAGTTCAGCAAAATTGATTTTTTTTATTTTATTTTTTTGTAGGATTCGGGTACCGTAATCCCAGGTGGAATGGCTGTCGTTGTGAAGATGAATGGAGCTCCGAAAGTCTGTAGAACTGATGAAGTTGGAGAGATTTGTCTCCATGCCCCATCGACAGCCTCTTGTTATTACGGACTGAAGGGAATCTCCTCCCAGACATTCCAAGTGAACCCTTTGGCCCCGGATGAGAAGGTTCTGGGTGCGATCAGATATGTTCGAAGTGGATTGGTCGGATTCCTAGGACCGGATGGTCTCATTTTTGTCATTGGAAATCGACAGTCGATCATGAATGTGTCCGGGAAACAATACAGTGCGGATGATCTGATAGCCACAACCCTGTCAGTCGAACCATTAAAGTTTATCTACCGAGGCCGAGTTGCTGTCTTCAGTGTTCCCGTCCTTCGGGATGAGAGAATCATTGTGATTGCTGAGCAGAAGCAAGATGCGAGTGAAGAGGACTCGTTCAATTGGATGATCCGAGTCCTTCAAGCCGTGGATTCCATCCATCAAGTCGGGATTTATTGTTTGATTTTGGTGGCCCCAAATCAATTACCGAAGGCTTCACTAGGCGGAGTTCATGTTGCCGAAACCCGACAAAGATTTCTGGATGGTTACCTTCATCCGGTAACTCTTCTGATGTGCCCTCAAAATTGTGTTCTGAACCTTCCCCGACCTCGAGAACCTCAACACAATGATGTGGGTCCTGCGGCAATGTTTGTGGGCAATATTGTTCAAGGTGTTAGAATAGCCAGTGCGGAGGGAAGAGCTCTCACAATGACTCCAGACGAGCCCTTCTTTTTGGTGGACACCCTCAGATTAAGGGCTCAGCAGCATCCGGATCATGTTTTATATGGAATTGTCAACGCAAAAGGAGCCGAAGTTGAGACGTTGACTTGTTCCCAACTTTGGAGGAAAGCCGAGCGAATTGGAGCTCTTCTTCTGGACAAGGGACACTTGAATCCCGGGGATCATGTAGCTCTCATTTTCTCCCCAGGTCTTGATTTAATTGCGGCGTTTTATGGCTGTTTGGTGGTTGGTCTTGTGCCCGTCTGTATCCGCGCCCCTTCTCTTCAAAACCTTCACAACTCGCTGATTACTGTCCGAATGGTTGTTGATGTCTCCAAATCGGTAGCGCTTCTCAGTACAGCGCCAATGATCAAGTTACTGAAGAGCAAAGAGGCTTCCCACAGAGTCAGCACCAAGGCTTGGCCTACTATTTTGGACATAAACGACACTCCATCGTCATCTGTGGCGAGACGAAAGAATCAGCAGATAGATCAGCAGCTGATTGCATTGCGAAGTCACAAGGATCCTTGTTTTCTGGCAAGCCTTATTTCTGTTCAGATTAATGTTTTTTACGGCCTTTTTTAACTGATTTATTGCAGGATTTTGCCGTCAGCACCACCGGTCAGCTGGCTGGCGTCGTTATTACTCATGAGGCCATAGTTCAGCAGTGCAAAAGCCTCAAGGTTGCTTGTGAATTGTACCCTTCCAGACACGTTGTTCTATGTCTGGACCCATATTCCGGACTCGGATTCACTTTATGGTGTCTGTTGGGAGTATATGCTGGTCATAGATCAACGCTCATTCCTCCCTCCGAGGTTGAACTTAACCCTTCATTATGGCTGAGTACTGTATCTCAACATCAAGGTAGGGGTTCTTTGAGTTACCAAAATTCCTTTTAGCTCGAGATACCTTCTGCTCCTACAGTATCCTGAATGTTTGTGTGCGTGAATTGGCGGCGCAGGTCAATATCCTGAAGGAGAAGAATCTGAGTCTGTCATCCTTGCGTAACTGTGTGATAGTGGCCGAAGAACGACCGAGGTACGCGCTGTGCCAGGCCTTCATCCGACTCTTCCGACCCTTAGGGCTTAATGGACGAGCTGTCTCGACCTCCTTCGGATCTAGAGTGAACACTGCCATCTGTCTTCAAGGAGCTTCAAGTCCGGATCCGACCACCGTCTACGTGGATTCCCGAGCTCTGCGGAATGATCGAGTGACCCTGGTGGAGAAGGGAGCCCCTCATTCGATCCCTTTAATGGAATGCGGGAAACTCCTCCCTGGAGTCAAAGTGGTCATTGCCAATCCAGAAACCAAAGGCCAATGCGCGGACTCTCATCTGGGCGAGATCTGGGTGGCCTCAGGTCATAATGCCTCCGGGTATTTCTCCATTTTTGGCGATGAAAACCAAAGTCATAGCGATCATTTCAAGGCAAAGTTGAGGACTGGAGACACGAACACAGTGTTCGCCAGGACTGGATTCCTCGGATTTCTACGACAAACTGAAGCCATCACGGCTGACGGAGGTAGGTTGCATTATTTAAATGGATAATAAATATTGAATTGTTATTAATGGCATCTTCTAGAACTCCATGATGCAGTTTTCGTAGTGGGATCCTTGGATGAAACCCTCATGTTAAGAGGAATGAGGTATCATCCAGTGGATATTGAGACATCGGTCTGTCGAAGCCACAAACGAATTGTAGAGAGGTGAGTATCGGGATGTTTACCTTTCAATAAGTAACGCATCAAGCCTTATTTTTAATATTCCAGTGCTGTGTTCACATGGACCCATCTTCTGGTAGTGGTAGCCGAGACTGATTGCTCCGAAGCCGAAGCCCTTGACCTCGTTCCGGCCATTACTTCTAGAATATTGGAGGATCAACATCTGATTGTGGGTGTTGTGATGATTGTGGATGCTCACACAATCCCAATCAATAGCCGGGGGGAGAAACAACGGATGCATCTGCGGGACTCCTTCCTCAAAGATCAACTCGATCCTATCTACGTGGCCTACAACATGTAGAGACGCTAGTATTTATATTAATTTTAATTTGACCGGTGGCCTCATCTTTTCAAAAACAATTCCCGGAAATCTCTTTCGGCTTTTCATATTGCCAATTCTCTTTGCTCAGAGCATTTCTAAGTAATATTTACTCTCAACTTGCCTTTACTTGTATTCATTCTCAACAGGTGAGGGGGAAGAACTGTGTGATCCTCTCTTTTTCTTCTCCAATCTTAATTACGCAACTAATTAGACTCCACTCTCATCTGAAATTCCTTCGCAGTCATTTGAAACGGGCTTTTAACTCTTGTAAACTCACCTTTTTTATATTGTACATTGTTTTTTCTAACTGTTATTATTTATTCGAATAAAAATTTAATGAAACAGATCAAGTGTAAGTCCCTTGTTTGGTTTACTACTTCCATTATTTGATTGCCAAAAGCGGGGTCCAGTGAAAAAAGATGTCTCCCGACCTTGCACTTGCCCCTTTTTGGTTGGGATTGTCTTGATTTGGAAACATTGGTCCCAAAAAGTGGTGGACTGGGCCAATTTGAAGGCCGACCCCTCCTTTTTGGCTGAGCGGTGTCCTGTTTCCTTCTGAAGCCGAAAGAGCCGGAGGCGTCTCAAATAAGCTCTTACTCTCCGCTTTTTACGTTCTCGTCCCCCTCGCACACTTTTTTTTAATTCCATCTCTATTTTCAATCAAAACCCATCGTTTATATCCTTGATGGTCTCTTCAGATGACGTCATTCTGTCAAATCATCAACTTTCTTTGAATATTTTCCCATTCTAAAGGGTTTCGAATTGTCTTTCTTTCTCTATTTGCCCTGAAGACTTGATTGTTGGAAGTAATTGATTACTTGAAGCTGTGTACTCTCCCTTCTCCCACCAGTTTATTACTATTTAATAATATATTACCCGTCTGTTTACGTATTCAATTAAACCGCATCTTTTTGTGGCCTCGTCACGCGTCCCCAACCCAGTACTTCTTCCTTCACCTCAGGGCATAACCCGCTCCCTTTTGTCTGCCGCTTTTGCGGGAAATAAATTGGGACCCAACTTTGTCCAAATTAACGCCCTTTGGCGGTATTATTCGAATACTCGTTCCCAGGCCCAGGCGCATTATCTGGCCGAGTTATTCTTCTGTCTTTTTTTTTATTTTCGTCGCCCATGATTTGTGGCCAAGGAAGGGGAAAAACAAAGGCGTGGAGAGTCCCCATAGAAAAGGCCCTTTCAGCGCCATGATCGACGACTTGTTCATGGCCCTGTTCATGGAAGGAGCATCCGCTTTTCGCGCCTCAATCCGGGATTAATTGGCCCTTCCCGTGCCCTTAATTTTTATGTTTTGAATTGGCCATCGGAGCATGTTTCCTCCATTTGATCTGTCTTTATTCGGAGTAGCCTTTGCGAACTCTTTGTACAAAAAAAACTGCGAAACGAGTGAGTAATGTAACGGTTCTCTAAATTTATTCCAGCATCCGCTCTTTTTATGGGCAGAGGCGCTTCGTTTGGCCATCGAATCCGGCATCAATCTTGTTTTTATTGCCCCAAACCCATTTGTATAATTTCTCTCTTTCTGAGGCATTTTTAATCGAAAAAAGAGTGTTCTAACCCCTCGAGTTCAGTCCTGAAATTGAGTCGCGCGTCTTATCGTGTTTACCCCCGCAGGGCTTCGTCTCCGTCCTCTCCCTTTATTATATTATTTTAGGTCCTTCGACCGGTAGAATTGGACAAAAAAGGTGGAGGATGTGAATGGACAGCCTATTATGACAACCAGCCCCGTCTCCGATCCCGACTCCGGCTCTAATGGCACCAGTAAGTACCACGATTTGAGGGATTACGTCATGAACAAGGGGTTTCACAATAAATATGGTCTTTTTGAGTTTGAAAACAGGAAAAAGAGGGGAAGATGGACAAAAGTACGAGTAAGAAAAGAAGTCTGTCTTCTCTGGTTCAAAACAAGATGAATAATTAAAGTAAACGAAGTCCGCTCTTAATTATAACCGTGAATCACAAGATTACAACAGCAATTATTGCAGTAAACGCAGGCGCGAGCACTTCTTCCCAGCAGTTCTGTCCGGCCCCTCCCTTCTTTTCGAATCCATTTATGGCCCCGTTCTTGCCCCAACAACCTAATGGTGTATATCAATCATCATCGCCGCAAATGAACGGCCAGATGCCCTCAGGACAAGAGAAGACCGAGTTCCGGGTCAATCCGCTGACCGGTGGCTACTTTCTCTCGCCGCAACAATATCAGGAGATGATGCAGCAATACATGCACGGTCTTCTGGTGGCCGCTTCTCAGGGACAGCAAGTTGATCCTAATATGGGAGACATGGTGAGATCAGATTAATATTTTTGATGGTTTAGATATATTTATTGGTCATTTTGATTTAAGTTTCGTATTCTAGAACACTGCGAATCCGTTCTTTCCGTCTTCTCATATGACTGCATTCTCTCAATGCACCCTCAGCTCTTCCTCAACACCTTCAAAGGCCCCTTCGCTTACCAGAACTGACCTTTCAACTAGCTCTAGTCCAGTCCAAACAAAGGATCGGGTCCATCCTCAATCTCCGTTGAGTTTCGTCGATGAAATCAGCATGTTACACAAGGAGTTGATAAATGGTAAGTATTTAAAAACGTTGTCTATTCCTCATGATTTAACTCTTTTGCCCTAAGGGTTTGGACTTTGGGATTTTAATTTAGTTGGGGTATCGAGTCGAGAGAAGATACGAAGCGGCCGTTTGCATGTCGGGGATATCTGAGAGCGGCCGAAACTCTTTCTTTAAGGCCGCTCAAATTATAATTAGGAATTCGGGCCATGGTTTGGTCAAAAAACCTAATTTTGGCCTTGGAATAGTCGCGTCAAGGGTAGCAGAATCACCGGGGATTTGAGCTCAAAATTAACCTTGTCCATCGTTTTCTTCCATTAATTCTTTGAGGTTTTCCTTTCAAAACAGCTGAGGAAATATTTGTTTTATTAAAGCAAGTGGTAAGAATGATAAGGGAAGGTCCGAACATCTTGATTGACACTCCAATTTGTCCATTTGCAGTTCCCCTTCCTCATTTCGTAGGTGTTTATGATTGTTTCCCCCATTTATCTTGATTTCCCTTCTCTGGCCACGACATTTCTGTCTTTTATTGGGCATATGTCATAAATCTTAATGTACTCCGATCGGTGGTTTCTTGGCCATATTTGTTATTCTTGGGGGGTTTCTTCGGGAAATGTCATCGCCCGCCCTTTTGCCGTCGGATGTCATAATTCTTTGACGTCTCTTTAATTAATTATGCCGTTGAATGGAAAGGAGATGTTTTGGAGTTATTTTTGCATAATTAGTGCTAATTATAGCTGTAAACTGCCAGATTAATAACTGATTACTGGACATCAGGCCTAGTGTAATATAAGATTACTTCCTCCTACTCTCTGGCTGTTAATATCCAATCCCCATTTAGGGGCATTTCTTTGTTTTTTGGAGGCCTTATAAGCAAATGTTATCTTTTTCTTTGGGTCGAATCATCAGCTGAGTCATGGAGAACAAGGCCCGAAGAAGGTCAAGGAATGCGTGTTCGGGAGATGGTCGAACACGGCGTCGGCCTTGAGTGGACAGTGGCCAGGCCTGGGGATTTCAAGGAATTGGCCTTGGCCCTGTCCGCGAGAAGCTGCCCTTTTCCTCTTCTCCTCTTTTCTCTCGCCTCTCTTTTGTTTTCCCGCACTCTCTCCCCTCTCGCCCGAGGCCATGCTCCCAAAAGAGCTTCCTTTTCTTGGCACCTTCATCTTGTTGTATGTAAAACTCTTGATCTTCGAAAACTTATTGATTCGATGGAAGAGGCAAGAAATGCTTAGGAAACATTTTTTTTTGGAAAGGGAGATCTGGTTTAAAAAGAGGCGAGGGCACAATGGATGGCATCCGTAGCCTTCCGAATCCTTTAAATATTTTTGTATTAATTATTCATATTTTTATTCAAATTTGAGGTTAATTGTTTTCCAATATTTTTGCTAATTCTTTAATCCGTAGGGCATGGATGGAAAGGATATCTTGAAAGGGCCTTCTCTCATTTTGTCGCATTTTCCATGGCTTTGGAGATTAACAAAGCCTCGTTTCATATAATCTCGAATACTTTTCCCCGCACCGGCATTCCCCTCTTTTCCGCTCGCTTTTTGCAAACCGAAGGGAAAGCGTTTATGCAGATTTGGGAGATAAGCGACCTTAATTAAGGCTTCTCGGCCTTTCTTCTCAACTTTTTCTTTTAAATTTTTTGTTTGTAATTAATTTTTTAAATTAATTTATTTTAGATGATCAATCTTTGAAGAATCCGATGACTTCTTCCTCGAATCTCGAATGTGCTGAAACCAGCTCATCCCCGCCACTTCCGCAGACTTCTGAATCCACGGAAAAGTTACAGGATCATGGTGAACGAACAGAAACTCTGGAGCCGAATCCAATCCAACCTGAATCTAGTCTAGAAAATCGAGATCTCAATCCAGCTCAGACTTTGGATGCGAATGAACCTGCATCTGGGACTTCAGAAGTTGTAGAATCCATAGCCGTATCTTCAGAATTCAAAGAAGAGGTCAGTACGATATCCCCAGACACAACTCAAGATGGCCAGAGACAACGCGCAGATTCAGAACCTATACCTGGGACCTCAACACAACCGGAGGCCCAACCTGATGCCAAGAAATCGGCGACGGTGGAAAGAACAACGGAAATGATTCAAAAACAGATGAACGAGATCGAAAAGGAGATAAACAGAAGGATGCAGAATAAGAATGTCAGACAGGTAAGCTCTTCTCTTCTTTGCTTCTCGCTTTATGAAACCGTGGTGAAGGTAAAGATGATCCGGAGCTACTTAACTCGCTGGCCTAGCCGCATTCTAACTGGACTGGTCCCTGGACTGGTCGCTTTCTAACCCCTCTGACTCTGCTTTTAGATCGATGAGGCCGAGTTGGCCCAGCTCTTGAATGATCATGGTTTCGGGAGTTTCGTCGACGCCAAGTCCTCGACGGACTCGGGGAGCACGGTAAGAAGAGGCCGTCGTCGTACCGTGCTTGTGGTTTCGGTTCTTGTGTTGTTCAGATAATATTATTTTTGTATTACTAACACGATCTCGATGTAGGGGTGTTAATGAATAATTCGTCTAATCTTTTCTTTTTCAGGCATCGGCACTCCCTTACCGACCTCCAGATCAAGAGAAAGACAGCTCTCGACCAACCTTGGAGCAGCTCCGATCCTCTTTCAGTCCTCCATCCGACCATTTCGCAGCCCAATCTCTTGATCCCAACTCTCATCACAACTTCAACTTTGGTCCCACGGCTACCGGAAATGGTCTAGGACTTCATGGACCGGCTGCATTTGCGACCAGTCCCACCTTGCCTCAGGGGATCAATGCTCCAATCGGGGTTTATCCCTTGGCCAATCCCCAGATGATGGGTCAATTCCCGGGGATGTTCCCTCCCCAGATGATGAAACCCGCGGAAGCCGAGGCCTTCTATCCATATCCCTCTATTCCGGTGCAGAATGTATTCCCAGCCACTAATCCAGCTGCTCCAGGTCTTCTAAATTCCAATGAAATTACTCCTGAAATGGCGGCCGAACTTTTGAAGAAAATACAACTTCAGAATCCACAACTTCTGGAGAAACTCATGGAACAACAGAAGGCTGAACCCGAGATCCCCAAACCCGTCGGGATCCCGGCCCCGCCCCCTCCAGGATCAACCATCGAACGGCCCAATCCAGGGAATCAGCGGCCGAAAACCGAAAGCGGAGATTGGCCAATGAATGGAAACGGTCAAGAGAATGGGAAGGGGGAGGAAAACAACGAACCGGTTTGGGTGATGAGGTAGGCTTTTAAAGTAGTACTGAGAAGGGTTACGTTATTCATGGTTATGGGATATTACAGGCATCCTTTTTAGGGACACATTTGTAAAACGAATGCAACGAGAGGAGCAACGGAATCGAGAATCAATGGAAGAACAGAATGGCCATAAGGAGGAAGAGAGTAGGTCCAATTTATATTGCCGTAGATTCGAATTTTAGAATTAACGGGATTAGAGGAGATGAATGAAGAAGAAGAGACATCTAAGTTGTTGAAAAGAGACTCGAATGAGCTGGTTGAAGAGAATATTAAGCAGAAGAAGGTGAACAACAAAAAAGAAGGTAGGTTGGGGAAAAGTGGACTTACATTTGGCCTAGAATTTGTCTGGAGGATGGGGTTTGGTCATTACCTTAGGGATTTCTGGATAAAATCTTAATACGAAGATATGATCTTAACAATAAAAAATGTCGAATCTAATCTCCAACCCCCTTCTGTCTATTGTCTGATCGCACCGCCCGTCTCCCAGTGCTTTAACCCTATGTAATTAACACTTTTTTCTTTAATATAACCTCCCCCGAGCCCTCTCTGACCCTGCGGGCATTGATTCAAGCATCATTTAATTTAAAGGTAGGTATAACAACGAGTGAATGCCGTGTTAATTTAGCTTGATGTGGCTTGAAGAATGTCCCTTTGTTCGCCGCCCGTCCTTTTTCTTGTTCTTCTTGGCATTAGTTATGATTTTGATGTCCAGATTTTAATTTATCCAGTAGTCCTACTGTCATTTATAATATAAATGTGAATTGAAGCGGTTATACGCTACTATAATGAATGTTTTCAGTAATGGTACATGAACCTGCAGTTCTGATCGAGGGAGTTCTCTTCCGTGCCCGGTATTTGGGATCCACTCAGATGTCAACTGATGGAAGAGCGACCAAGTCTAGTCGAATGTCACAAGCTCAAGAGGCTGTAGCGAGAGTTAAGGTTAGTGCTGGCCATTCTCAAACTTTAGGAGACATTAATTTATGTTGTTGTGGGTACTGATCTACTGTAACCTAATGCAGCTGGTCGGAAAACTTTCAAGCAGTATTTTCTTAATTTTTGGGTTGGGTTCTAAAGTTTATTTTGAGCGGTACCGTAAAGTGACAGATTTATTTTTTTTTATTGTTTTAGGCCCCGGATGGAGATGTCCAACCAAGCACGGAGATCGATTTATTTATCTCCACTGAGAAGATTATGGTGCTTAACACAGATCTACAGGTGGGTGGGGTATTCGAATACTCATTTCTCCGGATGTTTTCCCCAAATTGAGCTTTTATCACATCTCCATCGTCATGTGTAATATGGCATTACTTCCAAGAGTAGTGCAATTTTAAATATAATTCTGGACTTACACATGACTGTTGGGTTTTGAATTACTTCTCCCGTCTATGCTCACATTTGAGGCTTCTCCAGTCCGCTGTACATGTAGATGTACATGTGGTTTACATATGGATGTAGATGTTTTTATATAAAAGTAGATCGAGTGTAATGTTTGAGCTGAATGTGTGCGGCCGCTAGTTGAAAGGGTTACTGTAGGTTACTGTAGCTGTCTTGATTGATCTTTTTGCTCCGACCTGCCTCTTTTTATATCCAGTTTTATCTTGTAGTAGCTTCTTTTACTCGAAAATCATACTGTATTTTTTAGAGGATATCCGAAACGGACGTTCGTCAGGTGAGTAATCGGCTCCATGTTACACTTACACCATGATTTTGCACTTTTTTCTCATTTCCTGATAACGTTCTTTCTCTCTTAACACTCTTTGGGTTACGGTAACATCTCTATGAGTTCGGCTTTCGCTTTGTTTTACAGTAATGTGATCGGCTGTCAACATTTTGCACTTGCATTCTAACCCATTCGTTCGTTGATGTGTGGAGTGTTGCCCTCGGGGCATTTGTAACGGTGTTATTTGGGATTTGCAGGACATTCTGATGGATCATGCTCTCCGAAGTGTCTCTTATATCGCGGATATTGGAGATCTGGTGGTGCTAATGGCTAGGCGGGTGGCCCAGAGTTGTAATGGAAGCGATGACGAGGAGTGAGTTCACTGTTATCTTGGCTGATTATTCAATTTTTCGTGAACGTATTCAAATTTTTTGACGTAATTGTTAGAAAAATTTTTGGCATGCCTTGATCCTAAGAGAAACTTTGGACCTATTCCCACATTTCCATACCCTTTACCGCATACACTTGGCCCTTCCTTCTTCTGACTTTGGATTCTTTTCAGTCCGGAAACGATTCGTCGCACTCCCCGTTTAATATGTCATGTTTTCGAGTCCGAGGAGGCTTCATTTATCGTCCAATCTATCGGTCAGGCCTTCCAGGTGGCCTACATCGAGTTCCTCAGGGCCAATGGAATTGATGATCCGGCGTGTCTAAGAGAAATCGACTATCAGGTACGACTTTACATTGCACTTGGGGTCTGGCTTAAGTAGTTTTTAAATTTCGGGCCCGAAAACTGATTAAATCTTCATTTCTGTGGTCATTCTAGACTTTATCAGATCTAAGGTTGTTTGCTATCACATTAGAGTCGAATTCTGAGATTACGCTTGCAGGAAGTCCTCAATTCCCAGGAATTAATGGGTGAGGAATTGGAAATGTTTGCCCGAAAAGAGACCCAGAAGGATGTAATTGTCCCCAAAAAGGTTGGAGAGGCCTTAGGAATTGTTGTCGTGGAATCTGGATGGGGATCCATGCTCCCTACAGTTGTTGTGGCCAATCTGGCACCAGGGGGGCCAGCCTCAAGATCGAATCAACTAAATATTGGAGATCAAATCATTGCCATAAATGGGATCAGTCTGGTTGGATTGCCCTTAACAGCAGCTCAGCAGAATATCAAGGCATGTAATTTGTGCCGATAGTGTTCTTTAGTGAGATGATGACTAATTTTATATCTTTTTAGAACGCAAAATCCTCAACGGCAGTCCGGCTAACAATCGTATCAACACCGCCAGTAGTCGAGGTCAGGATAAAACGCCCCGATACCAAATATCAGCTCGGATTCAGCGTCCAAAATGGAGTTGTAAGTATTTCGAGATTGTTCATGCCTAATATATATTAGGTTTAGAAGTATGACTCCGCCGTTTTTACTGCTCATGTCTTCGATCATAGCAAAAATTTTTTTACACTTAACCTTTTTATTCAATTTTTTATTTTATTTTTGATTACGATACTTTTGTATAATATGTTCAACTTTCGAATCCACCAGAGAAAGCATTTGGCTAAATCTAACCCTCATCTTGCAGATATGCTCTCTGCTTCGTGGCGGAATTGCTGAACGAGGAGGAATCCGAGTAGGGCATCGGATAATCGAGATCAACCATCAAAGTGTGGTCGCCGTTCCCCACGAGCGGATCGTGAACATGCTGGCGACGGCCACAGGTGAGATCCACATGAAGACTATGCCCACGGCTGTCTTCCGTCTGCTCACCGGACAAGAGGTCCCCAATTACATTTAATTTGAACGCCATTCCATTGACGAAACGAGTCCTTCTTTCCCCCTAATCATCGACGCCTTCTGAATCAGAATCCCTGTTCTTTTTTGTATCTATTCTATTTCCATATTTTAATGCCCATTCATGATTATGCGAGTAATGTCTTACCAGTCTTTGGCAGCTCTTAAGTATTTTGATCACATAGATGTCTATTACGATCAGAGAATATCAATTATAAACATAACATTCACTAATTATAGTGGTTTGATTTCAGTGGGGTCTCACTCAAGCCCCATCACAAAAGTTCTCCGCTTTTATTTTTGCTGTTGCGTCGAATTTCACAAGGGAAGTACCCCAAGTGCGACGCTCAGATTTTCTTTAAATTTTGCACACACGTCGGGAATAGACTAAATATCAATTCCTGAAAGTTTTAGCTCGCGCTTTGCAGGCGCCGCCGAGATATCGGACGATTTATGCCGCCGAGAGAGCACGCTAAACGTGGAGAGCGGTCAGAGAGGAAAACGCGTTTTGGCCATAACTTTGGCAGTTTCGCGCGGAAAATTTTGATTTTTTGTAGAAACATTATCCTTTACGGTAGAAATAGGCATGAAACTTTTCGTGCTGAAATTTGGCAAAAAGTCCTAAATTTTCGCCGACTTTCGATCTAAAAATCTCGGTTGTTTCTGGAAAGCGCGAGCTAGGATTCTCGCATATATCTTAGAAAAAATTATTCTAAATTTTTGCCAAGTTTCATCAAAATCTGAGCGTCACACTTGGGGTACTTCCCCTGTCAGTGCGAAAACATTGATTTTAAAAAATCAGTGCCAACACAGCGGACCCAAATTGACTTATAAAAACATATAATGACTTATAATGAAATGATTTTTTTATAAGTCATTATCTGTTCTTATAAGTCATTTTAAATGACTTATATGTTCATATATGATTTTATAAGGGTTCTCTGCGCGCTCTTGTTGAATTGACTTATAATTTCATATATGTTTTTATAAGTCATTTTATTTACAACCGCACCGTGCAAAAAAAATGAAGATTTATTTCAATCAATAACTCAAACAATTAAGCGGCACAAGTAGAATAAGACTTCAATGCACGAAGGGCCTGAGATTTTTAGATGGGGCGTTCGTCGCTTCTGTAGGCGGCCATAGATGTATATTATTGCTTCTAATGCTTCTGGTTTCACTGAAAATATTTGGAGATATTAGAAGTTTTTTTTTCGGGAAACTATAATATGAGTTCGGCTTAAACTCAATTTTTTATGCGTTACATACTAACAGTAAAACAGATGAATTTGACTGCCTAAAAGGTTTCTGGCAGAAAAATTTTTAGACATGAAATTTGCGATATTGTACTAGGTCCAGGTGAATGTTATCAACCATACCTGAAGCTACCGGATGTCATCTTTCTATTCATCGTGTACACATTGTCCATTGGATTCCTCCATGACCATTTTTGTAGTTATCTAAAACCCAACGGGTTCACCTGGACCTAGTACAATATAACAAAACTTTGTCTTGAAGTTTTTTCGAGACCTCTGAAATGTGGAAAACAGTCAAAAAACACCTACCAAAATTGAGCAAATAGATCCTTTAGCAATCCGTTGGTTGATCGTGCATGTTTATACATCTTCTGGGGATGGATCTTCTTCAGGCTGGCACGCTCCCTGCACGGGAAGGCTATTACGTTCGGCACTTTTCATCTAAACACTCTAAAGTCTTGTAAAACAAAAAAGGCTGATTAAAAGCACCTTACTTTGATCGATCCAAGGCACGGCATTCTGTACTTTTGGGACACAACCGGTCTCCATGATTTTTTTCTATTTTTTCAAAGTAGACCTCCTTCTTTAATACATTGCTCGCTAGCCGTTGAAGCTAGAGACTTGAAAATTGGCATGGGTATAGAGTAAATGTTCCGCTTCCAGAATATATAAATATTGTAATGAACCCCGCGCTGTAAGCTCCACAATAAGATGCGAAAATATTTCATTCTTAAAACTTCTTGCACCTAAAAGGTCATTATGCAAGATCGAAATGACAAATTTTAAAATGCTGATGTGTGCAGAATTTTTTTTCTATCAGATACTTAAATTTCGTGGAGTTGTATACGAAAATGGCTGTGCTACGTACGAAAAACTGAGTTTCATAGTGTGTTTTTTTGAAATTTTTGGAATATCTCTGCCCTCAGGGCACAGATAAATGAAGTTCCGACTCACGTTTGTTGCCGATGATGACATATGTAGCCTTGCCAAATTACAATGTTATATCTTCAAAATCAAGGGAGCTATTTGCTTTTCAACTTTTTTCTCACTGATGTACAACAACGATGTCAAGAATGTCCAACTATGGATTGTAGAGCTCGAAGAGCTCTACAAATTACCCGCTTACATCTTCTTCGTATCTTTAAAATTACGGCCGCCAGGGCGGCCGGAAATTTCGGTCGATTTTTGGTGCACCGTGCGAAAAAATCGCCCTCAGGGCAACAAGCGGAACTGAGCAAATTGATCATACGGGTGCTATTGGGAACAAAATAGACTACCATAGTGTCAAGTTTCAAGTCGCTACCTTCACTATCCCCCCACAAAGATGGGCTGAAGCCCATTTTTGATAAAAAAAGTTGAAAAGCAAATAGCTCCCTTGATTTTGAAGATATAACATTGTAATTTGGCAAGGCTACATATGTCATCATCGGCAACAAACGTGAGTCGGAACTTCATTTATCTGTGCCCTGAGGGCAGAGATATTCCAAAAATTTCAAAAAAACACACTATGAAACTCAGTTTTTCGTACGTAGCACAGCCATTTTCGTATACAACTCCACGAAATTTAAGTATCTGATAGAAAAAAATTCTGCACACATCAGCATTTTAAAATTTGTCATTTCGATCTTGCATAATGACCTTTTAGGTGCAAGAAGTTTTAAGAATGAAATATTTTCGCATCTTATTGTGGAGCTTACAGCGCGGGGTTCATTACAATATTTATATATTCTGGAAGCGGAACATTTACTCTATACCCATGCCAATTTTCAAGTCTCTAGCTTCAACGGCTAGCGAGCAATGTATTAAAGAAGGAGGTCTACTTTGAAAAAATAGAAAAAAATCATGGAGACCGGTTGTGTCCTAAAAGTACAGAATGCCGTGCAAGGTAGAAATGCGTCGCGACGTTCCAAAAACTTAGAATTTCACAAGTCCAGCTCACGCGTGCACAAAGCAAAAAGCGTATTTGGCGCTCAAAAGTTTTCTTTGCAAAGAACTTATTTGTTTTTATAAGTAAAGAGAGATAAGCCCCTCCTCTTTTGACGTTATTTTGACTTATAAGTCATTATCTGTTCATATAAGTCGTTATATGTCTTTATAAGTCAATTTGGGTCCGCTGCTGTGAAAAGAGAGTTTGAAAGTTTGGGAAAAAAGAGTACAGATTACGGGAAATCGCTGCAGGACGAAAATGAAAATGCACTGATTTTTCAAAATCAATGTCAATCCACTTTGCACCGAAATTCGACGCAACAGCGAAAAGTCGAGAACTTATGTGACCATATTTATCCAGACATGGCTAGAAGGCCGGGATAACATTTTCGAAATTTTCAATTGTTTCCGCGCGCTGCAGTACTTTTATGGGGCTCCTACTTTTAAACGGAACGTATCTCAGAAAATACGTTAAATAATGCTGATTAAGAAAATGTAAAAATTAGTCTCCCAATTTTGGGTTTTAAGGGTGAAAAATCAATCCCAAGTTGAGATAAACCTCTACTACAGAACCTCTTTCCGCTAAATCTTTCACAGGATTACAAATTTTATTTTAGCTTAAAATTATGCGCCTTGTCAAACAAAAAACTCTGATTTTGACGTTTTCCCCCTGTGTGTAGACAAATTGACGTGCATTTGGTATACGAAACGGGAATGTTAAAATAACATTGAAATTGGAGCAACTTGATATACTTTTATTAGTATTTACATTGGAGAAGATTTGAGATGAAATTAGAGAGATTGTGATGAGTCGCATCAAGTTTCAGTTATCCGACCACTACGGATCTGTAAAAAACAGTTATCCGATGCATGAAATTTTGGTTATATAAAAGTATACTACAGGGTGGGCCGCTCGAAACCACCAACTTTATTTCAGATATTTCCCCGCCAATAATGCACCAATTTATATAAAATTGATATCAACTTGAAGTTGGACACCCCATTTCTTGTCCACCAAGTATGATGTGTCTACGTTCACGAAGGCACCCACACCGACCTTTGACATTTTCATTCTGGATTTTGGATCCCGAAATCGGTGAAACTTAGAAAATGTTTGCAATGATTTTCAATTGAATTTCTCGGACTTCGAAAATTTTCGATTTCTGGCTAGGAAAGAGTCGTCAAATTCGCTGAAAAAACTTTAAATTAATGTTTACGTCCGTACCAAGTGCGTTAAAAGCATATTTCAATTAGGCGAGGTTCCAAGTCGGGCGCATGAGAATGAAAGCTTTTTTCTCGGGCAAACTAGTCCTTAAAACTTGCTATGCATCTTCGGGAAGGATGTCTTCATGCATGTAGACAGTTCGCATTTTTAAACATTTCGGTTAATTAAGCCTGTTACCCCAGAAAACCCTTGAAGAATAATTACTAATATTCCGTTGACTTTGGACACTTTTTTTCTGCTACTTATACTCTTATAATTCTCGTTTAGACAAAGATTCGAAAATTTTCCAAGTCCGAGAAACTCAATTGAAGATCATTGCAAAAATTTTCTAACCGGTTTCGGGGTCCAAAATTTGGAATGAAAACGTCAAAGGTCAGTACGGGTGCCTCCGTGAACGTATACATATCATACTTGGTGAACAAGAAATGGGTGTCTCAGCTTCAATTTGATATAAATTTTATAGAAATTGGAGCATTATTGGTGGAGAAACACCTGAAATTAGGTTGGTAGTTTCGAGTGGCCCACCCGGTATATTTAAAACGATTGTACAAAGTTACACATTCGCAAAAGCGGGTGCTCTTATATTAAACTTACGAAACATAGTCGTTCTTTCCATGATACGGCGTTGCTTTGCGTTTGTATCCTCCCGTCTGCTCGAGACTGGCCATTGATTGGAGTTGCTGTACTTGCTGATTTAAATATAAAATTTGAATCAGGAAGATGGGGACAAACACAAAGGCCAACGTCAACGGGATCCATCTGTGGCCTACAAATTTGAATGTTAAATTATTATATCATTTTCCACCCACCTTGAACATAGGTTAGCGCATTCTCTTCCAAGTGGTTCACTTTCCGATCATCTGAGAACAAACAGAAAGATAATACGAGGACGGTGATAAACTGGACAACCACAGCGACCAATGTCAACACCAATAGGGCGTGAACTTTCTTCCTCATGAACAATTGGAAGAAGATACTGGCGAAGAAGAAGGAGAGGAGGAAAAGAGAAAGCGCGGTCAGGATCGGGCAAGGAATATCAGCTCCGGAGATTACTGTCCGTCCTAACAGCCAGAGGATCAGTGCCCATATCATCAGATTCAGAACACACACCACTCCAAACACTATCTGGAACATCTTCATTACTGCGGTCAAGTGTAGTATGATGTCTTAAATTCATCTCTCAACGATATAAAAGGGATCAAGAGACGATCCCAGAGTCATAACATGACGTTACGGCCTTATGTTAGGCATGTGGCTTGAGGAATGACAGTGATTTAACGAGTAAGCAACTGTCGTCCCCTTCCCCAATTACGTGGCCTGAGGGCATTTGTCGTGGTCTCGCACTTACTTGACAGATCCTCCCCATTACATCCACTTGGTGTGAGTCCAATTAATCAAATTCGGCAAATAAATATAGAAATTCCAGCTGCGCGCTGGAAAACAGGAATAGGGATTCGGCTATATTAACCATAAATATTGATATCGAAACACTTAACGCGACGTGTTTTCACAAGCGCCTCCACCCCGCTAATACGGCCCAATAACAAAGGTAATAAACAAGCATTCCGAGCGCACTTTCGAAGGACGGCGGGTCATCCAGTCGCTTCGGATCCCTTGAATTCGGAATCACGTGGACCTCAAAATAATCTTCAAAAGATAAATAAAGTTGGCGACTGGACTTTGGGAACGAAGAGATCATCGGGAGAACAGTCAACACAATGTTCTCATCCTCGAAAACTCCGCTTCGAACGGCTTCTCAACCCTTAACTGGCCTTGACAACTACTGATTACAGTATAAGAAAGTTGGGAAATGTTTACACAAAAATAGAAATCCGAGGGGAAATCAGTTTGAAACGCCCTCTAACAAGCGAGGAGTTGATATTTAAGGCCGGCTTCGAATCTTTGGCCTGATTAGGAGGGGAATGGGCCACAAAAACCCGCCCAAAAAACGCTGGGCCGCACTTATTCGAGGCCGTAATTAAGGGCCGAGTGGGGGCGGGATCGGCCGCTACAGCCCGCCAACAACGCCCGGAGAATCGGATGTCAGCATAACCGAATATTCGGCCGATAATCCCCCATGGGATTAGGGGAAACATCGGAAAATGGTTATCCTCAAAGATAATATAAGAAAACCCCATCAAAACAATAAACGAGCACAAGTAGTGACAACAAGTACTACTTTATAAAGAAATTCGTGAAATCTGGATAAAAACGTAACATTTAGGAGAGCACTAGTAATCGAAATTACATAGGGGCGGCATTCAAATAATCGGACAGCTTATCACAATCAGGAGCCGCGACAGTCAATAAGTAGGTGGAGATCTTCACACTTTTTTCTTTGGTCTTCTCATCCACCACCTCATTCGGGAATCGGACCTGCAAATATTTTGTTACACTTTCTCTTAATGTTTCAAGGTTGTCATTCGAATGTTTCAAGGTGTCATTTCCCTTTCACTCGGCCCGGCCCACCTTTATTCTTTTTTCATTCATTTTGAAGGACTTGACGTGATTATTGACGGCCGTGTTTACCCAGATCGTGCCCAATGTGGTCGCGGCTCTCACTAAAAGTTGTTTCTTCTCCCCCAAATCCTTGATATTCACGTATCCAACACCCAGCTTGTTCCAACTGTTGGTCCCTTCTTTCAGTAGATGGACTGTGGCCTTAGCCGAAAACAGAGCATCTGGCTCACTTTGGTCTACCGCTTCCACTTTAGGGGGTTCTTCTGGAAAACAACAAATTAAAGAATTCCATGAAACTAATATAAAATGGTGATAATCTAAAAAGGTGAGAAGACTGTACCTTTCCCTTCTTCCTCATCTTCTCCCGTGTTTTCGGTCGATGAAACATTTAAACTACTCGATTTGTCTGAAAACAGGGTAAAAGGAGCTGCTTCTCCCTCCGGTTTCTTCAAGAACAAAGACAGACTCGGCTCCGTCCCCTTTGGTTTATTTTCATCAGTTCTGAAAAGATCAGAAAAATTGGGGAGCTTCTCCTTCTCCTCATTCTTCGTAGGAATCGAAACTCCGGGAGTACCCTTGGATTCATCTTTCTTGTCCTCACTTCGGCTCAAGAAGTTGAACGTTGGGAGTTCTTTCTTTTCGGTCGATGAAGAACCGAATAAATTGAACTTAGGAGGCGTGGGATCTGATGGTTTTGGATCCTCAGTCGGCTCGGAAGGAGAACTCGAAGACTTTGGGATTCCAAATGATGGGAAAACAGGACAGGATGGAGCTTCGTCCTTTTTCTTGGGCTCAAAGTCCGAGTTAAAGTTTGTAAGTTTCGACACGGTCGTCCTGAAACAACAAACACATTAAAAACCAGAAAACTTGTTGGAAAAAACATAAAACTTTTTAAAAACTTACTCATTCTTCTTATCAAAAAGGTCCCGAGCGACAGGTGGGGAAGGCACCAAAGCACTAAAAAGTAGAATACAAAAGACAATAAAGACTTACTCATCCTTCTTTTTAAAAATATAAGGATCAAAACTTGGTGGAGGTTTGAAGGTGGACTCCCTTTCTTTCTTTTCAGGTGAATCTCCCAATGGTTTTAGGTAATCATCATAGCTGAGTTGAGTCTTCGCTTGTCGTTTCCTAGATAACCGCTGTTCAGTACTGAAAATAACAAAAGATAATAAAAATTAAATTATTAATAAACAACCTGTATGGCGTAAAACTATTTGAACTTGGCGCCTTTGGAATGGAAGGAACGGCAGGAGCGCTTTCTTTAAACACCGGCTGGGAACTTTGAGAGCCGAAATAACTGGAAGCCGGGGTCCTTTGAAAGAGTTGAGCATTCGATGTTTCAGATTTTTTGGGTTCTGACGAAGAGCACGGTGCAGATGATGGAACAACTGGCAGGGGCTCTGAAGGCTTCACAGCCAAACCTGCTGAGGGTTGTTGCACAAAAGGTAAAGGATTTGAGTTAGCAGACGTAGGAAGTGTCGACGAGAATACAGGAGCAGACACTTCCTTGGAAGTCGATATCGACTTCAAAGGCTCAACTGGCTTGGATATGAGAGTAGAAGAAAAAGTGCTAGTCGAATTCGATTCACTCGGTTTCAGCTCACCAAATCGTTTTAGTTTGGCCGAAGGCGGGAGAGCCTTCTTAAAAGGTCGATCCGTTAGCTTTTTCTCTTCCTCTGGCCCAGAATACAACTTATCCAAATCTGCGAGATGTTTCAAGTAACTCTTGAGAGTGGGAGACTAAAAATATCAATATGAACCACAGAGGAAACTTACGAGATCTGCCGATGGATATTGCTCTACTTTTTTAGTTACAAACTGTAGGAAATTCTTATTCAATAAGGTTAATTTACTTTGAAATAGCTCGGTCGACATAGCAAAAGCGTTAAATTAACAAAATTATAGCAGTAGCCACCTTACTGGTTGACAAATTGATAAAAACCGGTAAAAAAGCAAAAAAAAAGCGTCAAAAAGAAAGTTTTGCGTAACTTGTTTTCGTGGCGGGACGACAGTTGGAGATTTCTGACAAGCAAATTATGTAGTTCGATCGAAGCTTCTTCGAAGTACACTACTATTTATAGCTATGGGTGTGGAGTTACAGGTCGAGACATATATCAAAAAAATCGCAAAATTTTTCCGTTTCAGAATATCAGTCTGTCGGGAAAATAACGGCGGATCGTCGCGCCTCGGAATCGCCCATAATCGCTTTGCGAGGGCTGCCGAAGTTGGAGGTTTGGTGCGCAACTGCACCATTTTTTCGACGAGGCGAAGCATTTTGCTGCGACAACCCGCCGTTATTTTCCCGACAGACTGATATGCAAAAATTAGCTGCCCAAATTTTTTTTTGTCTATCAACAAGTTTTATCGAAAAATGTATTTCCCGAGGAAAAAAATCGGCGGTACCAAAAACGTGCTCGGTGGTAAAAAACGTTGAAAAATGGTGTAAAAACGGCTCTTCATTCTGTCGCAGAATTTTTTCGAGTAATAATAGGTAATTTCAATATTTTGCTATTTACTTAGTCAAGGAGAATCTATTCTATTCCTTAGAAGGAAGTCCATATTCTTGCTTGATTCACTGTAAAATAACCACTCCTTTCCAAAGATCCGGCACGATTACAAAATATTAACTTTATTAGTAGACAACAAAACGGAGCCAAAACGAGGTTATTATAATTATAATATCATAACAATTAATTAATTTTGGGAGCTATATAAAACAATGAGGAGATCGGGATTCGACATTATATGAACAAGGGTTTCACCACCAGACATAATTATGTCCCGAGGAAGCGAAGAAATCTTTCTTGAAGCGCTTGAGGCACTTGTTAACCGTGTAAACCCTGATCAATGGGAATCTGGGCTAAAATAAGATGGACTAACAAAAGAAAGCACCGTCCTACCTTCAGTTTGGCGACTATCTCAAAGTCAGCGAGATCTGGACACTCATCTTTCAATTCAACAACAGCTTCGAAGACCTCCTGATCAATGGATCCACTGTGGTTGGGCTTTTCTTTCCTGTGAGAAGAATGCGTATCGTTTCCGTAGACAATAAAGGAAGTGTCGCACACCATAACTCCAATTTCAGCATCACATTTACATCTTCGAGTGGAACGAGAAGTTTTGCAGACGTAGCGCATTTGAAGGTAATTATCACGGCGGCGAAAACGAGTGTCATCCCTGAAATTGCCATGTACAATATAACTAAATCGAAAATCTGGAAAAATTGCCGCAAACGTATATCCTGCTTAATAAGCGGTAAATTCTCTGAGAGGTAAACCTTACAGAACCCAATTTCCGTCCTCGATCCACTGTTTGAATTCTGTTTTATCTTCGAAACATTTCAATGGTTTCTGTTTCTTGATGGCGGTGCAGGAGAACGAGGACCAAGAGAAGTGGGACCTGACTGGCGTACGAGGCTTGGGAGCTTCGGAATTCAAATTGTTACCTAAAATATGGGAACTAAAAAATAGATACTAGTCCAACGTCAAATTAAAACGTATCCTGTACCTTTACTATCTTGGGAAAGATCAAGGACAACCTTGGCAACGGAGCGCTTGAAACTCATAATAACAAAAATTAGGATTAGACAAACTCGGTGCAAAGGGGCGAGAGATTGCCGAGGCGAATGACTGCCGAAGCAAAAGAGTTTTTACGGCAAGAAACAAGCCGCCGTCCAATCAGAGCCTCTCTCTGATCGTGAGTGCATTCAAACCACATTTCGCAACTATTTGCTGATTTATGGTAACAATGTTCAAACACAATATGAAATATTTATTTTGATTTTAACTACCGTGTTTTAAATTGCAGTAGTTGTGACCTATATTTCCGATGATCAAAATAATTTATTATCTTATTGCTAACAATATAAATATCTTTATACAATCTGCGAATATGGCAAAGGTATTAATGTTGTTGTGCAATCTCTGAGAAGTACCGTAAGACATCCTCTATTGTGAACTCAAGGTTAAGCCGAGAGTTGGGGTAGCATTGGCTGATAAGACGTTGGTAATGTTTGATTTGAGACAAGAACTCTTGCTGCATATCTCTCCACACAACTTGTAGTAGTTGAGAATCTCCTCCCAGATGTTTCTCAACCTTGGCATACAAATTCTCCAGTCCTTTCTTTACTTCCCGACCTTGATGAGCACTGATAGCTTTCTTAAGTTCTCCTCGGCTAAATTGTTGTTGGAATCCAACTTCTTCCGGCCGAACTCCAGAGGATATCGCGAATTCCACCGATTCAAAGAACAACTGAAATCATATAATTACAGTGGGGGAGCTGACCTAGTCCTGTTTCCTCCCTGTTATGAGAAAAAAAACCCCTCGCATAATTTTCGAAGACATTCGAGATTCCTAGCTCGCGATTTCGAGAAACCGCCGCGATTTTTTGATCAAACGGTATTAAAGAATTTCCACTTTTTTTGCAATTTTCGGTTTGAAATTTTCACTTTACTATTGCTCAATTACTATTGCAGTGTATAATTTTCCTACAAAAATCGAAAATTTTCCTTGCAAAAACAAGAAAGTTATGGACAAAAGCTAGGGTTGTTAAGTCGTCAACTCGACGCGTCAGTCAGGTTGTCAAATTGCCGGCATTTTCGTGATGTCAAATTGCTCTGTCATTTTTATTGTCAAATTGAACTTTTTTCGATTTTTTTTTGCTAAAAATTAAAAATTTTTACAAACTGCATTGCTCTTTCTAGTCAAAACGACGGATAAAATAAGCAATAAAACAGTTACCACTAATATGACATAAACGGTATTCATCATAGTCTACGTTAAACACGCGTGTGAAAGCTTCGTATATCAGAATTCCCAATTTAACCAAAGTGACGGCAATTTGACTGCATTTTGAAAAATTGTGAAAAATTAACAACCCTAACAAAAACTGTTTCTCGGATTCATCTCGCGTACTCCCTCGAGAACAAGATCGTCAGACATCTCGACTGTTGCTGGAAAGCACGCCCTAAACCTGTCATCCAGTATTTCTTCGTGCGTAGATCAGAACCCGCTTGCAAAAAATTTTAACAAGGAAAGTACTTCTATGGGGTGTGGAGTTACAGGTCGAGATATATATCAAAAAATTCGCAAAAATTTTCTGATTCAGAATATATAAAAATTAGCTGCCTAATTTTGGTCTGATGACATGTTTTTGTCCTCAGAAGTTTCCTCGCGACACCATGCAAGTGCCTTTTTGACCGTGTTTTTACCAATAAAAAATTTTTGTTTTGTGCTAAAATAAATTCTGAGGCCTTGACAAGCCTTAAAATATCAAATTAGATTACAACTACACCTTAGAAGTAGTTCCAATGTAAAAAATGGGTTCTAGTGTGGCAAAACGAATCGAACCCGTTCCCTTCGGATTCCCAATCTAGCGCTCTAACCACTCGGCCACACCGCTCTCTTCCGAAGGAAGAGACCAAGCGCGCTTTTGTTGCCGCAGATTTTTTTCCTCGAGAAATACATTTATCGATAAAACTCGTTGATAGACCAAAATTAGGCAGCTAATTTTTATATATTCTGAATCAGAAATTTTATGCGAATTTTTTGATATATATCTCGACCTGTAACTCCACACCCCATAGAAGTACTTTCCTTGTAAGAAAAGCTCAGTGCCTCACCTAAAACCCATCTTTTGTAAGGCTCTCCTGGTTACCTAACTTCCAACTTACGTGTAATTTTTCCAGAGGTTTTCCCAGATAATCAAAGACGTATATCTTCATATTCTCCTGATATTTCCTTTTGACTTGGCTTCTAATATCGTCCAAAGCCGAGATTTTCCTCATTTCAGACAAAGATACTGTAACAATCTCAATTAAAACCGCAGCTAACTTACAATATAATTTATGGAAGTTCTCCAACCGGACAATTGAAGCTGGTGACTTTGAATTGGGAGACATTGCAGCGTTGTCGATGCCCTCGATGACCCCATTGCATAACTTCACAGCCCATTTCTCAAAGTCTGACCTTCTTTCGCTCTCTCCGAAGATCCGATCCGTCTCCACAATCACCCGATGGAACTCGTCGATGGAACTCAGAGTACCAATCCGTTGTCGTTTAGTAAACTTTTGGACTCGATAAGAATCAAGGCGATAATTCTAAAACATACCCTGTTAACGTGTACGTAAAATTTGTAAAAGCCAAAGTTATAATGAACAAACCATTTGCTCATCCAGAATTCGCTTCATGGCCACTACAAAGTTCCCAAAAACTGTTGAAAAATATGATTTGGGATTATTATATCTGGGTAATAACGAAACCAAACGGACAAATAATGTGGCCGGCAATCTGCAGTTACGGTAACAAATACAATTAGCAAGAATAACATACAAACTGGGATTTCTGGAGCAACAAGCCCTTCCAAAACGCTGAAAAATCTCGGCCATGGGTTCAAAGATAGGTCGGATCACCGCCCTCATCGAATCGCTCACTTGTTGGGTATTCGGATCGATCGACGGGATGTGGAAGAACTTCTGGAGGAACGATTGCTCGGCCTGGACAACGATCTCCGACTCTGCGGACACCAACTCCATCAAGGATCCGAATTCATTCAGATCCGAAGCAGAACTCGCTGTAAATTAAACTAATAGCCATTTCAGTAAAGTTTTGAATATTAAGAAAGCAAATATTACCTGACATTGTGTTCACTTTTTGTTCGTGGTTTTTATAAAAATTATGTTGATCTTGATTAAATATAGTAGTTACATGTTGACGGTAGTTATCGAGTAATCTCTGATAAACATTTGGTCTAGATATCCGGATTATATTCACGATCTCGCTAAAGTTTTGAAGTTGACGATAAACGGCGGAGTGCTTCGGCATGATTGTGGAATCGTCCAAAGGAATCCGATCTCTCTAAACACATGCATAACATACTGATGTGCATACCATATTCTCCATGGTTGCCGACACGTAAGAATAGAAGGTATCCACAAAGACTCCAAACGCAGTCCGAACGGTTTGCATTCCTTCTTTGAAGGCGTCTAGATTACTATGAACAGATTCCGAGCTCATAAATTGGTGCGCTCTTTTGGCAGCTTCTAGGCCCAAGTTGACTCTTTAACAATCGAATATTACAATTTACATCGACATCACTTACGATGCCTGATCACCAAACTTTGGTCTTTGCAAAAGTTCTAATTGCTCCGGGCTCACTGTAGCCATCAATTCTGTAAATTCCACCAACGAATTGAGCAGGAGATGTAGATTATCTCGTTCAACTTGTCCCAGATTTGCCTTCTCTTCAATAACTTCCACATTCTCTTCCACTTGCTGAAAAATAATACATAATTTATAATAAAAGAAATCAACTTACATGCAACACAGTATCATAAGCGGACAATCGATCTCCGAGAAACTTCATATAGTCGTCACACTGTTCCAGATTATCTATAAGATCTGCCACTGCGGTCTCGCTGGCCATTATGCTCTCAATATTCGTATTGTCTAGATCAGCCAACATTTGAGTCAACTTTTCGTTAAAAAGTTTCGCTTCTGATAATTCGAGATTGAATTGTTTCAACATCCTACGGAAGTCCGCTTCTTCTTTTTGAGTAATCGGCTACAAGAAATAAGAAAACAATATAAAATTTCACTTACATGATAATCTTCATCCTGGACGTCTTGAACAACCTCATCTCCTGGAATCAACTCATTCTTCGGAGATTCAAGGTCAGGCAGTTTAATATTAACAAACTCAGGCTTTTGGATGGGAAGGAATTTGTGTGATACCTAAAAAATAAAAGAAAAACATATAGTAAAACGTGCCAAAAAGAGCTCCTTGATGAAAGATTCCTTCCCACTTAGTGAAGTAGCAAAGAAATTCCTCCGTCGATTGTCTCCAAAGACAAGATCGAACTCAGCTTGGGGTTTTCTGGGATTAATTCCATCAACTATTTTTATATCGCGAAGCATAAAACTCTCTTTCTTGTGAAATCCATCTTCCTTGGCCCTTACCAGATACAACTTCACGACAACCGGTTGTTGAACTGTCGCTAAACAGGGCAATCATTGAAAAAAATTAAAATCGACTTACATGCTATACACAAATAAGTTTCCTTTCGTTTTTTCTTTTCATTTTCCTTAGATACATTAACATATGACAATAATCGCTCCTCATCATCTTGAAATAAAGAACGCTGAAGGTCCGCCCGCAGGGCAACCATAATTTATATTGCTCAACCTTTTCGATGGAAATTTATCCAAAAATTATTTTACTTCGGGCGCGAGCTGCGGCTAAAACTGAAATTTCTATTGATTACGACCGCGCAATATTTTCGCGGCTACGCGTAGCTACGGAACAAAAAACGGTCGTCACATGGAAAAATATTGTACATAATTCATCCTTCACTAGATGACACACGAAGCTTGAAGTTGAAAATTACACAACTCATCGTATAAAATTGGCCTGCAATTTGCAGAATACTACCACTTTTCCGTGATAAAATATACATGCATAAAAGGTACTATAAAGTTGTAAACTGTTGTAGAACCTGAGAACTACAAATACACCCCCTCAATAAAGTTCCCGATGCGAAAACATTGAATGACAACGCATTTTAACGCCTGGAATTTTAAGAAAACCGCGGCCTGGAGTTGGCTCAGGTCCAGGTAAAAATGAGGCCCGGCCCGTTTCAAAATTTGCCAGGTCCGGCCGGGCCTGGCAAATCCGGGCCACCCCTGGAAGCTGCCCGAAGTCCAGGGGAGGCAAAACGATTTCAGACCCGGAAAGAAACAAGTCCTGCCCGTTTCAAAATTTGTCAGTGGCCACCCCTGGTGACGATTTACACCATTTTTTCAATGTCATTTATCTGCAAATCGCAGCGATTTTTAGTGCGCTACAGGGGTGGCCACCGGGCCGAGCGCGAACTGGCAAATTCCCTAATCTTACCGCTTCCTGGATGATAAAATATGCTATAAACTATGGGATACCAAAATTGTTATCAATCAGTAGCCATAATTTATTTTTTGTAATATCACTTTGATCACCACCAGTCTGGAAATTTGAATATAAAAACCCGTTTTCTGAGGATATAAATACAAACACCAAAATAGAGTAACAAGGCCAGCATGAGCAAGATCTTGTCTGTGAATTCTCGACGTCCATACTTGTGAAGTAACTTCCCACTGGCTCTGATTGTCTGCCCAATAGTTCCCATATGACCCTGGGTATCCGATAGCATCCCCGAGGACTGACTCAGAATGGTGGTAGTTTGTTCACTCAACTTGACTTCATCTCCCATTCTTCTGACCAGAGAATTCAATGAGCCAGTGGTGTCAGCGGCCTGTGTAGCCAATTGCCGATCCCTGATATTTTTCTTAATCTTGATGGGTGTGATGCCCTCGAGGAGTTTCTTTCTTTCGGCCTCATGCTGTTTATTCTGCTGAACTAGATTCGACTCTCGTTCGGACTTCCGCCAAACCATCTGCAATGGACTAAGCAATTACCTGTCTTTCATTACTTTGTTATATTAGGTCAGAATTACCGTAAATAATTCAGTTCGATGCTCTCATTAGGCAAAATTTATTGATTCTTTTGCGGAAAAGACGCTAACACTAAATTCGGAGCAGTGAGCCAACCTCGACATCCTATGTTATACAACCAAAAAGACTCGGATCAGCTCGAACCGCTCGACGAAAGCGATAGTGATAGAACAATATAAAAATATTCAGATTATATAAAAATAGCGCAAAATTATAATAACAATGTCGTTGGAAACCGACACCAAAAATATTGATTGTTGAAGACTTGAAATTATTATTACGGCGATTGGTCAGTAGAAATAGTTAGGGGCACCAGTTGAGATAAAGCAAGGAGAATAAGTTAAGCCAAGCGTTCTTGTTTCACTTCGACCCGCTGGACCTCGTAGCGAGGGTTCAATCCAGTGGCCTCGATGATGGCTTTGCGGAGTTCCTGGAAGAAAAAGGATATATTTTCACCGCCAACGCAGTTCGGCGGAGGAGACTTCATGGTACTTTTTGGTCATCACACAAATCGTAAATGCTTTATTACGACTTCTAATTGTTGAAAAGAGGATTTATTATCTTTAAGTTTATCAAGCATTCGCTGCAATTATGGCGGACGCTTGCCATACCGGCGGAGGCCATAACTCAGCTTCGGATAAAGATACAAAGTTGTGCCTCAAAACTGTTACTACACTCTGTTTAGAATTTCCTGCTGATTTCTAATGTCCTCTAAGTTGCAAAGCTTTGGCAGAAATTTTGAAAACGAATAAAAAATTGAAAAATCAAAAAACGTTTTTCTTTAATTATTTATCACAAGAGTGAGATGAATAAAAAAAGAAAAAAAAATGTGAGATAATGTGAACATTGACACAAAACAATGTTCACATTATCTCACAAGAGTGAGATAAATGCAAAAAGAAAAAAAATGAATGATAACTAGATCATAACAATCCTTTTGAGCTATTTCACAGCTTTGTATCTTTATCCCAAGCTGAGTTATGACCATCGCCGATATGGCAAGATATTGACAAAAACTTTTCACCCTGTACAAAACGATCTCTTACCGCTTCATGATCAACTTCGGGCCCTTGGATGGTGACTCTGTGTTCGACATTAGTGCTAACCACACCATCTTTTACGGTTTTATACTGTAAAGATTACTTGTCATTTTAATGTCACTTACTGTGATGGTTTCGATAGTCCTGTTTCCAGTTGTGACCACCTTGGAGGACACGACTTGATTCTCATCGTACTGAACATCTGATGTTTCGAGTTGCTCGCCGTCTTTTCCGTAGACCAGAACACGAGTTTGGGCATGGGACGCAGCCGTGGGGATCGATGAATTTATCGACTGGATCGTCTCCAGAGCATTTTCGATACTGTTCGACGTACCGTTCGGCTGAAGAGAAATCTAATTATTCCGAAAATCATAAATGAAGACCGAAGGGATGCTGATGCGAGTTGACCAAGAAGAAAAAGAGACGACAATCACATCAAATTCAACGGCGATGATTGACACAAAGACAATGTTCACATTAACAACGACGACAAGCGTGTTAAAACAATTACAAGAGAATCAAGGGCAGAGTTAGTGCTTTACTGGAGAGAAAGGAGATAAGCGAGATGTGCAATCAATGCTGAGTATTCACCTCATTTGCGTCATTGCCAACGGAAAAGGTCTGATAGGTCTGCTTCTGGATAGTATGAGTCTCGTGGGAGGTCTTGATCGTCTTCCTGCAAATAAAAACATTAATTTGACCCAACCATATCGCTAAAAAAATAGTAATAAACCTACTTGATGACATTTCCGTGTTCATCGATCTCAGTCACAATCTGTTCAGGACTGGTTTCGGTCTCATGCCAACTTTGGAGGGTGGTGTGAGGGGGTGCGGTTTCCTGAAACACAAATATTAGTAAGGAAATCCCCATTCTATACCCATAGCAAGTATAATATCGATAAGCAAAACGGTTATGGTGCAGAATAAACTGTACAAACGTTGGAAGCACTGAATTAGCAAGACACTGTTCTACAAAAAAATTCGAGTATGAAAATAATAACAATAAAAAAGACAACACACGCTTTCACATTTATAGACAGAGCGATGGGAACGGCGAAGACGGCGGCTGAGAGACGAGGCACCGTCGATCACTTTCATGTGGCTGAAATAACGGCGAAGCTCACGAACGTTGGGCCAGGCAAATGATTTGGCCGGACTCGCCTTTTGATACATTGGACCAGACTCCTGTTGTTCGATCTCCAATTTTCTGGCAATCAGACGGACCCGTGGCAACTCCTCGTTCTTCTGAACACAGCTGGTCAGAGTGCTCAACAAAGACTGAATTTTATTAGTTATTGAGGGGTTATCATTAACACCACAACAATGCGGTTAATTTTGACTAGTCTAAAACCTCCCATTATGTTCCGAATAAACCACAAATTTCCTTTCCAAAAGCCAAATCAGTATCGTTCTTTGGTCTCGACACTTCATTTTTAATACAGATTTATTCGACCAGTGATATTCTCCGAAAGCAGTCGAGGAATATGCCTGATAAATCTGCCCCTAGGGAATGGTCGCGATTTCTTTTCGTATCCAACAAATAACATTTTTAGTTCACTCAAAGCGAAAAACAACCACATATACGACAAAGAGCGGCACAAACCGGGTCGTTTGGGTCGACTTGCGGCGGCAGACCAGCCCCGGTGATACGGTAGACGTTCTCGACACGCTCCGACCGAATCACCGGGCCGTGATCAAGGTCGTTGGCGGGGGAGTACGGTCCCGCCGAGGGTTGGTCGTTCGTTCCATCCAGTCTCATACTGGACTCGTTCGTTGGGGTTCTCCCAGAATTCTGAGAATTTTTCATTTAGAAGACGAACTGAGGCATGGAAAAAAGTGCAGTGAAAATAATGTAAACAAGGAAAAAGACAGCTTTGACCAAATACAACTTCAAAGACAATGGCCGGGACATTTCATCGTCAACTCTATGAGACATCTTGGGCCTACCTTTTCGTTCTGTACAGCATGTCTCTCTTCAACCTCAACTTCAGAATCGGAGGATGAAGAAGACGCAGAAACCTGCTTGGAGCTCTTATTTGACTTCTTGTCTTTGGAGGAAAACTGAAAATAAAAAGATTAGCCGAGAAACAAAAATCATAAGCCATTAGTGGGTAGGCAACAAAAAACGACAGAGCTACTACGAAATGATACGCCTTGCACTGCACTCAGGTTGTTCGGGGTTAAAAAGCATTAATATCGTCGCCGCATCCGATTACCAAGCTCCGATCCGCGAAACCAAAACCAGGCCAAAGGCGTCCGCATGCCAAGAAATGACGTCGCCTCCGACGACGCGTCTTATGCAACCCAACACAATAATAACAAGAAAAGGGAAAGCGGAAAAAATAATTTCGAATCGACCGTAAATCATCAGAAAAACTAACGTCGTAATTGCCATTCCTATCTCTTAGTCCAAATAACCAGCCAAAAAACATATTAAGCATGATATGAAATAGTCCGAAAAAGAGAACACACGAATGATTAGCAAAATGTTAGCCATTTCATGCGTCATCTCACAGAAGCCAATTCGAAGTTTAGAAAGTCGGCAAAAACAAAAGTACAAGAGAAACAAAATCAAAGTTTGCAAAAGGGATAATGCAACAAAACAACACTTTAACTACATAGAACAAAACATCTAAATAGAAGAAATAGAAACCTGTGAAATTTGACGACGCAGTGACGAAAGCAGAGAGACGCGCGTTCCATTCTTAGTCGCCTTGTTGGCCGCCATTGGAAGTTTTTGAGGTCGGTCGGTTGGTTCGGCACGTCGGTGACGATATCGCTTCGCAGCCGCACCGTTGCTACTATGAGGCTGGGAGGCTAGAGAACTCTCGTCCGCCTCATCACTATCATCGTTCCCGCGCGTTCCCTGAGGACCCCCGCTGTTAAACGCTTCTCCCGCCCCAACGCCCCGCCCAGACCTCTTATTCCCGACTTCGCGAACTCGTAACTCTGCACTGGCATTATCATCATCCAGCAACGACTTTGGAAGAAATACAGGTCCACGGCGGCTAAATAAAGCCTCAAATCTGGACGTTTTCTTGTCACGAAGTAGAATCTCAACTTCATACGACGCCTCGAATTGACGACGCAAAACTATGTCGATATCTAGATCAGTAATAGGGTCGGATTTGTTGAATAGCGACCGATCTTTGAATACAATGCCAGAAAACTCATCTGACTTTTCCCCACGACGGGCTCGAACAAGTGTGCGTAGCCAATGTCTGTCTTCCGCTTTACGTTTTCTGTTAAATAATGAAAACAAGCCTAACCGATCGGCTGTGCCATTGATATTCGCATCCCACACTTGCGCTTCTTGATGGACGGATTTTGACGGTTGTTTAAGTTCGTCTTCAAGACGTTTCAAATGAAGAATTGCCATTCCTTTATGTGACGCTTTAATGGAGCTCTGCCCGTGATGATAAGGAGAGGAGTATTCGAAGATATCCACAGTTGGCAGTTCAGTCTCAGTTTGCAAGCCTTCTAGAGGTCCATCAAAGGCTTCTTCTTTCAAGGGATAATTAGATTCAGCCGGCTTTCTGTTACGCAATACCGACCGTATTTTTAACTCGTAATCTTTTTGCCTGTCGGTGTCCATTTGTCCTTTAGTTCTTGATCGCAATTTATCCGGAACCGCGGTATCTCCGTTGAGAACATGGATGATAGCAGTCTGTTTTGGGCCTTTCTCTTCGTCTGATTCCGTTGACGTTGTAAGCAGAGGCTTCGATATTGGCCGTCTCTCCTTCCTGCCTTTCTCCAAGGATTCTCCTTCATGGTACTTGGTCACAAAACCACTCAGGGGGACAGTCTCAAGGTCGCTTATCGTGCACATGTTATCAAGTGGTCCATCATAGGAATCCCGATTAAATCCATAATCCAAGCGACCATTGCGTGAAAAGCCTCCCTTCGGCTGCATAGCGCAGGCAAAAAGCATAGGAATTTCGCGCGCCGTCTCACTTTGTCCGGAATGATAGACCGAGACATCTGATCGAAGAGGCTGAGAGTCGAGTTCACGTTGCTTGTCGACCTCATCCAGTGGGCCTTCATACCGTTCTCCAATCAAAGGATAAGAGGACGTTGATGGGGTGGAAACATGGCCGACCTCTTCGTGGGCTTTGCGATCCTTACTCTTCAAGAAACCGAAGAACGAAGACTCTTGATCTTTGTCTTTCTTCTCTTTCTTTGGTTTCTTCTCCTTTGGTTGTTTAGGAGCCTTAGCAGGTTTCAGTTCCTCCTCCACTTGAGGTTCGTCTTCTTTGGAACGGAGATGTATAATCGCAGTCTGCTTATCATGGGGTTCTTCGATCTCTTCTTCATCTTCTTTCAAGACGGTCTTGCCCTCATGATATTTGGTAACGTAGCTAGCCAGCGGAAGGGTATCTAGGTCATTGACTTTGTTAACGTCATCAAGAGGACCTTCGTAGGGAGAGTGATCGAACTTGTAGCCGGTTGGATCTTTATCACCGACCTCTTCCTCGCCTTCATGACGTGCCCATGTGAAGAACTTGAACCGCCGATTTCTTGATGGTTCACTTTGTCCGGAATGATAGACCGAGACATCTGATCGAAGAGGCTGAGAGTCGAGCTCACGTTGCTTGTCGACCTCATCCAGTGGGCCTTCATACCGTTCTCCAATCAAAGGATAAGAGGACGTTGATGGGGTGGAAACATGGCCGACCTCTTCGTGGGCTTTGCGATCCTTACTCTTCAAGAAACCGAAGAACGACGACTCTTGATCTTTGTCTTTCTTCTCTTTCTTTGGTTTCTTCTCCTTTGGTTGTTTAGGAGCCTTAGCAGGTTTCAGTTCCTCCTCCACTTGAGGTTCGTCTTCTTTGGAACGGAGATGTATAATCGCAGTCTGCTTATCATGGGGTTCTTCGATCTCTTCTTCATCTTCTTTCAAGACGGTCTTGCCCTCATGATATTTGGTAACATAGCTAGCCAGCGGAAGGGTATCTAGGTCATTGACTTTGTTAACGTCATCAAGAGGACCTTCGTAGGGAGAGTGATCGAACTTGTAGCCGGTTGGATCTTTATCACCGACCTCTTCCTCGCCTTCATGACGTGCCCATGTGAAGAACTTGAACCGCCGATTTCTTGATGGTTCACTTTGTCCGGAATGATAGACCGAGACATCTGATCGAAGAGGCTGAGAGTCGAGTTCACGTTGCTTGTCGACCTCATCCAGTGGGCCTTCATACCGTTCTCCAATCAAAGGATAAGAGGACGTTGATGGGGTGGAAACATGGCCGACCTCTTCGTGGGCTTTGCGATCCTTACTCTTCAAGAAACCGAAGAACGAAGACTCTTGATCTTTGTCTTTCTTCTCTTTCTTTGGTTTCTTCTCCTTTGGTTGTTTAGGAGCCTTAGCAGGTTTCAGTTCCTCCTCCACTTGAGGTTCGTCTTCTTTGGAACGGAGATGTATAATCGCAGTCTGCTTATCATGGGGTTCTTCGATCTCTTCTTCATCTTCTTTCAAGACGGTCTTGCCCTCATGATATTTGGTAACATAGCTAGCCAGCGGAAGGGTATCTAGGTCATTGACTTTGTTAACGTCATCAAGAGGACCTTCGTAGGGAGAGTGATCGAACTTGTAGCCGGTTGGATCTTTATCACCGACCTCTTCCTCGCCTTCATGACGTGCCCATGTGAAGAACTTGAACCGCCGATTTCTTGATGGTTCACTTTGTCCGGAATGATAGACCGAGACATCTGATCGAAGAGGCTGAGAGTCGAGTTCACGTTGCTTGTCGACCTCATCCAGTGGGCCTTCATACCGTTCTCCAATCAAAGGATAAGAGGACGTTGATGGGGTGGAAACATGGCCGACCTCTTCGTGGGCTTTGCGATCCTTACTCTTCAAGAAACCGAAGAACGAAGACTCTTGATCTTTGTCTTTCTTCTCTTTCTTTGGTTTCTTCTCCTTTGGTTGTTTAGGAGCCTTAGCAGGTTTCAGTTCCTCCTCCACTTGAGGTTCGTCTTCTTTGGAACGGAGATGTATAATCGCAGTCTGCTTATCATGGGGTTCTTCGATCTCTTCTTCATCTTCTTTCAAGACGGTCTTGCCCTCATGATATTTGGTAACATAGCTAGCCAGCGGAAGGGTATCTAGGTCATTGACTTTGTTAACGTCATCAAGAGGACCTTCGTAGGGAGAGTGATCGAACTTGTAGCCGGTTGGATCTTTATCACCGACCTCTTCCTCGCCTTCATGACGTGCCCATGTGAAGAACTTGAACCGCCGATTTCTTGATGGTTCACTTTGTCCGGAATGATAGACCGAGACATCTGATCGAAGAGGCTGAGAGTCGAGTTCACGTTGCTTGTCGACCTCATCCAGTGGGCCTTCATACCGTTCTCCAATCAAAGGATAAGAGGACGTTGATGGGGTGGAAACATGGCCGACCTCTTCGTGGGCTTTGCGATCCTTACTCTTCAAGAAACCGAAGAACGAAGACTCTTGATCTTTGTCTTTCTTCTCTTTCTTTGGTTTCTTCTCCTTTGGTTGTTTAGGAGCCTTAGCAGGTTTCAGTTCCTCCTCCACTTGAGGTTCGTCTTCTTTGGAACGGAGATGTATAATCGCAGTCTGCTTATCATGGGGTTCTTCGATCTCTTCTTCATCTTCTTTCAAGACGGTCTTGCCCTCATGATATTTGGTAACATAGCTAGCCAGCGGAAGGGTATCTAGGTCATTGACTTTGTTAACGTCATCAAGAGGACCTTCGTAGGGAGAGTGATCGAACTTGTAGCCGGTTGGATCTTTATCACCGACCTCTTCCTCGCCTTCATGACGTGCCCATGTGAAGAACTTGAACCGCCGATTTCTTGATGGTTCACTTTGTCCGGAATGATAGACCGAGACATCTGATCGAAGAGGCTGAGAGTCGAGTTCACGTTGCTTGTCGACCTCATCCAGTGGGCCTTCATACCGTTCTCCAATCAAAGGATAAGAGGACGTTGATGGGGTGGAAACATGGCCGACCTCTTCGTGGGCTTTGCGATCCTTACTCTTCAAGAAACCGAAGAACGAAGACTCTTGATCTTTGTCTTTCTTCTCTTTCTTTGGTTTCTTCTCCTTTGGTTGTTTAGGAGCCTTAGCAGGTTTCAGTTCCTCCTCCACTTGAGGTTCGTCTTCTTTGGAACGGAGATGTATAATCGCAGTCTGCTTATCATGGGGTTCTTCGATCTCTTCTTCATCTTCTTTCAAGACGGTCTTGCCCTCATGATATTTGGTCACATAGCTAGCCAGCGGAAGGGTATCTAGGTCATTGACTTTGTTAACGTCATCAAGAGGACCTTCGTAGGGAGAGTGATCGAACTTGTAGCCGGTTGGATCTTTATCACCGACCTCTTCCTCGCCTTCATGACGTGCCCATGTGAAGAACTTGAACCGCCGATTTCTTGATGGTTCACTTTGTCCGGAATGATAGACCGAGACATCTGATCGAAGAGGCTGAGAGTCGAGTTCACGTTGCTTGTCGACCTCATCCAGTGGGCCTTCATACCGTTCTCCAATCAAAGGATAAGAGGACGTTGATGGGGTGGAAACATGGCCGACCTCTTCGTGGGCTTTGCGATCCTTACTCTTCAAGAAACCGAAGAACGAAGACTCTTGATCTTTGTCTTTCTTCTCTTTCTTTGGTTTCTTCTCCTTTGGTTGTTTAGGAGCCTTAGCAGGTTTCAGTTCCTCCTCCACTTGAGGTTCGTCTTCTTTGGAACGGAGATGTATAATCGCAGTCTGCTTATCATGGGGTTCTTCGATCTCTTCTTCATCTTCTTTCAAGACGGTCTTGCCCTCATGATATTTGGTAACATAGCTAGCCAGCGGAAGGGTATCTAGGTCATTGACTTTGTTAACGTCATCAAGAGGACCTTCGTAGGGAGAGTGATCGAACTTGTAGCCGGTTGGATCTTTATCACCGACCTCTTCCTCGCCTTCATGACGTGCCCATGTGAAGAACTTGAACCGCCGATTTCTTGATGGTTCACTTTGTCCGGAATGATAGACCGAGACATCTGATCGAAGAGGCTGAGAGTCGAGTTCACGTTGCTTGTCGACCTCATCCAGTGGGCCTTCATACCGTTCTCCAATCAAAGGATAAGAGGACGTTGATGGGGTGGAAACATGGCCGACCTCTTCGTGGGCTTTGCGATCCTTACTCTTCAAGAAACCGAAGAACGAAGACTCTTGATCTTTGTCTTTCTTCTCTTTCTTTGGTTTCTTCTCCTTTGGTTGTTTAGGAGCCTTAGCAGGTTTCAGTTCCTCCTCCACTTGAGGTTCGTCTTCTTTGGAACGGAGATGTATAATCGCAGTCTGCTTATCATGGGGTTCTTCGATCTCTTCTTCATCTTCTTTCAAGACGGTCTTGCCCTCATGATATTTGGTCACATAGCTAGCCAGCGGAAGGGTATCTAGGTCATTGACTTTGTTAACGTCATCAAGAGGACCTTCGTAGGGAGAGTGATCGAACTTGTAGCCGGTTGGATCTTTATCACCGACCTCTTCCTCGCCTTCATGACGTGCCCATGTGAAGAACTTGAACCGCCGATTTCTTGATGGTTCACTTTGTCCGGAATGATAGACCGAGACATCTGATCGAAGAGGCTGAGAGTCGAGTTCACGTTGCTTGTCGACCTCATCCAGTGGGCCTTCATACCGTTCTCCAATCAAAGGATAAGAGGACGTTGATGGGGTGGAAACATGGCCGACCTCTTCGTGGGCTTTGCGATCCTTACTCTTCAAGAAACCGAAGAACGAAGACTCTTGATCTTTGTCTTTCTTCTCTTTCTTTGGTTTCTTCTCCTTTGGTTGTTTAGGAGCCTTAGCAGGTTTCAGTTCCTCCTCCACTTGAGGTTCGTCTTCTTTGGAACGGAGATGTATAATCGCAGTCTGCTTATCATGGGGTTCTTCGATCTCTTCTTCATCTTCTTTCAAGACGGTCTTGCCCTCATGATATTTGGTCACATAGCTAGCCAGCGGAAGGGTATCTAGGTCATTGACTTTGTTAACGTCATCAAGAGGACCTTCGTAGGGAGAGTGATCGAACTTGTAGCCGGTTGGATCTTTATCACCGACCTCTTCCTCGCCTTCATGACGTGCCCATGTGAAGAACTTGAACCGCCGATTTCTTGATGGTTCACTTTGTCCGGAATGATAGACCGAGACATCTGATCGAAGAGGCTGAGAGTCGAGTTCACGTTGCTTGTCGACCTCATCCAGTGGGCCTTCATACCGTTCTCCAATCAAAGGATAAGAGGACGTTGATGGGGTGGAAACATGGCCGACCTCTTCGTGGGCTTTGCGATCCTTACTCTTCAAGAAACCGAAGAACGAAGACTCTTGATCTTTGTCTTTCTTCTCTTTCTTTGGTTTCTTCTCCTTTGGTTGTTTAGGAGCCTTAGCAGGTTTCAGTTCCTCCTCCACTTGAGGTTCGTCTTCTTTGGAACGGAGATGTATAATCGCAGTCTGCTTATCATGGGGTTCTTCGATCTCTTCTTCATCTTCTTTCAAGACGGTCTTGCCCTCATGATATTTGGTCACATAGCTAGCCAGCGGAAGGGTATCTAGGTCATTGACTTTGTTAACGTCATCAAGAGGACCTTCGTAGGGAGAGTGATCGAACTTGTAGCCGGTTGGATCTTTATCACCGACCTCTTCCTCGCCTTCATGACGTGCCCATGTGAAGAACTTGAACCGCCGATTTCTTGATGGTTCACTTTGTCCGGAATGATAGACCGAGACATCTGATCGAAGAGGCTGAGAGTCGAGTTCACGTTGCTTGTCGACCTCATCCAGTGGGCCTTCATACCGTTCTCCAATCAAAGGATAAGAGGACGTTGATGGGGTGGAAACATGGCCGACCTCTTCGTGGGCTTTGCGATCCTTACTCTTCAAGAAACCGAAGAACGAAGACTCTTGATCTTTGTCTTTCTTCTCTTTCTTTGGTTTCTTCTCCTTTGGTTGTTTAGGAGCCTTAGCAGGTTTCAGTTCCTCCTCCACTTGAGGTTCGTCTTCTTTGGAACGGAGATGTATAATCGCAGTCTGCTTATCATGGGGTTCTTCGATCTCTTCTTCATCTTCTTTCAAGACGGTCTTGCCCTCATGATATTTGGTCACATAGCTAGCCAGCGGAAGGGTATCTAGGTCATTGACTTTGTTAACGTCATCAAGAGGACCTTCGTAGGGAGAGTGATCGAACTTGTAGCCGGTTGGATCTTTATCACCGACCTCTTCCTCGCCTTCATGACGTGCCCATGTGAAGAACTTGAACCGCCGATTTCTTGATGGTTCACTTTGTCCGGAATGATAGACCGAGACATCTGATCGAAGAGGCTGAGAGTCGAGTTCACGTTGCTTGTCGACCTCATCCAGTGGGCCTTCATACCGTTCTCCAATCAAAGGATAAGAGGACGTTGATGGGGTGGAAACATGGCCGACCTCTTCGTGGGCTTTGCGATCCTTACTCTTCAAGAAACCGAAGAACGAAGACTCTTGATCTTTGTCTTTCTTCTCTTTCTTTGGTTTCTTCTCCTTTGGTTGTTTAGGAGCCTTAGCAGGTTTCAGTTCCTCCTCCACTTGAGGTTCGTCTTCTTTGGAACGGAGATGTATAATCGCAGTCTGCTTATCATGGGGTTCTTCGATCTCTTCTTCATCTTCTTTCAAGACGGTCTTGCCCTCATGATATTTGGTCACATAGCTAGCCAGCGGAAGGGTATCTAGGTCATTGACTTTGTTAACGTCATCAAGAGGACCTTCGTAGGGAGAGTGATCGAACTTGTAGCCGGTTGGATCTTTATCACCGACCTCTTCCTCGCCTTCATGACGTGCCCATGTGAAGAACTTGAACCGCCGATTTCTTGATGGTTCACTTTGTCCGGAATGATAGACCGAGACATCTGATCGAAGAGGCTGAGAGTCGAGTTCACGTTGCTTGTCGACCTCATCCAGTGGGCCTTCATACCGTTCTCCAATCAAAGGATAAGAGGACGTTGATGGGGTGGAAACATGGCCGACCTCTTCGTGGGCTTTGCGATCCTTACTCTTCAAGAAACCGAAGAACGAAGACTCTTGATCTTTGTCTTTCTTCTCTTTCTTTGGTTTCTTCTCCTTTGGTTGTTTAGGAGCCTTAGCAGGTTTCAGTTCCTCCTCCACTTGAGGTTCGTCTTCTTTGGAACGGAGATGTATAATCGCAGTCTGCTTATCATGGGGTTCTTCGATCTCTTCTTCATCTTCTTTCAAGACGGTCTTGCCCTCATGATATTTGGTCACATAGCTAGCCAGCGGAAGGGTATCTAGGTCATTGACTTTGTTAACGTCATCAAGAGGACCTTCGTAGGGAGAGTGATCGAACTTGTAGCCGGTTGGATCTTTATCACCGACCTCTTCCTCGCCTTCATGACGTGCCCATGTGAAGAACTTGAACCGCCGATTTCTTGATGGTTCACTTTGTCCGGAATGATAGACCGAGACATCTGATCGAAGAGGCTGAGAGTCGAGTTCACGTTGCTTGTCGACCTCATCCAGTGGGCCTTCATACCGTTCTCCAATCAAAGGATAAGAGGACGTTGATGGGGTGGAAACATGGCCGACCTCTTCGTGGGCTTTGCGATCCTTACTCTTCAAGAAACCGAAGAACGAAGACTCTTGATCTTTGTCTTTCTTCTCTTTCTTTGGTTTCTTCTCCTTTGGTTGTTTAGGAGCCTTAGCAGGTTTCAGTTCCTCCTCCACTTGAGGTTCGTCTTCTTTGGAACGGAGATGTATAATCGCAGTCTGCTTATCATGGGGTTCTTCGATCTCTTCTTCATCTTCTTTCAAGACGGTCTTGCCCTCATGATATTTGGTCACATAGCTAGCCAGCGGAAGGGTATCTAGGTCATTGACTTTGTTAACGTCATCAAGAGGACCTTCGTAGGGAGAGTGATCGAACTTGTAGCCGGTTGGATCTTTATCACCGACCTCTTCCTCGCCTTCATGACGTGCCCATGTGAAGAACTTGAACCGCCGATTTCTTGATGGTTCACTTTGTCCGGAATGATAGACCGAGACATCTGATCGAAGAGGCTGAGAGTCGAGTTCACGTTGCTTGTCGACCTCATCCAGTGGGCCTTCATACCGTTCTCCAATCAAAGGATAAGAGGACGTTGATGGGGTGGAAACATGGCCGACCTCTTCGTGGGCTTTGCGATCCTTACTCTTCAAGAAACCGAAGAACGAAGACTCTTGATCTTTGTCTTTCTTCTCTTTCTTTGGTTTCTTCTCCTTTGGTTGTTTAGGAGCCTTAGCAGGTTTCAGTTCCTCCTCCACTTGAGGTTCGTCTTCTTTGGAACGGAGATGTATAATCGCAGTCTGCTTATCATGGGGTTCTTCGATCTCTTCTTCATCTTCTTTCAAGACGGTCTTGCCCTCATGATATTTGGTCACATAGCTAGCCAGCGGAAGGGTATCTAGGTCATTGACTTTGTTAACGTCATCAAGAGGACCTTCGTAGGGAGAGTGATCGAACTTGTAGCCGGTTGGATCTTTATCACCGACCTCTTCCTCGCCTTCATGACGTGCCCATGTGAAGAACTTGAACCGCCGATTTCTTGATGGTTCACTTTGTCCGGAATGATAGACCGAGACATCTGATCGAAGAGGCTGAGAGTCGAGTTCACGTTGCTTGTCGACCTCATCCAGTGGGCCTTCATACCGTTCTCCAATCAAAGGATAAGAGGACGTTGATGGGGTGGAAACATGGCCGACCTCTTCGTGGGCTTTGCGATCCTTACTCTTCAAGAAACCGAAGAACGACGACTCTTGATCTTTGTCTTTCTTCTCTTTCTTTGGTTTCTTCTCCTTTGGTTGTTTAGGAGCCTTAGCAGGTTTCAGTTCCTCCTCCACTTGAGGTTCGTCTTCTTTGGAACGGAGATGTATAATCGCAGTCTGCTTATCATGGGGTTCTTCGATCTCTTCTTCATCTTCTTTCAAGACGGTCTTGCCCTCATGATATTTGGTAACATAGCTAGCCAGCGGAAGGGTATCTAGGTCATTGACTTTGTTAACGTCATCAAGAGGACCTTCGTAGGGAGAGTGATCGAACTTGTAGCCGGTTGGATCTTTATCACCGACCTCTTCCTCGCCTTCATGACGTGCCCATGTGAAGAACTTGAACCGCCGATTTCTTGATGGTTCACTTTGTCCGGAATGATAGACCGAGACATCTGATCGAAGAGGCTGAGAGTCGAGTTCACGTTGCTTGTCGACCTCATCCAGTGGGCCTTCATACCGTTCTCCAATCAAAGGATAAGAGGACGTTGATGGGGTGGAAACATGGCCGACCTCTTCGTGGGCTTTGCGATCCTTACTCTTCAAGAAACCGAAGAACGAAGACTCTTGATCTTTGTCTTTCTTCTCTTTCTTTGGTTTCTTCTCCTTTGGTTGTTTAGGAGCCTTAGCAGGTTTCAGTTCCTCCTCCACTTGAGGTTCGTCTTCTTTGGAACGGAGATGTATAATCGCAGTCTGCTTATCATGGGGTTCTTCGATCTCTTCTTCATCTTCTTTCAAGACGGTCTTGCCCTCATGATATTTGGTCACATAGCTAGCCAGCGGAAGGGTATCTAGGTCATTGACTTTGTTAACGTCATCAAGAGGACCTTCGTAGGGAGAGTGATCGAACTTGTAGCCGGTTGGATCTTTATCACCGACCTCTTCCTCGCCTTCATGACGTGCCCATGTGAAGAACTTGAACCGCCGATTTCTTGATGGTTCACTTTGTCCGGAATGATAGACCGAGACATCTGATCGAAGAGGCTGAGAGTCGAGTTCACGTTGCTTGTCGACCTCATCCAGTGGGCCTTCATACCGTTCTCCAATCAAAGGATAAGAGGACGTTGATGGGGTGGAAACATGGCCGACCTCTTCGTGGGCTTTGCGATCCTTACTCTTCAAGAAACCGAAGAACGACGACTCTTGATCTTTGTCTTTCTTCTCTTTCTTTGGTTTCTTCTCCTTTGGTTGTTTAGGAGCCTTAGCAGGTTTCAGTTCCTCCTCCACTTGAGGTTCGTCTTCTTTGGAACGGAGATGTATAATCGCAGTCTGCTTATCATGGGGTTCTTCGATCTCTTCTTCATCTTCTTTCAAGACGGTCTTGCCCTCATGATATTTGGTAACATAGCTAGCCAGCGGAAGGGTATCTAGGTCATTGACTTTGTTAACGTCATCAAGAGGACCTTCGTAGGGAGAGTGATCGAACTTGTAGCCGGTTGGATCTTTATCACCGACCTCTTCCTCGCCTTCATGACGTGCCCATGTGAAGAACTTGAACCGCCGATTTCTTGATGGTTCACTTTGTCCGGAATGATAGACCGAGACATCTGATCGAAGAGGCTGAGAGTCGAGTTCACGTTGCTTGTCGACCTCATCCAGTGGGCCTTCATACCGTTCTCCAATCAAAGGATAAGAGGACGTTGATGGGGTGGAAACATGGCCGACCTCTTCGTGGGCTTTGCGATCCTTACTCTTCAAGAAACCGAAGAACGAAGACTCTTGATCTTTGTCTTTCTTCTCTTTCTTTGGTTTCTTCTCCTTTGGTTGTTTAGGAGCCTTAGCAGGTTTCAGTTCCTCCTCCACTTGAGGTTCGTCTTCTTTGGAACGGAGATGTATAATCGCAGTCTGCTTATCATGGGGTTCTTCGATCTCTTCTTCATCTTCTTTCAAGACGGTCTTGCCCTCATGATATTTGGTCACATAGCTAGCCAGCGGAAGGGTATCTAGGTCATTGACTTTGTTAACGTCATCAAGAGGACCTTCGTAGGGAGAGTGATCGAACTTGTAGCCGGTTGGATCTTTATCACCGACCTCTTCCTCGCCTTCATGACGTGCCCATGTGAAGAACTTGAACCGCCGATTTCTTGATGGTTCACTTTGTCCGGAATGATAGACCGAGACATCTGATCGAAGAGGCTGAGAGTCGAGTTCACGTTGCTTGTCGACCTCATCCAGTGGGCCTTCATACCGTTCTCCAATCAAAGGATAAGAGGACGTTGATGGGGTGGAAACATGGCCGACCTCTTCGTGGGCTTTGCGATCCTTACTCTTCAAGAAACCGAAGAACGACGACTCTTGATCTTTGTCTTTCTTCTCTTTCTTTGGTTTCTTCTCCTTTGGTTGTTTAGGAGCCTTAGCAGGTTTCAGTTCCTCCTCCACTTGAGGTTCGTCTTCTTTGGAACGGAGATGTATAATCGCAGTCTGCTTATCATGGGGTTCTTCGATCTCTTCTTCATCTTCTTTCAAGACGGTCTTGCCCTCATGATATTTGGTAACATAGCTAGCCAGCGGAAGGGTATCTAGGTCATTGACTTTGTTAACGTCATCAAGAGGACCTTCGTAGGGAGAGTGATCGAACTTGTAGCCGGTTGGATCTTTATCACCGACCTCTTCCTCGCCTTCATGACGTGCCCATGTGAAGAACTTGAACCGCCGATTTCTTGATGGTTCACTTTGTCCGGAATGATAGACCGAGACATCTGATCGAAGAGGCTGAGAGTCGAGTTCACGTTGCTTGTCGACCTCATCCAGTGGGCCTTCATACCGTTCTCCAATCAAAGGATAAGAGGACGTTGATGGGGTGGAAACATGGCCGACCTCTTCGTGGGCTTTGCGATCCTTACTCTTCAAGAAACCGAAGAACGACGACTCTTGATCTTTGTCTTTCTTCTCTTTCTTTGGTTTCTTCTCCTTTGGTTGTTTAGGAGCCTTAGCAGGTTTCAGTTCCTCCTCCACTTGAGGTTCGTCTTCTTTGGAACGGAGATGTATAATCGCAGTCTGCTTATCATGGGGTTCTTCGATCTCTTCTTCATCTTCTTTCAAGACGGTCTTGCCCTCATGATATTTGGTAACATAGCTAGCCAGCGGAAGGGTATCTAGGTCATTGACTTTGTTAACGTCATCAAGAGGACCTTCGTAGGGAGAGTGATCGAACTTGTAGCCGGTTGGATCTTTATCACCGACCTCTTCCTCGCCTTCATGACGTGCCCATGTGAAGAACTTGAACCGCCGATTTCTTGATGGTTCACTTTGTCCGGAATGATAGACCGAGACATCTGATCGAAGAGGCTGAGAGTCGAGTTCACGTTGCTTGTCGACCTCATCCAGTGGGCCTTCATACCGTTCTCCAATCAAAGGATAAGAGGACGTTGATGGGGTGGAAACATGGCCGACCTCTTCGTGGGCTTTGCGATCCTTACTCTTCAAGAAACCGAAGAACGACGACTCTTGATCTTTGTCTTTCTTCTCTTTCTTTGGTTTCTTCTCCTTTGGTTGTTTAGGAGCCTTAGCAGGTTTCAGTTCCTCCTCCACTTGAGGTTCGTCTTCTTTGGAACGGAGATGTATAATCGCAGTCTGCTTATCATGGGGTTCTTCGATCTCTTCTTCATCTTCTTTCAAGACGGTCTTGCCCTCATGATATTTGGTCACATAGCTAGCCAGCGGAAGGGTATCTAGGTCATTGACTTTGTTAACGTCATCAAGAGGACCTTCGTAGGGAGAGTGATCGAACTTGTAGCCGGTTGGATCTTTATCACCGACCTCTTCCTCGCCTTCATGACGTGCCCATGTGAAGAACTTGAACCGCCGATTTCTTGATGGTTCACTTTGTCCGGAATGATAGACCGAGACATCTGATCGAAGAGGCTGAGAGTCGAGTTCACGTTGCTTGTCGACCTCATCCAGTGGGCCTTCATACCGTTCTCCAATCAAAGGATAAGAGGACGTTGATGGGGTGGAAACATGGCCGACCTCTTCGTGGGCTTTGCGATCCTTACTCTTCAAGAAACCGAAGAACGACGACTCTTGATCTTTGTCTTTCTTCTCTTTCTTTGGTTTCTTCTCCTTTGGTTGTTTAGGAGCCTTAGCAGGTTTCAGTTCCTCCTCCACTTGAGGTTCGTCTTCTTTGGAACGGAGATGTATAATCGCAGTCTGCTTATCATGGGGTTCTTCGATCTCTTCTTCATCTTCTTTCAAGACGGTCTTGCCCTCATGATATTTGGTAACATAGCTAGCCAGCGGAAGGGTATCTAGGTCATTGACTTTGTTAACGTCATCAAGAGGACCTTCGTAGGGAGAGTGATCGAACTTGTAGCCGGTTGGATCTTTATCACCGACCTCTTCCTCGCCTTCATGACGTGCCCATGTGAAGAACTTGAACCGCCGATTTCTTGATGGTTCACTTTGTCCGGAATGATAGACCGAGACATCTGATCGAAGAGGCTGAGAGTCGAGTTCACGTTGCTTGTCGACCTCATCCAGTGGGCCTTCATACCGTTCTCCAATCAAAGGATAAGAGGACGTTGATGGGGTGGAAACATGGCCGACCTCTTCGTGGGCTTTGCGATCCTTACTCTTCAAGAAACCGAAGAACGACGACTCTTGATCTTTGTCTTTCTTCTCTTTCTTTGGTTTCTTCTCCTTTGGTTGTTTAGGAGCCTTAGCAGGTTTCAGTTCCTCCTCCACTTGAGGTTCGTCTTCTTTGGAACGGAGATGTATAATCGCAGTCTGCTTATCATGGGGTTCTTCGATCTCTTCTTCATCTTCTTTCAAGACGGTCTTGCCCTCATGATATTTGGTAACATAGCTAGCCAGCGGAAGGGTATCTAGGTCATTGACTTTGTTAACGTCATCAAGAGGACCTTCGTAGGGAGAGTGATCGAACTTGTAGCCGGTTGGATCTTTATCACCGACCTCTTCCTCGCCTTCATGACGTGCCCATGTGAAGAACTTGAACCGCCGATTTCTTGATGGTTCACTTTGTCCGGAATGATAGACCGAGACATCTGATCGAAGAGGCTGAGAGTCGAGTTCACGTTGCTTGTCGACCTCATCCAGTGGGCCTTCATACCGTTCTCCAATCAAAGGATAAGAGGACGTTGATGGGGTGGAAACATGGCCGACCTCTTCGTGGGCTTTGCGATCCTTACTCTTCAAGAAACCGAAGAACGACGACTCTTGATCTTTGTCTTTCTTCTCTTTCTTTGGTTTCTTCTCCTTTGGTTGTTTAGGAGCCTTAGCAGGTTTCAGTTCCTCCTCCACTTGAGGTTCGTCTTCTTTGGAACGGAGATGTATAATCGCAGTCTGCTTATCATGGGGTTCTTCGATCTCTTCTTCATCTTCTTTCAAGACGGTCTTGCCCTCATGATATTTGGTCACATAGCTAGCCAGCGGAAGGGTATCTAGGTCATTGACTTTGTTAACGTCATCAAGAGGACCTTCGTAGGGAGAGTGATCGAACTTGTAGCCGGTTGGATCTTTATCACCGACCTCTTCCTCGCCTTCATGACGTGCCCATGTGAAGAACTTGAACCGCCGATTTCTTGATGGTTCACTTTGTCCGGAATGATAGACCGAGACATCTGATCGAAGAGGCTGAGAGTCGAGTTCACGTTGCTTGTCGACCTCATCCAGTGGGCCTTCATACCGTTCTCCAATCAAAGGATAAGAGGACGTTGATGGGGTGGAAACATGGCCGACCTCTTCGTGGGCTTTGCGATCCTTACTCTTCAAGAAACCGAAGAACGACGACTCTTGATCTTTGTCTTTCTTCTCTTTCTTTGGTTTCTTCTCCTTTGGTTGTTTAGGAGCCTTAGCAGGTTTCAGTTCCTCCTCCACTTGAGGTTCGTCTTCTTTGGAACGGAGATGTATAATCGCAGTCTGCTTATCATGGGGTTCTTCGATCTCTTCTTCATCTTCTTTCAAGACGGTCTTGCCCTCATGATATTTGGTAACATAGCTAGCCAGCGGAAGGGTATCTAGGTCATTGACTTTGTTAACGTCATCAAGAGGACCTTCGTAGGGAGAGTGATCGAACTTGTAGCCGGTTGGATCTTTATCACCGACCTCTTCCTCGCCTTCATGACGTGCCCATGTGAAGAACTTGAACCGCCGATTTCTTGATGGTTCACTTTGTCCGGAATGATAGACCGAGACATCTGATCGAAGAGGCTGAGAGTCGAGTTCACGTTGCTTGTCGACCTCATCCAGTGGGCCTTCATACCGTTCTCCAATCAAAGGATAAGAGGACGTTGATGGGGTGGAAACATGGCCGACCTCTTCGTGGGCTTTGCGATCCTTACTCTTCAAGAAACCGAAGAACGAAGACTCTTGATCTTTGTCTTTCTTCTCTTTCTTTGGTTTCTTCTCCTTTGGTTGTTTAGGAGCCTTAGCAGGTTTCAGTTCCTCCTCCACTTGAGGTTCGTCTTCTTTGGAACGGAGATGTATAATCGCAGTCTGCTTATCATGGGGTTCTTCGATCTCTTCTTCATCTTCTTTCAAGACGGTCTTGCCCTCATGATATTTGGTAACATAGCTAGCCAGCGGAAGGGTATCTAGGTCATTGACTTTGTTAACGTCATCAAGAGGACCTTCGTAGGGAGAGTGATCGAACTTGTAGCCGGTTGGATCTTTATCACCGACCTCTTCCTCGCCTTCATGACGTGCCCATGTGAAGAACTTGAACCGCCGATTTCTTGATGGTTCACTTTGTCCGGAATGATAGACCGAGACATCTGATCGAAGAGGCTGAGAGTCGAGTTCACGTTGCTTGTCGACCTCATCCAGTGGGCCTTCATAGAGTTCTCCAATCAAAGGATAAGAGGACGTTGATGGGGTGGAAACATGGCCGACCTCTTCGTGGGCTTTGCGATCCTTACTCTTCAAGAAACCGAAGAACGAAGACTCTTGATCTTTGTCTTTCTTCTCTTTCTTTGGTTTCTTCTCCTTTGGTTGTTTAGGAGCCTTAGCAGGTTTCAGTTCCTCCTCCACTTGAGGTTCGTCTTCTTTGGAACGGAGATGTATAATCGCAGTCTGCTCATCATGGGGTTCTTCGATCTCTTCTTCATCTTTCAAGACGGTCTTGCCCTCATGATATTTGGTAACATAGCTAGCCAGCGGAAGGGTATCTAGGTCATTGACTTTGTTAACGTCATCAAGAGGACCTTCGTAGGGAGAGTGATCGAACTTGTAGCCGGTTGGATCTTTATCACCGACCTCTTCCTCGCCTTCATGACGTGCCCATGTGAAGAACTTGAACCGCCGATTTCTTGATGGTTCACTTTGTCCGGAATGATAGACCGAGACATCTGATCGAAGAGGCTGAGAGTCGAGTTCACGTTGCTTGTCAACCTCATCCAGTGGGCCTTCATACCGTTCTCCAATCAAAGGATAAGAGGACGTTGATGGGGTGGAAACATGGCCGACCTCTTCGTGGGCTTTGCGATCCTTACTCTTCAAGAAACCGAAGAACGAAGACTCTTGATCTTTGTCTTTCTTCTCTTTCTTTGGTTTCTTCTCCTTTGGTTGTTTAGGAGCCTTAGCAGGTTTCAGTTCCTCCTCCACTTGAGGTTCGTCTTCTTTGGAACGGAGATGTATAATCGCAGTCTGCTTATCATGGGGTTCTTCGATCTCTTCTTCATCTTCTTTCAAGACGGTCTTGCCCTCATGATATTTGGTAACATAGCTAGCCAGCGGAAGGGTATCTAGGTCATTGACTTTGTTAACGTCATCAAGAGGACCTTCGTAGGGAGAGTGATCGAACTTGTAGCCGGTTGGATCTTTATCACCGACCTCTTCCTCGCCTTCATGACGTGCCCATGTGAAGAACTTGAACCGCCGATTTCTTGATGGTTCACTTTGTCCGGAATGATAGACCGAGACATCTGATCGAAGAGGCTGAGAGTCGAGTTCACGTTGCTTGTCAACCTCATCCAGTGGGCCTTCATACCGTTCTCCAATCAAAGGATAAGAGGACGTTGATGGGGTGGAAACATGGCCGACCTCTTCGTGGGCTTTGCGATCCTTACTCTTCAAGAAACCGAAGAACGAAGACTCTTGATCTTTGTCTTTCTTCTCTTTCTTTGGTTTCTTCTCCTTTGGTTGTTTAGGAGCCTTAGCAGGTTTCAGTTCCTCCTCCACTTGAGGTTCGTCTTCTTTGGAACGGAGATGTATAATCGCAGTCTGCTTATCATGGGGTTCTTCGATCTCTTCTTCATCTTCTTTCAAGACGGTCTTGCCCTCATGATATTTGGTAACATAGCTAGCCAGCGGAAGGGTATCTAGGTCATTGACTTTGTTAACGTCATCAAGAGGACCTTCGTAGGGAGAGTGATCGAACTTGTAGCCGGTTGGATCTTTATCACCGACCTCTTCCTCGCCTTCATGACGTGCCCATGTGAAGAACTTGAACCGCCGATTTCTTGATGGTTCACTTTGTCCGGAATGATAGACCGAGACATCTGATCGAAGAGGCTGAGAGTCGAGTTCACGTTGCTTGTCGACCTCATCCAGTGGGCCTTCATACCGTTCTCCAATCAAAGGATAAGAGGACGTTGATGGGGTGGAAACATGGCCGACCTCTTCGTGGGCTTTGCGATCCTTACTCTTCAAGAAACCGAAGAACGAAGACTCTTGATCTTTGTCTTTCTTCTCTTTCTTTGGTTTCTTCTCCTTTGGTTGTTTAGGAGCCTTAGCAGGTTTCAGTTCCTCCTCCACTTGAGGTTCGTCTTCTTTGGAACGGAGATGTATAATCGCAGTCTGCTTATCATGGGGTTCTTCGATCTCTTCTTCATCTTCTTTCAAGACGGTCTTGCCCTCATGATATTTGGTAACATAGCTAGCCAGCGGAAGGGTATCTAGGTCATTGACTTTGTTAACGTCATCAAGAGGACCTTCGTAGGGAGAGTGATCGAACTTGTAGCCGGTTGGATCTTTATCACCGACCTCTTCCTCGCCTTCATGACGTGCCCATGTGAAGAACTTGAACCGCCGATTTCTTGATGGTTCACTTTGTCCGGAATGATAGACCGAGACATCTGATCGAAGAGGTTTTGATACAATCTCCGAGTGGCGCAGAGGCTCCAATTTACCGGTATATACACCAGACTTTTCTGGGTATTGAGGTGTTAACCGTGAAGGTGGGATTGGTATAGGTGATAGATCAACTTGTGCAAATCCATTCGTATGACCGTGACTTGGCCGTCTTTGTCTTTGCAGATGCAACACTGCCACGGGTTTAGGGAAACGACTCATGCCTTTTGACTTGGGGTAACTTCTTTTCAATACATGTTCTCGAATATTGCACGAATCCAAGTCGCCACTTTTTTCCAGCCTATTTACTTGTCCGGCATTTTCTTTAGAAAACCCGTAATTTCGGAGGTCGGAAATGCTTCCTTCGCTTTCATCTCCTTCGTGAATCTTTCGACGAATAACTTTACGATCTTGAAGGTTATATCCTGAATGATATACGTCAGAGAAATAGCGGACTGGAGCCTGGGGTAATTCCTTGGTCCTAGAAATGGCAACAACGGGTTGGAACTCATTTCGTTCGAAAATGTTGCGCCGAGGAATGTGCTTTTTTCGTCGTGGAAACGAGAACCGCGATTTGGGGGTCTCTATGACTTGTTCTTCTCTTGTCAAAGATTGATACTGCTTGCGACTAGGGCTGATTGCTCCTCTTTGAACCGCTCGTTGAGCTTCTGCTGCGCTTACATTATATTGATATAACGGAACGGTGTTATCCATTCCTATAATTCGAACGCAATGATTGATTGTGTCATCAAACTGAACATTGGGTGATGGAGTTCTTGTTCTTATGGCTTCTTCTGCATTTGCAGGCAGTGGAGAATAAGGAGTTTTCGGGGAAAGATGAGATCTACGGCAGTAAACACGAGATATTGTTGCTTCCTTAACCCGGTAGTCGATTTCTTCGGGACTATGTCCCGCCGAAGACAGTAGAGAGCGGTAGGTCGAAAGAAGCTCGGTAGAAATCTGTGAGCTAGCCGGACTGCTAATGTACTCTGCTAGAACAGTGTGAGAACGATAAGGCAAATTCATCAACGTAGTGTGAACAGATTCATTCAATTCTCTCACAATTGGGAGCATTTGGTCACCATTTGGGGACATCGCAATCAATTGCGCATATGGGGCAGCGGATAACGACCGCGCCGGTATTTTTGTAGTGTAGCGTGAGCTTTCAGTAACCGTGTCGCGTTTTTCAGAAGAAAAATGCTGTGAAAGAAACTTGGGCGGTACGGAAATAGAGGTCCTAGAGGGGGTGGGTGGACTATTGCGCGTGGCAGAGGCATGGGTCCTAGTGATTAGCGGGGGAGGATGGCGCTGTCTGGAGAACCACTGTGCCGACAATAAAGTCGGTGTCGACACTGTGGGACGGCCAGGACGCACGTTTTCGTCGGGCCAGACCTCTGGTTGTGTCGGCGGCGGCAAAGTCTCCTCAGCCCTGAGGAAACGCGGTGACGGTGTTTCAGTGACTGTGTAGCGACCAAAACGCGGAATGGTCGTCGTTTTAGCAGTGACTTGGGTGGTCGTGGAGACATAAAGGGGACTATCCAGAGACTTTGCGTTCTCTATCCCCGAGTCAGAAACGGTACCCACCTCCAGTGATCTGTCCAATGTGGATGTACGTGGGCTGTTGGTCTCCATGTGACTGGTGATTGTATAGCGTTTCTGCGGTGAGCTTCCCTGAGACACCTTGTCTGAACACGAATCGGGCCCACTTACCTCCATAGACTTGTCATCTGCGTAATGCACAGGAGATGATCCCTGATTAGCTGCAGGCACTAAAAAAAGAAGCATAAGATAAGATAAGGTTCTAAAAGACTTACGGTTTTCTGATGAACGGCTCACGATCTGGGCGCTTGAGATCTGCGGACCGGCAGTTGGAGTGCCATCAAACATTTGGCTGGCCATCTTCGTTTGGAAGTGGGTACGACCTTCAGGACGGAACCTGCCAGAACCAAGCTGGAAGAATCCTCCCTTGTTGGTCTTGTCTTCTGGCTGCATCAAACGGAAGAACGTGTGATGTTCAACCGCAGTACGCCAGCAAAGCTTGGCCAGCGGTTCGGTATCGAGCTTGAAGGTAAGAGACGATTTTCCTTCCTTCTGTAATACGTAATTATTAATTCACATAAAGCTGAACCCACCTCTCCATGTTTCAGTTTGATTGTAAAACTTTTCCGCTGGTACTCCAACTGATGCATGCCTTGCCAAACCACGTAATTCTGTCGCAAATGCTCTTGGAAAACACTAATTCCGGCCGAATTGATGCCAACTCGAACAGGTTTTCCGTTGTGTTTGGCCGAAAACATAACCATTCCGTACAAGGTGAGCTCACGGCAAGCCATCAAGAAGCTCAACTCGGCTTCGGGTGGTGTTTTTCCCTTCTGATCTTTATAGAGCTGGATGATCTTCGACTCCAATTCATCTGACATGTTGGGAACGATGTTTAGGGCTCTCAGAGACTGACCGTAGGTCTTCTCGGGAGAGTAATCGCCTAACTCGGCTTGAGCAATCAGAGATCCCAGATGGGCTTGATTGACAAGAGAAGCAGGCAATCTAAATGCAAATTGTACAAACATATTAGATAACTTACTTTCCATTGTAAATGTCTGTACGAAGTTGAAGGGTCAAGAGATGACGGGTGAAGTCATCGGCAAGTTGGCTTGGGTCTGGAGTGTAGAACTTCACTTCCAAGGAGAAGTCCCATGGCAAGTCTTTGACTTGTTTCTGGATCTTCTTGTTCTTATATAACCATTTCTGCAAAAACAAACATCATCAAAAAACACGATCAATATATACAGGATGAAAACAAAAATATGACTTACCCTAACGGAACCATTTTCATAAAAAGCCAGAGAAAAGTAATCTTTTTCAATGAGACCGATGGCATCGGTCACCAAATTGAACAGTATTTCTCCCTCAGCGTTCTTCTAAATAAGGGGTATATTACTTAAGTTCTCATCAACTCTACCAAGCAAATTCAAGACTTACGCTGACTTGGAAATCGAGTTTCCGTCCATCAAGCAACACAACGTTGCCGGAATGAAGTTCTTTCGGTTTAACACCTTGCTGGATGATGGAACTGTTCTGTTCGTCTTGAGATAACGGCATGGTGGCAGTGGCGTCGGATGGTGCTGGCACCATCACACTTCAATTGCAATACAACCACACGCGACGAGCACAAAGCGAAACAATGGAGCTTTGATGGTTTCGATTCGTGTTTTCTGTTATTTCGTGGGCTCGGTGGCCGAGGCCCGGTCCGTCTGGGTCTAGTGATTCTGCAGATTCTCAGCGCTCCCCAAGCGGCTCTGAAATAAGTAAATTACTTGCAAGTAGACATCCCGTGTTACAAAACTTTACAGTTCGTTCACTCATTGCGCAATCGCAAGAAAAAGGAGAGGAGTTTTACGAAAAGCTATTCCGAGTCAAATTTAAAGGAAAAAGAAATAAAAAACGTCGACCTTGGATGTATGTTACCATGCATTTACCATTCTTTCCTCTAATTTATAAAAGAATTACACAAACCCCGCACAAAAAATGGGACCCTTAGGGCAAATAATAAAAAACAACGATGAAAGATAAGGTGACCCGAACGGAGCCGGTAGTAAAGAATGACCAAAACTTAAAAAACGAGTGTAAACAAACAAACTGTGCTAATTCAATACTGAGGAACCAAACAGTAAATAGATAAAAAATATTTTGCAAACCTTATCACAGCGGGTAAACACTAACACGATAACGGAGAAAGAGTAGAATAATAAACGAAGAGAACCGTCCATGCACACAGCATAATTTTGGTCTCCGGAAACTTCAATCATGGAGACAGACTGTGATGAACTTTATTTCCATATTCCGTAAATGCCTCTTCAAAAACACAGCAGGCCTCGGTCTCGCTTTAAGTGAGAAAAACGGATGCAACCGAGTGCGTAAAAGTTGCAGTAACCGCGGGGTAAAAGGTTAGATCAGGGACGTTTTTCCGAGTGAACAAAGGGATGCCTAAGGGTATATAGCCTTGCATCAACAAACAGCGAGAAGACTCTGACCAGGATCCGATCGATTGGACTGGGCACTTGCTCTAATTGAAATCATACCCACCAAAGTCCCAAAGCAAAACAGCAATGTCGCATCTGGACGAAGAAGGCCAATAAAAATGGGAGAGATTGCTGCTTAGAGAGCGTACTTTTTTATAAACCGCACTTTTTTATAAACCGCGCCATAGAATCGCTGGAAATCAGTGAAACCTCGAAGAATTAATCCCGGACTGTCTAATCAAGGACATTTACCGACTAATTTCTTTTTCGCCGTTAAATTTTTCGAAGAGCGCGCCTTTACGCTAGCGCCGGACTTCCAGATATGACACTTCATAACAATTCATTATTTTGACATACTTATTTTTGATTTTCCCTGTTCTCCCCGAAAAAACAAAAGGAAAAGACCGCTTCATAATCTAATTAGACGGTAACAAACAGAGAAGATGGGCTTTACAAAACATTTAGGATCGTTAAAATTGATCGGTAGAGCTCCAGAATTCTTCTTTTATGTCTCCCATAAGTAAAATAATTAAAAAAACATCAGCCGATGGATGACTCAAGCAATCAATGAACCACTAAACATACCATCCAAAAAATCTGAACCTTTTAGATCTTAATTTAACCTAACAATAATCATAATAAAATTGGTCACAGTGCTAATTAGAAAATGGTAATAGTAATACTTTAATTGGATTCAAAATTAGGGAACCGCGGAGAAGTCGTTATGAAACCCCGAAGGGAGATTTGCGCCAAACCCTGGAAAGTCGGATAAAAAAGAACAAGTGGATAAAAGGAGCAGCTGGCCCAACCTGAGGGCGGCAAAAACATTTTTGCGGACTTAGCGGACCGAACAATGCAAAGTTTCACCCCATTTCTATGCATAAAGAAGAAGAACGATGAGTCAGAGCTCCAATCTCTTAACTTATTGCCCCCTCCTCTTTTTTCTGACTCTTCCTTTAGGACAGAAAAGGCTGGAGAATGGCCAAGCACTGCTAGCCATTAACACCTTCCTCTTTCGGCAAAAAAACTCTCATCCCGCGTCAAACGTTACGAAAAAACAAGCATCCTCGACTATCAAGCACGATAACAACATCAATAACAACCTGAAGTAAGCTTCCGTTTTTCATTTATATTACCCCAAATGCCAGCTGTTTTGAAACCATAAGGAAATTGCTAACAATGAATCAGAAAGAGCAGATAAGAAGCAAGAATTCCTTGCATCAGTTAGATATACTTAAAACTACATGTTGAAATAAAAAAGAATGCAGCTGTTTGGTCGTGAAAACGAGCTTTTGTCATTCAAAAGGAAGAAAGCCAAACCGACACGATCTCGAGGTGACTCCAGCAGCACAAACAGAACGTCAAAACAACACGAAATCCCCTCAACCTGCACCTAGACACAAACCCACCTCAGACTCTCTTTCCTGATCCTCCCCTAAGCAAAAAAAAAGAAGTTGTATTAGTCACAGAAACAGAGGCGTTTTAAATTAAGCGGCCAAATCTCCCGAGAGTAAAAGGAAAATGGACGTTCGCAAACGTGCCAAATATAGTCAGGGTCAGGACAAAGAGACCGATTGAAGCTGAAAGCCCCAGGTTTCCAAGGGCATTGAACATCAAAGAAAATAGGCTTTAAAAGCGCACTAAAAGACGGCTGCCACAAATTGAATGGATCGGCAATTGTTGGCCCCATAAATTTACTCAAAAATAACACGGACAAGACGTTGAAAGCAAGAAGAAATCCCGAAAACTGATGTAAGACGACTTTGTTGTTGTTTTGGAAAATATCTTCAACTGCACAACAACCCAGTCCCCTTCCCCACCCGCAAATTCTCGTCCTTCTTTTCCATTCTCATTTCCATTTCAACCGATCCAGAAAAAAGCCCATAGAAAGACGCGCGCGGCCTTACTAGGCTCTTCCCCTTCTTGTATCGACTCAAAAAAATTCGCGAAGCCGTTTTTCCCGAGAAAAAATTTGAAAGTGAAACTTGACATGGACGAGGGAAAACTTGACACATACAGATATTTATTTTGGAAAATAAAAAAAAGTTGGAGAATATTACTTTTGAAGCTGCTTCGACTGGGTTTCGACTAATGCTTATCTGAAACGGCTGAGTGCTTTATTTCGTACCAAGTTTTATATATAAAAGTCAAAATCTTCGATCTTTAGTACATTCTCAGTATGGTAAGTGGTGTTATATTTTTTATACGTTTTCATGTTCGTTTAGAAATTTCGTTTTGTTGGAGGATTGGATTGCCCGGATTGGGTACTGGCTGAGATTTCTCAGTTTTCACGAATCGTAAGTTAAAAGTTGTTCCTTGAACTTGGTTTTTATTTAGTTAAAGGAAATCTTTCGAACAATAAGCAGGGATATATGTCATAGATTGATCAATGGCAAATTTGATTTTGGACAAGATGAGATTAGCAGTATCGAAAAATTAGTTGGGATGGATTCAGAAACGCTGAAAGGAGCACTTGCAGCTTTGGGATTTATTTTAGAAAAGTCAGCCAAGAATAAATGTGCCCCGAAGGACCTGGAGAAGGAAATGTTACAACTTGGAATGGCATTCGGTAAAACGCTCATAAATCCTGCAACCCGTTAATGATGTTTTAGATCACGCCACCGAATTGAGCTCCGTTTACGAAGAAGAATTTCCGCGTTTGTCCAAAGCAATGAGTAATCGGTTCCCACGCCAACCAAACCTGGCTATCAGAAACAAGGAGGAGAAGAGCATAAATGGAGTCCAAGTATGTATATATCCACGTATACCGTAATCTTAAAGGTGTATATATATACAGTCAGCGAATCGAACGGAAAGACATTCGAACTGGGGATGAGCGAACAAAAGAGAGAGTCGTTAAAACAAGGTAATCCACTTTTAATGCAACATTTTGTCGTTTAGAGATGAAACGAGCTATGCAAACCTTCGCGCCATACGAGTAAATTCGATATGGATATATTTATTATGCCCAAATTATTTCATGTATATCTAATTTTCGAGGATTTTCCCCTCAATAATATTCATTATACGCGATTTCCCGGCTCTTGATACATGACTTAGTACTGCATTGATCTGGGGAGAAGTGTATTCCTAAATGGGATTACAGCTTTATACACATCACTACTTACTCCAGAATGTCTTGAGATCCAATCGGGTAAATAACTTTCTTGAAGGTAATATGCTTTTACGTAATCTTCCACATGATTCTTGAAAGGAACTGGCTTCAGGCCGCTCAGAGATTCAATGTCTTTATTCAAATGCTCGGTATCCAATAACATCAGAGCTCGGCCTTCGTTCGAACACTTTTTACTTACTTCGGAATATCTGAAATAACTTTGAATGCTCTCAATAAACACTAACTAAACATACCCTTGTACCAAAGTTCTAAACAAAGTCTTGGCCACATGTGTCCAAATTACACTTCTGATTTCATACGAAATGTGCACAAGACCCGAGAAGGAATCGATTTTATCCTTGATCCATGCCAATTCCTATACCAAAAGTAATTAGTTCTCGTACTTTACCTTCGAGATGTATTGTATATAATCACTGTGATGATCGACGATCTCGCTGATATCCCATTTCACTTGTTTTATCTTTTTTATCACTAACTCATGATCAATAAACTTGGAAACAACACATCCATAAACGGCATCTCTCAAATCAAAAGTGGCGGAAAGACTCTAAACGAAATCATGCCATTATTTAATAGTAGACGACTTACGGTTTTGTAAAAGCTTTGCAAAGTTGAACTCTTTTTATTTAACGGTAGCAACGAATCGAGAACGGGTCGAAGTAGTTCCAGCTGCTTTGCCAAGAAAATAACACTCTCAACGGCCACAATCCTCTCCGACAAGCCGTACAACGTTTCCCGGTCATCTCGAAGTATGCACTGAGATGGATAACATATCGGATATTTATCATGCTCATGTTCTTCACTTTGAATGAGGCGTTGCCAAATATCTTTCATAGTATTCTGAAGCCTTGGAGTGCAAAAATTAAACTCCAAGATTGTATTGGCGGGATCCTTAGCAAAAAATTCGAATACCTGTAAATATGACAGTAATGGGATTATTGGAACATTACCATATAAAATATATATTCATACAGCTGAACAATGCTTTTCAGAACTTGATCGGCTACAGAATGTAACATCGAAGTCATCTGAATACATCTTCCAAAAATCTTCAACAAATTGAGCGCAGAATTACAAACGTTAGGCAGAGAGTTCTCCATTCCAGCCTGGTCTTGCATATAACTGAAATAATTAAGTTTATATTACAATGGTAAACAGGAATTAGTCTGTTCATAGGCTAACCAAGATTCTTCAGACGATGATGTTGAGATGCCATCATTCGCAGTATGCCCTTCGATCCTGATCTCTTCATCTTCTTCTTTGACCGGAGGCAAAAAAGGATTTTGCGGCTCCGAATTCAAAAGAATCAAAGATTCACTAAGTTCAGACGTCTCTCTCTGATACTTTCGAAGATTTACGGTTTCATTATCATCAAATGGATCAGTCGATTCTTTGAGAAAATGGAATTCCTGTAAAAATAATATAAATAAACGGCACTTGAACTGACCGGAAGATCAAAAAAGGTGAATTGCAGTGGAACTGGGCACAAGGCAAATGCCTCGTTTTCCAAGAACATCTTTAGTTCATCCATTCTGTTCTTGTGATATCTCTCGAAGTAGGATGCCATCATTTTATCCACTGTCCCTGTTAAATTGTGATATGCATTTTGAAAGTAGGATTTCCCAAATCTACGGAATCTGTTCGTCATCTCCAAAACATTCAAGAAGTTGTCCACCTTGAGATGAGAAAAGTCTTGAACAGCCAACAATCTGTCGTATTTCTCGGCGGCTGTATCAAAGATCCCGAATAAACCTTCGATCATAACTGTTTGGAAGACGTCCTTCTCGACTAAAGAATACAGTAACCCTGTGTGTGACTCACCAATCGGAGGCCCTTCTAATCCAACTTCTACCGCATTGTAGGAGTTCAATTGCCTCTTGTCGTCCTCTATGTGATACCTCAGAATTCGATGATAAATAAATAATATTTTACATAGCACGACTCCCAATTCTTGTGAGCATTCAACCACAAAATCTTGCGGTATTGAAGAACATAATTCATCATAAGACATCTCCTCCAGACTTTCCAATTCTGTAGTCCTGCTCAAAAATTCGACAATTACACTTCGAGCCGAGGTCTGGAGAGTCGCATGGAAAAAGGACAACAACTTCTGAGCAGCTCCTGAATTCTTATTCAACATCTTGTATGCCGAATACACAAATTGATACTTCTCTTCGTCAAAACCTAAAGTCATCGAAGCTAAGGCATCATCGATATGAGATTCCATGGAGCCTAACCGCTTTGCCAGATTAACTGACAAATCACTAAAATACCAAAGTAAATAAAAAATGTTTTCTTTTACCGTATTGCATCGTAGCGTTTGTAATCATCGGCCGCATTCTTAGCTTCTACACATAATCGGATTGCAGAGGGGAAATCACCTTTCTAAAAAGTACAGTAAACTTGGCTTTATAAATTAGAAAACGGGAAATCAAATACATACGCTCATCAGTTCTTTTACCCGTTGATTGGATTCGATTAGAGTATTAAAAGTAAGGATATTTTCCTTTAGATGTCCAAGCCATTGCTGTCGTCGATTGTTGGCCAAAATGGCTAATGAATTTCTAACCGATATCCTTTCCTTTTGTAAAATCCTAAAAATTTTATCATGCTCAATCAGTGCTTTACTCTCTTATTGTGGTAATCACTTCGATCATTCCTCCAGCATCAGAACGAACATCTTCAAACTGTTGGACTTGCGTGCAGAAAGCCGAGGCATTCTGTGCAATCAACGCCGAGATCTTATTCGAGACGACTTTCAATTGCTTTTTCAATTTGAATCTCTCTCTTTCCAACTCATCTATCTCAATCTCCTCACCGATTAACTTCTAAACATTAACATAAACTTAATTAGTCTTACTTCTAGTTCAAATCCAATTGCGTCGAATCCGCATTCTTTGAAATACACTCGGTTGATATCGTCGAACACTTCTTCTGCAGCCTTTTCTGTGGCTGGCATATGCGCTTCTTCATGCTGAGCCTGAATTCAATAGATGAAACGATGTCATTCAAATCATGATTTATATTATATTACTTACCAGCTCAGTAACCGAATTGCGCATCTTTTCGATTTCTAATTTACATTAGAAATAAACGTTCGAAAAGCATGACCTCTATGTCTGCTCGATGTTTTCTCAATTCGTTGGAGATGAGAGACCCAAGATGTTGCGCAAGCCTGCTAAGGATGCCAAAAAGCCAATCTCTATAAAATGTGTCATTACATTGTCTTGGCTTGATGTAAAATATCATGCAACTTCCCTGATTTTATATTTTTCTATCACTAGATAGCACTTTTAAACTCCAGCACTCTGAAATTCATATCGAATGATTCGTAAATCCAAGTCACGATGGCGGATTTTTCAGAATAAAAAATATTTTTCGAAAAATTTGAGAATATTTTTTCTTTTAGTTTCAGCTTCTATTTTCTTTGACAATGAGCCATCCCGGATCTTCTAAGTCCACCGGAGTCGATTGGGAAAAGTATCAACAGAAGTTCGATGATGAATTTGTGGCTTCTGGAGCCAAGGATAAGATTGTCCAGACCACCCGCGAACGCCTCAACAACAGTGAATGGGCAGATGAAGTACAGAATCGGTTTGAAGAGTATATGAAGGAGAAAGTAAGCCGTTTTAGTCATGATTTTATCTTCTCGCGTAGGGATTGAAGCCAGGAGATTTGACCGAATATCAAATGCAAGAAATTTGCCGACATTTACGAGATGAGCTGAGAAGGATAATACCAAGTGAGGTAAAACAAGGGCTTTTGAGTTTAGTATCCGATTTTGTCGACGGTCAGCTGCATAAAGTGAAGAGAGAGATACTGAGTTAACTTAGAAACATTGACAAACTGTCTGTTGATCCATTGTTACTATTCAATAGAATAAATTGTTCTTATTGTAGTTTGGCAATTTTAAAACGGTCGTTCGACCCGCAAATTTTTTTTATGATTTCTGATGCCGTTCTTTGAGTGAACAAAACAAATCAAACATGTTCTGTTTATGTTTAGACCTTGGCCTCCTTTTTTATTCTGATGAGTGTTCAACCGCGGCCTTGTCAATTCATCGTCATTCTTGGCTAAGTAATCAGTTGTCCACTTCCTGTTTTCGACTTAGATTCTTGTATTAACCTTCGATTCTACTTTCCTTCTTTCGAAGTAATCGATGTGACAGCCCAACGGTGTTAAAACGTGATTTGGGAGAACTGATTAAGAGTATTTGAAGGTCAATATAATAAACGATTGTGTTTATTTGAGAGCATAAGTACACTTTGGTAACCATAAAATAACTAACCGTATGGAGAATGAAAAAAACCGATAAATATGGAGATTAGAAAAGTAAAAGTGTACGAGATGACATACATGTTATGAGATACCCGTTTCTGATCTCTGATTGCGGAATCAAGAGAGAAATGCACCGAAGGTAAGGGGAGAAAAGATGCAATGTACATTAGCTGTATAGGTACAGCAATCAGACTGACAATTACAATACAAAGTTTCAACATTCAGGAGTGTAACAATGGCCATGGAATCATGGCACAACTTGTAATAAACCAAAAATTATGTACAATAAGTTGGAAGTAAAAATATTACACTTAGGCAGCGGCTTCAGCGATCTCTGTAAGAGGCTCTAACACCGGTCTGAATTTGGGTCTGGCTCCGGAGTGTTGACGTTCTCGGGGCTCGTCTAACTTCTCGTAGCGATCGGGACTGGGAACTCTTTCGGGGATTACATTCTTCAGATAAACATCAGGTAATAGTTTGTCCGGTTGGGCTTCATCGCGCACGATTCGCACAGATCCTGCGTTCCCTTTAATCAACTGAAAAGAAAAATTTTATTTTTGAATTGCAGAGAAATCATTACTAGCGCTGTTAAACAAACAGATAAAGGGAGAAAAGGACCAACCTGCTCGTAATGAATCAGCTGCCTCCAGAAGCCGAGGTTCGGCCGAACCATTGGCCGCTTTGAACACATCAAATGATAGGCTGCCCTTAGGCTCCGGAAATGGTATTTGGTGAGGTAGGCTAGACAAATCGAGGCACTTCTCGACACACCAGCTACGCAATGAACTAACACATTTCCTCCATCTTGAATAACAGCATGAATCTGATCAGCGACGATATCAAAGTGAGGGAAAAGATCCTCATCGGTGGTGTCATCCACCCATAATTTTATCCTTTGGATCTCGCCCAAGGACTTCAGATTGGGGACTTCCTTCGTAGCATTTACAATAAGAGATATCTTGAAGGCTTTCATATTTGCTGGAGAAAGGGCACTGACGCCGCATATAAACAGCCGAGGGACCAACTCCGAAATCTGCGCAAACTCTGGGTTCACTTTGAAACTGATTGGAGCCATTTTGGAATTGTCTGGAAACGATATTTTTTATAGCAAATAATCGAAAAAAACGGAATGGGGTGCATCTCGCGCTCGACACCATAAATCATCCCCCATACATATGGTCGCTTAAGGTCTTAATTACGAGTTTAAATGAAGCACGTGTTCGAATGGCTAAATAAATAAATGAAAAGGCGTTAAAGTCTAAAAGGCGGCCTAAAGATGACACACATGTCAACCGAAGTAAATAAAAGACGTCGGAGTTCCTGGAATGCAAGCTTTCAACTGATAAGAGGAGTCAACGAACATTAGAATCCCAGATAATCAGCTAATTGATAATGAAAAGGGAGCAACATACACTCGAGAAGGAGCGGCTGTCTCGATAGGGGGATCAGGTGAGGCAAACACAAATCTCTGGAGCATGGTACAAAGTTTCTGATCCGGGAACAGCAAAAGAGCCGGCTGTTCCACACCCCGGGTCTCTTTTTAAATAATTTTAATCACAGGGGAAAGATTTTTCGCGTCTCCTCCCGCCTTCGGAAACTTGGGAACGATCGACGCACGTGCCCTGTTCCGTCGTTCCGTCTTTCCATCTAAAAACCGTACGCTCAGGTCGATGACCTGTTAATGTAAGAGCAACGTGGGCTTTTCAATGGAACTGATAAAAACACTCATTACAAGACGACTTCTTTCAACGAAACTTTGTCTGCGTCGGGGCTGTCGCGGCAAGCCCTATCAGCAGGCACAATTAGATAGTCGCTCTAATTGTGCCTCGAGGTGGAACAGAATGCGTGACCCCGCCGGCCTTGTTTGGACGAATGTTTGCGGCCAAGAGAAGAGCGATTGCACAAGAAAAAGACGCGCGGTATCTGGAAAGTGAGGACAGAGTGGAGGGAACAGAGAAACAGGGACAGCCTCTTTCACAGCCGAGAACGACACATCTGCTCTCTAGTACAAGGTCTCTCCTCCCCTTCGAGCTCTCGAGACCCCTTCTTTTTTATTCCCACTTTTGCAGACATCGTCTCCCTCTCACGTGAACAGCACATTCAAGTAAAGAAACATATCGGAAGGGTGAATGGGCTTGTAATGGGTTTGCGCAGTTCTCCATCCAATGAAAACTATAAGCTGGTTGTCTTGGAAGACTTTCAGAAGAGAGAGGCGGGTGTTCGTTGGATAATGAATTATCAAAGCAAACTTCGTTTATCAAAAAATCACAAAAACCGTTCAACTGTCCCTGCAGTACAACGCGGACTCTTTATTAATTTAAAAACCAAGTAATTAGAGGTCTGCACGCGATAGAAGCATTCGATCTAAAAACTGTTTGGTCTCAGACTGACCCTGAGTCATAAATGTGGAGATTGGGGAGGTGAAAGCAACAATTATTTGAATAACCCCAGAAATTTGAAGAAAGAGGTTACGTAATCAAATAGTGGACACATCCTCCTCATGCTAATTACTCTCATCCCGCTGTGAATAAATCCATGGCAAACAACAGAAGTCATCTCTTTTCTCAGCGGATAACCCAATCTTACTGTAATTTTCTCTGCAAGCGGGTGTACAGGTACCGGAAATCCCCCAAGACTGACAAACAAAACCCTCAAAACTGGCTAAGCGTATAACAGACACACCCTTTCTTCGAAAAAATTTAATCCCCCACACAGGAAGAGCGAACGATTCACGTGAAAATTCCATGGCCAGACCCCTTGGCCACAAATAACCCCTGCGTCAATAGAGAGTGCAAGTTTGACTACAGAGGTTCAGATAAATTCAAGGCAAATCTGAAGCGATAAGTCGATCACAGACTAGATGATGTCATCAACGAGTAATTTTACGGAGTCATAACTTGAATCTTTAAGTAGAAGATCTTCGAATAACAGAATTTCGTAGTCATTTCGAGATTCCGGGGTAAACAACTGACAAATTCTAAGGGAAGGGAATGTCAACAAAAATATATGACCGGGAAGTTTCTATGATGGTGTCTCTCCATAAGACCATAGATGAGAAATGCACCTAAAATGAAAAAATTGGAAGTCCATACATCCATCTAACTGTAAGTTACATCCCAATGATGCAACATTGTGTCGCTGATTGCCATACCGGGATTTTAAGCTCCATTTCCGCATCACTTCAATCTTATCCTTTGCCCTTTGCATCCGTTGCCCACTCATCTCTGGCCATGGAAATAACACATGAAGAGATCGCTTGGACAAAGGCCATTCACGTGAACCGCGTCCCTTCGTTCTTTGGCCACCGTTGAGTCAGGCCGCGTAAATATTTAAAAAGCACAAGGCCAGACGATCATAGGACGACGGAAATAGATCAGAGTACACATTCCAAATTATCATATTCTTATTTACAAATTCACGGAAGTGAGAAATGATAGTCAATCCGTTATACTGTTTCTCAGTTATCGCTTTTTTACTGTCACGCTCATGTTATCTAACGAGACCGTCAACGTTTTTATCAATGTGGACCACAAATCATACTGTAATCAGAAAAACGATATCTTTTAAAATTATTTGTTTTTCTATTTTGAAATTATTTCTTCAAACCAGTATTAAAATTAATCTTTAGCATGTTAGCTATCAGAGGAACGTGAAATCGATGTTGCTCAAGAAAGTAACATTCATGAGATTACAACAACCGAAAAAAATTACTGCATTCAATTCCTATTAATATCGACCCCGGGGGCAAATTCGAGAAAAAAGCACTTGCTGTCAAGAAAATCACGATTGAATTGTAATATAACAGAGGTCATGGAAGTTCTCAACTTTTTCGAAATCACGATTTTGGGTGCACAAAACGCCAACACCAAATTTTAACAATAACCGCCGACTTAATTTTTTTTTGGACCAGGCATGGCCAAAGGCCCGGCCGGGCCTTTGGCCTTTCTGGGTCCAAAATTTCCCGCCATTTTGGCAATATGTTGGCATTGTGTTTTTGGCTATACCTGGGCTACCAAATTGAAAATTAACAACATTACGGCGTCTGTAGTACCCTAACAAGCCTTAAATTTTTTTAAAAATCATAAATCGGTGGACATATACCAGAGATATCATTCCCAAAAAATGCTCAGCGGTTACTGTAAGATTGAAAATGCGATTTTTAAAGTTCAAAAACGGAAAAAAACCTCTTGTAATGTTGGAACCGGTCTGTGGCTTTGGATAAGACTTAGTTAGTTGAATTGTGTTTCAGGACATGCAGATTCTCTGTGCAAATTTTCAAATTTCTCCAACCATTTGTCCAGCGTCTTCCGCAGTAAGTGAATTACTCTAGGAAAAACGTCGTTCTAATTTTAGTGTAAAATGTTCCGTGTTTTTTGGGGAATAAAAATATGTGTGACTTACAATTCATACAGATTTAGGATTGACTTTTTGCCGATTTACTTATCTTTGTCTGATATTATTCATGATGATTTATTTTTAAACGACATTAATTTTTTTTTATTTCAATTTCTTCGCCGTAGGGCGGCGGTAAATTTTCGCCTTAGCTTTTGTCAGTCAAATTCGAGGCCCGCGAAACTGGTATGAAGTCCATGGCATTGAAACTGCGCTTAAAAATTCGCTAGACATGCGCACAATGTTGATATAGATATAATGTAAGCTCATCGCGGGGAAAAGTATGGCCTACTGTTATTTTTCTCATATCAAAGTTACAAACGATAAAAGGTACTAAAACCATGGCCGGGCCTGAAATTTTCAATCCTTGTCATTTCCGGTCCTGACAGCCGGAAGTTAGCACCATCGGTACTAGTCCGTCCAGAAAGTCGCCGGACGGAAATCGGCGACATGCACTGTGAGAAAAAACTCAGGGTGCGAGCGACAGCTCGAAAAAGCCTATTGCACAGTGCAAACTGAACTTTCGTTTTCGCGGAGTGCATGTCGCCGATTTCAGTCCGGCGACTTTCCGGACGGACTAGTACACTACTAATCTCACTTTGCACTGTTCAAATTCTTTAGAAAAGCTGTGACACGGCGGGAAACTGGAGAGCGGGCGGCGGAGGATCTCAAGTCCAATGTTTGTGTACCTGATTGTGGTGTTTTACCTAAGATTTTCATAGCGACAGTCCTAAACATGAAACCTGAACGATAAAATAGGTTTAATTTTTGCATCTCGCCGGGTCGCCAACGAAAACCCGACACTGATTTTTTAAAGTCGGTTTTTTTGAAAGTCGGTGTCGACGGTGTCAAGAATGAAATGATTTCGAGGAATCAGTGCGCATCGCACCAAAATAGACGAAAATTATGTTGACGCTAAACTTCTATGTATTATATATAAACGAGAGAATTCGAAGATAAATATACTTTTAAAAAAGCAAACATATCGGAGAACAATAAACAAGGAGCCGCCTGACAGTTTACAAAAACTATGACTATGCGGAAAACACGGGACAAATGTTGTCGAACTTCTTTGTTGATCGCGTGTTCTGATAACAGAACTGTCTGGGTCATCCACGCGCTTTTTGGTATTACCACTAGACAAATAAATGACGTCGAAGATCATAATATTAGTAGTGGAACACCTGTTCTTTAAACTGGGATGAGTAGGAGTAAAGAACCAACCGAGTCGAGTTATATGACCTCGAGAACTTTGGAACCCGCCAGCAGTGCCGATTTAATTAGTAGGGGAAGTTATTCAAGTGCGACGCTCAAGGTTTGGTAAAACTTGGCAAAAATTTGGAATTATTTTCTCTAAGTGCGGGACTTCTAGCTCGCGCTATTCAGAAACAACTGACAGGGGAAGTACCCCAAGTGCGACGCTCAGATTTTGATGAAACTTGGCACAAATTTAGAATAATTTTTTCTAAGATATATGCGAGAGTCCTAGCTCGCGCTTTGCAGAAACAACCTAGATTTTTAGATCGAAAGTTGGCCAAAATTTAGGACTTTTTGCCGAATATCGGCACGAAACGTTTCATGCCTATTTCTACCGTAAAGGATAATGTTTCTACAAAAAATCAAATTTTTCCGCGCGAAACTGCCAAAGTTATGGCCAAAAACCGCTTTTCTCTCTGATCGCTCTCCACGTTTAGCGTGCCCTCTCGGCGGCATAAATCGTGCGATATCTCGGCGGTGCCTGCAAAGCGCGAGCTAAAACTTTTAGGAATTGATGTTTAGTCCATACCCGGCGTGTGTGCAAAATTTAAAGAAAATCTGAGCGTCGCACTTGGGGTACTTCCCTTGTGAGATTTTTAGATCGAAAGTTGGCAAAACTGTGACACTTTTTCCGAATTTCGCCATGAAAATGTGCATTTCTAGCTAAAATCAATTTTTCTTCACGAAACTGGCAAAGGTATAGCCAAAAAGTGTTATGCCCTCCGGCCGCTCTCCGAGTTCTCTCTCGGCCAAATATCGTTGAATATTTCGGCTGTCCCTACAAAACTCGAACAAAACTTTTAGGAATTGATATGTGGCCTATACCCGACGTGTGGACTTAAATATCTCTCCGTTTTATCACGTCCGAACCGGAGAACATCCAAAGAAAAATTTGGAACCAACAGCTGTGTGCTGCAAAATCATCAATTAATTAAAAGATAACAATGGCTACGAGTAGTTGAAGAGTTCAGGCAAACAACCTCACGCTTTTCTCTTAATTCAATATGGGTTACTGTAAGGATCCGATGAAAAAACATAAAATGAGCTTTCGACCGGTCGATGGACAATCGAGAGATAGAAGAAAAAATTATTTCTACTTGTCTTTGTAACTCCCTAAATAGCGGTTGACTATGGAGAATCAATGTTTAAAATGGTACGCTTTAAACGGTACAGATCGAGAAAGTTATCTTCATCTCGTGGGGCTGATCTCTTTTACCATTGGGATCGTTGAAGCAGTGGTCTTCCTCTTGCTAGCTCTCCTTTTACCTATCGGTTGCTTGGTAAGCTTATTTTGCATTATCTATATTATTCATCTGAAATTCGTGTTTAAACCTTTAATTGTAAGATATTCGACATAATCACATCGAAACGACATGTTCCACGCGCTCCTATTATGATCGACCCTAAGGGGTTTACAATCAACGATCTGATCATGCTCAACGTGAAACAGAAAAAATCTCCGACCACCACCCAGGTCCGAGAATGTGGAAGTACCAACGTTCTGTCGAGTTCTGCTGTTCTTCTTCCACCGACTCCAACCAAGCCCATGAAACGGCTGATTGATTTGCAATTCGAAGCGGCCAAGGTCAAAGAAACTGAGGATCCAGTGAATGTTTTATACATCGAAGAGTACAAGGACAACTCTTATCTGGCCTCAAACACGGAAGTCGAGTTGACCACAAATATGGAACAAGTTCGAGAATCGACAGAGAAAGAGAGTAACAGTGCGATGGGTAATAATACTCCCGCTTGAAACAATAAATTATTTGTTTATGATATTTACGATCGTATTTATATTACACTAGACGTTTTGGGAAGACTTTCATGACCAAGACCATCCCTATGAAAGACCATATAACCAAGACTACAATGAGCAGCATCATGCAGTCGAAACAACTCTTATAAGCGTGATGTTCTAGGATCTTGCTCTCTCTGTCCAAGTTCAACTTATTGTCCTCGGTCTGTCGTTGCATTTGATCTAATCTAGAGTTGTCTTCTTTGATGATTTCTCCGGCAATTGTGAATTGTTGTTTCATTTGAGATGTCATACTCAACAGCTGATTGGCCAAGTAATCCTGTTCTTGTTCGTGTTGTTCTACGGTTCGTTCGTAGGTTTCGCTCTCGGCTCCGAGAAGTTGTCGTCGGATATCAGCACGGTAAGTCTTAAAATTCCATTTAACGTTCCAGCTTAACCTTTTACGCTTACCGCTTCGGTCTGCGCTTTCACCATTGTATTTGAAGCCAAATCCTGGTTGAATCCCTCATCTGACATTACGGGCATTATGATACTAATGTTAACTTACGGCCTCTTTTTCGCAAACCTTCGCTTGAAACCTCAGGGAACACTTTTGGCAAAGAGTCCAAAGTCTCCAGCTTTTTAACAACGTCTTTCTATAACGAACAACCATAACCTGGCCAAATACCCAATTTACCTTGCTTTCAGCCTCAACAATTATTTTTAGTTGTTGTAGATCACGTCCATATTGCATTAAGACGTCTCGATCTACTTCCTCATCCCCTTGAAGTTTTATAAAAATTAGTTCAAGCCGCTGAACAGCCTTCTTTAACCTATTTACATTGCCTTCGAGATCTTCTCTACAGGACTTCCGAGTTCTCAATAGTAACCGTTGAAAAGTTAATTCTCCATCAGAAATTCCCATTCCCTGTTATTTGCAAATAATATATATTTAATTTTTTAAGTATAAAATGCTATATAAACAACGGTTGCAATTCCATCTCTTCATACACGCATTATACACCGTTTATCTTAACAAAACTTAGAATAAATAGTAGATTAGGTCTGAGCGGAAGAAGTTTCTGATTCCTTTTCACGTTCTTCGTGTTCTTTGATTAGCCGAGTAACTTCATCGGTTGTGAGTTCACTGATCAAAGTCTTCCCATCCTTCCTTGTCAAAGTTGCCATCTCGATTTTATCAGCAGAAAGTTTCACATCCAGGGTCTTTGATAACACTTTCATGGCCAATTTGGTGGCTTCTTCAAGAGTTGGGCTCTTGTATTCTTGTTTTAGAAGAGACACGGCAGCTTGGTGGTTGTTTCCAATGCAAGTTGCCTTCCATCCAGTGTAATTGCCAGAAGGATCAGACTGATACAGCTGAAAGCCATAATGCTGATCCCAACCAACGTAGAGGAGACTCACACCAAACGGGCGTTTTCCTGAAAACACAAAAAATATTTCCAGACTCATACACCTAACCTAAATCTCAAAAAGAGAAAAAGCAATTTTTTACCTCCGATCTGCGTGTAACGTTGCTTCTCATTACACAGCGACTGAACCAGTTCTTCACATGGAATAGGCTCGCCATAATTGTACTTGTAATCGGCAGCACAATAACGAAGTCTGTTTATGAGAATGTTGGCATCAGCAGTAATCCCGGCCACAGTGCAAGCAATGTTCTCAGAGATACGATAGATCTTTTCTGTTAGAACTTCGTCGTCCAACAGCTTATGCACGTTCCGCTTCTCCGCGGCAATCAAAATTCCATCGGAAGCTAAGATGCCAAGACATGTACCGGCATGACTGATAGCCTCCATGGCATATTCTACTTGATACAGCCGGCCTTCGGGCGAAAAGATGGTTGTTCTGGAATCATAACGCCGAGCCTGAAGTTTGAAAAAGCTTTTATAAACAGACAGAATGGACAAAAGAATGATACTATCCGCGGGTAGGATAGCGCAAACGACGGAGAGAGAGATGAAGACTTACCATGGCTATAAGATGCTGCAGTGATCAAAATCTCGAACCGAAACAAAATAATATAAAAATTATTTTGATGATTTCCGCATTTGGCATTTCTCGTTCGCGCTTCGGGACGCAGCAATGAGGCCTTTGCACAAGAATTGTTCCAAGCTGCGCCCAATAAATCAAAAAAGAAACGCTTGATAGTTTCTAGAAAGAATTCATTGATAGTCTTGCAACTGCACGTCTTCAACATCCAGTTACCTCGATCATGCCTTCCGAAGTGCCAGTAGTTCTAATTTCGGGAGCTTCATCAGGAATTGGTCGCTCAACTGCTTTGGAACTGGCCAAACTCAAATGGAGATTATCGTTATCGGGCCGAAACGAAGAAGCCATGGCCGCAGTTGTGAAGGAGTGCAAGAAAACTGGAGCCACTGATGTGAGGTGTACAGGATGGAAAGCATAAATTATTCTTTAGGTTACCACAACGGTTGGAGATTTGAGGGATGATGAGGTCGCGAAGGATTTTGTTGATCACACACTTCAAACATTTGGGAGGATTGATTCCCTGGTGAATGCAGCTGGGATTCTTGTAAATGGAACCGTGGAGGACTCCAGTTTGACTGATTATGACAAACAGTTTGATGTAAATGTCAGAAGGTGAGGTCATCTTGTGTCAAATGATCTTCTCTTAGTATTATTGCCTTAACAAAATACGCGTTGCCCCACATCATTAAAACTAAAGGCACGATTGTCAACGTGAGCAGTGTGGCTGGAACAAATGCTGTGAGTCAGTTTTCCCCTGAAAAATAGCTAGTAATCCAGAATACGTATAATAAATATTATTTTAGTTCCCAGGTGTGACTTATTACTGTATGTCCAAAGCAGCGCTGGATCAGTTTACCAAATGCTTGGCACTGGAGATGGCTCCTCATGGAGTGCGAGTAAATTCCGTGAAGTAAGTTGGTTTTTGCACTACTTACCCGATTTTAGTCCCGGAGTCATCGTAAGTAACATCCATCGACGTGCTGGTCTCGATGATGCCCAATACAAAGCTGTGAGTTAAAATAAAACATTTATTACTAATTTTTTAGTTTCTTGAAAAGAGTAAAACAACGCATGCCCTGGGGCGTGTAGGAGAAGCGGAAGAAGTTGCCAAAGCCATCAAATTCCTGGTTACCAATGAGTCCTCTTTTACTACGGGACATCTTCTGATGGTGGATGGAGGTAGAGGAATCATGACTCCACGCTAGACAGACTCTCCGCTCGTCTTTTTAACAACGCATACAACCTCTGAACTGTGAAATTAAATAAATTATATTACTTACAGTAGTCAGATTGTCTTCGGTGACGACGATTCCCTCTTCCTTCTGGAAATTAAGTTCCTCTATGCTTCTTAAACCTTCTGGGTAAATGTCTGCCAGCGAATGAAGTGGCCTTTTGCTTTTCAAAGCTTGTTTCAGACCATCGGTGACTTCCTAAATATCGAGTCATGATGACACGCACGGATGACACTTACAAATCCATATAATAAGAAGAGACATACAACCAGAGGATAAAATTCGGGGACGAATACTTCAGAAAACTCTTCGACATCACCTGCTTTGGTGGCCTGGACTAGCTTTCCGACGTTTGGGATCAATTTAATCGTTTCTGAAGTAAGTCTTCTTTCCACCCATTTCACATCAACTTACCCAACATATCATCGATGTTTGTTTTGTACAGCGCTGCTAGATTTGATAGTTTGCTGCCCGCAGCATCATTACTTTCTCCCATAGTGGCCTTCCTAAAGGAATAAATGATCTACAGGGTGCGGCAATTTTTTCTTTTTTCGGCCGGATTTGAATTGGCTGTAACCTTTTTATTTTTTGGCCAAATGTTATAGCCAATTCAAATCAAACTGCTGCACCCTGTAAAAAGATTAAACTTACACTGTAATTCGACCAATGTGTTTCTGTGCCATGGGATAATCTTGGATGGAGGATATTCGTCTAAAAGCTTGTTCCAAATACCAGAATCTCTCAGCGAGGAAGACGATCGCCAATAAGGACCGGGGATTCATAATGGCGAAATCTAAGACTGTTAATACTGAATCAAAATCCGACTTACCACACAAACTCAGCACTTTTTTACAATCAATCATCGTATGCTGATCAATTTTTTTCTTGCTTTCCAGCGCCTTCGATATATAATATGAGTACTTTTGGACGGCAAGTTTCTAAAGTTTAGGAGACTTAAATAAAATTGATCTCACACGTGAGGATAAAGAAATATAGTATGGCGATATAAATCCATTGTTTCATAATGATTCGTGGATTCGGCATGAAGGGCCTGAAACAGATACCGTAAAGACAACAAAGACTTACATGAGCAAACCAAGTGATCATATAATCCGGGTTGACTTGTTGAGCAAGTTGCATTGTTTGGAATGCAGGGGTATACTGTAACAATAATGTCCATACCAATGAAAACTTACTTGTCCAGACCTTAGATATATCAACGAAAGGGCACACCAGGCCTTGTCATTCAATTTATTCAACTGGATTGATCTAATAAAACAGTGTGAGGCCTTCCTTAATTTAAATAACTTGGAGTATACTACTCCCAAGGATAAGTAATACTGTGACTTCTTTTGCATGGAACACTTTGAATTGATCGCTACTTTGATACAATTCGCAGAACTAAAAGTGTTGCTGTTGTAAGACGGACCAATACAATGAAACAATTAAAAAAATCGGCTGATACCTTTCGAGATGTTGTTTTTCACCGGTATAATCAAAAAGACCGAGTAAACATAGGGCCAGATCATACCAAGAGTCAGCAAACTTGTTATTCTTTTCCAAAATCAACTTCAGATATTCACATCTCCTGTTAGCCAAATCAATCTTAGTTGAGATACCGTAGTCAGACAAATTTAAGATCTGGGTGCTCTTCATAAAAGCTTCTCCATGAAAACTATAAAATCATCATAGCGAGCTGCATTACTTACCCTTGGATTATCCAACAAACCCCTTCCAAAGTTTTTAGTAGACAAACAGACTTCATTCCCTTTTTCAGTAATGCATTAAGAGAAGGGAATATCTCCTTTATCAACTCAACCTTTTCTTCAAAGGTTTCTTTCGACTTTGCCAACAAACTGACAACATACGAATATTGCAAATCGAAATGTTCTTGCAGATGAACTGGGAGCTTCAAGGACTTGATAAATCTTCCCTCCACCAAAGACTCCTCGTATTTCCCCATCAATTGATATACATTCATCAGCTAAGACATTACGAATAACAGATCTAATCATACCTGGATGTGCCCCAACAAAGACTCAGGATCAATCTCAAGAACATGTTTGAAAACTCTGACCGCGGATTGTAAACTGTTCTGTTTCTTGTAGGCTTCGCCCAACATGGACCAGAGGGGGATCGTGCTTTTGCTGGCTGCATCCTCCTTTCGAGCTTTGCATACTTGCAGAAGTTTCTGGAGTTTTACAACGGCTTTGTCCAAGTGCCCTTTATTTATATCCAAAATTGCTGCTTTCTTCAAAGCCGAGACTGCAACACCTTTCGAATCCATCTAGAAAACAAAAACTTGCAAAAAAACTCGATAGATATAACCAGGCCATTAACTCATTGCAAAGACGATTTAAGACATCTGACAATTTATTCCTAGGTATAGATACAATTCAAATCATGGTGCCGTTTTGGCCAATATCTCCATCTCCGGCAGCAAACAATCTTCGGGCTTGTTGACGATCCCACCACAACGTCTCTCCATCAAAGCATTTCTCGTTATTCTTTTCCTAAAACCAAAATGAAAAAAAATATTTCGACTTACATGTTGCATATGACACATCCGGAAAAACAAGTAGAATCCAAGTAAGAAACCACCAACATAGAGAAGCACACTCTTAGGGCTATTATGGAAGAATTCTGCTTGTGTCATATCAGCCGAATACCATCTAAACATCGATGGACAAACGACAATACCCTCCTAAAAGAATATCACTTATTACAAACCAATCTTATTGAAAAACCTAAAGAGGTGATGTAGTACCTTGTACTTGTAGTTATAGGGGTCATACTCTCTTCTTAGGTATTCTTTCTTCAGAATCTCTTTCACTCTGTAACGCCAAAGAACGGCTTTTTTCTCAGCGTCAGTAAGATTGTATTCCTCTCCGGGCTTAAATTCCATTTTACCGTGAGACTCCCAGTATCCGAGGACTGGATCTTGCCATAACTTTGGCGATTTTATGTTCTGATTTGGAGCTTTCAAGAGCCTGAGAGACGCTCTCATCTGTAAAAAATATTTTAAACAAGGAAACGCAAAACGGTACACACAAATTGATTTTTACACGAACGAAAAGGTACAGGAAATTACAATTGAAATCTCGGCTTCATGGTAATTGGACAGAGTGAAATCTCGCTTTTCCTCTGGTTTGCGCACACACTTCCTTGAATTGTGTCAAATTTCACTCTAACAAATTTCCCCTGTCCAATTGACATATTCCGTCCAATTTCCATGAAGCCAATGAAATCTCGCTGCACAGCTAGCTAGCCGTGCAAAGAAAAAATAAATTTTTATAATGTTGGCATTCCGTTTCAATCGATTTATTCGTTGTAGAACCGAAAAAATATTTTTTAGGCCTCGAAAATCCGACCAAATTCCTTCCTTCGAAATAAACTTTTGGTTTTGTCGATTTGCCGCTTTTCTATGGTGAAAAACTTTTAACTCGCGTTGATTATTTTAATTTGACATTTACCAATACTATTTATTTTTATTTTGTAGGTTAGATCTATCGCCGAAAACCATGCAGAACGACCAGAACGAACTTGTGGACCTCTACGTCCCAAGAAAATGGTAGGATTAAACTGTACCTGTTTATTCTGTTTTTAGCTCATCAAGCTCTCGCATTATCTCTGCCAAAGACCACGGATCCATCCAAATTGATTTCGTCGATGTTGACCCCCAAACCGGCCGTCTGATCCCCGGAAAGACCACCAGATACGCTATCTGCGGGGCTCTCCGTGCCATGGTAGGTATTGCAGATGCAGATATTGAAGCATGTGTTTTATTAATTTTGTTTATATTTTAGGGAGAATCCGACGACTGTATCCTTCGTCTGGCCCAACGTGATGGTTTGATCCCCCAGAACATCTAATTTTGTTGAGTTTTTTGTTTATTAAACTTTGATCACATATATTTCGCATTTTTACGAGCTTGAAATTGTTGGTAAAAGTGATTAAGACTTATGGGTGACTAGCTTAGAATTCAAGGAGTTTATGGTATCAATTTTTATTAATCATTTATGTACAAATAATAGGTAGGATGGCACCGGAATTTTCGTCATGTTGGCATTGTTTAACGATGTGTCGGTCATCGGTCTACTCGTTTTAGGTAGGATTCTCTTAATTGTACCGAATTTGCTTTCGATCGGCACATTTCACAGTCATCATGAGCTTTTTGTAAGAGGAATAATGATAGTAAGGGAAGGAAGAAGAAAGTCGCAAATATGAAGCTGAATCCAGTTGAAACGAGGAGGAAGATGGCTACCTGGTAAAACGCATGGGTCTTCGAACATAGCAAAGCAAACCCGGCTAGTCCACTTGAAAGGGCAGCCATGCTAACAGGGCGGGTCGATTTCTCAACCGCCGTTCTGATTCGATGTTCTGGGCAGAGTCTGGAAGATGGAAGAGCAGCCCCGTAATGTAATGTGTAGTCGAAGGAAAGACTGACAGCCAGCACCAGGATTACTGACTCCAGCATTCCAACCTCCCAACCCATCAAAACTAATGTTCCACTACTACATACCACAATACAAACGATACTGATCATAGCGCAGACAGCTTGTAATCTACAAAAATTTAATATGAATCGATTTGAAGCTTACCTTAAGATGCTTGCAGCGAATATCAGAACGACCAGGATACTGATGACCACAGACTGCGTTGAATCGGCGATAATAGATCGTTGTAAATCGAACCAGGTGGACATCAGTCCCCATTCCGGAGTATACCACATCCCCTTTCGCTGGATGCTATTATCCAATAACTCAAATGATCTCGAAAGATTCCCGAAACGATGAGAATACTTTAGCTTTGTAGGCAATAATGCTGTGTATCCGACAAATTCAAATGTTTTGTTGTGATATAGTGGAGTGTCATTGTAGCTTGTAAGGAGCTGGGATGTGGAAACTCTCATGCAATGGTCCAGATATCGATCTGTGAAGAGATTGTTGTTAACATTGCAACAGATACCACCGGGTTCGCAGGGAATCCGCTGACTCCAGTCGAGGAATCTGAAAAGGAGAGCACGGTAATTTCAAATTAAAATTTTGAATTTTATCTGCGAAAAATATTATAGAAAGCAAAGACTACTGTACCTTTCAGGCCAGAATTTGTGTTCGTGTTGTATAAAATACAAGGTCCGAAGTCTTAGAAGAAAGGCGGCCAAGCCTTTCATATCATCCACAGTTGATAACTCCATGTCCGGATTGATGGATAATCTCGAGATTTCATGGGAATCAAAGAAGGATGACTGATCTTCCACAGCCACACCCCAAACCAACCGTATTGTCAAAGGAAGGGCTATCTTTTGCTCGATGAATTCAAACAATCTCTCGGCATTATTGTCATAAAACTCATTCGGATCGGATGCGATGAATAATTGAAGAGGATTATATTGAGGTAGATGAAGGCCAGTTACACTCACATAACCACATGTGGCTGTGAGTGAGAAAAGAAGGAGGAGCCAGAGATAACGTGCTCTTAGGATTATATTGAGGAGGACGGTTGATAACAAATACGATGTTCGGTCCGTAATTGTGTCATCGATTTGATATACGATGAATTTCCATGGTCTGAAAGCCAGTAGTTATTAGTTGCTGAATAGGTGTTAAGGTTACTTATATAGAAATGGAGACGGTGTTAGGAAAAATTATTTGATAAATTGCTTTTTTGATAGAAGTTTTAGAAATAGTACATGATAAAGTTCCTACCGTATTAATTTGTTGGTCAAGGGATCCAGATGACGTCGTTTCAGGATCAGCACTGCCGGCAGGAAAGAGATCAACATGATGTAATTAAAGATCAGCGTGAAACCAGAAAACAATCCGAAACATCGGAACGCCAGAACAGCCGAGAAGATGTTGAGGAAAAAAGGAACGACCGTCGAGAATTGAGTCAGGAACATGGTGGAGATGGTGTGATGGAGACATTCCCGGAAGGACTCCGAATCCAGAGAATCAGCCGAATTCGGGAACGATGAGAATAAAAGAAAAGCACCATCAGATCCAATTGAGATCAGAAGAACAAAGACGATCAGATTCAGAAGAGGAAACTCCACGCTGAAGATACGATAGACGATGGCTGCGGCCAGGACTGAGGCCAGAAGCTGGACGATACAAGCCAAGCAATAAGTGATGGAACGAGTGTAAAATACAACCAAAGAGATTACAAGAGCCCCGGCTACGAGAGTGTACTTAGAATCTGCGATTGCTGCTTCTAATAACAGGTCTCTCTTCACATCGAGTAGAGTTCCTGAAACGTCATAGTTGAGTTTTTTTTATTCTCAGTATGCGAATTACAATGGATCTTACCTTTTATCACATATTGGTCTGTACTCATATTCCTCAACGCTTCCTGCAGATTGACGAAATCCATTAATCGCACCGGATATCCTTGAAGTTGATAGGAAGTATAAGTGAATACAGGAAGAAAAGAATTGATATACAATGGCCGGGCCGTTAAATCCTTGGGCAATATTCGATAGAAGAGATCGAACATCATTTGAGTGGAACAATTGGCAGGGACCAGTTGAGGATTACATTCCCTGCATTCCACCATTGCCAGCGGCTGCTGTTCGATCTGGTTTTGCCGGACTCTCTCCAAACATTCCCTGCGACAATCGATGATCTCACTACGGTATTCGGCACAAAAATTGATGAGACTTTTAACTTTTACAATATCCTCTGACTTGATGTAAGTGCAATTAATCTGCTCCACAGGGGAAACGCAGGCCACATAATTGGGGAAATGCCAGATATTCCGATGAGGTGTGATCTGATCGAATGGCTGAAGAGCGGGCCTTAATTGATCATTCATTTGACACATCTCAGTTAAGAATTTGGATGAAAAAAGCCATTCAAAACTGGGGACGGAGACGATGACTTGGGCCAGATAATCCACTAAAAGTACTTTCATGTTATAATATAAGTTGTTTTAATTTACATTTTTAAATCTTCACTTACTGGCTGGGACTGGTTGCTGATAGCAGGCAATACTTCCAAGACTGTTAAAGAGATCATCAGCCCAGCCTCTTTTTATTCTTGAAGTTGTATCGACAACAACACGACTCCCCTTAAGTAGAAATGGCTGTAATTGACTCCATCCAATCCGAGGCAACGAGTAGACCGTTCCTCTTGTATTAAAACCCTTTTCTGGATTACTATCCAACCTCAAAGGGAACAGATACAGGAGGGTTGAAGGTAATATAAGGAAGGTCCATAGACTGAGGAACAGGACCGTCCAGGGATAAAAGAAGATGAAGTCCGAGTAGGAGTAATACCAACGATGCTTCGATGAGGAACTGGAAGTTACTGTAGACAAAGGCCGAACCATTTAGCTTTCATTGCCTCAGGGCAGATGGCGGATCCAGAATGAAATTAAAACTTTTTTGGCGAAAGGGAAAATGAAATAAAAAAACGGGCGATCCAGGTAAGGGGGGGGGCGACAGGAATGACGGGGATGTTCAAATGGCGGGCGAGGGGCGGCGGCATGCGCTCGTCGGCTTGTCGATCCGTGAATTTCTTTTTCGGGTCAGGAAGAGAGAAAAAAGTCCGATTGCCTCTGGGGCGCATCTTTCCGAGGTACCCGTCAAAAGGCCTTGAGGCTTTCAATGGGAGCGCGATCTGGCTCAGATGAAGTCAACTGGGAAATCCGGCTTTTCATGGAATCAGATAAACATACATATGTCTGTCGATGACAAAAACGGCATTGGGCAGAGACAATACTAGGATTACATGCTGATATTAGAGTATGCAGTTGACTTTGTTACGCTAAGCAAAACAAAAAAATATTCAAAAACGTTTACGCTTTATTCCCCAATTATAACAGTATACTGTTATAATTGATCATACTCCAGTATGATTAAAATCAAAAAGCAAAGATGGACTACTGTATGATCTTCCTCATGGTAAACACCGAATTACAAAACGCTCAGAATTTGTCGACAATGAAAAAAAGCCGCGGATGGGTGGGATGATATTATATTACACAGGTTTTTCGTCATCCATCGCCTCCGAACACTTGAGAATACGTCGATCCCTTCAGAATCTCTTAAGCCTCTTCGCCCCCCTTCATTTGCATGTCAAACCGGCTTTCTTCCCATACGAAATATTCGATTTATTTTTGAATAAAAATACGATCTCCCGTCGTCAGAAAGTCCTCAAGGGATGAGCTCTTGTTCGGCGGACTTGGTGAGCCGTTCGATGACGGCAGTCTGGTTCACGTATTCGAATACGTTGGGGGCGCTAAGCAGAATCCCCATCGAACCACCCACCGTCACGGCGAAGAAGACGTACAATAACAATCGGTCGATTACCATTGCCACGTATTTCCATTCATCTTTTATCTGCAAAGGGAATACAATTAGAGGGCCAGTAATGCTTTTGAATCGCGCTTTTTACGGCTTGGCACACGGAATCCCCACTAAATTTCTTCGTCTGCTGCACCAATAACGACGTGAAAGAGTAATGGTGCTTGAAAACACCAAATCGCGTTTCAAAAGTAGCTGTGCTGGCCCTTTAACGTGACCGGACTACCTTTTTATAACGATTGACTCGTTTGAGATGTTGAGTGATGTAATCCACGGCGTCCATGGCTTTGATTGCTTCTTCGCTTAGCATCTCGTTGAACTCGGCCTTATAATCATTCAGCTTTCTGTTTAAGGCTGTCTCAACATGAGGCAGAAGATCATGGCGATGACAATGAGGATGATGACTGACCTAAAAAAAGTTGATTTTCGAGTAAGGATGACTGCACAATATTCCATTTTACAAACAAATGTGGGCATATTCTACCTTGGGTTTTGACATCTCAATGAATTCCCCGGGCACATAATTGACTTTCCCAAAAGATTTCTTTTGTGTGTTTTGCAGATTCTCAATATTTGGACGTCTCATACACAAAAACAATGGCATGTATTGCAAGAAGATACGCTTCACCCAAATCGGCATTGTATGAGTTGTTGGGCCTCGGAAATAGATGTTGATAATGACCACAGTAACTAGAATGGTGACTATATTCAGACAAAAGGTCGTCAATAAATATTTGGCCATCAATGGGATTGTGGAAGATGTGGGAGGGAGGATTTTGGAGACGAGGAGGAGGAAAACCACCAAAGCCAAAAGGATGGAGATGGATAATGTGATCTTCTCATCGGCCTCGGCTGGGAGGTAGAACACCATCATACTTAAAAAGGCCATCAGAACTGTGGGGATGATCAGGATTACTGTGTAAAACAATGTTTTTCTGAAGAATCAATTATTATTTTTTTAAAAGTCACAGTAAACATACCGTCTTATTTTAATCTGATATGCAATTTTGCTCTTTTCCTGGATCAATTCCCCCGGCACTTCCATCACATCCCAGATCCCTGAGGGCGAGTAATCATTTAATTCCACCTGTCGTTTCCCCATCAAATATTTGATTGTGACTTCGTGCTGGTTGAATGTCCAAGATCCAAAAATCATGGCACAAGTTTGTTCGTCGAAGGGAAAAAACTCCACGTCGATTGTGCAGGAGCTCTTGTAGATGGCTGGAGGAACCCAAAGCATCTCTCCAGTGTGTTCTACTACCACATTCGAGTAAAATGAAACTTCGTAGTTTCCATCAGCGCTATAAAAAACAACTATACCTTACAGATCAAACTCACTTGTTGAAAAGTACGATATCCGGTAGCCAAACTTTGTCCGGAGGCACTAAAATAATATTTCTGATACATATAAGGATGGTGACATACGCATCAAATCGGGTGTCGCGGCCAGAAATTCTGTTAGGCCTCTAGAAAAGAAATGCGCAATTCTTGTCTGAGCAGAGAAAAAAAGAAAAAAATCTCCACAGGGAGAGAGCAGGAATTTGCGCAATATTACACAATGTTATTCAACAGAGAAGAAATTGCGGTTTCTGGCCACGACATTGGATTTGATGCGTACGTATGTCACCATCTTTATATAATTGTAATAATTTTATAAACAGCCTTTCATTTGATACAAAGAATGCGTTTTATAAATTAATTGTAAATCTAATCATTTTTGACTTTATCTTTTTTTTGTCTACATGATGGCTTCCAAACTTATGTAAAGTATTTCTCCGCCACTAATGCACCAATTTTTATGAAATACTAGTCGCGGCAAAAAGTCCTTAGAATTTTCTGCGACTCCGCACTGTGCATTCACCCGAAAACACATTTTGCACTGTGCAATTTTGTTGATTTTGCCTTATTGTCGCGCGCGATTCCCGTTTTTCGCAGCGACAAATCAACATTTCGGAGGCCGCGAAAAATTCTAAGGACTTTTTGCCGCGACTAGTACCAAATTGAAGCTGAGGCCCCCCTTTGTTTGTCCAAATATGGCGGGCCCAAGTTTATGGAGGCCATTATACTGACAATTATACTGACGTTTTCATTCCAAATTTTGGAGCCCGAAATGGGTGAAACTTAGAAAATGTTTGCAATGATTTCCAACTGAGTTTATCGGACTTGGAAAATATTCGAGTCTTTGGCTAATACGGGAAGTACCCCAAGATTTTCTTTAAATTTGCACACACGTCGGGCATTGACTAAATATCAATTCCTGAAAGTTTTAGCTCGTGCTTTGCAAGCGCCACCGACATATTGAACCGTTTTTGCCGCGGAGAGAGTACGCCTAACGCGGAGAGCGGTCCGAGAAAAAACACTTTTTAGCCATAACTTTGGCAGTTTCGTGCGGAAAAAAATGATTTTTTGTGGAACCATTACCCTTTACGGTAGAAATAGGTATGCAACTTTTCGTGCCGAAATTCGGCAAAAAGTCCTAAATTTTCCCCGACTTTCGATCTAAAAATCTCAGCGGTTTCTGCAAAGCGCGAGCTACGATTCTCGCATATATTTTAGAAAAAATTATTCGAAATCTATGCCAAGTTTCATCAAAATCTGAGCGTCGCACAAGAAGCTAGCTGGTCAAACAATTTTACAACATTTGATATAAATATGTTAGGCCAGCACCAAATGAAGGACACCATTTTATTTTATAATTCACTTAAACCTACGTCTGACAGTTTGAATTCCCCCATATTTCCGTGGATCCCACCTCATTTGATAATCAGTCCATCTCTAAAACGTGTTATTGTGAGAGTTACAGGTCCTTACCATTGTCGGCCACACGTTTGTTTGCATGATTTGATTTTTTTCGTCGACACTGATCAATAAAACCATGGCCAAACTAAAAGATATCTCCACAGGAGTGGAAGTGCTGTTAGGAACGGGACGGACCAGGGAATTGTACCCCTTGAAGATGTCCATCATCAACCTCTCTTCCTCATCCGAACAAGAAACATCTAAAAACGAAATGACCCGTTAATTTATATTGTTTAAGCCAGAGGATGATGGTTGATGTCAGTCTGTCGGAAAAATAGTGGTGGGTCGTCGCAGCAAAATTTTTCGCCCGTTGAAAAAAGGCTGCACCAATTTCCAGCTGCGGCTAGCCGCCGCAAAGCGGTGATGGGCGATTCCAAGGCGCGACATTCCACCACTATTTGCCGGACAGACTGCTACTATACAAATACAAATTCGAATAAGGGAAGTCATTTATTTTACAAGGAAAGTACTTCTATGGGGTGTGGAATTACCGGTCGAGATATATATCAAAAAATCCGCAAAAATTTTCTGATTCAGAATATATATAAATTAGCTGCCTAATTTTGGTCTGATGACATGTTTTTGTCCTCAGAAGTTTTCTCGCGACACAATGCAAGGGTCTTTTTGACCGTGTTTTTACCAATAAAAAAATTTTGTTTTGTGCTAAAATAAATTTTGAGGCCTTGACAAGCCTTAAAATATCAAATTGGATTACAACTACACCTTAAAAGTAGTTCCAATGTAAAAATGGGTTCTGGTGTGGCAAAAGGAATCGAACCCGTCCCCTTCGGATTCCCATTCTAGCGCTCTAACCACTCGGCCACACCGCTCTCTTCCGACGGAAGAGACCGAGCTCGCTTTTGTTGCCGCAGATTTTTTCCTCGAGAAATACATTTATTGATAAAACTCGTTAATAGACCAAAATTAGGCAGCTAATTTTTATATATTCTGAATCAGAAAATTTTTGCGAATTTTTTGATATATATCTTGACCGGTAATTCCACACCCCATAGAAGTACTTTCCTTGTTAGACATTTTTTCAAATATCTATGAGAATCCAGACTCGGCGTCCATTCTGCTTTCGGCGATTAATCTCTTGATAACTTCATGCTGATCGACGTAATCGAAGACATGAGGAGCCGAGAAGATGATCCCAATAGTCCCGCCGAATGTGATTCCAAAGAATATCAGCAACAGCAGACGATCTATCACCATAGCGATATACTTCCAGTCATCGCGGACCTAAATTTAGTATCGTAATTATATATGTGTGTACTATATGTAATCACCACAAAATTCAGAGGAATTTTCGAACATTATACATGTCATCAAACGTTGCGAAACCTACCTTTTTGTCGCTCATCTCACATTTCATATGTTCAGCGATAAAAGCGATGCTCTCAACGGTCGTTTGGAGGTCCTGACTCATCCTCTGTTCATGTCCAAATTCCGCGTTTTTCTGATCCATATTCATCTTCGGACCAAATGTATATTTCCCGCTTAGGAGATCTTCTGCTGCCTCTCTTACTTTCCGTCGGTCCACCACCTCTTCCGGCGGCGGGGGAGGTCTTCTGAGAGCTGAAAAAGTCCGTCCTTTGGCTCTCCGGGCTTGGCAATTGTGATGATGCTTGCCAACAAGAGGACGACGACGACGCCCAACATCAGTGAACGGAAGGATAGTCGCCGTTATTGAGGGCATTATCAAGCCTGGAAGAGAGTTTTTTCAAAATAACTATATCATCCCTGACACAAATACTGATCTATAACAGTACGATCTACTTACTGGCATCGAAAATCTCTTCTACACAGTACTCCTCAACGAAATATCCGTTGAAAATGGGAATCCTTTCAGGTCTTTTCATCATCAGACATCGCGGAAGGAACTCCAAAAAGATGACTCTTACTGCATTAGACATGACGGAGGTGGTCGCTGAACGGAAATAGACATTGATGATGACAACAGTCACAACAATAGCCACGATGTTCAAAATAAATGTGAGCAGGAGGTATTTGGCCATGAGGGGGATTGTATCCGAGGTCGGAGGAAGAATTTTGGAAACAAGTAAGAGGAAAACAACCAGAGCGAGGAGGATGGAGATGCCCAAAGTTATCTTCTCGGAGCATTCGGCTGGCAAGTAGAACACCATCATGCTCAAGAAGGCCATCAGAACTGTCGGGATGATCAGGATTACTGTGTAAAACAATGTTTTTCTAAAAGGAGATGACTATATCTTTGTTTTCCCTGCCTTCTGATGACGATCTGGAATTGCATTTTGCTTTTATCTTGGACCAGAACCCCTGGCGCTTGCATCACATCCCAGATTCCACTGTAACTGTAGTCCTCCAGTTCCACAGCCTTCTTATTCATATACCATTTCAGTTTGACTTCGTCAGAGTTATATGTCCACGAGCCGAATATAAGTTGACAAGTCTGTTCATCGAAGGGAAAATATTCAACGTCGATTCGGCAGGAGCTCTTGTAGATGGCCGGCGGCACCCACGTGACGTTCCCACGGTAATCCACTTCCACATTGCTATGGTAAGAAACTTCGTAATTGCCGTCGGCACTGGAAGTAAGGGGAAAAACAAGGTTATTCAATTTGGACGCCTTCCGCGATCGAAAAAACAAACAAAATGCAAAAAAAGACGCGACAAAATAAATTCTAATCAAAGCCGGAGGTAAAAAAAATTTTGAAATTCGTTAACTCACTTGTTAAAAAGGACAATGTCAGGTACCCAGACCCGATGGACGGGCACTCTCATACTCTGAAGGCCCCTGTAATCCGCCGGATTCCAATTAAATTGACAATCATTCCACTTCAATGTCAACCACACATTCGTCTGCATGATCTGATTCTTTTCGTCAACATTGATCAATAAGATCATGGCCACTCCAAATTCCACAAAAACAACACTACTATTATGACAAGGGGTTGGGCGAATTAGGTGATTATAGTTCTGGAACATGTCGATGACCAGTCTCTCCTCATCTTCATTTGCGGGTTTAACGGTTTCTGAACTCTTTCAATCCTCAAAAATATTATTCTTACCAGGCTGTAACTCCTCATCGTATATGGAGTGACCATAGCGATCGACCGGCGACCAATCTGTTGTGGACTGAGCAAAGCATCGACATAAAAATAAAGGAAAAAGAATCACTACGGGATTCATAACATTGTTTGCGGAAGACAGTTCTGTTTGCCCTCAGGGTACGGCGCGAAGGGCGGGGTCAAGAATTCCGGGGACGCAGGAAAAACGAATTTCCATTGTCTTGGGCTTCATTTGAGGCCGTCCCCAGTGACCCTAGAAGAGAATCCTCTTCTGAAACCCTTGGCCACACAACTTTTTACACTTTCCTCGTATCCGAACACGGACATCCTCGGAGCCATCATCCTCTGACATATCCAAGTTGAAAAGATACTTACAGTAGGACAAGAAGAGGACAATCAGGCAATCCAGTGACATCATGGTCGAACCCGTCTTCTTCTTGATCCAAAGCTTACTCAGTAATCGAACACGACAGCTATGCCATGGGCATGTCGTTGGACTGGAGTCGGCGATTATTAGAGCCAGATGCGGGGACAAAGTCTTTGGGGATTCAGACAACCGAATTGGCCGCCGGGAAATAAAGAAAAGGCGGCACTTAACGGCTATCGATCCACCCCGTTTACACAAGCGTGTTTAAGCCCGCCGGGTATCTGTCACACTTTCCCTTTGTCATGCTTAAGCCCTCCGGGCAAGGCCACCCCCAACTCGAGGGTCAAATAAACACCCGACCATAAGGAAACAAATTTATAATCTCCTTAGTCTTACTCTTACTTTGTACAAAATGAAAACAAATAGGAAAGATGAGGCAGGAGACCGATCGCCGAGGTCTATGCACTGTACCCAAGATAAGCTTGGTAGACATCGCGATGGCCGAAGATAAGACCGGAAATTGTGTTGTTAGAACAAAATTTGCGTAAGAATTAGATTATACAGAGGTTTAAAGACTTTGAAGATACATTTTTATAATAACAACACAGCCCCGGCGATGAAAGAATCGACCGATCAGAGTTAAGATACGTAAAGACACCGCACTTTTGGTTGAGCTCATTCACAATTAAATACAAGACTGGCTGCACCAGTGCTTAAGAGACAAGAGGTATTTGAAGTTATGGCCTTTAAATGGTCCCTTGGTCAGGCGATCGCTTGCTGATCCGACCAAATGGTGGGCGCCCTGAAGATGATATGCACCGTGCCTGCCAAACAGCCAAGGGTAAAAAGAATCAGGAAGATCCGGTCCATCACCACCGACACGTATTTCCAGTCTTCTATGACCTGCAATAAACCACGAATTATATTTGATGACATTAAATTTCATTAGACCAAGTGTAACAAAAATTTATTTACGGCATACCTGCTGATCTTCCTCTTCCTTTCTGAAGTGATCAGCGATAAAACTGACAGATTCAACGGCAGATATCATTGGAGTCTTCTGTTCCTGAACACTCCCAACACGATTAATAAGAGCTGGGTAGGTATCAGAAGGTCGATGAACTTGAAGATGATCACTGTTCTCGAGGAGAATCGACGGTCTGGAGTAAAGGCTCGGTCTGGTCGATTTCCTCGAGGAATTAACCCCGGAAGGAACAAGTTGCATCTAGAAAGAACAAATATTATCATTCACAATGTTAAAATGTCAAGTGAATGTAATACGCGATTCTCTGTGAGAATAACATACCGCTAATGGTGAAAACTCCTGAGGCGGAGTGGTGTTCTCGTAGATCTGAGAAGGACGGCGCATAAAGAGATAATAGGGTAGCAGGTCGATGAAGAACCACCTCATGAACCTGCTCATCTTGTGGGTGGACGGCTGGCGATAGTGAACATTCTGAACAAAACTCCCCATACATTGACACACTTACCAATGTTATCACAGTCACAATTACACTCAACGTAACTAGAACCATTGTAAATAATAAATATTTACCAATAAGTGGAATCACAAGACTCGTCGATGGAATTATTTCGACTAAAATGAGTGATGATATAATCAAAATAAGCGACGCACCTAACAACAAGAAGAAGACGGTCAACGAGATGAGAACACTGATACAAAGTGAGATCTTCTCTCCTCCATCCGACGGCAGATAAAAGACCAACGCCGTCAGTGCACTGATTCCGACACAAGGAATCATCAGATTGACGGTATAGAAAAGTGTTTTCCGACGGAGATGGATCTCGTAGGTGAGGTCGATGAATGGAGATTCACAACAGGGATAGCGCTTCTCGTGTCTCTTGGCCGGAACACTCAGTATGTCCCATTCGACACTTGGATAATAATCACTTAGATCAATACCTGAAAGATCATGTGAAATATAATTATCTTTAGAATAATGCGCAGTGAGATTTTTGTGTCGAGACTTTACTCACCTTGATCAACTACCCAGACTGTCTCGTTGTATTCTCCATCGATTCCTTGGACTACAATCTGATCTTCTCTTTGCAGATGCTCATCTCGATGCTTTAGATCAACCTCGAATCCACCGTAAGTCCAGGATCCAAACTTCATTTCGCAAGTCTGAACATCCAACGGAAACCATTCTACATCTATCTGACACATACTGTAAAAACATTACGAATCGTTTGCGTCATGATTACGTAAAAACGATGACATAAAATAATATTTATTCACCTCTTGTAAATGGCCGGAGGAGACCATTCTACTGTTCCGTCAAAATTGAGCTTGGCCTTGTGCATGATTGATACTTGATAATTACCATCAGCGCTGTAAAAAATATTTATTTTTTGTCATCAAATTCTCTCATATTTTGCGTAATCTTATGAAAATAGATGACGCAATTCAAACCTACTTGTTATATAATACAATATCGGGTAGCCAAATCAAATCGACGGGGACATAAAGTTGCTTCACTCCTCCGTATTCCTCTGGATCCCAGGTCAATTTTTGATCTCGCCATGTCTAAAAAAGCCAAAACAATCATTTGAAGAGCCCTTAAAGTAATGAAATCAGCCCAAAGCAATGTCACAACAACATTCTGTCCTCCAGACACCCATCTTTGACCCTGTAGCCATATTTCGGAAATAAAATTGATTGTTCGCCATTCCGTGACGTTACTTACATGATGAAGCCACACATTTGTAGTCATGATTTGATTCTTTTCATGCTGAAAACAGGATATTTAAGCGTTTCCACCCGCATATTTGCCACCCCTTTCCTCCACTTACCACATCCAGGAGCTGAGACAATTTCAGTTTGAAATACACGACCAGAGTGTCGGTGTTGTTGTAGACGGGCCGAACGAGTTTGTTGTAATCGGAGAGCAGAGTCTCGTAAAGACGACTGGAGTCCTTGCTGGACTGTGCCTGGACGAAGGAGCAGAGGCAGACCATAAACAACGGCCATAGCTTCAGACCCACCAAACCCTGGAGGACGCGGCTCGGCGTCCGCATGGTGGCCGCATAAGTGGAGCCGGGCCTGGTCCGACGTCTCGCTAGTCCCGCTCCTGGACAGACGGGCTCGGCCGCCGCGTCAGCCGTGCGGCAGCCGGCCGCTTCACACGTCCTGAGCCCGGCGCCCCACAAACGACCGCGCCAACGTTGCTGTAGACGTCGTCGTCGGATTCAGAAAGCCGGGAGACTCTTTCGAAGTCAGCAGTCTCATAAAAACAGGCCGATTAATCACCCAGCGCTCTTGATTTACGTGCTGATATTGTTGGTCAACAACAAAAGGCGGCCTCTTCGCTATAAATCAACTTTCCATCATTTTGATCACTCAAATGAATACTATAAAAACACGAAGTCTCGGTGAAGGGGAAACGTTTTGTAGTTTTAACGGCGCGTAATAAAGGTGGCAACGCGAAACGATGTATACACATTAATATTACAAAAGCAATATTATAATTCATGTACCATTGCTAAGAATCCTGGCGTAATTTCTTCTCATTGGCTAAAGAAATGAAAGGAATGGGGATATCCGATAGACATTTGTCAGGAAAATACAAATTACAGGCCAGATCAATTGGTCTTCAAATGATCAAAACGCTAATTGCCCTCGAAATTGGGATAATCTCAGAAAATAAATAAGTGGCATCCATGAACATTACGAATGGTAGTCTTGCAATAAAACAACAATATTTTTGGCAATACCAACGAAGAGAACTGATCCTCAGCCAAAAAGTAAGTCCAAACAATAAAAAAAGGAAGTTAGAGCGCAGAAGCAGTGCTCAGCGGAGATTACTGAGTAGCTGGGTGCAGCCGGGAGAAGGGGGCTTATAGTGTCCGAAAATGACTAAGTAGCAAAGGAACCGAAAAAAGTCTTGGCCACCCGACTGACCAGTTCACGTGGTGGATGGAGGCTCAGGATGCGGTCTCATCTCAGATCGGTGAGACCGATGTCATGCCGGATCCCGTCTACAACGAGTGCCAGTCCTCCTCCCCTCTCCCCCCGCACAAACTTTGAGATCTCTTCGGCGGCCCGAAGGCAGATAGTCTCATTCCAAGCGACGAAAAAAGCGGAGAGAAGGGCCATGAAGAGTGGCAAAAGCAGCACATCCCTTTTCTACTTTTTGCGGCCGCTTCTCCGGCACAGACGTCTCAACGGGCCCACCGTCAATTGGCCAAAAAGCCCCCCGGGCGCGGGGAATCGCCGCCGCCCCGACGTCGGAACTTTTCTTTTTTTTTGCGTTGCCCACTTGGCCAATCTAACCCTTCCTGAAACCAGAAAACCGTGGAGTTCGAGCCGTTCACGGCACAAAGATTGGATTCCGACACCCACTCCCCTCGCTAGGCCTCTCCTGGGACCGGTCCCTTTCTTGCCGGTGACCTTTCCTTACATATCAAAAAGTTGGTCCAGGATGTATTGACATATCCTTCTGCAGACTCCACACCCGAAACCACAAACTTTCGACCCATCCCTTGTCTTCACCTGTCCATCATTTAGACACTTTATTTTTGACAAAACTAAAACCTAAATTCTGGAAATCTGATCCTTCTGAAAGGCAGGATTCTGGAAGTCGTCGTATAATCGAGCCCACGGGCCTCTCCCAACATTCTTATCCATGAGTTGCGCATGTTGCCAATGTGGCAGTTTCTTCTTGTTCTCGGCGTAGAAGATGTCCGGATACTCTGCTTTCTCCACTTTACCTTCATGGACCCTCTTCTCCAGCCACTCACGATAAACGGTCTTCAGAACTTCTTCCGATGGTCTATACTGATCTAAATACTTGTCGAAAGGCCTTGGTTTGAGAGGGAATTCCTTCTGAGCTCGCTTAACGGGTTCGTTCCATTCATACCAGAACCTCGGACTCTTCAATCCTAAAAAGAAAACATCAAAAATCAATCAAGAACATCTGGCGCTGTTACCTTGCTCATGCAGAATATAATCCACATTCTCATCCCATTCCACTTGACAAAACTTGATTGCAGATGGAGTCATTTTGTCCTCAAATGTCTTCAAAAATCTGTTGGTCGAAAATAATCGCTGGACAAATTCCGGCCTGTATAAACAAAAAATAAAATGAGCGCCTCTTATAGAACACTTACGAATTCAATTTAAACGAGCTGAAATCAATCCTTTCGGAATGCCTAAACAAGACAAATGCAACTCGGTGAAATCCGGTTCCATGATAGGGAGTTGGGGGTAAATATGGGGCAATAACATCACTGCCTCCAGTGACCCCACTTCCATCAGTAATGTTTCCCACTGCCCAGTGAATAACTTGTTTTGGACTACCCTCTGGCATTTCCGATTCAAAAAGATTTCCGTCCAAATTCACCATTACAAATGTGTTGAATCCTTTGCCGTTTTCCGGAGTTTGAATATTAACATTAGGCTCTGACAGCAAAGAACTGACGGGAATGACATTTCCGGTCCTTAAACTATGGTCTCCACATTTAACATCCAGCTTCTGAACATTGTGAAAGAAAGCCCCATCAATAAACAGATCAGAGAAGATGTTGAAATGAAGAGCAATCGGTAAACTGTTATCACTAACTTCATCCAAGTTTATCAGCACTAAACCAATAACAAAAAGATACAAGGTTTACTTACATTCATTCTTCCGTGCCTGCCTCTCAAGCTCAGGGTCTTTCTTCTTACCTTCATGATCATCCATATTCAACTTGCTGAATCCAATATCCAAACTCAAACGCTTCTTCCCATCTGAAATCAAAAGTTAAACAAAAAACGCAAACAAACCAGAAAGCCTTTCTTCTAAAGATTTGTAGTAATCGGTAGGATCAATGATGTACATCTCTGGAAGCATTTCTGGGAACTCAATTCTCGCTTTATACCAAGCGTTTCTCTCGGACCAACTAAAATAATGCAATAAATTAACATAATACAACCCCCATCTGAAACAGTAAATTATAACACCTCACCGTGACTGATAAAAAGCAGCAGGACCGGCCCAGGCAATTGCCCGTGGCCTCATGGGTCGACCAACTCTGGGAGTTCTTTTTGCTCGATTAGAACCTTGAACATAATGTTCGGCATAAACAGATCTTATCCTTCTAATTCCTGACATCCTTTAACAACAACAACAAGGAGTAATGTCGGTATAAAATTGTAAAATATAATATTTTTTTGAAAGCACGAATTGCCACTAACGATTGTTGCAGGTTTCCAAAATAATAAATGGAAAAATATATTTTGTAGTTTTGAACTCACTTTATGTCCCTTTTAAAGTTAGAAACTCTTGTCGTGTGATCAGTCGTGTTATTGTGTTGTCTTGTTATTTTAATATTGCATCATATTCTTTTAGTTCAACATGTCCGTCAAGGCTTTTGTGGATGGTTTGATCAGCTCGAAAAAGGTCGTTATCTTTTCCAAGACCTATTGTCCATTCTGTACTAAGGCCAAGGATGTCTTCAAGTCTTTTAAGCTCCAATCCGGAGCTGTGGAGACTGTTGAACTGGAAAACCGACCAGATTGTGATCAAATACAGGATTATTTGAAGGAATTAACTGGTGCCAGGTGGGTTGAAATCGGATTTATTAGCAGTTTTATCGTTTAGATCCGTGCCCCGCGTCTTTATTAACGGGAAGTTCCTGGGTGGTGGAGATGACACCGTCGCCGCCTTCAAAGATGGATCACTGGAGGTTAAGCTGAAGGAAGCAGGCGCTCTTTAAAGTAATATTATGTACTTAAATCCTGTGATTACCAGTGATACGCAATAAAACGTTTATTGAAGTTCATTTTACGTTACTACTTTTTTTTATAGTTAGCACACCGAATGAAAAAATATAGGATACGTTTTGGAAAGGGAATGTTGTGGAATTATGTAAGGAAAAGATGTTAGAATAAGGTATAAATGTTACATACAGACAAATACTATGAATATATACACTTATTTATTTTAGAAGGCATTTACGCATACATTTGAGAGATGAGAAGGTCGTCTTCATCATCAAGAAGACTTTCCCCTTTCCTTATGTTCCTATTGTTGTTGGTTTTTCGTCTTTTGCACATGTAATGGACTCCTGCCGCTAAGCCTACCAAGAGGAACAATCCTAAAGCCGCAAGTCTAAGTGAGAGACCATTTGAGGATGTTGTTGTAGGCAGCGCTGAGGGAGTTGTTGCATTAGGTTTCGGCTGAAGATGAACTTGTCGACCTGGCTGTTGTGGTTGTTGAGGTCTTTGCTGTTTCCTAAAACTTCAAAAGTTGGATGATATTTTTTCTTTGTGAGTTGATATATATGCCGAATTTAACTCACAATTCGGGCTGGTCGCAGTTTGACTCGTCAGACCCGTCTTCACATTGCGTTACTCCATCACACACATCATATTGGGCGATACATTCTCCGTTCGCACAAACCCATTGATAGGTAACATCGCAAAAAGCCGGTTGTAGGTCAGCTTCTCCACCAAACATGATTCCATCATTTTGTGCCCGCGCCCAAACCACCAATATACATAGAGAAATGATTATCCTCTGGTCCATAGCTGCATCTGATCGGGATAAAACAATAATTTGTTTCTATACCCGCCTTGGGCAAGAGAAAGGGAATGTTATCGATTAGTGTGCCGTGGCCGAAAAAGGGAAAAGAGAGGGCGAGAGAAGGAGCCGGGCCCTGAGGGCAAACACTAGCCCTACGTTTGGGAATTTTATGCGTGAATGTATGCCCTCTATAAACGTTTTACAGCGGTAATATCTTAATGCTGCTGCACAATTGAAATATTTTTATTTACAAAATCCTCAGTCAATTGCACAGTTAGACATACGAACGGGCTCTCAACTCAATTACACGAATATGATTAGTTTAGTCTTCTTGGCCAAAGTCTTTTTTGAATCCTTCCAATTTCTCCAGATCCGCTTGATTGACAGTCGGTTTGGTGGTCATTAGGGAACGGAGCATATCATTCTGGAGTTACTAATTAGCATACGCCTTTGTTACTTACCATACATACGATTGGTTCGGCTAATTTATCGGACGGGACTTCTAACCAGCTCATTTCTTTGGCTCCTGGACGCCCGGGGGAACAGGGAGTAAGAAGATCATCCACAATTTCACCGGTAGTAGGCGATGGACCAGATATCTAAAAAAAATTAAGTATTGAAAAATATGCTATCAACCTACTCTAACAAAATGAGTTGCACTCTGGAGTTTCCGAACTGGCTGCATGAGGGCATCACGTACTACCATCGAAATATCATGACCCGAGTATCCTTCAGTCTTCTCGGCCAACGCCTTGATGTCGTCATCAGTCAGGCTGTGAGGAGTTGAGCCGATTCCAAGTTTAAACATTTGCTTCCGACCATTACAATCCGGAAGGGGAATGTAAATTCGTTTCTAAAAATAAAGTAATAAGAACGAACAAACACATTTCATACCTCAAACCGTCTTCGGATGGCCGAATCAAGAACCCAGGGGATGTTGGTAGCACCGAGGACCAAGATTCCGTCGTTGTCAGTTCCAACGCCTTGCATTTGGACCAGGAATTCGGTTTTGATTCTTCTGGCGGATTCAGATTCGTTATCGGAACGAGATGAGCAGAGGGAATCCACTTCATCAATAAAGATGATCGACGGTTTCTGTTGCCGTGCCATTTCGAAAAGCTCGCGGACCAATCTAAAATAATATTGTAAAGAGCAATCTTCCATCTCCTTACTTCTCTGATTCTCCAAGCCATTTCGAGACCAGATCACTGGACGAAACCGAGAAGAAGGTTGAGTTCTGGGCTTCTGTAGCCACGGCCTTCGCGATATAACTCTTTCCTGTTCCTGGAGGGCCAAACAAAAGAATTCCGCGCCATGGTTTGCGCTGACCTGAAAGGAAACAACCAAAAATATATGACAATGTGCGTAAGGGACCAAAAGTGAACCTAAAAAGTGAACAGCTCCGACCCTGAGAGCCTAGAGACGCACCAAACGGGGTTGGGCCGAAGCTGTTTTCTGGCCGTCCTCTTCTCCCCCTTCTCAACCCATTTCTTGGGCAAAAAAAGAGTGCCTGAGGCCGTCTCCCGGAGGTCGAGAATTGCTTATCTCTTTTCCCACGTCCCCAAGTTGGTCTAATTGAGATCAGGACACCAGTGAAGTCGAGCATGAGTCCCGTTAAGGATGAGCCGAATCCCATCTCCAGCCTAATCCTCATAGACATGGACGGCCGACCGCCTGTGGCCTATCCCTACAACGCCACGGACTTCGCCGTTCCCAGTTTGGTGCCTTGGCTGGGCGGGGTGGCGTTGCTAGCAGTGATCTCCAATGCTATTCTGCTGACTTTCCTGTTATACAGGCGTCTCTATCAGCACTTCATCTCTTCTCAGTTCATTATTCATCTCTGTTTGACTAATATCATTGGCATTACTGTCCTCTTCCCTCAGTATCTACATAATCTGTGGACTGGAGAGAACCTTTGGCTCAATAATAATGCACTTTGTCGTGTACAGGTGAGTTTAACCTAAGGGAAAGGGTGTTTATGTCTGTCCAGCAGCTAATCTTATTCATTCAGGCGTTTTTTATCTGCTCAATTTGGTCGGTAGTCAACTTTGCGACTGTGAGCATCGCTGGTGTCCACCTTTTGACCTTCAATCGGATCCATTATGATCAACTATTTGGGATGAACCCAAATCATTTATGTTATCTATCATGGCTAGTGGGATTTGCTGTCTCTCTACCATGTATTACTAATGGGAATATCGTTGTCTACAATCCCGCCCTGAGGCATTGTATATGGGGGATATCCGATTACAGCTACAAGTTCCTGACCTATGTTATAATACTAGGAGTCATCATCCCCGCGCTTCTTTCATATTACTCTTATCTGAAGATCCTCAAGACTCTTTACCATTCGCCGATCGTCTTTCAAAGCCTCGGACTATACAAAAGCAGATTCATCATCTACACTTTCTTTTTATCGTAAGTATACAACTTCATTACGATAACCAAATAACAAATGTAATTTTAAGGCCGTTTTATCAAGCGCCTTTGATCTACATCACTCTGACTGGACATGAAACTTTATACGGCCCTCAGGACATCTTCCCGATCGTCAGTTCCATCCTCGCCTACTGTCCTATGGTCCTGACTCCCCTTATATACAGCCTATCCATGGTTCTGATCAAGGAGGAAGACATGGTGATAACAGCCAGAGCTCACAAGAGTACCAATGCCTACACTCAAGTCGCCCCAGGTCATCGACTCTAATCTTATGTGATAAACCAACCCCTGTACAGAATTTTAATGCATAATCCGTAAACATATAACATGTTAGACATGAATAGCTCTAATAAACTATAGATAAGTTGAAAAACACTTACCCTTGAATAAATGTGGGAACTTGATGGGTAATATAACGGCTTCCTTCAAAGCTTCCTTAGCTCCTTCCAACCCGGCAATATCATCCCATTTGACATTCGGTTTCTCCACCACGATGGCCTTGTTCAAACTCTCCTGAAGCTTCTTGTTTGCATTATCAGAATCCGAATCTCCATCGTCATCTTCCTTTACTGGCCGCTTTGAGTCATTTTCCTTTCCTTCAAGGTATTGCTTCACCTTCTCGGCTCTGTCCATATAAGTGACCATCCGCTGTCTGATCGTTTCTCGCTGACGATCGCTGTGGGTTTCATCTGAAACAATATAAAGACCGTTTCACACTACAAAACAAAACAATACAAATGAATGAATATACGAAATCAAAATAACGGAATTTTCTGTGCCAAGTTTTTGGATACTAGTATTATTTTACACCCTGTACGTATAAAACTCATTACAACTAAACGCACTGTCTTTTCCAATTAATTGTTTAACAGCAAAACAACCTATAAATCGAAGAAATAAATTTAAAGACAAAAACATACATTTCAAAGCGTGCAAGAAGTAATCGCAAGCATTTCCATAGAGCCTGAGGGCTTCCCGATAGTTCTTACTTCTGTCTTCTTCTGTGGCCTTGGTCACTAACTCGATCGCCTTTCCCAAACTCGTGTCCGATGCCATCTGAAAGCAAGAAACCAATGATAAGCGTAAAATAAATCAATAAACGCATGATGAACATGATATGAACAACAAACAGATAATAATTACGACGACTTAGACTCTAACTATTCGTGAATCAACAAAAATGTTAGGAATAAGCCTAGAACGCAGTCGACTCACGGGAAGGTGACTGACGAAACAAGTTTTCCTTTCTTATTCATCCATCGTTTTTTGTCTGCGCCGAGCTGCGCCCGAGCAAATTCATTTTGGGGTCACATTATACGGTGAAAGTTGCCCTTAAGACTTGAAAAGCAATGAAAGATCCAAGGCTTTGAGTGCGAAAATTTCTTTCACTAACCGAAACCGCATATTATGGCCTTGCTTTGTGTTAATAAGATGATTAAATAAATTTTATTAAAATAATATCTTGATTATCTTATGACTCAATCCTCGTTTTCGCTCGTGCCTGTTTCGTATCACCATCTCGTTTCTTTCTATTTGCTTTGCAACGCTTTCAAATACATTTGACATTACTCCGGGACAATGAATTCAATAAATTCATTTGAAGATCTCATAAAATTATTTTTGATTTTTCTGCAAATTTGTCTATTGTAAAGTTATGAATTTCTTTCAAGTTTGCTAACACTTAGTGGTATATATGCTATCCGTTGCTCTCTGTCATTCATTAACTCTCCTCTACATACTTGATCATTCGCTTTTTAATTTTGCATGGATTATTACTGCCCCATATGAGGATGTTAAGAAGATATGCGAATATTTTGGCTATAAACTACGAATATTAGGAATTATAATTCATATGTTCGGTTAATTGTTCTTATTTGGTTTTAATTGATGTTTTACATACCATCTCTATCTCCGTGCCATGTATTTTTTGCCTAATCCCTCTCGAGAAAATTACACTTTTGTCATCATATTATTTACATCTGAATGCTATTTATAGCGGAGGACGTCTGACAAATACTGTTTCCTCTGGATTACGAGAGGATATCTGTAATCTTTTGGCCTCATCTATTTCCGATTAATGTATGGCGAAGAGGGGGAAAGACGAGGATCGAGGGGCAAAGACTGGGGAAGAGAGGACGGTGTGCGGTTTATAATTCGCCCCGTTTAATGGAGCCCCGGGGTCGAAGTGGGACGGATAGCTGCAGCGAGGGGGCAAGCGAGGGGGAAGACGGCTAAAAATAGTATCTGAAGTCGTTTTGGACATTCATCCGCTCTCCGCCGCCGTCCGAGAGTGCATTTCTGGGTGCGGGGTGAGTGTTCGGGGTAAAGGGGAGACCGTTGGGCGGTGTGTTCCCCATCTCATCGGATGTCTGTGGTCCCCAATCTTGGCCTTCTCTTCAAGTCCTCCCTTCCTCATGCCATAGCTCCCCTTCCTTTTCGCCCTTCTGTTTGTTTAATCCTCTTTTTCTCGCCCTTTTATGTTTCTTCCTTTTCTGCGCTCTGTGCGTTCTTTGTTACCCTCATGCTCTCTCGATATCCGCCGAAGACAAGTTCAGAAGCTTTTTGGCCAGACTGGCCGAAAGCTGAAGGGAATACACAAAGCTGATAGAGTACAAGATGCAGAGAAAAGGACAGGTCGAGGAAGTGCGGCGAAGACGGAGCGAAATGGGGCCGCAACGGCAATTGGGCCGCGGCACGTTCATTTCGTAGCGCTTAGCCGAAGGGCGCACTCGATCGAGACGAAAGAGTGGACCCAATGGAGAGGGAGCAGACTCCGTGGCCTCGAGGCCACAAAAGTTTGGGGCTCGAGGGAGAATGCGGCTCTCACTCATTTGGGTAGGGGACGGGGAAAGCCGGCGTTTCGTGCCAAACGGCGGCGGACAGAGATGAAGAGCGAGGCCCAAGACTTACTGCTACTTTCGGTGGTCCCGACTTTCTGGACTCCCAGCCCGAGAAGCATCCCAAACAACCGGAGGGGGCTCACCTCCGAAGAGAGCGATCCGGACCAGAAAAATGGGACGTGCGACGAAGCCGTTGCAGCAGGAGATTTGGAATCTTGGGACGGCTTCGAATCCTCTTTGCTTTCTGAAGGCAAAAGAACATAGGCCGACGAGGGAAGTCGTCGAGCACAGAAGGGAGAGGACGACGTTTCTGCCATCTTCTCCGGCGCTCTGGTTCGCAATCCTCCCGCAACTTTCTTGCTTTTGTTCTTGTATTTAGTTTCATTCTTTGCCCTCTTTTGCCGCCCGGAACTCTGGGGCCTAGACACCCCGGCCGAAGGATAAGGCGGTCCTCCTGGTTCGTTTTCTCTCTCCTCGTCGATGTGCTCCGTCCGTCGATAGGGGCATCATCCTTCTTTCACCATTGTTTGCGTCATGTTGACAGGTTTTCTTCAGCTCCATCCCGCGACGTTCGGGGCCTAGCGGCGGCTAAAAATAGACGCCGAAGCCGCCGTTTCTCTGACTTACAGGTAATTTGGCCCCTTCGCTGATTAAGTGGCGGGCGGTTTTCATTGGCATCAATTACAGTTCCAACAGTCGAGTCACTAGGGAGTCTCGACCCTTTCCTTTTTGATTGTTTCTTCGACGGCCACAACGCCTGAAGGGAGGGGGCGTCGCAGGACCGACTCTTGTGGCGACCTCATCGCCTCCTGCCATTTCTTGTTCCGACGGGCCGTTTTGTTGCTATTTTTGGAAGGCGGTTGGGAACTAAGAAGGAGGAAAACCGAGGGAAAGAGTTTGTTCGTAAGGTTTATAGCGGTGTTGCTCATTTGCACCTCCTCTTTCGGGCTTTTTGATCCTTTGATTTGCGTGTTATTCGCGGAAGTAATTGGCTTTTTACAAGTTTGGCTTCTTTCCAGGAGACGAGCACTGTTACGACCGGAGACTTGGCTACGAGCCCCCTGATCCCTCAAACAATTGATCGGTGTAGACGCTGTGCTCTCTGGCCGAGAGACTTTCTTTCCCTGAGGGCTCGGTTTCTTTCTCCCATCTCCTCTTCTCTTTTTCGTAATTTCCCAAAAATCAACCCGGCTCAATAACGGCCGCACCGTGCATTCTGCCGTGCTCTTCCGTGGGAGTGGCTGCCGAACATCAAGCCACCCATTCCTCCAACATAATCAGCAACGAAGGAACCGCGTGCGGGCTGGTGGTGACATCACAGACCAAGGAAGCCGGTTCCCGCCGAGTCGGCGGCGGTGCTCCTAAATCTCCACCCCAGCCAGTTTCTGAAGTCAGCAAAGCCCGGCGCGCCCCTGCAGAACACGGCCAGGCCGAGACCGGGCCGCCCAGGGGCCAACAAGCATCGGCCAAGCCCCGAGGCAACAGTTCAGCTCAGGAATTATCCCCCGATCCCCACCGTCCCCGCAAACGCTCCTCCGGCATCTCCACCTCCAGCAAGATGCGTATCCTTGGCTGTATGAGCAACACCGGCGCCCTCGGCGAAGAAGAACGGGAACAACGCAAGGTCAACAAGCAGATCGATGAACAACTCCAAAAAGAAAAACAAGTCCTTCGAGCAACCCATCGACTGCTGCTTCTCGGTGCTGGTGAATCCGGCAAGTCCACCATTGTGAAACAAATGAGGATCTTGCATATCAACGGATTCAACGAAAAAGAAAAACGAGAAAAAATTCAGGACATCCGAAGGAATGTCAGAGATTCCATCACGGTAATTTTTGCGGCAATACATAGTCAATAACGTGTTTTGAAAAACGTAATCAAGATGATTGTAGGTGATTGTAAAATCAATGTCCGAGATCGATCCCCCAGTCCAGCTAGATAACCCCGAAAACGAAGCCAGCAAACGTTACATTCTCGATGAGGCCAACGAGCCCGACTTTGAATATCCTCAGGTAATTTCAAATCCATAATTGTCATCTTAATTACGCAACATTTTTTCAGGTTTTTTACGACCACGCTAAGAATCTTTGGGCGGACAAGGGAGTCCAGGCGTGTTTTGAACGCAGTAGTGAGTACCAGTTGATCGACTGCGCCAAGTATTTCCTCGACCGAATCGACGAGGTCCGGAATCCCGAATACAATCCTTCAGAACAAGATATCTTGCGTTGTCGTGTCATGACTACGGGTATTTTCGAAACAAAATTTGAAGTGGAAAAAGTTCGGTTTCAGTAGGTTTTTATGTCGATTTTAAACAACATTTCGAATCTGTTTTCTTTTTCGTACTTTTCATCAATTTTCCTGAAATTTTTTAGTATGTTTGACGTCGGTGGACAGCGGGATGAGCGACGAAAATGGATTCAATGTTTCAACGACGTAACGGCCATCATCTTCGTATGCGCTTCTTCATCGTATAACCTTGTTTTATGGGAAGATAACACCCAGAATCGACTAAAGGAGAGTCTGGCGTTGTTCAGGAACATCTGGAACAACCGATGGCTGAAAACGATATCCGTCATCCTCTTCCTCAACAAACAGGATCTGCTGGCCGAAAAAATCAAGACCGGTCGTTACAAGCTCGAGAATTATTTTCCGGAATTTGCGAACTACCAGCTTCCGAACGACGCCGTTTTCACGCCTTCAGACGACTCCCAGGTGGTCAGAGCCAAATATTTTATTCGGGGCGAATTCCTGGTGAGTCTTTTTTACTTTTTTCTTTTTTTGGCCGGAGGGCTTAGCATGTTCGAACTGGCTAAAAATAGAAATGGCGGTCTATTTTTAGAAGTAATTTTTTGGAAGCGGGGCTTTCTTTCCCTGCACGGCACATTCCCCTTCTCGTTGAAATTGTTTTTACCTTTTTCCTTTCTCTGGCACCCTCTCCCTTTCACACACTCTCCCATTAAATTCTGTTTACAATTTAAATAATTTAAATGAGTTTGGCGGCCAAAAATGAGGGCCTACGGTTGACGACTGTTACACTTTGAAGTTGGAAGACATGTTTGTTGGCTCAGAGAGGTCTTCATGTGCGGGGTCATTTTTAATATAAAACAAAGATCTGTCAGTCATTATCCCAAATTGGCCGAAATTGGACCGAAAACATACTCTGGTCTGTAATTCCAAATTAGGTGCGATTACAGGACTGTTATTGTTCCGTTCATCATTTCTTATATTACTTTTTAAGTACTAAAAACGGCTCATCGTATCTTTAGTGACTTCGGGGGAAACTTGATAAGAGAGTCAAGATAAGGATGCTGCCAAAAATAACTTTGAGGTTCTATTTTAAAAGAAGCGTGCAGAATTAAACAAATTTGCAAGACAAAACCCCTCAGGGGAAATTCGAATTTCCATAATTGATCCTCCTATTTTTTGGGATCAATTTCTTCGATTGTTTACGTCATTAAAGTAAAGATTGTTCATGATTTCAGAGGATATCAACCGCATCAGGAGAGAATCGGCATCACTGTTATCCCCATTTCACATGTGCTGTGGACACGGAGAACATCAGGAGAGTGTTCAACGACTGTCGGGACATCATCCAACGGATCCATCTGCGGCAGTACGAGCTGTTGTAAAGGTTGGTCATCGTCCGATTATATCTTCTACGGTGCTCTAGTCTTACAGGGGAAGTATTGCAAGTGCGGCGCTCAGATTTTAATGAAACTTGGCTCAAATTTGTATAACTTTTTCTAGGACATGTGCGAGACTTTAAACTTGATGTCTGTTTCTACCGCAGTGTTAATGTTTCCACAAAAATTTACTTGCGAAACTGATATGATAAAACAAATGTTTTTGTTTTTCTCTGTGACCGTTCTTCGCGTTTCGCATACTCTCTTGGCCGCAAAGATCGTTTAATATCTAGGCTGCCTTGCAAAGCTCGCGCTAAAATTTTAAGGAATTGATTTGTGGTCCATGCCAATTGCGTGTGGAGCGTCGCAATTCGGGTACTTCCCTTGTTAATTGTATTCTCCTGGATGGGGGGAGAGGAGATGCTGGACACTCTCAAAGGACCACACCAATATCTAGTAGTTCAGACATCGGCGACCCCTCCATCCACCGGTTTCTGTACATGTCTACGTCTGATACACGGTGCGAGTGATGGTACTTTCGTTGTTTCCTTCTCCCCTGTCTCCTTTATCTCAGCCGCTCTCCTAGTCATGATCATAATGTCGTCCGAGGTCATCTCCTTCTCCATCCGAGCATTTGCGTCTCCATATTTATTCTCATTTTGTAAGATACGATCAATGTTGATGGATGGCTAGGGTCGATGGCCTCAGGGCAGACTACGATCTCCATTTCAATCGTTGCAAGAAAAAGAAAAGGAACGATTCAAGACTTCTATGTTCTTATGTATACTTTTATATTGGATGTTCTTCTAGTCCCAGACATTTGAATCCGGCCCCGATCATCTCGGTTGTCCTGTCCATCCTCTCTTGTTCATATCCAACGCCATGATTTTAGTTGATGACAGGCCGAATCGGATCGCTGCTCGGATTACATCCTTCTTGTTGTTTTTTTTTCATTTCAAACGGGTCACTCGGTTTTTGAGTTTTACATTACAATTATTATATATTGAGTCTTCTTCGGTAAATTGCTTTCGGTTAATGCTTAACTTGTACTAATTAGTTGTAATTTAAAGAAACAAAACCAACATCCATCTTTCTTTGTTGTACTTCGATTGTATTTCTTTCGGTATTTGTCAAATTTTACTGCGAAACCTGCCGTTTTGAGAATGGATTAAAGAAAAAGAAATGATATTCGACAGAACAAGGCAATTGTATTATGGAAGCCGCCTGCTACTTTGGCCAAGGTCATAAATCTCTGGCCTGAATGTAACAAAAATTCTTCTCTCGGGTCATTTGATTAGAAGAAAAGATGATTCGGAAACATTGGATTACTGTATTAATTAGACATGAGTTTGTTGTTCACAATGGCTTCGTTGGGATGACGCGGATCTTATTCATGATGACTCAGACTTCAGAGGAGAAAAAAAATCAAATTCTAAGCCTTGAAAGGGAGTTGAATATATTATTGTATATTAGAAAACCCAAAAAACAAAGTCTGATTGGAAATAAAGTCCACAGAAACGTTTTGAAAGCCCCCAGAAACAGATTGTGACTGATTGAGATCTGGTGAATGACAGTCATGACAACCAGTCCCAGTTCGAGAACACGAGGTAATTCTGCTCCATTTTGACTGATATGATAACGTCTTACTTCTAATCCTTTCAGTCCCACGTCAACATGTAAAACTAAAAGTAAAGTGTTTTTGAATTAGCGGAAATCGGATTGGCCGCCTCTCCTCTAATCTTCCTTCACTTTTATGATCACCAATTTCAATGTCAATCCATCAGGCGGCCTTTTCGGCTTGTCCGTTGGCCTGGCCGCTGTTTTCATTCCAATCAGGACCCAGTCGTTTAATCTTGTAATTGAGTGCGGATTTCCCCTCCTTCAATTCTCATGGATTTCAACCCGGAGCACCAAAAGTGGCAATGCTGTTGTTTTCATATCATCCCCGGGCTGAAGATCCTCTCCATCGGAGTTCTCGTTGTCTCCACTTTGTTCTTGGTCTTATTTGGACACGGTCTTCTGTATTCGGCCAAGGTAAGATTACTTTTTTGTACTTCCTAGTTGAAGCTGATCATGAGTTCTTTAGAAACAAGATGACTTTGTTTTTGCTGCTACACTACTTAGCTTATGTCTGGCTACCGTACTCAGTTCAGCTCTTTTGGTGTTGGGGTTATTCAAAAAGAAGGCCAAATTGATGTACCCATCAGTCGTTGTTGGAGTTGGAATTGTTATTTTCGTTGCGGTAGGTGTCGAATGTCATTACAAATAGCCCTGAAATAGGTCTTCGGTGTAAGCCATGTTGTTCTGCAGCCGGATGAGGGCGAAGTAACGCATCATACCAAACAAGGGAAGAATAATAAACACTCGGTAAGAGATCCTAGGCATGATATCAAAAGAAATTATAGGAAGCTCCCTCAATGACAGCCCGGTTAGTGTTCTTGATATTTGTTATGATGATCGTATGTTGTGTCGTATTCTATGCGATATTTTTGATAATGAAAGCCATACAATACGTGAAAAACGTGAATAAATTGAGAGATCGGAGACAATCACTTATAAATGCATCTCAAATCGGTAAGTTAATACAACTCTACACTATACAATTACATTACAGATCCCGAACTCTTTGACCAAGCCTACCGAAGACCCTCACATCAAAGTTTTACCAGTTATTAAAATCATTATAGAATAATATTTGTAAATAAACGAGTATGTAATATTAAATTGATTTATTCGCAAACAACACACCAGATTTACAATATATTGAACTGGAAAACCTACTAAAATCCGCCACGAAGAGCAAGAACAAGATGGACTACACTTCCACCGATAATCTGTAAATAAATGTGTTAGCGTGTAATATCTAAAATTATTGTTTCAGAGATTTCACTGATAATAACCTCCAAAAAATTGAAGATATGAATATATTTTTGAATCTATGTGCTATATTATCATCGCCTTAATTTTTATGCCCCTGATCTTACGGTATTCACCATGCTTACTTTGTAATCCTGGGCTGTTTTTTCATCAAGCATTTGTTTACCGGCAAAGATTAGACGCTGTTGTGGCGGAGGGATTCCTTCTTTCTCTTCAACCTAAAATAAGAACCGTGGATAATAAAACGATAACTTACTTTCTCCTTAATCCTTTCGACCTTATCGCTGGGCTCAATGTCCAACTCAACTTCTTTTCCAGTCAACGTCTTTACTTTGATCAGCATATTGTCAGAGTGTCAGAAACAAGAAACAAAGGAGACAAATACAGATCGACAGAGAAAATTTCAGTGATAATTTTTTCTGAAATCCCCGACTCGCGCCCGCGCTTCGAAAAAGAGAAACTTGACCCAAAAATGGGTCGAGTGGTTTTCTTGGATTCATGGAAATCGGACCGAGTGAAATTGTACTTGAAAGAAATTAGACGGGGTATGTAAATTGTGTAGAGTGAAATTGGACTGAATTCGGAAGGTACACACATGTGTGTGACAGAGAAAAAGAGAGACACAAGAAATCAGTCTAATTTCACTCTGTCCAATTCCCATTAAGCCTTTTCTTGCAAGAACCATCAAAAAAGTCTGCAAGATTGTTATGTTGTTTTTATATATTGTTTTATATACATACCTATAGAATATTTTTAGATGTCCGATAAAGGATATCGTCAAGACCTTCCTCCCGAAGGGGGATACCGGAAGTTCAATTGGGAAAGAACATATGCCCGGAAATTACTTCGACGTGAGTTTTTCGGAGAATTATGTTTTAATTTGACGAGTTCATTGTTTAACAATATCTTATTGCTCCAGCCGTCTATACCATACCTGTTGCTGTTGTTCTTTCTGGATATGGCGCTTATCATGCATGGGCCTTCAAGAAACAACGACAGTAAGTGGTCTTTCAGATTAATCAATTGCTTTTAGTACTCGAAAGTTTGAAGACTCAGACGTTATGAATGCCCTGCAGCCCTTCCTGACTGCCGAAAGAGATCGCAAGTAAGTTCACTGTGTTTTAACACACGCGATTTTGAATAATTTAATGAAATGTATTTTAGTTAATAAGAGGAATTTTAGATGGCTTCGAGCGTTGAAAAAGAACTTTGAATTAGAAGAAGAGATCATGAAAGACGTCCCTGGCTGGCAAACAGGCACCTGGTATGGCGAACCTGTATATTTCACACTGGGCGACAAGTGGTGGGATCCCGACCACGACGTGAGTGCTGTATCAAGTCTTATAGTTACAAATATAGGAATTCTTTGCTCACACCTGGGACAAGAGAAAGTGGGATGAGTTGTTATGGCGTCACCACAGCGACTATTCCGCCCCTAAGTTCTACGACAAATGGATCCCCGAATTCTTGAAGCCGTATCTCTGGTAATTTAGGATTTATTGAACTTTAGAGTTAAATAAACGAGAATATTTAAGTTTATTTTTTCATCTGAACGCTGTAACCTCCACCCGGCTGAGGGACCATCTCAAAGTTGTCGGTGGAGAGCCCAAAAGGTTTTAGAAACATGTTTCCCAGATTCTTGAGACCTCCCATCATCTCCTGCATCATCTTGGCTCTCTCTTCTTCCGTTAATTCTTTAGGCTCTTCGTTTGGAGGTTCGGACGACGCCGAAGATGAGGGGTGTGGCAGGTCTTGCGGTTCTTCAGTTGGTGTATTCAGATTAATATTTCCATCCGAGTCCGCAGGACTGGGATCGTTGAGGGCAGCGATGTCTCTGGTTTCTTGTGGATCGTTACTCTAAAAAATAAGCAAAATAGCATGATCAACTTACCATGATGATACGATTTTTGTCGAATTGGTCTGAAAGTTTTAATTGGAAAATAATTAGCTCGAAATATATAATGCATGAGGAAGCTGAACCAGATTATTCAATAAACCATTAAAAAAATATTTTCAATTTAATGTGGTAACGAATAACAACGATTGATTGAATGGATAATCCTAATTCAGATCGGGGAATACTATCTTGAATACATCGTCATAGTGCTCGACAAAGTGTATTGTGACGTCACTCTTGACAAAATCGGCCAAATCCTCGTAATCTTTCTTGTTTTCAGCTGGCAAGATAACCGTATTGACTCCAGATCTCTTTGCAGCAATGATCTTTTCCTTGATTCCACCGACTGGAAGTACTTTCCCGGTTAATGAAATTTCTCCAGTCATGGCGATGTTCTGTTTGGCGGGCGTATTCAAGGCCAATGATAAGAGAGCAGTGGTGATCGTGCAACCGGCAGAAGGCCCATCTTTGGGGGTGGCTCCTTCTGGGACATGGACATGGATATGTGCTTGCTCCAATAACATATTCTCTGGGAATTTTTTGAGCATCTGATTTTTGGCTACGGTGTAAGCAGTCTTCATAGACTCCTTCATTACATCGCCCAGATGACCGGTAGCTTCCAGAGACCCTTCCGGAGACTTAGCCTTATCCTTGTCATCCACAATTTGATTGGGGATATATCTTCTTCGCAAAGATGCCTCGATATACAATGCAGATCCTCCCATAGCGGTCCAGGCCAATCCCATGATGACACCTGGTGGTGTTTGTTCGTATAATCTGTCACTGGTAAACTTCTCTCTTCCGACGAACTTGCTGAGATTCTCATTTGTAACAACCACAGTATCCTTTTCTTCATTCGTAGAGCGGGCTTTAACCAGCTCATAGGCTGCTTTTCTGAAGATTTTCTCAATATGTTTTTGAAGATTTCTAACTCCAGATTCCCGGCAATAATGCTTGATAAGGGTTTCCAATGATTCGTCTGATAAAACCAGTTCCTTTTCATTCAATGAACTAAAGCAATGTGATCTCCAATAACAGGTACTTAAAGCTTACCACAATTCCCTGCATTGCGGGATAAGATAACTTTTAGCGATGCTCAGCTTTTCCTCAGCAACATAACCGGATACTTCAATTAATTCCATTCGATCTCTAAGAGCGCTGGGAATAGTATCAATCACATTCGCCGTGCAGATAAACAAGACCTTGGATAAATCAACAGGAACATCCAGAAAGTGATCCATGAAGTTGGCATTCTGTTCTGGATCCAGCAACTCTAAGAGAGCTGAGGCCGGATCCCCATGATAACCTAAAATATAAACCAAATTAGTAATTTCAAATTTGTTTGAGGTGAATAAAGTAAAAATAACTTACCTGCTCCTCCAATCTTATCGACCTCATCGATTAGAACCAAAGGGTTCTCCACCTGGACCTTCTTCAAACATTGGATCATCTTTCCGGGCATAGCTCCAATATAAGTTCGTCTATGTCCTTTTATTTCAGCAACATCAGTCATTCCACCAACGGAGAAACGGAAGTACTGAAGAAACAAATCCTTCAAAACATTACCCTTACCTCTCGATTCAGAGCTCGGGCGATGGACTTGGCAATACTTGTTTTACCAACTCCCGGAGGCCCATGGAAACAGAGGATCTTGCCACCGGCTGACTTTTTGAGAGTGGCGACAGCAATGAATTCAAGGATTCGATCTTTTACGTCTTTCATTCCATAATGATCCTCATTTAAGATTTGCTCCGCCTTTACTAAATCCAGGTTTTCTTCGGCTGTCTTGCCCCAGGGGATATTGCACAGCCAATCAAGGTAATTTCTAGATAAATGGAATGTCAAGTTGTTAATGTCATACCTGCAAACACTGAACTCGCTGGAATGAGGATCCAAGAAGCTCATCTTTTGTTGTTCTTCCTTGATCACCTTCATTGCGTATTCAGGCACATTTAGACCCTTAAGACGCTCTTCCATCTTCTCAACGATTGTCTGTTTGTCATCTTTCTCGAGACCTAACTCTTTCTTGATGGCTTTCAACTTCAAAGAGCAAGTTAAACATATTAATCATCATCACATCAATACATATAACGAATTTTACCTGTTCGTTCAACAGATACTTCCTATGTTGTTCTTGGACCTTTTTTTCGACATCCTTGTTTATGTCATGCTTCAGTTTGGCGACCGTTTTCTCTTTTTCCAGAAATTCCAAAGCCAGTTCTAGTCTTCTTTGGATCTAAACGCATAAGAAAAAAATCTAACAAAGATTTACCTTAGTCTCCTCCATCATTTGTTGAAGATCTTCTGTTTCAACGGTCTGAACAAGAGTAGCCACCAGATCACATAAATAAACAGGGTTCTCGACTACATTTTGATTGGGATGTAAAAGAAGATTAATTTGCTGTGCGAAGAGAGGACTGTATTGGACGATATCACGGACGGTCTGGACAATCGCTTGCATTGATGCCTAAAACATTGTTAAACTCAATAGCTCCAATAAACTGTATCATCCACAATGGCAAGGTCACAAACCTTCATCTCTACCGTCCTCTCAATGTTCTCAATGGTGACATTTTCAGTTTTTGCAAAGACAAGCTTATCCGATTTCTCTGAACTTTTGGCATCTCCAGAATGAACAGGGTCCTCCGGAATTTCCTTCTTCTTCCTGTCGTCCTTTACTTTCTTCACCCTCCTCCCATTTATTTTCGATACACCCTTTGTGGCTTCAGAATCCAAGACCGAAGTGTCGTCCAGTTTCTCTAGAATCCTAATCCTTCTGTGAGCATTTAACACCAGCTCCAGATACGATCCATGATCCCGCATTTCCATGATATGTGCAAACGACCCTGTATGATAGACTTCTGATAATGAGGCGACTGTGCTTTTAGAACTTCTAAAATGTTTTTTGATATGTAAGAAAAGTATAATACTTACTCGTCATTTCTTTTTACAAACACCCCAACGTATGGTTGCCTCAGCTGGACTTTCCTCCGAATAAGATCTTTCAGTGTTTCATCAACGATCTAAGAATGCAAAAATGACGACTATAAAGAAAAACTTACATCGACCTTCTTGATAAAACCTGGAAAAAGAGGATAACGGTTAATAGCAATTACTGGAACATTTGGAAAGTGTTCTGGGAATGAAACGGGCGACAAAACCTGAATATGACTAATACAACAGGGAAACAAGATAACCTTACTTGAGAAACAAAGTCGACGGGAGTGTGCTCGAGAGCCGTCTCCTCAACCTCAGGCTTCCCCTCCTTTCCATTTCCATCTCCGCCTTCATTTGAGTCCGATGAAAAGAGACGTCGATTTACTACATTTGGCTGTATATTATTATAGCCCAATTTTTTATTCATAAAAATCCAATTAGAAACACCTGCTCTCCTCGCATAACTTCCTGTTGACCTCATTCCATATCGCAGTAACGCCGTTGGTAGACGATACATCTTTAAAAGGACAGTTTAACTTTTCATACACCAAGAAGTTACATTACTTTATGTTCGTTTCTTTTGTTATATTCCGTTGGATTAAAACCAAAGAAAGAAAAGCTAGAGTTATCTACCAAATATTTTATTAATAAATAATCGAATAAACAACCACAATGGGAATTAATTCTTCTTTTTCTTGCTACCTTCCTCTTTTTCCTTCTTCTGTGTATCATCAGGCCTAAAACGTACAAATGTTTAAGAAATTGATACTTACTGCAAAGCTGGTTGCCAATTAAGTGCATTTCTCCGGAAACATGGCCATGGCGGTAACATAATAAGTCCAGCGAAAGCCGATCCTCCGAGAATGGTGAAGACCATGAAAGAAATCCTCTCGAACCAGAAGCCGACCAAGAATCCAATAATTCCACTGATCACTAGAATCACCTGTAAAACAATGAAGATGACGACATATTGTTAGCTGGCGTAATCAGGGACTACTTTTCTTACTTGCATAATTCTTTCAGCTTTCTGTTGGCCAACAAAATCCATATGAGTTGAGAATCTCCGGATTGGAGCTGGGAGCATCTGGATTATCAGATCCATTACTACACGTGTTATTCTAGACTTTGGACACCTCAATTATTTTCTCCCTTCACCCGTCAATTTTTTTTCGTGCTACGAAATGCCAAATGTTTGGTCAAAATGTTTTCGTGGTGGGGCTTCGTGCCAGCTTCGTTGCGGACTGGCAGAAATACAAAGACAAACCCATGGAGACAACTTGAGTTGTATATTCCAATTTCAGTAACACCAAATGCCCCGTCAATCCAGTGAAAAGATTGAACCATCTGATGTGCAGATATCAGAGCCTCCGAATCAGAAGATTGTTGTAGTTGAAGTATGTCATACCAATTCAATTCTATTATTGATTTTACGCGTTTAGACAACTTCTTGCCGCCAAGTCCAGCTTTGTAACGGATGTGCTCACAACGTCGCTCAACTCCAACATGACAACGCCGTATTTGCCTTGAAGAGTGAATGTGACAAGGACTTTGATATCCCCGACAATTCGAGCTTCAGACCACCCTCCAAAAGAGGAATCCCGATCTCAAACAGCACTCGAGCTATTGCCAAAAGAGCAAAGCTTGATGTGAACTCTTTGAGGGGAAAGAATTTGTTGGGTTCAGATCTTCAGAATTACTCAACTGAAGCCCAATTCACAGACGACAACAGGAAAGTGATCTTTCCGGAAAGTGAATATGATATTCTCGAGAAAAGATTGATCGCCCTCGAATCAGAGTTGCAGCATTCTGGAGGCAATGAAGGTATGATTTAAATTTGATAGAATTTTTTTTTTCATTTGCTTTTTATTATGTTGTTTTAGATCCCGAATTCAAAAGACTGTGCAAGATGGGTGTCATTTACGAAGAAAAGTGGGCTAGGCTTTACTGCAGAGATTATCATAAACCGATTGTAAGTCTGATTTAATTTTTAGGTGCAAAAATTTTATCTTTTTTATTTTCCTTGTTTAGAATGAATATCGAAATGAAGCTATCGGTGTGCTGAAACAGAATCTCAACATCAGAAGAGATGGACTGAGACCTTTCATGAGACTCATGCAAGCCAGACAACATCCATATACTACCGAAGTTACTACCAGATCCAAAAGAGACGTCTTGGCCGTCAGTCCAGCCGTGAACATTGTTGCTGGTCGAATGACAACACCCAAAGAGTACAGCAAAGGAAATGTAAAAAAGACGTTTGGACATTGGTGGGTCTAAGTGGTATATATTTTTATTTCTTAGCGTGCCCATTACAACCTTGATGACTGGACCTTATTATAATTACTCTTATGTCCAAAATGATCATTGTTATATGATAGAGAACGAGCTTTTCGATGTGGAAAGCAGACTGAAAAGATGCGCTCCCGGAACAAAAGGTATAATCTCCATAAAAGTTATGAGGATATCAATTTAGAATACAAACGATTGGTCGAAGAAGGAAAACGCCTAAGATACGAATGGAAACAAACGTATGAGGAAGTGAGGAGAACACGGGCGGTCAGCCAGCCCGTTGCTGCTTATGATCTCAAGAAATGCGTGGTTGTAAACCGAGGAGGGAAGAGAATCGCGGTTCCTGTCACCGATGAGGAAATCAGCCAGCAATTAATGGAGGGCGACATTGATGTAGAAGTGCAGGACTGATCTCATATATGACTTTAATAATTCAATCGTTAATAAACCAATTTTTTTCATCGGTAGTTGTTTCATAGCAGTATGTTCAATCTGCTAAATTATTTTTTGATGTTCTTTTATCATTTTTGACGCCCATTTTTCTGCTATTTTTCGGATGTCTTTTGGGTAATTTTTATATTTTATGAAAGGATGTTGGAATAAAAGCGATCTCTTTGAACGTTCTCTAATGCTATATTTGAATGTTCATAGAATAGTGTGTTTTGTTATGAGAAGGTTATGTTCTTTTGTCAAGCCTTGTTTTCACTCTCATCAAACTTCCCAACGTCCGATCCAAAGTTCAAATAGTCTGAACCTTTTTTTATTTCTCAGATGTTCCCCAGGTGAGGCCGTACGTGACGAAAGGAGAGCGAAGGGAGAGAGCTGTTTTAAGAGCTTGGCGTAACTAGTTGAGTCAGTTGAGCGTTTTTTTTCTCTTCCATTACCTGACGTAACCAACTTCTTTATTTATTTTTATATTTTTATGTTATTGGTAATACCTTCACTGAATGTCGAATAGGCGCTTTAAAATTTGAATTAAGTACCAAGATTTCTTTAAAATGGCTTATTATGCGGTCCTGCCCTCTTAACGTCCTATTCTCGGTTCCAGATTCACTTGCTACTATTCGAATATATGCACTTAAAGTTCGTTTTTGGTGCACGTTAAAGGAATCTGAAGCTCAGATGAACTTAGCCTGAGGGGCGGGGTATCCGAATGTGTCTGTTCGTTCCCATTCCCCGAACTTCCGTCTTCTATCGCCTGGGGCCCCTTTCCCTCGCTCTCTCCTTTCTGTGTGGGGAGAGATGGAGAAGTCTCTCCTCGTTGCCCCCCCCCCCCCCTCCCTTTCTCTCTCACGCGGTGGTTTTTGTCATATGGCTATTGTTCTCGTGCTCCTTACACTAGATGGTATAGCCAGATTTGTCATGTTTCCAAATTGTCCCTGATTTCTAACGATCTCATGACCCATGGATATTTCGGCTCGCGTTTTCCCATTTCTTCGCGCTTTTTTCGGCAACGATTTTCTGCGCTTTTGACGTTGATTGTCGGCTTTTCAGCTTTCCCATTTCTCTTTTATCGCCTACGGTCTACGGGTACCGGTGGTGTTTGAAACAGCTACAGTCGGTTTGAAGAGATGGTAAGTGGGATATAATGGATAACCGACTTTTTTTTAGAGTTCGAGTCATGTTACGCACACCACGGGGGTCGCATCTTCCAGCAATTTATCTGCCGTTAGGGCTCTGCAAATGGAACTGAAGAGTCTCCAAAACTCCCCAGTGGAAGGATTCACCGTGCAAGTGGACGAACAGAATCTCTTCAAATGGACTGTGGCCATCTTCGGACCGCCTGGGACTTTGTATCAAGGTGGATACTTCAAGGCCTCGATCAAGTTCCCCAACAATTATCCCTATTCTCCCCCTTCCATTCGGTTCCTGTCCAAAGTCTGGCATCCAAACGTCTACGAAGTGAGTTGTTACCAAATGTTATTTTTACTATATCTTAGAACGGTGAGCTCTGCATTAGCATTCTCCATCCTCCAGTGGATGATCCTCAGAGTGGAGAACAGGCTTGTGAAAGATGGAATCCAACCCAGAGTGTACGGACTGTCCTCTTGTCTGTAATCTCCCTCTTGAATGAACCCAACACTTCATCTCCTGCTAATGTGGATGCCTCAGTTATGTACAGAAAATGGAAGGAAAGTAATGGAAAAGAGGATGAGTATGTCAAGATCATCAAGTAGGTTTCTTCCTTATTTTAAGCGTAACTGTTATAGACGGTTAAGTTTATTATTTGCCTTTTAGAAAACAAATCGAGCTGAGCAAGGAAGAAGCCGCGAAAGATGGAGTCAAGGTTCCGGAAACCGTAGAAGAGTATTGTGTGAAGGCATCCGAACACAAGAACGATGATGTGGACGTTCTCGACTTTGATGATGATTACTACGATTACGGGGCTGACTCTGATGACGATGATTTTGAAGACCACGATGAGGACAGTGGCCAAGGAGAAAGTTAAGACACCAATCGCCGACTGCCAACCAACTGATATGTCGTTGTATAAATGCTGTACTAATGCTTTTCCACTGAATTCCACCTCTGTTTTCCAAGTTCAGAATAAATCGAATCCTCACTGAGTTCTGTTTGCTTTTATTTCATGTTTTCTCGGCAAATCTAGTATCTTGTGAAAAAGGAAATTTTATTTTGTCCCCGTTCAGATGAGCAAACGACAGAATCCCTCGGACTTCTTGAAGCAGATTGTGGGGAAGCCCGTGGTGGTCAAGTTGAACTCAGGAGTCGATTACAGAGGTGAGTAGTCCATCCAATTTATTTTGTATTCTTAGGTGTGCTCTCTTGCCTGGATGGATTTATGAACATTGCACTGGAACAGACTGAAGAATATCAGAACGGACAGCTCAAGAATAAATACGGCGATGCTTTCATCCGGGGAAACAATGTTCTCTATATCAGCACTCAGAAACGATGATCTCCATTTGCTCTTGTTAAGTATTCTATCCTTTCTCAATAAAACATATGAATTTGTTACAGTTTCGCGAAGTTATGAATCCTTTATGAGTCCAGATACACCAAAACTGGGTTTTATATTTCCAATAAATTTGTTAGAGACGTGTCATAAAAATCGTTTTTTGACATTCCGTCCTTTTGAAACTGCCTAGAAATTACGTCGGACTGACAGAAAAAAATCAGAGAAATTGCGTTATATAAAATCAGTTTTTGATTTTGTGGTACAAGAGGCTGTAGCTTAATAAATATTTTGCGTATTCCTCATAGAACCGTCGAATAAGTCTCTCCGCTGACCCTTTTTCTGGACGTCCTGCATTTCGAAAGCGCCAAAAATTTGGGAACTGAAAATTTGGAGAGACTCAATTGCGGTAAATTCCACGGGAATTCTGCCTTCTTCATAATCTAGTTTTTCTAAATAAGTTCCACACTGGTTATTATTGGAATGGTACCAAATCCAGAAATTATTGAAGTAAGTTTTTTCTTTGTTGATATACCCAAAACTTATCTGACTTAATCTGATGTGCATTATTTGAAGGATTATTAGACTTGATATGCACGTGTGATGGATTATGAAGGCAGGCTAGATAAAGCCAAGCGAAAAAGTCTAGTAAGGACGCACCTCATTCCCTTTTTTGATATTAATACTTGTTTACAGGAACCCATTGCCGATCTAGGTATATTATGTTGCCCGAAATGCTCCGATCGTCTTGAACCCCTGTTTTTGGATACTTCTGGAGAAGGAAACGATAGGAAACAAACGATATGGTGGACTTGCAGATGGGTTTCGAGCAAGGTAAGAGTGCTTATATGTAATTATTCTGTTTTTAGAAATGCGATTTTCCCCTCAACATGCCTTCCAATGTGTATTGGGTGACTCGAACAGGTCCGGAGATTGATCGAGGCTTCGTTCCCCTCCCCAGAGTGGATCTTCTTCCTCGGCGCCTGCAGTATTTATATCCACAGATTTTTCCTGATTCTCCCCGGCCATCGAAAGGTAAGAAAATGCGTAGCCTCGCGTCCGATCTCTTTTTCAGAGCGATCGTTTGGTGCGCGAACTCTTTGTCTCGAGTAGTATCATATCATTTATGTGGAGTATTTCAGATGCCTTCTTTTCACTGGAATCACTCAGTTCCGAGTCTCCGTCCCCAGTGTCCAAGCCTGAGCGGAAAAAAGTAGCAAATAATGCTCATAATAGTGTGGAGGCGTCAAGAAAGCTTTTGGCTGAGATTCTAAAGAGCAAAAAGGCTGTACCCCCCACGCAGGTAATAAGTCGAGATCAAGAGATTTACCAATTATTACAGCAAGTCAGCCGGAAGTCGGAGGCACAGAATTCGTTTTATAGGAAGTATGTCATTTTAATTATTATTACGGCGCTTATTATATATGTTAATTCAACTTTTTATTTTCAGCCGTGTCAAAGCTAGGCGTCGTGAAGAGATTAAACCGGAGATGGATCATGTTAGATTTAATTCCGATCAGAAAGCCAAACCGGTTGAGGTATTCCCGGATCATAAAGGAGCTTTGGTAAGTATTAGAGAACAATGTTTTTTGAGCTAATTATTTGATTTTAGAGCTCATTAATTAATCTTCGATACTCCCATGAAACTTTTATCGATAATTTGAATTCGGAGATGTGCCGAAAGAAGATTCTGACTCCAACTCCAGCCATTGACCCGAGGCAACGAGCCCAGATGGAAGCAAAGACGGGTAAACATGGAAAAACACTCTGTGATTTTGTAGCAAATTCAACTACGTAAGTTAATATCAATTTTAATATATGAATGTATGCTGTTTAACTATTTTTTTGCAGGAAAAAGGCCCGGTATGTATACAACGACGGAGATGCGAGGTGGAGGAAGAAGATCAGTCGCGAGACGAGGGAGAAGCACTTTTACTCTTTATTGGCCTCATTGCCTAAACAATTGAGTGACAAGAGTATCGTGACTAGGCTGGGAATACCTATTCTGGTAAGTTTCCTTTTCATCAAGCCGTAATTGTCTTTATTGTGATAGATTTGCTGTTTTATGCACTTAAAAACAATATATTTTTTCAGCCTTGTCGAGATTGTAATACACCGGCTTCAACCGAACTTTCGATGTCCACGGCTTCAACATCGACAGGATCCAGAGAAGCTGAGGCTGTTGATTCGATCGATGACTTCATAAAATCAACAGGAAACCCGGAGATCGACCAGTTGATTAGACAACAGTTCAGGAATGTCCTAAAGAACAAGAAGTTGAGACGAAAGAAGGGATCTCGATCTCGGACACCTCAAGTGATGCCACAAAACCCACCTCTAACAGAAGAAGCAGTGACAGAAGATGCCGAGGAGTTGTTTAGAGGATTCAGTGAGCTTGGGGGAATGTGGCAAGGGCATAGCAATCAAGAAATAACTCGGAATGATGGGCCTGTCTACCAAGAAATGCAAACTTTCAACCTTGAGACGCTCTCTAATCCGCCCGTTGATCCAGATACTAATCAGGAGCATCTCCAGGATCCACTTCATGGTCTCCCCGATACCAATGATCCTCATTCCCATTTCTATGAGTCTCATAACAATTTCTTTGATCTGGATGCAACAACACACTTTGATGAACATCACGGGTTGCACGACAACATTTAAAGTAGCGCCAGTTGTTGAATTTATTTTGTTTTCATAGCTGAACATTGTTTTAATTTAATTAAAAATAAATGTTATATTAAGTTAAACGCGAAAACTTTGTCTTTACAGGCCTCCAATTTTTAATTAATTTATTCTTTATTTTTAAGAAACTTTCAGTACCGAATTGATTGTTTTAGACCCGAATTCCATTTGATTCTGTTTGAGGACCCGCTTCAGAAGTCGGGGAAGGAGCCTGATAAAGCGATGGATAAGGTGCGAAAACTTACTGTTAAACCGATCTACATGTGCGTGATCAAATAGTGCTGAAATTAGGGAATAGACAGTAAAAATGAAGACATTGGGGACGAGAGAAAGGACGATATCTGGACAGAAACGAAGAATATGGACGCTCACACTTGTTGTTGTAGATTGGGAGGAGGATTCCGAGGGTGGGGCATCATCATCTGTACCAGATTCACGTACGTAATGGGCTGATTCTCTTCTAAACAAGGGGAACCAACAATAAATGTGTATTTGGAATACTCTAATTGGGTAAGGGCATCATTATTATTTTCTCTATTGTCTCGAAATCTTTAGATAATGAACCCGAGACAATGTCTTATAATAATAATCGGAGATTGACAATCGGGGGAAAAAACGGTTGGAGAAGTCGACAATTATGGAAAAAACGTCTGGGGAAAGTGATAAAAATTTGTCTGCGTATAAGTGGCATTAGAAAGTGGATTTACAGTAGTGTATGGCTACAAGACTTCTGACTATTCTTATTTCTTCCTTCATAATTTTACTCTTTTTCCTTGTTTTCTGCTATAATGATGCCGTAATTTTGGCGGGGAAGTCAACCCGTCTAAGTCATTCCGAGCTTAACAAATTTAGTCCGAAGTAAAAAGTTCACAAAAAAGGAGGAGCAGAGGAGGAGGCGACAGAGAAAAGCAGAAATTTCTACAAAAGAAATTGCGCAACGTTGAGTCGGATTGCGCAACTTTTAACTTTGGACTAAATTTGTAGGGTTCGGATCGAATTGAGTGATGAAATTTAAAAATCGTCGGCCATATATCCTTGAAATCTGCCCCAAATGAAAGTTTGTCGTGCTATGACTTAACTTAAAAGTAAAATTATGGGCCAAAGGTAAAAAATTAGAAGAAGTTTTGTAGCCATTGATGTGCCTTACGATTAGTCACAAAAAATAAATATCTTTCGGCCCCAATTGTCTTTTTCCCTAACTGACGACGTTCCAATAAAAAATGTAGATACAAGCACCTACCTCCCACAAAACCCGCTTTCCATCTTCTCGCCGGATCAAGAGCATTTGATTTACCCCGGAGGGTACCTCTTCTCGACGTCGACTTGACCAAACAGAGACCAGCAGCCATCATAATGAACAAGACCCCGCAAGAAGCAAAAATCACCCATGCCCAGAGCGGAATATGATGCTTGGAGTGCGGCACTCGAAGTTTGTATCCTGCCAAATTCAGAGTCTCTATTGTCCTTGAAACATAATCATTGAGGACCTTGATCAAGGGATATCCATTCTGAAGATTCATGTTCTCTTCGTTCACAATCCTCGACAAGGCGTCCAAAGTGATCTCGGATTGATCCAAAGAAGTCCCATATCTGGTAGTGATCAGCTTCCCGAATGAGACGACAAGGAACTACAATCACATGCAAGTGTAATCTCCTTCATACTGCGTCAGATCATAAAAATGAAAAATGGTCCTAAGATTTTGAAAAAATGGCCTGAGACACTTTCATTCCTCGATGAAGGAGTCTGAATCGATCCACTTTCTCGCAGGGAAAGAGTCTGGGTTCAGGCTCTTTCCGGGGTCAATTGTTCCCCAAAAGTTGCAAAAGTTGACCCAGAATTTTTTACTCGGGAAGAATTGTTTTTCATTTTTACCCTATTCGAGATTTTTTGAATTAAGGAATCTTGAATTTTTGCCCAGAGGTGGAATTTTTACCAAGCGAGCAGAGGAATTCGATATTTCAAAATTTAAAAAAGCCACTCTTATTCACTCTTAAATTCACCTTTCTATGAAGTAAAAAATATTACAATTTTACTTATTTCGGTCAAACTTTGTGGTTTTCTCGAAAACCAATATTTCTATGTCACCCTTCACAATTATAAATACTTACTGGCTGAGAACGTCGTTGATTGAAAGCATGGGGAATCAGTTGCTCTGGGGGTTCATTTACGATCAGAATGAGGATGTCTTCCCCACAAGTCCCCAGATTCCATCGTTCTCGCACGATACGCGCATAGTTTTGGACATAATTGAGGACTTCTTCTCTAGAACACGCAATAAAAAAAAAGTTTTTGTACTTACGGAATTGTGAACTCTCCTTTTCGTGGGGATAATGGAAGATCCTGAGGGCAAAAGCCTTTGGTTAAGTGATCCATAGAGGGATAGACAGCTTGGGAAATGTTTTTGATAAAGGCAAAGCCAAACTTATACCCGCAATGATCCGATTTCTCCGCCTAAAGCAATAAAAATAAATTTAAAAATAAAATTACTGAAAAAAATATAAAAATAAAAATGACCTTAGGGCAGTGACATGTGTTCCCATGAATCCGATAAATGTCCGTAATATAGTTGTTCAGGATGTGTACTGTAATTGCATTCTACTGGAGATAATTGCACTTACATTCGGCCATACTTATGGTATTTTCTGGATCACAAGCCCATCCCTTGAGAATCGATGTCTCCTGTAATGCACATTCCCCTCGATTTTCATAATGGGGATAGGAACACGGACTCAGAAGTTGGGATGTGCTGTAAAATAAGGTGAATAATGACGGGATACGGTTATCTTCCAAAAATTATTTTAAAATAATTACTAATTATTTTAAAATAAGATCATTAAAAATATTATAAAGCTAAGTACATACGCAGATAACGCTGTAAACAACATTACGCATCACATTAAGGTCATCGTATGTTATTTCGTGATGACCGAAAACAAGGTCCTAAATCAAAGACATTACCTTAATTGGGTCTGAAGAAGGATCCCAACCAGAAGATGAAGAAGCATCTGAATTCTTGTCTACGTGAACATGGACGAAAACAATGGCTGAAATAAAAGGAAATACCAGAGTTATTACAGCCGAGAGAATAAATGTCGGCCCAAGTAATACCTCTTCCTAGCCGGCCGCCGGGTGTTAATCACGGATTTCTTCGCTTCGGCCGCCTTTTTTTGGCCAGAGGCCAACTCCCCTTCCCTTTGGCCCAATAATTGGAAATTAAATTCAATTTGGTTGAAAAATAAATTACTCCAACGTTGTTATAGAGAGCGTCAGACTTCTTAGGTAGTGGTTGTAATACACTGAGAGAACAGTTATTCTCTTAAGCAGTACTACCTCGTTTGTAGACTTAGGGGATTAAATTTTGTTAAAAATTTTGTAATCATCAAATCCTTGGAGTTTTCGATATTTAAAGCGGAAATGCGGGTAGGAGAAAGGGAAAGTTACTCTCAGAAAGTAATTACAAAAAGAAAACGGGGATGGGGATGAGTAAATAAACAATGATCCTTGAACATGGCTTCATGAGATATCAAAAAATATGTATAAATGAAGAATATAGTACTCATATTGGATATCTACCCGAAACAATTGGAAACAGGCTTTTGTCAGACCGGACTTGCACTCCAACACCTTCCCCGCCTTCTCCTCCGCCCTCAGACGTCTTCCGAACCTCAGACTTCTGACCTGACTTGTATTTATATTCTCCTTCTTATTCATTGCTTCCGGCCCTCCTAAAGATTACAGCAAAGTCCGGTTGTTAAGGTTACAAAGGAAGCTGGAGAAAATGGGGCCAGATATTCGGGAATTTCTAATTCCAGAATCGGTTTCCATTAATCATTCGGCATCTGGAGATTCGAGAATCTAGAGAGTGCCGAAAACACTTGAGCGGGTAAAAAAGTACAGTAACAGTATGCAAGTAGTAACGAAAATAGAACCAAGCTCATCCAAAACTCGCTTGTCTTCCTCCTCTCATTTATTTTATATTATACATTAGGACCAACAAAAGAGAGACAAAGTCTGCAGAAGACATCTACCAACCCGGCCGACCTGAACTCCGATGATTGACAAGGCCTTGAAATTGGATTAGGAACGGCCAGAAACGCGGAGGCCGTCCAATTTGATACCTCCGGGCTCATTTGGGTAAACCGGCAAATTGCGTATTCGATAATGGCTCCTCCTTTCCTCGGCTTCTTGAGGAGGGAGAGCCGGGCCAAGAGAAGGGTTGTTTTTACTCATTACTACCAAAATTCTCGGAAGTTGAATTAGAAATGGATTGTGGGATTTATGGAAGCATGATGCAGATGACTTCCCTCACCTCAAAGAATCACTTTTTTTACGTAACAGAAATATAAATAGTGGTGTAATTCCAGAGAGAGATTCTTTTCATCCAACTCGAGTCATCTGCCGAGTTTGGCCACTGCTTAGACCAACTCTGCGATAGAAACGATGGCCATCTCGATGAGCAACATGTTCGTAATTACGGTCGCTGAAAATAATGTAATCAAGACAAACACTCTTACAATTAATCAATCTATCTATGTATACGACTTCGAAAACTTGGATTAACCGATCACTGACCCCATTCTTTTATACCGTACCCCTCACCTCAACATCAGTTGTAAATAAAATCTCCCACCGAGTATGTTATAAAAGAATAGCAAAGTATTAACTACTTACGCTCGTGCCAAAACACGCCCCGCAGGGCATGGACGGTTTTCCTTTTTGTTGTAATCTTGCCGATGGGTGGTCGTCCCATCAAAGGGATCTGTGGGTTCTAATCTGTCATCAAAAGGTCGATGTAAAAGGGCCCGTTCGGCTATAATAGACTCATATTATCAGGAGTAGTTGCAATAAATTTTACTTGTGAGCGAGAGAGATTTCTTTACCTTTTCTCCCCGTGAATCCCTCTTTGTATGTCGTTGTAGCATCCAACGGATCCGTATTGGGAACATATCCATTTTCTGGTCGGAATACTCTCTGGACCGATGCCCTACGTCCATCAAATTGCTCTCGATGTTCCGTTAATCCCTTTAAAACCGTCTTTAATTAATTAGTCCTTACTTCAAATGGCTGACTTGACAGATGCCTTGATCCACTGGCCGGTCTTCTGGCCAGAGATCTTTGGCTCACATCCAGGGGAATAAAGTCCCGTCGATGAATGGTCTGGCCATCCAAGGGCTCGGTGTTCCGGAATACTGTATCCTCAGGGCGATACGGGGTGCTTCGGCCGGCCTATGAAAAGAATTATTCTGTTATATTATTCCACGACCCACTTCCTTCTGTTGGTAGTCGCTTCGGTGTGTGGTCTGGCCGCCAAAGGCTTCAGAAGGCGGCCTTCTGTTGGAGAGGGGTCTTCCGGCTCGAACAAAGTCACCTTTCTTCCCGGTAAAGTCGGATCGATGGGTTGTGTTAAGATCAAAGGTCGTATCCTAAAGCAAAATATTTATTTTTGTGTTATCCTCACCCGATCTCTGCCCAAACTCGTATGCAAAGATCTTTTTCCTCTTTCTCGATCTCCTTTCTTGTGAACAAAAGTTTCTCCATACTCTGTTCCGCCAAACGGAACTCCGTTTTCTCCAATTAACCTTCCCGAATTCTCGTGCGGACATCGATGATTACTGTAATTATGATAATTAAATCTTTCATTACTGACTTACCCGCATTCGCACAGCTGACAAATACACTTCTCACTGGCACTCATCGTATGCTGTGTTCTCTTTATATATTTTGTCTAGACCGTTTCCGTGTAGGCCCTTAGGGCATTATAGATTCCTGGTGGCTTCTCGGCCTTAGTAACCGTAACAACGAGAGCCCTTCCAATCTTTTTTCTGTTAAGAAACGCTCAAGTGCTACGTAACATTGCGTGTGAGTGTAGGTGTAATGTAATGAGGTAGAGTAACAACATTGAAATTACAGCAATATGATATTCGTGGAAGGTTTAGAACTGCATTCCGAGAGTAAAAATAAAAAGTTTATTCTATCAGAAAAGGTAAGTGAATAAGGGCAGTGACTAAAACCTAAGGACGGACAGCTGAAGCACAGCTGAGACAACATTTCAGACGAATCCTCGGCTCATCACATCTGCAATTACAGTAATACGAAATGAAAAGGAGGACCTACGAGTGGAAGACGCGCAGAATATCACAGAAACGGGTCTGATCTATACATTCGCCGAGATCCGAACGAGGTTCTGCAAAAAAATATCTTACAATTTAATCAAAATACGAACAAAGCGTAATATAAATACAGAATCGGAAAAAGAAAAGGAGGAAAGTTGTGTTTGGTATGCTCAGAACTAGACTTTCTTCATAACAAGACGTCGCAATTGAGGAGGCAATTGCCCGTTGTAAGTCCTCCAGCCCCTCCAGCGTTCCCATCCTTTGAAAGCTGGGATTGGAAGACCCTTGGCTGGACTCTCGAAACTGTTAATTGACTCTCCTCCTTTGTCAGAATCACTGTCAGACTCATTTTCAGAAGGTTCAGACATTTGGTCGGTGGAGGGAGAGTGATAAGAAAAGATAGAATTACTTGGGGCATCCATCTGTTGTTGGTAACAGGGAGGAAGATCGGGCACGGCACAAGCACGGATCGCGGCTGGACGCTGACTAGGATCACAGTTATGCCCTGCGGGCTTCTTGGTCCCTCTCCAGACACAACGCAGGATTCGCATCTAAAGTAAAATTGTTGGTCATCAACATAAATATAGATCTTGTTTTTCGTCATTCACACTCTTAAATTTTATCAAGCATGCATACCTGCACCCCTCCATCGTCACACTTTTTGCTGCATTTTCCCCATACGGAAGTTTTCCATTCGGCAGTGCAGTTTACTGTAATTTATAATATAACCACGAGTCAGTAAAGAATTCTTACAATTTTGGCATTCCTTTTTGATCTTTGGTCTCGTTTTTCGATCGCAGAGAGTGCCATCAGCTACTGTTGAATTGGGGAAAACACATTTAACATCCCTTCTGGAAATGGAGATCCCATCTCGAGAACATCGAGAGATCCCGCACTAAAAAGAGAAGGTTACTTCTGATGCTTTGAGCAGTGTTATAGCTGTTCTTCACACCCACCTCACTCCAATCTGATGCTTCCCACTTAGGACAGTTCTCACTCCGACAACTCTTCGATGCCTGAGGGCGTTCCACAGCAAAGGAATCGCAGATTTCTTCATTTACATAAGCAATTACATCTTCAACTGTCAGTCTACATCTGAGTAATCGAACTTGGCTCCCTTCAATGTCATTACACTTGGATTGAGTGCAAGTTGACCATTCTCCGATCTCATAATCGACTTTCAGAAGACCTGGTTCTTGGATCTTCTTCACTTTATCATAGGCTTTAAGTTCTCCCAATTTGTAAAGAGAATCCCGAACTCCTTGAAGTAGTTGATCATCTACATCGTTTGCAGATTTAATTTCTGACGGATCATCCGAAGTCTTTCCTTTTGCTCTCGGGGGTCTTGATTTGAATTTTAAAGTCACATTTCCCTGCACTCCATCAGCAACGCAGGCATATATCCCAGCATCTTCGAGTTGGGCATGGAATATTCGAAGGGCTCCGTTTCCAGACACTTTCATGTGAGCTGAAAAGCAATGCAGAGTACTAAAGTCAGGGAGTCCCGAACAGTTACATTACTTGAAACTCACCTGAATTCTTGACCTTGATTCCATTTTTGGTCCAGAAAATTCTTTGCTTTTCAAAGTTTTTGACGGGACACTTGACTTTAATGGATGTTCCCTCATAGAGGTTTGCATATCCTCCCACATTGAGTGTGAGACGTCGATGGCCTGGATGTAATTGATCAAAGTTGGATGGCTTGGTTGTGAGGGTAGCCCCAAATCTGGATTTAACTCGATTGTTGTCATCGGGACCATCTTTTTGCAATCCCCCGATATCATAATGATTGTAATCCTTGTCACAACGTTCTAAAAAATTATTTTTTGGTAAACATGTTATACGGGGGTTCCAAGAATTATGGAAAAAAACTATTCGTTAATAACTTTGTGCTCGGTGGTCCAATCCGAAATTTTTTTTTGCATTTTGCAGAAAAACTTTGGAGATTTTAGAACCAAAAAAAAAATTTTGTTTTATCGGCGGAGACTTCCGTAATCCGCTTTAAATTCGGCGGAGTGCTTTTTTCACAAACGAGGCTTTAAAAATGGGTTCATTTTTTTCTCCGCCGATTTGTCTTTTTTTTCTTCTCGCAGTGGGCCGAAGGCGTAATAAGTCGTATTTAGGCGCCATGCCACCAGAAATACCATACCTTTTGGTTTTAGCCAATTTTGACTCTCCAAACTTTGGATATACCCGCGTATATACCCGCGTGGTGAATATACCCGAATTTTCCGAACCCTACTCCAAAGTTGAAGAAAAATCGTCCGCCGAATGAGAAAAAATTGATAGAAATGTCATATTGTATCTTCTGAATCCTTTCTCGACCATTTTCTTCGCACATACAACAATTTACAGCCTCATTTGTGAAAAAAGCACTCCGCCGAATTCAAGGCGGATTACGGAAGTATCCGCCGATCAAAGAAAAAATTTTTTTTGATTCTAAAAACTCAAAGGTTTTCCTGTAAAATGCAAAAAAAAATTTTGGATTGGACCACCGAGCACAAAGTTATTAATGAATAGTTTTTTCCGTAATTCTAGGAACACCCTGTACAAAAATTAACATGGTATACAAAAATGACTATGCTTCATTTGAGCAGATCAGGAACCTGGCCAATAGAATTTATACCGATTTTGAAAGGCGTTAGGAGACTGAATCCCCCAAGATCGAACCCCCCTTGAAAAAAACGGTACTGGGCAACAAACCCACAAACGCACAACCTCGAACAGGGGTGAGGGGTTCAGTCAGGGGGGTTCGGTCTTGGGGGGTTCAGTCAGGCATGTCCAAAATGTTCTCAAAACTAGATGACAACTGTGCGAGAGTGACTTGTGACAGTTCGGTGAACATGCTGAATCCGCGATGAAACAAGCATTGAGACAGTTTTCACGTAATTTTGGGAAGCCACAATTACCAAACGGATTTTTTTTTGTCTCCATGCCCGTTCCCGGAGAATAAAGTTACCCTTAGCTAATACAGGGTGTTTCAAGAAATTTGGCAGAAACTAATTGCGAATATCTTTGAGCTCTTGCTAGTTATCGCAGAAATTCTTTTTGTTTCTAAAACTTGATATCGGGCGGTTTTGTACTGAACAAAAAAAATTTTTTTTCGTCTGCGGAGGGGCCAGTTCTCGGCGGAGACATTTGGGGCCTTTTTTAAAAATCACACCTTATTACATGGTGGAAACTCTGTTACAATGGCCAAAATCATGTTTACGTTAAACCTCCGTGGATTTTACGGTATGCTTTTTCTTGTTTTCGATTTTCGCTCATCCGCGGAGGCACGGCGGAGATCTCAGGTTTCGGCGGACGTCGTTTTGACTCTTTGGATCATTCAATTCAGGTTGGAAAAAAGTGTGGGGTGATTTTTTGTTGTCATCCGATGCACAGATGCAAAAATTTCGCACTTTTTTCCCCGGCGGAGGATTCGGCGGAGGCTTTATCAAAGGGTCAGAACAGTCTTAGGAGTCCGGGAAAAAACTCAGCTACAAGAATCCATCACAGCAACATCATTTTTCTTATTTTTTGGTTCGGCGGACACATCGGCGGAGGATTCGGCGGAGGCTTTATCAAAAGAGTCAAAGTTTTGTTTTGACCCTTTGATAAAGCCTCCGCCGAATCCTCCGCCGGGGGATAAAAGCACAAAATTTTTGCCATCTGTGCATCGGATGACAACAAAAAATCGCCCCAACCTTTTTTCCAACATGGATTTGCAAAAACCGAGGGCCCAAAACAAAGTCCGCCGAAATCTGAGGTCTCCGCCGCGCCTCCGCGGATGTTGCGTAAAATCGAAAACGCAAAAAAAGCACACCGCAAAATCCACGGAGGTGTAACGTAAACATAATTTTGGCCATTGTAACAGAGTTTCCACCATGTAATAAGGTGTGATTTTTAAAAAAGGCCCCAAATGCCTCCGCCGAGAACTGGCCCCTCCGCCGACGAAAAAAAATTTTTTTTTGTTCAGTACAAAACCGCCCGATATCAAGTTTTAGAAACAAAAATAATTTCTGCGATAACTAGCAAGAGCTCAAAGATATTCGCAATTAGTTTCTGCCAAATTTCTTGAAACACCCTGTAGTGTCCGGACACATGTCCCAGGAAGAGCAGCAACCGATCGTCATCCCCGGAAATCAGGAAAATGATAATATTTCTATTTATGTAAATGTGACTCTGTTCTTTTGTGTCCCCTCCTATAAAAGGAGTAGGTTTTCGGTAAAATAAGCATTACTTGAGCCAATCTCGGCTTTGTGCGGGTGACTAGTAAGCTAGGTTACTTCAGGAGAAGGAGGTGGAGAAGGCGCACATCGACATCGCCAAGACGAGTCGGAGCTGGAAAATGAAGGAGAAAGGGAACCTCCACCACGAACAGTTCGAGAAAACAGTCAAAGCCCGCCTAGAGAAAGAAGTCGTTCAAGGTCTGTAGCCAGAGGACAAGGAGTCGGAATTTTACCCGACCACACGCCAGCGGTAAGAGTTGAGCGGGCAGTGCACCCTCCCAAGCGCCTCACCTACGGAGAGGGAGGAAAACGACCGGTTGAACCGAATAGAGTTCATTGAAAATGTGGGTTTTCGGTAAAATAAGCATTACTTGACCTAATCTCGGCTTTGTGCGGGTGTCTAATATGGTAGGTTACTTCAACAAATAGTTGACTCTTATTCCGAATAGGTCACATCGGAGGATCTCATTGGCTAGCGATGCAAAGGGGAATAGGGGCGGGTCTTCGCAGTAAAATGTTTTCGCTCAGAGTCGCGCAACAAATTTCCAGGTGCGGCTAGCGTCGCAAAGCGATGATGGGCGATTCCAAGGCGCGACAACTCTCCACTACTTTCCCGGCAGACTGATATATCGGTTATGCATAAATATTGGGCCTATACCCGATCTGCCCCAAATGAAGTTTGCCCGAATGAAAGGTTGCGATAAGGATAAAAAATAAAACTTACGAAGATTACATAATTGTAAAGTCGGAGGCCGTTGTAATCCAGAACACGGCAAAGGAGGATTGAAAGAATGAACATTGCCCGAGGCATCTCTCCGCTCACAAATTACCACTCTATGCTGTTCACCTTGCCCACATGTCCTCGAACATGGACTCCATTGCTCCACTCGCCAATTAAATGGACAATCCACAACTCCGCAAGCCTCTTGATCTGGGGGTTTTGGTAGTGGACATTGGGCATCGGGAAGGATAAGGACCGATTCTGGAGTTCTCCCGGAGCCTGCTTTTCGAATACATCGCACTTTCCGAGATCTGATTCCTCCACCACAAGTATGGGAACATCCACTAAACTCGACACTCTAAACCAAAATAATTACGGTCGATTTATTTTTGTATTTTTCGACTCACCTCCCAGGTTGGAGGACACGGTTCAGAATTACAAGTCCTCGTCAAATCAACCGGTCGTTGTTTAGCGCGGCAATTTGACCAAGGGACGGCCAGATTCCGACTCATGTCTAGGCACTTCAGAGTCGACTTTTGTTTCCCTAAATTGCATAATTATTGCATGCTTTTGATTACACCATCATAATATATTATTATGCAATCCCGATCTCACCTCCCAAACATGATGCCGAACAAGGTCCCCATTCTCCATAATCCCATCTGAACGGTCCTTTCCCCACCTCATTGGCTGCTTTATCTTCTTCTTTTGAGCAGGGCTTGTTCTCACATGGCTGATACATGGTCGGTTTGTCGAGTCCATTACATTCGAAATCGGGGAGTCTTACCAGATTCTCCGTGATCCCCTGCTCTGCAACACATTCAACTTTCCGAGTTTGGAAGCCCGGCCCGCAAGTGGTTGAGCATTCGGACCACTCGGCCGGTTTGTATCTATAGAATTGACTCTTATTTTATCCTTTGGACCTTACTGTGGTCTGGTTCTGGCTTTGGCCGACAGTTCATTCGATGCAAATCCACTGGCCATAGATCCTGAGAATCCATCGTTGGCACTCCATTGGAGGAAAGGCGAGGCCTCGGCAAATCTGGAATGTCATAATCAATATGATTACAAGGACTCTTGGCTGCATCTGGCCTTGTCATCTCGGCACAAAGAAAACTCTTCAATGCCCGTCTGTTGGGATTAAAAACAAAAGATTTATAATGATTTATCATGTCTTAAAGAGGAGCGCGGCTCTTCCAAGATGGCCGTAATTGTCCGCCCATCAAAATGTAACGCGACAACAAGAGCAATAATGCCCGCGGATGGGTCGGGGAAAGTGCCAATTTATTATTTTTGGAGTGGACCGGGAAACAAATAAAAGATTGGGACAAGAAACTTCATTAGAGTTATTTAGTTCCTCAAAATCTGAATAAATGTTTGCAAGAAAAGATTAAATTGCGGATTTCTGACTAAAAATCCAAAAAATAAATATCTTGTTCGTGCTTTTCATTCTCACTGAAAAAAGTTTTAATTCCCTAACGGCCAATACGGCCAAACTTGGATATCGGAATTTGGAAAACAAAATTCTCATTCAATCCATGCATAAAATTAAACACCCAAGTTTTTCAATTTTCCATCACAATCGCAATGATTACTAACCCAGAATCAAATTATCGAAACTTACGAGTTAAGGGAATCAACAGCAAAAGCGAGATCAGAGATCAGGGCCAAGATCAACAAGATCTGGCCCATAATACAGAACGAAACTACAAGACCTTTAGATTCGAATCAAAAAGGACGGAAATGACCGTTGGGTCAGAAAGGGGAAAGTAAAGCTCCCCAAGATGGGGAGGGGCCAAGGAATTGTCTCTCGAGTGCCGTTCGAGAGATGCTTCTACAGATGCCCTCAGGGGACACATATTCAAAACACTGACCTCGTTGACTCCCGACCTCCAGAACCAGCTCCAGAGTCTTCTTCTCCTTCCTGATTACATTCACATTCCTTTACATTTTTGGGTCGGTCTTTTATTACACACGCTGACTCGGTTACTCGGATTCCATTTTGAGTACAGTCCACCTAAAAAAAGAAGCGTTGTAAAGAGTACGAAAGCCATTAGTACAAAGATACGCTCACATCTCGCTCTTGTATCCCCAGATGACAAATACAAGATGACCAACGGCCACCCATCCATTTGGGGCACTCATTTTGAACGCAAAGTCGTTGTCGAATCTGCAAACACTACGGTAACTAATGCAACTTCTTCTCCTACAGGTCGTTTCCGATGAATACAATAGTGTTCGTCGATCGGGGGACCCTCTGGATTGGCCTGGTCTACACATTGAACTGCTCGAACTTGATGGCCACGTCCACATGAGGCCGAGCAAGATCCCCATGGACCTGTCGTCCAGCTAAAAAAGGAAAATTCTGATATGCTCATTCCATTTTTGGATAAGGATAAAGGCGAAAAAGCCATGGAAATGTGGGGAAGGTTATTTACAGCAAACACAAAAGGTAAAGTAAGGATGCGCAACAGAAAGAGGAAACTAAGATTTAAGCGAGAGATGTCCTCTCGACTCACGTGTAATCCAAATTCAAATCTGTCCTAAACAATTTATTATTATTGGATATAATTATAACAGTAACTGTAGAACAATACTTACTTCCCCTGACACGAATTAATTGGACATTTTCTGACTCGAGGCCGAGGCCTCTCCAGATCAGCACACATTCTTTCGGGAACAATTCGACCATTTACGGAGTTGGAGCAGATCGAAACAGAGACTTGATGCCCTAAGATAATTTATATTATACAGGGTGCGCCATCTTTATTGCCTGATTTGAATTGGCCAAAACTTTTTTATTTCCCGACGTTTATTGGAAAATTTCACCTTCGTTTAGGCAAAATTCTAAGACTTCTGAACCCGGGTGTGCCACAACTTTCTTCCGCCATTCCCAAGATACAACTGATTTTCGGCATTTTGCGTTTTTCCTTAGATGGCGGAATTTCTGGATTCCTGCCACATATTAAAAAAAGGGAGGTTCTGAGGATTAAGGAAAAAATCTTCGAAGCTATACCCCGGGACTAAAGTTTGGAACAGGCTAGATTTACTTTGTGGCTTGAGATCGGAGTTTCATTTCTTTTCTATGAGAATCGGGATGTATTAAAACCCTGAATAGATGCATAGCCGTAAAAATCCGAAAGCTCATATGAGCAAAACACAAAATTTTTAAAAATGGGTGGGACAAAAGTTTGGAACAGGGTAGGAATGCGACCATAAATTTCGAGGTATAGTCAAAAACTCCTAGCCTTTGGTATTTTTAGATGCTACAAGGAGTCAGGATCTCAACGACATGCTGATTTTCATCGATAAACTCAAAATGAAAAAAATTCTTATTGAGCCAAAAATGACGATCAAATTTGCGAAAAAAATTATTTTTTGCGTTGGGTTCTCTATGTTATTGGGTGTGTAAGCATTCTAAAATATTTAATATAGTCGTATGACCGTAAAAAGACACTCAGATCTTCGCATAGCGACCTTGTCCGCACAGTATAATTTATGAAAATCTTGGATTGCGCTTCGAATCTTGGTCTAATGAACTTTAGACTTTTTGTAAGGCGGCTTGATGGCTAATTGGTCTTTTCATAGTTTTTGTGGGATGAAAAGGTTTCTTCACAAAGCAAAACATGACCGCAATTTGCAATATCCCAAGTAAGATGTTTCAAAAATTAAAAAAAATTTTCGATCACCAAAATCAATGTCTATATCGACCTGGATTCCTAGTTTAATACATTGTAGAGTTGGCTAACAAAACTTTATGAGTGTGAAAAGGATAAAGGCATTTAGTTTTGCGCCATACGGCGACCTAAAATTAAAGTAAAAAATATGGGTCATCTTAACATCTCATATATCCGGGTTTTTCGAAGTTGTGGCCTTTCGTGTTGCAAATAGCGGTTGGTTTTTGCCTCTTGAAGATACCTTTTTGTCCCACAAAAACTATGAAAAGACCAATTAGCCATCAAGCCGCCTTACAAAAAGTCTAAAATTCATTAGACCAAGATTCGAAGCGCAATCCAAGATTTTCATAAATTATACTGTGCGGACAAGGTCGCTATGCGAAGATCTGAGTATCTTTTTACGGTCATACGACTATATTAAATATTTTAGAATGCTTACACACCCAATAACATAGAGAACCCAACGCAAAAAATAATTTTTTTCGCAAATTTGATCGTCATTCTTGGCTCAATAAGAATTTTTTTCATTTTGAGTTTATCGATGAAAATCTGTATCTCGATGAAGTCCTGACTCCTCGCAGCATCTAAAAAAACCGAAGCCTAGGCGTTTTTGACTATACCTCGAAATTTATGGTCGCATTCCTACCCTGTTCCAAACTTTTGTCCCACCCATTTTTAAAAATTTTGTTTTTTTGCTCATATGAGCTTTCTGATTTCTACGGTTATGCATCCATTCTGGGGTTTTAATACATTCCGATTCTAATAAAAAAGAAATAAAACTCCGATCTCAAGCCGCAAAGAAAATCTAGCCTGTTCCAAACTTTAGTCCCGGGGTATACAAATAAAAAAGTTTTAGCCAAATCAAACCGGGTCACAAAAACATTGCACCCCGTACTTATGCTGGCCCATCTCCGCTTACTTAAAGGTCCACACTGATTGTCACATGGACTAAACTGTCCGGTCTCTTTCCATACAAACAATGTCTTATTACACTTCTTCCCATCTCCTCCACAGTTTCCACAGTAATCTGGTTTGGCCGAGGATCCAATGATCTTATCACATCCAATCGACTACAGAACGGTTACTAGTCCGTTCGTAAAGTAGCTGGAGTGATTTCGCGCACTGTACAGAAAAAATCAGAGTGCGATAGCCAAAAAAGCATATTGCACGCGTGCAATTTTAATTTACGCTGTGCAATTTTAAAGCCGAAAATTTCACAGCGTAAAGTGATCTTTTCTTTTCTCACAGTGCATGTCGTAAAATTCACCCCAGCGACTTTACGAACAGACCAGTAATAATTACACATTCTTAGTTTTTACCTGGCATTTCCCCCTTAAACAAGCTCCTTGTTGGCCATCCGACCTTAGACATTTGGCGCCATTCCGGAGAGTCCTATCTAAGAAGAATACCTCGTTTTTAGATAATGATTTGCATATGGCTTGGCACTGAAAGCAAAGACAATATAATGATTGGAGAACGTACACTATCCAAAGCTAAAGAACTAGTCCATTTACTTGCATGGCCGGAATCTGCAATGAAATGGAGGGCCCCTCTCTTTCTGCATTCCTTTTCTATGTCATCATCATCAAGACATTCCTAAAAAAATATATTTTTTGCATCTTGAAAGAATCACAAACATAAATATCATGTTATGATGACTATTACCTCCGATTTGCAGACTTTGTATCTCTTGGCAGGCCCTTGACATCTTGCACTCAAACATCGTCTCGCCTGAAATTGGACTCCGCCCCCGCACTAAGCTATCAAACTATTACTTGTACTTACTTCAACTGAACAACTACTCCATTCGGACCACTTGGCCCAGATCTGAATGGCAGACCCATCAACAAACAGTGTGAAGAATAATATAGTCCAGAAGAAGATCATCTTTGAAGTAATTGGACGACCACATCGACAACTGAACGCATTACTTCCTCGAATCCTGAAAGATTTAAACCTCACCCTCTAAACATATTCAAATCCAATTTCAGCGGAACCAAAGAAAAAAACAGCCACAAGCAGAAGATACCGGGCAAACACGCGCCAAGATGAAGAGGTGTATATTGGGGAGGGCATTCAGAAAGGTCAATGAAGAAGAACAGGCTGCATAAATTATGACAAAAGGTTGGAGTAAGCCAAGTTCGAGAGGTGAGAAGTCAGAGAAGAGTAAAAAAAGATGTATCAAACTTTGATTACAATTCAAGCGAAAATATAATAAAACTGGGCACTTCCTCCTCCTTAAATATCACGCAATATAGGCACGACACCACAAAAAAGGTCGATCCCGTCCAATCCCTCTTCTACAAAACAAAAAAATACTCGATCATCATCAAAGGATGTATGGTTAAAGACATTCTCTTTTGCAACCTCCATCATGATGAGCCGCTCTTTCTCCGTGCCCAATTCTAACCGAGGATTCCAACTTTTCTTCGGAATCCCCTCAGGGCCTGTTCTCTTTTAAAGACCATATTTTGGACTAAGGCTTCCGATCTCGTGGCCATTACCTTTGATTCAAAATTTAGAAGTAAAAATCATCTCGAAATGCATATGTAATAATAATACAGTAACTAAAACATCAAAAGTGCAAAATCAATGTGGCGGCCAAAAAAACAGGACACTAGTTCCTTTGCCGTTCATATTTTTTATATCAGAAATAGTGGCTATTCTGGACACCCCGACAGTAATTCCATGATCACCGACCGTAATTTTATGTCCCATTTTGTTTGTCTCCTTGAAATTGGGTAAATGACCTGTTAAACCCCCAGATGTAAGATCGCACTGGACCTCATACAATTGTCTAGGAGCACTACGCATTACTTGTTATCCGTCATCCAGAATATGGCATAGCAACAAAGTTGCAAACAAGACATCTAGTGCCCCGTTTTTTTAACCGCCACTGTAGGCTACTCTGAAAGAGTGAACAATAGCATCAAATAACAGCTGACCGAGCGTTCTAACGGCCGTTCCTTAGGACTCTAATGAAATTTGCATGAAATTTCAGTGCCAAACTCCATTTGCAAGGATTTCTCATTTCATGGGCCCGAAATCGGATTCGGTGGTGTCCAAGGAAATGAAAGACAAGGTCTGCCCGATTATTCATGTCTTTTATGTCTTATCGTTTCTTTGTACCAATTAATTTCAGGATTTTGATACTGAGGTGGACTCGGATCGTCGCAAACCCGAGACTGGCCGCGATGTTCCTCGACAACTTATTCGGATTCAGAAGACAAAAGTAGGCGATGGAATCGTCAAGGTGGAGCTGAGATATGTGTCCTATCAGAAGAACGATAAGAATGATTTGAAGGAAGGCGACGTCAGCTCACAGATTCTGGCCCATCTTTTTGCCAAGTATCAGGAGATGGAATCGGGAACGAAGAAAAAGATATTCATCGACCAGCAGCCCCAGTATATCAAGAGTTTGCTTCTCAAGATGGAAAATGCAGATTCTTTGAACAAATAAACGTATTTTATCTTGCGTTCTCTAATTCAAATTCTCAACTTTCGCAAATTTTGGCAAAGTGACTAGACGTCTAGAAAATACGTCATTGTGATCTCAAAAAAAGCCGGTAGAAGAAGATATTCGTCTTTGTAGAAGCTGTAGCAATTATGCAATCGAGGATTAATGGTTGTATAAGTGTTTTACATTACTTATAAAGGGTGTCAGCATGATTGATTTTCTGGAGTGTTTATTTCGTTTTCTTTTTTACCAAGATACGACACCTTTTTTGGTGACTATCCATGTAATGTTTTGATCTTGATATATTTGGGCATTTCCTTGATAATTCCTTCAGATAGGATCTCTCTTTGTATTCGGCAGGCGGAATGAGTAATGATTCGGAGGTTGAAATTATTATTATTCGTGGAAATTGTTGGATTTTCCGAGCTCGTGTTTTTTATTTGGCCGTCTGCTATATCTTTACTAGTATGCCTTGTTTCAGGGATTTATCTGTGTTTGATTTATGTTAAATGCCTTCGACCTTGGGTAACATCAAAAACTACAGACGTGGAAATCCGATTGATGTTTTGGAACCCGTCAATGACGACCAATCATGGGATACCTTGTCAAGAGATGCCTTTCGAAACTTTAATTCTGTACGGTTCCAGCATGTTCTGTGTTGAATTTTGGCTAAATGCGTTCCAGTTAGATTTACGAATTCAATTTTAGGCCGATTTTCCATACCGATTCCTGAATTATAAGGTCGGGAACTCCGCGTTTGCCCCGATCTTGAAGGTGCCTTTAGAAGGTCCGTCGTTGAAGCTTCTTCCTCCAGCCATCCAGCAAACATTGCTTCTAACTGATCCCAACCAAGCTGATAAGGATAAGGAAAAGCGAAGTCGTCGACCGAAAGCAAAGAAGAATGAAGGCCGGGAAATCGAGGTCGAGAAGGATCCAGATTATAAAGGGAATCTCGACATTGACAATCTGGTGGTTTGGCTTGTGAGCGACGAAGAAAAAGAACTTGGAACAAAGAAGAGGAAGAATAAGAAGAAGAAACATCATAAGAGGGAAGAAGTCGACAGGGATGTAGATATTGAATTGGATTCTGACGATGTAAGTGGTTATTATACATTTATGTAATTTTTAGGGAAAGTCTGGTGGACGAAGGTCGGTGCTTGCAACAGTTTCGCCTGAAGAAAGTCAAGATCGCAGCGAATCCAATGATGTGGATGAAGAAGAAAAGACTTCTGAAGACGACAAAACGGAATTCACTAACGATAGTTCTGAGGTCTCATCTACTCAGCTGGATGCAGGAGATGGGTCTAAAATCAAGAGTAAGTTGGGACCTTTCCCCTTATATTGGTTTATAGCCTTTATCGAGCAAGTTATGAATATAAATCCATCGATGAACACGTCCGGTGGAGAAATAATCAGATCAGAGGAAGATATCAAAGCCGAGCAGTTGATTGATGAGTTCTTTCTGCGGAAATGGGACGAATTCCAGTATTTGAAAAAAAGTTGTAAGGATACATTCTGAAACGTTATAAACTTATTTTCTTTGTTTTAGTAGACGAAACGTCATTTGAAACGGTTACGAAACGGAAGAATAAGGAGCATCTCAATCCAGATACATGTCAAAATGGCCGGAAGCACATGAACCGCAAGAAGAATCGACGCCACAACTGATTCTCCTCTTCTCAGATTTCTAAGGATTCAAAAGACTCTGTGTAATTACTGCCTAAATTTTTCGGAGTTAAATTGTAAACGGGTCACTGGAAACGGAAGCACATCACGGATCTCTTTCTTTATTCCTGTTTATTTTAATTTTCTATATTTCGGTGATTTGAATTGTCTAAATTTTACTATTTTTGAGCAAATTATAAAGACCACTATGAACAAAAGAGCGATCACATAGATGATATAAATAAGATGCTCATGAGGTATGAAACAATGCGACACTTCCAGAGCATCGCTGGAAATACTGGCCAATAAGAAGCTGGGAGAGCGGTTGTTGCGCCAAGAAAACGACGATATGGTGTATTCCCAGAGATTGTACGGCGCTCCCCACCACTTCTTGCATCCGTAATGTACATGACCTGAAAAGGAAGCTCGGGGACGGAGTTTGTTGAGCAATAATTGAGTTGATTCCGAGGAGAGGCATTCCCATTTCTCACGGAACTTTTCTGATATTATTTCTTCTGATCCGAGATCCGGCGTATCTGATGAGCACTCCTTATCACTTGTTCTAAAATAATTGACATTGGTCTCTCAGATACCACTGACCTGTACAAAGGATAGTGTTGCATTATAATGGGTCTACTGTAGGGAGTTATGGTTTTTGCTGGACAACTAGAATTTTTATGCAAAGAACATTCTAAAGTCTCCGAGATCTTGTTCAACTCTTCTACAGCGGTTTGACATAACCCACATCCATCTCCTTCCATGGCCACAGAATTGATGAGAACGAAATGATTTCCACCAATTTCCAAGTGTTCTATTCCTTTATCATTGCCAAACGCCTTGACATATCGCTTGACGTTTCCGGGCCTCACACTGAACATGAAAAGTAATAAAAAAACGGATGACTTACGCATAATGAAAGCCAATGTCATGATTTCCGGGCACGGTGACCAATTTTGTAAATTCAGGAACGTAGAAGAGAGCATTAAACCGCTCCACGTATGTGTCGAACGTACCATCAGTACCCCACTGGCCTTCGTCAAACAAGTCTCCTAAAATAATGGACTTACGTGGGACTTGATCATATTACTCTTACCTAATATGAAGACAACATCCGGTTTAAACGTGTTTACGGCACTTTGGAATGATCGATACATTTGCCACTCTCTAAGCCAAATTTGGCACATTAAAGTAAAGCCTACCGTCTGAGTTTGTCCAACCAATGTCCTTTGTAAATGCCCAGCAAATGGGTGTCTGCCAGTATCATGACTTTCGTTTTATCATTATGTGGCCAGGAACATTTCCCAACCCACAAATAATAGATAAGATACTCATTAAATAATATAACCGTGACTAGAGTAATGACAATAAAGCGCAAATAACTTTTCATGATGTTTCACCGTCGACACGTACAAAATTGAGGTTCAATTGACAAAGCCTGCGTTTATCAGTGGGATATTCGAAGCAATAGAATTTTTTCTGACTGATTCTATTGAAAACAATATTCTAGCCCACATGAAAGTGTTTTGCATAGGCAACGCTGTTCATTTTCGTTTTTGACTCTATTTTCCACAAAATTTCCGAAAAAATATTATTCTATCTTACGCAGACTGCGAGAAATGGGCAAGCTGCGCCCGAGCCTTGCCAGGTTGGATCCAACGTAGAATTATTCAGTATTCGCGAAATGTCGTCGAAGATCGACGTATAGCCGTGACATCACGTTTAGTAAAGTGTTTTATTTCAGGGATGTCACTACTCAAAAAGTTCGAGTCCCAATCAGCGAGGGTAAAGGGTAAGTTTTTATGTTCTCCGTGGACCTTATCTTTTTTTGTATTTTAGGGATATCCTTTCATCCTACTCGACCATGGGTTCTCACCTCGCTTCACAGCGGTATAATCCAGCTATGGGACTACCGAATGTGTGTAATGCTAGATAAATACGATGAACATGATGGTCCTGTTAGAGGTATTGACTTCCATTGTCTTCAGCCATTGTTTGTTTCTGGTGGAGACGATTACAAAATAAAGGTAGTAGTTAAATTGTGAACAGATGAATTAATTATCGTTCGTTTGTACTAAAATTTTATTTTAGGTATGGAATTACAAACAAAGAAAGTGCATCTTCACTTTACTCGGCCACTTGGATTACATTAGAACTACTGTTTTCCACAAGAACTACCCGTGGATTCTGAGTGCGTCTGATGATCAGACTGTTCGAATCTGGAATTGGCAGTCCCGGGGTTCGATTGCCATTTTAACTGGTCATAATCATTATGTAATGTGTGCCCAGTTCCATCCCACTGAAGATCTGGTGGCCAGTGCTAGTTTGGATCAAACTATTAGGATTTGGGATATCAGTGGCCTTAGAAAGAAGAACGCCGTCCCCGGAATGGGATCTGGCTCAGGCAGAGTTGGATCTACACTCTCCGGGACCCAGACCGATCTATTCGGCCAGCCAGATGTCATCGTCAAGTACGTGCTCGAAGGTCATGATCGTGGGGTTAATCACGTTGCATTCCATCCAACTATGCCTCTTCTTGTTTCTGCCGCTGATGACCGATTGGTCAAGTTGTGGAGATACAATGACACCAAAGCCTGGGAAGTGGACTCCTGCCGAGGTCACTACAACAATGTCTCTTCAGTTCTATTCCATCCAAAACAAGAACTCATTTTGTCGAACTCTGAAGACAAAAGTATTCGAGTGTGGGATATGCAGAAGAGAACTTGTGTCCAGACATTCCGCCACGAAAACGATCGCTTCTGGGTAATCGCCGCTCATCCCACTTTAAATATCTTTGCCGCAGGGCATGACAATGGAATGATCGTATTCAAGATTGAAAGAGAAAGGCCTGCTTATACCAGCCATGAAAACTTTGTGTTTTACGTCAAGGATCGTCAGCTCAGACGTCTTGATTTGACCAATAAGTATGTTTCTTTTTCAGTTTTTTTGGTAACATCAACGGCATTAATCAAGTGTTTTTTTATAGTCGTGATGTATCCTTGGCTCAGCTTCGCCCGACCAAGATCACTCAGCCCTACTTCAGTTTGTCCTATAACCCCGCCGAGAATGCCTTTTTGATTGTTAATCGTCCTCAGAATGTTGAGAACAGCACTTACGAACTGTTTAAAGTAAGAAATTAATAAAAATTTCATTTTTAAATTTTTTAGGTTGCCAACGAAGAAGTAAAGGTTTCCGAACAGGGAGACAGCCGCCGAGGCCCTGGTGTTGCCACTGTTTGGGTTGCCCGCAACCGATTCGCAGTCCTCGATAAGAACCACAATATTATTGTGAGAGATCTGCAGAACAAGGAGAGCCGAAAGGTGGAGCACAACCTCTCAGTGGACGAAATCTTCTATGCTGGGGTTGGACTTCTTTTATTGAGGACACCGGATGGACTCCAGCTCTACGATCTTCAACAGAAACGCGTTGTGGCATCTGCTCGTGTCCCCAAGGTCAAGTACATCATATGGTCTAAGAACATGGAGCATGCTGCCCTCATCTGCAAGAATACTCTGGTTTTGATGACCAAGAAATTGGAAGTTTTGTGCACTGTGCAGGAATCGACCAGAGTCAAGAGCGGAGCCTGGGATGATAATGGAGTCTTCGTTTATACAACCTCTAATCATATCAAATATGCTTTAACTGCCGGAGATCACGGAATTATTCGAACTTTGGATCTCCCAGTTTACATTCTCGCCATCAGGGGATCCAAGTTATATTGTTTGGATCGGTGGGTTAATTTTTATGTTGTAGTATTGTTTTTCTTTATAGGGATGCGTCCCCCATCGAAATGGCTATTGATCAAACCGAGTACCGGTTCAAGTTGGCTCTCATCAATAGAAGATATGATGAGGTCTTGAACATGGTCAGAAACGCAAATTTGGTCGGCCAGTCGATTATCGCGTATCTTCAGAAGAAGGGGTACCCAGAAGTCGCTCTCCACTTCGTCAAGGACGAGAAAACCAGATTTGGATTAGCTTTGGAATGCGGAAATCTAACGGTTGCTTTGGAAGCCGCGAAAGTTCTGGATGATAAGGCCGTTTGGGAAGCTCTTGGAGAAGCCGCTCTGTTACAAGGGAACCACCAGATCGTCGAAACCGCTTATCAGAGGACCAAGAACTTTGAAAAGTTGGCCTTTTTGTATTTGATTACCGGAAATTTGGAAAAACTGAAGAGGATGACTCACATCGCGAGATCTCGAAAGGATACTCATGGAAACTTCCAAACCGCACTGTTCCTTGGTGACGTCGAGGAAAGAATCAGATGTAAGTTTGTCAAGGTTTTTTGATCGAATTTTCGTTTAGTGTTGTCCGATGTCGGCCAAACCTCGTTAGCCTATCTGAGCGCAGCCACGCATGGTTATGATGAAGAAGCCGCCAGACTAAAGGTTGAGCTCGAAGCCAAGGAACAGCCATTACCTCAAGTTGACCCTAATGCTCGATTATTGGCCCCTCCACCCCCAATTCAAAAGATGGATGAGAACTGGCCCCAACTGTCCATCGCTGCAGGTCCCTTCGATGCCCAGATCTTGGCTTCTGGAGCTCGCGGAACTTCTTCAAACCAAACTGTCAGAGCTGCTCGTGCTGCTGCTCAGTTTGCTGCTGAAGAGGGCGATGATGAGCCTGAAGGGGATGCTTGGGGAGTTGAGGGCGATCTTCTTCTTGATGACGAAGGAAACCCCGAGGTTGATGAAGGCGAACTTACTCAAGAAGGAGAAGAAGGTGGATGGGAGGTAAGTAATTATGTTCTGTGTTATAAAGAGTCTTAGGTCGATGATGACGTGGAGCTGCCACCCGAGGTCAAGGCTGCTGCTATTGCTGATGGAGAAGAAGAAGGCCCCCCAGTACCTGGAAATCCACCCTCGGCCAACTGGATTAACAATTCGAACAACGTTATCGATTTGGTCGCCGCAGGATCGTTCCATGCTGCTGCTGGAGCTCTCCGAGGTCAGGGAATTGTTAAAGTAAAGCCTTTCAAGAAGATCTTCCTCAATGTCTATGCCAGGTAAGTGTCATGAAAGGTTTAAGTTTATTTTGATTGTTTAGATCGCGGATCGTTTATTCTGGTATCTCCCAAACACCCCCTCTGTTGGCTTACCCGCTAAGAAATTGGGAAGAAGCCGGGCCAAAGAATGGTCTCCCGGCCGTAGCCATCAAAATGGAAGACCTGGGACTCAGTCTACAGGTGGCATATCAAGCTACAACCCAAGGAAAGTTCTCTGACGCTATTGTCAAGTTCCGGGAAATCTTGCTGTCTGTTGCTTTATTGGTTACAAAATCGAAGCAAGAAACTCTCGAGACTGAGCAGTTGGCTGAGATCTGCAAGGAATATCTGGTCGGTCTTCTGATGGAAACACAAAGAAAACAGCTCAAGGCTGGAGAAGATGACAAGAGGTCCATGGAGATGGCTGCTTACTTTACCCATTGTAATCTTCAACCTCGTCATCAACTGCTTACCCTCAGAACGGCTGCATTCCTTGCTTACAAGCATGGCCTGAAACAAACAGCGGCATCGCTTTGTCGCAGATATCTTGAACTTGGCCCCCCTCCAGAGGCTGCGGCCAAGATCCGGCAAATGTTGACAGCTTCGGAGCAACAAAACACAAACGCTTACAAGGTAGGAATCTATTGCTATTCATTGTAATACTGCGTTTAGATCGACTACGATGAGCACAATCCCTTCGTCGTCTGCTCTCGTTCCTTTACGCCACTCTACAGAGGACGGCCCCAAGAAAAGTGTGTCTATTGTAAGGCTGCCTACAAACCCGAGTTCAGTGGAGAAGTATGCGATGTCTGTCAAGTTGGTCAGATTGGAAATCTCTGAGAGCAACGGCTTCCCCCGAGTCTGTGATGTTATAAATCTAATTATATTGTTGACTAATTGTTTCCCCCTGCCGTTTGTGAACACAAAAATATGGACCAAGCAATTTACAATGAGGATTTGTCTAATTTATTTTCTTAAAAATTACATTTTGGTGTTTATAATAAATCTATTCTTCCCTCTGAGCTAATATAGCAGGCAGATGTAGCAGCGCACCCGGATTTGAGCCTAGTTCTAAATAAAAGATGCATATTAAGATTAAATACCCTTACTTTTTGAGTTTTTAACCCAATTCCTAATGGAATCCTTCATCTCTTCTTCTGATTTGAGATGGAAGTCGAGTCTTCTCAAGAACATCTGATTCCTGAGTTCAGTTTCATCCATTTCCTCCAGATCCTCCAGGATTACATGATCCAATTGTTTCATCACACTCGCTCGTTGTTCCAATCCCTTGCAACCATATAACGGCCATGATCGATGTAATCTGCATAATGTCAAGAGATGGGGAACACTTAGATCAACGAGTTTAACTGGGCTTTCCAATGAGAAATTCTAAAAAGAGATAAGACTTATGCAAAGAACTCACTTCCTTCTCCGTAAATTCCTGCAATCGCTTAATCCTAGGACGGAATGTGTAATCATAAGTCTTCTGCCAGAACTCTTCCTTCTGATGGCTTGTCCAGAAATGCCTAGTCAAGACGAAGCGAGGGAAGAAAATACTGAAAATCCGGGATTTATGAGAGAAAAACAGCTTTGATTGGACTTTGTCTGAATAAAAAAGAAAAACCAACATTGCAAAGGCTAATCCATAAATTGTAAACGGCAGAGGCGCCAGTATTGAGATTGTAACTAGTTTCGGCAACTCTTCTCGCGTCTAAAACAATATCGTGATTAAAATTAGAGCACTCAAACTATTAGAGACGAAAAGAATATGGAAGTCATCTTGGTTGGCCTTTCCTTGTTATTCAGACAAAAACAACAGCTATTTTGTACTTACGCGGAAATAATCAAGCCCTCTCCTATTATCGGGAATTGAAGTAGGACCAAGATGACCAATATTCTCATTAACTCGGGTGGACACTTAAGGAAAACCACAGAAATCTCACACACTTACCTGCAGAAGACACATCAACTCCTTTGTATTCATCTCGGACAGTCCTCTTTTGCCGTACTTGAGGTCCTTATTCAATCGATATAAAGTCCTTACATCCATTACGCAATCTCGACAGCCTAGATATACAATGCAGATCAATAGAGAAACATACCATCGACCACTAAACGATGCACTCGGTATATTTTTGGGTATTTTTTCTCCAGAAATTTTTCATATTTTCGATAAATTGAGATTTGGCAATTTTGCCCATAACTGATGGAAGTTGGCCGAAGAGTCAGCCGAGATATCGATGACACGATCATTTATTTCCTGGCTGGCGTTTACATCGACAATTGTCACGACAAATTTGATTTGCATGCAAATAACAGAAAAATAAAAAAATATTAGAAATCGTGGGCGGAACGCCACAAATTACAGGGTCACGTTTTCGTGTTGAGTCTTCTCACGTTTGGCAACTTGTGTAACATTAGTTGTCTGCCGCGTACTAATCGCATCAAAGAATCTGTAGAAGTTTGTCGGCGAGATCGCGGGTGCGCTCGCAGATAAGTGCATTCGCTAGTGCAAAAACGGGAAGTCGTCGCAGCGGCGCGAGGTGAAAAAGCACTGCGAAAAGTTGTTATACGGACTTTATGGCGCGGCTAGTATCACGGCACTTTTCAACAACCTAAAGATTTGTGAATATCTGCCAGTGTATTCATTCCATCTCCACGTGCTTTAATGCTTAACCCTTAGGAGACGAATTGGAACCATTATGCACAAATTATGCTACACTGTCTACTGATCATTGGCATAACATTCTTTCCGCCAGTTCAGAATGATCTGAGTCAGCCAATTTTGGATACTTTTTGAAACAGAATTTTACCTTTCTCGAAACCACTTTCTGTATGTTGTCAATGAAAAAGGAACAAGTTCCAATGCTCCTTCGAAGGATTAAATTAACAGAAGATGCTCCAATTTCATTATCGAATTCTCTGAATTTTGAAATTTGAGTACAATACTGCCAAAGACGGCGCTCACCCACAATTTGGATTTTATTTTTTACGGAGTGTGAAAAACAAGAACAGGAAACGCCCCCGGGCGGATGTAACTTAAAAAAAAAATAATTGTAAAGACCGTTAATCTCGGATTAGAAATCTGATTTCTTTTATTCTCCGGACTCAGGTAATCCTTCATTGACGCAAGTCCAGGTTTAAATGGCATTAGGGTCCTCAGTTTGTCTTTTTGTGGTTTTGCATTACAAGTGTTACAGTATCCCGAGTCAGATTACTTGTTCGTTACACACCGGAGTTTAACTTCAAGTAACAAATTTAATGTGGGCAGGGATTTGTCTGAGTCCAAGAGTGCACGACTTTGGCATTGAAGCCTGTCCATGTTTGCCCTTTTTTGAAACCTCAGGCCCACGGAAAGTGCTGGGCCAGATATCTTGTCTAGGGGAACGTGCAGGCCCAAAGTGCGGCCTCCGTTCCCTTTGGTGACATTACGGGTGCATTTGGCCGTTCTCCGACAGCACGGCCGGCCTGTTCTCCGCGAGATTGGGCCGCTTTCGACTCGAAAAATGGGCCTAGGACTTTCCCGGGCATGAATAATTAATGGGCCATTAAAAAGCTACAGAAAAGTACAAAGTGGTTTGCAATTATTATATCTTTTATTCTTTTTTGTTTTAACTTATTAAATACATCGGTATGAACAACAATTATGATCAACAATCAATTACACATATCGGAATTATCACTCGTTTTGAATTTTTTGAGATTTTTTTGAGCTTTTTGTGCATCGCTAAACAAAAGGTGCGGAGATACTTGAGAGTAGTGGTTTTTTGCTCGATTCAGACGAGGAGAGAACGGTCGAGGCGCTGGTGTGGGTACTATAATATTGGGCGGAGAGTACCGAGAAGTGAAGAGGGCGCCCATGCAAAGGTCATTCCATTGGCACTTTCCCCGGAGGGCAGCCGGAAGTCAAATGTGCATCCACCTTCTTCAGTTGTCGGATTTCTGAAAAAGGAATCGTTGTAATCAGGATACGTGGAAGAAAAAAGTTGAAAAAAGGGAGAAGAAAAAGTCTATTTCCCCAAAGATGTTGTTTATTTGTTTTTCGCATCTAGACTTCAAGAACAAACAGTACTTACCTCGCAGTCGACGTGTTTTACACTAAAAAAGATGATAATAATTCGTGCGTCCTTGATAAGCACGTAGGACGAAGAATACAGCAAGTCCGAACGTCGACCAAATATTAATTAGAGCCATTGGTTAACAAATACTAGACTACTCTGACACCGCGCTGACCGGATTCCGGACCAGCCAGGGCTGACTGCCGATTATGGCCGTCGCCCGGACTGAGCACCGTTTTTTCTCTTGTCGGACACCACAACGAGCTGGCTTTTAAACCCCGACCCTGGTCGCGGCCCCGCCCTCCGTTTCCATTGGGTTGGGCGTCTGGCGCCCTCTTTCCCCTTCCAGATCTTTCGTGAACAGAGAGTCAGAGAAATGTTTTTTCGAGATGGTCGCGTCCCTTTTTCGTCGTTCGGGTGCCATGTTTCAGTGAACGCCGAAGCCGAGCAAACCCCGAATAAGCCTTCAACTGGAACCCAAAGTTGAACTGGAACTTGCAAAACCGAGGGATTAGAGCCCTTTCACAGGCTGACGTCGCACCAAACTCGAGGATATTTGCATTTTCGGTCTCTCGCTCTCTTATCACAAGTCCGAATCAGCAGCCTTGATCACAGGATGGGCCAACTGTTGAGCGGATTAAATCGGGATGACGAGGGGCTGACAATAGATCAGTTTGAGAACGTTGAGTCATATTGCGAAACCGTCTGGGAACAACCGAAAGAGTGCGTTATGTGACGTCGATAAGGTTTATGTCTTCCGAAGCGATCTTTTTCTTCGACAGACGGGCAGGTGTAGTCGTCTTAAGGCTAGGGAAAAGATTCTTGGTCATTTGATCGCTCGCGTGACAATCAACAAATAAACAATCTTACGGCCTTTTACCAGGCTCTCCGAAGTGCACATGCCTCCCTCGAGATGTTTATTGAGGAAAACATTACTTTTAACACACAAATTGGATGTCTGGAATATGTTTAAAACTCGGGGATTACACGTGTTTATGGGAAGTAATTATGTGTGGGAAGGAATGTATATTCAGATAACAAGAAGTAATCAGGGAGTTATTAACGGAGGTCTCTTCTCCTCGAGGGCCTCGGGCTGAGAATCTTTCTCTTCCTTGGGCTTGTAATCTTGATACAGATAATTGATAAGATCCGATGACACAAAGTCGCCACAATTCAGCTGGACCAATCTGAGAGTAGTCACAGCGTCCAGATATAAGTAACTTCCCATAAACTCTTTGGTCTTTTCGACAGTCAAGTTGACGTTTTTGTATGCCTGAAAATGGTAATTGAAGCTTTTCATTTTTGTGGTATTCATCGGTGTTTTTTCCGCATAACCCACTTATATAATAATAGCAATGGGAAGTGTAAATACAGTGGGAGTATGAATGTAAGTGTGGAGTGCAATTATAACAAAAGAGTGAGAGTAAGGCAGTCATATGCTACTAAAATATGTGAAAGCATAAAAGAAAGGGCGGCTCCGCCATAGTTTTGTCCACACTGAGCATCGGAGACTCTAGTCAAATGTTTCTTCAAGGCCGCCCCGGAGAGGACTCGAACATGAGACCCTTTGCGTAAAAAGCGAGCCCACTTCCACTGCGCTAATCACACACGGCTTCTCCTTCCACTCGTTTTGAGTAGATTTTTATGGAGTCTGATTGGTAATATTATTTTTTGATTTCTCTCTTCAAATTTCGAAAAATAATGGGTCTGGTCTGTTTGAATAATTTCGTAATCCCCCAGAGATCCCGGTGTTCATGCATCATGCTTTGCAAACTAAAGCCTTCCATTTTGGGGGGCTTTAGTCTTTTTTTGTTACTCATCCCTTCAGATCCCTTGTTTTGCAAACACCCACAGACTCAAAACAATGCTAGTACAAACAAAATAAATTAGTAATCTTTCGTAATCAGTCTGTTTCATTATCATACTTGGATTCTAATTATTCTAATGCTGGAGGTCAATACTACGCTTTTTCAAAAGTGGGCAGAGATTTTTTAGCGCACAGTGCATTTTGCCCTTTCGCACATCGTTCCTTCGGAATTTCAAAGTGATTTTTTAGTCTGGCGTCACAACTATTGAGCGAGAAATTTGGATGAAACACCACAAACCTTGATTTGCCACGACCGCTTTTACGCCAAAACGGTTGATCGCTATATTTTATTCATGACCCGTTTACGAAACAATCTATGAAGTCCTTATTCACATGATGTTTAGGATGACAAAGAACACAAAAATTATGTTTATTGTTGATTTTAACAATAAACGGGGTGATAATAATTGATAAAAACGATGCAGGCCTTGAAAAAGGACTCACCAATTGAGTTCTGATGAACTTAACAGCATTATCCTCACTGAGAACAAGGAACAGCCAATTGCAGAGATTGAGGAAATTGATGACACTGAGGAGAAACAGCCAGAACCAAATGAAAATGTAGATCTTCTCGTTGAACATGTTTATGGCCAGAACACATTGCAGGGTGTAGGTAGTCTTGACATCGCCGGGCAGGCGAACCATCACGTCACAATAAGTTACCTTAAATCAAAAATATTACATGTCTGTTTACACCGGAGATTGACAATTGGGGAAACTGAAAAATCGGTCCATAACGAGCAAATACCATAATGGGCATATTCCGAAAATTGATTCGAATGTCATGGATACCCTTACATCTTTGTAAAAAAGTGCAATTTGAAAAAAAGTATGAATTGTAAGCCTAATTTTTTCAAAAAAGTGTAACCTTGAAAAAAATTTTAACTTCGGTGTAACTCTATTGGAAATGATGTTATATCGGAAAATTTGCTGCAAGTGGAAAAATGTAAGTGTAAAGATTATTTTAAAGTGTAATTTTGATAAGTGGGAATTTGATACACAATTGTTAGAATTTCAGTCTTCAAAAATATTTTTTTGACATCTCACTTAAAAAAATGTAGCGCTTACATCTGTATTTTTACATTTACAACAAATTTTCCAATATAACAAGATTTCTAACAGTGTTAAGTCGCGGCAAAAAGTCCAGAAATTTTTTTTTGCCTTACGTCTTCCCGTTTTTCGCTGCGACAAATCAATTGGAGTGGGATGGAATTTGAGTCGCACTCCAAGCACGGTGCCGGAAATTCCCAGAACTTTTTTCCGCGACAGTACATCAAAATGAACACTTTTATCCAAATTACACTTTTTGCAGAGATGTAAGGGTATATCTATGACATTCGTGTAGCATGACAAAATGCACCGTATGAAATCCGACTGCACTTGCGGAACAAAACCCTACAGGTTTTTGTTCCGCCCACAGGCTGGCCAATTTACCCTCGGGAAATGGCCGGATTCCTCCCATTCTTTTCCTTGCAGTAGATCCATCAACAATCCGTATCCAAAGAAGGTGTATTTGGGACCAAGAAATTGATTTAGAACGTATAGCTGGATTACCGAATTACTCAGGTTGAGTATCTTAAACAGAATGTACAATTTGGTGATGTAGCCATTCCAGAATTTGGCATTAATGGGCTTCGAAGACTGAGAGTCGATCTTGTCCTTATTGAAGCGATGCAGGTTCTTCATATACTGGGAGGCCTTCACCATATCCTTCTCGATGTTATCCTTGATCATCGCATCTTGACCCTTTTTCATGGTCAATTTGGAGGTCGATATCAACGATTGGATGGCTAGACCTGAACATACTCATTATTGCAGTAATACCACAATCTATACCGGTCTTTAGATGAAGAGAATTCCAAACAGCCTTAGGTAAGACGAAGAAGATCATTTGCCCCATCATCATGAACCCGACCCATTGGTAATACTGCAGTTCGTATTGTTGCCTGGGCCCCTTTGGCAATTGCTCTGCCATCTTTATGTAGTAAGTGTTCTCCACGAAACAATAACTCTCCGAGTACTTTTCCCAAGACCCCTGAAATCTCAAAATTTTAATTTAATTTCTTTATAATGTAACATAAATAATTATAATTACTTTGAACTCAGGGGGCACCCAACATTGCAAGGGCTCTCCCACATATTGTTTAGCCATGGTAATCAAGGCAAACATCCCGAACATGAGGGCCGAATATACGTAGTTAGCCCTGTCGACCACATCGTCATCATCTCTGCTTTTAACCTTGTCGATAAGCCGAGCGATGGCTTGCATCTTGCTTTAAGCGATCATTTTACGCTCAAAATTTATTAAAAAAAATCGCGATCGAATTGGCAGTAAAACAAGTAAGCAACATGAACAATTTTGAGAAAGAAGCTGATGATTAGTGATTTTAGAAGGGGTTTTGTTAGTAGAAGGAGGTTAGTAAAGACTTTAGATGGCAACTTTAGTCGGAATTGGGCCTAAAATAAAAAAAAATTAAGATTAAAATTTGATGACTTACTGGGAGCAGAACTGTCATTCTTTTTACCGTAATTCATCCACAATTCACACAGAATGTCGGCCATGTTTACATAGCCAGCATTGGAATCGATTAATCTGAGGACAGTCATCCCATCCGTCTTCAGGAATCGCTGAATAAACTTCTCCACATTAGCGGTAGAAGGTTTTTCGTGATGCAACTAAAAGATAATATAAATACATACTACATAATTTAACTGAAAGGTAGTAGAATTAAAATTAAGAGAACTCGCACTTTGAGGGCATCTTTGACCATTCGAACTTTAGATCCCATGGACAAGGTCCTGTAAAGCCAAGCAAAGAGATTCAAAATCGCTACAACCAGAAGGGCGAGAGACCACAGCCACAAGAAGATGTAGATTTTCTCGGCAAACATGTTGATCATCAAAACACATTGGACTGTATGCTCTCGGAATTGACCGAGATCTCGAGTTCGGAGATCACAAAATGTGACCTAAGCAAAGTGGAGGTATACTAGAGCACGTCCTTACCCTCGGGAACGCCCCAGTTGTTCTCCAATCCCCTCCTTGCACGAGTTCGCTCAGCACATCGTATCCCCAGAGGAAGTTATTGCCCGCTACAAAATAATTCATCATCAACAGCTGACCCAATAAAGCGACGATGGAAAGGATCTTCATCAGCAAGTAAATCGCCGTCAGATACCAGTTGAAATGCAGCTGTACTAAAATACGAAACAGTTTATATCTCGGAATGGGGGAGTAATATTGTAGAGTACCCTTAATCTGGCTCTTTTCAAGTAACTGGAGGGCGATCTTCTTCTCGATCCCAGGCCGGACAACTTCTTTGCATTCTTTGTAAGCGACTTGGACAAGGTCAGTGACTCGAAGGTCTAAAGTTATATTTTAATCAAATAACGAACTGGTACTTACCGCTTAAGGAGTAGAGTAATTTGAAAATTAGTTTTGGGGCATAACAGATCAAGGCCTGTATGCTGAGAAGATACGGAATCCATTGGTAATACTTGAGTTCCAATTTCCGCCGACTCAACTTGTCATCGGGGATGGTTCTATTCACAAAATAAGTGTTCTCCACAAAACAATAGTTCTCTATGTATTGTTCCCAGGCTCCCTGAACATCATCAGTTAATAATATTTCAATTTCAACTACTTGTAAATTACATATCTTACCGTATATTCAGCTGGAACCCAACATTGTAAGGGCTCTCCCACATATTGTCTGGCCATTATGAGGACGGCAAAGAATCCCAGAATGTATACAGTTGTGGCATAAATACATCGATCCACCGAGTCGTCATCATGCTCCTTCTTGACTTTCGATATCAACGAGCGGAGCTTGGCGTCCATGAGCAAATAAATGAGGGAGAAAATAGAGAAGGAAGATGATTAGATGATAAGAAGACCTGATCAGCGATAAGTGGTGCTAAGAGGCTCACAGAAAATGGCCATAAAAGTAAATAGAAAGTACAGTCGTCATTAGATTTGAGTTGTTAGGGGTGCGTTAGTAAAGGTTTTTTATTCATAAACTGCTTGCAAGAAACATTCGAAAGCATATGATATTCAGTAAGGTAAACATGTTTCGAAATTTTGCTAATTAATCGCCACAAAAATAAATAAAAAATGAAAAGAAAAGAAGAGAATACAGTAACCCTGCAGCTCTCAAGGATCATTCGAACTAACGGTTTAAAGCGATAAACCCTTCATATTGAATATTGAAGACGCGATAGAGATTGGATTGGACTCTGAAATGGGAAGCGATCGGACTTCCGATCAGATAAAACAATGGCCGGCGTTCTTGTGGATTCCGTGGCCACGGTCTCTTCCCTTTCCCAGCCATTTCCTTCCATCGCTCGGCCTTACAAAAGCGGCCCGGCTGTTGTTTGTTTCTGATGCGCGAGTTCTTTCATTTTTGCGCTTTTAAATTAGACTTCATAAAAAGCTTTGATCTTCTGAAGCCCGCAGGAATCACAATATCATAAGAGTGATTGGGGTCAACCAAAGCCTTCATGTCATCATCTGATCAACTGGATCATGTTGATCTACAGTCTACATTTTCTGATGTTTGCAGTCTTTTTTTCCTTGGATACTGTATCACCTGTCAGAGAGAGTTCCTGAAGTCAGTCCCCATTGACTGAATGCACTCTGTCTATTTCCGTGTACTTTCAGACTTGCATTGTCTTCTTCGTCTCCCAGATCTTTTGATTCGGCGCCATTTTTTGTTTCCAGACTAAACTTTGGTCATTTAATGGTTACAATTTGTGATCTCCCTTTCCTTTCTTTTTCGATTTGGCCACACAGTTTCCACCCCTTATCTGGATTACCCTCAATATTTTTGGATTTAATTTCAGATGGACCGAATTGGTAATTTTCTCAAATCCTGGGCCCATCAACAAAACGACGATGATTTTGTGGATCGATTGCACTACAAGGTGACAACGGTCATGCTGACAAGTCTCTCGTTTATGATCTTTGCCAAGGAATATGGGGGGAATCCGATCAGATGTTGGCCGAGCCCAGAGTGGACGGGCAGTTGGGTGGAGTACGCCCATGACATCTGCTTCATCGAGAACACGTATTATCTCCCTCTCGATCAGAAACCCTCCAAATTTCAGAGAGGTCCCGATAAGGAGATCAATTACTATCAAGTAGGATCTTTTCCAATGCCACATCCTTGTATTTCAAAATAATTCTGATAACCTCGTAAATTTTTAGAACTTTTTTTTATGTGTAAGTGTAGATGTGAAACATATTATAATACATAACTACATTATTTTAATACAGTTTCAAAGAAATCCAAATTCTGGTTTAAAAAGGTTATGAATGTCGCCTGTATTGACAAATTTGGCGGAGTTCTTCTTACACTTGCAGTTGCGTCTTCAATGCACATTCTTAGACCATAATTTGCGTTGTTTCCAAAATTAAAATGTCGTATTTGCAACTTTCTTTAGAGAAATAAGGGTACTTGTTCTTTGAACTTTGCTTTTTTTGGTTAAGGTAACCTTTTAGTGGGTCCCGTTCTTCCTGCTAGGCCAGGCCATCCTTTACAATCTTCCTTCCCTCTTTTGGCGGAATCTGAAGAGTTCTTCCGGTCTCCATGTTCGGGCAATATTATCAATGACCACAAATGCCGTCGGAAATCTCGAATTTGATGAGATCGCTAAACATAAATTGGCCGAGTTCATCCACAACACCATCAAATATCGGACTCAGAAAAGACAAAATCAAACATTTCTTCAGAAATGGCTGTGGTAAGATTTCAGTGCGTTAAATTGAGATATCAGTCTGTCGGGAAAATAATGGGCACTATATCGCCGCTTAAATGAAAAGCAGTTTGCCGCGACACAACTGGTTTCCACGGCGGTGATGTAATTTTAGATGCGACAGAGTGCTCATTATTTTCCCGACAGACCTACATTTCATTAAAGGCATTGCGGTTTTTCGAGTTACGATGATTCGGGCCACCGACACGCCGATCCAACAATACATTTTTACATACAATCGATGGTGCTTCCGAAAAATGTTCATTTCTTTACTTTCTTTTCTTAAGTACAGGGTGCGGCAATTTTTCGGCCGGATTTGAATTGGCTATAACTTTTTTAGTTTGTATCCGAATGTTAAAATTCTTTTTTTCCCTGAATCCTCAGACAACCCCATTTTGTTTAATACCAAATATGTTATATATACAGGGACCTAGTTCACAGTTATTGGCATTTCGGTCGTTTTCTCTGCTTTTTCGGCGTGTCTGAAAATCGCCAGAAAAAATGACTTTTTTTACGAATTTTGTCGTAAAAAGTTTCATGCCTGTTCATGCCATGGAGAATACCCTTTCCACAAAAAATCAGCTATCTCCGCACAAAACTAGCGAAGATCTAGCCAAAAAGTTTTTCTGTGTGATCCACTCATATGCCCTCCTGACCGCAAAGAATCGTTGAATATCTTGGTCGCCCCTGAAAGGTGCGGGCTGAAACTTTCAGGAATTGATGTGTGGCCTATGTGCGGCCCATGTGCAAAATTTAAAGAAAATCTGAGAGTCGCACTAGGGGTAATTCCATTGTCAGCTATAAAAATTAGAGCTTTTTCTTTGTGTCGAATTTTTACTGTAGTCTAATGAACGGGTATAACATATTTGGTATTAAACAAAATGGGGTTGTCTGAGGATTCAGGGAAAAAAAGAATTTTAACATTCGGATAAAAACTAAAAAAGTCATGGCCAATTAAAATCCGGCCGAAAAATTGCCGCACCCTGTATTACTGCTAAGTGCCATGATCATGTTTTCCAATTTTATCAGCACCATTGAACTCCATTATTTTTAGTAAAAATTTAGATTACATACATATGTGTCGTTGGCCCAAAACGACGTTGACCCGAACTGTTAAAACCCGAAAAATCCCGACGCGTATTTAACAAAGTTTGATATTTTTTAAACGAATTGATTTGATTACTTTCAGCATCATCGAGCGATTACAAGGAGACTCCCGACTGGCCATATTGTACTACACGAAGAAGATTCTGTTTCTTTTGACGTCTCTTTATCAAGTAAGTAAGATCAGATGGGCAAAGACTGACGTAACGAAAGCCATTTGTTACGCGAGAGCGTTCGTTTTTTGCTTTTGCAGGAATTTTAATGGAATTCTATAAATATGAATAATAAGATTATTATGGAATACTGTAATGTTTCTCGTCATTTTTTTGACACTTTTGTAATATTTTACTTTGAGCTGGTGCTAGTCGGGCGATTCCTGGGATTTTCAAATACTTTATGGGGATTTGACAGCATAAATCAACTTCGAAATGGGCAAACCTGGGAGAAAACTGGGATTTTCCCTCGAGTCACCATGTGTGATTTCCAGGTACGTCATGATGAGTAGTTGTGATGACGGCTTATGTAAACTTACGCAAGGTTTTCAGATCCGAAACATCGCCGGTCCTCCCAAAACATTTACAATCCAATGTGTTCTAATGGCCAACATGATTAACGAGAAGATCTTCCTCGGGATGTACTGCTGGATTTGCATTCTCTTGGCCATCACTATTGTGAATCTCTTCCAATGGTGGAATAACCTCTCCAACTCTTCGAATCGAGTCAAATATATTTACAACGCTCTAATTGCCGGTCATTCCATTAGAAAGATCGAAGCCGAAGCCAAACCAGAATACGACCAGGCTCAGGAATTCACGGAGTTCATGACTGTAGATGGTGTTCTCATCTTCCGATTAATGGAGATTAATTCGAGTTGCTTGATCAGCAACGACGTCTTATACGAGGTCTTCAGGATTCATTTCGGGTTGTTGTAAGTATTTTTGTTTGAGTTATGGGCAATGAGTTCATTTCTGGTGACTCAAATGCATTACTACATACTTTAGTGATGAACAAAAGCAAAAGGAGAGAGAACAAGAAGAACAAAAGAATGATGACCGTTGAGATAAACATGACATAACCCTTGATATACATACATAGTACAAAAGATATCCGCGTGAATATTTGATTGGTGTAGTACAAGTAGAGGTTATTTGAATAAACCGATTATTCCGATTTCGAGTTCCACTTCCAGCAGCCAAACTAATTGCCAAAATACGAGTGTTTGATCGCCGTATTAATGGGAGTGATAAGAATTATCAGGGAAAAGACTTTTTCTAAAAAAATTATTGAGTTGGTCCTTGCTTACGATGGATCTTCTGATCGGCTTCGTTGAAGGATTTCTGAAGCCGAGGAATGAGGAAGATGCCTTTGATAGGCTGAACTATCAGGTCACGCCTTTTCTTTTTATTTTATTCTCCCTTGTCAACATCTCAAAAGTAAGGTGTCACTGATATATACATATGTTTATAAACTGCCTATAAAACACGATTTCTGAGTCACTGAATAAGCCGGCAAGAGATAGGACAAATTCACTTTGATTTTATTGTTTAAGCACGATAACCATATTCCAGAAATATTTTTGTCTAATTCTATCATTAGCCTATATACTGTAATTTACAATTTAATTCCGGGAAAATGAATAAAGTCGCGGCAAAATCAGAATGTTTTTCACTTCAGCGACAAGATGGGCGCAGCGACATTGTTCTCACTATCTTCCAGACAGACTGATATTTCCCGAATATTATGTATAAATTATATCCTCCTACAGTAATTTTTAAACAATAGTCTGAAAATCCATTTTTTTTATGTCCAGGCCTAATTGACGGCTGATTTAGTGATTCAGAAATCGTATTACATATAAATAATCAGAGTTAAGGTGTACATTGGAAAAGCGATTAATTGTTTCGCGAAGGCCGAGTTCCGCGGTGGTTGGGTGGAATACGCGCATGATTACTGTCTGATCGAGAATACTTACTATCTCCGGACGAACGAATCTATCCCTATCGAACAAGAGCTGAGGGGCGAGAAGCAGATCAACTATTATCAATGGGTGCCCTTTATCCTCGTCCTGCAGGCCTGTTCTTTCTATATTCCCCATCTAATGTGGCGATCTTTCAACTGGATTACAGGTAACCAAACTTTCCAAGATGACTCTTCAAGGGTACCAAATAAGAGCTGTAATGTCAGCAGCCAAACAGAGTTACACGCAGTCCGTAGAAGAGAGCAGAGATGTGGCGCTCAAGATCTCCCGATCTCTGTTTTATGCCAGTCAATTAAAACACAAAACTCTCAGAATTCTGAACGAGTAAGTCGTAGTTCGTACTGAGTATAGTTTGAGACAAATATTTGTGACCGTTCTGTACCTGAGCATGAAGTTTTGTTACCTCTGCTTGATCCTGATCCATCTCGGAATATTCAAATTATTCATCGGATCCCTGGACTTTGCCTTTGGAATTGTCCAACAGCCCGGAGAATGGGAACAGACCGGCTTCTTCCCTCGAGTCACCGTCTGCGACTTTACTGTCAGTGTTTTATAAATTGGGATTTACAAAAGTTTAGATCCTGAGATATGGGCAGCCCATGAATTACACGTTGGAATGTGTGCTCCCTCTAAACATGTTTAACGAAAAGATCTTTGTCTTCTTTTACTTCTGGTTGATCCTCCTCTTTGGCACCACTGTTTTTAGTATTCTGCTTTGGATCCAACGACTGGTCGATCGGAAGGCATTTTACAAAAGACTTTTGGACTTATATGTAAGTGACGCGTCAGTCACGTTGTTAAATTGCCGTCATCTTCGTCATGTCAAATTGTTCCGTCGTCTTGTTTGTCAAATTGAACTTTTTTTGGAAATTTTTTGTAAATGTTTGCTAAAAAAGTCACAGAAATTAAAAATTTTTAGGAACTTAATTCATGTCAAAACGACCGATGAAACAAGCATTAAAACCAGTTACGACTAGTATTAACGGTATTCATGATATTCTGTGTTAAACTCGCGTTCGAAAGCTTTGTGTATCAAAATTTTTAATTCTGCAAACATGACAAAAATGACGCAAATTTGACGCAATTTAACCTAATTTTGAAAAATTCTGTCAAATGAACAACCCTAATGTAAATCTACATATAATTTAATTTAATTTCAGCAAAAAAACGACAGATCCGAGGTCGGTAATGGTAAAGAGTGGTACAGTTTGGTTATGTTATTTCTACTGAGTAATTTTACTTGGAATAATTTCAGAGAAGTAGTCCGGACAATGAAGTTCTTCTTCTCCAAACCCTTAAGGTATGTCTTGTATTAAACTAAATTATTTCCAGTCCTCTCCTAAACCCGATGAGATTGATTTTGGCTATGATCTTCGAGTAGTCCTCGGCCTTTTACAGGATCATTCAGGTCTCCTTTTCAGCGCAAATGTCTTCCATGAGATGGTTAATTTGGTGAGTAAACGGCTGAAAACAAAACTGTTTTTATTTTTTAGAAGCTGTCAGATCACAGACTGAGCACGGGACATTGACGGATCGCGCGGGAAAGAGTAAAAAGTGGACTATCGCTTTCGAAATAAACAACTTTTAATTGTTATTAGTAACTTATTCGGATCGGATTCATTCGAATAAAGTTATTTTTGCTCGCTTCAGCTTCCAGTTTCACTTCCAGCTTTTACTTTCAAGGTTGAATGCTGAAGTCAATACTTTTTTCGTATTGTACATCGAATCCACGGAGAAAAGGGCGCTCGCTCGGAAGACAAAGCGCCGGAATCCCGCGTCGAGATTATTCAATGGATGGATTGACGCTCAAATTAAACAAAGACGACGCATTTGTCGGACCCCATATGGGGGCGCCTGAGGGCAGATGGACTGTTGCGTATCGGATCTCGGCGTCAGCCACTAATCCGACCCTATCTCAGGCGGTCATCTGATTCTTCTCGGGACTCTCGCTTTCTTCCTTCCTTCCAGCCGCGAATTTCGTTCCGAATATTTGAAATCGGGTCTTATGAGTAAGGGCCGCATATTGCACCAGAGTTTACTCAGTCGGGTCTACAACAGCAGAGCCGGGTTTACATAATAAACAGGGTCGGTTTAAGAGCAACTCTTTGGATGTCACTCTCTCGGTTCCGGGTTTAATGCGGGATTAAAGATTTTTGGGGATAATGAAGCAGGAAAAGTCGGGAGGAGAGCTGGTGTTAATGCATGGGGACAGAATAATTTGGAGGGCCTCAAGAAGTGATTTCTTAACTTTTTTTTAAATATTGGGCAATTTTTATTATAACTTATTAATGTAGATTTTTGTAATTAATTTTTTGACTTTAAAACTTACAGGGGAAGTACTTCAAGTGTGACGCTCAGATTTTCTTTAAATTTTGCACACACATCGGGTATGGACTAAATATCAATTCCTGAAAGTTTTAGCTCGCGCTTTGCGGGCGCCGCCGAGATATTGAACGATTTTTGCCGCCGAGAGAGCACGCTCAACGTGGAGAGCGGTCAGAGAGAAAACCGCTTTTTGGCCATAACTTTGGCAGTTTCGTGCGGAAAAATTTGATTTTTTGTAGAAACATTATTCTTTACGGTTGAAATAGGCATGAAACTTTTCGTGCCGAAATTCGGCAAAAAGTCCCAAATTTTCGCCGACTTTTAAAAATCTCGGTTGTTTCTGCAAAGCGCGAGCTAGGATTCCCGCATATATCTTAGAAAAAACTATTCTAAATTTGTGCCAAGTTTCATCAAAATCTGAGCGTCACACTTCAAGTACTTCCCTTGTTAGCTGTTTCTGCGAAACACAAATATTTTCTGGCATATGCTTTGAGAAATTATAAAGATGTGACAATTCGAGCACCAAATTTGTCGCTTTGGCTTCTTTACGTCTTTCTTTGCTTATACTTATTTATAAAATATAATATTGCGACGCATTACGTCGTAATATTATCGGTTTAGTCATCGTATTTTAGGTTTCGGGAATTTTGATTAATCATGTCCTCCTTCGTATTTGCATTTTCTGAATTTATTTTCAACTCTTCCTTTCCTGCCGCCACTCCAATCCCATATTTGCATAAACACGCGCAGCAGTCCATAATTCCGGCCTTTTGCGGACTCTTTTGGACAGCCTTTGTAAGAGTAGTTTAGCGTAGTCTGATAAAAGAATTTCTTTTTTTTCGTCTAGACTGACCCCAAACATCGAGAACGGCACTTATCAAACATTTCCCGCATTCATTAACCTCTAAGTGTATACGGGTCATGTTCGTATTGGTCGTTTTATTAAGCCCAATCCTTTTAAGTGGATCAGATTATTGCTACGAGGTTATTCGCCCTCTTCTTTGCGAATTTTGTCAATATTTTTGTCATCATTTCTACAGCTTCCTCATGTGTAATACAGCCGCAATGGTCGATAGTTGCCGGGCCTATTAATCTCTTTGAAAAGTCTAATTTGCGCCCATTTCATAACTCCATTTCGAGGATCGTGCATATAAAATGATACAAGGCCATTTATTTGGCCGCGCCGAGATCCCGCGCGCGCGCCATCCGAGCCCCAATAAATTTCTTTCCGGAGGCGATTGATGAAGTGGGTCGGTGTTTTCTTTTCGGGATAATTACTCGGAGCCGAGGACTGGCTCAATTACGGCCAAGGGGGCCTGGAGATGGGATGGGATGAGATGAGAGTTGGTAATGACTCGAAAGGTCATTCGGGAAGACGTCTGGCCACCACGGGTGTGAAGAAGGCGGGGAAAAATAAGACCGCTCTCTCGGTTTACAGGCTAACTTGGCCATAATCCTGAACTCTCACTCCACCCGATCGGGCTTTGTTTATTCACTTCGAATAGGTTTGTCTTAAGGCGTTTTCAATTAAATTTCTTTTTCCTCGAAGATGTGAGGGCCAAGGTGAAGGCTGAGAAGAGGAAAGGAGCTGGCCGTTCCAGTTCTCTGTTTACAGATCTCTTATCAGATGATAAGCCACGCCGTGATCTCAGTTGACCCGGGCCCTCGTTTCTGTTTTGTTTTGGTTATAAATGGGCGGCTGAATTCAAGTGTAATCTGCCATTAGTGAGATGAAAATAAGCTTCGAATTACATTCCACCTCCGGCGAAGAATGAGACATTTCACTTTCTCAGGAATCTCGCGGTTCTAAATTGCGATGAATAATATTTTTACAGATATAACTGCTGCTTTCAGGGAACTTACCATCTCATCCCGGAATTATTACTGGCCCCACTTCCGTCGCCCCTTTTTTCATTGTATTTTGACTATTTTTTGGCCGCAAAAACAGACAAAAGGGAGAAAAACCAACTGAAAAAAGAGCAAGAAAATTTCTGGAGTCACGTGTGAAAAGAGCGTCGAGTGCCTGGGGCCATTCAGTCTACTGGCCACCAATTTGGACAAGCCAATTCCGTCTTGAGGTTTCTGGTTGGCCCTTCAAGTTGAGATCAGAGAAGAGGAGGTCGAAGTGACCGTTAAGACTCATGCTTGGCCTCTGAAATGCATGGCCCTTGTTATGGCCAAGGAAGATTCTGAATCCGAGGGACTCAAGGAATCCCTTTCCGGCGATGAATCCAACACAAATGCGGTAAGATGACACGACATATTGCGTAAATTGTGATGAGATTAATGTAATTTGTTACAAGTTTCAGATTTCGACCACATTGTATCTCCAAAACCACGAAAAGATATCGCTGATCTCATCCTTGGGCCCATCCTCAGATATTGTAAAAGAGACGAGAGATGACTGCAGTGTAATATCAGTTGACCGACAACCCCAATGCCGCATTTGTTTGTTATGCACCCAGTCCAAAAGCAAACCGTTGATATCGCCATGCAGGTGTGCGGGTACCATGCAATTTGTTCATTCAACGTGTCTTTTGGTATGTTTTTGGCGCAATGAATACAATATTACACAACTTTGTCATCACAAATTTATTTTCAGAGATGGATCGATGTATCGGCCAGAAAGGCCCAGCCCTGTCCTCGTTGTGAATTGTGCGGGTATCGCTACAAGCGACAGGGCCTTATCCATCTGAATCCAGTCCAATATCGGGTCCCTTCGGTCTGTCTTCGAGACAAAATTCTGAATTTTTTAACTCTTTTATTACTTTCTATTATGGCCTTTTGTGGATGGGTAATCGTCCGTTATATCAAACTGGCAATCAAGTAAGTATTTTTTTATCTATATATACTTTGTAGACAGTATGGTTATATAACTTAATTCTTGACCTTTAGAAGATGGAAGGCCCATCGGATCGGTCGATTTCTAAACGATGATGACATAACCATGGTCAGTGCTTGTGTTCTCTTCTTAATTGCGCTTTTTCTCGCCGTTTTCACCCAGAATCGAGCCGAGGTGAGTCCAGTCATCATGATTAACGTCTTTCAGACTCCCATTTATTCCCTCGTATCTCGGTGCTGGTCAAGGAATCGAGCGTTTCGCGAATATCAACTAGAAAATGACCCCGAGAGAACGGGGCAGATGACGGAGAAGACCTAGAACCTCAGATATTGTACATATGTCTAATTCTAATATTATATGTATAACCAATAATGGAAAAGTAAATACTGGTACTTAATGCTACAATTCAGGGTGTTTAGTGATATAAATAAAGAAATGATAAATGAAATTCTTAGAGGCCGCTAAGCACCTCATATCCCTTTTGATTAGCACTGATGTGAGAGGCTCTGTTTTTATTTCTCGAATATGTTTTGGGGGCGGAAAGAATAGAAATGAAATGCCGGAAGGGGGAAAGCAGCTGTTCCCGAGTTCCGATAGGAATTGGAATCGTCCCAAGATCAGAGCGCCATGTACGAGGAAACCACGACCACATACTACACTACCCGTACCGACTTCCGGCCCCAATATGAGGGCGTTTCCATAAACGCCAATCTTGATCCCAGCTACCTGCGCACTTTGCCAGGTATGTTGAAGGTGCTGGTGATTGTCCTCGACTTCCTCTGCTTCTTTTGCGTTCTGGTTGGAGGTCCTGGATATTACGCTGGGGTTGGATTTGCGACTTTTGTTTCTGTGATCGGCTTTATGATCAGTTTGATATTACTCATATTATATCTATGTCATATTGTGGATGGACTGGAGAACATTCCATGGATTCTTGGAGTAGGTTGATTCCTGTGTTGAGGATTGTGATTCAACTACAAGTATGCAATCTTGTTGTTTAGGAGATGGTTTTCTGCTTCGCCTGGACGATCTTCTTCTTCATCGCTAGTAGTGTCCTGGCCGTGGCTTCCGTGTCGCATCGCGGAACAATGGGATGGGCGTTGGCAGCAGTAAGCACACTTTTACATTTACCTTATCTTAACTCGTCTATTATCCTTATTACAATTGTTTACAGTTCTTTGCGATCGCTGCCATGTGTGCCTACGGATTGGACTGTTACCTGAAGTTCCTGGCATGGAAAAATGATGAAGTTGCTAAGGGAGGAGGGGTCACATACAATCCCCGAAGTCGCGTAGATCACATTTAAATTGGTTTTATTTTAATAAACACTACAATTGATAACTGGAGACATCAGGGATGTAAGTTCGATTGTTTTTTCTCCTGAACAAAACAATAAGATCGATCGAGTAGATAAGGATCGCCCCTAAGAGAGCTCCGGTCACCAGTGATGGTAGGGTTGACCACTCTGGATTCCTCTGATTCCAATAGATTACTCCAAAGAATCCCATGTAAGAAGTAGCAACAAGAAGAGCAAATACCACAAAGATGTATATTAGGGCTTCCTGGAAAGAAAATAGTTGCAAGAGGAGCATAAAGACTGCGACATCAAAACCCACCATGTAAAACCAATGTTTGGGAGTCAATTGCTTATGCAAAGTGAAAATCTTGGCAATCCAAATAGTAAAAGTAATCAGAATGACCCCCACAGAGATGGCCATAGTCAGATTCTTTTCTCCGCTGACTCCTCGGATCTCAGAACATAGCAATAAGGCCAACAGGATCAGAGTAATCTCGATGATCTTCAATCTTCCCTCTTCGTTAGTCAAATAATCCACATCGAAATACATGATCCGATCGTCCATCTCGTATTCATGGGTGTATTCCAATATGGTATCCCGATCATTTTTCCCCATAGTTTTAGATTAGAGGGAAAGGATTGAAAGTGCGCGACCCGGAAGCGAGCAGAAAGTGGTGAGATCAGCCTCATCCTGAGGGCGAAACAAAAGAGACAAAGATGAGTGGAATACAGGGAGGACAAAAACTTGTCCAAGAGATCGCCGAGTTTCGATTACCGTAATTTCTTTCTGATTACAACCATTCCTCGTACCTAAAAATTTTCTCAAAGAGCCTTTCAGAATTAAGTTTACTGCTTGAATTTTTTTAAACAGTAAATTACTCTCGTTTTCAGCGCCTTGTAAAATATTTATTATTTCCTTGAACAAGAGACATGTTTTTCGTGTTATAAATACTATTTATGTCATCAATTTAGTCATCGCTTTTTGTGAAAATAATTTTCAATCAGAATTCTAAAAAAAATTGTTTGTCAAGCGCAATTTTATTAAAATTGCTGTTATGATTGTGTCTTCCCCTCAAAATGGGCGAGAAAGGGATTAGAGGGAGAGATGGAGCTGTTAAGAAGAGAGCAAATGAAATGCGGAGGGGATTAGAGAGAATCCGAGAGTCGGGGCGAGAAGGAGATTCGGTTCTACCCTCTTCTCCCTTCTCTTTTTGCCCAGAGGGCTCGGCCTTCGAGGCCCGCGCTTCGCAGAGAGAAAAGAAAAAGAGTGCGGCGCCTTGGCCGGACCACAGTTTGTGGCCAGAATCCGGGCGTCGGGAAAGGGAAGGCGTTTGATTCTGCGTTCCTGCTTCTGAAGTCGGCATTCCTAAACGCTTTTGGGGGAAAAGGTTTCGGGGACTGAACGTGCTTGTCTTGGGATAACCTACCTCTTCTCTAAAGATAAACCATTTACTCTCTTTAGCCTCCAAATGGCCGATGGGGAGGAGACGACCAGCGAAAATGTGGGATCTAAGGTATCTACGCTGGCCGCAGACGCTCAGAAAATAACCATCGATGAAGATAAACCTTCGACAAGTGTCAGGGGAGAGGAATTCCATGAAAATGTAAAGAGTGTGAAGATGGCAGACAGTGTGACGATCATGGATGGAGCCACACGGTCAGTAAAAAATATATTACCCGTTTTTTCATGAATAATGTAATTATTATATAATTTAAGACAAATCGATGCCTTGGAACTTCTGACCAGAGAAGCCGAGGAGCTCAGACGGAAACTTGAGGCCGAACGTCAAAAATTAAATGACATTCCGAGTAAGTAGTTCAGGAGAATTATACAACTTTAACTTTAGTACAACAAGCAGCTGATCGATTGGAAGCGTTGGGGGCATTAAATATCAAACAACGAAGGGTTCTGAAGGGTCATGCCAGCAAGGTTTTATGTATGGACTGGTCCCAAGACAAGCGACACATTGTTAGTTCATCTCAGGACGGAAAAGTAATCGTCTGGGACGGGTTTACAACCAACAAAGAACATGCCCTGACCATGCCCACCACTTGGGTCATGGCTTGTGCTTATGCCCCTAGTGGTCAACTGATCGCCTGTGGTGGTCTTGATAACAAATGTTCTGTTGTTCCCCTCAGCTTTGAAGAAGATATTCTCCAGAAGAAGCGATCCGTGGCTACTCATACCAGTTACATGTCATGTTGTACATTCTTAAGGTCGGATAATTTGGTATGTATCTCAGGCTTTTCTGTAACTGTCATTTAGCTCCTAACCGGAAGTGGAGATTCAACTTGTGCCATCTGGGATGTAGAGAGTGGGCAAATGATCCAGAACTTCCACGGGCATTGTGGTGATGTGTTTGCTGTAGATATACCTAAATCGGATACGGGTAACATCTTTATCTCAGGCGGTGCTGACAGACATGCCCTTGTATGGGACATTAGAACAGGCCAGTGCGTTCAGAGCTTCGACGGTCATGAAGCAGATATCAATACGATCAGATTCCATCCAAATGGAGATGCATTCGCTACTGGATCTGACGATGCTTCGGTAGGTTCAGAACATTGGCTTACTAACCCCTCCATTATGAAGAAAATAACAATGAAATCCCGTTATAGTGCCGTCTCTTTGACCTTCGTGCTGATCGTCAGATCTGTGTTTATGAAAAAGAATCTATCCTCTTCCCCGTGAATGGTGTCGATTTCAGTGCAAGTGGTAAGTAATATCTCTATCATACAAATCTTTTATCAGGACGAATACTATTCGCTGGATACGGCGACTACCGAGTAGGAGTGTGGGATTCCTTAAAATGTAATAGACAAAGCATTCTCTATGGCCACGAAAATCGGATATCTTGCCTTAGAACTAGTCCAGACGGAACAGCGATTTGTACTGCATCATGGGATTGCACTATTAGAGTAAGTGTGCTATATTGAAAAACATATTATTCAATCAGATTTGGGCATGATCTCACAATTCCCTGCCATTACCCCTAAGGGCACCTCAAGACTCCAGAAAACACAGAAAGATTAAATCAGCATAATTTCTAGCTTTATGATTCCTATGTAAAACTAATAAATTATGGTAAAACAATTTATCTTATGAAAACAAAAGAAACAACAAACACGACTTCACCATCTACAACTCCTTGGTTTCACGAAGACGACGGATGGTTGAGCGGACGGTGGCAGCGGCTGTGGTGGCATAGACGTAGGCTCCTCCAGCGACAACCTTGTTGCACTTGCTGCACTTCCAGATACCAACACAGGTTCTCTTCATGGCTTCCTTTCCACAGAATGAGCAGGTGTACTTGGAGTGCTGGGAGACTTCCATCTTCTTGACGGTCTTTCTCAGGGAGGCACCATATCTGGTTCCGTATTTACCGACGATTCCTACCTTTTTGGTTCGCTTGGCCTGAAATTAACAATGCCATTAACAAATAACGAAGAAAGCAGGCAATCGCAAAATAATGCCTAAACCATACAAGTCAAAAAGTGCCCTTATTCAAGATGTTTTTAGACACAATCGGTGAAATACCTGCACTACCTACCGAACACTTTCTAAACAGATTTTACGGTTAAAAAGATATTTAAAATTTTGCTTTGTCCGTAAAAGTAAAACGTACTCAACTTTTTCAATCAACCTAAACACCAAGAAACAGCAATGAAAGTAAAAAACTTACCATTTTTTGACGTTTTCGACCGTTTCAGTCAAAGCGAAAAAGAATTCGACGGTTTTATATTTTTTCTACCGTAGATTTTGCCTCTTTTTTCGTGGCGAAACTCAGAAATTTTTCAAATGCAAGATTCAAGATGGGCGCAGGTCGCCACCGAAACAAGAGAAAGATCTGTGCAAAAACTGTATTTTTGAATGATTACAAAGCAGGATCGATTTCACAATATACCATCCGGGGAAAATGGTATATTGTGAAATCGCATAAAAAATTTCGTTGTTGTTGTTGACCATGTCATAATATCAACAAACATGCTTTTTGTCAAGTATTCGAAACGGTTTTCAATGAAATGCCGGGCATTTTGAACAACGGAAATGATAAGAATAATCATCGTCTTAAGTATCAAGTCGTCAATGGAAGTATTTACGGTCACATGGACGGTCAGGCTATATTATACATCCTGAGGCAAAGATCATATTGATAACTTGTCGCGGGATTACAACTTTATAATTGATATGTCGCATTCGCAAATTCTTTGAGAAATTGAATCAGTTATTGGGTATGTGGGCTTTATGTGATCTCTGGCATTCTTGAGCCTGATCCCTCACATATTTTTCACATGCCCCGATGTTGTATGTACGTAACGACCTCCCAGAGAATGTTTTTGTCTTTTCCCACAGAGATTTTGGTCTCGATTGCACCGTCTAAAACAATTCTGTCTTTGACATTCGCGAGAGAAACGAGGAGAGTCAGTGCGATTGCACTCATCATAAAGACGGAGGGGCGGGCACAAAACGCAGAGAAATAAAAAATAGAGGCCTGCACCGTTCTAGGTTAAAAAGCGTTTTCTCAGACACACGTGTCGACCATCCAAATTTGTTATAAGTTAGAGTGTTTGGACATGGATAAACTTCCCTTCTCTCTCTACGGCCAGATTTGTGGCCATCTCGATGATTTGGAAGATGTGATCGCGTTGGAGGTGAGCATCGGATTCATTAGTCATCATTTACTTTAGCAGATTATTGTAACTTAATTCTATTACCGTATCCTTTAGTCGACCTGCAAAAGGATCCGAAATCAAGTCCGGGCTTGTTTCTGGGGCCAGCCCAAGAAGCTCCGACTGACGGATGGGAATTTCGTGCAGGTCTTCTTGGAGAACGGAAAGATGTACAAGGCCAAACCAAGGCTGAGTGTGATGAAATCCGTTTGTTCGAAAGCTAGAAATCTCAGCGAATTTGACCTGGCTTCATACACTGAGCTGCCAGAGTCATTTTTCTACGGATTTGTCAGATTTCTGAGAAAAAACAGTGAGTTTAACGATAATACAGTAATCCAGCCTCATTCAAATTTGTAATCAGCTATTTTTAGGAACCCAAATAACTTCTTTGTGTGTCAATTACATAAACCCCGAGGCAATGTACGCTTCCTCCGAGTCACGCAAAGACTTAAAGGCCTATCCCAGCAAGCCTGTCCATGAGGTAAGCGTAACATCGCAAAATTAAAATTCTTTTTGCAGCAATTAACAAGACTGATCAACCGACAAGGCTCCAATCTTACCCATCTCTTCATCAGGATCAACGCCATTGATTTTGTTTCTCTGCAACGCGATGTCTCCGAACTTTTTGTTGAATTTGCTTGTAAATGCTCCCAGGAGATCCGCCAAGTCTTATATCCATTGCTGAGTGGATTCAACAAGAATCTGAAGGGATTTAAACCCCGAATTATGCATCTGGGGATCAGGAGTCAAGGCCAGTGTGTTCTTCCTGCCTTTGATTTCTGCACTCACGTCACCATTCCTCAAGAATCCCGGGGATGTCTCGAAGAAATCCATTACAGAATCCCGAATGCGGAGACTGTGGCCGTTCTCAATTACGATGCCTTTATGCCGTCTTTGATGGAGAAATTGAACAAAGTCTCGCTTTTCATAGACGATCTTAATGTAAGTTTTTTTTATCTAACGCGTACTAAAGAAAACAAGAGATTATTGAGAAATTGTTTGCCATGGGGTGGTCTAAGCTAATGTCAGCTGATTACAGGTCAATTCTGCTGAGCTTTGCGATATTGGGAACCGAATCCAGCCGAACCGATTCATGGTGGAATTGACTTCTCCCACGGCCACTTTCAGTCTTCCCGCCATGGGAAAAGTTCATTGAAATGGAATTATCAGACGTGAACGGCGGCGCCTCTTATCGCTCGCAGGTCAAGGGAATGTGTTTTTATAGTACATTCCTCATATTTATTTTTAATTGAAACCATCATGCTATCAGAGGATGGCCACAATTGTACTCAGTAGACGATTGTCATCCTTTTTTAATGTCATAGCAATTCCACTCATCTCTTTCCATATTACCGTACATACCTCGTCAATGCACATATTTCTAGTTTGATCTCGGAGTAAAGAATTTGAATACATTGGCTCGTATTATTTCCGACTCCCACCCCAAAACCACTGTTATCGTTTTATCGAAGGGAATGGAGAAGGAGAAAGAACTTATTCTTCTTTCTTCTCCCTCCAAATGACTCGACTTTGGCAATGGAGTTCGATCAGGATGTGGATGGTGGTCATGTTGTCGGTGGGGATGGCAATCCATGCCTTGTTGCGGGGTGTCTTCGGAATGGCTTTAGGTATTATGCGAGTTGAAGGATACGTGACAGGTCGATCACAAACAGTCCTCAAATTCTTGCTTTCGTAAAATATGAAACACATTTATAGGGAACCAAACTGTATTTTATTTTTATTTTTTTATTATGACCGAAATTTAAGTGGTTCTACTTACAAGACTATAAATATTTTCAGTCTGCATTGTCCCCACTCTAAACGGTACATTTGTCATGAAAGTAAGAGCAACTCCAGTTTCAAATTATAATACAGTCGTTTAGAATGATTTCCAAGTGGATTGGCAACTCCGAGAGATCAGTTCGATGCACATGTTCTTCTATGCCGGCACATTCTTATCCGTTTTTGCAGCACATTACTTTACCCTCAAGTTCGGAGCCAAACATTTGATATCTGGCGGGATTGTGGTCGGCTGTGTCGCCACTGCGTTGATCCCATTGACCGTATACATCAGCAAGGACTACATATTCACATCTCTTCTGAGATTGCTCACAGGAATAGCGCAAGGTGTTTAATTTAATGTTTTTGATCATCTTTAAATAGGCTTCTTTATCCCCTGCAGCTCTCTTCTGATCTCGAAATGGTTCGGTCCTGATGAAAGAAGCACTGCTATGGCTGTCTTTACCACTGGTAATCAGATTGGACTAGCTGTTTCAATGTTTTTAACGGCCGAATTATGCCGGTTGGATATATTTTATGGATGGCCTCTGGCATTCCTCTTGTATGGTGAGCAATATTTATATTGTAATCAAGAATTAAGGCGGCTCTGGCTTTGTTTTCCTAGTGTTCTGGATGAAATACGGAGCCGATCATCCCCGCCAGTCATCCCGAATAACGGCCGTTGAATTAGCCCACATCAGAGACACTACCAGTCCCATGATCACACCTACATCTACACCTTTCCAAAAGGTATTTTCAATGTATGTGTTACAATATTTCCAGTTGCTCTTCTCTCCGGTCGTCCTATCCATTTGTTTGTCATCATTTTGCCAGTCTTTTGTGATGGTGGCGATGACTTCTTACCTTCCCGAGTTCCACCGAAGTGCCTTGAAATTGAATCTGAGCCAGGTAAGCGTGCTGGAACGTCAAATATTGGCTCAATACTATTTTAGAACGCTCTTTGGTCAGCTTCTCCATTCTTTGTTCAGACATTTTCCAAGATTATTTTTGGAGTGATCGCTGATTTGGCAAAAAAAAAATTATCGCCGACTTTTGTGGCCAAAACAGGAAATTCGATTGCTTCCTTTGGCTGCGCTGTCTGTCTACTAGCCATTGGATACGTCGAATGTCCAACTACCATGTTGATCTTGCTGAGTCTTGGCATGGCCTTGACCTCGGGCTATGTTCCTGGCTACTTTACCAGTATTGTCAGCATTGCCCCAAACTACACAGCCGCCATCTCAGCTTATGCTCAAGGATTCGCTCAGGTGGCAAGTATTCTATCTCCGATTGTGGTTGGATTTATGACCAGAGAGGTAGGACAGACCACATTAAGACTTGTCCAGACTCGAGTTATATTACCCATGACAAAATACATTTCAGTCGTCTTTGGCTGAATGGACCGAGGTGTTCCAGATGTTGGCAGGGATTCTGATTCTGACAGGCATCGTGTTCCTGGTTTTCGGTTCGGCTTCGATACAAAAATGGGCCTATTATTGCAAATCGGAGCCAAAAGAATTGGCGGGAATGGTGGACTCGAGGGGGAAACAGTCCCTGTCCCTGATAAGGGAGGACACCGTCGAATAAAAGGTTGTCACTGAATAAATGTAATTAGTCTTAGAATGTTTATTCTGCATAATGATAGACTCGGGGGTTGTCTTCCTCCCGCTTCAGATAGTGATGATCGATCAGATTCTCGATGCACTTCTTCAGCAGATTCTCATCGACGGGCCTCTCCAATTTGGTCATCACAGAGGTCCGAAGCTGATCATGAGGCAGCGTTTTGTGAGCCTTCATGATACGAACAATGGCGGCATCGATCAGATACCTGCAGGCGTAGATATTCTTCTGGAAAGATTACTGTATGGTGACTATCGATTATTGATACTTACCGCCAGCCCGTCCGCTTTCTTGCCTTTCCCTTCATCGTTCTTGGCTTCTTTGGTCAGATTGATAGTCGTTTTCTTATGGCTATACACGTCATTGATATAATATACTTCTTGTTCATTGCCTTCCATATCCACCATGAATTCTTTGATCAAGATCTTTCCTCTGATCAGAGATGGGATCCCTTTCTTCAGTTCACTATCTCCCATTGATTTTAATTTCTAAATAATATTAAGCCGAGTACTATTTACAACATACGTTGGAATTGACGTAACAGCAAGAATTGAAGAGGTCCAGGACAGCAGTCTGGACTGGAGTGCAAACCAAGGACTTGGTAGTGAGGGAATCCGAAGGAACAGCGACCAAAGAATCATCCCCCTAAAAGGATGACATAAAAAATTATTGCGCAATTAAAAGTAATCAAAAAAAGTATTTACACGCTCGATTTTGTCCTTGACCTCATCAATCACGGCTTGGCCGAAGAATCTTGCCTCAACTACAGTAAATCCATTGTAAACGTTCAGACCAAGCCTTCGCGTTGGATATTTTTTGGTATAGAAATGCTCGAAATCATGGAACGCCGACGATAATTGAGAAGGAAGACTGCACGGTGCAAGAGAATTCATCTGAGGCCAGAATCCGGGAGTGATTACTGTAATGGAAAACTTGAGACCATCATTCCGGGGCACACCATCGGCAGGAAGGGGGAGATTTTGTGAAGCCGCGAACTCTCTCAGCAGTTCGAAAGACATCTCCATATCCTTGAACATCTTCTCCATTCTTCGAGTATACACATTTCCAAACTCTACCTAAACAAAAAATAAATTTAAAATTCATATTACTGACTTTCAGAGACTCGATGATGGTCCTTTCCAATTCCAAATTGAGTACGTTGGCTCCCACCAATCTTCTGGCCAAGTAAATCTTGTACAATCTGGAGAGGGAGGGTCTTCTTCAAACACGCTTATCTACCTTTCAAAGTCCTCTTTGCTGCTGACATAATGGACCAAGCCGAGGACATTATCCATCTGATCCACCTTGTTCTGTCTCAATTCTACATCAAAATAGATGGCCAAAAACTCAGCAAACTTGTCGACGGAATTGAAAACGCGATGAAGTTGGGATTGGATTCTACTCTTGAACATTGAGTCCCCATTGCAACATTCTGATTGGAGAAGATCGATAACTTTTTTGAAAGAAATCAGGTCCTAAAACAGTCGTCAAATACCGTAATCCCACCTTAATAATCACGGTCGGAAGAGCTGATTTCTCGACTGTATTTCTTTTCATTGCAAAATAGCCACATTTCCTGGTCATATAGCCGGCAACCATCTCCATTAGTACATCTAGACCACCTTCTACCTTGCTATACAACATGAACCAAATATGGAACACTAAAACAAAGTTGTGTTTAGCGGCCACTTACCAGCACAATCGAGATTTTCCAGGATAACATCAATGTTTTCATTTCTTAACAAACGGGTCAAATAATCCATCACAAATGTCTTGTACAACACCTTTTTCAAAAGCTTAATATTATCCATCTCCACTTACCTCGTTGAATGTTTTCATTTGGTCTTGTGTAAAGCCTAATCCCTTAGCGGCTCTGAGTTCATCTTCCAACCATTGGACAATCAACCTTGTGAATTGCCTTGGATGGAATGAATCTTGGATTTCATTGACAACGAAACAGTAATCCGAAGTAATCATTCGAATATATGAGGTAAAAAACGTCGGAGAGATGTTGTTCAAGATCAAAGAGGACTTTTCGACATTAATTCTAACGAATAAAGTTCAAAACATTAATTATTTTTAGCTTACTTGTCATCAAAGTCTTCATAATCGAGTCTGGAGAAATGAGGAGATGACAAAACATTCTCCAAGAATATCTTCTTGCTCATGTCAATCAACTTCTCCTTTAAGTCCATGTTTGGGATAACCTGGACACAAAAATTTTTGAATAAGAAAGAAACTGCCTCAAGGAGTTTATTCCAGAGGTCAGGTATCAGAAATAATGGGGGACTCGTAGTGACGGCGATGACTTCATGCAGCTGAAAATAGAAAAACACAACAGCCGTAGAGCTACCTGAGAGAGGGCGATTTTCTGAATGAGGACTCCCAGCATCTCCAAATAACAATTGATCATCCCACTCTTGAAGATCAATTCAAAATCACTTCTCACGAAGGCCTGAGAGATCTTTACGTCTTGATGCCCATAGAAATATTCGGCAGCTCCAACAAGATCAGCGCAACATTTTCGAATCATTTCTGAATCCATTTTGGACAGATGAAGTGAATCCAATTCCTCTTTCATGTACAAACGACGGAAGATGTCACCCTAAAATATAAACTCGAGTGAATAGACATCCACATACATCCAGAGAACCTTGGCAATCTTCGCCGCATAGACTTGAAGTCGGAATCTTGGCACTCATCGGGCGACCTAGCCGTATCTTGGAAAGGGGACTGAAATAAGAATAAAGAACGATTCCCCCTTCATTATGCAAATTTTATGACGAATTTAGTACATATGAGAGCGCATTTGAGTAAACATAGATTTTGGGCCGGGCATATTTTTAATGACTTTGATATTTCTTTGAACGTTTTGTATATTGTTTTTAGTCAAGGCTCCTCAATTTGGGCGGGCTTCTGAAGTCCTTGCAAATGTCCTTAACACCCCTATAATGTGATTTTATGTACTTTTTACTTTTTTTGTTAAGTAGTATACTGTAGGGTTCGGGAAATCTCGGGTATGTTGGTTACCCTAAATTAGCCCAACACAGTACCAATACGAAGTCGCTTGCAACTTATTCATTAACTTAATCACGTTTGGGGTGACATTCTTGATTTTCCCAACTGCCTACAAGAAAAAGTTTAACAATTCAGTTTTTCTAAATTTTACTGCTTTCAGAAGTATTACAGTTAAATAATAGTAATTTTTGACTTTTTTCCAACATAAATCTCACCAAGTTTGTGTATGAAAAATAAAATGAAATGTGATATATTGCAGACTATGATGAATAAATTACCAGCCAAAAAATGGAATTTTTTGGCTGGAACTCGCCTCGACGTCTAGCCAAGAACTTGCAACAGCTAGCCAAAGGATTCCAACAGCTTTAAATTTACCAAAACGGTGGGTTATAAGTTCGGGTACACGTTTATGGAAATTCAGAGCTTCTTTCTTGGCCAACTATTCAGGCAAATCATGGAACCAATCGATTTTTTGCCTTGTCATTTGAGGTATTTTAAAGTTTTCCAATATTCAGTTTTATGCAGGCGGCCGGAGCCGTCTGGGTACGTTTGTCAGCGGTAAGATTACGGTTTATACATATGCGCCCTTTTTGGTTTTTGCACCGAAAACAATATTCATGGCATAATGTTTCAACGATTTTTTTTTATTTTTCTTTCAATTTTACCACCACCAAAAAACGTGTTTTGAAGGAACCCGAAGATTTTTGTGTTACCAATCGATACCACGTTGTAGAAGAAATGAGTGGTTCTCCTCCACCTCCATATTCTGATGTTCCTCCAGCTCCAATCAAGGTCCCGCCACCATCCGATCCTTCTTTTCCACCGAGTCCACAATTTGGATATGCTGGTGGAGCTCCTCCGCCCCCTCCCAGTGCTCCTAATGCTTCGCCTCCTCAGATACCTGTTCCTCTAGCTGGTGTAAATGTAAATACTGGTGCCTTCGGTCCTTTCCCCGTCGAAATGGACTGTCGATATTGCCATGTGAGTGGTTTTCTCTATTTGGATTTCATTGTTTGAGGCATGAGTCACTCGTTTGATGATGTGCTTTTCTTCTGGCCTGCGGAAATCGGCGATAAATCTATGTTGAATATGAGGTTGAGAAAGAGGAACTGTTGCAAGCTACTTCGTTTATAATTTTTTGATTTATGATTATCACGAGAAGATGATGACTCTTAGACTATAATCAATTTGGGGAGCGGAGTTGTTGGGAGCTTAAATAGATTGCATTCCCGGCCAGCGTTCGTACAATCCGAGTTGATTTAAAGTGGTAGTCCAATCAAAATTCATGATTAATATAGGCATATGCATAGAAAGGGGCTTTGATTCATTTGGAAAGCGGAGTATGATCAATAATTCCATTTTAGAACCACATCGTTACACACACGAGACGTGTTGCCGGGACCCTGCCATGGATAATTATGGGAATATGTTTCGTTCTGGGCTTTTTCCTCATTATACCATGGTGTATATGTTGTGTTCCGTTCTGTGTGGACGCGTGTCTCGACGTTCTTCATACTTGCCCTTCTTGCAAAAGAACTGTCGGCCGTTTTACTCGATTGTGATTTTATTTTTTTCATATTTTTACTGTTTTTGTTTTGTGTATAATTATATCATTTCTTCCCAAATGACAATAGTCCCTCATCTACAACAATATAATACACGTATCCGGGTTTCGATTCGAAATGTCTAGTATTCTGAGTGTCTTATTAGCCTTATAATGTTTTGTCTTCAATCCGTTTGCGTCGCCTATTTGCCTTCGTATAGCAACATTTACTTGGATATCTTTTTTTTTGTTTGAATAAATATTAAAAAGTGATTTACACCCGGGCCTCCATTTCTGCGGCTTATCACTACCGCCGTCGGGGCGGGAGAGGGATGGTTTATCATCTCCTCCATTCGGAATGGGTCGTCACTCAGAATGTCTTTACAGGTCGACCCGCAAAATGGTATCAAATGAAGGCCGTCTGAGCTCATCCATTATCTCGCAAAGAATCCAATCCAAGGCCTTATCCGTGAGTTCCCCTTTTCTCTCATTGTTTGTGGAAACTGGATTCACGGCTCTGTTGTTTATAGGGCAGGCGGGCCTCGTTATAGGCGCGCCTCTTCCCTTTTGTATCCGAACTCACTGTACTTTTTTGTTTTGGGATCTCTTCCCAGAATCTCTGACATCTGTTTCTGTTCCGACATCCCGGGGTCTGAATTTGCGGTCCGATCTTCAGAGGAATGGCAAAGTGCGTTTACTGAGTTTAGTCATTCATCTGTAAGTTTCAGAAGCTTATTTGAGCCTGACAGTATTTTTTAAATCAATATCATGATGTTCCATTTTTTTAATCTTAAGATTTGTCTCACAGATTTTAATACTATCCTGAAGATTCTATGGTGACAGTTGGCACTAAGTGCTTTAATGCTTAACCAAATACTTTTGTCGAATTCATGAGCACAATCAATACCGACCAATCCAATTTTTTCATCGAACATTTTGTTTGTACTAAAAACGGATCTGGGCTTGACGTCAATCGACGTTGTAATGCCTTAGGGTTGAAACTTTAAAGGTAATTGATAATTAATTAGTCAAGTCAAATTACTGTTCCACCCGAAGAACCCTTAAGACGGTGTAAGCGAGTCTGATGGGGGTAACGTCGCGCTCCTCTCGTCGTCTTTCTTGCTGACTTCATCGTCGAGCGGTGGGTCCATCGACTCGAGGCCATCGGCCCGACGTGATTCCGTTCCCCTCGCCGCTCTACTTTCCCATCTTTTATTTATTCCAACACTCCCCCTCCACCCCTCTAAAGACTCTGTTATTGTTTGGTTCTTGTATTATTTGCAGGTCGCGTGGTTGGTTCGTCTTCAGATGGGATCTGTCCAGAGTCAGCCCACAGCTCCAACCGGCCCCACCCAGACACCCAAGTTGGGTGGGTTGTGCCCTCAGGGCACGGCCAACATTTGTTGTATGAGCAAATCCAAGAGGTTCAAGTCGAGGTAAAGTCATCGTCCCTTTTCCCTCTTCCTAATTCAATATTCAATAAGCCGGATCTTTTGGTTAATGGTTTTGAAGTGGCGTTTTGTCACGGGAGCGGAAACGGATCTCTTTCCTTGCAGATCTTCTTCACATTACTTTAATTGGCTCCTGTTTGTGTTTGATCTCAAAGTTCGGGAAGATGGAGGCCTGGGCTTCTTCTTCTCGAATTTAGTGCATGATGAATGTAGTTTAAATCAAATCCTTCGTGCTTAAATTGCTTTAATTTATTCTTTTTAAACCATTTGCTGAGCTCCAAAATAGGAAACGGAACTTCCGTTTGATTGCATTATATTATTGCCTTGCATAACATTCTCACCACCTTTCAGGAAACAAGAAAGCACTGAGATCTACGAACCCACGGGAGGTGAGAGTAGACTTGATCATTTCACTGAGAAAGCGACCGACCCTCGCCCTTCTATGGTTGCGGCTACAGTGGCTACACAATGGAAACATGGCTCCGTTAAGAAGCAGCCTTTATGTGAGAAACCTTCGATTGTATCGTTCTCGGACGACTCCTTACTCAACGAGGATGTGAATTACAATCTGAGCGAGCAATCTCACGAAGTATTGGAGCAGGTCTGTGAGCGTGTGTCTTGTGAAGAATGATTTAAGATAATCCGATGCTTCCCGTTTCCTGTTTCTCCTCCCGATCAACCCAAGTTACAAGCTCGACAGAAGCTGTCGATCGGGAGAACGGTGTCCAACGACCCCACCGTCTTGTTGAGTGATCATCCGAGTGCCAAGGAGATCCATTCGGATGGGATCAAGTCGCTGGAGGCTCCTCCAACTGCTCAGGCGAGGGGTTGGGGCGTCCGAAAACGTCAGCTGGGCGCTTTTCTTAGTCGACGCCTCAATTCCGACGACTCCACGCAAGTTGTGGCGCGGAAATCCGACAACAACAACATGAACACGTTGTGCGACAAGGACGAGAAAAGAGGCGCTTTGGGTCGCCTGTGTCAGGTGGGTCACATTAATTGTCTTTTATGGCCTTTCTGGTCTCTTTTATTCAAATCAATCGGAATCTTTGAAGAGGTCATGCCTTTTTGCGTCTTTTTTATGTTTCTCCTGATCGCGGAAACCCGCCATTTTTAATTAAACTCAAAAACTTGCCCAAATCCGGTACAAAGCAATGAAATTAGTACTTGTAAGCGTCTGTCGGTTTCATATCTTAATCCTCCGGCTCTCCCAGGTCAATTCGTCATCTTATTCTGTTGTCTGAAAAGTCTCAGCAACCAAGCTCAGAGCGCACTTGAATAGACACTGAGCCATAATATTCGATAGGATTGTTTTGGTCCGAATAGTTTAATGACTTGGATCTAAATGCAGCACTGCAGAGCATTAGGGAGATTCACTTCTCTCTAGTCTCTGATGCACTTAATGGATCGCGTATCCAATGCATCGGAGCTTTGTCAGGATCTGGGTATACGAGGGGTCCCGTGTCCATGTTTTGTCAGTTGATGGAAAGAAAGGCTTTCTTCCCATTCTTCGCACAATTTAACGGCTTTTATTGTGCTCGATTGGTTTGAGCGTGATAAGAGCCTCAAGCAGACCGGGCCTACGGGTTCATAACTTGCAAGAAAAGTCACGATCAGGGTGTCGTCCTTCCGATTCGGGTCAGTTTTCGTCAAAGTCGGGTTGTTTTTTGTATTCGGCCATCGATTTTAAGAGCAAATCCGTCGACGGTATTCGGTGATTGGCGGCACTTATCAGTGTTTTGTTTGACGAACGCAATTTAGGGAGTGTTTCAGATCTTGCGTTCTTCGAAACGCATTTTAAACTTTTTCCGCGTTTATAACATCGTTTCCATTACTATTTTTTAAAGCATTCCCGGTTACAGCGCGCTTCCTTTTATCACCCGCGTTATCATCAGGTTCAGGCAACGAGAAAAACAACTTCACAAAGACGTCGTTAAACGTGAAATCGTACAAGTCGAAAGGCTGGTAGAGTGGTTTGCTTCGTATGTTGATTACTATCCCCATAGTCAAGGTGTTGGCTTCGTTGCTGGCCAAGAAGAAGCGGCCGGAGTCGAAGGTGAATGGCTCCTCGTCGGCTTCTCTACTTTGTTCTTGTGTTCGCCGAAGAAGTTCGGTGGTTTCTGAAGTCGCCGACGACTCAGTGAACGAGTATCACGATCATCCATCGGTTTCTAGAGCAGTTCATAATTCCGTCCATGAGATGCTTCAGATTCATGTAGATGATCATCAAGTCATGCCATCTTGTAGTGCTCCCATGGAGTTCCGACACTTGTTAAAGGCATCGTTGCTACAGGTAATGGGTCTGGAATCGGGGTTTGTGTCAGGAACGTCTAATTACGTCTTTTATAAACCCATCCACATGAGTTTTCCTCAAAAATCACGAGGCTCCCATTTCTCACCACCCCAGGGCGTTTCGTTTCAGGTCCTCGCCTTATCTTCACACAATACAAATTTATACGTAGGTGCAAACATAACAGTCTTGATGCGGTTTGGTTCGACGATATTTGTTCGGTCTCTCATCGCTATACTATTCCTCCCTTTCCCAGTTCTCTTCAATAGACATTATATTAGAGATGGTGTTCCAGGTATCAGTAGATACTATGGCCATAACTGCATTGCCATTGGATTGTTGGCTGAAGGAAAGACTAAAGAATTGGGTCCAGCTTTCTGGCCATGAAGGAACCATTGTCCCAGCTACTAACCACACACTCTGGAAAAAACAACCACCGGGAAATAACATCGAGGCCGAAGCTTATCAGAAGATCATGGCTGACCCTTCACTTAAAGGTCTCACACCCAAATTCTTTAAAGAAATGGTCCACAATAATGAATGTAAGGTGGTTTATGATATCAGAGATGCTACTCGTTTTTTTGGATTACATAATAATTTATTTTTTATTTCTATCTTATGTATAACAGAAAAAGGAAAACTTGAAAATTAATTATTAAAAATATTGCAGCTTTCATCGAGATGCAAGATCTGCTGTCGCAGTTTCCCAATACTCGAGAACGGGCAGTAATGGATATCAAGGTTGGTTGTAGGACCTTTTTGGAATCAGAAGTGGCCAACACGACCAAACGAAAAGATCTCTACAAGAAGATGGTGGACATCGATCCAAATGAACCCACCGACGAGGAACGACAAGTAGAGGCTATCACAAAACTCAGATATATGCAGTTCCGAGAAAGGGAATCATCAACATCATCGCTTGGTTTCAGGATTGAAGCCGCTCAGGTAAATAAACGCAATTTAAAAAATTTGTTTTTCGTTGACACAAATTTTATCTTTCCAGTCACACTTCGTAGTATAAACAGGATCTCCCATAAAATGAAGGTTTTTTTATTGTAAAGAGTAAACGTATGATATAGAAAATATCAGAACCGGAAAAGGCCTGAGATGTATAGCCGGTCATGCCTCGCTTGAGTTATTTATAGTATTGATAAAACATACTTTTAAAAGCGTAGAGAGAACACTTCCGACAGATCCAAATATACTCTAGATTACAAATTAATCACTAACTACTTCCGTTCAATTCATCTTTTTCAGCTTCCTGGCGGGAAATTGGAGAAATCGTTTAAAAAAGTGAGGACCAAGGCCCAAGTCTTGGATACCTTTAATCACTTTTTTGGGAAACGTCGAGAAGAAATCAAGGCTCAATTAGCCGCGAGATTAAAGGAAATGAGAAATGGAATCGAGAGGTCGGACTTCTTTAGAAAACACGAAGTGGTCGGATCTTCCATCTTAATAATCTTTGACGATGTGAGAACAGGTGCCTGGATCATCGACTTCGCCAAATCTATTCCGGTGCCAGAAGATTTGTCGTTGGATCATCGAACAGGATGGAAGCTGGGGAACCATGAAGATGGGTATTTGCTCGGACTCGATAATTTAATACAGGTAAGTCAATTATGATAAGATAACAAGAACAATCATAACTCCCAGAAAACATGATGTTTTTCAATAAAAGGAAGTGAAACACAATATTCAAAGGCGGCGTTCTTATCGTTCCGTTCGTTGATTTCTCATTTTCAGATTTTGGAATGGGAATGGAATTGAAGTTAGCAGACACCATTTGCGCCTTCCTATATCGCCATCTACCTCCACGTACCAACGTCTTTCTCAACGGGTCTTGCTGTTTGGTCATCTTCACGTGTAATTTTATTATTCTTCTCCTTACACATGTCACGATATCATCACTCATACTTTTAATAACCAACGGTATCACGGCATAAGCTCGAGTGTCTTCGGTTCTCTTCATAACGGGTCGTTTGTTTGTTGTAATTACAACTTTCGCATAAAAGATTTATTCCCAAAAAAGAGATTTAACTTCATAAAAAAGAAATGATATCAGGAAGAAACGCAGACGTAGACAGACGTTCAAATATTGCCAGACAAGGGATCCGAAGGCCTTTTTGAATAATTGAACGAGCCTTCAAGACCGACCACTTCAGAGGATATGGAATGGGTCCTTTCCAATATAAACTTAGAGCCCGTTCATTGGCCGAACTACTATCAGATAATTGGTCTGTTTATCAGCTCTTGAGCAAAAGAAAGGCCCAACGGGAGGAAGAGATCAAATCAGAATGAAAGAGCATTCAAATTGCACTTTAATAATTAGACTGCATCAAAATAATTGTCGTCCATTACCAACAATAAGAATATTTTATAGTGATAACGGAGATGAAGCGGATTAAAGAGAGCGAGATCCAGGGATTAGAAATCTTAATATTATATATACATATCTTTATAAACCATCAATTTACAATTTAGAGATTAAAAAGGTACAATAAACAAGTGAATCAACGTAACCCAATAAGAACCAACAGATCCAGCCGCAGTCAACTAGAACCTACTTCCTAATTTTTCAGTTTTGGACTCTCTTATCCACCAGCCACAGTATCATAGTTGGCACGGAAGAGTCGCTTATGGAGCTCGAATTTCCAAACAACGCCACTTAAGGCAATCAACAAAATAAGAAGGCCGAAGACGGAGATCAATGCCGTGTTCGAATCCTCTGGCTCTGGAGGTAAGGTCGGTCGTTCGAAGATGTAATGCGGAGTAGACGAAACGGTCTTCTCATCTTCTTCTTCTTCGTTCTCCTCTTTTTCTTCCTTTTCTTGTTTTCTTTCTGATTTCTCTTTTTCTTCTTCTTCTCCTTCTTCTCTTTCTTCCTCCTCTTCTTCCTCATCATATTCTATTTCCACCCTGTAATTAGACTAACAATACTGTTTTCATCACTTACTTCTTTCCCTTTGACTTTGGTGGCTCTTGCCGGTTGGCTTCGGCCCTTCGAATTGTTTTCCGATTATTTGTTTTCAAACAAGCTTGTACTTTCAATTTCTCGCTGTCAAATTTAGCACAGCCAGTTGGATTCAACTCCTCGGCCAACTCGGCCCCATCAACGTAACTCAAACAGCCCTGAGTGCGATAAGAATCAGGGACTCCCATCTCGCTAGCAATGTTCACAATAAAGCAATATTCTCCCAGACAAGTCTCCACACCACTGGAGGCCTACAATTATTACGTAGTTTAATGCAGTTAATATTTTTTTGCAATACTAAAAAAATTAGCTTACTTTGTTGCCGAACATGGTAACTTCTACACTGGCATTGCAACGTTGGTCTTCGTTGACTGTGATCTTTGGCTTCTTGCGGTTACAGAAATCTCCAGCGCAGATGCAACTCTCAGTTTGCTGCAATTGCTCCGCATCCTTGGCCACACTGTGATGCATAGCACCAGTCATTGGAGGCATCATACAGGCGCCAGCAGACCTTCTTTCCACCAAAGGGAGCGATGCATTTACGCAGCCTTGTTCGGTATCTCCAGTTAAATGATTTTTGACAAACGAGCAGAGCTCTCCATAACAAGTTTTTCCATCACAATGAGGTCCTTTACAAGTACATTGATAGAGTTTAACTTCTTCTAATTCGTACTTTCTAACAGGCTTCTTGTTGCACAGCTCTTGGTCATCACAGAAACATGTAAAAACATCCTGCAAAATTTGCATTTTGTAATCACCAAATTATGAAGGTGTATTCCGGTGCTAACAATAATTCTCTCTTACCTCTGTATCTTCCGCGACTTCACAATGACTTCGGAGGTTTTTTCGCAACATCTTTCCACTCATGCATCCCTTAACGACCTCCGATTTTCGCTGAAGGGAGCCCCAACGAGGTGTGAATTGTGATACCACACAAACATCGCCGTTACAGAAGTCACCCATACAAGATTCTCCTATACAATCTAAACATCGAACAGCTTCTACGGTCTGAACTAACAAAAAGCTAGCCAAAATGGCCAGGACGGTCCTCCTGACCATATCTACACCTTAGGGATGCGGCTTCTGAAGGTAAAACGGTAAAATACAATCAAATGACGTCACGGAACGAATAAAAAACATTAAAGACTGAAGAAATATAAAGCCCGGCCATATCTGGAAAGGCCCTTTTGCCCCCGCCAAAGGGACCGGCTTCGGAAGTGAGGGAAAATGGGAGGCAGGACGGCCCCAACCCTCAAAAAAACTTCTACGGCGGCCGAAAACTGCAGAGTAAAGTGGGGAGTGGGGATGCGGAGAGTGTAAGCGCGACCGACTCTTGGCCTCACGAACATTCTGGGCCGGGCCGAACGGAGCGCCCAACCAAAAAACCACTTAGACGACCTCTTCCTGTCCTCCTACCTTAAAGGGAACATTCGAAAAGACGAAGCCATCATGCCCTGACATCCAAAACCAGCACGGAAGCTCAGCATACTGTAAAAAACAAGAAACTTGACGTATCAAGGAATGGGAGCCCTCCGAAAAACATACACATTTAGCTAAAGGGACCGCCTAACTGCATGTACTCCCTTCCCCAACCGATTTTCGATATATTGGACTTTAGAGGATGGCACTGAGACGATGCAAAGGAGTGGGACTCTCTAACAATAACAAAACGACGAAAAGGAAAGAAAATGCCCGCTCGCCCCTTCCCCACCCGTCATTCCGCTCAGCCGGAGATTCGTCTTTGCTTCCACAAACACCAGAATGCCATTGTTCAAACCTTCTCATATTAGCCATGTTGGCACCACCGTTTCGAACGAAAAACCCATCAAATTGGCCCCTTCCTCAAAGCACTATGTTTTTTCGCCCATTTAACCCTTTATATCCTTTATTGTTTTTATATTATACATCAACAACATTTATTTCGAAACAAAGATTAAACAAAAATAGCCGTCTAACTATCTAATCTTTTTTGACGTCACGTTCCCAGGATCCAAGCAAATGATAAGTGAAGTAGATGGCAAAGATGTGAATTTGAAAAGCAATCAAAAAGAATATGTACCAGATGATCACCATGGGGAAGTGACCGTTGAAAGTTGGCGTTCGACTGCTTTCCATATTGAAAATGTAGTCGATCAGCTCAGGAAGAAGACTGCCAAGTCCAACAGAACATGGCAGAATTCCAAGGAAAAATTGAGAGTAGTACTCAATTCTCAGCAAATTCCCCTAAAACAAATTAAAATATTTACAAAAAAATGTTTTACGTACCTTGTTGTGTCGGAATGACAGTAAACCAAGGATAATACACACAACTGACGAGCACCATACATATTCCCATGGATAAGCAGTTGGGAGATCCAACTTTTCGAAGAATTTGCTCTTGAATCCCAATTCTCTTATCGCGAACTCACTCCCAACCTTTGTCCACATGGCCAAAAGCACAAGGGAATGAAGGCCAAACAACATCTTCAGATTCCATTTGTATTGGACACTAAAATAAAATAAAAATCAAATTAAAATCGGATTACCTTAACTTGATTGACTGAGAAACTCTTTGCCTATGAGAAAAATCACTTCCATCTGTTCCCGTAGCCCGGGGACCAGTTCGGGATGACATCTTCACAACACGCTCTTGCGTTCAAATCTTTGCGACTTTAATTACACTTTAGAAAGATCTAGATATCTACAAAAACTGCCAAAATGCAAAAATCAGAAAGTTTTCGACGAAAAGCCAATCTCTGGCATTCTGCACCAAGTTTCTCGTTTTCCAGTCGAGGCGCGCTTAAACTCCCGTAACGGTTTTTATTCAAAATAAAAAGTCAAAAGCGAATGCGCCTTTATATTTCAACTCATACCGCGAGTAGGTAAATTAATGAGCTTTAGGCGGGAATTCAAAAATAAGAGAGAAGTTGCTGATTAAATGCCTTTCACTCATTCCTCCTCTTGTTTGCTTATCATTCATAGAACGGACGAGACTGCAGTGTCACGGTCTGATCGAGAAGAGTGGATGACCAGAGACGTGTCATCAATCGAGGAGACAGAAGATGCGGACGATCCGCGCCGTGGAACGATGGGTCAATTCCTCAGAGAATTGATGGAAATTCATGATGAAGAACATCCCTCAGAGCCCATGCTCAGTCCGGATCAGATAATTGACGCGTCATTCCGGGGGTGAGTTCTTCCATGTCGTGTTCATTGTCTCCGGATCTCATAAGCGACAATAACCTTCCGTCAATTGCTTAATCCCGTCGCCATCTCTAAGCAGGTTACTGACTTCTGGGGGTCGCCCCCCCCCCTTTCCCTTTATTTTCTCAAAACCAAGATCTCATTCCAAGTCAACACCTTTTGCTTTAATTAAGCGCGGAAGTAGGGGCAACTTATTGTAATTCGTTTGTGACCATTTGAGTCTCTCTGTCATTTTTCGATCTGGGAATGAGGCTGTCTATTCCTATGACATCATGATCAGTGTAACGGAACACGATTTATGCCTGGGAACGCATTCTTGCTTCAATTCTTTTTTGGAGGAATGAGGCTGCGCAATCGTCTTTGCTTTTTCTTCAATTATTCTGTTTTAAATACCGTATGCCTGAGGGTCTAAAAAACAAAAGAGTCTGAAAACTTGTGGTTCATATAATAATAACCGGTGTTTAAAGTCGGAACAGCCGGTTCGGGTGAGCAGAACGGCTGGTACCCGTTCCAGATGAGTGAATCAGCGGCCTGCTGACTCGCCCAATGTTCTGGCCGATTGATCGAGTCGCCTGGCCATATCGGGTGGGGAGCGAGCTGCGCGGGTGCGCCTCCTCTGGTTCCGTTCGTTCCTCGCTCCCAATTTACGCGTTTCTCGCCCCTTCTTGAGGTGGTTTCCTCCTAAAAAAGATGTGGCGACCTCTAAAGACACCGATTTAGGGGCGACTGATTCCTATGAGAAGATCCTCGCTGTCCACTAGGCGACGCGCGACCGCTTTCTCTCCCGTTCCCTCCAATTCTTTACCGCACGGTTACCCGATACTTTTGTTCGGGTTTTGTTACCTTAAGCAGTCCGCCACCCTTCTAAGTTTCCTTCTCACCTGGTTTTAAAACAATTTCGGATCTTCGCAGTTATTTTTGTTTCTCTCGAATGCAGTAACAATTGCGGTTCTTCTTCAGTTTCGACGAGGATCGTCCCGTGGAGGATCTTCTGGATCGGACCGAACCCGAACTGGCCGAAGCCGTGCCCTCGCCCTCATTAGTGGCGCGGTCCTTGGCCAAATCGTTGGAAGAGAGGCCCCTGGAGAATCTTAATATCCATCTGACTCCCTTCTCACTCCCCGATTATTATACATTGTCCACGGAGGTGGGGTCGCGATCACAAGATCAGGACCCACCTTCGACCTCGACTACCGCGAGGGTTGACATTACTGAGAACGGTCTCCTTTCCCCGCCTTCCATCTCTCCCACAAGAACCCAACCAAAACGAAGATATCAGCGACGTGGGGCGATCAAAAATCGCAATTGGAATCCAGCCAGAAGTGTATCATACGATCGATCCGAGCAAGTTAATCGGCCACTATTTGGTAATCAACAATACTCAAATTAAAAATATTTTAGACCTTAATGATAAACCCGCATCGCCACCCACTGAACCCATTTACATGAACAGATCCAGCCTCGGGGTCACAAGGAAAATAAGTATGAGGCAGAAACAAGCACAACCGGTGATGTTAATAGGTAAGGCAGCATTCTGATCTCATTTGTGGCGTTTAGATGACCATTCCAGTTATTCTGGAGATGAGGGAGCACAATCTTCTCACAAACTCCTTAAGGACACACGATCCGGATCTCTGCCGTCGATGAGTATTCATTCCGAGGAAGAGGGATCCCAAGATTCGAATACCTGGTCCTCAACTTATGATAAAGATCACGGAGAACTTGGATTCTCAGATCCGATGGTGATCTCATCCATCTTCAGAAGTGACTCTAATTCCAATTCAATTACTGACTTTCAAGTTCTAAATATGCCGTGCGATGAAAACGATAGTCACATTAATAAGAAAATGTCTTCTTCTTTGCAAGGTAATATCGTCATGTGTATAATACTTGTTCAGAATATTGCCAGCCACCCCATTCAGCCCCTCCATTCGCTGAAGAATCCTCACAATTCAGCTTCGAACGACGGAAGTCAATGATCCAAGAGTTGCCGGCCATCTCCGAAGATCAAAGAGAGGATGAGGTAATTCTGCTGGGATAATATCATAATTTACGTATAACAGCTTATTTTGTATTATCGGTTTCAGCGAGCCCCTAGTGCATGTTCATCGATGGAAAATGAAAACACGATACACAGACGGAGTACGAGTGACTATATTCTGGACAAAAAAGAAGCCTCCCCTCCACTCGTTAAGCGGAATTCGATCCAAGTAAGTATATCACAATGAATCAGGGATTCATTACTTTAGGAGACCAAGGACAAACCCCGGCTCAGGATTATTACCGGGAATCCAAATGGAAACACCGAAGTCATGGACGGAGCGAACGAAAGTATCATGGGGAAGACATACGAACTCCCATACTCCCCGCATGAAGACAAGTCCATGATCATCCTCAAACAGAATGGATCCAAGAAGATGCATCTGGTCGAAGGACACAAACGGTAAGCCGAAATTCATTCATTCTATGTCTCTGTCAAGCTCTACACCCTTACATTAAAATAAGTTAAACCAACCAACACAGCAATTTTAATTTTGGGTTAGCTGTCTTTGATTTATTGAGTATTTTATAAAGTAATACTAGTCCGTTCGCAAAGTCGCTGGAGTGAGTTCGGCGACGTGCATTGTCCAAAAAAGTGAATGTGGGCGACAGCCCAAAAAAGCCTATTGAGTACGTGTACTGTGCAAAAACCGAAAATTGCACAGTGCAAAGTGATTTTGCTTTCTTACAGTGCACGTCGCCGAAATTACTCCAGCGACTTTGCGAACGGACAAGTATAAAGACCCTTTGAGAACCATTGGCGTTCTGTTTTGTTTCCCGCCAAAACCCTCCTTTATCCGTAAATTTAAGACTGCGCACGCGTGAGGTCAGCTTGAGACGACAGTGTGAGAACGCCAAAATATTTGGCAATAGATGCTTTCGGTGTAAATCCATATTGTGGATACGATATGGAAAAAAATCTTTGAAAAATGCATAAAAAATGCGTTATGCAGAGTTTCTTGAAGTCCGTTGTTCCAAAGCCCAAAATTGTAGAAATGTTTTGGATGTTTTGATAGCGATAGGATACTCAATCTTCCATCACTCAATAGACGGTTCTGTCATCGAACTTTTTTTGATTAAAATTTTGAAAACAAAAAAGGTCCATCATATAAAATGTCCAGAACGGGAAAATGTCGGGCGCAGCGTTCCTACCGTCTCAATCCAAAAAAATTACCTTATGATCGCCGACAGTGCGTCGGCGAAAACGGACAAAAAACGGTTTCCTCGCGGTGGTGGCCGGGATTTTACCGATTCCTTGGTGCTGATGCGCACTACACCTACACGTGTGGCAAAGCGGTCACGCAGCCGCCACGAAGCACACTGGTCCACCATTAAAAAGCAACTCTCGTCTGTATCGTTACGGTAAGGGCTGTGAAATGATGCCGCTGTTGCACATTTCTGAGTCTAATTATACGAAAATCGTCTTCTCTAGAATATTAAGGATAATATGAGAGAAACCCATCTCTTTTCAGAACCGACCGTGATAAGAAGCCGGGAATGATTTTGACCACTTTGTTGAGCATTCGACACAAGAAAAAGGTATGTTTTCATCTTGGTGTTTTTGTAAAAGATTGAATTTTGTTTCTAAATTTTAATTCCTGGTTTCAGAAGGATACCAGGAGTACGGGCAGTGTATCTCCGAGTGGAATCAAGCTGGATTTGAAGAGAGCATCGTGTGTTGAGTTCGGAGCCGTCATAAATCATAGTCGGAAGTCGAGTGAAGGTAGGTTAATATATTTTTTTCTAATTTTTTTGGGGTGAGGATGAATGTGATTAACAAAACTCCTATTAAACGGTATTTAAAACCGTTGATTGTTTTAGAAACAGAATAGAGAAGTTCGGGAATGAATTTAGACTTCCGATCTGGGATTTTCGTTAAAACGAGCTGGGATTATTAGGAAATAGTGAATCACTAAATGGCCCAATCGCTTTCTCTCCTCGCTTCTCTGGCTGATTCAGGCCTCTGGCTTCGTAGTCGTCGTTTCCTGCTCCTTTTCTCTTTCATTTATATGGTCATGACCTCACGAAACAAGCCGGAGTACCTGGCCTGTTCTTTTCCGCTCCACTACCGGTCGGTTGGCGATCTCCGGGAAGGTGTCGGGCGTCCTCCCATATCTTCCTGGACGTATGATGCGCCTCCGGCACTCAACTATCCCCGTGAAATGTCTTCTAATTATTGCCAACTGTATCAGAATCGACGAATATCTGGGTCTTTGGCAGATATCGAGCAATTCCACGCTTATTTCAAGGGCCACCAACGGATAGATGAAGTAGATGAAGATGTCGATCCCATCAGCGATCATGGCCTCAACAAGGCTTCTAATTCACTGTTTTCCTTGGAGGAGAACGAGGACAAGAGTCTGTTTGTCCCCGATGGAGTTGTTGTTACCCATGATTACTGCTCTCTTCCCCCCGTTTGGGTTCAACCTGCATCCCCATGCCTTGAAGAAACTCGGCCAAACTTCCCAGCTATTCAGGTTCAGCGTTCTGTGGATATCCCAGCCTCCCAGGAAAGTGAGACCAACATGGCAAGAAGAAGAAAGAATTCTCTCTCCAGAAGTCCCATTCGTGTTTCCGATCAATTGGTTCTCCATAATATTCAAAAGGATAAGATCCGAGTTGATTCTTTTATGCTCTCCACTGATTCCTTGGAGTCTAACACAGGTTCGATCGCGTCTTTCTATCGATGGCCTTCCCTCAGAAAGAAGAAGGCCAAATCTTGTAAAACAAAGCCGCCTTTGGATCCGATTAAAGTCTCCAGAACTTATTCCGAGAAATATTTTAATCCCAGCTCTCAGAAGAGAAATTCATCTGTGGTGGATAACTCTTCCATCAAAAGAAAGGGTTAGATAAATCGTTTTTAGATATTGTAGAATGAAATGAGTTGATTTTTATTTTATTCATTGTCGTCTTTCAGTTCTTCCTGATTCCTTGGCCAGAGTTTTTGGACCGCAGAACGGAGAATTGGATTGGAAGAATGTTTCGGGTGAAGAGCCCACCAGATGGCCATTATGGTAAGAACGACCTGTTCCTTCATTTATTGTGATCTTCAGGGAGAAGCCGAAATGGGAGGATCTGAACATATGGGAGGACATTGAAGGGTCTTGGTCGTCTAGGAATCCAGGAACACCACTCTCTCATTCTGAAGAAAAACGACAGAATGTTGTGTTCGGTAAGAAGAGGTCTTTTTGGATAATATTTCGCTTTTCAGAATTATATGCAACGGAGAAACGTCATTGTCGGGTCTTGATATATCTCCAGCAAGTATTCCAAGCCGGGCTCCTCATCCACAACATTCTTACTCCTGCCGAAATTAAATCCATTATTCCGGATGTCCTGGATTCTCTGCTCGACTTCCATCTTCACTTCCTTCGACGAATTCAGCAACGAATTGAGGAGAAAAAAGTGGTCGACACAATCTCGGACATTGTTGTAGATGAATTCAAAAACGGAGAGCATCGGGCAGCAGCTGTCAATGCGTACACAGAATTCTGTTTGGCTAGCCATGAAGCAGATAAGTGTTACGCGGATTTGATGAACAAGAACAACAATTTCAAGCAGTTCATTGATGTAGGTGCCTGACTGAGTTAAAATTGTTTTGTAGCATATTGACAAAGATCCCATGTTTAAGAAGAATCTCAACTTTAAGTCTTGTTTCCTCCTCATTACTCAGAGAATGACTAAATATCCGATGCTCTTGGACCAGGTAAGATAATGTAAACTCTCATTTATTTTAGTTATAGATGGCCAAATACGAATCAGGCGAAGAAAAAAACTTGAGTCTACGAGCTTGTGCAGCTGTGAAAGGCTTTGCTTCAAGAGTGGACAAAGAACTCTCAACTCATATGCTACACAAGAGGTTCGATAGAATCAGAAATATGATAGAAAAAGGTTCCAAAGGAAATCTTCTAGGATCAGAATTTACTGTAAGTTAGTACTTTAATATCGAATGTTTTTTTTCCAGTACGACGATCTTGTTTTGTCTGGTGAGTCTTACCGAAAAATCCTTTCGATTGGTACCGTCAGTTGGAGAAGTCCGAGTCATCAGAATTTTGAGTTGATCATGCTGTTGTTCGACGATATTATTGTTTTTCTTCAAGGAAGAAATGATGTTCTTTACTTCTTCCAACATAAAGATCATGCTTCTGTTCTCCCCTTGAAAGCCACTTTGGTCCGAGAAATGCCTCGTTCCAATGAGGTGATGCTTATCGTAATCGACCCCAAGAAACCCGACATGTACAGACTCGCCTTCAACTCTAAATCGGAGATGACTCAATGGGTTCATGCTCTGAAAAGTGCGAATATTTTGGCTCCGAAATTCGTAAGAAAGGCAAATGATTTGATCTTCGTGGAAGGTGGCGCCAGAAGTTCCAATTCCCAAGACTTTTCGAACGAAGAGACAAAGTACACGGAAGATCTGGACAAATGGCACGAAGATCTCGATAGCCTTTATAAGGTACGGAGGAACGGCGAAAATAAGTTGGAAGAGTACATGGAGGAACATATGAAATTCTTTGATGACATCCGAGAACACGTCGCCAAATTCCCCATCAGGCCAAGTGTCGACTCAAACGGACAGAATTCGGTCAGGCAAAGGGAATTAAGGGAGATTACCAAGATGAAGAACCTTCTCAAGGCACATTTTGCAGAGCTCAGAGCTTACAGAAGAAGTCGATTAGATAAAAGTAAGTTGTCCTTTACGCTCAATTCTAAATTTACATGAGTTTATTCAAGGGAATGGGGATTTCATTCCAGGAAAGACAAGATTATTTTGATTTCTGTGACGTTAATGTTGATGATGTTATTTCTTGACTAATCACTCTCAATTTCAGTGATCGAACGAGCGGAAAGGTCCCGAGACTCTGATCTCCCGTCATATTATGATGAGGTTTATGAACTTTCCCATCCTTCAGGCTTTGAATCAGCAACCTTCTCCTCATCCTCAGATGAGAATGCCCCTTCTACTTCAGAACGATGTAGAAAACCCCGAAGAGTTAGAACATATCATGGAGAGGAGGACAGCAAACATCAAGGTAGGTATTAACAAATTAAGTATATGAGGCAAGGACTGTTTGTATCGTATGTTTGATTGTTTTAGGTGGCGTCCGACGACACACAACTGTACCTCATGTCAACGATAATGAGGAAACCGAATTCGAACGCCATTTCGAGCAAGAGCTCCGGAAACTTCCATTAAAGGTGAATCAGAAAAGTCGAAGGGCCATCACGGATATGATCAGGGAAAATGTTCAACTGAGGATGGAGAACGATCGTCTTAGAGATGAGAATGCCTTGTAAGGTTTATTTCGTTCTTGAAGTGTTATTTGTGTATCATATTATACTTGATCTTTTAGAAAAAGCATACATCTGATAGCGCTCAAAGCGCGGAAAAATCCGTTTGCCGAGACGAATGAGAAGCTGGAATCCCTGAGACAAAAGCAAGAAGAAGTTCAGAATAGAGAAGTCTTATTCAAAAAGGAGTACGAAAAGAAAATGGATGCCCTCCGGATGCATGAAGAAGAGCTGAATGCTAAAGAGGTGAGTATTAATGACATTTCGATAAAATCTTAATCATTGTTTATGTAATAAATAGGGTGGTTTCTGTCTGATGAAAGATAATTTGTTGTTTGAACAGTATATTACACTAGGAGGACATGATTTATCTCCTTTTTATTGTTCCAAACATTGCGCAATCTTTTTATTGAGATGTCTTGAGTCTCGGGATTTGAGGTCGAGATAAGAGTGGGACTTTACAGCTAAGACAAATGACTCGTTTGGGCCGAGGTCATCTTTTTATGATTAGGTTGGGCTAAAAGTGTATGTATTGATACGTCCGAACAGATGGTGTCCAATGTTTATTTTACCCATGTCCCCAGACGTTTAATATTTTTTGGGGTCAACGGATCGGCGGTTACAAAAGAAAAAGAGTCTCGACTTAATCATCGAGAGTCAATCGTCCGAAAGTTGAGATTGCGCAACAATCGGAAGTCGGCATGTAATCAATCCCCACTTGTAGACGTAACCACCAATTACATGATCCATTTCAGGCCGAACTCAAGCAAAAAGAGATGGAGTTAATGCTCAGAAATAACAATCTTTCGTCCTGCAGTCTTCCTACAGAATGTCCCGGCACTCCGACATCAGAATCCCCTCGGCCCGACCTCAACCGAGAGACCAGCTTTAGACTTGGAGCGGCTATTTTGGACACCCACAAACCGTAAGGACTTGGCTTTGATAAGTATAAAGATTATTATCGTATAAACAAATTATTCGTTTAAAATGGTTTTCCTTTCAGAACAATGATACCTCGAAGTACTCAAAGTTCTACAGATGTGGTCCCCCGACATCTTGCGTCCAAGAGCGAGACCAAATTGGACAAGAACAAGAAAAAGAAATAGCGTATAATCGAGGTTATATGATGAATATATATTGTTTTACATTCGGTGTCATTTTGTTTGGCTAACTGAAGCTTTTGCTAATTCGCTCGTTATATTTATTGTTTTCGGTTTAAATGCAGAAAATGTTCCGTTTCCTCGTTCAAATATATGTAAAATACAATCAGTAATATCGATTTTTATTTGAAAATCACTGAGTTCTCAAGGACTCAACCCAATTCTGATTCCAGTCTTCTCGTTTGGGCTCTGGCTTCTTCACGGGCTGATGATTCTTGTAATCCTCGTATTGGACTGTTGTGTCCAGGTTGAAGGCCGGCCTTTGCTTCAGTTTAGCTATAATTAAAAGGGTGATTTGTCAAGTCATTCCAAGGCTTACAAGAGGTAGTTTCCATATAGAGTCGGGTTCCTTGATGGCTATCTCCAATTGTCATATGCTCTGACTTATTTCGCTGACTTCCACGTTTTCTGGTAAGGGATTTACGATCTTTCTGAAGATGTGGATAACACAATGAAAAACGCTGTAAACTTACGGAGATTGTCTTGGAAGAGCTACTACTCATTTCTGAATCCGTCAAGTCGTTGGAGTTGGAATGTTGTGAAATGTCTTGTTTTCGGATGCTTTGAGTGGCCCTTGGCCGTTGTCCCGGACTACAATAATATCCCGAGTTTTGTTTCTGCAGATGCACTGGAGAACAAAAGAATATCCGAATCCCCCGAATACGATAATGATCGTGTTTATAGTGGCGGTAAAGGCATCTCTCAACAGGTGTTTATTGAACCCGCAATTACGGGCACAGAGCGCGGATTTGGCCGGGATTTGGTGGTCGTGGCCGGCGGTTTCTTTTCCAGTTTTTTTTGGATCTTCTCCTTGTTCATCGATCTCTTAATTGGCGGTCTTGGCGGTCGATGTTTATACTCAAGAGTGCTCCAAAACAAGACCAAGAGACTTGGCCACAATCCCGAGCCAGATAAAGGGTCATAAATCACTCGGACACACAATTAATTAGGCCCCATATCAACAACCAGAAGGTTTATCACTTGTCTTTCGAGATATATGACCTGCAGAAGAAGAAAAGGTGTTGGGCCTATGACTTTAAATTAGGCATGTTCTAGATGGAGATTACAGGAGAGTCTTGTATAGCGGTGTTATCATCAGACGCTCTCGTTCCTTTCATGAGGGATGTTTGTGCAAGGGATTAGGGAAATAAGATCATTTTTTGCACACTCTCGTCAACTCCTCGACTCTCACTTATCATCGAATTATTGGTCAGAGACCTAGCCTCAGGTCCCGACACTTGTTTTGCGAGGCATTTCGCACCTTGACTAATGACCCGACTTCCTTTGTTCTGACATGTTGCTCTTATGCCCAGAGGGCCAATCTTTTGAGTGATCCCATTTTAATCGTTTCCTCTTTTTCTCTGCCGTCTCTTCGCTCGTCTTTTCTTTCTGTGCTCTCTCTGTCAGTGATAATTCAGTCGAAAAGTAAAATTTCCACAATATTTTCTCGTCTTTTTCTTTCCGGCGAAAATTGGAGTGCGAATGATTTACGACTGATCGCACCGTGCAATGCAGAGAGTTTAATATTAGATATTTCATAAAGCGCCTACTCCACTTGCACCGCGCAATTTGTCTTTGTCTGCTTCTGTTCCAAAAAAGACAGCGATTATCAGTTAACGAGTCCTTTTTCGAAAGGGGCTGACTCTCGGGCTGACGACGTGACCGTCAAGAACGAAGGTGGGCAGTCACGATGTCCTATTATTACAGCAACAAGATGTTTGTACAAGATTCCTGAAACAAACAAGTCCGCCACCGTATCCCTGATATTATACTTGGCATTGGAATCGAAGAAAGGGGCATGTTTGAGGAGGAAATTAAACCAAGACCTCAGGAAAAGTACTCGTCAGATCTCATTTCCCCTCCGGCTACAGTAGGCCCCCATCTCGAGTGGCCGAGACATCGATATTGCCTTTGATCTGCACAAACATTCTGATTACTCGACTAAAACCTCTTCGAATTTCTGTTTCCTCAGGTACTCGAGAACCAAGTCGAGATCCGCCGCCACTCATGTAATCGAGTTTATTCTAATGTTATACTTAAAATACGATTAATATAATTAATGGGACACAAAGCTCTGGACAAAAGAGAGAGAGAGAGAACAGAAAAGAAAAAAGAAAGAAACCTCGGGAACTTCGAATAATTAGAATCTGCGACCTGGGCTGGAGCCATGACCTTGTGCATGACAAAGAAGAGACCTAGATAAGAATAATATAGACAATATCATCTTCAATCACACCATGTTCATGTCTCCTGAGTTGATGGATGTGCCGACGATCAGACCGGAAGCTCAGGCGCACCTGCAAACAAAAGGGTTGATCAATAATGCCTGAGGGGTTTACAAGTCCTGAATGCAACTTTTTTGTGATCTTAACACAACTCCAATGTCGGGGTGATTAATAAGCACCCGACCGCGCGACGCCACTTAATTGCTCGAAAATTGTTCGACGTGATATAAGTTTAGTTTGGTTGGGGGTATTATTATATTTATTATACATCGTCGTCTTTTTTTCTCTCTCCGGCGCCAAATTTATGACGGCTGTTAATGTGACATGACAATGTTTTGAGAGCGGATTCTGGGGTGACATCGACGACGGAAGCGAAGGACGCTTCACCCACATCTCTTGTCATCACATTACACACCGTTATCTTGTCACTACATTCGACATTGCATTAGACACAACATCTATCATCCACAAGGGAACCAGAGATACTAACAAGTTCTTTCCCGTTTTGAAACTTGATTTATGTGTTACAGTAACCGCGAAAAGGAAAGATTGACCCTACATGCCCTGAGGGTCCACATTCCAAAAAAAGTATATTACTCTTAAGTGTCGAGTCTTGTTGCGCTTTCTCTTATCGACCCAGAAAATCCAATCAACGCTTAAAAAACATCTTGTCAACGAAACTAGGACACTAATCCCCTGCAGTGATAATAAAAAGTGGGAAACTACAATTATCCCCGACTGATAAGAGGACCTTCTTCTCCTTCCTTACCTGTCACCGAATTCTCCTCGGACTCCGCTTTACAGTCCGGCCCGGCAAATGGACTACCCGCCTCGGTTTCGGGGGACGAAGAGGAGCTGCATCTGGCCTCGGGGTTCTTGACTGTCTCCTCCTTCGTATCCACATTCTCTCCATGACTTGATTGGGGTTGAGGTTGTTGCATCATATTCTGGAAGAGTTGCATCGGGTTGGCGAACTTGGAAGGCGATGAATTCATTCGCCCGAGTTGAGAGAGTTGTTGGGCCGCGAGGAAGGATTGCATCGGATGCATCTGTCCCATCCTCATCTGCTGCTGTTGTAGTTGGGCGAACATGGCCATCATCTGAGGGTTGAGTTGGGACATGGCCAACAGTTGAGGATTCATTTGACTGGGGCCGAGGAAGGGTAGTCCCGAGAAAGCAGTCTGCCCTGAGGGTTGCGAGACGTTCGGATTGAGTTGCGGGGGATTGGCATCAGAACTGCTGGAGGAGCTCGGCGGACTGGCTGTTCGTATGGATTTCCGGTCATCGGGGGAACTGTGGGTAGAGGTCTGGGTCTGGCTGAGGGTTTCGGTAATCGACCAAATCTTCCGTTTGGGGGTGTTAATGCCATTTTCTTTCTTGATCTCGTCCATACTGTTGGCTGAGGTATCTTGTTTCGATTCGTCCGAATTCACACTTCCGCTGGGGGAGTGGGGTTCGTGGACAAAGCTCGAGTCCTGATTGTCTTGTCCATCTTCGTCGTCGGGTCGGCCATTTCGTGGCGACCAGGACTGTTTTCCTTCCTTTTTAAGGCGCCTGCGGGCATTTGCGAACCATGTGGACACCTGGAATTAAGGGATGGATAAGATGGGATCAGGTGTTGCGGAGATAGATGGGTTTTGTGTGCGCATGGGATAGATATATAGATATTATTGTTGACACTTGCGTAGTCTAATCGCTCGCTTAACCCCCTCAACTGATCCACTTTGTATGAAAACAGAGCGAGGTCGAGGCGCCGTTAATCCCCTTACCCTCCCCTCGTATACAGTACCCGTGTCTTTGTCAATGTTTCTGTGAAAAGGAAGAAATCCAAGTTAATTAGACTTATGAAAGAGTAATGAGAAGAATAAACTCGATTATGGATCGTAAAGAATGCGCGTCGAATACGATGAAACGTACAATTACCGGACGACGCGACAACCAGGGAAAGAAAGAATGCACTCTCCGAGCACTTATTGGTTTGAGTTATAAATCACATAACCCCCGCAATTAAAATACGGTAGGGCTTACCTGAGTCATGGTCATTCCCGTCATCATGGTTAACATCATTTTGTCGCCTTTGTTGGGATAGGGATTCGTCCGATGGGCATTCAGCCATTGCTTCAGGGGTTTGGTCGCTTCTCTGGTCGCGTTTTTCCTTCGACTAGGGTCCATCATATGGTACGAATTGAAGGGAAAGGGAGCCGCAAATGCACCATGTCTCATGGCTTCTGTCAATTCCTGAAAAACCATTGGATAGTTACTCAAAAAAACAATTCGGAAGTCATCATCTACTGTAAATGGGCTTAAAGTTTCGTTTCTTACCAGATTGGGGTAGATGCCGAAGGGAAAGCCGGCAGTTTGGGCATTATGGGCGGCCAATAAGGCCCTGAAAGCAGGATTATCGGGATTGGCCGCGGCCGGGGCTAGTGGATGCTGGGAAGGCGTGGGGGTCGTGGAGGATGGAAGCAGCTGATTCATGACTCCAGAATTGTTCAAGATCTCGCTCATCGCACTCAGCACGTTCTCATCCATGAAGGCCGGCTTCTCCACTTCTGCGGACGCCGTTTGTCCCGCGAAAGCCGAGAGTTGTTGCTGGAACGCGCGCAGTTTCTCGGCCGCACTCTCTTCCGAAGCCATCGCTGACGCTGATACGGAGTGCGGGAGCTGGAAAGCCAATGTCATTGGAAGATTTGCAAGTGAATGGGAAGGTAGTAGCACATAAAACGCGAGACTGCCACCTCTACTTGTGCACACGCGTTTGCATAAAAGAACGATTGAATATTAAGAAGACGGGGACCATGGATATGCAAAACAGAGGACCGACAAATGCAATAAAGGCGGTAATCAGGACACCCTTTTCTCCCCTCGCGGACATATCATCCCACCACCACGACACTTCACAAGCGAGATCTTTACCGCAGGCCCCAGTCCGTGGCTCTTTATTGCGCGATGGCCCGTGGAATGCCACTTGATATGCCCGCTCCTTTGGCGGGCGCTGTTCGAAAAAGCGACGCCCCAGCTTCGAACACGAATGCCCACCTTGTTCTACATGATGTGCGCGGATCTGATAAGGAAAAGATAATCCTGACGTCGGGGTTCATCGACGAAGCAATTCATTTGATTCCATTTCAAATAACTTAATCGACAAACCTTATCGCCGGGAAAATAAGCGAAACAAACCACGCAACTAATATGATTTGATCGTCATAAAAAGCAGAAGATGGAGCTTTTCTCATTGTTTTTACAACGACACAAACGAGACGTCAACGAAGACGGGAAAGACGCAAAGAATGATTGAACCACTAAGAGAAGACTTCTCTTGTCCAATGACAACTTCCACGATGCGCGAATGGACTCAAATCACAGCACGGTGGGGGCAGGTGCGATCATCAGATGACATGTGTCAGAGCGACACCACTTGTTGGAGGAAGGGAAAATGGAAAAAGGACAGCGGGATACCCGAATTTCGAAGGATCTAATCGAGAATTGACTTGTTCGAACATGCCCCGAGACATCTCTCCTTTCATGCTGTGATTTACTGTACGCACAAACACTGCTGCCCTACATAACTCACATTCAGAGATTACGAAATTTGGTTCATTCAAAAGTAAATTAAGGAATGCCCAATATTTAGAACAGATCAAAGTAAAACATGTAAGATGGCATACGGTATAAAACACAATAAACGCCCGCCTTTACAACAACATGAACAACATAAATTGATGTAAGAGACGAGGAGGAGGCAGATACTAAGGTACAAAAGCGACACTGTTTCATAAAATTAAAACAGATTGAGAAGGCGGGCAGAACACGAGTTCTTCTCATCACAACCGGTGCGAAATTTGTGTTAAATCACTTAACTCCGCCCCTTGTTTCATTTAGGAAAGGGAGAGCGCTGATTGGCTGCGCGGGGCGAGGGGGGATGGGGCGCGAGGGGAGCTAAGATGCAGAAAAGATTAGTTATAACGACCATCGACATGATCTGGGACCGTGTCGGACAACACACGCCTTTAATCATTTCGAGTTTTTGCAGTTAACTCGATTAAAAAAAAGAGGGCGGAGTCTGCGGCGAGGATTGGCTGAGAAGTTTCGGCTGCGGCCAAGGTTGTTTTGGCGGCCGAAATGGATCCTGTTCAACTCGAATAATGACTCCCTCCCAGGCTCTCGCACAAAAACAAGCCGAAAACCACATTCCTCGGCCCCGAATAACATGGCCGCAGTTGGTTTTATAGGCCACAAGGAAGCGGCCAACCATTCGCCCTGTGGTTAAAAAAGGCCCGATTACGGTGTTGGGGCCTCCGAAAACATTGGGCGAGCAACAGTGGCCCTGGAAGAGATCGATTCTGGGAGTCGTGTTCTGTTCTGACAACCAGCCCCATCCCCGTTGGTTTGTTCAGCCTCCATCGCCCAATTCAACGCTGTCATAACGTGTAAATGAGGTCGCAGGGAGAAAGGGAGGAATTATAATAAAGAGACCGACTGCCTCTTCGTGTAACTCCAATCCACAAACCCATCACACGCGACTACAGTAGGAAAATTGGGGCAGATCAGGGGTTTTATGTTTACATCATGTCCAACAAAATGAACACAAAAAGTTTAAAAAAAAAGAAAAATAAGAAAATACGATATAATGTAGACGGCAAAAAATAAATGGAGGATTAAGAAATGAAAAAATAAATGGAAGATTAAACAGTGGTAAAAAGTAAAGTCATCCAATTTATTAGAACAAAGACAGTAAATGGATACTGTAGCTGATAGTTTAACCAATTATGAGAAGAAAGAGTTCCCAGAACCACTTGTACCTTGTCCAAGACAATATTTACGATCCTGTCGCCGAAGATCAATGCTAGGCCATTCCCACACATAAAACCCTTTTAGGGAGGGGTGGGCGGGCACGGAAGCCTCGAAATCCCCAATAAACCTATAAAAGCGGGCCTGAGAAACGGTAATGTAAAGTGTTATATCGAATGACAGAGTCATTCTCGAGTGATATTAAATGCAAACAAAGGCCGGTTTAGTGCTCAAAAGGGCCGGGCCAGGCTAATCTCAACCACAAACTGGGGAAACTCATGCATCTGAAGTACCAGTCATCAGAATTCAAGACTGTAGAGGCATCGGATTACTTGTTTGCGCGCGGGAAATGGCCTGCGGGGATGGCTGAGAACAATCATGAATGGCTGGGAATCTCTCGAGAAATGGAGTGCTGTCCCGAGTTATCCACACCCAAATTAAGTACGACATTAGGCATTCGGAAGGCCTCGGATTCACACCCAGAAGCAGCTATTTAGACATCGAACAAAGGCCCTACGGTAAGGGCGACAATCCATCATAATGTTTGAGTAGCCGGCGCACAATCCCGCAGTCTGTAATTCTCACGGGCCTCGGGCATTCAAACCGTTTAACGCCTAACAGATTGAATTCAATTCTGCCACTCTTATCTAGATTATTGTGTCGATATGCTCCAAGATGATGTCCAAGCCGATGCTCTCCCCTCATTTCGCATTCAAGTGGCCATAAATGACACAAGATGTCAGTCAGTAAATAAGGCATAATATTATGAATAGACATGTATAAAATAATGCTCGGATGTGTGGAATGCGCGGCTCTCTTTGTCGCCAAACACTTCCGCTCTCTGCACACACGTCAATCTAATTTATTGATGACAGAAATCAGGTAACTGAGATTGTTGCGCGGCTTTTCCAAAGAGAAAACCACCTGGCCATAATAATATAAATAAAGGGATGTCTGGCGTCTCTCCGAACCGTGCTCTCTCTCAATTATCGCCTGCCTTTTCGGGTTATGATCGCTTTAAAGACGAGGCCAGTTCTCGAGAGGATCAAGTCGAGAAAGGAATTAGAGCCCCGACAAAAGCCTGTTTGCCCATAATCGACTCTATATATTACCCTTTCTTCTGTGATTCGGGTCGCAGTTTGTTTGTCTAGAATTAACGCGCGAATCACTTAATGTTACAGTAGACCAGGGTCTTGGAAGAAGTCTTAAGGGGAGGCTTGTCGCTGATAATGGACAGTGAGAAGAGACACGGCCTGAGAGAATGGGGTAAATAGATCCCCCAAGTCTGAAATTGAATCCCGCATCTATGCAAAACACGTAAATGGCGGTAATTAAAGCCAGGAACATGGATCCGCAGGGATATGAAGAAGATGCCAGCGGCTATTTGTGTGATACCGAGCAGCTGGCACCCCCAGAAGCGGCGTCGGGGCCGTAATGACCGGAGAGGAAATTAAAAAACGTTTTGAGCGTGTTTGTTCATGGTTTAACCAAACAGAATATGTGTAAGGACATAGCTAATTAAGACATTACACTGGATTCTAACGAAATGGCCAAGATCAGAGAAGCTAGAAGCCGCAGTCCAAAGTGGATGCACGACCCGTTAATCACCCAAAAAACTACTCGAAGGAATTATAATTTTAGTGCGACCCATCAAAAAAAAGAGGAATATTGGCATGCAAATTGAATAGATTCCAAGATTTATGAGCCAGCCGCAAAGGGAGACGGTACCTGCCTTCAGAATTTCCCTCTCCTCTCGATTCAACTTTTTTGAAAAGACGCGGCGGGAAGTGGAGACACAAAAGAGATGAGGTCACAGCCCTTGGAGACCACCGCTTCTACCTTGTAATGAACGCCGATGACAATTGGGAGATGACATTCTGGGAATCTGTTCGTGAAATTACACATGACCGTATTCTCTAATCGACTTAGGAGATGAATGACCCCCAGGTGTGCCCCCGTAATTGCCCCACAAAAAGATCCATCTGCCCGACACATCCTCGATTACATAACCCCGGAGATCAATGACGGATTAGAGTGCGTATAAACTGACTTATTGTTTACCATCGATAATATAAACACACATGTTTCTGGAGTGGCTAAACTCCTCGATGAAGGGGTCAAGATGCTGATCGGGTACAAAAACAGACGCTTACTGTAATCTGGGAAAGAATAAAACCACGAAATAAGGGGACTAATCGAGGAGCGGCCGAATCCAAATCCAATTTGAATAAAGTCGCCGCCCGACCCGTGATTTATCTTCTCACACCTTCCTGTGCGTTGTAACCTCGCACCAACTGTGCCGGTAGTGTAAAGACAATTAGAGGCGGGGGGAAAGAGGGGTGTTAAGAATGTCTTACAATGTCCGGATCGAATGGCCCGGCCCGGATCAGGCTGACAGATGACAGGTGTCAGATATTAACACCCGGTTCGAGTAGCCCGGCGCCCGCTCATATCACATATTAATCATGACTGGTTGTCGACATACTGTAATCCGATCCTCAATCCCAAAATTAACTTGTAAACGGGTAATTAAGAGGCAAAAACAAAGTTTTTGTGAGAAGTGATTGGGAAAGATTAATTGCGTGTTATCTCCAAGAACAAGTCGTTACTCTTTAGGACCTATTAAACGGACAAGTTGGAGGGAATAATTGTTTTGACAGTAGTGTTCGTATCTAACAACCGAGGCCCTTCATTCGGATTACAGTACGCTTGGATGCCTGCAAATCGGATTATTCAAAACATGGCCGGCTAATATGTCAGTTATTAAACAGCTGCCCCGTGTGAAACTGATGTCAATCAGACGGGGAACGCTTCATAAACATTTGTTTGGGGCCTTGGCCCAAGGTGTCAAGGCCTGCCACTTGCGCGTGCGATGATGGATCGGCTCTCCGATCAGGGAGGCTGATCCAGATCATTAGTGGAATTGGCTGTTATTACAACATATGCGGATGGAAGCCACACTAAAAGTTGGAAAGGGGAGTCATTATGCCTCAAAATATGCTGTATCAATTAAAAAATTTTGCTTATGAAATGACTCCTTATAAATTTTCAATCTACGGTATCATGTTTAATGCAATGTCCGATTACAGGCGGAAGTCATCTTTTATCCCCGGGAACGACTTGATCTCATGCGACAGGCCCGAGACTCGCCCTTTGAGAGCTCGCCGCCCTCACCTTGCGCAATGTTCGTATCTTCGGCACACTTCTTCACACCCTCGCTCAGTCCTCCACTATCACCGGCACCATCAAAAAGAGCCATCAAATGAAATTCTCGCGAGATCATGACATTAATGTAATTAAAAAGGCTCTCTCGGACATTAATATGATCTGTTTGATAGTTACGTAATCGTGGCATGAGACCAGGTGCGACCAGAGAAGAATATCCTCGGATTGGAGGGCCCAAAAACGAATGATAACACCTGATGTCCTCCACAATATCTTCTGCCAATAATCTGATCCTATTCTACAATCTAACCCCTCAAAAGCCCATGCAATCTTATTTATCCCTTTTTTGTTTATGTTGACCTGCCCCGAGGCGTTATTCGAGATGTCCTTCATTCGAATTGGAAGTGCAAATTGGATACGGTAATCGAAAGGACATTCGTTTCGCGCGTTGCATGGTTATCAGCGATCGGAATCGCGGATCGAACCTCTCCAATTCTGGCTCCAGATGGCCTTCCAGTAATCAGTGCGCCAAATCAGAGTCCCGCGAGAGTTCCGAACGGCCTTCCTGCCCTTCCCCAACCTCAATTCCCGTTACCTGGAGGCCAGAAGAAATAAATATTATCCCACACACCTGTCTGCAGCCGATCGCGCGCAGATAAGAGGCCATCAATCAGGTACCCCCGATTCCACAAATGTCCCCACAAATGGGATGAGGAAGGTCGGGGGACGTTGTAAACAAGATTGGAACGATAACCATTCAAAATACAGTAGACAGCGCAATATTGCACAAGTTGGGCTGGCCCATAACTTTGGAAGAAATAAAAATTTGCAAACATTTCAGGGAAAACAAAGCCTCCTGAACAGAAAAGAGAAGATTCCCACACTTACAATCACCTACAAGTGTCTACAAGACCCTCGAAGAGATTATCGGCCTGCTCTTGTTGAAATAAATGAGATAAGCCACTTCCAGACCCTTTAAATGTAAATGAAGAATCCCCCGAGGGCATGGCCAAGATGCTAAGCATCAGAAGCCACTTGACCTGTCATGTCTCTTCCAATCCAGAATTTGGTTTTTGTTCGGTTTTCGGATTACATAAACAAAAGGAAGTTCTCGAAAGGGGATACTGTAACAAAAAATACAGAATTTGGAAAAGTAATCAGACGGAAGTAAGGGTTACATCAGCTATCAGAAGTGAGGCTAAAGACGAAAAAACGGGCCGATCTGAGTGTCGGGTCTTTAACGACTCATAAAAACAACTTTCGCACCCACTTGGGCGATAATAAATATGAACAAGGGAATGAAAACCGCGCCATCTCCCTTTCTCACCTGGGCCAAGCGAGATTTTTTGAATTTTTTTGGAACAAAATTACACTAGGACAGATGGATGGTCGTTAGAATGATGTTGGCCAATGATTTGGCCACTTCTATTTCGCTAAAATGACCGGTCTTATGGCCACAATCCCCACATCTGACAAAGTGCGCGCAAAACACACGTGGTCAGAATGTGGAGAGGAATCGAGAGTGGATTAGATCAAGATGTTTATGGACAGACAATGAAGCACCCGATGTTTCTGAATGTGAGATAAAAGAGGGCGAGAGAACAGGGCGAAGGGAGCGGGAGCAGACCGACATGAACATACGGTAGTGAGGCATAAAACATCACACATATTGGAATTAGCTTCGTCCTCAAAATCGCATAAAAAGAGATCGAAATGGGAGAGAAGGGCAATGTCAACATATTGAATAACATGTTGAACACACAGAGCGCGTACGGTAGATTAAGACGTCTTAAAAGGAAATGGGCCCGACATTCTGAAGTCAATTCGAGAATCAAACAATCGCCCAAATCCACCTAATCCCTCATGAAGAAGCGTTTAAAAAGGGAAACGCCGCTCAAACAAGAGGCCAAAGGCCCACTCCCTTTCTGGGTTTGTACTCGAGGATTCGACCGTCACAGGCAACTTACAAAGATAAGCAGGCAAGTTTACACAGTAATAATCTCTGCACGAATCCCCGAAGACAGTCATCCAAAAGCATATTCTCGGACAAGGTGTCCTATAATTAGAGTGCGGGGTTTCGCGCATTCCCCGTCCTTTTTCAATATGGATCCGAACCCCGGATCCATTTTCGGGCCGGCCAACGCCTTTGATGACATTGATTTGGCGCATTCAACTTCGAGTAATGAGTAATTAGTGTACATTTCATTTATTTTTTACGGAGTTATTAAAATAAAATATACCGGCATTGCACAAAGGGATTATGTTGAACAGGATTTACATTGTTTTAGGGTTCTTTGGAGGGGGAAATTGGATGAGGAGGATCGGTGGAGGAGGCCACCGAAGAACGACCCGAGTTCGCCGAACAAGTGCTGCTGTTAACGTGCATTGCCTCGGGCGATTCCATGTTTTCGTACAGATTGAATCTAAACAAGTCATCATCATTTGATTGGGCTAAAACATTCGTGTTCGGACCCACTCTCAAAAAAAACTTTTCCGACCTGATGTGAGTCCGGACTGCATACAGACTTAATTTAAAAGACACTTCGCGAGTTGCTGAAGCAGGCTCAAATGGGGGTCTGCCCTAGAATTTGACCCCCACTTTTTTCTGTCTCAACTGATTACATATAGGCTGTTAAACAACTTGGTGAATTTTTTTCAAAAAATTCGTCATCATGACCGAGATATGACATATTTATTGAATTTCGTTTAATGTGATATATTGTGCTAATTTATCGCCGAAACATCTCAGAATTGAGTAAACTTCCGTTATAGGCCATGCTGAACAACTTTGTAATTGACCCCAAGTTTGTCAGGTTACTGTAACATACCGTAACTCCCATGCTCAATCAATAAATCTCGATTTTCTCGATTTTTTTCAATAATTTTCTCGGAATTTTTTTGCATTTTTGGAATCAGCATCAAATTCTGCATCGGATAGACTATATGCGCATCTCCAGATAGGTGTACAAAAATGTCGTGGCGCAACCGGTAGTGGGTCGGACTACCATTCAAAAGGTCCCGGGTTCGAGTCCGGGTGGAAGCATAAATGCTCAAACGCGCTGCAAATTGTCCCAAAACAGTTAGAATCTATTGGAACTGTGGTAAAAATAAATAATAATTAACACTCTTCCTTAAAAAGGCTAAATTTTGGATTTTACGAAATTTTTGAAAATCATGATTTTTGTGGGCCCAAATCTGCTGAACAAATGAAAATTTTTTGTAAGCGATTTTTTTGTTTAGAAACAACGCAGGCACACAGAAAGACTATTCCTCAAAGGTTTTCGTTCAATTTTGCCCAAGACACCAAAAAATTTTCGTATTTTGCCATTTGACAAAAAGTTGAGATAATGATTTTCAGGCGTCCTTACGCGGAAACGTTTCCGATTTGTCTAGAGCAGTTTTTTGCGCTGCCTTCAAATATCTTTCTAACAGCCGCGAAAATTTTCCACAAAAAATTTTACATTAAAAAATTGGTAGATATTCACATATTTCATGATGTTACAGTGTTCAATCTTGTAAAATTTGCTAAAAATGCGACTCCCCATAGTGGAAAACATGTGTATCCACGTTTGAATGACGTTACTTCGGCTTAGAGGGTTCTGGCGGTGCTCGCCGATTAAAACAAAAAAGTTCAGCTTTTTGGTGTTTTGGGCAAAATTGAACGAAATCCTTTGAGGAATAGTCTTTCTGTGTGCCCTGCGTTGTTTCTAAACAAAAAAATCGCTTACAAAAAATTTTCATTTGTTCAGCAGATTTGGGCCCACAAAAATCATGATTTTCAAAAATTTCGTAAAATCCAAAATTTAGCCTTTTTAAGGAAGAGTGTTAATTATTATTTATTTTTACCACAGTTCCAATAGATTCTAACTGTTTTGGGACAATTTGCAGCGTGTTTGAGCATTTATGCTTCCACCCGGACTCGAACCCGGGACCTTTTGAATGGTAGTCCGACCCACTACCGGTTGCGCCACGACATTTTTGTACACCTATCTGGAGATGCGCATATAGTCTATCCGATGCAGAATTTGATGCTGATTCCAAAAATGCAAAAAAATTCCGAGAAAATTATTGAAAAAAATCGAGAAAATCGAGATTTATTGATTGAGCATGGGAGCTACGGTATGTTACAGTAACCTGACAAACTTCGGGTCAATTACAAAGTTGTTCAGCATGGCCTATAACGGATGTATACTCAGTTTTGAGATGTTTCGGCATTAAATTAGCACAATATATCACATTAAACGAAATTCAAAAAATGCGTCATATCTCGGTCATGATGACGAATTTTTCGAAAAAAATTCACCAAGTTGTTTAACAGCCTATATGTCATCAGTTGAGACAGAAAAAAGTGGGGGTCAAATTCTAGGGCAGACCCTCCTTCCACAACTGGCGAAGTCTCTTTTAAATATATTTTCGTGATGTTAGACACTAAAACCATCTTTTCAATTTTAACCTGCAGCTTGCCAAAAAATAAAAAATTGTTTCTTTCACAGTGAACACGGATGTTTTTTCAAGTTTGTAATTAATCATCCAGATTATACTCAAGACATGACTATTAAAAGTATTCCTTACGTGGATCCATCCTCGCCTTCGATGGTGACGTCATTCTCATCGTCACTATCGGGATCAGGAGAGATAAAGACCACTTCGAATTCAAGTTCTCGGTTTTCCATCATCTGGAATGACCCATCTACATCACAAATATTACCTTCGCTTACCTGTTTGGAGAGAATTTGGACGGCTTCATTGTGTTTGACGGAACGGAGGTTGATTCCGTTGACGGACAAGATGGTATCACCCACATACATCTTGCCACAACGCTCGGCTGGTTGTCCTGGATGGATTTCCGAGATCAAAATCGGCACTCCATGTTCTCGGCCACCCTGCATGAGGCAATTAATAAGTAATTAAAATCAATATTAGTATCAACAATAAAAATTCCTACCGTAATGGATATCCCCAGGCCTTCCGTGGGCTCCTTGACCAGCTTGACCACTCTCATTTTACCCGAATTCTTATTTAATTTGTTTTTGAGCTGCGTTGGGCCTTCCGTTGAATGGGAAGTGCTGTTCCGAAGTCGTCCTCTGCAAGCTCTGATCACAGTTTTATGTCGGTGCAGGTGGATCTCAGCTTCGAGTTGATTCCAGAGCCGATCATGCTCAGCTCCTCTCATGTCTCGACCCAATAACTGTATTTGTTGTATTCTAAACAGCTCTTCTTCGTCTAATTTATACTCAACTTACCTTCCGGCGAGTTCTTTATCCAGATATTTAGCTGCCAGTCTAGCTGCGTATACCTCGCTTTGCATGGATCCCAACATCTGCCGGAGTTTGTGGTTCTCCTTGGTCAGAATCTCGACCTGAGCTTCGGCCTTCGCGGCTGGGATTTGCTGATTTCGTAAATGTTGGATCTCTTGGTCCTAAAATACGATAAAACTGAGGAGAAAATCACTTACGATCTTCTTGCGTAACATGTCCGATTCATGCGGAGCTGTTCGAGAATAAAGTTGACATTGGAGGGAATGGATCTGAAGAGTCAGATCGCGGGATTCTCGCTCGGCGACCGTACACAAAGCATTTACACCTGCCAACATGTCACGATACTCCTCGACTTGGTCCTGAAAGTGTAAAAAAGGTGACGATTGCGCAATTATTACATAGCTCGGCAACTTGAGATCGAAGTGACGATTGCATCACTTTGAATCTGTTAATCTTAACCAAAACAATCTCACAAAATCCGGACGTCCACTTCATTTCACTTACCGTCAGTCTGTTATTCTTGTGCGCCAAAGTTTGGCATTTGCAGACCATCTGGGCAAAACAAGAGCTGATTGCGGTCATCTTCTGTCTGCATTCGTAGGCAATGTCGGCCTGATCGGCGTCGATTTCCCCCAACGTCAGATCCATCTCCACAAAAGCCTTATCGAAATCCTTTTCCAGATCCTCCAACCACCTCAGCTGGGTGGTCTTGGGCGGGTTATCTGGATTCTGAACCGAATTTGAGGTCTGGGCCATCCTGGAAAGAATGAGAATAGGCATTTAAAGAAGTGGCCCATCATCCAAACCCTGAGGTAACGCGGCCCATCCTCGAGAATCCCAAAACAAAAGCTCTCCCGGAGATTTGGAGAGGGTTTGTGTGAAAAACGGCGAAGAAGAAGATGTCGCCGCAAGTCGACGGAACACAAGTGGGGCGCCAACACGGCGCAGCAAGATCTAAGGAGGTCAACTTCCCCAGCGGCAATCACCTCAATTTAGCTAACCATTACTACTGACATACTGCAAGCAGAAACAAAGAAAGAGTCAACAACATCATGAATATAAAAAAATATTGTGGCGCAACGTCGGCCATAACAGTATCAATAAAACTCAGGTCGTAAAAGTACTTCCACGGTTCCGCATGCTCGGCTAGCTCTGAAATTGATGGAAACGACAAGCCTTTTGTCATGTTGGCAACCGGAAATTTACATAAACCGCGGAAAACGGAGAAAAAATATTATTTCGGTCGGGAAACGAGTGAACAAAGACATTCCTTTAATGGAATTAGTGGCCAGAAGGGGTCAGCAGTCTTCAAGACCCGACTACATCCATCACCCGCCCGTCCTCCTGTTGATTCTGGGATTAGACGCGTCATTGGAAGATTACGAATCAAACTAAGGTCACTTATAACAATTCCGGGACACATCCCAACAGTCGACCATTAACTTGGCCGCCGTTCCCTAGCCGTAACTTCGCGGTCATAAAAGTTGAATCACGCATTTTAATACCCATTCCCCAACATCTAATTTAATTCCCGATGGGCTGATTCCTGAGAATAGCCCCGACCCAAACATCAACCGGCCCCTCATCAAGCAGCTCGGGGGTCCGAGTTAAGCCCGGGGTAGAAGACAATTCCCATTGATGAGGCGAATATTGGCTTCGAATCCCCAATCTCGGGAAGGCCCATAAAAGCGGGCTTCGTCCCGAATCAGATGCCCGAAAACAAGGAAAGCGGATCCCAAATCCATTTCTTAACAAATCTGGAACAATTGGAGCCCTGAGGGCCTGACAAGAGCGGGTTCAAAGGCATTCGGGGGGTGCGAAACTGGCCGAAAAGGAGATGCTCAAATCCCTGAGGATTGGGATGCAAAATGGAAGTAACGTGCTGTCGCCTTTGAAGAGATTGTTTAAAGGGGGACTCATAGATTTTATTGTTTATTCCAGTTCGTTCTTCGGAAGACCAACAGCAACAAATCCGTGTCAGAAGACGTGGAGAAGGAAGAAGAGAAAGAACTTCGTCATGGGCAAAAACGACAACAAGACCACCTCAAAGGACAATTATTAGGTCATCCAGACTCGAGCACAATGAGGGACATCAGATCAACAAAAATAATTTGGCCATCACTTTCACAGCAAACATGAGCAACACCCAAAAGGAAAGAGCGGAGGGAAAATACGTGGCTGTTCCCTCGATCAAACACTCCCGATGGTATTATTTATGAAAGGAGAAGATCATCATGATGTCTCTTCATATTCCCCGACTATGGACAGACTACAACCCGATCGTGAGATACTACTAACAAGAAAGACTCGGTATTCAGTTATGTTGAGATTGATTCGAACCAAATCGGCCCATCACTTTATCAGAGATCTCATTGATTTCGGTGGAGACTTTGGAAGAAAACTCCTGATATTCCCTCTTCAGATGGTCTATCACCCATTCGATTCCATTTCGCCCCTAAAAAATTCAAATTATTTGAAATTTTTGGAGATGTGATGGAAAAAGTCTCTCGTGATCCTTATGACTCATGGAATTGAGCGAACTGCTAGCTCTTACATCATAAAGTTCGATAAGAAACACTATTGAATTCCTTCAGAAAACACTCAGAAAAGCCGCTCTTCGTTTTCTAAACTATACCTTACTTACTTTTAGGGCATTTGTTTGATACACATTCAAGAACGCTTTTTCACAATAATCTGTAAAGGCAGGGAGGTTGACAACGACAGCAGCCTCTTGTTTCAGCAATGTTCTGTATGGATTTGTGGGATCAGGCGTGTATTCCAACCTCTCATCTACTCTGAGAAAGCCGAGGCCATTTAACTAGAAAAAGCAATCATTGAAGATTAAAAAATCCCACATTTCTCGTTGCCAATGTCATTTTCCTCGTCGATGGATCAATTTCAGTATATTCATGCGAATATTGTGTTCCCGAAAATCCCGTCAACTAGAAAAAAATCATTATGTCTTTACCCATTTCGTTACCTTCGTGGCCCAATTTGGGATATGAAAATGACTTTGCATTATCCGCTCGGTCTTTAGGGTTCCATTCTCGACCCTTTGATTAACCACATCAATCGCAGTGACTGCTCGATTAATCGGATTTGGATATTTCCGAAACGCAGCATGTACAACTGTGTCCCAAGGATGCCTCAAAAGAATAGAATATAAGAATGAAGGACTTACTCAAACGTGTGCTCTGATGTCCAAATCTTCATCTTCGACTACACCAGAATTAGCCGCGTAAAGACAGCTCACAAAGTTTTTCTGAAATTTTATATCTAGAAAATGGAACTTCTTCAATGGAAACAACCACTCGAAAACATTCAGACGGGAAAAAGGATACAAACAATAAGAATGAGATCAGCCGAATGACTCTAAAAATCATGTGAAATATAGAGGCATGCGCCTATTGCTGCTATCAACAACCTAATGATCAAGGTCCTAAGAACACTGTTCGGAAAAAAGAGAGAGAAGTGTCTGGAGTTCAAGCAGACGCAATATTACGCTATTTTTTCGAGAGAAAAAATATGCAGGACGTGATGCAGAATGCCAAGAATGGCTTCGTTTCGGGGTTTTGAGAAAATATTTTTTGCTAAAAGTTTGCCAATCGGTTCCAGCCGGCAGTTGGTAGAAAGTTAGGATCTTATTGTTGGCCTTGTTGTCTTCTGACTCTAGTTTTTATTGTTCCAAATTTTATAGCTAAAAATGGGAGAAGTAGCGGAGTTCGAATCAAAATTGAGGAAGGTGAGCTTTAAGATTTCAGAAGAAAGTTTTCTAAACAGCAGAAGACAAATTTTTAATGTTTTGACTTTGTTTTAGGCGTTTCATGAACTTGCTTTGAAGACAAACCAAACAAATGATCAGCTGGAAGAAGTTCGACATTCCAAGAATATCATGGAACAGGTACCTTGAATTTTTTTTGTCATTTTTTAGGCTTAGTGTGCTTTTATAGAAAATATGGTTATGCTTACTTGTTCTTGTATTTTTTCAGAATATAAAAGTTGCCGAAATTGCGAAGGAAGAAGTGCAGAAGTTGGACCCGGAAAGAAGTGTCTACCATTCGATTGGCGGAATATTTGTCTACCGAAAACACCAGGAAGAGATTGATGATCAACAGAAAGACATCGACAGTTACAAAAAACGCATTGAGGAATTAGAAAAACAAAGGGAATATCTCCAAAAGAATTTAACCGATGCTCAGAAAAATCTCCGAGAAATGGTTCAACAAAGCCGAGTGGCAAAGGCCTGATCTCCACCTGAATGCTTGTTTTATTTGTTCGTAATAAAGAATATTACTTCATAAAGTTGCTTTTGAGTCGATTTGTCATGGACTATCAGCCCGAATATTTGATAAACCTGAAAACTTTCGTTTCTGTTTTTTGTGGACGTGGCAGCGATATTTTTTCCTGGTATTCAAACCAGAAAAAAGGTCTTATATTACGATTTTTTCAGGAGGAACATAATGGTGGACGACTCTTCTCCATCGAAACTGGCTTCGTTTAGAGCTCTCTTCCACACGGATATCTCCGGTCCTGATGGAATTAATGTTTACGTTCTCCCCAGGACTGATGCTCATCAAGTATGTTTTTCCTAATATCTGAAACAGGGGCGTGCGTATGCTGACCCTCTGGGAATGGGGCCTTTTCCCCCTGGGTCCCCCGCCCGTACTCTCTCCTGCCCAATTTCACGCCCCTGATCTTCAATGGCTTAATTTTAGAGCGAATACATATGTGATCGAGACAAAAGAGTCCAATTTCTTTCCGGGTTTTCCGGATCCAATGCCTATTCTATAATCACCGAATCTGAAGCTCTTTTATGGACCGATGGAAGATACTTTGATCAAGCCGAGAACGAACTGCTTCCGGGATGGACTCTTATGAAGCAAGGGCAGACAGGGGTCCTTTCTCCCACCGAATGGCTCCTTCAAAATCTTGTGCGAGGATCTAGAGTAGGATTTGATCCACAATTGTTTGGAAAAGGTAAGTCGTCTGCCTTTTATTATTTTTTTAAATTCAGGATCATCGGATGAACTTCTCCAAGTCATAAAAGGAGCTAAGGCCATTCCTGTCAAACTAAATACAAACCTGGTGGATGTCATCTGGGAGAATCGACCGGAGGGTTCGAAAAATCCTTTGATTGTGTTATCTCAATCCGAGCATGGAGAAAGTATTGAATCGAAATTGGAAAGGGTCCGAAGTCAGATGTCAAAGAAGAAATGCGACATTGTTATCGTGTCTGACCTCGCTCAAGTAGCTTGTGAGTGATAAGTTAAAAGACCATTTTTGAGAACTTAGAGCAGCCCTATGAAGCGGTATAGAGTTTAACCTTTAGTCCGTCCGGCAAGTCGCGAGTGAAACTGGCAACACGCATGATGAGAAAACAAAATTTTTCTTTGCTCTGTGCAATGTTTTGCTGTTTGCACCGTGCAAAAGGCTTTTTGGACTGTTGCTCGCACCCTGACGTCATGACGGAATAATGACGTAAAAATAGCACTTTTTTACCTGGGAAATGACCGTAAACCCGAATTTTTCCTAAAAGTTCTATTTTTATTTTACCAACTTTTTTTACCAACACTTCTTGGAGGATGTAGCTTTCTCTTGTTCAGTTCGCTTTTCAAAAAGTGCCGCGGCCAGACGGCCCAAAAACCCACAACACTTATCTCCGATACAGTATTTTAGTATGTTACCGTAACCTGAGGACTTTATTGGAGCATTTAAGTGATGATATTAGATCATAAAACTTGGGATCAAATTCTAGCGCACGCACCGCTGCTTCCGGACCTAGCGTTTTTTTAAGCATCCGTGTGACTAATAATTGTTACATTCTAGGGCTGTTTAACTTGCGAGGAGCTGATATTCCCTTCAATCCTTGTTTCTTCGCTTATGCCTATGTTACCCATGATGATGTCGTTTTATTTGTTGATAAAGAGAAGCTGACTCCTGAAGTTGAGAAGCATCTGGGAGATGTTAAAGTTCATCCATACGAGACAGCATCGGAATGGCTAAAATACTATCACGAAGAGGCCAAGAACTCCATCACTGGTCATAAAGTAAGGTCAAAACATTTGTGAATGAATTGTTTGTAGGTTTGGATTTCCCCAGAACTTAACTACTCTTTGTCTTCGATGATTGACACTGATTTTATTCATGAAGGACCCACCCCAATCTATTCTATGAAGGCGCTCAAGAATGAAACAGAGATGGCGGGAATGAGAGAATCTCATGTAATTGTGTAATTTTACTGTAGATCAACCTCTTTTTTTAGATCCGAGATTCCGCAGCGATAGTCCAATTCCTGGTTTGGCTGAAAAATGAAATAGCCGCAGGGCACGAGGTCAACGAGATCTTGGCTTCCGAAAAAATGGAAGAATTTAGAAGTAAATTGGACAAGTTTGTGTCCCTCAGTTTTGACACCATATCAGCTGTGGGTCCCCATGCCGCATCTCCTCACTATCATATGACCGAAGAGAGTGGGAAGACGACTATCAAGGCAGATCAGGTATATCTGATCGATTCCGGAGGACAATTCAGAGATGGAACTACTGATGTCACGAGAACTGTGATTCACACAGAAACCCCTGATGAACATGTGAAGAAAATGTTTACTCTGGTCTTAAAGGCCCATATTATTTGTGCCAAACAGACGTTCCCCGAGGGCATCGATGGTAAGATTATTTGGAATTATTGTTTAATTCAGATGTTTATTTTAGGTATTCGGTTAGATGGCCTTACAAGAACTCCCCTATGGAGTCAGGGTTATGACTTTGGTCATGGCGTCGGACATGGTGTTGGGCACTTCTCGAATGTCCATGAATATCCACGTAAGTCTTCCTTGGGTTTAACACCTCACTTAATTTTCGTTTAGCTCAGATTGGTTTCCGTCTCCGAATTCCTGAAGCCGGCATCTACAAAGGTCATGTTCTGACTATCGAGCCTGGTTATTATGAGACAGATGCCTTTGGAATTAGGATCGAGAATTGTTATGAGATTGTAGAGGCTACTAATCTGGAATCTGGAGCTAAGAACTTCTTAGCCTTTGCCTCCCTGACTTGGGTTCCAATTCAGAAAACATTGATCAACAAGGATCTTCTGACAACTGAAGAAGTATGTGGATTGAACATTGCAATATAATATTTTTAGTTATCCTGGCTAAACGAGTATCACAACAAATGCCTTGAGATTACGGGTAAATATCTCCAGGAGAAAGGACTCCAGGAGGAATACAATTATCTGGCCGAGGCCTGTACTCCTTTGTGAATTATGTTGACTTTTTTCTAATTCCTAAATCTAAGGTGATAGAAAATTTATAACGAGTAAAATTTTTTTTTTTTGTGCTACTTGAGATCACCTTTTTGGAGAGTATGGCCTCTCTGAAAGCTTTTAAAAGTTGATTTGCCTCGGAGATTGGCCCTTACTCGACATGACTCAGCGTTTTGTGCCGTTTGCAAAAAGTTGGGTATCCTCCTTTATGACGTTTGTGAGATTTCCGTTTTTTTTGCTGACGAGTTGGTATGGCGAATTGATGTTCTATTTGATCGATATAATAGGTCAAGACTTATTACACAAGCGTGTACTTTCCGGTCAACCTGAGGGAACAACTGCTTTTTTATCCTCCATTTTGCGATCAAACGAGGGATGTTTCAGTTGGATCCTGCTTTTTGATAGTAATTTGCGTCCTCCTTTTCAATCCATTCAACTTTGTTGCCTTTACTTTTTACTGTTTCTTTGCCTTTTTTCGGGAACCGAATGATTACATTCTTGATTACTTTTTCTCAAATGTGCTTCTGTTTGATTACTTTCCCGAACTTTTCATGTAACGTAAACCTGGTTTTAGATGGTTAATCCTTTAGAAGGGCATTTCCGCATTTTTATATTAATAGTTACAACCTGGGGTCTGTCTATTCTGTTCGCCAATGTCCTCTCCGTTCCATTCAATGTCATTTGCATGACTGAGGGGAAGTATCGATGGGAAGACTTCAGCATAGATCTTGGGACTGGTAAGGCTTAGACAGGTTACAGTAACCTTTCCAGATGTGTTTACTAGAATTGATTGGGATCCCCCCAAACCCACACAACGACCGAGCTCTGACTTCCCGGATATTCCCTCGGGCTGGCCTGACGTGGATATCCCGGGGATTCGAGTACCGGTTCCTGGGTTCAATTGGCAAGGACTTCGTCTGGCTAGACAACATCCAGATCTTTTCTTGAGATTGCTACAGAAAGTCGCTAAAGAAGTCAGTTACAGAGCGGCTGTGAGGGTTGGAGAGGCTTTGGACCCCAGAGATATCGACTTCAGAAGATTCCTTGACGGTGAGTGCGGGCGAAAATCTTATATTTATTTATGTATCATCAATTGGCATGCGATTTTCAAAATGCCTATTTTAGGCTTCAATTTGACCGATTATGATCCGAATGTGGTATTCAAAGTAAAGAATTACGTGCTTGATCGAATCAAATCGCTCCAACATTCTATGGAGGTCACTGACATTCACGGACGGCGACTATCCAGATGGGACAATGTTACTGTAGATGTGAGAAAACAAGTAGAAATAAAGGTAGTTTCAGGACATTAAATTTCAAAATATAACATGGAATGGAGTCATCAATGGCCGCGTTCGGATCGTCGAGAAGCCTCCAGCTCACACTTACACGCCCTGGGAAAAGACATGGCTCTACAGTATCGCCGGCCTGGGAACTTTACTATCTGTTGGACCATTTAATAAGGCCTTTGAACACTTTGGTTGCAGGAAAACGGTGACTGTCGCGGCGGTAATCTCGGCCTTATCCACGGGCCTGATTCCCCTGGGGGCGTCGTTGGGTTACGGTGTTTTTATAATCCTTCGAATCCTGCAAGGTGTTGGATTTGCAGTAGTCTTCCCTGTTATCGGATATGTGACATCCTCGTGGGCTTCCTTGACCGAGGACGGCCTCTTCAATGGCGCGTTGACTTCATTCATCCAGGTATTACCTGAAACTTTTTTACAAAATTAATTTAGATAGCAGCGTTAATCACAATGCCCTTGTCAGGGACGATTTGTCATATTACCTGCTGGTCACTCTCCTATTTTCTTCATGCGCTCCTCACTGTTGTCTTTGTGATTGTGTGGTGGTGTTGCTACAGGTAGCTTTGGAATAAGTATGATTATTTTTGGTTCAGGGATTCGCCTTCTGAGAGTGAAACTGTTTCGCTGAGTGAATTGAGAAGAATTCAAGATGGAAAGGTGACTGATTTCAGACTCAAGCACAGCAAGGTTGGTTATTAACGTTATTGTCATGCCTTAGATTCCGTACCAAGCGATTCACAGCGATCTCTCGGTTTGGGCCGTGTGGGTGGCAGCTGTGGGGAAGTTAACCTCCATCGTCGTCTTACTCTTTTATCTCCCTATTTATCTGCACAAGGTAAGAAGAACAATACTCCTTTTATGAAATTGCAGAATTTTGAATATGACATGCTGATTGTTGGCTGGGTTCTCGCCATTCCCTTCCTCCTTCAATTTGTGGTCAAGTTAGGCTCAGGGATCTTGAGCGATAACATCAAGGGGAAGACGGAGACTGTCAAGGTGAAGGTCTTCAATTCCGTTGCTTTCTTCGTCGCCTCCTTCTTCCTAATCCTCGCTGCGTTTATTCAATCTGCAGATCTGGATTGTCTTACTGTAATTATCATCTCAGCCGCTATAGTTGTATTGGGATTGGACGCAGCTGGATTTTTCAAGAGTTCGACTGTAATTGGACGACAGTATTCTCATTACATCAACATTTACGTCCAGGTAAAGGCTACTTTGTCAGATTAAATGAGGGTATTTAGACTGTTGCAGGCCTATCCATCCTCCTGTCCCCACTCCTGGTCCAATTCCTTGCTCCCACCACCAGTATGGCTGAATGGATACTTGTCTTCTGCTTATTAGTGGTGGTACTGGCGTTGTCTGGAATATTCTTTGTCTTGAAAGGATCTGGGATTACTTGTGCTTTCGCTGATGTGGCCCAACTTCCAGAAAACAGTAAAGAATTAAAGGAACTCAACAAGCGCTAATCTCAAAAGAATGCTATACAGTATAAAACTATATACATTTATAAATAAATAGTTAACGTTTCGGGAGATCGGTTATACTTCGAACGCCCCAACTCCGACAACCGTGTTCTTCCGAGAGAAACAGAAATCGAGTAAAGAAGTTCTTTTGGTGGGGTAGGAGAATAAATTGAACCCTTCTGGATTAATTCGTTGCTCGGCAGTCAACAACTCGGAGCCATAAGACGTGAGCTGATCGAAGTTGTAGAAGCTGACTGCATATTCGGGACTTCCCATTGCGAAGACAGAGCCGTCTTTAGAGAATGTAATCGGGACATGGAAGGGCATCGGAGAGCATTCCTGCGTGCAGAACAACTTCTGTTGCGCCAAGTCCCATATATTTAGAATTCCATCAGTACTGGCTGACAATACAAAACGGCCATCTGGAGATACCTGAAAGATGATATTGAAATATCTCTCAAGGCACTGAACTTAAAGAAATATCCACCGACCTTTACAGTATGTACAGGGGCTTTGTGGCCCGTGAATTTCCTAACACAATTGGCGTTCAGTACATCCCAGACGTAAACCTCGTGATCATCACTGCCGCCAACAATATAATTACAATTTGGATGGAAGTCGAGACCCGTCACATCTTCCTGGGCCGACGAGAATAATCTTAATGGATGAATCCTTTCCGATGAGTATAAGGATACTAATTTGGAGGCCGTACTTGCAGCAAAATAATATCCTCGTGAACAAAACACAGAGCTAAGAACTGGCGAGTCCATGCGATAAACGAGAAGATTTCGTCGCATCTCAATACTCCATAATCTGACAGTTTCATCTCTCGATCCACTGAGCAATAAACGACGGTCGGGTGAGTAGCTCAACGAGTATACCGGCCCCAGATGTCCCTAAAAGTAGAATAATTCAGCATCAAACTTACCTACCGTAAATTCGACGATATCTTCCTTTATTGAGTGGTCATAGATTTCGTCATTCATCTCGGCGTCTGCATCAATATCAATTTGCTCCAATTCGGAAGAAGATTTCAGAAGTGGGAGACCTTTCTGGTTGAGAGAATGTACTTGAATCACGGAGTTCCCATAGCCAATAGAAACCATCTCACAATTCTCAGTCAAAGCTGCTGAGCATACACCCCCAGGGGCATTCAAAATCGTATACAGGCACACGGAAGGCGGATTTTCTGCGCTAATTTTCACCTAAAGAAAGACTGATTCATCGTAAATGCATACCTACCCTCTTCCCGATTTCTTTGGCCTGAATTCTTCTTTCGTTTAGTACACTTTCTGGTAAAGGAGGCATAGGTATTCGATCTGCAGGCGGGGCGTTCCCGTCCTTCTTCTTGGCATCCTTAAACTCTTTATTCTTCCTCTTCTTATCTGTTAACCCAGGTACTCCTTCATCTCGATTTGTCCCAAAAAACATCTAAACAAACGGTTTATATTGCTAATTTTACAAGAATACTTTTACGGGTAAAACCAAGTCCTAGAACCAACAACCCCCCGAACATAATTTTTTAAATATTTATCAATTTAAACAAAACAAAGTTTTCGAGTTGATGGACCCAAGAGAACTTTGAAGATGGATGGGGCTCGTAGTGACAATTTTTTGAGATCTTAGCCATCGACCAAGTAATACGTCTTTATGAATTCCAGGTTTGGTAGTTGTGCTTCTTGTTTCCCAAGAGCTGGGCACTTCCAACATTATTATAATTTGGTGGAACGTAACTGCTTAGCTGGCTTTGCGAAGGCTGTCCCACAGGACGATCCTTGTTGCCGTTAGATTGGCCATATTTATCAGATTGATTGTAGATCTTCTGTTGCTGGTTCATCCTGCTATCTTGCTCATCAACAACCTGCTGCTGATACACCGGCTGCGGCATCTTCTGATTCATCATGAATGGATATTGCATCTGAGCAGGGTTGAATGGAACTTGGAATTGCTGAAACAAGAAAATACAGTTAAAAAATATCGGAGGTAATAAAACAAAAGACAAAAAACGTACTGTGAACATATTGTTCAAACTCTGTTGCGGCACAAACGGGGCGGATCCAGGGAGATTAGCGGGGGCAAACCCTGGAGGAGGTCCAACTTGGCTGGCACCGCTCATAGTCTGTGAATTATTATCCAAAATTGGCTGTCGTTGTTGAGACTGTGTCAAAGCGCTCGTCTGATTCTGGTTATTCGCTCCATTACTTTGGGTTGACGCGTTATACTTGCTAACATCGGAGAAATAATCACTCCTTTGATGCCCTGACTGCTGAACCTGATGCTGGTTCTGCTGATGATGGCTTTGCACGGCGGGCATTGGACCAGCGGAGGTAACAGTTAAGCCTGGCATCATGCCAAGTGCATTGAAGTCCATCTGTCCGAGAGCTGGATACTGATACTAAAAAAACAATCAATAAGAAAACGCAATACTTACGGGATTGTACATTCCCATGTATCCAAAGTTGGGGAATCCAAGTTGAGGTACGGGTGGAATAAAAGCTTGTTGTTGCTGCTGTTGATGACTCTGGCTCGTCTGAGTAGGTTGTGCGGGCTGCACATTTCCTTGTGATAATGGTTGTACGACAGGAGGCGGTTGTGAAGTTGTCTGTGGTTTAACCGGAGATGGATGCGCTCCATTCGCTCTCACATCCTGCACTTGTGGATGGTAATTAACAGAACTAGTATCTGTGAAGGAAAGAGTTGCAGAACGAGCTTGATTCGAAGATTGTTGCCGATTCTGTTGAGATGGAGAGTGTGTGTACTGACCAATTACATTATGTGGTACCCTCGAGGCAGACTCGTTGAGAGGAGCATGATTCTGCAAATCGTAAACATAATTCACCTTTTTTGAATCTCACCTCAACTTTCGATACCGACTCTGGCTGTCGATCATAAACTTCTTTGTGACTCGACGAATCGCCAGCGAAATCAAACACCACCTCTTTGGAGACATCAGACACACATTCAAATTTGGGAGGTGCCACAGGGCTTTCAGTTGCAACCACCGACGAACCAAGGCCGAGATCATTCTTTAGTTTGTCTGTCAAACTTTCATTAACAGTGTCTGCTGGAGTATTGTGAGGGGTAGCAGGGTTAGGAGTGGAAACCTTCGGCGTTTTGACCGGCGATTTAGCTACTTCGATTTCAGGCTTCACTGAAGAATCAACCACAGATTCAGGGGACTCCGGTTGTAACTCTTCGAATCTAAAAAAGGAATTAATTATATCACAAAAAACTTACTCTTCCAGCTTCTCTGGAGATTCATCAATTTTAGGTGTTTCTTTCTTAGCCGCCCGAGCAGCAATCGCCGCAAAACTCAAAGGACCAGCTGCACACACTGGTTGTTGTGGTTGCGAAGACTCGACGACAGGCTGTGCTTTGGTTTCAACAACATCAGTTCTTTGAAAAACCCGAGGTCCACTCTTCTAAAAGAAGATTAAAAAAAGAGAAATCAACTCACCCAGCTATCATCCACTTCTTCCTTCTCGCCCTTCTTCAAGTTGCGTTCTCCTTGAGGCCGTGGCTTTCTTGGTTGGAATGGCTTATTCTCGGTACCTTCGGCATTTCCTTTGTTAAATTTAGTCGGCTTTGGAACTTCTCCATTGCCATTCTGGGGACGCGGACCTCGTCTGTATTCTAGAATATTTTAAAATAAAAAAATTAAACATTTTTTAAACTCATATCTAAACTTGCAAAAACTTACGGCCATTTCGATTCTGTGCTTTTTTCTCTTCTGCCTCCAGCTTCTTCTTATCCTTCTTGTTCTTCTGATGACTCCAGGTATCCAGATTGCTACTCTCAAGGATTTTGTTTACAGCTACTTGCACATCATTTCCAGCATCGAACAAAGCCAATTCCGCTTCTTCATGTGTGCATCTGGTTGTTTCAACAATCTGAAAATTACAAACGCTTTGAAAATAAGAACTAAAGAATCACATTTTTCGAAGAAGAAACTTACACCATCAATTAAACGCCGAATTTGACCACGATCTTCGTCGTCCTTATTGTGGTGTGTATATTGCGCAACGCGCAGTTGATCTTTGGTGGCCGATCGGCCAGAATTATCAAATTTTCCGCCCATCAAAACTAAAATTAAGTTGAATTAAAATAAAAAAAATACTTGTAAAAAGAGTAACAAGCTTCGATAAACGATTAGGTAATTCGTAAACGCAAAGAACAAAACGAATTGCAAAATCAACAGGAATCCGCGTGATTGATTCTAGAACAACGACACCATAAGACAAAAACAAAATTTGATAGCGTTTTGACTTAAAACGCTGTTTTTGTAATCAAAAAAGAAGGGTTTAGCACGTTCCCGCACCGGCTTTTCCAATGTGAGAAGATTCAAAAGGGAAAGGACAGCGCCGAATGCTTTTGAGACCCCAACATGGTGTATTAATACACGACAGCCCTGGGGAAACTGACTAAACCAAGTCCCGTAATCAGAGATGCGAATAATACATGATCTCAGCACGCTCGGGCCGGGAAAGGTGATCGGCGACAGACAGAAGGCAAATGAGGTCGATAACAGGGATTTCGCGCCAGAACAACAGTGCCCTGAATCTTGGCGTTCCGCATCTGCTGGACGGCGATTATAGAAATAACCGCTAGCAGAGGAAAATCTAACGTCCTTCACAAAAATACTCCGCGCAAGAAGGTCGGCTCCATGCTGTTTTCCCCAGGGCGGCTGATTAATCTGTCGAGAAATGACTCACAACTTTTGCCAGCTTCCCCCCCCCCCTTTCCTTTTGCCCGCCGGCTATTTATTCGTGAATTCTCTCTTCTGTTTGCATTGTACGAAATTGTTGCAAGTTTCAGATGGACCATTATGGGGCCTATCATAACGGCATTGCGGAATACGGTATGTTTTTAGTTCAGTCTATGGAAAACTTTGGGTTCTCAGTCTCGAAATCTTTTTTATTATCTAAAATGATATATGATATTTTTAGATCTCTATGATCGAGTAAAGAAAAGTACGTTGAGAGTCCGGAATACTTTGTTTCCGGGCTTTCCATATGAACCTTTGCCGGATTCCCCATCTTTTTTGGATCAGTTGGCAGGACCTTGTAGTGAAGCACAATATGCCGTGATAGACTTGCTCAATGCTCCAGACGAGATGGAGTTGTTGGGGCAAACTGTTCAGGATTGTATACTTAAATTGAGAAGCAGGGATCCGATTCATATTCGGGAAGCTATTGCCGAAATATATAATTTGGCCCATCGTCCCGGCATTGTGGAGCAAATTGCTGCTGATGAGAATCTTATTAAAGCTCTTATAAATGCTCTAAAGTAAGTTTCTATGAATTATTGTCTATTCTTTTAGTGATGAGGATCCAGCAATCCAAGCGAGCGCACTGAAGACATTAGCCGCTTTGTCGGCAGTGGCCCCGGCCCGTTTTTGTATATTCAGAAGCGGGGGAATCAAAGAGTTAGTTAGAATGTTAGGCAGTCCTAACGATGGGGTCAGGAGATACGCTGTGCAGACTTTGCATAAACTATTGCAATATGTGGAGAACGCTAAGGAGGATGTTATCTCATGTCGGGGTCTAGAAGCATTCATTCCTTTACTTGGCTTAGACAAGGTCCAGGTCCAAGCCCTGGTTGCCGATTGTTGTTTCTATCTGCTACATGAAAGACCACATTGCAAATCAGTTTTCTTTGAATACGATGGGAATAATTACCTTGTTAAAATCCTCCGTACCAGTTCCAATTATTTGAAGGCAGTTTATGCGGTTCTTCGATGTCTTCTAGCTGTCAGCACCGAAGCCAACAACAAGGCTAGATTAGTTGACATTGGTATGTTTTTTTTTTGTGAAATGGACCCACCCGTTTATAGGTTGTCTCGAAGCGTTGCACGTTTATCTAGACATTATTAATGATCCCAAATGGCGACTAACTCTACTCAACACGATCAGGAATCTCTCTGATGCGGCAACTGCAGTGGATACTCTTGGGGGACTTGTTAGTGATCTGCTGCTTATGTTGAGACACACTTCGGATGATGTGACTGTCAGCTGTATTTGTGGAATCCTCTCTAATTTGACTTGTAACAACGTGAATAACAAGAAGACGGTTACTTTGAGTGGTGGAATTGAAATATTGGTTGGAGTTGGAGGCGCTTTCTCACACATTGAGGATGTCACGGAGCCTACTTTATGTACGATCAGACATTGCACCATCAGACATGACCTCGCGGATCAAGCTCAGACACAGTTGTGTCATATTAGACAAGGACTTCAAATAGTTCTTTGTTTGCTGGCTACAAGAAGACCTCCGATCGTTAAGGCAGCGTTGGGAGTTGCTCGAAATTGTTCCATAATTGAATCGAATAGAAGAGCTTTGTTGATGGAAAGAACTCCAACTGTAGATGGCGTGGTTGACATTGCTCTGGAGGTGCTCAGCCATTCTGGAACTGAGCTTCTGAAGGACTTTGATGCTCTGACGGAAGGCGTTTCTTTGCTGGAACTGGTCGAAACAACGGTATCCTTGCTTCATCAGCTTGTAAGGGAAGTCGGAATTGCTGAGATTGTCTACAATCATCCCGAGATTATGCGGATTCTTGTGTCGGTAAGATCTTTTGGCATGATTTATGTCTTCCTTTAGTTGATCAGTATGGATAACATAAACCAAGCAGATGATTGCCTTGTTATGCGCGAAGTAATGGGCCTTTTTTATCATATTACAAAATCCCCGGAAGGCTGTCGAATAACTGAACAGTCGGGCGCTGTTCCTTTTATTTCTTATGCCTACAGATCCAGAGATCAAGCTGTCGGTATGTCAAATTCTTTTGATGATGGTGTTTGTGAGACAAGAAATTAATGCATTTGTATTTCAGCAGCATATGCCAAGGTTATTTTGCGACAACTGGGAATGGAGGAAAGGCCTCTACCTGGGTATCAACACAACTCTCATAGTTCAACCGATACTCTCGGATCTAATGGAAGAATAGTACAACAAGAATATAGAGGCCCTGTGGGGTGGGTAAACGAAGGTCTGGAGCCGGAGCTGTATCAGGAATTCTTTTCCCGAACATTGGGAGAAATGAAACACGATCATGTCGAAGGTCAGCATGGCAACTCTTGGTTTGACACGGACCTCTGAACAGGACTACCGCCAATCTCTACTATTCAGCTGCTTATTTAAAAGGATACGCTTTGTCAATATTATATATGTTGTTATGTTCTAATCTTTATTTAGTTAATGTTTCTTACGTATATTTATTTATTTAGCCTTGACGCAATTTGTATATAACTTTAAGGATATTCAAGATTACCTCGCTTTCATTGCACTATATTGTTAACAATTATTTAAATATTGATGAATTAAACATAATCTCGCTTTTACGGCTCACATAATTTTTCCTCAGCTACACCCCTGGTTCACGGGCCGGAAAGCGAAAAAAAAACCGGGTTGCAAACCTTGTTGAGCTGAAATGTTCCATCGTATAAAATGTCACCCATTTTTATTTTCGTTTGGGATGTTATAAATAATCGAAGGCGTTTGGAATTCTTATTTTTGAGCAATACACTTTGTAGATGACCGTAACGGACCTCAAATCAGTTAATGTTGAGGAGGTTGACTTTCTCAGACGGTCTGGCTTTTCAACTAGCCTTCTAATCCTGAATCAAGATCTGGGTAAAGTTTGCGCGATCAGAAAATGTGACGACAAGTAAGTTTTTAGTTGTAAAAGTGCTATTATTCTCGTAGAAATGTGGATAAACAAATTTCTTTCGTGGAGTTCTACAATATTCTAAACCTTCCGGCAATGTACTTGGAAGTCCAGATCCCTTTTGTTGATATAATCGTTGAAAGCGGGATATGGCTTGGGAAAAAAGTCTTGCTTGGGTGCAACGACGGTTCCGTGTTTTTGGTTTCCCCATTCAAAACGAATATGGAAGTGAGTTGTTTAAAACAAGTTTTAATTATTTTTTAGAGGCATCCGTTGGCCGTTTCCTCAATCATTTCGGCAGCAAGACTATCCGATACACAGGCTGTTTTGGCAACAGGATCAGGAGAACTGAAGTTTATTGAAATTCCGGAAGATGGAAAGATTGACTTGAAGAAGACGGTTGCCCTCAACTCTGACCAAAGGATCACATCCATTGCTATGTCTCCAAAACGTCCATTGTTGGCTATTGGGCTGATCAATTCTCTTATGTTTTTCAATATCGAGACCAACAAACAGAATATTGTTCATGTTCCTGCTCAAGGAAATAAGAACACGGTCGTATGGTCTTTGTTATTCTTGTAAGTAAGAATACTTTTAGATAGTACTGTTTTAGAGATGAACTATTATTTAGTGGAGACTCTCGTGGAAAGGTGACTATTTACAATGCTAACTCATTTGCAGTAATAAAGGTAAGCGTTAAAATAGGGTACCTTATTGCTTTAGATAATCCAAACACATGAAACCGACGTCTTATCTCTATGCTCGGATGGTGAGCAAGTCTTTGCGTCAGGCGTTGATCATCGAATTCAAGTTCTGAAGAGTACAGCTTCCGTGAATGTGAGATCTGATTGGAACACTGTTGGACAGAGGATTATTCACAAAAACGATGTGAACGCAATGGTCGCCGTAGGATCGTGGCTAATATCTGCGGGTGCCGAACACAAAATTTATATATCCAACGCACGTTTTTACATCTACTTCGCCAAGGGAAAGGTTGGGTTTTTATTCATTACGACTAATAAGTTTGTTTAGAAATGGGTTTCCACTGATACAAGGAGTCTAATGGCTGCTTCACTGCAGTCTGTGGAACTCTGGAGATTGCACACGTCCATTTCTGATGCGTCTTTATTTGGAAGCACTTATGTTGTCAGAAAGGATAATGGTCCTACAAGATTGTTAAGATTGCTGTCGCCCAAGGGGGCCGTCATTTACGACTTCTCTGTGTCTCCAGACTTTAAACATTTAACACTTTTTACGCAAGAAGGACTTCTGTTATATTCGATTAATATTACCAAGGATAACGTAAAGGTGGAGAGGGTCTTCAGAGTGAAACCTGAACTGGCCGGAGATGTGACGGCCTTAACTTCCACCAAAACGAATGTATTTGTTGCCCGGGGAAACGCTGAGATTGTGAAGCTTAACTTCAAATCCAAGAAGATTGAAAAAATTGCTTTTGCAGGTAATATTTTAAATTTTAAATGTAGTTTTGTTGTAACTGTATAATAATGAAGTTACTGTTCACACAGTGTGATTTCAGATGGAGCTGCTACAATATCAAAGCTGCGTTCGAGTGAGGATGGAAGGTATTTGGTCGGAACCGACACAAGATGCCGAGGTTTTTATGTTGATCTGAAGGCAAAGGTGGACTTAGATGTAAGTTAATTCTTGCCATTTGTAAAACTTTTCCAGGATGCGGTTGTCTTCATTCCATGTAAAGACGCCATTGCGGACTTACGATTCACAGGAACAAAACTGGTGGCTTTTACTCCTGGCGCTGAGACCAAATTACGATTGTTTGAAATTGGATCAAAGAAGTGCAAAATCCTAAAATTATCGTCAATTTTTGAAGGAATCAATAGAGAGATTTGTTTGGGTATTTCTTCCTATTCAAATGACTCAGTTATCTTGCATGGAAGCCATGGGAATGTTGTTATTCTCGACAATCTCTGCGAGGTAATTTAACTTTGACGTATAGTTAAAAAATTCAGAAGTCTCAAAACTTGCAATTAATCCAAAGATGCCCGAATACGCTGGAAAATGAAGGAGATTTCGAGAAGTTGAGGTTCCCAGTGGATGCCGAGCTGTTTGAAGGGAGTGAAATTAACGGCGCCAACTCCCTGATAGTCTGCCAGAATAACTCGACGTCCCTCCCAACGCGTGCTCCGTTCAGAATTAAGCGTTATGGGCGTGTTTAAGATTGGTTGTTACTTTTGTTATTGTTATACTCTACTTGTTTTGTTGAATGAATTTGTTAATTAAATTAGACTTGGTAGGTGTGGTGAAAGTTTCAAAAATCGAATGTAAAGTCTGCCCTCATCCATAGCTGGTAGCGGTTTGCACAATAAGAGCAATAAAAAATAAGATTTGAAAAACTCGGAGGAAACTTGGCTTTCCAGACTTCCGAAAGGCAAAGTAGAGGAGAAAAATTCGAATTCTTGTCTAAACTTTATTAGGCAGTTTGGGGATGGGCAAGCCCGAGGAAAAGTCTGAATAATACCCAGACTCAAGCTTGAAGTCAGGAGTGGTAAACCATTTTAAATCAATTTAACTCGACTGTTTATGAAAGGTATAATATATCCTCGGAATCGGAGGGAAGAGGCCGGATATAAATTTCATTTGGAGGGCCTTGCGTAGCCTCGGCTCCACTTCCCAAGTTTCACTTCTACACTTTGTCCACGGCCTTCTTGGTCTGGGAATGCAGAGTTTAAGTTTAGAGCTAGCTCTTATAGCCAAACTCTCTCTTAAATGATTAATTTTTAATGATAGCTTTCAGATGCCCCAATTGATGCTCGATAAAATACAACAGTTTCATTAGTTAGCCGAGATGAAACGCCGTCGGCGTTTACCCTGCATATTGTCGTTGACAATGCTGATGATGCTGTATTCCTCATGTGGTGCAACTGAATGCCGTAATGGAAGTGTGGAGAGAATAGTGGCCATGGAAAGAAAAGAAGACTTCATCACGTCCCCAGGGTACCCTCTGCCGTATCAAGTCGGAGTACAATGTTTATACGAATTGGAAGCCCCTTTGGAAGCAGCGCTCGTCATTAAGATCGAATTGCTGGAACTTGACCTCTCCGAGAAATACTCACATTCAAAGCAATGTCTTTGGGATTACATAATATTCGTGGTATTCGACAGAGAAGGGAAACAACATGTTAGCAAACGATATTGTGGACGGCCACAGACTCTTCCCACTCTGGATACGATGCAATCCAAGATGCACATCATATTTGTATCTAGTGATCAATCTCAGCAAGAACACGAGCATCGAGGATTCAAGATAAGATACACTTTCCTGCCAGAAAGCAAGTATTATTTTTATGATTACGTAACGCTGTGAACGAAATTCAAAAAATTAAAATGAAGAAATAGCATAGCCTTTTTCTGGATTTATGTCACACAATTATATCTTTTAGGCGAAATAGGTGCCCCGCTCAGCGTTTACAACGATCCAGATGGCCGATTCCGACGGGAGTGCGGAGGATCCACACTTCCAAACGAAATTACTGGTGAAATCACAAATCCCGGATTTCCGCTGACTTATCCCAGGAATATTACGTGTTTCTGGCTGATCAGGGTTCCCGCAGGGCATCGAGTTTATGTCCGACTCACTCATCTGCAGTTGTCAACCACTGTTGGTAAGCCCAGACAACAATAAATAAAATTGTTGGTTGGATGCTTCATCAAACTGCATATTGACTATGTTTCAGCTGAATGTGACAGAGCCTCGTTATCGATAATAGAGGGATACCGCCATGACCTGGCTCAAAGGAAAAGACCCAAGATGAGCACGGCTGGGACCGATGAGGTCCAGTTCTGCGGAAGTCATCTATATTACAATGAAGAGGGGATGAAATCTTATCTCTCGAATAGCAATCGAGTGGTCATACGGTAAGTGGGGTAATCATACGACTCAAAAGTGCTTAGATTCAACAGTATGGATTACCCGTCAACGGAACAGCAACAGAAATACCATGAACAGGGGACTCCCATTGGCTTCAAGATCTTGTGGACTGAAGTCCATTCTCTTGTTCCAACTGAAGACGTTTACGATGAAGATGAAGACCCAGAATGTAAGGGATTTACATGCAAAGGAGGCTCATTTTGCCTTGATGACGGACAAAACATATGTGCGGAGAGGACAAGGCTATGTATAAATGAAACTTTGAGATGCAATGGAGTCTCAAATTGTGCCGAAAATGACGACAGTGATGAGGAGTTGTGTAAGCGTCCTTTCTCCAAGGATTATAAACAACCTTTCAGGTTACACCGAACGTGCTTTCATCTATGGAGGGGCTTTGACCGTATTCAGTTTGCTATCCCTAGCAACTTGTGTTATACTCAAATGCTGTTTGAGTAATAACAAGGCTATCCCTTCAGATCAAGTTATAGATACTCGAAGGCCAAGAATACCCCCATCGAGAGATTCATTGAAGATAATTGATAAGAAAAGAGAGTCTCAGAGGAATAAGGATGATTGTCCTGCACCCAGGAATGGCTCAGAAATGGTCGTCTGGCAGATCGCCTCTCCTCGAATGGATCGATATAGTATTGACCCGGCATTCAGAACTGACATGCCGATTGAAAGGGCGCTGGTTTGAAACTACTAATGTTGCTGACTTGTAATAGAATTTTCGAATGCTTGCTCAATGAGTGAATCTGCTCAATAAACAAATAAATAATACCACAAAACAGGATTGTCAGAAAATAACTAATTTCATGGCGACATACAGTAGTTGTCAGCGAATTTGTGCAACATTGCGCAATGTTACGCAATTTGAGACAAAAAATTGCGTAAAATTACTTCTGTTATTTTGATTGTTCTGCGATTTGCAAATTTTACAACAAAATTCTTCGTTTCAGGACCCAAAAAAATAAAAGAAAATAAATAATTTTCTTGTGCTGACGCGGCTCTCGGTTCTTGCAGTGCCGCTCCACAATAACTCGGTGGCCTGTAACCTTGTAAAGAAGTTAGAGATGTCTGACTTTTCTGACTGGTACAATGGAATTCCTCAGATCACACGGTATTGGTTCACAGCGGCTACAGTTATTCCTTTACTGGGACGGATCGGGATAATCCCCGTTGGTCTCATGTATCTGGACTGGAGCCTCTTCTGGGATAAATTCCAGGTAAGAAAGTTCTATCTTCTTATTTATTATTCTTTAGATTTGGCGCCCAATAACTGCCTTCTTATATTATCCATTAACTCCACAGACCGGGTTTCACTGGTTGCTGACAATCTATTTCCTCTACACTTACTCCAAGAGCATCGAGACCAGTCTTTTCAGTCAACGTCCTGCTGATTACGTGTTTATGTTGTTCTTTAGCTGGGTTTGCGCCGTGGTATGTGTCAATTACAAAATTCGCAATTTTTATAATTTTTGGATAAGTCTAATGCCTCAATTTCAGTTTATCGGGTTTGCTTTTGGGATGTATTTCCTTCTGGAGCCGATGGTTTTAAGTGTCCTTTACAATTGGTGTCAATTCAACAAAGATGCGATTGTCTCGTTCTGGTTTGGCACTCGCTTCAAGGCTCTGTACTTGCCTTGGGTTCTCGTCGCTTTCAACATGATCTTGAGGTATGTGTTTTAAAAACCTGGAGTCTTCCGTTCTTTACTTCCCTTTTGCCCAGCTATAATAATTTTTCAGAGGCGGTGGACTGAATGAGATTGCTGGCATCTTGATCGGACATGCCTATTATTTCCTGGCAGTCCAATATCCGGCTGAAAGAGGAACGGCTCCTCTTATTCAGACCCCTCAGTTCTTGTATCGATGGTTTCCCAGTATTCAAGGAGGAGTTAGCGGTTTCGGACAACCGTCCAGCAGGCCTGCCCCAGCGGCTGAACGTGCCCAACCTCGACAACAAGGAGCGTTTTGGGGTGAAGGGCATGCAGTTGGAGGAAACTAATATTATATTTTCTGTCATATTTATTTTAAAATACAATGTGTATAATCAATGTTTTTGGCTGTAATTGCAAACCTAAAAAATTTCGTATTGCGGCTTAAATTTTGCCCTCCCCCCTTATCATGTTTTCTTTTACCCCTCCTTTTTTTGGCGCTACGACTTTTCGGGTCAGCGACGGTTCGGGTCAACGATACTATGGATCGCGTCGGTTTGTCGTTGTATGCATGGGGGAGGCTAGGAGAAGGCTTAGTTAGTAGAAATCATAAAATTGATCAAGTCGTAGGATAGCTTATCACCTATTTTGTGATATTTTAATCTGCGAAATATTGGATTTGTTAACCTGTTTCATCGTTAAAGTACTTTTTTTGTTCGCGGTAGTAAGAAAATGAAAAATATCACTTCAAACGGGATTAAGTTGATTAATCAGTTGCAAACGACTTCATATTGCATATTGCGCTAATTTATAAAAAAAATAATTATTTGATGATTCAATAGTGACATTTCGTACGCTTGCAGCGAAAAAAATCTGTCCAATTTCACTCTGCCCAATTTCCCCCTGTCCAATTTCCACACTCCGTCCAATTTATTTCTGTCCAATTTCCACGAAGCCATTTTTTGTCTTCAATGAGTAATGACGACGTCATCATGACGCGTTTTATGTATTTTCCGGCGCCGATTTTTTTCTTTTCTTTTGGAATTTTCTGAAAACAATTGTTTCGTTTTTTTCTCGCAGACTGATCAGATCTTGCGTTCAACTTCCGATAATTTAGTTTCAGTCATGGAGATACCAGAGTTTAAGGTCGGAGATCTAGTTTGGGCAAAAATGAGAGGATATCCGCATTGGCCGGCTCAAGTAAGTGCTTGTTTTCGCATTCATCGCATTTTTAGATATCAAAAAATCCAACTCAGTCTAATGGGAAGTACGTTGTGTCCTTCTTTGGTACACAGGAGTCTGCTTTTGTAAAACCGTCCGACATTTGCGATTATTTTCAAAATTTGGATACGTATGGGATTCCAAGAAAGCTGAACGATTTCCAAAAGGCGATGGAGGAGATCAAAGAAGTCGCCAAAAAGAAGGCCAAGAAAGGGCAGAAGAAGGAAAATTCGAATTCAACTCCCAGACAACAGAGGAATCGTATTCCAAATCGACTGATATCCAACGAAGACTTTGTTGTACCTCAACCCAAGAAACTGAAGGGTGAAGAGAAATCTGGCAAATCTGACAGTGGTGCTCCAAGTCAAAACAATTCGCCGAGGAAAAGGACGGACAGTGCTAGTTCAACGGAGAGGTCTCGGAAAAGAATTAGTTATTCTGAGAGATTCGGGGTCGATCTTTCTGACATCGAATCTACATATCCAAATGCGGTATGTGGGAACGATGAAGATCTATTGCTTTTAGGTTAGAGACAATTTATTTCCTGGATTCCCGATGTTCGAAGGCCTTGAAAGTGAACAATCTGAAGATGAGATAAACAAACTATTAGGTGTCAGGAAACGGAGGAGGACTAGATCTCGGTTGTTTGATGATTATTTTTTGCCAGGGACAGGGAAACGAGATCGATCGGGATCATTCTCCTCGACGAATGGCAGAACCAGGTTGGTTTTAATAAGAAAATGGGTAGTTTTCGTATCTTGAATTACCTAAAAAATTGTAGATTAATCAGCGGATTCTCCGATACCTTTGACGATTTGGATTTCAATCCGCATGTTTTATTCAACGCCATCGATGACTTGCCCAGTGAAGAGTCAGACCGCGCAATCACTCCTGAAGCACCCACTGCAATGCCATTACAAGAGAAGAAGTGTTACTCCTGTGGATGTTTATGTGATGTCGTAAAACGGAAATGGAAGTAGGTCTTGTTGATTTAGTTTCTGTTTTTAAGCGAATTGGCGTAATTTCGAATCCTTAGGTGTTCCAATCGCGATTGCAATAGGTGGAACGGAGTTTTGGAGACACCGTCGATGAAACCGGCATCTGTTCACCCTCTGGCATTTAATTGGGACAAGACTTATCTTGAAGATATTCCTATGTCCGATTCCTCAGACAAAGCCGATTTCAAGAAACCTTTGACTTTGGACACGGGATCGGGAGCAGACATGGCTGCTGATCAGATCACCAAGATCAAGCAGGAGTTGATGATCGAGGAGACTGTCTCAGCCACAGCGACGCCCGTTCCCGAGCCAAGTCCAGTCCAACCGGCGGACCCAGTCCTGGCGAGCAGCAGCTCAATTTTTCAATTTAAAGAGCAGATTCCTCCGCAAAGAGAGCCCCCTAAGGAAATGCCGCCTGGAATGATTCCACCTCAAAAAAGTCAGATCATCCACAACCAAGAACCTAGCGGAATTAGGCTAGAACAATACGAACCGCATAAGAGGATGATTAGACCGGGAAATCGAAGCCGAGCGTAAGGAATTTTGTATTTAGTGGAGTCTTAATGCTTTCATTTGTAATATCGGGTGTATTTAGGAAGGTAGAAAAAACGCCTCCAGTCACAAGTAATGGTGTTCGGTATTGTTATTTCTGTCCAGGACAGGTGAGGCCACAGATGTGTGGGGGAAATAAGCATCGTTGGCGATGTGTGGACAAGAAGTGCCGGAAATGGTATGGATGGGTGAAGAGCAGCGATGAAATTCCTCGTGATCTCGGGAAGAAGGGTCGATGGAAGGATCTGGTTATTAGAGTCCAGAGCTCTCAGAATGAATTCGAGGATCGGCTGGCTAGTGATATGATCCAGAAGAATGGAGATCAGGTTCGTTTCATGCCGCATTGCTTTAAAGATGCTCGATCAATCTGTCTGGAATTAGAACTTTTTTAGGATGCTTACGGACAAGATGAGGAAAGGGGACGTGTCAAAAGAAGATACCGAAGGTGTAAACCTCAGCCATGGAGAGATATATCGCCATTAACCGTGAAGGAGTCATATTACGAGCCATCTTGTATGGAACAGCGACCTAGATGGTGGATTCAGGAGAGAAAAAAAGCAGATTTCTCTCCTGAAAGGGAGTTTGGGGTTGATATTCTGGATGCCGCGGCTTCGTTCAGACTGATTGCAAACTCCATGCTGACTGCGGCCAACACAAAAACCGATGAATATGGTTCTGTTAATGGTTCGTCTGTGTAATTCAAGCTGATAGTTTTATTTTAGGTGCCCTTGATCTTTTGATGGATTCATTGATGTCCTCACTTGGCCCTTTGATGACGATTGCCAAGCATATTCCCGGTCTTAATTTACCAGAAGAGACCCTTCAGAGAGTATGGAATTCCACATCTCTTCATACTCCCATGTTCTAGTTACCGTAACCTTTGTATAAAGTTGTTGAGTTTTTGCTATCATTTTATAAATTCTTTTATTTGATTATGTATCGAGTTCAGAAACCTGTGTTGTTCGATTGCCTGCATTATTTATGGGTGTTGAGTGTGTATTTTTATTGCTGGTTAATTACAGGTAAAAATTAATTGATCTCGGCCCTTCAAAGGAATGGCCGTCCCTGAAAAGAAACCCAAAATCGAATTCTTCAAGCAATTGGAAACTTTGGAGGGGTTTGAGTTCAGGGAAGTCCTAGGATCTCTGTCCAATTCCAAGGTATCCTTTTCTAAGATTATAAATCAGTCTGTCTGAAAAATAATGTGGTTTCGCCGCGCCTTGGAATCGCCCATAATAGCTGTGCGACGGCTTACCGCGGCTGGAGGTTTGATGCGTTATTGCGGCGAGGCGAGACATTTTGCTGCGACGAATCCGCATTACTTTCCCTACATACTGGTAATCGATCAGTCTATTTTCATATTATGCCATAATGTCGAAGAGGATCAGCCCGGGATACTGCTCTTGAATAAGGTGGCTTTCAATGAGACGAAAGAAGATCTGGATGAATTGGTGAAGGGGTCCCGTTTCTCTCGTCTAAGTGACAATGACATCTATGGTAACTTCGAAGTAACTCCGCCTACAAAGTTTGGGGGTATGTGGGATTGAATAATTATAAACCTGTCAGTTCTCAAGGCGACGTTCATCTATCCCGCAACAAGTCGGCATATTGACAAGTACCGATTGAGAACTGTCTGCTTCATTTCTGAATCAGCCCGGGACTACAATGATATTACTCTTAAGTTCATCAAAGAGAAAGCATTCGGATGTGACGTATGTAGAGGTGGCAATCCGGCCTGGCCGATTCCGGTGAAATCTAGGCCAAGATTGGCCCGCTAATATAATACAAAAGGTCGGATAAAAGTCTTTGCACTTTCTCCTGAAAACTTTTATGCGCTCCACAATTCTTTTTACCTGTGTTTGTGTGAAATTAAGACGGCTAATCGAACTTCTGGAACATCCGTAAAGGAAGCCAAAAGCTAGTCAAAACGTTTTACTGTGAATTCTTTAAGTTTACAACCCGAAAGTGCAAAGATTTTGTTCCCAGAAAATAGGTGACCCCCCAAATTTCGGACAGAGCCACAACTGATCCTGCGACTTTTTCATTTTTTTCGGAAGGCGCAATGAAACATGAGTCCGGCCAAAGGTTGCGCAGTACTCCGCTTTCATACAATGTCCGAGGATCGCCGTGTTCGAGTTTCAGAGTGGTCCAAATTAAATCGTTTATGTGCAAACTCAACGTTCTGGGACATGCTGAAAGCCTCGGCCTAGAACTTTTCAAATCTGCTCAAGTCCGGCGGAAAAACCGAGGCCGATCTGATTGTCACCTTTATACTTAAGGAAGGTGACTATAGGAAGAAAACACTTTTAGTGGGTTTACAACATAGTTGATGGAAAGAAGGAACAAGACCAAATTCTATACAAGGACGGAGATCCGAACAATGGATTTATCTTGCTGAAGGATCTGAAATGGGATGGAAAGACCATCGAGGAGATGTATTACCAAGCCATTGTGGTGCGCAGAGATTTAAAATCTGTCAGGTAAGCAAAATTTGTTCAAACAAAATGATTTTTTCATATTCAGAGATCTGACAGAGAAAGAGCTTCCTCTTCTTGAGAATATGTATCAAAGTGCTACCAGGGCCATTCAAGATAAGCATGGGCTCAGCAAGGAGAAGATGTTCATCTATTTCCACTACCAGCCCAGTTATTACCATTTGCACGTCCATTTCCGTTCTACACGGTGCGATACAAACATCAGTAACATTCCCATCCTCGAGGTTATCAATAACATCCAAATTTGGCCAGACTTCTATCAGAAGGCCTCACTTGGATTCAATATCAAGGAAGGAGAGCCCTTGCATCAGATGTATGCTGAAGCCGGTCGTATATAACGAAGTACTCTAACGAAGTTACTATGTTTATTACAATAAAAATATATAAACCGGATTCCGAAATAAGTACAACATGTCGTTTCGATCACAAATAATATATATCCATAAGTACAATAAATAACCTCTCAACGTGCCCACAAATAAAAAGTGAGTCCGAAAATCAAAAGAAGGGCTATGCAGAAGACGGATAAGAGAATCTTTTTCTGTCTGGCCTTCGTCTGATAGTGCAGGGCCTGCTGGACATTAACATGACCTTGGCTGACATGCATACTCGCATGTTCAACATTGGCTTCGATACTATCCACCATGTCCCCCTGTTCGTGAACAATTCGCGCAAGATCCTTAAAGATCTGATTAACGTCGCTGATGTCCTGTTCAAGTTGATTAAGGGCCTCTTTTCTTTCTCTGATCTCCATCAAATTTGCGCGTCGTTGTTCTTGAATCTGAACCTGTTGTAAAGGGTCGACTCCAGGTTGCTCTTGGTGTGACAGATGTTCATCCTCTTGAGTTACATTCCGCAACTGTGCCTTTTCCTTCGTCGCTGCTCTTCTTTGTGCTGATTGTAAGCGGTTCAGAACCGCCATATATTCATTTACCAACCGTTCTCTTGACACACGATATTGTCTCTAAAATCCAGTAATGAAGGATGCGAATTAATCACCTGTTCGTTCGATATAGCTACAAGCTCCTTCAGCTGTTGACTAGTTCTCTTCGACAAAACATTGCTTCCATGAACAAGATCGTTGAGTAGATCATTCAGATGGTTATCATCGGCAGGGCCGCCAATTTGTTCAACTAACCGTTCCAATTCATTGACTGAAATTATGAGTAATTATATTTCCGGATAATATTCGTAAAAAACAGATAAGAAGAAGAGCTCTGTACCATTGTTTCCCAATGTCTTCACATTCTCAGTAACTTGTTGAAGTAGAGTGTCGGGTGACAAAAAGCTCATCTCTATGTTTATAAACCGCAGCGTTCAACAGTTATAAAACCCGACAACCACAAATCAATGCGAATCCGAAAAAATCTTGTTTTAGAAAGCATTCGATAGTGTCATTTCGTTTCAATTGAGCGTTAGAGTTGACCCGGGGTCGTTGTTCGAGTCAACTCGTCTTCCTGCTCTGTAAATCTGCAAAAAAGAACATTGGTGTGCATTTTCTCGTAATTGTGGTACTTTTAGCCATGTCCACGGCGATATCAGAGGACAAACGACAGTGTCCTGATCTGGGACCTCAATCTTCAAGTTCCATTCAGTCGGATCACGCCTCATCTGCTGCAACGACAACTGAGAATGGACATTATTTGAATGTGCCCGCATCTATTGACAACAAATCTAAGGACTTAGCAGTTACTACTCAACGACCCTTGACGATGTATGCGCCAAAGTACGGTGAGAGTTTTGTAAAGTTGCCAGATCGGGATCAAAGACCGGACATTCGGATAGCGAAAGACAATGTGCCTGATTATCGACCAAAGGAAAACCTACAATCCAGCAGCTATTCGCATGGTTATGAAATTGGTCCGAAAACGCAATTGAATGCTCAACAGAAGCTCAAGATACCGAGCAACGGCGATAAAAGTGGAGTTGACAGTGGTAATCTTTTGTTTTTTTGACAACAAAATAATTTTATTTTCTTAACATTTAAATACGTATTTCAGACTTTCCGAATACTAATGGAAAGTCATCAAAAAATGGGAACACGAATATGCCGCCACCGCGGATCAAACCTTCTCCAAAGGTGAGTTCATTTTTTATAATTGTTACCTAAATTTAGTCAAAAGCGAAACCCGCCGTGATACAAGCTGAGCGTCCAACACCAAAGACCCCGACAACTCCTTCCAAGAGGCCTCCTCCAAATACAGCAACATACCAAAAGACCAGATTTCCTTCTCCGTCTGGGGCATCTTCATCCCACAATAATTACGGACATAACGTGCAATACGGACCCCCATCTGGTTATGTGGTCAGGTCTGCTCCGTCGAACAATCAGATGTACACAGTTCAACAACGAGGTTCTCCAATGGTAAGGGGGCAGGCGCCAGGACCAGGAAAACCTCCCCAGGTTATAATCCAACCACAAGGTGGAGTATCGACCTCTCAGCAGCAACACTTTATTATCCAAACACCTCAAGATCAATACGGACACCGATCCGGCGCGACAGTTCAACGGTCGTATCCTGCTCAGAATACAGGACCACCGGTTTCTGTGGCTGGTCAGCAACATCAACAACAAGTTGTGATCCAGTTCCATCATCAACCCCCAAATGACAGCCAATTAGGACAGCGACTGCTTATTCACCAACATCAATTAGTGGAACGAAGGGTGGTTACTTCAGCATCATATCCTCCTCCCTCCTCTTCTCAGGCTCATTCAGTACAGCAAGGGTCTTCTCAAGTTGTAGATGGAGGGCCGGAAAGACCAGAAATAGGGACGGGGAGCAGAACGGTGAAACAACAAACACCGGCAAAAATCGTACAGCCGGTTAAGCCCGATGATATTTACAGCGAAATGTCATCCCATCCGGATCTAATGGCCTTGCCAGATTCCTTTAACACGGTTTTGGATCAGATTCATTCTTCTGGGGCCGCCCCTAAAGATCTTTATAAGAAGATCAAGAGGCAGTTCAAATTTTTGGTTTATGTAAGCTTGTAATTGTGTTTTCCGGAATATGAGACTTATAGTTCAATTTTGTTTACGGCTTGTATTTACAGGAGAATGAATGCTATCAAGAAGAACTAAGATCATCTCAGAGGAAATTGTTGAAGCTCTCTCGGGATAAAAACTTTCTGTTGGATCGTCTTTTGGCACATGAAGTGGTGGATTCAGATGATCAGATTAATCCTGGAGAAGAATCTGATGCGGATTCTGAGGCTACAATAGATTTGAAACCCAAAGCAAAAAAGTAAGCTGACTCATTATTAATTAGTTTGGCCTTTTAGGAAAAAAGTAGCAAAGAAACGACCAACGCAGCCAAACGAAGCTGGACCAGCGGTCAAGAAGGCCAAAGAAAATGGAGATTATATGAGTGACGGTTTGTAAATGAGTCATAATGCAAGTAATTTGATTCTAGACGGCGATTCGAAGCCCCCAAGTCGTGCCCAAAACTCACGGATGTCTCCAAATAGCATGCGGACTGATTTCTCTTCGATGAAGGTAAGCGAGCGGAAGACAGCAGTATACGTTTTTCTAGTCTGAACAAGGAAACGACGATCAGCAGTTCCCTTCCGGTACCTCAACTCCTTTGAGTCAAACTCCTGTTAAAAGTAGCGCTAACATTCAACCAGTCGATTCTCAACATTAACACAAGGGCAGACCTGATCTCAGTCGTTTGTATCGGGTAGAAGGGTGGTCCTCTAACTCTTAAAGCTCATCTTCTCGGACACCCGTCTTTCATTAACTTTTCTCATGTTTCATTGACCTCTGTCATTACACTTTAAATGTATATCGTATCGCAAACAACCGAGTTATCCCCCTTTCTGAGGTTGTTTTTGTACAGTATTAATCCATTGGCTTTTCGCAATCTTTTAACTGTTTCATCCTTTTCGGAATGTTCATAATCTATAAATGATAAGTATAAAGACAATACAAGACTGCTTTGTCAACAACGACCAAAGATTTTGAATGCATTCATGGTGGACATGACTTCCTTGATATAAGGACCAAGGGTGTCGGGAGGAGTTATATGGGTCTTGAATAGCGGGAAAAGCTGGCATTTGATTAGCTTCTGATGCCTTTTGTGGTCGCTCACTTTAAGTGAGGAGATGGCATACGGGGTATGAAGACGGGCCAGAGCCCTTGAGATCTGGTGATGTAGAAGATGAGTCTACAAAAATTTTTAAACGAAGGCTTTCTACTTTACCTTTCCATAATCACAAGACACTAATTCGAAAGCAAATCTGGGCAATTGTAGTGCCAATAGAGGTGTGTAACCATCCACCAGACACAAGATTGTTTGAATGCACGGACCCAGTTCTTCAGAGATCTGGACACAGATGCCAAACGATTCCCATAGCATCTCGATAACATCAGAGGAGCATAAATTGGCGACAAGTTCATCGACTACCGCGTTCCGATTCTTTTCCGCTGTTTCCCCGGGCAGCTTGATCTCATGATGAACGTCAAGATATTTGTCGATTAGTCCAATCAACGGGATTCCACCTTCCTCAGGATTCAGAATCAATCTGCGACGACTCAAATTCCCCATTAGATTCACACACCTCTGAATGCAAATGTTGACATTTACAGTCAGACCTACTTGATAAAACAACTCTTCCAAAACGGGCAAATAATCGACGAGTAAAAGGAGATTCTCACTTTGAAAAGAGGCTCTTTTGGAGTCAATGAAGCCGACCAATATCATGTATTTGAACAGTCTCTGGGCTCGCGGATTCGAAGATTCCGAGATTCTTTTCCTGAGAATCCCTTGGATCTCAACGCACATTTTCTGACGTTGTGACGATCTTTCCTGTAACAACTTTCTCCCTTCAATTAAGTTTACATACCATCTCCTCCTCAGTGATGACTTTATTATCTTCATCAACTCGATTATTTCTCCCCGTAAAGGTGACATTTCCAGCTGTATTATCACTCTCCCCGAAGAATTCATCAAGCGTCCGATTCCTGGCATCAACTCGAACCATCTATAAATATTTTTTTTACGAATTATCCATACCAATTTAGGAGCGATCTTCTTCTTGAAGTAGTCAGATTGCTTATTTACGGGTTCCCCATCAGCTCGCCGTTTTGTTCCTTGCGAGGTGCCAGTAACTGTGCTTGCAACTCCAGTATCCTGACAAAAACTCGTAATTTTTGGTTGAATTTTGTTGTTAGTACTATAAGTTTACCATCACCATACATTTCTTTAAACTTACATGTCAAGAGTTTTATTGGGTTTGCTCATCTCGATTACTCCGCGATGACTAAAATTTTCCAACACCTCCAATAATTTCTAAAAAAAATAAAATTTATATTATACGCAATGCTTTCTATTACCTTTTGAATCGTCTCAATAATCTCTGTCTCATCGAGAAAATATACATACTCCTTCGTCGGATGTACATTTACATCCATTCTAGCCGGGTTTATCTACAAGATACTGTAGTTGATCATTTAATCCTTACCCTCATGGACACATGAATAAAAGCACAATAAGAATCTTTGGATGAAAAGGTCAGATCAAGTGCACTCTTCAGTTTATTACAACTGACAGACCTGTTGTTGATGAATATCTGGAAGAGGCGCTGTTTTTGTTGACGGGCAGCCACAGCCTTGGAAGTGAATGCAGATAACGGATGGGCCATGCAGATATCAGCCTCAAATTGCAAGTTCTCATCTTTCACTGTAAAGTCGAACAGATCTCTGGTTACAGTAGGATTGCACATCTTGATTACAGCATGTCGATCTCCATTTCCGAGAGATCTAAAGGACCCTTTTCCATCATGACGGACAACCGAAAAGGCCACATCACTAAATGGGTATACTGTAACAGGAGCAGTAGTTCTCACGGGAAATTAGCAGAATATTTGGACACAAGACTAATAATCTGAACTGCTTCATCATGAGGATGTTTGAACGTGGCTCTTCGATGGGGATAAGCAGAAAATAATTTATCCACTATGATCTGAGTTCCCTGAAGACCAGCTGAAGGAGTACAGGCAGTAGTCGGTTTACAGTCTGAAAAAAGTAAGCAGGAATCCAATTCACTCATAATATAAAGCTTTACTCTCGTATGTGCAGGTCCAAGCATGAGCACTTTGTCTTGTTTTAGAAGTGACTACAACCTTGGCCATACAAGAGAGTGAGGCCAAGGCTTCTCCTCTGAAGCCGAAGGTCGCCATTCTTTGGAGATCTCCGATTGTTTCCAGTTTCGAAGTAGCGAATCTCTCGCAGACATTCTCGTAATCCTCTTGTCTGATCCCCTTTCCATTATCCTTTACTTTAATCAAATCCAATCCGCCATTCTTAATAGTTATTGTAATTTCAGTGGCTCCGGCATCCAAAGAGTTTTCCATCATCTCTTTAACGGCATTCATTGGTCGTACCACCACTTCTCCTGCCGCGATTTTGTTGACAACATCATCTGAGAGGACAATGATTGGTTTCGGATCGTCCGCCATCTAATTTTGTGTAATCTTTTACACGGTCGGGCGTCTTGGCGGCCCGATTTGAATTCGCTACGACTTTATTTTTCGTCCAAATGCAAAAATTTTAGTTTTTTGTTAATTTTTACTGTAGTCTAATAAATAATTTTCTATAACATGTTTGTTATACAAAAAAATGAGGGAGGGTCTGAGGATTCCGTGAAAAAAAAAGAATTTTGACATTCGGCCCAAAAATAAAGAAGTTATATAGCCAGTTCAAACCGGGCCACAAAGATGCCCCACCCCTTGTATAAAAAAGGACAAGGAATAAAGTAGTAAAGGAGAAAACCCAATTAAAGAAACTATATAATCAACAATCTTTATTTCATCGCGATATGACGGCAATCACAGATCACTTGCAGGAAGTAATAAGAATTATTTGCAGAAATTCAGAACAACCTCTTTCTTGGCCAATTCCTTTTCATCAGTTACCTTTTCACCCTAAAAAATTGATATATCCAATATTGCGTTTACCGTCTTCCAATTGTATAAGGTGGGGATTCCAGTGATCTTAAGCTGACTTTTGAAAGGATTGGAGTTGTCTTTCCAGCTATAAATTTGTGTTATCTTAATTCGTCACTTACAAGTCACGATGTCCAACATCACAAACCACAGTATCAATGGTCGATCCCAATTCTTTCAAAGTATTTTCAACATTATCATCAGCTAAATCAATAAGTCAATTAAATTCGCGATTATCTTACATATTCTACAATCAGGGCACCAATTGGATCCATTAACCTTGGTTCCACGGAAGTAGATCACCAATTTTTCGGCTTTACTCGCCTCCACGTGCTTCTTCAAAGCTTCAAACCCTTCAATAATATGGAAAGGCATCTGCTCTAAACATTAATTGCCCGAAATTTTAAGTAAAAATAGAGGTCAACCATGCATGAAAATAGAAAATAAACAATATGCATAATACTTTATATAACAACAAAAACAATTACAATCATCTTCACGCTCTCCACAAAACTTTTACTTGATCCGTTCGGTATCTCTGAGTGTAAGTGCATTCCTCGATCGGTGTAAACTGTTTGAACTTGTACATCTCGTATCCAGCTTGTGCAATCATGGCTCCATTATCGATACAAAACCTCTCATCAGTAGAGAATAACTTGGCCCCTCTTTCTTCACACATTATCTTCATCATCTCCTGTAATCTCTCGTTACATCCCACACCACCAACGATCAGGACTTCACTGGCATTGTTCTGGGCCATTGCTCTTTCCGTTATTTCAACTAACATGCAGAAAATAATTTCCTAAAGAAATAACTATATAACACTACATGAAACAAAACCTGAAGCGAAAAGCAGAGATCTTCGGGAGTGTATTTGCTTTCGGCCAACCATTTAGGAGTATTCTTCTCAATACTTGATAAGATTCCACTCATTGAAATATCCATTCCCTTTACAGTATACGGTAAATCTGCGAGTTTCGTTCCCTTCTTTGCCATCTGTTCAATATTATACCCCGGAGAGGGATCATTTGGTAGCTTAAGAACTCGGGCAAACCTATCCAGGCAATTGCCAACCGCGACGTCTAGAGTTTCCCCAAATATAGAATAACGTTGATTTAGGTACGATATGACCTGGGTATTTCCTCCACTGACGTATAAGATAACGGGATTCTCCGCTCCTGTAACCAATCTACCCATCTCAATATGACCAACACAATGATTAACAGGGATGATCGGCTTATTCCACATCTGAGCCAGCGTTCTAGCAGCAATACATCCAACTTGAAGGGGAGCTCCCATTCCAGGTCCTCTGGTGTAAGCAATTCCATCAATCTGTGTTATCGGATCCTAAATCTCCAAAATAAAATAAACAAGAAAGTACGCACACTAATATTGGCCTGATCTAGCGCTTCTTGAATTAACACATCAACAACAGAACGATGATGGACAGCAGTTTCAGTGGGCCTGAAGCCTTCTCCCGGAGGCGCATTAAATGTTCGTCGAGGATTGCTCAACGTTTCACCATCTCGGATCACTCCAACACCGATCTTGTTGGCTGAACTTTCAATACCCAAAATACAAACCATGGCGAACAAAATTTTGTATTATTTTGTTCTTGCGTCAAGTGTTTTTACCGAACCTGTCAAGTTTTTTCTTGCTATTTCTCAGGGGTGGCTTATAGCTATATAGGGTCAGGAGCCCCTAGCTAGGGGCCCTAGGCCTAAGGGTGGTCAGCGGGCCGGTTTTTCCCGATTTCCGGGCCCGGCCCGTCAAAGGACCGGCCCGTTTATAGAGGACTCTGCGAACTGCGCCCAAGCTTTGGAACTAGAAAAAGGCGTTGATCTAGCTGGTATAGGAATATTATTTATTAACCTTAAACCTAACAAATGAAGCAATAACAAGTCAAGAGAAAATGTAATGCGAGTCTGCCCCATATGAAATCGGCCTGAAGGGTAGCTATTTTTTGGTATACGTGCTCCATGATGTCATATAATTGAGGTTGATTTACGGTAATACGGCCACTTTTCAGTACGAGTTAATTTCGTACAATTAGCCTCGCAATACTTGCCCATCCGGTAGTACAAGTACCAACCCTAAAGATTACGAATTTTTCGATCATTGAGTTATACCATTTCCATTGTTGGGGGATGTTAATGGATTTCCTTGAGGTATGTAACCTTCTTGGGGTCTACCTAAAACCTCTCTTTAATACATACTCCACGAAAAAAGTTTTTTCGTTGAATCCTTTTTCTGCGAAAGATTCAACGAACAGCTGATTGCAAAAGATTCTGGTGGCATCCGATGAGGTCAAAACTTTTTTTGCGGAGTATATATGTTATTAAAATTCTTACGATATATGGGTGCAGCATATTGATTTGGTTGTCTGTAGGAATTCAATTGATTTAAATTGTACAACTGATAGGGATTGTACAGTATGCCGGAACATAATTCTAATTACTGAATATGATATTTCACCGTTCTTTACTTACCATTAATAACCGATAACAATAGAAGAATTGTGCAGAAAATATTCATTTGTTTGCTTTAGATGAATGAAATGAAAACATTTTTTGGATGGATAGATATAACCCTGGCCAACGGAGATCTCTTCTGTTATGTGGGCGATCAATGTGCTGGATACATATACCATTTTAAAGTGGGGGAAAATAGAGAAGAATGTGTTGCCGGATTCAATCTTGAATATGTTTACGTACTAAATTCAACAACTTTAATTTTTTATGTCGTTAATCTTCGCACGCACAATAAGGTATGTAAAATTACAGTAAGACAAGTCTTTCTGCTGCGCCATAATAATGATCTTTTATTTTAGACTTTGAAAAGAGCTGAATTGTCATCATCTGATTACAAATTCAGTGTGATTGATCTCCTTGAGCCCAGTGTTATCCCGAAAGCTTTTCCCAACATAATATCGACTTTAGGGAATGCTGCAAAATTTCCAGCGATCCTTCCCACTTTTTATGGGGCTTTCGTGATTCTACCATCTTCTGGATCTACTGAGATTTGTACGGTTAAAGATGAGAATATTATTTTGAACTCCTTTCCAAAGACCATTGTACAAGTAAGTATATTATAATTATACAATTTTTTATCAATAATTGATATTTTGTTTGTTTTCTTCAGGCTTCGTCAGGAAACAATCATCTTTTACTTCTCACCTCCGACAATGAGGTATACTGTATGGGAGTTGGAAGTAGAGGAGAATTGGGCCAAGAAGAGATTATTACTTTCTCTGAGATCCCCATAAAAGTATCTATTGCATTTGAGGAGGATACTGAACATATTGTCCTTATTAGGAGTGGAGGTTGGCATAATATTGTACTGACTGATGCTGGAAATATTTATTCATGGGGCTTAAATGACAAAGATCAATGTGGGTTTGGAGAGGTAAGGGCAATGTTTGATCTCCATTTTAACTTGCTATTGTTAATTGCTTTTGATATTTATGAGTTTGATAACAATTTGGAGGGATTATATTTTGACCTTGTAAGGGTCTTTTGAAAGGGTGCCTATTAACAGGGGAAGTACTTCAAGTGTGACGCTCAGATTTTCTTTAAATTTTGCACACACATCGGGTATGGACTAAATATCAATTCCTGAAAGTTTTAGCTCGCGCTTTGCGGGCGCCGCCGAGATATTGAACGATTTTTGCAGCCGAGAGAGCACGCTCAACGTGGAGAGCGGTCAGAGAGAAACCCGCTTTTTGGCCATAACTTTGGCAGTTTCGTGCGGAAAATTTTGATTTTTTGTAGAAACATTATTCTTTACGGTTGAAATAGGCATGAAACTTTTCGTGCCGAAATTCGGCAAAAAGTCCCAAATTTTCGCCGACTTTCGATCTAAAAATCTCGGTTGTTTCTGCAAAGCGCAAGCTAGGATTCCCGCATATATCTTAGAAAAAATTATTCTAAATTTGTGCCAAGTTTCATCAAAATCTGAGCGTCACACTTCAAGTACTTCCCTTGTAAGCTTACTGTAGGATGACATTTAGGTTGCTATTCAGAAGGTTCCATGTTTTGTGGATCTTAAAAAACCGGTTAAGTATGTGGAAATAGGCCAGAAATGGACAATCGTCACTTTTGGTAAGTGCGTTATCTATTGCCGAATACCGATGTTATTTTATAGTTGATGGCGAGGTCCTGCGGCTCTGAAAAAAAATAAATTAATTCCTCCCTTATCAGCATTGATTATAAATGGTGTTCTGTTCTCTTGCCTTGGTTGTTTGCAACTGTCCCCACGTGTGATGAGGACGTTGAGTGTATTTGTTCTGATATATCTGGTGCTTGGCTGCAATGCTTACACTCCTTTGCCAGCTCCATTTAACGAGGAATGTGTGATTGAGAAAGGCAAGAATCTTTACAATCCTGCCAATGCTGGGAAGATCAAATGGTAGGGTAGTGAATCTTTGATCTCAAATAAATGTGTTGTCTTTGTTTTATTTGTTGCTTTTAGGTATACTGTAGATCTGGATGCCCCTCCAGAGACTCATTTCCAGCAGATCGCTCAGGAATATAAACAAGAGATAAGGGATTTGATCGGGGTCATCAAGGATCTGATTGTCCCAGTGATCCCGGCAGCCCTCGAGATTGTGGATGTTCTGTTCAAGGACCTTCTCAAATGGATTCCAGAACCTTACAATTCTGAAATTATTGCAAGTTAACGTTATTAAAGAGGGTTTTGTCTATTAATGGTGACTTGGGACGAAAGATTTAGCAGTTCTAAATACCATTAAAGTTTGGATTTAGGGTGTGGCCAATGTAACTGGACTTCCGGTTGGAGAAGTTGTTCTGTACAATGTCTTCTATGAGGTCTTCACCGTGTGCACTTCAATTGTTGCACAACAACCCGATGGTCGTCTGATCCATGCTCGTAATCTGGACTTTGGTCTTTTCTTGGGATGGAATCCACGACTTCATGAGTGGTCCATTTCCACGGTTCTCAGGAAGATGATTGTCAACATCAACTGGGTGAAGGATGGTAAGAAGGAAGCCAGTTGCAACGTTGAATTGCAGGGAAATTGTTGTACAAGACCAATAACTTTGCCGGATTTGTTGGGGTTTACAACGGACTCAAGCCCAATAAGTTCACTATTACTGCAAATGAACGGTTTATGCCTGCTGGCGGTCTTTACGGAATGCTCAGATATATTCTGGGACTGGACAAAGAGTCCAATTGGATGACCTGGCATGTCAGAGAGACATTGGAAAAGGCAAATGGTGAGTATTATATTATTAAAGATTACTTGTGGATGCATCCTCGTAGATTACGAAGAAGCGAAGACCTTGCTGTCCACTCAAACAATCATGTCCCCTGTATATTACATCTTGGGAGGAGCCAAGCCATTCGAAGCTTCGATTATCACCAGATCCATCAACGAAACAGATATCCTCACAGAAATGAACCCCAATGACCCTGAGGGATGGTATCTTTTGCAAACCAATTATGATCCGGGAACTGACGTAAGCCATGAACTTTTATACATTTTTTACGACCATGATTGGTCCTTATATCGAGAAAAATTAATTTAGATTATCTTTATCGATGATCGTGATACCCCTGGACGGCATTGTATGCATGTTCTTGGTCAGAAAAATGTCGGATTCAAGGGGATCTACAACGTCCTTTCATCACAGACTAGTCTCAACAAGTTGACAACTTATACAGGTAAAAAAGATCCAATCAAAATGTAATCCACAACGTTTTCTTTAGTATTGATGGAAGTTCACAGTGGTCAATTTGAAACTCATTTGCAACGATGCCCGGGTTACTGTTGGGGATGGTAAAATGCCAAAGCAAAAATTTTCTTTCTCCGATTTTTCTTATTCTGTTTTTTTATTCGGAAAAGTAAATTTTTTTATCTCGAATTCGTTGAGTTATCGTGTAATGGAAGGTGCAGATCATCTCGGCCTTGACATCTCGGGCAAAAATTTCTTCTCCCAGATTGGTCTAGCTGTGGGAGCAGTGGCCATTGATAAAAGAGACCCCTGGCCTGCTTCTCAATGGGCCTATTTCAATGGTAAGATTTCTAGGCTGTTATGCTGAACCTAACTAGAACTTGAACGATCAGTTTTTTAATTTTTTTGACCTGATTTCGGGTTCTTGCTAAATTTTTGCCTGATATAATTTTATACTTATTCAGTGGAAACCTTGCGGAAAGGAGAATTTGGAAATGTATCCTTGGTACAGACTAAAATTAACCATCCAATGAGTGGAATTGACATAAAAAGGTGTATTCTGAAGACAATCAACTTAGAAAAGCAGTTCAAGAAGATTGTCCATGAAGCTGGAACCTCCGAGGATAATAAATCTACAGCTCTTTCAAGGGTTATGCGCTTGCTACGGCGAACTGTCATGGATTTATATGTTATTGGCAGGTGAGTGAGCTTATGCTTGTATTGAAAGACTCGTTTAGATGCCGACATCAGAATATTCTACATGCCCATTCTGTTTTCCTCAATGAGGGGAACCTTATGATTGCCATGCCGAGGTTCCATGTTCTACAAGATTTGATCGAAGATTATCGACAGGCTGTTAAGAACGACGTAGGCATACTTTTTGTTGGAATTGTTGTTCGCATCGAAACTAACGTCGTAATTGCAGCCGATCTCCATGACCATCATTGCTCCGATTATTCGTCAACTTTGCCAAGCACTGGATTTTCTCCAGAAGATCGGGATTATTCATCGAGACGTCCAACCAAATAATGTTCTTTTGACCAGGAATGGGACCGCCAAGCTGTGTCACTTTGGGCAATCCAAAGTCTTATCCTCCAAAAAACACTTCGAAGAATGCAAAACTCCCGTCGGCAAAGAAGAGTTTATGTGTGCTGAGAAGGTAGGTGCTTTAAATTTCTTAGGATTGATTGTATAATATTGGACTTTCAGTTGTGTAATTTGGTCGCTTTTGGTTTGGAAAATTGTCGTTCCTATGATTATGCTGCCGACATCTGGTCGCTTGGTGTTATGATATTGTCCATGGTCAGTTATTTTCCTAATGAAAGTCATCATCGACTCCATCGGAACTTCGCCTTGATAATGGAAGAAGAACAAGCGTCTTTTATATGGCTAACTGCCGAGATGGTGGTATGTTATTTTTCCTCTCTTATGTTTTAAATCCTAACATTTTCAGCAACTTCGTGCTAGGCTTCTCAAGAGTGGAGGCAATGAGTTGAAGTCATTCCTCAGCGATTTTCTCCTTAATCCAAACTCCCAAAAAAGGCCGGTTGCCGAGGAATTGATTAATCATCCCAAACTGTTGAGCTGGTGTTCTGACACTATCGAAAAGGACAAAGCCACCATCAAAAAGTTGTTCATCGACAGAGTGGACTTTGCGAACAAGTCGAAAATTCAGAGGGACGGAATGAATTTTGATTTTCTCGAATGCGTAAGGTTAATATTGTTGTATGAAATGTCTTTAGAAAGACATTCCCGCAGAATTCTATTGGAACGATGACTGGAAACGACACGACTCTGAATGTTTCTCCGTGACTATTGTTAAGGGGTACCAGCAATTGATAAAGTAAGCAAAATGAAATTAAACAGTTTATTTATTTTAGTACCGAATTCAGATATTTCAACCCAGATCAATTACTGTCCCCGTTGTTTCAACTTGTTGAGTCCGGGTCTATCTGTTTTGGAGATTTGATTCCAATCAGAGCTCTGATTGATGACATGACTTTTGATTTGATTCGAACTGGAAGAGTGAATACTCAGAGAGATGGAAACAGTAGTATTGGTATGCTTTTAGGGCATTTTGGGCGATAAGTCATCTATTTTTAGAAAAAAAATATTCTCCCCACCTTGGATGCGATGTAAATGAGCCATCAGAATTGGTAGTACGAGTCGGATTCGGATCGCTAACAGAAGAAGAAGAGACTGCGCTCACCGGTGAATCTTTCGAATCTTATTAATCTAAATAGGAAAAAATGCGAATACTCTTGTAAATATATTTCATCAATTTCTTAACATATCACCGTGTCCTAAAATGTTCATAAAATTTTTTATCGATCTAGCTACAAGTCGTTTATTTACTTGATCGCTAACTCGGCTCATTCCAATTCCCAAAAAACCCGCTCCATATTTTCAGTTCCTATTCTCGAGGCGGCATGCCTTTGAAAACGAATTGTTCGTGAACGAAAGTGAATAATTAATTGGCTCGCCCCAAGGTGAGAAGTGATTGTTGATGGAGAAATCGGTGTCATTTCCTCGGCGGAGAGAGTTAAGACGCCCTCCCCAAAAGGGTCAGGTCAAATTCCTTGAAAGGAGAGTTGAATGGGGAATGTTCGCCGAGAGAGCGCCGGCAATCGGTTAAAGGTGTGGTGATTGGGGCTGATCCATCTCGTTCCAAAAGTCCGTTATCTCAACCATCTCGAGACTCTGCGGCATCCCAAAAATCTGCTAGAGATACGGGGCGCGTCTTTCGAGACTCTCGACATCAGCGGGAAACCGAATTCTCGGTTCAGGTGTGGTTGTTATGAAGACGTTCTTTTTTTTCTCCGGTCTTCTGGCCTTCTCGGCTCAGGCCTCCTTGTTTTGTCCTTATACCGTATACCCGACTCAAGAAAATGACATGGGTAAGTTTAAAAATTTATTCCGAACTAATTGTTCCCGCTTATAAATTACGGATTTTAGTCACCGCTACCATCCAGGCCAAGCAAATATCCGATAATAATCTGTATTATCGTATTACGGACAATGAATCGGACCCATCTTACAAGAGACTTTCCAGTCATTTCAAGTTGATGACTGTCAGGGATAACAACGAATGTCCATTTAGAGGATGCATGGTAGAACTGAGCCCAGCCGAGCCCAAGAATCATCAGACCAGGCTTTACCAGACAAGTGTGATCGGAAAGATGATTCCTCCTGGATTCTTCCCCATCGAAGTCAGCCAAAGACTTTACTGTGTTCTCACCGACGGAGATTGTGGGGCCACTGTTCCTCTTTATCGTCATTATAAAGTCACTCCTCAAGGCATTTGTGAGCCTTCACCACTTAAATAATATACTTTTATAGTCCATGCTTATACAATTGATCCCTCTGAGATCATTGAAGGATATATCAAGGAGTCGACCCCATTGTGTTATGTTTGGGCAAGGAACAAGGCCACCGTCGCTTATGATAAACCAACCATCTTACCTCCCCTTGAGAAGATCATTCCCAAGGTGAAAGTAGTCAGCCATGAACGAGAATTCGATCCCAACAGTCAAGAAGACAACACTTTGTTGGACATCGATGAACTCTGTGCTCATGACAACAGAAAGAGCGTGGACAGTTCCATGAAAGAACTGATCCAATTCTACAACAATCAGGAGGGACTTAACAAAGATCATCTCTACACGGTCAAAAGGAAGGTTAAGGGATACAAAAAAGAGGTAATTAGGAGAACTAAGGTACAGAACAAAGTTTAGCAAGTGCTTGGAAAAGTTGTGACGAATATCAAGAAATCTGGATGCAGATGTCTAGTGCAATTAGCTCAGATGAAGTTCGAGAGACAGTCAGGATTACGTAAGTCGGATGATTTAATCGGAATGAGAACGCCTTTTAGCTGGTCTAGACCACAAATTGGTCCGAGAAAAGATGGAACCAGCCTCTCTGGACCAATACTTCTTGACTGGAGAACAATTTTATTGTGCTCCCCAACAAGGAGAGTGTGGAGCCACAGTCCCTTTAAGAAAATGGTACAACTTTGCGGATGCAGGTGAGATATTATCAGTAATAAGATAAATTAATATTATTACGTCTGATGACCATCTCCATTTTTCAGATTCCATGATTACAGCGGATTCCGAGATTCCTCCTCCGATGACTGCTCCCTTCCCACCAGAAATATTATGCTGGATTTGGCCTAAAGATTATCGCCAAGACTCCACGGAATATGAAGTGGAGGAAGAAGGTCTTCATCCAGTCACTTTGCCTAAGAAATCGTCCGAAAGTGAAAGCCAAGAAGCAGAAATCGAAGGGTCGGGTTCGGGAGAAGAGACAAAAGAAATTCAGAAAAGCCCGAAGGGTAGAAAGGATGGAAAAAAAGTACTCCACTTCCAAGAGTCGTAGTCAGCTCGGCGCAGGAGGGATTTAAGGTCTCGAATAATAATAATTAATAAACAGCAAACCTTTTTTAATGCATATTATATAACCAACAAATTGGCGGCGGAATCACCTTTATTCAGAATAAGACTTTAAGCAAGCTTACGCTCTTGGATGAACTCTGGATGGACACAATCTCCCTCCAGGGTACACATCGACAACGCTGATCGGCGTACTTTCAATTCGGGAATCTCATACCACTTATTTAATCTAATGTCAAACTTTTCGCATCTTGTAGTAGTCCCATTTCCATCGTATCCACCAGCCACGTATATTTGGTCTCTCAGTTTGGAGATTCCAAAGTTTGATCTGTAATATTATTTTTTGGATTACTAATCTTCCCACATTACCTGGAACTGTTCATAGATGCAATAACGTGCCATTGCCCCTCTCTGGGATCATAGAATTCGCAGGAAGTAAGTCGATTTCTTCCCGTGAATCCCCCCGCCACCATGATGGCCCCTTTGATGGATATCGAGCAAACTCCGCTTCTTTTGTCTCTCATCTTCCTTCCCACATTATACCATCTATTCTCCACAGAATCGTAGAACTCAGCAGTCTGATGACAACTATTTCCATCGAATCCACCAACCACATACACCTTCTCGTCGTGTAAAGTAACATGACAATCGCTTCTAAAATAAAAAGTATCGCACTTTAACATCTTATCTCCTACCTGATATGGTTCATTCTGGCTCCATTCGACCACAAGTTGACGGTCGTATTCAAAATCTCAGTTGATTGGAGTCTGATTCTGTTGTTGTATCCTCCCACAGCCATTATATGGTGTTCATCCAGGGGACAAGCACTCACATAACATCTCTTCTCGTTCATAAATGCATGACAATTATCCTCCCATCCCTGTGAATAACAATAGGTTATTTTATGACATGACTATAGTCACCTACTTTCTTCTCGAGATTGTAGATACAGGATCCGTCATAATAATTGTCTCCATCAAATCCTCCGACCACAAACAATCTTTTCTGTTTCGCCATGGGGACAATCTCATGGTAAGATCGAGGAGAGGTTAGACCAAGAACATTATCCAAGGGTTCAATCCATCGTTCTTCATAGGAATCGAACACCTCTGCCTTTGCTGTTGGGCCAGCAGTCGCCCACCCACCAAGGACCGCCAAGACCGAATACGGTAGACGATGTTGGGAAGAGACGAAGAAGGGCGTTCCAGTCGAAGAAGCGGGTTCCTCTTGAAGATTCGACTAAAATAACGGTATCTTGCCGTCATCTAATTATCAAAATATTCAAAAGTCTTACATGTTGAAATTGTCTAAACGTGTGTCCATCTTTAGGATCACCTCCATTCTTCTCATTATAACGACACCATCCTTTCAACGCCTCCAATTCCTCGAGCTTGGAGATATTGGACTGTTCCTTCAAAGCACGTTCAAATTCGTTTTTTCTTAACAACCGGCAAGTGTTATTATGGATAAGCTCATAGAAATTAGCAAGAATCTTCTTCCATAACAACTCATAGTACTCTTTTTGATGGTCACCTGAAGTTACCCGTTGAATTTATACAGACGATGATTGCATCGTATCGTCCGGATATTCTTACCAATCCGATGTGCAATAAGGACGTAAGTGAGGGGTGTGGCATTCTCAACGAGAGACTTGGCCAAGGAGTTGATCATTCTCGGAGATTGCAGAAAGATGGCCAGATCCAACATATCCAAGGCCAAATCCAATTCTTTTCTGAACCAATCCCCCTTAAATCCACCAGATCCCTTCGCCTCATGCATAATCGATGCCAGGAACGCCAAGAGAGTACGATGAGTATATCGAGGAAGGACTACATGACCGGCCTCGGCTTCCAAATTATGACCATAAAAGGCTTGACGGAGGAAATCGCTGAAACATGACATCACGGCCTTGTTGACTCCAACCTAAAAATATTATTTCATCTGGGATGCATGCAAAATGCTATGCTCGGCCAACTAAACGTACTCTCTTTCCTTCTAGAGTTTCAATGACCCCATTAGCTCGGCAAAACGAGACATCGACATGCAGATTTCCCACCAATTGACCTGTTGCCCTTGGTTTAGCCCAAGTCCCTGGAAGTTGCAGGAATTTTCTGGGGATTTCTGCATTCCAGGTAAATGCAGCTGATTGGGTATTTTGTGAGGCTGGGGTTATACTCTCAATCGTTGCTCTAACGCATCTCTCCAATCGATGACGGATTCGTTCATTGAATATTTCGGACTCTGGCAACGCCGGACCCACCTAACAGCAAAAATTTAATTGCACAGAATACCACTACCTTATCCTGAAGTGTTTTCGGTCGTTTAGCCTCCGGTGGTGTGTTTTCGGATGTTTCTGAATTCACATGTTGAAGTTCGTACCACTCTCCGAAGAAGTCGTAGTTATCCAGCAATGGTCGGAGTTGTTCTGGAGTCAAGTGAAGAGAAACAGAAGCCAGACTTCGACGACGATTCATACCTAATTCATAATTACAACACTAAGTTACATACCGTCCTCTGATACTTTGATAAACGACCGGTAAGTTCAGAGAATAACGGAACGACCAAATCCGAGAGAAGGATTTGTTAGATTGAAAATGAAAAAAAAACAATGATGCGCTACTAAAATGAAGGCATGTCCAGTCGATGTACTTAATATTTTTTCAATTGTTTCCAAAGGTGTATCGATGTTGCGCAATTGCGGGCAATTCGTTACCGCAGTAACAGTATACTGTAAAATTTTAAAAATCTATTCTTTGCCAAATTCACGCCGCAGCCTGCAAGATTTCTTTCGCGAAGTGCGCCCAATTTCTAGCTTTTTATTTTTTTGGGCAGATTTGGAATTATCTGTTTATCTAAGCTTTACTATGGCGATGAGGACGCCTGTAAGAACTAACAGCCAACAGGTAAGCTTATCTTTTTTGTGATTAATTGATGGTTTAGGTGATCCAAAAGAAATTCAGCGATTTAACTGTGGATGTCTACAACATTTCCCAAAGTTATACCGATTTATCCATTGAAGGTGCAGAGAATCTGGAGAGATTTATAAAATCCAAAGGAGAACCATTTATGCGGAATAATAACACGTTGCGGACTGTGGACCGTCTGAATGAGATTAATGAGAAATTGGAGAAGATTCTTCAGAAGATAACCATAGCCATTGGAAATCTCAAAGCTATGAATACATTATCCCATCAGGGAAGCGTCGAAACTATTTTGGAAACGAAGATCAGTAGTGCAGCACATGCTTGTTTTTCATTACTTCGAGAATTGCAAAGAGATTTGGAACACAAACGCTGCATACTTCAGAAGGCCTCTTTGTCTACAGATGCGGATCAAGTAATGATGGTGGCATACTGGCGAGAGTCTTTCCGACGGTTTCAATGTTACTGTTATGATCTTTTGGCTCTAATTCAATAGTCTGTTTTTTATTTTGACCTTTGATCATGGAAACTCAAAGGGAAATTCGACAGAGGGGAACTCGACTGAATTCAAGGAAGGACACACATGTGTACGCATGGAAGAGAAAACGAGAGATATAAGAAATCAGTCGAATTTACCCCCTCTGTCGAATTTCTTTCAATCAAGTTTCACTCTGTCGAATTTCCGTGAAGCCGAATAAACAGGGGTGGTCAGCAGACCCTATTTTTCCGATTTTCGGCCCGCGGCCCGGCCCGTCTAATCACCGGCCCGGCCCGGCCCGTCTAGTCTTTTTCCAGGCCCGGCCCGGCCCGTGACGGGCCTGGCCCGGCCCGGCCCGTGACGGGCCTGGCCCGGCCCGGCCCGTGCAGGCCCGTCTATAGAGGGTTCTGCGAACTGCGCCCAGGCTCGGGATCTAAACTGAGGCAAAAAAGGCGTTGATCTAGCTAGTAAAGGATCAATGTGATAGTTTTGTGGTTCTATAATGGAACTATAGACTTGTAAACGTGTTAGAACTTGAGAAACAGCAACTATAACAACATCAATTAATTTTCCCGGCGCGAAAACAATGAATGCCAACGGTTTGGCATTGTATTTTAGACGGGCCGGGCCGGGCCGGAAAAAACCCCAGGCCCGCGGCCCGGCCCGGCCCGTGACGGGCCCGGCCCGTTTGTCAATTTCCATTTTTGAGGCCGGCCGGCCCGTTTGGGCCGGGCCGGCCCGGGCCGCCGACCACCCCTGCGAATAAACTCTAAGGGAAGACTTGACACATAGTTCTGCGGGTCATCTGCTTCTTTCTCGAAGCCTGGTTTTGCTGCCTCCAAAATGGAAGTATACGGGAAGATTTAATTGTTTGAATCTTTGGGGTTTGACGATCTATCAAATCCCAGGCTTTGAACGAGGGGATGAAGTTTTTTATGTTTTATGGATGCCAATTTTTACGTTTCTAATGGAATATTAGTTGCAGACCAGGAGAATGGAAGGAATTCCCCGTGTTCTGATGTTAGTTCCTGACATCAAGTTACCAGAGGGACCCAGTTATCTCGATCAGACACAGAAGATAAAGAACGTAAGCTCTGTGTCTTATTCAATATTTGTTTAGTATATTGCACAGCACTATCAAAATAATCCGGAAAATTTTAATGAAGCTATTCAAGAATTGGATGCTATGAGGAATGTAAGTAAGATGCTTACTTATTTACTGTCTAACTTTAGTGTGTGTTGTTGGGGTTTGATGAACAAAGAACAATATTGGTCCTTAAACGGTATTTTGCCCAGTTGATGATGATGAAGAACAGATTTCCGATGGAGTTGGATGGCGAGGCAGCCATTGAGTTTTCCTGGTAAAGCATTATACGTATTGAAAGTGGTTTGTGACATTTTAGGCAGGACAAATCGTCAAACAATTTGCCAGTCGTCCTTCCGGATATTCATTTCGAGATTTGTTGTGTAATGTTTAATATTGGGACTATTCATGCGCATATTGCCGGAGCGCAGTTGCGCACAGAAGAAGACGTACGTTTCTTGTTTTTGTTTACCTTTTGTTTCTTTTATTTTTAGAGTATTAAAGTTTCGTTTGATCACTTCCGGGCAGCATCTTGGCCATTTATTTACCTGAGAGATGAACTGAAGGCATCAAGACTTGGGATTGTCGACTTTAGCACTGATGCGCTTATATTTTATGCAAATGTGATGTTGGTAAGGATATTTTGATTAGTTAAATCTGAATTTAGGCACAAGCCCAAGAATGTCTACTTGAGAAGTCGTTAATAAATCACAATTCGTCGCTGGTCTCAGCCAAATTAGCCCTTAGAATCAGTGATATCTACAATTCATGCGCCCATGTTATCCAAGGAGATGCGAGTGCTGATCGAGAGCTGGCTCTCATTAAGATATCGTCCTCTAGGTCCAAACAATGGCTGAGTCTCTGCAATGTAAAGACTAATTTATACGCGGCGATCTGTGCATTCTTTAGAGGAACTTTTTACGATGATAAGAAGGAATTTGGTAAAGGGTAAGAATTTATCATTTTTTTGAGTATATTTTTTAGTGTTACTTGTTATGCTTATGGCCTGGAGAAAGCCAAGCAAGCACTGGCGTTTGCTGAAAAGGACAAGAGAGACGGCCTAATTCAATCAGCTGTGTTTGTGTTGGAAGTTCTTACCCAAAAGTATGTTTGTGAAGTTACTATAACAAGTTTTAGAGAGGCAAATTCGAGGAAAGAGAATGATTTTATCTACCATGAGAGGACCCCCACTTATGCGGACCTGGATGAATTCAAAGCTCCGACCGAACTGGTCAGTCCCAATTCGTATGACCCCTTGGATAAATCTCTGGCCGGCGAAGATCTTTTCAAACAATTGTTACCCAGTACTGTTATTACAATCGTTTCTTTATACGAGGAAAGAAAAGCCCAAATGAAACGAGAGGTGCAAGACAAGGTGGACCGAAAGGACATAGAGTTGGAAGAGTTCTTGACCACGCTAAGATTGGACAAATTAAACTTGGATCAGCCTTACGAAGCATACCGATTGCCTGAGGCATTACTGACATGTTGTAGTGAAATGGCATCCAACCCATCGGCTGTTCCTGATCTCAATGTCAAATTCCATGAAGTTGCCACAAGATCTGCGGAGGCTGAATGCAAGTTGTCCGAGCTTACCAATCGTTTGAATGCGATTAATGCCAAAGAATTGGTAGGAGCCCGGTTTAAATATTGTATCCTTAATGTTTAGGTTGAAACTGATGGTTTCAAAGCAATTGTAAAGAAGGTGAAAAGTTTGAATGAGCATCATCTGGTTGCTAAGAAAAATAATACTGAACTTCAAGCAGGATTCGATGCGACTACTGATAATCTAAAGGTCTTAACGAAGCCCATCCATGAACTCACGAAGATGCTTTGCGATGAATTCTTTGATCCGGGTATGATAGAACCAGGCTTAAATAATGGTGAATTTATTATTTCAGTTGATACTCCCGAAGGAAAGGAGTTGAAAAGATTATTGGATAAAGTGGATGAGATGCAAAAACAGCGAAGGAAGTTGGTTGAAGATCTGAGAGATGCTTTGGACAGAGATGATATAACTCCTCAAGCCTTGGTGGATCCTTATGTACAGCCAGAAATTGTAATTGAGAAGCAGATCAAAAAACACGATCAAAAATTGGATCTAATAGAGAAGAATCTGTCTGCACAAAGCAACATCATTAAAGCCGTTATCAATGGAAATGCCGCTTTTGATGAGGTCGGTCAAAAGATTGCTAAAAGAGAAGAAAAGTAAGTGTCTCAGTAAATTGATTTGACGATGTTTAGGAAATCAACAGAAGCCGCCAAATTACTCGCGTCTTATCAAGGCTACAAGGAGATCGTAAAGCAAACGATTTCGGCTATTGAATTCTACACGCAACTGTTTAGTATGATTACAAAGCTGAGTGATTCTATTAAGAATATTGAAGAAGCGAGTACGTTTAATTCAGCAGAAGTTTATCTTTATTCAGATACGAGGTTTGAGAAGGAACTGATTGATCGGAAGAAGGCGGTCGAAGAAAAGGAACGTGCGGCCTTGGCCGCAAAGCAAGCGGCCGAAGCTATGGCCGATTTTGGATTCCCTTCTATTTCGCCTTGTGTTCCTTCGAATGGAGTTACTGATGCAAAGAGACCGGGTGCAGGTAAGAAGATGACTGATTTTGGGTTTTGATGACATTTTCATCCAGGCCGAAAAACTTTGGGAGATTACTTGGATCATTACAAAAACAACAGCAGGCTGCCGCCAAATCCAACTCCAAGCTGGGCCCCTCCTCCATTCTCGGCCCCTGTATCGGCTCCTTATCAGCCCTCATCGGTTTCAAATAACCCGCTACCGGCAGCTGCACGTCATGCTTCACCATATTACCCGTCACATCCACAACCTCAGCCTCAGGTCCCCCAAAGCCAAATGAATTCCGTAATATCTCCCACACCACCAAGTATGTACTCGCAGCCACCGGTGGCCCCGAACCCATATGATCGATACCCAACGTCACAGCCGAACCAGGCTCAACATGCGATGTATTCGGCAGCCCAGAGTATGGGCAACCGCGCTCCTGCTACTTACTCGACACCGTCTTCAACTATCCAACAGCCTGCTCAGCATAACTTTTCTTACAACGCATTGCCAGGAAACATGGCAGTGAACTCGAATTCGGGTGTGTACAACCAACTAGCTGCACATAATTACATCCCACAACCTCCGCCTGTTCAACAACAATACTTTCCGACGTCTCCCGAATCAGCGCAACCAGTGCCGAGTGCCTATCAAAATATGTATATGACGCCTGCAGTATCGGGGAATCAGCCTATTCAGACAGTGTCCAATGGAATCCATCAAGTCCCAAATGTTTCCTATCAGAATCCCCAAATCTGCGCTTCCCCTGCAGCTTACACGCAACCGAATCCACCTATCCAGGGACAAGAAACTGATGTCCTGGCTGCGGTTGGCTTCTCATCTCCTGGAGTACCGTCCCAATCTACTTACCAAACAGTCCCAGCTATGCCTCCATCGTCGGGATTTTCTTCGGCTGCTAAAACTTACCAGCCGAACACCTCGGGTTATAACCGACCTGCACCTGGAGTTTCGCCTTGGCATCAAGGACTCGCCACCCCTTACAACCCAAACCAACCCTTTCCACCTGGTCCCCCAAATAACAACAGTCTGATTTAAACATATCATAACCTTGAGAGTAATTTATTTTGCATGTGATAAACGTCATCGGTGAATTCTAAACATTATACCAGTAAATGAAAGATGATTTCACCTCTTGTAATGAATATATTTTAATTATCCTTACAATTAATATTTAGCAACATCACAGTTTCAAACCTGATAATTTCATTCAATCTCTAGCTCAATTCTTAGACTAATAGATGGCTCACAAAGTGAAGTCCGGAAGAGTTGGGAATGTTGGAAAGCCTGTTCCCCATCCCCTCCTCTGAAATTGACAGATAATTCCAAATGATCAGCATCTTCGAAGTCCGTCATCTCAAGATTTCCATCATCATCGATCATCTGACAGAGGTTTCCTCCGCATAAGGTAGCATTGGCCTTGCCTGAATGGAAGATGGCGATCTTTCCAATGTTGATTCTCAGAAGTTTAGGTTTGATCCCATCTAAATTAATCCTCCAGGACAAATCCCCGTTTTTGCTATCTTCAGTGCGGCAGATGTAGGCGACCTTCCAGTCTTTCTCAACCTTCCTTTGAATGTTCCTCGCTTCTTTAAGGTAAGAAAAGAGCCCTCTGGTCACTTCGTCTTTGTTGTTCTGACGATAATAAGCGTCCTGAACAATGTCATATTCTAGCCTACAATTAGACAAGTCATTAGGACGGAGAATTAAATTAAAGTGTTGAAAAGCCACGTACACGAACAGTTTAGCTTCTTTTTCGGCTTCGGTTAAGTTTATTTCGACCGGTTCATGCTTCATTTCCATCCGTGCTAACCTCCAGGCCACACCACCGCTCTTCCGGCCCTGTTCGGTTCCTTCTCTGAGACTGAGTTTGGGGTTTAATAACTGGATTGCTTCCCGTAGTTGGCGATGACGTAGAACATTGCGTCGTTCCTCGGGAAGTTCCTTTTGAAGGCGTTGATTTAATTTCTAATCAGTTTTTATAACCATGACAACCTTACATACCGTGAGACAATTGAGTAAAACCAATTCTCGTACAGCCTTTCTTCGCTGAAGCGTCTCCTTATGATGGAAGGTATACCTCCAAGTAACGTCTTGAACATGGTCTTTAGAAATGGCGAAAACGTAGTTTATTGTTTTTTTCCAACCCTGAGAATTCGTTGAATAAAAATATTGTACTTACTTTCTCATAAAGTAAAGGGGTGTCTATCACATTTTCACAGGGATCCAGATGAATCCAGGTCTGACTCTCAAGATCAAACACCTCTACCCAAGCATGGTCTTCGGTGCACGTAACGTATCTGACTTCGAGTCCTATAGCTCGACAACAAAGAGCAAAACAATTGGCCCATTCTCCGCAACGACCCTCCCGGGTTTCAATTAATGTCGCCGGATTGTTAAAACGAGCGAAACGATACCTTTGGTTACATTGAGTGCAATTATATACTTCTACCCGATCTGCTCCCCGTTGTTTTTCATCGTAAGTAGGAGTACTACTTTCTGAAAACATCAAACAAAGTCTTACTAGTCCTTCCGGAAAGTCGCCGGACTGAAATCGGCGACATGCACTCCGCGAAAACGAAAGTTCACTTTGCACTGTGCAATTTTTGGCTTTTTGCACTGTGCAATAAGCTTTTTCGAGCTGTCGCTCGCACCCTGAGTTTTTTCTCACAGTGCATGTCGCCGATTTCCGTCCGGCGACTTTCCGGAAGGACAGTATCGGTCTGTCGGGAAAAAAACGGCGGATCGTCGCGCCTCGGAGTCGCTCATCATCGCTTTGCGACGGCAAGCCGCGGCTTGTGATTTGGTGCGCGATAGCGGCGAGGCGAGACATTTTGCTGCGACGATCCGCCGTTATTTTCCCGTCAGACTGATACATGATTTCTGAAGCCAAGCTTTAAACAGGTAATTTAAAAAAATATGACTCACAAGGGAAGTACACCAAGTGAGACACTCAGATTTTCTTTAAATTTTTTGCAAACACGTCGTGTAGCCATATATCAACTCCTCAAAATTTTAGCACGCCCTTTGCAGAGGCACCCGGGATATTTAACGATCTTTGTGGCCGATAGAGCGCGCGACACGCGGAGAGCAGTCAGAAAAAAAAACGCTTTATCGCCTTGTGTTTGCTAGTTTTGTGCAGAAAATATTTATTTTTAGTATAAACACAGACCCTCTACGGAAGAAATAGGCATGAATTTTTTGATGCCAAAATTCGTAAAAAAGTTTCCGATCTAAAAATCTCGGTCGTTTCTGCAAAGCGCAAGCTAGGGTCTCGCATGTGCCTTAGAAAGAAATTATCTAAATTTGTGCCAAGTTTCATCAAAATCTGAGCCTCGAACTTGGTGTACTTCTCCTGTCAATACTCATTGCCCCGGGACACAGTCAAAATCTACCACCTACCAACAAATGTAGTTTTTTTTAAACACGTCACGCATTCTGGTTGATCCATCCAACGGAAAAATTCATCATGGAACCAAACCATCAGATTTTTTGCAAGCAAGACCTCAGAGATAACGCCAGTTTCAATTATCTTAGATTTTGCTTGTATATTCTCAAATGGGATAACGGATAAAGCTAGGGTCTGATTGATTTCGTCTTCATATTGCTTCACAAGTTCCACAACGGACACGATGTTCTTATGTAAAAACCGCCTCTCTTCTTCATTAGCCTTCTTAGGATTTTGGATTTCTGGCTCAACAGGTTTATAATGTTGTCGTATTAGACTTTCCAAGCCTCTTGGGTCAGCTCCTTGTGCTCGGCCAACTTCCTTACCGTCAATAAAGAATACAAAGGTTGGCATAGCTCGAACGTTATGCATTCTGGCAAGCACTAAATGTTTTAAAAAATTGATAGAAAAGCCTTACTAGAACATTTGTCGACATTCACTTTGGCAAATACGGCGTCTTTATATTGATTAGAGAGGTTTTCGAAATGAGGAGCTATCATTCTACATGGTACACACCTATGACGTTAAATATGTTAAAAAAAGGCTGAAAAATTACCAGTCAGCATAGAAATCTGCCACAAGAAGTCGTTGAGTCCCCGCCTTCTTCTGAATGGCAGGCCATTCTCCATCGTGATTAACATGCTCGACCACCATCCTTCACTCTCTTCTTGATGTACACGTCTTCTGAGCAATCAGCGGAAAATTATTTATGAATATCAAAACGCCACGGTTTTTCTGCGTTCAATCTTTCGTCTCGGGATTGTCCATGACCATGTGTATTGATGGAATCAGTGATAAGAACGTAATCCCGTTTCTGGCGGGATTGTTTATAACCAGATAATTGTCGGAAATGGCGTCACTTTGAACCGAAACATTTTTAACACAAGTTTGGTTACTGTAGTCATGATGACTTTTGATTAATTAATCACCGCCTCCTTATTTAACCTAACCATTTGACGGTTGACCCATGATTGAGTGTGTAGAGTGAAAGGAAGACGGCTAGTTTTGTTTTATTTTTGATTTTTTGAGTCGACGGATCAAAAAACTACTACAGGGTGGGCCACTCGAAGCTATCGTTCTCTTTCTTTCATTTTCTCTGCGGAGACTACAGTTTTCTCGGTAGCCAATGATGTGGACTTTTTCAATCTTCTTGAAATCTTTTTTTAAAGTTAATGCCCTGGTGGTAATACAGGTAATACAGACAACACTTTTTTGCTTTCAAAACTGCTTTAAACAAGTTTAGAGAGAGCGTAAGCAACTTTTTACTCCAAGACTTCACCAAAGAAACCAAAAATTTTCCATTTTCGAGAAAGTCGATTGAAAATCATTCCAAACATTTTCTAACAAGGGAAGTACTTGAAGTGTGACGCTCAGATTTTGATGAAACTTGGCACAAATTTAAAATAATTTTTTCTAAGATATATGCGGGAATCCTAGCTCGCGCTTTGCAGAAACAACCGAGATTTTTAGATCGAAAGTAGACGAAAATTTGGGACTTTTTGCCGAATTTCGGCACGAAAAGTTTCATGCCTATTTCAACCGTAAAGAATAATGTTTCTACAAAAAATCAAATTTTTCAGCACGAAACTGCCAAAGTTATGGCCAAAAAGCGGTTTTCTCTCTGACCGCTCTCCACGTTGAGCGTGCTCTCTCGGCGGCAAAAATCGTTCAATATCTAGGCGGCGCCCGCAAAGCGCGAGCTAAAACTTTCAGGAATTGATATTTAGTCCATACCCGATGTGTGTGCAAAATTTAAAGAAAATCTGAGCGTCACACTTGAAGTACTTCCCCTGTAAGTTTCAGCGGTTTAGGCTCGAAAATAATTTTTCAAAGCTTTGTAAGGTTAATTCGAAATGTTTTTTTTTTTGAAATTCAATCGGTTGAAAATGCAAATCTCGGCTCCAGAAAAATCTAAATTTTAGGAAAATCGGCGGAGTCTCCGCGGAGAAATTCAAAGAAAGAGGACGTCAGCTTCGAGTGGCCCACCGTGTAAAACACTGAGGGTTTCAAAGGTGGGGGATGGGAGCGAGAGGGACTTATTTTCTGATTCCAAAACTTCCATGGACTTCGTTCTTCTTCAATTTGGCGGGATATCCCGTTTCATGTCTTTATGTGTGGCTGTTGTTGTATTTCTTAAATATTTGCTCTGCTGCCAGCAAACCCCTGCCTTCCCCAGCCAGCGACCTCCAACAAAAACCGTTTAATATCATGTGAGTAACGTGTCCAGTCGCTCTTTAAAGATTTCAGTGACAAATTTTTCTCTCTCTCTCGCCTCTCGGAATCACTCTCGACCTCCCGTTTTCGTTGCGCATTTTTATCAATTGTTCTCTATTCGAATAATAACTTTTTCGTGGTTGTTTAAATATGGTGCGAGTTGTTTGCCAACCAAATCATGATGTTTAATTGCACGTGGAGGTTTCAATCACTGAAGTTTCCTGATCTGGAGATCTTCCGAATTGGCTACACGTAATCAAGACTTTTTTACACCAGGCATCGTACTAACGTTAATGATACATTTGTAGACTGCTTGAACACATTTAACTTCTTTATCGCTGAAATGAATTTACGAATGAGAAAATGGGAATACCAGTTACCGTATTCTTTCAGAAAAATTCCTTCCCAAACTCTGTTGAATGTCTGCGGCTTCAGGATAAATGGGATCAAGTGACAATGATTTTGGTGGGGTCCCTGGGGCCAATGAGGAGACCAGCTCTTTCGAGCCCCCCAGAGATACCACTGTCCCCGTCCAGTTCGCTATAGACGATTGGTGCGCACCAGTTTGGAATAACGACGAAGCAGAGACGCCTTCAAATACTCGCTTAAAAGAATTGAGTATTCAAACAGATCATGGAGTTCCCATGTCCAGCAAACAGGTACAAAGGATAATATAAAATGAATGCAGGGTTATTCTGCAGATAGACGACACTCCTCAACACAGTCCAAAGATTGAGATTGTAGTCATAAAACAGCCGGAAGAACAACATCGCGCGAGATATCTGTCAGAGGGATCGAGAGGCGCCATCAAAGATCGGAATGGGTCTTCGCATTGCACCATTAAAGTATGTTAATGAAGAAGACGGATCTTAAGAGTTTCCATTTACAGCTACAAGGGTTTTATCGTCCCACTCGAGTAGAAATGTTTGCTGCAAATGGGACAGGAGATCTGAATCCCCATCAATTTTACAAACTAATACCTGTGTCAGGTAAATCAGCGACGACTACTCCTTGTAAGAAAGTGGTGGCTCATGATGGAGTCGAATGTTTGGAGGTGTTACTCCGACCCGAAAATGATATGACTGCCATGTAAGAACAATGACTTAAGGCACCTTTAGCTTCTTACATATCATAGAACCTTAGTTCGCGCTTAGAATGCGAAGCTGAGTATTCAGCAATGATTACCAATGATAGAGTGTAGCACGGACAAGCAGTCACACGGCATTTCGTACGTTGGGACACTTTTCTTAACTAGTAGTGTTAAAAGGTGATTTTTCGATATTTTCCTAAAAGTACTCGATTTTTTAAAGTGGGATTGAAATGAATTTAATACACTTCCTAATATCATAGGGTACACGATGGAATGATTCCGGGACAGGTTAATTCAAAATCCGAGCCAGATTGGCCAAAAAATCGTCAGGGGTATACTTTTGAAAGGGCCAAAAATATTAAAATAGTTGCCAAGCTGATAATTTTTTTTCACGGGCTGATTCCATATGGTAATAGGTTTTTAGACATGCTCTTTCGAATTGCATTAGCAGGTTTTTGGTATCTCTTAACAAACCTTAGATACTGCAATTTTCCACAGGGTAGGTATACTTTCATAACGGGGTACATATGTAAGTGTGTGGAGGGCCTGGCTGGCCACCCCTGGTTTTTTCGGCTAGTCAAGCAGAATGCCAACACTTTCCCTGTTTTTACACTTCCACATTCACCACTTTATCGATAAGTTTTCAGATTGGATTGCATTGGCATCCTTAAGATTTGCTCTTATAATAATCGACAACGGCGCCAACGGCGAACAAACGCGAATACTAATGACTCAAGTGAAAATTTAAATGCCGTTTCAACGAGGATTTGTTTCAGGGCATACGTTTTGAGTGGCCAAGAGCAGGTCCAAGTAATCAAGAGTTTCACTGAGCCCATCAGATGTGGTGAGCCCCCATTTTCATTCCATATTTAATATTTCAGTACAACAACTGGGTGTTCCCGAAGTCTTAAAGATGTCGCTTAGCAAAGCACAAGCTTCTGGGGGCCAGGAAATGTTCATTATTGGCAGGAATTTTGATCGGAATACCACAGTTCTGTTCAGAGAGTACACTGACTGTAAGACCATTACAAAAATTGTAAACATATTCTTGCAGCCGGCACTCTTTGTTGGACAGCTGAAGCCGAGATCCAGAAGCCGTTCTTCCACCAATGTCACATCGTCTGTTTGATTCCTGAGTATCCGAATAAGTATCGTGGAGGAACTGTCTCCGTTACGGTGAAATGCGGCCAAAAGTACAGTCATCCGAGCACGTTCATCTACCTCCCATGCGGTCAGTCGGTGATTGGAACTCGCTGAAATCCAGGGGAATCGAGTCTAGACCTTCGAGGCTCGATTATTCTAACTTTAAGCGATAAAACGTGCGATTCCTTTCCGATTTTATGACTGTTTGTATGTTTTCAGAGGAGCAAGAAGACGAATGGTGTCCTCCCGGGTCTCCAAGGACCTCTATCAAACGGTCTTGGTACCAGCGATCCACTCAATGGGACAATAATGCCGCCTATGACATGCCCTACTTTGAATACGAGCTCAACAATTCCAATGGATTCTACCCCACCTCATACGACGAGACCTCCTCGGATCAGCCCGGAAAGAAATCTCGAAAAATATAGAAACTAAGTCAACAGGGTAAAATACACATATCACAGTATTCCTCTCAATAAATTGTTATTCTTGGTTCGATCAATTTCTCAAAAAAGTTTCCTCGGTACGAAAAATGTATGCAGGCATTGGCACTGACCGGTCGTACGCATGTCATCACGAATGTCATGGTGGTCCAAGCGCGCGCACAACAGGCAGCCATATCTCGGACTACGAATCAGTAAAGTAAAAATATCTTGGTCAGATCGGGATTTTTTCGATTTTTTTTTGTTTTTTCCAAGCCGTATTTTAGCCCAGACTTTTCAATAACGTAATTTTGAGCAATTTCGTTTCGGAAAAAACAAAAACTTGAACTTTGACTTTTACCAAATTACAAAAATCTCCTTCTGATCATCTGATATCAAGTATAATATACTGGGTGTTTCAAGAAATTTGGAACAAATAATTTGCTTATATCTTTGTGTTCTTTGCAGCTATCAACGAATTTCTTTTTGCTTCTAAAAATTTGCGTTGTGCGTTTTTAGAATCTCTAAAAAAAATTTTTGTCGTCGGCGGAGGGACCATTTCTCGGCGGAGAAAATTAGGGCCTTTTTTAAAAATCACATCGTATTACATGGCCGAAACGCCGTTGGAACGGCTGAAATCAAGTTCACGTTATACCTCCGTGGATTTTACGGAATGCTTTTTTGCGTTTTTGATTTTGCGCATATCCGCGGAGGCGCGGCGGAGACCTCAGATTTCGGCGGACATTGTTTTGGGCCTTCGGCTTTTGCAAATTCATGTTGGAAAAGAGGTTGGGGTGATTTTTTGTTGTCATCCGATGCAAAGATGGCAAAAATTTCGTACTTTCTTTCCCCGGCGGAGGATCGGCGGACGCTTTATCGCAGGGTAAAAGCAGTCTTAGGTGTCCGGGAAAAATCTCAGATGCAAGAATCCATCAGAACAACATTTTTTTTGGTCAGGCGGACAAATCGGCCGAGGATTCGGCGGAGGCTTTATCAAAGGGTCAAAACGCAAATTCTGAGCGACGACTTCCGCGGCGGTCCTTCACATACGTCATTTCTTCACAATCATTATGCTTTACGGTAGGCACGTAGCTCGTGCATTAGGAACCCTTGATACAATACCCCCCCTTTCAGGCATTTATTGCATTAGTAAAATCAGCGGAATAAAGATTGAATAGGATTATTACAGGTGGCTGGGCTGGGCTTGGCTGGTTATTTTCTATCCAAATACTTTTATAATAAAAATTTTGTTTTTATTAAAATTTTTTTGGGAGGGGGGGGGGAGGTGGGTCGACCCAAAAAGAATTCAAATTCAAAATTACCATTTCAATTTTTCAAAAGTTGGGGTGTCGGTTGATGCTGGCTGTTGGTGGTCGACGGCCGTTGGTGCTGACGCTGTCTGAAAAAAGACCCCCTCCCACCCCGATTAAAATCCCCTTACCTTACCCGTCGTTGCTGTTGTCCTGGTCTTCTTTCATCTCCTCTTGTGCTTCGACGGACGCTGGACCTGTAAACAAAGGCGCGCAAAAAATATACATTAAAATTAAACCCCCTTCCAAATTGATCCGATTGTTCTTCCCCGCCTCCTCCGTAGATGACGTTTTTACGTCGAAGCACGCGGTGCCGTTGCTTGTCTCCTGGAAATAAAAAAATTAAAATTTTAAACTAAAAATTTGCGAGCCCATCCCCAGCTCTAGTTTAAGGTCAAGGGTCGGGAAATGAAAACTCGAAGAGTTTCCAAATCCAGGAGTGGAATCAAAAGATCCGCAAGGATTCGAAGAATCCGAAGCGCTGAAAAAATTGAGGTGAATCTCCATCGACAGGCACAATGCCGGAAAATATGACAAACGGTCCATTATTGCGTCAAAACCATCAAAAAGTCGGCCAGAAATCTGAAAAGAATCCATCATTACGGCTAAGGGGGCAAAATAAAACAAGAAAGGCTACAGAGTAACTTACCTTATTGTTCGTTGTTCTAAATTGTCGACAGAACCCATCGACATCCGTAATCCTTGAAAAGATGACAAAAAATTCAATCTTTAGGTCAAAGTCATCAAACAATCAGCTGGAAATCTGAAAAAAAACAATCAAAATGGCAAAAAAACGAAGACAACAGAAGTCTACAGAGGCACTTATCTCGCAGTTATTTTCCAAAATTTCCTGTGCAACAAGATCGTCCTTGGGCCTTTTCACCAAACTGCACGGTGCGGAGCATCCGCAAATGCCTGAAAATATAATGAGCTAAATTTAAAAATCGAAAGGTGGGTGACCATGAAAAAATTGGACAGGTCAAGAGTAACCCAAAAATAAACATCATCAGTACATGAAAAAAATCAAAAAATTGTCTGAAAAAATCCCAACTTCAAAGAAAACGAATAAAACGCAACAACCCGCCATTTATTGTCTCCTAGTGTCACAAAAACCTCAAAAATCCCTTAAAAATCACCTGGTCCACTTCCAATGACACAAATCACTTCACAAGTTCCTCACAACATTGTAACGCTCTGACATCTCTCTCACATCCTTGGCTTTACTTTCAAGCTCCCAAATCGCACGCTTCCGGCCATAAACATTCAGAACCACAGCTAACCCCAAACACAATCCACTGAGAAGTCAAACAATCAAGAAATCGCAAATTCTCATCATACAAACTAAGGAAAATTCAAGAACCATACGTTCGCACTCAAAACGATAAGCCACTCAGAATCCACCAGGACCAGGATATAAGGTATACACACGAAGATACACAAAGATTTCTCTCGTAGATTTCAGAAGCTCCACAGATCAGAAGAATGTCATAATAGACAAGCACTCAAATCTCAAAAACCCTTAAGTTGTCATCTCACACATACTTCTGTAGCCGACAGTACCAAGAATCAATTAATCCCTTCATCAACATGTCTTATCCTCCCACTCGATATCCCACAAGCCAATAATCCACTCAAATTCGTCATTAACAACACCTCAGATCCTCAGAAATCGTCCCCACCGACAAGCCCCGCAAGTCCCTCCAGTACTACAATATTATTGGCCATAATCCATCCAATTCCATCGAATATATAAAGCGGGAGATAAAAGATTTTCTGAAAAATTTTTGAAATTTTTCTGTTTTTACTTTTTTTTTAAAAAAAAAGTAAATTTTCAGTTTACTTCAAGGAAAATGCAAAAAAAAGTCAATTTTGTTTCTGGCTTTCCGACTTCAAGGTCGGGAGTAGGACCGGATCTTACTCCCCTCTCGGAGTCGCCGAAAGTCAGAGCTTGTTTTTACTTTATTCCTCTTTTTGGCCCCGCACTGCAGGTTGCAAGGTTGATGCCAAGTCTTTCCCTGATGTGTCAAGTTTTTCTCTTCCGAAAAAATTATTTTTACGTTTGTGCGACGTTGTGAAGCTATGTTCTCCACGAAGATGGGCTGGAAAGTGGTCAAGTAAGTTAGCATTGGCAAGAGGAGATGTACGTTTTTCATTTGACATCAAAAGTTTCCATTTTATTTCAGAGAAAGGTACAAAATTTTTCCAATTCGTAAAGCTTCATGACCATGGATAATGTAAGTGAGATTATCTCCTTTTTTGCTACGACGTCAAGATTCTAAGTCGGGAAACGTTTAGAGGAGACCCCACTCTCATGTATATTCTCCATGTATGAAACCCCATAAATTTTGAGGAATAACGACGTAAAAGTTTCAAATACTATACTAACTTTCCAAAAGTATGTTATACTAAAGTAAAACCTATGCAAACTATCTTCAAGTTATTGTAACAACGTTATTTGAGCCTTATTACGTTATTACCTCAGTTTAGAACGCATTCGTGGCAAAAATCCGGCAGATCTGAGCGGATTTCGATATTGTACATGACACCTAGAAATCGAAATTGGTGGCGTTTGATAGATAGAGTATATAACAAAACTAAAGTGAGGTGTCCTCTAGAACTCGCCAGCCTAGAACTGTTAACTCCAATAACGGAACAAAAAACGCGATAAGCGCACTTACATTATCCATGGTCATGAAGCTTTACGAATTGGAAAAAATTTGTACCTTTCTCTGAAATAAAAGGAAAATTTTTGGTGTCAAATGAAAAAAGTACATCTCCTCTTGCTAATGCTAACTTACTTGATCACTTTTCAGCCCATCTTCGTGGAGAAAATAGGTTCACAACTTCAAAAAAATCAAAACGTTTCTTCCGGGAGAGAGAAATTTGACACATCTGGAATTCCCGGGCGCAGCTCGCAAAAATAGTTTTGAAGAAAATAAATTGGCGTGCAGGTGAGTAAAAACGGCATCCTACTCACCAGCCAAAATGGGCGAGCCATTTTTGTTTCAACTTTGCGGATCGACCTTTTGGCGAGCCATTTTTGATCCAACTTTCCAAAAATTTGTCGTTCGGAGTAAGAATGTTTTTTGACTCTCCGAAATCGAAAATTTCCGGAAATTTTTCAAAATTTACTTTTTTTTTAAAAAAAAAGTAAAAACAGAAAAATTTAAAAAATTTTTCAGAAAATCTTTTATCTCCCGCTTTATATCACCATCTTTGGCCATACATTGGCTTCTGTGTCACCGTCTTCGCAACGGAGTCAGGACTTTTCGGTCCCCCCACTTTCGGTCCCCGCCTTTTCGGGCCCGCCTTTTGGGGTGGGAGACTTTTCGGTCCCCGTCCTTTCGGCTGGCGCCTTTTCGGTCCCTGGGCTTTTCGGGCGGGGACTTTTCGGGTGATGAGTAAAAAATTGTACAACAAGATACTACTGATGATGCAATATTGTAAATAATTTTTAAAAAAACTTTTTCATCCGGTTTTGGGGTTTTCGACCAAAAAACAGATTCTTTTAGATAAGCGTCCGAGAAGAATCCGAAAAAGAAGTTTACATTTGCCAAAAAGTATTTGAAAAATTAATTATTAATAATTATTAATTAACGAATTACAAAAGAAAAAACGGAAAATAACAGTAATAACACAATTCGTAAGTGATAAGATTACTAGTAATGAATTTTCCGATTTAATGCAGGATTTTATGCCAATTTCAATTAGAAATTCAGCTTCTTCATGGACGATTTGATAATGTTAAACTTTTATCACTTCTTCTAATGTTATTTTGAAGTTTTGTATTGAAAATGTCGCAGGGTGGGTGGGTGATTCTAACTCGAAACTCCCAAAAAAAACGGATGAAAAAGTTTTTTTTTTAAATTATTTACAATATTGCATCATCAGTAGTATCTTATTTTACAATTTTTTACTCATCACCCGAAAAGTCCCCGCCCGAAAAGCCCAGGGACCGAAAAGGCGCCAGCCGAAAGGACGGGGACCGAAAAGTCTCCCACCCCAAAAGGCGGGCCCGAAAAGGCGCCACCCGAAAGAGGGGGGACCGTAAAGTCAGTCTCCCCTTCGCAACCGACCGCACGTTGCGAGAACGACCATTTTAATTAACTGTCGATTTTCAGAATTTTTCCGGATGAGGGGCACTTTTTCGAATTTTTTATTCATTCCGTGAATCGATTTCGATTTGATGACAAATTTTGGAAAAGGCAAGGAATTGACAATTTTTTTGATGTTGTTCATTACTTAAAAAAAACGATTCAGCCACTTTTAAGACATGATTTGTCATTAATTATTTATTACTTTATAATTGCTCGATGACCTAAATTAATATCTGAGGAGCGGTTAATCCGCAAATACATTTTAATAAGAAGCCGTACAGTGTGCAAAAACGGGAAGTCGCAGCAGCAAGGGCTGAAAAAACGCACTGTGCAAATTCTACGGACTTTATGTCGCGACTAGTAAGAATATTTATTCAAAATGCACAGTGCAGGCACAAAAAAACTTACAAAACTTTTAGAATATTTCTTTGATCCAAAACGGTTTACTTCCTTATTTCGGTCAAGAGAATTTTGACACCTAGATTATAAATTATAAAGCAAAATTTCGTAATTACTTTTAACAAGGAAAGTATTTTTATGGGGGCTCCTACTTTTCGACGGGACATATCCCAAAAAATCAGAAAAAATGTGCTGATTAAGGATATATAAATCCTAGCTGCCCATTTTAGGTTTTTAGGGGTGAAAACTCAATCGGAAGTTGACTCAAAGTCCTATATAAACCCCTGTTCGCTTAATTTTTCACAGGTTTACAATTTTTATTTTGGCTTAAAATGATGTTTATTGAGTTTCTAAGACGTAATAGATCAGTCTTGGCACAAAAATTTATTTTTCCGACCTTCATCTTCAAAAAAGTTGATTCAGCCCAAAAGAGAAATCGAACCCGTGCGGCGTTCCCCCTCTTGATTCCCAGACTACGGCACTAACCACTCTGCCACACCGCTCTCTTCCGAAGGAAGAGACCGACTGCGCTTTTTATCGTTTCGAATCCCTGCACTTTTTGTAGGGAAATTAAGCCAGTTTTTGGGCATTTTCACCCCTAAAAACCTAAAATGGGCAGCTAGGATTTATATATCCTTGATCAGCACATTTTTTCTGATTTTTTGAGATATGTCCCGTCAAAAAGTAGGAGCCCCCATAAAAGTACTTTCCTTGTAAGACGAAAGTAAAGTAAGATGACCTTTGCGAGTCTGGAGAACAGGATTTAATGAACTTAATTAATTAGTGACCAAGGGTGAGTAATCCTTGGAGAATAAGATCCGCGCAATGGAACTTGTTTGGGTTAATTTGGATTCAAACAGAGAGTTGTTGTAGTAGACTTAGCTGTTTTCTCATGTTTAGTGCTCTGTACTCTGCTTTATTTATTGCCTTAATAATGAAAATTTGTGAAATTTAAAAAAAAATTGCGATTAGACTTGCGAAAACATAATTAATATAAATTAGATGAGAGATTCCGGTTTAAAAGCCATGTGTTTTCGATTCGAGGAATCGTAACGTTTCATCGATTCAGACGTCCGTGGAAGCTGAGGATCAAAAAATTCCCAGATTCTTGAGTCGCTGCCTTGATCTGATCAGTGATCTCGAACTCAAATTCGAGTGTTTGAAGCCCTGAGGGGATCTCCAGAGTGGGTTCGGTTTTCTCGGCCAACAACCGGTCGATTCTGTGGAGCAAATGGGCGACATGAACGTGCATCACTACCCAAAATTGTAAGTTTAGGATGGGTTGGAGGGGTTTTCGATGACGTCATCGAGTTAAGGACTTACTTCGAGTTTTATGCCCTCATCGAACGGGTTGTTACAGTCGACTTTTACCCGAAGTTTCTTGTTCTCTTCAGCCACAGAGTGTATTTTGAAGCTGAGAGCAGGTTTGGAGGGGAGCGGGGAAGCGTTTTCCTTCACCCAGACTCGTGAACCCACCGAACGAGGGGTCAGCATCTGGTTGTTGGCCTCAGTCAGCAATGGGGAGTTGGCGAAATCAATGCGGAGAAACTCTTTGAACCCCTCCTTTATGGCTGAAAATTACCATATTAACGTTATCTACCCATGATAACAAACATCAAGTATATAGAAGATGGACGTCCAAATCAATCTCTGCTTACCCGAACAACAAGGCTTCACAAGTTGTTGAACAACATGAATCGGGACTTTTGAAGAAGTTCTTCTCAAGATTTTCTTGCTCGCGATCTTTGCCTCAGGGCCCATTTGGATTGTGGCTTGCAGAATATCATCATCGTTTATTTGTGGGCGATCAGTCAACAGATTTGGATTAGGCCGGTCTTCAACTGAGTCCGCAGAACTCCCACTGGAAGTGCTGGAAGTCCGGGATCTTTGCTCTGGCTTCAGGTCCACGATATCCACAAACGAATCCAAGGAAGTGTTATCGGATTCGATTGCTTCTGTTTCAGTAGCCAATCGTCGAGCGAAAGATCTGAGGAAAGTGTTGGCCCAGAGGGCATTCGGAGAGTTGGGAGTGGTCGGTTTGCCATCGCGGAGTCGCCGACCGTTGATCGAATATCTGAAAACAGATGTTTGTTGGCATTGTCATTCCTTTCCTGATTCTAAGAATGGAAAACAAAACGAAGAAAACCTATTTGCGACTAGTGATGTTACACAATGGTCAGCCGACTGCAGGTTAATCTTATTTTAGGTCTGGTCCCGTAGATTTTTAATGTTAGGAAAACGATTTCTTACTCTCCGTAATATTTAAAAAAACTTTTTAAATCAATTTAAAAGGCTCCGAAACATCGCGAGCATCGTAATTTCGAGTTTTTTCATAAAATGCGGCCACGCCTAAACCGGCTCCAGAAGAAAGGGAACTCCAGAAAGCAAGGACTTACGTGATTCTGGGCTTAGCCCGAAGTTCGATCAGCTGAGGCCGGCGGGGATTGGCCGTCAAAAGATCGGCCTCAATGTTGATGGGATGGATCATATTGGAATTGAATTAATTAAGACGAATATCAGCACTTGCAGGGAATCGGGAGCTTATAAAGGTTTCTGAAGCTCGCGCAGACGAGGGGCGGGGTCCCTGTTTTTGTGTTCGGGGAGGGTGTAAAATTCGACAAATTCCGTTCCGATGACGTCAGATGGGGTAGGTGTTATGAATTAGCCTCACTCTTTATCTTTCAGCGAACTCCGGATCAGTTTGCTCCAATTCCGAATTTCCTGAACTCTCACGTTCTCCAAAAACCCAACGAAGTTCGTCTTCCGCTTTTTGCAAACAATTCGCTCTTCTTAACGATCTCACCAACGAGTTGACACGCTCGTCAATGGTGTTGTTGTTTTCCCAAATTCCCGTTTTTCGAAAAACTGATTACGTAACCCGTGAAGTGAAATAAAAATTTAAATATTAGCCTGTCGGGAAAATAACGACGGGTCGTCGCAGCAAAACGTTCCGCCTCACCGAAAAAAGGGTGCAGTTTCGCATCGAATCAGATTTTGCAGCCGTCGCAAAGCGGTAATGGGCGATTCCGAGGCGGGACGTTCCGCCGTTATTTTTCCGACAGACTCATGAAGACCACAAATGGAATTCTGACCAACTCATCACACTAGTACATATTCGTCAACTACAGCATGAGCATTACTAATTAATGACCGAAATAGATTACAGGGTGAGAAAACAAATGATTCACCGAAAGCTTTGTTCGACCTAATCACACTACACTACACAAAGCTATGCCAAAAAAGATCATCAGAATACTGTACCTCTTTATTCTCATATTAGATTACAGTAACCTCGCCATTCTGTGATGTGTTTTATTCTAGAGTCTGTGATTTCGATCACAAAACCCAATTTCTTTGTGCTTTCGATTAATAAAAGTCGAATTCCCCGATCAGAGATTACCGCAGAAACCAGCAGATGATAATAATATAACATCAGAACCACATTGAAAACAATGGGGTCAGCCTAATGCAATAAAATTACTTTGACGAATACCTATAGCAAATACGAGAACTTTCTTCATCCCGCCGTATTTCCATCCATTACGCGTAAAAAAACCAAACCGAGAGCAAGCTTACCAAAATAGTCGGCTGATTCTATTTATATCACTTCTGATCTATGTTTCTTTACTTATTTTACTTGTTTTGAATTTGCAATGAGCAGAAAAACAAGCTAATTCGGGGAGGATCAACTGGAGAGTATGTTTTAGAAGATTCATAAGGACAACTTGAAAAATTGCAGATAGGGGTTACGGTATTCACATAGATAGTATACATAGAAGCTTTTAAACGGTCTCTAAAACTTATCCAACGTTGGTATATTGGAATACATTAACGGGCCGAAGCGGGGCCAGCCAACCATCCCGGGCCAAGAAAATTTTGAAATGGGCCGACTCTTTCCGCCCGGGCCAAGATCCATGTCTTGTTGCACGTATTCGGAGCACTCAATTCCGCTCTTAAATAGTTTATGCGTTTTACGTCAAAAACTGGTTAAAGGTGGATCGTGTTTGTTATTGTTTTCTGATTACAATAACAAATCAGATGAAGGACTTGTTGATTCATTTTATGTACAACCCAAAGTTAACTTCAAGGGTTTCAAAATGTTATCACAAAGTAGAATTTCAGAACTGTCTCGAAACGTTTTTCTCATTTGAGCCGTTTTGATCGCAACTTTTTGTTCGATTTGGGGTTTTAATTTTGCTGAACATCCTAATTGCAGAATGCATTCCTTCGATAAATAAATACGAACCCCGTCTTCCCAAATTGACGGAGTTTGGGTAAGAGATCTGGTCAAACAAAAATCATACTACGTTCGATGACCGTTTTAGTTCAGAAACACAATTCACAATCGTTGCAACACAACTTTGACCAACAGTTTCAAAAAATATCAAAAAACCGTTTTGGAACTACTTGAAAGAATTCCAAATCTATTGAATCTCGCTAGATGTATTGCATGCACGTTTTTGTACTACATTTTTATACAAGTTTTGACGAAAATTCACTAAAGCCAACCAAAATTCCAAGAATGTTCCCAAATTTCAGGAATCATTTGAAAATTACACGAATTTTGACATCCCTAGTAGTGAAAAAATCTTGTTATAAACGTGATATCCGAAGTCAAATTGAATATACTATAACATAAATAACTATTAGAATTTTCACGGAAATTTATCACGCGTAAAACAACAAGACAACAAAGTACAAAAGAACTTTATCCATAATTTAGAAACCATGAATTTTACAGTTCTCTTCTTTAACAATGCCGACCTTGCACAAGAAATCCTTTATGTTTTGTCGCTGATCTCCCGTCAATTGAATGACTTCTCCGTATTCCGGATGTTCAACAATAGTTCCATTACAAGAGTATTCCTAAAAAGAAAATAATACTGAATAGACTAATACCTTTTTCAAGTATCGGACGATCTTCTTCAGGTCATAAGAGGGATCGATTCCCTGGACAGTTGTTATCGACTTTCTTCCCGTTCTCTGTTGAATTCGAATGTGGCAGAATCCTTGTCGTGTTCCTTCTTCCTCTTCGAGCTGCTCGAAGGCATCTAAAAAACAAAGGATGAATAATGTCGCCAAATAATTTTAAAATCGAATTGTAAAATTTCTAATAAAAAATGTAAAAGATACCACTGGAACAACATACCCTTTGGTTTATTTAGATTCTGGATGTTCGTACTCATATCTCCAAGCGAATTTAGTACACAAAAGCCAACCAAAAGCTAAAATCGCCACAAAATAAATCCTGATGTAATTTTTTTGCTTGCAACGGAATGCCAAAGTGTTATTGGAGATCAGGCAAACTGTTCGAAGGACGGAGAATTGCTTTTTAAAAAACTGTTGCGCAACGTTACTCGTCGAGCTCGACGTTTTGTATGTGAACAGGATAAATTACATTACTTTTTGTGTATTACATCCAAAGTTTCGATTTTTGGGGATTTTTGGCCGGTGATATTATTAATGCTCTGGAGTGTTTGCACTCTCTGGTGGGCATTCGGGATGCATTAATATTTTTAAATGGCCTCCGGACACGAACGCAATAAAAACTTACTGTAGCCTTTAAACGCAGGCAATTTGACTCATTTGATGCTGAATAAATAGATATTTATTTGCAATATAGCACATCATTTGAAGTATTTTACACACCAGTTTTTTGATACCCGTGGTTTGTGAGAGGTGGCAAGAGAAAAGAAAAAAATCTATAAGGGAACTCCATTCCTGTGATAACTAGATAAAGGTGGTGGAGGACAAGATGGAGGTGGAGGAGGAGCGATAAAGGACGGCGGCCGGAGACGCGATCGACTCAGAGAATGGGGGAAGCAGGCAGCATTCGTGGCATAGGGAGAGGCATAGTTGGAGGTATTGTAAGCACAGTTATGACAGTTATTGGGCAGTAAAACGAGACTAGAGTAGTAATCGGTGGCCGGATAGTTCATCAAATCAGGCCTTCCTTGCGGCAACGCGCTGACATATCGTTGACATGTGCCCGTATTCATATTGCCTATGGTGTTATCCATCAAATCGCTGATGGATTCGGGTTTGTCATAAATGATGGACCCGGAGAAGGAGGAAGATCCTCCATACAGAGGCATTCGGCCATTCTTTTGGACGTTCTTTTCCTTCTTCGTGCAGCATAACAGCTTCAAAGAAACGGTGACGACCAATATGGTGACCAACAGAAGAGATCCGACCAGGAGGCCGAGTACCGGGAGATTATTCAAATTTTGTCGGGCCAGAGTCAGAAGGGTGTTTTGACAACCAAGTACCTGAAATTAGGGGCAGGTGTGAAGGGTCGAGACGCCGCAAAGGAGCTCTCCAGAAAGAATAAAATAATTCCTACCGCCTTGTCCAGCCCCAGTCCAGCCATCTGCTCGGGTCCATCGCATCGGGCCATGTTTGGACTATTGTGCGATGAAATAAGATTGCGCAACGTCGGAGTCCACGAACAATTGCAGAACCATGGATTGTCGGAGAGGTCGACAACCGCGAGACGGCTCAGATCAAGAGTTCCGACCATCCAGGAAGAGATTCCATTTCCCGAGAGATTCAGAATTCGAAGCCGAGAGCAGTTGGAAATGGCGGTTGGGGAGATAAGATGGAGTTGTCGACAGCCGGTGATGGTCAGCTTCTCGAGGGCACAGAGTCCATGAAAGGAATCGTCGTTGATACGAACCAGGTCGTTCATATGAGTCGCGGTCAACGACCTCAGTGCGGACAGCTCCAGGAAGTCGAGGGAGTCCAGAGCGTTCATTGGATTATCCGAAATGGATAATTCCTCCAACGCGGCGACGTAGGGCCATTGTTCTCGGGGTGCAGCTGTCAACTGAAACAAAAACGAATAAAATTAAATGAGACATTCGATTACCTTGTTCGATGACAGATCCAGCGATCGGAGTTTGCGCAATCCTGTGAACGCGCCCATTTCCATATTGCGCAACTTATTCCACGGCAATTCCAACGAGAGCAATTGGCTTTGACTCGAGAAAACCCCGTATGAGATCTAAAGAGGCGAGAATAAATAAGGCCGCCAAAATAAATAATTACCTTCTCAAATTGATTGTGACCCAAATCAAGAGTTTCGAGCTGAGCGAGGTCAAGGAACAGACTCGGTGAGATCTTCTGGAGTTTGTTGAAGCTAAGATCGAGACTGCGCACATGATCTAAACCAGCAAACACCATGGAATCCAAGTCCAAAAGGCTGTTTCTGGACAGATTCAGATGACGCAGGGATTGAAGTCGGACCAAAAGTTGCGATGGGACGGCTTTTATGAAATTTTGTGACAAGTCCAAGGTCTGAAAGATGATCGATTAGGTCATGTTCAATATTCAGAAGCGCGTAAATCAAAACGGAGGGTCGTAAATTCATGAACGGATCTCCTCTTACCTCCAGTTTTATGAGCCGCGCAAATAGAGTTTGGTCGAGGTCAGTTAGCCGATTGCGATTCAGCCGGAGGATCCGAAGATTCTGAAGCTGATCCAAGGCTTCGTTCTCGAGGCGGCTGATGTTATTGCCCGAGAGATCCAATTCTTCCAGATCTGAAGTCGAGATTAGTATTTTAGGGCCGGGAATGTCGCAAAAGCATTAAAAAGAGATGACTTTACGAAAGACAAACATATAGGGATTAGGGGAAACAAAGACGAACATACCCTCGTAGATACGAAGAGTCATGGCGTCCGGTTCTGTGATGGAGCAATCAATCAACAGTAATCTCTTCAACTCTGGGTTCAAGAACATCGGAATGGAGCCTAGGTTCACATTGCTACATACAACATCTTTGTTGTCATCGTGACATGTACAGCCGGGAGGGCAAGAGGCCAGGACAACAGGTATGACCAGGAACAGCCATAAGAGCAGCCCTGGTTGGGGCATCCCTGCAACGGAAATGACCATGTAAAAAACACGAATGGGGTTATTACACGGATACGAAAACAAATGCAGTCAGGATATGAGGGAAATAGAAGCGGGCGGGGCTATTCCCCTCCAGGAAGCCGAATTTATGAAACGGAGCGGCGATGCCGTCGAGATCAGGGCCTTTTTTGTTGGGAAAAACGAGTGCGGACAGGCCGCTCCCGCGCGGATTAACTCATCTCATCCATCCCGGCTTCGTTTTTTGGGCACAGAGATGGCCTCTTCACACGTCTCCACAGGGGATAAACTCTCGACAAAGTCGGGAATCTGGAGTCGGAAACCGTCCGCCAAATATTCTCCAGGGCAACAGAATCGAGTGTGCGGTTCATTTTGCGCCGAGCCCGATGGACTTGAGGAATGGCTGAACATGCGCGAGGGGAGGGGGCGGGGTAACCTTTGTCCGATCCGCTTGTCCTCAGCGCCGTTGGAAACGCGATCAGACATGACTGAGCCTAAAACAACTCCGCTCGCAATCTGACACCCGCGATTGTAATTTGGTGGTCGTAACAGCGCACTTGGCTTAATTACTACTTATAAATTCACATTCTTCATATCTTCCTGGGAATTCAGTGATTGAAGGCGAGATCAGAAATAAGTAAACTTTTTTTAAAACATTACATTTTACTGTTAGTATGATTTGCTAACGATGATTTCAGACAAAAAAACCGAATTAAAATATGACTAGAATCTTGAAATTGCGCACCCCAGAAATGTAATCAACGATCACTTTCGGAGCCTTTCCAATCCTCAAAAAACATTTTTTGTAATTGCATAATCCTTTTTCCGATTCCCGGCACTCCATAAAAATGCCTGAGGGCCAATTTCTCGAAATTAAACCCGATGGCCGAGAGAATTGGCTCCGGAATGTGGCCATACTTGAAGAATATGAAGAGTAGAGAGAGGTAGAGCTCTCCCTAAACCGATTAAAACGGGCCAGAAAAGGGGCCAGATTGGATTAGCAAATAAAGCAACAACAAACGCCCGAGACATTCGACCAGGTTTAAACTTATTAATCCAATCAGCCGCTTCTCAAGCGTCATGTTATCGGTCGCTGATCGCCCGAGGATCAAAGAAACCCGCCCTGTTGACTGACAAATGGGGGGTTTCCGTTTCCGCGACCATCTCAAGGGCGTTCCTCCATCTCATCTCGGGCATGTTATGACAAGATGGGGACATGGGAGAGGGCCTAATTCGGTTATAAGCGTGCTTATTACTCGACCATCCCCTAATTATCGACAGCTGAAGGAGGTCGGGCCCCCCTGAGAGCGGGGACCCTTACAGGATGAGTTCTCCGAGACTTGCCCTCATCAAATACGCATTATAATGCGCGGCCGAAAATTCAATCAAGACGCCTTGATGAAATTAGCGGGGTTAAAGACTCTTCAGCTCCACCTTCCGCGCTCAAATGAAGTTTTTTCTTTGAGGATCGAAATTGAAAAAGACGAGGCCTGAGGAAAAAAGAAGCGGACGTGGACGAAATAAAAAGATGAAGTAACAATGGACATCTTGAGGAATGTATTTGACCCTGCTCAACCGGTTGCGGCCATCCCCATCCGAAAACAAGAGCCATTTGTCGCCCAATTTGGAAGAGGGGGATGGGCAATAGCGCGAGAAGTGGACACGTCCAGCCCCAACAGTCCCCGAAAATTAATTGTGGAGTGCATGTTCGTCTGTTATAAACAAATCAAATTATTTCTCCTATTACTCCAACTCATTTGCATGGAAATCAGCCAAAGTGGCCACGACGGCCAAGACATGGCTAACAATAAGATAATAAATTTATTACAAAAATTAAACCAGAGCACATCACTCGAACGGACAACCATTGCTGACCAACTTGTGACTCTTGACGGCTTTGCTGAATGAGGTCACTGCTCCCTGCATTTCCCATGACTTCACACATCCCTGACTACTTGTCACATTCAACTGTTGAAGGATGGGGGTTGTGGCTCCGCCCAAGAAAACATTTAGTCGTTTGATTTGTTCAATTGCCAATCTAGTCATCTTCAACGGAACTCTGACCTGGCGATCGTCAACGGAGACGGTGACGGTGTGATCAGCCATCAGCATGGTGATGTGATGCCATTCACGAGGACATAAAGGCAGTTCCAACTTCTTCTCAAGATGGAGCCGATGTTGAAGGAGATTGACTTTGAATACAAGCTAAAGAATATTATTCATCAGTGGTTGATTAACTTGCCTCTCCATCCTCGATAGTTAAAGTGACATGAAGATCGTGATGATTGGGTTCTTCTGGATCAAATAGTCCAATCAAGAGTGCTTTCTTAGTGTCCGTAGTCTTGGCGCTTATTCCAAGACGTATCTCCGGCTTCGGATCAATTTTGATGAGAGGTTCTAAAAAAAATCAAACCTTTTCACTTTTAAGCCAACAAAAATAAGGTAAAAAATCTTACGGAACATGACAAATCCTCCACTGTGAATGTAATCAGCATCCACGGACTTGGCGCATCCAACAAGATCTCTGCTAGCAAGAGAAAGATCATGGGTAACACCATTAACGTTAAAGTCTCGAAGACAACCTTCGAATGTGGGGATACTGATGTTGAACTGCCTTCTGTGTTTGGAAATGAATCCTCCCACAAACATTCTCTTCTTCATGACCTTTGGATTGGGGACTTCATTCATTTGTTCGGCTGGATGTTCATCTACTTGGATTGTCAGAGATCTTCCTTGTTTGGATAATTGAACATGATGCCAGGATTCATCATTGACTTTCTGATGTTTGTAGTAGATCTTTCTCGGTTGTCTGTGGCCTTTCACTTCCAAAGCCAAGAACCCTCGATATGTGTAGAGGTAGAAGTACCGGTTGAATTGTTTGTAATTGGCCCAAGCCCAGATGATTCCATGTCTTTGTTTGGTTCTTATGTCAAACCTAAGGTCGAAAGTGTCGTAGTCAGGATAAGGCTTTTGGAAGTTGATTCTGGCATGAGCCGAAGAGGTGACTCCAAATCTATATCCTTGTTCGTGGAAGACCTGTTGAGTACGATCCTCAACATTGTAACAAGTCTCATGTCGGACTAAAGCAAAAAAATTTGACATATTCTTGCAAGAGATGCTTTTTCCACGGTGGGAAAACCGTGGACATAGGATTTTTACTCTACTAGTTTTATTGTCTTATCTTATAGTATAATAAAATAAATTTTCGTACCGGTTTCGAAACTCCTCTGACTCGGGACTCCCTAGTTCAATTTTAGGTTAAAATCCTATGCACTTCAAGTACTTCCCTTGTTAGAAAAAGTGTCTCCTAATGGATTGGATAGGGTAAAGTGGGGTTAAGTTGGAAGCCAAACTTACCCCGCGGCTTCTCGACAGTTAAGATCTGTTTGGAATGACGTCGCTCGTGTCCTCGAGGTTCGGCATCAATCTCTTCCGATTCTATATGAAAGGGCATTTAGGGGAAGATAGGGGAAAGAAAGCATTTGAAGTAACTTACCTGTCGGAATCTCAATCTTAGGTTCAAATTCACATACTCCAAGACTTGATTGGTGTTCCTCGGGAACCACGGTCAACTTCCTAAATGTAACCAATAAGTCGATAATGGCATTTTAACCTTTTGGCATTTCGTCAATAGTTTTTTGAAATAAAGTTTTCGCGCGCAGGAACAAAATAGCCCAAAATAAAAAATATTTTTCCGCATGTGCTCACTCCAAATTACTAGTCCTTCCGCGGACTAGTGTTCCGGAGACTCGCCGAACTGAAATCGGCGACACGCACTGCACTGAAATTTTACGCATAGCTGTGTAATTTTTTTCAAAATTTCGTCAAACACCCTGCTCTACACAGCAAAAGTTGAACTTCTCCACACTCAAGGGTAATTTATAGTAAATGAGGCCTCATTTACTATAATTTATCCTTAATTGTCTTTTTTGGGGAAACATATTTTTTATTCTGGACGACGACTGTTTTCCCTTTCTTTTTCTATTATCTTGTTTGTCACAGTTGCTTACTTGTAGTCGACATAGAAGTTGGAAAGGCATCCGATGAACGGCGCAGCGGTTCCTTGACTGGTTGGTGGATCGTTGCTCCCAGCTTTTAAACCTCCGAGGTTCAAGGCGGCGGACTCTGATCCAATAACCCCATTGTCGTCCAAAGCCACCGCAAGCGACTCGTGGTCATCAATTCGGACAACAACCCTGTAATTTATTATCATTTCGTATTACTTTAGACTTACCGCCCGGCATTTCTGGCCAAGAAGATGGAATGAGGAAGAAAGTCGTCGTATGTCTGTTCGGACCGAACTGTGGCCTTCACTCCATTCTCTGTCTTCAGCTGGACTATCACTTGTCCTTGGACAAGATAGACGGCCAAATAAGAGTCTGCAGCGCTTCTTCTACTTCTTTCAGAAATATCTCCTGACTGGTAAAGCAGAAGGCCATCTGGTTTCTTGCTTCGGAAGTTGAAAGAGAAAGCAGATTCGGGGCCTAGGGTGAATCCTTTAGCCAACAAGTAGCCTGGTTCACTAAATCCAATGACATGTTCCTTGGGAGTGAGACGTTGTTCTGAGAAAGTGCAGCCAGCTTCCTTTCTTTGAGATCGGACTGGATGATCGAGGTCGAGTTCGTTGACTTGGGTTGGCCTTACTGCCTGAATACAACCAAAGAATCCTTGGAAATTAATTTCGTCGGCTTCGAAGACAGATTTATTGAAATCAGGAGGGACTCCGCCCACATAATGTTCGTTGTTCTGGATCTGCAGGATAAGACTGTCATCGCCGTCCACTCTGGATGAGACCTTGTCCTGACCAGCTCCCTCATCAACATGAAGATGAACTTCTTGGTCTTTTCGGATGGTTCTAATCTTATGAGCTCGTCCGTCGGCATACGAATTGAGTACTGATTTTAGCGTGACGACAGCCTTTCCGCCAATACGGGCCTTCAAGACAACATGGCCATTCTCAAGTTGAATCGCCAAGAAGTCTTTTGTCTCAGGACTTCCACGGAAGTACAGTAAGCCGTTCTTAGAGTAGGCGCTGAAGACAACACTGATCATGGTGTTAGCTCGCTCAGTCATAGGCATTCTGATCTGGGCAAATCCATTTCGGAACATGTGTCCACTGCTTGCCGCAGTGGGAACACCCGCTGCCCCATCACAACGTCCAGTAGAGGCGTCGAACACCCAGAGGGGAACATTCACACCATCCACAGTCATCTCTCCGAGGATTCCACGGAACTTATTGGTGGCAAATCCAAGGTCCTCTGCCGTTTTTGGGTCTGGATGACCGATATAGATCTTGGTGTAGCCAGGGTTTGTGTTCAAGTAGAGATCTCCATTGACGTCGGGATCTCCGACTGTTATCTCAGTAGGTTCATCCACATTTTTGGAGCCCTCTCCACTGGCTGTTTGGGTCAGCACCACTGAAGCCTTGATGGAATTTCCAATTCGGTTTATTTCGATGTGATACCAAGTAAATCGATCCGACGCTGGTACGTGGATGATGCTTCGCTTCACGATGGCCGCATCTCTCCTACCGGCCCCAATATCCCAATGGATATGGATCTTCTTGCTCTTCATTTCCACAGCCAAATACTCACGGTTTTGCTGAAAGAATTGAGTGGTCTCTCAATCACTTACTGTTCGCGTTCCCTTTGTCGCGGTGAAGAAGATCAGAGAATCAGGAGATTCCAAAGCTGGTCTATATTTGAGGCTGATGGTGTTTGAGGGAGAAGGATTCATCGGGGAGATGTATTCTCGGCTACAATCGGTCTCTTCGTCAGACTTGACGGCGATTTTAATCTGGAAAATTCTGATGCTGGTTACTGTGGAAATGTGTTACCCTTGACGCTTTCTCTCTGGCCTCGTTAATCTTTTCCTTCAAGACATTCAGATTTCTCTTTATATCTGTTATCTGACCTTCATGAGCTGCTGACCTTTCTCTAACTTCTGCCAATTTCTCGGCCATTGTTTGAATGGATGAAGCGACGTTGGAAACTGAAATGATTATATTTTTGTGTTAATAACTCTACCATTTGCAATACTCTCTTTGATGGTATTCTCGTCAATATTCCCAACCGATTTGACTCTGGAATCCAATGCCCGGACGTCGTCGAAGAGACTTCCCAGCTTCTTTTCTGCTTCCTGAACCGTTTTTTGAGCAGTATCAACATTGTTGTAGACAGTGTTGACGCGTTCGTGATGATCATCGAAAAGCTCTTGGTCGACCTTGATCTTGCTGATATTACTATGGACATTAGTTTCGATTCCATCCAGCTTTTTCAGGATTTCGTTAAGTTTTTGGTTGTTTTCCACCACATAGTCATCCTTTACTTGGGAATCGAAGACAGCCCTTTGAAGGTCGTCGTTCTGCTTCAGCGTTTGTTGTGCCAGAGTAACAATAGAGTCGGCATTAGAGGGATCAACCAATTTTCTTGCAGCTTCAGCATCTTCTGCTGCTTTGGATGCAGCGCTACTGGCGTTCTTCATAGCATCTACAATCTCCTGATAAGCAGTGGAAGCAGCTAATGCTGGTGTAGAGTAGGTCTTGGTTTCAGAAAATAACTGTTTGAGCTTCATCGCTTCCACATCCAGGTTACTGGCATGTCGTTGGGCTTCGTACAACTTCTGTTGATGATCATTCAGGGCTTCGGAGTAGTCGGTGACGGTATTTGACAGCTGTTGTTTGACTTCTTTTAACTCGGGCAGCTTCTGTTCACTGATTTCATGACTGTCCTCATGAATTTCCTTGCTCAACTTCTTCAATTTCTCTACATTATCCTGTGCATTTTGAAGTTTTCCTTCGGCTTCTTTTTTATCCATGTTTATAGCATTAACAAGCCGGTTTAAGTCATCCAGTCTGCTCTGCACATAGGTGGTCAGAGTCCTTGCATCCAGAGCCTTGGTTCTTCCTTTATCCCAGATCGCATTTCTGTAATCTTTCACCAGTTTCTGATACTTGTCTGAATTATTCTTCACGGTTTCATAAATGTTCTCGTCCAATTTCTTGGAGAATATCTCTTTCAGAAGGCTGTCCGCGTCTTCGGCATTCTTTTTGGCATAGTTGTATTGTTTATCAATATTTTCTGATCTCTCTTTCACCATTTCCAAGTATCTGTCGGCCTGAGATTGGAGGTAATGAATTTGGGTGGCAGGGTCCGTCTTGGTGTTCTCAAATGTCTTGGAGAACTGATCCAGGTCGTGATGAATTTGGTTGACCTTCTGGTTGGTACCGAAAATGCTTTTCCTGACTTCGTCGAGGTCTTTTTTCAGAGCTGCTAACTTTTCTATAGAATCCTGGTTCTTCTCATTCAGTAATTTAAATTCTTGTTCCACTAATCCGGCCTGCTTTAAATGCCGATTCTCATTAGAAAATCCAGTTAGAAGATCCTGGGCGGCGCTCTCTGATGACTTAATTGTATCCAGCAATTCGTTCAGTGCTGCAATTAACATAACTATAAAGTTCCATGTTACTTACTCTTTGCCGTGTTCTCAATTCTATTCAGTCGTTTCCTGGGGATTGGCTTAATATCAGTCAAATCTCCCACCGAGATTATCTGATTCTCCATGTAATCCTCGAGAAGCATGAGGTCTTTGTAGCATCCTTGATCGCAAGCTGTACAAATAAATTATATCTTGGGGATGAGGAAGACATGACAGTATTTTTTAATTGAACTTACAACTGCAGACTCCATTCATAAATGCATTCCGTGGGCTGCACACAGAGCAGTCTCTGCCTTCGACGCCACTCTGACATTGACACTGTCCAGTCACATTGTTACAAACATGATGAGCACTGCCATGTGGATGGCAGGAACATGGTTGGCATGATCCACCCACTTGACTGGGTTGGCCATAAAAGCCTGGAAGACACATTTCACAGTACTTTCCCGTGTATCCAGGTTTGCAGGCATCACAAATGTAATCATTTCCATTGTTAGTGGGTCTGCAGGTGGCTGAGAAAGAGTTCTCTAGACTTGGGCATGCGCATTTCTTGCATGAATCAGGTTGCCCTTTGGTTGCGTTACCATAATATCCTGGTTTACACAAATCACAGAAGTCTCCAACTGTGTTGTGGGCGCATTCTTGACATCTTCCGGTCTCGGGGTGACAGACTTCGGAGTGGGAATTGCAAGCACATCGGGTGACATTGCCCACAAGGACAATGTCATCTGGATCATTCAGGTATCCGGCGGGCCGTGTTCTGGTGAACCCATCCGCTGGATTTTGACAGGAAAGGCCAGCATGCCCTTCAGGGCAATCTCCACATTGCTCAACACCTATAGCGACTGCTTCGGAATCTGTTTCACTGGACTCCACAGCAACATCCAGGGAGACTTCACTCAAGTTGATGGAGTCGAGTCTGTGGAGGATGGTGTAGGTTCCTCTGATGTAGATACCCTGGACATTCTGAAGAGCAATCATCAATTGTTTCCTAGTAACGGGAATCTGCGGGGTGATTCGGTTTCTCCAGTTTGTTTCATGCAATTTAACCTTGTACTTTCCGTCTAGTGAGATCTCAACGGGAACATGTTCCAGCTCCAGTCGATGATTTCCAACCAAGATGACCTGAGGATAAGCGTAGAAGAATTGAGGCTCCGGAGGAACATTCTTGAATCCTCTGTTATTGTCATCACTCTGAACACGGAATCTGAGGAATCCATTGTAGGAAGCAGTGCGATCTCCTAAGAATTGCTCTGGTAAAGGCCAATATAAAGGAGTGTGATTGGTTGGATAAGAGTTGTAATTCAACGGTTGGGACTTGAGAATATGGATGTTGTGTCTGCGGATGTAAATGTCGAAAGGAGTATCAAAGGTGACCTTCCTTTCTGGGGCGTAGACTTGAGACCACACTCGATTTGATTGGACACAGAAGTTGGTTTTGTTGAAACAGAAACATTCAGTGCATCCTTGGGGATTGGTCTTGTCTAAACTGAACGAATTTGCAACACATTGATCACACTTCAGACCCGTGACATGCTTCTGAAAAAAAATGTTTAAAGGCTCGAAATGCCAAATAAATTGAATATAGGACAGAAACTTACTTTACAAAGACACTGCCCTTCATTTGTACACAAACAGCTGTCGCCTCGGCATTCCGTGGGTTCAGTGCCATCCGGATTACAGTTACACTTTTCACAATTAGGGAAGTTGAAGTATCCGGGCTCACATCGATCACACTGATGGCCCACATACCCCGATTTGCATTTGCATTGCCCAGTCTTGGATTCACATTCAGACCCGTCGGCCCCGATCCCATTACAACTGCAGAGCTCACATCCCTTTAATGGATCGTAATTCCAAGCATTGGGAGCACAGGCTTCGCAGATTTCTCCAACTGTATTTGGTGGACAAACACATTCTCCTGTCACTGAGTCACAGACTTGACCCGGCGCCGGACATACTTGACACTCTAAAAAACGTTTTGTAATCATGTTTAAGGGCTCACGTTTACATCCATCGGCGTTTAATCCGAAATAATTTGGAGCGCATTTGTCACATTTGAGTCCAGTAACGCCAGGTTTGCATCTGCATTGACCACTGACCAAATCACAAGTTTTGTCTTCGGCTCCAATCGCATCACACTCACAGGCTTGGCATCCCTCTCCAGATGTGATATTAAAGAAGCCCGGAACACACTCCTCGCATCGATTTCCTTGAACATTCTGTTGACATTGACATTCTCCGGTCACATTGTTGCAAATCTGACCTTCGATTGATCCAAAAGCATTGCATTGACAGTAAGTGCAGCCACTCTCGGAGAACTCGTAATATCCGGGAGCACATCGGTCACATTGTTTCCCATAGACCCCTTGCTTGCACAGACATTGACCCGAGGATTCATCACAATTCTCACCCGCAGATCCAATGGCATTGCAATTACAAGGGGGGCAGTAATTCTCGACATCTCCATGGCCAGGCAGGCATCTATCACACCTCTCTCCCGTGTATCCTTCTACACATTCGCAGACTCCAGTGTCCAGATTACATTGAGACGAGACAGCACCGAGGGAATGACAGTTGCAGGGATAACAGGCATGCCTCAGGGCTGATCCCCAATGGTTTTCCTCACAGACTTCGCAATGATCCCCGGCTGTGTGATGAATGCAATTAAGACATTTCCCGGTCAATCGGTCACAGTTTCCGATTTCCATTGGATCCACATTCCCATTGCAATCACAGGCGGTGCAGTTTCCGTTCTCGGTCAAAGGATCTCCAAAGTATCCGTCAGCACAACTAAAGCATTGTTATTGTTACTCCGTTCGTGCTTACTATTCGCATTTACTTCCATCATAGCCTTGCTCGCAGGCAGTGCAAATGTATTCATCTTGTCCAGAAACAGCCCCCTCAGCATTAAGTTGATTCAGAGAACAACTTGGAGAGTGGGAGTTGTGGACAGAAGGACAAGCACAAGGCCTACAAGCGCCGAGAACACCTTCCAACAAGGGATTACCGTAGTATCCGGGCAAACAGTGCTCACATTGAGTGCCGGTGGTGTTGTGTTGACAAGATAAACAATGTCCGGTGAAGGGATCGCATTGGTCGGTGTGCCCTTGACAGTTGCATCTCTCGCAGACCCCGTCCTGGATGCGGTTGTTCACTTGACGGAACCCGACGTCACATGCCTGGAAACCGGATAGATAAGATGGGGATGTCCTCCTACCTCACAACTGGAGCCTTGGAAGTGTTCGGGACATTCGCAGACCTCCACTGGATGTCGTTGCACCAATTGGGGGATGTAGACCTCGGCATCTGGTCGATTGCCTGCGGGCTTGGCCGTCTCCAACGTGAACCCGTAGATGCTGGAAAGAAGAGGATTGAGTTGAAACTCTATAGTCCCCCATCACTCTCCATAAATGCATCAGTTTTATTAAGAGGGTGGAGTTAAATTTGATACTCCTTGCATGCAAGTCCTGACCCAGTTTGGTCGGGTCATTCGTTAAAGATGACATTAGTTATGTGGTGGTTCTATTTGGTCGTCTACCTGTTCCTTTGCTCAAATTGTAATTGTCGAACAATCACAATGGAGGATGTGAGTAGCATGGAGAGTATGATTAAGAGAGATTTCAAGAGGAATGTAAGTCCAAGGTAACTTGAGTTATCCTATTTTTTCAGTTATTTGACTCACAACAAGACGATATTTTGGGAAACAATTTTGTCCGACATTTGCGGCTTCTGAATCATCTGACCACAAAACGGCGAAAAAATCTCTCAAGATTATAAATCAGGATTACTGTAATGCCAGTAATATAATATTGTATCTTGTAATATTAGAGAGTAATAGAGGGATGATGTTATTTGATTTATTGTATAAAGAGTTACCTGCTCTCCAATTGATCCTGATGGTACCTGGCACGGACCTTGAACACATCCACATGTGCCAAGACTTCCATGAATTCTGATTTCCGGACTGGCTGAAGTTGAGAAGACTCATACCAGCCAGTTTCCTTGAAAGGAATCGTTACGCTGATATTCTCTCGGGCAAAGAAGTTCAAACGAGTATGATATTCAATTCTTTTCCCATTTCCCTAAAAAAATATTTGTCATAATGTTGTCAAACTTGGACTATTTTGTTGACAGTCATCCAATACTTCCAATTCGTCACTTACTTCAAGAATGATATCGGCTAGACTGAAGGGATGACCTCCTCTGTCATTGGGCACATAATAGACAAAGTAATGGAGATTCGACCCATAACTATGCAACAAACTACCAGTATAAGCCTTCGGAGCATTGAAATAAAAGAGATTCTGTTGACGGTCGGGGTAATGGTCCGAGTTAAAGATTAAAAGTTCAGTTGCGGTCGACTTGACTGGCTCGTTGACTTGGCCATGAACATCAGTAAGCGTCCAATTGTTCAAATCATTGATCTTAAAATAATAATTGCTCGTATAAGGGTCCTTACTTGACTCGTAATCCACTTTTGTTCTCGGCATTCCCCACTCTTCCCGAAGCAGAAACAAGCTTGGCAACCTTCGGGGTTATCCTTGGACAAATAAATGGTCCCGGCCTTACAACGATCGCAGAATTCTCCTTCCACATTCCTTTTACAGATGCAATTCGTCTCCTCACAGGTCTCAAAATTGAGAGACCCAGCTTGATTACAAGGGCATCGATCGCAGACGGGATGATTACGGTAGCCAGGAGCACAGCGATCACAACGTCGACCACCAAAGCCAGGTTTGCAAATACAATCTCCAGGCTTCTAAAAAACACTAAGCCATTCTTTAGTAGACTTACAAGATCATTTGTAGCAGAAGTTTGGTCGGGGACACATTCGTTGTGTTCAGATCCATCTGGGTCACAATCACAAGGTCGGCAGGAGTCTGGTTGGTAATGGGAGACGTTGGCTGGGCGATAGAACTCCTTCTTACATCTCTCACAATTAATGCCTTCAGTGTTATGCTGAAAAATAAATATTATAATATTATACATGTAATATCAGTCTGTCGGGAAAATAATGTGGCTTTCTCGCAGCAAAAATTCAAGGCGCGACGAATCCAAATTATTTTCCAGACAGACTAATATTTCAGTTGCAATACGAGTTAATGTCCTTAAACTTGCTTTGCAATCCACACATCTTCCACCGCCTTCGTATCTTCCCTCCGGAGTCACACTGAGCTTCTGTTCGGCCACACTTTCATCATATTCACAACGATCAGCATGGTTGAAACATTGGCATTCTGTAAGGTTACTGTAATCGAACGTAATGGACTTACGTTCACAGACATTGGGGACGTAATGGGTTCCTTTTCGGAAAGGTAACTGGTTGAACAGAGGACAGCATTCGTTACAATTCTCGCCGCAAGTATTGTGTCGACATTCACATCGGAATTGCTGTCAAATATTTTAATTATTACTATGTGCAGTTTACTTACTCCATGAACAGGATCTGGCCGACATTTCTCGGCATGGCCCGAACAAATACATTGTCCACCAATACTGATATCAGAAATGGAATAAAAGTATCTCCGAGTGACCGAATAATCGAGTTTCTCGTCCTTCCTGTTGATCACCATGATGTCCGCATTCATGGTTCGCAGACTTAGAAGCCTCAGTCTAACAAATCGAGCTCTTGTAAAGTTCTGAAGCTCTTCCGAAGGCTGTTCGGCACTCGGTCGACCATTCACAAGCGAAGTGTAGATCTCTCCCCTTTCCATGGGATCTAATTTGGAATAATATGAGGTGCAAATAACTTCAGAATCGCTGCTGAATCGAGTGACCCCAACACTCGCCGGAACTCCGAATTGTCTCATACATTCGGCATCATGGCGAGCGAAGTACTGCCAAGGAGTGTAAGTGATTCCATCCAGAGATCTCTCCAGAACCCAGGTTCCGGGGCGAGGAGAAATGGCCGATTTGACAATGATATAAGCAACATGGTACTCTTGTCTCAGATCCAACGTGATGTTCACCTTCTCGTAGGACAATCCATTGGCCAAACTGGGACTCTGCCACCAACGCCAAGTGCCGTCAATTGCATAATCAATGGGATGGTTCTTATCTTTACCATTCGCATCACAAATATCACATTGAGGACGACGTAAATAGACATGTTCTGTCAGTTTACAATACTCTTCTGGACCATGATGGCCACAAGTTGAGGTAGCTCGGATATCAGAGTGCTTGGCCAGATCGAAGATGCTGGTAAAGAGACCCTTTTCTGTAAGTCATGGGGTCAGCTCTCTATCCTTTACTCTTACCTCCTTTCCCAGCTGAAAATTCTTGAAATCTTTCAGGAGGAGCATCGTCATAATCGGAAGCCTGAGGGGATCCTGACCGTATGGCCAAGACCAAGAGGAGACAAAGTCTCCGCATTGCCCTAAAGGTCAAACCATAAAAATTTTGGAAAACAATAATGTCACCCAAATTCAGCGAATACGATTATTTATGAAATGGCAAAAGAACCAGGACAACGGACATAAAGTCCTGGCCAAAAAAATGATCGCCGACCAAAATCGAAAAAGATCGGCAGTTTGCAAAAGGCGTGTATTTAAATAAGGTAGGCCAAGATACCTAGCCTTCTTCGGACCTGCCCCTTCCCCTCCCCCAATGTTTGCAGATCAGAGAATGCACTCTAAGTGAGAAGAAGCCCGTTTCTCTTCAGTCAAGGCCGTCCGTTCAGTAGGAAAGGCAGGAAAAGGGCGGTTTCAATGATTATTCGCACCGATGCCATCTCTTATCGAAGCCGCCCATCTCTGTTTGTGGTATAGAGATTTGATAAAACAGAGCTTTCTAACAGCGGCATTGTTCGATCTTGTATTATACAAGTGATCGGATGAAACCTCGCTCCCGCATCTCTAATGAGTTTTCCCACCTTTCGAGGGCGCTTTTGGATGAATCAGAACAGAATTGAAGAAGACCCCGAACAAAAAGTCGCCAGTGTTTATCAGTTTATCATTCCCCGCCTTCTATGTTTGTTGTAAATAAATGAAGATGAGCAACGGAAGAAGTTTTTGCAAAGATTCTTTAACGCCAGACGATGTAAAGTGTAATCGGAACGACAAGTCAAAGCATCATAATGGGATTTATAATACAAAAAATCTCCCAAATTATGGAGATCTCTCGCAACAAATCAAACATGCAAGAAAAATTGAATCATGGGCCTGTTGCGAAAATACACTTCTATAATGTTTGTTTAGCCAACAAATAGCCACTGACCTTCAGTTGCATTTGAATTGCGTAATGCCCGGTAGGGAGATTGGTGTCCTGCAGCGATTTATTTAAACGCAAACAAAATGTGGCATTGTGTTAAATGAAAATATTTTGGAAAATTATTTGCAAAAATAAAAATATTTCACAAAATGTTGTATAAGGTTATCCCGAAATGTTCAAGGTTCCGACATTTTTGTTCGGAATCAGTAAAGCCGATTGTACTAGAGGTACGTTTTCGTACATACTATGATTTATTTGCTTAGGGATGGGTACGAAAGTCTCACAAAATTGGGAAAATGACGTTTCTTCATGTAGATGACGGACGTAATGGACATACAGTTCAAGCAGTTATCCCAAAATCACTTGGACGTAATTTTAATATTGGAAGTGCAATTAGAATAAAAGGAAGTTGGATTCCAAGTAAAGGATCAATGCAAAGTGAGGAATTCCTGGCTGATCAAGTGCAGAAGATGTCTGAAGAACAAGTGAAAGTGAGTTAATTTTTTTGATAGATATTATATTTAGGTAGTTCGCACAGATCCAGAAGAATTGAGGTCTCACCCTGATATTAGAGTAGCCTTGCCAAGTTTTGCAGCCGTAGTAAAACTCAGATCAAAACTCAACAGTGCTACTCACCGATTCTTTGAGGTGAGCTTTGCACTTTGTTTTATTCTTTGTTTTATTAGAAAAACGACTTTGCTTTGGTGGACACACCTATGTTGACATTGAATGAATGTGAAGGAGCGGGTGAGGTTTTCGAGGTGGTAACTGATCAAGACAAAAGGTTTTTTGAAGCAGACAAAGTATTTCTACCAGTATCGTCCCAGTTACATTTAGAAGCATTGATATGGTATGAATTATTTTTATTCTTTATCTGGTTTTAGTGGAGTACCTAATGTTTATTCCCTCGGGACAGCCTTTCGGGCCGAGAAATCGCTGTCATCCAAGCATTTGTCCGAATTCCGAATGCTCGAGGCGGAATGTGCCTTTGTCGATGATCTCGACCAACTTTGCGATATTGTGGAGAAGTACCTTCGGTTTGTCATAAAGGAGTCCATGCGGTGGAAAGATGAACATTCTGGGGTTAAGAGTACTGAAAACGATGTAAGGAGGATTTCTTTTAATTATACGAAATTCAGGTTCTTTGTGAAATGGACCTGAAAAAAGAATTCCCAAGGATTTCTTTCACTGAAGCCATGGATATCCTCCAGAAGAAGGGGATTACTGTATCGAAAAGGCTGAGCAAACAGAACGAGCTTGATCTAATAAAGTTCATGGATGGCCCAGTCTTTATTCAGAGGTATCCAGCAGATCAAAAGCCATTTTATATGAGAATAAATGAAAAGAAAGAGGTATTTGTTCTTGTAGATGTTGTCATCTATCAACAACGATCTCTTTTCAGGCCGAATGTTTTGACCTTTTGGCTCCCGTTGTTGGAGAATTGGCTGGTGGAAGTATCAGAGAGTACGATAAAGAGGCTTTGCGAAACAGATGTCCCAAACAAGACTTGGAATGGTATATAAATTTGAGATCCAACGGATATCCACGATCTGGTGGGTTTGGATTGGGAATCGAGAGACTGATGCAATCTCTGTTCGGTATACAAAACATCAAGGATACTGTAGCTTTCCCGAGATGGTACAAACATTGTAAATGTTAGGCGTTGTTTTTATAAATAGTTGTTATTGTTGGTTTATTAACACCTGAGACTTATGGTGGTAACCATTTCTAAATATTGGAAAGATTTCGGATATCTGAATTAGTTTTAGATCTTATAAACCATGGTCAAAGTGAAGCATAGGTAAGCTGAGGTTACAGCATAAAAATCTTCTTTCAGATATTTGTTAGCAGAAGTAATATACGATGATCCCATGACAAGAAATACGGCAACTGACTTGGATATACGTAATGCTATCATGAATAAAGTGGGTATGCTACATGGAGATTTGGGCCATGCGTCGACCCAATCATCCCTTCAAGTTAAAGTTTGCGATTCCATCTTCTCAGTTGTGGTGTTGAGAGTTGCCTCAGACGCCTTGAATTATGTTTCATCTTCAATTCCGTTCGTGGTTAGCGTGGGAAACAGCGATGCCATCCTCAGAGTGTTATTCCAAGGTACGGAACCATCCGTATACTCTCAATGTCTCACATTTTAAGGTAGTTCAATGCGAACTGTGGAGAAGAAACTGATCGACTTCAACCTCAAGCTCTTTTACGCCAAACTCCAACGGAAGCCCCATGGGGGTGAGTCGGCTCTGTTCTTTTACAAAAATACAGAGATTCCTTTTATATAATTCCCCTTTTCCAGACGAATCAAATGCCCTAAGGACGGCGATAGCCCGAGTGACCGGCTCGAATGTATCACACATCAAACTTTGAGATAAATGTCCTTTGTATAATATTTATAAAGCTTCGAATCACCCGTTCAAGGGAACAGTTGGCGGTATTTTGAGTTGAGACGAGAGTAGAACGGGGTTAGAAAGAGTTATGCGCGCCTCTGAGATGAGTCATGTTGTTTGGGTGTTCGAGAAGCTCTTTGCCTTATAAATTAGCTCCAACTTAATTGGCGATCGAATGATTCAACCGCGCGAGCTACCGCTCTCCCCCCGACCACCTTTCTCGACCCGTCTTTCTGCCGTTCATCAGATCTTTTTTTCTGTACTTCCACGGAAACAAAATAAAACTTAGTGACCCAGCACTTCAGTTTGTTTACAACGCTCTGTCCCTCTTATAAAACATTATTTGACAGCTCCACATTCAGAATCATTTCGTGTCGTGAGCAATGTTGGCCTTCTAAAATTTTAACGAACGTTCAGAAATGTTTAAAAACGTTTCTCTGGACTGGGTTGTTCCTGTTCTAACCATCTTCCTCCTATCCATCCACATCCAGCCAACTCAGACAGCCGGAAGCTCAGCGGAACGTCGATTATCTGGCGGAAATATATGTACAACATACGAAAAGTAAGTTTCCAATACTTTCGTTCGGAATTTTCTATCATGCCTGACTCAACAAAACCAACCTTTGCAGTTTTTGCCCAGTATAATATATTTTTTCAGAGTTCTTAAGCCAGCGCTTGAAAAGTACACACAAGAAGTCCTTCTTGAAACGTATGTAACCTGCAGTGATCCCTTTCAGGGTTTCAAATGTAAAGAACGCAAGTAAGTTCTAATAAATGTGTCAGTGCTGACTCATTTTCCGGAAAAAAGATAATTTCTGTAAATTTCCAGGAAAGGAACAAGAATCTCGTACAAATCGGTTCCAAAGGAGCAACTTGTTGTCGTCGAGAAGTGTTGTGATGGCTACCGGGAGATAGAGAACAAGACTTGCATTGCATCTTGTGATCCTCCCTGTAAAAAGGGGTTTTGTGTTGCTCCCAACCAATGCCAATGCTTTGATGGATATGGCGGTGATTCCTGCTCTGCCAGTAAGTTTATTGGTTTGTGCTTTATGTGGGATAAAATTGTATGTAACACACAGTATAATGCATGTTTTTTTTCTTTGCAGAATGTCCATTTGGAATGTGGGGAAGGAATTGTCGTGAGAAATGCGAATGTGAGAACAATGCAGGGTGTGATCCTGCAACAGGAAAGTGCATCTGTGGTGCAGGTATGGTCATTTTTATTTGATTTTATTAGATTTTTAGGATTTGTCGGTGAACAATGTGAAGATACTTGCCCTCAAGGTAAATGGGGATTAGAATGCACAGAAGAATGTTTGTGTCAGAACGGAGGGACTTGTAATCCTGTTGATGGAAAATGTGATTGTCCCAGTGGATTTGTTGGCAAGCATTGTTTAACTAAATGCGATATAGTAAGCAGAAACGTGGAGTATTATTTTTGTAGGAAAATCCGGAAGAAGGATGCACTTTTGAATGTGGATGCAAAAATGGAGGTGAATGTAACTCCAAAACAGGGCATTGTACCTGTCCCCCGGGTTTCACAGGAGACATTTGCCAATCGAGATGTTCAGAGGGCACCTTTGGTCAAAATTGTGCAAAAAAATGTGATTGTATGAATGAAAATGGTTGTGACGCAGTCACTGGAAAGTGTATTTGCATTGGATTTGCTGGGGACCAATGCCGAACACCCTGTCAGAGAGATTATTTCGGATTAGAAGTGAGTTTATCTACTGCAATATACGCTGGGTTTAGTGTTCGGAGAAGTGTGATTGTGGATATGGAGCTCATTGCCATCCCAAGAATGGATCTTGTGTTTGCAGTCAAGGATTCCGAGGGGCCGATTGTAACGAGAAGGTTTGCAAAGACGACAAATTCGGATTTAATTGCGAACACAAATGCACGTGTAAGATGGAGAACACAGCCCTGTGAGTATTCATTGTTTGTCCTCGTATTACTCATTATTTCTTCATTTTTTTGTTTGTTTGCAGATGCCATCCAATCACTGGTTTCTGTGACTGCAAACCCGGATTTACGGGCTTAACTTGTGATCATTACTGTCCGATCGGGCGATTCGGAAAGGATTGCAAAGAAAAATGTGATTGTAATTTTGCAGAAGGAGCTTCCTGTGATCCCATAAACGGCACTTGTCTTTGTCCTCCCGGATTCAAGGGATCTAAATGTGAAGAGAAATGCTCCGAGGGATCTTATGGGCCTATGTGTGACACCAATTGTGATTGCCAACATGAATCCATCTGTGATTTCCGTCTTGGAATGTGTAATTGTACAGCCGGCTTCAGAGGACCTTCTTGTTCTCTTCAATGCTGGGCCGGTAGTGCTTCAGATCAATGCAAAGTCTGTGATTGTCATAATGGAGCTGGCTGTGATCCTCTAAATGGTAAATGTATTTGTGGAACTGGATGGACTGGTGAGAAATGTGATAGGCCATGTGCCAATGGCTATTATGGGATCGATTGTCAGCATAAATGCAGATGTCTTCATGGGGAATGCGACAAACACAATGGCCAATGCTCTTGTGACAAAGGATATCATGGTATGGTCTGAAAATTCTTTTTTTGTTAGCTTTGAATTTTTCGATTTTTAGGTGAAACTTGCTCTAGTCAATGTGAGAACAACAAGTATGGAGAACAATGCGAGAAAGAATGTGATTGCTCGGGTTACGGTAGTTGTGACCAACAGACTGGAAAATGTCTTTGTAGAGATGGAAGATCCGGAAGCAAATGCGAAGACGGTAAGAAAGCTTTAAACGTTTGATGTATTGTTTTAATTTACAGTATGCTCCAATGGGAGATACGGTCCAGGATGCTCATCAGAATGCCCAAAGTGCGGAGATGGGGCTGGTTGTGATCCAGTAACTGGCACTTGTTTATCTTGCCCCGTCGGATTCAAAGGAGAGAAATGCGAACAAACTTGTTCCAAAGGCTTCTGGGGTTCTAATTGTGAGAATGAATGCAAGTGCGGGGATGTAGACGGTTGCAATCACATTGACGGGACCTGTGAATGCCCTCTGGGAAAGATGGGAGTGTACTGTGATCAGGGTAATCGAACTGACTTTAATTATTATTTAATCGCCTGTTTGTAGGCTTTATATGAAACGTCCAATTTCAGAATGTCCAGAAGGAAAGTGGGGGAAGAACTGTATCCATTTATGCGGAAGATGTGTAAATGGCGGGAAATGTTCGGCGAAGGATGGAGAATGCAAATGTCCTCCCGGATTCGAAGGAAAGTTCTGTGAACGGCAATGTCAACAAGGATTCTGGGGGCCATCTTGCTCCAAGAATTGCACTTGTCAATCAAGTAAAAAGTTTTGCAATTCCATCACTGGACAATGTCATTGTGCATCGGGTAAGAACAAATGGAAACAAACTTATTTTTAGGATTCTTTGGCGATACCTGTGAAAATGAATGTGCCGCGGGATTCTGGGGAGAGGATTGTGCCAATACTTGTAAATGTAGACAAGGAACTTCATCATGTCAGACATTGAATGGTATCTGTGAATGCAGTTCGGGCTATATTGGAGAATTCTGTGAGAAAAGTAGGGGTTAATATTACATGTCTTGTATTAAAATATTTTTAGCATGTTCTCCAGGAATGTATGGGAAGGATTGTAAGAAGACATGTGGAAAGTGCGGAGAGAACGAGATATGTGATCCAATTCATGGCTGTTGTTCTCCAGATGAGGATGGATTCTGTGGGGTTGCCTGTAAGTTGATGATTCATTTCCGATGTTGTCGTTTAGATGCGGAACAACAGCGATTGATGAGCTCATCGACCAAAAAGATAGGATTCTCAGTGGTAGTTCTCTTCATTACTGTCGTCTTCTTGGTATTGATGGTTCTTTATTATCGCCGAAAATACGCACAGAGGAAGGAAGTTTTCATGCCAACTGTAAAATATGATCCCGATGCCGAAGAAGAATTGGAAAATCGAGTGTTCAACCCCAGCTTCTATTCCCAGGTTCAAAATAACAATGATGATGTGGCCGAGATGGATGATGTTGCTCAAATTAAGGGTCAGAATACTGTAAAAATAGCTAAGAAACCTGAAAGTAAGTCCAGCATCGTTTCTTTTGATGTTCAGATGAATACCATGCATTGGGAGCGGAGATGCCAGGCTCTTCCCATGATCAGAACCAATACGAGGCGATACCCTCTCCTCCGATCAGACCTTCTCTTGCTCCGAAATCACATCCCATTAGTTTCGACAACCCCAATCTCGGTACGAGACCTTTACTCTCTGACACGGATGGTGATGATGCTTAATGGTGGTGCTTCTGTTGTGTTCTGCACGGAATTATTAACTCATCGTATCGTATAATTGCACCCTTCTTCCTTGGTTTGGAAATCTACACTTACATTTTAATTATTGTACGTGCTATTGCTTATTTAATCACTTTTTGCTTGAGGAGGGTAACGGTGGTGATGGTGCTCGGAATGTTTACAAAATACTTCACGGATCATTTCGAAATTTGTTTTTTTATTCGTTACCTTCTGACGGCCCGATTTCTTTCCGGCTGACACTTTCATCCAAAACATTTTCCGCTTAATTCTAAGTTTACTTTAATCGACTTCTATTCCAGCCCTTCTTTTCAGACCACGGCCCTTCCAAATCTTCTCTCTGAAAACCAATGGACACGCCTTTTCGAATGGTATCATTAACGGGTAGTCAGTCATTACTTTTAGAATACATCTCCTCAACAAATCTATGTATTGCATTATTTGTTTTAACGTTTACTTAATAATCTTACAGCAGATCTAATCAGATATATTTTTAAATAAACAGATTGTTTTATCATAAAGATCTCTTCGCACATTGGTTTTTACCTGTTTATTATTGGAATTGCAGTCATTCGAACGGACACCTCTTGATATTAATGGCTTATACTGTTTTAGTATGAAAAGTAAAAGAGTTAAGAAGGGCCAGACCAAGTGTTACCGGGCCAAGGTGGTCATGGTAGGAGATTCGGGAGTGGGAAAGACCAGTATTCTGCTTAGATACGATGGCCAGGGATTCACTAGTTGTCTCAGTCAGACCCTGGGGGCATCTTTTATTTCTTCCACCATGTAAGTACCAATTACAATATAATAACTCTGATTAGTCGTTGCATTGACTCTAATGTTGAACTTAATATTTGGGACACTGCCGGGCAAGAAAGATTCAGATCAATGGTGAGTTACACTTCAGATCTCTTCACTGTTAAAGGCTCCACTTTATCTCAGAAATGCGACTGCCGCCATTCTTGTCTATGATATCACTAGATACGAGACCTTCAGAAATCTGGAGTCCTGGGTTACCGGTAAGTTCTTCTTTTGTTGCAGATTGGATGTTAAAATGGAAGGGTTTTAGTGATGACAAGAGGTTTTTTCTAGAATTGGAACGTCACGCTCCTTTGGATGTCACCAAGTTTGTTATGGCAAATAAATCAGATCTGGAAGAATGTCGAGTGATCTCAACGGAGGAGGGTCGTGAGTTCGCGGAGAGGATCTACGCCACCTACTTTGAAACATCAGCCATGAGTGGCCGAGGAATCGAATCCGGAATTAAATCAGTGGCGGAGGAGTTGTTAAAGAAGGCGAATGAAAAGGAAGGGGAACCTGGAGTGAAGGTTGGCGCAGACCCACCTATTGTGGATGCCGATAAGAAAGAACACCGCTTTTGCTGTAATATCATATAGGAGGGGTCTCCTGTCTTACTTTTGTTTTCTTCCCCATATTTCATTTAATCCCGTTGATTAACCAAAACAAAATAATAATTTGACCATTCCTGTATGTTAAGACGAGTATTATCAGGTGATATTCGTACTGTTCAAGACTCTCATACCTCTCGTAATATCATAACAAAGATCACTGCGGGTCAAACCATCATCGCTCACTTTAGTCTGAATAAACTTGTTACAAGAATACTTGATTATGTGCAATGTAGACGTTTTGTGGTCGTTTTATTCTGTATAAACTAGAAACTAGTGCTTTCGAAGATTTCTTCCAGAGTGATTTCATTCATGAAGCTCCGCCCCATAATTGGACCCTCCATTTTAAACGCAGATCTCTCAATTTTGTATGAGGAATGTAAGAATCTTTTGGATTCGGGTGCGGATCAGATCCATTTGGATGTGATGGACGGCCATTTCGTCCCCAATCTAACCTTTGGCCATCCGTTGGTTGATTGTCTAAGAAAAAAGTTGGGTCCGGAACCAGTAGGTACAGTAATATTTTTTAAGGTATTTATAGTTCTTTGATATGCATTTGATGGTGAGTAATCCGGCCGAATGGTTGGTCCCTATGAAAGATGCCGGAGCCAATCAATACACGTTCCATTATGAAGCCTTGGCCGACGACCAGGCTGTTTCCAATTTGATCAAGGAGATCAAAACCCTCGGTCTTAAAGCGAGTATGGCCATTAAACCTAAGACTGATGTAAGTTCAATGAAATGATTGCATAATTTATGATCTTAGGTCGCTAAAGTATGGCCTTTTGCTAAAGACCTGGATAATGTTCTCGTGATGACTGTAGAGCCAGGATTCGGAGGTCAGAAATTCATGTCAGATCAGCTGGAGAAGGTGAAGAAAATTCGGTCTCAATTCCCTGAGCTTACCATTCAAGTTGATGGGGGTGTCAGTCTGGATAATGTGACCAGTTGTGCTTTGGCTGGGGCTAATTCCATTGTGTCTGGCACCGGTCTTATTAGACAACCAGATCGAGCCAAGGCCATCGCCGAAATGAAACGAAAAGTAGTTAAAGGCCTCGAGGGTTTCAATTAATTTATTAGAATAAATCAAAATCTCGAAGTTTTATGCCGGACATCCAGCTTCGCCGTAATCAGATACTGTTTTGTTAAAGTAGAGTAAGTGGTCAGCCACATTGTAGTGAATGTAGGCCGAATTACTAAAAAAAATGATAAGCTGATTCCCTTTTTACCTGCATATCTGATCTTCATTCTGCGGAGTTCCATTGCATATTCTATATAAGGGAAGGTAGTTAGAGGTACCACCCATACTCTCTGGATACCAGATTTCGGTTCCATGATGGTAAGGACCATGATTGTAGAGCCCTGAACATTGTCGACTCCACAAAGACTCGTAACAGTAAGGCAGATGGGCAACGATGTCATACCGATGGATGAGGCGCCAGGATTGAGGGACCAACGAGTCATGGCCAGCGCCATAGTCCATATTCCCCACTCGAGGTTGACCAAAAGTGATCAAGAAGATTCGGTCTGAAGTCACTTTGTCCTTTTGCTGAAAGGCAAATAGAGAACTGGTCAACGAGGCCAATGCGCCGCCCAGGGAATGACCGGTGAATAGAAAACGGGCATTTGGAAGTTGCTGGAAAATATTGACCGTAAGGATGGGTGCGTACCTCGGCTAATTTCTTCAACTTTTCCCCGAATCCTTGTTTCCAGAGACTTTTCACAGCGATGTAGAAATAACGTTGCACTGAACCCCCGGAGGGAAAAGGCCTCTTGGGGGCCGACATGGTCTCAACGAGTTCTGTTATCAGCTGTAGCTTGGTCTGAGTCCCTCGGATTGCAGTGACGACAATACTGTCATTGTAAGCCACAAATGCCCAGCACTAGAACTTAAACTTGAAAAAACGAGCAATCACCTGATCGTAGGCATAATCGCATGCTACTTTGGCCTGGATAAGGATGGAAAGGCCGTGTTTTCGAATACATTTGGCTGGATCTACAGCATAGGCAGCCGCGGCAAAGTCCAGGGCAAATTCAGCGAGACCCTCTTCATAATTGGTGTGATTGGACAAGGACTCGGAAGTGAAAAGATTTATCACCAAAAGCAAGAATAATGCCCGCATTACAACAAAAGAGATCTGGTCCTGATCTTCCCCCATCACGAACAACTGACCTTGGCCCCGCCCACAAAATATTAATTAAAAGAAAACAATTTATTGTGGAAAACAGACAATATATCCCGTTATCTGGAAACCTGATCAACGACGCCGGCAGCAATTGTGCGACCATTTACTCGTAAACTGACCCGTCCCAAAGTCCTGGACTTGGCGAATGGCTCAAGACAGACTGGATGCTCCATTACCAGGTCCACTATAGCACTCATACCCTTTGTAATTACTCTAAAAATATGACAAGACATCAAATAAAACACAAGATGACAAAATAAACTTACCGCGGATTAGCTTTAATTACTTCTCCAGTCTGTTTGTTTACAATACTTCTCAGTTTCAGCACTGTGCAAGGTACTCGAAGGGCGTGGGAATGGAGTTCCGCTTTACTACCTTTTAAGAGCGGAAGTGCGGTCTCAAAAAGTACTAATTTAACTACTAAATACTTGGCAGGTATTAGCAACTCGTTTCCTCCTCGGCAGATAACCATTCCTGGAGAAACCGACTCCGGTTCGAACGTTCCAGATAAAGTTAGAACAATGTTTTCTCCAGCAAAACAAACTTCTGAGAGTGAAGTAAATTGTTGATGACCAGCACCTTTGTCCGACGAATTCACGGCTAAAATAGGGTTGTAATTTTCCGAAGGTAGCTTTTCAAAAAAAGTAAAAAAATATTCCTACATTTTACTGTGGCCAATTCACAGTTAGGCATGATATAAACCTTTGCCCCGACCTCCACAAATCCACTTTCAATTTTCCCCTGGAGAACAATAGAATTGCCAGTAGATTTGAACACGTCATTGATGATCACCCTCATCGGTTTGTCTTCGGCCCTTGGCGGTGGCTCAAGTTTATCTACAAAATTTATAAAATAAATCAGATAACTCACCAAGAACTTCGACCAGGCAATCGCCCTTGTACCAACTCAATAATTTATGACCTGCGGGCGGCTTCGTATGTAAATTAATCCCTTCATAAGCACTCAAAGGAACGAATTTGATATGATTAAATCCAGCCTGTTTCTTCAAGAACAAAGAGAGGACTTCCTTGATCTCATTAAATCTTTCCTCACTCCATTCCACAGCATCCATTTTATTCAAGGCTACCACAATTTGTTGAACTCCCAGTGATCTGAGCAATAATGCATGTTCCCGAGTCTGTCCTCCCAAGTCAAATCCGGTCTCAAATTCTCCTTTCGATGCATTTACAACCAGAAGAGCAGCATCCGCCTGGGCAGCTCCAGTAATCATATTTGGAATAAAGTCTTTATGCCCTGGGGCATCAAGGATATTAAACCGTTTGTTTCGGGTGTCAAAATTCGCATGAGCAATATCCATTGTCACTCCACGTAGTCGTTCTTCTTCTGTCTCGTCCAGAATCCAGGCATAAGCAAAAGAAGATTTACCGGACCTCGCGGATTGTTGTTTGAAATTCTTCATGGACTTTTCATCGACATGACCAAGCTGCAAAGATACGTCACAAAGCAATTATACATACCAAGTAAAGCAGATGCCCCACCAATGTGCTTTTACCCGCATCGACATGCCCAGCTATCACCAAGCTAATATTATCCTTGTCAGTGGAAGGTCTTTCGCGAGTTCTAAACAAAGCATGCTTACATATAGATTACTCACTTATAAACAGGTTGTGTATTCAAGGCGATCTCAAAGACATTCAACTTCTGGACACTTGCATTTGGAGCGATACGTAACGGACTTTTGGAGGTATCTCTTACCGTTTTCTTTGTATTCGTTATCTTCAGACTTTCAACGGCTGGCAAGGCTGGCTTTTTTGGCTGAACTGGAGGAGCTTTCTGTTGTTCCTGCTTTTGCGATACAGCAGGCTTCGCTGCTTGCTTCTGCGCATTTTTCTTAGCGTTATTCTTCGGTTTAAAACTGACTAAAAGAAATGAAGTAAAAAAGGACGATAAATACCATCATCCATATCAAACATGTCTTGGTCATCATCATAGTCATCCGAATAGTTATCGTCTTCTTCGATAATTGGCTTTTCTGTACTCTGACTGCTTATTCGATTTCTGTGGTAGATAAATTGAGCTAAAATACGAAAATAAAAAATGCAGAACAGAATTACAAGTGCTGGGCGACATCGGGACTTCATCTTCCAAAGACTTTCCATAATAATCTCGGTCTTCATCCTCGAGAAGCTCTAAACGGGAAATGTCGATGAAAATCAAGAATAACTTATTAGATACAAATAAAATCGGATTTATTCTCAAGAAATGCACACTTAGAACAAACATACCTTCCTCAATATCTAAATTACGAACATATCGATGCCTAGACATGTTTGAACAATGAAAGATCGACAATAATTTGTAAAAAGGATACCTAAAACAAAAATTTTATTTCTCAATTTTTATTTCCTAAAAATGCGTCATCGCGACGACGTTTATTACGCGTTTATTCTCGCCAGAAATGTTCCTTTGAATCGATTATTCTACAAGCTGTGTGCAGACTTCGAGCCTGTTATTCACGCATATATAAGGGTCTGGCGAGCACTGGCACAAGATTTTCATGATGACGTGTTTTATAGAATCGTCGAAATTTCGTTTTTTTACAAAACACGTAATTATTTTTTGTTGGTTATAACATGTTATAACTAGCTACAAGTGAGTTTGAACTCACTTTGTATGCGAAGGAAAGAGATTAGCCAAAGGTTTGGTGGTTAAAAATGATTCAGTCGAGTTTGAATTTGCAGAAAGCCCTATATTGTTATAGTTTGTGCCCCAACCTCATTTTTTGTTTATTCCAATAGTCATTCATTTTGGGCGTTTGTGTGATGGGAACATGGTGCTATGTTCCTGGGCTCGTAATGGGTTTAATTATATGATGAACAAGGTCGCCGAGTTGTTTTTACCTTATTTTTTACGATATTTTTGTAATAAAATATACTATTTATGGTATTTGTGTAGTAATAGGGGTCAATCATCGTTCTTTGTGGTTACCACACCATTTCTACCCAATTTTATTTATTTTTTTCATCATGTTTCGTCCTTGGGCTGACATTGTTTTTATTAGTCAATCTTTGAAGTCTCCATTTGACTCATTCAAGGTTCCAAATTCGACGTTTACATGCTACTGTATATTGCATGACGAATATGACAGTATTCTCTGAATAAAAGTTGACTGTGTAATGACTAATTATAGGACACTTAATGGCTATTGTCTCTGGAAACGGTCCAGTTGATGACATTATTTATATTGTAGTTGATTGTGTTATTTGTTTTGTTTTTTGTGTCGAGAGGTGTTCCGAGACATATAAGAGAGGGGGATGGAAAGAGAATGGTCTGTTCTCTTCGTATTTCCCGATCATGCCATCTCCAAAGGTCATGGCTCCTTCTTTCGATTTTTTCTAATTCTTATTCTAATTTCTGTGAAGTGCTTTATCGATTCGTGATGATAAAAGATTATAAACGTTCTTCATTCTCCAAATTTAGTCTAATTTGTTATTTTAGATAACAATTGGTAATAATGTCTGAGGCTGTTGCGGATATTGCTGTGGTCGGATTGGCTGTGATGGGCCAGAATCTGATCCTCAACATCAATGACAACGGCTTTGTTTGCTGTGCTTTCAACAGAACTGTCTCGAAAGTTGATGATTTCTTGAACAACGAGGCCAAAGGAACCAAGATTGTTGGCGCCCATTCAATTCAAGAGATGTGCAAGTCAGTATTCTCATAGGTTTATGTTGTTTGTGAGGATATGTGTTATTGAATGCGTTCTAGGTTATTGAAAAGACCTCGAAGAGTTGTTCTTCTTGTCAAGGCTGGCTCAGCTGTCCAGGCAATGATCGACAGCATTGTTCCTCATTTGGAGAAGGGAGATATCATCATTGATGGAGGAAACAGCGAGTACCACGACTCTAATGTACGTCTTTTGATGATTGAAGTTAATTATTACATCTTAGAGACGCTTCAAAGAATTAGCAGCTAAGGGTATCCATTTCGTCGGTTGCGGGGTCAGTGGTGGAGAAGAAGGAGCTCGTTATGGCCCATCTCTAATGCCCGGAGGCGCTCCAGAAGCCTGGCCTCACCTCAAGCCGATCTTCCAGTCAATTGCAGCCAAATCCGGCGCAGAACCATGCTGTGATTGGGTAAATAGCGCTATTTTTTGTTTATTTTTCAGACGTTACTCACCTGAGTGGTTCACCCGGAACTTCCAACCTTGTTTTATATCAATTTGATATAAATTTTATGTAATTTATTGCATTATTGGCGGAGCAATACTTAAAACAAGGTCGGAAGTTCCGGGCGAACCACCCTATACACATTATGACAAATTTTTAGTTAGGAGAAGCAGGCTCTGGCCACTTTGTGAAGATGGTACACAATGGAATCGAATACGGAGATATGCAGCTGATCGCGGAGGCATTCCACATCCTAACCCAAGGTCTCGGTCTGGGTTACGATGAATTGGCATCAGTGTTTGACGAATGGAACAAAGGAGATCTCGATTCTTTTCTCATTGAGATCACTGCTAACATTCTCAGATATCGCGATGAGAAGGGAGAACCTGTTGTTCCCAAAATCAAGGACACTGCTGGACAAAAAGGAACTGGAAAATGGACTGGGATTGCTGCCCTCGAATATGGAGTACCCGTCACTCTTATTGGTAGGCGTACTTGACAATATTATTGTTGTTTTTAGCCGAAGCCGTCTTTGCCCGATGTCTTTCTTCCATCAAAGATCAACGGGTCGCCGCTTCCAAAGTTCTCCCCGCCGGAACTGAATCTAACAGCATTGTGAAGGACAAAAAAGCTTTCCTGGAACACGTCAGGAGAGCTCTGTATGCCTCCAAGGTTGTCAGTTATGCCCAAGGATTCATGCTTTTAGCTGAGGCTTCTAAAGAATTTGATTGGAAGTTGAATCTTGGAGCGATCTCCTTGATGTGGAGGGGCGGTTGTATCATCAGATCTCGATTCTTGGGCAAGATTAAGGAGGCCTTTGACAAAAACCCCAAATTGGTCAACCTTTTATTGGATGACTTCTTTTTGAAGGCTATTCAGGAATCTGTGGTAAGTACGGTTATATTATTACCGTATTTTAACAATAATCTTTATGCATTGTTTTCAGCAATCATGGAGAGAAGTAGTAAGCACGGCAGTCAGACTAGGCATCCCAACCCCGGCATTCTCGGCGGCGTTGGCATTCTATGATGGCTACAGAAGTGAGGTTCTCCCGGCGAATCTTCTCCAAGCCCAGAGAGATTACTTTGGCGCCCATACATACGAACTCCTTGCCAATCCAGGCACCTTTGTTCACACCAATTGGACCGGAAAGGGAGGCCGGGTCACCTCCAATGCCTATCACGCTTAATTCGCTTTATAATACACCGATTCCCGGTATTCTCTTATTAGTTAGTCATCATCTACTGTTTAGTCGAGACTTCTTCAGTATTCGCATTTATTTGAGTCAGAATAAAATCACTAATTACTGTAATTAAGTTCGAACCAGTTGAGGTTGTACTCCTCATCCATCCCCACCAAATATCCATCAGCATCAAAATCTGCCGACAGTAGATGTAAATTCTCATCAAATAATTTTTTGGTCTTTTCGAGGTCATATCCGGTTATTTTTGCCCCATTTAGGAATACAAATACTTTACCATTAAAGCAATATTGTCGTGTATCCGCCTTGCAATCCAGCCGGTCTAAAGTTTTCCCGTTTCTGTCCAGTAATTTCACTCCCCCATCGGCTGCCGAGATGACCAAAAATTTGTCATCGATCCATTGGAAGGCGTCGATTCCATCTGGGTCGTATCCAACCGGTGTAGTGGTCAAGGTTTCCGGATCCACCAACAAAATGGCTCCAGTCTCAGCTACAAATATGTTGTAATAAAATTTTGTAATTTTTTTTATTAGAGAACTAATTATTGTTACTAATTAATGTCAACTTACTCGCGACAAATAATTGGAACGAGTCCATCGTTGAGTCGACTGCACTCACTTTGGTTGCTGAATTATTTGATTTCCTCATCCCTCGAGGCAAGTCACTGACATTGACAGAAGCGCTCTTAACTGGCTCTAGTCCAGTCATCTGCAAATTGGACACGACCAATCTCCCATCCATTGCTGTCGATAAAATCATCTTTGAAGAGATGAATCTAAGACTTGAGATCGTCTGGAAATGCATTTGATCTGAGCTCCACACAGTATCTGACCCCACGACTACACAAACAGATCCAGTTGCCGTTCCCACAACTACCTGAGAAAACGCAGTACTTTTTAATATTATACATGAATAATTTTACCTGTTTCTGTGACCCAAAAAGAACTTGGCTTGGACAACTGTTCAATGATATCCAAGAAGTGTTGGTTCTTTCCCAGAGAAGTAATCGACCAGCATGGAGACACCAGACATCATGAGATCTCATCCCAAAAAGGGCACATATCCTCTTGTCAGCACTACATCTGATGCTGTGCAATGGAATGTCTTCCAACTAACCAAGTACTGCTATTACTACACAAGACTGTTACTCACCACATCTATTCTAACCTTCCGAATCAATTCCAATTGGACTTTTTTATCAGCATGATAAGTGTCCAACTCTTCGAACAAAGATTTTTCTATTTCCATTTGTTGTAACTGCTCGATTACTGTATTCACAACCTTCTCATCCAGCCTGATTTGTCTTGCTGAGAGCATTTTCTCCTCGGGTTTCTCAGTCTGAGTCTGTTTAAATGGCTGAGAGATCGGATCTGTCCCATTATCCAATAATTTTACCGGATCTGTCTGTAATTCCAGTTCACTTGTAGATTTTTTATACAAAGTAGTCACAATATTAATCGGTTTAGCACTATGAATCTGCATTTTCGGTGAGAAATATGAAAATTTTCCTAGAGTTAATATTTGAACGGTTGCCTGGATACATATTGCGCGGGATCGAAGTTTAAATTATCAGTTTGACGAGAAACGTTGCAACCAACGTTGGTATTTTGTGAAGTCCGACTGTAGAATCCTCTGAAGGAATGATTGCGCAACCTGGATAACCGTTTTTTTAAGCTCAGCCCTTGATTAATAACATCAACCGTGATTAATAACGTGTTTTGTCGTGACCTCCTTTCGGGATCGCAGCAAAAATGACCCATCCCCTCTCCACCATGCCATGCAATAAGTGCTGTCCCATAAGAGAAAGCGACCAAGGTCGTCTCTCGCCATTACTTTACCTTGACACGTCGTCGGATCCGCGTCTTGGGGAGCGCCATGTTGTTCTTGCTGATCGGGGCTCTATTCCTGTTCGGTAAGATTAAATCTGTTCATCATTTCAAACATAATTCACTTATAATTGTAATGTTATATTTGTAGATGTGTCCGCAGAGACTGGAGTGGGTAAGAAGAAGGCCGAAGATACCATTCCGGTGGTCGAACTTCGAGGAGAAGGGAAACCAATGACCGCCGCTCAGATCAGGCAACTCGAAACTATCAGTAATGGAGGGCCATTGGATATTAAGGTGAGAAAAACCTTATTTTCAAGATTAATTCGGGATAAAAGATAAGGAATTTCATTCCAAATTCAGGTCGAGAACACATGGAGACCAGCGAAATGCCCTCGCCCAGCTCAACGATTAGATTTTGTGACCTTTCATTATAAAGGATTCCTTGAGGATGGAAAGAAATTCGATCAAACTTATGGCCGAGGCCCCATTACAATACAATTGGGGACTGGAATGACCATGCCAGGTCTAGACAAGGGTCTCCGGGGAATGTGTGACACCGAATTGAGAAAGGTCAACATTCCATTCAGACTCAGCAGAAAGGGGAAAAGCAAGGTCTGGAGACAGATTCCGAATGATGAGCACTGGCTCTCGTTCAGCATTGAGATGTTGGAGGTGAAGGAGTGGAATTTGGACGATCAATTCAAATTCATCGATATGAACAAGGACGGTTTCATCACCGAAAACGATGTAAGAAAACACATTTAAATCAATTTTTTGACATTTACAAGGGAAGTACCCCAAGTGCGACGCTCAGATTTTCTTTAAATTTTGAACACACGTCGGGTATGGACTAAATATCAATTCCTGAAAGTTTTAGCTCGCGCTTTGCAGGCGGCGCCGAGATATCGGACGATTTATGCCGCCGAGAGAGCACGCTAAACGTGGAGAGCGGTCAGAGAGAAAAACGCTTTTTGGCCATAACTTTGGCAGTTTCGTGCGGAAAAATCTGATTTTTTGTAGAAACATTATCCTTTACGGTAGAAATAGGCATGAAACTTTTCGTGCCGAAATTCGGCAAAAAGTCCTAAATTTTCGCCGACTTTCGATCTAAAAATCTCGGTTGTTTCTGCAAAGCGCGAGCTAGGATTCTCGCATATATCTTAGAAAAAATTATTCTAAATTTGTGACAAGTTTCATCAAAATCTGAGCGTCGCACTTGGGGTACTTCCCCTGTTAGTTGAATCCTGGCGGGAAATATTTTTTTTTAATTTTAGGTTGTCAAATTCTTGGAAGAACAGAAGAAACAGTACGGAAAAACGTGGAAAAACGAAGATATTGACAATGTTCTAGCCGCAAGATATTATATAAAATACTTTGACGTCAATGAAGACAGCAAGATTTCATTGGAAGAATTCAAAGAGGTCATGAACAGGGACATCAAGGAGATGGAGAGCAAGGAATTGGCCGTTGCTGGAGGCAAACAAAAATCCAAAGGCAAGAAGAGGGATCCCTCAATTGCTTGGATCCTCGATTTCAACAACGACGGCATCATCAGTTACGAAGAGAACGACTCCGCCGATGTTATTCTACAGTCAGCTCCCGAGAGATTGCCGCAGAAGTCACGAAAAGAAGAATTATAATAAAGAATAGCAATAAAATTACAAAAATAGCGTTTGGAGTTATTTCTGATGACTCATAACAACATTTGGTATAATTTGGAGATTTGGGGGGATATTGTAAAGATTAGGGTCGACGCCACAAAATGAACCGAGATCAGTGCATACAGGGGAGCGTTTGGAAGTCTAAACGGCACTTTATGAATATTTGAAAGATGACTGACTGACCTTTGGACATTATAAAAGAACATAATCCAGTCGAAAAGATTCTTGATCGGCTCCGGAAAAAATAAATAATTGATAATCAAAAACCAAACAAAGAGTGCGGATGTAGTCAAGTAAAGGCCCTTCCGAATAAAATCCCTTCCAGCGAACTGCTCCACAAGTTGAGCTATTCCAGTGTAATATAAGAAGATCGCCAATGGTGACCATGAAATTACAAAAATCTGTTCCGACTCTGTCAAGTTGATCACTGCAATTTAATTAAGGTAAATTTCTTATGCTTACAGTCATTGTTTGCCGTTATAAGTGAGTGTAAAGTTGTGAACACATCTCTTGTGTGCATATGATGTTGTTGAAACAAAATTAAATTCATGGATTCATTCCAGTTCTCGGATCCTACTGTCTAAAAACCTAGAACTTCTTCTATTGCTTAGATTACCTGATATTTGGAAACCCAAAATAAAGCCTCCAGAAGATGGCTTTGATGATTTAATTTTTCAGTTTCCTCTCTTTCTTTATTCACAATAAAATCACGATATTCAACAAAAAACAGCACAAATGACAGTAATACCCATAATGTAAGGAGAAGTAAAAAAGGCCTGAGGACCAAAATAAAATTAATTAGACCCATAGAAACTGATGGCCAAGGGTCATTCTCTGATAACAAGATAACCTTTGTTAATTGGGACAGCTGTCTTTTCAAGAACGGGCCCAAATCACCTGAGGTGATTTGACAATGCAAATGACATGAAATGAGATTGGAAAGGAGATCACACTCGCTTCGAAGTGCCCAAGTAAACAGTCGCATAAAGATTGCTGTAAGGACAGCTGAACACTTTGATTTTATCTCTGACGGCGTAAACGGCAAAAGGAATGTAAGCCTTCCCAACGACGGTAGACTGAAGGGCAAAGTAGATGGGGAGCCCATCAACATCCTCGTTTACTAAAACCATTTACCGTAATCAGTAACAGAAGACAAATTGCTTACATTTGAAACTAAATGTGCAGGCGGAAACTGGATCTAACGCCTGGAAGGAGCAACCTTTCCTCCAAGGAGGCTTTAACGCCGTCAACATGGTCAAATAATAGTAATACAAATGATAAGTGGACTGAAAATAAATTGATTGGACTTGCAATGACTCACGTGTCGATAACTACTTGTCTTAACTGCAACACTGACTGTCACATCTCGAGCAACAAACGATACAGTGAATTGGACTTGGCTGAGGAAAAGATGTAATTTCTCTTCATTTGTGTTGATCCAGGTGAGGCCAGACATATTCACGGTGTGATCGCGGGAAAGTTTTTTTCTCGTTAGTTCTGTGTCGATCATAATTTTCCTTTTCGTGCTGAGTCCGAGGACTGAAAATTAAAATAATATCGGTCTGTCGGGAAAAAAACGGCGGATCGTCGCGCCTCGGAGTCGCTCATCATCGCTCTGCGACTGCAAGCCGCGGCTTGGGATTTGGTGCGCGATAGCGGCGAGGCGAGACATTTTGCTGCGACGATCCGCCGTTATTTTTCCGACAGACTGATATAAGTGTCAGAAATATAAAGTCATCTTACCAACACCTTTCTTTGTGAGAGGGTCGTGCTGGACAATTTGATCGGGTTTATCTCTTTCTTCAATATGTATAATATAATAAAGTTGAATTTAGCCTTACTTTCTGCTGGATATTCTAAAAGACCACCAGCGTTGGGTTGAGGGGCATAGACATCACAAAATCTGTTCAAGGGTCCCATTTCAAACTCTTTCAGCTCTGTTAAAACTGGTAAAAGATGGCCGAACACGGTGTGAGTTAGGTCCAGCAGATCTTTCACATTTTGATCATGCTCTTCTTTAAAGTGACCTTTCTTTGGGGCATCTAACCCCATCCTAAAAATAAAACATTGTAGCCTTAAAACATAATTTTTGCAAGGTTGGACCCGTTTTTAAGACTCGAGCGAGGGCTTATGACGGTTGCAACGTGAATTTAATACTTGTTCAAATCAAACCATAAAAATAATTTGGAAAAGTTACCGTAACCGGCCGTACTGTACGCGAGGGTCGTATTTTGTATCATGAGAACCAAATGCGCAAGAGACCAATCTTCACAAATGTATTTTCCGTACCCGGAAACCATTTTTTACAAACTAGGCCATGTCTCTAGTACGACGGGAAAAATCGAAAATCAATTTTTTGTCAAATTTCTCAAAAACTTTGAACAAAATTTTCAGTGATTTTTTCCGGACTTTGAAGCTAGAGATCATTGCGGTTCGAATGAGACTAAAAATTGAAAAATTTGAATCGACATGGCTGCAAAACATTGCGCAATGTTACGAAATTTGAGACAATAATTACGCATTTCTAGACTATGTAACCGTACGACTAACAAAATTTTGAACGGAAAAAACAAATTATGACAAAATGTCAACATACATTGAGTTTTTATGACCAAATTCAACTTTTTTTACATTTTTTGAATGCAAAAGTGTAATACTTTGAAAATTCTCATAAATACCCGGCTCGCGGGTTTGGGTATATACCGTGATAACGGAAACACTACACAAAGCTCCAAATTAAAAAGCAAATTTCCCGTTTATCTAACAAAAACAGGAACAATTACTGCGTATTTACAAAGTTTACTCGGATTCGGAGTCCACTTGAGGGCAGCGAAAGCCCTTTCCAGGATCTGTGTTCCAGGTCAAGCAGCCATGGAGAATATTTTTTATGTTTGTCCATCCATTCACTCAGTCGCGATCAGACAAATCGTCTCTCGGTGGATTAAAGCGACGTCTTAATCATCCCCTTTCAATCAGTTCTCGATCATGTGCGCATGTCTAATATATCTGTTGACGGTCACTGTTCTCGCCGTTCTCGCCCAGGAAAGATGTCCGCCCATCTTCGGGGAAACGGAATGCCCACTCAAGTACAAATGTGAGTTGAGTACTTGTAAGGATGAGAAGGGAGTTCCACCGCCACCTGATTGTTCAAAGGTGAGTTTCGAAGGCCTCAGGGAGTCAGTCAGAGCTGAAATTGTGGAAGAAATGAAACAAGAAGTGGCGCAACAATCCGTCGAATCTCACCAACCCTTCAATCATACCTTTCAGATAACCTGTGGTCCTGATGCTCGTTGTTTCGAAGGCAGATGTTGGCCAGTCGAAGGCCTGCCATGTGGCCGGAATGTACTTGTGGCCGAGAATACGGCTAGATCCATTATCAGTTCTTGTGGACGGCGAGGAGTGTGTCTGAATGGAAGGTGCACAATTGATAGTAGGTCTCATTAACGCATTCATGCCTTGCCTTAGAATGTGCTGAGGTTCTCTGCAATGACGGAGAATTATGCCGTGACGGGAAATGTGTGAAGATAATGGGTAGTTTCTGTTTATCAGTATTCGATTGTGGCCCTGACCTTGGAATGGAATGCACTCGAAACCAATGTGTCCGATCCGATGCCATGGTGGGAGCTGAAGGGTTATCTAAAATCGATTGTGATCCTGATGAATCCTTCTCTGGCCATGAATGTGTGAAGAAAAGAGGTAATCAGTTTACGCTTTCACTGCAACAGTCACGTCATTATTCAGGGTGTGAAGAGATCGTCTGTGAATCCGGGTTCTCCTGTTCCAATGGGGCATGTGTTCCAATGTTGGGAGCCGATTGTAGTCAAAACAAATGCCCTCAGGGCTTGGTGTGCAAGAAAAACATATGCGTTGAAGACCAATGCAAGGACAAATGCCCTCATGAACATGCTTGTGTCAACGGAGAATGCCGTCATCTCCAAGGAGTGCTCTGTCGAGAAACCTGCCCGCAGCCGTTCCTTTGTATCAACGGACAATGTGCTAAAAATGGTGATAATAATCAATCGATTATTATACTGTATTTACAGAGTGTGCCCGGAAAGTGTGCCAGTTGGGTGAACGATGTGAGAATGGTCTTTGCATACGGATCGAAGGGAATCTATGCTCGAATCCGATGAGAGATTGCGGGGAATCTTTCGATTGCTTCAAATCAGCATGCAGAGACAAGATACACCCGATTGCTGGTAGTACAATGCCAGATACTGTAGCTTAATAAACGCTCAAAATACAAACGAGAATTTATTTATCTACCACCTAGACATAAGCCTATTATTCCGTAGGTTTCTCCACTTTCTCTTCGTTGAGGTCAACCACTTTGTATCCAGATGTAATCGGGGCATCTCTAAAGGCAGGGAACGTCTCCCATGGGGTATCCAAATCAAACTTTCTGAACTCCTGAGCCAATTCGGAAGGCTCGTAGACAACACGCTTGAGCTCGGGATCATAGCGAATCTATAAGCAGCATCGTGAAGCTTCACTCGTGTGTAGTATAAAGGTTAAAAGAATTATCAGTTTACCTCGGTATAACCAGAAAGAGGGAAATCTTTCCTGAATGGATGTCCCTCAAAGCCATAGTCGGTCAGGATGCGACGAAGATCGGGGTGGTTGTTGAACCACACTCCATACATATCGTATACCTCTCGTTCATACCATTCGGCCCCACTGAAGACTGAACATGCCGACTCCAAGGGTTCTACTTCATCAGTGTATGTTCTAACTCTAATTCTTGAGTTAAAACGGATGGATTGAAGGCCATAGACAACTTCGAAACGATTCTGGCGGGTAGGAACATCAACGCCACAAGCAAAGACGAAGTTGGTGTACTGGGCAGAGTGATGACCTTTGAGGAAAGTGAGGACCGGGATCACGCCTGAAGGGTGGATAAGAAGCTCCAACTCATCCCCAGCCGCAAATTGGACTCTTTGGACGAATTTGGGGAGGCATTTAGCAACGTATCGACCAAACTCAGTGAGACGGTCAACTTTCTTTTGATCAATATGGAATACAGTAGCTAAATTGAAATAAAAATTGCTTAGAAAGCCCCACCTTCCTTTAATTGTTTGTTCCCCTCATCTGGCTTTGGTTCGTATGTTACAGTAGCGGCTGGACGAGCAATGGAAAGCCGGCTTTTAGTGACTGTCTGCGCAAGTTTAACGGCTCCCCTCAGCATCTACAATTAGTAATATAAAAGTGTCTTTTTCGCAAATATTTCAGGGATATCCCGACATTAAATTAGCGAATAGAAATCTAACATTTATCAAACTTAACAACGACTCTTAACAACTGAATAAGTATCATTTACACAAAACAAAACGAGATCAAGACTGCCATTTTCATATCCACTTTCCTTGTTCTTCATCTTCTGAAGATTAACATAATCTTCAATCTGATTTTTGATGGGCTCTAGCAACCTATCCTTGGCAGATTTCAAGCATTCCTTGTCGAAACCAGACAACGCGTGAAATTTAAGCAATGAACAAACAGAAGTAAAAAAAGGGAACCCGGCTTCGATATCTGAATAAGATGCCCGCAATAAATCTCCGTAGAAAAACGAAATCTCTTTTTTAAAAACGTTGTTCAAACCATTGTCCAACGATTGACGGTAGAAATCGATGAGTAGTGCAATCGTCTGCGGCTCATATTTCAGTTGAACCACATTATCCATGATCAAAGAATAGAGTCGGCGGATCAATAGATATCTTCCAGCAGCTTCAAATCCAAACAATATCAACTTCCATACTGCAATAACATGTTCTCTAAGCTCCCAGAAACACTCAACATTCATAAGCTTTACCAATTCTTTCAGCGGTTCCTAAATAATATAAACATTTTCAAAGTACCTACAAGGAAAAACCATAAAACAACCTTACTTCGTGTTTAACTATCAGCGATCTGTCCAATGTGTTCGGCTTCAACTTCCTAGCGATCGCTTCCATCGTCAAAATTAGATTATTCCCAAAGTTCAAGTCGTTCTGGGCTTTCCTCATTATACGGCAAAACAACGGAAGAGTTGCTTCGTATATAAACTCATCAGTAAAAACCACGGGGACATTATGACATTCGTACAGTTGTCGTCGCAAAGCGGATTCCACATGCTCAGAATCATTTAGCGACTGATTAGAAAAAATTGGGTCGAATGAAGGGCTTAAACAAAAAAGATCCTCATCCACATCGTCGTTCTGAAGGGACTCAGCAATTAATCGGACCAATTTAACCCACGAAGAAGAATCTGGCTCCATTCTTTCATGTCGAACAACATTCTTTGAGAAAATTTTTTTTACAATGGGCGCAGCCCGCGGACTATCAGGAAGTATTTGGAGGGTCAATTTGATACGGTACATTTACAAAAAGACCTCCCTTCATCTTTTTCAATTTATTGTTAGTACTACATTTTTTTCTTTTTCCCAGCAATTTGCCGGGTCGGGCCGAAAATGCCGGTCCAGCCCGAGAGGCATGTCTAACCACAGTTAGCCTGGATCCGATCAGCCGAGCAACGTTGTTTCCCCTTTTCAACCATATAAAGCCAATTTAATACGATATTATTAACAAAGGCATTACAAAATAAATAACAATTTATGACAAGTATATACTGCAACATCCTTGCGTGAAGGATATCTACCCTGTATAAATGCGATCATAGTTGAATGACAAAGGGCTATAGTTCTGTTTTCTGGGGCAGTCCGATTCCCATTGCTCGTCGGAACTCATCAATCTCAAAGATGGCAGATGAGTAACGGCCAAAGCTCTGGATTAAGGCCACGACTTCATTCCTGAGATAAAGAAAATTACAATAACAGCTTCGTTCAGACCTTTCAGTAACAGTATGGCTGACTTACCGTGATAGTTTGAAGGGAATCGTCGCCCTTCCGCTTAATACTGATCTGGTCTCTGAATGGGGGAGGTCCGAGAATAGAATCTTTAATGCTGTTCCCATGCCATGAGTTTGGAGTTTCCCCCATAACCGGCACTTATCACATCCAACACAGTCCATTATTCTCGAAATGTTCAGAAAATGCTGTCTAAACTCTTCTCTGAGCAACCTGGCTTGAGAGTCGACCCCCTAAAATACGTTTAAAAAATTAATCAAATGTAACCTTGCCTTGAAAAGCTTTGTTTCATCGAAATGGCTTTCATATTTTTCACAAATCTGAATCAACTCTTCAATCGTCTTCTTAATCTTCAAATCTTCCTAAAATGATAACAAATAACTGAATGTGGACTTACTTCTTCATTTCCGGTATAAAATAACTCGGCTTGAAGATAGGGCGCTGCCTTAACAATCGCCCTTAATTCCAAGAGATACACAAAGTACACATTCATAAGTCTCTCTGGTCCTTCGGGTCCCCATTTGTCTCCGAATCTGTTCTTGAACATCTCAATATTCCTAAACCAAGTTCCTGACCCAAATCCCCCGACTGCAGGTTTGTAATTATAAGAAGCGATAGATATGGTGATGGCCGAATGAAGTCCTGAGATTAATTTGTGGAATACCCGTTTCTCCAAGCACATTCCAGTAGTAGTCGGATGTAAAAGAAAGTCTTTATCGAATCTGGGATCTGGCTTAAAACAATTCTCTCGGTAGATACTCATCCACACTTTCTGAGCAGATTGTCCTTTGTAACCCGTATACCTTTCTGGATTCTTCAAGAGGTTTACATAATGAAGATCGTTTGAGTCATCATCTGTAGAAATTTTCTCGTAGATAAAATGAAAATTCGAGCTTCTTACCTTCTACGTCACAGAATCTATCACTTGAATCCTCAAAGTTTTCCATTTCAGCCAGTTGGGCTTTATCCGTGTCAGATAGGGACAAATCCAAGGGATCAAACTGATTAGACGGAACACAAGGCGCGCTTGGCTCCTCATCAGCTTCCAACTTAAATACGTTACTGTTAACTGTGACAGACAAAACTTGCCACAGAAACAACCGATGAAGGACGTCTCAGAGCTTCTGGCACCTCCTCGTCACAATGCTCAATCCCACATTCCCTTGAAGAACACTCCCTTTCATCTGGCCAAAAAGGACAAGGCCTTGCCATATTTACCTAAAATTAGAATAACAGATATAAAGAAGAAGTTCCACATACCTTATAGAACTTAAAAAAGTCACTCTGAAGGAGTTTTTGAACCAGTCCATAGACTTTGTGATTGTTGAAATAATCCAAACTGGCATATCTATCCTTGCATGGCCCAACGGCCTCATCTGACTTGCAGAACCATGGATATTCTTCTGTGAATAAAGCCTCAGATTGTAGTAAAAAAAGAAGAAATATTAGTCCAGTAAGTGACCACCTCAGGGTCACCATCTGGACGGTCAATCTAAAAACAATATCTTTAAAAGTGCAAACAAACGAGCGGAAATAAACACCGAGCGTTCTGTGTACGCGCGCGATACTTATGAAACGTGTTTTAGTAGAAAATCTGACGTCAGCCTGTCAATTCGGAAAGAACATGGACACTGGATATAAACATTAATTTATAAGCAATAATGCAAATGGAATTGAAGAAACTACATATTATACAGCCAATTGCAAAAAAGCATTAAAACAATTATATTCGGCTAGACATGTGAACACAATTTAAAGACTGGAAAATTGTAAAAAATCTGCATGCAAAATTAAAAACTACTGTAAATTTTTAACCGACACTAATTTACAAAAAAATAATGTCTAAAATCTGTAACTTCCACAAATCAAGTCATCGCAACATTTTATCCAGAATTTTCTCAAAAAATCAAAAAAAAGAAAAAATTATTTGTGCGGCAGCGATAAAGATGTTTCGGCGACTCGTGCCATACAAGTCCTTTCTTATTTCTCGACGCTCTCATTCCTTCAAAAACAATGGATATGTCACGGAATTTCCGTATGTTATTTTATCGTCTATGTTTATGTCTTTAGATTATCATACCCTGAATTTCTCCATTCTCCGGTGGAAAATCGTCGAATTCCATTGTATGAAAAACTCGTGAGAGCCGATATGTTAGAACGACGTTTAAATGTTGACATCCCGGAGTTTTACGTGGGATCTATTTTGGCGGTTACAGTGTCTGATCCAAATATGAACAACAGACAGAATCGGTTCCTCGGAATATGTGTCAGGAGGCACAAAGTTGGCTTACATCACACGTTTACACTAAGGAATGTAGTGAATGGCTTAGGTATGCGTTCATTATTCTTTTTGTCTACTTTTTAGGGGTTGAAGTGATGTATGATTTATATAATCCAACTATCCGGAAGATCGAAACTATAAAATTGGAGCGTCGTCTAGATGATGATCTTTCTTATTTGATTGACGCATTACCCGAATATAGCACATTTGACTTCAATTTGGAACCCATCTCTCATCCGGTGGGTAAACCAGTGCCTGTTAATCCACTAAAAGTGAAACTCCGTCCACCACCATGGTCACAGAGATGGGACATGTTGCCATTTGAGGGCTTGGAAAACGCTTGGGAGATGGCGACACCGAGAGCAAAGAGAAAGGTGAAGAGGACCAGGGTGAATGACTACTTCGAGTTTGATCTCATATGGCAATATCGACGAGAAGGCCAAGATTTGGCTAACGAGATCCTCATTCAGCAAGAGATCAAGGACTTCGAACAAGACAGGCAAAGCAAGGGAGCAACCAAGCGAAAGATCCTTAGATCTGCTGAATTGGCTCTTTAGGAATGGTTATTTTTTGTTGAGTAAATTTGTTATTTTATGTCGTATGTTTTTTTGTGGTATAATTCCATGACTATCTCATTTATTTAGAGTATGGCAGGATCATTTATTGCTTCCAGTTACTGCAAAAGCTGGTATTGACGGGAAGGGATGGCCACCTCATAGAGAAAGCAGTATTCCTGCTTTATTACGGGTATTTACTGCTGCAGTGTCTTTCAGGGTATGATACTTATAGCTTTAATGTTTAATGTATTAGAAAGTTTATGGGTCATAAAATGATGGAATGTGTCAGTAATACGATGGAGTTAATAATCAAAAACCGCTGTCAATTGACTAATATCGAATGTGTTGTTCCTGACGATGCTTCTGTGCGGGAGTTTGTATCTTCTGTATTGGGTACTGGTGAAAAAGTTGCATTGAGTGTGTACGTTCATCAGAAGATTTGCGGACTTGAAAATGATGGCTTCGAGATTGAACGATGGACTTTCCAAAGAATGTTGGATGGATTGGAGAGGTCGCATCTTGATGAATACAAGGCCTATTTTGCTCTTATTGTTGCTCGGCTTGCCCTCTCTCCCCTTGATTCTTTTGTTGGATCGAAAGGCTTTCCTGCTGGATACAGGATGTCGTTTAGGTTGGCAAAGTTTTATAAAGAGTGTTATTGCTGATAGGTTGGAGGAATATAGAGAAGGAAGCTCTAAGATGCCACAAGGTTTCATTTTCCCGTTGTTTTTGGAGTCGTCTCAACTCCTTTCGATCACGTATGAATACGTCACATCAATTCCGTATCCTCTAAACATTGTTTGTAATTGTAAAACAAGAGGAAGACCCAGGAATTTATTATTGGTGGAGAATACGACATGTGTGGGTAACGTGAAATCCGTTGTTAGACCAATCAGCCGAATCAGAAGACACACGATCGGTGAGCATAATCATTCAGGATCTAATCACACGACTCAAAGCGTCAGACGTCCTTTTGTGAGAAGAAGCAGGAGAATTTCACATTCTGGATTGTTGGGGAACTTCGAGGAGAGCGCGTTACACGGACGTCTGAAGCCTGTGGCTTCGGTAGACGGATTCAGTCTTCAAGTTGGTAGGTACATAAACGCGGAGGACTCAGGTTTCAGTCGGGTTCAATCTACAATCGACGAAGTATAATGTCAAAACCCATTTCTTCGATGTCTCCGATGATAATAGTCCCTCTTTATACTTTGTAAGTTGCAGAATTGGGTTCGAATTCTGTCTTCAGGGTGTTGTTGACTTAAGCACTACTCGAATAAGGATAAAGAAGAAGAGCAGAGTTCAGGCCGTAAGTGAATATTAACCAGGTTACAGTATCTAGACGTTATTCAACCCGCACGGACGCGCTTTAAAGTTGTTCATCGTTGATCTGGACCTCTCTGACATGCCTCCACATAGTAACACTTTTGTGAGACAGCGGATTTTTACAACATCAGATATTAAAGGAGCTAAACCCGTATTACGATACTTGATCAACCTAAGGTAATGTCACCCCGGAAATCAAAACCAAAGAATTTAGGTTAGCCAGTGATGCGAAAGGGCGGATTTACATGCACTCAGACATAAAGTTGTTGTTTTCAAATAAGGAAGAAGTCGACTTGTTGGACTTGACTTCCAACAAGGAGTACTGTGAAGTGAACACTGAGATGCCCGAGAATCCCAAATATTCTATGAATACGGACATAGATAAATGTAGATAAACTGCGCTTGGGATTATTTATTAGATCTCAGTTTGCAAGTTGTGCTTCGATATGTTTGATTTCGTTCTGAATTGTGGCCAGTTCGGCCAATCTCGGAAGGAGAATATCAATTGTTTTTCTGGCTTGTTTTACAGGCATTGGTTCAAGAACGCCGAAGGGGACAAACGGACGGTTTGATGCTTCGTTCTGATTTACCATTTCGAACATTCGGCCATTACTCTCGACCCTAAATATTAATTTTGATATTATGGCTGTCGCCCCCACTTTCTTGTTGGCTCCAATTCTCGATAATCGATACTTAACGCACTGGCAGCAGACACTCCAATTATAGATCTAAACTTTGATTTAAACATAGTTGTAGCTTACTTCGTTTTGGACAACAAAAAGCGATATTGATCCATTCCAGATTCGACCGCCTTCATTAGATTAATGTAATCCCTGACCAGATGGAGTCTTCGCAATGCCAACAAATTCTTCTCTTTTGCAGCCATCTAAACTATTTTACTAGCCTAAAAATGATTTAAAGATACTTAAGTAGGGTTTAACAACGTCTTAACAAAATCGCAACAGTCTTATTAAGTTCATTTATTCATCGCTTTTCTAAAAGTAGTCAGCAGTTCAAAAGGCTTATGTACCGCGACCATTAACCCGTTTTTATTCATAGCAACACTTCTATCTTGGTACAAGAGGGGTTGTCCATCCAAATCCATAAGTTTTCCGCCAGCGGCTCTCATCAAAGCATCGGCGGCGCAAACGTCCCACTTCTTTATGGCTGTTGTATGTACATAAAAAGCTGCAAAGACTTCATAAGCATTTTCTTAATAATGTTACCTGCGGTACCATTCAACACTCTAAGGGCCTTATATCCAGCACCGCCAGCGGGTTCGACCGTATATTCGCCCCCAAAGGCCTTTTCAGCGATTTCTTTCACCTTTCCGGTATGGGATCTAAAGTGAGCGTTTACCCGGCAGACCATAAAGAATACTTTGAAGTTCCAAAAAAAGCAGGAAAATAAGATATATACCTAGAGACAACAATGTTCTTCTTGGTTTGGTCTGCAGATGGGACAGTCATTTTCTCCCCGGAAGCATCAACCAAGCCATATTCCACTAATCCAAAGACGGCCTGGTTAAAGAAGGGTCTGTTGATCGCTCCGAAGATTGGCTCCCCATCCAAGGTTATACATGCCATGACAGTCACATATTCAACTAGTCCTTCTGTAAAATGCGATTAACACAGAAAATAAAAATGTTTTAGTCGTATAGCCAGGATACCCACCAGTAAACTCTTGAGTGGCATCTAATGGATCGATCCATATTCCAATTCTATTCAGGTCATATTTCACATTCGGGATTTTCTTTACCGCATTCCTGATGTTTAGCCACAAATTATAATTGTCATCTTTGTACTTTTCGACCTCTTTATCCTCAAGCTCACTATCCTTTTCTTCAGAAATGACTTTAATTAAAGGGAATCGCTTCAGAAGATCAGTCATCAGATGGTTTGACACCAAGTCCGCCTTGGTCAGGAGTTCTGCTTTCCCCACATCAGTGTTTCCCTTCTGTTGGATATTGAGTCGATTCTCTTCGAACACTTTTTTCACTGCCTTCCCTCCCATTTCCACAGCCAGGGCGGCATATCTACAAAATAGAATAATATTACAAAACCCGGCACTTACCCAACCACGTCCACAAAATCAACCTCAAATTCTGGGATAGGGTCTTCATACTTGAACCATAACAAATAGACCAAATAGATGAAGAAAAGACCGGCGAACAGGCCAAATATGTTCTTAACATTGAAACGGATCATCTTAAAGGACAACATTATCAAAACTGCGGTAATTACCTTTGAATCATACGCCCGATTCCTCATACTGGATAAAATAGAAACACTCACTTTCAGTGATCAGATAATCCTTTATAACGTGGCTCTTTCCGTCGCCAGAGTGGGATTCATTCTATGCTCTACATAAACTAAAAGTCTCCAGTTCAGGGCATCCGAGAACAACTTCTGTAAATTAGCATCAGCTAAAATGAAATTTTATTTTCTTCCGGACACGATAATATAACAGCGGCGACGCAAGACTCCTGAAAAGAGTCAAAATTTTTCCGTTTTTACTTTTTTGGAAAAAGTCTACTCCCCGAAGAGGGCAAAAGTAAGTCAACCTTTGTTCTTACTTCGCATTTTCGTTTCGAGCTGGGAGAGTAAGAACGAGTTTCGACTTCCGCGGCCGCGGAAGCTTGTCCGCGGAAGCCGTGTTCCAGGGGTGGTCAGCGGACCCTATTTTTCCGATTTTCGGCCCGCGGCCCGGCCCGTCTAATCACCGGCCCGGCCCGGCCCGTCTAGTCTTTTTCCAGGCCCGGCCCGGCCCGTGACGGGCCTGGCCCGGCACGTCAAGAAAAAATAAAAGAAAAACGGGCGCCCAATGAAAAAGCCTAGAATTTTTTTTGGCATTCTGCCCGGTGCAAATCCGTTTTAGTCCAAATGGTTTGCAATATTTAGATTAATAGTAAATTACAAGATATTGATATCAATAGAAAGCTCGAGAGCTGCTTAAGCTAATAGAACCAAAATATACCCGTAATCGTAGTATTTGACAGTTTTCCATGGCGAAGAATACAACGTCTAAATAAAAGTTTGTATCGACGATACCGACTCAGAGAGCACTGGAAGGAGGTATAGGCTCCGCGTCAAAAAAATCCTTAAACTGTTCTTCGAGTATCTACATCGGTCCCGTCCCGCTTGATGGGACAGTTTTTTTGATATTCGGCCTTGAAATTTGCACTATTTTTAGCCTAGCTCGAACCGTGTTCAAAAAATGCGTCACGATGACACCCATTCAGAATGTGTCAGTGGTATAAAAGACAGTTGTATACGACTAGTAGTACTCCCTAGAGCTCCCATAAAAAAAATTAAGTTAAACATTGTTGTTATGTGCAATTTGGATGACAGATTTTATGAATTTTTTTTCGCTGTGAGAACCTTTGCAATGCCCGAAATTTCTTGACGTGCCCGGCCCGGCCCGCACGCCACGAAAAAAGTGGAAATAGAGAAATTCGCGGGAAAATGTTTTCGACATTTCATACGCTGAAACCGTTACAAATAAATAATAAAAATCTTTCCAAAATTCTAATAAACAACAATTTACGTGTGAAACCGGCGAGAAAGCATCGAAAGGATTCTAGGAGGTGCACCCCGAGCTTCTCAGATTGATCGAAGAAGAGAAAAGAAATTATATTGTACTAGGCACAAATGGATCAAAATCGATGAATCTGACCGAATTCGAGCTCTTCCGGGGTTTACAAGACTAACAAGGCTTTGATCTTGCTACAACAGACCACTACTAAATTGAAATTCATCAAATCTTCTTTAATTCCACCTAAACATCAAACCAATAAGAATAATCAAAATTACATAAATTTTTGACAATCCATCGCATTTGTCGGATGCAATCTGAACTCGGAAATCAATCTCCACACCCTTTGGTACATTATGCTGGCTTTCACATTCTACTTCAACATGGACCGGCTGAAATATCAATTATATTATTTTAGGTATAACCAGAGAAAATTATTAGCTCAACGGCCTAGAAAAACAAAAAAATCAAAAAGACAACGTCACAAACTTACCTTGAAATGTTCTGAACGTCGTCTGCTTCCTCTGATCCAGCTTTGCTCACGCCTTCTCTTCGCGTTTCTCCATCAGTTCCTGCAAAATGATGCAATAATCGATTGACAAGTGCCCTTTTGCTATTGTCAAATTTCCAGATTTCTTCTTCATAACGTCCGCTAGGATGTCTCACACAACACCACATGGCGGTTAATCCCTAAAACTCAGGACAAAAGAGAAATCTTACATTTTCTGAAGAGACCTCCATGGATGGTAAATCAATGTTTGGGTCATAGCGCGACGGGCCGGGCTCCATGGACTCATCCATTACATTCAATACGATCTTCCTCCTGCTCTCCGCTAATTTTATCTTCATTTGCCTCTTCTGGTCCAGCTTTTCTCGCGCTTTCTCCAGTCCGTTCTTGCGTGTCTCCATCTGATCCTGCAAAATGATGCAATAATCGATTGACAAGTGCCCTTTTTCTATTGTCAAATTTCCAGATTTCTTTTTTACAACGTCCGCTAGGATGTCTCACACAACACCACATGGCGATTAATCCCTAAAATTCAGGACAAAAGAGAAATCTTACATTTTCTAAAGACACCTCCATGGATGGTAAATCAATGTTTGGGTCATAGCGCGACGGGCCGGGCTCCATGGACTCATCCATTACATTCAATACGATCTTCCTCCTGCTCTCCGCTATTTTTATCCTCATTTGCTTCTTCTGGTCCAGCTTTTCTCGCGCTTTCTCCAGTCCGTTCTTGCGTGTCTCCATCTGATCCTGCAAAATGATGCAATAATCGATTGACAAGTGCCCTTTTTCAACTGCCAAATTTCCTGATTTCTTCGTTACAACGTCCGCTAGAATGTCTCACACAACACCACATGGCGATTCATCCCTAAAACTCAGGACCAAAGAGAAATCTTACATTTTCTGGACCCACATCAATAGGTGGAGAATCAGTTTTTGCGTCACAGCGCGATGGGTCGGGCTCCATGGGCTCATCAGTTATATTCAAAACTTGAAACTGACAACAACGTAATTTTTGACATACTATTCATCCCTAAATTATTCCAAATCTCAAAGTTACAATACTATCTAGCAAAATATTCATTCGTTCAAAAAAATTAAAAATATTGGGCGCAGCTCGAAATCTCTATTTCCAATTTTGCCTTACGTTTTTCGTGGCGTGCGGCCCGTGCAGGCCCGTCTATAGAGGGTTCTGCGAACTGCGCCCAGGCTCGGGATCTAAACAGAGGCAAAAAAGGCGTTGATCTAGCTAGTAAAGGATCAATGTGATAGTTTTGTGGTTCTATAATGGAACTATAGACTTGTAAACGTGTTAGAACTTGAGAAACAGCAACTATAACAACATCAATTAATTTTCCCGGCGCGAAAACAATGAATGCCAACGGTTTGGCATTGTATTTTAGACGGGCCGGGCCGGGCCGGAAAAAACCCCAGGCCCGCGGCCCGGCCCGGCCCGGCCCGTGACGGGCCCGGCCCGTTTGTCAATTTCCATTTTTGAGGCCGGCCGGCCCGTTTGGGCCGGGCCGGGCCGCCGACCACCCCTGGCCGTGTTCCCCCATCGGAACAGTTGACCCAGGATTTCATGCTCGAGAAATTTTTTTTCCCATATTCGAAATAAATTTTGTGAACGAGAACAGCTCGGGTTTGCTCAAAGAAGGATTTTTTACGAACAGGCTTTACTGTTTCATTTTCTATCTAGCTTGTTCATTTTATGTTTAGATAAGCCACCAAAGTGTTTAACGTTGCGAGACAACCTTGTTGAAACGTAGATAATGTAAATGGTTTTTTTTTTATTGTTTCAGTCAAAACTCTTTGTGCCTAGTGTCACAGTTAGCTTCGATCTAATACCATTTTCGAACTAGAAACGGCGAATTTTACTAAAATTTTATCTTATACTTGCTCCTCGTCGCTTTTTTCTGCACAGCTGTGTGAAACGCCCCTCCTTCCATATATAAATATTTAGGCACCGAACGAGACTTACAGTTGTTCTCAGCCATGACTGACAGTGGTGTATGCGAGGTCAAAACGAAAAAAATAAAACTAGATGAGAAGGAAGACGGGGAGAAACCAACTGAAAGCCTGTCGGAAGGGAAGTTGATGGAGTTACCCAGGAAGAAGTTTTATCGACAACGAGCACATGCAAATCCGTTATCCGACCGTGATATGTTTCATCCAGCAACACCGGAGACGTAGGAAGCTTGGGTATTTTTAAAATATTACTTTAGGATGAATTGGAGCGAATTCTTTGGTCCTTCTTTCACTGGCGATTCGTCGAAGGTACGAAACGCGGATATTGGATGTGGCTACGGTGGCCTTTTATTTAAGCTCTCGGAAATATTTCCGGATGAATTCTCAGTGGGATATGAGATTAGGCATAAAGTAATTTTATTACCTAAATTTTAGAATCTCTGTTAAGGTTAGCAAATACGTCCAAGACAAGATTACGGCCCTGCGTCACAATGAGCCTGGAAAATGGGAGAATATATGTTGTCTTCGTACGAATGCGATGAGGTTCTTGTCTCATTTCTTCCAGAAAGGCCAATTGTCAAGGATGTTCTTTTTGTACCCGGACCCGCATTTCAAGAAGAGCAAACATAAGTGGAGAATTATCTCGATTCCTTTAATTTCTGAATATGCTTACTTGATCAAGGCCGGAGGTAAGTTGCACTTGAAGCGATTTATAAGTTTTTAAAGGTATTTTGTACACGGTCACCGATGTCCTGCAATACCATGAATGGGTATTAGAGAACTTTGCCGCAACTAAGTTGTTCGAGAAGATTTCAGACGAAGAACTGAAAGATGATCCGATCTTTCCTTTTATCTTTGATTCGTCTGAAGAAGGAAAAAAAGTGACCAGAAATGAAGGCTCCAAATATCACGCTGTATACAGAAGAACAGCCATCGAACCTCAATTTGAACCCAATTTCGAGAAGAAGGACCAAGATCATGACGAAGGTGGTGAAGTCGAGTCTGAGAGGGACACTGAAGAAGCCGAGCTAAGCTCAAGTGATGCCAAGCCAACCGTGGATTTATAAAATCAAACATTGTTAACGTAAGGAGCCTTACAAAAATTGTTATTTTTATTGTTATAAATGAACTTTTGTTACTTCGGTAGTCGAGGTTTGTTTCTTAATAAGCATACATTAGGCACTCAAAGCATTTTTATTCGTATTTTTCGTCTGGCGGAACCCCGGCTTGGTTCATGAGTTCGGTGATACTTTTTTCAAGATCGTCCACTCTTCTGGAAACATCGTCGATACGAGAAATAATCTTATTTGACATGGTCTCGAACTGATTTTGAGTAGTTTTCAGGATGTTGTGAACCTAAGATCAGTATACACCATTGATATAATATACTTACAAATTCGCCGAGATCTTCGTTTCCACTGATTGGAGTCTTTTTAACTCCCTCAGTCAAAGTTATATCATCTCCTTTCTCAGCCATAACACACTAAAAAATATAGAAAAGTTCTGTCGATTCGAAATAAAATCAAGGATCCAACCGTGGAGTAAATCGAACAGAACATTAGTAAAACTTTAATAATTAAAAGCATACATATAATTTAGCAAGGCACATAATCTCTACTCTTGGCCATCCTTCTTTGTTGCAGCAAGCTTTTGGAAATGAGCTGTGGCTTCTGCACTAGAATTAGACCTTGGAGATGCTAAAACATGATGAACTTAGTGCAAAGACTATCTCTCCTACCAGCGCCATCCTTTTTGATTAAGCTTCCGAAGAAGTTTGCGAGGGGAGACTGTCCTGTCTGATTGGGTGCATTTGTGAGTGCATTGGGTGCGTTTCCTTCTCGTTTCGGAGAGGCCGGGTTCTCGGCTAAAGCCTTGGCCAGTCGCTGTAGGAATCCCTGCTCATCCTCGCATTCTACGAATCGATCGCGGCCAGATAATGGCAACTCCTCTGCATTAGACTCGAACTCCTGGTCTGGGTTCTTGAGCATTTCTTTTTCACTGTCCAATTTCTTCATAGAATCCCACCCTGAGGGGATAAAGATGCTTGTCTCATCCACAATATGAGCTGGTTTGCTGAATGGCACTCCATATATGCGATGGGCAATATATTTTCTCAACAGTGCAGTATTTGTGTCCGTTTTGGCGGATGTATAAAACTGTAAGACACCTTCAAGAATTAAAGTATACTTACAAGAGAAGCGCCAAGGCGAAGACAGAATCGTCGCAATTGAAATTGCAATCGGCCAACATCTTCCGCACTGGTAATTGGCGTTTCATCAGTCTTTGTTAAAACAACGATTACTGTAGCTCCACAATTGTCAGTTAGCACACCTTGTTCTAGTTCCAGTACCTCTGACCTAAATTCGGTGTTGTCTATGTACATGCTTTCGGCTGGTTCCACATATTCTTGCCAATATCGAACCTCTAAAAATATTTAAAAAAAACCCTTAACCATACGTGCAGCTTTGGCGTCCTTGATTTGATCTTCTGAATAATGTTGCTCGATTCTCTGTTCTGCAATCTTGTACAGAGCCATCAGAGATTTAATTATATTGTACGGCTTGGAAGCGGAGGCACATAAAACAACGACCAACTTGGACAATTGTTTGGGAAAGGCAAATTCGAACAATGGCGTTGATTGTTCGGAACCGTCGCAAAGCCAAAGAGGAAGATTCATGGAATCATGGGCACCAAATGGGGCTGTAGAACTTGTAATCTGATAGGTCTGACGGTTATCCTCATTTGCATGGACAGTCAAAAAATTGTATTCGAAAACGGATGGGACAGGAATTCGATCCGAGTTCACCATCCGTGCAATTAGACTGGACTTCCCACATAACGGCTCCCCTGAAGAAAGAGAACGAATCCAACTATAAGCCACCAGAGCGCCATAGACCCCATAATAACATTATTCAAACATACCCATTACAATAGCCCCGCCTTGAGTCACTTTACTTGATTCTGAGCTCACATCCTCCAATATTTTCGTCCTAAATCGAGTCTTTCTAAAAAAACAGGTTATTTTACCAGATCTTTTCCTCGTCCTGTTGCAATTGCTTCTGTAGAGTCGGAAACTCGCGTAAAACCATGTTGCGTACTTCACGAATCACCGGTGCATCGAATCAAAAAAGAATATAAAATCGCTGCATCAGAAAGCCAAGATTTTCTTTTTCAAACGAAAAGCCACGGCCGTGATAGTGACATTTCGTACGATTGCAGCGAAAAAAATCTGTCCAATTTCCACACTCCGTCCATTTTCCACGAAGCCGGCTTGCCTGACGAAACGGTGCAAATTCCGGTTACCGCAACCTTTTTGCTTGAAGTTCGATCACAAATGGGGTATTAATTATATGCAGCAACACGCAGAGAAATACTTTATTTCCCAACGAACAAGACACCAAACATAATAACCTTATTTGCCGGCAGTAGCCTCAGCCGCTCTTCTTAATGCAGCACGCTTTCCCACCATAGCCGTAAATCCAGACTTGATGGCCGTAACAGAACACTGACTGTTGCAAACATTACATCTGAGGAAGAACAAACGAGTGTCTTTAGTAAGCTCAGTGTCAGACGAACGGCATGTATGGCAAGTGACGTACTCCTCTAAAAACATCTTCGTTATTCTAGACGAACTCGGAATCAGCTTACTGATATATTTCCTGAGTACGGATTCAAAGTGTTTTTGTTGGAAACGACCTTTCACAATGAGACACTGGTTTCCATCGATAGACCCTCTAAACATGAAAACAAATCATAAAGGATTGATAAGCTCACGTTGTACCCAACTCAGCCAACAAGAAGTTGAGCACATGCTTGGACTGACGTTTCAATAATCTGCAGATTTCGGCGAAGTTGGTAAATGCAGTTTTCTTCGAGCCGGCACGTGCAACTTGCGGAGGTTTCATAACAAACTTCTTTTTTTCTCCCGCTACCATGTCAGGATTTCTCTCGCGCATGATGTCGAATACCAAGTCGAGCAGCTGTTCGTAGGTATAATCTGGCCAGTCTCCCTGCGCATCAATTAAATTGCTCCTACCAATTCCTGGCGCAACATCTTCAGTCTACAACAACAAAAAAACCCAGTTAATTTAAAAAATGGTTTACTTACCTGCCCTTCTAGTTCATCAGTAAGGAGCTTTATATCCTTGGCTTTCGACTTTTTCGCGGGGAGAATTAACTCTTCAGTCCCATCAGCTTCATTCAAGACCACCTTTGGCTTCTTGGTCTTCTTCTTCTTTCCAGTCAAGTCCAGAGCCTAAAGCAACCAATTTTCAATAGCGACGTTTGCATGTACACTTACCAACTCGTCTTCCGCCATTCTTAACTTATCAGTAGAATTTACCGGAAATAGACTGAAAAAAGTAACTGAAAAATAGGATAAAAAATTCGGCAAATTAAACACACAGGCTATAAAGCAGTAAAAAACAAGTTTCCAAGAGACAAGAACGTATATTATAGATGTACTCCAATTGAAATGATGTAACCAGAGGTGGTCAGCGACTTTCTCTGGCCTTCTATTTTTTCGCCTCTGTTTTCGTTCTGAGAAACAGAGATTGCAAAAGAAATGAAATTGTTTCGAGCTCGCGCGCGCGCTGACACAGTGTTTTAAAAATTTTGTCATCTTCGAAGATGACAAAATTTTGCTTCATGAACTTCTTCTGGGATTTGTTGACGTCACAAATCCAGAACTTGGTTACATCGTTGCCGAATGGTTGGATAGATGCTAAAGTCTCAGATAGGCCAATTTTCATGTTACTTGCGTGATAGGGATTTTTTTTGGGTTTTAATGTTGTTTTCGCAACTGCAGCTGCAGGGGACTGAAATTGCTTGTAGCCGGGCATGTTTTTTTGCAATTGTTATTCGACGTTTCGCTTCGTAACTTCTTTATTTTAGAAAAATGTCTGCGCCAGAAGTGGACGATCCGCAGCCGTTTTCGGAAAACGATGTAAGTCAATAACGGTTTTTCAATGTTTCATTTAGGAAAATGCTACACCACTCGTTGATTTCGACGGGATGAGTGCTTATGTTACCCAGGCGGTATCCATCTTGATAGGCGAGTCCAATGCTGACCTTATTACTGAAGCTTTGGACAATGGAAGGACAGTTGTTGAGAAATTCATCAGTGATCCTCAAGTTCCCGTCTTGGCCATTGACAAATGTGTAAGAAGAAGTGAAGATGGGGCTGACGACACTTCCGTTGTTTATACTGCGTTGATCGAAATGCAGTATAGGAAGGATCGTTTGGGAACGATTATTTTTTCTAAAAAGGGACAAACTATCACATCAGATGCACCTATTCAAGATCAGGTGTTAGTGATATCGTAAGTTTTATTGCTGTTTTTGTTACATTCGTCATGAATTCTTCAAAGTTTTGTTTAAGAATGGATGGTTCTGACCCTTATGGATCAACATGTGTTCACGTTGGAAAAGCACTGGCTCCATACTTCAAATCGACCATCAAGGATCACAGAAGAACCGAAAGGGAAGGCGACAAGCTTGTTCCTGCGGTCGAGAAAGGCCTCAATGAGGTTGAAGTTGCTTTGATTCACCTGAAGCAGAACATAGAGATCCCAGATGTCGAGTTGCTTGTTCATCCTAAAGTCCAATCTGTTGTTGATGCGGCGAAAGCCGTTGGAAAGAAACCTATGGTCGGAGATTTTGGTGAAGACTTGAATGACGCCAACTTTTTGAACACTTTGCAATCGGGAGTTAATCATTGGATCGTGGATATTCTGAAGGTCACACGGATGGACAGGAATCCAGAATCGGGAACAGCGCTTCAAGAAGTGGCCTTCTGGTTAAACTTGGAAGGGGCTTTGAGGAAGATCCAGACTGAACGGGAGAGTGAAGGAGTTTGCCTCACTATTGAAGTCCTGAAACATGCCAAGAGATTCCATGCAACGGCTTCGTTCGACGAGAACACACATCTGAAAGAGAGAATGGCCACAGCTTCTGACTACAGTTCATTTATGAGGGATCTTCCTTTGAATGATCTTATGAGTGCCAATGGATTTTCTGAAATTGGAAAGGCCTTGAGCAATATTTTCAACAATTTGAGGAAGATCCGGAACACTAAATATCCAAACACCCGCGCTTTTGCTTTTCTCCAAGCTTTATCCCGCGATTCTACAGCTCAAATCGTAAAGGTAAGAACTATTTTTGATATACAAAATTTTTTTTGGGCTTTGCAATCACACCGCTTGATGGTCATACCAATGGATGAATTCGAAAGTATCTACAAAAAGTTTATGGAGATTATGACCAAATGGGACACAGAGTATGAGAAGATGCATTCGATCATGAGAGATATGAAGAAGAAAGACCCTGAATCCTTGAAGAGCTTGTCTACATTGAGGGTGGCTTCTTTGCCTCACAAGGTCCTCGAAAAACGTATAGAGAACATCCGAGAATTCAGAAGACAACACGAGCAGCTGAGCAATGTCATCTCCCGTGTGGTCAGAGGATCGAATGCGGGGGCCCCCACTGAAGAAGTTGATTCTGTTCGAGAAATAAATGTGGCTTATGATTCCGTGAAAGGAGTGGACTGTTTGAACCTCTCATCCGAAGGAGAAACGAACTGGGAAAATGCTGTAAAGTATTATCAAGAAAGAATTGGACGAGTCGAGTCGCAATTGGCAAGAAAGTTTAGGGAACAATTGGAATCGTCCAGATCTGCCGAAGAGATGTTCAAGATCTTCTCCAGATTCAATTCCCTCTTCTTTAGGACTCACATAAAATCAGCGATGAGAGAATATCAAAACAAATTGATTGAAAGAGTCAAAGAAGATATCCAGAAACTTCACAAGGCATTCGACGATCAAGAGAACATCAAAACAGCTACCGAACTGTGTATTTACAATGGAATGCCCGATGTGTCGGCGATAATATTATGGAACAAGCAGATTTTAAGGCAATTGGATTGCTGCATGAAGAGAGTTGTAGATGTTTTAGGGCCTGAATGGGCGTCTTATCGTGAAGGTAGAGGTTTTTTATGAAGACTAAAAGAACATTATTTTAGGTAGCGAACTGAAGAAAGAAGACGAAATGTTCAGGCAGAAACTTAACACGGATGTTCTGCTGAATGAGTGGGTAAATACCCTTCAGAATAAAACACTATCCGCTAACACAAGGATGTTTTTGGTGGAGAAACAACAAAGGGACGGGAAACAGTTATACCATCTGAAGGTCAACTTTTCTCCGGATTTATTAGAAGTCTGCAAGGCTGTTAGAACAATGAAATCATTGGACTTGAGGCCTCCTTTCAAACTTCTGAACGCTGCTCATCATATAAATAGCGTTTATCCATTTGCAATATCTTTGATTCAATCAGTCCAAGACTATGAAAGTACGAATGCCATGGTCGCTTCACAGCCAGGTGCCGAGATGTTGGTGGCTTCTTTCCGCAAAGATTTGCACAAATTATTATTGGATGTATGAAATTTTTTCTTGGCTTTATCGAAATTTCAGGCTGCCCCTCACGTTTGGGATTCTTTCAAGACAGAAAATCTGGTAAACAAAATCGCTGACGCTGTACTTCATTATCAAGAGAAGGTCCACGAACTGTTGGGATTACTGACAAAGATCGACAACGATGTGAACGAGTTGGACAGTTGCAAGTACTCGAAGGAGGAAGTCGGCAAGATTCTCCAGTCTATTCAGGAAAACGTTGACGCTTTGTCCTACGGAAGTTACTCCAATCAAGTTTTCTGGATGGAGCAATTGGATAAGAAGGTAACAAAAGTCTCAATGGGTTGTAATTTTTTTAGATCGAAGAGAAGTTGGCTGTTCGGGTCGAAGCTGCGATTCTGCAATGGATTCATTATCTTACCATCAGTCCCGATGAGATAGAAGAACAATGGGAGGGAGAAATCCGGCCCATCAAGTTGACCCTGAAAATTTCTTCACAGTGTATGAACGTATCTCCCTCATTAGAGCACGCCCATATAAACCTGACGAATCAACTCTTCCAATGGCATGGGGTTGTCACCAAACAACCTAGAGTTGTGGCTAATCGTCATCAGGTCGGTTTCACTTCACATGTATTAATTGCATTTTAGTCATCGTTGAAACAGAAGCAGGATAACCTTACTTATAAATCATGTCTCTTCAAAATGCCAAATGGAGAAAAAGTCCTTCAAGATGCCTATAGAGTGGTGAACAGTGTTATGGGAAAAGTGTCCAACTTTGTGAATGAATGGGTCAGATATCAAGTTCTATGGGATCTTCAAGCCGACAAGATAAACGAACGAGTTGAGAATGATCTTGACAAATGGATTAAGGTCCTAGTTGAGATCCGGGATATTAGGAGAAAGTTAGATGATTCTCAGGCCAAAGGAATGTGCGCGTTCCCGATACATGTAGATGTCAGTGAAGTTCAAGGAAAGGTTTTGAGTAAATACGAGTTCTGGCAAAAGGAGATTCAGCAAAGATTTGTTTCGGTTTTGGGTAAGCCATTTTATAACTCCCAAAATTAATTTCAAACTTTTTACGTTTTAATTTTACAGGCGATGCAATGGTAAACTTTTACAAAGAAATCTCGAAGATTCGGCCCGAATTGGAAAGTCAGTCTCTGGATTCGGTCACATCGGATGCAATTGCGCTGATCACGACTGTTCAAGGGTTGCGTAAGAGGATCGATATTAATGATGCCATTGTGAACAAATTCAAAACTGGAGAACAAATCCTGGTCACTCAAAGGCATCCTCTCCCTAATTCATGGATATACGCCGAACATGTTGCTGGCGAATGGAGTGCTTTGTTGGAATTGCTGAACAGAAAGAACACAGCCATCCAATCGAGGGTAGGGTGTACACATCAGGGGTATTTACCATTTTTGCAGGTCGCTAATCTACAGCAACGAATCAAGGATGAAGATGAGAATGTGGAGAAACTGGTTGTGGATGTCCTGAATGAATGGGACAAAACAAAACCGACTCATGGGGAGAGAAGACCTCGAGATGCTCTCCAAGTATTGAACGCATTTGAGGAAAGATTTACCAAAGTTAAAGATGATCGGGAAAACATGGTCAGGGCGAAAAACGCTCTCGATATCACGGATAACCTCCGTCTTGGGAATCAAGTGTCGAAGTTAGATATTGCCATCGAAGAGTTGAATGATTTACGCAGTAAGTTGTTGTTAGGAAGTAGTTGGAATGTGTTTTTTGATGACTAGTCTGTTATTATTAGGTGCTTGGAATGCCCTGAACCCATTGTATGATGAGATTGATGAATTGAAAGAAAAGAGTTGGCTCATCGTACAGCCCAGAAAGATCAGACAAGTCTTAGACGACCTTATGGTGTCGCTGAAGAATCTGCCCTCTCAATTCAGGTCTTATGAGTCTTATGAACAGACTAAGAGGATGTTACAGAATTATTCCAGGGTAGGAATTTTGTCGCAGTCCGGTGTGGGATTATGATCATCCTATTTCTAGATGAATGGAATGATCACCGAACTCCGATCAGAAGCGTTGAAAGACCGCCACTGGGAGAAGCTGACCCGCGAGCTGCGTGTCAATTGGAACCCCAACGAACTGACTTTGGGCCAGGTCTGGGAAGCGGATTTGATAAGACACGAAACGGTTATCCGACAGATTTTGTTGGTGGCCCAAGGGGAACTGGCACTCGAAGTCTTCCTAAAACAAGTCAAAGATTTCTGGCAAGGATATGTGGTAGAGTTGGTTAACTATCAAAACAAGACCAGTTTGATCAAAGGATGGGATGAATTGTTCAACAAACTGAAGGAACATATTAATTCTCTGACAGCCATGAAGTTGTCTCCCTATTACAAGGAGTTTGAAGAGGATGCCCTTTCGTGGGAAGATCGTCTTAACAAGATCAATTCCTTGTTTGATGTTTGGATCGATGTCCAAAGGAGATGGGTCTACCTGGAAGGTCTTTTCTCCGGCTCAGCTGATATTGCGACACTTTTGCCTATGGAATCCAGCAAGTTCTCTGGAGTTTCCAATGAATTCCTCGCTTTGATGAGGAAAGTCAGCGGAAGCCCAAGAATTCTTGAAGTTGTCCATTTCCAAGTAAGCGAAGCTAGTTGGGCTGATGCAATCTTTTAGGGGGTCCAAAGACTCTTGGAACGGTTGGCCGAAATATTGGCCAAGATTCAGAAAGCTCTTGGTGAATACTTGGAAAGAGAACGTTCATCGTTCCCTCGGTTCTACTTTGTTGGGGACGAAGATTTACTCGAGATTATGGGCAATTCAAAGGATATGATGAGAATTCAGAAACATCTCAAGAAAATGTTCGCTGGTATTATGACAGTTGACTTTAACGAGGAGTCCCGCCAAATACTTGCATTGATCAGTCGTGAGGGTGAGACTGTGACTTTGGAGACGCCAGTTGATTTGAACAAACTGCCCAAGATAGATGATTGGTTAAGAGAATTGGAGAATGAAATGAGAAGGACATTGTCAAGACTTCTACAAAGGGCTGTGGAGGACTTTGGCAAGTTCGATGTGTCAGCTTTGAAATCCGATGATTACATGTTGTGGCTTGACACTTACCCTGTAGGTTTCGAAAATTTTTGGGCAATGCGTTTTTTCCAGGCGCAAGTTGTCTCTATTGCTGCTGATATTTGGTGGTCGACAACTATCGAAGGAGTTCTTACAAGCGGAAAAAAACTGGACAATGTTCTGTCCAACGTGGAAGGGACCCTTTCTCTTTTGTCCGAGTCCGTCTTATGTGATCAACCTCCAATCAGGAGGAAGAAGATTGAAAACTTGGTATGTTTTATATGGCATTACTGTTATTGGTTGTTTTAGATTACCGAATTTGTCCACAAGCGTGATGTCACCAGAAAATTGGTCAAACTTGGCGTCAGCAACAATACCGACTTCCATTGGCTTCAAGTTATGAGGTTTTATCTTGACAGTAAACAAATCAACGACCCTGCCAAATGTTGCATTGTTAGAATTGCGAACGCCCAATTCTACTATGGATTCGAATATCTTGGAATTCAGGAGAGACTGGTTCAGACGCCGCTTACCGACCGCTGTTTCTTAACGATGACGCAGGCCCTTCACTCCAGATACGGAGGGTCTCCTTTTGGCCCTGCTGGTACAGGAAAGACGGAGTCCGTTAAAGCCCTCGGTCATCAATTGGGAAGATTTGTCTTAGTCTTCAATTGTGATGAGACGTTTGATTTCCAGGTAATGGCTTAAGAGGTTTAGGTTGATGCAATCTTACAGGCTGTTGGCAGAATTCTTGTCGGTTTGTGCCAAGTTGGAGCTTGGGGTTGCTTTGACGAGTTCAATCGATTGGAGGAACGAATGCTCTCTGCTGTTTCTCAGCAAATCCAAACCATCCAAGAAGCCGTAAGAGCAGGTGGACAGATGACTGTTAATCTGGTGGGAAAGAATCTAAACGTGAATGCAAGCATGGCCATCTTCATCACCATGAATCCTGGATATTCCGGAAGGTCGAATCTGCCGGATAACCTTAAGCAGCTCTTCCGATCTTTGGCTATGACCCAGCCAGACAGGAATCTGATTGCCGAAGTCATGCTCTTCTCCCAAGGATTCAGCACCGCCGAGGTTTTGGCTCGAAAAATTGTGCCACTCTTCATGTAAGCTGTGTTGGAAAATATATAAAGGCACTGTCTTTTTAGCTTATGCAAGGAGCAACTTTCCAATCAATCTCATTATGACTTTGGTCTCCGTGCCTTAAAATATGTATTGGTCTCGGCCGGAAATATTAAGAGGGAGGAACTTCAGTCAGCAAAAGGAACGCCAGATGGGGATCCCCAAATCGCTGAACAGAGAATACTCATTCAATCGGTTTGTGATACTCTGGTACCGAAGTTGGTCAGCGAAGATATCACTCTGTTATCGTCCCTGCTGCAAGATGTCTTTCCGGATGTGTCGTACAAACCGAAAGAGAACCAAGCGTGAGTGCTTTGTCCGTTTTTCTCATCTCATAATTTGCAGCCTTCGAAGTGAAATTGCCAAGGTCTGTGACAAACTTTATTTGTCTTATTCTGATGCCGTTGGACAGAATGGACATCTGTGGTTGGAGAAAGTGATGCAGTTATATCAGATCACCAACCTCAATCACGGTCTCATGCTTGTTGGCTCCAGTGGATGCGGTAAAACCATGGCTTGGAAGGTTCTTTTGAAGGCTTTGGAGAACTTTGAAGGTGTAGAAGGAGTGGCACATGTGATCGATGCCAAGGCCATGTCAAAGGATTCTCTGTACGGTGTGTTGGATGCAAATACGAGAGAGTGGACTGATGGTTTATTCACCCATATAATTAGAAAGTAGGTTTACTGATACGTTTTAAATCATCTATAGAATTATCGACAATATCCGAGGTGAGGCCGATAAAAGACAATGGATTATCTTTGACGGCGATGTCGATCCCGAATGGGTTGAGAATCTGAACTCGGTGCTGGACGACAACAAATTGTTGACCCTTCCCAATGGAGAACGGCTCTCAATCCCGCCAAATGTCAGAATCATCTTCGAAGTGTCTGATCTGAAATATGCTACTTTGGCTACAGTTTCCCGATGTGGAATGATCTGGTTCAGTGAGAATGTGGTCAGTGCAGACATGTTATTTGACAACTACTTAAACCGTCTGCAACATCTTCCTCTTACTCCTGATGCTAAGACGTCGGTTGACGATATCTTGGCTTCATCAAGTTCCCAGAAAACCTCAGCTGATGTAATGCAAGCAAGTGTAGCTCCAGGAACTGTATCAATAACAACGTTGGAAGCTTCATCAACCGCCATGTCAGCGTCGTCTCTGTCAGTGTTCGCATCCTCGGCTACTAATATCTCCACGACGAATGTCTCTGTTCAGAATCAAAGAGCTCTCCATATTCAGAATGTCTGTGCCACAGCCTTGTCCGACCACTTCAATCCAAATGGCTTAGTTCCGCTTTCTCTAAACTTCTCATTGGAGAGTGTCGAACATATCATGGAAGTCACTAAACAACGTCTTTTACTCGCATTTTTTTCCATGATGAACTACTCCGTCAGACAAGTTATCAACTACTGCGAGATGCACCAAGACTTCCCATTGGCTGATGACCAAGTTCAGAATTACATTAGTAGGGCCATGCTGGTAAATTTGGTATGGTCTTTGTCCGGAGATGGAAAGTGGAAATGCCGGCAGAAGTTGTCAAACTTTGTTCGTGACTCTACTACAATCATGTTGCCTCCAAACGACCAGCATCCTATTATCGACTACGAAGTCGTAATTGAAGGAGGCGAAGTTCAATGGGCGGCATGGTCGAGGAAGGTACCCAAGATGGAAATCGATGCCAACAGAGTTGCTTCTGGAGATGTGGTTGTACCAACGATGGATACTGTTAGACATGAACTACTTCTAAATACTTGGTTGAGTGAGAGGAAACCATTGGTTCTTTGTGGGCCTCCTGGTTCTGGTAAAACGATGACTCTGCTTTCTGCTTTGAGGTAAGATTTATTTGCCCGGATAACCTATTTCCTTTAGGTCTCAACCTGATATGGATGTCATTAATGTCAACTTTTCATCGTCAACTACTCCAGAATTGCTGTTGAAGACGTTTGATCACTACTGTGAGTATAGAAGAACACCGAATGGGCTCGTTCTGGCGCCTGTTCAACTCGGAAGATGGCTGGTTATCTTCTGTGACGAGATAAATTTGCCTACTCCGGATAAATATGGAACTCAACGAGTTATTTCCTTCCTGAGACAATTGGTTTCTCAAAACGGATTCTACAGACCAAGTGATCAGCAATGGATCTCATTGGAAAGAATACAATTTGTGGGCGCTTGCAATCCTCCCACTGATCCGGGGCGACATCCTTTATCTGAAAGATTCCTCAGACACGTGCCAGTGGTCTATGTTGATTATCCAGGACATTCTTCGCTTGTTCAAATTTACGGAACTTTTATCAGGGCAATTCTTCGTATCTTCTCCCATCTCTTCAGCTATGCCGAACCCATTACCGAAGCTATGGTCGAAGTTTATCTCCGCTCGCAGGAAAGATTTACTCAAGACGATCAACCCCATTATGTATACTCGCCTCGTGAACTTTCACGATGGGTGCGAGGTGTAAGCGAAGCAATTGCTCCCCTTGATACTCTTGAATTGTCGGATTTGGTTAGACTGTGGGCCCATGAAGGTCTGAGACTCTTCCAAGATCGTCTTGTGAGGGACGAAGAGAGAAAATGGACTGATGATCTTGTGGATGAGGTGGCCGGAAAATTCTTTGGAGCGGTTGTGAATATCAGTGAGACGTTGCAAAGACCTCTTTTGTATTCGTGTTGGTTAACAAAGGTAATGCACGCCAGTAATCATGAACGTTTTTTTTTTTTACAGAATTATCTGCCGGTTACTAGAGAAGAACTTCAAAAATATGTGGAAGCGAGGATTAGAAACTTCTGTGAAGAGGAGTTGGATGTTAGACTGGTTCTTTTCGATCAGATGCTGGACCACATTTTAAGAATCGACAGGATTTATCGCCAACCTCAAGGGCATCTTTTGTTGATCGGAGTTTCTGGTGCTGGAAAAACAACGTTGTCTCGCTTTGTGGCCTGGCTAAATGGCTTATCGGTGTTCCAATTAAAGGTATGTTTTTATAACATTGTGGTGGATTATGTATTGCTTAGGTACACTCAAATTATACTGGAGCCGACTTCGACGAGGACATCCGCCATGTTCTCCGCCGTGCTGGATGCAAAGGAGAGAAGATTTGTTTCATTATGGACGAGTCAAATATGTTGGACACTGGTTTCTTGGAACGTCTTAATACTTTGTTGGCGAATGGTGAAGTTCCTGGTCTTTTCGAAGGCGACGAATTCACAACCTTGATGAACCAAGTTAAAGAAAATGCCCAGAGACAAAACTTGATGTTGGATTCTAACGATGAATTGTACAAGTTTTTTACCAATCAGGTATCGAAATTTTTTCAAAACTTATTTTTATTTATGCAACTATTATATATTTTGTTGTCCGCAAAAAACTTCTCGCTGTCCGCAAATGAGAATATTTTTTTTTGTCTAAAACTCAACATTTTGTAGCAAGGTTTATATAATTTTTAAAGATATTTCTTTTAAACGACTAGTAGGATATTCTGAGTATTTCAAAGATAAGAAGCAGTTTGGATAGGAGGTCTGATGATGTTTTGCATGATGTCGGTGAGAAGTTTTTATTTGTGGGCAGCGAAAAGTTTCTTTGCGGACTGCGAATCATCGTATTTATAGGTTATACGAAACCTTCACGTGGTTTTCACCATGAATCCATCTGGCGATGGCCTCAGAGAAAGAGCTGCTACATCCCCGGCCTTATTCAATCGGTGTGTCTTGAATTGGTTTGGAGATTGGGAGAACTCGTCCCTCTATCAGGTTGGAGTCCAGCTAACCTCGACCATCGACATGACCAGGCCCGAGTATGTTCCTCCAATGGCCATGACTCGATGCTGCGACCTCATCAGTGAACCAATCGAATATCACAATTCGGTTATAAACGCATTTGTTCATATTCACAATTCTGTGAGAAAAATCAACGAATCCGAAGGAAAGAAGGGACATCAAGTTATGGCATTGACTCCCAGACATTTCCTCGACTTCATCCAACATTATATCAGATTATTTAAAGAGAAGAGAGAAGAACTGGAAGAAGAGCAACGACATCTCGATATAGGTCTTCAGAAGATTAGCGAAACTGAAGAGCAAGTCCAGGAACTTCAGAAATCGTTGACCAGCAAGAGCAAAGATCTGGAAGAGAAGAAGAATGCCGCTAATGCCAAACTCCAGCAAATGATGGAGAATCAAAAGAAAGCTGAAGATGAGAAGGTTCTTTCCGAAAGACTGCGGAAGGAATTGGCCGCTGATCTCGTCCAGATTGACAAGAAGAAGGAAGAAGTTGGAGCAGATCTGGCTCAAGTGGAACCGGCGGTAGAGGACGCCAAACAGGCTGTGAAAGGAATCAAGAAGCAACAACTTTCTGAACTCAGATCCATGCAGTCTCCTCCAGCTATCGTTAAATTGGCCTTGGAATCTATTTGTATTTTGTTGGGAGAGGATCCGAATATTGATTGGAAGGGAATTCGAACTGCTATGGTGAAGGATGACTTTATTCCTAGAATTCTGCAATTTGACTCTGAGAATGTGCGACCAGAAATCTTGGCGGCGACGCAGAAGTACGTCAAGAATCCGGATTTTGATTTCGAGAAGGTAAACTATCCTTTGTATTTTATTCGCTTGTGTATTTATTGGTGACTTTCCTAAGTTTAGGTTAATCGAGCTTCCGTTGCTTGTGGTCCTATGGTTAAATGGGTGAAGGCGCAGTTGCTTTATTCGGATATGCTGGGGAAAGTGGAACCTTTGAGAATGGAGTTGGTACGACTAGAGAATGATGCGAAGACGAAGACTAAGAAGTGCGATGAGTTGGAAAGAGTGATCACAGAATTAGAACAATCCATTGCGTCATACAAGGAAGAGTATGCTCAACTTATTGCGCAAGCAGAGTCTATCAAGGCTGATCTCGCGCTGGTTCAGGAGAAAGTTCAACGGTCAATTCAACTCTTGAAGTCGTTGAGGGCTGAAAGAGATCGATGGCAATCGGGATGCGACAACTTCAGCCAACAGATGGACACTTTGGTTGGGGATGCGGTGGTTTCGGCCGCTTTCTTGGCTTATGCTGGGTACTATGACCAACATCTTCGATCCGTTCTCTTCCAACGTTGGGTCGCCCACCTGGAAGCCGGAGAAATCAAATATCGACCAGAGATTGCGAGAATCGAATACTTGTCTACAGTAGATGAAAGATTGGAATGGACGAACAACGGAATGCCCAAGGACGATCTTTGCATGGAGAACTCCATCATGATCAAGCGGTTCAACAGATTCCCCCTCATCATCGATCCCAGCGGACAGGCCATCGAGTTTATGCAGAAACAATATGGAGGAAAGAGCAGCAACTTCCAGACGACCTCATTCTTGGATCCTTCTTTCAGGTAATCAAAAAAAAAAAAACATTTTTGAAAAAAACTTACGGGATTTTAGGAAAACACTCGAATCCGCATTGCGATTTGGCACAATCCTACTTGTCAAAGATGTCGAGAACTACGATCCTATTCTGAACCCTGTGTTGAACAGAGAAATAAAACATACTGCTGGCCGAGTTCTAATTACCATCGGCGATCAAGACATTGATCTTTCCCCCGCATTTAAAGTCTTCCTGGTAACTCGCGATTCATCGGTAAGTGAGGATTATGATTTTAGTAACTTTATGTTCTTTTAGGTTGTCTTCCCACCAGATGTTTGCTCTCGTGTCACTTTTGTCAACTTCACAATCACTAGGACCAGTCTGGAGACCCAATGTTTGCAGCAAGTTTTGAGGAGCGAACGTCCAGACATTGACAAAAAACGAAGCGATTTGCTCAAACTTCAGGGAGAATTCGCAGTTCGTTTGCGACAATTGGAGAAGGCTTTACTGGGTGCTCTAAATGAGTTGAAAGGAAAGATTCTTGATGATAATTCAGTTATAACGACGTTGGAGAAATTAAAGAGCGAAGCCAGTGAAGTTTCAAGAAAGGCTGCTGAAACTGATGTTGTTATGGCCGAGGTCGAACAAGTGTCCGCACAATATGCCAAATTGGCCTTGAGTTGTTCTCTGATCTACCTATGTCTCTACCATCTGCATGAAGTTCACTTTTTGTACAGATACTCACTTGACTTCTTGTTGGAGATTTTTACTTCAGTACTAAACTCTCCAGATCTAGATTCCGTCAAAGAACCAGAAGCTCGTTTAAACGTGATTATCAATAATCTTTTCCAAGTAAGTCGAACGGCGCCTGTTTTATATTCTTTAGGTTTCTTATCGACGTGTGTCTCAAGGAATGTTGCACAATGACAAATCGATGTTCGCTCTTCTTTTGATGAGGATTTATCTGAAGTGCTTCAAGAATGAGTCTGCCTATGAGCCATACTTTGACCATCTCCTCTTGAAGGCTGACTTGTTCATTGCTGATGCCTCCAAGAAGACCTTGGATCAGGCTGCTTCAATCCAAATTCCTGGTGTCAGTGAGAAGCAAATCCTTTCTCTCCTTGCTCTTTCCCAACTTCCGGCCTTCAAGAATATCGTTGAGAACTGCTCTTCCAATCAAAGTCTCGAACAATTCAGGAATGCGGACAAGCCAGAATTGGATGTTCCCGTTTTATGGAATGAAGACAGGGATGACCCGATTATTCAGTCATTCAATGAAGTGTTGGTAATCCATGCTCTTCGCCCTGATCGTCTTTTGGCCTCTGTTCATATTCTCATTTCGAATGTGTTCGGAATTGACTTCATGCAGCAAGATAAGGTCCTTGAGTTGGGAAATGTGCTGGATCAAGAGGTAAGTAGAGATTAAGGATGATTTATTTGTGTAGGTAAACTGCAAGACTCCTGTCCTTCTGTGTTCCACGACCGGACATGATGCTTCGGGCCAAGTAGAAGATCTCGCGTTAAACATGAACAAGCAGGTGACTTCGATCGCCATTGGTTCGGCTGAGGGATTCCAACAAGCAGAACAAGCCCTTGAGTCCTCTGGAAAGTCTGGCCGTTGGATCTTGTTGAAGAACGTTCATTTGGCTCCATCTTGGTTGAATCAACTCGAGAAACGACTACAGAATCTGAAGCCTCATCCGCAGTTCCGAATCTTGATGACTGCCGAGATTAATCCGAAATTGCCCGCAACCATTATTCAGGTAAGTTATGATTGCCAGGGCGTCTTAACTCTTTCAGGCGTCTCACGTTCTTGTGTTTGAACCAGCGTCCGGACTGAAGGCCAATCTTCTCAGATCCGTTTCATCAATTCCGGCCTCACGAATTGGGAAGAGTCCAGCCGAGAGGTCACGATTGTATTTCCTCATTTGCTGGTTCCATGCTCTTGTTCAGGAACGTCTTCGTTATCAACCTCTTGGATGGGCAAACTCTTATGAATTCTCAGATTCCGACCTCAGGGTTGCTTGTGATACTCTCGATTCAGCTCTCGATTCTGTCGCGCAAAATCGGTCGAATGTGTCGCCTGATAAACTTCCATGGTTGGCGTTAAGGACTTTGCTGTCGCAATGTATTTACGGCGGCAAAATTGATAACAAGTTTGATCAAGTAAGTGCAGCGAGCATAAGATTTAGACTTTCCGGTCTTACGATTCTAGTACTACCTTTCTAGATCCTTCTCGACTGCTTCTTGGATAAGCTTTTTACACCGAAGTTGTTTGAACATGACCATGTTTTGATCAATGACATTGATGGAAAGGCCTCTCGGTTGACGGTTCCCGAAGAAACGAATAGAGACGCCATCTTTTCATGGATGCACAACATCAAATCCGCTCAAATGCCGAACTGGATTGGACTTCCAAACAACGCCGAGAAGATCTTGTTGACAGTCCGCGGACAAGAACTGCTGAGAAACATGCTGAAGATGTCGGATGATGAACTCGCCTATGCTGATGGGGATGATGAAAAAGCTGCAGCCCCGTCTTGGCTGGCTCAACTATCCGAATTGGCTCAACGATGGTTGTCGCTGTTACCAAAAGAGGTCAAGAAGTTTAAGAGAACCAAGGAGAATATCAAGGATCCATTGTTCAGATTCTTCGAAAGAGAAGTCAACACAGGCAGCAATCTGCTTCAAGTTGTTCGTCATGACCTCCAAGATCTACTGGCTTGTGTCAAGGGAGAACAGAAGCAAGATAACCGTATTCGAGCGGTTGCCAATGCTTTGAACAAGGGTTCAGTGCCCCAATCGTGGACCAAATATACTGTCCCTACATCTGTTACAGCAGCCGAATGGGTGAAGGACTTTGAACAACGGATCGTGCAATTGGTTAAGTTCAGCAAATCGGAATGTCTCAGGGATGAGTCTGTTTGGTTGGGAGGTCTCTTCTCTCCAGAAGCGTACATAACAGCCACCAGACAATTAATCGCCCAAACCAATGGCTGGTCCTTAGAGCAGCTCAATATGCATGTCTCTGTTGGCTCTAATGCTCCCGCAGATCGCTTTACAATTACTGGTAAGTCATTCGGAAAACACCGCATTCCTTTTCAGGAGTGCAAATTGTGGGAGCCGAATGTAAATCCGGAAACACCGTCAGTCTTATTGATGAAGTCCAAAGTGACCTTGGGGAAATGCACTTCTCGTGGAAGCTGGAAGCCAACAACTCTGAGACGATCAGCCTTCCAGTCTACCTGTATTCAAACCGCCGGAATCTGTTGTTCACCATTAATCTCCAACCAGAAAACTTCCAGAAATCGTTGTTGTACGAAAGAGGTGTATGTGTTTTCAGTAATTCAGTTCTGTCTTAACCTTATACCTAATGTTTGTTATGCTATAGATAATCTAATAAATTCTTGCATTCTTGTTCATCTTATTATCGTTTTGACGACGCCCATGTCAGTTTCTTTGCAAGGGTGTCGCATAAGATCCAGCCACAGTGTATCCAGTAAATGTTTTAAAAATCATGATTGAAAGGTTGCAACATCGCTTACCAGAAAGCGGAATTGTTTTTCCAGCTGCCCCTAGAATGAATGGTAAACATGCGAATTATATGCCCGGAAAACTCTTTTATAAACGGGGTCATTTGCGGCCAAAACGTCGGTTCATTATGATAGTAACTCCGGCGACTTCAAATTGTTTCCATTGATATCATTATCCTAGAGTCCAAAAAACGTTTCCCAAGGTCGTTTCATGGCTTTGCCAATCCTCGGTTATGAGTTATGCGACGTTACCCAAAATCTAACGACAGTTTTCAAAAATCGGACAACCGACGAATAATAAACAAAAACAATTTACCGCCAAACAAATCAACAAATTAAATCAGAATAATGATCTTAAGCGATGGAGCTTGCATTGGCGGCAATACGGGGCCAAATATCAGCGCATTCCTTGGCAACGGGTCCGGTGATAGCACTGCCCTTCATCTCACCCTTATTGTTAACGATAACTCCAGCGTTGTCTTCGAAGTAGATGAAGGTACCATCTTTCCTTCTGAAGATCTTTCTTTGTCGAATAACGACGGCTTGGAGGACTGAAAAAATGTCGAATAAGCTTTATGAATATCAAAACGCGCAGTTTTTGATGAAACGTGCGAAAATCTTTCAAATCCATGCTTAACTTCTTAGAAATATGTATTTAACCTAAGCTTTGGAAGGAAAAAATGATCAAATACTTACCCTTCTTTCTGAGCTCAGGCTTTCCCTTCTTGCAGGATGCTACGAACATATCTCCGACACCAGCACTTGGGAGTCGGTTAAGACGACCTCGGATACCATAGACGGCAATGACGAACAAATTTTTGGCTCCAGTGTTGTCAGCACAATTGATGACAGCTCCAACCGGGAGACCCAAGGAGATTCTGAACTTGGCTCCGGATGCTCCTCCGCGTCCTCTCTTTGACATTCTGAATTAAACCTAAAAACACCTAATACAATATTGGAAAAATCAGTCATTAAACGTAACATACCACGATAAAATGATATAATTATAAACGAAATTTGAAATATTTTTTGCAAAAAACGTAAGAAAGAATTTTTGCCCTTATTCTCTGAATGAGACGGAAAGCCAACTGAGCTGGAATGATACGTAGTGGTTCACGCAAACGCGGGAATTCAAAAGCCCAAAAATTAAACGGGTACTAAATATAGCACAGCATAAAATCAAGCGGCGTAAGACTTTCACATCAATAACAAAAATCATAATCCGGCTGTGTTTTATATCAAAATTCTACACACAAAGTAAAACTTCCAAATTTGCTTTGGCACGTTTCGTCGTATAAAAAGGTCATTTACGTTTTATTTTACAAGAAAAGTACTTCTAGAATTCTATGGGTATGGATTTACAGGCTGATATATAAAAAAATCGCAAAATTATGCTGAACAAGACTATGTAACAATTAGCTGCCCAATTTTGGTTTGTAAGGGCGAAAAAAACCCAGAACTTTTCTCGCAACACTATGCAAGTGCTTTTTTGACCAAGTTATTACCTATTAAAAAATTTTGTTTTGAGCTAACAAGGGAAGTACCCCAAGTGCGACGCTCAGATTTTCTTTAAATTTTGCACACAAGTCGGGCATGGACTAAGTATCAATTCCTCAAAGTTTTAGCTCGCGCTTTGCAAACGCCGCCGAGATATTGGACGATCTTTGCCGCCGAGAGAGCATGCTAACCGCGGAGAGCGGTCAGAGAGAAAAACACTTTTTGGCCATAACTTCGCTAGTTTCGTACGGAAAAATTCATTTTTTGTGGAAGCATTACCCATTACAATAGGAATAAGCATGAAACTTTTCGTGTCGAAATTCTGCAAAAAGTGCCAAATTTTCGCCGACTTTCGGACTAAAAATCTCGGTTGTTTCTGCAAAGCGCGAGCTAAGATTCTCGCATATATCTTAGAAAAAACTATTCTAAATTTGTGCCAAGTTTCGTCGAAATCTGAGCGTCGCACTTGGGGTACTTCCCCTGTAAAATAAACTCTGGTGTCTTGGCAAGCCTTAAAATATCAAACTGGATTAAGCTACACCTTAATAGTAGTAACAGTGAGCTACGACCAGGTCGTATTAATACAAATGTTGCGACGCCTATCCAGCATCGCAATAGTACCTGGGCCGCTGGCTCCTGCCATTTGACTTGCGGCTGATTGTGTGCCTTCCAGCAAGTCCACAATCTCTTCCAATTTGCTCATAGTCAAATCGGTTGTTTCCAGGAGTTTCTCCTTTATCTTGCGATTCGACAGTCCAGCAATTATGGCTTGAACCTGTACGAAATCTCGAGTGTTCTGGACACTTCGAAACTGGCCTTCATTGACCAAGCTTTCACCTGCTGGATGAACTGTTTTGAATTTTGGTCTGACTGCTGTTTTGCAGTAAAAATCCAATGCCTTGTGGCTGCGATTAGACCTTTTGATTCGAACAAGCCCGTCAAAACGGTGCAAAATTCATCAATGGACTTTGAGTCCATATTGTCACCATTCATGGCAACTTCCAGCGCTTCATAAGCAGCTGCACCAATGTGATTAAAAAAGAATACTTTCCTGTCATCTGCCTGCGTGATTCCTCGAGCTATGATGATTCTCCGCATCATGCTTTCGTAAGAACTCCAACGTTCTTTGTTGGATCGAAGATCCACAGCTTGCCAACAATCGGCTGCTGATTTTGGCTCATTTTTTCGTTTGCTAGGCGAAAACAAAATGCCAATTCACGAGTTCTACACTCCGTGTACCCTACTCGTGTTTTCCTTTCTAGGATTTACTATCCGCTGGGAATTCGTGCACTACTTGTGCTATATACCCTGCACCCGGGTTTTTGAGCACCTCATAGCACTCCCTTGGGGCTATACCGCACGTCAAAACAATTCTTTCAGAAAATTGAAAAAACAAGGAATCTCGGATCATTGATTTTTTGCGAAGTGCCACAGAATTATCGAGCTTGAAAAATTATTTTCCTCTTCGAAAAAACATTTTTCTCGAAATTCTCTGGGAAAGTTTTCTTTTGTGACTCGATAATTCAGCGACATTTCGTAAAAAAATCAATGATCCGAGGTTCCTTGTTTTTTCACTTTTTCTTTGACGTGTACCGCCACCAAGAATGACTTCTACACCAGAGAGGGTTCGGCCAGCTAGGAGGTCGACGGCCGCTGCAGTCGGAGATTATGAGTTGTCGAAAGGCCCGACAACCCAGTAACGAGACAAGGCGAGAGCTCAAGAGTCAAGTGATTTATTCAGTGGAAAGGAAGCCTTTTATAGAGAAGCCTCACGTAGGAAAGTACAATCAAATTTGAATAAATGCAGGTCGTTCCTCGTGGAAAAATCCTGGAAGCTCGGTCGTTCCGTCTCACATAAACTACAGGGTGGCCCAAAAAAATGGAAACTCATATTTATAGCTATATTTCGGTTCACTCCCTAAATTTTGCCAAAGTAATTATCGATATCATTACCATGCAACATTGTTAATAACATGTTCGGCCAGTTGCGAAATATCTGCCGTTCGCGGCAATATAGAGCGCCAAACGTGACTGAAAATTTTGGGCGATACGCCGCAGCTTTTTTTCGGGAAATCGGTCCCGTTCTTGGCGCAGCGATTATATAGCGGTCCCAAAATTTTCTGGCGTATAGTACAGGCGTTCGCCTCTAATTCGAAAAAAAATTTAGTTTATACGATCCAGATCCGGCGAGTAGGCGGCAATTTTGCAGACGTAGCAAAATCAGCCGATTTTTGTCCCCGTGCACTTTTTGCTTTCTCGGCCGGGGCTGAATCCTGCGAGAACGTTAAATTTTCATCCACAAATTGCTACTAAGCCCACGGAAGCACCACTACCTACGGCAGAAGCTTTTCATTGAGGTAGAATCTAATTTTTTTCCAAAATAATTATTTATCGGTATGTACAAACAAATTGAGCAGTAACCACCGGCTTCATGAGGAATGGGAAGATGAAACATCTACTGATATGAAGTGTCTTGTTGCATGGTGTGTTTTCGTCGACGGACTGAGTCTACGGAGATGAGATCAGAGTCCCGATCGTTTCCACTGGGCCTTCTTTGGTATTGGCTTCGCAATAATTCAGACAGAGACCCGATTTCCCGTTGGATGTCGGATAACTGATGTTCCACTGAGGTCATTCGAACAGCCAGTCCTTCCTGAATGCTGTGGATGTCATGGATCATTTCATGGGTGTTTGAAGTTGTCTAAATTTTGTTGTTATGGTCCACTTTTTAAATTACCTTTGCGACATCGCCTAAGGATACGGAATTCTCGGCCAATTTTCTTTGATCTCTTTTGACTTTGCGTAATCTGATTCAATTATAAGTAATTTAAAACAATTCGCGACTTACGCGTAAATGGCGACAAGGAACTTGCGTTGATGATGACGTATTTTGGTGGGATCGATCTTCTCAACCAGTCGCCGGTATTTGTAGATCAGCCACGTCTCTCTCAGAACATTTGCAGCCGCATGTTTCAACTAAATTTAGAACATTAAACTAATTATATTGCGTTATGATGCAACTTTAATGTAAAATATTACCTGTTTGGTGAGCTGGGTGTCCATCATAAAGTTGTGAACATGTTTCTCGGCCCTTGTTAATTCTAATTTCCTTGCAATTACTGCAACCACCATCGAAGAAGTGCAAGTCCCGAGGACTCCCGTTATGACGGCCATTCCTCGCCCACAATAAGTATTGGGTACAATGTCACCTAAAGAAGATAAAAACACCTCCGAAAGGACCGACCATATCCAACACTCAGAAACGTAATTGCAATAAACCATAAAGAGTTGAGATAGTTCTGATGTTTGAGAGCATGCATGCTTATCGGAGGATCCCCTGCATGATGACGTTCACATTGACGGAGGATCCACGCCACCATTACCCACATGGAGGCCGTAAATACTAACAACATCGTCCCTAAAAATTATTAATAGAAAGCGAATCCTTTAATCGTCTCTGAATGGTGCAAAAGAAAGATGTAATCATCTTATGGCACTCACCAGGACATATTGTCATCAATGTTTTCAGAATGAACCTCGAATTAAAGTTAACCCTATTCAAGCCGGCGATACTTCTGCTGGAGGCATCAGTGAAGAGACGACTGTGCAATAACATGACTCGGAATATCCAATAAATCCTGAAGAACATGGGGATTGAGAGCGCCACATCCAAGGAGACCCAGGTCGAGGTTACAGTAATTCCATCGCTGTGGACCGTTGTCCAAAGGAAATCATAATTGAAGGGGACCGGGCAGATGGAGCATACCGCCAATTCAACCGCAATCTGAAGACAGCGCTCCCAAGTTAACGCAATCCTCCAATCTTCTGCAGAATTCGCGTTCATAAAAAGCTGAAAAGTAATTTATAAGGGACAGAAGACAAAATGTACGTTAATAAAAAAGAAAAAATTCCAAAAATTTGTATTCATGGACTCACAGAAAAATAAAAACGGCCTTCTTACCTGAACTTCATGAACATGAAATTTGATGACTAAAAGAATCAGAATTCCAGTGCTGAGAACAATGATTATCTTGAATAAAATACTCAGAACGGAGTCCTTCTCGTAAACATGGGCAGCGGATAATTCGTTTTCAATGACCATCATTACTGTACGAAATAAACAACCAGGGATTGCACTTACCAATGCCAATGACGGCAAAGAACAAGGCATAGTCACTGGTGGCCCTTCTAACTTCATATAAATATTGTCTTTTTATGAGACGTCCACCTCTAAAACAATTCAGAATGAATACGTAAATGCACTCATAACAGTACCCTTTCTTTACAACCGACTTACTTTTCATTGTCCTTTACCAGTGGCGTCTTCGCGTCATCAATATTTCTCTGTCCTTCGAGGTCGTCGCTCAGAACGGATAAGGATTTCTTGGACTGTTGTTCGCCTAAAACATACCATTATTAATCGTTGACTCGGCATCGTTATTTTAAATTTTACTTTTCTCCTTCTTCAGCCTGTTGTCTTTTAACCAGTCCAAGGCATTTGGCCCCAATATTCTCCTGAGAATGGCCTGTTCTTTATGGGGATTGAGTAAAGTCATCGAACAGCGCCGATGGGTGGGACAGCCGGAGAGACTGGCCGAATGCGTGTGATGGGAAGTCAGAATACCCGCCTGATCGTGATGGTAAGACATGGGGAAGCCGCCGGTAGAGCCCGTTGGACTGATTCCACCATAGCCTGGGGGCAAATGGAGATGTCTGTTGTTAAAGGCCGATTCACTCTGACTCCGCTGTTTGGTTATGCAAAGATGCCATCGACTGGGATCTCGTGCTGATCCTGCTGACAACAGCATCGAAGGGGGCACGAATCCATTGGCTTTCAAGGAGCCGGCTCCATTTCCACTTATTGCCCCAGGCACTGGTAAAGTTGCTGTTGGTTTCCATAAAGAGGACGAATTGGAGTTGCGCAAGGAAGAAGCTGACGAAGAAATGTCGAATCTAATCTTGGAATTGTTCTCGTAACTGAGGCAAGAATGGAGAGGCTCCAGAATACACGGTCGGGTCGTCTGAGCATCGGTGACGTCGGATTGGGCCGTCGATGGAGCTCGTTGAAATCCTCTTCGTCTTGTTGAAGCACTTGAATTAAATGAACTTGCGATGGCATTATGGGGCGAACAACTTCCTTTCCGTTCCATTGTCGGGGAATGGGAGGTCATCAGTCGGCTGGCCGTTCTGACCAGTCCATTATTCTCAAGTCGCGGAGACTGAGAACATTGGGAGCCCGTGCTGGGATGTCTGGAATGCGGCAGCAGAGCTGTGGTGGTCAAGGTCGGACTGGGTGATCTGGAAGAGCATTCCTCAGCTATCGAATCCTGTTTCAACATGGATGCAGCAGTCCTTTCTCGTCTCCTTGTAGTCTGTCTGATGCCGGACATTGTAGTTAGAAGGTCGACGGAGGAGTCGGGCGATCGGGACGCTGGGGTGGCTCCCACCAAACCCGTCGGACGCCGAGGCGGGGAAGATTGGTTGCGCATTGGACTGGGCTCAGTCCTCACTTGCAGTCATCTGGACTCAAACTGATGGACTGAAACGGCAGAGAAATAGAATAGGGCGACTACATGTGTGTCATTCCTGCCTCGATGCACTCTATTTGGCATTTGATTAGGTCAGAACGGCCGACTGCCGCCTTTTGATTGCCAAATTTGGAATACAGGCAGGAGGAAAACATCTCATATTATAAACGTATGATATTATAAATCGCCGTCCGAGCACGCGACCATAATTACATAATAAATGCACACTATCCTACTACTACTTAATTGCTCCAATTTAATTCCTACATCTCAGACCGTGAGAAACTTCTTCTGACTGAACGGGTGTAAGTTTACACTCATCGAGATTATGTAATCGAGATGACTGAGAATAAAGAGAGCTGGCTCCTCTTCCCTTTTTTTGTGCGCGTGTTAATTGGAAATTGGCCCCGAGGAAATAGACCGGACAGGGAGTAAGGCCGAGGCCGGGGAGTAACAAAAACACACAAAGTAGTAGAGCTGGACCTTTCCATTTGGCCGCGCTGCCAGAGGAAAGCATGGGGAAAGTAATTAATCGGGCGTCGTTCGGAGACCCCAAGCCAGGTAAACCGCGCACGATCCGACCTTTGCCGAAGGCACGACATGCGCTGTCGGAACCCGACTTCCCCTCAATTACTTTTCCGAGGCCGGATTCGGGTAACCTTCACAATGCGGGGCCGTTGCCAAGACGACTTGACTTTGAGGGCGGGCTGGTTTCATGATAATCCCCGAATTAGAATACAAATCTCGGGGTTGCCTTGTCTGGTTACAGACTACTGTAGAAGAAAGAGAAAAGAAAATATAATAAAGGTACCACTGGTTACCATTCTCTGACAGAATCCGGATGGCGTCTGATTCCTTCCTCGGACGCCCCAAACTCTCTTTTCTCTTCACAAATTCCCCACAAATGACCTGAGGCGTCGTAGTTGGAGCACCCGTATTAATCTTGGCCAACGAATCACGGGCTAAAACTATTTTTGTCAGCATTCATTGACTCTCTTACCTTGTCCTTGAAGATTTCGCTGCAATGTACCCGGAGAATTACTGGAGGCCAGCAACGTCTTAAAACCTGGCATTGTTCCATTGACCCGCATCAGATTCAGCGTAACTTGGCCCACATCTCCGTTTGAATCGAACGAAGATTGCGGCGAGCGACCACCGAGATTCGGGGGACGATTCCCGCCTGAGGATAAACCTAAACAAGACATTGCTCTAAGAAAGATGACGGACTGTAGGGGCCGAATTTGTGGATGGGACAAACCGGGATGTCCGGCGTGGTGGGACGGGAGCGGGGACCCATTGCCGAACTCGCACTTAAACGTCGCGGAGGCAGCTCATACTCCCTCGGCTCCAACAACATCAACGTGGAGCCGGTCCGGAGTTGGTGGAGCGAGTTGGAGGTCGACGTCATGTTTCTTAAATACCGTTTTAATACTTCCGTATTTCATGGGGCAAATGTAGTTTTCGCATTAGAATTAATTTTGGGATTACGGAAACCAAAAGGGAGATCTGAGGTAAATGGAAAAAGTAATCTTGTAACACGTTCCCAAACTGGATTACTGTTTAAATGTTGCAATAAAAGGACACCTGAATGTCCGAGAAAACGGAAGAAAGTGGAGAAATGTGGCCAAGAGTGACTTCTTTAATTCAATCACGACTTCTTCGGGCCATGCCCTCAGGTCGTAAACTGAACTCAAATTAAAGTCAGAAGCCCAACCTAGACTTAATTGCCGCTGGCTGTGTCACTGCGATGAGAGCCGCGTTGTAACGCTTTACTTCTTTTTTTTGTCTTCTCATCCTTTCTCAGAATGTATAGGATTACAGCAATGATCAGCTCCCCTTCCACCCCGCCGGTGTTCTTCATCTTACCATCGTTGCCGGAGAAGCCATAACTCGCAGCCATGGGTCCTTTGCTGGAATCTCCCGAACAGAATGCTGCTCGTCGTGTCCGTCGCCCGTGATTTCGGCGTACCTGTAAGGGCTTGTTTATATAGATATGTATGTATTTATAAATTCTATTTCTCAATTCAGGCAAAAGCGGCAAATTCCATCCAACGTTATCAGTCTGTCGGGAAAATAACGTCGGGTCGCAGCAAAATGATTCGCCTCATCGAAAAGAGGGTGCAGTCGCGCATCAAGTCCGCAGCCGCGGCTTGCCGTCGTAAAGCAAGATGGGCGATTCCAAGGCACGACGACCCGCCGCGGCGCGCCGTTATTTTCCAGACAGGTTGATAGTTTGGAATAAGTTCCGGCGGATCTTGTCCAAGAAGGACATAAAGTTTCACGAAAAAAATGCCTTTCAATCGAAACCATGGAAAGTTTTCAGTTTAGTCCAAAACTAACTTTTGACTGAAGTTGCTGATTTTGGGTTGGATTGAAAAACAATTTTTATAACTAACCATCCATATATCGGCATTTGGGGCCCATTAAATTCTAAATTATGAGTTCCTAAGCCCTCCTCTCTTTGCTGATATTTAGCTAAATAAGCCGCTAAGTGAACAAAACAAGATACGGTGACCTTTCCCGATCATTGCCCTTTTTAATGACGTCATTTTATATTTTAATTAGGAAACTCGTACCGGATGGGAAAAATAATCCGTTTCCAATCAACGAAAACACCCGTTCCCTGTCATAAAACCGCATCAAAAGAGGTTGAAACTCGAAAATGGTCAGATATTGCCTCCGGGGATATGCAAATTACCTGTTCCTCGATGTTGCTGCAAGAATTGGAGAGGACCGCCTCCTCGCATCCCTTCAATCGGTCGTCGAAGCTCTGATGGAAGGCCGTCGGGGAGATGGACCAGAGATGTTTTCGGGCATCTGCATCCAGCGAATGCTCGGGACCTAAACGAGATTCTGTAGCCGCTTCTGGAGCCGAGTCCAGTGAGATCTTGGGACGCATCATTCTCTGCGCCCTGCTTATTTGTTGCCCATTCTCATTGAGGGACCACAGCCTAAGGGTCGTCTTGTTAGAATCGCTGTAATCCACCATTTCACCATCAAAAACTGGGCCTCGACACGGAACACAAGCAATGAAAATGTTGCTTTGGATGGTGCTGGCGTGATAGAGCACAATTCTTAGGAAAATAAATGCGGCAGACAGGTTAAAGCAGTCCAGCCCGGTCTTCCGCACTCTCGGACGACCTCCTAAAGACAAGCCCTAAGGGCATGCGAGCCTGGCCGCACTGTATATGGGCTGTCCAGGTTTTTATTAGCCTCGTTCTGGTCTTTTTTAACATCATAAACCTCGGGGTTCTTAGGGACCGGAACCTCTCGACACAAAAAAGGAAAGACGAGGCCGGATTCAAATTCCAAAAGTTATTGCCTCAAGGGGGGGGCGAAATAAATTCCAAATCTTATGGCCCGTGAAACCGGAAAGTGATTTCTATTGTTTTGGTTAGGACATTTGAAGGCAGAAGTAAAAAACAACTCGAATGGTTCAGGAAAAAACGAGCCCTGGGGCGTGAAATGCACTCTGGAAGTGTCTGAGTATGGGACCTTATTCTTTCTTTATCAACTCTTCCTCTGACTTCTAACAGGGAGTGATTAAGCAGATTATGGGACGCTTAATGGCCTCCGCGGCCGTTCCCATAATTAAATTCAACCTTCCCATTGCGCGCCCATCAAGCGACTTTCAAATTTTTTTGATGTGGTCCAGAAACAGTTAATCTGAAAATCTTTGGCCCAATCTGTTTATATCCCCTAGAAGATGCCGCAAGTTGTCATAAATTGGTGCAATTAATCTGAATTAGTTCGACAGCCATCAAAAAAGGCTGTCGCCAAAGACAATGAAAATTCTAGAAAGGTGACCTCGCGTATGGAAAACACACGTAACTATTGTCTTGCCCAAAAAATTAGTCCTATGATGACAAAATAACCATGTCGTCTATGCAAAAAGAGAACAATAAAAGTATAATTCGGAGGTACTGTGATAACAAAAGCACCCTATATAAAGGAATGTGGGGACTCCGGGGGAAAGGGAAGAGAGATCCTGCAAGAGCCCATCAATCTCATTCATCTCGACTGATCGCAAGGCGCTGAGCCCCCAATTGTTGGCCCTTTTATCCAGGGGCCGTTCTCTTACTCTTCGGACACTCTTTTTTTAAGGCCCCTCTTGGCCATTGTTGCGCAACATTTTTTAATTTAAGAGCTCTTACCATGTTTGTCTAGTCCAGTTGGCCATGTCTCGCTGCTCTTGGTCTTAACTCGATTAAATCTCATGTGGTCCCAGTCCGAGGATCGTTGGCGGACCAAAGGAGGCCTCGGCGGAGGCTGGGCCAAATCGTTGATTACCCAACTCGAACTGCCGACACAGTTCTCCGGCAGTTCTCTACAACAAAAGAAAGGCAATTTAGAGCGTAAATTAAGTTAATTTCACAAGATCGTGTCACAAACCACAGATTTATTCACAGGTCCAAAACACACCTCATTCGAGAACATTTAGGACACCAATTAAAAAGAAGCGACCAGTCGAACTTACGCCGTTTCACGCCACTGTGCCCTTCGGTCGTCCGAGTCGGGATGAAGGTTGGATAGGAGAACATAGTGGTTAACCTAAAGGAGGAAAGGCCTCTGCGTATCTTTCTATTCTCCTAACTAGCTGAGGTCTATCTGGCCCGGTTTCCGGCGGCTCTAATTTGACACCAGAAGCGATTCCTGCCTTATTATTATGAACATACCCTCAGGCATCTAATACGAGACCTACTTTCAGAGAAGACTGCCGAGGAAAGGACTGGCTAGTCCGCCAGTCCGCAGCGAGAGCGTCGTCGCTCATCCGATCTGCATCGACAGGCTGAAAGAAATCGTATAAAAAAGGGATATGACACATTCCTCGAGACCCATCCGGACCCGGCTTTAATATTTCTGGGCCACACGGCCACCGAATAATTGGTTTTGGTTAATTCGAGGGAAACCCCGCGGCTACAAAGTCCCATCCTTGGCTCAGTTTCCTTCACCTTGACTTTCCTAATCCGGATAAGCGAACCAAGACAATCGAATTTCACCTATTGTCGTGGCAAGCAGAATCTTCTTCTTCTCTAAGAACTTGCTCTTATTTAAATTATTTATGACGTTCTAATTGGAAAAAGTAAAATATTTATTAATACAAGTACCTCGGGTACATAAAGTACGACACAGAAAGCTTTCCCGAGTTCCTCAATGGTTTTCGACATTTTCACAGTATCTTTCAATAGTGCCCTAAGTCTATAAGAAACTTCGGATTAACCACATCTAAATCTCCAAAAGACACACGTTAAGATCAGCGGACATAAGGTCCCTTAAATTTTAATGGGACATAAACCGAGCAAGATGTCCAGGTAAACAGACTCGCACCATGTCCGAGACCCTCAAGATCCGGCTTCAGAACCTATTTTTGTGAACGGATTCTGTTCGTTTGGCCGAATCCATCGGAACTTTTTTACTTTGTGTAAATATCTTCCCCAACTCAATTCTAACTCGGTTCCAAACCAAAAACAAAAAGAAGCCCAAAATTGATTTGGATTGACAAAAAAACAAATTATAAAACGCCAACATTATCTACAGTACTTACAGCAATAATTTAAGTCACCTTTACTATATTTTATGTTATTTATATAACTACCAATGCACTGCAAAAAGTCATGGCTAATTCCCAAAAAAATTATTTTATGCAAAAAAGAGCTCCCAGAAGAACAGAAAGTACAACACGTTAAGGCATGCAGTGTGGTGGAAAGAGTAAATAAGAAGCGCCCACAAGGCGGCCTTTATGATAACCCCAGTAATTACACCAAAGACATGGCCTTTGTTCTTATTATTTCATTATTCGGATGAAGACAAATGCGTATTATAATATTCGAATTGCATTGCAATCTCGATGGAAGAAATAAAACTTACTGGTGTCCCAAAAAATGGAATCTTCTTTTTACAGCTATATTTCTTCGAACAATGAAAATTCACCAAAGGTAACGGTGATCATCAGAAACATAGAGGATTGCTTATAATACATTCACCTGGTTGACAGTAGCTGCCTTTGGTGGTGATATAGAGCTCCAAATGTGACTTAAAATTTGGGCTCGGGCCGCAGGGCAATCGGTCCCACTCTTAGCGCTGCAATTACTTTGCGACTAATTTTGTGACGTATAATACAGGCCTCCAATTGAAAAAATAGTCCATTGGAGTCAGATTCGGCGAGCAGGCCGCCATTTCGCAGACGAGATGAAATCGGTCCCATTCCTGGTCTTAAGTCGTTTTTGCCTTCTGAGCCGACGCTGGGTCCTGTTGGAACGCCAAATTTGTATTGCCAAAGTACTACTGAGCCAGCGGAAGCACGGCGATTGTTACGCCTTTCGACGTTAGCGAACATGCAGGGAGCCTTGCCGGAGCAGATGCTGTCGTTCTGGTTGTTGGGCATCCGCCGAACGTCGAACCGCGAAGAAATGCCCCACGTCTCTGAGAAGCGGCCCATCCTTGCGTTTGCGACATTTCTGGCGCGGTAGGCATTACTGTTCATCCTTGAGAACCGACCTTTTTGCAGCTTGTACAGCGAGAGTAAGAGCTCAACATCGGCTATTGGGCAGACTGATCGATCGCTGATGCCGGCAACTTTTTCTTGAAAATCGCGGATTTTGCTGTTGGTGATCTCCCGTGTCGAAAGGCCCGACAACCCAGTAACGAGACAAGACGAGAGCTCAAGAGTCAAGTGATTTATTCAGTGGAAAGGAGGCCTTTTATAGGGAAGCCCCACGTAGGAAAGTACAATCAAATTTGAATAAATGCAGGTCGTTCCTCGTGGGAAAATCCTCGAAGCTCGGTCGTTCCGCCTCACATCCCGGTTGACAGAAGCACTGGCGTTGCGTTTTCTTTAACTTCCTGGATGCTTACTATCGTTGTCAAGCTCCTTGCACCGCGTGATTACTTTCGATACAACGTCCTTGTCGCGACCACCGCGAAAAGCCTAAAGACGCCTGCTGTAAAGTGCGTCAAAAATTTCTTTTCCCAAAAAATTTCTTTCCAATAGATTTAAAAATTAGATAGGCCAAATTTCGGGATAGGGCCGTCTCGATTTCTTTATATAAATTTTTGATCTTTATTTTTATATATTCTATATATTTAATTGTCGATTTCATTATATATCGGGAATATTTTTTGTTTTGGTTTATTAACCCAAGTTTGAGGTTTTGAATAAAGTTTGGTCAACAATCGAGTTACCAACATCTTAAATTATTGTACAACGGAGTACAATAATTATCATTGTCGAGCGCACGGAGTCGCGGCGACAAACTGGGGGCTCAGCCGGTGATTTGGCTGCTATTGGTGGAAAAGAAGAACGCTGGTGCCATTCGTTGACGTCATCAGTTGGTGAAATTGATGAAGAAGATCTGATCGCTGGAGATCAAGCAATTTTTCAAGTCTACTCAAGATCGCTGGAGATCAAGCAATTTTCAAGTCAACTCAAGATCGCTGGAGATCAAGAAAGTTTCAAGTGGATTCAAGATCGCTGGTAATCAAGACCGCTGGTACAGGAAGTGGTACAGGTAGACAACCAGAACAGTTTTATCTTTAGTTAATCTATAATTTCGGAAATTTTCTTTGTAAAATTTTTATTTTTGCCTTCTCACTCCGACTTAATAAGTTGCAAAATTTCGAAATTTATTTTTATTTTTGTTTTCTCCACCCTTACTTAGTTTGAATTGTTCATCCACATTACATTTATAAGTTACAAAATTTCCAATTTATTTTTATTTTTGTTTTCTCCACCATTACTTAGTTTGAATTTTTCATCTACATTACAGTTACAAGCTACAAAATTTCCAATTTATTTTATTATTTGTTTTTCTCCACTATTTTGCCTTTTTCAACACTGATTTATATATTTTACACTTCGCCATTTCACAGTTTATTTTGTTTTTGGACTAGTTACATATTTTTCCTTCTCACTTATTCCAATTTTATTGTATTAACGGGCCTTATAGCAAATTTTCGAACTTATAATTCACACTATAGATTGTGAAACTTAAAAAATTCTTACTATAAAACCCCGAGAATAAAAAACCATTCTCTCCAAAAAATTACATCAAAACTTTTCGATTCCCCTTACAACATAACATAATTTTCGTCGTGGGATTACTACTACGTTTCGTTTAAGCTTTTTACTACTTCACTCTTTATACTCATCTCTATTTCTTTAAACCACAAACAACTACAATGGAGACGAAACCATCTAAAAAAGGTTACATATCCCGTAGCATGCATTTACGACCAATCCTCACACAATTATCAGAAAAAGTTACAAAAATCTTCACGGAGAGCGCAACGTTGACATGTTACACAGAATATACCGAAAAGGAGCCAGAAGAAAATCTCCTTTTAGCCCAAAATACTGCATCTAAACTTCGAGAAGCGATTGAGACCGGAGAAAGCCTTCGGGCATCACTCGACAAATACTACAATCAGTACGTCGAGCTCATGAACTCTTTGGGTCCAGAAGAATATGGACAAGAAGAAGTCCACTACCAAAGTTTACTCAACACACATTACATCCCTACTACCCTCGTCAACACACAAGAAGAGTTAAGCCGTCTAAAGAGCGAATACGACCTCAACATAGGCCTAATTGAGATGCTAAAGAGAAAAATGAGTGTAAACGTCGCGATAGAGTCATCGAACGTCTCAAGATCACACAGCCCAGCGTCATTTACAAACCAGACGAGACGGCCGCAACCTCTTAAATTAGGACCCGTCGAAAAGATCACCTTTTCCGGCAACGTTCTCGACTATCCCGCCTTCCGAGAAGCAATGAAAGTCATCGATGCGTCGGATAACAGTACATATGCCAAGTTCCTCTACTTAAAACAGAGTACCAAAGGCATAGCCTTCGATGCCATCAAATCACTTACTCTCACAGAATCAAACTACCAACTAGCCAAGGATCTACTGGAGAAGCACTTCGGTTCAGACGACCTGCTAGTTGATAGCCTTTTGAAATCACTTCAAAATTTACCAGCACCGACCAGAACAGCAGGGAGTTTGCAGAGATACTACTTTGAGTTAGAAAGCATACTGCAACAACTTCAAAACCAAGAAGTTCATACAGACGATGGCATCCTGCGCAACATGATCACCCAAAAACTTCCTGATCAAATTTTAGAACGAATAATCCGCCGAAGACACAAAATCAAAGAGGAGAACAAAGTCTGGAACACAGACGCCTTAATGAAAGAATTAAAAAGGATCATCGAAGAGATGTTAGACCTAGAGCGACTACAAGGCAAAAGCAAACAAGTACCATCGAAGGTTATGGTGGCGATAAACCCCTCAAAATCAAAAGAACAAGGTGAAAAAATCGCCCGGCCATGTGTATTTTGTCAACATCTCGATCACTACAGTAAAGACTGCCCAATGGCAGATACAGTAGCGAAACGAAAAGACTCCCTGAGAAAATCCAGACGTTGTTTTAAATGCTTACAAAAGTGGGAGTCCGGGCACAAATGTTCCAAAACCTGTTATTACTGCAAAAAAGAACACAATACCTTACTTTGTTCACAACCTAAACCCAGGGCTGTATTTGTAACCATGGATGAAGACGCACAATCCGAAGTCGAAGATGATTACCCATTTTACGACAGCGACCCAGAGACCGACGCAGATCCCAACGAAACAGAAGAACACGGAGAACCGACTTGGGACGACTCAATGGTTTGTGTCCTTCGAAGCTCTGGAGAAAAGGCCTTGCTATCAACCGTAGAGCTAGTATTGAGAAACCCAGACAACGGCCGACAGTTCCGAACACTAGCCATCCTCGACAGTGCTTCTGAAACAACGTACATTACAGAGACCGCCGCCGCATCTTTGAACCTTAAGAAAAACGCGGAAACAGAACACAAATCTCGGACCGAAACCTTCGGTGGAACACAACACGTCACCAGATCGTCAAAAGTATCCGCTGAGTTTTTACTGTTAAATGGAGACTCTATTCCTTTCGTTGCCAGAACCACCCCCTCCATTGTGAACTTAGTCCGCACTGTCTCCGTTAAAGGAAAGCAAAAATTAACCGACAAAAAAAGGCCCCATTTATTAATTGGAGGCGACTTGATCTGGGCTCTACTTCCAGTAAAAAGAGAAAAAACAAATAATCCAGAGGTCATGAAAATCGAGACGAAAGTCGGGCCGATTCACCTATTCTCCGATGCCTTCCACTTGGGCAATAGGCAATTTGAAGACGACGAAATCGCTCCGTTAGTTCTGCAGGACCTCACCCCTAAAGAGCTAGACAAACAAATACAGAAACTTTGGACATTAGAAGGAATTGGAATCACAGAACGTGCCGACTCCCGACAAGAAGATATCGAAGACGTGACAAAACGTTTTTGTACCCAAATCGAAGAAAAAGAAGGCCAGCTCCATGTCAACTGGTTGTGGAAAAAGGACAAACCTCAAGTTCCAGAAAACAAGAAAATCGCATTTAGCCGTTTATTACAAATGCAGAAACGCGTGTTAGCAGATGAAAGTCTTCAAAAACTCTTACGGGACTTCATCAACGAACAGCAACACAGAGGATTCATTGAAGAAGTAGACATGAGGTGCCCCCAGACGGCCCAGTCTCCTACCTCCCCTTCCAACTAGTCTACACTCCGGGAAAAACCACACCCGTGCGATGTGTTTTTGACGCATCAAGTCATACGAAAAATCAACCTTCACTCAACGATTGTTTTGAGAAAGGACCTCTCCTACTTCCCGATCTTACAAGTTTATTGATCAACTTTCGATTCGCGGAATTCGCGTGTGTCAGCGACTTGGAAAAAGCTTTTAACAGTCTAGCACTCAAACCGGATCAACGTGATGTCACACGTTTTATCATTCCTACAGATTGGACAAGCATCAAAGATTCTACCGTCAAAGTGTTTCGGTTTAAAGTAGTTAACTTTGGAACCATCTGCGCACCTACCATGCTGGCATTAAGCCTTCGATGGTTTCTAGAACATCACAGACTCAAATCAGACCCGGACATATTAAAGCGAACCTATGTCGATAACATTCTATCTCAAGCCGCCACTGAAGAGGAATTAGTCGCGAAAGCCAAAGAAGCGAAACAACTCCTCAGCACGGTCAGATTTCACCTCCGCGAATTTTACTCAAATTCGGCTGAATTGATGAAGGAGCTAAACCCCACAGAAACTAGAGACTCAACAAAGTTTCTGGGAAAAAACTGGAACTTTCAACAAGACTTAATCTTGATGACGACGCCAACACTTCAACCCATATCTACAAAACGAAGTCTTTTACAGTTCAGAGGGAAACACTTTGATCCAGAAGGACTAACATGCCCCTTGACTCTTCCTTTAAACCTCATCTTACAAGCCACATGGTCTATTCCGAACTTAACATGGGATGACCCATTACCACCCCACATCATGGAAGAGCTAAACAACGTCGTCCCCTTCTGGGAAACTCCCACAACGTTTCGAATTCCACGCAAAATAATTAACTGGAATCAACCATATTATCTTCACGCGTTCACCGATGGCTCGAAAGTTGGTATTGGCATCTTGATTTACTTAGCCGCTCTAGCAGAAGACCGCACGTTCGAATTACCTCAATTGATCATGGGCAAATCTCGAGTAGCACCGAAAAAAGCAAATTTGGATTCCGAACTAACCATTCCAACCACGGAAATTGTGTCCATTTCCAGCGGTGTCCTCCTGCTACAATTTGTCGAACAACACCTTCCCTTCCCTCCAGAAAAGATCATCCTTTGGAACGATAGTCGTTCTTCTTTGGAATCACTTATCAGAAACATGGATCACAAATCAGTTTTCGTAAAAAATCGATTACGTTTGATCCGCGATAAAGGACGAAATTACGAAATTCGGCATGTACCGGGTAAAGAAAACAGCGCAGACATTCCGTCCCGAGGAATAGTCAACCCCGCCGACTTAGTAGAAAATAAATTCTACTGGCACGGACCCAAATTCTTGCAAAACCCAGAAGATTGGCCTTCCGAACTCGTTATACCAGCTGGATCTTTCGAGGAGGACCAAACAACAGTGGCCGTCGTCACCCCACCAGAACCTCTGATTGACCCCGAACGGTTCGGTTCTTGGAGTAAACTTCATTTAACCGCCAGAATAGTCATCAATTTTACACGGAAACTGCAGAAAAAGCCTGCCGCAAACAATGCTGAGGTGGATCGTCTACTCTTCCTCCTGGATCAACAACGGAACCCTCCCTCGGAGAAAGAGATCACCGACTTCAGGCTCTTCCAAGACCAACATAACCTCTGGCGTTGCGACATCCGCCTACAGGAAAGCGACCTACCTCCAGCCGCAAAAACCCCTATATGGCTACCGAATTCGCATCAGACACGTCTAATCATCAGACACTACCATAATCAAAAGCTTCATGCCGGAGTTGATCTTACCTTATGCCAACTACGGACCAAATATTGGGTAAAAAGAAGCTTTGTGAGGAAAACCATCAAAACTTGTAGTTTTTGTAAGCGTCAAAAGTCAAAACCCTTCGAATTTCCCCCTTTCGCACCACTCCCCCAAACACGGTGTACACAAGGGATCCCGTTCGATGCCGTCGGAGTTGACACCTGTGGACCCTTCAAGGTGAAAGACCACGAAGATGTTCATGTCCTGATTTTTTCGTGTCTCAAATATCGAGTCCTCCATACAGAAGTTATAGCCAGCTTGCAAACCACTGATATTATCCACGGTTTTACAAGATTCATTTCACGAAGAGGACCCCCTTCACAAATCTTGAGTGACAATCACCCCTCACTGTGCGCCGCCAAAGACTTCCTTCAGAAAACCCACCAGACTAATCAAAATTTTTGTTGGAGTTTTATCACACCAAGGTGTCCTTGGGAGGGCGCTTCGTACGAAAGGATTATCGCAGAGTTAAAAAGAGCAATGAAAAACTCCGGAACAAAATCCAAATTGGACATTGAAGAGTTCCGAACGTTGATATCCCGATCGGAAGAAGTGGTAAATTCCAGACCTCTCACCGCACAATCTGACGACGTTAACGATCTTCGAGCGATAAAACCTTTCGACTTTATCGGTGTCCGATCAGACTACGAAGGAGACAGTGAAGGAGATGAACCAGAAGAAGAAGAAAGAGACCCAACTTACGTAGAACGAGAAAATCTACAAGAAACTCTACGAAAGAAGAAAAATAGAATAGAGGCAAGATTAGAAAAGTTCAAGACGTTCTGGATAAAACATTATCTTCAATATCTAGCCGAGAAGAATTCGAAAAAACGGAACAATGGGATAAGAAGAACCCCAATTGTAGGAGAATTGACATTAGTCGCGGACCCCACCTTACCAAGACAGCAATGGAAATTAGGAAGGATCCAACACCTAAACGAAGGCCGTGACGGTATCGTGAGAACTGCCGATGTCTTAGTGGCGGATAACTTGAAGAATTATCCAGCCGAAACCTCCAGAAAAATCATAAAAAGGAACATCACTCAACTCTACAGCCTGGAAATCACACCAAGCGAAGACACAGATTGGCTGAAAGAGTTACTACCACAACCGGATGTCGAAATACCGGCACCTCGAAGATCACCGAGAACAAAGAAATTGAATCTGGCCTCAGAACAATTCAACCTCCTGTCAATAAACACCGTGTTAATGGTGTTGTCAATTGTTTTCATGCTAATCTACCCAAGCGAGGGCTACAATTTCTGCCCCATGGATACAAGGCCAGTTTACTGGCGACCGACACCAATGCGCGCATGTTCGGTTCCTTATATGGAAAATCTTACCCCAACAACCGTGGTGGTGTATCAAGCGAATCACGTAGAATACAAGACAAAGGCATATATTTGCTCAGCTGAACTCCACAAAATAACTTCGTGGACTGACATCTATGGGTTTGAAAGAAGTGAAGAAGAGATAATTGAGAAATCGGAATTAAGTGCCGAAGAATGCTGGAGAATGAAGGAAACCCGAAAATGTATATACGGTTCACTATCTATGCATGGAGAAGATCTGAAGACCAACACAAGACCAGAGCTCTCTGATATCCCAAATAGGTTTATGAGTCTCCTCAACAGGAGAGACGAAGAATTTGGAGTTTGTAAAGTACTGTCGACACTAGTTCTCGCTCATTTCGGATCGACAGAAGCAGTATGCCCAAGAATAGACCTAACCAACTGTAAATATGAAGACAACCAATGCCGAACCAAAGACGATCGGATGGTGGTATGGATTCACAACACAACACAAAACTGTCCATACATAAAAGCATCAACTGTTAAGGGAGTTAAAAACAACCAGACGTTCATATCTGAAGAAGAGGAACTGATGCTGACCTTTTCAAATAAGAGAACAGTGTCGTGCCAAGATAAGCTCTGGATATCGGATCAAGGAGTCCCGTTCCAATTTGAGAAGAATACGTCACCCAAGAAAAGAGATTTGACAACAGCAGAAAAACAGTTCGCGAGTCACGTCAACCTAGTAGATCTCCAGAACACAACAAGGATCCTATGTGACGAAATCAACCAACAAGGCCAGATATTGAATCAATTAATAGCGAGCAAACCAGCCGAATTCGCCCAAAGACTTCTCAACCGAACAGACGTAAAAGTACAATCAGTAGGGCACGGCATCGTGAGTATTACCTTTTGCACCACAGTGCCGGATGAAAAAGTACACTTCCAACAAGAAGAGACCAGAGAATTTAGAATAAAAGTCAACGTAGATGGAAAAGGGATAATGTTCTTGGACCCAGTTACGGAGGAATTACATTTGAATCCGTCAGGCCTTTTCACAGATACGGAACGAGTTGTCCGACATAACGGCAAATACTTCAGATCAACACAAGGATATCTCCAACCGATTAACGTTGTAACAGACGAACGAGAAGAAGTGCAAGTTCTCACCAAAGAATTCGTCTTCAAGAAGGGCCATTCCCTCACCACCCCGTGGCTGGACGAAATGTTGGTAAAAGAATACTTGAAATCACACAACGACCTCATCGAGTCCTTTTCTAAGCCAATCGTCAGGAGATCATCAAAGACGTGGAGAGAAGAAATCACAGAAATCATCGTCTCTCCAATTCTGCCTTACTTACGGTTGTGGTGGTCAATCTGTGCGGGACTAGTCTCGCTATACACAGTTACGTCGATCCTAAACAACTTCACCGCAGAAAAGAAGATCCAACTCAAGATGCCAAGGAGGAATGCCAGGAAGAAAAATCCTCTCCGACGAAAGAGGAAAAACAACCGGAGGTCATCCCAAAGGCCCAATGAAGAAACCCCGCTTGGAATAGTCTTCCAAAGGGCAGAACTGCCGAGGAGATCTGTCAAAATAAGGCAACTTCTCGCGCGCGGAGTGTCGCGACCACCGCGAAAAGCCTAAAGACGCCTGCTGTAAAGTGCGTCAAAAATTTCTTTTCCCAAAAAATTTCTTTCCAATAGATTTAAAAATTAGATAGGCCAAATTTCGGGATAGGGCCGTCTCGATTTCTTTATATAAATTTTTGATCTTTATTTTTATATATTCTATATATTTAATTGTCGATTTCATTATATATCGGGAATATTTTTTGTTTTGGTTTATTAACCCAAGTTTGAGGTTTTGAATAAAGTTTGGTCAACAATCGAGTTACCAACATCTTAAATTATTGTACAACGGAGTACAATAATTATCATTGTCGAGCGCACGGAGTCGCGGCGACATCCTTTCTATGCCGAGCAAATTATTATAACAGCTCCAAAACAGGGTCAAAATCAAGACCCCTTTTTTTGAAATTCAAAAAAACATGTCGTTTAATCGTTATGGGCATAAAAATCAAAGCACTAGGACAGAAAAACACGGAGAATTTTGTAGTAAAAAAAATTGTTGGCTGCACTAAAATATTTTCGTGTCAGGACCCATGAAAAAAGTTCATTTTTTTGGGAAACTCTATATTCAGAAAAACAAAGCTTCGCCCCGAGGTTAGCGGTACGAACAATTTATGTCCGCAATAAGTTAAAAATATTATACAAGAGATCAAAACAAGTTAGTAAGCTAGTTACACTAATCATCAGTTGAGAAATTAAAAGTCGTGGGAATCCGAGAGACTTTTTGGCCGTTGATTTCTCCTTTTGGCCAAGGCTGAGGCATTTACGGGACAAAGAGGCATGGCTTGATTACTTCCCATCACCGCCTTGAAAGTTCGGTCAAGGTTTTTCTGGAATGAAAAGGTTAATAATCGATAAAAAACAACTAAAACACTCACCTTCACTTGTGTGGCATCTAGTTTATATACCAGATCAGTGGTTGGTTGATTATTCTGATTGAGCCAAGGATGAATCACAATTTCCTTGGCACTGATACGAAGACCCGGGTCCACATGAAGCATTCGCATTACCAAATCTTTGGCCAAATCCGAGATCTTGCTCCAACTGGGTCCCGACATGGTAAACTTTCCCTCACCGACACGTTGCAGGATTTTCGAAGGCTCATCTGTAGCACTAGTAGAAAAGGGGGTTTCCCTAAACGAGCATACAGTAATTCCGAAGGTTAAAGCTCTAATACAAGACATCTGAACGCTTCACTTACCCACTGAGCATAGCAAACAATAAGACTCCGAGGGACCAGACGTCACAGCTCATGTCATATCCTTGTCTTTTGAGCACTTCCGGAGCTACGAATTGCGCAGTGTAACAGGGAGTCATCAACATTCCATTCTCCGATCGAAGCAACTTGGCAAATCCAAAATCAATCAATTTTATATCTTCTACGGAATCAGAGTGCTTTTTCGAAAACATAATATTCTGAGGCTTCAAATCTCGATGAACCACCTGAAATTATATTAGCCATAGATGCGACACCTACCATATTGGAATGTAAATATGAAAGCACCGTTGCTAACGTCTTCATAATGGCGGCTACCTTCCTTTCGTTCAACTTGTTATTGATGATATGATCTAACAACTCCCCGCCTTTACATAATTCTTGCACAAGGTACACATGGGAATCGTCTTCATATACCGCACAAAGATTGGCAATGTTGGGATGATGGCTGTGTCTGAGAAGAATGTCCACTTCCTCCGAGGGATCGCGCTTCGATTTATCTATGATCTGAAAGAGAGTTACCAATTCGCTAATATTAAAACACGATTTTTCCAACACTCGCGCCCTGTCACTAACTGGCAACACGAAAATTCAAACCCTTTCAAATGCAACAAAATTTGAAAACATGTGCCTCCTGAGCGTTACAAACAACCTTCCCATTTACTTTTTTGAATTACTTACCGTATCTCGGTGTGCTGCACCACAAATTCTATATCTTGGAAACTAGACCTCCTAGAAACGACGGGGCTTTCGCCACTGTGTTTCTTTAAAAATTAGCAGAAGCAGCTTGAAAATTTGAATATTTTCGCACTGGAGGACAAATCCTCGATTGAAATAGTTGAAAATTTTTTTGATACGTTTTTAGCAATTACGCAAAAATACGCCACTTTTGAAGAATTGTTCTTTGAATAGCTAAATTTTATGGAGACTGATCATACACTGTGCCTTGGATTTCATAAAAATCAAATCAAGTTCGTCATAAAAATAGAAACTGCAGTTATTTCGGCCCATTTAAGAATTCCCGGAGCAGGGCTCGCGACCTTCCAAGTAGATCGATGCTCCCAAAGCCTCCAGCTTCTGGGGACGTCCCTTATATCCATTCCAATCGCAAAGAACTCTTCTTTCAAATTATAAAATAAAAAAGCGCCAAAATAGTTCCCAGTTTTTGAGAAAACCGACGATTTGTCCTCCAGCACAAGAATATTAAAATATTTAAGCTATTCCGCCAATTTTTAATGGGGTATAAAAACCAAAAAAAATTTTGCATTGAGAACACAATGGGGTTGCCGTCCTCGTAGGAGTCTATTTTCCGCGATATAGAATTTGTGGTCAAGTTACAGCATGCCGAGATATGACAAATAATTGAAATAAGTTAATGGGGAACTTGTTTGTAATGTTCAGGAGGCAGTTTTTGAAATTTTTTTAGAATTTTAAAGAGTTTCAATTTTCGCATAGCCAAGGATCTCGGCTGTCAAAAAATTTGTGTTTTAATTACCTTAACAGCATATTCATTATTAGTCGCCTTCTGGATACAACGTTTACAAGAACTGTACGCCCCAACACCCACTTCTTCCTTGATCTCATAATCATGATAAAAGCTGCCCTTTTTAGTCAAATTCTGATCAATAACTCTGGAGCAGATCTGTTTTGAAGTTGCTTTTCGATTTTCATCGTTTTCTTCATCTAGAATATGTGAAGCTACAAAACTGAAGCCTCTGAATAACTCATGTGCGGCCGTTGAAGCAGGAATCGCAGGAGAATCTAAAAAAACAGAAAACATTTCGACTATAAATATATTATCCATCAGACAGTTTAGAGCCGCACAGATAATCCTACATTACACCCACCTGTCGCAGACTTCTTTGTGTACTCGGAATCGAAGTAATAAGTGGCATCTGAAGTGATCGTCGGCTGGAAAGGTGGCTGGATCTCTCGAGCTTCCAACTTCTTCCAGTCGATTGTTTGGAAAAAGATATGATTCTTGATGTTTCGGAGCCCATCTGGACCATAACCCAGACGATTCTCGGGTACCCGTTTAAATAAGGCTCTCAGCAATGATTGTGCCTCTCGGCTCAAGAATGTAGGCATGGTAAGTTTCGCTCTGTAACAGTAAACAAATCAAAATAAAAGCATTACTTCAATATTTGTCGCATCGTATCTTGGCGATCATCTCCTTGGAATGGAAGACGGCCAGTCAGCATCTCGTACATTAATACCCCCAGACTCCACCAATCAGCGACAGCTGTGTGACCATTTCTGTTGACAACTTCTGGGGCCATATATTCAATAGTTCCACAGAAACTGTAAGTCTTGGTGGATCCGCCAAGAGATTCCTTGCATAGTCCAAAGTCCGTTACATTAATATGGCCTTCTTCGTCTAGCAGGATACTCAAATTAAGGCAATAAACACAAAACGGAAGGACTTACTTCTCGGGCTTCAGATCGCGATAGACAATTCCAATGCTGTGAAGATGGCCAATGGCCAAGACCAATTCAGCCAGGTAAAACTTTACGTCTTCTTCAGTAAACATAACTTCTTTTGACAACCGAGTGAAGAGATCTCCACCACGGAGAAAGTCCAGGATCAGATACAATTTTCCCTCTGTTTGAAAAGCTAAAACAATAAAAATAAAACGCAAAGTAGTTGAAAAACAAACCATAATGAAGTTGAACGATAAACGGATGGCTGATTTGGGCGAGGATATTCCTTTCCAGTTTCGTCCTGAGACGATCTGTCACTGAAACGAAAGGTTTAGACACAGATTAGGTACAAAGATTTTAAAAAATACAAGAAAGTCTTTCAGATTTACCCTTCAAAGTTGCCTTCCTCATAACCTTCATGGCGTAGAGCTTCCCCTCGTTGGATCCGCTGATCTTCCTGCACAAAAACACCTTCCCAAACGAACCTTGACCCAAAATGTGTAATAATTCGAATTGTGAGGCATTTGGATGTTCGGAGGCATCTTCGGTGTAATCTTTGACTTCAAACTCGGTGTCAATATCCGCCTCCTTGATTGTTTCGATCAAAGAATTGGCCTCCAAGGTTCCATTTCCGCTATCATTAAACTCTTCTGATGAATGGGGAGACTTCTCCTCCTTATTAGCCTGAAATACGCACTAACACATCAGGATATTCGACTAAGCAGGTATATTTTAGGTAAAACAATGAATATTACAAATAATTTTATATTCAATTTGAAAAGCTTACACTGGTAAAACAAAGCCCTTTGAGACGGAAGACCATCACTTTAATTATGCCAATTTTGGGAAAGGAAGTTTTTTATTTTTTAAAATCGAGAATTCGCGGATGATGAGAACGGAAAGCCCCGGGGCAAATAGGAGATCGAGAGAATTAAATGAATGGATACACGCGATTGTAGACTCTTTTCAAAACACGATTTGGGGGAGTGATTTGCATAATCGGAATGACGTCAGCGGAAATATTACAAATGACGCAACCTTCCCTAAGCGCCCGCGGGGATTTCGAGCACAGAATGGCCGAACATATTACCTTGTTATCGATCTTCTTTCCAATCCCGAAGCAAGTCGTGATTTGTTTGTGGTTCCGAGCAACGGGGGACATCTGAAAACGTTTAAAAACAGTCCGGATCAGCTTCATTCGGAGCCGATTCAAGCCAAAACTGAAGGGGAACTCTTTTTAAACGGGCAGATTCGAAAATAATCGAAATAAAAACAAATCCGATTAAAGCAAAAAATCACTGACACAACTACACAATCATTCTAACCATACACATCACGATATCTGCACAATCTTACACTTCGTGACGTCTTCTTTGTGAACCGGTAAGGCCGGTTGGCCAGTTCTGGCGCCGCAGTATTAAAAGTCTGGGCCAACGGCATCGGCTAAAGTAAAGCTTTAATCATTTTTAATCTAAAAATATAAGAAATTGCCACAGGATCAGTCAAACGGTTGAAATTCCCGAACCCAAATTCGATGGATAACAATAGTCATCAAACCAGATTAATATCCAAGGTCATATAATTTGTACAAAAAGAATGGGAACATTATATAAAAAGTCAATGAATTATACGGAATGCTCGGGTTTCTCTGTCTCAGCCTTAAAAGCGAAACACGCCTCTGGCCATATAGGGCGCAGTGTGGAATCCCTAAAAAATGTCTGCTTTTCATTGATGGCTAACATTCGAGGTTTCTTTTTCACGGCAAGTATAGCCTTAGACATCTAACGTTTGAAGAAACTGGAGTATACAGATGAAAATGCATTTATAATATAAGTTATTATGACAATCTTTTCGATACTGTAATTGTGAGGTATGTAAAATGCCCACAATGGTGCTTTTTACGGTAAAATTGTGGAATCCATTTAGTTAAAATTTGCGGATATGTCAATAAACATTGGTTTGAGGGAGAACGTTTCAAATATGAAATCATTCACTGCGAATTGCATCGGACACTGTAATCTCAATTTCGATTATTGATTTTCTGAATCGCTTGAAACGGAATGCCAAAATTTTGGCAAAGATTTTCTTATTTTGCTTCATTTATTTCATCGTGCACAATTCAATGGCACATGTGCCATTGAATGCATTCGAATTAGGGATTTTTTTACTGTTTTTTTTTCAGAAATAGTATTACCTATTTTTTTGTATTTTTTAGTGCCAGCCGGTTGTATTCCCTATTTCATTCAGACGTTTTTTTTGCGGAAGTATTGGGTAAATGTGTTTCCCATGAAGTTCTTGGTAGTTTAGGGTTTCTCAAAGTCGACGGTTTCTTGAGTTGATCAACTCGCTTTTTAAAATTTATCAGCTTGAGTCTGATTGTGCAACAAAACCTTTTTTAAGTTTTCGCGGATGATTCACATCGGTGAATAACGCAAATAATGTATAGCCGGCATACATAGTCCTTTACTGCTATAGCCCTTAATTCTTTCGATAGTTGTTAGGTCCCCAAATGGGTAAGGGTAAGAAAAGGAAGAACAAGAACAATAGTAATGCTGTCCAAAAGAAGCTGAAGTTCGAACAAGGAACGAGTAATGAGGTGAATCAGCCAAATGGGGGAAAGCACGATTTAGTCGTAATCGATGAGGTTGGTAATAGCGATGACGAGGTTTACGAAGATGTAAAAGCGGATCCAAAATTATTAGAAGATTCGCGGGACGAAGGAATTCAGGCAGCTGGTTCATCGACGGAGAAGTTGGATGAACGAGGTCTAGAATCTACCGACTCTGGTTGTTCAAGTGATGTAAATGGCTTGTCAGAAACCCCCTCGTATAAAACACAAGAAGAAAATTCCAGAGAAAGGGGTAATAATGACGTCATCGAACTTAGTGAAGATGATGAAGATGAAGATTCAGTCTTCGTGATAAACGACAAGCACAAATACAAACATCCAGAAGGGCCACACCCGGTTTTGGATCCAACTATCTTCGATCGAATTCGGGAATACAAAGCTAAATTTCCCAAGGCTTTTCAACATTTTGAGTATCAGATAGACCAACATTTTATCGATAATGTTCAGGTATGTCAATCCTATCAGTATAATGTTTTGCTTTAGAAAGATCTTACATTTTGGTGGAAGATGGAAGTCAGGAAAAATCTTTTGAATGTGATTAATCAACAGTTCCCCGGTGCTAACCTTGTAGTAGTCGGATCTACGATTAATGGGTGTGGTGCCATGTGTTCTGATATGGATCTGTGTTGCATTATAAAAGATCGATTTACAAATGCAGCGTCTTCGGAGAGAGGGTAAGATTCCTCTTGTTTTAAATCGATTGCCACCAGGTTCGCCATTAAATGTCTACGAAAGATGCAAAAGTTGTTCTACAGAAACCGGCATGCAATCAAATTGGATAAACTTTTAGTAATCAATGCTAAAGTAAGTATTAGTTTGAAATTATTTGTTTTACAAATTTAGGTACCCATTTTGCGAATCACATTTCTACATCCATTTGAAGGTCTGGAAGTTGATCTAAACGTAAATAACACTGCTGGTATCAATAACTCGCACTTGCTGCATTACTATTCCAGGTAACTTGTTTTCATTTTTATGAATTTTGTTTAGGATTGATGATAGGCTGCCTTCTCTTTGTTTGCTAATAAAACATTGGGCCAAGAAGAATGGAATTGGAGAAGCGATGAGTGGAACTTTTAATAGTTACTCCTTGATCTTACTTTGTATCCATTTTCTGCAAGTTGCTGTTCAACCTCCGATCCTCCCAAATCTCCAAGAGTGTCATGCTGCCAGATTTGAATACACGGAGGATGTAGCAAGGCTCACTGTTTTCGATGACTTACCCCCAAATTACCCAGATCCCAGGTTAAATACGTCAACGGTCGGGGAATTATTAATCGCCTTTTTCGATTATTACTCCAAATTTGACTTTGAGAATTGGGCCATCTCCATCCGACGGGCTACGGTATTTCCGAGGTCTGTATTTTCATTCATTGCTCATTTCCTTCTTACTTTATACTAAACGTCCGTTTCAGAGCCGAATTGGCCGACAATAATTACCGGTTTAAGATGTATATCGAGGAACCCTATGACGGATTGAACACTGCCAGATGTGTAACCCAGCCAGAGAAGTTTGAATTAATTATGGATGCGTTCAAAGAAGCGAGGAATGCTTTCCTTGGAAAGTTTAGACCTAATCTTCGCAGGATTCAGGTTGGGAAGGTGTTTGGCGGTTCGGATTGAAGGAGATGTCGTTGTTCTTGTTGAATCATCTGTCTTCAAGTCTTGTTAGAACTAACGGAAATAAATTCATGAAACCGACAACTTTCTTTATTTTAATTATACGGTTTGACACCTGGTATTTGACGAATAATTTTTTCTCAATCTGATTATTTTCAAGATGGCAAAGAATGTGAATGATGTCAGTTATCGAAAGGTGGATGTGGATGCTCTGGACCCAGATAAGTTCAAGGACGTGGCAGAACCAGAATACACAAGTCACGGACCTGGGAATGGACCAAACGAGAACAATGTAAAGCAACTTCTTCAATCGAATAAATTGGTGGATGCTCTGAAAGCCGTTCTGGATGATCCTCCTCTCAGGTCCACTGATCAGGCTTTGAAAGATAAGGTTTCAACTCTGGTCCTCAAAGTTCTTACAAGCTTCAAGAATGCCGAAATAGAAGGAGCCATCAAGAATCTGAATACGGAAGAGGTAGCGTTGCTAATGAGATATGTCTACAAAGGGATGGAATTGCTGGTGGATTCCCAGACAAGTCAACAATTATGTGCATGGCACGCCCAACTCTTCCAGGTAGGGGGATACGGGATAATCACTCAGGTACTCACAGCAAGAAACCGACTTTAATTGTACTATTCATGTAACAATAAATTATTATTAATTTTAAAAAAAACAGGCATTGACTAGAAGACAATTGTTATTTGGAACGGCATTCAATTATCATTTTGGCGATATGTAATAGAAGAAAGACAACGCTGGACATTCCAAGGCATATCAGGTAGTGGCTGATACTCATCCCGATTTCTAGCCAGCTGCCATCGTCTTTTAAATTGAAGAAGAATATCTGAAAATAAACAAAAGGTCTATATTTTTCACGCAGAACAAAAAATATTTTTCCCCATAAAGCAATTATGTTTACCCTTATCTGTAAACAGGGGTGAACAGTGATGAACACAATGTTTCAAGCAGTCCTTAGTCAAACAGTAATGACATATGACAAAATTCTGTTATAAATTTAGAAAGTATAGAAATTGCAATTCCAACCCAAAACGTTGGAATTCCGTATCTCTACGTTAGTTTTTTTCCAGAGTTCAAGTTTTAATTTTTCAGCAAATTTGGCGACTCTTTAGCCAGGAATAAAAAAATTTTCGAGTCTGAGAAACGTAATTGAAAAACATTGAAATTTTTTTGGAGTTTCACCGATTTCGGGCTCCAAAACTTGGAATGAAAATGTCAAAGGTCAGTACAAATAATTTTCCCATAAATAAGCCTGCAAAAGGGAAACTTGCCATAGCCATAAGATCGGATAAAATCATCAGTAACACTCCCAACCGAGGAAGTTTATTCTCTTGTCGTTGAAGGATAACAGCCAGTGAAAAGGCTAGCTGCAATAAGGGGATGGCTACCTTCAGTATGAGGAGAAAGGCCATCAAGAAAGGCGAGAAAGTTGTGACAAAGTTGCTGGTTGCACTGGGATTGAATCCATTTAACGATGCTAGATTCCCAGTGCCAAAGAAAGCTACCTCAATCAGGACGATCAACAGCATCGCCCTTTGCCATTCCTGTCGATCAAAGGGACCCAATGTTCTCACATCCACATCAAACATTCCTTTCTTCTTCCCCACACTCTTGTCTTCAATTTGGAGGTTCAAGAACTGGATGTCATTATGGCTGTTGTATTCCAGACGGACATAACAAATAAGGAATGTCATGAACAACAATAAGAACACGGACTCGTAGGCCATAGAGAGCAGGGAATAGACCATAAATGTGGAAGACAACCAGGATATATATCTATCAGTTAAACTTCGTTTGACCATGAATGGAACAATAAATCCGAAAAAAAGCAGTGCCCAGGACGTTACACGGCAGAATGATGTCTGATAGAAATATACATTGTATATTATTTAAACTTACTAAGTAGGGACCTAAGCAATTGACAACAGATGTGACCACCAGCATTGCCGATATTGCAGTAAACACTCCTTTCGAATCTTTCTGTCCATATGTTGTTTTATAATAATGCAATCCATATGAACACACCAAGGGAGACATCACAACCAAGCCCTTCATGGGTATGTTTCCTACAGGAGGCAGCAACGGAAAGAGGGCCAAACAAAAACTTGAAATTGCCCATATATTAGACCTAAACCGACTTCGTTTCTTAATCTCAAAACAAAACCCATACCAGATCTTTGGCAGAGATGAGGTGTAATATGGTAGGGGAGCAATAAATAAGAGAAGCAAAGAAACAACAGCACGTTCGAAGAATGCGCTCACAGTGATTAATATGTGCATCGCTGAAACAAGTCATAACTCCTGAATACATTACCTACCTAAAACAAAGATGCCAATAAAGAAATGCAGGTACCATTGTCTGATATCCTGAAACAGGACCAAAGCTTGCTTTAATGTAATTCCATTACTATTCCATATCAAAGATGAAATGTACGTTGGCAAAAGATAAAAACAGGTATGCGAAAGGGGCCACTTATGCATCAGGGACACAGATATCTCAATTACAAATATTCCGACAAACCACTTGTTCGAAACAAACGTTTTCACATCACGAAACGCTCCCCTAAATTGAATAGACAATAATTAATCGTACCTAACTCAACCCACCACCGCATAAATGTGTACAACAAGAAGACCCAGGAGAAGAACAAAAAAGCGATGGCCATGCCCAGTGTAGTCCTGTTGTAGCGATGGAAATAATATAACCCATCTCTGACTCTTGGAATCCATTCCAAGCAAATCTGAGAAGCAGATTCGTATCTTCGATTCCTTATTAAACTCGAGATTGTTTCGTGAACCTTATTCAGAACAGAAGCCTTGAACTCGGGGTACTCCTTGAACAAAAATTTAAAAGAATTCCTTTCTTTCTCGGCTCTTTTGATACCAAATTGTTCTACCATCTAAATTAACATTGATAACAAAATATCTTAACTGTACCTGTTTCAGATTGGCACAAGCAATATTACACTTCAGTTTAGCTGGAAAGTCGAGGAAATGAAGAGGAATAATACCGAGACTGTTAACTGGAATCGGAATCCCCAGAAGAGCTGACATTAAAGGGGTTAAATCGACTTGATTAATCTCTTCTTTTAATGGCAGAGGTGAAACTCCATGTCCCCAGATAACGAAGGGAGTCAGGACTTCATCATCAGTTCCACTTCCATGAGATCCCCAATCAGTCATTCCATGATCGGCAGTGAAAACAAAAGCCGTTCTGAACATTCATAATAAAAGACATACTTCAAACGAACAGGACAACCATGACGTTCTTACCTGCGATCAGGAAATACTGTCCCAAAAAGTTCAACAATCCTATGAATCCCTTGGTCAACAACATGAATATTGCTAATGTATTCATCCGAGGCGGGTTTCTTCCCATGACCATTGGTATCTAAACCAAGTAAATGGAGGAAGAAAACTGTCTTATCGTTGTACAAGTCAGCGTTGCTCCCATTTAAAAGATCCTAAAATGAAACCAACTTATCTTAAAACTTACTTCGACTTTCTGAAAAACCCATCGATCCAGGTAGGCAGCATCATTTCGCGAGAAATCTTCTTCGTCCGATGAGTAATAAAAAGTTTCGGCTTGGTCAACTTTATCGCCAAACATTGGAACGATGTCCGGACTTCCGTAAAGGAAAGACTTCCTGGACTGGTTAAAGATACTATCAAAGGCGACTGGATTCTGAGACCATCCTCTGGTCACGGCACTAACATCTTCATATATACCCGCCAGCATAGCAACATGCCCGGGCCTTGATTCTGTTGGAACATGACTTACGGAGACTCCGAACACGCACTAGAACGTAAACGTCACAAGGGAATTGCCCAAACTGTCCATGCCCAAATGACATGTGTTATACACGATTCGAAAGTCTTGAAGAAATGTTCTAAGAACATGTTTCAAAGATTTTTATGAATAACTGATATAGAGAAATCGACCGCTAAAATCCCAAGAATCATATGCCAAAAACATTACTTAGGATTTGATGGATTCTTAAGGTGTAATTATTTCAACTTTATAGTAACTAAGCACCCTTATTCATTGTAAAAACGATCTAATGCCGCCGACGAATGATGTAGCAGCTCATGACCCCGGTCTTCCCGTTTCTGCACTAGAGACATCGTAGATCTCCGTGACCAAACTCAGTTGGCGATTTTTGGAACCGGTTCCTAGGAAACTTTACAAGGAATTTCGAATGGAAAACAGCACATGCCATTTGGCCATGGATAGTTTGTGCAATACCTTTATTAATTTCAATAAACCTACCTGGTTATTTCGTATCAATGAATGAAGGTACGGAGATTTTTGAGGATAATCATAAAAGGTGCGAGATCGGAGACCATCTAAAAATAAATAAAAAAATTATAAGCACTACCTGCGGAAAATAATACAAGACGCTTTGCAGTGTTATCAGTTTGAAGAAACTCCTGCGATTTGGCTCCAGAAACAATCGGCGAATCGTAATAAACATCAAAAATGGAGTAAACCAACACCAAATGCACGATTACACCTAATAGAAAAAACAAGGCACTACCGTTTTCTGACATCATACAGCATGATTCACGTCTAATTGTAAAGTCTTGCAAAAGTTTGGCGCAAAAAAATTTTTTTTGAATATATCGTAATGCCAGAACCAAAATTTGGCCGCGAAAAATTATGTTCAGAAAAATCATTTTTGAACAAAATTTTGCACTTTTTATTTTTTACAAGGAAGGGAGAGACGGCAAGAAATGGTAAGTGAGAGGACTGTAAAATGACATTAATTGTCTTTTAGCTGAAAAGAAGAGCCCCATCTCAATCTCCGAAAGTGAATCCAAAGGACAGAAATGCCTTGAAGAGTGCAAATAACAGCGGAGCCATCACAGTAAGCCCTGTATCATCTTTAGACATTGCTTTAGCCACTCAGAACAAGAAATCAGGCAAACTTTGAAGATGAGGAAGAATCTGATGACGAATCTACTGAAATTAGTCGGCAAGAGCATGAAGAGATGATGCGGAGGATTTTAACACGCCCTTTTCGTGTTCCAATTGAAGGGTATAAAGGTAAAAGTCTTATTTATTCTCTATTTGTCTTTTAGGAGCGCCTACCAATCGAGCTCTAGGTGTCAGGAGATCAGGAGCCAAGACTGCTCTCCATGATCCGTATGAGGAAAATGCCTTGGTCCTGTATGTACCTGTGGAATTAAATGCTCACGAAAAGTTGAGATTGGACAACAAGTTGAGAAAGGTCCATGTGGTAGTAGATCCAGGTTTATCTTCGGTTCTCCGTCCTCATCAGCGGGAAGGAGTTCAGTTTATGTATGAATGTGTGACCGGCAGAGTGATTGAGGGGTTTTCTGGGTGTATTATGGCGGATGAAATGGGTCTGGGAAAGACATTACAGTGTATCGCATTGATGTGGACGTTACTGGTAGGATATTCAATTTAATAATTTTTTGTTTAGCGACAGAGTCCCGATGGAGGTCCAGAGATTAACAAAGTTATTGTTGTATGCCCCAGTAGTTTGGTCAAGAACTGGGATAAAGAGATTGGCAAATGGTTGGGAGGTCGGGTTAACTCGCTTCCTATTGATTTTGGGAAGAAGGAAGAGATTATTCGACACCTGGGTATTGACAGTATAAACTTTAAAGAACTCTTTTAGAAACCTTTATTAATCAACTTGGAAAGAGAGTGGCCACACCGGTGATCATAATTTCATATGAGACGTTAAGAGGGTACATTGAAATCTTGAACAAACAGGAAGTCGGACTTGTCATTTGCGATGAGGTAATCTTGATGACATTCGAATTACTTTTTTTAGGCGTCGAGATATTACGGGTGACGCACGGTTGGGTGGTGCAGGTTCGGATGAGTCCTCTTGGGTTATCCCATCTTGGGGTGTTGCATGTTCTGGTGGCTCACGTTTGGGTGATGAATAAATATTCTAATTCTAGCTACTAGCTATGACGTAAAATTTTTGCATTTTTTGGAGGAAGATGTTAGTTAATTTTTCATTCATAGTTTATTGTAAATCTTTCTTACGTCGGTTAATTACCAGTAAATGAATGATTTGTCTGGTTTCACTACTCTCATTAAGAATAAGGTTTACGTTTTGAATTGCCTTATTAGTAGGAATGCAACTTTTATTTTTTGACCTTTGAAAACGCCCAAATATGCAACAGCCAAATATGGGATCACCCGAAAGGGCCCACCCGAACTTGCACCGCAACCATACCTTTTTTTAGGGGCATCGTCTCAAAAATAGCGACAACCAGACCTACCAGGCTTTGACGAGTTTAAAATGCAACAAAAGAGTCCTCATCTCTGGAACACCTATTCAAAACGACCTGCTTGAGTATTACAGGTATAGGTATTCCTATTGTAATATTAGTTTAGTTTGGTCAACTTCGTTAATCCTGGGATGTTGGGTAGTGCTCAAGAGTTCAAAAAGAGGTTTGAGAATCCCATTCTACGAGGTCGAGATGCCAGTGCCACATTGGAGCACCAAAAGGTTGGAGAGGAAAAACTGCAGGAAATGGTGTCCTTGGTTAACAAATGCATTATCAGAAGAACCTCCGCGCTTCTTACAAAGTACCTGCCGGTAAGTTTAAAGGGCTTGAGAGTAATTTTAATTTTTTAGATAAAATATGAAGTGATTATATGTTGTAAAATGACAGAGTTACAAAACAAATTATACAGGAAGATTATAACCGGGAAAGGAAGGGATGTTTGTAACGAGGCGACTAAGAAAGGACTAACAAGCACTGCTCTGACACTAGTAACCAGTCTGAAGAAACTTTGCAACCATCCACATTTGATTTATGACAAAGTTATTCAAGGGGATGTCGGCTTCCAAGGTAATTTACTTTTTTTGAATACTATGATTGCAGGATGCAAGGAAATATACCCAGAGCATTATCTCAGGCGTCCTCTGGATCCTGTTTTCTCAGGGAAGTTGAGGATTTTGGATTTGCTTCTGGCTGTGACTCGACAAGAAACCAACGATAAGTTTGTGGTGGTGTCGAATTACACTCAAACAATTGATGCCATTGCTGAGGTAAGATGAATAAGATTATTATAGATTGCGTTTAGTTGTGTAACCTCAGAAGGTATCCCTATGTCAGACTGGATGGAAGCATGTCGATAAAACAGAGAGCCAAGACTGTTGAAAAGTTCAATGACCCCATTGTGAGTTTAGATACGTCGGTTATTCGTTTTAGGCGCCTGAATTTATTTTCTTATTGTCTTCGAAGGCTGGTGGATGTGGTCTGAATCTAATTGGGGCCAACAGGTTAGTCATGTTCGATCCTGATTGGAACCCGGCCAATGATGACCAGGCCATGGCCAGAGTTTGGAGAGATGGGCAGAAAAAGAACTGTTTTATATACAGATTGTTAGCGGTAAGGACTTCTTTGATTGATCTTGCACTTTTTGCTCCGCCGGAGCAAGAAAAGCCAATCGGACCTAAAAAATGTGTCGTCTTTGATACAAGATTGGGTTTAGCAGTGCTTTTATCCCATTGCAGTATCTTTGATAATTTTCAAAATTTTAAAAATGCCTCCGCCGGCCTTTAAACATGATAAAAGAAAGATTAAAACAAGATAATTGCGAGTTTGAAGTGACTAACAAAAAAATCATCGGCTTTCTTTCCGATTCACAAAAGCCAAGCCCCCAAAACGGCCTCGGTCGGTAAAAAAGTCTAAAAACTTTAGAAAAGACGTCAAATCTCTCCGCCGATGCAATAAGAAATTCTTTTGCATATTCTAAAATCGCCCTGCTTAAACTTTTAAAATCAATTTAAAATTCTCGGATAGCTGCAAAGAGCATAAAGATATTCGCAAAAACTTTCTGCAATATTTCTTGATACACCCTGTGTTTTAGAGAGGAACCATCGAAGAAAAGATTTTTCAACGCCAAACCCACAAGAAGGCCTTGTCTTCGTGTGTTGTCGATGAAGAAGAAAATGTGGCCAGACATTTCTCCATCGATCAGCTGAAGACATTGTTTGAATTGAATGAAACAGCTGCCAGTGATACCCATGAGAAGATCAAATGTGAACGATGCTTGGATGGTCGGGAGGTTGCTGATCCTCCTCCAGATTCTGACACCAATTCAGATCTGTCCCACTGGTTCCATGTGGAAAAGGATGCGAGAAAAGTACCTGATCATATTTTGAGGAGAGTCCACAATCAGGATATTATTTCTTTCGTTTTCTACCAGAAGTCCCATGAACAACATCGAATGAGAGCTGAAGAAAGACAAGAGAAAGAAGATGAGGACTACAAACCAGAGGAGGAGGGGGAAGAAGAAGAAGATTGAGATGTGCTAATCAATTATATCGTATTTTCTGTGTAATAGAACCAGTGTTTGTCGGGTAGTGAATTTGGTTCCAGTTGTTGTGTTCTCATTTCGATTAAAGTTTTATGTCAGTTTTGTGTACGATCGTCCAAATGGCGTACCAGTTCGTTATCTGCATTACTTTTGACATTCAATCTTACCAGTCTGTATTAAAAATGAGTCCGAGTTGGTAGTTCGATTCAATATTTTTCATGAGAGAAGATTCCTAAACATTTTGATTTGTTTCCTAGACGATCTCAGTGAAGCAAGCCGTGACATAAGATTTTCTCGATGCCGTGTCATATACATAGATATGAACCACACCACCGGTGGAAAAATAACGCATCATATTTTTGTTCCATTAATACAGTAATCCGTGATACAGTAAGCTCTCAAAAAAAGCCAATAGATGTTATCAATTTCAACCGGTTTTAAGACGTTTTATTTTTCATGTATTCATCTTCTAAAATTATATAAATCCAGATATCATCGATGTCTAAAATTACTCTGTCTCATACAGACCGTAAAACTACATTAAAGGTAACTTGCGTCTTATTTTTGGTATTTGCACCCAGTCGGGCTCGAGACGCTGGATTGGTAGTTCTGACCGACAATCACTATACCATGAAAAATGCCGCAACACTTTTTGCACTTTTTTCTCACGTTTATATATCAGAATTTTATGATGATTAAAATATGTAAAATTCAGCTGCGGGTTTTCAGAAGTAAACTTTATATGGTCGATTTTTTTGGACGAACCGGCAGTTTGGTGTGTTACAGTAATCCGACTCAGTCAAAACCACTTTTTTTGAAATCTACGAGTGCGAAAACATAAGTATTCATGAATATCTGTATGTTCGTTGCTGATTTATGGGGGATTACTATATAACCAATAAATTGTAAAAATAACTGTGGTAACGACCGAAGTAGACAAACTGTTTTACCAATGGGTTTTTAGGACAAGTAGGGTCACGTTAAAGCAAAAAACTCGAGAATTGGTTTGATATTAAAACGGGTTTTATATACTTTTGGTCTAACTACGGCTTGCTTCAGTGGCTCAGAAAGCGTCTTTTAAAGCGCGAAGATTTTGGCGATAGCAGCCGATGGGGTTATTCCTTCGGAAGTTTGAATAGTAGTGTGACCTTGGCTTCGGTTTCGCGGTCGCCCCAAGAGATCCCAGGAGCCACATTTTGCCGCGCCTTTTTGAAACAATGGCGACCCTTTGCACCCTCTCGATACTGTAAGTTGATGCAAGTACATTTGTTTGATTTTCTTTTTAGTTTCTTAATTCAAATAGCATCATCACATTTATTTGTGGATATATCATTTTCCAAAAGGACCCCGGGATGCATAAATCTCTCTTGTCCGGACCCATCCCTCAATTTGACTATTGTTGGCCGCAAGGAATCCACTTCGTATCAACTATCTCTGGAAAATGGATCTAGAAATCAGATCCCTATCATGGATAAAGAGGTTTCTTTTAATTCTTTCATCAATTCTCCTGATCCAAGATTCAAGTCTTTACTCCGAGTTTGTGATCAAGCAGTCATTGTAAGTTCGTAATTTTGTTCCGAATAAAGTTTTTCTAGGGGAATCTTACCAACGAAAGTTCCGTTTTTAACATTACGCAATGTTATGAGATGAAGATGAAAATTGTCTCAGCAGACGGGATGGTAAGTATTATGTTAAATACGGGATGTTAGGACATTAAATACTATCTTTTGGGTTGTTCCAAGCTTATGTACTAAATTACATTTTTTCAGAATGTGAATCTTCTGCTGGAATGGTGGATTCTGATCCCAACATTGGTTTCCTTGACTTTGCTGATCTTGGCCTTGATTGGAGTTTGGATCCAAAGGAGAAGGGCGAAGTCTTTCAGGGTTCTCTTTGAAGAACATCTCATTCAGACCGCGTCCAGTCAACACAATGCTGCCATTCTAAATTCGTAAATTAATTTTATTATTATTTAACAGCCTTGCCGTATTATAGTCATTGAATTTTTTACCGTATTTTTTTTACTGAAGTTATTGTGCTGATCTCATTTTATATCGATTAAACCTTTAATTCAAATACAGGGTGGCACAAAAATGCAAACTTTTTTCATGTGTACTATTAAAAAAGTACTGCCGCGAAAACCTTTAGGTGTTAGCCAAATGATTTCTCAAGTGTTAAATTCTCCGTGTTTTTCTGTCCTAGCGTTTGATTTTCATGCCCATATCGAATTAAGTTTCGAGGTATATAAATGTCTTGAATAGTTATATAAAGTCAACCTGTCTTTTTTAGAGGTCCAGAAACCATTTTTTGAAAACAAAATCCCATAACTTTCGAAACGGTGGGTGGATTCAAATGAAATTTTTCAGATTCGTCTACTTCAGCAGAGATTGCTCCGGCTCCCGAGCCCAAAGTCGGAGCCAGGCTTCTCAGCGTTTAGAAAAGTAATAATGTCGTGATCTTGTTAAACCAGTCGCTTGAAAAATACTGGGAAGGATGTTTTGCGTACCCCTTGGCTCAAAAACTTGTTCTTAATGTTGTTGATTATTTTCGAGATCGTGTCATTGTTTTCTAATAAAACCACGAAAGCTCAATAGCACACATTTATATAGCAAAAACCCGTTAAATTTTGCACGGGAGCCGAAGTCGAAGTTTTGGCCGTGGCAGTCTCTTGTCGGGAAAATAATGGGCCCTCTGTCAATCCAAAATCGCACCGTCGTCGAGAAAGTGAAGTGTGTAAAAAATCATTTTCTCTACGCGGCAAAATCAAAGCTTTTCACTTCAGCGACGCGATCAGCGCAGCGAGAGTTTAGTCATTATTTTCCTGACAGACTGATACTGCGGGATTACGGTGGATAAAAATTGTATAATAAGTGCTACGACGCCGATTTATGAACCAAATTATCAAGACGTTTCGGAGTCAAAAGTATCTATGGAAGATGAAATGGTAGAAGTCCCGTCGGATTCGGAAGTGCCACTAACGTCGGAGTCATCGTCCAGAATCTGTTCTTCATTCTCCTCATCAATATCAAAGTCGAGGTGCAGGAACTGTGGGTTTCGTTGCTGGGCAGTCAACATTTGATTACTCATGAGAACAGAAAAGTTTTCGATGGGATGGAAGTAGGGAGGAAGCCAGTATGGGCGATAGATCAGGTTGGACTCGTTGTTCATCCAAGGCAGATCAAATTTCCTCGAATTTGGACCGGAGATGTAGAAAATCTAAAAGTTTATATTATAATGCGATACAATAGTTTGGAAGAGTTTGGTTTTTCTTCGCCGTTTGAGATGAGGTTTTAATTCTCTGGTTGACTATGTGGTAAATACTGTGATGGAAATTTTAGGAATTTAGTTTTTTTGGAGAAAGTGATGGATTTGGGATAGGTTTTTGATGAAAAGTTATGAATTGTAGAAACTTTTTTACATGCGAGCCAACCATGACGGAATCGGGAATAACGCGACACTAAAATTTTAAATTTTGATTTTGCTGTTGACGATCTGGCAGCTGGCAGAAGTGTTGTCGGTGCGTTTTCATTCACTTCCTGGACGCTTACTATCATTGTCGAGCTCCTTGTATTGTGCGATTACACTTTGGACAAAACGTCCTTTGTATACCAAGGAAATTAACAAGTCGACAGCTCCAAAAACAGCTAAACAATTGTTAATTTTCTATGCACCATGCATGGACTTTCCTAAACTGCTCCAAACGTTTGATCTGCCTATTTAAAAAATGTTGTTTTAATAACCAGCTTGCTGATTATCGTCGTTACGTTTCTATTTATGGTCTTAATACATAATTGTCCTTCTAACGGAAAAGAAATAAAACTCTAAAGTCGCAAAGAAAATCGAAACTCTTACAAACTCTTTCATTGTCTATGATGAACTCACTTTCATTGATGGCATCAGGTTCTGCAAACGAGTAATGTCAAGGCCTCCACCTCCGCAATTGTCAATCAAATAAAGGAATTGGATATTTGCAGGAAGACATGTCGTAATGAAGTGCTTAATTGTCATCAGGTCTATCTCCACCACCGCGACATCCAATCTTTTGAGGGATTTCAGATTCTTCAGAAGCTCCAGAGAGCGTGGCAATGGTTCATGGGAAAGAGCGAAGACCGAAGAAGGGATTTGAAGGGACTCCAGGGCTTGGAATCGACCTGAAATCAGTGATGCCTTATTGTTAGGGGATTTAACTCACTGAACGCCTTAATATAGATCTCCGATTTTCTGGAATCACAGACAACCCCGCCAATCATCAGTCTCTTCAAAGACTTGTGGTATTTCTGGGAGATGAATTCAATCACTTTAGAGCCCAAAAGGATCCCCTGAAGAACAATATCCGTGATATGAGCACTGGAAAGGGAATAGGCAGCCTTCAAAGTGAAGATAGCAGACTTGTTGGGCATCAGGTTGTTATTGCAGAGAACAAAAAGATGTTTGAGACGGGGGTGACCCAGGAAGATCTTCAGATGGGCCGGGGTTCGTTTTCTGAAGTCAAGGGAAAAGAAGTCGTGGGAAAGAACCAAAGTGTGGATTCGGCGGAGTTTCTTGAGACTGGGGACGAGCGGATCAACAAGATCTCTGTTGTCGATGACAAGAACTCTCACATTGGGACATTTTTGGAGAAGAAGAGGAACGATTTTATTCTGAAGTGCCCCTTTTTTTATCCATTCAACCCTACCTTCCAAACTGAAATCTGTTCACTGTTTCTCGGCTCAACCACAGAAGAAACAGATTCCGAGGCGAAACAAGAAGTATCCAGGCCAAGGAAAAGTTGATTGATATCAGGCCAAATCTCCAGTTGATATCTCCATCTTTTACAGACTGCCGAACACTTGATTCGTTCTTGGACGGACAGACTAAATTCAATAATGAAATTTAAGAACCGATTCAGCGAAAGCGATGCGAATCCTTACAATGCAAAGCAATTCCGCAAGTCGTCTTGTCCAAGTTCTTCGATCGATAACATTCTTCAACCGGATGGATCAAATTATTTTGGTGCAGAATATTTTACAAGTTTTAACTAATTTTATTTTATAAATTTATTCAAATTTTTTGCAACTCATTTTCTCGCATTTTTTTTGTTGAAGATGTCAGCGATGACGGATTTCTTAGTTTTTTTTAACGAAATGTCAATGTTGACATTAAGTGTATTATTAAAGTTTCTTTCAAGATTCAAAAATAGTTAATTTCTGCTAATGACAGTCAAATCGTTTGAAAAATAAGAGAAATCCTCATAATTGGACTAGGCATCGTTTCTAGAGTTGTCTTCGAGTTATGCCCTTCAATTGCAATATCGTTTTTAAAATTCATTGGCCTCAAAGGGATAAAAATGAAACAAAACTGTTTGAGTTTGGGATTGAGAATCCGACGCGGTAGTCGGGGATTCCCTCTTCTTGTATCTAAATCAATTCGTTTATATTATACATGCCTTTTATTTTCCGTGTTTCATTTCTACATTACCTTTTCTTATTTAAATTAAACGTTACCCAGTAATAGGGGTCACATGAGGAGAGGGGAACAGGTTCTCCACTCTCTGTTCTCTCACTCCGGCATCCAGTAAGTGATGGTCGCGCATTCTCTGCTGTCCTCGGTTCGTTTCTTCTACCTCTTCTTAAACAAAGAAGATAAATCCCAGGTTTTATGGGTTCTGAAGCTGTCATAAATGGTTTCCCTGTTGTCTGCCCGTAACTTTTTAATTTTAAACAATTTAAATTTTGTTTTCTTCCTCTAAGTTTTACAAAAAAAAGGGAGCAAAAATAGTTTTTACTTACCTGTTTTTGTCAATTTTGAGAAATAAAATCAATAAAAGTAGCCCGCCAGTTTTATCCTTTAATATTTACGGCTATTATCGTCTGTAAAATTATGTATAGATCAAGATATCGAAAAATTAAAACTTATTGTCGTTTCCAAAGCCCCAGCTATTTTCTAAAAACAAAACAACCAAATGTACATTTAAAAAAGTAATGGCGTGTTCTGCAAGTCCCCTTAGTTGATGGATTGAATCCTATTTTACTTTTAGGTGGACTACTTTTTAATTAAAGCTCTTTTTTGCTGACCTTTGGTCCGGCTAGAATCGAAGCCGGATCAACCCAAACTAGTTCTCATTTATCCGCCTCTTTTTTGCCGGTTCCGCTTGCGCATTCGCCTTTGCCATTCGCGCCAGAGGCACTTTCTCTTTTTTTCCGGCTTCCACGCCCTTTTCGGGTAACCCTTCTGCAGGATTCTGGATATCTGAGAGTGACTTTACGTCTGATTCCAGCTAAGCTTTTCTCTTGCTGACTCTTTTCAGATTACTGTGCATCTTTTCTAGGTTCCTTTTCCTACTGTAACAACTGCAGTTAATGAAAAAATAATAGATTCATTTGATAGAATAGATCAATTTAGCTTTAACATTCAAAGAAGTAAATGGATCTACCTAAGGTGGGCGTATTCCCAAAGCAATGGCCATTCGATCTCTACTGACCCAAGGGGATTTGACTGGCTGCAGGGGAAGATGCGCGAGGCTGATGTCCCCGGTTCCCCTCGCGGCGTTTCCTCCCCCGCCCGCTTCCAATTTGATCGAAACCTCTTCAAAAGTGTGAAAAACTTCTGCGGGGGGAGGAAAGGAAGGGGAAGCAGCTCATGTTGAACTACTTTGAACGCGTTGGCCTGACCTAACGGCTGTTTCTCTGCCTCCCCCACTCGGCCCTCGCCCCCCGCAAGATCGCTTTGGCCAAGAGGTGAGTTCTCGAGAGCCCCCGTGCACTCCTCCGCTTTCTTTGGATCAGCCTTCTCGAGGATCGTCCGCCCCCGATAGCGCCTCCAAATCCCCTCCGGGGGCCGTAGGCTGCCAGTGGGGAGGGAGGAAGGGCTTAAGAGACAAGTATATTATTTTAGAGGATCAGCCTGGCCGGGTGATTCTCCTCAGTCCATCCGAGGGCACGATCCAACGTGCTCTCGGAGTTCTGGACTTCGTTTTCTTTTTTTCTTATCTTCTTATTCTTCTTCTTGATTTCAGATTATTCGAGAGGATTACCGAGACCTTACACTGCGTACTTCTTTCCAGTTCCATACTATTTTGTCATGGCTATGGAATGTAAAGAAGTATGTAGTGTTTCTCAAAATTTGTTATTCTACTTTTCTACCATGTTCTACCAGATTCTTACTCTATCGTCATATAAGGTACGGTTAATATTAATTCTAAATACTTTTTGTTTTAAGAGAAGGAAATGTTTTCTAAATAAACAGTAACGGGAAGACAGGGCAGTTGAAAAGCCCCGATATTAGATTATTATGACATAGTTTTTGGCCATTGTGTTTCAGGGAATGTTTCAGAAGAAGGATTATGTAGAAGACGGAGAAAGAAGAGTCAGTTCGCTGTTTTGACATGTTTGGTATGTCCTTTATTTTCACTGAAGTACACGCTATTTAATCGCTGCGTCACATTAAGAAGCCAACTTTACTTTTTTACAATTTATCCCAAAATTATTTTCCGTCAACGCCGAGGGGCGAAAGCGAAGCCAGAAAAACGCATCGTCAAGAGGTTTTGGGTCATTCATTTATTGTTTCAATGAAGGAGAAGACCCAAAACATTTGTGGCCGTCCTCAGACGTCCAAATCAGGCCTCTCGTTTGTTGGAGGGAACCCAAAAACTGCACTTCAGGGCCAAAAGAGAATTCTGGAGTCGGCTTCGGTTCACTCTTCTCTCGGACAATCAAACCCTGAGGCCGTTTCCTCAAAATTTCCGTTTTCCGACAGTCGGTTTCCCGTGTCGGCGGTGATGGGAATGCCGTCAGAATCGCTGATTTAGATCCTATCTGATCCTTATTGTTTCCTCTGAAACATTTCGAGGCCGTTTCTTTTTTCAGAATTTTGTTTCCTCGAATAAATCCGTTTACCTTCGGTTTCTTCACTGATATTTCCCGGGGTTCGACGGCTTGGGAAAGAGACAATTGGGGAATCGAAAAAATTTTTTTATGCATATAAATTGCCAAGAAGGCATATCACGTGGAGTTACGCTACTGTATGACCTCAAAACCGACTGTTCTAGTGTTTATGGGACTCAACTGGATATCGTATGTTTATTTTTTTAAATGATTTTTGGCACCACTGTCAGTTATAACAAGCCAGTCGAACGGTATGTCTATACGCATCCACTTCTGTGCACCTTTGTTGCGATGACCGCTTTCAACATCACAATGCTGTAATTTAAAAGCAATCATTGACTCGAATAGCTAATTTATACCATAACCCTAGGGTACTCATGAAGCAGCTACCTAAACATAAAAATTCGCTTTACATTTTTTATGCAATCCAAGCAATAAAAAAATTTTTAGAGTAAAATTATGGGCTAGGTGTACAGAATTAGATAGACGGAGGTTTTGTGGCCATGCATAACTCCACGTTCTGATACCAATGCCTTGGCCACTTACATGCAAGAAAATAAAGTTTTTCAGTTTCCCCAATTGTCTTTTGTCCGAACCGCACTCTTCCCCAATTGACGACGTTCCGATGTTCCCTTATCTTTAACAGGTTTGTTTTACATCACAAAGCAAAACATGACATTTATTGGGTCATAAAGGTGGTTTTGATGACTTTGACACCATCATTTTGCAACGCCTGATATCCGTTCACTTTAGGCGGAAAAATGACGCGAAATGAATTGAAAAAAAAAGAATTAATTAAAGCGGAGCTGTTTGTTAACTCGACCTGTCCATCTTGATCCACTTCCGACCTGTCAATCTGCAGCCAGGTGGGATCCCCTCAGGGCAAGGTTTTTTTTTCGGAGAATTTGGGCAAATTGAATGCCGGTTTACGCTCTCTTTGTTTACATCGGAATCGCTGTAGTCAGGCTTCAGAACTGGTCATTTAATTTTTCGAGGCAGTCAGCTGTGAAGTGTAAAAGTAGTAGGGGATACGGCTTCATTTAATCCCGGGATATGTCTGCTACTTGTGCCAATCTTCTCTTTTGTGGCCGATCTTGTAACTATTGGACGTGATTAAATGAATAAATCTGAAATGGGGGTTTTAATGTACAGTAATACACTTCTCTAAAGTAAACCTTAAATGAGTTCCAATCGTAGCCTTCCATTATAATAATAATTGTGCTTTTATGTCAGCTCCCAATTGTAAAAGCCTTATTATAATTAACCATTTGAGCGGCAAAATTAATGACGCCTACGGGCATTTTAACATTTATTTTGAATTCATGAATCGCCCGTATTCCGGATATTTTCGGCGTTTTTTACCCACGAATTACAAAATTTTTGATGGCCAGTAATTATTCGTATCTTCAGAAATAACTATACAAGTCCCGGTTTGTATATTTTTTTTTATTTTATGAGTTTTCGGACCAAGTTGGGCCGCGCCATCGTCCGGCCTCCGATGCAAATAAAGTGGCTATTTATTTTGTGGTGGGCCGATGGTAATCCTGGGGGGGGGCGCTTCCCACTTCGCGCCGTCATGGAATCAGAGGAATGTTGCGGGTCCGGATGCCCCGCGGCCGGGTTTTGGGCCGACATTCTTGTCTCGCGGCAGTAAAAACAAAAGCCCTCAGGTTTTAATATTTCGGCGAACATCAATTCCTGATTTCTTGTGGATTTATGAGGCCAGAGAGACACGCCTGGTCCAACGAGATTCCTGCAGTGCCCGGCTGAGTGATTCGGCCACTTCCCGGACCTGCTGATTGCCTTTAAATTAGGACAAAAAAGAATCCTTGCGTCACTTGGAGTATCTTAATTATTCCTTGGCCCATCAATCTCATTCGATCAGGGAAAACCTTATTAAAACTTTTTGTTTTTTATGGAAACCAGTTTGACTTACTGTTTAAAAGCGTGATGAGTAATTTCTCTATTTGTTAGACAAAAATGTTACGGGAATATGATGGATGTCCGTGGAGAGTGGAAGGTTCAGCCCGGCGCTTAGCTATTGTATTTAATCTGATTTGTATTGGAATCTCCGAACTCCATTGTCACAGTAAGACCGGTTCTGTGGGGTTGGAGAGAATCCTTGTACCCAAGGGATTCCATCAGTTCGGCCTTTCTCTTTCGGCCCAATTTATTTAGTCATGGACACATCCCGCCGAGATGTCCAGGTCGTCCAAACTCCAGAGGCATTCGGTCGAATAATTTTTATCGCTTCGGGTTAGATGCCGAGTGTAATGTCCTTGTGATGTCATCGCTTCTTTTTGCAGGACCCAAACCTCTCACTCTGTTGGCATGGTGGCTGCCATCGGCTGAGCTAGCCAGAGATGCGCCCGCTGGCCTTGACTCTGATCCTGACCTCACTGTTTGCTCCTCTTCATGGAGACACGTATCTGGCCGCGCCCATCTTTCCGCTCTATAGTGCCCTATTCCTCCCACCATCCAATATCAGTCGTAAGTTTTTCTTTTTAACTACGATATTCGGTTATTCAGAAGAAGATGACCATCGAGAATATTTGGCTACAATGGAGTCGATCAGGCCGATTCTGGATGTGGCCATGATCGATGCTTATCGTTATTATCTCCAAGGATGGGCTCCCGGTCCCGAGGAATGGCTCTACATCAAGGAGGCCCCGATCAAGGGATGCGATGATCAGAAGGAGGCCGCTTGGGCCACTCTCGCCGCTTATCAGTGGACCAATGGATCCGGGGTGAGTCCTGAAACGAAACCTTTGGCTTAAGTTTGTGAAACTACTGTTATAGTTTTATTCCTCCGTGATTGATGGTTTGTCCTTTTTACGAGTCTGGGATGACCTTTCCTTGGCCACATGGCTGACCAGACATGTTTATCGCCTTTTTTCATTCATCTTCTTTTCAGTTGGATCTTGCCTTCGGACCTGCGTGTGATTATGTCTTGGCCAGTGTGGGTAGAATCCTCGGCTTCTTCAAGGTCCCTATGTTCACGAATGCCGGGTTCAGTGAGTATTTCAATCAGAAAAGCGACTTTCCCGTCACTCGAGTGGGTCCCTTACAAGTAAGTCCGTTTTTCCCAACCTATCTCATTTCTAGGACCATATCGTCAGATTATTCGGCCAGTTAGCCAATCAATTGGAATGGAAACGACCCCATTTTCTCTATGAGAAGAGTTTCTGGGAATCAGAATTCTTGGAAGGGGGTTTCTGTAAGATTCTGGGGAACGTAAGTGTTCAAAATCAGATCCAAATTCAGTTTTGAATGTTCTGCGTGCAAAACTAGCCTACGGGGCTGATTCATTTATGCACAGAAAATAAAATTGAAAAAAATAAATCACAAAATGCGTCAGAGTGGAGAATTTGCGATGCAAACGGAAGTGGGAGAGAAAAATTTAACTGAAATAACATGAAATTATTATATTCAGGGGATGTATGCATACACAGTAGAACGCCGATGGAATCTGACGATTAAAGCGCAACTTCTGGAGAACGCCGAGAACGAGGGCGGAAGCCGGGAACACTTCAAACAAGTCCTCATGGAGAACATCGGGAACAACTTTGGCGGTAGGTCGTTAGCGACAGGAATGCGTCGCTTAATGTGCTCTTCTTTTGTATTCCCTTCTGTCCAGATCTCTCTTCCTTTTGATTTGAGAATCCAGAATTGTTTTATGGCCTCCGGCGTTGCTGATAAGGGAGGGCAGGGACGGGTGGGTCTTGCGTGGACAATTATATGCGCGACGCCCGCTAATTGGCTGCCACTTGAATTGCGCAAGAGTTGATGCTTCCGTTGTTGGGTGAGGGTCTTTACCAGTCAGGACGTCTCTTGTCAAATCCTGCTTAGAATTAACAGATTCGTTGGAAGAATCTTTGGGCCGCGGAGTCGAATTAATCCACAAAAACGGAGCCGAGAGGCCGGGGCTCTGATTATTATGAAGCCGGTGGTTGCGTGTTTCGGTGGCCTTTTGTCCGCTGGGCCAAGGAATCCGGCCACCTTTCGGGTTATTATGAATACTGCATTAAACATTCGTTCGCACCTTTTTATGCTAATTATTCCCCGGAGGCAAAGGACGCCGAAGAGAGCCGCTGGGTTATCTAAAGTGTCGAGTTTGTAAATTGAGTCTCCATTAGGATGTAGATAGGCCAAAGCCTGGAGGGAGTTCTTTTTAGAACTCGTATCTTGCAGTTGGCCTCTACTGTATACCGAACCGGCCCATTTTTGAGATTAATTATATCCTTTCTTTATCCAAACATTTACACATTCCGAGATATAAGATAACGCCAGGTTTTCATATTCGACAGACCAGATTGGAAATCGGGGGAAGACGACCTTAAGTTTTATGCCCTTCCAGATTTTATTTATTTGTTCTGGCCCTCGATTCATTCAACTGAATCGACGGCTTAAGTTGGCAGTTGTGGGTCAGTCCCAATGTCTGTGGGCAAAGTAACTCTTCGCTATGTGGATAAAAGCAGCCAGCACGGCACCCATACCTGGATTAGATCTAATCTCTTTAGCCGTTTAGGGCCTCCGGAAGCCCATGGGCCAAGGTGCTATCGGCCTTCCCCGAGGGCGTTTTTTGTGGGCAAAACGAAGCGTGGATTGTGAATCTGGGGAGAAGATGTCGTCCTCTTCTCCCCTTCCATTACTTAATTTATTGTTGCTATAAAGTTTGTCAGTTACAGTGTTAGAGAGGTCGCGTTAATGTAGTTCGGCTATGAGCCCGCATAATGTCAGATGTTTGGCTCTCTGATGGTTTTCTTTGTGTTAATCCTCTCCGTTTGATGCGGTTATGTCTACTTCTGATACTGATGACCTTCACCAACTCTCTGGCATCATCTGTGGAGGTTTCCACTCCGTATTCAACTACTCATAGACGAATTCGGCATTTGGATCCTCATCATGAAGATCACGAGCATCGTCGGGGACATCACTTAAGGCCTCCGAAGAAGATTGAAGTGTCTCCTCGCAGGCCAATCTACCTCCTTTTCCCGTTGCCAGTTGTCAAGAACAAGGCCCTCAATCCTTTCGGAATAACCATCGACTTGGCCCGACCGGTGGTTGATATTGCAGTTGAAGAGGTCTATCGCCGCCAACTGGTCCAGCCTGGCTCTTTACATATTCATTTCGAGGATTCTCGGCTTTCCGATGCCCATGGGCCAAACGTGGCCATTAATCATCTGGTGAATAACGAATTGGACTGCATCATCGGTAAGGTTTTAATTAAAATATTTGTTTCTAATACGAGATCTTTTTATTTAAGCCCTAATTGACTTTAACTATGCTTTTTAAGTTACTTTTCAACTAATTGTGGTTCAGATGATTTAGATTATTTTATTGTTGAATGAATAATTAATGTCCAAGGAATTATTTTAACTAAAAAAACAAATCCTGGATAAAACTCGATGTCATTTAATTTTTAGTTTCCTAGCCCATACGATCTCATATTTTTGCAAACTTTAATCACGTTTCTTTGCAAGATATGTCAACTATAATACTTTATGTAAATTCCCCAGACCTCTTTTTGAACGAAAATGCGTTGAAAGAGGATTAAAAAGCTAAATGATTCTGGAAAATGATGTTGCTAATCCCTTGATTTCAGGTTATGGCTTTGTGTATGCCCTTGCTCCGGTCGCTCGAATGTCACCATATTGGCACGACGCTGACAGTGATGGGATCCCTGTCATAACATCCACTGGCCTTACTTCCAACCTCGACAATCGCAATGAATATGCTTTGATGACGAGGATCTCCAGCCCTTACAAAGTGGTGCGGAATTGTGTTCTGAAGTTGTTTCATCAGATGGATTGGCGCAATTCTTTTTATCTGTTTCACGAAAGTCGACACAATAACAACGACATCTCCATCCCGTATGGAGAGTGCTATCTTCTGATGACTTCCATCCACGTAGAGTTGAGCAAGCTCTTCCAGAACGACCACAATTACTTCATGTTCAATGAGAACCGGCTGGGTCGTGACGAAATCGTGGAGAAACTTAAATATGCGAGCATGACGAGCAGTGGTAAGCCCGAAGGGAACATGGTGAAGGTCTTGTCTTTCTCTCAATAATGCCCTCCGGCCCTGTTCTGTCAATAATTCTGGCGTTTGGGAGGCTGTTCCGGTCAGGTCTCCCTTTTATCTGCACGGAATTTGCATCTGATTATGCACGCTGCCCATGAATGCCGGATTGTTTTTTCCTTTCGGATCTAGATGGCGAAGGCGAAGTGGAATCTGGCCATGTTTCCCTTCAAAATCATTGCAGAAACGTCCCTTTTTACTCTTTTTTTACTGCACTTTTATATTTTTTGTATTGGCCAAATTGAAGCTATTTTGACGCCGTTTTCCTCGCCTCGTTTAACCATTTGAATACAATTCAGAACTGCCATTACAAGAGTTTCACATGACTTTAGAGACCACTATTTGGGGAAATCTTTCCACTTCCTCCGTGTAGTCGCGGGATAACGTCTTGATGGTATTTTTTTCTCAATGTGCCACGCTTTTCTGCAAAGAACGAAATGCCGAAGTTTGGGGCCGGAGATATATTTTGTGCCCTCCTCTTCTTTCTGCTAATTCAACAATATTTGTTTTATGATTTTTCGATTCCCAAAGAGTTTGACAGCGAAAGCGTGATCGGAACTGAGAATGGCCGGAGGGGATTTCTCCCGGGCGGAAGCCCTCAGGCGGATATAGAGCAAAAGGCCGGGTTTATTACCACTGAACTGGAAAAAGACCTCGGCCGGCGGGAAAATAAAAAATTTTGCAAAAACTGAGAGGAGAGACCGGTATTGGGGAAACGCCAGCAAATATTTTTCCTCTCTGTTCCAACCCCCCTTTCCCTTTCCCCGCCGTTCCACGGGCTTCTGATCGGCGGATTCCCACCTTTCCTTTCTAAACAAATTCCTTTTGGTCGCGTAAAATGGACACAAAAATGGAGGAGGAATGCTTTTTTCCAAATCTTAATTTTAAACTTTACCCGAATCTGTTTTCGGCCCCTGGGATCAGCGCTTCGACGATGTGAAGTCGTTGTTTTCAGATGATTTAATACTTGGAATTCTGGGCGTCCATTAGACAGAACCCCATTTGCAGCTTTTTTTTGCAATTAACGAGCCCTTATGTCGGCTTGACCACTCGCTGATAAGAAGGTGAAGAACTGGGTCCCATCGGAATTATTTGAATTTCTTTGATGGATATTTGTTTATTCGAATCCATTTGTTTGCCCACCCGCCGATTAGCCGGCCATGATCTGGGTTTTGCACAAAAACTTTTTTCATATTTCTTCTCGAGATTGACACAAAAACCCGTCAAAAAAGAACCATTTTTCGTATACCCGAAGGGCAAAAATAATGCAAGATGAGAGGCCGGCGGGCCTGTTTGTTTCTGGAGCCTAATCTGATTGCCGTCACACGTTTCTCGTGTGCGTTAGTAAGCGCTGAATGAGTCCCTTAATGGTCCCTTTTTGTCCTTTAAATTATGACACGCGGGGGTTGAGCGGGAAGGGACCCTTTCTTATCTCTAATTTTGCCATTGGAAGATAAACGGGAGCACCTTGAAACCATCCTGTTTTTGGGTATTTTGGTTTCATTCGGTTGGCCATAAACCCTTTTTGTTCATTTTTTGCGCTTAATTTTTAGCTGAGGCCGCTCCTTCCCTTTTTTGGTCTTGGGACCTGGGGTTTCTCCCCTTTCCACTGCAAGTTATTCTCGGGCATTTTCTTATACCGTTTGGCCTCAGGCCTTCAGGGAAGGGATGCGCAATTTTATTGCCTGGAATTGAGGGAAACCGCTAATAAACTCCTCATCTACAGTAGCCCTTGTCGGTTTAATTTTGGGATCTCGGGACCTGGGATAATTAAGGGCGGGAAATGCCCGAGGCACCGTGTTCCTGTCGGGTTATTGCGGCCGGTTGCAGAGCCATTTCCGGCGAATTCTTCGGATTTTTGTGAGTGTTTGCCTAAAGGGGGCACCAAGAATTGGACATTATTTTCTTTCCTTTTGCTGAAATCCGAAAGTTCTGGCCGCCGGGATCCCAGATTCCACACCGGCTCGGTTCCGATTCCGTCAATGTGCGGCGCCATTCTTCGGTCCCGGCCTGAGGCCATTCTCTTTTTTGCACCTAAATTCTTCCGTATTTTTTGTTTTGTTCCGTCACTTTCTGTGGCTCCGGGGGACGAAGGCAGAAGGCATTTTGTCAGGTCTGTGGAGTAGGCCAGGGATGTCGTGGCCACACCGCTGTCGGCCACAATCCCATTCTTCCGGACAACGCGGCCCCATCGCCCGAAACCCCGGGCTGGCCATGGAGCCGGTTGATGGCTTAATGGGCATCAAATAAGAAGACGTTTCGCCTGGCCACATCCCGTTTATAGCTATACTAATGGGTGGTAGAAGTTTTTCCTTCCAAATAAACGATTGTCGACTCCATTTCCCTTCATTTCCCGTCTTCTTGCGTCTTCCCAATTAGACGTTTTTTGGGGCGAGTTTAGTTGTGTTTGTTAAAAGGTGCAACTATAAGTAATACCAGAAGGGGCAGGTCGGGCCAAGAAAAACAAGGTGCAAAGTTCTTACCCATTTCTCGAGTTCCGCAGCGCAAATAAGGCCTTGGGTTAGTCGGGGACACGAGATCAGATAAAACATCACCCCCTCCGTCGACTCCTTCCTTTCTCGGTTTAATAATCAACGAGTTTCCGTGTCTGTTTCCATTTCTCGAGAATTATTGTTTTGTTTTCCGGCTCTTGTATAGCGTGAAGTGACGAAGCGAGCCGCGGTCCCCGCCGTTGCCAATCAGCCCCGTGGATCGACGGCCAAGAAGAGGAGACTGCCTCTGTCTATAGAACACCATCCCACAACACCTCAGGAAACGGGTCGCGGGCGACCATCGCCCCACCCGCTCTCCCACATCCAATGGTCACGTAGAAGACGTCATCCCCATCTCTCGCTCAGGTTCATGTCCATTTCAGAGGTCGGTCATCTTGTCCGACCGTTCCTCATAGTTCTTCTGCTTGTACTTCTGTTGGCTAGTCCTGTACATCCACAAAGTTATATCAGATCTCTGGTCAAGGCCAATCATATCTTCCCTTTCGATGTCCTTGTAGTTCTTCCCGCTCGGGAGTCCGACAACGACAAGTTTGGGCTGACGATAGAGAAAGCCCGACCGGTCATCGAGATCGCCGTCGAGGTTGTGGTCAAACGTGGGATATTACCTCCACATTGGGTACGTCTCAGCTACGAAGATTCCAAATTTTGGGAGGACCCAACCTTGGCTGAAAGACATGCGGCTACTGCAGTTATACGAGCACATTGTGCAGGTCATTTGGATGCTGTCATCGGGTTTGCCGATGAATATTCTCTGGCTACAGTCGCAAAGATCTCCGCCGGATTCAACAAAGGAATTCCGATCATTACAACCACCGGTCTCAACTCGGCCCTGGGGGCCAAAAAGAGTTTCCCATTCTTGACCCGAATGCAAGGCTCGTATCAACAAATGGCAGACTCTATATACCAACTGATCGCCTATCACGATGGGATTCAGAACTCGACTAGCCTTAACTACAAGAACTTTGTTTTTATGTATCATGATAAGAGAAGGGCGGTGAACAGAGGAAGAATTGTAAATGGGGATACCAACGAGGAGACCCCCTCCAGTCATTGCTACTTCACCGTATATGCGATCAAGATGTTCTTCATGGAGAACAGCGCCTACTTCAAGCAGTCCTGGAAGACCCAGGCGGCTCATGTTGCTTTTGATGAGGGGATCCCTCATTCCAAGACCGACATAACAGAATGGCTGAAATTGGCTGCCAATGCCTCGAATGGTAAGACCTGGCCTTGTTTTTTATGCCGAAACAGACCATATTTATTCTGTGGAAATGATCTTACGGACTTAATGAACTCGGTCTACGGCCCGCACGTCTTTAATTAACATTATTTCCATTAAGATCCAATCATCTCTCACCCGGAATCTAATCACGAAACTCTTTGCACAGCATTCCTACACGATGGCTTTAAAACTGGAGGGGCCGTTTAAAGTTTTTACTATCAATAGAGGTCTTTGCAAGATGACAAAGCACTCCATTCCCGATTCTTTTTTTGCGTCACATTATTTTGCAAGAAACCCCAAGAAAAGCGAATGTTTTGCAGCGATCCTTAAGAAAAATAAATAGAAGAGACAGGACTCGCATGTCATGTCTCCGGGGAGGGCACGGCGACTACAATTCGTTTCCGCCGTTAAAGAATCAAAAGACGCAGTGATTGGGATGGCCAAGTTGAGGCTGGGCCCGCAAAAGACCCGGAATTGGGGCCCCTTAGAGGCAAAAGAAGAGCCGAGAGCAGCGATCCCACGCAGGAAGTGCCATCATCAATGTCTTCTCGCCTTTTCTCTGACTTTTCGGCGAGTTTCCACTCTTTCGGCCTTCTGGCACGGCCCCACTGAATCTTTTCTTATACATCTTTACGACTTCGTGCCCTTGACGTCTTGCCCTTGCCTTTCATCGGTCCTATGGTTTGGGATCATGATCTCCGACTGATCCCTCAATGCTCAACCTGGTCTGCATAGTGCTCTCCGTCTTGGGCGTCAGTCCGCTGCTTTCCGATGCCAATCTTACAGTCGCTACCCGGCTACCACGACGCCGCTATTCGCAACCACGATTCCCCATCGATATTGTCGTTGGGCTTCCAGAAAACGAAGGGAACCGACTCAGAAACCCTTTTCGTCTTACCATCGCCAAATCTCAGCCAGTCTTTGATGTGGCCGAAGAGGACATCTACACGAAAAGACGACTACTTCCGAAGGAATCCCTGCGTATCACTTATGAGGATACAAAACTGAGCGATGCAATCGGACCTCAGAAACTAGTGGATCGGTACTGCTCTCGCACAGTCGACGCCGTTATGGGGCTGGCCTATGTATTTTCTCTGGCTCCAGTAGCTCGAATGAGTCAATACTGGGAACAGGGCGTGCCGGTGTTCACTACCAGCGCGATGGTCGACGAGCTGGGGGACCGGCAAGCATTTCCGCTTCTCACCCGACTTATGGGGACCTATCGGACTTTGGCCCGGATGGTGCTGCGCATAGTCGAGGAATTTCAATGGAGACAATTCCACTTTTTCTTCAACGACCAAGCAGTCCACGGCTCTAGTCAGGGTCGGTCCGAATGTTTTTTCTCTTTGAATGCGATTAAAAATGTGTTCAACAATGAACCTCACATTAAGTGGACGGTTGAGATGTTCAGTGAACAGACCGCTGACCGAGACCGCTTCCGTATTCTACTCCAAAAAGCTTCCACCCTAACTAACAGTATGTTCTCCCTTTACATGTGCTTTGTGACTTTTTTTATTTAATTTTGGCACTAATATCATACATGGAGAGACCCTGGGGGTCGCGTATTCTCAAGTCACAGCAAAAACAATCAGAGTCATCGTCTTGCAGCCTCTTCGCTCTGTCTCTCTTCCAAATTTCATTAAATTCTTGCTTGCAAGGTGCCTTTTTTGTCTTATAAAGGCTACTCCAACGAAAGAAATTAAAAAAAGAAAGTTATAAGCAAACTAAAACTTCAATATTTACAGTGATCATATTATGTGCAAGCCCGGACACCGTTCGCGAGATTATGCTATCAGCCCACGATTTGGGAATGGCCACTTCAGGAGAGTATGTGTTTATCAACATTGATGTTTCCACAGGATCCCACGCTGAGAAACCTTGGATTCGGACCAATGAGACCAATTCTCCCGAGAATGAAAAGGCCAAAGAAGCCTACAAAGCGCTTAAAACCATCTCTCTCAGACGAAGTGATCTAGATGAATATAAAAATTTTGAAACTCGGGTCAAGGAAAGAGCAGAGAAAAAGTACAATTACTCGGCCAAAACTGGGAAAGAATATGAGGTAAGAATACCTTTAACAAAACAGTTTCGCTTAAAAAGTTTACCAGTTTTGCTATAATCCAAAAATAATAAATGCCTCCGCTTCCGCACCGCGACATTTCCGGGACGTGGAGAGTTTTGTTAATTTAGTGCTTACTTGTAGAATTGCAAAAAATTAATACAGGTCCCTTGGCCACAGAAAAAAATAGTAGAAGGGCTGTGATATCAGACTGTCGGGAAAATAACGGCGGATCGTCGCACCTCGGAATCGCCCATCACCGCTTTACGACTGCAAGCCGCGACTTGGGACTTGGTGCGCGATAGCGGCGAGGCGAGACATTTTGATGCGACGATCTGTCGTCATTTTTCCGACAGACTGATTTTGGGGGATCAAGGAAATTCGTCGCGGAAATTACCTTGGTCCCTCCTCACCATTTTTTCTTCGACCCCGGCCTGCCCCCCCTGTCGCGCTTTGCAGAAGCAGCTGAGATATTGGATGATCTTTGGGGACGAGGGAGAACGCGAAACGTGGAGAGGGTCAAAGGGAAACGGCTTTTTGGCCATATTTTCGCCATTTCCAAAAAAAAATATTTTTTGTGGAAACATTATTCTCTCCGGTAGACAGGGATACGAAACGTTTCATGGTAAAATTTGCAATTTGGCAACTTTCGACGTTGGCAAAATGTGTGCCATGTTTTCTAGAAATGTGGTTCATCTATCAGTAGGCACCGATTACATCGCAGCATATAATTTTGCGTTTTTTTTACATTCGTTTTTCGGAACCGGTCTTAATTGAATGGAGCCTCGGCCCGTCTAAAAGTTTGTCACGGTGGCCACCCATGTATATTGAAAATAAATATGTTTATTTTAGATGAACAATTTTATCAGTGCCTTCTACGATGCTGTATTACTGTACGCGATCGCTCTAAATGAGACCTTGGCTGAAGGTTTGGATCCACGGAATGGCCGCAATATTACCTCCAAGATGTGGAATAGGACGTTTGATGGAATTACTGGAAAGGTCTCGATTGACCAAAATGGAGACCGTTATTCAGATTATTCTTTGCTTGATCTGGATCCCAAACAAAACAAGTTTGTGGTAAGTTGTGATGATTTTTATGCGAATCTTGTAATCTTTTTAGGAAGTTGCGTATTACTCTGGTGCTTCTAATGAGTTGAAACAGATGACTGACTTCCATTGGGTCGGAGGCCAGCCACCTAAGGACTCCCCAATCTGTGGTTGGGACAAGTCCAAATGCCCTAAGGGCCTTTCATTTCATCAGATCTTGTTGCTGGTTGCTTTGGCTGTTATCTTTGTTCTTTTGATTCTCTTCGGGTTACTTTACAGGTGAGCTATCTTTTTTGATTTTATACCGGTCATCATGAATATTATTTTATATTTTTTTTTTAGACGTTATCGCCTTGAGGCCGAATTAGCTGCAATGAGCTGGAAAATTCGGTGGGAAGAATTGGACGGTGATGAAATGCGGAAGGAGAAAAAGAGGAAACAACAGAGATCTAGGAAGGCCGACGTCTACAGTCCTGTCGAACAGACCGAAGCCCTGCTCAGATCTAATTCGAGGTCTTCTATTGGGAGTGATAAGGTAATTAATATAATAATCATGAAGTTTCTTTAATTTTCACTTGATTTCAAATCTTTATTGGTTCTAACACCGCCAAAGTATTCAAATCTGGTGGGATTTCTGAGACTAACAAGAGAGCACTAGCTGTAATCTTACAGTCGTTTCAGAGAAGCTCTTCTTCTGGAGCGACACGAAAAATTTCCGCGATTATCGACCGAAAGTTCAGTGTTTTTACGAGAAAGAAGTCGTCGCCTCTGGAGAATAATCGGGCCATTGAAAACAATCACACGGGTTTCCCTCAGATCGATGAGGAACGCAACATTTCTTCTCCCTCCAATTCTAATTCGACCAAGAAGAAGACCAGTACAGAAGAGGATTTTGATGTGAACACAAAAAAGTCAGTCTCTCTCAGGAATCGAAAATTCTCTTTTGGGGCGTTCAGCATGAAAGTGAGTCAAGAATTTTTTTCGTTATGCCATTTCCTGTTTTGAACAATACTTATATTGCTTACTTGGATGATCATCAGGACTATCATGATCTGTTTTTTAGTCTGGTGGATCAGTTGAAACAATTCAAATGCAAAATAATGCACAAATCTTCACTAAAACTGCTCAATACAAAGGTCAGATGGTAGCTGTGAAAATGTTGAGGATCAATGTACCTAAGATTGAATTCGATCGGAAGACTTTACTCGAATTCAAAACGATCAAGGATCTTCAACACGAACATATAACTCGTTTTTTTGGTGCTTGCATCGACCCTCCCAATACCTGTATTGTCACGGAATACTGCCCTAAGGGGTCCTTGGAGGATATTCTGGAGAACGAGAAGATCAAATTAGACACCATGATGAAGTATTCATTGCTTCACGATCTGGTTAAGGGGATGTACTTTTTACACAACAGTGACATTAAGTCCCATGGAAAGTTAAAGACGTCCAATTGTGTGGTGGATTCGAGGTTTGTACTCAAGGTTACGGACTTTGGTTTGACTAAATTCCGAGCATTGGAAGAAGTGACCCCGGAAGAAAGAGAAACCCATGCTTTCGCCAGAAGTGAGTAGATTGCAATAAAAACAAGATAAATTAATTCGTTTAGAGCAAATATGGACAGCACCAGAACTTGTTCGTGAAGGAAATCATCCAGAGAATGGGACACAAAAGGGAGATGTCTATAGTTTTGCTTTGATTTTACATGAGATGGTGTTCAGAAAAGGTGCCTTTTATCGAGGAGAGGATGAGTTCCCCGAACCTCAAGGTGAGTGGACTCTTTTTTTAATTAAGTGATTCAGAAATCCTGGAAAGAGTAAAAAGGAAACCTCTGTGTGAGGATGATTGGTATCGGCCAGTCACCACCGAAGACATGATGGAAGAAGAGGGGGCCATAAATGATGACAAGAGAAAGCTCGTCGACCTGATGATCAACTGCTGGAGTGAGAATCCTCATGATCGGCCTGAATTCAGTGTGATCAGAAAGATTGTCCATACTCTTAATAAGTAAGTATTCTGGAAGTTGCTCAAAAGTTTTTTTATATATCTTATACGTTCGTGTTTTAGGGAAAATGAGACCTCAAATCTTGTTGACAATCTGCTCAAACGTATGGAGCAATATGCTACCAATTTGGAAGGTTTGGTGGAGGAAAGGACCCAAGAATATCTGGCAGAGAAGAAGAAGGTCGAGGAACTTCTCCATCAGCTTCTTCCTCCGTCCGTAGCTGATCAACTGATGTCCGGCAGAAGTGTTCAACCAGAAACTTATGATTGTGTCACCATTTACTTCTCTGATATTGTCGGGTTCACTTCGCTTTCTTCTGCATCAACAGCCATGCAGGTAAAGCAAAAAATAATATTAATGGCTTTTGAGATTCGATTACACGTGACATTCATAACGACGGTTTGTTTATTTTAGGTTGTAACCCTTCTTAATGACCTTTACTTGGCCTTTGATGGGGTTGTTGACAACTTCAAGGTATACAAAGTGGAAACAATCGGTAAGCAGCTAACCTTCATGTGTGTTTAACCATTTATAAATATACATATTTATACGTCATCTTTTAGGAGATGCTTATATGGTGGTATCAGGTTTGCCGGAAAGGAGAGAGGACCACGCTTCTCAGATCGGTCAAATGTCTTTGGCATTACTTCACAAAGTCAAAACATTTACAATTAAACATCGTCCAGGGGAACAACTCAAGCTTCGCATTGGAATGCATTCCGGTAAGTAATGTTTCACAAGCCGATCAAATCATGGAGCTTTTACTGTAATATGTATTTTTAGGATCAGTGGCCGCAGGTGTTGTAGGATCAAAGATGCCTCGCTACTGTCTTTTCGGAGATACCGTAAACACATCCAGCAGAATGGAGTCGAATGGATTGCGTAAGTTTTCTTGAATGCGCATTAAATCTTTGGTCTTTCAATAAAGGAATACTTTAAATTTCTTTTGGTTTCAGCTCTTCGAATTCACGTCTCATCCAGAACCAAAGAGATCCTAAGCCAGGATCCGGACTTCCGTTTGGACCTCAGAGGTGAGGTGGAGATGAAGGGAAAGGGCAAGCAGACCACCTACTGGCTTAAGGGCTACAAGGATGTAAATATCCCCGACTTCGGACCTGAATATCGATGATCTTCTCCTTCTCTTTCAATCTCTTCAGGGAGTGTTTGTAGGGATTTCGGGTGACTTCTAGTATTACTAACCAACAGAATTGTATTAGATTCTCTACAAATACCTTGTTTAACTTAGGCAAAGTCTCACGGGTCTCATTTGTTTGTCGAATGCTCTTTCTCGCCTATATTAACAATGTCAAGATACACGCATTTTCTCTCCCGATGGGAAAAAGAACATCGATATATTTATTGTGTTATATCATGAGGAGAAAACAAAACAAGATTGCCCGGTCCAACACTTATCCACACGGGTATTTTTCTTATTTTTATCCATTTATCATATTTATTTCATATAAGAACAAATAAATCTCTATTCATTTTGTTTAGTTTCATGCTTGTGGATAAAGAAAACCGGATTTTAATGAGTGTAAACATCAACAAGACGCACATCCGAGGTATGGCAATAACAATTTATCCGCTTCTTGGCAATTTAAACTTTGTTCAGGCACAATTTACATTGATATAAAATGAATCTATGATACGACCATTAGTATCGACAACAACAATGAAAATTTACGAAATAAAATGCTTGGAATTATGTACTCGGAACCCGTAGACGTTGTAAATATTTAATAAAACTTATATCACAGCACTTGGAGTTAAACGATCTCACGGTCGATGGAATCTACAATTCATATCTTGCAATACATATTGGTGACATCATCAGAAACAAAAGGAACCTTGACCTACCTAGTAAACATCTTGCTCTCTTCATGAACAGGCATCTCCGTCGCTTTGAAGTCGTTGAGTTCTTTTCGGATAAGGGCTTTCTCGGAAGGAGTGAGCCGAGTCCATGGTTTATCTCCTTTCCGATCGTACATCTCGGCTTCCGTGACTTCCACGTAATCATTGAACTTGATGATTTGTTTATCTTTCAACTCTTGAACAGTGGGTCGAAAACTCAACTAAAAATATATCTAATAATAAACCAATCCAGACATCATCAATCAAATCAAACATTACAATTAGAGGCAATATTCGAATAACAGAAGATGTTACCTTTCTCAGAAGCATCTTTCGGGTCTCTTCCATAGACCGACGAGAGATGGTCTCCGCTTGCTGATCCTTCAGGATGTTCCTCTGTTCCAATTCGCGAGCTAAGGGACGTTCCGAAAGTTTCCTGAAATCAGATGGATGTTATTGAATGGGTTTCCAATGAAACTGATGACAAAGACCAGCACGACTGTCTAAGTGTTCAGCGGATTCTGCACAAATAAGAAGGCGACCTGCGCTTACTTTTCCTTCCATCACAAACTCCCCTAATATATTTCGTCTTTTCGGAACCAAAATGGAATTGACGAGACCAATCTGAGATCGCGAGCACAGGTAAAAAACAGAAACACCGTCAGTGTTATTAAAATACTACAGCTGCATAGGTGAAAATTAGAGGGGAAGAAAGCGTGGCAAAAACTGGAGAACATACAAGGAAACAGCATATTTTCCCCAACAAAACTCGCCCGATAAAGGAGAACGTATCTAATTTCAAGTTCTTAAAACTTCTGCTAGGAAATCACGCAACACTCCCCTTCTGCAAAATGAACGTTTCTCTTAAAGTCCTAAGAACAACCCGCTTTCTTTCGACCATCCCCATGACAGATGTGAAGAAGAATGTCACTGACACTCAACATTCCAATCACTTTCCCAAAGCACGTCCACAAGTGGATCACGGATCAAACAGCGAATCAAATTCAAATGTTCAAAACATTAAAGGTTACTTCCTCAATTAAAAATTTTTAAAACAATATATCTCGAAACAAATATAAATAAAAGTGAAGGAAAGGCGCACTCTTCTCTAATCTCAGCGTTCTCGATCTTAAACACTCACACCCATCATTTCTCAATATTCGCTTTCAAAAACAAATCACCTTTTTCTTAAATATCAAACTCTATCCCCAAAAATAAAATCAGATAAGATATCCAGGAAAACCCCGGCATTTAATCCACCCACCCACCTTTCAAGTTTAATCGAAGCCCGGTGCATCAACTTCTTTCTTTCGTCCGAGGTTTGGTCGGGGATGTCATCCACAGGTGCTGGTACATCTAACTTCAATGCCAAGGTATCCCTTCGTCTTACTTTCGCCGTAAAAGCATCTATAATTTTATTTAAGTTAAGCCATAGTAACGAAACCTAACTGTTTTTGTATTCTTCTTCACTGTCTTCTTCCTCCGAGTCTCGATCATCTCCGTCAGGGGATTTTCTGGATGCAATCGCTTTATTCGTAGATTTGGCAGAGTCCCAAGGACTTTGATATTGTTCAATCTGCTCATCATTCTCCTCCAATTCACTCTCCTGTTCATCAATTTCACTTCTTTGATCTTCTTCTTCATCTTCTAAACTTGACGATTTTAATCTACTTGGTTGTCCGGGTCTTCTTAGTACTGGTCTTTTCGGTCTTGCTTGAAGATCGGGTTCTGAGGCCTCGACTTCTTCAAAGACCGGGACTGTTCTGATCAATGTGAAATTCATTGCAGCATCTGGACTATCCGCAATGGAATCGTCAAAGTCTGATGCACTGAGTCTATTGTGTTGAGGAGAGGAGAGTAAAACAGTGTTGGCCTCGTCAGCTTGAGTCTAAATTAAATTAATTATACGGGGAATGTAGAAACATAAAGAATAACTAAAAAGAACAACAAAACTCTAATCCAAATATTAAAACTGCTGATCTCAAAACGTAATGCGATTCCAGGGATGTTATTCTTATCAAAAAGATGTTTTCTTACCACTTCAACGTCAGGAACACATGGATGAGTGGAAACGGAAACAGTAGAGAGTGGCCGAGTTTGGCTCGACACCGGGACTGGCTGCTCGGATCCGGTGATCGGGACTGAAAATACAAAGAAAATGACGCAGATCCCCGACAAACAGACCGCGCCTTCGCTACTTGGCCTCCCGACCTTTAAACTAATACAAATCCCCGCTTAAACGGCCTCAGACGAATAAAAAACCCCCAAATCACGGGACATAATATTATGAAAACTTACCGACTTCGGTACTTCTGTTCTTAATGTCGTCGCTGGCTCTGCTCAAGTTGAGATCAGCTTTCCTAAAATAATCGCAAGTCTGAACTATGTTACAATTCTAAAGAAGAGAAAAAAAATCTTTTCTAAACCCGATATCCACAAAACAACGCTGCAGAATTTGTGCAAACTTTGTGAGCACCCAAAACTATTTGGATATCGAATAGACGGAAACTACAAGATACAAGCCGCATAAAGAACGGATCTGAGGTCACACAGTCTGGTCTCAGTTTGAGAAGAAACTTACTTTTTCCGGTAACTTCTCCATTTCCACGGTTTCAGAATACGCAGCCAGAATTTACTCGTTTTGACCGAAACTCGGAAAGCTCTGTGACGGTATGGGCTTTGAGATCTGAAAGAACGATCAGCCATATTTTATACACCATCATAATTTCAGAACCTACTTTGTCCCTGAATTGTCATGCTCAGGCCGCATAATGCGGCGATGACTATGTTTGGGGACCCGCCGCGTGTCTGCTAAAACAAGTACCGACAATAAAGTGAACTCGAAAACGTGCAAAATAAGGCCGACAAACACGGAAAACAAGATCAATCGAGAAGCACGAATACAAAATGGAATAAAGAATGTGCGAAACCGGGGAAAAACGCTTTAGATCAACAGGAAAGGACGCGACGAGGACATTCTCATGTTTATGACATTACCTAAACATGAGACGGTATATATTATTCAAGGCAACAATTCGCCTCGAGCGCTCAAAAGGGGCAGAACAAAACGGACAGCTCGCGTTCCTTATCCCTAAACACCAGACGCATTCGGGAAGGCACTCGGGGGACGACAAGGAGAAAATTGGCGCCGATCGGCTGGCTTTTTCTTCCTCAAGGTCGGGTTTCGGAGGCGACAAACTTGTCTCCAAAAAGCGGCCAAATGATAGCCAATCAGATGTTCCTACCAATTACGCCGCCTTTTCCCCGTTCTCCCATCCCAGGGGTTCATGATCAGATCAATTTTACTAATTATATGACTTTATCGTTTCACTAAAACAATCTGACAGGACGACTATGCTAAATTAATATCGATGTTCGTCTACTTATAGAGACTAAATTCTTTGACATATTCAACCACCTCATCTACCGAACAGTAACGTATCGACAGGCCATTCCGAATCGCATTCCTTAACCGCGTGCTGCTCAAACTGTTGGGGAAAGTCTCGTCCTGGACGAAAATCACATTAGAGACGTGTTCCTTGGGGACTGCCAAGCCTTCCAGAGTCTTCCTGGCATCTCCTCCGACTCGCTGAAGACAAACCACGCCATATTGAGTAAAAATATGGGATAAATCTTCGCTTTTCCATAGATTTTCCCCTAAAAAGGCGTGCCTTGATAAACTTTCAAAATTTTTAGCATATGTAAGTAAAGACAGTACCTGAAGCCAAAACAACAGCGAAAGAATCAACGAAATCTTCTCCGCAAAGCAATATTAGTTGAATATCAGTCCCATGTTTGGCTTGCAGAACGCTTCGATGGTGTTCAAGGACCACTCGAGTTCGAGTCCAACTTGTTTGACTACATTCCCAACCATCAGCCCGTATCCATTCGGAACTCCTTACAGCCAACTCGCACATTCTTAGGCGGTGAGATGAACTGATCAACTCCGATTTGCCATATCTGTCTCCCACTGGGCTGATGATTCCCTCAACCACAGTGCATTTATATTCCTGCTGGAGAAGGTCACGAGCCCTTTCAAACATTCGCAAATGCATAAACGTCGGTGGGTTGAAGGAGCCACACGCCAATAACGCCACCTTGGCTCCATTCCATCTGGTTGGGATCATCTTATCATCTAAATAAAGACCCAGAGAAGTAATAAAATAAGGAGATGCTCAGACGGCCATAAATACTGCTGAAACACACAACATGAGTAAAATTGTGATTAAACTGAAATTGAATACCTCCAAAATAAATAAAACGTTTATAACCGAATCATTGTCGCAAAAAATAAAATAAAATTTATTTTTCTCGGTCCTGTCGCGAAAACATTTTCATCCATCACACGACCAGCACAATGAGAGAGCGAGAAAAACTGGGTGACGAAGCTGCTCTCATGGCTGGTATATCCATGAAATTATAGCTAGTCAGGTGTATGAATTTGTATTTTTAAGGCAGAAATCAGAGTTTCTGCTTCCGGATAGTCCAACGTGCCGTGAATAATGTCTTTTCTTGCGGAATTCCGCCTCGAACATCTGAAATAACTGGTTTATCTAAACTTTCAGCTAATGGCCGCGAATTCAGCAACCCGTTCAGGCGGTAATGGGGCCAAGAAGACCTGCCAGTTCAAGTTGGTGTTATTGGGCGAATCTGCAGTCGGTTGGTTATTTTCACATTTCTGTTATGCGTTTTTAGATGTTTTGAGGTTTTCAAGGCTATTGGGAAATCAAACGCGACTTTATCATCGTCTTCCTCCGTGTTTTTTCATCGGAATAGTTTTATTTTTTCAGGAAAATCGTCATTGGTTTTGAGATTTGTGAAGGGACAGTTTCACGAGTACCAAGAGTCGACGATTGGTGCCGCATTTTTAACTCAAACCATATCAGTTGACGACAATACTGTTGTCAAATTCGAAATTTGGGATACAGCAGGACAGGAACGGTACCATTCATTGGCTCCCATGTACTATCGAGGAGCACAAGCCGCAATTGTTGTTTATGATATTACTAATCAGGTAACTGCCATGTTGTCTTTTTTATTTGAATGACATCGTTTAGGAGTCGTTTGCTAAAGCCAAGAATTGGGTAAAAGAGTTGCAGCGACAAGCGAATCCGAACATTGTGATCGCCCTGTCTGGAAACAAAGCTGACTTGGCAGCAAAAAGAGTGGTCGAATATGAGGTTTGTTTATATCTCATTTCATTTAATTCTTGGTTTAGGAAGCACAGGCATACGCAGAAGATAATGGTCTGTTATTTATGGAAACCTCCGCGAAGTCCTCGATGAATGTCCAGGACATTTTCTTAGCAATTGGTAAGACTCTTTGTATAGCGTGTAAATTAATATGGAGAAAATGGAACGTTATTTTAAACTTTGTAATAGTGAACTGTTTTGAGACGTTATTTTCGGGGTTTGGAGCAAAATATGTCGATTAAAACAAATTTTTTTAGCTCGAAAACTGCCGAAGAATGAGGGAGGCGGCGGTCCCGCAGGCCGTGGCCATGGTGGAGTGAATATAAGTGATGAGCCAGCCCCGTCTAACAAGACATCTTGCTGTTCTAAAGCTTGATTGACTCGTTAATTGTACACTTTGATGAACTTGGTGATAAACTGGGCTTTGCAAAGTATGTGACTCCGGAGTTAAAGTATTCTAATCAGTCAATACCAACTTATTCTCCTCGATGGTTAATTTATTCGTTTCTTAATCACTCATTCTTCAATCCAGTCAGCAGTGCGGAGTCTCTATTTATTGTCTTAGCTATATTTTGTGCTTTTATGTGAATTACAGTTTGAATAATTAAGATCGATAAATGTTCAAATCAAGGGTTGTCTTGCATGCTGGTTTTCGCCATGGCTTATAGTATATATGGGAAAAGGGAGATATTATATTACTTGAATCCAGGTTTTTTCTTCTTGAAAGGTTTGAGTCCGTCTTGTTATCATGACCACTTGTTTTGTGGTGTAATTTACATATTTTACATCATAGCAGTAAGTTTAGTCGCCTATTAAAACAATGGATATCCCATGTGGCGTTATTCCGACGGTTTCGACATGTAAGTGAGTTATGAGTTTAGATTAGATTTGAGAAGTTTCCGTGAATGATAGGGTCAGAACTAGTTTCATCTTGTTCTGAAACAGGGTTACTGATGAAGTTAAAGCAATATTATGCAGGTATTGCAACCTCTCGTTTGCTAGCCGAAGCACGCCAATTAAAAGAGTACCCCGTTGATGGTTGTGAAGCGTTTCCCCAGGATGACAACGTCCTCAAATGGGTATCTGTTGTAAAAGGCCCTAAGGGCAGTTTTTACGAGAATGGAGTATTTTTCTGTGAGATTATATTCAACCGAGATTATCCATACAGTCCTCCAGATGTAAGAATGTCTTGACGAAAGCAGTTGTTTAGATTTCATTTCTGACAAGGATTTACCATCAGTCGATAGATGAGAAAGGTCATGTTGATCTACCGCTGTTGGATCATTGGAAGCCATGCCTCGGCGTCGCTGACGTTCTGGAAGCGCTTAGATTTCTTTTGCGAAAAAAACCTCAGCAGTTCGAAGAGGAGCTGGAATTCGAGTTTACAGCTCGGGAATGGACAAACAGATATGCCGTCTGACCTTTCTACAGTATTTTAACACGTGTTTACCTACCTCTTTTCGAACTTGCTCATTTCTCATTTCCAAATTCATCGAAAGAAGACAGAACCGAGTAATAAATCAAATTCCGAATAATTGTTTTTTCTTTATTTTTTCTCTGATTCAAGTTCAATAGACTACTTTTGTTGGTGGGGGACGAGCAACATATTTTGTGTAGTAGCGGAAGGTCCAGTCTTGCCATCTTGTTGGGAGATAAGAAAAGGGAGTAAACTGGAAGATGGAGTCATATCCAATTTGATAGCGGCCTCGGGGGAAGATGGATGTCAGAGCATTGTAATATGCCTCCACGACAAGATGGGCACCAGGTTTACACTTGTATTCAAGATAGTCGGTGATAATGTGGTTAGCTGAAAGGCATGATTGCAATTAATGATCGTTAAACGGGTGCTGATAAGAAGAGACATAAAGATGTAGTCTCTCATCGAAACTGATTGACAAAGCTTTGCTTTTCCGTCAGGATGACCTTTAAAAGTCATTTTTCCCTATTTTGTTAGACAGATCTCTAGTTAAGAGATGATTCTGAAGTTCATAGTACAAAACGCGGGAGACATTACAGCGAAGGTGTGCAGAAATTGATTGACTTACACCACTTAGCATATTCTTCTCCATATTCGTCCTTGACGTTTTGAGGAGTTCTTTCCCAAACACGGGCGCTATCTTCCAAGGAGGCCTGAGGATTTGCTTGTGGAGTCTGAAATACAACAAATAATAGTTGAAGAAAAAAATCGTGTTATTTACAATCGATACTGACCTTGAAGAACCCAGGTTCCAAGACGGAGACTTTAATCCCCCACTGGCAGAGTTCAGCACGGATGATGTCACTGTAAGCGCCGACAGCCATCTTTGACACACTGTATGGACCAATTGTTGGCATGGGAACCTTGCCAGTAATGGAGGTCACATTTACAATTCGGCCTTTTGTACGCTTAATCAAATGTTTGAAGGCATGGGTAGTTCTGATCACTCCGAGAGCGTTCACTTCCCAGAATCTCTGGTAGACGGCAGGGGTCTGCCAGTCATCCCATCCTCTCATGTCTCCAATTCCAGCATTGTTAACAAGACCCCAAAGCCCTTTGTATCCTTTCTCGGCGATCTTTCCCTCGACGAATTCTCGAGCTTTGTTGACCGATTCGTCACTTCGCACGTCCAAAACAAAGGTTTCTAGAAGTTTATCGCCTCCGGGAATCTTCTTGGCCTCAGCACGCAGCCCCTTCTCTCCCTAACCAGAATATTTTTCCAGATTACAGTAAGGGAGCCTACTTTTTCATCAAAACAAGCGGAGAACACTGGCATGCCATTCTTGAGACATTTCAAACTCAATCCGAAGCCGAATCCAGAATCACATCCAGTGATAACAACAGGTCGGTTCTGAAGATTTCCCAATGGAATATTCTCCAACAAACGAACAGCCACAAAGTAGAAGACGAAGAGAAGGACCAGATAAAAGGCGTATTGTTGGACCAGGAATATGGCGACGGAAATGGGGATTAACCAGATCGCCAACTCATCCAACCCGAGGAACGCCATTGCTGAAAGGCGTAGAATACGAATGGAACGGGGAGAAGCCGAGCTGGTGGAGCTTTATAGGCCCACCACATGCAACAAAACTCGCTGCTCGCCCGCCCATGCCCATAAACTCCTTTCTCCACCTTTTTCCAGGGTTTCAACGATGTCTCCCTGATAGCACAAGAGTCGGCCGCTCGACAACCTGGCTGAACACTGGAAGACAAAGGCCAGACCGACTTTTTTACTCTTTTGCAACCGATTCCAAAGCCCCCACGAGACCCGCATTCAATCAAACGCTTGTCGATTAAAGGGTTTCTTTTTATGTTTCGTGTCACACACGGGTCAGTTAAAATTAATACAGTTAACCTAGTTATACATAACGTTAAGAAGCCATTTTGGCTGGTCGGGGCAGGCCGGCCCAGTATTTCAGATAACCATAGAATACGTGTTGCTGGAGTCGAGTTGAGAGATAGGACAGAGGCGTGAACTGGAACATCGAGTCGTATCCAATTTGGTAACGACGGCGAGGGAATTTGGAAGTCAGAGCGTTGAAGTAAGCATCGACCACGAGATCAGGCTGGGGCTTGCATTTATAGCCGAGGTAGCCAGCAACAAGCTTCTGGGTGTATGGAAGATAATGCTCTCCATACTCATCCCGGACCGACTGTGGAAGCCTATCCCAGACCATCTTCACGTCAGCTTCGGCGGCTCCTGGATTTGCCTGAGGGGTTTTGAAGAAACCGGGTTCCAAAATAGAAACATGGACTCCGAATTGTGCCAATTCAAGTCTAAAAAGTGTATAAATATGAGGTCCATGGGACCTACCTGATAGTGTCGCAGTAACTGGCGATGGCGAATTTGCTCACATTGTATGGACCTCCAGTGGGCATGTTGACCTTGGCACAGATACTGGCTACACTCACGATTCTTCCTTTGGCCTTCTTGACAAGGTCTTTGAACGCATGGGTAACCCGAATGTGGCCGAGGGTGTTGATCTCCCAGAAACGCTGATACATCTCAGGGGTCTGCCAGTCGTCCCAAGCTCGGTTATCTCCGATACCGGCATTGTTAACGATACCCCAGAGACCAGTGTTGGGGTTGATGTGTTGGTCGACGAATTCGCGAGCCTTCTTCACGGATTCTGGATCTCGAATATTCAACTGGACAGCGTGCAGGAGTTGTTTGCCATTAGGAATCTGTGCGGCTTCTTCCTGGATACCTTTGATGCCCTAAAAATAATAAATCAGCACTCATAAAATTAAAATTATACTACGGTCATGGTGCCCGTGAGTTCAAAAAAAATGAGGTTATGCAAACAATTGGACGATAATCTTTACTACCTAATTTGTTCCCGAAATCAGAAAAAAACCTAAAATCAACATACTTGATCAGTAAGACATCCGGCGAAGACGGGCATACCATTGCGGATACACTTTATAGCAAGATCATGACCAAATCCACTGTCACATCCACTGATGAGGACGGGTTTGTCGCTGAGATTGTTGACGGAGATCTTCTCCAACAGACGGACGGTGAGGAAATAGACGGACCACAGGAAGACCAGATAGTAGGCCCAGTAGTTGAGGACCGCCAAGGTGGTCGTAATAATGGCCAGCCAGATGAGATATTCGTCCAACATCCTTGAGAAGGTGCGGCGACCGGAATGCGGTTAGGTCCACGCCACCAGACCTTATAACAAGGTCGGTCTCCGGCGGAGGGGCGGTTCCGGCAATGCTATTGGCTCCAACGACCGCAATTCTCATCACCAGAAAAGGGGGAGGAGGCTTCGCGCCCGCCGATGACAGCCAGAACGATGACGGTCATGTGTTCCGCCGACAGAAATTCCTCTGTGATCTTTAAAAGTTGTTGATTTCGTCGGCGCCATGTATTACAGGTGATTTCGTCATTCTCATGGCTTCGTAGCGTAGACGGACTCATCCAGGCCAATTTCGCCTCGAGCTGCGCCCGCCCATTTTCAGCCAACTTTCAGGAGCCAATTTCCTATGTGCTCGGAAACAAGCCCAGAAAATTTTGCATATTTCAAACATGAATTTTTTATCGGTGTGGGCCGCGTCCCATTTTGCGTTCCGTTCGCTATGCAAAATTTCGGATAGGAAATTGGCCCCAGATACCCCCGATTATCACAGAAGACAAACTCGATAATTTTATAATATTTTATTGTTAAAAAATTAAAACAAGGTAAAATATCAAATTCAAAGCGCGATTTTTCTTATCGACCACTAAAACACATTGACGAGAGCAAAGTTCAACAAGTTGCAACTGATAATAGCTGCCAAAGATACCACAAAAAATGAAAATTAGTGTGGAAAACTTTTTTAGAATACGACATTCTACATGTCTCACAACAAACAAATTTTAATTAACAGAATGAGTTGTTAGAAGCTATTTGGAAATAAAATATTACCTGCGATAAACACCGTAAAAGACTCATAAAATTTCCTAAAAACTTTTGAAATTCTAAATGTCACAAGCCTAACTAAATGCCACCTTTAAAAAGTTGCTTCTTCTACATGTCGTAAGACCATCAGATTCTCCATAAACACGAGAAAAATGAAAGAAAACGTTGACTCTCTTTACAAATATTACACTCGGATCACGTTTTTACAATGAGAGAATGCAAGTAGGGGTTTGTTTGATCAACTACTAAGTTCTCCTGTGTTGGAGATGAGGTCATTCGGGTTCTCTTCCGCACCTGTATTCTCAGAATGTGTAACTTGTTCCAAAATTCCATTTGTCTGATCTGATCTCGTCTGCTCATTTAAATTAGTATCCTTAAACGCCTTCCCTGAGGCTGCGTTCTCTGCCAGACTAACAAAAACGTCATCCAAAGTCGTTTGGAAAACAGAAAAGTCTAATACTTTGGTATCAATTTCTACCTGTAAGTACAGTAAGTATAAGATATCAGCCTGTCGGAAAAATAGTGATCGCTCTGTTGCATCGAAAATCGCATCGCCGCCGAGAAAGTGAATTGCAAAATACACTTCTGCGACGAGATTGGCGCAGCGACTTTGCGCTCTTATTTTCTCGATAGAGTGTTCCGAGAAATGTGCCGGAGTTTTTTGACGATTTCTGGGCGCTCAGACAAGATATCCAAAGATTCTTTTTGCATATAAAGAAGATGGAAAATTATTTTCCCCGCCAAAGCGGAAAGTAGTGTATTCGGCGGAGACTTTTGTGGTACTTTTTGGTGATCACACCAATCTTAAACGCTTTATTACGATGCTGAAAATTCCTGAAAGTCTTCAAATTTTTTGCACAATCGATCAGAGGCAACGGCGCTATGCGATTTCATTTAGTGACCATCGCCGCTGACTAAGCTTCTACCAAAGCTTGGCAATCAGATTCTGGAGGGCATACGAAATCAGCATGGAATGGTATGATGGCCATAAAAGTACCACAAAAGTCTCCGCCAAATTCACTATTATACTCTCCGCTTTGGCGGAGAAAATAATTTGCTTGGGCGAAAAACCGTCCATCTTCTTCATCTTGCAAAAAAAATTTTTTGGGTATCTTGCCTGAGCACCCAGAAATCGACAAAAACTTTTCGGCACATTTCTCGGAACACCTTGTATAATAAAACAAATGGCTTACGGCTTTCAATGCTTCGAACATATCCACAAGAGCGCGATTTGAGATCGGGACTGAGAAAGAAATGGAGCACAAATTGAGAGAGGTACACTAAAGTGGATGATTAAGGTCAGTAAAAACGCGGAGGTTGCAGATTGCAAACACTTTTTTACAAAAACAAGAACCGACTTTGATATCCCCGCAGTAGGTCTTAGCGTATGTAACCATGCAGCTATGTAGCAACACGAGAAGTTCAATTTCTTGTCTGGCAAAAAAGATCGTAAGAAACTTTTTTTGCCAGACAAGCGGAGAGAGAAAGGAAGCATTTTAAAGTACGCGCGTCGCCATAACTAGGGAACACTTGGCCATTTTTTAAAATAAATCGCGTCGGGACCAAAATTAACTTGAAATCGTACGTGTGTACGGTAGAAAAATAATTTTTCTGCGGCTGGAGCCGAGAATTATTTGTTGCGTTGTTGACGAATTGTCGGATTCGTGGATCAGTGTGTTTATAATTTCTATAAATAAATCGTTTGTGGTTCGTGTATATTTAGCTGTATTTTAGATTTTTTTAACGAAAACTAATGTTTTCGGTCCGAATTTTAGGCAAGAAACGTGAAGACGAGGTCATCTACGGGTTCACGTGCGTTGATGAGTACGATGTCCGGCAACGGAAGGAGTTCGCGTGCTCCGCGGAAGTCTTGAACTCCATGAATTCGAATATTACGCTTTTTCAAAAGTGCAGACACATTTTCCGGCCTTTTTTGCACCGCACAGTGCAAGTTTCGCGTTCCCCGCGCGACGCGATCCGACGACAAAATGTGTCTGCACTTTTGAAAAAGCGTAATAGGAAAAGCAGAAGTTTGCAGAAAAAGGTCAGGATTCATGGAGAGAATCATGAAGGATCAGACTTTTGTTGACTCGTGAAACATGGGATCGATACGTGGGTTCCAAGTATGAAGTAAGTTCAATTTTTGACATTGATTACTCGCTTTTAGGACTCTCTGCGAACGTGTCAAAAATGACAAGATCCCCTGCGATCTGGATGTCATTATCTACGAGGCAGACTTCGTGCTTCTTCCTGGAACGGCCCGCCTCCTACTCCAACAGAACTCGCGCATGATCATGAAGTCGATGCCGTCACAAAGCCCACATCCTCCGCAGTGGAGACTTATAATTATAACGCGTTGAATAATAATAACAATAAAGACATAAGAGAAGGTTAATAAATTTATATTATAAATCTTGATTCTGAAAAAGTAAAGAGGAAATGTTGGAGGGAATAATACGGCTTCTTGCAAATCACAGATAATCGGGAGGGGAGGGAGTCGAAGTTGCTGTAGGAGGTATGGTGGTAGTCCATTGGTTGACGTGAACAAACTGAAAAATTCAAGCAAAATAAATGGATAATATCGGATTTTTCAAAAAATGGTTTTTCAGTCTAAATAGTAATTTAAACAGACAGAAGAGCGCTTGTTCATGTTTTTCACAGCTTCTTTAGACGATAATACTAACAAATCATGGATAAGATAGCATTTTTCACGAGAAGAAAGGAAATCCGACAAATTTTGAAAGAAATCATAAAAAAAAACTAGTAAACGACCTTCTCTAACCGTCCCTGAGCTCGCCGTCTAGAAACAAGCAAAAATAAACATAAAATAACTTACTGAGATCAATCCATCGCGATATCAAACAACAAAATTTCCGGCTGCAGCCGCAAAAAAATATTTTTTCTACCGTACACACGTACGATTTCAAGTTAATTTTGGTCTCGACGCGATTTATTTTAAAAAAATGGCCAAGTGTTCCCTAGTTATGGCGACGCGCGTACTTTAAATTGCGCAACGTTTTGTCTGATTACGCTACAGTAATCAAAGGAATTGCATTTTTTTCTGGCAATTTCTTAGAATCATGGAATATAATGGTCTGACCTTGTTTCAGTTTATACTAATTACTCGATCACACATTCCCTGCTTGTGCTTACCTTTGCTTGAGGCAGTGTGTTTTGAAAGAGCAGTTGGCATTTCTTTACATCGGAGTCGTTCTCCAACTTGACTGTCAAAGTGTATCCTCCGCCAAATCTGCAAAACATAAACAATCAAATGTTCAATTCTCCTTAGTGGACATTACACCAGATGGGGGTTTTGCAAGCACTCAAACACTTCGTTTCTTGTGTAATAGTTGCGTTGTAAACTGCGACCTTTGAGGACTCTCGCCTTCTCGGTTTTTATTATAACGAACCGCGTGTCTTTTAAAGGAAAATGCCTCGATCTTCCTTCTCTTCGCCTTACTTTTCTTTCAGACTCTGAATCGTCCCCAGACAATAAAAGCTTCCTTGAACCATGATGGCAGTCCGATTACACAGTGCTTCGCATTCCTCCATCGAATGTGATGTGATAACAACGGTTCGGTTGTTCTGCTTGAGTTCTGTGATTAAATCCCACATGAACTTTTGAGATCGAGGGTCCATTCCAGCACTAGGTTCGTCCAGTAGAACAACATTCGGATCGGTGATTATGGCGATGGCGGCGGAAAGTTTTCTTCGATTTCCGCCCGAATACGACTTGGCGATTTCTCGGGCATACGGTTTGAGCTGCATGTGCTCGACTGCCCACAGGACAGAGGCCTGGATATCAGCCACATTCACACCCCGAATCTTGGCATAGAAAACGAGATGTTCGAATGCAGTTAATTTCGGAAAGAGTGCGTCAAATTGAGGACAATAACCGACGTTTCGGAAAGAAACGGAGTTGGAAGTAGAGCGACTAAAATCTAATCTGAGTATGTTTTAAAATGCCTACTCTTCACCATCGACAATGATATCACCTGATCCAACGTCCAAGAAGCCTGTCAGCATCGAGAAAGTTGTTGTTTTCCCAGCCCCATTCACACCCAAAAGACCAAAACATTCTCCTTTTGGAACTGCGAATGAAACCCCTTTCACGGCCAGAGATTTCCCATCATAACTCTGGAGATGTAAAAAGAGTACGGTAGTGTTATCACGATGTGTTTTCAATCTATTTTTAATATCTTACCTTTGCAAGATTGCGGACTACAAGGCCGTAATCGTCGAATTCTTCGAGATTCTGTACCAATTCCTGTTCGATCCTGACCTCGTTATCAGTGGGTTTCTTCTCTGTGTGCAGCAATTCCCGGGTTTTCCGTTTCTCACGATTCCTAATTTAGATGGCTGTAAACGGCTTGACAAACATACTTTTTCCATTTTATCAGTGTATCCCGGTACTCGAACAGTAGACAAACAATATTATATACGATCACGTTTCCCAAAAGGGCGATTAAATGTCGTCCCAAGATAGAATATTTGAAGAGAGAGGGCAGGGGGATCTGATCTTTCAGATCATCTCTTCCAATTCCATCTTAAACCACATTAATCAAACACCTTTTAGACACAACAAAACGGTGAACATGACATAAAAAAGCCGCTCACTCATTTGTCATTAAATAATATTACCCTTTACCTGTCTGACCCTTCCTTTTTAAAACGCTTTACTTACCTATGTATTTGAGAGCAAACAGCAGCATATTGTAACACAAGGTCATTCTGTATATGGACATGGCCAGATTGTACATGGGGATGATCAGAAAGATCTTTGAACAGACTTCGTATGCTGTCTTTAGTGCGGGGTCATCAGTTCTCATATTCTCGAGTACAAGAACTGTCAAGGAAGCTGTAACTCCAACCAAGAAGAGACCAATACTTTGAACTCCAAAAGAAAGGGAAGGGACCGAAAACGCATATTGGAACAAATAGACCAGTGGAATGGTCGATAACCTAAGAATATGGCAAGCTGTCATCACACTTACCCAAACAGAGTAAAGAGTAGAAAAGATGCAATTACAGCTTCCCCATTGTAAACAAACAATCCCATTCCAATCGAAGTTAAAAGGACGACAAGTAAGAGGACACAAGCAACGTATAACATCTGCAAAATAAATAGAGTTAAGAACTTAGACTTACAAAGTCATACAACAAGTTTGTTGCGTAATATAACCAAGAAGGAACCCCGAAAATCCGTTGTAAATGCCTGCTTTTTGACTGGTTCTCTTCTACCAATAACATGGAGAAACTGGCGATGATGACACTCACAATTAAGATAATCATAATCACCCGCAAAGTGCCAACTTTCCTTCTAAATAAAAATTGATTACATTTAAATTAATTTACGTACAAGAAATCGCCTTGAAGAACATCTTGGGCACTCTGAACCATCGGATGATTCAAACCAAAGATCCCGACTTGATCCGATGGGATCGATGAGTTTTTTTTCCTCATAACAGACCTCAGAACAGCGTTATAATAGGTATTTAAATTGATTGGAGCACCGGCCCAAGCCTTGTTGTTGAACCAGACCTATAAAGTAAACAAGGTTATTTCTGATGACAATTACTTTGACCAATTCTCGGGAATCCAGCTTTTCTATAAGGCTTTCCATCGCCTCGAGCAGTGTAATATTCTCAGGAAGAAAGGTGTCGTTACTTGTGGCAAGATCAGTTCGATTAAATATCTCCTCCCATCTGAACGTAATCTTTTCGGCAGCTAATGCCAATCCCTCTACATATCCATCAAGTCCTTTCTTTGCTCTAACAAGCCCTACATTATCTAACGCCTTCGGATTCTCTTGTCCATACTCCCATCCGCCAAGACTAAAACAATATATGTAAATTACCATCACATATACACATGTATATATAATATTAACCTACATTCCATATGAAAACATTGATGTATTCACAAAAGTGGACATCCGATATTGGGAAATATTACGACCAATCAAATTATAAAGAATCTCGGTAGTGTTGAAGGGTAGAATTTGTAGGTCTGAGATCGGAAACTCCTGAGAACATTGCCATCCTTCTGTCAGATCGCAAGAAAAATTCATTGGGACATTGTAGTCGACGGATTCAATGTTCGGGTAAATACTTTTGGGGGCTAATGTATATTGACATTCCTTGTTATCACTGAAAAAAAATTAAATGTCATCGTTCTTTAGTACAAAGAAAAAATCACGCGAACTCACAGTCGATTTTTAAAACCATTAAGTGGATAAGGGTCCATACACCTTAAACCAGGCCCAGGAGCTTCAATTAAACCATCCAGATGTCTCCAACTCTGGTGTTTCTCGTTCCAAACTCCAATATATCTGGAGACTCCATCCCCATATAAAGAAGAATCAAATGGAAGAGGTTTCTGGTCATTCATCACTCTCTCTGTTTGGGAGGGAAGTTGATATTTGGCATAGATTTCGGCCGCAAAGAAAATAAATACCGGTAGGAGAAGCTGAAAGAAATCGAAAATCCCGCATTTCTAGAAACCATACCTCAAAAATAATGGATAGGGAGCTCCGTTTCAGAATATGCACTCTCTTAACCAACAACGCCTTAAATTGCTGGAATCTGAGACTTCGTTTCGAGTTGATAAACGACATTTGAGGATGATTGAGGTCCCGTTGATCTGGTTCCATGCATTCTTCAGCTTCGTCTCTATCATTGATAACATAATTACGGGCTCGACAAGTCAATGTTGACTTGACCTTATCCAGAATCCCTTGGTCCTTTTTTAAATGAATATCTTTCTGTGGTGCCGCAGCCAAGAAAACCTAGAATATGATGAGAGAATACCAGATTGAACTTGCATCTTGAAGTGAAGGACCGCTTAAAGCAAACTTGTCGATGTAAAGATTCTCTTTTTGAACTGACAGCAGCGAAAACAATGGTTGGAATTGAGTGGAATTTGTTTGAATGGGGATTCTGTAAGACAAAGAGGCCGAACTTTCCTCAACGAGTCTTGGTTTGTGAATCCCAGCACCTTCAAGGATCTCATAGATCCCAGTCTTGACCTCGGATAAATCATAAGACCTCTGTAGAGTATTGTTTGCTTTCAATTCCGTAATCAAAGTGTAGCCAGAGGCAAACCTTCCTTTAAGGAAATTCATGGAACCTGCCGCTTTCAGTTTTCCTTCAGAAACAATCACAATTCGGTCAGACAGTATCTGCGCTTCGTCCATGTGATGGGTGGACAAGATGATTGTTCTGCCGGGCTTATGTTTCTCCAACAAAGACCATATAGATCGCCTTGCATGAGCATCAATTCCAGCTGTCGGTTCATCAAGGATAACCAGTTTGGAGCCCCCAATTAATGCAATCCCAATGCACAGTTTCCTTTTCATTCCACCTAAAAATATCTTCAGATATTTTTTTACCAACCTGACAATTGATTGGCCAAATAATGACGTCGATACTTCAATCCAACGTCTTCCAGCATAGTCTCCACCTGTTTGTCTAGGTCTTTCTTCGGGATATTCTTTAGAGCTCCATAAAAATACAACTGTTCTTCTACTGTCATATCGTTGAATAAGATGTTATGTTGTGGACAGATGCCCAAGGTCTTCCTTATGTCCTCTATATCTGTTCTAATATCCATTCCATAAACCAGTATAGTTCCTGAGGTGGGGGTGTAGAGTCCGCACAGAATAGACCTACAATAATCGAAATGAGAAAAGTCAGGTAACAAAAAAAATGTAATTCTTATACTATGAAACCCGAACTTGCATTGTAGTTGTCTTGCCGGCCCCATTATGCCCCAAGAATCCGGTGATCTGATTCTCATAAAAGTTGACATGCATGTCATCCAGAGCTCTTGTATTGTTATCATATACCTTGGTAAGATGCTGGATCTTGATGGCAACATTCCCATTTGTTTTTTCACTACTCTCTTCTTCCGCATCATCATCTACCTCTCCATTGTTTGATCCATTCATTCCAATCCAATATCTTTTGGTTAAGAAAAAATAAAATGGTTGCGGGATACCGTAATCCCCAGGGAATACAGCACTGATATACCAAGCAGCCAGGGAATAAACTATTGTATCCACGAGAAGAGCGATCAAAATATGGTAGAAGACCAAGTCAGTTCCTGCAAATAGAGCATAGAGAACGAAACAACTTACCTATAAACTCCATGTTAAGAACCCGGTAGAAACTGGCATCAGTCTCATAATTGGCCAAGGCGATTATTGTAAATGCATAGCCGATGGCACTTTGAGGCAAACTCAACTGCAAATTGAATATTTCTCTTATTTAATCACAAATCACTTACCGTAATTATAATGAAAGGTAGCTCGGCAGCTCGGAATGATAAAAAGAATGGAATGAAAAAGACAAAGAACAACAGGGATGTGCACGGAGTGGCCAGATTGGCCCGAGAGAAGAACGTGGACATGAAAACACACTGGGCAGCGCAAGCGGTGGCAAACGGGAACATCACGATGAACAAGATGCCCAGGGAAGTGTGCTTCAGAATATTCCCAAACTGAAAGTTTAAATTTAAATTTAGGAAATGCTAACCTTCAACATAAATACTATCAAAACAATCGCAATTGTATTCATCAGCAACGTCTGGATCGCCCAAACCAACCAGTGGATGACGTCACCCATCCCCATGATCCTCATCATCTCCTTTAACCTCATCTCCTTCTCATGGACGATGTTCTTAACCAATAAACAAGCCGGAGTCATCCAAGATAATACGATAAACAATGATAGGAAGAAAGTAATGTCAAAACTAAACGGTTGGTACTTGTATTAAGCATCTTCTGGATACCTGTCGGAAACAACGCATGGATAGGGTTCTTGTTGTATTCGAATACCCGTCTCAATAGTCATATTGGTCCCTTCTTTGATCAGCGATCTCTCCAGCACGTCTTGAAGGTATACAAATCCGTAGGAAATGTATTTCAAATCGAATAATGGCCGATCCCTCGACAAAATCCGCCCAATATCTCTTTCCTGGAACGTCCCGTCGATCAGTTGATGCTGATATCTGATTTTGTATCGAATAAACTCTGGCAAATTGGTAGTCTGGTTATTAAAATCGGGGAAAACAATCCCCGCCATGTAATTGTCGTATTCGGAGAGACACAAGGCGACTCTTTCCATATCACTTTCGTTATTCACATATCGAATACGATCCAATCGAATACACTGTACAACAAAGTAAATATACACGGTAACCGCTTACATCTGTTGAGTTTATAAATCCCTTCGAGACCTTTTTCAATTTTATAAATATTCCATTTTCGTTGCTGGAGTCATCAAGCAGATCCATGACTGCTTTAGCCTCCGTTTCGGTTACATTTATCATTTGTAAGATGTTCTAAAATATTTCGATCGCTTCTAAAGCAAACTTACTTTTACAGCCAGAGTGATATCGGAATGGTGCAAGGCATTTTGAAGGTCGTCTGCTGTTGTTCCCAGATCATTTATAACATCTTTCCAATAATTAAATTGTTTTAAAATCTCATCCAACTCGCCCACAATCCTCCGAGTCAAGGGAATATCCGGAGAAACAAGGATATAACCCTGTATTATCCGCTTTAACATATCAATATTCAAGAACAAGTTATTACAATGAGGTTCTGGAATGTAAATCATTACGTGTTTACAGTACTCCTTACTGTCATTCACCCGTATTTCATCACAAAAACTGGTGTTTCCCCTATGTCTGGCCGGACTGATCTTCTGAACGAATTCTGAGAGACTCTTGGTCATTTCCGCGACCTCATTGTTCTGACTTTTAGGGCCTACGGGGCTGTCGATCTTGACAGAGTCTGAAAAAGTAAATTCATTTCTCTCCGATTACCATTAAACGATCCGCAAAACACGTTGTCCATCCAATTTTCCCCAAATCCTTCTCGTATCTTCGAGATCTCGCTCATAATCGCAATCGTGGACAGATCCTCCTTCAATCCTTGCAGTTCACCTTGGTCAGAAGTCAAATACTACAACAGATCTTAGATGAAAGAAGCCGTCTTACATTCAAAACCCTGAAGAGAAGACCGTCAACGTCGAAACTATCTCCACTAAATAGATATATGAAAGCCAATTGGGACTTTGTGATTTTACATAAATCAACCCTCGGGCCTTCGATTAGAGACCAATCGAAGCAAAGGTCGAGCTTCCCTGAATTACAGAACATCTCAATTTGATCACCGTAATCCTCATTCCGTCCGATCTTCACTGCCTATAAGAGTTTTTTCAACTTTAGAACTTTACCTCTGACGCTAAACAGATCGGCCCGTAAGATGAAAAATATAAACTTTGAAAAGCTGGAATTTCAGAATCATTGAATCCAAGAGATCCAAGAATCGAATTCATATCCTGAGGGGATCTGAATAACAAAGAAAAAGGGATCCTGGCCTCAGTGAATCCATCGTCCGGATGAGCCCAGTGATGGATAAGCAGAGCAATCAATTTGAACATCTCTCGGACAGTGTTCGGAACTTTCCCAAAGAAGGCTAATAATCCCGTTAAATTGTGTGCAAGCTCAATAATTCTTAAGATCAGGGGTCCGTTCATTATGATGGGTAACCTACATTGATTCTCGTTTATCATCATGAATATTGTACTGTTCATCACCCGTAGTAGTTGTGTTATGACATTTATTTGAGAGGGAACACAGAAACCCGTGAAGGAAAGGTAAAAGACCGGCTGAGGGCAGCGCTTTCGCGTCATAATGACCTGTCATTTTATACTTGATGACATCAAACACCTACAGTATGGATTTAAAGAAGTGAAATCCCGAGTACGAATTAGAACGACCAACAAAAACAGGATCAATGGTACTAGGACCTCCACCAACAGCACCAGCTGCAATCACAGGAGTTATACATATTTGAGGTGTAAGTGGTTCTGAAAACGGATTATAATCTACCTTTTTCTTCTTTCTTATCACATAGGCCTTCCAAAAGAGCAAGGACAATTGTTTTGTGAAGGAAACCATGACGGCCGCTGCGTAAAAACAAACTGAGTGTCTTCTACTTCTTCAAATCCACCTGTTCCTCTAACAAAATTTATGCAAATTAGATTCCGATACCAAATCTCATGTTGAGGTAGTCTAGTAATATATTACGTTGATCTAATATTACGTAGAACAGGAATGAGTCACAAAACTAACAAGAAGGAAGTCTCTCCCTCAAACCACCACACTACAATTAATTCCACCTTTCAAAGAATGCAATGCCATATCTCCACCTTCGTATCGAGTAGAAACAATGAAGGAGAGCCGTTACGTTCCCTGTATTATTTTGGATGGAAACAAAATTAGACAGAAGTAGGAAGAGATGGAAGATTCGGCAGCTTTAATCCACGTCAGAGTCCAGCATTGTCGATCTCGTGCATACTCAAGGTCACTTCTACATCCATATTCCTCCTTTTTCAGCTTTTCACCGCCGGAGGAAAAAATGCCCAGAAGAAAAAGCGGCCTTGCCAGCCATGTTATATGATATAATCTGTGGGATTCTTTTTGTTTTTTGCAACCGGATGGTTTAATATTGTAATATACAAAAGAAGTTCCTCTGGTGTTGCAGTGGGTAATTGTATTTTATGAAAACTCCATTTCCTTTTCCGTAAAAATAAGCATGAAAGACATCGGACTCTCGAAATTTATTTTGTCAACTCTGGGGACAAGTTTCCCGCATTGCTAGACTTTTGCCTTGGGTTTCGACACGAAAACAAAGAACAACCAAAAAAGATTGGAGAATACGGTAGAAAAAGGAAAACCTTTTTTGCGATAAATTTTGCAAGTCGATGCAGAATTTGGCATTGTTTTATCTGATGGTCCGTATTTTAGGATATTTTTTCAGCAGTTTTATGATATATTTTCTCCGGCCTTGGTACAGACTTATTTTTTAGCTATTTTTAATTGCCAAGGAAGGTTTTGTCGCGTTTCGTAGTTTTATAGTTCGTCTATTTGTATATTATTGTAATTTTAGGGGCAAAAATAACTATGGCTGACGACGCTGCCAAGAAGAAGAGAACCTTCCGTAAATTCTCCTTCCGTGGAGTTGATCTTGACCAATTGTTGGATATGGACAGGTAAATTTTTGGCGTACATACCTGAATTTTAGAGTGGTTTGTCGAACCGACGATTTGTTGTGATGGGTATTTCTTATAAAAGTTCTTTGTAAAACTTCCACAACCTGCCCCCTCTTAGGAAGGACATATCAGCTTGCCCAAGCAAATATCTTTGTTTTTTTTTAAATTGTCTTTGTTGCAGACCCACTTTTGCTAAGATGCTGACTGCCCGTGCTCGCAGACGTTTGAACAGAGGTCTCCAAAAGAAGCACCGTGCTCTCCTCCAGAGGTTGATCAAGGCCAAGAAGAACGCCAAGGAATTGGAAAAGCCCGCATGCATCAAGACACATCTCCGTAACATGTTGATCTTCCCCGAAATGGTTGGATGTGTTGTCGGAATCCACAGTGGACGTGCTTATAACCAGGTTGAGATCAGAGCGGAGATGATCGGATATTATTTGGGAGAATTCTCCATTACCTACAAGCCAGTCAAGCACGGTCGACCAGGTATTGGTGCCACCCACTCTTCTCGTTTTATCCCTCTGAAGTAAAATGTTGGTTGTTGTTTGATTTCTTGCTGTTATAAAACTCTTTATTATAATATATCGCATCGATCTCAAAGCTCTTTATAAAAATTAGTGAATTTTGCACTAAATATTGAAATTAAAATACAGAATGACTAAGTAAGGGGAGCGGGGAAAGATGAATTACAAGATTTGAATGTAGTTATCGATCTTGGTTCGGTGTCGTTGGGCGATGCATTCAGCTATCCAGATTATGTTCCGCATTTCTTGTTCCTTCAGCTTTATGAAAGCGTAAAATACACCGAAATGGAATTGGTGAAGGTATGATTGTACATTTAGTTTAACCTAAATAAATAATATAACTACAAGAAGAACCGACCTCATATTCGAAGAATTTGTCCTCCAATGTTTTCTCTCCTGGGTTCACTCCGCTGCCTTCGAACAAGGCTTTGTAGTCAGAATAATATTCACAGACTTGCTTTACTTGATCGTAATCATCCGCGCGGGCTAGACCACTCAGACCCTCAGGGTATAGTTTCCCGCAGCGGGGATATAACTTTGCCCTGTCGTCCTTAGCCAGCTCGGTGTCAAAACTGTTGATGGTGATGATGATTGCCCTTCGATCGGCCTCGAACTAAAACCATTATAACTTGAACTTGGCAGCAAATAAAGTATTCTGTGATCTGGTAAAGAAAAACTCACGGCAAGGATCTCACACATGACTTCAGCTGTCTTTCCACCGAGATTTTTGCAGAACTTATAAAAATCTTCCAAGTAGGCTTTATACAACGTATTCCTGATAATCTCCACATTCATCTCATCCAAATCTTGCTCGTTGATACAATCCACAAAATATGGGGCTGAAAAATAAATCAAAGTCGAAATAAGCCTTACCCAAGGGAGTATCCACCAAAACAGCGTTATAAAGTTCAGCCGGTGTCGATGCTATATGAATGGCCTCCATCTGCTCAAAGGAACCAAGAGGATGGCATTTGGAGATCAACTCGTTGATAGGTCTTTGATGAAGAGTACCAGTGATCAACAAAATTATGTTGTCAATCATATAAGAATAACTAAAAATGGAACATAAACAATATAATTCATAACTTACGTGATATAATCGAGAAAAGTCGACAGAGGTTCTAAGGAATTATTTCGAAGATGAGTGAATTCAGTTACCAATTTCTCCTTCAAACGTTCGTCAATGACTTGAACGGTAATATTTCCAGGCTCATTAGCCAAAAAGTTTCCATAATCGGTCGACTGAATGTGAAGCTTCAGATCTGAAAAACAAGAAAATACTTCTAGTAGACGAAAAATTGAAAACAAAGGGAAAAGAGATAACAAACCCTCAAGAGTTTCACATTGAACCAAGTTGGAATAGTCAGAAGAAGTAAGAAGCCCGGTCTTGAAACCTCTAATCAAAGCCTCCAGATATCCATGATCAATATTAAAAAAGAACTCTCCCATTTTTTCGATATCTACTCAATCGAGATATCTCTACCTTGCCTTCGAGGCAGCCGGAGAGCGAAAACTAACAAATATTTTTGGTCGCATCGATCTTTTGCTTTTCGGGAGACGTTTTCGTGGTGGGACCTTGTGAGGAAGTAGATGTTTTTTGAAATGGTGTAGCTCGGTGTAGAAAGAAGTAAGTGCAACTGATAACTGTAAAAATATAGCCTCCCAATTATTTTACAAGAAAAACTTGCACTGAAAACAGTCTCGATCCTAAGCAGCGCCACTTCCACCCTCCGAACAGCCCTTCATAAAAGTCATCTTTTTCGAGATACTATTAATTAAAAATGTAGATACAACTGTTCCAAACAACACAAGAATATCCTCAAATACTGGCGAGATTGATTAAAAACGTTCGGTCCTTGGCGTCATCTGTGAGGAGATAAAGAGGGAGAGATCTTTTCTTTATTACTTTGTTGCCATTTCAAAGACTTTTCCATTTTGTCTATGTCCACACAAATTATAAGCGTTTATTTGGCTGATGGAACCTTTCGTAATGTGAAGGTTGACTCCTTCACCACAGTTCAGGTGCGGTTGTATGAAAATAAGTGATTATATTTCATAACCTTCGATAATTACCACTCTCTGGATCTAATCCTTATTTTCAGAGGATCCTTCACGTGGTGTTGGATGGCCTGGGGGTAGATCGTCTTTCCTTTGGGCATTTTGCTCTCAGATTGTCCACCTTTCCGACCGGTCCGGGTTCTACCGTCTCAGATATTCGATGGTTACATTCCTCACTTAGGATGCCCCAAATTATTCAGAGATATTTAAATCCGCTAAGCAGTGGATCCCAAATGAGATTCGAACTAAGAGTTCGATTCATTCCAAGTGGGTTGTATGAGATGTATCAGACACAATTGGCGGCTTTTCTGTATCTGTATGACCAACTTCTCTCCGATTATGTCCTCCATGTCTCGTGGAAAATCAGCAAAGAAAAAGCTTTTAATATGGCCGCTTTGGCCATTAGAAAACGTCTGAAAAATTTGAACAGGTACGTTATAACTCGGCTTTAAGAGGCATAATCTGTTTAGTAATAATTTGGAGAAGAGATTCGACTTCGCTTCCCTCGAATCAAACGGCGGACTGATGTCATTTCTTCCTGAATCCATCATCGTCGGCACTCCAGTAAGCTGTTTCTAGAAATACCAGTCGTTTTAGAAGAAACAATTGTACAAACTGTTACTCAATGCTCTCAAAAAGGTCGTGAAATTATCTGAAATCGAATGTGTTTTCCAATTTATGAAAAATTTGATGAATATTGCGAGATTTGACTCGGAGATCTTCAAAGCCTTCTTAGGGGTAGGTCTCCTCTCACAGAATCAACCTTCTTTAGGCGAATAATATTCGACCAGTAGAATTATACGTAGGTCAGCATTACGGCATCGCGTATAAAAACGAAAACACAAAGGAAGTAAGTTAATATTGCATAATAGGAAGATTTGACGTCACCTTTCCTTTCCAGCCAGTGGTCCTGGCCGAACTCAGGAATGTCATTGATATATCTGTGCGGAGAGTGGATCAAAAGAAGGATCATTTCATCATTAAAATTAAGATATCCGGAAATTCCTCGCCTCTTATTATTACGGTAACCACAAGTGAGATGGCGGAGTCTTTGGCACACCTTGTGGATGGCTACCAGATGTTACTGAGTCAACAAGCGTCTGTTTGGTCGGCTAGAGGTATAAATTAAAAAATAAAGAATTCCTGATGATATTCATATCTCTAAACTATTACTTACAGATCTTCGAGACAGCTTCTGGACGAATGGATCTCATTCAGGATCCCCGGTAACGTCTCCGACTATGTCTCCGTTGGCCCCAAGAAAAGGAATTGTGAAGTCTGAAGTGGAAGAGAAGGCCCAGATTGGGGCTGATGCTAAGAGCCTTCTAAAGGAAATCGAGATCGATCCGCAGAGAATACTTCTCGAGAAACTGTTGGGAAGCGGGCAATACGGGAATGTATATCAAGGGTTGTTACAACAGGACAAGAGGCAGACAATCGTGGCTGTAAAGGTCTGCAAGGAGCCCAATTCCGAGTCTCAAACAGCCAATAATGTACTTTTGGAAGAGGCTTGTAAGTCTGGTTAAAACGGCATTCTATTCTTCAGATACTATGTCCCAATTCTGGCATCCCCATATCATCCATATTATTGGAGTTTCTATCCATTCTACAGTATGGGTGGTTATGGAAATGATGCAGTTGGGGGAGTTGAGACAATATCTGAAACGAGAAAAGAATCGTCTCACAACTGCCACACAATTATTATTCTGCAAGCAGATTGCATCAGCCTTGTGTTATCTGCATTCCAAACAATTCGTTCATAGAGATATTGCGGCCAGAAATGTTTTGGTGGCAAATCATCGATGTGTAAAGTTATCTGATTTCGGGATGAGCAGATTAGTTGAGGAAGATTTCTATAAATGTAAGTGTAATTTTACATCATCTATGCAATCTTTGTACAACTTGCAGCCAGTTGTACAAAGCTCCCATTGAAATGGCTTCCTTTGGAATCCCTAAACTATCGTCGATTCAATGCCAAGACTGACATCTACATGCTGGCTGTTTGTTTTTGGGAAATCTTTTCATTTGGAGAAAAACCTTGGTCCCAGATTAAGAACCACGACCTTTCCAGACATCTGGAGGAAGGGAATAAACTGGAATGTCCAGAATATTGCCCCATTCAGATGTATCATCTGATGAAAGTAATGTGGGAGGTGGACTCGGAAAGGAGACCTCTGATTAAACAAGTTTATGGAGTAATTTGCTCCATCTTTAAGGAATCCGCTGGGCGATTATTCCCGGGCTCAGCTCCAAATTCACCGGCAGTTAGGATGAGAAAAAATGGGCGGGATGTAAGTCTAGTATACTTTAATATTGATTTCTTCAGAACTCACTCCGAGCCAGCCTATCCAGTTTAACTCTCTACCAAAATCAAGGGTCCTCTTACAGTGATATTCAGGATAGAAAAGTAAGCATCCAGGATTGAAATAATTTTTGTGATTTTAGTACAGCTTTGAAAACAGTATGAACAGAGTTGACGTCGAGAAAGACCTGGTCTTCTCCGCTGTCACAGATGTCCTGAATTCTCTGAAAGATCTTCAAGACAGCAAATATTCAGACAGTATAACAATACTGCTTAATTCTACTGAAGTAAGTGGTAAAATCTGCATTAACTTTTCTTTAGAAAATATTATTTTTACTCCAAGAGTTGCTCGTCATCATTATTCCCCATCTTGGATTGCTGGATCAGCCAATAAAAAGTAAAGTAGATGAGGCGGTGGATCTTCTTAATGATGATTGTGAAGTCCTTAAAGAATTGATACAGATAATGACTCAAGAAGAAGATCAGCAGAGTATAAATCGGCATATAGATGTCATCTCCACGCTCTCGAGGACGTTGCGATCACATACTCAAGGATTCTGGAACACATTTCATTTGGCCAGGATTAGGTCAAATCTCCCAAATGTTTAAAGTATCTTCCTTTATTTATTCAGTGATCTTTGATCGGAAATAAAAAGTCTAAAGAAACGTGCAGGCCATCCAAATGACGATAAACACCGATACCGGGAGAAAGACCACGTTGAATTTGTCCTTTTTTGGAGTTTGTCATAATATAAAGCGGGAGATAAAAGATTTTCTGAAAAATTTTTGAAATTTTTATGTTTTTACTTTTTTTTTAAAAAAAAAGTAAATTTTGAAAAATTTCCGGAAATTTTCGATTTCGGAAAGTCAAAAAACATTCTTACTCCGAACGACAAATTTTTGGAAAGTTGGATCAAAAATGGCTCGCCAAAAGGTCGATCCGGAAAGTTGAAACAAAAATGGCTCGCCCATTTTGGCTGGTGAGTAGGATGCCGTTTTTACTCACCTGCACGCCAATTTATTTTCTTCAAAACTATTTTTGCGAGCTGCGCCCGGGAATTCCAGACGTGTCAAATTTCTCTCTCCCGGAAGAAACGTTTTGATTTTTTTTGAAGTTGTGAATCTATTTTCTCCACGAAGATGGGCTAAAAAGTGATCAAGTAAGTTAGCATTAGCAAGAGGAGATGTACTTTTTTCATTTGACACCAAAAATTTTCCTTTTATTTCAGAGAAAGGTACAAATTTTTTCCAATTCGTAAAGCTTCATGACCATGGATAATGTTTTGTTATATACTCTATCTATCAAACGCCACCAATTTTGATTTCTAGGTGTCATGTACAATATCGAAATCCGCTCAGATCCGCCGGATTTTTGCCACGAAGGCGTTCTAAACTGAGGTAATAACGTAGTAAGGCTCAAATAACGTTGTTACAATAACTTGAAGATAGTTTGCATAGGTTTTACTTTCGTATAACATACTTTTTGGAAAGTTAGTATAGTATTTGAAACTTTTACGTCGTTATTCCTCAAAATTTATAGGGTTTCATACATGGGGAATATACATGAGAGTAGGGTCTCCTCTAAACGTTTCCCGACTTAGAATCTTGACGTCGTAGCAAAAAACGAGATAATCTCACTTACATTATCCATGGTCATGAAGCTTTACGAATTGGAAAAATTTTGTACCTTTCTCTGAAATAAAAGGGAAAATTTTGGTGTCAAATGAAAAACGTACATCTCCTCTTGCTAATGCTAACTTACTTGATCACTTTTTAGCCCATCTTCGTGGAGAACATAGCTTCAGAACATCGCACAAACATAAAAATAATTTTTTCGGAAGAGAAAAATTTGACACATCAGGGAAAGACTTGGCGTCAACCTTGCAACCTGCAGTGCGGGGCCAAAAAGATGATGAAAGTAAAAACAAGCTCTGACTTTCCGCGACTCCGAGCGGGGAGTAAGATCCGATCCTACTCCCGACCTTCAAGTCGGAAAGCCAGAAACAAAATTGACTTTCTTTTGCATTTTCCGGAAAGTAAACTGAAAATTTACTTTTTTTTAAAAAAAAAAGTAAAAACAGAAAAATTTCAAAAATTTTTCAGAAAATCTTTTATCTCCCGCTTTATATAACGATGACGTAATTACCTTGTATTCGTGGGAATGGATAATCCAAGCTTCGAATTTCTCCTGCCATGAATTAGGTTGGGGAAAGTTGGGCTTACTGTGATGTACAGTAGCAATGACCACGTATTCGAATACTTCCGTATTCCTGTTCCCTTCACTAACACAATCATCCACTCAATCCCAAACTCACTCATCTTGTTGTTCAACGTTCCAATTTCCGGTTAGATCATAATCCTCAGACCTCCGAATATTCAAAACCTTATGGTTTAATCGAACATGCTGGGCTACCCCATAATAATCAGCATAATCTTCGAAGTACTTTGGACAGTCTTGAAATCAAATATCACTGACACTTTACATACCCCTCCGCGGAATAAAGGGGGCCGCTTTTTTGGGGTCGCAAAGTCAGAATAAGAACGTAATTCTTTGGAAGTAGTTGTTAACTGTAAAGCTCATAAAAGTACCATACTCAATATCCTCACGTTTGTAATTCCACAAACCGCAGATCGAATTTGTGGTTTCAAAAACGATGGGAGTAAATCCATATTCAAGAGCCCGTCTAACCGAAATTACCGTAGCCAAAAGTGGAATTACTTGGCTGTTGGCAATCCAGATGGGCCAGCTCCAACAACAAATAATGTCTTCGACATCACATGGTTATCAAGAAGCTTCGATCTTTCTTTTTAACATTATGTATAAAATGAGCGGAGTTTGAATTTTCAAGGTTCAGGTCAAAGAAAAAACATGTACTTTTTTGTTTGTATACCCATGCAGTGCCCATTCTGTGGCCCTTTAACTTTACCCAATTGCAGAGAAAAGCAAATTAATTCCGAATGAGCGATAGCTGTCCAGTCATGGCCAAACTCTTTAAAAGTCCATGAGGAAAAGCGGGGGATGAGGAAGGATAAGTTGGCTGTCCCCGCCAGCTGGATTTGTTTTTACCTGCGCGGTTCATTAGAGGGCGGTCTAGTCTTTAATTTGGCAAATCCCTTTTTTGGCGCGTTGCCTGGTAGCCGGTGAACTTAGAAGTCATTCAACTTGTGGGCATATCCTACTTGTCCACAGTTATCAGGTAAGTTGCCTTGGGTGTTCTCTAGATGTCTTTTTTCTTTACAATTATTTTCTGTTTGTAATCCTATTGTTCACTCATTGTTTGGCTTTAAGATATTCGGTTGTGGTCCTCTGAGCACGTGGTTAAGGTCATTTTGATCCCATAAACTATTGATCCGCACTTTTATATTTACTGTGATATTTACATAATATACAAAAACGAATCAATTTTGATATAAACGCAAATTTCTATACGAAATTAAGTCATTCATAAATATTTTAATAGCATGTATAATAATAACTCCAATAAAATACACTAACCCTCAATTTTGTTTTGCAGAAGCATTTTTTCAATATCGAAATTCCACAAAAAAATCGTAAATACTGAATCAGATTTAAGTATTATGGGACATATTGCATAATCTTTGCAACATCAAGTGCCGGAACCAGTGGGAGACATTACTTGCTTCTCATCTGTCAGCCCCGGCTCAAGCACTGTCCCCAATCTTGGCCAAATGGGTGACTTTATGTTTTTGCGGGAAGAAATGCGCATTCTTCCCCTTAGTGCTCAAGGGCACTTAAATTGAACTCGGCCAGTCAGAATGGTGTCAGTAAGGGGTTTAGTCTGAGTTTCTTTTTTTTATTGATAGTGGAGTAAGCTGGTTCCTTCTTTGGGTCTTTATTTATTTCTTGGATGGCGGCCAGGAAAACTGAATTTGGGCCATTTAAGGGCGTCTTCTTGTAACGGGGGGTCTGTAGTCAAGGCAAGACCTCTGGCTATTTTTTGTTTGTTTTGTCAATTTCAAAGGTGTCAGTCGTCTTAGGCCGTTACGAGTATTTTTTGTTTGTCACCTTACTTTTGCAAAAAATATGAATGTTTTAGTACTATACTCCTAAAAATATTTCCAATTGTGGGAATATCTCATTAAAATAATATTTTATGACTAATACGACGTCGTCTTCAATAGGTCATTAGACTGACTCCGCCCCCTCTCTCATCATCCGGAGATTTTTCGCGCTTCTCAAAATCTCTTCCCTTAAAGAGACTCAGCTGAAATGCCGTTCTAGATCTGGTTCTGTGATGCTCAGTCTTGGCCACTCCTTGGCCATTTAATTCCCGTTCTGTTTCTTATTCCCGCACTCCATTTTGATGGGAAATGTTGGGATGCGCCTTGTTATTCCTCCTCTGCGGCCATATTTCAGCAATTAAAGTAAGTAGCGGCATTATTCAAATATCTTTTGATTAAATATTTAATTCTTATAGACCTATAAAATATGTTCCGATCTCCTTCCTTCGAGTGTAATTGTGGATCTAAGAGAAGATGGGATTAGCAGAGACAACGAGCAGATAACATTACTTACAAAATCAAAGTTCGAACTCGATGGGAGATTACTGTATTCAAAGGAAAAATTGGAAAACGGAGAAATGTTCAGATTGGAGTTCTTGGCCGTGGATAATATGGATCAGGAGAGAATTCTGGTCGTCTATGTTACGGCCACCGATAAGTAGGTGTCCAAAAAAATGCTGTCAGAGATATTTAGACACAACTGACCTTTAGGAAGCTTTTGCATAATTAACTAGACCTTCTTCGTTGCAGATGCCACATCTCGTTTTCCCACACAGTTTATCACGCAAGAATTACGAATAATAAATTCATTTCTGATGCCCCAATTAGGATAAACGCAACTAAGAACATTTCTATCAAACAAATCTCCCCGGCGAACCATTTAAATATTCAGGACTATATTCAAAATGAATGGACTTACATTACGGTAAGCATTGCGTAATATCTCATCAATTTAAAGATTCCTGTGGAGAATCGAATTAAAGACTTCCCAATACATCTGGGAGTGTACATAAACGATGTTCTGGCCAGTGTGACCATAATCAAAGCTTCTTCTCCACAGAAAATCCAAGAATATGATGTTACGACGGACAATGTCATCAGCAGCAAGGCAGTGTTAAAATTGGGGTAAGAAGTGTAAAAAGTTTAACAAAAATGCCATTTAGAGACAGCAATGATTATTGGATGCCCTCGAAGAAAGTTCCGTTTTACGTCAAAGATGATGTCATATTTCCCACGTTTTCCATTTACAATGGACATTATGAGTTTACAGTAATCGATTCTGAAGTAGGTTAGTATTGAAAGTAATAAATGGTTTAGAATAACCAAACTCCCGTAAAGCTCAGAATTGGGCATCAACATAAAAGACGGAAGAAGAATGTAAAGAGGGGTTTGAATCTAGAAAGTGGGATCAGAGGACAAGATATGAACATCTTTGTCAAAGAGAACAGCCCCTTGAGAACTTTGAAAGAAGTAAGTGATTAATTACTGTCAGCTTTTGCACATGAAATTATGTCTTATTTACAGAAGATTCCATTAAATCATCATGAGAAAATTGAATCATATTCTCCCTTGGATGGACCCTTGATGATACGTCAAGATGGCTCTCTGGAATTAATCCAATCCTTAAATTTCGAGTCGGAAAACCAGTTCCAAGTCCAAGTGCAAATCTCTGGAGGTGGGTATTTTTTTAATCCAATTTCGGACTCCCCTCGTCCGGCTCTTCTTTTCGGCCACTTTGGCCGGAAATTACTCTTGGCTCAAAACCATTTCATTTGGCAGCCAAAAATGGGCTAGAAAGAGATGGCCAAATTACAACAGAGGAATTGAAGGAGCCTTCACTCCTTCCCCGGCCTCCCCGCGAATAAAATTAATTCAATCTTGCCTGGTGCTTTGTGAAAAGCGGTGCCGTTACCTGCTGAGCGAAAAGAATGGACAGAGAGAGCTATTTATTTTTCAGCTAATTAAAACACGGCGGTCATTTTGAGTCTTTATTTGTATCTCTCTGTAAAAAGAATCAGAAAAGACAGATGTCACATGCAGAAAACAAATAAAAAACATTATTTTAGGAAGAACTCAAGTAATCCACATCCATGTTCTTGATGTACCCGAGCCTCCGGCTTTTACCAATTCCCCACTGCCTTTCAGAGGTATCATACCGAACAATGCACCAATTGGATGCAAGATTTTTGAGGTACAAAAATACAATGCAGGATGCGCCATTTTTGTGGCCCGATTTCAATTGTCTATGACTTTATTACTTTTTGGCCAAATTTGAATCTCCTTTTTCCCTTAATCGTCATGACCTCGTTTTCTTTGATATAGTACCAAATACGTGGCATGAATCCAGAATTCCGCAACCTTCATGGTGAAAAATAAGAGATCTCAAAAAATGCCCATAAGACAAGATACTAAGGTATAACATATTTGGTACACACAAAACGGGATATTCTGAAGATCTTCAAAAAATGGCGCATCCTTTAAAAAATTAGAATTCAATTTGAGTCATCATATTCTATACTTACAGTTCAACGCAAGAAATGAGCAAGGAGAAGGAGATAACCATGTCAATTACGACCTTATAAACACGGAGCGTAAGTAAACCAAAAAACATTATTTCAAGATCCATCAACTTTCCAAACCTTTTAATTTTTAGCAAAGAATGCTTTCACCGTCGACAGGAACACCGGGAGCGTTCGAACAGCCTTGCAGAGTTATAATACTACACAGATTTATCGAGTATTTGCCCAGACACACAGCATACATAACTTTACATTGGTAAGAAAAAATTTTTGTAAAATAATTAAACCGCAGAAAAGTGAGATCGCGGTTCTCGAACTCTTCGCCGACGATCTGCCCCCTCAATTTATGCAAAATGTGTATTCTGTAGTCATCCCAGAGAACTCGACAATTGGAACAAGGTATGCGTAGCTGAAAACAAAGTAAAGTAATCGATTTAGTATTGTACAACTACTTGTTCATGAGTTCCCATCTGTCAGAAATGGACAAAGGAAGACAGCACCCTCCTTTTCATTAATTTTTGACAATAACCAATACCCTTACTTTACAATAGACCCGCATACTGGTGTCATAACTTTGCAGAGACCCTTGGATTTCGATGAAATGGGAGTTACAAAGACCTTCAAGTTGACAGGTATCACTGATCAAAATAAAAGAGAACCTTCTAGGTGTTGTCACGCAAGAAGCTAGAGAAAGCAAAGTGCCTGTGGAGGTTACCATTCTCGACGTTAATGACAATAAGCCCATATTTACACAATCTTTGTACACAGCTGTCGTTAAAGAAGACGTGACATCAGATGTCATGATTCTGAAAGCCACCGCAATTGACAAAGACTCAAGTTTGAATAGTCACATCGATTACGCAATTGATCATCCCCTGTTCCGGATAAATGAAAACGGCGAAATCTACGCGACAAAGAAGTTAGATGCAGATGGGACAAAAGAAAAGTATCGAATATACAAGATGAATGTGACTGCGACAGACAGAGGGAATCCTCCATTATCCGACATGGCTACCATTCACCTACGAGTGGAGAATACCAATGATGAAGCCCCTGTCTTCTTACCCACAGCTGAATATCAGGCCGAGATTGCAGAAGATGCCCAAGGATTCACTCCAGTGATACAAGTTCAGGCCACTGATATTGACACGGACCGGGTTCGGTTTTATTTTAACGACCATGGCTCTAAAGTCAGGGAAACGGAGTATTTCCAAATAGATGAGGATACAGGTATGAGGAATCTGCAAGATTTCTGAGAGTCGTATTTTTAGGACTCATAAGATTACTACCCAATGTAAAAGCGTCCGATTTAACGCGAGAAACAGAGCCATTGACCCTCGAAGTCATCGCTGAAGATGACGGTTCATGTTGCCAAAACGAAGACTCCGTATTTCATCGCTCGATGGCCAAAGTTTATGTTTCAATCCTAGACGTGAATAACAACCGCCCCGAATTCCCAGATTGCCAGATCTACAGTAATATAGCCAAGTTAGAAGAAGGAACTTATTACGAAAACGGACCTGTTGTACTTCGGGTGAAAGCAATAGATAACGACACCTCGTCAAACGGTGACATTGTATATTCATTGTACTATTCCAATACTGAGCAACGACATCCATTTGTGATCCATCCAATCACCGGCGATCTGAAACCAGCGGCTGGATTTGTGTTCGATAGAGAACAACGGGCTTATGAGGAGGTTACAGTAAAGGTAAATCTTCTGCGAAAATCTAATGTTTCTTTAGGCCTCAGATAAAGCAGAGCGACCGTTGATTGGATTCTGTCAGTTCACAGTTCAGATCCTCGATGTTAATGATAATGCCCCTCAGTTCGACCGTCTTTTGTATGAAACTACAATTTCCCGGATGACCCAACCTCACACCTCCATCTTGTCCGTTATTGCAGAAGATGCCGATTCCCCTCCCAATGCAAATATTACTTATCGATTATTACCCGATCTAAGTGCGGCCAAGAAACATCGTCATGACGATCAATATTTTGACCTGATATCAGAGGGATCACCAGAAATCGGCATTAAAAAGGAAATACCTGCATCTAAAACAAAGTTTGTGTTCCTTGTAGAGGCCAATGACAATGGAAGGCCGAATAAAAACAGCACTGTACAAGTATATGTCAACGTTCATGAAGAGAATTACTATGCTCCCCAATGGCAGAACACGGCATTATGTCCATCAACTGTTCATATAGACGAAGACATCCAAAAGAATTCCATCTTATTCAAATGCCTCGCCTTATCGGGACATTCAAATACAAACCCCGTCACATATTCGTAAGTGAAACCTTTGCACTGGACATTGTAACAATATTTTTAGAATGAAGATTGGAGCCAAAATGTCAACAAACAGTAAGCAAACATTCAGAGAGTTCAAACAAAAGATTGATGGACTTGATTGGGTGATTGTACGTAACATGGACATGCTAGATTACGAGAAGGTCCAGAATTACACTCTTACCCTTACAGCAACAGTAAGTAGAAGAATTGTAATCTATGTTGTCTTAGGATATCCATTCAATGATTGCGACTGATAGAAGATTGAAAGTAATAGTAAAGGATAAGAATGATGGAGTTCCTCGATTCTCTGTGGATAAGTTCACAGGAACTGTCGAGGAAGAGAAAGATCCCGACTTTTATACGGACAGGAAACCAATTGTGGTTGTGAAAGCTGAGGATTCCGATTCAGAAGGTCCTCAGAGCGAAATTCGTTATTCTATTGTGGATGATGCAAAACAAAAATTCCGAATTGATGAAATTACCGGGGCCATTTACCCAATTATCAAGTTTGACAGAGAAAAAAGGAATACCTACATATTCGATGTGGAAGCACGAGATAATATGAACTCCAGTTTACCGGGAATTTATGGGCCAAATAAAGGTATCGTCCATAAAAAATGACTAATAACATTGAACTCAGATTTTGTGAAAATCCATATTTCCGTCTCTGACGTTAATGATAACCCCCCTTTCTTCGATCAGCCTCTATACGAACTGAGCGTAAAGGAGAATGCAGATCCGCTGGCAGAGTTAATGGTAATACGAGCGCAAGATAAAGACGAACGTAAGCGTAGACAGTTAGCAACGTTAATTAACACTTTTAGAGTCAAGTCTGCGTTATAACCTTATGTCAATAGGAGAAGGAGAAGACCTTCCATTTGGTGTACGCACAGAAACTGGAACAATATTTGTTAAAAACATGTTGGATTACGAAACGAAAAAAGATTATTACATGATTATGACTGTCACGGATGGAGTACATAACAGTTCTATCAACGTGACTGTCAACGTTGAAGATGTGAACGACAATCCCCCAGTGTTTGAGAAGGAAGCTTATGAGGTTACGATTGAAGAAGAAAATACACATGTGCCTGTTGTATTATTCAAGGTGAAAGCATTTGACACAGATGATATAACCAGAGAGAACCCCATTTTATATCAACTAGAAGGTCAAGGAGTCGGTGAATTCTTCGTATTAGATCCGCGAACCAATGACATCACAGTAATGAAACCATTGGACAGAGACCCACCTACAGGAATCCCTGTCTGGGAATTCGTGGTTCGAGCAACTGATGACAATGGAAATGGGCTCAGTAATTATGCGACTGTCAGAGTAAACTTAAGAGACATCAACGACAACTCTCCTGTCTTCCTGGAACCTCTTATCGGTTATGTAGACGAGAATCAAGAGCCAGGGCGGGATGGGCATTACGTTATGACGGTTGTGGCCGAAGATAATGATGACCCGGCATCTGAAAATGGTCAAGTTGAGTGCAGTATCGGAGTCAACAAAGAAATAGCGGGACAAATGCTATTCCGAATTGACGCACACAATGGGAAGATATTCTTGATGGTGAGTGTTGTAAAAAAATTGCAAAAAAGCCAGGGGTGGCCACCGGGCCGATTTGGTCCGAACAGTGCATCTGACGAATTGCCCGGGCCGGCCCACTGACCACCCCTGCCCGTTGGCTTCATGGAAATTGGGCAGAGTGAAATTGGACAGCAATAAATTGGACAGATCGTGGCTGTCCAATTTCCATCAAGCTTGCTATAAAAAATGTTTGCGAGAAACACTTGACACCATGTGTCATGTATGGCTATTGCGCAATATATACAGGGGTGGTCAGTGGGCCGGGCCGGCCCGTCACGGGCCGGCCGGGCTCAAAAATGGAAAATTACAAACGGGCCGGGCCCGTCACGGGCCGGGCCGGGCCGCGGGCCTGGGGTTTTTCCGGCCCGGCCCGGCCCGTCTAAATTACAATGCCAAACCGTTGGCATTCATTGTTTTCGCGCCGGGAAAATTAATTGATGTTGTTATTGTTGCTGTTTCTCAAGTTCTAAAACGTTTACAAGTCTATAGTTCCATTATAAAACCACAAAACTATCACATTGATCCTTTACTAGCTATATCAACGCCTTTTTTGCCTAAGTTTAGATCCCAAGCTTGGGCGCAGTTCGCAGAACCCTCTATAAACGGGCCTGCACGGGCCGGGCCGGGCCGGGCCGGGCCGGGCCTGGAAAAAGACTAGACGGGCCGGGCCGGGCCGGTAATTAGACGGGCCGGGCCGCGGGCCGAAAATCGGAAAAATAGGGTCCGCTGACCACCCCTGAATATATATTTGCGAGCAATTTTTATTTTTTTTAGAGGAAAGTTGACCGAGAACTTTTATCAGAACGCGAATTTGTGATTGAAGTGATAGCGAATGATCTGGGATATCCGTCTCGAGAGTCGCAAGCCAATGTAACCATTAAAGTCCTCGATCTGAATGATAATCCGCCTTTCTTCGAGCATTCTCAATATAATGTTAGCATTCCGGAATCTCAACCTACCGATTCAGCAGTCTTTACATTGGTTGCATTTGACTTAGATATAGATGCTAGGTATTTTTTTGATTGCATGTATAGCATGTTTTTCTTTATGGTTATTAATACTTTTTGTTAAGTCATACTTAATTTTTAGGAATAACGTGTTTTCATACGAATTATTGGATCCGTCCGATCAATTTTATATGACCACCGAGATGTTGACCTCCGGTCCGAGTGTTGGAATTTTGCGGGTCAAAAAGGTGAGGATCATAAAAAGTTGGGTCATTTAGAGGTTTTTGGAGGGCCGAAACAGCTGTACGGGAAACAAAACCTCTTTCTTTGTGATCTTCTGACCATTGTTTAATAACGTCTTGGCGATTTGTTTGGATTAGGTGCCAAGCCGGCCTTCTTTTTCTCCTCTTTGGACATTTCTGCAGCTTTGGGCGTTCGCTTCCGTTAAAGTCGCCCATTTCCGGATTGCGCAGAGAGCGATGTTGGCATACACTTAACGGCATTAATTAGGGAACCCAGGGGCAATTAAATTATGCAAATTACCCAAGGTTCTTAACTTTTCTTTCCAAACATCAACAGCGATTAGTGTTCAAAACTGGGTCGGACGTTTATAGGTCGTTAAATGTGGAGGGTGAGGTCTGCAGTCATAGATAAATATTAATTTTCTTTGAGTGGGAAGTTGGTTGTTGCCCATTGTCCGATTAATCTCGGTTAGTCCCTATGGCTAACAAATACTTGGAATTTCCCCCTCCCGCACCCACCAGTTGACCCTTCCTCTTTTTTTATTTTCTGCGCGGTTTCTCCATCTTCTCCTTCTCGTTTTAAGTTATTGGGGTAATACAATTTGGGGATCTCTGTTGGATGCGAATGTCGTTTCTAATAATTCCTCCGACATTATTCCAGCGCGCTCGATTCCTGGTTTATTACCTTTCTTCGGTCAAAAAGAACACATAAAGTTCTCTCGATTATTACAATACTGGGCGAAGGGGGCAAGCTTACAAGATCTCCCTCTTTCTTTTAATGAAATTCGCTGATTCCCTTATGGGCGACCCCACCATTTCCGTTATGAGATGCATATGGATGAAGATCTTTCTCGCGCGCAACTCTTTAATATAAATTACCAGTTAGCACTCGTACGAATCTTGTTTCTAATATAATATTTCCCCTCTTTTTCCATTATCCACTTAGTCACAGGTCTGGGTTTGGTCCATTAAGAATGAAATGTTCTCCTGATGAGCGACGCTCGAGAAGTTCAAGTGACCTTGGGAGTTTGGCTGATTTTATCGTGTTTTCAGTAGAAATCTCCGTTTTCCCAACATTTTTTCTTTTCGGAAATGAATTTGTAATGCCTCAGGTAGAGATTGTCAGCTGTCCTCTGGCCTTTCTTTGTCATTTAGAGATTTCTGTTTTTTTACGAAAAGTCGTTTATCGTGAATGTTTCTACATTTTTATGGACTTGTCACCTGAGTTCATTAAATGTTTTGTGAGGACTCTCGTGGCGACTCTGAAGTGTCCACTTCTATTTTCTCTCTGGCCACTTTCACTATGCTCCCACCACTTGGAACTGCACTTTTTCGCGGGCCTAAAGACCTTTGCCTCGGACCTCTTTTGTGGCATGCGAATCTGCTCGGAATTTGCCCTCTGGGATTCTGTGGGAAAGGGCAGTGACAACTTTTTTAAGGTGAAGAGAGAAGGAGGATTCAAGACTAAAGCTCCTTCCGACCATTCTCCGGCTTCTCTTTTCGCTTTTTGACTCGATGAGATCCCTCCAGATTTCGGTGATCTGGTCCGATTTCCTTCTCAATGTCGGGTTTTCTCTTCCACAACGATTCTCTCATTCGTTTAAAATGAAAATGAGCGTCTTTGTCGATTATTCGGTGAAAAACAGGCGAATTAATCTGTGGAAACTGGACGGTGGTGTCATAAAGTGAGTCCAGGCAACACGTTTGGAGAGGATATTGTTCATTGTGGGGCTCTCGACATTCGGTCTGGACTCCTCAATGTTCATGTACAAGACAAGGGCCCGAGATAGGTTGTCAAGTGTTTTGCGCTTCTCGAAGGTATGACGAGAGAAGAGAAGGAGGGTTACAAGGGTTGGAGGAAGAGAGAGCGAGTGCAACGGACGACGCACCTGCACTTGTGGGAAGAAAGGTGGTCATCCAGCGCTCTGGTCATTCGGAAAGGAAAGTGAAGAGGGATCGTCTCCAACCGAGAGAGACATGGATGTGTTTAGACCGACAAAGACAGGTTGTCTGAATGCGGCTCGTGTGCTGCGCGATGACCTTGTTGGGTTTGGTTGCTGCGGTCTTTCCTTTCTCTTGCCAAACCCTTCACCTTTCCATTCCACCGGAGAGATTTGCATATTCGATTCCTGGGTTGGTTTTTTCTCTTTCGTCCAGTTTTTTGCTTCTCACCCGCGTCTTCTCGAATTAGACTAATGACCGGCGAGAAAGTTGAGCTGTTGGGTCACTCTTTGTTTTTTGGGCTTATCGATCCCGAATAACGCCTGTTTCCGCGCGTCTCCAGAGACTTGTTTGGGCCGGATTCGGGGGTGTCAAAGCTGTCGCAAATTGTCTCTTTAGAAGGCTACTTTCTCTTTGACTTTGTTTCTGAATCCAATAGCATGACTAAGAGTATGCTTTATGATTCAGACGTCCATAAACCTTTTCCCATTTGATGATGTAGGGACAACAACGCGGGTTTAATTTTTCTCTTTCGTTTTATCAGTTTCTGTATTGCTCGGGGCCGCGTTACTCATTAGTTTCCTTTCAGCCAGTAATTTTAATTTTTTTGTATGGTTTCGTCCGGGATAAGTTGTTATATTGGTAGGGGAGTGATATCTTATTAAATTCTGGATTCGTTAGTTTTAAAAACTTTTTTCGCCTTCATTTTTATACAATTATCAGAATATTCTTCTGTAGTATTAACGGAGTTTTGAAAATTTGCTTTTTGTAACCCGGATGTGATTTTCTGGCTTTCTTCGTCCTTGGCAATTCATTACACAAAAACCTTCGGTGTGTAAAATCATACGCTTTCATGAATGGCCGTGATTTTTGTCCTTTGAAGGTCTTCGATGGATCCTCCTCGGGATGCCCTTAAACGCTCAGGAAATATTAGTGTTAAAGGGAGAAGAAAGTGAGTCATCGCGTCGAATTCCGAGTTTATTCTTGTGAATGTCCTTGGGCGTTGGTGGCGGCGATTCGAGTCTCTGACGGGGATCTGATTGCTTTCTTCGAGGCAGGTATTCCATCTCAAATCCCCTTCGTTTTATTCGCCACCCGGTTTTCTGTTTTGTCCATTTCCGAAATTAGCCCTCGTTTAACGCGTTTTGTTTCTTTCTACTTCGAGTTGCGTAATTGAGTATTCAAATAAGTCGTTTTTCCATTTCAGAGTCCATTTCCGTGCTAGGTCTTCTCTCTTAATCTTTGTCTTTTCCGTACAGCTGAGACCCTGGGGCTAAGGTTGGGGGAGATAAATCTTTTAAAGGCATATCGACCACCTCCATCTTCAGGCCCTTGATTTCGAGGATCCGGAACAGCGCCATGGGTTTCCCATGGAAGTCCGAGTATTCGACGGACGTTTCTACGGTTCGACGAAAGTTTATATTCTCCTCGAGGACGAGAACGACAATCCTCCGATTATCAATGGACCCAAACGCATCCACTTTAGTGAGGGCACTGCCGTCAACTCTCAGATCGGCCAATTCTCCGTCACGGATCAGGACAGCAACGACAAGAGCACGTATGTATCTCCCCTCCCTTCCCCTTCAGGGCCTTTATTTGTCTTTATTCCTTATCTCGATTCTCTTCTTGGGTACTGTTAATGCTCAACCCGACATATCTCTTCCATTTGCCGGGCATCTTGGGCATTCCCGGTTTATGAATTTTGCTGCCAAGAATCCAAGAGATATCATGTTGAGTGTAGTCAAAAATATTAGCGAGAACACTCCGGTTAACACCGTTTTGTTTAATTTCCGCGCAGAGGATAAAAACGCCCCCAATTATAATCTGACGTAAGTTGAAGTCTTCAGTGATGACATATGACTTGCATGGGATTATTATGGATTTGTTTTAGTTATCGAATCAACCGACAGTCGGACCCGAAAAGACAATTCAGTATCGATCAGAACGGTGCTCTGAAAGTGGCTGCCGCCTTGGATCGGGAGGATATAAAACAATATGCGTTGAGAATTGAAGCGTTTGATCAAGGTAAGGAAATTTGATTACGAATTTTCAGTCGTCTTTTTTGCGTCGTAATAATTACTTTTTAGTCGGGAATATCGGAACTCAGTATGTCGATCTCTATTTGGATGATGAGAATGACAACGCGCCTTTATTGTATACTGTTCTTCATCCATTCAACGTTTCTCGACCTTGTATCTTCATGGAAAACACACCTCCAGATCAACTTCCTCTCTGTGAAATCCACGGATTTGATCCAGATACCAAGAAGAATGGACCTCCTTTCAAGATGGAGCTGAACAGTACGTTTACTGACAGTGACGCTGTTAGTGTTGTGTTTGATGAAAGTTTGGACAATGGGAATGGTGGCATGATCATCAGAGCTCTCAAAGAATTTGACCGAGAAGAACAAAAAGTGATCGAGATTCCAATCAATGTTCAGGATCAAGGCGGAATGTCGGCCACCAGAAAAGTTTATGTTATCATTGGAGACCAGGTAAGGTTTTTTAATTCAAATTCAACGAGAATTTATGACAAGTTTGTTGTTATGTTGTGCTGTTATAGAATGACAACAAGATGAGTGACGGGGAAATGACCATCGAAGTGTACAGTTATGAAGGACACCTCCAAACTCAGAGCATCGGGCGTGTTTATGTGAATGATAAGGATGATTGGGACTTTCCAGACAAGATCTTTGTGGGACCCGATGAAAAGTATTTCTCCGTGGATAAACAGGGTGATGTAGGTCGAATAGTAACAATGGATTTATATTATTTGTAGATTGTCATTTCTTCGGACACTCCATCTGGTCAATATACTTTTAAAGTTGATGTCACGGACACTGTAAATCCCGGAAATGCAGTGGGAACAGTCACTGTGAATGTCTACGGGTTCCCACCGATCGCTTTCGACAATCAGGCCGCGATTCGGATAGCAGCTGAGAGCAGAAACTACTACGGTAACCCCTCGTTCTTCCTCGCCGGGCCCAGAGAATCGTTCGTAAACTTGTTGAAGGAGAAGATCAAGAAGGTTAGAGAAGGGAATGTGGTCGTGGACATCTTCTCCATCCAGACTTCCGAGTACGACGGTACTTACGACATTAGATTCACAGTGCAAAGCGGGGGTCAATACCTTTCCAAAACCACGGTGGAGGGATTAATCTCGGCTAATCTGGCTGAGTTTGAACACTCAGTTCAAGGAGAAATCAAGGCCGTTGGAATTGATATGTGCAAAGATACCCGGTGTGATAACGGATGTCAGACAAGACATACTGCTTCCAACGTAAGTTTTGTTTATTGTTTGACAAGAACGAACGTTTTTCAGTCAGGTGTTGTTGTCTCGAACAACAATACAGTCCTTGTGGGCATAAACTCAACTTCTTCCGACGTCTGTGAATGCCCCATCCAAGCTGCGCCCACTTCTTGTTCCGCCGATTACTGTTATAATGGCGGAATCTGTCATAATCTGAATCCAGGAGCCACTTGTCAATGCAAGAATGATCTGCCTGGAGAGAGGTGCCAAGGAAGCACACGGACTTTCCGAGGAGAAGGCTATGCTTGGTACAAGAGCATGCCCGCTTGCACTTCCCTCAACATTTCCTTCTCGTTCAGAACGTAGGTTTCTTTTAGTTTAGTTTTGATATGTTTGTTCGTTTTACATTTCCTTTTTTTAGAAATGACGATGGTATTATTATTTACAATGGACCCTTTAAGCGTGTCGAAGCGTACACTGGAATGAAGATCAAATACTCGGACTATCTCTATGTTGGTCTCGAGCAAGGCTCCTTGGTTGTAAAACAGTTAAATGGTAGGATCCCGGTGAATATTACGCTCGGCGGTGTATTGGCTGATGATCAAGTCCATCATGTCACCATTATCCAGACGCATAAAAAGTTGGAGGTCATCCTTGATCATTGCAACAACCCCAACGAGAATTGTTATAAGGCCGAGGAAGCGGATGATGATGAGCGATTGAATGTTGTAAATCCCCTCCAAGTCGGCGGCATCTATGCTATCGACGATATCGCTGATATTCATCCAACTTTGCGGGGAAAGAGAGGTTTCAATGGATGTATTATGGATCTGGTCGTGAATGGAGAGGAATATGATCTGGAGTCTCCGGAATTGTCTGCTGATTCGGATAATAAGTGTGGATGTGCGGATGAGAAGAAGTGTGTCCATGGGAAATGTTTTGTGAAGATCAAGAATCAGATGGAAGCATGTCGATGTCCTCCCGGATACATGGGCAAGAACTGTGAGAATGTTGCCCCTTGGATTCAATTTGTGGATCAGAGCAGTTACGTTAAATTCACCACCCGGGGAAGTCAGGATTACAATATTAGAAATGATGTGGAAGCTCAGATCGTGTTACCCAGGGAGGCTCGAGATGGCCGGGTCATTTCGTTGGATAAGGATAATAATGTAAGATGCCTGAAACTTGATTGATAAGAATGTTTTAGGCGTTATCTTCGATTGCTTTGGAAGGGCAGTCGCCCGTTGCTCAACTGAATGATGTCTCCAGTCCGGACAAACTCCAATTCCATAAACTTACGCTGACTCCTGGAGTTCCATATCACATCAAGTTACATCGCGATCGATATGTGTCAACGATTACTGTCGATTACGCAACTCACTCATCCAAGGTGATCTCTGAAAATCAAAGAGCCCTCCAAGATGTACATTCGATTACTGGAGGATCGCAAAGTTTCGGATTTGCTGGATGTATGAGAGCTTTGAATTACAATGGAGAATATAAGAACATCACCGTTCCAAATCTCGAGGATAATGAGATTAATGATTTCGACAACTCCCGATTCGAACAGTTTGGCATCAAGGACGGATGTCCCTACCTGGCCACTTGTGCCGGCATTGGATCGGGGATGTGCCCCTCCGGCCAAGTCTGTATAGATCATTGGAAGGGCCCCATCTGTGCATGCCCTGAGGGCGCTATGACTTTAGTCAAGCCTGATGGAACACTCTCTCACTGCAACGAAGTGGCTGCAGTTAGTTCGTTAAGTATCACAAGCCCCGCTTTGATCTTCATCTTGGTTTGTCTCCTTCTTCTTATCCTTATGGCATTGGTCATGGTAACATATACGAGAAAGAAGAGATCTCCATTCGATCTGGTTGGACCTGAAGAATTCAAAAGAGACAATCTGAGACAATATTCGTTGGAAGGGGGTGGTGAGACCGACAACAACCGACACAACATCGCCAATCTCAGGAAGCCGGTGATGCCATTCGAAGGTGGAAATGGCCTCGGCCAGAAAGTTTATCCTCAGAAACCTGCCGGTAAGTCTTTTTGCATTGCATTTTTTATCCTTCTTAAGTTGTTTTATTAATGTTCTATATTACTTTAGATGATGGGTTGAATGCCCAAGTGGATAATCTGGACCGTGATCCCAACAGTGGACCTTATGATGAACTCAGGATGTACAATATGGAGGGAGACAACCAGTCCACCTTATCCTTCGACTCCCTCGACTCTGTTCGGCCTGGCAACCTCGAGACCATGGACAATCGAGACATACGGTATTAGGATTACTGTGGTCTCGGTGCTGTAGACTTTACATTTACGGGTCATTCAAAGTACATTTATCATTATTTATATCATACTAACATTGCTATTAATCTCTCAGATATCTTGCCATTGTTGCAATGTTTGTGTTAATTTATTCTCGCATTTATCATCCTTTTGCTCACATTTTCCGATTGATATATGTTGTATTTATCCAGGAACATTACCTTTACTGCCGACTTCTTTTGTTATTATCACTCGCTTGTATTTAATATAGACATAGCTTTACTTTAATTACCGCCCAAAGCATTTGTTTCCTATGTTTTTATTTAAAATAAAAATTTTATTCAAGTTTTGAGAGATGAACACGGGGCCCGAGAGTGTCCCGTACCAAAAAAAAGAAGCCTGATCAAAGTCCTGACTTAGTGCCGGTTCGGCGACTAATTCAAAATAAAAATTTACAATGAAAATTATTTGAAAATTGAATAATTCGCAGGAATATTGGATCCACAACGAAAACAACAAAAAAAAAAGAAAATCTCAGGAAAGAATTCTCAAAATTTCCGCAAGAGCTTCCGAGAACGCTGAAAAAATCAACATCATTGGCCATCGGACTGGAGGTGGGAATTCAGACAAAAATATTCATCATAGGATTGCTAAATACAAAATTTAAAGGCTTGGCCCGACGCCTCGGCCCGAAAAACGTCGATCCGGGGCCCGGCCCGGTATAAAGTAGGTCCGGCTCGTTTTCGAAATTTCCACAACCCGGCCCTGTTGCCATAGTCTAATTCTGATGATGCAGTGACTCAGAAATGGTGTTTTAAATAGTATCCGATGGCATACTCGGCTATATTGGTTTATTATTACATTTTTAGACATAACCTTGACTAGATTATTGTAATTCAAAGACTGATAGTAGTTTCAAAAAAATCGAAAAAGTTGCTTCGTATTATCCCAGATGAAGTGAAATATAATCGTGTGTAAAAGTGAACGAAAAAAGTAATGACTGTACAAATGAGATCATTGGAATGTAGACGAATTGGAGTCGTATTTTAGGGGACTTTGAAGGGCGGGGGAGGGAATATTTACAGGGGTAAGGGGGGACTGGGCGGGGAAAAGGAGACTCCTTAAATGCAAATTATCCTTATTCGGCATCAATCTTGCACGAGCATAACTGGAGATGGGTCTGGAACAAGTTTAAGTAAAGGCCGTCCATGTTAAAACACACAGACAAGATCACCAAAACATTTACTATATTAAGTATCAGTGCGCAGGTCAGGATTATTAAAGTTCAAAAGCTACAACATTCAAAGGCAGAGACCATCACGGTTAAAGACCTCACGGCCTCCGATGCCAACATCATCAGCCCCGTGCATAAAATGTAAATGGTATTTCAAAAAGCTACAGTATGACATAATCACAATAGAATTGAAATCAAAACAAAAGAACCGAAGTAAAAAACGCAAGAATTAACGATTACAAGACACTTCTGAGATAATGCCGGAGATGACATCACAATAAATGGGTCAGTAGGGCTTGTCCCGGGGCCGTTTGAACTGCACTTTGAGGCGTTTCATCCCGATCTGGAACCCATTCATCGCCTGGATTGCCGCCATCGCCGAGTTGGGGTTATCGTACGATACAAATCCTAGAAAACACTGTACAAAAAAAGAGAAACAAGTACTAGCCTCGGACTTAATGGGCATCAGAAATGAACGAGGAACAACTCTCAAGGATAATATAATCTAGTCTGTGCTCACTCTCAAAAAAGGAGAACTCCGTGTTTGGCATTACAATACTCAAAGTTGTCATCCGTTTAGTCCACAAACTACTCCATCAGACAACAGCTTAAACCTCAGTCCCAAAGCCAACCAAACCAATCAATTAACTATAGTTACAGTACTCTGAATCCGCTGAGAGCGGCGTCAAAAAAGGGAAGAAAAGCCGAATCCTTGAACATAAACCGACTATAATCATGACGTGCGACTACTACTTCCACACAGATATTCACCCCTGAGGCACTCACCGAAACATTTGCTCTGATTTGTGGCCCGATCAATGAAGACTTTGGCACTCAACACGGTGCCGAAAGGCAAAAACATTTGTGTCAATTCAGCATCTCCAAACTCTTGAGGAAGATGGTAGATGAAGAGGTTACACCCTTCCGGTCCGGGGACTAAAACAACATTAGTATCGGACCTCTTTCCCTTACCTTCTTTATGCGTGAAACCGGGGAGAATCCCAGCGCCTGAGGCGGCGGCAACGGCTGCCAATTGGGCCATTTGTTGTTGTTGTAATTGCTGGATGGTTTGGTTGTACATGGCTGAAGCTGAAAGCGTTCTATCAGGGTCAGATAATCCTTACAATTCTGCGATTGGTCATAGGCAATCAACTGGTTATAGGCGCCAGCTTGGACCCCGTAGGCCTGAGTCGTTGTTAACTCCCCGTTGGAATTAGCAGTCGAGGTGGTCCCTTGATGGGCTGCCAAAGCTGATAACTGACTTTGTAGTTGTGGATTCGAAGCCGGAATCTGGCTCTGAAGACCGAGGTGTTGAATCTGCGCCGCTGCTTGAACTTGTGCCTGAGCTGCAGCAACGGCCGCTGCAACGGCGGCTTGATTCGTTGAACTCTGGGTTGGGAGAATGTTATTTGGAGTACTCAAGGCTTGACTCTGCAGTAATGGAAGATACGAAGCCGTTACCGGGCTTTGTATGGAAGCCGCGGCCACCAATTGAGCTGCTTGTTGTTGTTGCAACACCTTCAAACTGAATTAAGACTCTTTGGTTTGCTTACATTTAACTGGTTTAGAGGACTGGCCGTAGCTGCACCGTAAATTCCCGATTGGGCGGCCAGAAGGGGGTTCAGAATCCCAATCTGCGAAGCCATCTGCTGCATTCTCCTGAGCTGTCTTTCCTTGTCGGTGTCCGCCAACTTCACCACAAGACTGCTCGAGGCGCCTCTCATCGTCTGGCTTCCATGAAGAGCGGAAATAGCCCTTTGGGCATCGCCCGCATTCGTGAATTTGGCAAAGGCACATCCCTGGAGAAGAAGAAGATAAAATAAACTTGGATTTATTGCAAAGAACAAAGGAATGTCCCAAGCTTTGCCTCCGAGCCTTACCTTGGAAACTCCATCAGCAGCTCGTAGTACTGTAACTTCTTCGATCTTCCCGAACGGTGACAGGAGTGCCTTGACTTCCTCTTCTCCTTGTTGCTTGGATAACATTCCAATGAACAACTTTCGATCATCACTCGGTTTGGGGGAATTGGGGCGAGAATCCGAGTCCGCCGGCTTCACTTGCATGGCACGGTTCATCTGAAAGTCAGTAGAATAAAGTAAACTTTCCCTCCAAAGTGTCCAAACGGAGGTAGTGAACCTTGAATTTGCGGCCACACTTTCTTCGGAATTGTTTGTCTCCGGCCTCGCACCGGCCCCGGCCTCGTTTCCCCTTTTTCTTACCCAAATTGCACCAAATTCAGTGCCTTAGGGCGTTTTCTTCCCAAATTTGATGCACTTCTCAAGGTCCCTCCCTAAATAAGTTTGGTCGGCCACTTTAGGCCCAAATAACTTACTCCTGGAAGGGTTTTCTGATCGTGGAGGGCGGCCTGACATCGGAGAGCGTGGTCTCGATGACAGTAGGTCAGGAAGGCGCAGCCTTTGTGCATGCCCGTGTATTTATCCTTGAGGATTGTGAACTCGTAGATCTTCCCGAAGGTCTCGAACATATGTCGGAGGTCTTTCTCCTCCAGATTCCGTGGTATCTGAAAAAGAAAACAATTATTGGTGGCGATTCAAATGCACTTCTCGAGCCAAATATTGACGTTTTTTATGTTTTCGAGGCGTATAAGTACTTATTTTACTGTGGTCCCCATGACGCAAATCTCCCCTCCCTAAATACCCGTTGATTACTTGGTAATAGTAAAAGTATTCTTTATGAATATCTATACGAAGCTTACTGCTTTCGTATAGACATACGAAAGCCAGAAAGTCTTAAACCTTCGGGCATTTTTGGAAATTTACAAAGAAATATTAAGGCCGAATTAATTATGCAAAATAAATAATCCAAATTAATGGGTTGCAGTCTCTCTGCCCATTTCCGATACCGCAGACTGTTTTTTGGAAGAGATGATGCATAAAACTGAACTTACTTGGCCGACGAACAGCTTAATTGCATCTGAATCTTTAACCGGAAACCCATTACTATCGGTGCTGGAGGGCCTGGCCGTGTCCACATCAGGATTGGGGTTTATGGCCTCTTCACATTGGAGCCCCATGATTGGAATGGAATCAACGACTAGACACGGGACGACATACAGGAGAGGAGGTCAAGGTAGAGAACCGAAGAAGAGAACACCGAAGAGGACAAGACAACCACCACACTGCTAACTGACACTCGGAGTGAGCCCTCGGCCCAGTCAGTTCTGCGCCTCCGGGCACATGCAGAGACCGAGGGGAGGGGGACGGGGGCTTTTGGCAGGCACAAGCCTTTTTTGGGCGTTTGGCTTGAAGACGTGGGTCCTCTCGTTATTAAGAAAAGCCAGGAGCGGGGCTCTGGTCGAGAATGGGCATGGCATGGACAACATCCAGATCCCGCAGCTGCCCCAAAACAAGAGCGCGCGAATACAGATGGTCTGCGAGGGCCAGCTGTTCGGATATTCATCATGATCTGGTCAAGCACTCGGCGATGCAGACTCGGTTATTTTATAATTCTGTTTCGAGTTTGACCAGTAAGCATGGAAATCGATGACAAATTAATATTATACGTTTCATGCTCCTCGAAAAAGTTTGAAAAAATATTTATGATGCAACCTATATCAATATCATTTTCATTGTATATTTCATGCAATTCAATGTCAAAAAAGCCAATCGTTCATCAACAAAGTTATTCCTTGCAAATTTGATCAAATCAACTTTTCATTCAATAAATTGCTTCTCGGATAGTAAGTAAATAAAATTCTTTGTGACTGAACCCAGAAGTTGTCTGTCGTTCCGGTCATTCGGATTAATTACATCAAAGTTTACTTTAATAACTGTTTCAAGTACCACGCCCAAGTTTTCTTTGTGAGGTCGATTGGGAAGGAAATACAACAGAAACTAAATAAATCAAGGGAAATACACGGTCATTCCGCCGTCTTCCAGAATTATTTTGATATCCATGGCATATCCAGTTTCGTTTCTCATAAAATTCAGAAGCGACCGTTGTTCTGTAATGATGCCATTATGTCATTTTATAAAGGGATGGGACCCCCATTTCAATTCAAACCTCAATAACATTGGTTGTTTTATAGTAAGGACTGTAACTTCAGTGATCTAAGACGGAGTTTTGAAGTGAATCTTGCACTCGAGAGGGACTTCCTCTTACTTTCATCCATGTAACGGGGGCATCAGAACTCGGAGTCATTCATCTTTCTTATTTTCACCTCCGCGATGTACTCGATGTTGAATAATCGAGACTCTCTTTGAATACCGTGGCACGGAGAAATCCCCGAAGAAAGGGGTTTCAGAACATCAATAATTGTCGAAGAGTTTTGTGTTCATCCCGCGCACTTTTATTCCCGTTGACACATTATTATTTTCTCTCTTATTGGAGGTTGAATGAGGTCATGAAAGTGAATCTTTGCCTGTCCCTGGTCCTCTTAATTCGCCCGCTTCTGGCCTTGGAGGATATCACCGACGTGGACATGATGAGTAAGCATCCCCCTCTTCTTTTCACGATTTTTTAGATTTTTTTGTTGCCCAGAAATTCGAACCAACAGAAAGTGCGGGAAAAAGGTAATTTCCTTCGAGATTTTTATGACCCAATAGCCGGAGATCCGTGAAGATCCCGTCTTGTATTTTGGGTTTAATAAAACAATTTTAGTCATGGGAAAAATAAGGAAGAGGGCTACAGACTGGCACCACCAAGGAAGAACCTTGGCCCCATAACTACAGTACCGCCCGACAACTTTGATTGGGCCTATCAGAAGTTGAACCAGACCATCTTTCACGAAGCAATCAAAGAAAAGGAAACTGGCGAGGTCAGATTACGCAAACATTATGCAATCACTCTGTGATTGATGATGTAATCAAATGATATTTCCAGAATCCTTATCCGAGTTTGCCGACCTTGGCCTTTAATGATGATCCAACTCCATTTACTGAGGCCAATGAATCCAATGGGAGGACGGTCTCTTTTAGAAATAGGTTATTATCCTTGTCCAAGTCTGAAGATATCTCTGGATATCTTCCCAGAACAACCACCCAAGAACCTCAACTTTTGGCATCAGAGGACTTAAAATCCACAGAAAGGTTGCATCGACAAATTGAACCATTTAAAAGTAATGCCTTCGATGAGATAGACGAGAACACACCTCCCCCGCCCCCTCCTCCTGATTGGGCCGTTCGAATGATGTTGTCTTCCAATCAAGCTGTGCCCTCGGACAATGACGTCACTGAAGAGCCCTTTGAAGTTACAGATGCTTTGGAAACAGCATTATCGAGTACCTTTGATTCGTTGATTACATCGACTGAATGGTCCACAAAACAAGTCAGTGAAGTCCCGACCATGAAGATGTACCCGTGGGAGATGCAGAGAGGTGATATTGACATACACGATCTCCCTGATGGACAGGCTCCCGCGGTCCCGAATCCAACTTTTATGCCTCTCTCAATTCGAACTCCCAAGTAAGTCTTAAGATGAATAAAGATGATTGTCAAGGTATAACAATAAGCAGGACAACGTTCTGATTCCCCAAGATCTCCCCACAGACGTTGATCTGCCCAAAATCTACACCATCGGCCCTCGCTTGGTGTTACCTCAGATGCCACCGCGGCCAGAGACCCCTCGGCCACCAGCTCCTTCCGCTCCTCCAACATTGATTATGAGACCAACCGGGCAGACAAGACCGACTCCCCCGAGTCATCGGGGGCATGAGAACAATCTTTCTGAGGTCCCCCGACCGAGATCAACCCTCCTGCCCACGTTTGTGACCGATGATGACATCTTTGGACTCGGCCCATCTCAGCCTCCAAGTATTAATTTACAAGAATTTGCATCCCCGCCGGGAATTGGATTAGTTTCGTCTCCCCCTTCTTTTAATCCAGATCAAGTTTCTGTGACAGTCTCCCCTCCAACCTCCACAACACCATATTATACTGAGGTATGATGACAGAGCATTAATACGAAGACATTTTGTTTTAGAGGGTGGGCCACTCAAAGCTCCCTTTTCTTTTGATTTCTCCGCGGAGACTCCGCCAATTGTCCTAAAATTTGTATTTTTCTGGAGCTGAGATTCGCCATTTTCAGCCGATCATATTTTAAAAAAAAAACCCCCCTATGTTGTGATGGCACAATAATATTTAACATGACTTATGATTTTAAATTGCAGGTTCTTATTCCGAAACACGCCTCATCAGAGTTGAGGGGCTACAGTCCTGATCTCAGACCTCGAGTTTCAACAACCCCGCGACCACAACAATTCCACAAATTCACAAAGTTTAAAGAACACCAGTTTGCCAATTATGGAAGAGATCGGAATAATTCCTCCATAATATTCGAACCCAACTCTTCTGCCGCATATTTTTCATCAGTTCAAGACAAAAGTCAAATGAAACTTTCCCAGGAAAATCATTCGGAATTAAAGCCTTTCAGAGAAAAATTCTCTCACAGGAAGCATCTCGGTATGTTAAATAAAACAATGTACAACCTGGATACTTTTAGATGAACAGCCTTTCACATTCACAACCGCTGCTCTGACAGGCGCCGTTGTCTTCAGAATTCCCAAACCCATTAAATTGAGTATGTCAAGGGCGGTAAAGACGAGGCCATTGATGGTGGGGATGCCCAAGAACTATTTACATAAGAGATTGGGATTGACCCCTCAACCCAGCTTCTATGTCCCCAAACAAAGGGACCAGAAAGTAAAGGCCTGGAAGTCCTTAGGACCTTTGAATTGGGTACCCATTGGACTGGGACCTCCGAGAAGATTGGGTGCCGCAAAGTTGGTCCCGGTGACTACTAAAACTGATAGTATCGAGTTGGAAGTGCTGCAATCTGATGACACAAAACACGAGTTATGTAAAGGTAAACGTAAAAGAACTTTTATGCATTTAAATTGTAGTAGACACATCTGAGGACTTATACGAAGATCTGAAAGATTTGCATCGAGAATTTATAAAGAAATGTTTTCGGCGAGTAAAGAACTGCCTGTTGATGGATGCAGTGCCATTAGAACGGAGAATAAATTACAAAGAGGACCAATGTATCAATTTCTGTGGGCAGTAAGCTTCTTCTAAAACAATCTTATGAGTACTTTATATTAAGTCATCCTTATTGCCAATCAGTCGCTTATTCCAAGACAATGTCTATTTGTGATATATTCGACAAAAGGAATGGAACAGGACCTATTCGGACAGTTAATTATGTCGGCACTACTTATTACGAGGCCCTCAATTCGGTTGCTCTGGACTGTTGGCGAGGTGGGTTACTGTAGTTTTGTTTGAATACAACTTTCAGATGGGCTGAGTTCCTTGTTTTACACCAGAGCGCCAACACCAGCAGTTTTGGTTGATTCACAGTAAGTAACCAAAAACCAAACCAATTTCATTAATTTTAGAGATATCTCCGGAGAAGCTGCAGATGAAGATACTCGAAGACAAGAAACGAAATCATTTGCTTCCAAAGAGCCTGTCATGATAGCCCCAAAGGGTATGGTTTATGATTTTGTTTTAGATATTCTTTCAGATAATTGTGATGCTGATCAAGATGTATTGTTGATGAAGAGCGTTGGCTTCAGAATCCGGCATCTCGGTGTGATTCCTTTGCCTCAAAATTCCTCGGAGACGGAATGTGTTTTTTCTTGTCTGGTCAACCTTGCTCGAGGGCATATTCCCTATCAATGTACTGCAGCGTCGTATTCCTCCCTCTCCGGATGTCTAATTTATAAATCTGGATCCAATGCCAAGGGAAATGGTCATCTGATTCCAGCCAATTCCTTCAATCATTATGAGAAAGCTTGTATTTCGAGTAAGTAATCACAATTTGCATAGCATGTTCAGGACCCATGGTGGAGTTGTGCAAGGGATATCCCATAATTCGACAGCCCCAGAGAGTTCTACTCGGCTTTACTGCGTTAACCATGAAAGCGGAGTCATTGGTTGAGTGCCTCGAACTTTGTTTCTTCGATTTTGAGAAGAATGGACGATGCAAATCGATTATGTACTTCTATGAAGTGAGTGTTAACTGATTATTTGTTAATGTAACATTCTAGGAAAGAGAAGATAACTGTGTTCTGAACACGGAGAGTGCCATCAGTCAGCCCCAATTTCTGGCCGAGGAGAACGACAGTCTTGTGGACTACGCTTCCTTCGAGAATTGTGTGGAGGAATCGAAGAAGGAGGTGCGCCACTCCTCTCTGGTCGGTAATTACTCAGTTATATTAAATTTGTAGCGGTCACAACAATATCGACAGCCAGAGCGACGAAAGAAACCGCCGCAGATGGTGAGGGGACCCTTTGAATTCGGCGGAATCGAGGATTCGAAGGTATTAAAAAATGACGATTTCTCTTTCAACGTATGCAGTTTCAGAGGGTTACTGTAATGACAACAACAACAGCCACCTTGCCTCCGCCCTCAGCCCCACAAAGATTAGTCCATTTATCAGTTGGAGGCACTAAAGAGATTGTAAGTTTTGTTACATGCACTGGCTGTAATACGAGCAACATATTCATTTAGTCGAGCACTCGTCAGAGGGTCTTTATGGACAGCAAAGTAAAACGACATCATCGCCCATTGTTACGGACACTTTACACTGACGAGACCTTGTTCAACTAATGCGGCCGATTAGAAATTTTAACGCAAAAACCGGTGCTTTTGTATTTTAATTGTCTTAAATTGACACATAATAAATATTCGGAGTCAATGGGCGTGGTTTCCCTGCACATTTAAGCAAAGGGAAGTGGTTTTGTGGGGCTTGGGAGGCTTGAGGAATCGGGAATTGATCAAAAAAAAATAATTCCGCGACTCTCGAACAAGAACGGGTTCCCTCGAGGGCGAAGATGAAGCTCTTCCAGTGAGTCCGACGTCAAATTCACCCAGATTTTAGTCTGATTTCAGCCATCTTCCCGCTCTTTTCCCTTTTCCAAGTCCAATCTCTGGATAGTGAAGCTGTTTCTGGCTTCGATTTTAACAGGTATTGTCATCATTTTTTGTTTATTCTTTTTAGTTATCATGATTATCACGATTTTGATTGGTATATTACATCCGTGGCCCGAAGATATCCTCATATTTCCACATTGAAGACAATTGGGACTTCGAGGGAGGGACGCCGGATTCTCGGACTAAAAGTAATCCAGAAATCGGCTTTATATTATACTTAAGATCGGATTACCATCCAATTTTTCGAAGCCCGCCGTCTGGATTGATGGGGGAAATCATGCCCGAGAATGGCCCGCTTTCCATGTTTGTGTCTTTTTCATTGACAGAGTATGTTTACACTGTGACTATGACCTTTTTTTAGTTGCTCAGTGGTTACGGAAAGATACCCAAATTTACGGAATACATAAACAAATTGAATATTTACATATTCCCCGTTCTGAATCCAGACGGCTTCATATTTTCGAGGACATCCACCAAGGATTCTGTAAGTTGAATTACCCCTTCACCATCCCTTTTAGGTCAGACAATGGAGGAAGAACATGGCCCCGGACAATTGTACGGGCTACATCAATTTCAAAAGAGAGCCCACGTGTTGCAATGGAGTGGATCTAAATCGGAATTGGGATGTGGGCTTCAGTCAAGACAACTATCCCTTCAACAATCCCTGTTCCGATGAATTCCAAGGCCCTTTTCCTTTCAGTGAACCCGAAACAATGCAAGTTTACGAAGGGATTGTAACGTTTAAGCCTATTTTAGAGCGATGAGGGATTTCGTTCTGACGAATGAGATCAATGGGAAGGTCAAAGCGATGGTCAGTCTCCATACTCATGGCCAATTATTTATTCTGCCATATAATTTTAAACGAAGGACCTATCCAGAAGATTATGATGACTTGGAAAAAGTTGCCCTCAGGGCAGCTGCAGCCATTGCCAGTTACAGAGACACCCAATACAAAGTAGGAACTGCGGCGGACATGTTGGGTAAGAAATTTGTAATCCAAGAAAGTCTATTGTTTTAGGACCAGCCACGGGAGGGACCATCGATTGGATTAAGATGAACACCCTCATCAAATACGTCTATGTCCTCGAATTGCCTCCGGAGTTGTCGAGTAAGTGTAAATTATTCATTTTAAACTCTTAAAAAATTTTTGTATAAATAACCATCGCTTCTCCAGCTTGGTTCGCCTTCCAAATGAAGCCCCATTGGCTGATTCCAACGGCCAAAGAGACTTGGCAAGGCGTTGAAGTGATCATCAGACAAGTTCTTCGAGAATTCCCTCAGGCGTAACAACAATTCTATTTATTTCTTTGCAAGTTTTTATTTACTTATGATCTCAATAAAACGTTTTTTTCTGATCATGAAAGGAGGCCGGATGGTGATTAATGTGCCTTTTGTCCGAGATTAATCAGTTTCCTGGCATCTTTAAAGATCGAAACAAACAGCTGACACTGAGGTTGTTGATGGGGCGAGAGATCACTCTTCCAACGACACGGTTATGACATCCAGCGGACATAAACAAATCGATTATCGTTAAATATAAAGACCGATTTAAAATAGAAATTAATTATTCCGGAGATAGCAAAATTCTGCTCCAAACTCTCGGCCCTTCGGCTCCACGAAGTTACTTTTTGTAAGCCATAAAAACTTTAAAATTTGCCATCAAAATTTCATAAATACATAAATGCAGATGAGTCAATCCAGCTTTTGAAACCCAAGATTTTTTTGTTTTATATCGTGGTTTTGATGACAACAGAAGGAACTCTTTCTTTCATCGAAAACAACTCTTATGACTCATTGGAAAAAGTGTCATTGTATAAACCTGAACTATACAACATTGTACTTGACCACGTCTTATCCCAATCAAGAGTGTGTGAAAACACACTTTACCATAAACTTTAATATTACATTACTAGATTTATGTGTGAAAGAATGGGGAAGGAACCCCAGTCAGATGACAAATCCCTGAGTGAAATCTGGCTCCAGAATTTTCTAATTGTTTTCGAAACGCTGATCTAATTCCGGCTCTTTTTTAATCAGACCCGTGTGGTTCGAGAATACGTTTTTTTCACGGTGTTTCGGCACATTTTGAGGACAAGTGAGTTCAGGCCACACCAGCTCTCTCGATCAGAACGTCTTTCTCTCGGGCCTCCGGCTGTTAAACGGCGTGGGCGTCGATCCGAATACATGGCACTTGGTGGGCGGTGCATCCATTCCCGAAGGTTCGGCCTCTCGACAAAAGCCCATTGATTCCCCGGGATCGGCACAGACAGACTTCAGTCCTCAGTCTAGTCAGTCCTCAGCTCACTTCCCCAGAAATGGCTTCACGCACAACCGCCGGAGGCATTGGCTTTGCCGTTATGTCCAAGGTAGTTTAGAGTCGTACGAAGTTGTAAATTGATTGTTTTAATTAATCCAATCTTTATTTCAGCAAGCCTCAAAATACAACGAAGATGAAGCCGAGCTCCTCCTTAAATGGATTAAGCAGCTCAGTGGAGAAAACATCAGCACTTCTGGAGACCGTGAAAACTTCCTCAGACTCTTGAAGGACGGTACCCTCCTTTGCAAGTGCGTTGGTTTAATTCTTTTATATCTCTTCTGCCATCCAATCTCCTAATATATTTCTCTTTTAGAGCCGCCAACGGAATCGTTCCCGGCAGTGTGAAGAAGATCCAGAAGCCCATCTCCAACTTCGCCTGCATGGAGAACATCAACTCGTTCGTGGAGTTCGCCAAGAAACAAGGAGTTCCCAACGAAGAGACCTTCCAGTCCGTCGATCTGTTCGAAGCCCGTGATCTTTTCTCCGTTTGCGTCACTTTGCTGTCATTGGGCCGTGTTGTAAGTCCAGATTACTGATTTCTGCTCTAATCTTAACTGTAATTACTTATTTCCTAATGGATTTCAGTTAGAGAAAGCCGGTAAAACCAACCCCTTCAGCAAATAAATGCTGACATCAATCTAAAGAAATCATCGTTAGTTTTAATTTTACTCTTTTCTTACAACTCTTCCTGTAAAGTTGCAATCTTCAGTTCTAAGTCGGTTATTTTCAGTGTGAAGCTCAAGGGAAACCCCATCCCCAGAGTGTACGCAAGGACTTAATTTACAATGTGCCCTACTTCTAAGTCCGTCTTCCACTGCAATTCCCCCTTCGCAGTTTTCTACTTACATTATACTTACAACATGCCGTAATAAATGGTTAATAATAAATTAAATCTTAAAAGTTTACGGGCCAAAGTTTATTGGAGATTCTGGAGACTTCTTTTGTTAATTTAAGAACCCTGAGGGCTTTTATTTTATCTTTTCAAAATGGTGCTGAGAATATTGAGTGGTCCTTAGATCTCTGACCACAAATATTCATTGAAAACCCTTGAAATGTCTCAGATGGCTAGCCAAAAAATTGGACCGGGTCTAAAATTCCTAGTCTTTTTCCTAGCCGCTTTGGAAAATTTTACTTAATTTTTACCGAAACTTTTAGCTTTGTACTCGCCGCGTGTTAAAGATTTTTTTTAATTTTTAAAATAGTATATGTAGTGTTGGCTTTTCGTCAACAGTACAGGGTGTCCAGATAAAAGTTATGAAAGCCATCAAAAGAGACCCCCGGAAAATAGTGTGTAGTAAGGTAAGCAATTGTGAGAATTTCGAAAATGACATCCATTTTTTCTGAATTTACTTTTATCTTGGTTAGTACTTTTAATAAGTAGTAACTTTTTTATTTTTACCTTTATGAGGCTTTCTATACTTTTAAACGGGACATACCTCAAAAAATCCGTTAAATCATGATGATAAAGAATATGTAAACATTTCGGGTTTAAGGCTAGAAAATGCATAAAAACTGGCTAAATTTGTCGGCAAAAGAGACCGACCGCGCTTTTTATCATTTCGAATCCCAGCGCCTTTTGTGGAGAAATTCAGCCAGTTTTTGGGCATTTTTGACCCTTAAACCCAAAATTGGGCAGCTAATTTTTACATATTTTTGATCAGTACAATTTTTCGCATTTTTTGAGATGTGCCCCGTCGGAAAGTAGGAACCCCCATAAAAAGCCAGTTTTTGAACATTTTCGATGATTATTAAGCCCGAAATTGGGCACAGAGGCGTAGCTAGGGAAGGGGGCCCCCGGGCCGGGGTCAAAGAAAACAATGTTAAGGGGGACCAAGGTGATCGCGCTGCAAATTTTTTTTACATAGTTACGTTCCGGATTTTTTTTAAATGTGTGCTCATCTAATAGTACAAGTATTAGGTTTTCCCATAAATACTGTCCCTCTTCGAGAGGGGCAAATTCAAAGGTCTATAAAAAAGTAAGCACCAGCTAAATTTCGCAATAGTATACCATTTTGGAGCTGTGATCTCAGGCTTTCGTTTAATGTATCACCTGCCATATTTGGATGAAATTACAGTAATTTAGCGCCAATTCAAAATTGTGGAAAAAGTCGATCCGTGCCATCAACTTGTGCGAGTAAAAACAGGGTGCGAAGGTTTCAGAAGCTACACGAAATATCAACGCCATGTTCAGTCAGTGTGCTGTGAGACGGTGAAACGATGGTTCAAAAAAATCGACCTGGCCACGGGGACCCCTAAGACAAAATGCGTCATTTCAGCTTTGCGAATTCACCCTGAGGTCATGTAGACGAAAATCATGAAATAAACATCCGACGCCTTTCTGGGATCGTTGTGGTATCAAAATTATCATCGGCTAACGGTTTTTCTTAAGTAGTACCGTTAAACTAAAAATGATTCTTGTTGGTTTTCTAACAAGGAAAGTACTTCTATGGGGTATGGAGTTACAGGTCGAGATATATATCAAAAAATTCGCAAAAATTTTCTGATTCAGAATATATAAAAATTAGCTGCCTAATTTTGGTCTATTAACGAGTTTTATCAATAGATGTATTTCTCGAGGAAAAAAATCTGCGGCAACAAAACCGCGCTCGGTCTCTTCCTTCGGAAGAGACCGGTGTGGCCGAGTGGTTAGAGCGCTAGATTGTGAATCCGAGGGGAACGGGTTCGATTAACTTTGCCACAGAACCCATTTTTTAATAACTTTTTTTTTAAGAACTACTTTTAAGGTGTAGTTGTAATCCAATTTGATATTTTAAGGCTTGTCAAGGCCTCAGAATTTATTTTAACACAAAACAAAATTTTTTTATTGGTAAAAACACGGTCAAAAAGACACTTGCATGGTGTCGCGAGAAAACTTCTGAGGACAAAAACATGTCATCAGACCAAAATTAGGCAGCTAATTTTTATATATTCTGAATCAGAAAATTTTTGCGAATTTTTTGATGTATATCTCGACCTGTAACTCCACACCCCATAGAAGTACTTTCCTTGTAAAAAATTTTTAGGCTACGTGACTGAGTGGTTCCGCATAGAAAAAAAGTAAATAAAATTCAGGCAAAATTAACAAGATTTCTGAAATCAGGTAGTACTATTTAGTACCAAGTGTTAAAAATGTGTTTTTTAAGCAGTACTAGGCACTAAAACAACACCATTAACGTCTGTAAGTGTTATAAGTCGAAAAAATTTCAAAAAGAATCCCTAAAGGTAGTAAAGTAACAGAAACCCAGTTTTCATATTCAGTCAGTTCATACTCAGTCAGCTCGAAAAAATTTCAAATTTTATTCAAATTTCACAAAAAATCATTCTCGGGGTAACCTATCCTCCGCAAATCGAGAACCCCAAAATCGAATATTTTTAGAAAAAAATCCAAAAATTACTTTTTACACAGGATGTTTCAAGAAATATGACTGGGTGTTTCAAGAAATAGGACAGAAACTATTTGCGAATATCTTTGAGATCTCCGGAGTTATTGCGGAAATTCTTCTTGTTTCTAAAAATTGAATATGGGCGGTTTTGTACACGCTCAGATTTTCTGTAAATTTTGCACACACTTTGGGCATAGACTGACCACCAATTCCTGAAAGTTTTAGCTCGCGCTTTGCAAGCGCCTCCGAGATATTGAACAATCTTCGCCGACGAGAGAGCATGCTAACCGCGGAGAGCGGCCAGAAAGAAAAACACTTTTTGGCCATAACTTTGCTAGTTTCGTGCGGAAAAAATTTATTTTTTATGGAAACATTACACTTTACGGTATAAATAGGTAAGGAACTTTTCGTGCCAAAATTCAGCAAAAAGTGTCAACTTTTCGCCGACTTTCGATCTAAAAATCTCGGTTGTTTCTGCAAAGCGCGAGCTAGGATTCTCGCATATATTTTAGAAAAAATTATTCTAAATTTATGCCAAGTTTCATCAAAATCTGAGCGTCGCACTTGGGGTACTTCCCCTGTGAGCAAAAAATTTTTTTTTCGTCGGCGGAGAGGCCAGTTCTCGGCGGAGACTTTCGGAGCCTTTTCTAAAAATTTTCGCTCATCCGCGGATGAGCGTAAAATCGAAAAAGTGAAAAAGCATACCGTAAAATCCACGGAGGTGTAACGTAAACATACAGTAGTTGACAGCGAATTGTCAATTTTTTTATTTCGTGTGTAACTTCACTCAGACTCAACAGAATTTGATGAGACCAAGAGCGTTTAAGAGGCTGGGAGACACGCTTCAACCTTATGAAATTGTTTTATTTCATATCGGCCACAGGCGTGGTAAAAATTTTAAAACAAATTTTTTTGGGGGACAACGAATTGTCAATTTTTACATTTTGAGGCATAAGATCTCAATAAACCAGCATATAAAGACTAGAATGGAGAGTAATCAGTTGCCAGCAATCATAGAACAGCATACAACGGGTTTCAGCCATTATTATAATCTCCCTCGCTTTCTATAGGTCGGGCACTTGGGGGTGGACCATGTACAATATAATGACAGCTTAGGGGTCTCAAAGGCCGAAATTATTTGATATTATGGTTTTTAATGGAAGAGTATTGCTTATGTGTAAGAAAATTGCACCAGATTACAACTTGGAGGAGCTAAGGGTCAAGCATTCGTCAGATAATATTATTTATGGTCATCTAAACCCTGTGTTACTCCCAAAAATCGATAATTTTCTTTCCGACAGGGGGCATAGGTTCATTTAAACTTTCTTTACGGCCATACTGACGACATTCTACAAATTATTTCATTACCTGTCTCGACGCCCTGAAATTTCCGGGTGAGATTCTGACGGTCCAATTAATTCTTGTGCCACACTAGGGTGGTGAGTATATTAATCATTTTATTGCGCGTCTTCTGCTTTTTTAAACGTTAAAACTAATATTTTTAATGCTTGTAAAAATCTCTAATATGCTAATAAAATGTCTTGGAAGTTGCAGGCTTGAAGAAATAAGAATTTTTCTGGGTGTTGCAAACCCGGCGTGAAAATTCATGTAAAACCAAATATTTCCCTCTGCATACCTCATCCATGAGTGCTGGTACTGACATGTGAAAGGCACTGAATATTTGTCTTTTAGTGTAGTTTGTTTTCAAATATAGAAGGTTTCTCCAACGATCCTCATGCGCGACATTTTTTGATTTTTGATACTCTGACCAACAGCATGAAAGGCCATGATTAACATATTCGAGGTAACAAGGCGCAAGTGTAACCCGTTAGGTGTAATTTTTTGACTTGCCCTAGCGTAGTAAGATGTAACCGCCCATAAAAAACCGGAATATAAGATAATTTCGGCCTAGGAAGCCCCCAGGCTGACATTATATTGTACATGGTCCACCCCCAAGTGCCCGACCTATAGAAAGCGAGGGAGATTATAATAATGGCTGAAACCCGTTGTATGCTGTTCTATGATTGCTGGCAACTGATTACTCTCCATTCTAGTCTTTATATGCTGGTTTATTGAGATCTTATGCCTCAAAATGTAAAAATTGACAATTCGTTGTCCCCCAAAAAAATTTGTTTTAAAATTTTTACCACGCCTGTGGCCGATATGAAATAAAACAATTTCATAAGGTTGAAGCGTGTCTCCCAGCCTCTTAAACGCTCTTGGTCTCATCAAATTCTGTTGAGTCTGAGTGAAGTTACACACGAAATAAAAAAATTGACAATTCGCTGTCAACTACTGTAATTTTGGCCGTTGTAACAGAGTTTCCGCCATGTAATACGATGTGATTTTTAAAAAAGGCCCCAAATGTCTCCGCCGAGAACTGGCCTCTCCGCCGACGAAAAAAAATTTTTTGCTCAATACAAAACCGCCCATATTCAATTTTTAGAAACAAGAAGAATTTCCGCGATGACTCCGGAGAGCTCAAAGATATTTGCAAATAGTTTCTGTCATATTTCTTGAAACACCCTGTACTCAAGAAAAAAGTCACAATCAGAAAAAAGTTGAAAGAGACCCTCACGTGCAGGTGGCGTAAGTATTTACAATTCCTTTTCGTACTTCGCGCATACCTTATTGTTGCATTAAAAATGAGGTGTAGTTTTCTTGACCTTGAGTTATCGTAACAGAAAAGCCAAAAGTTGCTCCGAAAAACAAAGATCCGTGAGTTTTATGTGGATATTTTTAGAGTAATACATGTAAAATACCTCAAAATATTGAGGGCCTGATAAATTTTCTATTATCTACGGCTTCTCCAAGCCTTCCCCATGCATACAACGACAAATCGAAGCGACCCAAAACGACCCGAACTGCCGTTGACCCGAAAAGTCTAGCGCCGGTCTCTATGACCGGCGTTTTTGTTCTCATCTGCCCATTGTGGACGGGCACGCCACAATTACTTCTAATCTGCTGGATGGTACTTTTTTAATTTGCAAAGAAGCCTGATAACTTTGCTTCATTTAAGGAACTCATCGGATTAATTTTTAAATGTCATCTTTTTTTCAAATTGCTCTAAAATTAGTTTTTATCCTCTGTTGGAGAGGAGGACAAGGAGATTGTTGCCATTATCCGGAACACCGTTGTGAAACTCAGAAAAGGAGTAAAAAATCGAGTCTTGCGTTAAATGGGCAACTCTGCATTTACTTTCTCTTTATATTCTTGCATATTTATGGGTAAAAAGACATTGTAATACCTTGTCGAATTGAATTCGAATTTCCTGGCTCCCATGAATCATGAATAGCCTTTGGCCTTGGGGCTGACTCTCTGATCGGGTGATTTGATTGGAACGCGGTCTTCCAACTTTCCTTTGCATGTCTTTAATATTCCAATGACAAATCTCCATGTCCATGCTCAGTCGCTATTTCATCATTTGTTTAGCCAAATTGATTTTGTTTTCGCGTGTTAGTAGCCGCTTCTGAGCAGATTTGTTTGGGGGGCGAGGGTAGAAGGCAACCAGCGCAATAAAAATAAAATAAAAAACATGAAGGTAGAAAGGAGCATTTCCATTTTTCTCTTGATCACCGAACCCGGAGAAGTCGGGCGAATAATTGGGGAGGGATCGGGGCGAATGGAGAGGCGCAGACAGCCGGAGGGGAGATTTGTTTCCTCGGCCCAATGATACGGCCGAGAGAGAATCTCTTAGCCGGTCCAGGACTTCATCATCATCACATCCTTCGGGCCCTTAAAGTGTTTTTTGGGCTTTCGGCCACCCGAGCGTCGTTCCCGGCTGGCTGCTCCACGCCAAAAAAAGAACCCAACCTGCTTGGGCTGGTGTGTTGAGGAGAGTGGGGGATGCTCTTCTCCTCCTCTTGTTCCTCACTCTCGCTACTCACTTTTCCCCTTTCGCCTTCGTTTTTTGCGAGACTGCACCCAGTTGTCACTCGCTTGGCCTCAGGCCATGGCCAAGACCGAGCGACAGTTCTTCTTTCTTCGTTCCAGGCCCTTCTCGAGCTCCTCCTCAGACCTATCTCTACCTCCGTCAAGTTTCCTCGACTTATTTCCTTTCCCTTAAACGATGCCCTTGGGGCTTAACGTCATCTGGGAGCCAGGTGTTTTGGATGTTCCTGCACCTTGGGTAGCCTCCGACTTCTCCTCTGGTAATTATACCATACCGAATATGTTTGCCCTGGAGGTATTTTTTGTTTCCATGGCCAAACCCATTTTTGAGGAACTCGGAAAAGGCTGTTAAGGGCCTTTTGAAATAGGCATTAAATTGCCCGAGACAGTATTTTTTGGCACGTTACCTCAACGGCAGAGACCTCCGTTTGTTAATCTATATTTTTGTTCGGGGCCATCCCCAAAACAAAGAGATCATCATTTTATTTGATTTGTAACCTTGTAATCGAGCAGTAATCGGATCACGTCAGAGTCAACCGAATTAGAGATTTTCGAAGCAAATTCCTCCAAAAGGAATGCTGTAAGCATCGCGCTGAGTTTATCCGAAAAAAGGCGTCTCCTGAAACGCGCAGACCGCATTAAAAGTCTATTTATCAAAGAAAGGAAAACGCCGGAAGGGGTAATCTTCTGTTTTGTTGACTTTGGTAATCGCTATAATCGGCGGCCCAAGGAATTCGAATATTTTTCGTATGCCTGGCATTCCCATTTTTCATTCCAATATTGTCGGTTCCTTTACGTAGTCGGGCGGCTGTTTTTTCTTATGCCCGGAGGCATTCGCTTAACAGATTTCTCACGACTCTCCAAAAACGATTTGCATATGCAGCTGCCTTGACTCGCTGACGTCGCAAAACTAATTCGAATTAACAATAAATCCCAATCCACCTTCCGGGCGCCCAAAATGGAAAACCAAAAAAATAATATTGGAACCTCGGACGCCGGGTTTGGAGGTCCCACCCGCATTGTGCTTGTTAGAAATTACTTAGAACTAAGTGGATTGTAACTACTTAAGGACGGAAGATGTTCTGCAGAAAGGATGACGTATATTTTGGCGCATCTTTATTTTACAGAAAATCTTCCTGTATGATTGTTCTCTTTTTTCTTTTGTGATTAACGCGATGAGGCCGCCTGGGGCAGAGGATTTGTGAATAGCATCATGATGGGTCTTTTCCTCTTGCCGGAAGAGTCGCTGATTCGATTAAACTGTGAATTTTGCCAATCCAAAAACTCGCTTCTCCATTTTTTGTTTCGCCTTAAACCCGACGCTTCCGTGTTTAAAGTTAAAGAGCCTTTTATTGTGCCTAGGGCGGCCGACGTCTCGGTGTGCCTCAGGGCCTCTCAAACACTTCGCCGTCCCTTCTGTGAATATTATTTTATTCCTTCTTCAGGATGGGTGAACCGGGTACGACCTCAGAATCGGCGTCTCTAGATCTGCAGACCCCCTTGCCCAATGGAAACACTGTAGTTGAAGAGGGCGAAAAGAGCGAAGAACAGGAATCCCCGCAGGCCGAGACCTCCGAATTGGCTAGTCCAGAGAGCCAAGTCAATGTCCCCGCCGTTCAAATCCCCACAAATCCAGAAGATCTGGCACGACTCAAACGGAGGTCTGTCTGAATTACGATGAGTTTGAATCTATTAAAATTACATGTAATCTCCATTTATGTAATCCATGTTTTAGTTATGTAATCAAAGAGTTAGTGGAGACAGAACAAGATTATGTGAAGGACCTGACTTCCGTTGTCGAAGGTTACATTGCGAATCTCGAATCGATGGAATTGCCTGAAGATCTGCGAGGAAAAGACAAGATTATCTTCGCGAATATTGGACAGATTCTCGACTTCCACAAAACGTAACTGATTATGCAAATTCTGAGTTTTGTTTAGAGTTTTCCTCCGTGATATCGAGAAAAGTGCGAATGATTACGAGGCTGCGGGTCAGGCTTTTATCAAACATGTAAGTGTGGTCATCATATTACATCATTACGTTTATTATTCTTTAATCAAATAAGATTGTTTTTAGGAACGTCGACTTCATACTTATTATGTCAAATATTGCCAGAACAAACCAAAATCAGATTTCTTGGTCTCTCAGGAATCTTTTGAACAAGTAAGTGAAAGAAATTCATCACTTTTGTCGTCATCCACCTGTGATTACATTCATTTTTTCAGTTCTTCGCTGAAACAAAGCAAAGATTAGGCCATCGCGTTGCGTTGTGTGATCTGTTAATCAAGCCCGTCCAGCGGATCATGAAGTACCAGTTAATGTTAAAAGACATCTTAAAATATACTGAGAAGAGTGGAGAACGTGCAGATGTCCTTAAAAGAGCCCTTGATGTGATGCATGTTGTCCCCAAAGCCTGTGACGACATGATGCAAGTGGGACGATTACAAAACTTTGAGGGAAGTCTAAGCGCTCAAGGACGACTCATCTTCCAAGTAAGTCCATTCTTCGTATCCTCACAAATTCAGGGGAAACTCTCGATCTCAGATGGTGGTGCCACTCAGCCCTTCAAAGGAAAACCTCGACGAGTATTTCTATTTGAACAATCAGCCATCATCGCTGATGAGATACAACCCAAAAAGGAATTCGGGAATCCAACTTATATTTTCAAGAATCAGATCATGGTGAGCATACACAACCAGGTTGATTTCATATCCATTAATTGTAGGTAAATAAGATGGTATTACAAGAAAACATTCCGGATGAGCCCCTGCGGTTCGGGCTTTCCAGCAACGACCCAGTGCAACAAGTGAAGTTTGTGGCCGAAGCCGAGAATGCGGAAGATCGGGAGAATTGGCTTCAGAAGATCTCAGCCCAATTGGATCAACAGAAAACATTCTTGGCGGCACTGGTCGACCCAAAGAAATATCAAAATCAATTGGCCAGTAATATGGCCAACACATCCATGTGAGTGCCTATCCATACAACATAAGAGTACTTTTATATCCCCCTTTAGATCCGACAACAAAAAATCGAACAACTCTCATCCGGCAGTCGCGAGTACAAGTTCAAACTCCAATTCCCATTCGAATTCTCCACTCCGTCCGGGCAGCGGGACCGCCTCAAAGTCGAGTAAACTGTTCAGCTTCGGTGAGTCGCTGAAATGCGCTCGATGTGTAATTAGTTGACCGTTGATCTTGTACAGCCATCTCATTCACCCATTACCTCATTTTAGTGTCCGTTTTGTCCGGAAAGTCCAAGTGAGAGATTCTCTGCGACATCTGACGTTAACATGTGTGTCATCGTGATTCCTCTAACTCGAACAAACCCTGAGGCCTTTGCTTTGGGACCGTATCTAATCAGGGCGCCTGCTTCTAAGAACAAAACCTGTTGTAACATTTGTTTCCATTACCGATTTGAATGTTTTTGTCGCGTCATGATGGGTCTCCTCCAATTTCTAAAGACCAATCGTGTCTGACCTCCTTCGTTTGATGACATTAACCATGTAATTACCGAGATTAGGTACTAGACTGAAGTTCCGCTTTATTTTTGCAGATTTTTGTTATACTTCTTCACTTTCAGCCCGGAGTATTCAGAAATGATGACATTTAACCCCATGCCTTTTTGTATCTAACTCTTACCAAGAGCTTGACGAGTTCTTAACGTTTTAACCCTCGGGATACTGTAGTTTTAGGTCTTACGGTCCCAGACCAGTCCGGTTATCGTTCTTGTATTCTAGTCTCGATATCACAACATATTATTCGTATGTGTAAAATAGCCAAAAATTGTTCACAAGGGTCAAGGGATGTGAAACAGGATGTTTTATGTAATTCTAATATCTGATGTGTTAAGTTATGACCCTGATATAAAATTTCTTGACCTAAGTAGTGCAGAATATATACAGATTATTTATACATCTGCCTTCCATTCATTACTTTTTATTGTATGTACCTATAAAATTAAAATTATTGAAATAAAAAGAAAAAGTTACAATGTGAGAATGCAAATCAGTAAAGCTATATACAACGACAAATGATGAGATTAGCAAGGGAAGAGGGGCTGGGGGCTGGCTAAGATAACAAGACCAAATAAAGACTAGAGGGTGAGTGAGAAGACACCAGTTATATTATGAGAACCCGAGATTAATATAGGAAAGAGTTCGAGGAGATGCGGAGGGAGAACAACCTACAACAAGTAATCAATCCAGCACTTCATTCGCTGGCACAATTAAAGAAACATGGTCCAGAGCCGGGGGAAGATCTCCGTCACTGCTGGTTGTCGAATATACCGTACTCCGGGGATCATTAGAGTAGTGAATATCACTATTCTTTAGATCCGGACTATCAAAAGAAGGAGATTTCCTTAAGACGACTGGCATTTCATTAGAGTTTATGGATCCATTGGAATGCCTTTTGTTCTCCAAATCTCCCAATTTCAATCGCCCGACACTTGAGGTTAGTTCCCGACTCAAAATGGCTCCATTTTCTGGAATGGATCATATAACATACGAAAAATAAACACAACCTACCATTAATGCTGTTATTATTTGAGATGAGGTCAGCATTTAATGTTAAAGTCCGGAGAGTTTTGACCCAGAGATTCCTGTTCTCACTGGTATTAGTCTTTAGAATCACAGCTTCGGACTGAGGAAGACTGCCCTTCCTCAAGGCGAATCGATTATCTCCATCACTTCCCACATGCTCCACCACACTGACGTCAGTAGTCTAAAGAAGATTAGATCGGAAGTATACTACCCACCAAGTACTTGTATTTGTAAATATATCTAATCTTCCTGTTTGGAAGTTCTTCCTTCTTTGCAAACACAATGCAGGATTCGAATAAAAATACCTGCAGCTCCTTTTCTTTCTTGAATACTCGCTTTGGTTCTGTTACAGTAAACGTATCTTGTAGAATAAACTCTCCGATTTGATGATTCTATAAATTACAATGATTAATAACAAAAATAATTTCTAATAAAAAAAAGATCATACCTTGTAATCCTCAAAGTTCTTTAGATGCATTCTATCATTGGCGACCCTAGGGATATTAACCACGACCTCCAAAGCATCCCTCATCTCTTCCGTGTGATGTTTCGAGTATCTCATTACTTGATCCAACAATAATCGATACCGAGTAATCCTTTGGACGGGCTTGATCAACATAGAAGAGATGTCCAGACTGTGCGGGAGATTATATTTCTCACGAATTTCCTAAAATAAATATTATTTCAGGAAAAGAGTAAAATAAAAAAATACTTCAAAGAACCTACGTTGAACAGATTCATTGCCTCAGGAGAATCCAGTATGCTTCCGTTCTCGGCCTTGTTTAGGCAATATTCAGTGTACAATTCTTTGAGATTAACCATGTAATGGATAAAACAACATCCAACATCCTCTGGATTCCCCTCGTATTCTTTTAATTTGTCCAAGAACTCTTCTTGGTGGAATCGATAAATCTCTTCAATATTTCCAAATATCTCCTTTTCCTTTTGCCTTAGACTAGATGATGACATTTCATTCAATCGATAAGATTTTAGGTAACAATCGATGCATTTCCCGAGATCTGAGATGTAATCCGCTTCTGAGTTCAAAAGTTCCTTATAAGGTTTCCTGGAAAAAGTTCCATTATCTCCTCAATCAGGCCTTACCGCAGTTTCTCATTAGCATCGAGGGCAAAGGTACTGGAAGATTCCGAACTTTGGGTCAACTTTTCTTCCAAAGACCCATCACTATTCCGGTCGAACAAATGCTGGAAGGACTGAAAAGATTTTGATAAATATAAAGCCAATTTTTTTAAATGTACGTACATCACCACCAGACAACCGTCGCAACTCCACTTCCTTGGCCGTAATCTCCCTTTCGACCCTCGAATACTTATCATTAAGGGCAGGAATAGCTATCTTAATTTCATCCGTATGCAGCGAGTTGTTGAACTGTTCGAAAAAGTGATCCGAGTGTTTTCGCATGTTCCTCATCAGTGCCAGAATTGACTAAAAAGTTTATTTTTCAAAACCAGGACCACACATCACAACCGAAAACTGAAAAAACAATCAAACCTTTAGTTCAATTCTGAATTCCTTCAGACGCTGAACATATTCCTGTAGACTAGAATCGTCGATTGATGTAATTGAGGTACTGGAAACATTGCTTTCCAACGAATTCAATTTTCCATTTATCTGAAACAAAAGCAATGGTCCCACCGCGAAAACATTACCTCCGCAATTATCACAATTAGATGCGCAGCATTCCGACAAGCCAGAAGCTGTTCATGGCAATTTTTATAGAGATCTAATAACCGGGTTTGCCGGAGGAAGATCTCCTGTTTCATTTGGGCTACACTCTCCATCAGATGTATAACATTTCTCGGAGCCTCGAATCCGTTGAACTCTGACTTAACAAATAATTCGATCTTCTTCCAGAATGAAGCGGCACATTTATGGGCGTAAGATGTAGCCTGGGCAAGTTACCTGTAATATTTCTACCACCTACATTCAGAAACTGGTCCTTTTTGTCGTTTAATTTGTTCAGATTCACCTTGCACACTTCTGAACGTTGAGTAGCATTCATTTTCATCTCTTTCTGACAGATTCCTTGACGTCGTACAGGGTCCAAAATGTCTTTGTAGTTCTTTTCCAATACCTCTGCACTTGGTAAAGCCTAAAAAGTAAGATTAGTGTTCATAATATCCTCCGTTATATATCAACTTTTCAATCTTCCTTACATTGGCAAAGCATTTGTAATAGTCTGCTGCCGAGGTAAGCATTCTTAGCCGATTATCCAACTTTTGCTTGATCCGGGCGAATTCGGAAGTAGCAATATCTAAGGCGTTGTTGAGTAAGGTATCCTGTTCGTAGTTCATGATGTACTGGCGAGTGTTTCCGGCGCTTTTTTCGAAAGTTATTATATGCTCCTTTATTTCCTCTAACCGTTTTTTGTACTTTTCATGCTCTAGTTTGCAGTCTTCGGTCTCTCGTTCGTTCGCTGGGATACAATTCAGCATTATGAGATCATTTTTGATTCTCATCAACATTTTCATGATAATCTCTTTGTCATTAATTAATTTGTCTAACTTTGCTGTGGATAAACAAGACATCCTGAGAGTCTCGGCCAATTGCATAACCTGTTTGCTTCCTTGTTCCAGATGAGTTGCAATAATTTCCAATTGCTTTATCACATTTTCCTTGTTGGGGAACACCAGATTTACGTTCTCCCTTTGCATGTCTGTGATCAGTTGATTCTTTTTGCTTAGAAGTTTTAGAACGGCGTTCTCAACATTAGCCATGTTTTCCCTTTGCGCATGAGCGATTGTTTCCAGGGCGTTTTCATGGAGATTGGAGTATCTTTGAAGATCCTCACGCCATGCCTTAAAGGGTATCTGTAATGTCCAAGCATCCCTTTACCTACCAGGATCTCTCTCAAAACGCTGTCTGACTCTCTTACGAAGAATGAAGTGTCTGTTGCCAAATTTAGAACATTCCTTTGTCTTGGCCATTTGTTTTTCTCGGTGTTGTTACATGAATCTGTAAGAGTTGTTATACATTTGATGGATCGTACCTATTTTATCCATCATGTCTTGTACCAGGTCCATTGAGTCTTGGTTATTAACTTCGAAGAGATTTCGTTGCTCATCCAAGCACAACTTCAGTTGCCTGGCTTCCGCCATTATTCGATTATAAGCTTGGGTGATCTTGTTGACTTCGTCTTGCAGTCTACTTTTGTTTTCTTCACATTTTTGAGGATCTGGATACACGGTGTAATAGATGTGATCGTTCTGTTTTAGTGATTTGTAATAGTCCATTATCTCCTTATAGTGCATAAAGAAGTTGCAAGCGATATAAAGTAGTTTGGTCCTGGAGTCGACCTTTTTGGTGAATGATTTCATCCTGTGAGTTAATTCTTCGATCTTAAGACGGGCTTTCATGGGGTCGATTTCTCCTGCAATCCGCATAATTTTTATTGTGATCTTTTCCTTACCTCCGTCGATTAGAATTTGCGAGCTTTCGGTCAACTTTTTTGTGCTGACATAGGTGTTCTCGCTGATCTTTTTGAATTCCTCGTGGTATTTCTCAAATCGTTTTGCCTCGTCCAAAGATCTCCCAATCCCTATTTTCCGTCTTAAATAAGGTTCTCCGTGTTCATCTAGCCAGTTCAACACCTGTCAATTGTTTTACCTTTTCCGTTACCACCTACCACATCACATTCTTGAAAAAAAACTTTGGCATGATATTTGTAACCAATTGTGTGATGCCGACTGTCGTAGATGCCATACAATTGTTTTTGGATATTAGATAATTGTGTTATGCAATCCTTAACGTATTTATCAGCACTGACAACACTGTTGCAATCTCGGCTGTCTCTGTCTAATGCCGACTTTAGTTCATTGGCCGCGTTGAACGCCTTGAAAGAATGATTTATAATGATTATCAGATTGATTTACCTCAGCATAACAGTTTTCAAAGCTTTCTTTAAATTCTTCATGCTTTTGTAAGGCGCTTTGTAAGATCTCAGCGGGTGCATTTTCTACGGTCGCTGGGTCTACACCAACGTTTTGGATCCATCTTTGAGAGTTTTCGATGAACTGTAAACGAAATTGATTACTTTTGTTGAAACCTACGGTTCTATATTTTTCATGGAATTTAATGGCCGCACTGAGAATTTTTTCCCTATCCTGAAGAATGGATCTTAACATCTTCCATTCATTCTGCAGGTACTTGAAATGGGTAGCCACGCCTTTGTCCATTCTGATGGGTGACATTTGTGCTCGATTACTCCAGTTTTTATGACATTGTGTTTCCAGGTGATCATAAGTAACCTTAACATTCTGAAAAGTCGGCTGACGTTTACTTCTTAATATTTACGTTAACATTCTTCATCGTATTTTGATGATCAGCCAGAAGAATTCGAGCGTGGTCAGCATCCTTTCCAATGTCAAACAAGATCGGTTTGATCTGCATTGTGACGTTCAATATGAAGTTATTTACTTTCTCGATCTCATCCTCGATGTTGTTCATATTGGTCACAATTGCTGCCTCACTTCTTTTACTGGCAAACAGGGAATTCACCTCTCTTCGTCTTCTTTTCAAATCCTCAATGGACTTATGTAGCCGGTTTAGTCCGCTTCTAAAGCCTGGATTCGTAGATAACGCCAGTGATTTTTCGACCTAAAAAGAGATGATTCAAAAAACGAAACAATACCTGGTTGACTCGTGCTTCGCAAGTCTGTACTTTGTTAACCGTAAGTTCTATCGACTGTTCAATGCTGTCGATCATCTTGTCTGTTTCACTTATAGTGGTACTGGTTAAGGGAAAGTTTCTGATCGACGAACATTGTTGTTCAAAGTCTTGGAGAATGTGAGCAACATCCTTGAACAAACTATCTATCATCTGAAAACATAGGATTAAACGTTTCGACTTTTCTTAAAAGACCGTTTACCCTGCGAGTATTTATCCATTCATTGTGATTATATTCAAGAGACCCGCCATATTCTCGAATCAGTTCCTGTCTGTCGATAAACCTGACAAGGTGATCTCCGGATATTACTTTTACATCAAATTGGTATCTTCCTTTCTCCACAGCACTCTTGTGTCGATCCCAGAACTTGTCATTCCGTATAACTAAGGCTTCTTCTGTTATTTTCACAAAGTTCTCCTAAAAAATGTGAATTTATTTCTATTTGTTAAAATTACTTTTCTAAGAGCTTTTAGACTTACTTCAATAATTTTAAGGAACAGCCTCAAATGATCTCCTTTAGCAGCATTTCGCATGTCGATGACAAACACAAGTTTCTTTGATAAAAAGTCTTCTCTAAAATACGGTTTATGACAGTCATTAGGCACAATATTTACCCTGTACATTGGCTTAAAAAGTATATAACTGATGTTATGCTGTCAGCCTTGAAGTGTAGACAATTTTCCCTTAACGGCACAAAGATTACTGGACGACCTTCAAGGTCCCTGGTGCCAGGCAAGAGGGCGTATCCGGCTTCTAGACATTTGACCGGATTGTCAACCGGCGCCATCTCATAAATATTCTTAGAGATCAATGCCTAGGGGCATGATTTACGTGAGAAGGAACTGAAATTAAATCGATCAAAACATATTTGCATTTGAAAACGAGATTATGGCCCCCACTTTTTGTCAAGGCCAGCGTCCACTCGGCATAAGCGCTGTTTGCCGCGTTGGGTTCTACTGGCAAACATTGATTTTCGCCACCCCCCCCTTTCCAGCCGCTCGGTTTTTCCTTTCTTTCTGACTGAACCCTTCATTTTCTCTTGGGATGGGTATCGGACCGAGTGGATAATGAGCTCGAAACTGAATCCTTTGGTGATTAATACATGGATTAAATTGTGTTCGCACTTCGCACCATTTAGGAGTTCGGGAGGACGAAATACCAAAATGGTATTGCAGATGGGAAAGACGGATGTTGTTGCAAAGACTTTGCAAAAGAAGGAATAAGAAACTCGGAACTCAATTTATCGTTGCTGACCTTAACGTCGGGATTCGACAGAAATAAAAATTTGAATCAGTCAGTGAATCGTCATAAATTGAGAATGTACACCGAATTTTACTTATAACGATCGGGCTTTAAAAAAAATTAAGATGACTATTGCAATGTACCAATTACAGTAGATGCCAAAAAACTCTTTTTTTGTTTCTTGTGTAACTCTTCAACGTGGATGGATTTGAACGAAACGAATACCGTCTGTTATACCATATACTTAGCCATTGGAGCGATTTTACATCTTTGTGTGTAACAACTAGGGTTGTTAATTTGACCGAATTTTCCAAAATGACGTCAAATTAGCGTCATTTTGGCTGAATTAAAAATTCTGATATGCGAAGCTTCCAAACGCTAGGATAACATAGATTTGATGAATACCGTTAATATTACTCGTAACTGGTCTTAAAACAGCTTTTTTGTAAGGGTCGAGCTAGCTGTGCACATGAAACAGGATGTCACAGTAGAGCCATGAAACACTAACCATGTGTTACCCTAACCGCGAGTACTAAATTTCAGAAAAAATTTTTTTGATTACTGGCCTACTGTAGGTGTACTGTAGCTTTCCCGCATTTCCAGGATCTCAGCCACGACAGGTTGGATTCTCTCCGGACCTTCTCTGTGTTATAGAATGGACAATTCTAAGCAACTTTCGTATTGACACATTTTCCCTAGGACTTCTGGAAGTATGTGAAAAATTTGCATATTTGGCAAAAAATTTATATTTCTTAACCTTTCTAAAAAAATTTGCATATCGGGACGTCCTTTTTATTGCTCTAAATGACGCTCCAAGAAAAATGCATGAATATATATTCAAGGAGCGTCAAAAGTACTAATAATATTATTTATTTCATATTCGGCGATACATCCCTTAAAAGTTGTATAACAAAAATATTGTATAACTTGTTAGCATAACAAAATCTGGGAATTAAGAAAAAATTCGCGTACAGAAAATTCCGAAACTCAACATATCTTTTCTCTAGGTTCTTCTGCATCAACTGGCATATATCGGGTACACCCAAGCTTTGATCGAACTTCGAGCTATGACCAAATCGCTAGCGTAAACATCCCTTACGTTTTAGATGTATATGGAAAAGCTAAGATGATAACCATTACCATAAGAAATACATTGCCTTGGCTACATTTTGGTATATAGCATGACGATGTCGGTTATCAAATGAAAGAACTCGTCTGTGGTCTAAAGTGCATTGATTATGTCATAGTAGGTCAAGGTTGATCGAGCAACAAATCCAAAGTAAGTATTCGAAGTGTTAAAGTGCTAATACAACTCAGTAAGCAATAATTGTTGAGAACCAATATCGGTTTTGCATTGGCAGAGCTTGCGTACAGTACTCACCCTCAATTTTTCTGCGTCAGCAATCACCGCTAAAGCGATTATAACACCGTGTGTTGCGGCTTAGGCAAACTCCTCCGTCTCTATAGTCCTAAATTAGAATTTAACATTGATTTCCGCCGCATGTAACCACAGCTGGTGTTAATAGGGTGTAAAATCAGCATGTATAAGACCATGATTCTACGCGGCGTTTGCAACCGGTAAAAGTTTTTTGTTTGAAAAAATTGACAATTTTCATCCTTCCAAAATTTTACATTGACAGTTGTTACTAGAGTTGTTAAGTCGTCAGTCACGTTGTCAAATTGCCGTCATCTTCGACATGTCAATTGAACTCCCTTTGGAAAATTTTTGTAAATTGTTATTAGAAAACCCATAGGAATTTAAAATTTTTAGGAACTAAAATGTCCTTTCTTCTCAAAACGAGCGATAAATCAAGCATTTAAAACAAGTTTTCCGAGAGACTCGAGCTTTCAGATTTGCCTTGTGCACATGAAACAGGATGTCACAGTAGAGCCATGAAACACTAACCATGTGTTACCCTAACCGCGAGTACTAAATTTCAGAAAAAATTTTTTGATTACTGGCCTACTGTAGGTGTACTGTAGCTTTCCCGCATTTCCAGGATCTCAGCCACGAGAGGTTGGATTCTCTCCGGACCTTCTCTGTGTTATAGAACGGAAAATTCTAAGCAACTTTCGTATTGACACCTTTTCCCTAGGACTTCTGGAAGTATGTGAAAAATTTGCATATTTGGCAAAAAATTTATATTTCTTAAATTTTCTAAAAAAATTTGCATATCGGGACGTCCTTTTTATTGCTCTAAATGACGCTCCATGAAGCAACAATTCAAACGGTATATAGGTCATCGCGAGGCGTTCTGCCTATGTTGCAAACGAGGCTTCTAAAGGTCGGGTCATCACGGATTTTTCTCGGGCTAAAACTTTGTATGCGAGATATTGGGACAAAATTTGGTTTTATTATAATCTACGCAAAATTCTAAGACTTTTGGACCACACTTTTATGAGTCTCAGACCGACCGGTCGAAAGATACGACCGATTCTTGAGACTTTTCCGGTATTTTACAATTTTTACCCGGAAGGTGACGAAATTTCTGGGTGTCTAGGATTCTGATGGTAGTATTCGATGTAGCACGTACAAAGTTGCCTACGTACATCGATCCCGCATACCGATACGGATGTTCGCGAAAAAAAGGAATTTTTGTCTAAAAATTTTTGCGCAATATCTAACAAAACTCCATTTTAATGACTGAAATTCAGCATTCTGATGGCACAATTGAATCCGAACATATAATTTAAACTAGATACGTGTTCCATTCATCACATTAGCGTTAAGTATTTTAGATATTAAAATTTCTTTGAGGAAAAACCGACAAAAATTTGCATGATTTTTTCTGAACTGAAAATAAATGGAAAATATTTTGATCGATTCGGTCTATAGAATAATCTCGAAATGCGGCAACTAAAAAAGGTAATTTTGTCAATTTTTCCTCTTAGAAGCTTACTTGCGGCATGGTGTCAGACTCCAAAAAAAAATACAGGTGTACCTCAGAATATTCCTAGAAGCGACAACCAACTTTTCAAAAAAACTTGAATAGCTAAAGTATGAAAAGCGACAAACATTGAGTTATTCACAGACGCTGAATTAAACGCAATCAAAGAAACCCCGAAATTCCGTCACCTTCCGGGTAAAAATTGTAAAATACCGGAAAAGTCTCAAGAATCGGTCGTATCTTTCGACCGGTCGGTCTGAGACTCATAAAAGTGTGGTCCAAAAGTCTTAGAATTTTGCGTAGATTATAATAAAACCAAATTTTGTCCCAATATCTCGCATACAAAGTTTTAGCCCGAGAAAAATCCGTGATGACCCGACCTTTAGAAGCCTCGTTTGCAACATAGGCAGAACGCCTCGCGATGACCTATATACCGTTTGAATTGTTGCTTCATGGAGCGTCATTTAGAGCAATAAAAAGGACGTCCCGATATGCAAATTTTTTTAGAAAATTTAAGAAATATAAATTTTTTGCCAAATATGCAAATTTTTCACATACTTCCAGAAGTCCTAGGGAAAAGGTGTCAATACGAAAGTTGCTTAGAATTTTCCGTTCTATAACACAGAGAAGGTCCGGAGAGAATCCAACCTCTCGTGGCTGAGATCCTGGAAATGCGGGAAAGCTACAGTACACCTACAGTAGGCCAGTAATCAAAAAAATTTTTTCTGAAATTTAGTACTCGCGGTTAGGGTAACACATGGTTAGTGTTTCATGGCTCTACTGTGACATCCTGTTTCATGTGCACAAGGCAAATCTGAAAGCTCGAGTCTCTCGGAAAACTTGTTTTAAAATGCTTGATTTATCGCTCGTTTTGAGAAGAAAGGACATTTTAGTTCCTAAAAATTTTAAATTCCTATGGGTTTTCTAATAACAATTTACAAAAATTTTCCAAAGGGAGTTCAATTGACATGTCGAAGATGACGGCAATTTGACAACGTGACTGACGACTTAACAACTCTAGTAACAACTGTCAATGTAAAATTTTGGAAGGATGAAAATTGTCAATTTTTTCAAACAAAAAACTTTTACCGGTTGCAAACGCCGCGTAGAATCATGGTCTTATACATGCTGATTTTACACCCTATTAACACCAGCTGTGGTTACATGCGGCGGAAATCAATGTTAAATTCTAATTTAGGACTATAGAGACGGAGGAGTTTGCCTAAGCCGCAACACACGGTGTTATAATCGCTTTAGCGGTGATTGCTGACGCAGAAAAATTGAGGGTGAGTACTGTACGCAAGCTCTGCCAATGCAAAACCGATATTGGTTCTCAACAATTATTGCTTACTGAGTTGTATTAGCACTTTAACACTTCGAATACTTACTTTGGATTTGTTGCTCGATCAACCTTGACCTACTATGACATAATCAATGCACTTTAGACCACAGACGAGTTCTTTCATTTGATAACCGACATCGTCATGCTATATACCAAAATGTAGCCAAGGCAATGTATTTCTTATGGTAATGGTTATCATCTTAGCTTTTCCATATACATCTAAAACGTAAGGGATGTTTACGCTAGCGATTTGGTCATAGCTCGAAGTTCGATCAAAGCTTGGGTGTACCCGATATATGCCAGTTGATGCAGAAGAACCTAGAGAAAAGATATGTTGAGTTTCGGAATTTTCTGTACGCGAATTTTTTCTTAATTCCCAGATTTTGTTATGCTAACAAGTTATACAATATTTTTGTTATACAACTTTTAAGGGATGTATCGCCGAATATGAAATAAATAATATTATTAGTACTTTTGACGCTCCTTGAATATATATTCATGCATTTTTCGTCAAATATCACGTTATTATGCTGTTACACATTACTTTATGCATGCCCAACCTGAAATCGCCCGTTTGCCAAAGCCTGAAAAAAGAGTAAAAAAATAATTCGTGTCAAGTGTCCCCCGTTGGGTCAATTGTCCTTATTTGCGCATGCTTTTTTCCAATTTGAGTTATTTTAAATCACGGGTCCCGCCAAGACAATTGAGATGCCAACCCGTTCCACGCGTTCTGTGGCATTTCGTAACTTTAGTTTTGACGTGTTCAAAAAATTGGTGAATGAAATTTATGGAAAACGTCGAAATTTGGAAATTGAAGTGAACAAGGACTAGAAATTTGATGCGTTAAGGTCATAATGTTTTCCCAACCGCCAGGTAACACTTAATAGAGAATTTTACTCTTCTTGCTTTCTAGGTCCTCCACAATTCCCTCAACAGCCTGGCTTTCCACCAAGTCAGCCCCAATATCCAGTTCCAACAAGTCAACCACAGCCCCCGAATGGTATTGCTTGTATTATTCGTTGAGATCTAGGGTTGTTAATTTGACGGATTTTTTCAATCTGACGTCAAATTGGCGTCGATTTCGTTATTTTGATCAAATTGAAAATCCTGAAAGACGAGGGTGTTTTGATAATTAATAATTCGTTTCCGAAAATTTATAAAACTACAAAAAATTTAAAAAAATTTATGACAAAAATTAAGCCGGTTTGACAGTGACTGACGCGTCAAATTGACAGCTATTAAGTTTACTTTAAAGGATTTTGATTATTTTCTCGTTTTAAGGATATTTCCCACAGAACCCTGGACCACCTCAGAACTTTGGCCCTCCATCGATGTCTGGACCTCTGGGTTTCCCCTCTGGTCCAAGCGGTGGCCCTGGAATTGCACCCGGTCCTCCAGGAATGCCGCCAATGGGTGTTATGCCCCCTGGCCCACCTGGAATGAGACCACCTTCTGGAATGCCAGGAATTCCCGGTCCTGCTGGTATGCCTCCTGGCCCACCTGTAATGGGACTTTCTTCTTCTGGAACGCCAGGAGCTGCCGGTCTTGCAGGTGTGCCTCCTGGCCCACCTGGAATGGGGCTTCCTACTGGAATGCCAGGAATTCCAGGCCCTGCTGGCATGCCCCCAGGCCCACCGGGAATGCAACGGCCACAACAGAGATTGGATCCGAATGCAATGCCATCAATCGTTCAGGTTGTACAAGACGATCGAGCGTTATATTCGGACACAGCTTTCCAAACGGGTTTCACGGAAGCTGCTCTCCCTCCCCTGGTAACTACAGAGTTTACTGCTTATGATACGGGTACGTGTTAAATTACTACTTACGCATTCTGATTTTAGGTAATGCTAATCCTAAGTTTATCAGATCATCGGTATACACTATGCCTGTCTCTAACGATATGATCAAGAGCTACCAACTTCCCATTACACTTTCTCTGACGCCCTTCGCTGAATTGAACCCTAATGAGGTATGATAAAACGAACGTTAACTTATCCGCTGGTTTAGCTCCAACCACCAATTGTTGATTTGGGTGAATTGGGACCAATCAGATGTCAAAGATGCAAGGCGTATATCTCCTCATTCATGGAGTTTATCGATGGCGGTCGGCGATTCCGTTGTCCTTTCTGTCACGCCACTACTCCCGTGGAAGACGCTTACTTTGCTCATCTGGATCATACTGGAAAAAGGACTGATGTCCAGCAACGCCCAGAACTGATGTATGGGTCATACGAATTCGTTGCGACGAAAGCTTACTGCAGTAACAACTTACTGCCACTGGAACCAGCTTTTGTTTTCTTGCTTGATGTTTCATATAACAGCGTCAGATCGGGTCTTTTGGAAACCTTTTGCTCAAATATTCTCGACATCTTGAAATATCTACCGAAGTAAGTGGAATTGTCATATTTATTAGCTTTTTTTTAGAGACATAAATGCGGAAAAGCCTACGATTAAAATTGCTCTGGCCACTTACGATCAGCAGATCCACTTCTACGATCTTTCTTCTTCTAATCAAACTCATATGTGTGTGGTATCGGATATCGAGGATGTATTTGTGCCGTTTGTGGAAGGCTTCTTTGTTGATTATGAAACTGCTGCAGCAAATCTTGAGAGATGCCTGAGGGATATTCGTCAGACTTTCTCTGATACGAGAGTGACTGAGACAATTTTGGGACCAGCTATAAAGATTGGACTGGAATCTTTGAAAGCCGCTAGAAGGAGTGGAAAACTTTTTGTTTTCCACACTAATCTCCCCACAGTTGAAGCTCCGGGCAAACTAAAGAATCGTGAAGATCGAAAGCTTTTGGGAACTGACAAAGAAAAGGTACGTTAAATGTTATCTAACAGTTATGTTTTGATTTTTAGCAAGTATTGTCCCCTGGAACAGAATATTATGGAAGGTTAGGTGAAGAATGTGTCAAGCACGGAGTCGGGGTCGATCTCTTTTTCTTCCCCAATGCGCACATTGACTTGGCCTCGATTGCGCCAGTTGCCACTATAACCGGGGGGTCAATATACAAGTATCAATATTTTGACGTAAGTTTTTATGATTGCGATGGATACTAATTTTTAGGCCCATCGAGATGGAAAACGCTTTCTGTCGGATCTCAAACGGGATGTTTCTCGAGTTATCGCTTTCGACGTGATGATGAGGGTCAGAACGTCTACGGGAATTCGGCCGACAGGATTCTTCGGGTCTTTCTTCATGCAAAATGTGACGGCCATTGAAATGGGAACCCTAGATGCCGATAAATCACTTCAAGTGGAGATAAAATACGATGACAAATTAAATGAGAATGATCGAGCTTACATCCAAGTTGCTACTCTTTTCACTAGTCCAAATGGCCAACGACGACTCCGTGTCCAGAATCTGACATTAAAGGTGGTCTCTGATCATGCTGAGCTCTTCAGGAATGTAGATTACACAGCTGTGGTCACTCATATGTTTAAACTTTGTATGTTTAATTTCGTTATAATAAGTTCTGTTTAAGGTGAAAAGATTGTCCGAGAACAAAGTCCCAAAGATATGCGTGACGAATTGATTAATGCATCTGCCAAGATACTGGCCGGATATCGAGAGAAGTGCTCTGATGGAGCTCCAATTGGTCAACTCATCTTGCCCGAAGCTCTGAAACTATTGCCATTATTTGCATGTTGTATATCAAAGAGTGACGCCCTGGTTGCGGGTGGTGAGATTACAGTCGATGACAGGGCCTGGATGATGAATCTGGCCAGATCTATGAGGCCAGACGACGTCATTAGATATCTTTATCCTTCGGTTTATCCCTTAACTCAAGTGAATGTGGAGAGTATACGAGAATCATTGCCAGTTTCGGTCAGAGCCAGTTTCCAATATTTCCAACAAGAGGAAGCATATCTGGTTGACAACGGAATGATTGCTTTCATTTGGATTGGACCTCAAGTCAATAAGGATTGGCTCCAAAATGTGTTTGGAGTGCATGCAATTGAGAATCTGGATTCAGAAAAGGTAAACGGGATGGGATGTTTTAATTTTAATATTGATTTTTTTAGTCCGACGTTCCATTGCGTGATAATCCGGATTCCCAAGCTCTGCACGCTCTTCTTGAACGTCTTAATCACCAACGTCCGCGAGTGCTGAAAGTGGTGCTAGTCAAGGCTGGAGACGGATTGGAATCGTGGATGAAGAAGTTCCTGGTCGAAGATAGATATGGCCAGAACAGTGTGAGCTACGTGGACTATCTTTGTGATGTGCATCGAGTCATTAGACAATTGATTTCGTAGATGGTATAACAGAACTATAATTTAATGTAACTCTAATACTCTGTTTATTTATTTTGTACACCAAGTAAATGATAACTGTGATCAAGGAGCTGTTTCGCAATGACTTTCTTTTAGATTATATATTTTTTTAGCCAATAAATATTGTTGCATATTTAAATATGGCGTCTATTGTGATGATAATGCGGGCTTAAGCTATTTAAACGCAGTCTACCATTACGGTTTACTGTTCGGGATGCTGAGATTGCTGCTAATTTTTATGAAAGTGTTATTGTGCAGCGCATGGTTTGACGCTTTACCCATAAGTAAATCACAATCAACAAAATCTATAATATTTCAGCGATTACCTGGAAATTGAGATGCAGTCAGATACCTTACCGATCAGCATACATCAGTGGATATTGCTTTGTTTATAAGGACGCAGGACATTATAACTGCTCCACTGTGAAAGAAACCGCCTCTGGGCTTTATGCCCCCAAACTTGTATCTCTCAGTTCGGTGGAAGAACGGATTGTTAGTCACCTAAAGAAAATTAATATCTTCAGTTCGGTGAATGAACAGGATCTATGCGTTTTAAGTAAGCGGTAGTGGAAGAAGCATTATTCTGAGTGCATGTTTTTAGATATGGGATTCCGTTGTCCCAGTGGATATGATTTGTTTGAAGATTTTTGTTATAAAGCCTTCAAAGACAAGAAAACTTTTGCAGAAGCAAGATCTGTGTGCCAAAGCGATGGTGGAGATCTGCCAGAGGTACACAGTGATACCGTAAACGCTCGTCTTGCAGGTAAAATACTCTCCAAATCATATCGATTTCTTAGAGTATGTGTATTACAATACAAAATCACCGATTTGGCTGGGGATTCATATAATTGGAAGCTATTGGAACTACGACCGAAAACGAGTGAATAATAATCACAACCACGAACAACCGTACTATTTCAGATGGATGTTCCAGGATTACGGTAGGTATTGCGATTTGATTTTACATAAAATACAGGGAATACACACGCCGTTCTCGACTATGGAATTTATGCGGGCTATTGGAGATCTTTAAAACCCACGGAATCCCATTCATTCGTGTGCCAAATACGAGCTTATTGAAAGCGATCTTTAATAAAACAATAACAAAAACAACATCCTAATAAGACCTAAATGAGATTATGGTTCCACCTCCATTTCCCTTTCATAACTTCGGGCGATGGGATGACACTGGTGCAACATATTTGTCCTTGTACTTCACATATACATTGCCGAGAACATTTACTCCCAAACTCGGCAGGATTGTGATCTTGCATTCTCTCCAGAAATTCCCTCTTCTTTACCAATTCCGTCTTCCCTAATGTACTTTGAATAATATCCGTGATTTCATCCTTCGTTTTGGACTCCAAATCGAACATAACCTCACGTCCATCTCCTAAACATATAAAGATACAAGCTACATTGCTTTGCTTACTTAAAAATGCTTGGGCATAAGGAGTAATGCTAATATCGGACTTTTTTAACAGTTGAATTTGAGGGTTCTTGTATTGGAGCTGCCCGAAATGCCAAAAAACAAAGTCTCGAGCTCCTTGTTGTTCTTGAGTGGGTTTTCTGTGAAATCCAAAGAACAATATATCCACGTCATCCCGAAGTATTACCTTTCCCTAAAATTAGATAAATCATCAATGCCTAGCCAACCCACCTGTTGCAGATAGTAAAAGGTTCGCCTTACAGGCATACTCCCTTTCATAAACGGCATCTTGAAGTGTGGACGGAACTAACAGAACAAAACAAAGTCTACTATAAAACAATATAAACCGTTATGATTAATCCAATATATTACCAAAAACTAAATAATTACCGGTATCAAACCGATAAAGTTAAACTCTTTTCAAACTACAATATTTATTAAAATGTCACACAAATAATGGAATAACTTAACAATTCATACTGGAGAGATGCAATATCTTATTAAGCCCGCTTTAAAGATCGGAACTGCTCGTAGATTTCTTTAATCTGGGGATGGATCTGACTGTTGGAGAAGACTTCAGAATGCAAAAAATGGCTACGTTCCCAGATAATTTCCAGGTTCTGAAACGGAATAGGCGTTTCTAAACATGGACTCACATTCAAGAAGAATTGCTTAAACCTTCCCAAAACAAAATCCAGTTTGAGTTGGAAATCATCAGAGCCATCATCCATCCCCTGATTGGACTCGTTTATCAACTCAGACAAAGAGTCGGTAAATCTGTGAGTGATCAGGAGGATAACTTCATTTATCCCTTTATCCAGATCTTGCAATTCCTGTTTACGCTCTTCGATTACTGAATCCACATCTTCGAATTCTCCGGCCTCATCAACCATCTAAAAACGAGCCCATCCAATTCTTATACTCTCTTACCTGGAACTTCTTTTGTCTCTCTGATTGTTGCTTTAACAGTTCAATTTCGTTTTTGAGTACTTTTAATTGGCAGAAAAGCCGGTAAACAGCAAGATTTACCAATTCCCATGTCCAATTCCGGTAAAACTCCTCCCTGAGATCTTCGGAGAAGATCCACGTTACGAGAGAAATTGGTTCTACAATCCTCATCTTCAATAATTTATCGCCTAGCACAGATAACATCTGCTTGTGTCTAATCCAGGCATCATAAACTGTTCTTAAAACAACTCCTTGCATCTCTCGATTATTATAACATACGGTGCGGAAGAGTTCGACATACCTAAAAATAAAACAATCAACATATTCAAAACTTACTTTGTAAATGCGGCAAACGTGTGACTAAAAGTTTTTGAAGCAATGTTCAACACAACCGAAGTAAACACGGACACGGCTTCTGGGTCATAGAGAACATTATCCCCCGAGGCCAAGCGTTCTTTTTGGAGATCCAATAGAATATCTTCAGAAGTTTTTCTGGCCTTAATGGCATTACTAAACAACGTAGCTTGTTCGAAGAGCGGGTGATCCGAGTCATCCATAACATAAGAGATGACCGGCTTGGCTGGGATCAATGGTTCAAACTCTTCTGGCAATATCTGTGTCAACTTCTCGTGATATGCCAAACGAAGACACTTCTCAAACACCTCGCGGACAAAAATCTGTCTCTTGTCGAATGCAGACAACTAAGTCAGAACGTAAATACAAACTATATGTCTTACTTTCACGCTTTCTGTCCATTCTGACCATGACCACCGAAACTGGAAATTGGACAGATGGAAACTGAACCAATCGACCATTCGGTCCAAACAGGCTGGATGAAGATATTTACATCTCTGGTACAACAACTCGGCTGCTTGTGCCAACACTTGAGGCATCGATGAAGACTCGGCTCTGCATAATTCTAATAACAAAGACCCGTAGAAAAGCTCAAGGTGGGGAGAATTTGGAAGGCGGAACAACTGACTGAACACCACTTCAATGATCACATAGTTAATGGGGACAGTGTCTCTCTTCTGATAGGAGAGCAACTCGTTCGCACTAAAACATAGTAACTATGTAGCCAAGCGAAAAAGACGATACCATAACTTAAAGTTGAGATAGTTGTTATCAATGATCCAGCTGATGTCTTCTTCAACCAGAAACCTGTCAATAGAATTAGATGGCGGCAGAGAAGGATCATTTTCTGGGCAGTCTGCCTCATCGAACAATCGGAAAACAACACGAGGAAGCGGATAATCAGATCGATCCTCATCAAATTTAGGAAACTCAATTCTAAAACACAATAACATAAATATAAACTTAGTCTGGGAACCGCGCTGAAACATACTTACATCGGAAGATTGTGGGCGATGGCTTGGTTTAAGACCGAATCAAATCCAACATAAAACCTGCTGACACTCTTTTCGAGCCAATTATCTTCTTTGAGACGATTCAGTTGGCCCCAGAGAGAATCCAGGTAATCTTCTTGTTCATGAATTGCGCTAGACTCCCATACACCCAAAATCTTCAAATGATTTTTAGGTCTGATTTCCAAGTATTTCCTAATGGATAACAGAATCTCATCCAAAGCCGATCGGTTCTTTTCAGCCAACGCAGCTCCAACCCAGGGTAGAGAATGCATGACACAGTAAACGTAGAAATCATTTAACAACTAAAAGAAAATTAAACAGCAGTTATAACAACTTACATTAACTTCGGTTGTGTTATCTAAAATACCCAAGAAGAATTCAGACACGGAATCAGCTGTGAGTACATAACTGTTAACAAGATCACCAAAAAATGTTACCTAAAAAACAAATAAAAAAAGCAATACGCAACATACAAGTCGAACAATAATTGCCCACTCTCCAGCTACCAAACGATTCTTGAGATCAGAAACAAGACGTGAGACCAACTGAAATTAACCAAGTATAAAGGTAAGTTAGCAGTGTTAATTAGTCAAAACATACATTATCCCCAAATTCATTGTTCTTCTGATTAAGTAATCCAGCCAGAGTAGAATAAACACCCATTCTTTCGGGTTTGTATGCCACACAATTCGAGAGACAGTCGATTATATCGTTTTCATAAGACTGCAATTTGTCACTTAGCTCAGACGACAATGCTTCCAGACTGGTTTCAATAGACGTGTTTTCATGAAGGCCAGCATTCGCTATTTTATCCAAAAGCTCATTGCCGGTATCTTGACCATCCCCACCGATTACACGGCGTCTTTTAGGACCTCTCTCGTCTAGAACAATCTCAAGAAAAAAAGAAATAAACTTACCATCTGAATTATGTCTTCTTCTCCTGTCCATCGTTACAATTGGCTTCACTTGATGTACAATTTTACAATTTTTCTATTTATAAAACACGCCGATTTATTTTCCTCTACAATTGTTTTTTTTACGAAAAAAAGTTCGTGTCAAGTGTCTTCCTGGCCCTTTAGGTCAACTGTTTTCCTCTCTAGAAACCTACCGTATCATGGCGGAAAGAGAGTCAATCATCGCAGAAACTGCACAAAGCAAAGAACAGCTGGACTCAGGTAGATTCGTCCAAGAAACTTTTTTCAGACCATCTACCTTAACCTTTCAGTCAATAGAATTGTAGTTTTTTCATGCACTGTCCGATGGGCATGAAATTTTTTACTTGCCATGATCGTCTCGGGTGTAGCCGCCGGTTTCGATGGTGCTGATTTTGAAAACCATTTCTTTTTTCTGTTCTTTACTTTTTTCTTAAGTAGTACTGTTAAAAAGTAATTTTTGAAACTTTTATTTGATTTACGGGTTGTTCGGGGCCCCCAATTAGGAGTGCTGATTTCGAAAATCGTGTTTACCGAGATATACCGGGAAAATTAATGAGACAAAACATTTTAATATACAAAGTCAACGGCGTGCCCAATTTAATTTATTTCAGTTGCACAATGATGACAAAAGAAAGGCGAATTTGAAAACCTTAAATAAATTTATTACTTTGAATAGGACCACAGTTTTCTTTATGTTTATTTACTCTCGTTCTTCTTCTTCTTGAGGTCTGCAGCGTGTTTCTGATGTTCTTCAATATCCTTCAGCATCATCTTGCCCATCACCTGAAAGAATGGACGTTTCGTAGATTATTTACCTGATGAATAACACTTTTGGGAACCATCCCTTTGAAATCAATGCAATGCATTATCTCTACGATCGACTTGTCTTTATCCTGGGGATGGCTCCTGAACTTCCCTCCTCCCAATTTAATGATTGCGCGGACTCGATCTCCTGGTTTCGGAATTCCGGGAGCGTCCACTGAACAGCCGCTTGTATAGATAACACCATCTACTTCTCGTTTTATCCTCATGGATACAAAATCCCGCCCAGAAACCATAAGAACCGGGCCATTCCCATACTAAAAGCAGGAGATAAAACCTCGAATATCTCCTCACATGAACAATATTTATGTTCTCCGTAATGCGAACGAGGATTTTACAGAACTCGACATGAGTATTCCATTCAGCCATTTGCTCCACGCCATGCCAATTGTCGTCCATCAACGTCTCGAGGTCGACGTCGACTTCAAACTGTAATCCAAACCTTGAAACCCGACCACATTTTACCTTGGCGCAATATAACTTCCCATGTCTGGTGTTGAGGGAATGTACAGCTCCTGATTGATCTTCTGCTTCCTTCTTCCAGCCTCTCCGGGAATCGAATCCAGGGTCTTGGAAGATGGAATAAATCTCATGGAATCCACTAACACCCATTTCAAAGGCATCTGTGTACTGAATAAGTGGAGGGAATGATTTAGATTTCATATTCAGTGAAGACACATATGTAAAGATTACCTCTTTCAAATGGTCTGGCAAGTTCTCAGTGACACCCAGCAGATTAATAGACATTGCTCAATTTAATAAACTTCCTATTTACATACAGGGAAAGGTTAAATGAAAATAGAATGTAAGCATAAAAGACGAAGTTGTTATTTTGTTAATTAGAAGGGTTTCCAGGCAATATGGAAAAGAGATTGGAGTGAATAATATTTAAAACAGATAAAGAGGTCGGAACGTCTCCTCTGAAAGAATACAGAACTAAAAAACCGTTTCTTTTATTTCCACTTTACAGGTGATAACGTGTTAACTTTTGGGAAATAAAACGGATTCATATTTGGTGAGGCGATCCAAGACAATACCGTATTGTTCAACAGTGGACTCGTAAATCGCGTCGATCATCTTTTTCTTCTCTTCGGGATTGTCCTTGGCCGAGACGATAGCCAGTTCTTGATCCGTGAGGACGGTTCGTAACTTGGAGGAATCCCGGCTGGATTTGTTAAATGGGATTGCGATCCTCTTCCTAACATCATTTTCAAACGATTCTTCGTCTTCTGGATGACTGGTCTGTACATAAAAGTATCGTAGTAATTCGTATACCCGTCTTGCTTGGACCTGAACACATTCTGATATTAATCCTGAGAAGACACCGATTTACCTTTCCAATTTTGGTCTTTTCCCGCATTTTATCCTCGAGTTCCTTCGAGTATCCCTTCTTCAGCACTTCAAATCCAAATTCCTCCATTGGTTTCATCAATTTACAGTCCAAAAAATCTCGGGAATAGATAAAAGTATCGGCCGGGGTCTCGGCTAAACCATTTCTTATAAAACAAATAAAAGAAAGAAGAATATATTAATTACATTCTATACATACCTGTGATGTCGAATACCTTTTCATCACGCCGTAGATCATCATAAACCATTTCCAGGAACTTGTTCCCGAGTCCAGAGCGCCTGTAAGGAGGCAATACCAAGGCCTGGGCAAATCGAGGTCGCTCTTTATCCGGATAATGATAAAAATTGTAAAGACAGACATATCCAGCCAATGCCATCGTCGGCTCCTTCTCGTATATAAAGTAGTAGGTAAACCTTGGGTCCTCTGGATCCGTATAGCTGGCAGATTCGATAAAATACAAGGATAGCGTCTGAACTCGGGCAAGGTATTGATCAAAACCTTGCTTGCGGTCATCGAATGTTACTCTATACAATTCGTATTTCTTGTTTCTCCATTCGAGATCGGCGACTTTCTTTCCAAATGGGACAAACTCCTTCTGCCTTTCACAGAGAGCCTTGAAAGAGGCCACATTCGTGATCAAAGAGTTGGTCTGACCAATTGGATATTGATTTCTGATCAAAGTGACAATATCATCTGGCTCGATTGTGTTATCCACTTCAGTAATATCTCCAGTATGATCGACTTTAACATAAGAATACATTGTCAGATTTGAATAAACAACATTGACTTCAAGGTCTTTGAAACCAACAATCTTTTCACTAAACAAATTGAAATATTACCTATTTTGGAACTTACGCCTGATCAAAGTGTTGATAGGCAAAGTCAATATCATACTGGGCAGCATTAACAATGTCACAGTTATTATCAACTAAAAAGTAAGTTTAAAATGTTAGATTCCTTACCAAATTTCAATTTCACACATTCCAAGGCATCAGACACATATGGCGCAAATTTCTGATTTGAAGATTCCTGCTTAAACATTATTGAAGACAAAAATCGGCAAAGAGTTAAAGAATATTCAGAATATTTGAGGTATGACACAAAAACTGATGCAAAAATAAGCAAGCGTTCACAACCGTCTTTGTACAGCGCGGCTCACGGCGGTTTCGCACAACAGAAAAGCGGAAACTTTGTTTCGTTCTTTCTTGAAGCGAGTGCGCAGCTCGCGGAGGCCAAAAATGACTGTTTTTTACTGTAACTTTTAAACTAACAGTCGAAAAAAAATCGACCAGGGATTTAGAAAATACAATTTGTTTTTTATAGGTTCTAATGCTTCCTCTACATCTTTGAACGGGTTTTCTTCCTTTATTTAATTAAAATACGGCCTGATGGCTGTCTGAATTGATTTAAGTAAGCATGTTAACTGTTACCTCATTTGACGATTTTAGAAACCTTAATGTACATTCTGAATTAATTATTGGTCTGAAAAGATCAATAAAATTGTATTTTTAATACGAATTACATCACACTTCTGACTATACGGTACAATTTCAAAAATGTTTCATCGTATACCTTCCTCTGCAAGCTGCGCGTTTTTTTGTTTTTTCCCACCACCAAAGCGAACTTTGAAAAAAAGAGGAATAAATTTTTTTTATTTTTGGCGCCTAAAGGAAGAGTTGACACATTAGTCATTTCTTTCTCGACGAAGGAAAATCTTTTTTTTTGGCAATAACTGGAAGTTCTAGGAAGTATCGAGAATGGCTTATAACTCCGATCTATTCGGCCCTCCAAAGCCAGGTTTGTGTAAAATTGAAGACTTAATTTTAGTTTAGTAGGTTATCAGACGGCTCCAAATAGAATAAGCGGGAATGGAGACAATGAATTACTTGCAGCCGCTCAGCCCAAAGGCGATGATCCCCTGGCCACTGCTTGCCTTGGTGTTGCTACGTATGTTTACAGCTACATTTCTACATTTTATGTTCCAGAGTAATTAACAACGCGCTTATTACCCATCCCTGTACGGTGCTTCGTAGACAATGCCAAGTTCACCAATTTGCTCGAAAACAACATTTGACCCCCATTACTCTACTTCCTGTTGTTGTTCATATGGTCGGGAAAGACGTAAGTGAATATATATATATATATATATATTTATCTTGCTTTAGGGCATTTATACTTTATGGAAAGGATCTCTTGGCAATGGGGTGCTCTGGGCTTTGAGTCGGGTAACCGAGATTGTGATTGCCGATGCCTTCGGCCTTCCCAGATATATTATCCCTAATGGAAGCAGCCAAAAATACTGGCGGCATATTTATTTGAAAGCCGCCACCTTTGCTGTTTCTACCCCGTTTATCGTGGCTTCCTTTATTGAAACAGTCAGAGTAAGTTGCTTAAAATCAGAGAGTTTCTTCATAATTTAGAGCAGTATTGGATTTGGCTACGAAGATGCCAGGGTTTTTGATGTTATATACAACGGATTTGACCGTGTAAAACAAGATCTTTTTGGGGCTGTTGATACTAGTCGAAGAATTGGAGTGCAATATCTGATCGCACCAACCATGGGTTACTACACGTTACAATTTATGATTAAAGATTCTCTTTATAATAACATCTACTCAATGGCTCGCAGATATGTGGTGAGTATAATCTAATCTGCTTTTCATCATTAATCTTAGGGAAAGAAACCGGTACACGAGAGGACCAGGTTCCACATGATTATGCCCGAATTGTTCGCCGGAATGTCCTCTCTTGCTTTGACAGATCTTATTTGTTATCCCTTGGAGACGGTGCTCCACAGATTATATATCCAAGGCACCAGAACGCTGATTGATAATCTTGATACCGGTGCCTCAGCTATCTCGGTTACTGTAAAGTACACTGGAATTTTAGACTGCCTCAAATCTATTATTGAAAAGGAAGGATTTTGGGCGCTTTATAGTGTAAGTTCGTTTCAAATAATCAGTGTTGTTTTCTTTAGGGAGTCGGTGCAGTAGCATTACAATATGGCCTCCACTTCTGTGTGTTACGAACAATGCACATGATCTTTGAACATGCCAACAAAATCTTGAACGGGGGCCCCGCTCCACCTGGATACAACAGTACCAGTCCCGTAGGAATGAATGCTCCCTCAGCCCAATTTGCCGCTGCTTCCGGTCCCTCCTCGTTGGAAGAGTTATCTCGACCTTCAACTCAACCATTTCCAAGTTTCGCTCAGACCTCGCAAGCAGCCGAGAATGTACCTTGGAATGTGAACACATCGGTCCGTTCTCTTCCATCGGAACCTCTTTTCCCATCCCCAAGACATGATCCGGTGTCCTTTTAGGTTTTATTATAATATTACACTTCGATAAAGAGCTAAAAAACAGCTGATCACAGATTCGTAAGGTGCAATACTCAGACGGAGGTCACTTCCATAATACCGGATGATAAGGAAGGGAGGGTTGTGTCCTGCAAAGATACGACTTTTCTTTTCTAAGGACTTACCTCTTCATCGTTCTGCAGCAATACTTGGGCGTTGTATCTACAGTAATACTCTGTCCACAGTTTTGTCATTATGGGGGAATTGGATTGGAAAAAGTTTATGTCGATTTGACCGGTTGGATCGTATATATCATTCTCAAATTCTGACCTTTTCTCCATCACATACGACCATAGAGACACTGTGGTCGACTTGACATCCTATAGTCTGCGTGTTATACGTACAACTCAACATACCAGATCCCTCCGTTCCTTTTCGCTATTGTATAAAAACGTTCCAAATCTACATGCGTACAGCTCATCCAAAATCGTTTTGAGTAGCTTTACATTGAATTGGAAAGTGGGGGTAAATATATTGTATAACTGCCACACACAGTCAATGAATTGCAGGAAAATAGGAGACCGTTCTTCATCACTATGCTTATCTTGACCATGTCCGACTCTCTGAATTCATAAATGTAATATCAAATCTTTTCTTACATGTGCGAACTTGTGGCCACAACTGCACCATTCCTTTTCAATCAACACGGCGAACCCTTCTATTGTTCTGTAATAAGGATCTATCATTAACATGGCCAGTGCCGTCACTTGAGCGGTTCTATCCCAACCATCGCTACAATGCACAAGAACCGATTTCCGATGAATTAGCACGTCTTGAGCACATAACCGAGCTCCATGAAGGATTGTTTGGAGATGATATAACCACTTGGACTCGTCGATTAACTTGTAGAAGTTCTTGTGATCGATCTTGGGGAAGCATGCGTCCTTTACCTTCTTGAGGCTATCTCTGACCACATGGATGTTTTCTATATTCAGAAAGACGAGATCACAGTTCCGGTATCCATCCTCGTATCCCCCTCCTTTTGCTCTGTTCACGCGTGCATTCACAAGAGGTCTGGCGTCCAGAATTTTGAGCCGGGCGTTCCGTCTGTTTGCATCAAGTATACATTGCAACATCCTAAAAAAATTTTCTGATGATTTGTTCTTACTTTTCATCACTTGAAGACTTCTTAGATGTCACTCCAACCATTGGCTGAGCACAGCGAGTGATACTGACAGTGGTGTTATGATCGTACCAGGATAGAATCTAAGATTCAGATATAATTTAGACGTTGAGAGACTTACAGGGATTCGTTTTTTACTTCTAAATTCTCCCACAGAATGCAAAAAGCCATCTCCCAAGTGTAGCGCTGACGTTGGCACCATTAACTAGAATCTTAAGAGGTCTAAAAATGCATAAACTTCTTACGTATGCCGGATATGTCGAGGAAAACTCGTAATTGGAATTGATCTTGGTCACATCCCAGAGAGAAGTGGGGACCTCCATTCTCTGATACTCTTTTTTAGGGTTGTACAAGGCCCATCCATCGAATGCAAACGTCTGGTTGTACAGGGTAGCAAAGAAAGGCTGAAATATGATTAAATTGATGTTATCGTATTACCATTTTGTTAGTGTTAGGAAAGGCATATCGCTGTAGATGGTCGTATAAAGGCCTTCTAGAATGATTTTCGGGTCGATGCAAGAAAATTATGTTCCTTGTATCCTAAAAACAAAGACTGTTTGCCAGGTCTGTGCGTGCCCTACCTTACAATGCACTTCAATACCATAATGATCCTTATTTACATTCGAATATCCCTTCTTTTCTACCTTGGATATACTTCCCAAGGTTACATCAACGGTCGTCCCATCAGTCCCTTCAAATCTGAGACGATAGTTTGTAACAAAAGCCCTTCCGAAGATCTTCTTTTCGTTCGTTTGCAGTGCCAGATCGTCTTCTAAGCCAAAAATAAACAGTATAAATCAACATACCCTGCATTTTGATCTCTTCATTGGTCAATAACCAGTTAAGTCTTCTTGGTGTTGGACTATTCATTCTTTTATAATATCCGTTATGAGCCCCAATAGTCTAAAAATGATAACATTTATACAAAACTCCGTTAAATCGAAAGCAAAAAATCCCTCTTACCTGGAATATCTCTTCTTTCATGATTGCTGCTTCGAGATTATTTAATCGACATAGCTACGGATCCACTAAAACCCCAAAGAGAGGAATTCGTAACTTATGGTGGGAGTAACTTTTTAGAAGTTTTCAGACTTTGCACAACAATTAATCCCAATTGAAAAGCGCTTTTTTAGCTAATCTTCTCAATTATTGATTGAAATTTTTTAACACTTCGTTACAAAAACACGGTCCAACAAATATTATCGCCTCTCACTTTTGAGGACATCGGGTGATTGGGTGAATAGTAAATAAGAAGGAGGGAATAGAACTCTATCTGCACCACCTAAAATAATTTTTGCAGTTTTTACCGTTTGCAAGATATAGCCACCTTAAGTATTCAACAATTGCAATCTTTGCCGTGGTCTAACCGACTTATAATAACGAAAAATCGCATGAAACTTGGAAGTCAACATTGAAACATTCTTATCAAACAGTATGCAAAAAATCGCGGCACATTTACTACTCGGCTGAGGAGTTATACATCAATCTTTCCCCATAACAAAAATCAGTTCCCGGCTTTTTGGCACTTTTTGGCATTCTGCAAATGGGAAAAATAAATATAAAAAATTCATGAAGATTTATATATTTTATCAATTATAGTGTCTTTATGTAATAATTTAGACTTTGATGGTTCATACCCATGTCATTTGGCAACTTGCCGACGTCTAAAGGAACTTTTGGCTAGGAAACGGGACTTGGAAGGCGAGAAAATCGTTTTTATAAAAAAAATATTCTTTGGAAATTCTTTTATTTTGCAGAATGCCAAACCCCTTTTCATTTTCGTGGTGAGACAAAAGACTGCAAGCGAGATTAATTGTTGTGTTGGGAGGAACACTTGACCAATGAAAGAGGCGACTCAGTGAATCATTTTTATTTTTTCTATGGAGAGCTCTTGTAAGAGCTTGGTATCTTCGAGTTCTTCGATCTCAACATGGCCACTCGATTGCCAGCATGTGTGATCGACAACGGCAGTGGATATACAAAGCTGGGATATGCAGGGAACACCGAGCCTCAGATGATCATTCCGTCGGCTATTGCTGTCAAAGATCAACGACAACAATTTGGAAGCAAAATCGGGGATCTTGACTTCTTTATTGGAGACGAAGCACTATCTCCTTCTGCTGCTAATTACTCTGTAAAGGTTAGCTGAAGTTATATTTTTTTATATTTAATTTTAGTATCCAATTAGGCATGGAATCGTTGAAGATTGGGATTTGATGGAAAAGTATTGGTCTCAATGCATCTTCAAGTATTTGCGAGCAGAGCCAGAAGATCATTACTTCCTTTTAGTAAGTTAGGTTGATTTTATTATTTATTTTAGACGGAACCTCCACTTAATACTCCGGAGAATCGCGAATATACAGCCGAAATTATGTTCGAGTCCTTCAATGTGCCTGGGCTTTATATCGCCGTCCAGGCTGTCTTAGCGTTAGCAGCAAGTTGGCAATCAAGGGCCGAGAATAACTTGACGGGACTTGTAATTGACTCAGGAGACGGAGTCACTCATTGTATCCCTGTAGCTGATGGCTACGTTATTGGATCTTGTATTAAGCATATCCCCATTGCTGGTAGAGACGTTACTTACTTTATACAACAAATGCTTAGGGAAAGGGAGCTCAACCTTCCAGCTGAACAATCATATGAAGTAGCCAAAACAATTAAAGTAAGAAAATTGGAGATTGACAAAAAATTTAATTTCTTTCAGGAACAATATTGCTATGTCTGTCCTGATATCCAAAAAGAATTTTTTAAATACGATTCGGATTACTCAACTTACATGAAGCAATACGTTGGTGTGAATAATATAACGAAGCAGCCTTTCAAGGTTGATGTTGGATATGAGAAGTTTTTGGGTCCAGAGATCTTCTTTCATCCTGAAGTGAGTATTCTGTTAATGTCATATTTTAATTTATTTAGTTTGCTAACCCCGACTTTACCACATCTCTTTCGGAGACCGTCGATTCCGTCATCCAGCAATGCCCGATCGATGTCCGAAGAAGTCTTTACGAGAATATTGTTCTTTCTGGCGGCTCTACAATGTTTAATCATTTCTCCAAAAGACTGCAAAGAGATGTGAAGCGAGTGTCTGATCAGAGGTTGTTACTGAGTGAGCAATTGTCTGGAAATCGAGTAAAGCCGAAGCCAATTGATGTGAATGTGATCTCCCACAAGATGCAGAGATACGCCGTCTGGTTCGGAGGGTCCATGCTGGCCTCCACTCCCGAGTTTTATCAAGTTGCTCACACAAAAGAAGAGTATATGGAGAAGGGAGCAAGTATTTGTCGGCACAATCCAGTCTTTAGTGCTGTAACTTATTGATTTCTTATTTTGTATCGTATTTATTTGAACTCTGAATAAAATGAACCTGTTTTTTAGAAGAGAAAGCAAGATAATCTGAGGTAAATGTCACCAAAAGTATTGCACGTGTTCATATAACTGTACGTGTTTCAGAAATGTCCTTGGAATTGCCCGTCCGAAGATACGATAAGAGTCTGTTTGTGCAGACACAGCAATTGCAGAATAAAATCTCCAAACAAAACCGGGTACAAGGGAGTCAGGCCATTTCTTTGGGTGGAAATGTAGGTGCAATTGTATTTCTTTTTAATCTCCTTTAGGTAACTTTAATGGAAAATGTAACTGTTCGAGGGGACCTGTGCACTGTTCAAGTGGGAAACTTTTGTTTTTTGGAGAAGAATGTGGTAGTGAGACCTGGCCGGAAAAATTTCAAGGGTGGCATCAATCATTTCCCTATCAGAATTGGTCATCGTGTCGTAATAAAAGAAGTAGGTGGTCTTTTAATCAAAATATTATCTCATTCTATTCTCTGAGCTTGCTTTATTGTTATAGGATAGTGTTGTGAGTGCTGTGGAGATAGGTTGTTATGTTTACATTGGAAAGAACGTGATCATTGGGCAATGTTCCGTGATCAAGGACTGTTGTTACATCATGGATGACAGCGTCTTATCGCCCGATTCTGTGATTGCACCTTTCTCTATCGTCGCGGGTAACCCGGGTATGTCTGTCCTTATTTTTCATGTCTGGATTATAAGGAATTTCCCGAAAAATTACTGGAGATATTTTAGCCAAAGTGGTGGGTCAGATGCCAGTGAATACGGTGAACCTGATGACTGATCTCACAAACGAACTTTATTACAAATTCGTTCCTTCACTTCCGGGGGAGAGATGAGTTTTGTAAATATTTATTTACACTAATAAACACTGATAAAATTTCAATCATGATGACTCAAGCCAGCGGATAACTGGCCTTCGAGGCGATTCCACAGTGGTTGTTTCGGTTGCGGGCGATGCGAACGTATCCTTTCTCTCCCCATTCCTCTCCCCAGCTGTTCTTGACGATCCAGTAGTCGCCATGTTCGGGATCAGTTCCGTATCCTACTACAAGAACACCATGATCCAGCTGTTCTGGACTGCAATGTTTCTCGTAATAGACTCCAGTTTTGTAGAGTTGGAAGCTGCGATGGCCTGCATCAATGGCCACAGACACAGGTCCTTGCGAGGCCACAGCGGCCTTGAGTTGTTCCTCATCGGCTTCTGGGAGATCCACGAAGCCAGTGTCATCAGCGCCGACATCAGCCTTCTGGAAATGACACTTCTTCTGCTTGGCCTTGTAGGGGTATGACTCTTCGGTGTCGATTCCGTGGTTCTGCTTTACGTATTCGAAGGCCTTAAAGTGAAAATTGTTTCTCTTCTCAGACTTTACAACTTACAAAGTCCATAAGTCCACCATTGCATCCGTTGTTTCCAAAGTCCGCGGAGCAATCGACCAAGTTCTGTTCGGAGAGAGAGACCAGCTTTCCAGTGGCTCTCTTATGTTGACCTTCGAGAGATCCGGTGGCCGAGAAAGCCCAGCAGGATCCACACATTCCCTGGTTTTTGACTGGAGTCACGTATCCTTCATCTCTCCAATCAACGGCATCGGGGACTTCAAAGTTCAAGGGGGCTCGCCATTTGGTCGCATTTCTGGAGGCAATGTTATCACCAAAGGTACGACGGAATCCGTTAAGACGACGGTATTCAGCGAAAGGCTATAAATATAAAAATTAATGCTCATAGCTCAGGTAAAGTAATGCGTCTTTCCATATATCTTACCAGATCGGCGATATGGTTGATTCCGATCTTGAAGCTGACTTTTCCTTGGGCATAAGCGTCATTATGAACTTTAACGTGCTGCTTGGCCATCAAGAAGGCGAGCATTCTCTCATTTTCGATATCTTCGTTCTCAAATTCCTTCGAATGGAGATTTTTAAAAGTCTCCCAGTCCTTGTATCCCTTCTCAATGAGCTGTCTCAGACTACCTTGACTGTCTGGTTCTTCGATTCTGTCAAGGTTGTAACTGAAAACATTAGGTACATAAGATTACGCAACAAAAAGGTCTTTTTGCATCATCTAAACTTACCTTCCAAATTTGTGATGACGACTGGCCAAGGCCAATGTGGCCAGACTGACCAAGAGCAGCGTCTTCAGCATGACTTCAGACTACTGCCTAGGCCGGGAAGGCTCTTAATAAGTAGTTACTGACCTAATGGACATTTGAGAAGGGGGCGGAGCTTAGAGCTCATATGATCGACTGAGACCCCGGTGACTGACACCAACCGAAGACAAGGGTCTTATCGCCCATCAACAGGTCGTCTTTTATCAATCTTTTCCCTTTCAAAACTCATTTCTTCTCGAGGCTTGTAAACCTCCCGTACCGAGCACTTGACCCTATTTTCATAATTTTTATTTTGAGTCACCGAATAAAATGCAAAGAAACGGTGATTAGAGATAAAAGTTCAAAAAGAATAAAAGTTACTAACGCAAATTAAAAAGGCACAGGTCAACCTGTGCGCGACGAATAAAAGAAAAAGGAAAAGAGAGGTGACGATGTTACTGTCTAGGACACGTTAGATTCATCCGAGGCATAATCGTCCAGATCTAAGGCGACATGTTGTCGTAGACTCTGGATCTCCTGCTTCTTGGAAAAGCTGACTCCGCCTGCCTTTCTCCTCCGACCACCCAAAACCCCGAACTTCTGAGGTCTGACCTGTTCTGTCCTGGGTTTCCTGGCGATCCTCTCATCCTCCTCATCTCTCATTCGTCGCTCGTACCGTCATTGTGACGCCGAGGGAGTTTTCAAGATTCCTTCAGTTGGACTGGCTAGTCCCGGAGTGCTTGGCGAAGATAGATGGCCGGGATCTTCGCGAGAGACCAGTGGTTGCAACATGCTGATCTTCCTCTTGACTGTTTCTGCACTTGCAGCAGACGCTTTCCCTCCCTGTTTGTTGGATTTAAAGTCTTCCCACATCATATCCACCAGTTCTGCACACATTAACATCCCAGCATGTATAGTGAGCATCTTCAGAACGAACACTCCATCAATCTTGATGTAGTCTCGTACGAACTAATGAAACATTTTTTTGTTACTGTAACATTACCTCATTCAAAAGACGAGGACTGTTTTCTGACTTGGTTTGGAATTCGATATCAGCCAATTCGAGTCTTCGGGCGATGAATTTCTTTCTTTCTTCGAACGGGAGCGTGGAAACTGTCCAATTTATGAGTCCAAATAGGGTGGTTATAGCCAGAAAACAGTACCAAACCCAAAGAACAATGAAGATCTGGAGGAGTGGATGCTTTATGGATAACACACATACCTTTTCGATGAAGATGTTGATGACAAGAACACACTGGACGGTGTGTTTTTGGACATTCCCGAGGATTCTGATGTCCATGTCACAATAAGTGACTCGCGGAAAGTTCCCAGACTCACTCCAAGCTTTAATTACAATTTGAAAAAATATAAATTTTCCTTACGAACTCCTCGAAACAAATCATGTAATACTCCGAATCCATAAAAAGTGTAATTATCAGTTTGAAGAAACCAATTCATCAGATACATCTATATAAATATTGGATAAAAGATGCAAACTTACTTGAAATAATACATTCCCAAGATACATTGTCTTGATTCCTAGATATAAGAGTGTGAGGTAAGCTTCGTAGTATCGGAGATTGAGCAGTCTGAAGTACTTGTGATGGTACCCATGCTCGGTCCCAAACTTGTATCGATGTTGGAAAATGGATCCCAAATGGATGCTCATCCCTCGCAGATTAGATTCTCTTCTATCTGGGGAGTATTGTATTAACACAGTAACCTTTACTCTTACGGGGCTGTATATTACTCTTGTCATTGGCAAATAACATTAGATCGGTTAACTTGATCCCTGATTTTGTGTATAGGATCCTCCAAATAAGGCAAGGGGAATAAAAAAGGAAGGCGCAGAGAACGAGGAAGAAAGGAGACCACTGTAATCATATCCGAATACTGCCTGGACCCACCTGATAATAAGAGATCATCCGTTCTTGTCTGCGGTCTGTGGACTCGGGGAACATCTCTTCCTTGTCCACCCAGTAAGTATTAGAAGCCCAGCAAAATATTTCTAAAACGAGTAATCGGATGGAAACTACAGTATACCTGTGTAATCTTCCCAAGACGATCGAAATTCGGCCGGCATAAAACATTCAAGAGGTCTGCCCCCAAACATTTTCAGACTGATCAGGACCTAAATTAAAATACTGCGTTGACTATTGCTGCTACACCGGCTTACTGCAGTGACCAATAGAAAGGTGCTTGTGTAATAGTAATGCATCCGGTCCGTGATATCGTCATCATTCTGTGGCTGCAAAAAGGACAATGTCCCAACAATTTCAGAGAATACCATCACTCAACCTCCCTTCATTTTGAATTCGAATAAAGTGAAAGAGATCCGATGGTGTGAGAATTGGGTTTAGACAATCGCCTCAAGGCTTAAGACAAACACTCCGTGAATCAGAGTTTGTCTTTTTGGGACGACAACTCTGATCTTTGTTTGGAAATCAGGGGCTCAATTTTACTGAGTTTACTGTAATTTTATTTTTTTAAATTTAGGGTATTTTGATTAGTATTTGTCTTATCGCTACTTGCGGGCATTAATCCATGATTTGTTGATCTCAATCAGCTTAAGGCAGACTCCGCTGGCTTGTTTTTGTTTTGGATACAACTTAAGATTTCTGTAGACTCAAATATTTGAATAGGCTGATATTTTTAGTTGACAATATGCTGATACCCTGACAGAATTCATCTATTTCCTCGACTTTCTTTGAATAGACGCTAAGCAAATAACGGAGAAGAAAAGACGGGGCGGGGGTCTTTTGTCCATTGTCCAGTCCCCCCTCCTATTACCGGCCTCCGAAGACCCTCAGGGCATTTATTTGTGTCCAATTATGTGGCCTCGAGTATCAATCTCGCGCAGTTGTTATGATCGTTTGGGTGCTTTTGTTCATGGTTACTCAGATCGACGCAAAACGAGTAAGGATTAATTAACCAATTAGTTGAAGAAATATGTTTTAGGGATCACGGATTGACATTTACAAGCAAAATGGAGGAGATATTCTGCAGATGAAACCGGGGAAATCGTAAGTCTCAGAATAAAAATATTCAAATTAAATTAATTTAAGGGTGTGGGGTAAAATGCGGAACGCCTTGCCCACAAATTCACTCAATCGATGGACCGAATACAGGGACGAGAACAGGAATTATGTGCTCCCTTTCACAATAACCGGCAAATTCGGTAATCTAAAATTAATTTATTTAAATTTATTTAGAACCGGACGAAAGAACCATTATTTTTGGAGCGATGAGAGCCATCGAGAGAAACACTTGTCTCAAATTCAAACGGAGAGAACGGGAACGGGATTATGTGGACATACGGAATGAACGGAATGAGGGGTACCCTTTGAACGTAATTAATTATCCAAATTTAGTTGTTACACTTCTGTGGGACGTCATCGCGGCAAGAATGTGGTCATGCTGGAAGCCAACAACATTGCCACATGTGCCGAACATGACATTGTAATCCATGAGTTTATGCATGTGAGTAGGAACCCTATTTTATATTCTTTTTAGACCATCGGATTATGGCATGAACACATGAGATACGACAGAGACAAGTATATCAAGGTGCATTTTGATAGAATCGAGCCAAGTAAGTAACTGGACGCTGTAATGTTACCTTTAAAGTGTTCTACTCACAATTCGAGAAGATCTCCAAACAGGAAAGCACCACTTATGGAGTGGAATACGACTACAGGAGTGTGATGCACTACTCAAAAGATGCATTCGCGGAAAGACCGGGCGACATAACGATGGAAACTGTGGACAAATCGATGCAAGTAAGTTGCAACATCGCAGTTAATTTGCTCAGGATGTAATTGGAAGGGTCACAGATGCATCCCCGAGTGATTACATAAAGATTTGCTCTATTTATAAATGTGGTCAATGCATGGGAAAACCCTTTGGAAAGAAGAAAAGCGGGTCGAGAACAAGTCCTGAGGACAATCGGAGTTCAAATGAAAGAAAAAAAGTTGAAAGAAGTAAGTGAAAAAAATAATTTGAATGTAATGTATGGGTGGATAATAAATTTTTATATTACTTTAGGCTGCGGCGACTCCTTTTTCTGTTCCCATCTCCTCAAAACCCAGCCCAAAGAACAGATCTGCAATATGGAAGCCTATCAGCGATGGTGCTGTGCCTCTTGTTCCTGATCTTTGATCCTCTTTGATCTCAAACAGACTTAAATAAATTTTTAAATGTCAGATCCTCCGAGGCCATAAACGGACACTGTCCATCAAAGGGCGGAAAACAAGTCCGGCTATTACTACCTCATGACTTTGGACCCTGAGGGACTGGGAAAAGTTTTTCGTTTTCTTTTTTTCCTAAGCTCATGAACGCCTGTTCTTCGTGCCCTCAGGGCCAGGGCTTCTCATTATAAATCAGAGCCAGTTTTTGGAGCTTTTGTTTATTTCGGTGGCAGAGACTTCTCATAAGAGGAAGGTGGGCATGTAGATGAGCATGAACTCTCTCTATTTGTGGGTAATCCCCTTCTTAATTATTAGAATCAAGTCTGAGGAATCCCATGTAAGTCAAAAATCCATTACTGTAACAGTATAAAATTATTGTAAAAAGTGATTTGAATGTACGCAAACGATTTTCCCGCTCGGTCAGTTACTGTACTTAAACTACAGTATCTTCCAACCTAATTTTCTCTTTATAAAAAACCGATCTCATTATTTTATACCAGCTGTTTTCAAGAATGATATCATTCCAGAGCTGTTTTGATCGTTGTGAACGCCTCTTCAACCGTTCATTGCAACGAATTGGAGAGGATTCAGCGCATATTCGGGAGGCCATCCAACTCCATATTAAAGATGACCAAGCCAAGTCCATTTGCTGGTCAGTTTCGCTTTTATTGTCATGGATAACATCACTTCTAACATTCTTTAGATGTCTGACGGAAAAGAAATAAAAAAGATCGAATTCGGATTTTAGGAAATTCACGGATTTCGATGATTGCCTGAGACTATGTGGAAAGAATATGCAAGAAAAAAGAACAAAACTGATCGGGGAGAGGGATCCGATCAGGAGGAAATGCAAACGAATCACAGCCACATCTCGTATGTACATCTGAACACGAATTATAGAACTGGGCAAAAGTTTTGACTTGTAGATAAAAGAAAACCCTTTGTCAGGATCACGTAACGTTGCGTCAGGTTGCGCAACTACCGTAATCAAAAAGAAAATCACGTTTTGTCCATTCGCGGAGCTAATGCTTGCGATTTGTATTACAAATATTACTATATTCTTGAATATTATTTTAACTATCTTTCTTTAGCATATCAGAAACATTTCCGTTGCGTTCATCGCTACCACAACTTCATGCAAATCCGTTGCTCATCTTTTGCTCAAGAGGCAACCAAATACAGAATTATGTCCAAGAAGGCGAAGAATAATCACACGAAGGGAGTGACCCGAGATGTTTTGATCCAGGAGACCTGTCGCTATCTCCATTACCACTCAATGTGTCTCGCCAATGCAGTCTTTGGCTATTGCTCCGATGCCGATGAATTGTTCAATAGATTCACTATGAGAGATTACTTCCTTTCTTATGTGATCCCAGACCAAGATCAACTTTTCACGGACAAATTACTCGATTATTGCCAGTTGTACGACTTCCAAAAGATGGCCAAGGATCTTTTCGAACAGACTAAATCAACATCCAAGAGGGAGCTGAATAGAGATGGGAGCAATGTCTACGTGACACATCCAATGACCATGCCATTCACACACAATGCCGAGGGTAAGAGACATTTTGTCATCACGAATTGTTTTTTCTAGGTTCAACAAAAAGAACAACAACTTTGTTTGACTCGGAAGAAGACCTTCAGGACGTCCCACCCAACTTTTACTACTCCTCAGCCAAATATCCAAAGCATTATACGGACGCCAGGTAACCAGTTTCAATAATTTATAAGGTTTTAGAGTAAATGAGATGTACAGAACTACCGAAAGAGGGATGACTTCGGATATAGATGGCATCAATCTGATCACCAAGCCCGTGAACATCGACTTTAGCTTCGAATCTGATCTGCCTGAAGATAGCACGGGGCAGTATGATATTAATAGGAACAGAAACACGAATCAGAATAGTAACAGTCCCCCCAGAGCTCGCAATCAGCTGAGACAAGAAGATATCCCAACTCAAGTCACCTGGCCTGATATTCATCCAACTGTACTCACGATTGATCAAGTATTAGATCAAGGAGAAGCTAAGAAAGGGGTCATTCCCTCCGTCCAATCAGATTGGCATCCTCATTACAACTTAGAAGGACCCAAGAACAGTAAACGGCCAGGGAATCGGGATTATAATAGGAAGCAGATGAAAAAGATCAAAGGGATATACGAGGATCTGGAAGAGGATGAAGACGAGTACGATGAAGATGGACCCATGCTCCCCTTCTCCAAGGTTCATATTGCTAATATCCGTTCTCACGATGACATTCCTAGTGAGAATGATAACTTTGAAGTCAAACCAGGAGCAGGTAACTGCAAAACGCTATTAAAATTTGACGATTTAGATCGAGGGCCCTTAGACAACGAGGATTATGTGGATTACGGCAGTGTGAGGCCAGGTAAGGATATTTTTGCTTTAGTTAAACAACCATTTAGTAGAAGCAACAACCCTGGGTGATCTTCTTCATTCGGCGATAACAACTGCTCTGAATCCGACCGCCCGTCGTCCTCCATATCACACAAAAGAGCAGACTAATACAGTCCTCTTACTGATGGTGGCCTACACAATCTTCTTCATCGCCGCCCTTATCATCCTGATTTCTCTGATCATCGCCATGTTGATGAGGAGGAAACGACAAACTTATCAGACTTATATTGTAAAGAAACCAGTCAAGTATTAGAATTGAGTAGCGTATGTATTCGAAATGTAAATTTAAATCAATTTTTCGATTTTGGCTTGATTCACATCCGGTTCGTACAGCAGACCATTGTAGAGTTTGTAGAAACATTCGTGGCAATAGGGACGTTTCTCGTGTTCTCGGAATGTTCCTCTGAGGTTTAATGCCTTCTGGCAGTAACAACACATAAAATGGAAGGGGTGGAACTTCTGGGCTTGAGTGGCATTCGGAGCCAGAGCCGTCAAGATGGCTCCTTCGATCTCTTCACTACAATAGGCACAGATGGGAGCAGGTCCGACGGGAGTGAAGCCCTGAAATAATATTGAAATGTGACGGGATTAGACTCACATCCACATTTATGATCTTCCGAGGGGTTGTCGATCTGGCTCTGCGCTTCATGCTGCTTCTAAATTCGTTTCTTTAATCAAATATGATATAACTTACGTCAAGGATTCAGTTCCCTCAACTCCATAATCTTTCTTCCTATGTTCCAAGATGTAATCATCTTCTGGTTCGTCGTCTGGAGGAAGATCTTCGTGATGGTAGAGAGTGTCGTCATCCGGTGCTGGTGTCAGTCTGAGTTTGTATTCGATTTCCTCGGTCAGTTTTCCTTTTTTGGGCTTCTGGGACCCTCTTCGAAGCACTTCTGCGGTCGCATTTACATCATAAACAAGAGCGGCCAATGTGTCCACAACTGCGTTCTGTCCTGGAAATTAATTTAACATGATGGATGAGTGTAAACTAAAAAGAAGTAACTTTAATAACGCACTTTGATCGGTCTTCACCCTTCCCAATTCGTTCTTCAGATCATCCGTACTCACAGATTTTAATCTCAGCTTGAGCCAGTCGTCATTTGGGTCCACGGAAATCCTCCCATTCACTTCCATCTCGCTTTGGAAGGTCTTTTTCTCCATCAACTACAATATAAGTCAACTGTTTAAAAGTCTAAACTTGAATCACTTTTGAATTTTAACTTTCGCGGGTTTCCCGAGAAAAATCTGCGTAATTCTATAGTACGTACTATTGAGTTATGCAGATTTTACTATGGTATTGATCTGAATATTCGATCATCCCCCAAATTTCCGTAATTATGACGGATTTTAAAGATATTTTCCAGCTATGAAATGACGGATTATGCAGATTAGAATGCAAAAATCATGAAAGTTTGGACCTTCCAAATACATACATATGTATGTGCATGTTAGATGACAGGAATTGGTATTAAAATTTGTTTCAAAAAAAATTTTAGCGTTTCAGGGCAACAAACAAGGCACTTTGGTGAAAACTTTCAGAAAAAAAGATCTTTGTTGGAGAACAAGTACTTCCAGTGGCAAATAAATAAGTGCCATTAGTTTTGCATTGTATTTTATTTGTGATTTTGATGCTTTTACGCTACCAAAACTGGATCAGTAAAATATCCTCCTATCCGGCGAAGCTCCAACCCTATTAATTATCGCTCATTCTAACGTACTAATTTTAGTTTTAACCCAATGTCTAAATTAAATTACCTGTTCTTCATGTTTCCTTCTGATTATTTCGGTGGTCTTCTTAATATCAGTTTCCAATGCACTCAGGGTGTTATGAACAACATCGGCATCTGAAAAGGGACCCTTTTATGTAGATGTCTTCTCTCTGATTGATGTTGTTTTATGTTTTGTTTCTTTCCTTTCCCTTTCTACTGCGGAATAAAAAAACATTCGTACAATGTTTTGAAGAGCGGCCGAAAAGCGAAAATGCAAAATGGGCGGCTGTTTGTTCGTTATAAACCGGGTTAAAAATATTGCCTAACGAGGGAATGGTCTGAACTTCCCCCAGCGTTTGGGAAAACGACTAGTACAGGTGGATAGAGCATGTCAACTTTGGTAAAAAGAGCCATTTTCCAGCTGCGGAATAAGCCCGGCCGACGAGAAAAATCGACCGAAAGTTCCACAAAAATTTCTCTTTCTCTTCCCTCGGAAAAGAAGAGCGGTGTCCAGTGGTTCGGTTAGCCGAGTGGATAAAGCGTCCGCTCGATATTCTTTTGGGGGTTGGTTCGATTCCGGGGTCTCGCGAAGGACCGTGATAAGGCTTTGATGAGTAAGATCAAACTCTAGCAACCCAGAAAAAATTATTTTGCCTTTTTCAAAGTCAAGTCTATCACCAAACAAGTATAACTTCGACATTCCATCGCTTTGAAGGTTCGGAAGCACCCAAAAAATTCATTTTTTGACGATTATATGTTTGGTATAATTCCCCTATAAAACGTATAAAAATGGCAAAATATTTTTTTGGGTTGTTAGAGTTTGATCTTGCTCATCAAAGCCTTATCATGGTCCTTCGCGAGACCCCGGAATCGAACCAACCCCAAAAGAATACCGAGCGGATGCTTTACCCACTCGGCTAACCGAACCACTGGACACCGCTCTTCTTTTCCGAGGGAAGAGAAAGAGGAAATTTTTGTGGAACTTTCGGTCGATTTTTCTCGTCGGCCGGGCTTATTCCGCAGCTGGAAAATGGCTCTTTTTACCAAAGTTGACATGCTCTATCCACCTGTACTAGTCGTTTTCCCAAACGCTGGGGGAAGTTCAGACCATTCCCTCGTAAGGCATATAAAAATGGCTCGAATGTAATATTGAAAGAAATTGTCGGAGAAAAGGAAGCAGAGTGAATAACGTATGCAGATTCCGGGAAATTATTAATTATTTATCAATTTCCGGCACTCAAAACAGTATCCTTGATTACTTTATGACTTTTAAATTGCCTCCACTTACGTTCCCCGGGAGCGCTGACTCTGGAAGTCCGACTCTCCGATCTCTGGGAGACTTCCACCATCCTGCAAAATCATAATTTATTTCCGGAACTTACGTCTCCTCAACATAACAACTCTCAAAATACATTCAACACGAATAATAAAAAAAGCACAAAAACGCCTGAGGGGAAGAAGCCGCGTCGGCTCCTGATTCATGGCTTTAAATGGAAATCGAGAACAGAAATATGGAGATATAAAAGAGCCGTTTATTCCGGCCACAGCCTGAGGGCAAGAGGCTCTTTCGGGCTGATCTCTCCCACTCGCCCACGCCTGTTTCTTTCGGCCGGCATCAGCCCTGGGGCTAAAGTTTCGAGCAGATCTTTCTTCTCTTTAACAATGTGTAATAGAGAAATACGGAAAAATGAAGATATGCCATACAAATAAATTATGAATAATCAAATCATTATCGGGAGAGATTTTAAGTATTAATAAATATTAATAAACTGACAATTTAAGGCTAAAAATTAGATCTAATATAAGGTCTGCATTTCTGATATGTCTCCAAAATTATTCGTATGTCTTCTTCAGCAGATTGTACAGATTCTTGTCTTTGCCTCGGGCAAAAAGGGATTTTTGAGAGTTTTCGGCTTCACTGAGGGCGCATATGCTGGAGGGGGCTCGGATCTCTGAGATGTCTGCTTTTGAAGTTGTTGTAGTTCGGTGAGTTTAGTCTTTAAGTAATAAGACTACGTAAATCATCTATTATATTACACTTACATGTAACAATGCCATCTGGTCTTGTTGATCTTTAAAGGTATTATTCTGCTCCTGTAATTTTATTTTCAGTTCCTCAATCTCCATTTTCAGTTGTACTTCAGCTCTCGTGCTGGAGGCCGTCTCCTAAACATACCCACATCATAATAATACTGTATCGTTCATGAGTACCTGAGATCTAAAAGCGATAAATTCGGCCTCATCCAACTCTTTTCTGATCCAGGTTCTGGTGGGACTGTTGTCATTCAATTCTGGCGCTGATTTCCTTCTTTCATATGTTGTTAATTGAGCATTCCTTAAGAATAAAGTAGTTTAAATTAACATACGAATTGCGTGGAATTGCATCGACCAAGGTGGGAGAAGTGTCAATGGCCACGAAAACTCGACGATTTACACAAGCGAGGCTGGAGAGACGGATAAAAGGCCTCCTTCCTGTAGTTGTTCTGGCCGCGTCCAATCTGAAATGGTTTTTATTAATCACAGAAAACCCACCTCATCACCAGAGTTGGCTGTAATAAAACGGTCTGATTTGCACCGGAATCGTGGTCCTTTTTCCATTGCCAAGACCTTCTGGCTGACTTTAATTTCTTATGCGCATCAGATCCCTCAGTTATCGACCTAAAAGATCATTCTTTTCAATTATTTTCCTCACAAGTCCTTGTCCAATTCCGAAGATTTCTTTGCTCCCCAGAAGTATAATTCATTGTCAGAAGTGGCGACCATTGTGAACCCGTCCCCACACACCAGTTGGACACAAACATTGCTAGTCAAGGCCCTTACTGGTTTATAGGCCATCCAGAATTGCATGGCTTGTCTGGTGCCGTTCCCCAACTCTCCCATTGCATTCCTCCCGAATAAATGAACATGCCCGTTCTCAAGAAGGACCCCACAATGATGCCATCCAAGGCTCGCATCGACAACTCGAGCTGGGAAAGGCTTCAGCGCCGTCGGAGATTCCAATTTGTCGATGTCTGACTACAAAAAAATCAGATTGATATGAACAACACATTACATATACTTAATGTAATCATACCTTTGTGTCCTTAACATTGGCAAAGAATCCCATGCGATAATTTAAATTGAGTTTGTTATGTTTGTTGGATCCCATCACAATTACAGTTCCGGTTACTGTAATTAACATCGTGCAATCAGGGCCGCATTTTACATTCGCAATTAACTGTTTTGTGGGGATATCGATCTAAAAATGAATCAAGAATAATCTCGATTACCTGGGTTGGGATGAGGATATTTTCGGAGTTCCCAGTCCCCAACTTCCCGTCTTTTCCATCTCCCCACACAAAAACTTGGCCAGTCTCGGTGACCCCAACTGCATGTTCGTATCCGCAACTGATGTCCACGATACTTTCTCTAAAGTTTTCTCAAATGTGACAAGGAAAGTACTTTTATGGGGGCTCCTACTTTTTGGCGGGACATATCTCAAAAAATCAGAAAAAATGTGCTGATCAAGGACATATAAATCTTAGCTGCCCATTTTAGGTTTTTAGGGGTGAAAACTCAATCGGAAGTTGACTTTAGGTCCTATATGAACCCCTTTTCGCTTAATTTTTCACAGGTTTACAATTTTTATTTTGGCTTAAAATGATGTTTAATGAGTTTCTAAGACGTAATAAATCAGTCTTGGCCCAAAAATTTATTTTTCCGACCTTCAACTTCAAAAAAAGCTAATTTAGCCCAAAAGGGAAATCGAACCCGTCCGGCGTTCCCCCTCTTGATTCCCAGACTACGGCACTAACCACTCGGCCACACCGCTCTCTTCCGAAGGAAGAGACCGACTGCGCTTTTTATCGTTTCGAATGCCTGCGCCTTTTGTAGGGAAATTGAGCCAGTTTTTGGGCATTTTCACCCATAAAAACCTAAAATGGGCAGCTAAGATTTATATATCCTTGATCAGCACATTTTTTCTGATTTTTTGAGATATGTCCCGTCAAAAAGTAGGAGCCCCCATAAAAGTACTTTCCTTGTGAGATAAATCATTTGTTGAATCAATAAAATTATTTTAGTCGTCATACCGTAAAAGGGCATCAATAAGTTGAGGTGCCAGAAGATCCTCCTTGGCCTCATTTCCCAGGTAATTCCGATGGCCACAGACCAACACGATCCCCCGATCTGCACAGAATACACTGAAATGTTCTCCGGCAGCCACTTTCTGTATATTCTGACCTTGTAAAGCGGGGATTTTGGTGGGGATTTGACGAGACTTCCGATCCCCGTGGCCCAATTGGCCGTGCTTATTTTCTCCCCAACTAAAAACTTGGGAATCGGTGGTTAAAAGCAGGAAGTGATTGGGACCGAGAGATATCTAAAACGTCGGTTTAATTATGTCCATTATAAAATTAGAATTACCTGCTTCACATTGATTCGGTAAGGCAGATTGGGGATGGCTGATAACATAATCTGCTCGGTCTCGAACATGTACAAGGCCGAGTAACAGTCCTGGGGCTTCTGGATCACATTCTTTTGGGGATTTCTCTTCTTTAGACACTTGTTTCTCTGCACCATTTTCAGAACTTCCGTCGCTGATGGTCGCAGATTCGGGTTTGTATTCAGCATTTCTCGAATTAAAAGTTTCAAATCGCTGCTGTACGGCCCTTTAACTTGTTCATAATCGGCCTAAGCCCTATTATTTCATTTTCTCGACCTACATGAACAATTTTATTGACCAACGCAGGTAAACTGGATCCATCAAAGGGCTTCTGGAGACAGGCCATCTCATACAGACAGCATCCCAATGCCCAAACATCACTTTTCTCATTGTAAGTCTTGCCTTCGCACTAAATATTACATAAAATGGATAATTTTACTACCATTTCTGGGCTCAAATAGTAAGGAGTTCCCAGGATCGTGTTCGCGCCGAGATTTTTTGTCTCCGTCCCCATCATTTTGCTGATCCCGAAGTCTCCAATTTTGACGAGGTTATCCTTGGTTAAGAAGATATTGGCTGATTTGAGATCTCTTTTTAAATGATAATTAAACTACAGTAATCCTACCTATGGAGAACATGATGATCGTGGAGATAAGAGACGGCGCTGATCATTTGTTCGAAGAGGGTCATGATCTCGATCTCCTCCAAGTAGTCCTGTTGCTTGGCCAGTAATTGAGCGAGGGTTCTGGAAAGGGTTTGACCGGATTACTGTAACAAACCCTCCTTCCGCGTATTCCATCTCTATCATCAGGACTCCTCCGTCATAGAAAGAATCGTAGTAACTGATGATATTGGGATGATCTAATCGAGCCAGAAGATTCACCTCGTTTAGGGACATCTGTCTCTCGTTTTGACTCAGTTCAGCGATATTAATCTCCTTTATGATGACCAAAGAATCATCGTCTTTCCGTTTGTAGAGAACGGCACTTCCAAAAGACCCTTTTCCGACAGTTCTGATCTTCTCATAGCCAGTCACGTTATGGGGAAGCCTCGATTTGGCTGAATTGGGAGTGGATTTGGCTGATCCTGGACTTGATTTGGAATTATCTGTGGCACTCATTGCTTTCCGATTCAAATAAATATCAACTGGAGACCTGAGAATCAGTATTGAAACAGCCATTAATCGAATAGTCACCTACCTTCTTAGGAATTTCCCATCCGGAAGTCTAGCCAGAAATCTAATTCTAACCTGAAATAAATGTAATGAAAGGCCCAAATATGGCTTCCATTGCTTAGTAACGGGCATTCTCACCTTGGTCTTGAAGGCTCTTCTTAATTGGCTCAGTAATTCGGCCCGATCCTTGAAGGGTAACGTCACAAATATGTCCAGAGTCACATCTGACGTGAACTTTTCTTTTTCCAGTTTCCTCCAGAACTGGATTAGTCGGCTTATTTTGGTCGGAGTGTGGGTGGGGAGGTACTGTAATTTTGGAATTCAGACAAAATTAACCTAGAGGCCCATAACTTACTGAGGAATAACATCGTAGAGACTCGACCGACTTCGGCGGGGTAAAAATAGTTTGTAAACAGTACCTAACATGGATTGGGTCGGTTTACCCCTTGCACGGGGGGAAGATTGCTGTAGACTGGAATTGTTAAAACGTTGAAACTCATACTATCTGCAAATAATCCCCCCAACCTTTCCCCTCCATGCCTTTTTCACATTTTTGATCTAAAATCGAGTCTGTACGTCGACACCAAGTAGCCGCTTGTCCTTAAGGCGGTTATTGTAAATCTGAGGGCCGTGGTCTTTCCATTGCATAATAGAATTGTTCGGTATTGTCACTGGTCTTTTAGAAAAGTGGAAATTTTTATTTCTCAATCGTTTTCTGTCTCCGCGGTCTCAAAAATATTTCCGGTGCGCTCGGCTAACTGATTAAGTGAATACGGTCATTCTACAAATGTCTTCGAATTCTGAATTTAGTTGCACTCAAATTATGCGCTTACTGAAAAGACTCCTAATACGATTCCCTAAAACTGTAATAATTCTGTTTTTAATGCAAAGCGAAAAGCATGTAAATATAAATGGCGTCATCATAGAAAAAAGTTTGCACCCTGTAGATTTGCAAAGCCCGTCTTTGAAACAATTGGTTTGGACCAACAACCTTGACATAAACTAAAATTTTAACAAAAACTCACGATCAGACTTTGAGGTCAGCAGCAATCAGAATGAGGAGTGGTGATTATTTGCATATTGTATGAGTTTCAACGTTTTACAATACCAGTCTACAGCAGTCTTCCCCCGTTTAAGGGGTAAACCGACCCAATCCATGTTAGGTATATACTGTTTACAAACTATTTTTGCCATACCTGTCCGCGCGAGCCGAAATCGGCCGAGCCAGTGTGATGTTATTCCTCAGTAAAGTAGGCCTCTGTTCTGAACCTGAAACTGCCCGCCCGGTTAAACAAATGTTTATATTTTTGTAATAAACATTCCGAAATTTTTTAAACACCCTTACAATATCCTCCCTTTTACTGAGTAGAAATCTTGTATCATCGCCTTGGATGTTCAGTCCAACATGTCCTATGTGTCCTCTAATATTTCGTAATCTATCTAAATTTGAATTTAAAAAATACTTTTTTTTTATACCCAGCAATTTCTTCAGTGAATCGTTGCTGACATTATACTTAATCAAAATCACATGATTAAACAAAAGATTGGTGAGGTTCTGATGGCACTTGGAATGGGTGACATAGACAGTGCTCATCGATGTGTAATTGCTTTGGTCTTTTGTTAGCTCCAAGGGATCTTGCGTTGTTTCCATGACTGTTGCCATGGGGGGTCTCCTTTCTTTTTTGTGAATTGATTATTTTTAAATTTAAAATACACTGATGGCCTGACCCGGAGGCCGAGTCCATTCGCCCTTTCATCGTGTAATTTGTTGAGGGCCGAAATGTGACCATTTTTTGCATTTGAAGCTCTAATAACGAAGGGAGGGGAGCCCGAGTCCGAGGCCGGCCCAGAATCCATTCGCCGGCCCCCGGGGACATACAAAAGGGCCGGCTCGTAAAACCGTATGTGGCGAAGAGAGAAGGGTCCCGAGGGACCAGCCGCCCGTCCAATTCCCGGCTGGATCAGAGGCCAATCTAATCAGCCGAGGGCGGGGAACGGACCTCCCCTGGGGCATTCCGCATCCAGTGTTCGTCCCCAGCCTTCCCTTTTCTCTGATTCTGATCATGTCCAATTCTCACTCACCCATTCTCGATGCGCCCAAGGTAATCTTGATTAAACCACCAATTAAGAACCCTAATTATGGCTTAAATATTTTTTATTCCTCTTTCATTATTTGTCTTGTAAAGCAAATACTTCCAGATTCCAAAAGGCGAATCCTTCGATGAGATTAATTCAGACGCCGTTGTGAAACCACTATGTCAGAACTGCGGGTCCTCTTTCTCGAATCTGAACGAATTCATAGGTAATTAATAAAATAATCGAGTTAATTAATTCATCTCATTTAATTTATATAAACATTTTTAGATCATATGAGATTAACTCATCTCAAACCGTCCGAAACCGAGAGAAAATGTCGTTTTTGTGATCAAATTTTCTCGGATAATCAGGTAAAATTATCAATAAATCCCATAAAAATATATTCAGGAACGTCTGATCCATCTGAGCGAGCACCTTATCAATACAAAGGCCGAGTTCACTTGTCATAAATGTGACAAAAAGTTCTTCAATTCGGTGTCCTTCAAACAACACTTTGCCGTAACCCATACAGATGTCATATTCAGATGTCAGCTTTGTCTGATGACATTCACCGATCAGAATATATATCAAGTAAGACCTTTAAATGTCTACAGTTGTCTCAGGATCATTTGGTCGTCCATATGAACACAATTATGATATTCAATTGTAATCTCTGCGGGGTCAATGTGCAGAGTCAAGAGATGTTTCTAACGCATGTTCAGATGTTTCATGAAAAAGATGTCCCCTCCCAATTAAATCAAGGAGGTTCGGGAGAGAAGACTATTGTAGTAAGTAAACCTACCCTACTGATGATACGGGAGGCTACAAGGGGAAACTGAAAAATATTATTTTTCTTGCATGTAAGTTTCGAACTTGGGTTATCAATGGTGCTGATTTTAAAAATCTTATTCATTTTTCTGATTTGAAATCAGCACCAGCGAAAATCCCCAAATCCAGTACCTGTGACAAAAAGTCGAAAAAGTACTATTTTACAGTACTACTTATTATAAGAAAAAAAGTTACAATAAAAAATGGATATGATTTTTGAAATAAACGCCATCGATTGTCCTAATTACGACACTTACATGCACGAAAGATAATATTTTTAGTTTCCCCAATCTCCTTTTTCCCCAATTGACGATCCTGACGATAATAACATCAACTTCAGAGGAACCTAAAATGTTTTGTTTGTGATCTGAGGTTTGTGGACGATGTTGAGCTGGATCACCATCGTCTTTTTGATCATTGTAAAGTCCCCAAGAGTGATAGGTGTGCTGTCTGCAGAGTCCAATTAGAGGATATCAACGACTTTTTAACACACTCCAAGAATCATTCAAAGGATCCGACGGAGGTTAGCTGCGCCATTTGCAAGTAAGTGTAATATGACGACCCAAGTAAATGGATAATATAAAAACTAAAAGTATCCTTTCAGACAAATGGTTAGAAGCTCGGAAACCTTGAAAAGGCATGGAGAATATCACTTAGAAAAGGTAAATTATTTACATTGTTTGAAATTATTTAAAATTAATTTAAGGATCCCGGTCCATCTCCAGAAATCGAAAAAGTGGAAGAAACAAGAGAAGGGGTCACAGAAGAGGTGATCTGCCATTGCGGACAGAAGTTTGAGGACCCCCAAGATCTGCAAACACACTCCCTGGAACACCTACAACAAGTCACTTCGGAACATCTTTTCAATCTTCGGAAGGAATTGTAAGTGTTGTTGCAGAGGTAATCGAAAATTACATTCGATTTTTCTGATTTGGAGAGAATAGGTTACCCCACCGGATAGGTTACCGCACGGATAGGTTACTCCGGACGTTTAAAAAAATTTTTAAAATGTTTTCGCTTCGGAACAGGAGAAAAAGATTGGGGCTGCCCGAGTTCAGCCCCCCAGGAAAGTTAATTCAAACCCTCACTGTTTTGTATCCCTCCATGGTGTTGGTGTTCACATTCAGGCCGTCGTGATCAATACTAAGCGTGTTATTTTTAGCATACCAAACCCCCAACGTTGTACATCCAACCCCCTACGTTTTAGATCAAACCCACACATTTCAGATTGGATGAGGGGGTTTGTACTGGGTCAGGGGGTCTGAACTGGACTAGGGTTTGTACTACCTTAGCCCCAAAAGATTTTTAAAATTTTAGTTTTCATGTTGTTAATTTTACGGATTTTTTTTCAGTCTGAATACAAAAGTCTTTTGAAAATTCCCATAAATACCCGAAAATACCCGGCCTCTCGGGTATTTGGGTATATACCCGGGTATATACCCCGTCCGAAACCTAGTAGAGGGTAATGTTTCCACACAAATTTTTTTGCGCGAAATTGGCAATAAGGTGGTTTTCTCTCTGACCGCACTCCGCGTTTCGCGTACTCTCTCGGCGACAAAGATCGTTCAATATCTCGGCTGCGCCTGCAAAGCGCGAGCTAAAATTTTCAGGAAATAATAAATATTTCATCGGGCGTTTTTACAAGAGACAATCTAGTTCCTAAAAATTTTAAATTCTTACGAACGACTCAACAACCCTATTAGTTTTACACAAAAAATCGTTTTTTCCTGTTATGAAGCGAAAACATTGCAAAATTTTATTCAATTTTGTACAATTTTTTTCTATCTCGAATAGACATGGATGTGGGGCCGGGCCGGCTTTTTCCGGCCCCGGGCCGGGCGGTTAGTAATTTTTTGTTTTAAAGATTTTAGATGGACACTTGAGGCATTGGGGATGGGCGTTACGGTATGTTACAGTAACCTGACAAACGTCGGATCAACTACAAAGTTGTTCAGCTTTACGGATAACGTATTGACACACTCCGGATTCCACGTTTGTTAGGGTCAAGGCTTCAGGCCCAAGATTTTGAATTTAGGCCTGAGGCCCGGTTGGAAAAAAAATTATTTTTTTCTTGAAACGAAAAATTAGGCTCAAAAAAATATATTTTTGCTTTACTCTGTAAAACAAAAGTTAAAAAATATCAGAAGAAGGGAATGCAGTTGTCGAAATCAGCACCATCAATTACCCTAGCCCGCTCCTCACCTTTTTTTGCTGACCTTTTTGACCAGCCGACATTTTCGTACCCAACACTAAATAACATCCGTTTAGAGGCCCTTTTGTTTGCCCTAAATGCCCGAAAATTTTCCCATCAATGAGTGCGTTACAAGGTAAGTAAACGGGTAAATATAACTGTTTAAAAGGACATTCCCACATTCATGTTAAACGGAGACATCCCTGCGATAAATGCAAACAATGCTTCTCAACAACAGCCAGATTGATTGCTCACAGAAAAAGGCATCTGGGAGAGAGGGACGTGAAATGTCAGATTTGTGATCAATGCTTCGAAAGGTAAGGACGGAAGTAAAACAAAATTATATATTTTGTAGGAACGAGTTGTTAACCAACCACATGAAAATCCACGAAATGAATATCCAACTAAACCCGATCCTACAACCAAATTAAAAAATAAATTATGGTTTAATTTATGGCGCTTATCACAATCTTCTAATTCATTCATGTTACCGTACAGGGTGACGCAAAACAGTGTGGAAGTAAAGATCGTTGAATAGCTCGAGAAGCACGGGGCGTATCTTTTATCAAAAATAGCTTATTTTGCAGCACGGACTTGAAGAATCAAGAATACAAGGAAATTTTTGTAAAATTGTTTTGAGATTTGAGCTCTTTGCAGTTATCCAAGAAGTTTAAAAGTCGTATTAAAAATTCGAAGTAATGCGTTTTTAGAATGTGCAAAAGAACTTTTTCTTGTTTCGGCGTAGAGAAAATTTTTCGGCGGAGACATTTCACGTCCTTTTTGAAAATGAGACCTCGATACAAAGCATAGACTTGTCTACTACTATGAAAATCTGAGCGTCTCTCTTATTTGCCTTGTGAAAAAATTACTATTTAAAAAATTACTATTTTTTTGACAGGAACTTACAGAGACATTTCTTCAAACTTCATTTGTTATTATACAAAAATAAAATAAAATTTGTCAGTTTGAATCAGAAATATTTGCGGCTTAATGTCAAATCGATTAAACAAGTATGAACAGAATGCTACATCTTTTTGAAAAATTTATTTACCAGGACAAAAGACGCGGCAAGTGAATATGGAATTGGTCACGATGAAACTGAATATGCAATAAAATGTTTAGAACTTGGCAAGATTGGTGTTGATCACATCATCCAGTGCGATCTCCAAGGCCTCGTTGGTTCCCTTGAGTTTAGATATCACATCTCGCGCCCATAAGAAGTACTCCTTGACCCGAGATTTGCTCCAGCCAACTGGAGTCGCTCTCTCCAAATCTCGGAGATTATAGAGTTTATCGGCCAACTTTACCAATTTCGCCTAAACATTATTTTATTCGCACGAGCTAGTGCAATTCAATATAATATTTTTTGCACCCTTACTTTATGACAAATCCCTTCAGCGTGTTCAACCTGAAGTTGTTTACGTTTTTCTTTGGGCAAACTTTTGTCATCTGTACATTCATTCACAATGGTATATATCTCTTCGCCAAACTCTGCCTTGATCTCTTCTAATGTGGTCTTTGTATCTTCAACTGTGTCATGCAACATGGCTGCAGCCAAAACAACAGGATCAGTGATCTTTCCCACAGATGTCAACAGATAGGCCGTTCCTGAGGTATAGAGTATATCGAAAGGGTTACCGTAACATACCAATGGGATGGTTAATATAAGGAGTTTGTCGAGCATCCTTCCTTTTTTGGAACCGATGACGTCTGGCTGCGAGATCTGTGGCCTTGACTAACAGGGCAATGCCTTCATCAAAGGGAAGTTCACCATTGAGATCCTTTAAGGATTTTGAATCGATTTTATCGTCTTCAGTCCGCTCTTCTTTGTTATTTTCTAATTTCGGATATAAGGATTCTTCCCCATAACTTTCCATAATTACGCAGCTTGACGACCAAATTATTTTAAGCAGTATTTTAAAATTCAAAACAATCACTACTTGGTGTCGGCAATAAAAGGAAAGTCGGCTTAAACAATCAAAAACTAAAAATAAAACGATTCCAAAACACTGAAATTAAGCAAGCGGTGTTGAAGTAATTGAGAGGAATGCTGAACGAAAGTCTGGAATATTTGTAGATCAAGGGAATGAAAGCGCGACGCAAGAGAAAGTCAAATCGGGGGTCAGTGCCTTTTATACTTTTCTCAGATCGCAAGAAAACCCGCGCCTGTTTTTTTTTGCAATCACAGATCTGCATCATTTTTGTGCGAATTCTCTTTTATTCAGCCTTAGGGGATATAATGCCCGGCTCTTCCCGATGAACAGGTGGTCCCTCTAAATCAATCCTTGGCCAGATCTGCTCCCTTGGCCCACTTTCTGCCCTCCAATCCCGCATTTTAACGTGAATTTGGCTTCGAATCTTCCTTAAGGAGAAAGTTTATGGCATAAGATCTCGAGTCCTACACCTCAAATAAGGATGCTCTTTTCCGGAGGGGGCCCCTCGAATAAACCGAAGAAGGAAGAGAAAAGGGAAAAGAAGTCTGATCGAGGTGAGTCCTCTTTCTTCATCAGTTCCGTGTTTAGATGACAAGTATGAAGTCCAAGAGGCCGTCTTCACCAGATGGGCCAACTCTTTGTTCGACGATCCCATCACCGAGATCAAAGACATCGTAGAACTAAGTTTTCTGCAGGCATTCACTAAACTGATCACCGGCAAAACAGTGGTAATACTCTATAAAATACGACTAGTAAATTCAAAAAAACGTGCTAAAATAAAATTTCAGTCGATAAGTGGGAACAGATATGATGACATTGATGTCATCATTCACATTCTCGCTTCTGATGACGATGACAAGATTTTGGCTTTAAGTGTCCCCGATCTCTGCGAAGGGAATGTAAAACAACTTCTGATCCTCTGCAACTCATTTATAAACATGTATTGGAGGAGATTTGCGCCCCAAGAAATGGGAGATAGGAAGATTTCCGAGGCCATCAGAGATTGGTGCCTCGAGGCAACCGCAGGATATGATGATGTGAGGAATATAAAGTAACAATATTTTAGTTACAGGTATGTGTTAACGACTTCACGTCTTCATGGAGAGATGGAATGGCATTAAACATCTTGTTACATTCCTACGAGTGAGTAGTATTGACTTATAAGACCGCCACTTTAGTTCCAATATAGTAGATATGAATGCAGTCCGAGATATGCGAGGTGATGAGAGATTGGAGAACGCCCTAAGTATTGCCAAAAGATATTTTAAAGTCCCCAAACTCATATTGTCCAAAGGTAACACAAGCAGCTCTTATTTACTCTCGATTTAGAATTCCACAGTGAGCACTTAGATTCCAAAAGTGTTCTTTGTTATTTGATGATGTTGTACATAGCGATGGCATGTTATTCCAATTCCCAAAGTAGTTCTAGTAAGAAGTCGAGCAGGTCTTCTGATATCACCAGATGGGAAGAACGTCCTCCGGAGACCTTGCAACCCCCGAAAGAATCGACTATTCTAGAGTTATCACCCAGTACGTCTGTTCAAAGTAGTACTCATTCTTCAGCTCCGAGCTCTTCCACAAATGTTACAGTAATCCATAAGACGGATCCCATGCAGCAATCAACCGAAACCATATCGGATGTGAACATAATTGACGTAAAAATAACTCAATATAAACATAATATTTAGGCGGAGACAAGATCCCGACATTCCTCAGTTTCGTCTAGTCATAAGTCATCAAGGAAATCATCAAGATCCAAGAAGAATGAGAACGTCCTCAAAGAATACGAAAGATGTCTTGAAAAGGTTCTGGCATGGTTGCTAGAAGCTGACGAAGAGCTAAATTCTATGGAACCAGTCAACGAATCTGATGTGGACACGGTGAAGAATCAATTCAGAGATCATGAACAATTCATGCTGTCCTTAACGGAGAGCAAAGACAAAGTTGGACGCGTCCTTCATGAGTAAGAAACTGATAAGTGGATACTACTTATTTAGAGGACAAAAACTGGTGGATGAGTTGCCGGAAGAAGAGGCTAAATCCGTCAATGATCAACTATTACTTGTGAATCAGCGATGGGAAGACGTCAGATGTCAAGCCATGCTGAGACAACAAGCTCTTCAAGTTCAGTTGAATAAACTACAAAAAGAACAGCTACAACAAATATGTGGGTGGCTCTCGGGAGTCGAGGGTTTAATCGAGGACAGGAAGACGTTACCTTCCGACATTGAGCAATGCCGACAACAAATAACAGAACATACTGTATTCGAAGAACAAATCGAGAAACAGCAACAAGCCATCAAGAAACTCGCTTCTTATATGGCTGTTGTCAGTGATGAAAGCGTAGACGACGATGATTATGTAAAGATTGAAAGTCTGCTAAAGGAAGTAGGGGAAAGGTAAGGCAATTTTAAAATCAATCAAAAAATCATGTCGTAGATGGGACCGAATCTGCAGCTGGACTGAGAAGAGAGCGCAAAATCTGGATGGAATATGCGATCTGCTCAAAGAATACGACAAGAAGTTTACTCATCTCTCGGCATGGTTAACTGCTCGACAAGAAGAACTGGTCCGTCTGAGATCAGCTCATCATTTAACGACGACAGAAGAAGTTGAAGAACAAAAGAAACTTATTAAAGAGATGGACGAAGCTCTTCAAAAAGAACATCCTTCCTTCGTTGAGCTGTCCCGCCTGTCTACTGAGCTACGGAACCGATATAAACTCGAGAATCAAGAATTCACAGAAAAAATCATCAAGGATTTTGACTCGGTTACTCAGAGATGGGAGAATATTGTCAGCAGATTGGAGGAGCACTCACAAATGGTAGGCATAGAAACAAGTGAAATCAGCTTTAGTTAAACCGTGTCAAACTAAACCCAAGAACAGTATCATCGCAATCCGATTCTTCAGCACAAGGAGAATCATCAAGGGAAGAGGTGGGTACTGTAAAAGAAGGATTGACTATTACTTTAGGGAGAGGCTAGATTGTCAACAGAGGAATCTGATGAGATACCCAGACAACCCGCGGCGCATTCCGAGGAAACGATTAATATTGTAGAGCTATTTATTGAAAAAACAAAACAATTCGAAGCGTCGTTAAAGCCATTGGCAGAAAGGTTAAAACAGCTCAAGAACCCTACCAAACAACAATTCACCGTTATAGCTGACGAATTTAAGGTACGAAAGAATAAAAAAATAAAAGACGATTTTAGACCCAACTCGCTCAAGTGGAAGAATTGGACGCTTTGGCCGAGAAAGTACACCAGTCCAGCATGAATCAAGCAGAACTGCATGCCGTTAACGAAAACCACGAGCGGGCCATGATGTTTTACGGGAAACTAGTCAACGAATTCACCGAACGAATCAAATATATGCAAAATCCGAATGCTTCCAAGGATGATACAGCTAAAGTGGAATTACATCTCACGGAATGGATCGACATGGCCAAGGCCCTCTGGAAAGATATAACAAACACTCCGAAAGAGGCCCGAGGCCATCGAATCGACGCTTTTCTGATTGAATTATTGGAATTACAAAAAAAATTCTCCGATTTTAAAGCAGCAAATCAAAACACGGAAAGATTCAGACCTCTAGAGAATCAACTCATCGAATTACAACAGAAAGCCAGAAGAGAAAAAGAAAAGGAAAAAGAAGAAAGAGAAAAGGAACAAGAAGAACAACAAAAAGAAGAACAAGACCCCAAGAAAGCCCTAGAATGGATAAGAAATGTGATCGTGGAACTCAACAGATTTAACCTTAATTCAGGAGATTTAAAACATCTCAAAGATCTGGAACAAACGCTCAGAATGTAAGTATAAAAGTAAAAGGAAAACAGTTTCGTACAGAACTTCCGAACAATTGAAAGGAAAACTGGACGTGATAACTGATGAAGACTTTGTAGCCGAAACAGAGAAAGTGGTAAACATACTTAAAAAGACAACAGATGAATTGAATGTAAAGATAAATACAATTGAAAATATCATCCACAAAGCTGTGACGACCGAGCAACTGGCAGATAAATTTGAGAGAAGATTGGCCGATCTGAAAAGAGGGCAATTCGAATTGGGAGTAACGGAATCTGAATCCCGGGTAGGTTTAAGCGTTCGGAAGGGAAAGAGTTCGAAAGAGGGGAGTGTTCGAACTCAACCAAATTTTGTGTTTTATACCCGGGAAGAGTCTGCCCGTTCTCGGAGGATAGGTTACCCCACGGATAGGTTACCACACCGGATAGGTTACCTAGAGGATAGGTTACCCTTTACCAAAAAAAGAAAAAAGTTTTTTTTGAAATGTTTTCGCTTCGGGACTTGGAAAAAAAAGAATTTTTTGTGAAAATTGAATAAAATTTGAAATGTTTTCAGCTGACTGAGTATGAACTGATTGAATATGAAAACTGGGTTTCTGTTACTTTACTACCTTTAGGGATTCTTTTTGAAATTTTTTCGACTTATAACACTTTCAGACGTTAACGGTGTTGTTTTGGTGCCTATTACTGCTTAAAAAACACAGTTTTAACACTTGGTACTAAATAGTACTACCTGGTACTATTCATTACGAGGTGCAAATTTGGCAGTAAGGCAGTAATGGTGATGGTTTGGTGCTTAGTAGAGCCCAAAAACACATGGTACTATATAGTACTAGGTGGTACCATCGATTTTAGACAAAATTTTAGTGCTGGCGGCACCACAGTTCATATTCATTCAGACACCCTTTTTTCTACTCCCGATGTGAAAAGATTTCAAAATTTTGTTGAATTTTCCAAAAAATCCGTTTTTCCCACTCACGAAGAGAAAACATTAAAATTTTGTTTAATTTTCCAAAAAAAATCTTTTTTTCCAGTCCCGAAGCGAAAGGATTGCAAAAAAAATTTTTTTCTTTTTTTGGTAAAGGGTAACCTATCCTCTAGGTAACCTATCCGGTGTCCGAGAACTGCTTTACTTTATTTTATAGAAATTACGGGACGAATTATTCCAACATAATGGCCAAAAAACTAAAGCCATCAAGCAGATGGATGAAATGTTACAAATATGCCAAAGTAGCAACGAAATAGAAGCTGCAAATGGTTGGAAAACAAGAATCAATAAGTTGGAACGACAATGGAAAACTCTAGAGAAGGATGTAGAAGAATATATATCGGTGGTGGCGAAGAACTATAGGAAACATTTCCAAGACATTGTGGCTGAACAAGAGCAGCTAAGTAATCAACTTAGAGAAGCAATGATCGCAAGCGGAGAAGCAACAGATGCGGAAGAACTCAGTGAACATGTGGATGTAATATTATATAGATGCTAATTTCATTATTTTGCTATTTCAGAACATGGAATATTTGTTGGAGAAACTGACAAAGACAGGCACAGAAGAAGTGGATCCGTTTCAGCAATATAATCTGACAAATGACACATATGTACAACGAGAGATCGAGCGAGTGAATGTCCAGAGGAAGCACATAATAGACTTGGCCAAGGAACGTTGCGCTCGATTGCAGGAGGCCATATCCAAGTGCGAGATGTTCGAAAAGGATTTGTGCAACTTCCAATCTTGGTGTCAACATATGAATCACATTTTGAATACAAGATTGTCCCAGGATATAAACGCTTTGGATGTCCCCCATGAGTATAAGGTAAGTAACTTGTATGATCGGATTTGTAAAGGCGTGGAAAACATTCCCCATTTTATTTTCCAAGGTTTTGCCGATATCCCTCTTGTTTTATACGTCGGAAAAAAGTTATAATGATAAGCGGTAATTCTGGTCATGGAATTATCGACGGTGAGAACTTTGGGATCGGCATAAAGTCCGTGCGACCGTTTGTTGCAAAAAAATCTTGGATTAGCTCAAAAAAGACTTCAAAGTGGAAAGAGGTAAAAAGTATAATGTACCTTAGCACGTGTGTGATATCATTTATTAGGGATAACAAAAACAAAATTATAAGTGTGAACGCTATAAAAATTGATACGGTATACCAGAGAATATGGCGTAGAGAAATTATGGGTGACGCACGGTTAGGCGGTGCAAGTTCGGGGTAAAAACTTTTTCCCCTTTTTCTTAGGTGATTTTTGAAAATTCTGCTTGAATTTTGAAATACAACAATATGGGTTGTCCTGTCGGTATTTATTTTTCTTGTGTATCAGTACACTATATACCAAACTTGGTCCGAATTAGAAGTGGATGGTCAAAACTTTTTACGCGTTGTATAATATAACTGATATCGAACATCATTTCTGTATTTTTTCTTATCTTTCTGTAACTATTAAAGTGTTGTATAGTCTTCAATAGGTGTGTTTTATACCAGGCCATAGATAGCACTGCGCCGATAATTCTGAGTTATTGAAATTACACCGAATTGCTTTATATATTTTTACCGTATTTCAGAAAGCCAGTGCAGAAGGAACTCTGCTGTCTGTAAGTTCTAATAAACTTGCTGGTTTGTGTGCGATCTTAGTGTGAATCCTTACTTTTTGATAGTACTATTAGTGTTTGGTGTTAGTGTGTGGAAGATTCCATTAATCATGTAATTTAATATGTTACCATGTAATAAAAATACTTTCAGCAAATGAACACAGAGTTCTCAGAATATGATGTACTTCTCCGGTCATTGGGCGAATTCATAGAAGAGAGCAAATCACATTGGAGTTCATCGGACCGCTTGAAACTGCAGAAGAACCATGCTTCTGCTCAACTTGAAGAATTAAAAGGGAGATTTAACCTGTTCAAGAAGCCGGTCCAATTCGAAAAATCATTGGAATCGATTGAAAAAATGTTGCAAAATGTCGAGGAATCCCTTGATGATTTGGCTGGTGTCAAGGCCGAGAACTGTGAATATTGCCAGATCCATATAAGCCAAACAATGAAACAAGTGGCCAGTTGCCAAGAGACGCTCATCGATTTGGAAAACAAGAAGGATGCTTTGGTTCAAGAAGGGATATTCGATGAAGAACAAGCAATAATTGCAGATCAAAGATTGGAAACAGCTTTGCGGAAGACTCAAGCCTTGGATGCCAGGGCTGTAAATGACATGGAGAGGTTGCAACAATCCGCACAACTTGTTAAAAAGTACGAAGCAGAGAAGAGCAACATTTCCAAGAATATTCGGGAAATTGAAGATAAGGCAGTCAAGGCCCCAGATGATATCAGGAAAAGTCTGGAGGATGCTGTTGCCGGAATCAAAAAGGCCCTCGAATTGAAGGCCGTCCTGCATCAAAACGCAGTTCGATTGTCTGACTCGGAACTGGACGAATACGATCGAAAGGTGCAAATCCTTCGAAATAAATACGGCAGCCTTTTAACTTCTGATTCGGAATGCGCTGATCACTTGAAAACAGTTGTAATTTCCTTGGAACGAAGTGTGAATATGTTGGAAAGAAGTGGTGACAAAAAACAGATGCAACAAGTACGAGAGAAATTGGTTAACATTAACCGACAACTTCTGAATTCTGGTGATGAGATTCGAAAAGAGTTGGGTCCCAAAGTAGCCGAAATAAATTCTAGGATTTCCGAATTGGAAAGGGAATCCAGAAGCATAAGCAGGACGGCCAAATCGTTGAAAGAGACCTCAAGCGAGTTACACGAACCCGTGCTTCCTCCAACTACCGATCTCAACAGTGACAACTTCGAAGAATGCGTTTTCGAATTCTTAAGATCCTCCAAATCTCTTTCTAGTTACTTGAATTTCAAAACGTTCCCAGTTGAAGACACAGCCAAGTGGGTTCAGCGAGTTAAGGTATGTTTAATTACTTTAATTCAACGAACTAATCTTACTTTTTAGGTAGCAAGCCAAGTCAGTGCTTCAAATGAAGAATATCGGGAAAGATTGGTGAAGTTTGGGAGAGAATGGGCCGAAAAAGGGAGAATGGAACTCTCAGATCAACAAATTCTCGACTATCTCGATGAATCTGATGCCTTGACAACTAAAAATTCTGAACAAATACAAAGCGAAAATGAACTTTTAAACGCGTTCGAAACGTTGGAGGAGATGACCAATAACTGTTTAACAAGCATTAAACAAAACATAGAAGAAATTCATAAATTGGATTTGACTGATCAACTAAACGTCCTAAAAGCACAAGATGAATTAGAGGCTGTGAATGAACGGATTACAGAATCGTTAATTGCTATTGACAAATTCAGTCAGAACGCCCCAGGCAGAGAGAAGATCTTCCAGATTTTGTACGATAAGATCTCTGAGTTACAGGTAGAGGTTGAGTATGCGAATGCTAGAGTTAGACAGGCCCTGACAGATCTATTAACGACTACAGAGCAGGTCTCGGATAAAGAACAGGACTTCAAGAAGAAGCCCGTCCATCCCGATGGGGTGTCAATGTCCTCTGGAGCGGGACTTTCCTTGGCCATGGATGTTCAAGAAACCGAAGGGGAAGAATATTTCTCTGATGCTGCAAGAAATCAGAATAAAATTGGAGATGTTTTCAATGATCTGGATACTTTCGAAGATTTCTTTGATAGAGATGAGAGTCTTCCGTTCGAAGGAATCGATGAGAAGGACCAGTATCTGAATACAATTGAGCAAAGGCTGGCAGAAGACAAAAAGGTGATCAAGCAGATGCAGATGAACATGGATGTAAACGAATATGAACATACCATGGGCCGTTTTAAAGCGCTTTCACAAAATTTGCTCACAAGACGTGACAACATGAGGAATAATCGATCCACCATCGACAATCTTTTCTCCTTCTTCTCCCAAGCAGAGGAAGACGTGTTCAAGTTGGATAACATCATCCGAAAAGCAGACAAGAATAAAAGTAAAGACCATTCCGTTGACATGGAAGATTGGGAGGCTGGCCAATTGGAAACCGAGAATCTAATCCCGTCGTTGGCCGTCCATATTCAGCAATGTGAGAATAGATATCACAATCTCAAGGATAAATTGTCAGCCTCTCTACAAAATGAATTTGGAACTCGTCTGGCTAATCTAAATGATGATTTTAATCTTTTGAGACATGCGGTTGAAAAGAATAGAATGATTTTGGAGGATAAATTGGCCGATGAGAGGTACCTATTGAAAAATATGAACAAGTTCTCCAACTGGTGCGATGAAATTGAGAAATTTTTGGTAAGGATTCCCTTAGCTAAATCGTTGTCACCGTACTTGTTTTGTCTATTCTCTAAATTTATTCTATGCAGAATAAACAAGAATCGTTCTTGGATCCTTTGGGACTAGACGCTTCCTACGAGCTCATGAAGCATCGACAAACCGAAGTTGATGAGAAGATCCTTGCCTTCCGAAGCATAGAAATGTTGAAAGATCGATTCGTAGCTTTAGGCGATGTCGACACTGAAGTCAAACACAGAATCCGAAGGGAAATCACACAGTTGGCAAAGCGAATCAGTGATGTATGTTACAATGGTAAGAGTTAATAACAATTTGTTTTAGCTGCAATTGGCGATGACGAAACAGACAAAAGAACTGGCAGATCTGAAGGAAATATCGGACGAATTTTGGACGGAGGTGTCAAAGATCAACAACTGGGTTCAGGATGCTGATGTTCAAGTAAGCAATGTGGAGAAGGCTCATTTGTATAAACCAATGCTCTTCAATCTGAAGAAGATGATTGCTGAATCTTCCGACTTGAAATTGCAAACTCAACTAATGCAACGGCAAGTGGCGGAAGAGCTTCTTGAACTGAAAGCTCCCAACGAAATCCATCATCAGTCGGGAAAGGTAAGTGATGGGTGGACATCGGAAATGTATTTTAGACTGTGGATACGGTAGCGAAAAACTTCAACAACGTAATCGAAAGGGCACGGGAACTGCTGGAAGGAACGCTAAAGGAAGAACAGGTAGAAAAATTAGAATTTGCTCCCGAATTGGAACTGGAACAACTGGAATCACCACCTCGAAATTACAATGGACGAGATGACAGTACAGTGGAATATGGAACATTAACCAACAGGGATGATTCATTGCCACCGGCATCAATGAAAGACTCTGGCAGCAAAAGTCGAGCGGAAACCGAGGAATTCCACGATGCATTGGATAGACCATTAGCCGAGGCATTCGATCACCTTAACAACTCAACTATTTTGGATGCGAAATTCAATCCAGAGGAAAAACAACGTCAAGAAAAATGTATCCAGATAAACGGCAGGCTGCAGGAAATTGAAAGGAGCATCTCCACCACCGTCAACATCACAGATCAATCTCAGATTCGGCAGTTAATATCTGACAATCAAAACTTCCTTAATGAGATTGGAATTCATAAGGTGGAACTCCAGAGAATTCTTAATCAAACTGAAGAACAATTGATTTCTTCTCGAGCAATCCAATGTCTCTACGATTTGGAAAAGATATTAGAGTCCTGTAAGAAGAGGAAGCTAGAGCTAACCGAGATGCTTCATCAAACAAGGCTGTGGGAACAACTCCGATCAGAGTTGGAACTATGGCTAACCGAAGGGAACGAGAAATTAATGGCAACGGAAAGGGTGAATGAAATGGATGAAGTGACTCTGGAAGCTGAATTAAAATCAGTAAATGACATTACCGGAACAATTGACAATATGAAGGCGCAGATGGAACAACTGAACCTGAGATCAAACGAAATGATCGACAAATTCATTTACGATGACAACCACACACTCTCGCAGCTAACCAGCAAACTTAACACGCAATGGACAAAGTTCAATGAAAGGTAAGAGGAATGGGGAAGAGTTTAACCGAAAGTTTCAGTTTATGTATTAGGAGGGCTGTGTTGGAAGCATCGTTAAGATCGCGAAATGATATTCACACAACACTGACCCAACTGGACGGATGGCTAAACAAACAACTCGGAATCCTGAAACAATTGGACGCTGATACCGAGAATAAACAAAGATTAAAGGACACGAGTAAAAGAAGAGACTGGATGGGTCAAGAAAGGGAGTCTAACGCAGAGATCGAGGCTCATCGACAAGTAATAACTTCGGTTAGAGACATGTGCAAAAATCTGCTGAATGTCCTAGAGGCCGACAATGAGCGGCAGACTCTGCAGAACAAACTGGAGGCCGTCGAAGCAAAATGGGTTCAAATCAACGAATTGGACTCTATTGTTAGGTAAAGTTTTTGATTAGAAATAGGAGCAATTAGAGGTGGCAATCTGTCCGGTCGGGCTTTCAAACCTTTTCGACTTGTACAGCACATATAAAAATAACTGTGGAGAGCATAAAAGTTTTGGAAAAAATATCAAGGACTTTTGTCCAAACTTTTGTCCTACGGGTCTTGGCAAACTTGAAAAAGCCCCGAGCCGGCCTAACGACTTGGGCTCGCTGGCCAGGCCGCGAAGATCGCCCAGATGGATTGCCACCTCTAGTAGGGCCAATGATGAAATCAGATTGCGTTAATTGAGTTATAATTTTAGAGAAAGAATACAGAACGCCCAGGACGAGTGTGAGAAGCTGACAAAAGACTTGTCAGAACTCTTGCATTGGACGGATATGCAGATTAGCACAATATTACATGATCAACCAGTGGGCGGAGACTTAACTACAGTACAACAGCAAAGCGACACGATCAGAAAAATTGAACGCCAGTTCGACTCAAAGAACCGCGAAGTTTCCGACTGCATTCAGTTATCCCACAGTTATCTGATGCAACATGATTTACGTCCAATGATTCATAGGGGATCTGCTTTCGATTCAAGTAAAGAAATGGAGAAATCAGATGCCCAATTAGAAGAACGAAGGATTGGGGTGCAAATTCTGGCAGACAGCGAAAAGTTGAAGAGCTCTTATGACGCGTTGAAACAGCACTTAAGTGCATGGCAGCGAGTTGTATCCACAGCTCACAGAGAACTTCAGGAGTTGGATACAGCAATCGCTGAATCACTGTTGGCCATTGGGACTATCGAAAATGAAATGGACGGAATGAAATTGGTCGAAGATCTGAGACTGGAGGAATTAAAGGAAGCGAAGATAGAACATGCTATCCTTAAGAAGAGAGTACAAGATACTGCTGTGAAAGTTGATGATGTCAACGATTGCACAGGCCAAATTGCCGCACAGAACATCGTCTTGAGTCCTCATATGGAAATGCAAATACAAACGGTAAATGCCAGGTATGAGAAGCTAAGCAAAGAAGTAGGCATCAGAGGTGCTGCTTTGGAGCGTGCCTTTACCGACTTCGGTCCGTCCAGTGAACATTTTTTGTCGGAGTCAGTCCAACCCCCATGGCAACGTTCCATATCTGCCCTCAATCAAATGCCTTATTATGTGGACCACGTGACAGAAAATACTCAATGGGATCATCCAAGCATGGTAGATATCTTCGAGAAACTGTGCACTTTCAACCAAGTCAAGTTCAGCGCTTATCGGACAGCAATGAAATTGAGAGCTCTGCAAAAGCACATGTGTTTGGATCTTATTGATCTACCTAGTCTTGATCAAGCCCTCCACAAATACAGAAATGCACCGTTGGATGAGAAGATATCCATCGAGGACGTTGTGATGACCCTAGTTCCCTTGTTTGAGTCAGCGCATCAAAAGTACCCTCAATTGCTAAGGAATGTTCCCCTAGCTGTAGATTTGGCCCTTAATTTACTACTTAACATTTACGATCCATGCCGTGACGGGAAACTACGAACGGTGTCATTTGCCATAGCAATGGTCGTATTGTGCAACGCAACACTCGAGTCGAAGTATAAATTCTTGTTCTCGTTAATTACAAGGGACGAGGGTGTTGACCACAAACAATTGGGATTATTATTCTATGATCTTATTCATGTAAGTCTTAAAGTCGTTTTTTGGTAGCATCTTATTGCAGATTACGAAACTGTTAGGAGAAGCGGCAGTGTTTGGAGGCTCAAACATTGAACCATCTGTCCGATCTTGCTTTGAGTACAGTAAATATCCGGCCAAACTTTCTGTTGATCAATACCTTAGTTGGCTCAAGAAAGAACCCCAAAGTATAGTATGGTTACCAGTAATGCATCGTCTGGCGTCATCGGAATTTGCAAAGCATCAGGCCAAATGTAATGCATGCAAGATGTTCCCCATTGTTGGAATGAGATATCGATGTCTGAGGTGCTTCAATTATGACATCTGCCAGAATTGCTTCTTCTCTCAGAGAACTTCCAAGAGTCACAAACTGACCCACCCAATGCAAGAATACTGCACACCGGTAGGTCAATAAAAATAGATTAATCCCTTCGTTGCAGACAAAGTCAAAAGACGACGTTAGAGACTTTACTCTTATGGTCAAGAACAAGATGCGAAGAAGCCGAAGCAAACGCGGTTATCTTCCTGTAGATACGGTGGACGAAGGCCTTCCCCTTGAGAATAACCAGAATGTTCCCCAAAACCCAGCCACAGAGACAATTCATCAAAGAGTCCAAGTTTTCTCTCAGCGTTTACTAAAACGCCAACAAGAATCGATTAGTGCAGTTAACGTCCAGAAGGCGTTACAGATCAAAGAAGAAGCAAAGGTTGAGATCAAATCAACGTCAAAACAACCCCTTCAGTCAAAGTTACATAAGTCGGCTACGGATGGACCTGGAATGCGAAGAGATGTCAACGAAATAAAGTCACCATCTCAACTTATCAAGCAAGTAGAACAGATGCACAAGGAAGAAATGGACCAACTTCTTCAGAAGCTACAGTATGAAAATAGGTAGGCCGACAGGGTTTTATTAAAATCAACATTTTCAGTGAATTACGCCAAGCGGTGGAAAGGAAACGGCATTTGGGATCGACCCCAAATCTAGAAGGAATGAGGCAAAGCGGTCCGCAATCTGGATATCCGCTCAGTGCTCGCCACACTGCCCAACCTGGAATATATGCATCGACCCAAACAATGCCCCATGGAACATCTATCGGTATCTCGCAGCCCCATCCCTTCGCTCCACATAGAATTGTATCACAACCTACATTATTCAGCGAGGACAATAGAAGACATTACGGACGGTCCGCATCATCCCTACCGCGTGGATATAGCGAAATCGAAAACTTTACAACAGATCAGAGACGTCTTTTAGATGCCAAGTCCATAAGAATTCATGAGCACCAACTTGAAGAACGTTCACGAGCACTAGAAGAGCAAAACAAACAACTTCAAATACAGTTGGATAGATTGCAAAGAGTTGTGGATAAGGTAGTCATAACCCTCTTAATTTTTATATTCTTTTCTTTTCTAATTTCAGCAGACTCCCTCAGAATTCCCTCGGCCAGTCGACACATCTCACATTCGACAGGAGTTTGGACATAGAAAACCCGAGTTCCCAGATTTTGGAATGTATGGAGTTAGTTCAACGGATGAAGACGATACGCCTGGAGGTATAGAAGCATTAAAGATGCGAAGAAACCGAATGGATAGCTTGATGAACACTATGAACGAACTAAATCGGGCAATGGAATACTTCGTTGGGTCAATGCTACACGAAGAGCAGAATTTAAGCGACCAATACTCTGTTAACATGCCACAAGACGGATAGCCGGTATATTAAAGTACTAATGTTTTCCCCTTTTTTCTTGCTATTAGTATATTTCTACTTATAAAATACGATATGAACTCACACCATGTGCTTGACTAAATTAAGAATTTATTTAAAAGCAAAATTATGATAAGAAATATGTATTAAAGTTAAGTTGAACATAAAAGGCAGTGAGAATTAACAATCACAAATATACAAATAAAGGTCAATCAATATTTTAACTAATTATAATACTTCAAAAAATTAATAAAATGAAGTTAATGGCACAAATTTCAAAAAGATGAGTTACACGTATTTCGGCTTTCCTAGACCGAAGCTGGAATCAGGCTGAAGAAGCTTTTCCTGATAATCTGGAAGGGTCCGATCCCCGTAAGTCTCCTCTACCCCCGGAGAGGTGGATTTGGTAGAATGAGATCCCGGAGGGCCAAGAAACTGCCTCTTGGCAATGTCAACTTGAAGACACTCCAAGTAATTCTTGAACAATCGATTGCAGATATCTTTGGCAACAATGGCGCCAGCATGGCCTTCAATAAAACGCAGAAGAAGCACTCCATCTGAAAAAATAAATAAAAATCTGATGTCTAACAAGGGCTCGGCTAAACCTTGTCCCCTGGTTTTTTTCTTGAAACATAATATAAGGATGGTGACATACGCATAGAAATGCGCATTTCTTGTCTAGAAGCCTAACAGACAAGAATCGTTTCTGGCCACGACAACCAATTTAATGCGTATGTCACCATCCTTATATGGACGATGATTTTTAAATTTCATCGGACAAGTCCGTCCGAACCCTGCAAATTTAGTACAAAGTAAAAAGTTCACAAAAAAAGAAGGAGGGGAGGAGGAGGCGACAGAGAAAGGCAGAAATTTTTATAAAAAGAGAAATTGCGCAACGTTGTGTCAGATTGCGCAACTTTTAACTTTGTACTAAATTTGCAGGGTTCGGACGGACTTGTGCGATTAAAATTTTTTAAATCATCGCCCATATATACCATTTGAAAGAGCGTAAAAAAACTGCGGGCAAAAATTAAAAAGTTACAATAGTTGTAAGTTTCGCAGCCATACAATGCCGTAATCCCAAGCTCTGTTATGTTTTAACCACACAGGAGAAAATATTTTTCAACTTCCACAATTGTCTTTTTCCCCAATCGTCGATCTCCGACAAAAAATTACCTGGTCGGAGTCCATTGCTAACGAAATTGGAGATCACTCTGCTGGCTGCAGGATTATTCATGAGATCCTGGTAATCTTCCCGGCTCAACATTTGTTTGACGGTATTCTCTCTGGCTCTGCTTGGGACCATCTGAGAGAAGCAATAAAAGAAGTTGATGATTGTAGAGATGGCTACAAACATGAACCAGAACCAAATGAAGAGGTAAATCTTTTCATTGAACATGTTGATCATCAATACACATTGAACTGTGTATCTATGCATATTTGCGAGACGTCTGACCCTGAAATCGCACATGGAAACTCTTGGGAATACAGGAGAATCAGTCCATTCGTCCCCCGACCATAGTGTTTGAAGAGCAGTCCAGCCCCAGAGATGAAATCCTCGGCCAATGAAGTTGTTCAGAAGGACGAACTGTCCGAAAACATTGACCAAGTAGAGGAACTTCGTCAACAAGTACAACATGGACACGTAGGAACCCAAAGAACGGCCAAGTCGGAGACAGAAAACAGACCGAGGCATGGGCCTGGGGTTGTTGATCTCCAGAGACTCGCTGAGATAGGACGAGAGTTTGCAGAACTCTTCCTGTTTGTCCTTGCACTTCATCGCCCTTATATTTTGGGCATCGCTGATAGCAGTTCCGAGATCAAGACCTTGGAATATATTATTATATTTATACGTCGTAACTTACCGCTCTGTTGGTGAAGTGTCTTCCAAATCCAGTTAGGGATATAAAACATGAAGGCTTGAAGGGCCAGTACTACTGGAACCCACTGATAATATCCAAACTGTCTTTCGTCTCGATCAGAAATCTCCTGGGGGATCTCTTCTTCCATGGGAACGTAGTAAGTGTTCTGGATAAAACAATAGTCTTCGGCATATTGCTCCCATCCGCCTTTGAACTAAATTATATAGGTAAGTTTTTATAAGTGTTTCTCTTTAACGTTAAATTTCTGAAAAAAGGACAACCCTTACCTCCATGGGCATCCAGCATTGAATTGGTGCCCCCACATATTGTTTTGCTGATACCATAATAGCAAAAAACGCTAATAAACTCGCCGTAATAAAATAGTTGAGACGGTCAATAGGATCATCGAAAGTTTGTGGTTTAAATATTCGACTGACAGCATCGTCCAGGAATGGGATGCCCAGCATCTTGGCTGAAAGTAAAAACTAAAATAGAGATAAGCAGCAGGGGAATGGAGATCGGCAAAGATCTGGGGGTGGCCGGGTACGCGCAACGCCGCTCGAATGGCGCTTGGAGTGCCGCTGAGAAGTGGGGGGAATAGGAGAGCGAGCGCAGAGATATAACGCAGAACGGGGCCAGAACGCGGTCAGGGGTACCCTAATGGCTGTCTCCTCACTACACCTCCACTCCAAAACAAGACCCCTCAAAGCAAATAAAACCCCAAGAATATGGGGGAAATTTTCACAGACAAGCCCGAAAGTCGTTAAATTCTCAGGACCAAAAATGAGCAAACACCTGGAGAGGGACGGTCAGCAGATAAATCATGACGAAATTTGAGGATAGGACCTCTCACCCCAGCCGTTTTTTGGGTCGAATCAATGCCGCGCATTTGCATACCCCGTTAACTCTTTCCGCGCACGGAGACTAGATTAATCTCACGAAATCTCAGCTCTGTACTGTAGTCAGACGAAAAAAGAGCCCAAATAAAGTGTTTAAAGAGCTAAATAAAACCGATCGGGAATCGTGAGAAGGACTGAGATGGGCGGATAAGGGCCTCTGGCCAAAAGAGCTTATTATTAAGACTGTATAGAGAACAGATGGAGTCTGTTCGTCGACGGACCCCACGGAAACGGCCGAAATGCTGACTCAGAGACATAAAAGACGACTCGCCCCCAGGCAGGCTGATTCCCATCCACGTTTTTTTGGTTCTCAGAATCAAAGCTTCATTTTCTTCAGACAGTCTGCTCATACAGTCGTTTTCTTTTCGTGTTTGGACTGGCTGACCGGCCACCGGATTCGGATCATCCACTTTAAATAAGACAAACAAAACTTTTTATACTCAATTAATATTACCACTGGCCGATGCGTAACCAAATAATTTTCCGTTTTGTCAGCACATCAGACCAAATGGAACAATAAAACGCATCCAATGTCATTACTCAGCAGCTCTGCAAATGTCACAGAATCAATAATAGAGAGTAAAATATTTTTTGGACACTTTCTCGAGACTCTCGGGAAGGGGGAATACTAAAAAAGTAAAAACATCGTTTATGACCGAAAGGGAACATGTTATTTAAATATTTTTCTTGGGAATTATGCAAATTTCTTTTATTTTTCCAAGCCTTGTTTGTCTCAATTACTGCCTCGGCGCAAACGTGGAGCGGTCGATTTTCCGTTTAATGGAACCGCTTTCAGAAGACGTTGTCTATGATGGATCCGATCCTCAGATTCAGCAAGAAGATGATCTGGGGCTGATCAGCATGCCTTCAGCAGAGAATGTTGATCTGGGAAGGGCGGTTTTCATCCCGGATGAGAGCGATGGCTATGTCAGAGGAAGGGTGGTCGATATTCTTTCAGATTCCTTGGTGGTAAAATGCAATCCTCCGAAAGATTGCACGGTCTCCGTCCCGTATTCACAGGTTCTTCCATGTGATGAGGAGTCGGGCAAGGACGTCGATGACAATTGTGAGTTCATTCGACTTCATCTAAACGACCACAATTACAGGCGCATTGATGTATCTGAACGAAGGAACTCTTTTGGAAAACTGCAAGACACGATACAGCCGGAAACAGATCTATGTAAGAGGACCGTCCCGATCTTTACTATATTTGCAGACCTATGTTGCCAACATTCTCATCTCCATCAACCCATATGAGTGCCTACCGGATTTATACTCCACCAATGCTATCGCCGCATATCGAGGAAAGTCATTGGGCACATTACCCCCTCATGTGTTTGCCATTGGTAAGACTAATGGTCGGCTTCAAAGATATTTGTAGCCGACAAAGCATATCGAGACATGAAGAGGCACAAGGAAAGTCAGTCAATCATCGTTTCTGGAGAATCTGGCGCAGGAAAAACGGAGACCCAGAAGTCCATCTTGAAGTATTTGTGTGAGAATTGGTGTTCCGAAGGGTCGAGATCGCTTGAAGAACATGTTTTGGAGAGTAGGGATCGTAAAAGTATGCGTGATTCCATGATTCTTTTAGCCAACCCAATCTTGGAAGCCTTCGGGAATGCAAAAACCCTCAGGAATAACAATTCTAGTCGCTTTGGAAAGTTTATCGAAATCCATTTCCAAGAAAATGTAAAATTATTTATCCTTTTGCAATTTTCTTGAAGGGTACCGTAGCTGGTGGTCATGTATCACACTATTTGTTGGAGAAGTCAAGAGTTTGTATCCAGCAATCTGGGGAGCGCAACTATCACATCTTTTATCAAATGTTTGCGGGAACCGATGATAAATTCAAAGAAAGCTTAGGCCTTTCGAATCCCGAATCCTTCGAAGTAAGAATTCTGAGGCGAAGAATGCCTAATGAAAGCTTTATTTTAGTTCCTAAGACACGGATGTACCAAATTCTTCACAGATATGGCGAACCCACACTCTGAAAACAATGACGTAACTGGAAGACTAAAATTTGAATTGTCGGTTTATTTTTTTCAGAATGTTATCTTGGATGAGGTTGTCAATGACTCTACGGACTTTCAACGTTTGGTAAAGTCATTGAAGAACATTGGATTTGGTGAGAAAGCCCTCGAGGATTTGTTCAAGCTCTTGGCTGGGATCCTTCATTTGGGAAATGTGAAGTTTGAGGATTCGGATGACGTCAGAGGAGGATGTAAGATTACATCAGACTCCGATTCATCCGTCGAATGGTCCGCCAAACTTTTGGGAATTGGAAGGAATGAACTGGTTGCTGGCTTAACATCCAGAATTATGCAACCGACCAGAGGTGGAGTCAAGGGAACCGTCATCCAAGTAAGGCTCAAACAAAAGGAGGCTGAAGCCACACGGGATACGCTGGCCAAGACGATCTACGGGAAACTATTCGATGAGGTTGTGGCCAAAATAAATGCCTGCTTCCCTTTCGAGAGCTCCAAACATTATATAGGCGTGCTGGACATCGCTGGTTTCGGTAATTAATATACAACGGATCTCTAGTTTAGCTATGCCATTTTAGAGTTCTTCAAGACGAATTCCTTTGAGCAGTTCTGCATCAACTACTGTAACGAGAAACTTCAAGAATTCTTTAATGACAGGATTCTGAAACAAGAGCAGGAGTTGTATAAAGCAGAGAGTCTAGATGTCCCCCAGATTGAGTACAACGACAATCAAGATTGCATTCAATTATTCGAAAAGAAGGGTGGACTTCTGGATCTGCTGGATGAAGAAGCCCGCCTTCCAAAGCCTTCTTTCCAACATTTCACAACCGCGGTCCACCAATCGCACGCTGGTCATTTTCGTCTCTCCGTAAGTGATTAAAGATTCTTTTGCATGCTCATTCCCAGACAAACCGCAGCTCCAAGGTCAAGGAGTATCGGTCTATGAGAGAGGATGAATGCTTCATTATCAGACACTTTGCTGGCTCTGTTTGTTATCAGACTTCTCAGTTCCTGGAGAAGAACAACAACACTCTGCACGCTTCTTTAGAAGGAATGGTGTCTTGTTCCAACAATGTCATCTTGATCAAGTTGTTCGATGCCGTGGAATTTCATCAGCCTCGCAACAAGTTGATTTCGTCATCGGCAAGTGCCCTGTTCCGCCAACAACTTGGTAAATTGTTGGAAAAGTTGAGGCAAACTGTAAGTTGAACTTTCTCTTCACTAATCAAAACTGCAGGGTACTCATTTCGTCCGATGTATCAAACCGAATGGAGAAATGATGCCAGGAAAGTTCGAAGGAAGCCAGATTTTGGGACAACTTAGGTATTCAGGAATGGAGAGCGTATTGAGACTCATGCAGAAAGGATTTCCGTCAAGGTAAGTGGCTAAACCAATAACATAAACGATTAGAACAATGTTTTCCGAGCTGTACGACATGTACTCTTCCCTCCTGCCGGAAAAGTTGGCTCGCCTTGATCACCGCTTGTTCTGCAAATGCCTCTTTCATGTCCTCGGACTGAACGAGTCGGATTTTAAGTTTGGGATGACCAAAGTTTTCTTCAAACCTGGTAAATTTGCAGAATTTGATCAGGTATGAAGACAAGGTAAAATATATTAGCTTTAGCTGTTGCGTCACGATCCTCAAGCAATGCAGGAGATGATTGGAAAAGTGCAGTCTTGGTTGTTCAGACTCAGATGGCGCAAAGTTCAATATGGTGTCCTCTCTTGCGTAAAACGTAAGTAACTCGCCCCTAACATCAACTGTCAGTGCAAAAGAAGATCATCTATCGTGCGGAAAATGCCCTTCTGATCCAGCGCTGCGTTAGAGGATTCTTGATAAGAAGAAAGGTCTGTCCTAGGATGAGACTTGGCTCAACGCTGGTCAACAACATGAAGGATCTCGACGACATGATCAACACTTTGATCGCAGAAGACCACTCCAACGCCGATCTAATTCAGGAGGCGACAGATCACAAAACGAGTGTGAAAAACGGGTTGAAAGCTCTTATGGTAAGCACTGAATCGAAGGGAGACTGAATATGAACTGACTGAATATGAAGGACCGAATATGAAGGACTGAATATGAACTGACTGAATATGAACTGGGGTGCTGACTGAATATGAAGGACCGAATATGAACTGACTGAATATGAAAACCGGGTTTCTGTTACTGTTACTACCTAGGTTCCGATTAAGGACTCTTTTTAAAATTTTTTCGACTTATGACACCTTTAGACGTTAATGGTGTTGTTTTGGTGCCTAGTACTGCTTAAAAAAAACTTTTTAACACTTGGTGCTAAATAGTACTACCTGGTACTATTTAGTACGAGGTGAAAATTTGGCTGGTAATGGTGTTGGTTTGGTGCTTAGTACAGCCCAAAAACACATTTTTAGCACTTGGTACTATATAGTCCCAATTGGTACTATTTAGTACGAGGTGAAAATTTGGGCGTAAGGCGGTAATGGTGTTGGTTTGGTGCTTAGTACAGCCCAAAAACACATTTATAGCACTTGGTACTATATAGTCCTTGAAATAGACCAAATTTGCCAAATTTCATATTCAGTCAGCTCCACAGTTCATATTCAATCAGTTCATATTCAGTCAGTTCATATTCAGTCCTTTTCATATTCAGTCCTTCATATTTAGTCCTTCATATTCAGTCAGGCACCCCACTGAATATGTTAATCACACAAATTTAAAGGAGAATGTCCAAGTATTTGTCAATGACGGCGACCGATCACTAGTAGCTGGCATGGACAAGAGAACGTCTGACCTTATAACCGGAATCAAAACGAAATTGATCGAGAAAGAAGAAGCAAGGAAAGAGATGATTGAACTCGAAGAGAAGAGAAATAAAATATTGGAGAAGGCAAGACTTGAAGAAGAAAGAGAGCAGAAGAGAATCCAAGCCCTCAAACGGATTCAACAACAATTGAAAGCTGAAGCCTTACTGAGAAAAGAACGAGAAGAACAGGAGAAGTTCGAGCAATTAAAACGGTGAGTCCTATTATCATTCTAGCTTCTGTTGGGTCTTATTACCGTTAACCATTAATCGGATTCAGAGAAGAGAAGGAAAGACAGGATCAATTAGATTCGGAATTGGCCAAACGATTAGCACAAGAGAAGAGTGTCCAATTGAATGAAGACCCTCGGCCGAGCACATCAAGCAGACACGAAGACCCGAACGACCTCACCCAGTGGACCTATGCTACATTGCGGGACACGATCAACACTACTACGGACATCGAGCTCATCTCTGCATGCCGCAACGAGTTCCACAGAAGACTTCGGGTCTACCAAAATTGGAAGAAAGCCAATGCCCGCAGAAACCCCTGATCTCACAACTCAAGTTAGACTTGAATAAATCACAAGTATACTGCAAAGATAACCCGTAACTTCAAAAAATAGCCCCACATTTCGCTATCAAACTTTATCAAACAAAAACACAATCTGCAACAAAAGTTAACAATATAATAAGTAAGGGACATGATAAAGTTATAAAGCTATAAATGCTAAAATAGATCGTACCAAATATTAACTTAAATGATATGAAACTAACTACGAATAAGACTAATTAAATAAGAAAATGTGAGTCATCGATGAGGACTGGCGATGGCGGAAAGTAGCCGGGCATGTAAGCCCTCAAAATAGAGTTACAACCAGACGTATCAGGAAAACATGAGTTGTCAGTTTCATTGAGTACGAAGGAAGAATCGGTGGGGGGCGATGAGGAGATCCAACTCTTTTCTGAAGCCGCCGGAGAACGACCCTTTGGTGGAGCCTGCAATCTGAATGGAGTCGGACTTTTCAGGTAAGGACTGGCTTGAGGCGAATCCAAGACGGACGGATCCAGATCATTCAGAGCGTCTTGAGTTTCGGTATTCGAATTGCGAGTTCTAGGGGAACGCAAGGGCTTGTAAGTCCCGTTGATCAACGAGAGTTCCATCAACTGCTTCCTCTTCAGTTCGTCCGATCCCTCTTGCTAAAATCACAGAATAAGACATTTATGCGATCCGGAACGTGCTTACCATGGGTATCAACAATTTGCTAACATGTTTCACTGCCAGATCAACCCGCTTCCTAGCTCTATTTGGGGCATCTTCACATTGAATGAGTACGTGAAGATTGTCTTCTTGTTCCGACTTTCCCCTCCTGGCTGTTTCGCGGTTTCGGTCTCGCACTGATCCCTTCCCACGAATCATGATCTTGCATCCGGTCTCCTGTTCCAGCTGTTTTGCGGTCATCCCGCGAGGTCCAAGTATTCTCCCCACAAAATTAAACTGAAATTATGTAATTACAGCTGGAACATTCGGACTTACATCGGGATATTCATCGACAGGAATGTAAACCTTCTCCCTCACAATGATGGGATCTCCAATTGGATCAGGCAAATTTAATCCCCCCTTTGCGAAATTGAACTGGAATAGCGAAGATCTTACCTGGGAAATCTCTGAAAGACAAAAAACAATGAATGTCAGACAGCCAACGCAAACCAAATTGCTAGGTACCTTGATCTACTAGACGATCGACGTGTCTGAAGAGTTTGGGAAACATCTGAAGATTCTTCTTATCCTCGATCAGCTCGACTAGATACTCCATTCCTCCCTTCGGTTGCACTAAAACGAAAAGATACGCAAAAACAAACGCTACCGATGAATTATTAAAAAATCTTACGATTGGACTCCACAACCTCTTCGGAAACTGATGACAACATTGAAGAAAAAGAGACCATATCAGCGCACATGTTAATGGAGGATGACTAGAAACAAAACGAACGACACCTGAATAGAAATGCCAACAGCAACTGTCGCCAATTTCACCTTCAAAAAATACTAAAATTTTCCAGTTGAGACCAAATTGCCCACACATGAAACGTCAAAACTTTTGTTTACTCGGTATAACAAATCAAAAATAAGAATAAGGTAATACTGTGAAGATTGAAAAAATACAAACAAACAGCTCAATCACTGAGTTCTTCGTTGAGGTCAATCTTATCATCTTGATTTCTTGGAGACAAACGAACAATTTGAAGAAGATCGCTCAGCTTTTGTTTGGCTTCCACAATCACCTGAAAAGATACAATGGAATCATGTGGAACACGCTTACCTCATCTCTGATGGCATGAATACTGTCAGCGTCCTCGAAAGTCCGGTCAAGGTTCTCAATGTATGAAATTGCAGATTGGAGACGGTCGGAAGCGGCAGATGGAAGAGTCTGAAATAACAAACAATTGCAGAGTGCTTATGTTCGTACCTTGGAGCTCTTCTGGACAATATCATTCAGCGAAGCATTTAATCTCTTGGCGCAATTTTGAATCGATTTCAGAAGAGCTTCAGATGGATGGACTTTGAACTCATTAGCTTCTTTTTCGATTCTTGCGTAGAGATCGGACAGCGAGGTACTCAACATCTGGGATTTTACATTCCCGCCTTGTTTCTTCAACGTATCCACCTAGACAAGGTTTCATTATTGCTTTTTATTAGTACTTTTGCTTACTAATGTCAGCTTAGCTCTAAGGTTTTCCAACAGAACGGCAATCTGTTGTTGAGCTGGCTGAACTGTTCTCGAAACGATTGCTTGACTAACTCGGGAAGTCAAGTGACGGATTCTCTGAGGGATAGAGCTCTCTGGATTTTCTGTTTCTTCCACTGGGAGATGAAGGAAGTTGTCCAAGAAAGCATTCATAACATCCAAAAGAGAGTTGGTGTATTCAGCCGCTTTGTTCACCGGAACCTACAATAAAACTTTAGCATTAAGGGGTGCGCTTACTCCAGCAATAGACTTGCAATTTTCGACAGTCGAGAATATCTTAGCCTCAACTTGTTTCTCATACGCCTTAGTCTTCGTTACAATACCAACGCCGACATCCTTAGTCAAAATAACTCCATCCAAAAGAAGATTTGTCATCGAAGCACTGATAATCAAACCCACTTGAGCACTAACGACAGCCACTCCTAGCCCCAGAGCTGTTCCTGCTTGCGCAAGATCTTTGGCGCTGTGAATCAAATTCTGGCTTTTGTCGTAACCTGGAAAAGACGATAATCCCAATAGCATGCATAAATACATTGTCTTATCAGTCTGTTGAGAAAGCAGTGAGCGCAATGCCGATGCGCCAATCGCGTCGCTGAAGTGAAAAGCAATATGATTTCGCCGCCACACAATTCATTTTCTCGGCACGATGCGATTTTCGATGAGACGCTCACTATTTTTCCGACATACTGATACTGTGGAAACTACTCACCAGTCACTGATGCCTTCGCAAGTCGTTCTGTAGTGGGATAACAATATCTTTCATACAAAGGAGCAAGGAAACTGTCACTGACATCGTAAAGACGAGTCTCGACGCCATTCAACGACTTCTGAACGATCTCATTACTGTTCTTGGTGTAGTCGTAGATATTGCGGAGTCTCACTCCCACGATAGAGTCGCTTAGTTGGCCATAAACTGATCGGAAATACGCGTAGTGGGCATCAACACCATCCACATTATCAATTTCGGTACTCATTTCAGTCTCTGAAAAACAGAAAATAAGTGAAAACACCGAAGACTGAACATTTCATTCAACAAATTTTAGGCGCGAACTTTGTCCTCCTCCTCTCGAACATGTTGCAAACAAGAAAACATTCCTTTTTTGATTAGAAGTGATAGTAAAAAGAAGAACCGAGAGAGTGGAAGGCGCAAAAAATGAACGCATCAGAGTTCGATGACCCCTGTTCTGCTTTTTCGATCAGCGGATATTCACATGAAGAAAGAAATCCGGCGCTCACAAGAGGAGCAAGAGGAGAAACCATTGTCCCCAAAAAAAAGAAGACGATTCCAGAAAATGTGTCATTGCAGACTTTGAACTCGCGAATGAAATCGTTTCGCAACTTCGAGAAAGCGACTTATCGTTCGAATCACGTAACTTGGCGCTTCGAGAAATAAAATTAAACAGTCGGTTCGTGAATCAAAACGCGTTGTAGCTTTCATTTTCGGCAAGCAGGATTCACCAAAGTCGGTATAAATACTTTTTCGACCATCCTGAAATTTTTTTCGACTACATCAAAACTGCAGGATTACTGTAACATGCCGAAACGAATAGCGTTGTTATAAAGAATTCAGTTCTCGAAAAAATTCCATACTTTTCCCATTTTTTATATTAGAAATCAGCGTACTGTTTGCACCAAACGAAGTACTTCAAATGACTACATGAGCAAGTTTTGCATATTTTTTGCCTCACAAGGGATCGGCAAATAGTTGCAACCTGCTTTCTTAACGAAACATGTATCATTTGAAAGAGCATTAAAAATAGTGCACAGCGCAAAAAAAATTAGCTGCCTAAATTACCTTAGGGCATAGATACGACCGCTTTTTGAAAGGGGTTATATGCGGCCAAAACGCCGGTTCCTTATATTACAGTAATCCTGGCGGTTTGAAATCGTCTTTATTAATTTCCTGGTATCCAAAAACGTCTGTCACGGTCGTTTTATGGCTTTACCAATCCTCGGTTATATGTTATTAGACATTACTGCTAGTTACAGTAAATTGTAAATAAAACTAGGTTAAAGGGAAAATTGGAGCAAAAAGTTTTGGAAATACATTTATATGATCGTCGTGGTCATTCACAAACGAAAATTTCAAAATCAAAAATTTCTTATGTCCTAGCCTTACCAATGGTTGGTCCAGTGTGTCAGCAATAGTGTCTTTGGCCGATTTTACAATTTTTTCTTCGTATTTTTTCGAAAAAATGTATATTTATAGGCCCTTGCAAATTGAATTATCCTCCAGTAATCATAATCGGTCAGGTTACTGGCACAACACCCTTGTAATTATACGATAGTGACCTACCCACTCTCATCACCATCAAATTTGTGGTCGTTTCAAAAAAATTCAAGAACTCAGAAAAATTGCGTAACCATGGATTTTGTCTGCGGAGGAACAAAAATTATTAAAAAATGTCAACACACGATGGTTTTGTGGCATATAAGAGACGAAACGCAAAATATTTCCAGAGACCGGATTCGAAACCAGGACTCGCTGCGCCGGAAGTGGGCTCACTACCACTCGGCCAACTGGACACAACTCTTTCGCCATTCCGAGAGCTTATAAAGCGAGGCGGAAATTAGGCTAAAATCTGTATTTTGGCCATAACTTTGTCCAAAGTGAATTTAGGCAGCTAATTCTTTTTGCGCTGTGAACTATTTTTAATGGTCTTTCAAATGATATAGGTTTCGTTAAGAAAGCAGGTTACAACTATTTGCCGATCCCTTGTCAGGGAATAAAATTTTTGCATCTCAGTATTTCCGGGATAATTTTCTTGAGGTCTATAAAAAAATAAATTATTCAGCCGTATACATAACAGAACAATGATGCCTTTTTTAAAAACAAGAAATGAAGGTAACCGTTGTCTTTTCTCGAAATAAATATGTATCCAAGAAAGGAGAAATCACCCGATGATGTTTTTGTTTGATGCGAAAACAAAAACAAGTACAAAAGTTGTGGAGATTAAATCCGAAGCACAATAGAATTGAATTTTTTACGAGAAAGGCTTCGATTATGGCCCATCGGCTGTTATCACCCATAAAACACTTTAGCTAGCCATTTTATACAACGTGAAGGAGGAGCATTTATAAAAATCGACTATCTCGTAATCCGTTCATGTTTTGAATAGTTGTTTTACAGGGATGACTATTAAATGTCGGCGCTACGACATTTCGGGTCAGGGACAACTCGGGTCGCGACAACTCGGGTCAACGACATCTCGGGTCAACGACACTTCGGGTCAACGACACCTCGGGTCAACGACATTTCGGGTCAACGATGCCGTTTAATATTTTCGCTTCGGGACTGGGAAAAAAGAATTTTTTGGTGAATTTGAGAATTTTTTGAAAATTTTTCGTTTCGGAAATTGGGAAAAGGATTTTTTGTTCTGAAAGTACGCACTTCTGGAAGCCTAGCAATACACTTGGCCACCTGCAAATTAATTCCCGTCGGGACCCAAAAAGGGATTTGAATTTGTTTGTGTACGGTAGAAAAAATATTTTTTTTGCGGCTGCAGCCGGAAATTTTGTTGTTTGATATCGCGATGGATTGATCTCAGTAAGTTATTTTATGTTTATTTTCGGTTGTTTCTAGACGGCGAGCTCAGGGACGGTTGGAGAAAGCTGTTGACTAGCTGTTTTTTGTGATTTCTTTCAAAATTTGCCAGATTTTCTTCCTCCTCTCGAAAAATACTACCTTATCCCCATGATTTGTTAGTATTATCGTCTAAAGAAGCTGTAAAAAACCTGAACAAGCTCTCTCATACTCTCTTCTGTCAGTTTAAATTTCGCCTGATGAACCATTTGTTGATAAAATTCCGATATTATCCATTTATTTTCCTCGGATTTTTCAGTTTTTGGACGACATTCACGTCAACCAATACCGCAACGCCTACTACAGCAACTTCGTCTGCCGATTATCTGTGATTAGCAAGACCCTTCTTCCCTCCAACTTTGTCAGAATCAAAATTTATAACATAAATTTATTAACCTTCAGAATGCGTATCTTATTTCTTTATTTTTTCTATTATTATTCAACGAATTACATAACTCTCCACTGGGGCAGATGTTGACCCTTTGACGGCATCGGGGCTTCATCAAGATCCAACCACGCTTGATCATGCGTCAGATTCTGTTGGGCTAAGAGACGGACCCTTCCAGGAAGAAGTACGAAGTCTGTCTCGAAGATGGACATCCTTCGCAGGGGATCTTGTCATTTTCACGTTCGCAGAGAGCCCTAAAACCGAGTAATCAATGTCAAAAAAATTGAACTTACAGGGTCTTTCAAGAAATGTGAAGGAAAGTAGGAGGCTATAACTTTCGGCGGAGGCGGCGCAGAGATGTGGTTTTTGGAATATGTATATTTCAGCGACATTATTTTTTGCTTACGAAATAACAAGATTTTTAAGTGCAAACTGAGGTCGCGACAACCTTTTGAAAAATGACTCTTTTACCCCGAAAACCAGGGTTTTTCGGTTGAAAATGATCGAGAAATGTCGGATTTGTTTCGATAGAGTTGACGTTGAAAAAAGGGAAGGGTGTTGCCAACACGTAGAAAATTACGCGTTGGCAACATCCTCTTCATTTTGACACTTTGGCTAGCCAACCAGTTTTTGCCAGCAGTTTAAAATTTTGGTTCTCATTCCTGCCCTTTGACGCCCATTACACCCTTTTGACTAGTTTTTATAAGACTTCACAGCCATTCTGGTGCCTTGGCTAGCCGATTCCGGGTCCCCAAAATTCCCAAATGAAACATTGAAAATAAACTCGAAATCTGCCCCAAGCTTAGGCTAGCCGAATTTTTGCTTAATTTTCAACGTGTTGGCAACATCCTTCCCTTTTTTAAACGTCAACTCTATCGAAACCCCCGGAAAAATCCGACATTTCTTGGTGATTTTCAACCGAAAAACTCTGAAATTTCTCGATCATTTTCAACCGAAAAACCCTGGTTTTCGGGGTAAAAGAGTCATTTTTCAAAAGGTTGTCGCGACCTCAGTTTGCACTTAAAAATCTTGTTATTTCGTAAGCAAAAAATAATGTCGCTGAAATATACATATTCCAAAAACCACATCTCTGCGCCGCCTCCGCCGAAAGTTATAGCCTCCTACTTTCCTTCACATTTCTTGAAAGACCCTGTACTTCATGATAAAGCGGTCAGGGTTGACCTCCACATTCTTCTTGGAACCCATGTATCTAATCCCATGTTTTAACGAGCCAACAAAAGTCTGATTCTCTCAATGAATCTTGACCTTTTTCTGCAAGCTTCTGCTTTTCCCATTCGAATTCATGGAGTTCAAGACTTCCGTGGGCGACGAAGAGCATTTACATCGAACTCCTTCCGTTGCTAGACATCGTATTCATCAACGCACGTGAACCCGTAGACGGCCTCGTCCTCACGTTTCTTGGCTAAAATTCGGACCTAAAACATCAGTTTTCATTGAAAAAAAACTAAAATACGGCAAAATATACACCAACCACAAACGATTTATTTATTATACATAAAACTTACTCAAAACCACGCCAAGGCTCCAAAATCGTTGATTCCATGAACAAACAAATAAAATCCTTGGCTGCCGCCGCAAAAAAAATATTTTTTTCTACCGTACACAAAAAATTCAAATCCCTCTTTGGGTCCCGACGGGAATTAATCTGCAGGTGGCCAAGTGTATTGCTAGGCTTCCAGAAGTGCGTACTTGAATGTTACAATTTTATTTTACATAAGGTACGAATGTTATTTCTTTAATTTTTTAGATAAATAGTTATTGTAGGGGTAATTGAGGTTTATTTTAAAAATTTTTTGGGAAAATAGTGTTTATAAGCGAGGAGCAAATAAGAAAATCGTTATGTGCATAGAATCATTATGACTATCTTCTTACTCCACTCTCTGGCACTGTCTGCGTTTAAATCCCGTGCTTCCAGTTAAAAACATAGACAATGGATACGATTTTCTTATTTGCTCGTCGCTTATACACTATTTTCCTAAAAAAATTTTAAAAATAAACCTCAGTTCTCCAAAAAATTCTTTTTCCCCAGTCCCGAAGCGAAAACATTTCAAAAATTTGTTCAAACTCTCAAAAAAATTCTTTTCCCCAAGTTCCAAAGCGAAAAGATTTAAAAATTTTGTTCAAATTCTTCAAAAAATTCTTTTTCCCCAGTCCCGAAGCGAAAACATTTCAAAAATTTGTTCAAACTCTCAAAAAATTCTTTTTTCCAAGTCCCGAAGCGAAAACATTTCAAAAATTTCTTAAATTCACCAAAAAATTCTTTTTTCCAAGTCCCGAAGCGAAAATATTAAACGGCATCGTTGACCCGAAATGTCGTTGACCCGAGGTGTTGTTGACCCGAAGTGTCGCGACCCGAGTTGTCCCTGACCCGAAATGTCGGGACGCGTAAATGTCTGGTTTATTTTTGAGGTCCCAAAGTAATCGTATCTCGGGGTTATGGTAGGTGTCAGAAAAAAGCAGGCTGTTCTGCAAAAGGTCGGCTAAACCTCGTCCCCTGGTTTTTTTCTTGTACCGTATACCACTTGAAAGAACGTAAGAAACTGGTCTTAGGATCAGTTTAATGCGTACGAGGTTCGAATCCCCCTTCGAATTTTTTAATTTTTTGGCTATTATGGAACGGTACAAGGCCTGCAAGTAGTTTTTAATTTTCAAATAGATTTTTAAGGTACACTGGGATTACTCTTTTCGAGAAAAAACGGCAACTTTTTTCGATTTTTTTGATATAAGGATGGTGGCATACGCATTAAATCGGGTGTCGTGGCCAGAAACCGCGATTTCTTGTCTGTTAGGTCTCTAGACCTGACAACGTGAGCAGAAAAAAGAAAAAAATCTCCACAGTGAGAGAGCAGAAATTTGCGCAATGTTACGCAATTTGAGGAAAGAATTACGCTTTTCTTGTCTAGAGGCCTAACAGACAAGAAATCGCGGTTTCTGGCCACGATACCCAATTTGATGCGTATGTCACCATCCTTATATGGACGATGATTTTTAAATATCATTGGACAAGTCCGTCCGAACCTTGCGAGAATTTTTCAGTTCTAAGCTAGAGGGCCAATCTTCGCAGCTAATTCTGGACCAGTTTTTTACGCTCTTTCAAATGGTGTATGTTTGAAGAAGGGGATGAGGTTTTGCCGAGCCGTTGCAACGCGTTGTAAGTCGCGTCTTCTGATCGATTTAAAAGCATAATATCAGTCTATCGCGAAAATATAGTAAGCGCAATGTCGTTGCGCCAAACATGCCGCTGAAGTGCACTGATGGAAAAGTGTTTATTGTGTGCTAGGCACTTTGGTTTGAAGGCCAGATCGAAAAATTATGACCAAATCCTAAAAAATTTCTCTAGATTGGGTGAGAAACCCGTATACAACGTCCAGATCAAAAATCAGGATCACACTATTATCTATTACTGAAATAATGAAAGATTACGAAACTCGGATTCATTGTAAACTATTTATTGAGCAATCAAAAGGCAAACAAATAACAATAGTAGTATATCTGTTTAAATCTCACAGATAAGAACTTGCTAGACTAGTTCCTAAGAAGCTCTGGGCTTGAGAGGTGGATTCTCTGCTCTGGCGGATTTGCCGAGATCTTGCCGGAGCGGGAACGGACTTGGGAGGGGCCTCTTGAATGTTTCCATCTGAACAACGTGGAACTATTATATATCAAATTGACTTACTCAACATCTGCCGCTGTACGAGTTGTTTATACAGACCATCTTGTTGGATAAGGTCTTTGTGAACTCCTTGTTGCACAACTTTTCCGCCAGCAATTACAACAATTTTATCCGCGTTTTCTACGGTACTTAACCGATGGGCGATCATAATTACAGTCCGGCCATTCAGATTCTTTTGGATAGCTTCTTGCACAGAATGCTCGGATTCCGAATCCAACGCTGATGTGGCTTCATCTAGAAGAAGGACAACGGGATCTCGGACCAGCGCCCGGGCAATGGCGATTCGTTGTTTCTGACCACCTAATATGAATTCTAATGGTGATTGGATTTGTTACCTGACATTTGACTTCCTTTCTCTCCCACATCCGTCTCATACCCTTCGGTTGTGTCCATGATAAAGTTGTGTGCATTGGCCATCTTAGCTGATTTCTGTACCATCTCTGTGTTGTTATATGCAGGCTCGTATCCGTAGGTGATGTTTTCATGGACAGAACGTGCGTATAAGACGGGTTCTTGACCAACCAAAGCAATCTGTAACGAAGACGTCCCCAGGTTACGCACTTCGCACTCACTTTATTATGCAAGTATTTGTGGTCGTAATCCCGGATGGGAACGCCGTCCAAAAGAACTTCCCCACTGTCGGGTTCATAGAAATGTTCGAGCATAGCGATGCAAGAACTCTTTCCACCTCCACTCGGCCCAACCAAGGCCACAACTTCTCCGGGATTTACAGTGAATGACAAATCCTGTAAACACATTTACATCAGGCTTATAAATTGGAGGCAAGAATTAAGAAATATCATGCTTACATTCATAATTGGCAGATCCGGTCTTGTTGGGTAGCTGAAGTTGACATGTCTGAACTCGATCCGTCCCTCAATCTGGGCATTTCTTCCATCGGGAGCAATACGGCCATCGTTGATTACTTTGGGCTCCCGGTCGATTAACTCAAATACTTTTCTCGAAGCTCCTACGGCTTGCATCAATCCATTCCACACTTCTCCGAGTTCCTGCAACCAATATTTATCTTACCTGATGACTTTACTTACTCTCAGATTCTCTCCCAGTTGGAATTGGTATAGGAGAAAAGAGACCAAGAGCCCAGAGGAGATCTGAAAATATTACAACCGTCTAAAAACGGTTTTACATACCTCTCCTTGGATGACAAGATGACCGCCATAAAAGAGGACAACTGTAAGTATTCCCATTTGAAGGAACTGAAATCTAAGTTTCTTTTTTTACTTTCTACCACTCACTTCTGTAGTCCACAAGAACCCTATGTGAGCGATGGCTCTTCTGGCCCCGATTCCAAGAGTCACGTTCAGGAATCCAAGAAATCTGAGGGATTCAAAATTCTCACACGCAAAACTTTTAACGGTTCTGACAGCACTTAACACCTCTTCGGCTACATCATTGGCTTTGGCAATCGATGCTTGACTTTCCTCGGCCAGTCTCTGAAAATGATAGGGATGTGGAAGAGCAAAGGAAGAAACAGAAAATTTAAAATTGCGTAATGTTGTGCAAAATTTAAATTTTTGTTTGATCAGTTCGTGGAATCATCCAAAAATTATTTCAACTTACATCGTAATAAACTCCATAGACCTTGGAAACTAAGAAAATAATTGGCACAGCGATCAGAGTGACCATACAGAGGCGCCAAGAGAGGGTGAACATGAAGATGAGAGATCCAAACAACATGGTTGTGTTTCGCGTAAGCACATTTACATACAATGAGAGGGTGTTGGACATTGTCTGACAATCAGCATTCAGTCGTGAGACAATTTCTCCTAAAATACGGGTTGAAGAATAGATTTGTGAAAGCACCTGTTTTATTGGCGTCATAGAATCCGATCTCTTGTTTCACCAAAGATCTAAACAAGTCATTTCTGATACGGCGATCAACTCTGGCCTGGGAATAGGTGAAGAATCCCCCACGGAGACCTCCAAAGATAGCACTGCTGATACATAATCCAGCCATAATTAAAACCTTCTTGTGAAGCTGAGCATAAGAAGCACCTTCCCCGAAGACAGCCCCAACAACCTCTCCAGTATAATACGGAGCAAAGACACGGGCTTAAAGAAAGTGATTCTTGTGCATTATTATTCTTACAGAATGAGTATAACAACAGGAAAGTGAAGGCGACCATGTAGAACATCCACTCCTTGGCCATGTAAGAGAAGAGGCGTAGAAGCATGGTGAAGGTTTCCCTCTTCTCTTCTTGTTCCTTGGCCTCTCTCTAAAATCGGCCTTTTGATTATTTGAATACCACATACTCTCTGAAGTTCAGCATAATATTCGTTGTCAGATTCGTAGAAGTTTCTGTCGTCCAGTCTTCTGTAAGCGTCATCCCTCACCTTTCCCAACACTGACACCCAGATTCCCTAAATAATATTTAATTAATTATTTTAGACTGCACGTACTTGAACAAAGAGACAAGCGGTCATCGACCAGATCATCAAGATCCAATCCCCCACAGCCAGTGGATTCGGATGTTCGTAAAAAGCGAGTAATTTGGATGGGGAAAACGCAATCATTAGGAGAACGACGGCAAACGTCAGATTACTGTACTTTGAACAAGCTTGAGCGCCACTGGTTGGATTTGCGTACACACCGATTGCTCCGCCGAGAAGAAGACATATCCGGATGACACAAACGGCCTAAAAAATGTCGTCAAGGAAAGAAAAAATTACCAAGAAATCGATCGGATTCCGCGTGAAACTGTAGCTTTGGAAATCGAACCAGTGGACGATGTTGTCAAAGGTAAAGAACTTCCCATCCCATGCAAGGCCGAGGATGCAGATAACAACATCAAGAACGGCAAAACATATCGATATACCCAAGGCTTGGACTGGGGAGTACCAATGCCCCATGATACTCTGAAATTAAAATAAATTGATCGCAAACGACAATCATCAAATCGTATTTGAAAATTACAAATCATGTTACTTTTATCAACAGAACATGAATGAAATCCGAAAACCTCTCGGATAAATTTTATTGAATCAACAATCAAAAAATATTTGCAATTTGGGCCTAAACCTTGTTAAAACAAAAAGAAGAAGTCTCCGAATGATGAAGAACGAGTGATAACGTATCAATGAGTATCTTATCAGTTGGTCAGGCCCTTCGCTGGTTTCATTAAGTACATTTAGTCCCTTTTTGGATAGTAAATTGGTCCGTACTCTCCATTGGCGAGCTTCTGACAAAGGAATGGTAATCTTAAAAGATCATATGGAAAAAAGATGACATACCGATGAAAATTGCCATTTATTACTTGGTAATAGCCAAATTGGCCGACGTTCCCCTTATTCGATGCACTTGAGCCAACTGCGATAACAGTATTTGGAGTGTTATAGGCTTTTGTCAAGAGCCTCTCTACAAAGTCCGGTATTGTAAACAGGTCTTACTGTGCCCAATTGGAAGCCAGCGGAAATAATTAGGGGTCGTTTGATCTACGAACTTGAGATGCTTGTGCTCCTTGACGAACATGCCAACCCAGAAGAAAGAGTTGTCATTGTCATTTAAGATATTTTCTTTGGATACCACGGCTTAATGTGAGAATTGGTTTTTATCATTGACAACTCACATGCAATGAACTGACTGTCTTTGTCATTGTGAGGCACTGCTAGAGTGGTGCCTTGTTGTTGACATGTCCTTAGTGCTTCTGCCCAATATGTTTCCTTTCTAATAACTTTGTAACAATGGATTCCATGCAGTCTGTAGCCATCTTCACATGAGAATATATCGCCTACAATATAATTCATTTACCCTTTTAATGTTCTTACTGTACTCGCATAGAACCCTTGCCTCGGTAGTGTAGGACTCTCCTTTCGTTTCCCTAGTTATCAGCGTTTCTCCAGACTAAATATGTAAATAAAACGCTGGAAAAGATATTAAAACGTACTTTAATGTAATTTCGGAGTTCAAGGTACTTCAAAACTTCTGCATCATTGTTCGCCATCTTGCCATTAAATCCATGCAAATGGTTACACCGAGAAACATTTGGATTTGTACTGTACAGCTGGTCGATGATAAAACATTTATTTTTGGCAAACACCGAGTCCGCATTGTAATAAATGCATTTGTCCCTCAGATTTGAGGCTGAAAAAAACAACTTATGTTTAATTACGTCTTAATGTCTCGGTATTTCTTACACATGATCCAACTATAGCTTATCAAAAACCCGTCTTATCAGAAGTTTCGGGTCCAAGACTTTGAAACTAATTAAAATAATTAACTCTTGAATCCCTCTGTACCCACCCGGTGTCGGACAATCATCCAAATCTTCTGAATTTGCAGTTATTATGAACAGTAAGAGTGGAATGAGAAGCATCACATATACAGAAGCAGCTATTCTTGACCATTCTTATATAATTGCTGGCTGATTATTCTTTTGTGAGTAAAGCCGGAGTCATTTGCATTTGCATTTGAACCATGAATACGTTAAAGTCATAAAATTCCGTTTGCCTTAATTTTTATTAGCAATGTTATTCCCCTTATCAGTTAAGGTATGACTTAAAGATTGCAAACTTGTCGTTTTATTTCTACCGGTTTTAGAGAATGTCAGCATCTTTCCTGACAACAGTTACCTTTGTCGGCTACATATTTCACATCTCCTTCGCCAATGAAGAGGAAAATGAGGCCAAGGAAAGATATGCAATCATTGAGTTCAGTTGGGAAGAAGTAAAAGTGCCCATGACTATAGTCATCTGGCTGTTCACTGCTTGTGTTGCCAAGATCTGTATGTGTTTTCGTTAAAGCTTCAAGTGGTTTATTTTAGTGTTCCATGTATACAAAAAAGTATCGGAAATGTTCCCGGACAGTTCTCTACTGATCTTGATTGGTCTTCTCATCGGAATTACTTTGAATGCCGCACATGTAAATCGAAGCGAATTCTATCTGGGATCCCAGGTCTTTATGCTCTATCTCTTACCCCCACTGGTGTTTGACGCCGGTATGTTTCCATACTGGTTTTAATTATGATTAAGGATATAACATGCCAGCCCGGGCATTCTTTGATAATATTGGATCCATCGTAACGTTCGCCTTAATTGGGACTGCTTGGAATATTGTTGCGATCGGTAACCGAAACCAAGCCTGTCGTTATATGATCGTCTTTGTAGGTGTCTCCTTGTGGTTGATTAGCAAAACTGGCCTCTTCTCCGTGGATATGACTTTTTGGGATCTTCTTTTATTCGGTTCATTGATTGCAGATGTGGATCCGGTGGCTGTAATTGTCATCTTCGAAGAGATGAACGTGAATGAATTACTGTTCATCAGTGTTTTCGGTAAGGTTTAAATTCGTCGAGAAACAATATTTTCAGGGGAATCTCTTCTAAACGATGGTGTCTCAGTGGTATGTTTCTTTGATTTAATTTGAATGTTTTAGGTTCTGTATCGTATGTTTGTATCATTCGTGGAGATTGGCGGTGATAACCTGATAACTCAGGATTATATCTATGGTGTTATTAGCTTTTTTATCATCGCTATTGGCGGAACGGCGGTCGGTATTTTATTCGCAATGCTGACTGCGTTTTTGACAAAGTAAGACGATCTTTCACAGACTGTGCATGTCTCTAGATACACAGATAATGTTCCTATCCTGAACCCCGTCTTTGTTTTCTTGGTGCCGTTTGCTTCCTATTTGGCTTGCGAAATGTGTGGATTATCAGCCATTATGGCGTAAGTATTATAATACGAGACGAAGTTGATGGGAATTGCAGTATCGTGTTCTGTGGCGCTGCTATGAAGCCATACATCCGAGAGAACATACCGAAGGACGCGTTTAAGTCTATTCATTACTTCGTTAAGGTTTTGGCGCTGGCTAGCGAGACTGTGATCTTTATTTTCCTCGGACTCTCCACAGTCTCCGCCAATCATCATTGGGACACCGCATTCATCGTGTTGACTGTTATCTTCTGCGTAATTTACCGAGCAATTGGTAGTCGATTCTCACAGTTATTTCTATTTCTAGGTGTTGTTGTATTGTGCTGGATTCTAAACAAGTTCCGTTTGAAGAAGTTCACTAAAGTTGATCAGTTCATTATTGCCTTTGGGGGCCTTCGAGGGGCTATTGCGTAAGTCTTGGTTGTACTTTTGATTATTCAATTTCAGATATGGTCTGGTTGTGGCTCTTCCGGATCACCTACCTGCCAAAAATATGTTTGTGACTGCGTGCATTGTTGTTATTTACTTTACAGTATTCCTGCAAGTAAGTAATAAGTAGAATTAAAGGTATTCTTCAGGGAATGACGCTAAAACCGATTGCCAATGTCCTACAAGTCGAACGAAAGCAAGTATACGAAAAAGGAATGGTCGAAAAAGTACATGAAAATGTAGGTTATGTAAACAAGCACTATATATTCCCCTTACAATTAGTTGATCGATCACACAATGATTGGAGTGGAATTGGTAATAGGGAAGTACGGACATCATTGGATTCGGAACACGTTCGAGAAGTATAATATGAAGTACTTCCGATCATTACTTATCAAGAAGAAGGCTAGAAGAACCTTGGATAACAGCAATTTGGTTAGAGTAGCCAATCGTCTAGAAGCCCAAGATGTTGCCGAATTTGCGGAAAAGATCCAAGACTGGTACGACCAAACGAGGTCAAGAGGAAGTACCACGACATCCATGGCTGGAGAACGAAGAGAGGAAATAGATTTAGACGAAGTCAACAAGATATTCCAGGAGATAAAGGAGGAGAGAAGTAACAGTAGGGTGTAAACATGGTATTCAGACTGTAAACACATATTTAATAAAATGGGCAGGGTGAACATCGGGGAACGTCGACGGTTGGGAAACGACAATTGGGGAAAATAAAATCTTTTTTGCGCTGAAATATGGTATTGACTTTTTGCCTAGCCAATACCATATTTCGGTAGTCCATCCAAAGAAACAGCTCAATTTTTTGTCGCTTTTAACTATACATGCCGTTAATTGACCTTTAAACGATTTTAAACTTCTTCAGAAGTCCCAAAATTAGAAATTTTTATAACACGGCATCTAACATGTGTTTCAGAAATTGGGTGGATCGATCGCAAACTTATCATTGAAGAGCCCCTGAAAATGTTACAAAACACCATTTTCATTTTTTGCAGAATAACTTTCCGTGACGACATACTGTCAATTTCATTATTTTAGGTCATTTTGCAAAAAAACCTGCTTTCTTTTGGACGGAAAAAAATCTTGGTGGAGGGTTGCTTCAATAGTGCAATGGTTGCTGAGCATGCTAATAAGTCAAAACAAGGGTTTGGCTCTCGGCTTGGGAAAAATATTTTTGCGTCTTTACAGTTTGGAATATTTGATTTAATGTTTTAAAAACGTTTTAATTTTGCTGGAAGACGGTCCATTACAATTGAAACCACCGAACTTACATGTTTTCCTATATTAAAAAAAATGAAAAATATGTTTTTTCACTTTATGCGTATAGAAAACCGGTAAATATTATATGTAAAGATGGTTTTGCTGGCAAGCGCCAAACTTCAAAATGTTTCTTATGCCAACCTCGTGCTATTTCCTTGTACGCTCGAAAAGAAGGTCGGGACGCTACACGAAATATCAATGCTATGTTCGGCCAGTGTCTGAACACGGTGAAACGATGATTTTAAAAAATCGATCCGGGACGAGGAAGATAAAGAACGTCATCTGAGCTTTGTGATTTCACCCTGAGGTCATTGGTGGGGGCATCCTTTGTTTACTCGTAATATGATTAACACGCTCAATGGGACTAACTTGCCCACAACGATTAACACGCTCATAAATTCTTATCTTTTATCCCACCGCGGATTATACTTTGATTAAGTATCGCAAGCACATTTTCCGTAGGCATGTTTACCCATCTCACTCGACATTACTTATTGGACAACCTAGTAGTATGACCACATAAATACAGGGTGCGTCAAAAATAATGGAAACTTTTTTAATGGGTACTGTTTTTCTGCCTATTCCTTTCATTTTAATGTCAATATCGATTGATTAACGTATTTTTTTGAACGTTGAAAGTAGGGACTTGCGACTTTGGAGCTGTTCGAAATGTTAATTCGCTCGGTACAGAAAAGACGTTGTGTCAAAGGTAATCACACTTTTGAGAATCGCAACGGTGGTCAGCGTCCAGGAAGTGAAAGGAAACGTACACCAACACTCATGCAAACCGGAAGACCATCAACAGCAAAATCCGTGAATTTCCAGAAAAAAAAACGCATTCCTTTCGCAGTTCAATGTTTGGCGGGTGCACAACTATCAGAACAGAACCACAGGGTCTGTTCCCATAAGGCTCCCGGCCCGTAGGCCATCGTCAAACACTGTCAAAATCCGGGCCTTCATCGTCGGCGCCGAATTTGTGCCAGCGACAAGAAATTCGTGGTTCTTGTGGATTAACAAGATCTTGGGAATCTACCGCAGCTTTGTTTGGGGGAATCGGTCCGGTTGATTTTTTTTGATAAATGTGTAGTGGATTTCGCGTCATGGCGTTTCCGGAATTTGGACACTTCCGGAATGGCAGAAAAAGCAAAAGATAAAGCTTAGAACTACCATCTGAATGGATTTATTGTTACTCGTCTCGAAAATTTTGTTCAGTTTTTGATTGTTACTAAGTAGTACTGTTAAAACGTAATTTTTTGAAATTTGTTTCAATTGCGATATTTTAAGAAAAGATTCAAAAAGAAAAGTTTGGTAAAAGTGCCTTATTCGGCATACCGTATAACTTCGCGCAAAATAGTCAGCATTTTGGAACCTGACAAAGTTTAGCATTCTAAATTCAAGGACATTGGATTTACTTAGTTAGGTACCTTTTGTTGGCACCGCGACATTTCCGGAATGGCGGAATAGTGACACTTCCGGAACCGGGGAAAAATCAAAGATAAGGCTGTGACGAAAATGACGAATTTTGCCGTAATCTTCGACATGTCAACTTATGTAGTGGCGTAAAATTACTCGTCATAATGTTTACCAATCATAGTCATCGCATATGATTTACACTATAATAAATATAAACGTTAAACGTTTCTCTGCAGGTCTCGTCACGAAAAATATAGGTTTGAATTTCCCGCGTACGGTAGAGAAAGAGAGTCTGCGAATCATTTCTTGGTTTGCCAAAAATTTTCTTTTCCGTTGATTTCTGTGCTGATCGTTGGGGGAATCGTTCTTGAACGTGTTCTCCAACAATTATGCTGTCGAGACAGGTTATCACAGCCCTTCGCAATGTTAAAGTAAGTTCTTTTTTAATACAAGCTGTTGAGCGGGATAGTTTTGATGCATTTTACCTATTTTTGATCTTATCGAAAGATTATCCATTTATCTTTGTTCTAGGTGCCACAATGCACGTTCTCCACTTCCTCTCGGGTTTCTGCCGCAGGAGCTGAAGTCTCCAAGATCTTAGAGGACAAAATCCTTGGCCAAGAAGCCAACATCAACCTCGAGGAGACGGGAAAAGTTCTTTCCATTGGTGACGGTATTGCCCGTGTCTATGGGTTGAAGAACATCCAAGCCGAAGAGATGGTGGAATTCGATTCCGGCATGAAGGTACAAAATTTCGAGTCTTTATACATTTTTTTGTTTTTAGGGTATGGCTCTTAACTTGGAACCTGACAATGTTGGTGTTGTCGTCTTTGGTAACGATAAGGTTATCCGTGAAGGAGATGTCGTCAAGAGAACTGGATCTATCGTCGATGTTGCTGTAGGACAAGGACTTCTTGGCCGTGTCGTCGATGCTTTGGGGAACCCGATCGATGGAAAAGGCCCCGTTAAGGATACAAAGCGTTCACGTGTCGAAGTCAAGGCTCCAGGTATCATCCCCCGTATTGGCGTCCGTGAACCTATGTTAACTGGTGTCAAGGCCGTCGATTCCCTTGTCCCAATTGGTCGTGGTCAGCGTGAATTGATCATTGGTGACCGTCAGACAGGGTACGTTCATCGATCTGTATGGCCATTTTTGTTTTTGTTTTTTTAGTAAAACGGCTATTGCCATTGATACCATCATCAATCAAAAGAGATTCAACGAAGCTGGTGAAGACAAGAAGAAGCTGTATTGTATCTACGTTGCCATTGGCCAAAAGCGATCAACTGTTGCTCAAATCGTAAAGCGTTTGACTGATGCCGACGCCATGAAATACACCATTATTGTCTCGGCTACGGCCTCTGATGCTGCTCCTTTGCAATTCTTGGCTCCATACTCTGGATGCGCTATGGGAGAATACTTCCGCGACAATGGAAAGCACGCCCTGATTATCTACGACGATTTGTCCAAACAGGCCGTCGCCTACCGTCAGATGTCTCTGCTTCTCCGTCGTCCCCCAGGTCGTGAAGCCTACCCCGGTGATGTCTTCTATCTCCATTCTCGTCTTCTCGAACGTGCCGCTAAGATGAACGAGACGCATGGAGGTGGTTCTTTGACAGCTCTTCCTGTCATCGAGACTCAAGCTGGTGATGTGTCCGCATATATCCCAACCAATGTAATCTCCATCACCGACGGTCAAATCTTCTTGGAAACTGAATTGTTCTACAAGGGTGTCCGTCCAGCCATCAACGTCGGTCTTTCTGTATCTCGTGTAGGATCTGCAGCCCAGACAAAGGCCATGAAACAAGTAAGAAAAAAGACAGCTTGGTTTTATTTTACTTTAGGTTGCCGGTTCCATGAAGCTCGAATTGGCCCAATATCGTGAGGTGGCTGCTTTTGCCCAGTTCGGTTCTGATTTGGATGCTGCCACCCAGCAACTTCTCAACCGTGGTGTCCGTCTTACCGAGTTGCTGAAACAAGGCCAATACGTGCCCATGGCCATTGAAGAGCAAGTCACTGTCATCTACGCTGGTGTAAAGGGACATCTTGACAAACTGGACCCATCTCAGATTACCAGATTCGAAAAGGAATTCTTGACTCATGTCCGCGCTAACTGCCAAGATTTGTTGAAGACAATCAGAGAAGAAGGTCAGATCACTCCTCAAACCGACGAGAAATTGAAGACTTTGGTCACTTCTTTCCTCGCTGGTTTCAAAGCTTAGGTCGTTTTCTCTGTTACTCTAGTTTTATTAGATTGTAAGAATAAAAAGACTTCATAATACATCACAGTTTCTTCTGACAACTTTTCATATAGTTTTGCATAATTTAATGGTTGTGCAGATGCAGTACAAGCCAAACTCACCACACGCCAAGTTTTCTACAAAAAAATGGAAAAAATAGTAGTTAGGGCAAAAGTTGGGGAATTAAAAATTAAAACCATAAAAACAATTTTTGTAAATAATTGATTCGTTTATAAATTATATTAAAAAGGTGTAAGTTTTCTAAAAGCTAAAATCGTGACGCTAATTGCTATTTAAACCTGTTTTTTAAAGTACGCACTTCTGGATAGCTTTGGTATAATATGGATCCCGCATTTTCAGAAGTTTGGGCCGCAGCTCGAATTTAATAGTCGCAAGGTGCGCCTCGAGACGAAAGTTTTAAAAAATTGCGTGTGGCATTATTTCAAGAAATAATTATATATTTTTTCGAAATTCGGCCGAATTTATTTATTTTCAACCTGCCTTGCACAAGAGTTTGTCGAGTACTTTTCGTCTAATTTTACAGGTTCGTCAACGTTGAAGAAAGCCGCAAAAATAATTTGTAATTTCAGCATTGAAGAAGCAATTCTTTAGGAATGAACGAACTTGTGGACGTACGCCATGGTTCTCGTGGCCTAAAGTCGTTAACAGGATTGCCTGTGTTGACAAGGCCTTGTAAGGTATGTAATGAATAAAAATGTCCTGACTGTCCTGCAGGTTAATGTGTCAAACTCGGAGTTAAACAGCCTTTTCTGTCACAGCGAATGTGCAAAGAAGGTTATAGTTCTACATGCAAAGGCATGCAAGATTACCGACATTGATGGACTCCATTTATTTATCAATCTCGTCGAATTGGATCTCAGCTATAACAAAATTACGGTAAGGTTGTAGTAATGGCTTGCATTATTTAGACGTTTATGTACAACTACTCTGATCATTCTTGGTTGTCGACGTTAATATTGGATGGTAATTCACTGGGGGATTTGATTGATTTGTCTCATTTTCCAAACCTGAAAATATTGAGCCTGAACAAAACTGGAATTTCTAATCTTTCTTTGGCCATGACCTTCTCAACTTCTTTGAGATCGTTGTATTTAATTAATAACCATATTACTGACCTGTGCGAAGTTAGGAAGCTGAGGCACTTGTTTTTATTGGAAGAATTGGATATGACTGGCAACGAATGTTTGACAGAGTTGGATGAATCCTTGTCCAGGATTGCCTTGAAAGCTCTAGTGTACCTAAATTTGATGAAGGTGAACGGAGTAAAATTAGACAGAGATTCCCAATTAAGGAGTAAGTTTTCGCACGGTATTGTGCAATGATGTTTAGGTGAATCACTTCAGATGTCGGGAATCGGAAAGTTCAAGTCTGGACCAAACGAACACGAAAAGCTGGTCACGTTTATAAAGCAAAAGTCGTATACTTATGAACCTCCGAAGACTCCTATACCTAGTGATGTACGTGCTTTTTTGTGGGGTATATTGGTTTAGAACTCCCTAACCCGGTCAGCTCCTCTTGTCAGAAGCCGGACTCTACGGGCATCGACAAATATAACTCCTTCCCGTCCACGACTCAATCTAAAACGTAATAAGGCGCAGGAAATAGACTCTGGACGACCGTGTTCTATGGAGACGAGCATGTCTAAGATGTCGTTGGGTTCTCCATCTTCACCGAAGTATTATAACAAGGCCAACGAAACATTGGGTAAAAAATATGACTCGTTTACAGATGGTGGAGGTCTTTCTGATGAGGATGACCTGCTAAATGAGTCCTTCGCCTCTTCACGGACAGTCACAATCTCGAGGACAGATGATATTAATGGGTAAGTTTTGGCTTATTCGACTTTTACAAAAGTTTTATTTTTTCTGGGGGTTACAAAAGAATTATTCTCCCGTTGCTGCCCAGTTAAGTACACCACAGCCGTGTAGGAAATCAGAATCGGTGGGAGAAATGTTGAAGCGACATCCTCTGATTAAACCTAAAACACCCCGATCTCATAAAAGAAGAGTACCACTTAAACCTGTTGTTTCTCGACTAATTCAACAATCAAAGAGAGAAATCTTTGATGAAGTGAGAAGTTTAAGGCTCGAGATGGAGAAGCGCATTGCGGTACTTGTTTGATTTAATAGTTCAAGAAATCACTGAACATGATGATTTTTTGTCGTCGTAAGTTCTGGTTTAGGATTTGGAACAAGAGAATCTGAGTCTACGTGATTTCATTGAAGACCAACTGGAGATTGTGCCTACAAATGTAAGATTCAAGCCATACGGAGGCGATAATTACATAATTGAATGGAAGAACGTTCCCAAACACATGCTGAATGTCGAAAGTAAGACTGGTCACCTTTTTTTAATTATGTTTCTTGCAGAACATGAGGTGGAGGTCAATAACGAAGTTTTCTCTGTTCGTGGATCAGCCGAAAAAGCTCTAATTGCAGATCCACGGAATAAGGAATTGTAAGTGACGGTTCCTTCTCGAAATACTGTTGATTAGAATCAAGGTACGAACAGTGAACAAGTTGACGGGAAAGAAATCAACAGCCACTCAAGTCACATTCTGCAAGTCGCCGGACAGAGGGGGAAACAAAGAGAATCATGTGTAAATTTAGCTGAACCCTTTATTTCCATATATATATACAATAAAATTCATTATGACCTGAGTTCGTACTTGCAATAATGAGGGAATGGAATGAAACTTATCAAAAACAACCATAGATTTTCTTTAAGCCACGCCTACTTAAACTTGGAGGCCTTATCGGTTACTGTCATCAACGGATGGAGGCACATAATTGGGCTGGCAACTGACAAAGTAGTCGTCGAAGAAGGAATACAGGTACTCGAAGCTGGGTCTCTTCTCGGAATTCTTGTCCCAACATTTGAGCATTTCTTCGTATATTGGAATAGGACAATTTTGGGGACGACCCATTCGATATCCGTGCTCCACTTGCTCGATTACTTCTTTGTTTGCCATTCCTACAAAAGAAATAAGTGGATTGTAAGGAAATGCCGAATAAAGTATTCAAAAGACCAACCTGGGTAAGGGACGTGACCTCTCGTGAAGATCTCGTACAATAAAATACCGTAGCTCCAGACATCTGACTTCACGGTAAAGTTTCCGTGTGTCGCTGCCTCGGGGGCCGTCCATTTTATGGGAAACTTGCCGCCAGCTTGAGCCTCGTATATGTTTTCATTCATCAACTTTCTGGCCAACCCAAAGTCGGCGACCTTTACCTCGGGTACCCCAGAGATCTTCTCCCCGACCAAAACATTCCGAGCAGCCAGATCACGATGGACAAGCTTTCTGCTCTCCAAATACATCATGCCACTGGCGATTTGAGAACACATGTCCACCAAGGCTTGAATAGATAATGAAGTGTTGTTAGGACTTCTGAGATACGAAAGCAGAGATCCATTCACCATATATTCGGTGATTATGTAGTAGGGGTCCTTTTCTGTGCACACAGCATATAATTTGACCAATTTGGGGTGATTGCATTGTTTCATAATCTGGGCTTCGCTAAAAGTATAAGACGTTAAATCTTCCAGCTCTGGAAAATAAACACGACCACTTTTTATCAGTCATAAGAAGCAAACTTACGCTAAGAAACCTTCAGCACTCATCGTTCCCGGCTTCATTGTTTTAATAGCGACCTCCACAACGGATCGCCATTTACCGTACCAAACCTCTCCAAAGTTTCCATCGCCCAATTTGGATATGAGTTGTAGTTCCTCCCGAGGGATTTCCCAGTTCTTTTGAGTATCTGAACTGAGATCTGGGCGTACTGGGGCCATTTTAGGGGCGGGATATGTCAGTTGATGACAAAGTCCGCCATTTTCAGCTAAAAATAAATATTCAAACCCTTTTAGAAGTTATTGCAAACTCACCGGTATAATATTGAACGAGATCTCTAATTGTGGGGAACACCTTTCTTGTAGTGATATAATAACCAGTGCCATCAAACGGGCGTATTTTATAATGTTTGACTTCAACTCGATCCTCTCGACTGTCATTGATGGTCAAAGCATACTCATTCCCAGAATCACGCTTCCTAACCAGAAAAGTGCCCCGGGGCATGTTTTGGGCCGTGACTAACTTCTCAGCCAGACTCCTTTGTATTCTTCCAGCAAACCATTCCTCGCATTCCAGAGATTCTAATCTGGCTACAAAGTTACGAGGAGCATAGCCAGGTCCATTCTGGGGATGATGGACATACCACCAGTCGTTGTTACTAAATATATTAACGTATAACTCAACAGTCTTACCTATCATCAAGTAATATCATAACATCGCCTTTCCTGAAGCTAACGTCACCTTCAACACTCCGATCATAATCATGCATTGCCTGTATTCGTTGTTGAACCCCTAAATTGAAAGTCATGTCAAAAATGTTATTTTAATATTACCGTAATTTTTATTGTAATTAATTCCCATTGGTGCCTGCCCAAAATAACTGTTGGAGGAGTTGACATGATACATGGAGGGTGACGCAACTCCCATGGAACCATGCCTCTGTAGGGAGGATCCTCTGTAAACATTCATGACGGCCTGATTATGGCCCCTCGGATCCACCAAAAGTCCATCCGCGGGCAGTCCTTCATCTCTCGGCCGTTCTTTGGACAGACACCTACCCATTTCTCTGGAAAACAAAATCAGATCGGCTACTCAAATTTAATACGAAAATAAACTATTAGCGGGAGAAATATTCTCTTCAATTGTTATTATCCCTTTTTATTAACCGCGTTTAAACCAGAAAAGTTAGGGATTTCTTTTTTCTGCTGAGGTCTGTGCAGAAAATGAGAAGAAGGGGGTGAGGCATTTAGGGGGAGCAGAAGGGGGGAAGAGAGGGGGACGCGCATTCAGTCAGAGCCGGGGTCCATACGTCGCTCCCCGACCGAGAGGGGACTCCCAAACCGTTGTGGACTTTACCTGCGGTAAAATATTTAAAAAAAAAGCCCTTGCAGAAAACACAACAAACCAAGCGTACCGCTCCATGCCTCGCGTTAAGGTGTTGTTGTTTGGAAAAGCGGCCGAGCTCGCTGAGTCACGGGAAATAACCGTAGAAGTCCCCGAAACAATATTATACGGGGAGCTATTCGAAAAAATATTCGAAGTTGTAAGTCGTAAACGCCTGTTTTTTAAAAAAGAAGCATATTCAGGAACCTTCGTTGAACCCAATTAAATCAACATGTGTAATTGCAATTGACCAAAAATATGGAGGGAAAGAAGAGCAGATAACAATTACAAATAGAACGGAGATTGCAGTAATACCTCCATTATCTGGCGGATGATTTATTTAACGGTAAAATTCTCAAAACAACGAGTCCATATTCCCTCTTGAAGTGGTACCGAACTTATTTATAGTCCTTGAAGATACCTGTGTCATTTTCCGGCTAGTCGCCTGGTTCCTTGGTCCATCCGGTGCTGATCGTGTTTGTTCGACTTTCTTTATGCCCTTAAAAGAAGTAAAAATATATTAAAGCCTTTTTAGTTTGCCTTAAAATTCTTGTTTGTCGCTTTGCTGTTGAAGTTGAGCCACTTGTTCTTCTGTTTTTCCCCGGCTTCATCTAGTTGTTTCTTCCGCATTTCTTTCTTCTGTGCTCGAGCTTTCCGTCGCTCCTTTTCTGCATGCCATTCTTTACTTGGTCCACTATTTTTTCCTTTGTTTTGAAACAAATAATTTTTTCTTTCTTCCTGAGGGGCTACCTTTAATTCTTGAATCCTCACCATGGACTTTACTCCATTATCTAAAGAAATAGAATTACTACAACAGAACACTTACTTGTAAATGTCACGGCAACGTTGTTTTGTGATATTCCATCAATTACGGCAATGTATCGCTGCCCATTCTTAGTTGGAGCCAAGCATTTATCCCCAACATTCCACTTAATCTCCTTGTCCTTTGAAGAACCAGCAGAAGGCTGCGTCTCTTCCGTCACTGGATCTCCCGCAGCGGCAAGTACTTCTTCTTGAAGCCGGATAATTTCTTGTACGTTCTCCCTCAACTCCAAAAGCTCTTTATTATTCGGATCGGCAATAAGAGCGGCTTCCACATGTTGCAATTGGATCCTGTAGTTGTCCAAGTCACTACTCATTCTGAAGCGAAGATTTTAACCAGTAACATACACTCTAGATAAGATACGAAGAGCGGTCTACAATTGGAATCAAACCTTTGTATTTTCCAAACATTTTGGCGAGTTGCGCCCCCACATCGCCGTTCCCTCGTAAGCTAAAATTGATTCTTTAGCTCGGCGTCGTGACGCATCGCCACAATTGACCGAAAATTCGGGGCACGGCATTCTGTACTTTTGTCGCTACCTTCACTATCCCCCCACAAAAATGGGCTGAAGCCTATTTTTGATAAAAAAAGTTGAAAAGCGAATAGCTCTCTAGATTTTGAAGATATAACATTGTAATTTGGCAAGGCTACATATGTCATCATGGGCAACAAAACTGAATCGGAACTTCATTTATTTGTTCCCTGAGGGCAGAGATATTCCAAAAATTTCAAAAAACACACTATGAAACTCAGTTTTTCGTCCGTAGCACAGCCATGCCCGTATATAACTCCACGAAATTTAAGTATCTGAAAGAGAAAAAAATTCTGCACACATCAGTATTTTAAAATTTGTCATTTCGATCTTGCAAAATGACCTTTTGGTGCAAGAAGTTTTAAGAATGAAATATTTTTGCATCTTATTGCGGAGCTTACAGCGCGGGGTTCATTACAATATTTATATATTCTGGAAGCGGAACCTTTACTCTATACCCATGCCAATTTTCAAGTCTCTATCTTGAACGGCTAGCGAGCAATGTATTAAAGAAGGAGGTCCACTTTGAAAAAATAGAAAAAAATCGGGGAGACCGGTTAACCGCGGTTGTGTCCCAAAAGTACAGAATGCCGTGCGGGGGATTGTGCGGCACGATTATCACCATTCTTATATTTCGGTAACCACTGTTGTAAGTGTTCTGGAAAAAAAACAAGTCCTTAAGTTATTTATCTTTTCAAATGCTGAACGACAAAATCTTCCTTTACAATTCATTTCCGGTCTAAAAATTGCACAAATTGGATACATTTTACAATCGTAAATAGCCGTAGGGAGCGGAGGCAAGACTGTGATTCTTTTAGAGAGTATATCTGTGATTTCCACGTGTGATTAGTTTTGAGGAGGAATATAATTCGGCTGTGAAGTTACAAAGAAGTCGTCAAAGTAATTATACAAATAAGCAAACGTAGGTCTTTTCTCCGCAAGCTGATGCCAACATTTGAGCATATGATCATACACTTCGGGAGGGCAGCTCTTTGGACAGGGCATTCTATATCCCTGTTCCACTTGTTCAATGACCTCACGGTTATGCATCCCTATGAATGAAGATATTGATTATAAAATTGATATTTACCCGGATAGGGATTCTGCCCCCGCGTGAAGATCTCATATAGGAGTATCCCATATGACCAAACATCAGATTTCACGGTGAAGTTGCCGCAGATTGCAGCCTCGGGAGCAGTCCATTTGATGGGGAACTTCGCGCCCATTCGGGCTTCATAAATGTCTTCTTCCATCAATTTCCTGGCCAGGCCAAAGTCAGCCACCTTTACAATCGGGACTCCGGAAATTTTATCTCCGACAAGTACATTCCTTGCGGCTAGGTCTCTGTGTACAAGCTTCCTCTCTTCTAAATACTTCATTCCATTTGCAATCTAAAGATAAAAGAAAAAGTAACGTCGGTCTTACTTGTGCACACATATCTATCAACGCTGGGATTGTCAGCTGATTTGATTCATCTCGAAGATAATGTAAAAGACTACCACCTGACATGTATTCTGTGACAATATAAAACGGTTCTTCCTTGGTGCATACGGCGTATAATTTGACCAGATTAGAGTGAGCGCATTGCTTCATTATGTGTGCCTCTCTAAAAAATATTTTAAATAAATAAAAGCAATTACAAATTTTCTTACTGTAGAAAGGCTTCGTCGGACATCGTTCCTGGCTTCATAGTTTTTATAGCGACCTCTACAGTCCCTTTCCACTTTCCGTGCCACACTTCACCGAAGTTTCCATCGCCGAGTTTCTCTTTGAGCTGAAGTTCATGCCTCGGTATCTCCCATTGCTGGGTAGTCTCGTAGCACAAATCTGGCCTCGTAGGCATAATGCGCGGGGCAGCAACAGTCAACTTCTGGCAGAGACCATCAGAGTTGTCTAAACAAAATAATAAATCTCTTATCCCATGACAGATTACCTCTATAATATTTGATCAATTCCCTTAGATCTTTAAACATTCGTCGATGAGTAATGAAGTAACCCTCATTGTCGCTTTTTCGTATCTTATAGTGCTTTACGCAAGGTCTGCCGTCACTAATGTCTCGAATTGTAATGGCATATTCTACCGGGATTACTTCGCGTTCCCTCACCAAGAAAGTTCCAACCGGCAGATTAGGAGAAAGAACCAATCTTTCAGCTCTGTTTCTGCTAATCTTCCCAGCAAACCAATCCTCGCTTTCGGCCGTTTTTTGTAAAGCGACAAAGTTCCTTGGGACATAGCCAGTTTTGTTATCGGCAACTCTCTGTACATACCACCAATCAATGTTTCTAAAATTCTTGGTAAAACTGGCTGGCCGTTCGACTTACGAACTATCCATTAAGTACATCAAATCGCCCCGTTTAAAACTAAGGTCCCCATCAGAACGTGACTCATAGTTGTACAAGGCCACAACAACCTCATATTTGGGGTCTGAAGGTTGACTGAACGAAGAGATATTCCTATTTGGCGAGTGGTTATAAAAGTTTGGCAGAGTGCTGGCATTGCTGAGGAGAACGTTGGCTTCTGGCAACGACTGATGTGAGGTCCGAGGAGGTAATTCAGGACGCTTCTCCCGAGATAAACACTGCCCCATTTGCTCTCATACGAGCCCTCTGAAGTGGAAATGGTACAGATAAACACGAGAAAATATTTATAGCAAATATAAATGCCCCTCTCGCTGGCCCAGTGCGCGGAACTCGGACTGCGTTTCACTCGAAATTAAAGGCAGAAAGCGATGAGCGGAGCGCTGCACCCCGAACCGAATCCTCGCTTAAGACCGTGGAAGCGACAATTAATAAGCAAATATACAAGTGTTATCATAAAACACGTCCTGTTCTAAACAACTAAAAAGGAGACTTTATTTTCCACTGATCGATTCATAAATTATTAATCAAGATTTGTTCAGGATTTCACTTTGACCTGTCAGATTGGAGGTTGGATTGGACGGGGCTGGAGTTTGAGTGAAGTCCATGGGTTCTTCGCCGACTCTTTGCTCTCGAGTTAACTTTTTATTCAGTTTCCAAACTTGGATATAGCATTCGGCCAACGTGATCATTTGTGGCAGGATCTCCTTCACATGCAAATCTTCCAGTTCATTCCATTTTTGAGTCCCGGGATGAAAAATCTGAATCCTATAACTGCCCGTGTCCGGTTTCCCGTCATGGACAACGTTCGAAATGAGATCATAAGTTGTATACTTCTGCAATTTTTTGGCCTCTTCTGACAAACAGTCATAAAGATCGATGTTCCTAAACCGCAATGAACGCTTTCTTGCAACTTACGTAATTGGGAAATTGACAATGGTAGGATTTTTCTCGATAAACCACTCATTCTTCTGGAATCTGTTATATTTGAGTAATAGATAATCTGGAAGTTGGACAATCTCGTATCTCCTGATGAAGTTGTCGTTATATGTTTTGTATTCTTTCTCCGTTGTTCCATTATACTTCTCAAAAAGCACACCAAGAGGTATCTGTGGGATAATGTTTTGCATCAATTCATCACGATATAAGGGAGCATCAGGAAGATCCATGGATAAACTCAAGAAAGGAACATCGGTTGACTTTTCTAAAGAACTCATTTGGACCTCTGACAGCTTACCTTTAAATTCATCCGTCTCGGACAATGTTATTCTAGCCTCTTCGGAGACATTAACTGGTAATACTTTGCGGGTATATTGTTTGAGTTTTCCTCTGAAAGTCTTGTAGATGATGGACGAATCCGCTTTTTTAGTACCATTCAAAGCAATATGCAATGTGTTTAAGAAGAATTGGAGGAAGTCACTAGCATCACCTGTGAAAGTAAAACATCAAGTTGTTATAACTTACTCTGAACAATGATCTGAAACTTTTTGTTACTGCATTCCACCACGGCTTGCAACATTTCGTGAGGAGACACATGGGCCTTGAAAGCCCTGGGGTTCCACAACTTTCTGATTAATTCTCCAAACCGTTGAGGCAATAAAGAAAGTTTATCGCCCGGGGGTCTCTTCACTTTTCGATAATTTTCTTCATCCAAAAAATAATTCCTGAGCGGTGTAACATGAGAAAGAGCCTGTAACCGCATAACAATGGGAAAAGCGCATAAACACCTACATGAAAAACGACATTAGAATAATCATTTGCTTTGATATTGTTTAAGCCCATCAATCCAGGGAAATAAGTGTTCCCATCAAAGGCCCGAATTTGAGTGCTTCTAGAGTCGATGCTTTTAATCATCTCCTTCGTATAAGTCGGTTTCAATACGTACTAAAACTACTAAATGAGGAAGAAAGGCTTACCTGAATATCTTCAAGTGAAGGATCAATAATTTCATAATTATCGGGTAGGCAGTAAAATTTTAAGGTAGATAAGTTCAGAAAAACGTGATGTTCTGTGTCCAAGGCATGTGTGTAAGCATGAGTATTAGTCCCGCGGCCTTGAAAGTACTTTCCGCAAACCATACAAGCATACACGTTTGTATGTTGAAGGGAAACCGAACATAATTTTTCGAAATCGAAATCCAAAACAGACCTAAAAAATAAATAAATGAATATAAACGTTTACCTGTCAATAGTATCAAGATAAGGGCATTGTCGCGTAGGATTTTCTAGCTGGGCTTTTTTCAGGCACCAAACTGGTTCTTCTTCATCTCCAAATCCGCCATTTTCTGCAATTCCCTACGTATAAAAGACTAAAGCCTACCTGTCTTAACATCAGATCCCAATTTTTGGACTTTCTCTTCGTGTTCATTCGAAGGTTCATGTAACTTCCGTTTTCTCATAACAGTAAACTTCACAGAAATCCAGAGCTGTCAACTTTTTGTTTTTTTACAGGCAAATCAATATCAAGGGTGCGCAGTATCACTATTGACTTGTCAAAAATATTGACATCAGTTTTAGAGTCTTTGTAAAAAATGGAAAATTGGTCTGATGTTTGGTACCTTTATGCATATCCACCATCGGATAGGCTAAACCATGCCTTGGTAGATGGTTCCATAGACCGAGTCTTTACTACTCCGGTCCTTCGTCATGAACAGCTGCTCACGGAAAGTGTTTCGGAATCTACTAGCCTTTTAAAGAACCAGGAAGCGGAAGATCTGCATATTACTGAAGATAAAGACGGTTTGAAGTGTTTGATTGTAAGTTTTTGACATTTCTTGTTGTATTTTTAGAAAGCAGGGAGAATGCGGAGAGCGTTTAATCTTACAACTCAGTTACTTGTAAAGATGGGGCATGTCCCCAACGCACCCATTAGAAGAGCGGCTTGTTCTGTGGAGTCTTTAGAGGTAAGAACGATTCGGGTATCACTTTTTTAGATTTGGAATTGCAGATTCCAACTTTTGATAGCTCTGGAGATGCAAGACGTTTTAAAGGAAGAAGCTGCTGCTTTCAACGAACTTGATGCTCCTGATCTTTATTTTGAGTTTAGATCCCAGTTTCGGCGACTGGATTATAGAGGCAGTGTCATTCCTTTTCAATTTCGTCTTATTCATGCTGAGATTCCGCGATTTTCTGCACAGTATGAGCATTCTCTTAGCCGCCTAGCCAATCTTGAAAATGATGCCAGACAAGTTTTTGAAAGCATGAATAACGACGCTCATAAGGCTGTCTGGAAGAGAAGGTTGGAAGCTGTGAGGCTTACTCAAGCGCGAGTGGTCTATCACATGAAGGTAAAAGGCTTTAGCCGTACAGGAAACCTGCCAAGTGCAATGCTCGGATTTTCTTTAAACTTTGCACATCGAGAATGTCCCGTACAGTAGAAAATAGGTATGAAACCTTTCGTGCCGAAATTCGCCAAAAAATTATCGCATTCTTGCGACCTTCGGTCCAAAAATCTCGTCGTTTCAGCAAAGTACGAGCTAGGAGTCTTGCATATATATCGTAATAAAAAAAAATTCTAAATTTGTGCCAAGTTTTGTAAAAATCTGAGCGGCGCGAGTACTTCCACTGTTAGCTAATTACTTTAGGACCATATAAGTTCCATCACTATCTACGAGGAATTGTTGGAGAAGACGGAAGATGTAGATAAGAAGAAACTAATAATGGATCAATTACTTAGAATAACAATGGCTTTAGGGCATTTCAAGTTTCTCGAATCATTAATCAACTCAAAGATCGGTGATCAAGTACACAAAAGGTAGTAGTATTTCTGCTTCTGTAGTTCTTTAATTTCAGAACAATGTGGGCTGTTTTTGGGGCAAATTATCAAAAAGCATTGGACCTATTGAATCAAAGTTCGGCTGATTCTACTGAGGTAGGGGAAGATTTATTTGACACTGGCTTGTTTTTAGACGTGTAATAACAAGGCCATATGCTATTTATATACTGGAAGAGTCAAGGAGGCGGTCGAAATATTGTTGGCTCATCGTCGGGCCCCAGTGCCTCTGATGAAAAACTTGTACACGATCGGTGATCTGGCCTCGACAAACAGTGCTGATATACGGTCTCAACATTTTTCAAAACATTGCGCTTCACTTGCAGACCTGTATGATCCTGCACAATTACGAGTTTTATGAGTCTTATATTTATTTTTTAAAATTAAAATTAGAAATCTGGAAATACAAAGGCACTCGAGATTGACCCGCAAGAAAAAATGAGATCACCAAAACGCTAATCTGTTGGAATGCAGTACTATGGCCATTTACAATCCTTGGACCCGACTTCTTTGTACAGCGAAGGTCTTAGAGAATCTTCTAAGAGATCCACCAAGATCCTGGTGTGACTCTTCCATAGAGTGATATTCACTAGTTTAAAGTTGAGATTGCTCACTCCGTCTTTGAGGTACCTTTTCTTTGTCAAACGCATTAACTTGTACCGGCATCTAAACAATTAGAAACCTTATTTTAAAACCCGTTTTGTGAGGAACTCGAGCTCTCAGATATGCCTTATACACAGGGGTGGCCACCCGGGCCCGTTTCGGCCCGTCTTACTTTTCCCGCAATTGCGATATCTCGTTTTGGAGAAGAGATATCAAAAATCTGATAACATTTTGAAGGGTCAGCACCCTTCTAAACCTAGGGCCAGCCGAAGTTTCAAAGCCATCCGGTTACTCAGAAAAAAGTTCGGGATAAGTAAGACGGGCCGAAACGGGCCCGGGTGGCCACCCCTGCTTATATATAAAAAACAATATGTTACAGTATAGACGTGAAACACCTACCATGGTTATTTTACTCTTGTATTAGTATAAGTACAATTTTAAATTCTTGGCTTTTTTTCAAAGGTTCAGAAACCATTTTTTGAAAACAAACTCCTATAGCTTTGAAAACGGTGGATGAATTTAATAGATTCGTGTACTTATCAGTACGAAGGAGCTGCCAATGCAAAATTTCTGTCATCTTACGCAGATGACGGTACAAAAATCGTAATTCTAATCGGTAAATGTCGGCTGCCCGCAAAGTGGTTGCCCGGAAGAGTCACGACGCCGTAATTTTGACTTACAAGGGAAGTACCCCAAGTGCGACACTCAGGTTTTCTTTAAATATTGCACACACGTCAGCCATAGACAAAATATCAATTCCTTTAGCACGCGCTTTCAAAGCGCCACTGAGATATTGAACAATCTTTGCCGGCAAGAGAGTACGCGAAACATGGAGAGAGAAAAACACTTTTTGGCCATAAGTTTGTTAGCTTCGCGTGGAAAAGTTTGATTTTTTTTAAAACATTACCTTTTACGGTAGAAATAGGTATGAAAGTTTTAGTGCCGAAATTCGGTAAAAAGTCTCAAATTTCGCCGACGTTCCACCTAAAAATCTCGATTGTTTCTGCAAAGCGCGAGTTAGGATCGTCGCATGTATTTTACAAGGAAAGTACTTTTATGGGGGCTCCTACTTTTTGACGGGACATATCTCAAAAAATCAGAAAAAATGTGCTGATTAAGGATATATAAATCTTAGCTGCCCATTTTAGGTTTTTAGGGGTGAAAATGCCCAAAAACTGGCTCAATTTCCTTACAAAAGGCGCAGCATTCGAATGATAAAAAGCGCAGTCGGTCTCTTCCTTCGGAAGAGAGCGGTGTGGCCGAGTGGTTAGTGCCGTAGTCTGGGAAACAAGAGGGGGAACGCCGCACGGGTTCGATTTCCCTTTTGGGCTGAATCAACTTTTTTTGAAGTTGAAGGTCGGAAAAATAAAATTTTGTGCCAAGACTGGTTTATTACGTTTTAGAAACTGAATAAACATCATTTTAAGCCAAAATAAAAATTGTAAACCCGTGAAAAAGTAAGCGAAAAGGGGTTCATATAGGACTTTAAGTCAACTTCCGATTGAGTTTTCACCCCTAAAAACCTAAAATGGGCAGCTAAGATTTATATATCCTTGATCAGCACATTTTTTCTGATTTTTTGAGATATGTCCCGTCAAAAAGTAGGAGCCCCCATAAAAGTACTTTCCTTGTTAGAAAAAATAGTCTAAATTTTTGCCATGATTCATCAAAATCTGAGCGTCGCACTTGGGGTACTTCCCCTGTTAGTAGGAAAATTTTTGTTGCATTTTGCTAAAAAATAGTAAAAAACCGGAATTTAAAGTTTTTAGGGACTCAATGGCCCCTTCTTGTCAAAACGACCTATTAAATAAGCATTAAAACTAGTTACAAGTGATATAAACGGTATTCATAGTCCATGTTTAATCCGAGTGTGAAAGTTTCGTATATCAGAATTTTTAATTTAGCCAAAATGAGAAATGACTGCAATTTGACGTCACTTTGAAAAATTTTGTCAAATTAACAACCCTTGTATACTTGGCGCTTTTGAGAGTGCGAAAATAAAGTGTATGGAATAGAAAACTGGTCATAACTTTGGACTGACTGCACATATCGGGCTGATATTTTACACGGTGGTAAATGCATCTCTTGACATGTTTCCACAAATTGGAGATCTGTATGTCATCAATGCCATAATTTTAAAAAATCTTTTTTTTGATAAATTTTTAAATTTTCAGAAGTATTTTACGCCGCTACTGTAACATCTTGTTTTTTTTGTGCACTGCTAACTCGAGTCTCTCGCAGAATTTGTTTTAAACTCACTTATTCACAGGGTTCTCGGTCTCCTGTACATGTTTAATCATCTTGTAATGAGCAATTTTTATCGGATATCGGGATATTCTGAGGCCAGTGTAAACGATTCTAAGCAGTGCTAGCTACTTATTGACCTTTCTTACCTTGACGACATATCGTCGTCTTCTCCTCCCCATCCCCAATAATCGTTTGAAAATCCATTCATCTTTACAAAGTGCGCCTTAGAAATTGCACTGACCCCACCAAACAAAGATCCATAAGGAAGTCTAGATAGGTGTAAAAAATGCCTTATAACCTACTTGTAACCAAACTTGTCTACGGCCACACTCATATGTCTTGGCTTTTCTGGGCACGAATATATATTACGATCATCTTCGGGGAGCAGATCAACGTCATGGAATATAAAACACTGCCAGTCGTACATCTGACTGGCGATTTTGTAACCCACATTCATCAATTTGGCTCGGTTGAAAGTCTGATTACCTACTTGTTCCACGATGAAAATTGCGTAATCCAGCTGTTGTTTCCTGAGTAATGAGTGGAGGTTGTGAAGAAAAGTGCGTAGCTGGAGTTCACGGTTGCGATAAGGCACGATGACTGCGACACGATGTCTGGCCAAACATTCTTCAGGGCATCCACGTCCTCCATCCTCTAACCATGGATATAATTTATCTATATTATGATAAGACGGGGCATCCAACCACACGCGTATCGGGCCAACCAAATTCGGCGTATCAAGGGGACAAGCAGGCAATGATAAGTTTTGTGTCTCAAAATGGGGTAATGTGCCTAAAACAGAAATGAAAATAAGAACTTGTTTACCGTTTAAATCAACATCGAAAGAGGTAGTGTTTATGTTGGCCGAGTTCAATAAAATAATTGTAGGGTCTTCTGTATTAACGCCCTGCGAAATAAAATATCCATAAGAGGTTCCGAAGGAATCGATGCTTAGATCCCATATCAACAACAGTATCATACAGAAGGATATTACGGCAATTAATTGTCGAGAACATTGCATTCTGTTCACCCAGTGGCTTTAAACCTAAAATAAGCTCTATATACATTTCAATCATACTAAGAAAGTATAATATGACATAACCGGCCGATAAACAAAACCTTTAATTTGAGAATAGCTCCCGGACAAAATGCATGATTTAAAACCGCAGAATAATAGTTTCTGAAATGACTTATTCAGAAGGCTAAGTCTTATATATACAAAAGTTATATACAAAAGCTATCTTCATCTTACTTGTTCTTATAGTCCTGTGGAAACCGTTGATGATTATACCTATATTTTAGTGAACTATCCCTATTAATTTAACTAAGGAGAAAACTCTTACAAGACCTCTGTTCGTAGTAGCAAACGGTCACCGCGAACTACTCTTCAGTGAAAAGCAAGTTATAAACGTGCGTCATATCTCGCTAAACTATAACCTCTAATGATTGAGCGCAGCAAAGACGTTATATAATACAACGCAAGTTATGTTTCAACAAATTACCTGGAACTATACGGACATTTCTGCCAAATAGATTTGGAGCGAGATTTAGAGAATAGAAGGCGACATTTTGATGCAGTTCGATGTGCCGCTATAAACAAAGATTCTCCGAAAATAAAATAAATTTTGGCATTCCGTTTCAATCAAGAAAAGCTGGATGAATGAGTTATTACTTATTTCGAGGAAGAAAGGATTGCACTGCCTTCAGATGAGGACTGAAATTATGAAAAAAATTGATATTGCACCAAACTGTTTTAAACACGGTCACAAAGTTCTGGTATTAAACGTGGGCATTTGGGTGGGGTTGAGCAAACATGGCAGGTCGCTTCATGACACACCCATGTGTCTTTGCATAAAAGGTTTATTAAAAAATCTGGAAAATTGAAGGCACGATTATAATGGATATTAAACGCATTATTAAATATTTTAATGGCCGTACAGAACTGGCGAGTGCAAGATGAGAAGATGCATAAATAACGGCCCATTAGCCGATTACGACAAGCCTCGAGTATTTAGTGGGGCAGTGGCAGCAATGACATTTTTGATAGCGAGGGTCGTCCAGGTCTAATTCCCGGCCGAAGTATCTGATAAGCATAGGGTGAAGTCTAAATCAATTTAATTATTCCTATCACTCCTAAATCAACGGCAACGAATGTCTCCTCTGCTTACCGAAAATGTAATGTTTTATCGGCAGGTTGAGGTAGGATTTCTCCGTCTAAATTCCAGGCTCCCTGTTTAATGTCATTTTCGTCCTTTTGTTCTCCGGGGTTTAAAAGGGCGGCAGGCGTATAAGACCATCTCTTTACTCTGTACACCTTCAGATTCAGACCCCGCGGCAATAACTCTTTCCCGCCATACATAGAAACTGTCCTCATGATCTGGAGGTTTTGACATCTGGTTACCTTTGGGACCAATGCCAAGTCCATGGTACCATCTCCAACACCCGCGTACGGGGCGAGGCCATAAGGCGTAAAAGGACTCACACATGGTATCACACAGCATATACAGTGCGTGAAGTCGGTCTGCCAGTGATAGGGGAGATTAGGGTCAGGCTGCTCTCTCCTGCAAATCAAATAACGCTTTGGAATGATTTTACTTACCCTTGACATATCGAACAAGGAGATCTGCATTGAGGAAGCTGAACCTTCTCGTCGGACTTTTCGGTTACCGCAAATGAAACTCGGCCGTAATAAGTAGGATGTCTGACCGTGGTCCTCAATGCTATACAGGATTGAAAATTCACATTTGTAATACTTACCTGACCATTGGTACCGGACGGGTCCCATGAACCGATAACGCTCTGAATCATGAAGAACGTCGCCCAACCATCCGTATGAGATGGCATTTGCAGATATCCGAGATAGGGTTAGGCCCTCATGCACGGTGCAAACATCAACGGCACAGCAACTTCCGATGGCGATATGCACGGCCGCGGTTGGACAATCATCTACGCCATGCACCGACGATACTATAGAGTTTGCAGAACCGGCCCCAATTATACCAAAACGGAACCTCGGGGTTACCAACTTATCCACATTTACATCATTTATGTCCTTTCCATTTTCGGATTGAGTTCTATTATACAATTACTAGCTCTTATGCTTAAACCTACCTTATAATGCTGGAATACAAAACTTCATTAAAAAGTCCATCACCGCCCACACTGACTACACCATCGATGCTACCCCAAGAATCAATACCAAGCTCTTTAATCGTATCTCGTGCATGATCAGCACGTTGTGTCAAAATGACTTCTCGATTGACACCTACCAACTCCAGAATGGGCTCCACTTGCTTGTCATAAATCTGTTTCGCCTTTCCTTTGCCCCCGTAAGGATTTATGAACACAATTATATTTTTTGGACGTTCGGAAAGTTCTAAAAGGCAAATTGAAAGAGAACGTGACCTCACCTGAAAGGGGCTTCTTCAACAATGCTTCCCATTGTTCCTTTTCTCTTGTGGTCAAGAAAAAGATCGCTGCCTCCCTGATCCTCCATAAATATATGTTTTGTCTGTAAGTGTAGTAGATGTAAAGAGCGTTTGGATGTTTTTTGTTGTGCTCATCGGGATAAATTTTTTTCGGTAAGCCTCCGTATATTTTGACTGGTGTTTGGCGAATGGATAATATTTCACTGTAGCTGATTGTGAGTTCACGACATTTATTCCTAAATCAGCAGTGATATACTTTTCCGTTTAGGAATAACTTGATGAAAACAAAGTAAGCAATATCTTACCCCACTAAGGAGAAGGTAAGCTTATTTTTGGTTTCGTTGTAGAAGAGATTATGGAGTTTGCCATCATCCGACTTTATCTGGACACCTTTCACGACGTCCTCTGGCTTGGTTGGTTTTGAACCATCAGCCAAGCTCCCATTCTCACCCGAAGTCAACGGCGTATTCTCCAGATTCTGCGTCATTTCCCTGAAACCCGTGGTGTTATGGAGTAACGGAACGCACAATCAAAAAATATATATTAGCTTTTACACGACCCCCTTCCCCTACGGCACTATTAGGAAGGTCATTAATGAGGAAATTATGAATTTTCTAATTACCTTAAAGAAAGAAAACGAACTGTTCCGGGATTTTCCGACAACCAAAGAGCAGCCTTATTTATTGTGGCGGCAGCCTTACTTTATTTTTACTCTCTCTTTCTTTCTGGTTGCGTTAGCCAAACTGCGACCGCAATAACAAACAGGTCTCGACTCGAAAACGTGAGAAGGGGAATCAATAGCCACTGACGTCTCAAATATCCGACAAAAATATAAAATAACCAAAAAACAATCGAATCGAAAATAATAGGCTTTATAATAAGTTCACTGATGATAGCTATTTTGCATTGGTTTTAGTTTCCTTTTCATCGTTAAAATTGATTAACGGTGACAAGTAGAAATTTTTTAGCTTCTCTGGAGAATTTAGTTTGTCGATGGCTGCATGGAGATACTATAGGGCGGCGGGAAATTTGGCGCAGTATTTTTATTATACTACCACCAAATTCCCATCTCGTTGATAAATTTTTTTCCGTATGAAAATCGATAGTTATTATTAGGCTTTTTTGAAATGAATTTTATAATCAATAAAAGAACTCAGTTTTAAATGACAGACATTTTTTTGATAACGTGATTAATTTTCGTGTTCTTGGATTTATTAGACCTTTTCGCACCTGCAGGTTATGACGACCGATGGTGTGGGTGTCTCGTTAGAGGAGGCGCTTACAGTATTGGAACAGCTGAAACTCTCGACTGGTCGAGAAGAAGCCGGCTGTTCCAAGGAAACAGGTAGATCGAAGCCTTTGCCAGAAGTCAAAGAAACAAGAGGTGTGGAAGAGGAACCTGAGGACAGAAAATTCAGAAGAAGTCGCAGTTTTAGTAATCGCAATCGGCGGTTTGCACCTTATCGGACACCTTTGAAGCGAGCATCGTCTTGTGGATCGAAGGAGTCAGAAGCTGAAAGCGATGCAGACTCAAATGGTAAGTAGTTTATTTTTTTAAATTCCTTCTTTATCTAGTTTCCACAAAATCGAGTAGCAGCAAAGAAGTCTTGATTCCCAGTGCAAGAAGTGCTACCACTTGTACACAAGAAGCTCTGGGAATTGGCAAATGCTCTGGATCTGGCGAAAGTCTGGACAGTTTACGACAAGACGCTGCGGTCGAAGAGCTGTCCGAATATTTTGCTCACTTTGTTGGAGTGCAAAGCAAGATGTCTTCATTAGCAGAGTCAATGTATGCATAAATGTGTAATTCAAATATTCTACTAATTCCTAAAGATCGATACTAAATACACTTTATGGTAGAACAACATGTAGTTATGAAGATATAAAATATTGCAAAGAAACGCTATTTGTTATTTGTATATAAATTGTGGGTCAGATCAGGGATCAAAGGATGAGGCTCAGAACGAATTGTACAATCATTGACAAAAGGGAATCGGCGATCATTGTTTCTCGATAAAAGCCTTTCGAAGGCTTGATGTTTCTTTTGAATCGAAGATATGGTCTTCTAAACAGTAATAAGTTTAAAACATTAGACTTACCTGCCGGGCTTTAAATGGAGCCCCTCGGCGCAACAAGAGGTTAAAGGTGCCTTCATGGGTAGTGTAAAAACCAAACGACGTGTTCACGGGGTATAACCTGAGATCATTGAACACGACGAAGGAGGTGTCTACTCGATTGCTTGGATCCGGGATTGTCCTCTCCAGCTTCTCAGTCTTCGCTCTCCCGTCATGTGAACCTTCATGCCCAGAACTCTTCCCACTTTCCTCCACACCTTCCATTTCATCCGTATCGTCATCTTCTGGAGTTGTTTCTCTTGAGTCGCTTGGCTCTTCCTCAATGATATTATCTCCAATAAGTGGATATGAATGCATTCTCGTTGATCCACGTCGCAGGTTTCTTACCAAGAAATTTCTTTCTTGAGACCTCGGAATGATGCCTCTAGCTTCATCAAGATACTGAAACAAGCCCTATTATTTAAATAATTACACTCACAGTTAGAATTGCAACAGGCGTTTGACCTCTGGCACGAGTTTCGCAAATCCTTCTCGAATAAGAATTGAACCAATCACATACATTAGGCGTTTCTACCATCTCAAAACAAACAATCGGGCGATCTGTTATAACCGTCCGCGCTTTGATGCAACTTCCACCACTCAATGCCTAAATTATGACAAATAAAACGCAACGCGTTTTACTTACAGCTGACGACATAAACTCGTAATGAGATTCTTCGGCGGCAACAAGATCTGGTCCGGTAACTAACCTTCGTCGAATAAAAGCCTTGAAGAGATTAAATGTAACTACAGTTGTTGGCTCTTGAAGCAAATTAATCAAGTATTTGTTAAGACCGGTCAACAATTTATCCATGGTATACAAGGGAAAGGCATCTATTCCAAACATGCTTCTCATCACATCTTCGTAGGCAACCTGATCAATGTTCGTATCCATCAGCATCTTCACCATATCTAACATGTCATTATAGAACTTCGACGGATTTCGTGGTCCAGTTAATCGGTAGCCAACAGAATCGCCTGAGTTAAACCCATTCCGCCGATATTCTTCTTCCTTCTGTTTTGAAAGGCTTACTTCATGATCGTATTCCAGTTTCTTTCGGCGACATAATTCCTTTATCGAAGCCAGACGTTCACATAGTATATTATGCAATCTCATAAACAATACGAAGTTGTTCGTTCCATAATAAAAACATCTTTTCAGCAACGTCGACAAAGCTTCTTTCTAAAAAAAAGAACGTATAACACAAAACGCAAGATCATAAAAACGTACCGCTTGTTCTTCACCTTCAGGTACAAAACTTTGCATGTATCTGGCAAAATCAGGCACGTTGAGTTGTGTGGCGTAAGAAATAGGGAACTTTTCAGTAGCCTCTGAGTCAACTGTTATTCCGGATTTTTCCTCTTGAAGAACATTTAGGCACATTAAACTTGGCAAGAGAAACTTAAGGAAAAACCTGGCGTTACTTAATTCTTCTGAGGTAAGATGCTGTCCCAGCAATGTGCATTCGATCAAGTAATGAGCATCAAAAAACACAGACATATCCACGGGATATGTCAACGTGACCAATGGAGGAAAGCCACCATCTGTACACATTTCTTCCATCAATTTCTTCCTCTATAAATATTGTATATAATATTGCTATTTTTTGCGCATCTTTATTCTAAAAACCTTAAAAAAGCGGCTTCGACATGAAAGTAATTCCTACCTCTTCAAAGACTTTTTCAATATCTTGAATAATAGAGCGGCACCTCAAGACTTTTGTGTCATTATTTCGGAAAAAGTTTGCTTGGCTGTCGAGTGATCGACTCAAACAGGCCCTTGTCTGCTCAGCCCATCGTTCTCCTTTAATGATCTTATCCTTTCTCATTTGTTCTAGAGTTAATTCCAACCGTTTCAAGACACACGGAACAGAATCTTCAGGGGCATTCCGTAGCGCGGACAGGATTTTAGAAGCGTGTTCACTAAACCAAAATAATTCTGACTTTTCTCACTTACCCATACACTCGTTTAATGCATCGAGGAATCAACGTCGGTGTTTTGTCGCAACCGTAGTTCTGATCCAGCTTAAACCTTTTTCTTTCCCTTGGTTCCATTACGGCAATCTTTGACTGTATAACGCTCAAAATCCCACAAGATGCCTGAAGGATGGATTCGCAGATATCATAATCAAATCTTTCGTCCTCGATTCTCCATAAAGTTTCTTCAAAAGGGGTTTTCTTCGATGATACAGCTGCTGAATCTTCTGATTGCCAAGAAGCAAACGCCATCCATTTATCGTTAAGCACCATTCGGTGTCTCACCTTCCGCCCACTGCAGGTGGCATCTCGCTTCTCGGGAGCCTGTTCCCTATAACTTTGTCCCATCCGCCTTGTAGTCAAATAATCAAGATCAACATTCTTCGACTCAACCAGTCTCAAATCCACGGGAACCTTTTTGTTCCCAGTCTTAGCCTCGGCTTCACATTGGTCAAAGATCTCCTTCAGATTTCTCAGTAAGAAAGGGCTGTGACGAAAGAAAGGTGCCAAAACCGTAAATACATCATTCCGTGTAATTTGATTGTGATTGTAGAGTTCCATTGAATGGAAAAATGCATTTAGTATGGATGGTTTCTCCAAAGCGATCTTCAGCCGGTTCAACTAAAAATAAAAAAGCAATCGAAACATTCCGTACCTTCTCAAAAAATAATATCTGCTTCGGTGTCAACGGGCATTGAGTAGAATGACGCATAGCCAGCGAGTGTTTCTTCTTCTAAAATTACTATTTTTATTCTTATATAATAAACCAACTCTTCCGTTTTCTGATTTTATTCTCTTCGTTTTTGGCTCCAGAATTTCGGAATCATTGAATACAGTCGGAATGAATGTCTTAAACTCTTCCAGCAGATCCTGATCGTTTCTGAACAACTGTACAACCTTGTTGTAAAGGTCATGTTTATCATCACCCTGGAAAAATTAAATTCTTAATAATCCAAACTCACGTCATTTCTGATACTGTTCTGATAATTTGTGAGGAAGACCAAGAACTGTTGATAAACATCAGGCTGATTGCTGTATCTCTCCTAAACATATAAGATTTTCACTTACCAATTAAAATTCAGCTTACTTTAATTTTGTTGAGAACAGAAACAGCCTGATCTAATGTATCTTCACAATTCATGGAAATATCTTGAACGTTGACTTTAAGAGGTGCCAGCTTGCCATTAGGTTCATTTGCTAAATTAACGTCTTTTTGGTTTTCGCCATTCCGAAAGCCAGTTTCGTTGCCTAGGAGAAGATTAAAATTCAAATAAAAGATTTTACTTTGACCGCCCATGGGTAAGTTGGTGACTCCAGTTGGCTCAATTATCCTCAACATATTCCCATGAACTTGAACCTCATATCCACTAGGAAGAAACGTGTTAAACCCTGTTATTAAATTAGGATGGTCAACAAAAAGTTGGCTGACTCTTCGTATTACACCTTGGGTGTCAATACTGAAAAAAAACAACAAATAAGAGAAATTAAACGCAAACTCACTCCTGAGATTTGAAGTCTTTCATTACTTCAAGGAAATTACTATACACTTCAGGGTTGTCGGAAAATTGCTGCCTGACCTGTTCCAGGTACTGTAACGCATCGTCCACCATTAGTGGCTAAAATAAGCACAATATAACAGCGTTCGGGAAAAACACATTTAAAAAACATAAAACTATTCGTACTCTATTTCTTGACGGAGGGAAGTTACCAGCGTTTTTCTTATTTTCGGCATCAGAATCAAGAATACTTCCTTTTAGATCCGGCCGATTACCATCCATAATATTGTCCAAAAAATCAGCACATGCAGCGCATACTTTCTTTGGTATCAACGTCAAAGAAAATACTTTCAGGTCCTTTGATAATAAAAGGTCTCAATCGGAAATAAAGCGAAATTAATCTGTTTCGAAGCGCAAACATTTTGCTCAGCCTTGTTTGGCATAACGCATTTCCATGAAAGCCTATCCAGAGGCAGCGGTGGAAACGGCCTCTTTTTTCAGATTTTAGATCGGGAAAAATCAGGCCCGTTTCAAAATTTTGAAGGCTCGGCCCGGCCCGGTAAAAACCCCTGGGGTGATCAGCGGGCCGGCCGGGCTCATTAACAAATTTGGAAACGGCTTCCGTTGGCGGGCTCCGAAAAAACGTGAGACTGCTTTATTTTTCGTTCTTCCATGCAAAAGTCCAATTTTTTCTGCGCGGAATAACTAACTTTACTTTTCCGACGTCTTGTGTAACATATTATTAAAATATACCGTTTTTAGCCGCATTATGTCTCAGTATGATTTGACTCAAAAGATTGCACCTTTCTTCGATCTTCATTTAGTTATTCCGTTGTTGGAGTTTATTGGTCCACGAGAGGTAAGGGATTTTTTCAATCATCTTATTTTTAGATTTACGATGTTGAGTCTTTGGTTGATATGCATAGGAATGTTTTGCTGAGGACCAACATGGTGGACTCGGTCATTGAGACTTATCCAGCTAATCAAGTTCCTGTCGAGCTTACAAAACGTCGTGACAAGATCCTGGCGGATCTAGAGGTCTTAAAGGCTCAGGCGGATCCCGTTGTCGAAATTTTGGAACAAGACGATGTGAAAGAGTTAATGGAGGCAGCGAGAGATCGTGAAGGCAATAGTCGAGTTTTGGAATATATGCAGTCGAAATATAATGCATGTTTATTTTATCTAAACAATGTATTATTTTAGTTCCAAGACGAAATGTTGGATATTCTCTACAAATATGCCAAATTCCAATATGAATGTGGTAATTATGCTGCTGCATCCATATGTCTTTATTATTACCGCAATTTGGTTCCCCAGAACGATCCAAATTATTTGAACGCGCTTTATGGAAAGTTAGCTTCAGAAATTTTATGTCAGGAATGGGCTCATGCCAAAGATGATCTGTCCAAACTTCGTGCTTACGTTGACTCAGATCCCTTTGACTCGGAACAAGAACTTCTGCAACACCGTGCCTGGCTTCTCCATTGGTCTTTGTTTGTCTACTTTAACTTCCCCAAAGGCCGTGATGAAATTATCGAGATGTTCTTAAACCAACAGACTTATTTAAGCACCATTCAGATCATCTGCCCTCATCTTCTCCGTTACGTGGCTGTAGCAGTGGTTGCCAGTAAAAACAAACAAAAGAATAGTTTAAAGGATTTGATAAAAGTTATCGACGTTGTAAGTAAAAAATTATGTACAGGGTGGACCACTCGAAACTTCCAACCTTGTTTCATGCATTTCTCCGCCAATAATGCACCAATTTCTATAAAATTTACATCAAATTGAAGCTAAGACATCCCATTTCTTGGCGGGGTCTACTTTCACGGAGGCCCCCATACGGATCCTGACGTTTTCATTCCAAATTTTGGAGCCCGAAATCGGTGAAATTCTGCAATGATTTTTTGGTTTTCCTGCTATAAAAGGATGCTAAATTAGCTGAAAAATTTTAGAAATCATTTACGGGTGCCTCCGTGAATGTAGGCCCGTCATTCTTGGTGGACAAGAAAAGGGTTTCACAGCTTCAGTTTGATATAAATTTTATAGAAATTGGTGGAGAAACAAAATAAGGTTGGATGTTTCGAGTGTCCCACCCTGTGGTAAAAGTTCTGCAGATTGGCAACCACATATATTTTATCGTTTTAGGAACGAAGAAATTATCAAGACCCTGTAACTGACTTCTTGTCCTGTTTGTATCTTGATTATGACTTTGAAGCCGCTCAAACAAAGCTGAGAGAATGTGAAGCTGTTCTCTCGAATGATTTCTTCTTGACTGGATGTTTGGATGACTTCAGAGAGAGCGCCCGGTTGTTGGTATTTGAAATGTTCTGTCGGATCCATCAATGTATTAGTCTTGAGATGTTGGCGGCTCGTTTAAATATGGATCAGACAGAAGCTGAGCGTTGGATTGTGGATCTGATCAGAAATTATCGGATTGAGGGTGCCAAGATTGACTCCCAGTCAGGACAAGTTGTCATGGGAGCTAAGTCCACTAGCATTCATGAGCAGGTCATGGAAAACACGAAGAGATTGACCTTCCGTTCACAACAAGTGGCCCTGCAACTGCAGAAATTGAAACTGGACAAGAAGGCTGGTCTTCTGACTAAGATCAATTAAACTATTGTTGTTTGTTTATTTTGAAGATAAATCGTTGTGTTGGAATGACCATGCGCGTTGTTTAGCCGAGCGGTTCAATGAAGCGATATACTACCCTAAATTATCGTTATAATAACTCTTCGCGTCAAAATCTTTTGACAGAAAATTTTGGATAAACCAATTTTTTGTGTTCTAATAATTATTATTTTCAGTTTCGTAATAAAACTAACGAAACTGAATATTTTTGGCATGAGACAGCGCAAAAGAAGTGTTAGAGGGAATACCTGGAAACTCGCCTCAGAAGAGATAAATCTCAAGGCCGTATTAGCGTCAAACATCTCACTTTTGGTAGGTTTTATACTTACTGTGATATGTTTTCAGATGTCTAAAATAAAGCCGGACCTTTTGTTTGGCCCCATATTCATGAAAGAAATGGAAAAGAGAGGAAAACGCGAATTGTATGACAAATTTGTGTACTGTAGCGCTCAATTGAAAAGGAAAATAGAAGGATTTAGACTGGGTCGGCTTTTAAATGAGACAACGAAGAAGGAGATCAATATGTAAGTGTATCTTGTACTTCTCCTTACCTTACAAGGGATCGGCAAAACCGTGCATCCTGGTTTTTTTGAGACATATACTGCCCGACAATTAAAAGTGAAGTCTCGATTCTGAGCCCGGTATTGCCCTGAGGCACAAGGTGTTCCCCCAGGCCTCTTCGGTACCCTACACCGATACAGAGTGCCAATTTTCATACATGTGCACTTTAAACGCACTGTGCAACGGGCGATTGAAAAATTTTTGGGCGACAATTAAAAGTGAAGTTTTTACTTTTTGGACTTACCTGACCTTTTGAGGGATCTGTTGGGACGGAAACCGTGCAGAGACATAGTCAAGGTTACAGTGAAGAGCCCTAGACACAATTTACGAAAATTGTCCAAATTTTATGGTACCATTTCCCGGCATCAAGACGCGGGGTTTAGGTGCCACAAAACGGGGCCTTTAGGCACTATTTGTTGTAAGACTGGTAATTTTATGATGCTGAATACATTTTCTGACTAACTTCATACAAATAATGCTGCGAGTTTGTCAAATTTTGGCCCGCTTCAAAGCGTGCTTATCGACAACGGTACTAGTCAAGGAGAATATCGATGCAATTTCGAAAGATGAGATGCAGAATCAGCGCGAATTTTGTCTTGTACTTTTCGATCACCCTCTTAGCAGCTAAAAACAGCGTTGTTTACTTGGAAGTGCGTACTTACCCCGTTTTTACCATACACTTAACTTGGTATATAAGCATTTTTCGCATAACTCGATGCAGCGAAATTGAAATTAATGATGTTGTTTTTGACTAATTTATATCCAGAAAAATCATGTGATGGGGTTTTGGGCCATTAAAACCCAAACCATGGCGTTACACTTCGGTTATGGACGGTAAATTTCAGCAACTTTAGGAAACCGTTGTGATACCCGCTATTTTTGTCTCTAAAAGGAGCGATAACATAAAAAGTAAAGTTTTTAGGAAAGAAGGATATCTATCCACCCCGATCCTACTATCAAACCGAGAGGGGTACTGTTTCCTGCTACAGTATAAGTCAAAATAGGCACCTAGCCGTTATCCATATCAACAAGAACGCTTTGAAGCGCACCAAAACTTGACATACTCGCAGCATTATTTGGACAAACAATGCCACAAGATGCACTCAGCATCATAAAATTACCAGTCTTACAACAAATAGTGCCTAAAGGCCCCGTTTTGTGGCACCTAAACCCCGCGTCTTGATGCCGGGAAATGGTACCATAAAATTTGGACAATTTTCGTAAATTGTGTCTAGGGCTCTTCACTGTAACCTTGACTATGTCTCTGCACGGTTTCCGTCCCAACAGATCCCTCAAAAGGTCAGGTAAGTCCAAAAAGTAAAAACTTCACTTTTAATTGTCGCCCAAAAATTTTTCAATCGCCCGTTGCACAGTGCGTTTAAAGTGCACATGTCTGAAAATTGGTACTCTGTATCGGCGTAGGGTACCGAAGAGGCCTGGGGGAACACCTTGTGCCTCAGGGCAATATCGGGCTCAGAATCGAGACTTCACTTTTAATTGTCGGGCAGTATACACCATTTGAAAGAGCGTAAAACACTGGTCTAGGATCACATTTTATTAGCTGCTATTTTTGCTCTACGCCTCAGCTAGCGATCACTCCTTAGTTCTAGGCTTATCTCACCCTTTTTCCGAGGAAACAAATGCGGACGGTTTACATTAAACTTCCACACCGAATAAGGTCTGGAAGTAGGATTTGACTCTCATATAGATATTGGTGGTATAATGGAAGTCGTATTTTTAAGAAAAAGGGAGATTTTTTTAAATTCTTTCGAATTTGTAGTCCTTGCCCTTTAAGTGGGTATCTTTTATGGCTGAAACTTTCAACGGCTTCCACATTTTTAAAGGTAAGCCAGGTAACGGAAAGTACGTGAAACTTGAGTCTGAAAACGGTTTACATGTTTTCTACCTCCTATTTTGCCTTGCTCGCTGGCTAGGGCATAGAAGAAAAAAAGCTGCTAATAAAAGATGATCCTAGACCAGTTTTTTACGCTCTGTCAAATGGGGAAAAAACCGGGGTGCGCGGTTTTGCCGATCCCTTGTTAGTCCTGTTTCAGGATTTCTTTTGGACAGATGCGGTACTTCCTGTTTAAGGCACTCAAAGTTGTGCTCCATGGTTATTTATTAACAGAAGAAGAATGTAAAATGATTGCCACGACTTCGTCGTGTATATTATTGGCAAATCCATTTAACCTAAAGGAGGCTGAAACAGCACTGTTTAAGATTCAAATCCGTTTCTTCGATTCGCTACCAAAGAAATGCAGGTTCAGTCTGAGGAAACGATTAATTACATTAATTTTCTCATGGCTGTGGATGTTGACGAGGTACTTTAAAATTGCAGAATTCAATTTTCTAGAAAAGTTTTTGTTTTCTCGAAGAACACTTTCAATCAGAATGCTCTTTATCGACACGATGAATGGAGAAGGCAAAGATTGGATGCCCTGAAGGAAAGGAGTGCGTTTGAAGTGACTGGTGAAACTACGGATAGGAAACTACAGTAAGCCTATGGTGGAGATGAAAATTGTTTTTAGTATTATTCCAAAATCTGGAGGCTGTAGGCCGATTGTTTCCGGATTCACGACAGCTGAGAAAGAGAACATGGCCTTGATCAGGACGGTTTTGGAGACTTTGTGCAACAGCAGGAGTTCTATCCGAGTAAAAAGTAATCATGTATCTACCATTTCTATCCTTTTTTGTTTAAAGATTTCAAGGAGTTCTTCACCAAGTACCGAGAGTTCTCATCCAAATGGGCATCAGCCAAGCTTTATTACTCCACTGGTGATATCTCCGATTGTTTTGGATCTGTGGATACAACCAAGTTGAACATGGGATTACAATCTATATTGTTCCCTGAAAAGTAAGTTTTATGGGGATGGAGCTAATCTTTTAGAAAGTTTATCGTGGCTAAAGGACAGCTAATTAACTCAAGAAGACGAGTTATTTACAGAGCTGGGATCAGTCTAGCCGGCTTACAGAGGACTATGCAAAAACTTGGAGCTCGGGTTGTTTATACCAAGGTAGGTGTCCTATCTTCATTTTTATGGAACCTCATTTTTTAGTCGATTAGCACAAGATTTATCTACGATTTCATTCAAAGTGACACTTTCAACCTCACATTTACATTTCAAAAGCGGGTGTTTAAATTCAAAGATGGACTATTACAAGGTCATCCATTGTCTCCCATTTTAACAGAGTTTTGGCTACTTTTACAAGAAAGGGAACTGACTTGTCTGATGTCGGATAAAATCCTGATCCAGAGATATGTGGATGATTACTTCCTGGCCAGCACAAACAAACTTAACATCGTTAAAGTAGGAGTTTTTTTACAGTAATCTATGTTCCTAGTGCTTGCAATTCTTGACAACAAAGGGTTCCTTGAGTTGGGACAAGATAAAAGTGGACTTTGATTGCAATGAAGCCAAGGCGACATCAAAAATTTCTTGGTGCGGATTAGATTTAAATCACGATACTGGACTGGTAATACATACTGAAAACTTTAAGTATATCTTTTATAGATGTCTGTCGATTCGGAAAGATACTATGAAAAGACGGTAAAATACAAGTTCTTGCCGAATTCAAGGCAAGCGACTGCCCGATGTGAGTTCGAGAAGTCCGTCAAGTACGCTGTAAACCATTACCTGTCCGTCTTCCGCAAATGCTTAGCGGTTGTTCCTTTGGCCACTCAAGAAACCGAGGTCAACAAGTTCCTCAACTTTATTTACAATATCGTATTTGGACGGTATGTGGCCAAATACCGCCTTCAAACAAAGGATAAAAAGACTCGGAAACTGATGAAGAAAATGATTGGAAAAGTGGCCAGATCACTCAGAAAGGATACTGCAACAGCCGGCGGGATTGGAAACAATCGAACCTAACCGACATTTGGAATGTATGTATGTATATGTGCTATAAATAAAGAGAAGTGCGACCGTAAAGTAACATTCTTAACTGAAATAAATCCATCGGACCGTGCCAGGATTGTCCGGACACCTGACCTAATTCCAAGAGTGGCATCCTTTTGAGGATGAGCGCAGAATCGGGGTTAGGGAAGGCGCCGTTTCGAAGGCTCCGATGGAAAACAACTCAATTGCGCAATCCTTTTTTCGAATTTCGAAGAGCAAAAAAAATGAAGAAGCGCCAACTATGCAATAAAAAATCGGAGTCTTCCTTGCAAAGACCGATGGAAAACGAAAGACCTGAACAAATCAATGTAAAATTACAATTTACCATAACTTCATATAGAATCTACAGTAACCCCGAACCCGAAGAAAACAACTCCAGAAAAGAGAGGGACTGCTGAGATCATCTTCAACTAGGCCGAATGCTCTATCCAGTCAAGAAAAACGATCTCCCCAGCATTAATCACAGGCTAGGAACCCGTAAAAAACTAGAATACCTATACAATGACATCAGAATATTACTAGACCGAAGTTCCCCAAAACAATTCTTTGTACAGAGGTGGCAACTCCTCGTAGAATGCCTGGTTCTGGTTCAGAAAGCGATGGAGGCATTCACTGTGTTGTCGTTTCAAATTTCCAATTTGAGATACAAAATTCCAAAGGCGTCCAAACATGTCGCCAGTGTTCTCCTCAATGACAGCACGAGTCGAGATGTGTTGTTTCAAATGCTCCTTCAACTTTTCCACAAATTCATGTTGACAATCAGCTGATTGCATCAAAATGGCAGCACTCAGGAGAGCGACTTCTTGGTTGGTCAGGTTGAACAGTGCTAATTCTTGGAGATGGTGGATTAAACTCAATCCAAAGTTGTAATCCATGTCATCGATGCAAGCAAAATAACTGAGAGGGAGTCGAACATCGCCGATTATGATGGTTCCATTGTTGTCCAACTCCATCAAATGAGGGGCCATAACCACCGCCACCTCAAAGGCTACATTCTTCAAGATTTCGATTTGGGTGCTTTGGTCTATTAAAGTGAAATTGTGGATGGATTTAGCGAATTCGATGACTGATGTGATGACTCGTGTTATTTCGTCAGCAAACATTTTCCATCCCTTTGTTCGATCCTGAAGAGAATTTTGTGGTAAATTTCCTGTTACGACATTTGCAGAATTTGGCCAACCGCGCAACTCAGGAATTGTGAAAACCCAGGAATTCAGAGCAAATGCTTATAAATTTCTGTTCCCCTCCCTACTTTAAATTGTTGCATATTTTGAGGCATATACAAAGTGTAATCCAAAAAAAAAACAATTTACAATATAACTTCTTTTACATTTTCTTTCGAGATACCTATAGTATAGGCCGCAAAATACACAAGAATTTAAACCAGTGAAAACAGAAATTTATGAACCATTTGCTCTGAATTTCGGAGTCGTCACTTTCCGGAGTCCCGCAGCGGATCAAATTCCGGAGATGTGACGACTTCAGAATTGCGCAAATTTTATTCGCCCAATGTCAAACTTACGAGATTCATGAACATCTCTTGCTTTGCAATAACCGATATGTTCTCATCATTATCATTGCCGTTTCTATAATGCGTGTGAACATTGTCGTAAGCAGAGACGATGATGTCAACCATCCCTTCGTCGAATGTCGTTGAAACTTCGCTGTGAGGAATATCGTATTCGGTCTTATATTCAGAAACGTAGGGATCTGAGGGTGGAAGCTGACCCATTTGAACTACTGGATAACCAGGTAAGGCATTTGCTTGATATCTATAGGGTTCAGCGGGTGCTAGACCATGATGAGGCTGCTGAGCGTAGGCCATGGGCATGGGGGTGTTCGGTTGGGGGATCCCGTTTATACTTGAACTGGGGGGATATCCGCCTGGAGAAGAGTGATGGTACATGTCATAGGTAGGAATCGATTGGGTGGTAGAGACGGTTTGGGAGGACACATACATCTGGTTGGGAGAGTATTTGTACTCATACTGGTAGGGGACCGGTGAATTCTGGTAAACTGCTCGTTCTCGACACATCCTGGCCTAAAACATTGGATTATACATGTTGTTGCAGATAATTTGTGAAGTAAACATCGTCTCAACTCACCTCATCTTCCACCTTTTCACGCTGTTTCTTGGACATTCGGCCAAACTTGACTGCCTCTCGAGACATCCCAAGTTCCATGCATTTCTTAAGCCGACAATATTGACATCGATTTCGGTTTACCCGATCCACAATGCAGTTCTTCTGTCGAGGGCACTGATAAGAGACGGGAGTATTCTGACTTCTTCGGAAGAATCCCTGCAAAAAAGAGTTAGGTCAGGGGGTCAGTGGCCAACCTTGCAACCTTCACAGGTGATGACCCCATAATGGACTCCCGATGATTTGTCTCCGCACACTTTGCAGGGGATGACTTCGATCTGGGCTGAAACAGCGACCATCAAGTTGAGAGGATGAGGGGCTAAACCAGTGGAGAGGATGTTGGTGAGGCCCCAAGGAAAAGACGGATATGTCGAGGGATGAATGATACGTGAAGGGTCAGGTGAAAGGGCAGAGTGGGAGCCAGTCGGCTGAACCAATTGGGGGCGGGAGGAGAGGTGAGCAAAAAAGAGTTGGGCACGAGATCAAGGGGATCCTGAGTGCGCGACTGAGATTCCGGCGCGACGCCGCCCCTGTGGGTGCTTCGGAAGTGCAGGGGTCGAAGGCGAAGAAGACGGGCAAGGCAGTAGCCGGCACAAAAAACCCAGCCGAGTTTTGTCGAGCTAGGTACTGCGCAATCGCCCTTTTCATTTTTTCACTTCTTCCTCCTTTGACGCGGGTATGGCGATTAGAGCCGCAGAATCAGTGACGAAGGTCATCGTTGCCACTGGCGTCTCTCTCTCGTAACCCTGGTCCGCTTCTTTCCCCTCCAACGACCCTGGCGCCACGGCTTTCGTGTCGCGGGCTGTCACCGCACGGTGCGACGCGCGACTACAACTATTCACCGGGTGTCGTCTTCCTCGTGTTCGGGGGAAAACACGCAAAGCTTGCGTTGCCTCGGGGAGACAGCAGGGCCTTAGGGGAGAAAGATAAAGATGGGATACTGTAGCTATTGAATATAGACAAGGATGAACAAAAGCAGTGTAATAACTGCGCAATACTGTAGGACGGAAAAAATAATAGGATAGTTACGTGTCCAAACTTTCATAGCGAAGCAACCGTGACATTAGAGTTGCACTAGTGCAGTCAAAAGTTTAGACAGGGCTCATGTGAGTACAAACTCAAATTTCAACAGTTGGAAAAAGCAGTTTTGAAAATGACTTGGGCAGTAAAACATTTTTAAGGCATTTACAAAAGAGTTTCTGCCGTTACAGTTATGAAGTTGAGGAAATCACGGTCCTCCGAAAGTGGAAACTATCTTTTCAAAATTTAGCCAGGGAAGGCAACAGAAAACGAGTGAGTCGCTTTTGACTCTTTCAAACGGTATTGTGACATTTGTAATGTTAGTGCTATAAAATCAGTACAAATTTTGGCCCGCAAAAAAAGAATCAAAATAGAAGAGATCAGAATGTGAACATATTGATGCAAAATCAAAAAAAAACTTACGCTCCCCGTTTTCGTCGTTTTCTACAATTCTCTCATTAGACCTGAGTTTAGGGAGCTTCTTACTGGAATGGGATTTTTCTTCTAGTTCAGAATCAGTAGACGAAACAGTAGGAACAGAGATTTCGGTGTTAGAAGAATACATTTGCGATGTTCTTCGGCCCGCGTTTGTGCCAGCGCTGCGCTTTTTGCTGCGTTTTTATTTCCCATCTTTATTTTTTCTACAATACGTCTAGGCGTTGGTAAGTTGCGCAACAACCCAGCGTTTGGCACTGACCAAGAAAAAGGCGCTCTAGCCTGCGATGTGCGTTTTCGTTCAGGTGCACAAAACGGGGCTTAAGAAATCATCGGCAAGGATTTGCAATCCAATTTGTTTTCAAAAACAACTACAGATCACAACCGTCGATTATTGTCAGATTATGAAAAGACAAAGTGCATCTTCTTGATGATGATTAGCATGTCGAAAATAACTGATCATATTTCAACGATACTATATAAAAAAGAAGGTGCTTATCTTCCAACCATAACCCATGCTACATTAGTAGGATCCCACATTTAAATACGACTAAACCTCTCCGAACCGGGCAAGAATGAAAAGAATCGGGATTTGGGGTGAGAGCGACCCGCAACTGGATCAGGTCATTTAGGGGTCAATCGGTCAGTAGCTGCTCAGAACTATGGCATGGGGCGGGGAAATATGAAGAGCGTCAGACATGGACTAGAAACACAATTATATCGGGGTCATGTTAGTCAAAGGGATGCCAAAAATTGTCATGATGGCTCGATAACCCAGTGACATGAAGGTTGATAAATCCGACTTGCCCAGACACTCACCTCTCATTTAGTTCGGACGCCTTCAGGCTGATAGAATTTTTTTCAAGTGACATTCGATTCAAGCATCCCAAAACAATATCCGGAAAGTCGGCCAACAGCCACTCCAAACAAGATTCCTTGGTTGTTTGGTGCTGCGTATGCTAATATAATCACAACAACAAAAACAATATTTTTTACAGTCAGGTTGTGTCCATTACTAACGCGGGCGGAGCCCAGCACCAAGGTTATTCATTTCTCGCCTTTCTGATCGTTCCAAAAACAATCCGTTTATGCCTCAGGGGCGTTTCGGGAATCTCGTTTATCGGCCAATTAGACCCCTCTCAAGAACCTCTTCAGCGAGATACGGTAGCAAAGTCGAGGACATCCTTTGCCTTCTATATATAAAGAATAACCAATGACTTAAAAAAATAAGAGAAACTCGGAGTTAGTCATATCAACTCATTTATTGTTACATACAAAAGAAATACGAATAGAAAACTTGAATGCGAAGCGAGTAATAGTCTTACACTTCGGGATCGGGCCTTCTAGTGGGCTGAATGCGGTCGGGGACACATTTTTCCCCCATTTTTGGGGTGATCTGCTTGTACGGATAAGCACAGCAGTTGGTTGAAAAGTCGTAACTTTTGGGGATAAACGTCCCGTTCCCCATATTCAAGTAACAACATTTCATATTGGAATTTCTTTCAATTGGGTGATCACAGCAGAGATGTGTTCGCGAATTAAATTGCCGGTATTCTACGGGATCCGAGTTCTGAATCCGACAACATCCATCAAACAATTCCTTCTGAAAGACTTGTCCTCCACAACAAGTTTCACGGTAGCCACCATCATAGGGAGTATTTCCACAACAACTGGAGCCGGGATCAGCATTTGTATTAAGGGTACCATTACAACAAAGGACATTGACGCTGTTCCTTGGATAAGCTTGGGATCCACAACATTCTCCATTTGGTACATTGTGAACCTAAAATAAATAATAATAAGCGGTACGACATACGATTCCTCGACAACATGTCTGGTCAAAGTTCAACGTTTGATTTCCACAACATTTGTCGACAAACCCGCCTCCTTGCTGACGATGGCGAGTTACATTTTCACAACAAATGTCAGTGAATTGATTAATGGGGTCTTGGCCACAACAGGAGACCCCGAACATTTCCTCGGGCCTTTGATATTCCTGACACTTATTTTCAACTCCACAACACGCCTTAAGTACTTGAATTCGAATATGTAAAATATTTTTTGATTTTAACATACCCAAATCCGCTTGTACAATTTTAAAACATAAAAATAATAACACAAACATGAGGGACATTATTTTAGAGATTGAATAAAAGCAAATTCATGGCCCGTCCAGGGTCAGTAGCTGGCCAAACATTAAGGTCTGGCGATTAGAGGGATATCCAATATGAATCACTTGAATTTATTTGCATTTGGATTGGGTAACTGAGCAGAACTATGTGGTTCCTCTGGATCTTCGTCCTCAGGCCTGGCATCCAAAGATTTGGCCCTTTGAATCCTGGGAATTTTATCACCGTCGAAACGACAAGGGATCGTACTCCATCTCTTGAGTCGACGTCGGTCTCTCGTTTTCTCTGCAAAAACATCTAATTTAAAAGTATCAAGTTGTCAAACTGTTTCCAACCCATTTCCGGCTTAAGGGTGACTTCCTGAATCCCTCCCCCACTTTAATAAAACTAGTCCCCTTGAGCCTTTCTGGGCCTTTTTTTGTCTCTCACTTTCAAATACTTTTTCCAGTTCCTGTTTTGTCTGCGATTCCTTGGGAAGTAATTGTCGGACTGTCTGAAGAAATTTGGGTACCCTGATATCGGCTGATACTCTGCACTTGTCCTTGAGTTCTTCCCTTGCTTTGTCCTTGTTATTGTCATCTTTTTTTTCATCTTTTTTCAACATTTTTCTAAAAATATTTTCGTTGGGCTCTGAATTTACCGTGCTTTCTTCTTCAACAATTGTTGCGCGTCGGGATAATCTCGGATGACGTCATTGAGATCTTCCTTGGACAGTACAAACAACGTGGAGTACCCCTTGGATCTGATGTTCGCAGTCCTCCGGTTGTTACCTCCAATCGCCAATAGACTGTAAAGCGCATAACAATTTTTAGTATAGAAAGTTTTATTAAGAGCCTGCGAAAAGGAAATGCCGTGTTCGTGACCATGTTATGCATGTCATAAGTGTAAACAACCGCGTTTACCTGATCTCTCCAAAAACGGAGCCTTCCTTGAGGGTTGCAAATACCTGGTTGGCGTCGCCCACCACTTCCAAGATCCCTTGATTTACAATGTACATTTCTTTTCCCACGTCTCCTTTTCTACAGATCATATCCCCAGGTAGGAAGATGACGGGTTTCAGTTTTAAAACCAGATCTCTCAATAGGGCCCGATCAGCATCCTGAAAGTACCGTAGTCGTATGTTAAGTCTATTTTTACTTGATGTTTGACCCCTTCTACGTAAGAGTCACATGATCCGGACTTACTTGGAAGAGTTGCACTTTACTTAGTGTGTTGTAATGGACGGATAAGGCGAGATCGGTTTGCAGTTTCAGGGGTAATTTTTCGACTAATTTCTTTTCGTCCAATGTCTTTTGCTGTTCCCATGTGTACATGAACCAGACACGTACGCGGTTAATTAAATGCTCGGGGAGTTCGAGTCGTTTGCACTCGGCCAGCGCCTTGTCCATTATATTCCTGAACTCCTCGTTGTTTTTGTTTGCATTTGACACAATATCGCGGATCTGCAACGTGATTACTCGTTGATGTTTCCGGTGTTAGATGACTTACCTGACCAAGCAACAACGCAAATACGAAGACGCCCATCATCCAGGAGAAGGTCATATAGATGTATTCGATTACGTTCGTGGGTGCAGGATTATTTCCCGTCGAAGTGGCTACTGCTGATGTAAAGTAGAAACATCGTATGTAGGCGTTTCCCTGGTTGTTGTAGACCCACTTATTGAGATACCATCGGTCTTTGTAGCGGTATGCAATCTGCCCAAAGGCTTGCCACGCACTCAACATGTAATATACGCAGCTGTTGCAATGAATGATGTATATCATATAACTGAATGTTTTCGTTATCCTGCAAATAGTCGTATGTACATGGTTGGTTATCATACCACTTACCTAACAATATAAGGGTTTGAAAATGAGCTGTCCAGAAGGTCGAAGAACTCCCAGAACGATCCCAATTTACCCAGCCTAACCAATCTCCAGGCGGCTACAGGGCCCGTGTATATGTAACCTAGATCAAACGGAAGTAGGGATACCAAGTCCATCTTGAAAGTATTACTTATCAAATAATGCTTCTTCATTTCCTTTGGATCTTTCTAAAGTTTCATGTAAAATAATTCAATGCTGTTTGTCTTACGATTGTAATGCCCCCTCTTGTAAATACCATCCTCGGTTTGACTACACCCATGTCTAGGAGATATACGAGATCACTGGTATAATCCAGCATCATCCAATACATGACATTAACATCTGTTTGGTAGGGATACGTGCTTCTAAGGGGGATGGCGAAGGCGTTGTAGAGAAAGGCGAGGACCACCACACATAGCCAGGCCATGTAACTTTTGCCTTAATTTGATCATATTACCGTCTGCTATGCCCTGTTACTGCCCTTCTACTTTGTATTAAATTTGACAAAGGTTAGAGATTACTCAGTCCTCGATCCTGTTTTATTATTACTCTACATTGTCCAATCTCAAATCGCTTCTCTTCGGAACACAACTTACTAAATGGATTCACCGATTTGGGGATGAATCCGAAGTACCTTCCAGAGGCCTCGGCTACTTCTTGTTCATGGAGACCAATCAGAGAGAGCAGAGAGGAATCGTCCTGGCCTTTCTCCGACTGATTGTCCACATCTTCTTCAGGTTCGGGTGTCAGATCTCGAATAATCTCTTCCCGGACTTCCGAAGTCCGTCTTCTTATGTCTTTTGCGAATTCGTGGAGCTTTTCTTTGACGATAAATGAAAGTCTAGACGGGATTTCATCCTCTCTTTCGGATTCGGCCGTCAAGGATGTGGTCCTTCCATCTCTCGCGCTTCTAAAATCAGTTTCCTAAACAGATCTCTTGCTGTTTTTCGAGATTCCAAGCATCCTTTTTCTAATTTAAAGGCTCATAAATTAGTAAAACGTCCGGGTGAAGGCATTGATTCTCATAGTTAAGTGGCTAAGCTTATAAATAAAAATAACATGCATTTTTTTGGGACACCCTGTACTTAAAACGCTAATTTATTGGTGCAATTATGCATTTTTTGTACTTCGACCTTACAAGTGATTGGGAGTTGAGGCTACAGCGGGTACATTCTCCGCATTGGTGACGGTGATTGTGGTCACCCTCAAGTCTGACGTCTCCGGCGTTTCGACGTGCTCTTGGTTCTCCTGGACAACGACAGCACGTGCAGAAGATTTGGTACTTGTGGAGTATTGGGAGAGTGAATCCACATCAGATTCCAAAGGCTGAATCCTGGCGTGACGCTGAAAACAAAACAAATTGTTTGTTGTCCGTCTATGCCCTGAGGCAATGTCTCGTCAAATTGAGGTAGACTTACCCACTGTTCCTGAAAACGGCTGGAATGACGTGCCGAGCCAGGAACGCTCTCATCCGACATGTTGTTGCAGTATCAGGTTGTTCTTTTGGACAGGGTCATCCCAAGTCGGTCCATCTTCGTTGCCTGGGCGACAGATCCGGTGCTATTTATGGCCTGAGGGTAGATATAATTCGACTTGGCAGGGCTTTCGTAACCGTCCAAATCGAATTAAAGCTCCAAATAATATTGCCGAATCAAGTGGTTAATGTCATAAGATCAAAAAAAGGAGGCGGATCCCTGAGACCCCCCGCCCATTTGACGACACAACGGCAAAATACAAAAGCTGAGTTGCCAAGGGTAATGTAGTTTCAGAAGTGTGGTTGTAGGTTGTCAAGACACAGTCCCAAGACATCTCAAGTCTGTACTTACCTACCTACGTTACTATATCTTCCTTTTTTTTTAATATAACACCGTAACGTCGATCTATCCATTTTTGAGGCATCAATCTTGGAAAGCGATGTCTGTCCGAGGTTTCTGAATGACGAATGAGGGCCAAATAATCGCTTAAACCGGAATTCGCGAGTCTCGAAATCCGCCTACTTTTGTTGTGATGTGCAGCGCCAGGGGCGTGTATTTCCTTCTCAAAAATGGCGTCAAAAGTGTTTACGTCGGATTTTAAAGAGCGGCCGATGGTTGTTCCAGAGAGTTTTGGTTAATAGCATCAAAAAGGGTATGACTGACTGGGCGGGGGGTGAGAGGTCGAGCGGTTCATTTCCGCTTCCCATAATGGTGCCAAAGGGGATGATAATTGGAATGCGGGGAGTGTCTCCCTGACCCCGAATAACTACCCGCCTCGCACCGTACCCAGTAATACTATTTGTTGCGCCCCTCTACAAACACCTGCCATGCCCTCGGGCACCACCCTTCACGGTTTATTTCCTTAGGATGGTTTTGTCATTCGGCCTCCAAATATTGGGCCTTTTAAATGAGTTGCCTTGCAATTCGAAATGGGAATTAAGAGTGTTAAGAGGCCTTCTTCACGGTCATTTCCCACGCCGAAACTTGGGCGGCCCACCGAGCCAGTAGCTCAACAGTACAAGCGATGTTGTACTTTAGGCTATTCTGCACGTTTCCTTTCTCTAAGTTCTGGTTAAGGTCGTCTGGCCGGTCCTCATTGCATTCGGTTGGAGCGGCACAAACAAAACATGGGATTATCCGTTCCTGATTCGCTACTCATTTATCTTGCTGTATTCACAGATGGAAACTATTGCCTGAGGGCACGTTCTTCGGTCAGTGGGTGTGTGGAGTGGGGGGATAAGCAGGTCGGGGGCAAGATGGGGATTAAAACGGTTTACCGTCTTTTCCTTCTATTTTTATGTCATCGTAGCACATTTACGGTCGCGTCAACCGATACTTGATGTTTTTTTCCGAGAACGGGCCTGTTCCGCTTTTGCTGGACCGAACAATGAACATTTATTCCATTTCATATTCCATCTGATAATGTGCAGAATAATGTCGCGAGTGCCCTTTCTCTGCAGATCCTATATAATTCTCGATTCCAGAGTTCCAAAAACAGGTGGGGCATTGGGCGAACACAAAATCCTCGGGAAAGTGATGAGAACGATATTCACGGTGCTGACAGTGTGCTTTCTTCAGGTTTTGTGTCTCTCACAAGGTCAGAACACAGAGGACAGGAGTCGCGAGCAGAGGTAGGGCAACTAAGCAATTCCAGGTCTACTTCCATACCATTTGAGAAATCATTTTTTTTTGAATTCTCAGCAAGAGCTAATCATCTGTATTTAATATTTTTCCTGCTCGTCCCCATGGATAATGTAATCGTTTGCTTTTTCAGGTACGTCCTCCACAAGAGAGCCTTTGATCGAGTAGACCTGTCTCCCTTTGACTTCGGCGCTTATTCAAAACGATATAATAACGATCTGAGAAGTCTCTACAGAAAAAAGAAGTCCTTTGACAGGCTAGATCAAGGTCCATTTGGCCTCGTGAAGAGAAAACGAGTCTTCGACAGAGTTGATGCCGGCTTCGGCTTCGGAAAGAGGTCTTCAGGTATGTAAATTAGGACTTAATTATTCCTGTTCTCATTAAACTTCAATTCACAAAAAAATCATTATGAAATTGTTTTTTTTTTATAACTCCCCTTGCTTATATTAGCTTTATTGGTAACCATAACACTTTTGCAAATAGAATAGTAGATGCAGCCAGTGCCAGCTGGTTTCCGGAATTGCAATATTCGTTGCAGTTGTCCAAAGAGTTACAAATCTTTAATGTGTAAACGGAATCCTTCTCGATGTAGGTAGTGCACCTATTTAACTCCATATACACTGCTCCGCCTGGTCCGTTGAGTTGGGGAGAATCACTGCATCTGTAGTCCAACAAGGAATTTCCTTTCTGGGTTTTGTTATCTAAATTTACATAATCGAATATCGGAGAATTCGAACGTACAATAAGTACAGTATCCGTTGAAACAATTCACTGATTGAAAACACTTTTCTTGTCTTATTATGAGGGGGCGGCAATCGAGACAATACAACGGAGTTCCGCCTAAACTTACAAAAAACATCATAGTAATTCCGTCCGAATACAACCCCTAATGTATTCAAACTTCTGCTGTAATGGCTGACGTGTTAGGGCGTTTATTTCGACAGCATGACATCAACTTTTTTGGTTTTACACAACTTTAAAACATACCTGAAAATAGGACCACAAGAAATGTGAGATAAAACAAAAACATTAGCAAGAACGGAGCACTCCAATAGATAGATACTGCCTTAGTTTTATATTCTATTTTCGTTATAATACGACCCTTTTCAGAAATGGCTGTCCCTGGCAGAATATCGCTCTCCGATCTGGTGAGCCAAGCCCAGTCGATCGAGCCCATAGACTAAGGCAAACATTCATGATAAACCGCTCGCTTTGGATACAAATAACTGGAAATATCAACCATCATCTCGGACTCGTTGCCTCGGGCATTTCTCCTTGAATCGAGTCATGCTCGCTGTATTTATAACCGATCTCTTCCGTGGTGTAAATATATTGCTCCAACATAAATATATTATCACTGTTTTTGCCCGGTCTGCCCATCTCATCTAAAATCTAAACTATGTTTAATATAATATCTAGTTCAGAAAACTTTTTTTTTGTTGTTGAGGAAGGCAAATATTCAGCTCGTGGATGGAGCGGTATTCCTCTCGCCCTATAACCTTCATATTTACCACTATAATCGCATCAGCTACGGTAACAGGAAACGTAATTATCTCAACAAATATAAACTAATTATTTTAATTCATTGTTTAAATATTTATACTAGAGAAAGTTAAAAGTATGGTAATATGTATAACAGGTACAGCTCTTACTTATTTCCAGGAAATCCAAAAACACAAAAGGTCATTATAAAGAATACGATTTGGAGAGGAAAGGTTACCGAAAACAGATGTCGCCCCACCGGATATGTTACCCCACAGATAGGATACTTTCTTTAGGTCAGGTTGTCAGTAAGCTCAGGACCTAGGCCATTAACTTGCTTGTTTTCCCCCCAAAAACACGGATTTAATATTGAATTCATCACGTTGACCGAACTTTAACGCCTTTGGAGGGGCATACCTGAACTAGCTCATGAGCTAGGTGACGACCAAGTACATATAATCAAAGTGACTCTGGCACCCTAGTCATCTAGTTAGACCATTTTGAGAATATCTTGGACATACACCTTGACATAGGTCGCAACCTAAGCAGTGGCGTAAAGTAGTATAATAATATTCAAAAAAATCAGTAGATGTTGGATAAAGTGGTAATCGGAGGGCTCAAATTTCATGAATCATAGTATTTTCTTTTGATTTTTACAATTTTATTTTACAGATATATTCTTTTGAATTTTATTACTACGGTAGAACTCTCTAAGTGCGCCCTTATAATCGGCGAACTGCGCCCGAGTGTTTTCCGTCTGCGCGAAAAATTAGGACTGGGTACATAAATTTTTCTTCTTTATTTTTTTCACTGATCTTCGAAAACAAAAGCTCATGTACCTCAAGTATTATCTGGACGAGGAGGGAAAGCGAGTTTACACCCTCAAGGTAAGTTTGGTGTAATTTTTTCTGTTTCGTGTGGATTATAATGGGATCTCGGGTTTTTCTTGTAGAAGACTTCTTCCGACGGTCGTAACACTTTGTCCGCGCATCCAGCCAGATTTTCCGAAGCCGACAAGAATTCCAAGTACAGACTTTTGATCAAGAAACGTTTCAATCTGCTGCCAAAGCTCGAAGACCAGAAATATTGAAAATGTTGTTATGGGAATGGAGAAGACTTCTTCGGCAACGTTTTCGCTCAACTCCAAAAACTCCCGTTACTTATAAAGCTGTAAGTCTTTTGCGTAGCGTATTACTTCTTTTTTGTTTTAGGTTTTGAAGAAGAAGATCATGCTTTCTTTTGTTGTTTTTTCCATTTCTTGGCATTTTTTGGGCGACTTTATCACCGACAATTTATTTTTTCATAAGGATGAGGAGACGGACGAAGTTATATTTACACCTCCTAGGGTCGTTAAAGAGGAAAGGGAACGTCGTCTTCGGGAACATCACGAGAAGAATGCGCCCATATCCCAACATAATTTTGTGTATGATGCCTAACCATTTTGTTGTTGTTTTAATAAATCTTATTCGTCTGTTATGGAGCCTTGGTTTCGTCGCTGGATTACTTGGTTGTTCCTATTCTACCGGTTGAGCAAAACGGTCAGTAATTTTTTAAAGGTTGATGCCGGGGGACTTTTCCTTCACTCATTCGAACGGCCAGGGTATATCAATTGTTGTGTCTAGTTTTGAGGACCGCAACCTATTTTTGATTTCCAATTTGGAGAAAATTGGGCACGTCGTGGATCTGTTATTCCCCAGGACTGCCGTCCCAGTGCAAAGAAACGGTGCTCCAGAATTCGAAACTAGAAATCTGTTTGGTCCGGATACTGTGAGTCTGCCTCCTTCAGTGTAATTATGTTTAGGGCATCTACGATCTCTTAATCAGCCGCTTGGCCAGAGTTTTCTGTTCGTTGAGACTTGATCAGAAACCTGTCCGATTCCTCCTAGGCCTGGACTGGACTGGTCAAGATGAAGTCGCCTTCCTCTCAGAGGTTGTGGATGCTGTTAAGACCGGACTTACGAGGAAGTAGACATATTTATTCAATTTCCACGCAGGATATAAAGAACAGTGTATTCCTACCCAGATCAGCATTTCCTGTTACTGTAAAACCAACAGAACGATCTCGATTAGATTCCGAATTGGCCCAAAGCTCACAGTATAATGAACTTTATTCATGGCAAAAAGACCTTAAACGAGATGAGTTTGTTCTTCTTGATGGTCCTCCATATTCAAACGGCTCCCTTCACGTCGGGCATGCCGTGAACAAGATTCTCAAGGATTTCATTGTAAAAAGTCGCGTTTTGCTTGGTCAAACCGTAGACTTTAGACCTGGGTGGGACTGTCATGGTCTACCAATTGAATTGGCCGTGCGGAAAAATTCGAATGTATCGTTTGTGTTAACGAAATGAAAAATTAGTTTAGGAGAAAGAAGCTTCCAGAATAAGAGAACTAGCTCAACAACATGCCACGAATGTTATCAACGAACACAAGTCTACTTTTAAGAAATGGGGAATTACAGCCGATTGGAATAATCCGTATTGCACTTATGATTCCTCTTATATGGCTAACCAATTGAGAATATTTGGAAAAATTTATGACAAGGGATACGTCTATCGTGAATTTAAGCCAGTTTTTTGGTATGATCTACATGAAAGGTTTACTTTGTTTAAGGTCTCCAAGTTCACAATCCGCTCTGGCCGAGTCTGAATTGGAATATAACGATATGCATGTATCAAAGGCTGTTTATTTTTCCTTTCCGGTAAGTGTAGCAAGGTAACAATCGAAGTTTATTACCTTTAAATTTTAGGTAATAAACTTCGATATATCAGCTGTTGGTGTAACTCGCTGGAAAAGAAGAGAACCACCACTTATATCAGCCATGATCTGGACTACAACTCCCTGGACTTTGCCGTTAAATGATGCCATATCTTATAATAGAGAGTTACAGTACTCGCTAATTCAATTCAAAGATAACGAAAAGTGAGAATCGACTTTTAATATGAATTTCCATTTAAGGGAACCAGTTGAACATTATTTCCTCGTCTGTCATGACCGACTGGAATTTATCCAGGAACAGTTGCAAAGGCCCTTTAATCTAATATCAACTTTTAATGGAGGAGTATTTAAAGATATCTATTACCGGTCGATAATGCATAACGAACTTGCTCTTCCGTTTTATCATGGAGATCATGTCTCTTCGACGATGGGAACTGGGCTTGTTCACACAAGTTTTGCTCATGGTTTTGATGATTACAAGGTAAAGGTCAGTGAACGAGGATTATGCTTTTTTAGCTTGGTCTTTCTACGAATTCACGGGTAAGGTCCTTTGTTGACAGCAATGGACGGTATACGAGAGATTTGGGCACACGGTTAGAAGGAAAGCACGTATTGAAAGAAGGTCAAGATGAGGTTCTAAACATGTTCAAAAAAAATATTCTGAGGCAGGAGGACCTCACACATTCTTATCCTTATGATTGGCGGACCAATCAGGTGAGATTGCAGTAGTTATTACCTTATGCTGATGGGTTTGCAGCCAGTCATCATACGAAGTACAAGACAATGGTTTATTGATGTTTCCGAAGTGGGCCTACGGTGTGTTGAGCAGATAAACAAGAAAAATATACCATTTCATGCGGGAAATCATGGTAACTCCAAATTTCTTCTATGGGAGTGATGACGATACGTCGTAGTATTTTTTAATAATTGATTTTCTAGATTTAAGGGCTACGATGACAAGTTTCTTGCTTAGTCGGCCCGATTGGTGCATCTCCAGACAACGAGTTTGGGGTGTTCCAATACCAGCGCTACTTGATATACACGGTAGCAATCATCATACATCTGCTGCCTTCATTCATGCTGTAGCTGACCAAATACATGATGATTATAACTGGTATTGGAATGCGACTGAAAAACAACTCGTCGAACTTGTGTGTTTGGTTTTTAATTACGACGTCGCTTTTAGCTGGGGAATAGGGATACTAATCCAGAAGACGTGAAGAAATCAACCGACATTATGGATGTCTGGTTTGACAGTGGATTGGTGTGGCATACCTTAAACGGAAGGGTGGCAGATGTGATTTTAGAAGGACGGGATCAGTTCCGCGGGTGGTTCACTTCTCTTCTATTGACGTCCATGATTGCCGAGGTAGAGATGGTGATTCAACTTTACGTTTTTAGGATCGAATACCATACAAACAAGTTGTTGTTCACGGATTTACTGTTGACGATAACAACAAAAAGATGTCCAAATCCAAGGGAAATGTAATCAATCCAACTACCGTAGGTTTCTTCATTGACTATAAAAACCCAGCAGATAACCGACGGCTCTCTGAAATCTCCTGCGATTGGGGTCGACGGACTGAGGTTATGGGTGGCCTTATATGGAAGCGAGAACCCGGGCGACGTCAGGATTGGTCAATCTGTTCTGGAAGACGTTAAGTTACGCCTTAAACAAGTTCGTCTTTCTTTTCGATTTATCTTGGGAGCATTGGAAGGATATAATGGAGACACACCCACAAGATTAAATTATCTCGATCAAGTAGGTGTATAATGTTATTTAAAATCATTTCCAATAGTATATATTGAAAGAAACTGGTCGTCTTGAAAAGAAGATTCACCTTTTGTATAGAGACTTTGAGTTCAGGCACGGCACCAATGAAACTTTGCAATTTCTAAGAAGTCCTTTCAGTTCCACTTACATTGTAAGTTCTTCAAGGATAATATTGAAAAAATTCTTTTAAGAATTTGGTGAAGGACAGATTGTATTGTGACAGAATTGGGTCCTCTTCGCATAAAGCTGTCCAATATACTCTTAATGCAGTCGGCAACACCTTCATCAGAATATTGTCGCCCATAATGCCTCATTTGGTGTCAGAATATTGTTCGCATCATCCATTACTGAAAAGCAACCTTTCTTCAAGTTACAGGGAGTTATTACTTAGAGGAGAGCAAGATGATTACATTTATGAACCTCAATTGGATGAGATAATAAAATTAACTCAGAATCTGAGAAAGAAAATAACTGAAACCGAGCCAGCAAAGAAGGTAAGCATTATTTGATGATAAAAATGCATCAACGTTATAGGAATACGTCTTGAAATTTGCGAAAAGAGACGAGGAATTATTATCCAATGTCCAAAAGGAGACGTTTTCCGTTGATTCCGAACTTGTTGAACTCCTTGGAGTCGGTTCAGTTCTTTTGGAGGGATCTGGTGTCACCGAGTTGAGCGAAATATCTGGTAATCTCTACGTCTGTAAAAGATGCAGAAAAAGAAATTCCGAAGATGGGGATCGACTCTGCAAACGATGTTCTGTCGTTTTAGGAATATAAAAAGATTTATACATTTTCAAGTTTAAATATTAAAATAAAGCTATGTATAGAGGGATCGCTATAAGGCCGGCTTTCGTTTTGAGGTAATTTCTGGAGGGATTCTGGGGCATTCACTCTGAAAATATTTGTTACGTATTACTCAATTGGGCTTCGCTTACATTTTCATTGTACAATCTCTGCCATTTACTAACATTGGTTTTGTAAAACTCCATTTTTTTGCACCACTCGCGTTGAATAGCATGGAATTGCGCGATCGTCTTAGGTTGAGAACAGTCAGCTAAAAATTAAGCTCACAATTAATTGTCAGGGTTTTAAAGAGGAACATACCATCATCCAGAATAAGGACATACTCAAACAAGGGCATACCGTCAAGAGAACATTGGTACGTCCCGCTTACACTTCTGGTCGCCTAAATCGTGAAATGTAAAAAGTTGAAGGCTCTTACATTTAACACGACCAATCCGCCAGATGAAGTTCTGATAACATGTTCAGTGTCATCCACAATGGGAGTCTTGTCCACTTCCCATACCGAATCCTTCTGTCCTCCACATTTCAAATGAATTGAATCTCCTGGGAAAACTTTTTTCACCTCACTTTTTACATAGTTACGGCATTTATCAGCATTTGTCACATCACTGATCCACCCAACAGCGGTCGAATGCACAGTATCTCTGGAGAAACATTCACTTCGCGCAATATTCCACGAGCAGTAGGGATCTGATGAGCAAGAATAACAAGAAAAGTGTTGTGCACATTGTCCTAATCGGTATTGAGCGATGTTATTGTCTGTAGCAATGTAGAAATACTCTCCCGGCAAAATGGCCATATCACGGAATCGTCCTTTGGATAAAGAATACGTGCCCAGTTGACGGAACTGTCTTTGATCATACCAATGTAATATTTTATGAATGGAGTTTGATCTAAATGGGAATTGCAGAACAAATTCAACTCCTTACTTAGGGTTGTAGATCAGCAAAACAACTGAATTGTCTCGTGGATCTGCTACAATCTTTCCAAGTCTCTCTCCGGGAAATATGTTTACATCCCCATCCGCATTAACAGACTCAGACATCAGAAGATGGGACTTGGCGAAGTGGAGATCCGAGTCTGAGAGAGTTCTGGAGTCAGAGCTACATGATCCAGGCCGGTAATTTGGGATTTGATCAAGCGGAGTAGGACTCCAAACTGAGTGAACGGATGTCTGTTCCAAGAAAAGTCCTGTGTCGAATACCTGATTAATAGCGCGCAGGGAGAAATGGCAGACCGCCGACGATTGAATCGCGTTCTCCGATGAGGAGAAGACTCCGTAAAAAGAAATATCACTACCCATGTCGACCATCGAAACAGAATCTAAAAAAATGACAATCAAACTTTCACAATTATTTTTGATTACTACAATTAATGTTAGGCTAAAACACAAATTCAGTCATGATGCTTACTCAGATAGTTAAAGTTAAGTGATCCAGATGCGGAACAGTTCAATTTGGCCTTGACGAAGGAAGTCCAGATCTGTCTCAGGACATTCTTCCCTCCGATATCATTCTAAAAATTTTCAATAACAATAAAATGGGTAACTGAATATTCGGGCATCAAAATATTGGTACTAATATTGGGCTAAAACGAAATCTGTTTTGTTTTTGGTCAAACATCTCTGTTAGCACTATTAATATCGCTACAACTGTAAGTAACATTTAAAATTACTGTAAATTTTGAGAATAATCCTAATTTTTTATTGTTTTGAGGGTTTCGAAAATGAGGAATCAAAAAATGATATCCGTTTCGGAGTTGGAGGATTTCTTGGGTGACAATGTTACAATTATGGCAACTAAATATGACGTGAACAATAAAATTAGGACCACTCTCAAAATTTACAGTGACGCGCAAAACAGATTTCCTTTTTGGATTCCTGATGATCGAAGCCCCTAACAACCAATACAAATGCAAAAAGACTTTTTATAGTGACATGTCATGTTTAGTAGCTATCAGTACAACACTTTCTTCATCACCCGAGAATTCACCTACCCCGAAAATGCATGACCCGAATAAGCGATCACCCGAAAGGGCTCATCCGAATTTTCACCACCCGAATACTCTCAACCCCCAATAAAATGGCTTACTTTGCAGACACGAGCCACTCTCGAATACACTGTTCGGCCACAGTTTTCGGTTTCTACAGCCACTTCACGAAAGAAGAAGTAAACATATTGGTTCACAGAGAAGGATCCAACAAATTGAGGGTCTACAACAGGGTGATCAATAATAATAATACTCACCATTCAGCCATTTGGAGTCAGTGTAAACGGATCTTAAGGCTGGATGTATCTCCTTATTGTTGAAGACAAGAGGAGGACGATAAACCAGATGATTCTCGAGGGATTGGCCAGTGCGAATACCGGAATAAATAGCCGGGACGTCATCTGGGTTGCCAAACTCTAAAAAATTACAAAAAATGTTTCTACTAATACGGTGGGGCCTTCTTTGGGGCCCGATTTAAACTGGCTATAACTTCTTTATTTTTGGGTCGAATGTCAAAATTCTTTTTTCCTTGAATCCTCAGACTCTCCCATTTTGTTTAATTCCAAACATGTTATACCTATCTTGAGACTACAGCAAAAATTAACAACAACCAAAAAAACTAAAATTTGCGTTCACAGTTTTCGGTTGTTAAAACTGTCTGCCTGAAAATGGAATGTTGTGTTGAAAAAGAAAACGTGGCCTGCCCTTCGGTATGGCTGCAGATGCCACAAAGACCCTGTAGAAGTTCCTTACCAACGAACACAGCGGTTGTATTTACTTCGGAGTGCGGAGAACAAATCCCAATGGCACTGCGTGGATTCTCCAGATCCTTGAGATTACTTCCATCAATTTGATGAAGGATCGGTTTCATAGCATTACTCACACATACAATAATATTCCCATCCGACTTCACAAACTGTTTTCTAACCCTGGAATAGCAATCTTGCTCCACCAAAGTAGATCGAATGCAATCTTCGAGTTCATTTGGGTCGACTGATAATACTCTTTTTGCTGACTAAAATCATTTATTAAGTCAAAGCAAACCTACTAGGCTCGTATCGTTGATGTTGTATAACCATAGCTTGAACAAATGACCCTTTGCTCCAACATAAAGTGAAGAGGTTTTGGGATTCACAAGAAGCGATTCATAATTTAGTTCTCCTTCAGAAAAAGAGTTATCTGGAATACAAATTTTTATGAAGATACTTCATCAACGCACTACGGTAACCAAAAATATTCGAAATGTACTAAAGATTACCTGGTATAATGGGATTGGAATTACAAAATTGGAATACTAATAAGAGGAGTAAAATGGACAAAGACGAGGCCATAGCTGGTCAAACCGCATGCATCCGCCTTTCTGCGAGCGAAGAAAAGACGAAAGGAGGGATTGGGAAGGATGGACGGTCGCGGAGAGCTGAGGCGGCAAAGGGCCGAATCGGAGAGCGCCGCGTTTTATTCCCTCACAATCCGGTGACTCAAACAACCCAACCAGTAATTGCGCCTCATAATTTATTTTACAGGAAGCACTGTCATTGAGCTCAAATTTGTTCAGAAAGAATAATTTATACAGTCCGAGGCGATCCTAGAAGTTCGGCCAGGGCAGCTTTCTCGTCGATACTCATCAGCTCCATCTGATCGAACACATTGTGCCGACCTTCAAACTCCTCCAAATGAGTACTTTGTCCAGGTTTTGTGACCTCTACTAAGCTAGAAGTTCGGTCCAAGGGTAAAGGATGAGGTTGAGCAATCGGTATTGGACTTGGTGTTTCTTCTCGCACCTTCCCCTTATACCCGTCTTCTAATTTCGGAGTAATTTCTTTGGTCGGTGTTGGAGATAAAAATTCTCTATCCTTTTTAAAATCATACTGAAGACATTATAACAAACTGTGGCACAACCTTACGTTAAAATTCTGTAAGTCGGGTATGTGATGTTCCGGAATGTGAATAGAAGGAACCGGCAAAAAACGAGGGTTTATTTCAATATTTATGTCGTTCACATATCCTGCAATTTAAAACCGTCTTATTAGACATACTTACTGCAGCCTGACATAATAGAAACAAGTAACGATTTTACACTTCGAATAATTGGCGTGTTTCGAACACGAACTCAAAATTTTACCTTGACAGGTTTCAGCGTATAAAATGTCTCACAATTTTTTCGATTTTTTTTGTTTTCTTGTTTTCCGCAATTCACTAATTGATCTGATCCAACAAGATGAAGTTGTTGGAAAATGCAACTCTCGACAGTATATGTTCCTTTATTAAGACCAATTCCATGGATATTACACTTGATGTTAGGTGAGAATTTAAAACTTGTTTTTATTCGTCTTTTGATTATAGGATAGAGTCTTACTCCTGTAAAATGGTCTCGACCGACAAGAAAGAATGGAAGAAGTCTTTTAGAACCCCCGAGGAAGCCAATGAACTTCAGCCTTTGTCTCCTCCTGAAGATTCATTTCTTCATCAATTGTCAAGTTCACCCTTTTCTAGTGGAAGGTTGAGACATTCGTCCGAGGTGAGCTGTAGCTCAGACAACGACATTGACGAGAACGGCCAGATTGTGGTGGGAACAGTTTCTCGCAGAACCTTGTTCAACTTGGTTTCGCTTCTTAATCTCAGTTACAACGACTATGACTTTTCACATATCAAAAGTGAGAGTTTTTCACTTGTCCAACTCAAGGATTGCATGAATAACGTAAATGACAAATTCACGGCAGCGGTAAGAAGTTTCTCGAACCACAAGGATGACTTTTGGAAAGCAATTGACGTTGAGATCAAACTGAAGGAATGTATTATTTACAGGTAATTGAAGACGCTGTAATATGTTTTCTTTTAGTTATATCCCAGAATATTCGAACGATCCTTTCACCGAAGATGGCTGCATTTGGACATTCAATTATCTTTGCTGGAACAAGGTCCTTAAACGGATATTGTTCTTGTCCTGTCGAGCATTGAGGCCAGAGAACCTTGACATTTCCTCTGAACAGCTATGGGTGGATGAATGATTTGGGGATGTTGTCACTTATTGCATCGGACGGGAGTCAATGGTCAGATGTCCTTGTAAATATTCATTTATTTTAGGCTTTCTTTGGTGTTAGATGACCTAGTTTTGTTTATTTTATTGTCAATTTACATTGCTTTTTTAAAGCTTTTATTTGTTGCGCTTGCTTTAGGAAAGCCATGTGTGCTGAGCATTTTGATCATACCTCTAAGATCCCAATGTTTTCTCATTTATTGTTAGTTTTATTCTCCAATAAATTTATTATGACTAATGTTATGCCAAATAGATAGTTCATTAAAGTGTCGTTGATTATATCTTGTTTTTTGGAATTTGTTTGGGTGGTGGAATACCATGACTTTTCTCCAGCTAAACGGGTATTTGAAGAGATGGGCCCTTACCTTTCTTCCCAGCGATTGTAATGTTACGCAAACGGAGAAGAGATCCCGGGCCTCGAACAGATCAACTGATTGGAATGTTTCTTCGTCGATTACGCCAAATTTTCTGACGCAATTTGTAAACTGGTTAATATTCTCCATACTGTTGAAATTAGAAATAGGCTTCATTATTTTCTTGACAGTGCCGGGCTGAATTGCGTTGATCAAACTGGAAACCCCCAGTAAGGTATTCATTAGATATTTCCTTACCGACAGAGCAGTTGTCCGTCTTTTAATAGGCCAAGGAAGTTTTGTCTGCTTCCGGTTGTATCAAAGTCCTCTTTTGTGATGTCCTTGATCCATTGTAGAAGATACCCAGCTTCCTCTTCGTTGAACTTTGATGCTTGCTTCAATTAGAACAGGTTTAATGAAGAATTTTAAGATAAAATCACCCTTACCTTATCCAAAACAGCTCCACCAAGACCCCCAGGGCGTGGTCGGTGGATGTATTCACCCATTCTAAAGAGAAGAATAAGGGATTTGCTAGTAAAATCCTTTAAATAATGTTTGGCCGGATCAAGAGGACCAAAGTAGTGCACCCACACGCCCTCTTCTTTCTTCAATAGCCCTGTTTGCTAACATCTATCCTACGTGGGATGTTCTAGAATTTCTTTTGTATGAATCAGCCCCCAAGGAAATAGAAAAAATCTCGCAATATCAGTTTTTATAGATCAACAGTAGAGACAACAATCAACAAATAACAGAAGATGAAACGACGTTTTAGTTGGAGGACTTCAGGAGAAGGCAACTTTCGACAAACGTGGGGCCGAGTTTGGTGAGGGGTGCCAAGGTATAGGCCGTTCCTTCCAGCAATTTCCGCGCAGATAAGGTCTTTGATGTGTTGATTCGTCGGTTCGGATATTGCTCCACCCTCTGTGATCGAACGAGTTGTGCGAGAGCTGAGAACGGAGTTTTTTTGAAGTCGAGAGTAACTTCTCGAAGTGATTGGTTCTCTTCAATCTCGGATTTCAATAACGACAGACCCTAAATAAATGGAGGATTGTATAAGTTTAAAGTAAATAAAGAGATTTCATTTCGGAGGAAAACATACCTGCGAATTCAAAGCCGTAAACCTTATGTTTGACTCGCTTCCAGTGGCCACGATTTGTTCTTGAGGGCTGCTGAATGACAACTTCTTTATCAAATCGCCAGTTGATGAATCGAACCAAAACACTAAAGAGGTTTGCTGATTAATTAATAGATGAATTTCCACAAAATAATCGAATACCCACCGTCCTCTTTGTTATAACCGAAAGAAACTAATCTGTCACAATACAGATTGAGACCAGTTTGTTGTATGGCCCAGGTAAAAGTTCGATTAGTAATGTCAAATGCCAACACTCCAATATCTCCAGACATTAACAAGAAGTTTGGATTTTGAGTTAAAGGTGCCCACGCAACACTTTTCACGCCTGGGATCTGGTCCAAACATTCCACGGTGTTAAGATAATTTCCATTCCATAAGATAACAAAGGTATCCTTCTCTTCGATTCCATTGACAGTGGCAAAAAGATTTTCTCTTACAGAAGAACAACCGAATATTAATGTGTTATTCCACGAAGCCTGTTTTTTCAGATCTAAACAGAATTTTCGCCGTCTTGTAGGATCGTGTTGGAAGGATAATATCTTCCCATTGTAATCGACGGCAATAGCGTATTCTCCCTCGTCCTTAGCATGGTGCTTCTCTTCTTCTTGACTCAATCTAAGGAATTTTACCTTCCAAAACAATTCAATCGAATTCAAATATTTTATGTCATTGATTGATCGGGTGGGCAGACGAGTGAAGAATTTTAAAATCGTCTAAAAAATTAGCCACTTGTAAATAGTACAAACCTTTTCAGCATTATGCCTCAGCAACTGGCACGTGACAATCAATGAAGAAGAAAGCGCGATCTGATAGACATTGGTCCAGTCATACTGGGGTGCAGTGATACTGTCCCTGGTGGGAGGGTTTTCCTTTGCAACATCAAACTAAAAAAACAAAATAAATTATGATGTAAAAGAGGACCGATTGAAAACAGAAAAAATAAGAACCCACCTCGGCAATGGTTCTCCATTTCACTGGATCAATCCATTGGACATAGCCATGTCTGCTATTCGTAACAATGTAATTGGGATGTTCCACGTCAGTCTTCAGCCCAATCCAATCCGTAGGAGGTTCTGGGGACCATTGAATCGTCTGAGGACGAGAAATAACAGCAAGAGTAGACGTGTTGAGAACAACCAACGAGTTGTCGGCAAGAACAGCAACAAGAACACTGTCATCCCGACTCAGCCACAGACTGTCCACTGCCGAATCCATCCTTTCCATGGCATGAAATTGTTCGTACTTTCCTTTACCGGAAGTCGTCATATTCCACTTGTCCACACGGCAGTTCCCAGTGCCACAGAATACAGCTAACAATGAAGTCACGGCAATATTAACTTCGGAATTATGAGAGTGGAAGAAAGTTCGATTTGAGGCAGTCAATCCGTATTTATCCACCCGGTTCCTAAATGGGTAATGCTCAAAGAATATAAGGCACTCACCAAGAATAAACTCGGCCAATATTCAGAACCGCGAAAACATTGTCCTCAACAACTTTGATCGAGCTGAATTCAATCTCCTTGTTATACTCCGCGGACGTAAAGTGCTGGCCGAAGAAAAATTCGGTTTCTTGTGGTGTAAATGAATCATCAAAACCGATAACATTAACTCGTCGTCCAGAACAATAAACAAGAAAGTCACTTCCGACTGCCAATTGCTTGGGCCTTTCGATTCTGCAAGGCAGAACTGCTATTGTCTTGCATTCGAACTTCTGCAGATCGATTTTGAGCAGTATATCCCCAGATTTGTTATTTAGAAGGCCGAACAACGTCCCCTTTACAACATAGATATATACCAAACGGCCATCAATCTTCATTTTCCGAGTTTCCACAAGTTTATTCTCTCCCACATTCCATTTAAAGACTTCTCCTTTCTGTGAAATCGACAGCAACTAAAACGAGAATAAAAAATTATTTTCTTCAACTTACGTGATCTCCATTCCATTCGATTCCAACAATAGCGGTATGATGTTGGAATATATTACGCCGGGATCCGGTCTTGACATCTAATACAATAACGGACGTCCGGGAAATAAATGCACAATGCCTATAAAAGTTGATTGTAAAACCCTGAACTCACCGCGTGTTATCATCAAATGAAGGAGCATATTCATTCAGGTGCAGACCTATTTGACTTTCTTCCGTGTACAAGGGAGCTTTCATAGCGAAGACAACTTCATAGACGCAATATTTTAGATATCAACAAAGGCTTTACGGAGCTTGGGCGAAAAAACTTTCGGCGAACAACAAACAGGGCGAAAGATGATATTTTTTACAAGTTGTCAGAAACAAGACGTTTTAGTTAGTTTTACGTTTCACTAAAATTCGCCCAATCTCGATAACTTTATAATTATAATAAATCCTCAACAAAAATTTCCGAACCCAAAAATTTTTGTGGCAGGCTGCGCCCTGTTTAGTGTTATTTTTGAGAAACTTTTATACGAAGAATAAAACGACTATACGAATATCACAGTACACGGTTCTGTACTTTCGGGGGACAACCGATCGAACTGCTGGGTTAAACACATATAATCATACGACTAGACTAGTATTTATTATAGTTTTTGGTGAACAATGTCACGGAAGAGCGAGGAGATTACGTTCCTGATATATAGTATGTACGCGTCTGTAGACAATTGAAGTGATTTGTAGGAATTGTGTGATTGTTTCTTTGGCCTCGTCGAATGTTTTGTCCTCAAACATTATCCGTAGTAGCTGTTCTCGCCCAGGAACCATTTTAGAGGCAAATGAAACTGATTTCCTGATGATCCAAGTGTGATGACGACTTAAGGTTTCGTCATAACTTTTTCGAAAGATCTCGGAAGTACTTTCTTCCTCGTTGTCGTATATCTGTTTGACAAATAAAGTCAAAAATTCTAGTGCTCGATGCAGTCTTAAAAGTGTTCTGGAGCCTTTTTCTCTTGGGGTCTCGGCGTCATTACATTCCGTAGACACCATCGTGATTACAGTTGAGTATTCATCCTTGTTATTATCGATTAATTCTCTAAGAATTATCCTTTTCGCTGCGACATCAGATTCCACAAATCCGAAGACAACGCCGAGTTCGGAAAAAAATCTAAAATTGCATGGATCCAGAAGTAGCCCACAAAAATGTACCTGCTCAGTTCTTCGTAAGCGTCTAGATATTCTGGCAGTTTAACATCGTCATCTCCATGTAAACTGCCGTGGAAATGTTGAATCACATTGCTTATATTACATGACATCAAGAAATCGAATTAAAATTTTTTATGGCTCCTGTCCGCAGAAATCACTTAATGTCGGGCGCAGACTGCTCTTACTAACTGACCGTTTAGAAAACCCGTCATCGGGAAGCAAAATAGCATTAATTACTTGATTATTTTACATTTTTTTGGCCTTTCTATCAGCGTACTGCCAAATGCTAAGAACAACACTTAAAAAATGTCAAATATGCCAAGAAAATTAGCGGTCGTTCTGACGTTTTTTTTGAACGTTAATTCTTCGTACAGAAAATTTTAGTCAGAATAAAGTTTCTGCAATTTTTATTTCTGCATTGATTAAAACTGGAATTGCAGTATTATGGATTGATAGTGTCGAGGTGTTTTTATTGTTTTTAAGAATTCTAAAAGCTAAGAAATGGATATGGATCAGAAGATGATGCCTACCCATGGTGTTGATTCCAATCACCCTCCTCCGCCCGGTCCCCGTCTGGGCAATGACAGACCTCCGGCCACAGAAGAGCCTTCAGGCAATGATTCGGCTTTGAAATGTTCGAAGTTCTTCAAGACCCTCCTCCATCTCTCGCATAATAATCAAAACACACCTGGAACAGCGCAAAATGTTCAAATCCTAGTTCAAGTAAGCGGTTTCATTTCGACTAAACCTTGCCTATTTGTCAATTATTTTAACTATCATGTTTTATCAGGATGTAATAGCTGGAAGAATCCAACCTGAAGAATTCACTTCTCAACTTCAAAATGTGTTGGGGTCTCACGCCCAGCCTCGATTGATCCCATTTCTTCACTCAGCATTACCTCCTTTGAGATCGGCATTATTAAATAAAACTGTGAACATTGAAGGAATTAATGTTAATGAATGTTTTACATCTACCTCGCAATCACAGGCCGGGAGTACGGGCATTAAACAGCCGCAGAATCCTACCTCCGTGTCTTATATGCAACAAACGGTAACTTTTCAGCTTTTGGATTTTGTTTTTTAGGCATTAATTGATATTCGAAATTGAATTTGATCAGGAATGACCTATTGCTGGTCAAGTGAAGTTTTTACGAAATAAGTTTGTAGGTTTCTTTTCATTTTAAGGAATTGTTTTGATTCAAACAACATTGGTCAGAGATTCCAATTTTAGACAAAACATGCAAAATTTACGAAATTACTTCATGTTTGGCCGATTTATTTGGCTACCTTCATTTAGGGGATGATTTCCATTGGTATAGATCGGGTGTTAAGATTTTCATAGCCAATTTTTCAAAATTTGTTGACTAGCTACCTGATGAGTTGGCGTGGCAGCCAAATTTTGTTTTGACGTTTGGCTAGCCAAAGTGTACATGAATCCTGTGGAGACTCGAAAACTGCTAACTAAAACGTTTGAACGAGTGTCAAAGAGTAGGAAAATCCGTAAACTAGCCATTGGATTTACTTGGTTCACAGCCACCCCAATTTTTCGCTAGCTATTAATGGATTTGGCTGCAATTCAAACACATTGGCTAGTCATTTATGGTTTGCCTGCCACTCATCCTACTCTGTGACACTCATTCCAACGTTTTGGCCAGTGATTTATTTGATCATGGTCCGTTTGGCGATTGAATTTTCGGTTCCAGTTGCAAATCGAGGAGTTTTTTATTTTTGTTTTGTTTCTAGATGGTTCAATCTCAAGGACAGTATGCTGAAGGCCAATATGGACAAATCAAGTCTGAGAGCGGAGTGGTCTACCAACCAATCAACCCCATGCCGATTCCCGTTAGTGTCCCTTTAGATCAAGTTCATAATCGAAATGGGAATTTCTACGCGGAGGAAACCATTGGAGTAGAGCAGATGGAGCAGAATATTCTTGTTCCCGACGATCTTCCCCCGATGTTACTTGATCCTCAAGTCCTGTGCAATCGATTGGTCGAAGAAATGGGTGGGGATTGTACTTCCATTGACCCCGAGGTTTTCACAAAGTTGTCTGGCATTGTTGAAGGAAGACTTCGAGATTTGATGAATCAGTTATCTTTGATCACAGAACACAGAATTGAGCCTCTAAGGTTGAATCCTTTGTATTCTCAAGTCAACGAGCCCAGAAGACAATTGCGATTTGTGGAGGAATTGGAGAAACAGGCGTTTACCCGAAGGCAGAATCTTGAAAGGGAGGCTTGGATTAAATTCTCGAAAAGCAAGACAAAGGATAAGGATACTGTTCAGAAGGCTAAGGAGGTGAGTGGACTGAAGGTTTTTAATCTTTCAAAGTACCATTTAATACACAGTGATTAAATACTTATTTGGTTTAGATTCAACGAGCGAATCAAGAGGAGAATTTGAATCGAGAAGCAAATGAAGCAGCAATTGCCGCTCTAGGCGGTTCTAGAGGTCAGAAGAGGACATGGGGACAAACGGACCCTCTCAAGTCTTCTATTTCTTCTGGGTTAAACCTACAATTAAGTTTATTTTACAGGATTTACAATTTTTTATTTTTTCAATTATTACTGTTTTATTTTTAGATGCAAAGGCCGAGAGTCAGACGGGTCAATATGAAGGACTTTCTGTGTGTTTTAAACGGAAAGGGAGTCCAAAGGAACAACGTTGTCAAGTACTTGGTCGCTTATGGTTTGATCGAACTTCCTGCGCACAATACGGCTGATGTCACTTAATGTACATTGCAATTATGCTGAATAAATTGTATTTATTTCTCATTTTGTTATATTTTTTAAAAGGAGGTATGGTGTATTTCAAACATGTTTGGAATTTGAAAAATATAATGGAAGAAGTCAAGATAATAATAGAAAAGACCGACTAATAATGGGCGTGTGATGTCATTTTCCAGGGCCAAGCGTCACGTCAAAAGTCGTTTAAAAGAGAGCTTATCTTTGGTTTTATCCCCAATATATAGTGCTCCTGCAGGTAGACCTTAACACCTGTAGCCACGGGGTTTTTGGAGAGTGCCGTTATTTGGATGGATATTTGTTTAATATGGAACAAATACAGTATCCCGAACGAAACCTGGACGAAGAGATCATCTTCCGATATTCATGGACGCTACGGGTCTCCCAAAGATTACTTCAGAATAGAGAAAAGGCCGTCTTAAATGTCTCCCCACCATTCTGTACAGCTTACAACGGGGTTCAAATGACCTGGTTGCTCAGACTGTATGATGATTTTCTATTAGATATGGAAGAAATGGATCTAGATTCTAATTCGAAGTATGTCCATATCACATTGTACTACAAAGACGGCCCGACAAGAGATATCAGTTTGAGCATGGGAAGGTAAGGTGACGATGAATCCATGAGAAGTTGTTGCAGAGTGTCTATATACGATCAAGATCACACATGCGTTATATCTGGCATGAATTTGGAAGGGTTGGATTATACAAAAGGATCTGGATGGTCTCCTGGATGCTCAAACAACAAGCAGCGTAAAGAAGTCAGTGACTTTGTGTATAGTAAGATCAATAAGAATATTATAATTACGGCAGAGCTAAGGTAAGATTGGGTTGAGTGAATCATTTGGGCCACTTTTAGATTGAAATTCCGCTGGTTCCAGCCACTTGCTTATTTAATTTCACCGGCAGTTACAAAGACAAGTGATTTATTACAACAAGAGGGACTTGAATTAATCAAGAGAATTACGAATGGGACGATAACCGTGCCTCATCGGGGATTCTTTAACGAAAACGTTTGTGATTTTGTGGAATTACTTTACGAGTATTGGCTAAATAATCAGGACGATAAATCTTGTTCTTTCAGACTGATCGTTACGCCATTCATAGACAAAATTTTATATTTTTGTGCCAAGAATTGTCATATCGATTCGAAACACAGGTTCAAGTTGAAGACGTGAGTTGATAAATTGGAATAATTAAACTTACATATATAGGTAATGGGAAGATTATATTTCGATGGGATTATTGCAAAGGAAGCAGAATGTTTTGAAGATTACGTTGACATTCTCGAAGCTGCGACCACTCTTAACTTCCCATCCTTGAAGCACGAATGTGAACGATTTATATGTCAGGAAGTAATGTTGGTGAGTATCCTTGCTGTTGTAAGGGGAAAAACAATTCTCAAAATTTAAAATATTATAATTTATACGTTTAAAGGAGTCATCGGACTTGAGTTTCGTCAAGAAAATGCTGATTCTGGCTGAAAGATTCAAGCTCAGGATCCTGAAGATGGTCGCCCTCGGGGTTCTGGTTGACAGAACCGTGCAGAATGAGAATGTTGAAACAATGAGGAACGAATTACTCCAGTTCGCTGTTCAAATACAGTAAGATTAAATATAATTACATTTATAATTCCGCGAACTGGTCAGTTCGATAAAGAATTTTGGAAAAGAGGACTTGCGGAGGATAATCTTCATTTTGGGCAGATTGGGTAGTAAGTTGTCGTTGAACTTGAGATACTACGTAAAAATACAAACCCACCAAAAAATTTTCCCGGCGCGAAAACATAATTATTTCTGATATTATCCATGATGATTTTTGTCCGACTCCTTACATTAGGCCGAAAAGTTTGGAGGTGTTGGAAATACAGTAGCAATCTGAAAAAGATCAAAAGTTTGAAGATTCAAAATAAATCAATACCCGATCTGCCCCAAGTGAAAGGTTGTGCTTGCGGAAGGTTGCCGGATTGCGTAACTACAGTAACCAAACAAAAACCACGCCTTTGTCTGCTCAGTTCATGGAATTATAATGCACACATCATGTATTAAAATTAATTGTCTTTAGTGGCGCAGAGGAGTCTTCGGAAGATTCATCTGACTCATCGTCAGAAAACCACCAAGTTGTAGAGTCGGTGGTCGGACAACTAGAAGTGTTGACGAAACACATAAAAGAGGTTTCTTTGGATGCGATGGACATGTGGCCACAAGTCGGAGTGGGTCCTCTTTGCAGTCCCGGTCTCTTCCCTCAAAATTTCCTTCAAGGGCGTCGATCAAGTCTCAAAAATTCTCGTGAAAATCTACCTCTTGATGCGGAGAAAGGCAATTTCAGACGTCGATCGGTCATGTTTTCATTGCCGTCGTCTCTGAATTCGGACAATGGAAATTCGAATACTTCCAGCTCGTGTTCCACACCATCTTATCGGGAATCTCGCCCTGAGTTATTGGAATGTGATCAATGGCCGCTCTTCAATCGTCAATACTCTACGAATACTTTCAATAATCATTCTTTTTCTGTTTTTGATTTCGATACTTGTGGCACGAAGTAACAACTTCGGTAACACCTACGAAGTCTGACATTGTATAATTCACTTAAACGAAATCGACCAAATCAAAAATAATATTTTTTTCTGACTGATTTGAGTGCATTGCCGAAGGGCAGAGAGCTTAGCATAAATCATTAAACGGGGTCTCTAAACAGAAAAGGGAAGAATTTAATATTGTACAGCCATGAGAGCTCGGTCGTCTACCGATTCAGAAGTTAAGGAAATAAAAAATCTCAAATTCCGCTATGTATGGCCAGTCCGTGTGTCCTTAAGGCAACTGAGTCCAGGGGAGGCGACGATCTTGCACGTCTCCCCCAAGTTTGCCACTGTTCATGATCATGTGTCCTTCCAATGGACTCTCAAAGTACATGGTTCAGCTAATATGGTATGCACTGAATTGTCAGCAAAATTGTTTTTAAGGACAGGGAGGATTATGACAATTTCGAAGATCTTCCCGAGGAAGACAAGGAGTACGTGGCCGTCTCTCTGTACTATGTTGATGGCCCTGTCAGCTCGCTGGAATTGTTATCCAATATCGAATCTTCCTTGGCTTCTGATCGGGATAGTGTAAGAGAGAGTAAGTGGATGTTAAATAAATTTAATCTTTTTTTACAGTCGCCAAAGTTCAGGCTTGTCGAGGCGAGGAAGTCGAATTGGCACCCGCAAATCGAAAGAAACTCTCAGCCTTGGTCAAGTCTAATGTTGGACGTCTGATAAGAATAGCAGTGACTTTGGAGATAAAGGCAGACTTCTTCAAAACGGATGCCTATCTGAATGCGGTCTCTCCAACTCCATTCCATTCATTTCTTACAGAAAATTACAAAGCCCGAGCAAGCAGTAAAGTATGGAGAAGAAGAAGTCGGCAGTCTTTTAAAAGGTAGAGTGTAATTTATGTAAATGCAACTAAAAAACACATTTCAGACCAAGGAGTAATTCCGAAGGACATCCAGATTGTAAGAAGATTGATCTGGAAAGAGCTTTTAATAGAGTCATGGAAAGGGAGAGGGCCTTGGAGGATAAGGGGAATTACTACGCAAGTGATGACATGTGAGTGGATACAGTAAGATCAAGAGATTTCAGAGGAAAGAAACGGGAACATTTGTTCAAGAAGCTGTTAGTTAATTGCTGCGACTCGTGTGAACGTCGGGCTTCCTTGATTCCATGTCTAGCATCAGGGGACGACGAAGAAGATTCCGCGGAAAAAGCAGAACCACAAGAAGAAGAACACGAACACGGAGAAGATGCCAACTGCTTCGAATGTCCTGAAGACGACAAGGCTGAAATACACGACGTATCTTCATGAATCCCCTTCTTAGCTTATATTTCAGACCCTAGCCAACATGTACTTTAACAAAGTGGCCCTGCCCCAGATGGAGTACATAGAGGATTTCACCGATTTTCTGATCGATGCCGAGTTAAACGATCTTCCTGTGCTGAAGAGAGCATGTGAGAGATATCTCTGTGGAGAACTAAATACTGTGAGTTGAGAAATTAAATAAGGAAAGTTTAGAAACGGGAAATCATGACTTCTCTACTTCTTGACTTGCTGTTTATTTCAATGGTTTTCAATCTGCCCGTTATGAAATGTATGACTCTGACCGAATTAAGTGAACGTTACAACGAACTGGAGACAGTTGATAAATTATTGCAAAAGGATGAATATAAGTAAGAAGACATATTTACATAAAGTACATTCAAATGGTTAAACAGAAAACTTAACGAACGGATCCAACGGATCAGCGACAGAAATTTGCATGACCTCATCGACGAATGCAAAAAGTTTAGGGAACAGAGAGTCCGAGTACAACAACTGGAAGAGTGAACTTGTACATTCCCAAAGTGATATCGAATAAATTAAGGATTATTGCGTGCATTGTCGATTGTCAATGATTTACCGAACTGTGAAATGCGTCTTGGCAAGGAGTCCAGACTGGCCAGAGAGATCTTTCGCTGTGCTTTCATTATGTGGCTCATATCTGGCTTTTGACACTGTAAATTTCCTGTTCATTAAGTAGCGCATTGTAAAGATATGTATGCTTGCTTCAAGAATTATTTTTATAAGGCTGATATACAGGCTACAATTTTTTTAATATAGAAAGTCTTTCGAAAGATCAATTCAAATTACCCGATCCACACAGGAAGATTTTACTTCTCTGTGGATAACTGACGGCACGTGCGGAACTTGGAACAGATGCGTTATAAATTATTGTTTCACCTCCCTTCTTCAACATTGTTTGACCAGCTAGCCAATAAGTTGAAATCACAACCAAATTTTTTAAATGGCTAGCCACAAACCTGTATTTAGGCTTACAAGGAAAGTACCCCAAGTGCGACGAACAGATTATCTTTAAATTTTGCACACACGTCAAACATAGACCAAGTATCAGACCTTGAAAGCTTTAGTCCGCGCTTTGCGGGCGCAGTCGTAATATTAAACGATCTTTGCTGCCGAGAGAGTACGTGAAACGCGGACAGCGGTCAGAGAGAAAAACTTCTTTTGGTCAGTGCTTTGCCAGTTTCGCGCAGAAAAAAAGCTTCCCCTCTAACTAGGGAAGTGTACAAACGAACCCTCACCAAATGATAAGTGACATATGTCATTGAAGAGCCCTTGAAAAATGATAGAAGACACCATTTTCATTTTTTGCAGAATGACTTTCCGCGACAACATACTGTAAATTATATTATTTTTAGGTCATTCTGCAACAAAAATCTTTCTTTCTCTTGGGCAGGAAAAAATCCTTGGAGAGGGTTGCTTCAATAGCGCAGTGGTTGCCGAGCAGGCTGATAAGCCAAAGCAAGCCAGGTTCGGTTCCCAGCTTAGGCAAAATCATTTTTGCGTTCTTACAGTTAGGTAAATATTTGCGTTAAACTTTTACAAACGTTTTAATTTTTCTGGGAGACGATCTATTACGGTTAAAACCATCAAACTTACATGTTTTTCAAGATTAAAAAAAAAGTGAAAAGTGTTTTTTCACCTTATGGGTATTTAAAACCAGTAAATATCATATGTAAAATGGTTTTATTGGCAAGCGCCAGACTTCATAATGATTATTAGGCCAACCTAATGGTAATACGTACCATTTAGCGTTTTGAAATAACATTTATTTTGCCTAATAGAAGATATTGTAACTACTTAAGGGACAAATCAACCGTTTATAACTTTTTGCCCTGAGGCATTCTGCAAAAAATGAAAATGGTACCTTTCACCATTTTTCAAGGGCTTTCCAATGGTGTATAACACTTGCCATTTGGTGAGGGTTCGTTTGTACACTTCCCTAGTAAGGTATAAAACTTTTCGTGCCGACATTCGCCAAAAAGTGTCGAATTTTTGCGAACTTTCGATCCAAAAATCTTGGTCGTTTCTGCAAAGCGCGAACTAGTTTTCTCGCATATATCTTACAAGGAAAGTACTTCTATGGGGTATCGAGTTACAGGTGGATCCATATATCAAAGAAATTGAAATTTTTTTCTGATTCAGAAGATAAGACCTGTGCGTTAGTAATTCGAAAGGTCCTTTTCAAAATTTGTTGCAAATCCTGACTCGGACCCTCCCAATCAACAATCATGGGAGTCTTGACTGGATCGATTTTTAGCAACAGTCAAGAATTCCGGAAATCTTGACTGTTGTAACAGTGTCAGTCATTTAAAAAATTTGATTGTGATTTCAACTTATTAGCTATCTGGTCAAGCAATGTTGAAGAAGGGAGGTGAAAACAAGAATTCATGAAGCATTTGTTCAGAATTGCGCATGTGTCACTTTTCCGCAATTCCGCAAATGTCACGACAAGTAACTGACCTTTTCGTATTTGGTTATATCACTTCTTTTGGCAAGTCTGAATCGCCCAGCCGTTGACCATTTACTCTGGGTCTTCCATACATTTTCATCATCTCCCAGGACCCTCCACATCTTACTCTTCAGCGATCCATCCAGACTCATTTTTCCTCCAGCTAAATTACGTATCTTTCAAGAATAATTACTCACTGATTCTCGGGGAATCGTTCCCAATATCTCCAAGCTCTTCCACCAGCACAAAATCCTCCTCATCTGACTCGTATTTTTGTGATTTCACGAATATCTAAACATTGGTACTATATTATAATAAATTAAAATTACCTGTTTTATTAGGTCTCTAGTGGTGTTGTGAATACTCGTCCTTAAGATGGCATATGGATGATTGTCGCTAACATCGTGAACGCATACCAAAAACGTTTCGCCCATCGATCTGGCTCTTGGATGAATGCCTATAAAAATATATAAAATTGTAATTTTAGATGTAAAGTCGATTAGAGTGGATCTACTTGATGACTAACCCGAAGGATCCAAGAAATCTGGAGAAGGTAACGCTTCAACATCTAGCGAACGTCCAGCAAGTTGGAACGACAGTTGATGCTTGGGGCTCTTCCTTGAGCCTGTTCTCGAGATCACTCCGGGGCTGATTGATCCACTGACCGAGGCATCGGAAGTTGTTCCAGAAACGGCCGGACCTCCACCCTTCCGGTTCTGCCCAAAGGCTGGACTGGCCGAATTCGAAATACTCGAACTAGCCCCACCACTCTTGATTATCGATGAGATCCAAGCTCGCCCAGACGGGTCCTGTAATGAGATTGAACAAAAAAATCAGATATAGGTGTACGTATTACACAATCGAGCAAACAAAAACGCCCGGTTACTGTAGTTACGCAATCCTCCAGCCTATGATTTGTTAAAATGAAAAATACTCAATGTGCCCTTTTTTCGAGACATCTTTTTTGTCAACAGATGCATCTGTCCCTGCGGGGCAATGTTGATTTTTTTGTCTAAAAATCTTTTTCTGTTTGACCACTTTGCGAAAGTACAGCGCCTATACGACAGTCCTACATTACGAATACGTATTTCTTACCGAGCTCTTCTTTCTCAAATGGAATCTACGAGCAACTCCGTTCCAACAAGCAACTGCATCCATGATCGGCTCTCCATGGGGAAGGATCTTTTGGCTGGGGATTTCCCTTCCATGTTCATTATTAATATCCATGATGGGAGAGGGGGCAGTGCAATTCAAGCTTTCCTCGAAGAGAAGGTAATCATCCGCATTTTCCCCTCCCTTTCCGACATTATTCAGGGCCTGGAAGGTGACATTTAAATTACTTATTTTAAACCTACCGCTTGCACCACGCTCCTAACAGTACTTCCAGACTCTGCATGCACAATAACAGGGCTGTCGTCTCCATACAGTCCGGTTATTTTGATTATGAATATCTGTTTCTTGATGACAGATAAAAGTTGCACATCCGCATCCTGAGAACAAAGGTAAAGAGCCCTAATATAACTTACAGGATCAATCTTGAGGACCTGATAAGAAAGTTCAGGCCGATAATTTGAATAAGTGTTAACCTCCTCATCATCATGTAAATAAATATGTTGTTCTTCTTCGAATCTGCTTCGAATAAAAAGAGCGGACTGCTCCAGAAGTTGGTTGGCGACTGTTCGAAGAGGTAGATGACGATAGCCAGGCCTTAGGCATCTGACCGGGACAACTCTTTGGGCCATGCACTTCCCATTCGCCGCCCCATCACAAACAGCGATTCTGAGAAATGCAAGCTCCACAAATCTGATTCTAAAAGTCACCGTGTGATTCCAGACAGGGTTCACTGAGTTCCGGCCAATAATCTTGGTCTTCTCCTTATAACAGTCGATCGGAATCCCAAGAATCTCAATCTCCAGGAAAGGACTGGCTGTGAATTGATGAGGACAAACATATTGGCCAGATATGACCTAAAAAGAAAAACATGGGTTTTCACAAAGAAACTTACAGTGAGTTGTAAAATAAGAGCCGAACAGTTATTAAGGTCCTTTGACAAAGGGTTAAACTTGTTGTAGAGTGGATGGGCTGGATCCCACAGGGCCCGAGGCTTCAGAATATACCCATTATTCCCTGACTGTTCGAACATCGCAGCATTCAAGGCCATCGGAACATCGGCCGTCTGATAATTAAGGGCGACCATCTGAAGGCCGAATTGCCAGAATTGGAGGGGATTGAAGTTAGACGAGTCAATCCTCATCCCTCCCGGGTACGTCCTCATAATGTGATTCCGAGTGTAGCTTATACATTTCAACGGATGTTTTCTGCATAATTTTCTGGCTGATGCTTCTGTCAAACTCGTAACTTGATAACAAGACGCATGGGTCATTGGACGGCCAGTTACAGTAGTCGAAGGGGTCGCGATATTATCTTCGGTACTCTTCAGAGAATCGGTGGAGATCTGACTACTACTCTTTTGTCGTTTAGGGGGACCAACGTAACTGAGAAGACTGGGGGCATGGGATCTCATCTTGGGGGGATTCATGTTCTGCATCGTTAATTGTAGATCCTCCCGGGATCTGTTATAGCACTCTTCTCCGGCCACGAATCCTTTCAAATGGGCCTAAGATATGAGTAAAATTTTACGTATAATTTCGCTACCTTGAATTTCACGGCCTGAGTGTAAATCACGAGATCAGAGAGTTCCGGGGCAATCTGAAGGCCTGTGGCTAGCCTGGCTGGGGATCGACGGACAAAGACCTCATCCTCCTTGTTATCCTGTAAACTCATTCTTCGTTTTCTACGACTTACAATCTTTTTATCATTTCTAGTAGTGTTAGTTCTGTCACTTATAAAACTGTTCACAGATCCTTGACTGGTCGACCTTTTCGGAGTTTTTATGACTGGAACTTTGGGACTTTCAGCATCAGTTCTCGGGTCCTCAGGATCATCGGTATCTTGGTCTTCATCATCTAAGAACTCATCAAAATCATCTTCATCCACATCGTCAATGGTAGATGAATCATATGAACATCTGCTTTGTTTATGGAGTCGATGCCCAGCATTGAAATCAGGGTTTATGAGTTTATCAAATCCCAACCCAACGGTTGGTTCCATCGTCATCTTCTTGTTCTTAATCAGGATTTTATTTTGCAATTGCCAAGGGGAAGGAAGCTTCGGATTGTCAGTGTAGTCAGCATCAAACAAGAAGCTCGAGACCAACTTATCACCAAATACAGTCTAAAACAATATTATTTCACTAGAATGAGCTAAAACTTTACCTTGAACATCTGTGCCATCTTAGCTTGTTGTTGCAACGAACAATGATTTTCAATACTTAAGATGACTGGAAGAGTAGAAGTGAGGAAAGCACTCTTCTTAATGATATCCACGACCTGTCTAAAGCTGATTTTGGATGTGAATGTATGACCATGATAGATTAATGGGAGCCCATCATCTCCATCCCAACAATCCAATTCAATGCAACGACAACCAGTGAGTAACACCTAAACGGCATTCCATATACAATCAGCGAGAAAAAGTAGTTACCTGTCGATACATTTCAGCGGATGACTCTCCCTTTAATTGATGACCAGTCAAGTACGTATTATGACTTGAGCTGATGTAATAACAACTAATCGGGTACTCCAGCTGTTCTTGAGAGTCCTTGATTTCTTCGGGAACAAACGCGTAATTGGTGGGATCCTGCAGATATCTCACAAACCCCTCAAACGACATCAGATTCTTATTTCTGAATACCGGATCAGGCTCATGCTCTTGGATCAGTTTGACAATGTAATTATCGTCCACCTTCTCCATTTGTTGCGTAAGAATGAATTGTTTTATGGCGGCTGGTGTCAAGACAACGTTCCGAGATGTATCCATTAACCCAGCACTGCTAACCGATGCCAGCGCAAGAGCATTGTAGATCTTCAGCTGCTTGTCATTCAAATGAATGTAATGGGAAGCCGTATTTCTGGTCAGGACATCTGAAACAAAAGAAATTCATCTTGTCCAAGACTAAAAGGGATACATGGCTGGACCTCGAGAACAGCTTGTCTTACCATCAGGAATGAAATCGGGAATTTGACAAGCTGAGATGGATTCCAAGCGGGATTGGAGTCTGGGGCTCTGCTTATCCCGCTCCCGTTTTGTGACATGACAATTGGCTGTGCTTGCATGGATAACACACTCGTTAAAGAGGTCCCTAAAACGGTTAGCAATTACAAATTCACTTACTTCAGATCTTTCCGCATTCTAGTGCTAAACAATCTATATAATTCAAGAAATTCTGTGAAATGGACAGGTTTCTCTTGATATTCCTTCCCGGAAAGCCCTCCCGAAACTTGTCCGCTGCTGCTGATGGATCCAGAATTGGGGGTTTCTCCACCTCTAGACCTCCATGATCTCACCGATCTTCCACCAACCGAGCGCCCACCGTACGAACTGGACGTGGGGGTTCTTGATCGAGGAGTATACAAGGAATCAAGATCACCGGCATCTGACAGGGCTGTGTCTCCGCGGGGCTTCAGAAGATAGCCGGGACTATTTGGACCTGGGGGACCGCTCTGACTCGAAAGCTGGCTCTTGATTGAAGGAGGTCTTACGAGTGGGGACTGAGGCTGGGGAGATTGACTTCGGCTGCAATCACGGGAGGTTCCTTTCACACGTCTGGTCACCGCTATGGTCATCTGCTTCAGTCTGCTTTTGGCTCCACCTCCATCCGTTGATGAGCTAGAATCCGTGGGTCTTGAGCATGCTGGAAGATTCTGACTCATTCCAAGATTGCGCCATTTCTCCACTCTTCCACCAAAGGCCTGTAAATGGTGCATGTTTTGTTATCAGACCTACCTGAAGAGCCTCAATGGGTCTTGGTCCAAATCGTTTGTACTCGGTATAACCGGTGTCCCTTTCACACTCATGGTATAGTTGGAGGTATAACTTTTTCAGCCATAATACTCGACGGTCTGGTCGTTTGTTTTGCTCGTGAATGCATTTTATGACCTTTAAAAACATATATTTTTTTCATGAAACTCTCTAAATTAGGGATGTTAAGTCGTCAACTTGACGCGTCAATGACATTGTCGAATTGCCGATATTTTCGTCTTGTCAAATTGTTATGTCATTTCGATTGTCAAATCACACTTTTTTGGAAATTTTTTGCAGATTTTTGCTAAAAAATCCTAATAAGAATTAAAAAATTTTAGGAAATTTGCTCCTTCTTGTTACAATTATTGATGAAACAAGCAGTAATACTAGTTACGACTAATATCAACGGTAGTCATCATAGTCTATGTTAAACTCGCGTGCGAAAGCTTTGTACATCAGAATTTTCAATTTATAAGGGAAGTCCCTAAGCTTCCCTTACGATGACGATTCTTCAAATTTTATCTGAGCGTCGCACTTGGGGCACTTCCCCTGTTAGGTAAAAAGACGAAAATGACGACAATTTGACGTCAGATTAAAAAACTCCGTCAAATATAACGACACCACGACGTTTCCGGAATTTGGATACTTCCGGAATGGCTGAATAGTGACACTAAAAATAATGAAATAAATCCATTCAGATGGTGTAGGTGGTAGTTCTAAGCCTTATCTTTTGTTTTTTCCCGCTTCCAGAAGTGTCACTATTCCGCCATTTTGGAAGTGTCCTGATTCCGGAAGTGTCTTGAGGCGAATTTAACAACCCTACTCTAAATGGATTTTTTAAAGTCCATTTTTTAAAAAAAGTCCATGATTAAGGGAAAAAGACTGATATAAAATGGTACCCTTGTCAATCCGTTCATCCAATAATTAGCGATTTGCTGTGGAGCCAAGAAGTAGAGGAATTCGTTGTCATTTAACATACACCCAAAGTTTATGGTCCAACAAAATACCGGGACGGACATCTCCTCGTTCGAATGCCTTTTGTAGATATTCTCAATGTCAATATCATAAGAATCCACTGGTTCGATTGCCTTTATATAACTGGTCCGTATGTATCCCTCCTCTAAAGCAAAGTTAGCTGCATCCCGAGGTCGACTGTTAATATAGCTCTTGGCAAAGTCTCCAAGGCCTTGCTGATTGTTGCGGGTCAATGGGGTCAAATCCTTCTCCTTTCCTTCTTTCCCTCCGTAGTAAATTCTCTTCCAGGAAACTGTAGAACAAGAAGCATCAAGACTTAATTTACAGAGGACACTACGGCCAGAATCGGGATCATAATGAATAGCCGTGGTGCCATGTTGAATTCGCTGGATAACATCAAGGTCGAACGTCGATGTATTCAGAGGGATCACAGAGATTCCATGAGAAGATCCCGGGATTAAACTCACAGGTTCGTAGGGCTTTGCTTCTTCCTTCTCGGATTCTAAAAAGCTATTATTATACATTAAATTACAGAAGGCCACTTGATGCATTCATCCAAATTACGACGAAAATTCGTAACAATCAATATTTGCGATTTTACAAAAAGTCAATAAAACCGATTGTGACACTTCGTCATTTTTTTGAAATTTACGAACTCATACCTGTATTTTCTCCAATCGGTTCCAAATATTTACTCATTTGTCGATGATGTAAATGGAATGTCTCCAGGTTATCCATCACCACAGAGACTAGGGAAATTTTATCAGTATTGAGAAGACCACCAACACCAATGTGGCTGGAGAAGTGGTCGTCCCCATTAATATCACTCAAAAACTTCAATTTCTCCATATCTTGGTCGTTATTCATGAGGACAATGTTCGGTATGTCATTTACAATCGCGTAAAGATCTCTTAAGAATGTGCCAAAAAAGGGTATTACCCTTGACTGAGGCATCCTGAGTGCCCTTTGGATGGCTTCTGCATATACATGATGAGGCGGGGCGTCTTCATTGGGGACAAGAATGTCCACAAACTCTTCATAACGACGTCTTTCATCTTGTTTCAGAGACAACCAAAACGGACGCAGTTTCGTGGACTTCAAACCCATCAGAATTTCCACTGCTGCATTGAAGTTTCCGATGTTCCAACATGTGTCGATGACTCGGATTATGGCCAGCAAACAATTCTTTCTGTCTTCATGGGTTGGCTGGCTGATTATAACGTGTGTTATCCATGAACTGACTTCACTCAACCGTTTCACCAGGTTCTTCACTGGACTCGGGTTGTCAACAATGTTTATTGCAGCCAGATCACATCCAACGTAACGTATGTAATCGATGGGAGCGATGTTATAAAACAATTGGTATTCGGTAGAAGTCAACTGCAATTTAACGGTGATGTTTGGGTGGGTTCTTTACCTGGAAGGCTACTTCTTCCGGGAAATGGAGGATATATTGGAGTCTCTCCAACTCTAATCTGAACAATGTAATGGGTTCGCTGATCCCTAAATCATCTTTAAATGAAGACGTTGTCGATGCCATTGAATTTGTTCTTGATGTTATGCCTGAAAGGTAGGGATGAGGTAAGAAGACACGTCTACTTTTTGTGTCCCATATTGCTAGACTTTGTTTTCCCGATCGATTGAAAGATCTCTGGACTAGAACATTGGTTCGGTTCTGCATGATCTCCCAGAGGGTCATGGAGATCGACTTTAGTCCGTTGTAACTTGGTGCTAAAGCAAGTAAATTATTTTTGAAACCTCTATTACCGATTAGCTGCCATTTAGTTCCTCGGAATTCGAGTAGTAATTGATGTTTGGAAACTCCTCCACCTACTCGCCATTGTTGTAAAGTGCTAGCATGCTGTCTCTTTAGTATCATCTTTGAATTCCCGTCAAGAAGACATAATACTGTGCTGCTCAAACATAACAGTCGCATAGTCTAAAATATACATTGGTTTTTATTGCTTCGATTACCTTCCGTAAAGATCTCCCATGGAGAAGTTCCTTGACTTGGAAGACTTTGCATCCATACGAAGGCAGCTTTTTACAAGTCTAAAATCCAAATTAACTATGTGTTTAAGAAATTGTCTAGCCTGCCTGAATATATAATTTCTTCATCCCGGCTTCAGATTCGTATACTTGACTATGAAATAGCTTCCGTTTTCGTTCTCTTATCATCTTGATTGTTCTTCTGTCACCTCTAAGGTCAACCGGTAGACATTGTGCTTGAATATCAGAAGAAACTGTTGGGTCTGGATCGGACATACATCCAAATAATGTCAGAGATCGTCGTCTATGTTCAGAGATTCCCATAGACGGTTTCCTCGTCACTGTTTCACTGAATGTTCTTGGTGGGGTGCAATACAAGTTCTGGTCGACTTCCCATGGAGTGACCATTATTTTCTGTGCCAGGTCACGTATTCGACCTAAATTTTATCTATGGATTTAGCTTGGATCGCTTACCAAATTGACCTTTGAGTAAATGCCTTCGGATTGTTTGAGTCCGCTTGTTAGAGGGCCAGTTCTCCTCAACACAGAGCTGGATAGATGCTAGGAGAGCAGCTTCGTCTTTCGGGCAGGGAAGGGATCCACTGATGATCTGATCTTGTAACTGAAAATGTAGAGGAATATATATTGATTGCTTCCTTACATCAAGATATTCGTCATTAGTCTTCTCGTCAGACTCCAATTTGCATTCTTCTTCGGTCTCAAGTTGATTGTTTACCACAGACATGATGTCACTACACCAATTCTTAACAGTAGGATGTTGGGGAGAATTCAGTATTTGTCTAAGGACATCAGAACATGACTTGAGAGTGGTAACAAAATTGGAACTCCTATTGGTGTACATGAGAAGTAGATTAAGTAATAGTTGTCTGATGCATTGAAAGTCCGGGCTCATATCAATTCCCGAAACTATTTGTAGGGGACTCTATAACACATTTTGGTTAAGTTTATGTGTCTTTACCTCTCTGTCGGGAACACGGAGGCTGTCTCCTGATGAGCGACTGATGGCACGTTTGGGAAGGGGAATTCGAGTTCCAATAGTGGAGGCGCGTTTCCTCAAAACAAAGCTGAAAAGGAATGGCCCCGAGTTATCAGAAGCAATCGATGTCCCAGCTGAGAATGTCGAGAGTCTGAGTCCGCCGGAGGACGAGCGCTGACTCATGGCCGAGCTTGCTCGTGAACTCCAACCACACATTGAGCTCTCTAGAAACAAAAGAAATTAATTTATTTTTTCCAGAAGCTTCAAATATCTGAAAGGGATGTTACCGTCGGATGATTTTCTGGATCCTGCGGCGGCACCATTCCCACTAAGCAGCAAAGGTGCGCAATCGGAGTCATTGCCCACAATCTCTGGCGAATTTACAAAGTAACCGAATTCAAATTGGGACAGGGCTGACGGTCTTCTTATCTCAATTAATGGCAGTCCAGGAATTGCCTGTGGACTCGACGGCCTCCTGTTTTGATTACCACCAAGTAAAGATGCACCACCATCAATGGAGTTCTGAGGCATTGGAGAGCGAGGAGGAGAGGCTCCGTTGATCTCGAGTTCTGGGAGATAGCTGTACCCCATACTTTTGGCCTTCTGTTCACTCCCTCCCGAATCTTGATGACCTGCGTTCTTGTACTTTTGTCTCATATTCTCTCTTCTCAATGGTGGTATGTTCTGTAATTTCTTTGTGAACTCTATAACGGCTTCTGATCCACTGGTATTCGAATCAGGGGAAGAATCCCCTCGAGTGTGTCGTTTGCAGGGATCTGTCCCCATTCTATTCCGGAATAGGGACTGAATATACTTTGGGAGATGTTTCTGTACACTTGATGATGACGAATTTGTTTTCTTGGAGCGTCCAGAGCCACTGCTTGTGTCAGTCCCGAGGCGTTTTCTCCGTTCTTTTCGCAGTTCTTTTGCACCACTGCTAAATCGTTTTGGTCTTGGAATCTCCACAGAGCTGCAAAAAATATACAGAAAATATTTATGTAGGTTTCCTTACCTAGACCTTCTTATGTGAACTCTTTTCGACAGCCTTGATCCTTGATTTACTCTTAGAAATCTTTTATCCGAATTTCTCCGTGATGTGTTGTCTTCTCGACGGCTGTAAATATTTTAGTATTACAATGTATGAACGTACTGGAAAGATGAGCCCAATGAACAGCTAGAGTGTGCTCTGATATCGGCAGCTGTGTTTCTGTGGCTTTCTGCGACCTGACGTCTTTTAGTAACCAGACTTAGATCCCATGACAACTTATGAAGTAGAACTCTTAAGATCAGCATGGAGTCAAATATCATCGAGAATTTGCACAAATGGGTTTCGAGATTATTCAATGAAATTAGCACTCTTTGAGCGGGTAGATTAAAAGGATGTCCTAAGGGAATAACCAGTTGACTCCCTCCAACACAACTCGTATTTCGACTCGATGGAGTAATTGTGATCACGGCCCCATTATCAGCAATCATTGGCATTGTCTGTTCGTATTCCTCGGGCATCGCTTTTGGATCAAAATTTGGTGGAGATGAAGAAGAAGCGGGTTCTTCGGTTATTGGCTCGGATGTAGTGCTTATGGCGTTCGTGGCAAGCTGATTGTGAGACAAAAATATTTTTGCTTATAAAATTACTTACTTCACTCAGAGTCTTTTCCAATATACCCTCCACAGACATGGCCGTTCTGTTTCCATCTTGAATCAGATGTGCTGTCCTGCAGGTATCAAATATGTAGTCGTCTTCATTCTGCGAGTTGGAACTGTTTTGTTTCTTTGGGTCATTCATTATATTTTCTGTTGGTTGGAAAAGATTGACTCTGTTACCAACACGATCCCCCAATCCGATATAGACAAGGATACGCGCGGCATGATGTTTTACGAAGTAACCAAACTTTGTGCTATGATTTGTGTAATACCAGTCATCCGCGGGGAGCAACATTTGAATAAGAACATCATCGATTTGCAATTCGATGAATAAATTATGCATGGCCGGGTCCAAAGCAACAATGGCTAGAGTTTGCAATAACAAACATAATAGTTGGGGGTCCAGAGTCGGTTCCAGCAACTGAATAAGGGTCTTAATCTCGTGTCTGTCGCTTAATCTCCTTCTGAACTCCTTGTAATTAGACAAGAACAGAAGTAATCTGGCTACTAGTATCTGCGTGCAGTGATTAGAGCATTGACGCCATCGATGGGCCGGAGAACAGACACTTCTGGCTCCTGCTTCTCGGTTGTGCATTGTGATGGAGTTGTGTAAACATGCAATTATGATGCTTGGATCTATTTGAGAGAATCTGGAAGACAGGTCTATCGCCTTCTGTGTAGGATGAGAGGATGCTGAGTCAGGATTCCCATAAATAAACCTTTTAAAGCCCGATGTTTGACCACTGGTGATGCCTTTGATATGGTCGAGTGTGAGGCGACGATCCGAGTTTGAATTAGAATTACTGCCTCCGGCACCCAACGAATTATCGGCGGGTTCGTCGATGGAATTCATAATGGGACTAATATTCCCTTCGAAATCGTAATAATGAAAATCATTTGGGCGATTTAATAGTCGCGAAGAATGGAATGAAATTTCATTATTCACATATAAAGTGTTCACCAAGCCTGTGTCGATGATCTAAAGACTAATTTTATGTTGAGAGAACTTACTTTGTTAAGAGTACTGAGAGCGGCAAACTGACGACAGCCCCCATTCTTCTGAAGACAAAGATAACAGAAGTCGACCAGAGATACCAAGGTGTTTGTGAATTGTTTCCGATTAGTCCGTTGGTATGTGGGCGTGGTTTGTTGATATTCACCAATTGAAGTCAACAGGACTTGATGTAACAAACCTCCCAAATGCGAGTCTAAGGACTCCCTTTCTGCTACGGAACTGTCCAATTGGCCGCAGAATTTGTTTAAAATTCGCTAAAAGTTGATTTTTTTCAAACCATGTTTCAAACTTCGTACCAGACTAAGTTCTGTGCATTCCGGATTGCACGCCATCTTTGTCAGCATTTCCCAAGCCTGGTCCCACGTGATGTGTTCAAAGACTAAATGTTGCTATTATGAAATAAACCCATGTTATAACAAAACCATTACTTTTTAATATTCATCTGACGCGCAATACTTACATTCCTTGGGTATTTTACTGCGTCTGTGTAATTGTAATGAGACAAATGATTTTCTGCGACTGGTTTCTTTGCTGGATCCAGCATCTAACATCGAGCATGTGCTGATGGATGGTGCAGTTGAGTTCCTGGGTGATAATGGGGACTTGTTCAGACTCCCCCTTTCACAGAAACTGGCTAAACACACCAATGTTCAGGAAACCGGTTTTCACTTACAGTTATCCACATGCAGTTTCTTGCTTTGTTTGTTTGCATTAATCATGGCCACAGTTCTGAGGACCCTTTCTTGGCTCGGATGGTTGGCACTCTCATCGGTGGGGGAGCAGGCTGTTTGAAAAAGACTTTCCACACAAGATTCCTGCAGTTTTCTCAATTCTGGAGCCAAATCCAAAGGGCAGATCCCACGGTTGTTCTTTTGCAATATTCTGGAAATAGTTGTTTGACTTCTCTGTCTTACCTGGCCCCAAAGAATATAAGTGTGTGAAGACAGTGCCAGTTCAACGGGGATTCGCGGACCGCCAACATCAATGGAGTATTTCCATCCTCATCACTTCCATTTACGTCAGCTCCATAGGCAATCAACATGGCAATCATCTCTGGACTCTGGGCTCTCACAGCAACCCCTAAGGGCGTCTGGTCAATAATTGAAACAATTCGCAGTTGAGAACAAATTGAGCACATATCAGGGATTGTAGAATAGGTTCTGCAACATCCTCAAAATATCTTCTTTACATACCTGGGTAGAATTGAAGAAAGGGGGATATTTCCCGAGGCGGTACAATTACCCTTACAATAACAAGAGGCAACATTGTTTGCATCATATCCCGTCTTTAAGAGTAACTCCACAATATCGCGTTGCTTGTGGGCGACAGCTATGTGCAATGTGTTCACCACAGCACATGTGGACCTGGAAATAAGGGATTATGAGATGCCATTCTTACCGTCCTCCTGAATGAGTTGAAACTGTAGATGAAGCATTTGAACGACGAGGATTTCCATGGCGTCTCTGTGCCAAGTCGGTAAAAGTATTTGTAGATCCAATACTGGGTGATGTAGATAAGATCTTGTTACTGTGTGTGAGCAGCAGCCTGTCTACGAGATTGACGTCATCCAGATGAATTGCCTGATGTCGGTTTTCTTAGATTATTAATAACTTACATCAAGCAACATCTCGGAAAGATTTTGATTCACCGAAGGCTTCCTATCCTCGTTTCGGAGGATTCTTTGGGCCGCTGTAAATGTAAAGCACCTTCCAGATTCTGTCGGGGTTCCCACCAAGGACGAGCACTCACTGCTTTCGCCCGTATACCTTCGTCCTATAAGAACTTTATGGGTTTCTTACACTTCCTACCTGACTGCCCCGATTGTTGACGCTGTAAACGCTGACGTAACCGTTTGGCTGTAGACAGCGAAGACTCGTGGTTGGAGAGCTCAGTGGTATAGCCAAATGTGTACTTGTCATTGGCGGCTTCTGTGGAACTTTCACGGGTACTAGACATCTGAAAAGGGGAAAGAATCAAGAAAACAGCAGAAAGCGGTTGTCTTGCAAGTAATTACATCCACCTCTTCTTCCTGACTTTAAAAAACATTAAAAAGGAAGATGTCCTCGAATTCGACTACTTTGGACACCGGTCCGGGTGTCACACTCTCAACCCGAGTCTTTAATGTCGACTCTCGGGTGTAAGAGTCTAGAACCGCTGGCTTTTAGAAGAGGAGAATCCCGAGAATAAAGTCGACTAATGGTATTACAAATTGAGATTAGAGGATGAGGAAGGAGAGGGGGAGGATTAAACATCCAGATACCCAATCCAGTCATTCGTTGTCATGGCGTTCGACATAGGACGTAAATGCAAATCTCACATAATACAACAACATAATTGTCTAATGCCACGTTACGCAATAAGAACGTTACTTAATCGGCTTTACATTACTCTGTGTTCCTCTTCCGTCCGACCAAATTGTAGTCCTCCTTCTCGGTCTTATTTGCATTTATCTTGGAAGACTTTTGGAGAGAAAGAGCATATTTGAAATTGTACACTCGAAAATATTTCGCAGCTTTATGTAACATATCGCAACTACCGTAATAAAAAGGAAACACTTGACGCGAGTCAACTGTTTTTCTCAAAAAAAAATAAATTTTGGAAATCGGCAATTTCTTTTGATGAGCCTCATTCTCAATTGCAATTCTGATGAGGACTTCATTAAATAACTCCCAAGTTCCAACAAGAATTTTTAAAAGATGTTAAAAGTGTTTGTGTTTATTTTTAAATATTTACCGTTTAGGTACATAGGGGGTGATTTATAAATTTTGTTTGTACTAAATTTGCCGCTTTTGGCTGGATTGTCGCCAGTAGGGTTGTTAAGTCGTCAACTTGACGCGTCAATCACGTTGTCAAATTGCCGTCATTTTCGTCATGTTATATTGTTGTGTCATTTTGATTGTCAAATTGAACGTTTTTGGTAAATTTTCGTAGATTTTTGCCAAAAAATAGTAGTGATTTAAAATTTTTAAGAACCAAATTGTTGTTTCTTGTGAAAGTACACCAATCAAATAAGCAGTAAAACTAGTTACGATTAATATTAACGGTATTCATCATAGCCTAAGTTAAACGAAAATGACGGCAATTTGAAAAATTCTGGCAAATTGACAACCCTAATAGGCAGGAAACATCTTTTGTAAGGTCGCATGATACGTTCGAAATTTTATGCGTACTTATTGGGGATTTACGCGTAACGTTTCTTAATACTTTAAGTAAAATGGCCACTACTGACCCTACCACAGCAACTAACCAAGAGCTGGAGCAACTATGTCGCCTGGATGAGTGTAAGTTATTAATTTGTGACGAGGCCTTCTTTAGGTTGCATGGCAAACAATTTGGAAGCCATTCCCATTGAGTTTACTCGTTTTGGGAACTTAAATTATCAGGGACTTAGTGTCAAAGTATCGGCGGAAAGTCAATTTTCTTACGGAACAGCCGGTTTCCGTTACCGCGATGATGTTATGGGTTTTATTGTTTACCGAGTGGCCTTATGGACATGTCTTCGGGTTAGGTAACTGCCGCCTTTTTTGTCCAGAGTGTTAGATTTTTAGGACTCTTTCTTTCTACAACTTAGGTTTGATGATCACAGCCTCCCATAATCCGATTGGAGACAATGGAGTTAAAATCGTCGGAGCCAAGGGTGAAATGCTGACAACAGAGCTTCAGCAAGAAGTACAAGATCTCATAAACCTGAATGACGAAGATTTTCATATCAAAATTAAAGAAATGTGGACGCTTGTTGCGAAGAAGGACATTTACACTGGTCTCCATATTGCTTGGGATACCCGTCCGTCATCTCCTTGTCTAGCGTTGGCAGCGCTAAGGGCGGCTCAACAGTGTAATGTAAAGGCAATCGCCCATGGTGGGTATCGTACGTTTGTTTTCAAGTCTTACTTTTAGGCCTTCTGACTACACCACAACTGCATTATGTGGTTATGGCAAGTAATATGAGAGAGTATCCTCTCAGTAGTATCACTCAGAAGTTTACTAATGCGGCAAAAAGTTTCCTGCAGGTATGAAATCTTCCACTTCCGTTAACCTCTGTTGCAGTTGTGTCCAGAGCCTCCCGTACTGCTTTATCAGAGAGATATGGTCGCTGTGGATTGCGCAAATGGAGTTGGGGGAATATGGATTGGTCATTACTTTAAAGAGCTACCTCAGGGCTTCTTGAAAACCGCCTTTAATAATACTGAATGTTTTTCTAATGGATTGAACAAGGACGTAAGTTATTTCAAATAGGATTCTACAAGGTGATTCAAAAAAATGGAAACTTTTGAAGTTGGTGTATCCCACCACGAATACCGCAGTCGGTGGAAAGAAAAATAGTTTTACAATCGTCAACGATCCTGCTTCATGACACCTATTTCAATTTTTTAAATATTTTTGCTGAACGGCTTGTACGAGCCAAAATGCTAGGTCAGCCCATATTCTGACCAAAATTTCCAAAAATTTTGTAGGTCCAAAAATCTTTAACGGCCTGAATTCTTACACCCAGCTGAAAACTGCGTGATGACTGTTTATTAAGATACTAAGGGGAATCTAGAGAGGCAAAAACGCTGACACTATTCTATTAATAACGCTCCAGCGGTTCGCAACGCTATCCACAAGAGACTTATCCACATAGTTCTGGATTTTTGGGATGATCGGGTTTCAAAACTTAGCAGGGCGGCCTGGCTTGTGCTAATAACGGCAAAAAGTGATTCCTGTAAGACATTTAACATTGCTTTACATGGGTCAGCAGTTGATTTGATTGTAGCTAGCATTATCCATGTACTGGGCTTATAAAAGTTTAGACGGCTATACCCAGAGACGCCGATATTTTTTGACCAGAAAAATTTTACTTTTTTGTTGGCTTTCTTCAACAAGCCGCACAACTACGACAAGCTGCATTTATACGATAGTGATATAAGTCCGTTCTTCAATTTTAAATTGGTCTCCGTTTAATTGAACAAACCTAGCCTTCAGAATCCAAGCATCTTTGCGATGACCCATCAAAAAGTCAAAAAAGTCGAAATTTTGCTTGCAGTTTAGCCAACTGAAGGGTACTATTGTTAAAAATGCGTTTAATATACTCAAAACAGAGCAGTAAACGTGGTATAAATGGAATTGGTTCTAAAACTTAGACCACATTCGGCAGATCATAGTTTTTCAAAGAGCGCCCATATGAGGGTTGATTTTTCCTGGCTGGTTGCCTAACTTTTGGCCCCTGGTTTTTCATTGTCGGAAAGAACTGGATTAAATCCTTATAATATCCTAGAGAATAGACGTCTGTGTTTCGCTCAGGCCGCTCAGAACGTCTCGGTTACACCCTAAAGACATTTAGGAACCGAAACTTTCCAAATTTCGCCGCGGGAATGGGTGCGCTGACCCGGCAATTTTTAAGCAACCATGTGTCGGCAACTTTTGCAGCTAGTGAACTATTCTTGCAATGAATATGTACACATAACGTAGTAGTTTCATGCCATGTGTACCTTTTTCCGAGAAACATTCAAAGCCAAGAAAAATCGAAGAAAGAAAAGTGTCCATTTTTTTGAATCACCCTATATAATATAATCGTGGTCTGTAATGTTTACTTCTGAAGTGTGGCGCAGATTTTGTGAAGATCAAGAGGTCCCTTCCTACAGGATTTGAGGGTTCTCCTCCATATTGCAGATGTGCCAGTCTGGATGGTGATGCTGACAGATTGGTCTACTTTTTCCGGGACAACGATTTTCAACTCACCGTTCTTGATGGAGATCACATCTCGGCTTTGTTTGCCAAGTTCCTGATAGATCATATTCGAGCCATCCCTGCGGTCCAAGAAGCCAACTTTAGTGTTGGGGTAGTCCAAACGGCGTACGCCAACGGTTGCAGTACGCGATATTTCGGAGAAACATTGGTGTGTTAACGTCTTAGTGATTAAACTTATGTTATTTTAGCAAATGGCTGTTGTCCGCGCTAAGACCGGGGTTCAGAATCTTCATACCGAGGCAACAAAGTTTGATGTCGGGATTTATTTCGAAGCAAATGGTCACGGGACGGTTTTCTTTTCCAGCCGTTTCAAGTCATTCTTGTGTGAACTGAGGGAAGTAGAACCACAAAATGCATATCTGGGACGATTGTTGGCCTTTACGGAGATTATTAACGACGTTGTTGGTGACGGTATCGCTGACTTGTTAGCAGTTGAAGTTATTCTGAGACTTTACAACTGGAATGTTTTGGAGTGGCAAAGTAACACATACACGAATGCGCCGAGTGTCCAGTTGAAAGTGTCGGTATGTTTCCAGCTTAAATATTTTTAACTTTACTTTTGTTTTAGGTCGCTGATCGCTCGCTTTATCAATGCAAGGACGATGATGAAACTAGTCTGGTGTTGCCTGAAGGCCTGCAAGAGAAGATTGATTCTATATTGGCGGAGTATCCCAACTCTCGTGGATTTATTCGACCATCGGGTACTGAAAATATTCTACGAGTATACGCTGAAGCCGAGAGCAGCGCATTGGCCACTGAATTGGGTGAACGTCTTGAGGGGATCGTACGTGTCTAATTTATTTAAACTTGTGAGATTCTGATGCTAATAAATATTATTTGAGGTTTTTTTTTCGCATTTTCATATTAGACATTGATGAGTTGAAATTGAGGTTATTTTTTGTTTTGGGCAAAAGGACGGAAGATGACCTTTTTTTATTAGTGGTCCATCCTCCTTCCGTTTATCTACTGTATTCGGAGCCTGACGTCGTTGTTGCAATCTCAAGGAACACCAATTATTTGGTAGTTATTAGAAGTCTCCTAATTACTCCCTGCCAGACGTCACGCGTCCCTCATAACTTTAGACTTTCGTTTAATAAGGCCACATCAGAAAATGCTGTTCTTGTGGTTGGTGTTGTCCCTTTTGCCCATCTCTGTCGCCTCAAATTATGCAGCGTTAATATTTCCATTTGCAAATGCAAGTCAAATCCGAAGAGCGTACTCAATTGGTGCCGAAGGTGAGTATAACAGTCTCTTTTCTTCATGAAGTACTTTAGCTCGTCATAATTTGTCCAAAGAAATAGATGTTGAGCGAGACGAAAGTGCAAAGATGGAACTCTTTGCTCACCATTTCATGTCTTGCTCAACTGTCGGAAACGAGTTACAAGAGTACATTGACAGTTTACTGGATATCCAATCTCAGGGGCATTCGCCTAAGGAAAGCCTAAAGAAAAAGATTTTGCAAGCAGCCGGATTTGATGCTATAGTAAGTTGACTATTATTTTTGAAATGCTCTCCTTCAGTCATCAAACCTCTTTATCATGAATTACAAGGACATTGAGAAGACTATAAACACTGCCTGTCTGAAGAATGAATTGCAATTACAATGCGCATACGGCTTCATGAATGACTACGATAAGATTCAAGAACATATTACTGAGCTTAAGAAGGTACTGCGGACTTGATAACAAAAAACTGCTTTCAGACTGACGGGAATCTGAAGGTGATGTTTGAGAAGGAATGTAAAAACCCCCAACTGTCTCCCAAGTTGTATTCCTGTATTGGTAAACACGTTCATTTTGTAAAGAATCAATGCGCGCTCCCATTCCTCAAATATAATCAGACCAGAAGAGCCGTGAATAACAAGATCGAGGTCATCTCTCAAGTCTCCCACCGTACGCTCAATAAAATCTTGACCCGATATGAACGGACGGCTGATGAAGATTTGTTGATCGAGGCGTAAGAATTTGTTTCCTTAAACATTCACACCGACACCTGTAGTTTAACTTCTTTTCTTGCAGAAATAACCAACTCCGCGGTGCATTGCGGGAAGTCTCATTTCTGGAAGACCAAAAGTGCGTGCAATTCCTGGAACTGAGCGCTTGTTTTGAAGTACAGATGGCCAATTACTGTGGCCAAGATACGCTGAATGTGTTGGATACGGTGCTGCGGGTTGGTTACTTGAGAAGAGAGAGAGATACACTTAATAGTCATGTACAAATACAACAACAGTTCGAACAAATGGAAGTTCCACCCAGCCCGAATTGTATTCCCCTAGTCTGATGACATGTGCACATTTCGAGGGAATGAATAAATTATGTTTTGAAACTCTGAAAAAGACAACTTGACAGGTGGTCGTCTCCTTAAAGAGAAGTGTAACATAATTACGAGGTGTAAGACAGGACTGCGGAAGCTTACCTGCCTATGAAAGAGTAGTCATGGATGTCGATTCGAATATTACCTCTGGCCAGGGATCTAGTTTCAATTATTCCTTTGACTACAGCGATTTTGACAGCAAAGCGTTGGTGCCTAAGGCACAAGAGATAGACAACTTTACTGCTTGTGCAAAGACAAGTAAGTTAGACATCAATTAACGATATCCAATACAGTAATCGGAGTGCTTACGGTGTCTGCTATAGTTGTTCTGACGACTGGAATAACGAGATCAAAGAATCAAAAATTCTTCGGCTTCCAATGTTACAGTATGAATTTAGCAATAATCAACGTATTAAATATTGTAAGTCCCGTACGTGATTAGGTGGTATTGTAGGTATCTTTATATTGCAATGACAGAGACATTAATCTCTCCAGTTTCCTAACGGAAGGTTTTGCCAAAAGCATAAAGATCTATAACTACGCTTTCAAAAAAACTGCATCTATTGTGTTCTGCACAACAACTTTTTTCCTTATATACGAAACGACACAGCGATATCGGCGAAATATTATTGGGTTTCCCTTGAAATATTGGCTCATCATTTTGATTACAGCTGACTTTGTTCCGCTTTTGATGACAACTATAGAGGTATGGAGATTCCTAATGCATATAACGTTTCAATTAAGGCGCAATATTACCGGTACTCGTCATACAGACCCAATCTGGTGGCCCTATACCAGTTCTTGTGGTTGCAAGCTCTCACACTGGCTGTTTTCGTGTTCAATGTCGCGATATTTTGCATGTCGGTTAGAAAAAAGAGAGAAGAAAATTTTGTGACGGACCCTGAGCCTTCTTTTTTGACTCGAAGGCAGATGATTAAATTCTGCGTCTTTGTTATTTGCACAACATGGCTACAGTACCCTACAAATTATTTACTACCAACTGAGGTTTTTGACTTTGAATTTGATCCAGAAATGTCTCTAAAATTACTACCTACCATCCAGGTAACTTTAATCATCCTTTTTGCATATTGTTTCAGCCGTATATCAAACGAATGATCGATTTCCACGTTTATCTAACCTTTTTGAAACCGTTCTGCGAAACAATGGCATGCTTACTCTTTCTATGCACAAAATGAATGTCAAACTTTGATATTTGAAGAGTTAATTTATTCCTTATGAAAAATAAAAGAGACCATGCTTGACGTTAATAATCTTCCTCATCATTGTCAGCAGTATCTAGCCCGACCTCTTCGTAATCCCGTTCCAATGCAGCCATGTCTTCTCTGGCCTCGGAGAATTCACCTTCTTCCATCCCTTCTCCCACATACCAATGTACGAAGGCCCTCTTAGCATACATCAAGTCAAATTTGTGGTCGAGTCGCGCCCATGCTTCAGCTATTGCTGTAGTATTTGAAAGCATGCAAACAGCTCTCTGCACCTTAGCCAGATCCCCTCCGGGCACAACTGTTGGTGGCTGATAATTAATACCAACTTTGAATCCAGTCGGACACCAATCCACAAATTGGATGGACCGTTTTGTTTTGATGGCAGCAATAGCTGTATTCACTTCTTTGGGAATTACATTGCCGCGATACAAAAGGCAGCATGCCATGTATTTCCCATTCCTCGGGTCGCATTTTACCATTTGTGCTCCGGGTTCGAAGCATCTGTTTGTAATTTCATTCACACTCAGATTCTCATGAAAGGCTTTCTCACTAAACAGACCGTCGTTTAAATCAGTCACCTCTTACGCTGAAATTATAGGAGAGTAAGTGGCCAAGGGGAAATGTATTCTTGGATATGGAACCAGGTTTGTCTGGAATTCCGTCAAATCCACGTTCAGGGCTCCATCAAAACGAAGGGAAGCAGTGATCGAAGACACGGTTTGCGCGATGATTCTGTTCAAATTGGTGTAAGTAGGTCTGAAAAATTGATTACATACCAGTTTCCAACAAACATTTTATATTACCGCGTAATGTTAAGATCTCTTCTGCAGATATCATAGATGGCTTCGTTGTCGACCAAAAAAGAGCAATCCGAATGCTCCAGTGTCGTGTGTGTAGTGAGGATAGAGTTGTAAGGCTCCACGACGCCTAATACTTACTTCACGCCAACTTTTGACTTACTGGTGCTTACTTGAGGTGCTGGATAGATGCTAAATTCTAGTTTGCTCTTCTTTCCGTAGTCGACCGAAAGTCTTTCCATTAACAACGAAGAGAATCCAGAGCCTGTTCCTCCACCAAAAGAATGGAAGATCAAGAAGCCCTGCATACTGTGACATCCCTCTACGGTTTCTGAAGCCATTTTTAATACTAACAAGTAAATTCTTACTTCTAACCCGATCCACGCATACATCAATGAGTTCCTTTCCAATTGTGTAATGCCCCCTAGCATAGTTATTGGCAGCATCTTCCTTTCCAGTTATTAGTTGCTCTGGATGGAAAAGATTACGGTATGTTCCCGACCGAACCTCATCTAAATCTTCGCTTACTAAGCTAAACCTGTGACCCACCAACAACGGTCGGCTCCAGATCAACGAAAACACATCTGGGGACATGCTTTCCGGAATGGGTCTCGGCGAAAAAAGTATTGTAAGAGCTGTCCTCAACGCCCACCGATTCATCCGAAGGCATGCGACCATCAGGCTGGATTCCATGCTCCAAACAATACAATTCCCAGCACGCATTCCCGATCTGACATCCGGCTTGGCCCACATGAAGACTGACGATCTCTCGCTGTAACCCTCAAGATGCAGAGCTACCAAATCGACTTACCAGTCTCGAATTTGACATTACTCCCTTCCAACTAGTCAGGATCAAAACCGTAAGAGAAGTGTTTTGTTCTCAGACAAAACTTATAAGGTTTCCCATGAATTACTGCTTGCCAATATCTGCTAACTGTTCCCATGACAACATTAACGTAATCATGTAATTAGACACCGTACTCCCACAGGTGCTTAAGTTTTTAGCAATTCTTTCTTCGTGGCTTGAGGTTACTTAAGTTATTTCAAAAGAATACAGAGAACTAATGAGTGTAACGCCACTCTTTGTACCAAATATTGTAAATGTTAAAAAGTACAGTGAGAGTGGCACGAATAAATGGTGGATAATTTTTGATACAGGCAGTCATCTTTAATAAAAAAAACCACTACCGGGCACGGCATTCTGTGCTTTTGGGACGCAACCGGTCTCCACATTTTTCGGTTACCCCTCATTTGGAGCAGATCGGCCCAAATATGTACAGCCAATGTTGAAAAATGTTTTTTACTAGCTAGTCAACGGGAGTTATAGTACTCCGACGGTACGCCACTAAAGCCATCGAAAGAGACCCATAACCGGGAAATAGTGAGTAGGAAGGTAATTAATTGTGAGGATTTCGAAAATGACATCCATTTTTTCTGTATTTACCCAACGGACTCTCGCACACTAGTCATCAAGTTTGGCCATTTTGAGAATATTTTTTACAACCGCATTGGCCTTGCTTGCGACCTAGGTCGCCGAGACCCCCCCTACATCGAATATTTTTTAAAAAAATCCAAAAATTACTTTTTAACACTATTACTTAAGAAAAAAATCAAAATCAGAAAAAACGAGCATGATTTTTGAAATCTACTCCATCGAATAACCTACCTTTGACATTTTCGGACAAACATCGAGACCCCCAAATCGGGGGTCTCTTTCAAAGGAAACCGTACGCCACCCACGATCAAACTCGCCGCGACCTAAGCCACGATAACTCCAAAATACTGTGAAATGACCGTACTAGTTGATCCACACAGTTTTGACGTTCCAGCTGGATCAGGTCACGATCACCCTGACTATGTTCACAACCTACTAAGTGAACAAAAGACCACGGCAATTCGGAAAGCCATCCAGCCCCGAGTCGAAGGAAAAAAAAGGTATCTTCAAGAAACAAAAACCGACCGCTATTTAAAGTACGAACGTTCAGAACTCCGAGAAAGCTGGACATATATAAGCAAGGTGATTTATATCTGGCGGCAAGGTCGGTATGCCGATGATTTTTTACGCCTACTTGGCCAAAAAAAATTCCAAGTTTCAGCGATTTCGGCCCGAAAATCATTCTTGAAGACTTTGGGAAGACATAGAAAGGTCAATTCAAGGTTTTGTTTGAAATTCAGTCGGTTGAAAATAGCGGGTCTCAGCTCCAGAAAAAAATATTTTTGCTAAGTAGGCGTAAAAATTCATCGACATACTGAGCTTGCCGCCAGATATAAATCACCTTGGTTATATTATACCCACATTTTTTCTTCAATTCTAAGTTGCTGTATGGCTCAAAACTTAGTGCCTTCACAGTTTTACAAACTTTATTTTAGCTTAAAATGATGGTTCTTGAGTTTCTAACAAGGGATCGGCAAATAGTTGCAACCTTTAATCTTAACGAAACATATATCATTTGAAAGAGCGTTAAAAATAGTGCACAACGCAAAAAAAATTAGCTGCCTAATTTATGTTTGGACAAAGTTATGGCCAAAATACAGATTTTAGCCTAATTTAACGCGTCACTTTATAAGCGCTTGGAATTGCAACAGAGTTGTGTCCAGTTGGCCGAGTGGTAGTGAGCCCACTTCCGGCGCAACAAGTCCTGGTTTCGAATCCGGGCTCTGCAAATTTTTTGCATTTCATACCTTATATGCCACAAAACCATGGTATGGTGATATTTTTAAACAATTTGTGTTCCTTCGCAGGCAAAATTCATTTGTACAGGATTTTTTTTGAATTTTTGGCTTTTTTTGAAACGACCAAAGATTTGATGGTGATGAGAGTGGGGATACCACTATCATATAATTACAAGGTGTCATCCCAGTAACCTGACCTATTATAATTACTGGACGATAATTAAATTTACTAGGACCTGAAAATATACATTTTTTCGAAAAAATACGAAGAGAAAATTGTAAAATCAGGCAAAAGGATATTGCTAACACAGTGGACCAACCGTTGGTAGGGCTAGAACATAAGAAATTTTTGATTTTGTGATTTTAGTTTGTGAACGACCACAACGATCATATAAATGTATTTCCAAAGCCTTTTGCTCCAATTTTCTCATTAACCTAGTTTTATTTACAATTTTTTGAACAAACAGTAATGTCTAATAACTCATAACCGAGGACTGGTAGAGCCATAAAACGACCGTGGTAGACGTTTTTGGAAACTAGGAAATCAAAGGAGACGATTTCAAGCCGCCAGGATTACTGTAATACAGGGTGTTCCGAGAATTGTGGAAAAAACTATTCATTAATAACTTTGCGCTCGGTGGTCCAATCCGAAAAATTTTTTGGAGTTTTACAGAAAAGGCTTGGAGTTTTTCGAATCAAAAAAAAATTTCTTTTATCGGCGGAGACTTCCGCAATCCGCCTTGAATTCGGCGGAGTGTTTTTTTTCAGAAATGAGGCTGTAAATCGATGTATGTGTAAAGAAAATGAGCGGAAAAAGATCCAGAGGATGCAATATGACATTTATTTCAAATTTTCGTGATTTGGCGGAGACATTTTTTAACCTCGGCGGACGATTTTTCTTCGACTTCGGAGAGTCAAAATTGGCTAAAACCAAAACGTATGGTTTCCCTGGTGGCATGGTGCTTAAATAAGACTTATTACGTCCTCGGCTGACTGGCAGAAGAAAAAACTTCAATTTGGCGGAGAAATCGGTGGAGAAAAAATAAACCCATTTATGTAATTACGAAAATGATCCGCCGAGCATCCGCCGATATGAAGAATCATATTTTTTGGTTGATGAGGGCCGTATAAGACCTAGAATTTTAGTTTTCTCATCATAATTTCTTAAATGGGTTCATTTTTTCTACGCCGATTTCTCCGCCGAATTACCGTTTTTTCATCTGCGAGTCAGCCGAGGACGTAATAAGTCTTATTTAAGCACCATGCCACCAGAGAACCCATACGTTTTTGTTTTAGCCAATTTTGACTCTCCGAAGTCGTGGAAAAATCGTCCGCCGAGTTTAAAAAATGTCTCCGCCAAATCACGAAAATTTGAAATAAATGTCATATTTCATCCTCTGGATCTTTTTCCGCTCATTTTCTTTACACATACATCGATTCACAGCCTCATTTCCGGAAAAAAACACTCCGCCGAATTCAAGGCGGATTACGGAAGTCTCCGCCGATAAAAGAAAAAAAATTTTTTTTGATTCGAAAAACTCCAAGGCTTTTCTGTGAAATGCAAAAAAAAAAATTTCGGATTGGACCACCCACAGCATTCCGAATTATTTTTGCCGCCGACCGGCGTCCGAAAAAATGAAAAAATGAGATACGCCTCTTACATTTTTGCCAATATCTCGCTAGCCTCGAAGTGTAACGTGAATCTGAAAATTGTGTTTCAAAGCTGACACATTTGTCCTTCAGAATATATAATTTTGTAATGATACTTATTATGTACGGCAAGGAAACCGTTGCTGAAAAATGGCAAATTTCAACATTCAATGCCAGAAAAATGTACTTTCTAAGTGCCAGATCGCAAAATTATGGGCCTCATTGTGTCCAGAATCTTGAACACTATAAGATATAACAATTTCAGGCATTTTCTGGCCCGATTCGCAGAGTTATACCCGAAAAACTGCAATTTTGGCCTTCTTATTGAGCTATCTGCACTTTAAAAGTACATACAAAAAATCCCTCTTAAATTATTGTTGCCCAGGTTGTGATGGACCATCGCGCAAAATCTCTACCTTCCACGACTTCTACGGAAAAAGTTATAACGGTTACAATATGGGACCCTCGTATGTCCAATATTTAGTAAAATACGGTGAACTATGGTGCAATATGGTGTTATATGATGGAATTTCTATTGCTGCTGTCGCGTTGGTTGTGGTAAAAAAAATTTATCGTAATTACACGGTCAACTACCTATAAAAATTTCCCAGCTATGTCCCCAACTTTTCACTGTTTTCCCTTTAGTATAGCGAAAACTTGAAATCGTGTCCCTCGTGCGGAAAAATCTGAGAGACAGTGTTCAGGTTTCGAGTAAGTTTACGTAGGCCATATAGAGCTTTTTTTACCATGGTGTACTGTATTTTACAAGATATTGGGCATACAAGGGTCACACATTGTAACGGTTATAACTTTTTCCGGAGGAGTCCTGGAAAGCTGAGATTTTGCGCACTGGTCCATCACAACCTGGGCAACAATAATTTAAGAGGGATTTTTTGTATGTACTTTTAAAGTGCAGATAGCTCAATAAGAAGGCCAAAATTGCAGTTTTTCGGGTATAACTCTGCGAATCGGGCCAGAAAATGCCTGAAATTGTTATGTCTTATAGTGTTCAAGATGTTGTACACAATGAGGCCCATAATTTTGCGATCTGGCACTTAGAAAGTACATTTTTCTGGCATTGAATGTTGAAATTTGCCATTTTTCAGCAACGGTTTCCTTGCCGTACATAATAAGTATCATTACAAAATTAATATATTCTGAAGGACAAATGTGTCAGCTTTGAAACACAATTTTCAGATTCACGTTACACTTCGAGGCTAGCGAGATATTGGCAAAAATGTAAGAGGCGTATCTCATTTTTTCATTTTTTCGGACGCCGGTCGGCGGCAAAAATAATTCGGAATGCTGTGCCACCGAGCGCAAAGTTATTAATGAATAGTTTTTTCCACAATTCTCGGAACACCCTGTACAGGGTGGGCCACTAAAACCTTCCGTCCTCTTTTTTTAGATTTCTCCGCGGAGACTCCGCCGATTTTCATGAAATTTAGATTTTTCTGGAGCTGAGATTCGCCATTTTCAACCGATTGAATTTCAGGAAAAAACATT